ACAGCGCTCGCTTCGTGGCCCTTCAGCTACCTCCCATTCCCACGCGGTCGTGGCCTGGAAGCGTTGCGGGGTGGCGGAAGCCGGCTGGAAATTGATAGGGTTACGAACGAACCGATGCCAGACTTGACTAATGTGCCGAAACTCTTGCAGCCCAGCATCGGTAAGCCCACCACGGAAGTTCACTGTTCCTCCATAGGCCCGATTTCCCGTACGCGGCGTATGGCTGGCCTGCCAGTGAAGCGCATCGGACATGCTCCCCTGGACCGCATCCGTCTCATCACCATCCTCTCCGGCCGCTTCTTCGATCAGCAGATTTGCATCTATATCCGCGAATTTCCGCCGTGCAATACCGACTGTGATCTGCCGCCAAGCTTTGATATGGATATGCTTCCCCAGGACTAGCTTACCGGCCTCGACAATGACCCGGGTCATGGTATCAGCAGGCCACGGGTCAGTGCCCTGAGACCAGAGATAGTCGGACGGCTTGGGTCCCCCGGTCTCCTGCTGGAGGAACTCTCGGAAGGGATTCACGATGGCAAGATATTGCGTGATAAGCTGCCCAACCTCGGGCAGTAGGAATCGGACAGGCCAGCGGGAGGCGTTGGTCTGATTCCGTGACTTATAGTAGCTAAGGATGAAAAGCATCTGTCCATCGTGGAGGAAGAGATCGCGCGTGGTCAACGTGGTGTTCCGCCACCGAAGGCCAATGAACTCAGTACGACGTCCTTGCTGCCCTGAACCGAGAAAGAACGGGACCATAACCACCCGGAGAAACTGCTGGACAGCGTTCTCGTACTGCTGAGTCGCATCGGCGGACACAACCCAATGACCCTCGGCATTCTGCGACCAGAATGTGTGGAACAGGGCAGGCGTCCTACCAACCCGAGTGATCAGCCAGTCCTTGACCGGGTCCAGATGGCACGTATTGCGCGAATCGGTGATGAATGACTGGCCTGGCGCAGTGGCGTCCCAATTATCGACCAGCTCATCATACGCGATGGTCGGGATCTCCGATGCTGGGCTAGAGCGCCCACTGAGACAAAGCTCAACCTCGAGAATCCGCCGGGCCTCTGCAATCCGCTGAAAGATGATCTCGCGGATATCGGAGAGGTGAAAGACCACATCTGACCAGACCAGAGTCTGACCATCGGCATGCCAGCGGATCTGGGCCGGGGGGACCTCGGTCTGACTGATGCGGAACCCGAGCAGTCGGTTCTCGAGCAGCTCCGACAGAGGACCGTCGGTATCGTTCAACAACCATTCGTCCCGGATCGCAATGATCATAGTACTTATCTCCGCATCCTTACCCTCTGCCGTCTCTGCCAACACAGACGCAAGGATGACCATCTGACAGTCGTAGATCAACTGCGATAGTATAGATGTATAGTTCCCAATCGCGAGCCATGCTCCTTGCGTAGGGCTCCAGAAGCGAACCACGGCATAGGAAACAAGGACTGAATCAAACTTTCGACGAGAAACCGGGTGCTGGATGATAGCAAGGCTGAATTGAAGTACGGCATGATCTAGCCGGGCGCGCAGATCCTCCCCATGCGGACTATCGACCTCAGACCCACTAAGATCCACAATCTGACTTGCGATCTCGGTTACTTCGACCCATACCTCAAGCTGCCGCGTACTGGCTTGAAAGAGATTGTCCCGGAGTTGCTGCTGCTCTACGACGCGCTCCCAGTAGCATACCAGCTGCTGCCAGGTAGTGATGTATCTCTGTCGCGTACGTTCATTCTGGAGATCGGAGAGGGGGTCCTGGGATGTTTCTCCCCGGGCAAAAGTGTTGAGAAGCCGTGCGTTACGGCGACTAAGCTGGCGTACCTCTGTATCTTGGTCATGTACCAAGACCGCCATTGCTCCCTCGAGAACACGTTGGACGCTTTCGCAAATGACAAAAAGTAAAGCCTCCTGGTCCTGTCGTGGTGTTCGATAGCTAGGACCAAGATCTTTGACCTCGAGCCCTTCAAGGTGGATATGGATACCGGCCCGCTTCATAAAGGGAGTGACCTCGGATACATGGCGCGCTGCGGCGATGGACTTCCGCGATGATTGAGAGAGACTCTTCTGGTATCGGCCCATGATCTGTTTCCATGTATCGCCGGTGAGAGCTGACGAAGGGGGTGTCTCGGAACCAGATGGTGGTACATAAGTAGGAGCGTTGGCATGCCGATATATATATTGAGGGTTGGAGGTCGGAATCTGGTCGGCAAGAACCACAGCAAAGTACTGTTGGCTTTGTTTCTGGAGAAAGAGCGTCTGCATAAAGGCCTCATGCCATGGAATCGCCCCCTGCTGCGCGACCTGCCACTGATGATGCTTATTATAATGTTGGCGGATCCGGTCCTTGCTGGTAGAGCGAACGTCGCAATCGGGGAAGTGGCAGATGAACCCGAGCACGGTCGGCAACCCGCGAATCTCACAAATCCCATCTTGAGGCTGGATGACTCCAGTGCTGTATTGTGCCACGCAAGCTAATTCTCGTGCGGACTCGATGGTTTGCCGCTGTTGACTCTTAACATGATGTTTGTCACGAAGATGGCGAGAGAGACTGGTTCGAATGTAGCAGGAACCATGGGTTATGCATAGGACTACCCTAAGTTCCGGTAGCACTTGCAGATACGACGGCAAGGGGTTATCAGTCTTAATTTCAGGCTCCGTGGCAGAATTTATATGATCGTGATTAGATTGTGACATTGTAGAATCTAGTAAAAATAGTAGATGGTATGGATATATAAAATTTAATTAGAAGTAGAATGGTGGATATCAGTATGATTATGGGTTCCCCTGAATGTCACCGTACGCTAGTCTGTTTATGGATTAATGTGATAACACTGGTTAGAAATGTGAGCAATCCGATATTGTAAGACATTAAGGCACTGTAGTGATAGTATACAACTGCTTAATACAGGGTATCATATACTCAGAAAGGATAGGACCTGAATCTGTATTAACTTGGTACTAATATAATTCCTTAGTATTCTACTTGGATTGTGGTCAGAAATATATTTGAGTTGGGTGGTTGTAAGTATAGTCGGAAGGCTAGACATTCTACAGTCGGAAATAGCAGTCTTGAATAAAACCACTCAAATTTGAATACGGCGATTGCAAAACTTGCAGAGTTAGAATTAAGATTGTTGTGATTTCCATGCAGCCTTCAGAAAGTAAAAATAGTATGTGAGTGATAGGAGGAGAGTTCTGAATAACAGTGTCCGTTTTCCTGAATAACAGTGTACGCTAGTCGGTTTTCAGCCTAGCTCCCGCTCTCTTAACTATGGAGGGGTTCAGAATTACACTGTAGTTCAACGTAGAATAGTTATAGGGAGGCGTTTAGCGCGATAGGCTCGTAATAGGAGGAATAGGAGGGTTTTTCGAGAGCTTTATAGTGTAACTAACTAGCGGCGGAGATACTAGTATCGTGTTATATAATATATCCGAAGACTTTATAATCTTAATATATTAAGTCGCTAGGGAATAGCCCGCGTTATAGGTAACGCCGGCTAGAACGGGCTTAATAACGTCGATTAAGTAGTATCTCTAGTAGAAATAAAAGGGGCGATATATTTAGGTAGTAAGCTAATAGGTAGAATTTAGTAGGGCCCGAGAGAAAGGGAGTCGGATAGGAAAAAGAAGACAAAGTGCGTCGATAAAGCTACGAAGAGGACGAGCGGTGTTTTATAGATAGAGGTGAAGGTTAGGGGAGGGTAAAAGCGGCTAGAGGTAGCACTAAACCCGAACGGGGACGCAGACGATGGCACCAAACCTAAAATGGCAAGGGGATGGCGGAGACAGCCAGGCGGTCGAAGGCGGCAGGACGGCGGTGCAATAGGAGCCGTTTCTGGCCCCCCGCTTGCCGTCGTGCGGAATACGCTTTATGCTTTAGTGCTGTACCGATCCCTAGTAATAAAGTCAGACATAGAGAGCAATGATCCCAATGTTGCGAGTCGAAATAAAAAAGAAAATTCTCTCCCGCCATCTATTGCCGGAATTTCTTTCCAAGTCGCGCGTGTAACCCCTTCGTGACAATTTGCTAGACTGTAAAGTATGCTGAGAGCTGAATGCCCTCTGCGATCACGCTCGTCCGCAGTGTTCACGCTACTACCGACAGCAAACCCTCTGCTTCTAAGTGGGCCCCGGCCGGAGGTCCAAGAGCAAGGCAGAATCCTGGACTTGGTTGAAGCAGACCTGAAATGAACTTATATGGTTGATGAAGATGACGGAGATAGAAAAGGGAAGTAGTGTGAGCTTGGATCAGCAACCTATTTCAATCCCCGGAATGTTCTGTGTGAGAATGAATATATGCATGTAGCCGGACCGACAGGACATCACAGCCTACGTTGAGCCGTGAAATAAAGGTTGTTTCAACAGTAACTCCATACGACTGAGCGTCGTTTCAGACATAGGCCGCATTTTCGAGAGCCGCGCACTTAGCACTGCTATCAACAGCTTACCGCACGTAATAGTATATGATTTAGGCGGGTTTTCTACTACCTGCAGCTCATTTTCTGTATTGCCATTATCAGGCGTACTGCTAAGTTCTTGCTTGAACTGGATAAAGGGCCTGCATAACCATTCCGATACTAGTTCGGCTTCAACAGGCTAATTGGATTTTGATTGATTGATTGAGCTTTCCCGTCGTTCTTTGGATATGTCAAGGTTGCATGTCGGAAAACAATCATTTCATACGTTACTATTAGTAATGAACGAGTATTATAAGATTCACCATGGGTAAAACTACCGTGTAATCCATCAATTGTTCGCAGACTCAAGTATAAATTGATGAAAGGCCAACCCTAAGACAGCTTTCTAACAGCAAAGGTACCACAGTACAGCTACTTAAAGCTTGCGGAGCCTACAGACACTGCGAGTAGTAGTCGTTTTGCTTCTGACAGGTGTAAGGGCTGGCACAGGATGTGGCCCCATTCCATCCAACTCCACCACACTGAGAATAATGCTGGGCCGTCGCCGTGGATGTTGTAGTTGCGGTTGTAGTCTTAGTAGTTGCAGTTGTCACCTTGGTTGTTGCTGTACTCGTGATAGTGGTAGCGGTTGTAGTTGTAGTCCCGCTAGTTGAGCCAGGCAAGTACTTCTTTAGAATGTTCATGTAATAGACGTAGCCAGTTCCGGATGGAGGCTCAAAGCTGTAGATATAATCGCCCCACCAAGGTCCAGCAGCCCACCACGCTGCGCCGAGCCAAACGTCACTGTTGGCTTGCAGGTAGTCAAGCATTCCAGTTACGGCACTTTGACACACAGTATTAGCTCCTCCAGCAAACTCTCCAAGGAAAGCTCTTTTGCCATTGTCTTTGAGCCATTGCGTCGCGGCAACAACACGCTCTTGGCCAATAGTTGAGCTAACGCACGTTGCCGATGTACCAGAGCCGTCAGAATCGAGATATTGGTGCATCTCATAGACAATTCGATTCTCCGGGTCTGTCAGGTTCTTCATGTTGTCATTGACGGTAGTCCACGTCCATGCACCACTCCAGGAGTTACCTTCCACAAATATATATTGTGAAGTTGCCCCAGCTGCTCGAATAGCGTTGATTGCAGCCTGGTTGAGCTGTAGGACAAGAGTTTGATCCTCCGAGTTAAATTCATTGTCTATAAGCTTAGCAGAGTCGGCAAATATGCGAAAGGGGTGACTTACTTGTATCGAAAATGACTTTCTCATTGGATGCGAATTCCTTTGCTAAAGTGGTCCAAAATGCCGCGAAATCATTTGTGGATGAAATGATAGAACCATAACTATTCTAATTCAGTTTTCTGAAGTTTGAATATTCAAGATTCATGGGAACTTACTAGCGCCCAAAGTTGTGTGGATCAATAATAGCATAAGCCCCAGTAGAGGTGATATAGTTAACGGTCTGTTGTTTCAAATCAGCATTGAAGAAAAATCTGCCTTGTAGATCATGAAAATCCACATACACTTTTCAGATCGGAAAGATATGTTGCATCCATACTAGAGGTCAATGTTCCAGGAACCAATCTTTCCATAGCAAAAGCTACGCGAAAGATGTTCATTCCAGCATTGCGAAGAGTCTGGATTGCTGATGTAGATGGCCAGATGTAATCTGTGCCCAGCACTCCTGGAAGATTCTGGTTTCCAAACTCTGCGCCGGACTCATTGGACCCAAACCCTTCAAAACGTTCAATCAATTTGTGGATCTGAAAATAACTATAGTACTCATTACTCACAGACGAAAGATGAAGCTCTTTTAGCGAGAGACTTGCCAGGTGCTGCGATCACCAGGCCAACTATATTGAATGTGACAAGCAGAGATGTGAACCGCATTTTGTTCAGATCGAGTTCTTGGTTCACAAATTGGAAAGATTCGCCAACTCCAACGAGTTTATATAAATTTTTGAAAATATCGACGAGAAATTCAAATCGAGTGCATAAATTGTTGCTCTAGAAGGCTAGCCAATCGTCTGATGTGATCAGGTCAAGAGAAACCCCGTAGAGGGAACGATACATCAAGCATGGTCTTCATGACTCCGTGCCCGCGGCCTATTCGGACCGTCTGCCGTAGGCAATCTCAATTCACGGTGTTCCAATAGCCACAAAATGAATGGCTCAAATAAGAAAGAAAAAAAGGGAAAGGCGAACGCCAATTTAGGCACGGCATCTGAGGTCCCTGGTCGCTTAAGAATCGGAGATTAATTATGTAGAAAGGAGAGCGCCACTCTAGGCACCGGCTTGACCCGTGCGTATGTGCAGAAATCACACTGAGTAGACAACCACGATTGCTGACTTACAGTAGCAAATGAACGGTGGATTTTCAGAACAGCCACACCTAAGCGGTTTACATTAGAATGGAAAAACACGAAATGATGTGCGTAAACTTTCAGAATTTGGAATTTGGATTCAAGGGTTAATTTAGCTTCCGCATTTATCTTATGACCTACAGAGTCCTACGCTCTATACCTCTGCTATAACCTTGCGAAGTTCGATACAAGTCTACCCCTGTAAACAGTCATGCAACTCATATCCCCGAAAACGTATACCCCCAGTAGACTAAACGGTCACGCGCCGACTCTGCATGAAACTAATGCCCGTGTACGTCAGTGGAGCTCGGAGAACAGGGGTCATTCTTGCTGTGCAGAAAGGTCAAGCGACGTGGCTTGGCTAGTCGGGATATTCTCCGCATGGCGGCTTTGAATCCTTTCTTCAGTGTCAATTAGGGCAGCGCCACAGGCGCATGTTGCTTCAAGGGTCCTTTGCAATTCTTGGCAGAAGGCGCCTGAGTAAATGTTAGTTGCATTAACTTAGCACTGAGCACTACAACGAGGTCGGTAATTTAGGCAATGAATATTATTGAGATTCTAATTGGAACTTTTCTACTTCTGTATGTCCTGCAATTGTCAAAATAGAGGTGATGGTCAAAAGTTTCATTGCAAGCTATTCGAAAACAGTCTTCGGCACAGGTTTGATGGAAGTAAACGCGTATTCAATTCACTACTGCAACTGAAATAATATGACCAATGACATAAATGAGCAATCTAACCAAGAACGTAGCATGATCATTCCACCGCGTGTTCTGTTATGTTCCTCTTTCCTTTCCCTTTCCATCCTGCCATCAAAGTTGTTAGAAATCGTCTACAGGCACTGAGAGTAGAAATCGTTCTGCTTCTGACAGGTGTAGGGACTGGCACAAGTAGTCGTGCCGGTGAATCCACTTCCACCACACTGGGCATAGTGAGCAGCCCCAGTGGTGCTTGATCCTGCCGAGGTAGTTGTGCTGGTAGTCTTGGTGGTGGTACTGGTGGTCTTAGAGGTGGTGCTGGTGCTGGTAGTCTTCGAGGTGGTGGTAGTTCCCGAGCCAGAGCTTCCGGAGCTGTAGGTTGAACCGATGGGGCCGACCTTGATGTTAGAGTAGATGACATAGGAGTTCGCGTTGTTCGTCTCCACATCAGTGGGTGCACCAGAGGAAATGTCGCAAGAACCACGAGCCGCACCCGGGGTCGTAGACGTGGAAGTAGTTGGGTAGGTACTATCGAGCCAGAGCATGTTGGCCGCGTGGTCATCCCACAGGCTCATCACAAGAACCATGCCATCCGCGAGTCCGGCACCCATGCCTGCAAGGCCTCCGTGCTTGCTAAAGACGTCGGTATCTCCGAAGGCGGTCTTCTGAGCAGAGCAGAAGGAATCGGTGATAGAGTTGCCAGTCACACCACTGACAGTAGACGATGACTGAGTAATCACCTTTCCATTTTGCACGTACAGGCGCTTGATCTCCGACAACGTGCCTGAGGATGTGCCATCGTTAGTGATGAACTGAGTCACCACCGTGAAGGGAGAAGTAGTATCGACAATCTTGCTCGGTCCGTAGAAAGACTGGTTGCCCATTCGGTATGGGTTGAAGTCACACCCATCTGGATCGCAAGTGCCACCATAACGATCACTGCTATAAGTACCACCACAGGCATCACCCTCACATTTGACCTGGGTTGGGGTGTCGCATGGATGAGGCGTGACGGCATTGGAGATTTTGTTGGCTTCCCAAATGTCCATCTCAGCACAGCAAGACCCATAGTTGCCAGTACCAGCGTTAACATCATTGGGAGATGGCACCCAACCTTCCACATTGGCGGCTCCGTCGATGAACTTGAGGTCGCGCGGGCACTGGGAGTCGCAATAACCAGTACCGTACTTGGCACCGGCTTTGTTGGCTGGGTGCTTCGCCATGCCACCATCGGCATCCATGGCCACGAAGTAGAGAGCACCGTTCAGACCACATGGGAGGTTGGATACATCAACGTCAAAGGTGAACTCTTGATTCAACAGCTGAAACATTTCGTAGCTGCTATCATCCTGCATCAAGTAGAGACGAGAGCCAATGTTCTTCTGGGACGCCTGCGTGACGAAGTTCAGTCGCAAAGAACTACCGCTGGTGGTCACACCGTATGTGCCTGAGTAGTCGGCACCCTCCAGGGCGCAATTGGTGGCGCAAGTGACATCGTCAGGGCAAAGTGTAGTATCCCACGTATTGCCGGTGTAGCAGTTGGTGTATCCGCCGGTGTTGTGAAGCCAACGCCAATTCGAGTCAATGACAACTTTGCCAGATTGCGAAGTGCAGCTGCCTCCGCTGGTGCACTTCTGCCAAGTCAAGGACGGGTGAACTTCAGCAGTATTGGTGCCGACCTGCTGCGCCTTTGCAGTGCTTAGCAAGGCAGCGAACAGTAGAGCATTCTTGTATATTTTGAAGGAAATAGCAGAAGCCATGATTGTCCAAGTTGATATTGATTGCGATTGAATCTGGGAAGAACGAGATATGCTTGGGAAATCCAAGTGTGCACCGGATACAGGAGCCTTTTATATTCCATTGATGGCTATATATCATACCAATCTCGTCGAGCGAAGCATATACCACGGCTCTACGGTCCGGACGACCGTACGATGAGAGATTGCCAAATTTCCTAATGGAGACCTGTTTTGAGCACTCCGGGGACACGGAGGAACTTCCCCAGACCCCGCGAACGAGTGCTGGAGTAGGTTGAACTCATTTCCTGCAGGGGCATCCTCGGCCTCGATACCCCGAAGATGACAGTCAGCAGTATTGGGCACTAGTCGGACCCTAGACAAGTCAGCGCAGAATCACCAGATCAGCCGCCTGATTAGTTCGACACACAGTAGCGGCTAAATAGTCAACCTTCCGGTTTGGGATATGCCAAGGACTGGCTGAGCCTGCAGACAAGATATGGGATTTTAGCACACCCGCATCCGGTATATGTCCCAGATCCGTGACCAGGTAGTCAGTGCCCCGGGTTTCTGTAGGCAGTGAGCATGCCAGTCGGCAATTTGCATGTCGTGCACAGGCTCATGGGGGTGCATTAGCGCAGTCAGGGGTATTAATTTGGCAGGCAGGTTTCAATTTTAAATGCCGAGACCAGTTCTGCCAATTTGCCTCCGCATCACAGGGTAAACGGTGGCATGTGGCTGAAAGTCGCGTAGACTAGCGGCAGAGGGGCGATCAGGTGATGGGATGCAGTTGTCTCCCTGCACCGAAGTGGAATTCTGTCAGACATTCCAGTCCAAAGGAGCGTCAGACCAGAGCCATGAGAATGAACATGACGTTCAAGTTGAAGACAGCGAAGACGACGACGAAGATGAAGAAGGGGAAGAAATAGAGATGTCGGGTGGACCTCGGGTGCGCCGATCCCCGATGACTCATCCGACAAAAAATGCGATTTCGAGACATTTGCGTGCATTTGGACCTCTTCTCTTCCTGTGGCTCCTCGTCTCTCTCCAACTTTTGCGGATTCAACACCGTCGCACTCCTCAATTCAACATGGCTCCTAGCTTCATCCTTACCCTTTCCGGTCCTGACCGCGCCGGTATCGTCCACGGCGTCACGGCATTTCTAGTGGAGAACAACCTCAACATCATTGACTCGTCGCAATTCGGCGACCCAGTCTCACAGCGTTTCTTCATGCGCACTCAGTTTGCAGCCACCACCGATGAAGTTCCGGACCTCGAGAAGCTGCGCTCTGCATTTGAGCCCACGGCGCAGTCGTTCTCCCTCGACTTCGAAATCAGCCCCACCATGAAAAAGCCCCGCGTGCTGATCATGGTCTCCAAGATCGGCCACTGCTTGAACGATTTGCTCTTCCGTCAGTCGACTGGTCAGTTGAGCATTGAGGTTCCTTTGATCGTGTCCAACCATCCCGATTTCGCTACCCTCGCCGCCACCTACAAAGTTCCCTTCCATCACCTGCCCGTTACTGCGGATACCAAGGCCCAGCAGGAATCTCAGATTCTAGAGCTAGTGCGCGAACACAACATTGATTTGATCGTGCTGGCCCGTTATATGCAGGTGTTGTCTCCTACACTGTGTTCTGCCATGTCGGGACGCATCATCAACATCCACCACAGCTTCCTGCCCTCCTTCAAGGGAGCCAAGCCTTACCACCAGGCCTATGACCGTGGTGTCAAGATTATTGGCGCTACAGCTCACTTTGTCACCAGTGATCTTGATGAAGGCCCCATCATCGAGCAAAATGTCGTTCGGGTCAACCACGGCATGAGCCCTAAGGAACTGACCCATGCCGGCAGTAACGTTGAGAGCAACGTTCTTGCTACTGCAGTGAAATATGTCACTGAGCGTCGTGTGATCTTGAACGGACACAAGACTGTTGTCTTCAACTAGGACAGCAATGACCCATGAGCGAGCGATTTACGATGTTGATTTGGCTATGAATACCCCAAATCGCAGAGCGACTCTTTTGCGATATCTGTATGATCGCGACGATAGACGACTGGGACAGTTACGGCCCACACAGGCATGCTAGACAAAAAAACCCTAGACTCCAAAATAAATAACCCTTTTTTTCCCCTTCCCTCTTAAACAATTCATTTGATGGTCTTGCTGGCTGTCTCATCCTTCACCCTCGTTCTCATTTGCGGGTTCTTTGCAGGAGAAAGAACCAAAAAAAGGCTCGGTCGTAATCCTAGCTGAAGCCATAACCTGATGAAAGCCCTGGAGATCTCAGCTGAGTCCAGCCAAAATGGCTGCCTCGGGAAATGACTGGTTTCTTTCGTCGCGTGACTCGGTTCACATGAGCTCGTAACATCAAAACAGCCTCTTCTCTTCTTCCTCTCTTCTTCCTCTGCTTTCTTGTTCAGCTCTTCTCATCTCATCATGTCCTACTCTGTTGCTCCTCATCTCAAGTACTTCACGGTACCCTTTGCCGACTTTGCAGATGCCCGTCCTGAATTTGACGCGTTCGGGGTGGGAGCCTTCATTTTCTCCCGCGACCGCGTCCTTCTCCTTCAACGTGCATTCACAGACTCTATGCCTGGTTGCTGGGAGGGGCCCGGGGGTGCATCGGAGCCTGAAGAGGATGGAACCCTACTCGATGGAGTTGTACGCGAAGTACTAGAAGAGAGCGGGTTACATGTGACTCGCATCATTGAGCTGGTTGCGGTCGATTGCTGGGAGCACCATCGCCGAAGTGGAGGCAAGATGCGAATTGCGAAATATTCTTTCATTGTCGATGTTCGCGAGACAAGAAACTCACTGGAAGAGCAGCTATCACCGCTGGAGATTCCGGTTCAACTGGCGGACACAGAGCACCAAGCATTTGACTGGGCCTCAGAAGAAGAGGTCCAGCTTTCTGTTGAATCCAAGGGTCGATACCAGTTTCCTCTTTTATCAGTCTCGCAGCAATCCACCAATATTCTCCGCGCTTTTGAACTCAGGCGCTCAAATAGTGAATCAGACCTGGCATAGTCAGCGTCGTTCTCTAGGAGTACTTTTTATGTTCCACTTCATGACAATTTATTGATCTCGATGCTTTCTTTTGTCTTTTCTGTGACGACATTCCAGCTAGATGAAATACTACTTGCTCACATGGGCCGTATCAGCAATATACCAAGCAAGTAGATCTTTGCCCGTATGCAAGAAGACTGTATAAAGTTTGTCGATCGGTTTCACCCTGGGATTACATGTATGTTACAAAGTTATCTGTGAATCAGGGCACTTTCTTTTTCGTGGAGTTACATTAAATAGATCTTATTCATGGCTGATGATATTTGCACGCAAAAGTCTGACCAGATTCTCGACACAAGTTTGTCCAAAACGAAACACCTTTCAAACCCCCCTATAGCTCCACGTTGGATGGTAGATCAAGGCATGCTTTATTCAAAATTTCACCTTGGTTGACCCAGAGCTTGAACCGCCGGCGGATTTTGTCGACCTGGGTTTGATCGCCTCGAGCGGAACTTCGCCAGGGAAAGGCTTTCGGGCCCACACTCTTCGCCTGCAATGCTAGTCAGTAGTGTGATGCAAGAATAAACAGAGTCCGTCGAGACTTACGTCTTATGATATGTGTGGTAATGCGGGTTTTTCATTTCAACGCGCATCTTCGCACAGAAGACGTGGACCTGGTCTTTCGTCCACGGCTCGGGCTCGCCATATTTTGTGAGCAGCCACATACACCAACCCTCTATGCCCGACATCCAGTGTTGAATATTAACCATGCCCGCCTCTTTGAACTTCTGGTCTCGCGGCCATGGGCCGAGAGGCCATTTGTAAACCTTTTCATGGACGTCCACAAATCCCGCTTTCTTGATACTATCACTCATCGTCATGACAATATCACAGGGGCGCCCAGCACGTGCACCGCAAATTTCCATCAGCGGACCCCAGTTAGCCAAGCTGGTATCAGGGGGCAGACTTCCGTCATCGCTGGTGAGAAAGGGACCAGCCTCTACTTGCTCGATCCACCCGCCAGGTGCCATTTTGCTATGATAATGTTAGACACAAGAGATACCACGGCAGGAATGACACTGACTCAAAGCACTGTTGGTAGACTCGATCCCATTCACGCTGGTCAAAAGAACCGAGCATGTTCCGCATATGGATCAGGTCAAATTGCTCGCGCCAGGTCCATTCTTCCAGAACATCGTCCACTTCAATCACACAATTCGGTGGCATCCAAGTGACAGGAGGTGGGAACAGATCCACCCCTCGCACCGTCGCATTAGGAAACATATCAGCGACATCGCTTGGTGGCGTTAGTTTTCGACAATTTTCTGACTGGTTTTGCAACTTACATTGCCCACGTTCCCTTGCCAGTCCCAATATCAAGCACCTGCAAGAACTTCTCTCGGTCTGCTCCAATTGGCGAGCGGAACAAGGGGTTTTCTCGATCTGAGTCCAAAATGAGATCCACCAGATGCCTGTGGTGGTCAGCGAGCGAATTCCATGCCGGAATGCAGGGACATACCCGGCTTCATACGTTTCGAATTGTTGCTCATCAGAGGGGATTCTGCACAGCCATTAGTTCTGGATCCCGATTTCTTTGCTTCCAAGTTCACCGACAGATATTCTTTATTCGAAAGCGACTGATATCTATACACTTTGGTTAGTATAGGAAGCCTCACCGCCCGTGGATACTCACCGCCTTCCGTTGTCTATCAAACCGCGATAAATCGAAGACCCGATCGACGTGGTCTCCCTAATCACGCGTGAGCCCCCTTTTTCTTCCGTTCTCCTTCTCTTTCACTCACGATTGCCAGTCATCGGGACTGTAAGTAGCATCTCGAGCATACAGATCCGGATCTACTGCGATGGCCTCCATAGCGAAAAGCGTTGCAGGGAGAGAAAGGGTCAGGGATCGGGAGTTTCTTTAATACACAAAGATACGAGAGCGTTGACCCTTGGCCCCGCACTCCAACTTTTCCCGCCTGAAATGCGCTGATTGGGCGCGGAAAAGCACAACCCTTCCACGCGGAAGACTATTGTCAATCCGTTACGCACCTGGCCAACCTTACGTCGCTCCACCCTGTCACCTTTTCCTTCACGTAGACCCATGCATATTACCCACATCCTGCACTGGCATGATCCTCGATGTGTCCGTCAGTTTCATCCCCACGGCCGAGCCGTATCTGCATAGAATTGTCATGGGCCTTATGCAATGGCAAACATGGGGACTTCTTCACCCTTCGCTATGCAGGTATCACATTTAGTTATATATTGTCATGATTATCTCGCATTGCAACTATCTCCGGTAAAGACGTCGAGTTTGGCGTTGATTTTGGAACTGCTTCTACCTAATCAGAATTTCAAAAAGGCACATTCTCGATATGGCTTCCCATTTTGGGCTCAATATTTCCAAGTTAAAGTTGTGCCTTTCGATATGCTAGATCTATGTGAGTGCAGAAGGTTTAGTCTATGTAATCGTCGTAGCTCCTACTCGATCCAAAGCCTATTCCTCCATGTTGGCTTATTAGCGTTGCACTAATGTACGTTTCATTCTTGAGGATTTAGAGACTACGAAAAAATTATAAACGGGGGCAATGCTCTGCCTCCCCACTTCTGCCTCCATCTGTAATGCCTGGTGCAATTGGTGTGCCGAGGTTCGGATATGCAGTCCCGGCTCAATAGTAGCCAGTAAACGATGGCAGACAAAAGTACACAGCCTATTTCTAGCAGCGGATCATAAACTTGCGTTCCGTTGATGCAAGTGGCACGAACCCGTAAACATGATCAAACAAAAATACGACTAGTGAGGTTCAAATAGCTGAATAAAGCGACCTGCATAGTTCCTCTGCAGACCAGTGTCATCTACAGCACGAACTGACCACAATTATGAAGACAAACCCCATGTGGGCAATTAGCATTGTCTACGGTCTGTTATGAAAGTGAGGGAAACGAATTGGCTAGCTTTACGTGTTCGGTATGAGAAATGTATCTCTCAAACCGTTCCCGACAACCCTTCAAATTCAATTTGAAAATGCGCAAACATTACCTCAGTGTGATACACAATAAGACTTTCATCACCTACAAGTTTGGAAATAGTGTTATGAGAGGAGCCTCTCTGTGGGTGTTGACAGCAAATTTATCCACACCCTACACCAGATATCACTTCGATTCTGCCAGTCAAAAATCGATTTTGAAACAGTTCTTGCCATTTTCCTGATACACTCCTCACTGTTGTGTATTTAGATAATTTTTTTTTCTTTTGATAGACAAAACATTCAAGCAGGGTAGTTGAAAATTGCTGTTTAATTTGCGAAAGACGGCCTGAAAGATGGCCTGTCTGAAGGTTTTTACTGTAGCTCCTCTTTTTCTCCTTCTCACAGAGAATGAAGGCATTGGCAGAGTCCTGATATAGAAATCTATCTTAGTGTTGATTTCCCCACAATGAACTTGCTGCATGGAAGAGGTAGATATTGCGCTCTGTCATAATCTCGAATAGGGCAATTCGAGACTAGAGACGCCACATCAATATGACTCATTTGTATAATTATTGGCCAAACCCCACGGCAAACCTGGTCAACCCGACACGTTCAAATATCATTGGAATTTCGCTCGAGGGATAATTACTTGGTATGTTTGTTGGTAATCTCTTGCATTTCTTGCAAAGTGTACATGCTGTCTAATTTGGAACCAGATTCACAATGGCTTCCGGGCCAAGAAAGAGCTGCTTTGCCACATCTTCTCCCTACGAAGAACAAATTGGATACTATCGAGCGATCCGCCATGGCAACAATATATTTGTTTCCGGAACAACTTCCGTCGACCGGCTTTCCTCAGCCCACGCACCAAAGATAAACTTCCCAGGTGACGCCAAACAACAAACCCGTGCTGCACTCCAAGAAAGCATCAACGCAATTCAGGGCTTAGGTGGCAAGGGCGCAGAAGACATTGTCCGTGTCAAAATGTTTGTCGGCTGTCATGAAAATTGCGCGGCAGTTGGTGAAGGGTTTCGTGAGATACTGGGCAAGCAGAACCAAGGAAAAGAGGCTCAGATAGGAGCAGCCGCGACTATGATTGTGGTCAACGGTGGTTTCATCAATAAGGATATGCTTGTCGAGGTTGAAGTTGATGCTATAGTTGACTAAATATAATTAATCTCTACGCGAACCAACGTCGATCTAAACATATTTGATGATCGCATTTCCCACCCATTCAAGCCTGTCTAGTTAATAATTTGAATTGTTTTCATACCGCATAAATGTATCTCTAAATCACAAGATTATCGATGAGTGAATGGTTTCTCTAGGATTATGCACGGTCAACTTATTAATGAACTGACTACTATTCCATGCGTCAAGGTATTCTTCGATTGCAATGGGTCTTCTTCTGCACCACATGTACTACATACCGGATATAAGTTACGAGCCCAGCACGCGTATTGGATATGTGACATTGATGAGCCCTTGTTTGCAGGTCATCAAGACCTTTTCAAAGATCCAGGGGTGTGGGGAGGCAAATCCATCCATAGTCTGCAATTATCGCCTGTCTCCAATGAAATAAGAATCAATCACATCGCAACACAAAGAGAAAAAATTCTAACTTGATAAAAACAAGAAATTGAAATGGGCATGTCAATGTGAAACTTGCTCAAAAGAACCTTGAAGCCGAGAAGGCTTGTCTGTGTCACTCTTTCGCCTCTGCTGGTCCTAGCATGAAAAGAACGCAGGTTTTGAAATTCACGTGATAATCATATTGATGGAATGGTAGACGTGTTTTGATCCATGGACCGTTGTTTAGTCAACCTATTGATGTTAGCTTTATGGCGGTACTGTAATATTGCAACTATTATCCTGCTGCTAGCGAATGTAGATGATCAACGTGAGTTGACCATGGAATGCATATAATATCAGCCTCTTGTGCGGCGTGATCTGGAATGATGCCGTGATAACCATTTTAATTCAATGGTTGGTTCGAAGACGGTATAATCTGTGCACCAAGGTCAGGGGAGGTTGAAAATTCTTTATCAAATGGCCACATGGGCCGGCATATACGATGATGCCCAAGCCGCTGTAGATCCTGGTCGACGCCACCTGGAGTAAGAGCAAGATTCCAGTCTGCTGCCATGTCGAACAACTCTGGCTCGAGGTACCCAATCTTTACTATTACGATATCCAATGACCGAGGCCTCAGGTCGAGTTCGAGAAAGTCCTTCTCAAGATGAAATGGCTTCCGACGTCGGGTCAAGATCACATAGATGTTTCCAACTTGCAAGACGGCTTCAATCTCAGCATTAATATCTCCGTACTTGATTGAATGAACTTTGCCCGTCATTGTAATAGGTCCTGAGTGAATATCATCGACTAAAGCACCAGCGGTGACGGTCACCGTCGCACCAACTCCGGCTTTCGTTATGATGGCCACAGCCTCCGGTCCGGGTATACTTGCGTATATTGCAGAAGGACCGCCTTCCTGGAAAAATTCAGCCCGGTCTAGCAGCTGCATTAGGCTCCAAGTCACGTCCCCTGCTCCACCGGCAGTAGGGTTGTCCCCCGAGTCGGAAATGAAGAATGGTCTCGATGACGAGGAAAGGGCCTTGTCAATGCAGCCCCAAAGAGAGTCACTTGGCGCCACGAAATGAAAATCTTGGTGTGCCTTCCAGAAGAAGGAGGCGAGTCTCTCAGCTTCTGCAATTATGACATCTTCAACCGCTCCAGTAACGATTACTGCAGCATGGTTGCGCGGCTCATCGGCCCAAGCGTAACCAACCCATATTGCTGCATCTAAAACACCATGCATGGCTGCTACTTCAGGTACTAGATCGTAAAGGCTTTTTGCAGGCTCGATGCGGGTCGATGTCTGTTCTCCAGGCAGAAGGATTGGAATTGGAATCCATGCTTTTAATGGCCGCACCAGGCTACCAGTGCGTGATGCCAGTAAATTGACAAGGTTTTGGCAAGCGCGTTCTTTTGTTTCCCAGGCATCTTCATGGGGCGCCATGCGATAGCAGGTGATCAGGTCTGTTTGATGTACCAGTTCACGGGACACATTGCCGTGCAAGTCCATCGATGCTGATACCAGAACATCAGGGCCAATTACAGCCCGTATACGGTGGAGGAGCTCTGCTTCAACATCGTCCATGCCCTCAACGCACATTGCCCCATGAATATCAAACCACAGTCCATCGATGGTTGTCGAGGCGACCAAGTCCTTCAAGCGTGCGATGATCTCTTTGCATAAATGCTCAAAATCAGCTTTTACCACGATCCCTCCAGGCAGGGCGTGGCCGATTAGTGCGCCTCTCCACTTTGCAGCCTTGGCCAGTGGAGTTCCGGGGTGTAGAAATGGATACTTGTCGAGAATTTCTGTGCCACGACGAGGATGAAAATCCGTGGCTCGCGTTCGTGCTGGGGAGAAAGTGGAGGTTTCACAGGCTAATCCTGCAATAGCAATGACTGGGAGCGACATGATCACAGCTGGGTTGAAGAATGTCAATCCACTCGGAACTGAAGTGGCATCGGGATCGTTCCATGGGTCGCAATCACAAGCGGAGTGTAGTCAGCTGTATGGGTATGGTACAGATACCTGTATTATACGGTATTCCCATAAGTCACATGGCAGTTGCCATACTTGTATCTGATTGGCTCGGAAATAGCCTGCCGTACAATTGTTTCTTGGCATTTATCTACCATCTTTCCAGAGTCGGTGTCCTGTGTCTGATAGATGCCAATGACCCTGCTGCGTAATGCAATTAGTAGTTCCCACCTTTCCAGTGTAAGTCGCATATACCTGTTAAGGTGCGTAGACTTGGTGATCGAACGAGACATACTGGAGGAGTCCGGACCACTTTCTTCCGCGCTTCCCCGCCTCCCCCTTTCTTTCTTCGATTATGTTGACGATGCGAACGTGCGTTCGTCATGAGTTATCACATGACGTTACCAAAGAAAGTTCTGGAAATAGCCTGTTTTAACTATGAATCAGCCGTGGCTGCTGCAGAAGGAGGGGCAGATCGCATCGAGTGAGTATTCGAGTCTCGGGTTCACTTCCACGTCTTCCTAGACCATCTCTGGATTAAATTAACCGTGATCAAGGCTATGCAAAGATTACACGTCTGGGGGTCTGTCGCCAGACACTACAACCCTTGAGCAACTAAAGTCGCAAATAACCATCCCAGTTTATGCGATGATTCGCCCACAGGCCCAAAATTTCTTTTATGAAGAATCTGAATTTGAGACAATGAAAATGACACTGAATAGTCTAAAGCACCATGGAGCTGATGGGTTTGTCTTCGGTATCCTGAACCAATTCCCTCACAAAGCGTGGAATGGAAGAGAGCATTGGATCGATGTGCCCAGGAATAAAGCGCTTGTGCGATTAGCCGAAGGTCGTCCTTGCACATTTCATCGCGCGTTTGATCTGATCCCTGAATACTACTGGGATATCGCTTTGACAGACATCATTGAATGTGGCTTTACGTCAATCCTGACAAACGGGGGCCCATCGGGGATCAAAGCGGCTGAGTGCGCTGACAAGTTGGCAAAGTTAGTGGCGTGGGAACATCCAAAGGAAGAAAACGGCGATCAACAGCACAATTGTGTCGCAGAAATCATTGTAGGTGGTGGAGTGAGATCATCAAACATTGACATGCTTCTTCGAGTAACGGGTGCTTCTGCATTTCACTCTGCCGCTCTCCTTCACTCGAACGAAATGGTCTCGAAGAATGAGGTGGACAAGATGAAAGTCACAATAGGCCTGTTCAAAAGCTCATACAAGGAATAAATCTCAATACAGATACAAATGTTAGGCTTGATCTATCGGACTCCTTCCTAAGAAGTGTCTTCTCTATCGCTTTAGACTGATGGGGAAATTCCGGGGCCTGAGATGAATTTCTTGAGTTGATATAAGTCACCGGCTAATCTAACTGTGATGTATGTTCCTCGTCTAATTTAGCGATCACTATGGACATCCTCTGATTTGTGGTTTTGTTTTTCTTCACTGACATACTCGACATCAGACGTTCGATTGAAGGACTCTATAACCTGGCTTGCTTTAGAAGTGAATCATAAAGTTAGTGAACTCTCTGGAGTATCTATGGCAATTCCTTGAATCAGTTTTGATCTTAGCAAGGAGGCCCTAACGAGCAATGATATTCCCGTCTCCAAACCAAGCCGATCTTGTCGTGGGGTAATGGGCTATTACATAAAACCAGCAATTCCCGTGAAAAACTTCTAGTATAAGTTACAAGCTTTCCGGCGATCCGCATGCGGGGTAAGAGTTGTACATGGGGTAGTCCGTCGGCAAAACTGCGATGGGGTCTCTAGTTTCTAAACATTGCGGTTTGCTCCGCCGAGGGGCAAATGCCGTCTAATACCTTATAAAGCGGCTCTCGTTGCCATATATGACATCTCGTGTCTGACATTTTACTCGAGATTTTTGGCTTTAGTGTTCGTAATTGGACATTCTGATACTTACCCTAGGGCAAAACAGCTTGCCATGGTCATGGCATATTCCCAATTGAAGCGCTGGCTCGGAAAAGTCCAGGTGCCTACAGAGCCCGGATTATCAACCGCGCAGCTCATGTTGACAAATGACGATCTTCGGCCAGGTAAGACCCATGGCATATAAAATTATCAAATTCACCAAGTTGAATGTCGAAAGCTTGAAAATTCGTTGTGCCCTAGATAGGCTACAACTCAGGTACCTCTCAGGCATAAACAAACACTTCGCTAACCATGGCGGTTTTGATCTACAGTTGAGCCAGAGCGTCGCCAATGGGGTTGGCTCAATTTTGTTGCATTTTGGATTGCGGATTCTTTGAATGTGGTAGGTTTAAATTGACAGACCATCTAGTTCACAGCACTAGAGTATTGTTGAATCTTTTTCCATCTTCATTCTTCTATGAGATCGCGTTCTCTGATTCCGTCAATTCAATCCATTGTACCTGACCTTTTTTGTTAGAATACCTGGATGATATCATCCTCGATGATCGTTGATGGCCTCTCCTGGTGGCAGTCATGGTTATGCGTCTGGATAGGCTACACAATCTCGGCTCTTTTTGTCTGTCTCATCGGCCGTATCGCTTCCATTTATCGCATTCCATTTGCAGTCACCAACCGAGCTTCCTTCGGCATCTGGGGTTCATTTTGGCCAATCATTAACCGCGCCGCAATGGCTGTTATTTGGTATGGCGTTCAGGTATGTGAATCCTTCTCATCCGTGGGCTCTATACTGATATACGGCCTTCATAGACATATCTAGGAGGTAAAAGTGCACTCGATGCAAATTCTAAACTTTTCATTAATTCTATTTTGCTCAGGTGAATGCGTCACATTGATGATCGCAGCCATATGGCCTAGCTATAATACCCTGCCCAACTCAATCCCTGCTTCTTCAGGGGTGACCACCAAACAATTTGTGAGCTTTCTGATATTTTGGATCATGTCTTTACCGGCTCTCTGGTTCCCAATCTATAAGATCAGACATCTCTTCACGGTCAAAGCATACTTTTCTCCAGCGTGTGCTATTGCATTCTTCGGTTGGGCTATTGCCCGCGCCCATGGACTGGGTCCCATCATAACCCAGCCGAATACTGTACAAGGCAGTACTCTAGCTTGGGCATTTGTGAAAAGTATCATGAACTGCATTGCCAACTTCGCTGCTCTTGTCATCAACAACCCGGACTTCACGCGCTATGCCCGTGATCCCAAGGATGCTCTATGGCCGCAGCTGATCACAATCCCAGTTGGCTTTGCCGTCACCTCCTTTATTGGTATTATTGTGTCCTCTTCTTCAAGTGTTATCTTCGGTCAATCCGTTTGGAACCCTTTGACATTACTGGGAATGTTCTTAGAAGGAGCAAGCTCTGCCGAGAGATTTGGAATCTTTGTCATTGCAGCCGGATTTGCTCTCGCGCAGCTGGGAACAAATATTGCAGCAAACTCGGTGTCAGCGGGCACTAACCTCACTGCTCTTTTACCTCGATTCTGCACAATTCGACGTGGCGGATATCTCTGTGCAGCTATTGGGCTTGCTATGTGTCCTGTAAGTGACTACATGTCCTTCATAGGGCCTAGAATGCTAATTGGTCTTCACAGTGGACTCTGGTTTCATCATCTAGCAACTTCACACTCTATCTCTCAGCATACTCGGTCTTTCTTTCTGCCATTGCAGGCGTCATGGCCAGCGACTATTATCTAGTACGTAAAGGATATCTTGACGTTCAAGCCTTGTACAGCGCTCGAAAGGATGGCCCTTATTACGGTCACTTTGGAGTTTCATGGCACGGATACGCCAGCTACTTGTGCGGAATTATGATCAACATCGTTGGCTTCGCGGGCGCTGTCGGTGTTGACGTTCCAGTTGGAGCAAAGTACATCTACGATATCAACTATTTTTCAGGTTTCATCGTCTCCGGCGGGGTGTACTGGATTTTGGCTAGCCTTTTTCCTCTTCCCGCGACAAGTGAAAAATGGAATGAGATTCCCTATGAACCGCATAACATATCAGATGTGGAGGAGAAGAAAGTGGAACAGGTGTAAGACCTGTTCCACTTGATCAAACTGAAAGTCGATGGACTCAGCGTCTTGGTATGAAGATGCATGGCTGTACAGCTTGCATGTATGAATACCATTCAGTGGGAGGTTGACATAACTCCAATGTTGCAGGATTGAATGATTTTATGAACTTTTCTTTGTTAAACATACATTTCTGATGATTCGGACCTCTGTGTTTTACAATCTACAAAAGTCCTTGACTGTGAATGTTCCCCCAATTTTTCGCCTTTTGCTGCCGGTAGTCCTCTAGCTTCTCTGCTGTGCTTGCAAATTTCAGTAGAGCGAAGGAGCCCCTTTTGTAGAACTTCTCGCAGAAAAATATAGTTCTAGATCAAGCGTGAAATCATATAAGTTATATTTTTTAGCCTATTACCATGTTTAATCCAGGGATCCTGTCTTGCGTCGGAATGAACGCAACAAATAGTTCTGGCCACAATATCACAACTCAACTATATCCAAATCCACCTTTTATATATCCTAGTAATGTAGAATATCCCTGGAACCGAAGTTATAGACCGTTATACCGTTCGATTGATACTTTAGTATGCGGTCTTTTAGTGCTTAAAATTCCCCATCAATGCTCCGGGTCATTTTCCCACGGGAAAGCTAAGGGAAGCTAGGAAAAGGCCGACCTTTGTACAAATATCGAATAGATTCCTCCTCACTTCATTATCGCTGATGCCTGTTTCCCAGTGATTTCAACGTTGGGATCGCGATAGTCTTGTTCAACACGTCAGGTCCACCCAAATATCGGATGAAAGACCTCATTTGCTGCTGAACTGAAGAATCCCGGCATCCACCCGCTTGATTCCGTTTCAGATCGGAGATGGTCCTCAAATTGAGTTAGTGCAAATTAGCGCCTCCGAAGTCCTTGTTTTTCACGCGCCCGAGGCGGGGTATTGATCTCTGGTGTGATTCAAGAAATGCATTGCTCGGGCCATTGATTTCGTGACGGTTTTATTCCGTTCAGTATTCTTCGCGACTAAGCAGACCACACGAATGGGACTTAGCTTAGGCGTACTTTTTTGCTCACTTCTTGCCGACCACGTTGCTTGGTTGTCAAAGGCTTTGCAAGCTTATCACTGAGAAAGATCCGTGATTGTTTGGGATATATTTGGCTAGGATGCACTGAAATGCAAGCCACAGTCACATTGAGAGCGCATGGCTTATCGGCATTCATTTAATGCCCCTTTTGCAGAAGTAGATCGTTTCCAAGTTGGATCTTTGGTGCCTTGTTAGATCCAATGGTCTTATTGTTCCTTGAACACTACTATACAGTAGCACCTCTTTACTTGATGTGCCTCAGTGTGACCATCTTATCACTCGGTTAGAGTCCGTCGGGAATCCGATATTGTGCAATTCTCCGTATTGCCCTGCTCATACGAGGCTCTACTAAGTTTGTTATCCTGAAGCCCTAGGGGAGACAAAGTGCTGAATTAAAGGAGCATTGAGTATCATCTGCAATGATACCGCTGATCCAAATGATAGACTCTCCAGGTTCATTCTGAACTGAAGAAAGACCTTTTTATTTTGCTTGACAGACTCTAAACTCAGTTCCAGAGGCAATCACTTACGAAGCTTGATCGTTATCTGCGTCTAGTGTGGTTTCTGATCTAGTGAGTAGCTCCGGGATAATGAGGAATTGACCCGGGTGATTTTCACCAAGATATTGCATGAGTACATGCTAAGCTCTTCCAAGAACGATCAAGCTTTGCAGAAACGGTATATCCGTGCATAAATTGGGTAATATCGTGGCATTGTTCTTAAAGTGATTGCTCGGTCTCCGACGGTGGCGGATCGTCCGAATCTGTGATTCCTACTTTCTCAGAATGGCGATGTTGCATCGGCAAGAAACTCCGGCCTGCGATATGCTGCTGAGTTAGAGAAGCCTTGGTTTTGAGTGAAAGACCTTTGCCTCATTGGTTTCAAGGAGAGCGATATCTATATCCTAGAAGAGGGGCGAGGGAAGTATATAAAGAAAGCTATGTCTGCTCGAAATTGATTTCTTCACCAGCCAATTTTCAATTCATCTCCATCACCTACTAGTCATCTCGTGCCTTGCTCGATCTATTCCAGTTCCAAAAGCATCATCATGAAGTTTTCAGCACTCTTTGTCGGTACAGCCTTGCTCGCAACCTCTGCGGTTGCAGCACCCCTCACCGAGCAGCGCCAGGCCCGCCAGGAAAGTCGCCGGAGTGCCAGAGCTTCAGGTCGTTCCAGTCACCCACCCTACAAGCCAGGAACATCGGAGGTGCTTCACTTGAATGAGACTTCTCAGGAATCTTACAGCACCAACTGGGCCGGCGCTGTGCTGATTGGTACTGGATATAACTCGGTGACTGCGCAATTCACAGTTCCAACACCCAAGCTCCCCACTGGCGCCTCTTCCAGGACCCAGTATTGTGCCTCTGCGTGGGTTGGAATCGATGGCGATACCTGCGACACGGCCATTCTGCAGACTGGTGTTGACTTTTGTATCCAAGGCAGTACCGTGTCGTACGATGCGTGGTACGAGTGGTATCCTGACTACGCCTATGACTTTTCTGGTATCCCAATCTCGGCTGGAAATGTGATTAAAATCACCGTCGATGCTTCCTCCAAGACCACCGGCACTGCCACCGTGGAGAATGTTTCCACCGGAAAGTCTGTCACCCACACCTTCACCGGCGGCGTTGACGGTGATCTCTGCGAGTACAATGCTGAGTGGATTGTGGAAGACTTTGAAAGCAACAGCTCTTTGGTGCCCTTCGCCAACTTTGGTACTGTTACATTCTCGAATGCCGAAGCTACAAGTGGTGGCACTACCTATGGTCCCTCTGGTGCTAGCATTCTTGATATCAAGCAGAGCAACTCGGTTCTGACATCGTCTTCCGTGTCCGGCAGCAGTGTCATTGTCAAGTATGTCTAAATGGTGATGGGCAGATAATGCCAGCCAGACCTCTCGTGGTACGTGCTGGTTTTAAGCAGGCTGTTTTCGTGGTTGTTGAGCATGCCGTGGTTTGATGGTCATGGTAGAGAGCTTTGGGAGGATGGAGAGTTTTGCTAGAAAATGAAACTTAATTTTCACTGAATCCAGTCGCCCTGACTCGATGTAAGTATAATGCGAATTCCATTAAGCCTAAGTGTAGATTATGGATGTTCGGTAAAGGTTTATCATTTACTTTTTGCAAGCCTCACACTGTGCTCAACGAAGATTATTGTTATTTCTGATTAGTGAGCTCAATCTCCCTCTGATGCTGTATGCAAATATTGCTTCCGGTTTCACTTTCAAGCAGGATATCAAATTCTACCATTGGATTGATACACACCTCTCACTTTATCATTGGGTATAGCTCTTCTTAATTAACACGTTTTCTCATTTATCAAAGTGCTTAAATTACAGACCGCCGCTAGTCTTTGTTTTTTATAGAGCCAACTCAATCTCAGAATTACAGCTAGCCTTACATCATCTCGTGCACTTGAAGGATCAATACGTTACTGTTGGATTGAACCAAGCTAAACGTATTTTTATTTACCATCATACCACTATTCGACGCGCTAAAAGATCGACTGAATGATTATTGAGATCCTGAGCAGAAATTGAAAGTTGATCTTTCTAGCTCGCAGCAGTATAGTAGATTACATCATGCAAGAGAATCCTTCAAACACACGAGAGAAACAAATCTCGAGATCATTCATGTGGTGAACCGTCAGCATGATATGCAATGGCTAGTGGCCATGCCAGTTAAAGGTATCTCTCGGTTTGACTTTATGACCCGAGGGCAAGTCCGTAGTTCCAGGATCATCAGGTATCCTGATCCCATAAAATCGCCGTAGAGCATCTTGTATCACATCATAGCAAGCACCGTGCAGGTCGTGAAATCAATCATGGTAGATGAGAGTCGAGGGTGGTGGAACTTTTGCTTTCCGTAGTCAATGACAATGTCTGCTACCTGGAGAATATCTGGTTCAATGTTTTCGATCTCCGACTTTGTTCCCTTTCCTGTGATATTCGCCGAGGAACCCATGAGAGGGAGTTCCTCTATTGTAGCCAGGCGTGATAGTTCTTCCTGCAACGCGCCACCATTGACCAGCATCGCAATTGTTCCCTCGACGACACAGCTCTCCAATGTTTTGGGGGGATCTTTCGTATTATGGGATGATCTGGCCGGTAAGGGGCAACGACTCCAATGGGAACATCTAAATTTACACCCACGAGTTTAACCATGCTACTCTGAACCGGTTCAAGGATATGAAGTGCACAGTGGAGAGCGTAACTGCCTATCAATGCGTGTCGCTTATATGGTTGGCGTTGCTTGGCGAGAAAGATCCGGTTCAAGGCCTCAGGGTCGATTGCGACTATCCCATATCCCACGTTAGCCGGAATTATTGCAATTCCACCCTGTCTGAGAACTTCAAAGACCATTTTGGCATCTTCTGTCGGGTTGATAGTATGCTGCATCATCTGCCACAAAGGGGAGGTAATTTGGAAAGGAAATATCACTTCGGCTGGGTTGACAACGCAAAAAGCCAACTTCGAAAGACATGCAGCAAAGCAATTAAGTAGCAGAGTCAAGCCATGCCGAAATCAAAGTCCAATTTCACTTGTGTATCGAAAAAAGGTAGTATCACTTGGTTGGGGTTGTACAGTTCGCATGACCGAAATGAATCGCAACAAGTCAAGTTGCGCAGCTTCTGTGCAAAAAGCCCAGATCGAAGGCAACCGCCAATTGCTGAACGCAATACACCACGCATAGTTTGCCAAGCTCGAGTGTACGCTGTATCAATGCAACTGTCGATGACGAAGGCTACATCAAATACAATCATTCCCCAATCTTCACATGTGATTCATTGGAAAGAAACTCTCCACGACTTGCCCCCTGAGTGTCCTCTAGCTGTGACGCGGTAACATCCACTAATCCGGTAGGCCAGACAGCGTGCCAAACACCTCGGGCACGAATTGAATATTCATTGCCTTTGTCAAGGTTGGTTGTCGGTAAAGTAATTGTGGTTTGCAGTGTTTGGCGTGGGAGTATTTCCACCAAATCTTCCCTGGAGGCTGGAAGTTTGCGCGATACTTTGATGATAGGAACTGGCATTGTCTTATTCTGTGCTTTGTCCCAGATCTCAAAGACACCTAGTACGCCAGCTTGGGGATCCAACGGGGTAGCCCATTTCAGGAAAGTAATGGGGAAGTCAGCGGCGTTGTGAACAGATGCTGTGATGTGAATAGCGGGCGGTTGCGGTGCTCCTATGATTGGAGACTGGGAAGCCAATGTGACCTGCAAATTCAAGCCTGAGTCCATGGTTTATACGTCAAGTTTCTCGGCCAGGCAGAGAGGAAAGGGCTGTGTGTCGAATGGGATGAATATATCGAGGTAAGAGAAGACGGTAAACCAAGATTCTTGTATGCGAAGAGGGCGCTTTGCGCAATCATGCCAAGCAGGCCAGTCCAACACCCCTGCAGAATAGTATTTGGCCAATGAAAAGTGAATCCCACGCCAAGTCTTCTCCTCCGGGCGATCTCTGCATCTTCTTCACGGGCTCCGTCTCACTCCCGTCTCTCCAAGGCTTGGCCTCCCGAAAAATAATATGGGAGGTCTTTCGACAGACTTGAAAGCCAAGCCTTTGTATTCTCTAAACAGTCATCCGACCGAGATTTCTTATGGCTGCGACTAAGCATTCGGTCTGCAGTCAAGACTTCAGCGCCGTCTTGGGTTGTATCTTGGCACCGGAGTCCGGCGAGAACTTCAGGGTCTGTGGCTTGGCACGAATCAACAGAGGGGAAGTATCAAAGCAGTTCTAATGGCTAGCTGATCATGGGGTTACAGTCTGTTGCCAGGTCTGCCTTTGTGTTATTTGGCTGCCACAGTGGTCTCTGAGGACTCCTCATGTCTTTGTTTTGGCCACCAGTGCGCATCGGACAGTGTGTTGGTCTGCATTACATACTGCTGTAGGCCTCATATTGCTCGTTTGTTTAGTCATAACAAGACAGATCTAGAAATTACCGCTGACATTCAACAAATAGTCTTATCAGTTGACCTGATTTTTCTCAAACAAGCCCAAAATACGGCCCAGTAGAGAGTGTTGGGTATACTTCCCCCTCAATTTCGAAACACAACCTGCTTTGTAGAATCTATTGAAGATGCGGGATTCCGCCGGGCCAAGAACACGGTAAATAGGACATCTGCAGAGTCGTAGCTATCTTGAAGAATCCAGGGCCAGTCAGAAGCCTTCTTCAAGGCTCATTGGTCCTATACAGGAATAGCCACGAGCAGTCATGCCTGTTCATTGTTATGGAATACCACCTTCGGTATTCCGCTTTGGAAATGGGCAATCGCCATATCTGAATACTCGATAGACATCCAGTACGCCGTTATCAATGCCATCTAGCTATAAGTATCAGCCAGTTTCCCACTCGTAAATGAAGATATCCAAGCATCCAAAGGCAATTGCAAGTCAATACATCACAAATTCACCAACTATTCGTCGCTGCTCACCATGCGTTTCGCTACATTGTCAGCTGCTCTCCTAGGCCTCGCTCAATATGGGCACAGCTTACCAGTCGAAGCCGATGGAGCATCTGTGCTTGATGTTGCTTTGACCCGGGTCAGTGACACCCGCATCAAGGCTGTTGTGAAGAACTCTGGCAAGGAGGATGTTACTTTCGTTCATCTAAACTTTTTCCGGGACAGTGCACCTGTGAAGAAGGTCGACGTTTTCCAGAATGGTATGCCCAAGTTCTGGACGAACTGATATGCAAAGCTAACTTTGAGCAGACAAGGAAGTTACATTCGAAGGAATCAAGCGTCGGTTCAAGCTGGAGGGACTCACCTCGGAAGCTCTTACCTCTCTTGCAGTAGGAGAGACATTTGAGGATGAGTTTGATATTGCGACTACCAGTGACCTCTCGACTGGTGGCCCCCTGACATTGCGGTCTAGTGGCTTTGTACCTATCGTCACGAATGGTACCGTCACTGGATATGCGCCTTACCGGTCCAATGATCTTAAGATCGAGGTGGATGGTGTCAAGGCATCTCGTGTTTCGAAGGCTATCAAGCCTCTCAGTCGACGCACAAGCGAAAGCTGCAGCAGCTCTACCAAGAAGTCGGCGCTGGACAAAGCTCTGAGCAATACCGTATCCCTGGCAAACGCGGCGGCCTCTGCTGCACTCACGGGATCAGCCTCCAAGTTCAACGAGTACTTCAAGACAACCTCCACCTCCACTCGCCAGGTGGTGGCAGCTCGGTTGAAGGCTGTTGCCAAGGAAGCTGGTTCCACTTCGTCTGGTTCGACAAAGTACTATTGCACCGATGTGTACGGATACTGTGAGACTAATGTCCTTGCATACACACTGCCGTCTCTCAATGTCATCGCCAACTGTGACATCTACTATTCCTACCTGCCAGCTTTGGCAAGTAGCTGTCACGCACAGGATCAGGCTACCACCACCCTGCACGAGCTCACCCACGCCCCAGGTGTCTACAGCCCTGGAACCGAGGATAATGGATACGGATATTCCGCTGCTACCGCTCTCTCTAGCAGCCGCGCCGTGTTGAATGCAGACTCTTATGCGCTGTACGCCAACGGTAAGTTCTTCAATAACAGTTTTCAGCTGGAAGATGGAGACTAACGAGCTTATAGCAATCTACCTTGGATGCTGATCTCTGGTAAGAGTATACGTGGGAGTTGAAGCGAGCCACGCCGCGATGGAATTGCGAATCAACTGAACCTGCAGGCGTGTTCTGGGCTTCTTTGTTAACGGGGTCGAAGTGATGCGGTTGAGCTGAAGCAGTAGTAGCTATAAGAATGGGAATTTGAAATTCTGATGGAATCTCTTGCTTGGCCGCAGAACAATAGTAGAAGTAGAGAAACTTGGGAGCGTATATCTATTTTGGAATAATGTTGCTTGCTGTTGATATTTCGCAGTTGCTATATCTAAATAACTAAATAATAGCATACATTTATCGAGTTCCAAGGCAGTCAATTGTGGGCTTTCACAGCACCTTTGGAGAAATATCGGAAACTACCGACTCTGGCAGCCTCAATATATATCTGACTTGGTTGGAGCCTGTCCAAACAACATTTAAACTGATTTATCGCCTCTGGAGAATGTACATCCAATGAAATATTTCTGGTGCATAAGTCGAAGGGGTAACGGGTCCTGCAGGTGCCTTCAATGGGATACGAGCCTGGAGTGTCCAGTGATCCGATAAGTGATGAAGTCCATCGAATCGCATAGTCGAGTATGATAAGGCAATCCATGTCGAGCCTTTCTGGGTCAAAGGAATCAGTTGCAAGGCCAGTAGCTCCACGGGCCTCAGTGTGATCGTGGGGTTTTTTAACAGTATCTTTTGAACAGCCGGGCAACTAGTCAAAAAGTCATTTTGACGCGATAATTGATGGTCTTCAGAAGTGGCTAGAGCATCGCTAGTGCTTTTGTCGAGAATCACATCGAATGGAGCAAATTCAGATAGAGTAGAGACATCACTCCAGGACCGTAAATCGACACGCAACCAGGGCATGGCATGTGCCGGTCCCCTCTTAGATTCCATTTCTTGGCCTCGACGGACAGCTTCAGTAGAGAAGTCAGCATTCTATCATAGATAATTAGTAAAGTATTACAACACGATAATTCATGGGTAACCCACCACGATGCCATTGCTCTGCCACTGACGCTCAATAAATTGATCTCGTAGCTTATTTCCAAGTTTTGAGACGCCAGGACCAAGGTGCAATACATGAGGGGTTCTTGCCGCCTCAATTTGTGCCAGAGATCGGCTCTTCAAGTCTGATAGAACTGCATCTAGGAGCGCTTCACCAGAGTTCAACCATTCACCCACATCAGAGTTTGTCGCGAAGCGGGTATCCCAAAAGTCTGGATCATCATAATCTGGGGCCCCTTTAAGCTTCACGTTTATCCTTGTCATCCTCAATCATGAGAAGACTCACACAATGGGTTCGCGATACAAAGGATCAAAATTTGCTTGGCGGTCAGGAAATTGACTAAGATCGTGTGGCGGGGCGGCACCTGGGCGTGCCAAGACTCCGCCAAAAACGGCGGGGAAGCCGCACAATTAGTCGGTTTCATAGATATTCACCTTGCAGGGCGTTTTGTGGAATCTCTATTGAGCACATAGGATGGGAAACGAGGAACGAGAACATATTTCTCACCGTAGGAAAGAATTCCTGTTGTACAATATAGTTGAAGGCTATGATCATTGGTGCAGGGGCAGAAGGAATATACCCTCATTATTGCTATATGCTAGGTATATACTTTTATTGCAAGGCTGCGACCAATTCGTCCACGCTTTTCATCTGGCGGTCATTGTTCTCACCGACGTCCAACGCAACCAAAAACCGACTCACGCAGTTGTACCCAGCGATACCAGTGGTAAGTTCCACAATCTCACGATCATCATACCCGACTGTCTTCAATTCAGCAAATACCGCATCTTCCACAGTGATAGTCTTGGTCATTTGGTCGGTATAGCGGAGAACGGCCCGTTGTTGCGGAGTAAGCGCACTCTTTTCGAGCTCAGCAATATCCCCGGTGGCGGTTGAAGGTAATGTGCGAGCAGCTTGCAGTTCAGCGGGCTTAATGCCGCCCTTCAGAGCGAGCGGGGCATGGGCATTCCATTCGTAGATGGCATTGTTAAGCACAGCGACCCGGCAAACCGCGAGCTCCATGACACCGGAATCGACAAGGGTACGAGAGCGGATAGCTCCAATGAAGCTGTTCCACCCATCAGCAACAGGTGGACTATGCAGGAGAGACAGGTCAAGAGGAATCAAGGGTCGAGGGTTTCGGCGCTCAGCGATGCGGACATAAGTGTCAATCGTTTCGGGCGAGGCATCGGCCGGCGGGTTGGAGGGGGCATAGGGTAAGCGCATGGTGCGGATTTGGTTGACCGAGCTGATACTGGGATGTCTCAAAGCAAAAGGAGCATAGAGTGACTTAATAGAAGGTAACCTGCGTAAGATGCGCATGGCAGGACGTAGACGGCATCTTGTCGATGTCATAACCGAGCGAGTGTAGATTGGGGGAAAGGTATTACCCGGTGTGGGGGAGGGTTTGTCCGGGGCCGAACTATGCGGGCAAGAAATTAGTTCAGTGAACGAATAGGTCAAGTTACATATCGACAAGACCGTCCATTGACTATCAAGTGATTGTTCATTTCTTGCAGATAAGAATTGTTTTGTATACCAGAAATTGTAGGTGAAGCTCAAGAGAAAGGTATTGTGTGTGTCCTGTTCCTCTGAGCACTCTGAGCATACCAAGTCCTGAATGCTCCAATTAAATATACTCCGCAGTTCAATTGAGAATCAATACAGTAGACTCCCGTTTTAATTACCCCAGACCAAGCATAGATTACCAGCGGACTGAAACCCGAGACTCACAATGGCAGTCCAACCTGCCGGCAGTGAGTAAAACGCACTCCCGGTGCCGCCCCTCGATGCCGACCTCCCCGCATGCGGATAATTCGCGATTTTTCCACCTTCAATGCTTCGTTCACTTGCAGCACACGCCGTTCCTCGTCGCGCATTTTCCACCTCACCCGCCAAGATGAAGCACCATTTGATGGTCGGTACATGGACCAAGCCCGGTCGCATCTATACTGTGCAATTCGATGACGAAGCCCTTACGTTGGAGCTGGTCAAGAAGACTGATATCCCCGAAGCTGAGCCAATCTCATGGATGACCTTCTCTCACGACAAGAAGACCATCTATGGTGCTGCCATGAAGAAGTGGAACAGTTTCGCCGTCAATAGCCCGACTGACATTGTTCACCAAGTGTCGCACCCCGTCGCTGGCCACCGTACATTTCCCAAATAATTCATTGGCAGATCCCCGCTGACCTGGCGCAGCGCTGGCTTCCAGCAGCGAGACTAACACCCGCGCCATCTTCGTCCTCGCCGCACACCAACCCCCCTACAATGTCTACGGAAATCCCTTTTACAACTACGCCGGTTACGGAAACGTGTTCTCCGTCAAGCCCGACGGCGCCCTGGACAGCAATGTGCAGAACTACGAATATGACCCCAAGACCGGTATTCACGGCATGGTGTTCGACCCGACAGAGACCTACCTCTACTCGGCCGATTTGTCGGCCAACAAGATTTGGACACATCTTAAGGACCCCCAGACGGGAGAATTGACCCTGGTGGACTGCCTGGAGGCTCCCGAGCCCGGTGATCACCCCCGCTGGGTCGAGATGCACCCCAGTGGCAAGTACCTGTATGCGCTGATGGAGGCCGGCAACCGTTTGGCCGTTTATGTGATCGATGAGCGCACTCACAAGCCAGTGTTCACTCACATCACGTACCCTCTATTGCCCTCTGGTGAGTGATGCGACTGTTTCCCACTTGCCACTTTGCTAAACCAATAGGTCTTCCCCCGCGCAACAAGTACCGTGGCGATGTCACCTTCTGTACCCAGAGTGGTGAATACCTCTTTGCGACCACCCGCTCCAACCACTTCGATGTGACCGGCTATATCACCGCATTCAAGCTGGGCCCGCACGGCGAGATTGAGCGCCAGCTATTCATCAACCCCACCTCTACCAGCGGGGGTCACTCCAATGCTGTCAGCCCTTGCGATTTCAGCGACGAGTGGTTGGCACTGTGCGATGATCAAGAAGGATGGGTGGAGATGTACCGCTGGCGCGACGAGAAGCTCGCACGCGTAGCGCGTGTGGACATTCCGGAGCAAGGCTTTGGGATGAACGCGATCTGGTACGATTAAACGATAATGACAAGCAAACCCCAATAGAAGTAAATAGTCCCGTGTGTTATATTGGTAACGTGTACTCTGTAGTATGCAATGTATGGTGTCGTGAGTGGTGTCGTGAGTAGTGTAGTGTGCTGAGTGTCTCCAAGAGAGCAAAGTGGGGGATGTCGGCAGTCGACTTCGGTTCTGCTTTGCTTTCATCCGGGCAAATCCAATGCCGAACCGCCATTGGGTTTATATCTTATGAGGGGCTTGGGAGTCGGTTTCTTGATTCCTGATTCCTGATTTCTGATAGAATTCGAGATTCTTGATTCGTGACTCTGAAGCTCTCGACTCTAGAACATCCTCTCGCACATCCACCCCCCATCATGCCTACTCCCGGTCTCCTCTACGTCACCATGCAGCCCAAGGGCTCGCTGCCAGACACTCAGTTCCACGACTGGTACAACACCGAACATGGCCCTCTGCGTTTGCGTCTGCCGTTCGTGACCAACGGCTTCCGTTTCCGCGCCACCGATGGTGAGCAGCCCGAGTATGTGGCGCTGTACGATATCACCGACATGGACGAGTTGACCCGCGAGACCTACCTGTCACTGCGCACCGATCTGATCAAGACTGAGCGCGAGAAGAAGACCATGGCACAGATCGACGTCGGCCGTCTGCTATATGATTTGGTGGATGAGCGTAGTAGCCCCAACTTCCGTGCGCTGGAGGATCAAGCCGATACAGATGCCGAAACCCGGGGCAGCGTTCTCGTTGCCATCCGAGTTGCCACTGACCCCACCAAGGAGGCGGATCTGGAGAAATGGTATCGGGAGGAACATTTCGACATGTTGTCTCGCGTGCCTGGATGGCGCCGGAGTCGCCGCTTTGTTACTGCAGCGATTGATTCGGCGGCCCCGCGTGAACACCTTGTTCTTCACGAGTATGCCCCGGTTAACGGCCTGGGAGGCGACGCCCACAAGGCTGCCATGAGCACTCCCTGGGGTGCTCGCCTCATGAGCGACGTGGTCACTTCGAAGAACCGTCGGGTGTATGAGTGGTACTATACCTTTGGCCCTGCTCCTCGTGAGCTGGCCTCTTTGGCTAACCCAGACGTCGTGGGACCCTGGAACTCCAACGATGGCCTCACTCGTACATTCCCATCGCCTACCCGCCCGGCTGTCGAGTCCTTCATCACCACGGCGGATGGGGTCGAGATTCCTTATCGTTTGGAGGGTAGCACCGACCCCTACGCACCCGTTGTGGTGCTGAGCAACTCCATCCTTGTCAACTGGAACATCTGGGACCGCTTCGTGGATGCCTTCTTCGCCCATAAGCAGAATCAACGCTACCGTGTCGTGCGCTATCTCACCCGTGGTCGCCGCTCTGCAAGCGGCGAGCAACCCGTGAACATTGATGTGCTAGCCTCTGATCTCGCCACATTGCTGGAGGCATTGCGTGTCCCTCCCAAGGCTGCCCGTTTGATCGGAGTCAGCCTGGGAGGTGTCACCGTCCTCAACACCTCTCTCCTCCACCCTGAGCGTGTTGGGGCCTTCATCGCCTGCGACACCAACTCCTCCGCCCCCGAGTCCAACCGCAAGGCCTGGGGAGACCGGGTCGCCATCTGTGAGAAGGAGGGCTCTGTGGACCTGGAAACCAAGGAGCCTATTGTCGGGGAGGAGCTGGCTGAGGTCACCACTCGCCGCTGGTTTGTGCCCGAGTCCTACGAGACTCAGCCTGAGGTTCTTGCCGCCGTCAAGGAGGCAGTTCGCACCAACAGTCTGAAGGGCTTCGCCCACAGTGTGCAGGCCCTCTGTGCCTACGACATCCGCGAGCGCATGGCCTCTGCCACTGTGCCCGGTCTGTTTGTTGCTGGTGCCAACGACGGTGTCCTCCCTCAGACCATGCAGAAGATGGCTGCGGACTTGAAGGGCGGTGCCGAGCTCAGGCTCATCGACCGTGCTGGTCACTTGCCTATGGTTGAACAGCCCCAGGCCTTTGCTGATGTTGTGACGGAGTTCCTGGCCAAGATTGATGGTTGATTGCAATTATATAACTTCTGTGTAGATATATTCTGTCCCTCAAAAGAGCATATAGGGAAATGACTGAATGTCTTTGATGACCACCCCTTGATGATATCTACTCCTTCTGTAGTGAGAGGCTTTATGCTAGTAATGCAGGTAAATTCAGGTGAGAGAAGTCAAGTGACACTTTGTCCAGCCCATCGATCATACTGATGACACCGGTCACACCGGTCACACCGATCGTAACTGATGTTTAAAATGGTCCGATGATATATTCCAAGTAAGATGCAAGCAGCTGAAGAGAAATCAAGTCAAGTGCGAGAGAGCTTCGGCGGACGACAACGACCAACTGTGAAATATGCATCTTGCGGGGAAACGCACTCTTCTTCGGTGCAACTCGCAACTCTTCACGTACTTCCTTTTTCAGCCTTGATTTGCCATGCCTGATAGCAAGATCCCGCAGCCAGGGCCAGCGAAGCTGAAGCGCAATGCTGGCCCTGATGAGTGGCTGGAGGCCGCCAAGGACTGCAAATACCTGTCAGAACCGCACATGAAGCAACTCTGTGAAATTGTCAAGGAATACATGATGGAAGGTAAGGAATAGCATTCTGTGGCCTTTGTATCTTGCTATACTGACTTGCGCAGAATCCAATATTCAACCAGTGTCAACGCCCGTTACCGTTTGTGGTGACATCCACGGTCAATTCTACGATCTGCTCGAATTATTCCGTGTCTCTGGTGGCATGCCAGATGGCACTGAATTAGACCCCCCAAAACCTCCCCCTCCGTGATTACATCCGCCGATATCGAACCTCCCTCCAGCATCACAGACCCCAAGATCCGCAAGAAGCTCCGTGGCCCTAGCGTGAGCTCCAAGGACGAGGAAGAGACGGGCGCACGCAGTCGATCAGCTAGCGATACCTCTGAGGCCCTTCAACTCAACCGCAACTTTGTGTTCTTAGGAGACTACGTGGACCGTGGATACTTCAGTTTAGAGACTTTAACGCTTTTGCTCTGTCTGAAGGCAAAGTAAGCGATCCACAAACCTGCGGTAATAAGAGCACCATCACTAATCTACCTTGACTAGATACCCTGATCGAGTGACGTTGGTCCGGGGCAACCACGAGTCGCGACAAATCACCCAAGTCTACGGTTTCTACGAAGAATGTTTCCAAAAATATGGCAGTGCATCAGTGTGGAAGGCATGCTGCCAGGTCTTTGACTTTATGACCTTGGGTGCCATCATCGACGGCAAGGTGCTCTGTGTTCACGGTGGCTTGAGTCCAGAGATTCGAACCCTCGACCAGGTTCGCGTGGTAGCACGCGCACAAGAGATCCCCCACGAAGGTGCATTCTGTGATTTAGTTTGGTCGGATCCAGATGACGTGGAAACATGGGCTGTCAGCCCTCGAGGAGCAGGTGAGATACAACATAGTCCCTTGCTATGAGCCCAACTAACAAGATCTAGGATGGCTCTTCGGAGACCGAGTCGCGGACGAGTTCTGTCATGTCAACGATCTCTCTCTGATCGCACGTGCACACCAGCTGGTCAACGAAGGCTACAAATATCATTTCAACAATCAAAACGTTGTGACCGTGTGGAGTGCGCCCAACTACTGCTACCGGTGTGGTAACTTGGCCTCCGTCTGTGAGATCGGGGACGACCTCAAGCCCACCTTCAAATTGTTCAGTGCAGTCAGCGATGATCAGCGGCATGTTCCAACCTCGCGGCCCGGCCGCAGCGAGTACTTCCTGTAAAATGAAGCATGAGTTACCGGCGCTGGCGTTCAGGTATGGAATTCGGAGGGAGCATTATATAATGATTTAGACCAGACTTAATGATGCATATGCCTCTTGGGGGAGAAAACTGTCATAGTTGTACGGAGTAGGACGAATCAATGCCTTTTTCCACATCTCACTCTCCTAATATCTGAACATTTCAATATCTCAATATCTCCCAAGGACACAAAGCACCAAAAGCAGGAGGCAAATGGCTGCGGTTCCGAGCCCGGAGTCAGTTCCGAACTGCGCGGGTCCAATCCCGGACTCCGCATATAAGAGCCCCGGAAAGGCACGATCATCCTCGCATACCCGAGCATTTGGAGATAGAAATGGAGAAAGTCGATGTTCTAATTTGTGGCAGCGGATCTGCCGGTCTCTGTGCTGCTACCTGGCTTGCGCGTTATGGCGTACGCTGCAAGGTCTTGGAGCGGCGTGGGGGCCCTATGGAGATGGGCCAGGCAGATGGCGTGCAATGTCGCACCGTGGAGATCTTTGAAAGCTTTGGAATCGGTGAAGAGCTTCTTCGTGAGGCTTACCATGTCCTAGAAGTCAACTTCTGGGCGGACAATGGCGCTGGGGTTATCAAACGGACAGGCCGTACCGCGGATACACAGCCAGGTCTCTCGCATCAGCCTCATGTTATTCTGAACCAAGCCCGAATTAACGGGCTTCTTATTGATCTGATGCAAAAATACAACCATCAGCATATCGACTATGGGTACAATGTGACCAAGGTTGAAGTGAACGACGCCCTTGTCGCAGATCATGACGCTTATCCGATCCAAGTCAGCGCAGAGAAGAATGGAAAGACTGAAATCTTTGCCGCAAAGTATGCTCTAGTAAGTTTCCATCGGGCTACCTTGTTGGACTCTAGGCTAACTCAATTCTAGGGTTGTGACGGGGCACACAGTGTCGTCCGCAAAGCCTTGGGGTATAAAATGGTGGGAGACAGCAGTGATGCCGTCTGGGGTGTCATGGACATGGTTCCTCGCACTGATTTCCCCGATATTCGCAAGAAGTCGACTATCCGATCTCGGGCTGGAAATGTTCTGATCATTCCCCGAGAGGGCGAAAGCAACAATCTCACGCGCTTCTATATTGAACTTGCCGCAGGAACCAATCCGAAAGAGGTGACCCTGGAGAGTCTACAGGCGCAAGCGCAAAGCATCTTCCATCCATATAAGATGGAGTTTGTGGAAACTGTCTGGTGGTCTGCGTATGCAATTGGTCAACGTCATGCCGATTTCTTCCACAAGGACAACCGAGTCTTTCTGGCGGGTGATGCTTGCCATACCCACTCTCCAAAGGCTGGACAAGGCATGAATGTCAGTCTTCAAGATGGTTACAATATTGGCTGGAAGCTTGGCGAAATCCTCACCGGTCTGGCTACTCCCTCACTTCTAGAGACTTATGTCCTGGAACGGCAAAAGGTCGCCATTGATCTGATCAACTTCGATCGCTATTTCTCTAAACTATTTTCATCGGGAGCTGCCACTTCACCTGCCGAATTCCAAGAGGGCTTTATCAAGTCTGGTAAATACACCGCTGGATTGACAGCGAAGTATGATGTCTCACCGATCACATCCGCAATGGAATCGACCAAGCTCGCCTCAAATGTGGTTGTTGGCATGCGATTGCCGAGCGCACAGGTTGTACGCTTTTGTGACTCTCAGCCCATGCAACTCATGAAGTGTCTAAAATCGGATGGCCGATGGCGCGTCATGGCGTTTGTCGGTGACCTATCAGTTTCAGCAAATCGATCAAAGTTAAGCCAAGTTTGTCTACCCTTTGCTTCAACTACAGAATACCGCCTAACGCTTTCTTTCCTCTAGCTCGGAGATTACCTTGGCTCGCAAGAGAGCCCGATCCATACTTTCACACCCACAAATCAAAATATTGACAGTCTGATCGAGACTGTTGTAATTGGCCACGGGAAGCGTCACGAAGTTGAACTTGAAGAAATTCCCGAGTGCTTCTATCCACTCTCTGGGAAGAACCAAACCAGAGGTAATAATTGATGATTGGACTGTATCGATCATTACTGACAGCTTTCCAGATCTGCACAAGATTTACTATGACGATGAGAGCTACAACCAAGGCCATGGCCACGCATATGAATTCCTTGGCATCGATCCCTCACAGGGTGCTATTGTCATTGTTCGCCCTGATCAGTGTAAGTGATATTTCACCGCTCGCCAATCAGCTTCATTGCTAATAATCATGACTTCAAGACGTGTCTGCCGTTATGAGTCTTGGTGACTATACGAAGATCGGCAAATTTTTTGCCGGCTTCCTCAAATCCCAAACGTAGGTTGGCACCTACAGGCCTTTGAAGGCAATCAACTCAACTGAATGTTTTGTCACAGTGTCAATGATGCTAGATACCCAACTAATAGTCCACTTGGTAGCAGACTGTGATATCCATTAGGCTATGTGAACAAATTAAAAGGCCTAGGGAGCTGTGACGATGACCATTCTTTGTAGCTATGTGGAAGCGGTCATGTACATATCTCTGGAGCTCAGAATAAATTGCCATGGCTTAATCTATGGAGTTCAGTTTGTTCGTTGCTGTATGTCTGTTATAGGTACACGTGACAGTCTTTAAAATTGTACTTGATGAGAGTCAAGATAATCAAGAGCCAAGTCATTGAATGTTCTCACGCCTCAACTAGAATAGAGGAAGGACATGAATGAATTAAACTCCGGGATAGTAATATCGCTATTGACACTATCAAAGCAAGTATCGGAAGCTCTCAATCTCATGGTCAGTCTTGTTAGAAAGCTCGTCTTGTAGTTCTTCTCCATCGGTCATATCTCTCGGAGAGCCGTACAGTCTATCCCTTCGACGATTTTCATAGGCATAATAGACGTACAGACAGATCAGGAAGAAAATTCCGAAAGCAAGGCCTGACATTGCCGCTTTGATTCCAGTCTGTTCATTGTTAGCCATGATACATGTCAAGACGAATTGGAGGATGATGACTGACCTCATAAGAAGGTTCTTCCGAAGGGATGAAGAACTGAGGCCCGACAATGTTGCCAACACAGTATGCTGCAAACATAAGAGAGCTTACAGTGCTCTTCTTTGTAAATCCAGCCACGTTTGAACTGATAAGACTCAGTGACAGAGGAATGTTGGCAGCAAAGACACTACCAAGACAGAGACCGGTCATCTTGCCCGCTCTGTTTTCGGCATCCAGCTTCCAGATGAGAATCATACCAATCATTGACATTGCCGTGTTTAAGATCATCATGAGAATCCGGCTCTTTGGCACGATGGCAGCGAAACCCGATGTAAGAATGAGGAACACGAGCTGAGCACCACCAATTGGCATCTGAATAAGAAGAGCCTCGAGATGACCGAATCCAAACCCAGAAATAATGATTGCAGAGAAACTGGTGATGCCACCATTGCAGAAGTTGACACAAAGAGTGTAAAGCACAAGGAGCCAAGTTTGGAGATCCTTGACTGCCATCCAAACCTGACCCCATTTGAAATTGCCTGTATCCAACACACCTGTCTTATTCTTCAATGTTCTTTGCACAGCAATGGCACGCTCATCTCTTTTGAGGAAAACTGCTTTGGCCGGCGAGTCAGGCAGAGCGAAGAATAGAACAAAAGCGTAGGCAGAGGTGACAGCACCGAGTATAAGGAACAACAGTTGCCACTGGGCGATAGAAGTGACATGGATATGACCAATGCCATAGGCAATCAGTCCTCCTAGAAGCACAGCAATAGAGTTACCAAGGAACCAGGCTGCTTGTCTGGCTGGCTGTTCTCCTCGAGTGTAGAACATGCCAGTAATAAGAGCGAAGCCGGGGGCAATTGAAGCCTCTGGGCGCCATTTTAGTCATGAGCAAACATCGAAATAAACAGTTTTTATCACTCACCTCCAACGCCTAGGAAGAATCGGGCTGCCATGAGCCCACCCCAATTGGTGCAGGCTGCATGGCACATCAACACTCCACCCCAGACAAAGACTGCAACACTGAGGTATTTTCCCAATGGAAGTCTGACGATCAGATAGGAGCTAGGCCAACTCCATCCAAAGTATCCGAAGTAGAAGATGGCTGAGGCCCAGTTGTATTCGCTGCCCTTGAGATTCTAAAAGAAGTATGGTGTCAGTATCTTCTCCAGGTAAAGCAACAGATCACGGTATCACGCATGACGTACCAAATCTTGTCGAAGATTGAAAAGAGTTGCCTGACTGATGGCCAACTTGTCAATATACTGAAGCATATAGCATGCTCCCATCAGAGGAATCCTTAAGTTATTTTTAGCGCATTTACCATCATCAGATAGAATGGAAGACTTACAGATAGAGGTCAATTTTCCTCAAGACCTTCTTTTCCAATTGAGGGTTTGTTTGAACCTCGAGTACCTGGCCGAAATCGACATCACGATTGACAGAGTTAGACTGGATCTTGAGATTTCCTAGGTCGACTTTGACGCCTCCTGGTGGCGGTTGCTGTTTTTCCATGACGGGATAGGATCACAATATAAAATATTGTAAAAAGGAATTAAGTAGAAGAAGTGAGTAATTTTGAATAGAGATTGCTATATCTGCGATAGTTTGGTTTGTTTCTTTCAATCCTTTGGGGTGGTCTTGTCCGGGGGACTATATCTCTTTGGGGCTGGATGCCTAGCCCTAACCTTCCAAGCATGACGGTAATCGTGGCGACGTATAAATCACGAGATTCTGTGATAGGGAACTCCCCCGCCCTGATTTCCGCGATCAGCTCGTTAAAATTGGCGATGATTACGTTGAGAAACCTCTTTTCTCCTCAAATCCCAAGGTCAGATTTACGCGATATCACTCGGCAGGTATGCACGGGCAGGATTGACGGCAATGCGAGGCCGCGAAAAGCAATTCTAGCTGCCGAAATAACGAACTTTCGTACATATAATCATTGAGTTCTGCCTACTGTACCTCTCCCTGGTTGTCAACAAACAGAATTGGTATCAATTGCCATGAAAGCCAAAGATATAACCTCTAATCGGCTAGTGTAGCGAATCAGCACTCTTCATCGGCAACCCACTTTTGCCTATCTTTGATCCGACAAGAAAAGACAAATCGAATAGGAGACTTGGCGATTGATTAGCAGCTAAAGACAGGTGGCAGGTCACTCCCCATTCCCCACACTCGCAAAACCTGGAGAAATCCCTGAGTCCGTGGGTGTTTGCCGAGGAGCCACACCCTATTGGCAAAGTATATCGCGGGAAGATACCGTGATTTCCGCTGTATACTTCCCCTCCTATTGACACAGGTCCGTTCACAGGTGATTGTCGCAGTCATAGGCTGATGGGAGCCCCCTCGTATCGATAGCCGCCTGAACCTGTCGGCAAACGCCACCCAAATACTACGTGATAGATTATCTTTTGCAATGGCAGGCCTAACATTGGAGTTGGAATAATCGGCTAAGTCGGATGTCCTCTAGGAGAAGTCTGAGAGCCATGTAATAAGTTAAAACATGCGTTGTTCTCATCTAATTCCAAACAAGACACCCATTTAAGGCAACATAGCAAGAGTTCAGAGAAGCATTCAACCCACCATGACTGTTACAGCAATCAATATCGAAGAAGTAAAGGCGTCTGTGGATGCTTCCCTCAAGGCACTTGAAAAGGAGTTGCGAGCACTCAACCATCAGGTTTGAATCCCTGATATGCGATTTCCCATGCATTTCTAACCTTGATCTGATGTTTCAGATTTGGTCCCATCCCGAGCTTGCATATGAGGAACACCTTGCCCACAATGCAATCTGTGATTTCCTCGAGTCTCAGGGCTTCTCAGTCACTCGGCACGCGTATGGCCTGGATACCTCCTTTGAGGTGCTGAGTGGATCTGGTGGACGGTTAATCAACTTCAACGCAGAATACGATGCTTTACCGGATATTGGTCATGCGTGCGGTCATAACCTGATTTCAACAAGCAGTATTGCTGCTTTCCTTGCTCTTTCATTCGTATTGAAGAAATACGGGATCCCTGGTCGAGCTCAGCTGCTCGGCACACCCGCTGAGGAGAATGGAGGTGGAAAGGCTAAGTTGATCGATGCTGGGGCTTACAAGGGAGTAGACATCTCACTCATGGCGTAAGTTCTTGCAACAGACAGCTACTAGAGACCTCATGTTCTAATCGACTCCAAAGTCATCCAGGTCCTCATAAAATGTATCCCGAGGATGAGGGATGTGACGGTATTGCTGGCACTTTAATGAACGCCCGCAAGAATGTGTATTGTCCGTCTCATGCTTCTTTGCTGCTGCTCTCATGCTGACCGATGGGTTGTATTATAGGCGAATTTACAGGAAGAAACGCCCACGCTGGTGGCAACCCTTGGGAAGGAATTAATGCTCTTGATGCCCTGGTTTCATCCTATAACAATGTCGCAGTATTGCGTCAACAATTACTTCCGGAGCAGCGCATTCATTGTGCTTTCTTGGATACCCCTAAGGTGGCTAATATTATTCCGGCGTACACCAAGGCATTCTGGCAGGTTCGCAGCCCTACCCTCAAGGGACTCAACACCCTGATTGGAAAAGTGCGCAACTGTATCGAAGCTGGTGCACTTGCCACTGGCTGCGAAGTCAAGATCGAAGAGTATGTATTCTTTGGCATCCAAGAAAGCGCCATTGGCTGATTAATCTGCTGCAAGGGATGAACTCTATACCGATGTCCGATTGAATGACACGCTGTGTGAGCGATATTCCGCCCACATGGGGCGATACAATCGCAAAGTACTCAAGCGTCACGAGAAAGTTCTTACCGGATCCTCTGATATTGGTAAGTAGTTCCTCTGGACTTTGATTGAGCAGTCGAACTGACTTCCACAGGCAATGTTAGCTACGAGACACCCACACTTCACACGATGTTCGCCATTCCAGCCCCTCCCAAGTCATTTCCCCATCACCCGACATTTGCAGCTGCAGCTGGAACAGACGATGCTCATGCTGAAGCCATTATTGTGGGAAAGTCCTTGGCGCTGATTGGGTGGGAGATGGTGGCGGAGGCGGCCCTATTTGAGACAGCGCAGCTGCAGTGGAGAGATGAGATTGCAAAGGAGTAGCTAGAGAGGAGAGGAGAGCATATATAGTTGAATCCAGTTGTATATCAAGCGCATCAAGCGTCTTCACAGACTATCTCGAGTATAGATGAGCTTAAAATCTTTAAATCGTGCACGTCATGAATGACTCAGCCTTCCCCGCGTTATCGGCCTTATCGGCTTCGGCACTTCTCAAACCCTCAATTCTTCCCATCTTCACTCAACTTCATCCTTTTGTCGTGGTGGGGGGGACTGTCAATCCATGTCCATGCAATCTGGGCGTAACGGCCCGCGTTCAAAGAGTGGTGAGTTCTTTATTACGGTTGACCCAAGAAACCGGCTAACCGCTTTCCCCTCGTAGGCTGTAGTACCTGTCGTCGGCGCAAAGTGAAATGCGGCGAAGAAAAACCAGTTTGTGGACGATGCACCGCATTGCGTCTCAATTGTGAATGGGGGATTCCCGTCAAACGTGGACGAAGCACACAGATCAGACATCTTGAACCCGCCCCGAGTGCGCCCGAACAATGGCCCTTGTCCAAAGTCGAAGATCTTGTCGATACCCAGCCGGAGCTCCTTTACTCGAATCTTTCGCCTGTCTCTTGGGCGGGCGAATTCGTGCCTTTTGACACCACGCAATTGACGATGTTCCGTCCCACCCCCGTTCCGACCCCGATCTATCCGGCGTTAAATTTCAATAATGTGGCTTGCGCCAATTCCCTGGCGCTTGATGCGCTCGATCTCCAATACTTTCAGTACTTCCCTTCGTCATCCCTGGTGTACTACTACATGAAAGGTTGGAAGTGGAGCAGTTTTTGGTGAGTTTTTCTCCACTACGAGGCAAGGGGCTACACGTTCTTGTCCTGCATGCGGAATTTCAGCCTGCTAATTGGCTGCATGTTCTATAGTCATCTATATCAAGGCCCCGCTGCATCCAACAAAGTAATAATGCGGATGATTCTGGCGCTATCTGCGTGTGATATGCATCGCAATGGCTTGGTCGTGCGTTCTCCGGGTCGACCGACAGCAGACGACCATGGGCGATATCATTATAGTCTGGCAGTGAAAGAATTCAGACAGCTTCTCGAGACACCGCGTCAAGTATCTTTGGATGAAGTTGAAACAGTCTTTGCGACAGTCTTTTTGATGATAGCTTGGGAGTGGCAATTTGGACACTCGGTGCGTCACGTAAGGCACCCCTCCTCATATGCCACCGTGCACAATGAGCTTTTGGCTGATATTGCTGTAGTTACAACTTCATCTCCAGGGCGTTCGCTCACTTCTGGAAACACACCCTCAACTATTCCGCATCAAAGACGTCAATGATATGTTCCTGTCTCCTGGGCCCGGTAGCCCATCTAACGAGCCTGGAACCGTTGCCAAAGTGTCTTTCATTCCTGAACAATTCTTACTTTGGATATTGTGAGTCCATCCTTGGCCGTGGACGTTGGTACTTTCACTCACATCACAGATATATTGATTCCAGCTGCCGCCCGATGGGCTTGACCGAGTCACTAAATGATTATGTTGCAGAATCCGGAAATCCAGCTCTGCAGCCCGATCATCTGCATCGTTGTGCTCGCCTCTGGGGTCGGTGTTTCTGGGGCGAGCAGTATCCCGATGAGGAGGTTCTGGATGATATTGAAAACTACCGGGCTCTGGAACTGCTTCATGATGGATTCTGTCTACGTCATCGAACTTGGAAAGCTCTCGTGGACTCTGCGGCTGGTACCGCCGACTCTGCGGATGTCATATTCCGTGAAATCCTTAATATCCGAGAGGTGAGTTTCATATCACATTCAAATTGGTCTTGACTGATTGCATTAGAAATTCTCCGACCTTTTCATTACTGCCAGGTTTTCTGGTGGTGTCTCTGCTCGACGAACGGTCAACACCATCTACATGGCCGTCTCGACTTTCTACGCTCAAGTTATTCTTCACCGTCGCCTTTTGCGTGTAGACGCCTTGCCTGCGGCAATACATCAGCAGGCGACTGCGGGCATTGTGGATGTTGCACAGAAGCAGTTTGCCAGCGAGCCCAATTTACTAAGACGTCTGCACTGGCCATTATTTATGGCAGTGATTGAGACTAAGGACCCCACACAACAAGTGTGGCTCCGTCAGCGCTTGTGGGAACTACGCGAGTTCCATTCCGAGTACGTTTGGGCACATGAGATTTCCGAGCAGATTTTGGCTCAGCAAGATGTGAGCCAAGGCCGATATGTCAATCTGGCGGAACTCTTACTCCAGCGTTTCCATGCACAGTGAAGCCCTTGCACATATTTGTATATCTACCAAAATCTCTATAGATCAATTAATGTCTGATGTCCCAGTCTGCTGCGTGCGGCAGTTAGAGCAAGCTCTTATTTTTCCCAACTTCTGCATCGGAGGGATTTTCCAAAAAGTAAGCATCATAGGCTACTTCGCCCTTGGCCCTGGTCGCGCGTCCAACAATGACACGGTTGTTCATCCACTTGTACTTCTCATGACCAGTCTCAATCTTCACATGCAGATGAAACCAATACTGGCTGGGATCCACAGGTCCGCCTTCCATCAGCGCTCGAAGCACTTCCGGGGGGCCAGCTCTAGTGCCTTCAGTCCTGCTCGTCATCAGCATCCTTATATCTAAGCAAATTCTCACTTCGAGGGTGAAGTTTAAAGTTACCGAATGTAGATATACGCTCCATCGTCACTTTTGATCATATAGTTCGTGTTGACGTGTGTCGTTTGGTCTTCCTCGACCAACCTAGTCATCTGCGTTAGGGAAAACCCCTAATATTGGGGGGCTTTAGACTCATACATAAAATCTGCGCCTCCAGTAGGCACAACCTCGCCGTTGATGTACTTCCCTTTCACTGATCCAGATTTGATCGGAACACAACGCCGTCTTCCATATGGACCATTTCCGACCTCCATTGGCGGATCGACCGCACACCGGAGAGTAAATAGATGGGTGAGCTTGGGTGGCGGAGAGAGTGTATTCATGATGAATATCTCAAGATATCAAGATATATGAAGAAGGGAAGTTTGTTGGATTAGGGGGGTAAGCCCTAAATACTAAGCTTCTCTCCACTCTTCCCCATACCCCGGATATCTCGGCAATGTCCTAGTTTGCACTAGAGATCTATAGATCTAGAAATTGCATTCCCTTCAACACAACATCTTCTGTCCAGTGCGAGAGATTCAATAAATTGTATTTGACGATGGGTTTCCTCTAGCATGATCGGATTTCCATCTTAGTTTTTCCAGCCATAGTTATGCATATGCTTTCCGAGGAACTGGAACCTCTCATACTCTACCATAAATGAACATCGACATTGGATTGAATGCAAAGACTGCCAAGACTCAAAATTCCAACTCCCTGACAGTCACGATTGAATAGATCTGTGGGGCTCTGATTGGTCGATCGAATTGGGAGCCCTGACATCACCGATTCACCACGGTGACATCAAGGGATGCGAACACGACAGTGCAATTGTCAACCATTTCCAAGCATCAACATGTCGAAAAAAGTCGCTATTGTCGGGGCTGGTGCTGCGGGCATGTCTTGCGCTGCCACCTTGGCCAAGCATCCCGAATTCTCAGTAACGCTGATCGACATCGACTCGCACACCGGTGGACAGGCGACTTCAATCCCACTAGATCAGTCTACACATGGAGCGGGCTGGCTAAATGATGGCGTTCAAGGTGGTTCGCAAATATTTCGGCATACTTTCCAATTCTTCCGACGTTATGGTTATGAGCCCCAGCCGGTCAAGCTTCAAGTCGCGTTTGGCAAAGGGAAGAACTTCTGGACCAACGTCTTTCCAAGTCCATTAGTCGATCAGCATTCGGCAGAAATCAAGAAACTTTCACGAGTACTTACATGCATCAAATATCTCATGCCCATTCTGGGGATCATGCCGGTTAAAACGATTCTGCGCCTGTTCCGTTTCAGCACCGATTTCAGCAACAGAATGGTTTTGCCTCTCCTGGCTTTGTTTTTGGGGACGGGGAATCAAACTCCAAATGTCTCGAGTGTTCTTTTGGAGCGCCTCTTCAATGACCCACAGATGAAGCTATGGGAGTATGACCCGGATACACTATTGCCAAACCTCCCTCTCATGTATACGTTCCCAAACTTGAACAACTTTTATCGAGACTGGGCAACAGATTTGCGCATCAAAGGTGTGGACGTTCGACTCAATTGCAATGTTACCATCTTTGAACGAGGCAAAAAGGGCGTTGTATTACAACTGCAAAGCCACGAAGACGGACAACTGACTGGGCAACCACTGACGGAAACATTCGACGAACTCGTGATGTGTTGCCCAGCAGATGAATCAAAGAAGCTCCTTGGTCAAAATGCGACCTGGCGTGAGAAGTATGTCTTGGGAGGAGTCAAATTCTTCAATGATCTCACTATCACCCACTCCGACTCCAACTATTTTCAACAAATTTTCGAATCGCTATATGATCCAAGACTTTGTGCAAAGGCCACGACTCAGGAACGCAAGAACCAAATCGCATTTGCCGAGCAGGAGCCTCGTAGCCAGAAGGATGGCTGGTTGGGATTCCGCCCAATGTACTTTATGCACTCATACGAATCGGATCCTACAAAGATTGAAATGGGGTTCAATTGCAGTAGCTATCAGCATCAATTTCGTGAGGAGCTGGGCGAAAACAAGCCTCCTCTGTCTCAGGACCAACAGGTGTTCCAGACAATCTTCTTGGTACCCCAGTCCCGGCCTCAGTTTCACCCAGAATAGTCCGCTAACTTGACTGCTGTTAGAATGACCAGGAAAAAGACCTTTGGACGTGGAATGCCATTGACCCTTCCAAAATAATATCGTATGTCATCAATGCCTTCCTTGAGGCTTGTACTGATTGTCCTGTACAGACGGAAATGGTGGCACCAGTTCGGGCACCGGTGGCAGCACTATCTCAGAGTGGTTCCGGGGATGATGTTCATCAATGGCACTAATAGAACGCTTTATGCAGGAAGCTGGACGATGGTAGTAAGTTGTGCTTAGCTCCCTACTTCATTCGATGCGAAATTAACAAGATATAATGCAGAACATGCACGAGATTGCGTGTATCTCCGGCATTGCTGCTGCATATCGACTTGGTGCCACCTATGAGCCCTTTGATGACTTTGCTGAGGATTTTTTTGCAAAGTACTTGCTTGTGTGTCACGGAACTAGGTATAAGAAAGCTAAAGCAAAGGACGTATAGCCCAATGAGTTGCGTTGAGTGGTGCCTCAAAGGTCAATATTGAGAGCGCCCTTGACATGCGAGACTGATGATGATGAAACAATTGAGCTGTATCAATATCAAGAAAAGAATCTATTATATGCTATAGTGTGTTGATATCCAACGAATAACCATAAAATGTTAAGGTTAGGAATCGAGCCTCACATATTAGCCTCCTTTTGCCTCACGGTCAACCGATACAGCCTCACCTGGGCACACTAGTCTTCCGCAGGAGGCACTCCCTCAGCCTGCATTTGGAGAGCTACTTTATCAACATCCGCCCAGACTCTGAGCAAGTTGCCACCTGTCACTTTGCTTGCATCTGCATCGCTTACTCCCCGTTTCAACAGTTCTGCGATCAGACTTGGAAATCTGGAAACATCTTCAAGCCCACGAGGAACCGTCGGAATCCCATCAAAGTCGCTGCCTATTCCAACATGTTCAAACCCGACGAGCTCGCCAATGTGAATGATATGGTCGGCGACACGTTCTAAAGTGGCATGCTCGGTGTCCTCGTCTGGGATTCCGTCATCACGATCAGAGGGCGTACAGGAAATGAAGTCCGGTGAAAAGTTAACCATAACTAAAGAGTTCTTCTCACGCACCAGCTCCAGAATATCATCGGGTACGTTACGTGGGTGTGGGCAAAGTGCATAGGCGGAGCTGTGGCTGTATATCACGGGGGCACGGCTGCCAATCCACTCGGACTTTCCAGCGCCCAAGACATCACGCATGGTCTCTGCGCTTACATGCGCCAGATCGACAATCATTCCGAGACGGTTCATCTCCCCAACCAGCTTCTTCCCATCTTCGCTGACGCCGTGCCAGAGAGGTTCGGCCGTTTTGATGCCTCCTGGGACTTCAAGAAGAGCGGCATCGGCATACCGATTGTGACAATTGTGTGTTAGGGTTGCATAGGAGACGCCCAGTTCATAGAAGATCCGGAGGTGTGCAAGGGAGTTTCCAATGGAGTGCAGGCCCTCGATGCCCATGGGCGAGATGATCTTTCCCTCGCGGAAAGCGGACAAGGCTGTGGTGCCATTTGGAGGAGTCGAGAAGATATGGGGATAGGCTCGCTGAACACGCGACATAACATCCACCTGTTCCATCGTCTCACGCACACCTATGACTAGATGAGTATACTGTGTTAGGGTCAGTCTGTGTTTCTCTTACTTGCTGCATAATTCTCATCGGAGAAGTTGGCTCCATCGGTAGGGCATGGCACAAAAACACTCCAAAATGTACCACCAACGCGACCCTGCTTCAGTCGAGGGATATCCACATGGCCGGGCAGCGTGCCATTGACAAAGGCATCAGTGAAATTGCGATCATTGATGCGATTGTGGAAGACTTCCCGAACGAAGATGGGAAAATCATCATGGCCATCTGTTCTCCCGTCAATGTTGCTCGTCCCAGCAGGACTGAAATATCCCTACCGATCAAGGGAGTCTGCGATAAGATTCGCTCCACTCGGTCCTCGATGCTAAGTGGAGGTGAGCAACCAACATACGGCCAAGCAAACCAGCCAATAGTCAAGGCGGCGCAGAGTATCATCCACCAGCTGCGTCTGGGAGATTTGCTTTGGGCATATCGCTGGTCTTCCAACAGATTTTTATCCATGGTGAGTTGGGAGTTGGAGAGGAAAGAGAGCAGCAGAGAGAGCTCCGGTCCAGTTGGGGGAAGTTATCGATAAGCACGTTACATCGCTTACAAACATTCAATGCATCGGCTTAGTGCTTGGGGGAAAAACACCGTTGATATTAATTTATAGCAGATCAAGGCTAGCAGGGGAGAACCAAAGCGCGCAATTCACGAGATATCTTCCAGTCCGGCGAGATTTCCGTGGAATTCGAGAGTGTGCTCTGTAGACATCCTTTGCATACAATGAGACCCGGGGAAATGATCGACATGAGTCGTCAGAATATATGGAATCAGTCCAATGTTAGTCTTAGATGCTATCAATGTGTTTCCTCCAGGGTATTTCGATCGAATGAGTCCATTCTATAGCAGAATTGTATACTGTTGGCCCTTTGTAGATCGGTTGGACGGTGTTAGTCACGTGCCCCACCGCCTTGGGCTCTCGCGATATCAGCTCTTGGATTGGACGTCTTTCAGTCGACATCAATCTTTTCGGACTTTTCCACAACTCAGACCAGGATGACGCAGCCTGGGAAGCCCACAGCGGGGGTCCTCCAGATCCCTGTGGCGGCCACACAGAAATCCGGCTCAGGAGCGCCTCCAAAGAAGGCTCCCAAACCCCCCGCTCCACGTCTGAAGCTCTTGATCCGACGTCTACCTCCTGGGCTTACTCAAGTCGAGCTTGAGTTTGCTCTGGGGGACGAATGGAAGGCAGGGGCAGGAAAGGTCGACTGGCTTCACTATAAGCCTGGTAAGGTTTCGAAAGAGTATGACATATCTTCCATTGTCTCACTATCCGGATTATGACTGACAAAAGATCTGGAATAGTCCTGCGAAGCCCTCCCGTCCCTCACGAGCCTACATCCACGTTGTGTCCACCGAACATGTTACACCCCTCTCAGACAAGGTGCGCCAGGAGTCGTTCCAAGATGCCCGTCATACCTTCAACGATCCGATTCTGCTTGGACCTCCATCCCTCGAGTATGCAGCGTATGCCAAAACACCCGGAAGCCGCTCTCGCAAGGATGCCCGTCAGGGTACGATTGATCAAGACTCGGACTTTATTGCGTTCCTCGAAAGCCTAACCCAACCCATCACCAAACCAGCCCCTGTCGATTCAATGGCAGATGCTGAAGAAAAGAAGAAGGAGTCTGTTACAACTACCCCGCTAGTGCAATACATCAAGGACAAGAAAGCAAGCAAGTCGAAGGACGGGGGCTCCAAATCCTCCAAGCATAGCCGCGCGGACAAGGAAAACAAGCAAGAGAAAGTGATGGCGAAGAAACTTTTGCAGAGAGCCGACAAAGAAACCAGCTCAACCTCTGAGAAGAAGAGCAGGGCAGAGAAGACAAGCAAGGAATCCACAAAGGCAACCAAACAAGCAGCTGCCAATGCCAAGGCAGGCAAATCCGCTGCTACGTCCAGCGCTACGAAGGAAACCCCCCGGCACCAGAGCGCAAAAGAGAGCGCGGAAATGTTGCGGCAGCTACTAAAATCCTCCAGCGCGACCTTGGAATTTCGACCTCTGGAGGCCGCCGGCGCGGCAAAGGTGGTGCTGGTGATACTGGTTCTCCCAAGAATGAAAGCTCTCGCGATTCCCCCGCTCCACCCACTGAGGCTCCCAAGAAGGAATCTGCCAAATCTGCGAAGAACGCTTCTACATCTACAAAGTCCAAGGACGAATTATCCTCGCGAGCATCCGAAGTCAGCCCTGCGCCAGCCACGAACGCACCCACGAAATCGTCCAAAGGCAGCAAAGCGAAGCCGGCCGCCAGCCCGGCGCCCACCGCGACACAGGCATTCTTGAAACATGCCAACCCTTCTCAGGGTGTCACCGAGGCACTATTGGAGGCTGCATTCTCCTCCTTTGGAACAGTGACCAAGGTTGAGATTGACAAGAAGAAGGGATTCGGATATGTGAGCTTCGCGGGGTCCGACGGACTTCAAAAGGCCATTGCGGCCAGTCCCGTCTCGGTCGCCCAGAGTCAGGTGGTGGTGCTGGAGCGCAAAGTCAACCCCCATCCCAACACAGAGAAGTCTCGCAAAGGTCGCGATGCACCGGCACCCAAAACCAACAAGGACAAGGCCAAGGCCAGTGAAGGAGGTGGAAACAATGCCGGGTCATCACGCGGGTCTCGTGGAGGACGTGGATCACGCAACAAAGGACCCAAGGGAGGCAACGGAAACAGTGCAGCGTCAGAGAAGACCGGAGGAACCGGAGGAACCGAGGCTACCTGAGTCTGCAGTAGTCATTGTTTAGCGGTTTATGAGACATGAGATACCCGAGCAATGAAGAAACGCAATTCCCTAGCCACCTGGCAAGGAACAACCCACTACAATCATCGATACACTGCGGAATGTCTGATATTTCGGAGGTAGCAGGAGCAAGCAGCGTACATGCACAAGATCGGCAACGCGCAGAGGACAAATTTAGACCCGATACATGACTATTGACTGTGTAATGAGGGTCCGTACACCGAAGGATTACAATGGAGATGATTGCAAATTAAAATGACTTTGATTGAAACTAACTGATCCCTCTCACATATCACCATACCATCAACCAGAATGGAAGAGGACCTTTCAGACCTCCTCGACACCCACCAGGACCGACCGACCGAAGTCAGACGTCGAGACCAGGTCAAGATCATCACCACTCCCTGGACCAGAACACAGACACTGAGAACAGCACGCGTAACAGTCGAGGCGGGAGTAAAAAGGTTTCACTTTAGGGCATCGAGGACATAGCAGTCATCAGCAAGGGTGGAGATTCTGTGGCTCTTATAAAGAGCTTAGAAAGAGGACGTCTACTCTAAAGTGATTCTTTGAACTGTGGGAAGAGGTCAGTAACATGCTCCAAACAGAAGTCATCCTCGAGAGAACCCAGAGGGATCCTGTAGAGGGGGGGGAGAACATACGTAGAGTCGCTTGAAAAAGAGAAGAAGGGACGGGGAGGCAGCAGATATTTATACAACTGCAGGGCCACGCTAGTGCTAAGCGAGACTAGCGTGTGTTTGTCTGGTTTGTCTGGTTAGTGGGGACGCGGTGGGCTTGTTAGCCAATCACAGGCCAGTAACTCCCTTCAGTGGATCTCCCGGGCGGATCCAACAGAGTTTTCGTCTCGTTGCCGGGTGAAGATGAGCTTTCTATTTTCATTACTTGATCAGTTGCGCTTTTGATGGGTCAAAATGGTCTATGCTTGGTCTGGATTTTACACCGACTGCCCTTTATCATCTTGACCGGCTGGAGCAACGCTGATTGGATGGTTCAATTATCTTCGGCATGCCTCGGTTTGCCGAACTACCGTATACCTCAAGTGGTATGCTTGATAGGAATGGATTTTGGCAAGATGAAGTCGAGGACAATCATGAAAGCAATCAGAATTTACTGTGGTTTGGGTTAGAATAGTGGTTGGGGGTGGGGATAGGAGCATTTTGGCTCACAATCCACAGAGTATAGATATACTGCACACTGGAAATATACATTCGCATCCGCCTGCAACGGGGCACCATATTTTATTTCGGATGGTCGACTAGATGCCTGGTCACATCAGATCCTTGTGAGTAGACAATGATATCTATCTTTGTCTTGGTAGAATACGTGAACAGAGTTTCTAACGGTACTCGATTACATATAAAAGGCCAGTCTTTTCGATGAATGACGTGAAATGAATGTTGGCCCAGAATGAACCTAGAAGCCAGTCCAGCCAAAACATAATGAAAAACATGGTGAAACTAGATTGCTAACCCAAGATCAACCCTTGACCCTTGATCCTTCTCGACAGCAGATATCTGGTGCGTCTTCCGAACATCGGGCCGCGCACACCCGCTCCCTGCTTATCCTGCGGGGATCTCCCCAGACTCACTTCATCAATCATGGCGCGTCCAAAGGTCCTGCCTGCGAACCGCTTACGCGCTAATACTGCTTGTACTGCTTGTCGCTCATCGAAGAAGCGCTGCAGCGGCTCATTTCCATGCACTAATTGCATCAGTAAGGGCCGCAGCCGGACGTGTACACCATTCAAGTCTTTCGATACTAGCCTCCGCAATCGCCCTGTACATGCTGCAGCTGAAAACACTAACTCTCCGCCATGGAGAGAAACAGTACCTGGAACACAGGTCTCTGCCAGGTCTCATACATTGGAGATCGTCAACCCTAGGCGCGAGTCCAACACGGCGTGGGAGCCGGGATCACACTCCCCCGAAGCTACACATCGGACTCACCCACGGATGCTCCGCAACCTACATGGAGAAAGAGGTACGAAGCCATATAATTCCAATGGTAGGTAGTAGGCTGAAAACCGCTTGCAGTTTATGTCGGAAAGGCTGCTTCTTTGTCATTCCTACAGTTGTTGCGGGATACCGTCACTCAGCACATTGGACCATCACAGTTCTCCCACAATGTGCGAAGCGAGGATATGTTAGAAACAGAAGCCCATCATGATGAATTGAACTTCTCCGAAGAGCGTTGCAGCGTGGACGAGAAGCGCCAGTTCATCCAAAACTATGACGCAGTGGTGGGACACCTTAACCTTCTGCCAATTCACTTTCTGACCCTGTTTTAGACAAGCAGCTTCCTGTATTTAGGATCCAGCGGTGGTATTTTATCTACATTAACGGACCCAGCGGAGCCGAAGACCGACAAAGAAAAAACAAGAGCGGCCATTGTAGACCTAATGGTTGCCATTGGAGCTCAAACGTGCCTCAATGAGCCCGAGACTGTTCAAATGGAACGCTTTTACTTTGCGCGCGGTCAAAGTAGAACGTTTGCGAATTTTCTGGAAGATCCAAGCATGGATTTGATACGAGTCTTCCTATTAATGTCATTCTACATGCTCGGAGCCTGCCGCCGGAATGCTGCCTTCATGTACCTCGGTGTGGCTTCACGCGCTGCAGTGGCTTTAGGCTTCCACGTAGACCCTTCAGGATCAATGAGCCACGATGAGCATCGTGAAAGGTAAGTTTTCTCCTTGAAAGAAGTTTGGCGGGGACTGATATAGATCAGGTCGCGGTTATGGATGAGCCTTTGCGTCCTTGACCTTATGGTCAGTTCAATCCTTGGACGTCCTTCCGCAATATCCCCTTTGTTGCCAGAGAATCGACAAAATACCAGTCACGGAAGGACTGATTCCGCCGCTACAGGGCTGGTGGCTTCGTATCATTTATCGTTTATTTTGGACGAGATAGTCAACCGCTTATATAGCGAGAAGGCTGCATCTACAGAAACAGCAGATATGCTGTTGGGAAAACTCAACTATTGGAGCGAGAATCTCCCGCGCTCATTGAGAACTAGGGCTTTAGGTCAGGAAGATGAGAGTGCCGCCCGAAAACATATAATTGGGAACATGCACGTAGCTTGCTCATATCATTTCGCTGTTATCTTAGTCACTCGACCATTTCTCATATCGGCATTGAGTATCCGGCTGGCCCGGCTTCATCAGAGTCTCTCAACTGGCACAGCCAGTGAACCACCCGAAGAGGACTCAGCTCATTCCCGGTTGGCAGCGGCGTGTATTGACTCGGCTGTCTACATGCTACAGACATGTCTGGAAGTCCTCCAGTCGGGGCTGCTCTTCCATAACCAGTGTATTTTAAAGTAAGAATCCCCCTTCGTTCAAGCATTCGACAAACTTACGATAGATGGCAGAGCTTTTGTGTTTGCCGCCGCTCTTGTACTCGGGTTCTCAATGTTTTCTCATCGCGAGGTTGATACCGAGATTGATAGTGCGTTTCGCGGTGCTCTTACAATTCTGCGCATGCTAGCTCCGCAGTCTGCTCAAGCGGCCCATTACCTCGAGATTACAACTATGCTTGAGTCTGCCATTACCCAGCAGCGTCAGAAACTCGCAGCCCATTCGCGACAGCGAAGAAGCCAATACGTGAACCGAATATTCAGCTTGAGCGAGAACCCAGTCACGCCGCAAGATCGGCCTGAAAGTGTCAACCAAACAGGACCCTCGACCCCACGACTTGCGCCGGGTGTGCCATCTTCGTGGTTACAGTCGGAGGATGGAACAGGTGCTGTCACACCTTTGCTTGAAGGGACTTTACTTGAATGGGAGGGAATGGACCTGCCAATGTGGGACAGTTTCCCATTTCTCACCGAGGCTTCAATCCTTTGAAGAACTACTGTGTTAAGCAAGATATTGACGAATCGACATACAGTCATGCATGATTGACCTCATAGATATCTTCCTGGCAGAGATGATTTGACGATTTCCTTTTTAAACCGAAGATTTCACGACCGGAGACACGAAGCCAGCCGGGTAAAGATTCGAAGTGTCCCAGTAAAGTTGGTATACATCAGTAACATCTGTCTCCTTGACACGGAAGGAGTCACTCAAAACACCACTCTCGTCTTGCCACATGATATATCTGCCGTAAAAAAGGAAATTGGCAACCACTGCATCACTGGGAGTCTCGATGCCATTTCCAGTGAAGCCAACAGGTAGTATCTGGTTGGCAGTGGGACGGATGTAGAAGGTCGTGTCATCATCTAGTATGATATCAGTGTTGGCGGCAGTAGCATACAGTCGGGTATCATTGAAGACAACTAAGAAGGTGTCAACTTAAAATCAAACCCAGTCATCAAAGAAAAATTGTACAGGTGATGTCGGTAGTCACCGATCCCTCCCATTTGGAAGCGTCGCCAACATACGCAAGTCCTAAGTATGGGTCAGACAGAAACTTGAACATTTTGATGAGTGTTGATTACCATCGGAATAGAAAACATTGACGGCTGAATTAGCGACACCATAGGCAATTAGAGAAAAAGAGCCGGTTGGATAGCGCTTTTCTAGCCCATTCGATATGGAGGGCGCAGCCATAGCATATGTCGCCCAAAACAAGGTGGCGAAGAGGGGCAACTTCATGTTTGATAGTTGGACCGATCCTAAAATATGACAGGCATAATAGCGCTTGGTGAGTTGTCTTTATAATCTTGCTGGTATCAAACGATAAAATCCACGTGCGGTTTGATGGTGACGCGGCCTTTGTAATGTCGAATGGCTGAACCTATCCCCAGCTAATAGGATGACCGCAATGAATCCTTCAAATTGGTTTGCCTTGGCGGTCTCTTACTATTGCAACCAGACTCGGTGTAAGTAATCTCTGACTTTGAGGGCGACCCAAGATTTAGTTTAGGAGATATACTTCTATTCAACCCTATCTGTATCTTGAAAGTAGAGACTGGTTGTAAAGGAACTAAACTCGGAGTCCGAACAGCACACTTGGAGCATTTTCGAATTGGGTCACAGTGAGAAAAACGCAGGCCCCTTATGCCTTCTATTGGCTGGCTTACTTCCCGAGTGGCTGGGAGGTCGACCAAGTACAAAGTTCTTATTTCCTGCGCTGTAACCCCTTAATTTTGGGTTCATCGTGGGATTTCCGTGGATGTGGCTGCAGTTACCATGAACAGGTTCTTATGACAGCTCAGAGTAAACATGTATCCTCATTTGACATCTCGTTAGAACCCCAGAGTTCATGGTTTGGATAGAAGTATTCTGACGCTCGGTTGCTCAAGTTGCTTAAGCTCCCCTTCAACAAACTACGCATAAGAATTATTACAGAGAGAGTGAGAAAAAAACTTAATTAAATTGAATTCGAAAAAAAAAAAATTAAACAAACTTATTGATTACTCAGAAAGGTAGAAAGACGACTGTTGGCCCTATGTTTTTGTTGTTAACGTTCACTGCCTCAGCATGAGTGAGAAGGCGCTCGAGGTCAAAGGCAACCTTGTGGTCTTCTATTGAAATAGATTTCAGAGTACGTATCAATGAAGGAAGTACTGGCATGATACTCGCGCAGAGATTTTGAAGGTTAGTAGGTTTCGCATCGGCAGTAGTGGTCATAAGCTCCTTCACCTCGCGGTGAACTTCTTCCAGCTGCTCAATGATTCTCGGGCGATGATTTGAGGAAAAGCTAGGGGCCTGTAAATCATGACGCTCTAGGTTATGACGGCGACCTGGGTAGTGCCTTAGGTTGTTTATTTGACTGCGCAGAATACGCACGAAGTGATCGCATTTTGTGTCCATGATGGCTTGTGATTTGATAATGTCGACACGGTTCTGTCAGATTGCTCTTAAATATTGTTCTGGTCAATGATGCAATGAGATGTGATGGCAGTGAGGCAATTTATACCTTTCTAGCCAGCTGATGTGCAGGGATTTACGTAGACTACTACAGAAGACAATAGGCTTTGTCCAGCTCTTTGAGATCTTTCAGAAGTCGGCTCCACTTTGTGGTGGTTCGGTGACCCAATAGTCTTTGTCAAGGTCAAATCGAAGTCCAAGTCCGAAGTATAAAGAAGCAAAGAAGCAAAAGAAGAAAGGAAAAAAGATAAAGATAAAGATAAGATAGCGGGCAGCGGGCCGCACCACGTCGGCTCCGCTCCGGTGCCTCATCCGTCCCGACGTATAGATAAGTGATGAACACATAAGAGCATCTCAACAGCTGCAGTTCCCTTCACTCCCTTTGTATTCTATCAATATTACATCTTCTCACAAAACTTCTTCATCTTCTTTTTTACCATCCCCTTTCATATCACGCAAATCATGTCTGGCTGGCGCAGTCTCAACGTCGGCGTCATCGGTGGTGGCATCGGCGGCATGTGTGTCGCAGTTGCGCTCCGTCGCGCAGGACATAATGTGACCATTTATGAGAAGTCTGATTTCGCAGGAGAAGTGGGAGCCTCAGTCTCATGCGCTGCCAACGGCACCCGATGGCTTCACGAGTGGGACATCGATGTCGCCAAGGGTGATCCCGTGGTCTTGAAGAAGCTTATCAACCGCGACTGGAAGACCGGGGAGCCAGTCAGTGTCTATGACCTTGAAGATTACGAGAGGCGCTGGGGATACGTCTACAACATGTTCCACCGACAATATATGCATGCTATGCTGAAGGATGCAGCCCTGGAAGAAGGCAAGGGAACCCCAGCCACCCTCAAAGTCAACCACCGCGTAAGTGACAGGATCGTGAGCTTAAACTTTTGATATATACTGATTCATCTTCTATATATAGTGTCGCAGTATCGATATGGAGACGAGCAAAATAATCTTCGAGAATGGAGAAGAGGTACAACACGATCTGATCATTGGCGCCGATGGGATCGGATCGGCCGTTCGTGGCATTCTTGGAATTACACCCGAGAAGCGCGCATCGGACCAAAGCTGCCTTCACACGAACGTCACCACTGAAGAAGCAGTCCGACTTGGACTAGTCGACTACTCCAAGAACAGCGCATTGGAGTACTGGGGTGGCCAAGAAGGAAAATGGGACAAGATCGTGTTATCTCCCTGTAACGGCGGCAAACTGCTCTCATACTACTGCTTCTTCCCTCGCGAGCAAGGCGACTACTCAACACAAACCTGGGGTGCCGAAGAACGCCCCGTCGAGGAGCTCCTCAACCCATATCCCCAACTGGACCGTCAAGTGTTTGCGCACTTGAAGATTGGAACAGAGATCAAGCCCTGGCGCCTCTGGGTCCATAAACCCTACCCTTACATTCAGCGCGGAAATGTTTGTCTCCTGGGTGATGCTGGACACCCTATGATGCCACACCAGAGCCAGGGAGCCTGCATGGCTATTGAGGATGCAGCGGCTCTCGGAATCCTCTTCAACAAGCAATACTTCAATGGAGATATTTTGCAGGCCTTGGCTGTTTATGAGGAAGTGCGTCTCCCTCGTGCCACACGTGTACAGGCCGCAGCAGCAAAGGCAGCATACAATATCAACGAGAGAATCGGTGAGTCTCCTCGGTTGCAGGGTGCGGTACAGTGTGCTGATGATCCATAGGATTCTCCGTCAACAAGGATATCCCCACATACAAAGTCGAGGACGCAAAACAGGTTCTCACGATTGAAGAAATGAATGCGTGAGTTCCCCCTTGTCCTGACTGACCCAAGCCCAAACTAATGAAACCCAGCTACGACATGTACCGAGACATTGAAGAGAAGCTCGCAGCCAAGCGCGGGACAACATATACCGACAAGTTCATTTCAGGGCTCCCGATCGGACTCGAATTACCGAACGGGATCACCATCGGCGAGTCCAAGCTATGACCGGCGATATCAACTAGCCACAGAACCAATAATATAGAGCCTTCCGCATGTGACAAAGATTGTACAAACACTCGCATGAAACCATCAATACCCGAATGTATCACCTGAGTTCTTGTAACATTGGTATATTAAGCCCTGTATGATGTGCATGCCCCACGGTAATCCTTTTAGAAAATATCAAAATGTCCAATCGGTTGAACGGTTTGATACTCGGTCGGGGTATCTCCCCCGAGCGGGGTGCATTAACCCGGCGGGACGCGCGGGGAGCGTTGCGCAGTCAAGTCTGACACTTGACACTTCATGGAAGTAATGCCTGGAAAGTAATCAAGCATTGTAGTGGATTGGATTGGGTGAGAGTCAAATTTCATGGAGATCAGTACTGTACAATGTAGGGGACAATAAGCGAATCCGTCTTTACAGCGTACTTTATACTCTACAGAATATTACACAAGAATCAAATAGGTAGAATCCAAGCCTTTCAATTTGTATTATATACAAAACAAACATTTCCAGTCATGTATCATCATTGCATCGGTTTTATATTTGGTTGTTTTTTTTAACGTTTTTAACCGAAAAGGGCGTCACCCAGGCGGTAGTGAACCGTCTTGACCTGGGTGTAGTTCTCGAGGGCGTAGGAACCGAGCTCACGGCCAAGACCGGACTCCTTGAAGCCACCGAAGGGAGCCTGGTAGGAGATCAGGTTGTAGCTGTTAATCCAGACAGTACTGCAGCCGTGTTAGCACTAATCTTGTGTGAAAGGGGAACTTTGTAACTTACCCAGCCTTGAGAGCGTTGGAGACACGGATGGCAGTGTTGACGTTCTTGGTGTGGACTGCTGCGGCGAGACCGTAGTTGGTGCTGTTACCAATGCGGATGGCATCGGCCTCATCCTTGAACTTGGTAACCGCAATGACGGGACCGAAGATCTCTTCCTGGGCGATCTTCATATCAGGAGTGACATCAGTGAAGACGGTGGGCTGAATGAAGTAGCCCTCGGTTCCGTGGCGCTCACCACCGACGGCGACGGTGGCACCCTCGTTCTTGCCGTGCTTAATGTACTCCATAATACGGTCGAACTGGAGCTGAGAGACCTGGGGACCCTGGAAGGTGTCGCCCTCGAAGGGGTTGCCGAGCTTGTTCTGGGCGGCACGCTCCTTGAAACGAGCGATGAACTTGTCGTGGATACCCTCCTGGACGAGCAGGCGAGAACCGGCACAGCAGCACTGGCCGTGGTTGAAGAAGATACCGAAGTTGGCCCACGAGATAGCGTTGTCAATGTCGGCGTCATCAAAGACAATGTTGGGAGACTTGCCACCAAGCTCAAGAGTGACCTTCTTGAGGTTAGACTTGGCGGCGGCCTGAAGGACCATACGGCCAACAAGGGTAGAACCAGTGAAGGCAACCTTGTCAATGTCCATGTGGCTGGAGATAGCGGCACCGGCGGTACGGCCGAAACCAGAGATGATGTTAATAACACCGGGGGGGAAGCCGGCCTCGACAATAAGCTTAGCGGCGTAGAGACCAGACAGAGGAGTCTGCTCGGCGGTCTTCAGGAGGACGGTGTTACCGGCCGCAACAGCAGGGCCAATCTTCCAGGCCCACATGAGCAGAGGGAAGTTCCAGGGAATAATCTGGCCACAGACACCGACGGGCTCGTGGCGAGTGTAGGAGAGGGTCTCGGGGTTGGTATCAATAGTCTGACCAGTGATCTTGTCAGCCCAGCCACCGTAGTAGCGGAGACAGCCCGCAGCGTTGGCGATATCAATCTTGGCCATAGTGACGGCCTTTCCGTTGTCCAAAGCCTCAATGGAAGCCAGAGTCTCCATCTCGCGCTCGAAGAGGTCGGCGAGCTTGGTGAGCATGCGGCCACGGTCTGAGGGGGGGTCACCTTCTTCCAGGGACCCTCGAAGGCGGCACGGGCAGCCTTGACGGCGACGTCGACATCCTTCTCGGTGGCTTCGTGGACGGAGGTGATGGGCTTCTCATCGGTGGGGTTGAGAGTCTCGAAGGTCTTACCCTCGACACCCTTGATGAACTCGTTGTTAATGAACCTAGAGGGGGGGAAAGAGGGGTTAGAGTAGCTTCTCAGGATGAAGAGTAGAGAGAGGGAGGGGGAGCTTACAAGCCAAGGGGCTGCTCATATGTCACATTGGGAGTCTTAATGGTAGTAGAAAGCGACATGATGAAGGTATGAAGAGAGCAAAGAGAAAGGGAGGAGAAAGAGAGTTTTATAAAGCTTGCGGGGTTGACGCCACTTGGGAGCTGCCGTATTGTTGTAATCCGAGCAAGTGAAAATTACCTCGGGGTGATTACATAGCGAAATCCCGGTTTCGGTTTTTCCTCTGTTTCTTTTTCTGTTTCGCTTTCTTTTCTTCTCGATTTCCTTCTCTCGTGTGGACAAAGTCTCCGGTCTAATCATCTTGGCAACATGCCTCAATGGACCCCTTCTCGGCCTCAGACCGAGGCTATGCGCGCCGTACCCCGAGTACCCCAAGGGCACTCGAGGAGGGGGGATTTAGCTTCCCCGGGTCTCTTGCGAGGGGCATCTCACATTCCGTCGAGTCTCATTCGAGAACCTTCAGAGCGGTCTGCGGGATGAAACCGCGTTACTATTACCTCTCTGGGACAAGCTTGACACTCCGATGGGTTCAAGGACCAAAGGAGGGGCAGTGGGCCCAATATGATCATCGTGATGTGACCGCGGGCCAATATCTCCCCGATATGTTGATCACCTTTTTCAGCTAATGCTGCTGATGCATTAGTCTCACGCTTAGTGCCGTGTGTAACGTACTGTATATCACAGAGCTGCCATGATGAGGTGGGTGAAGGCCTGCTGTTACTAACAGTACAGTAAAGCGTCCGGTAATTCTAAACCAGACCTGGTGGCGTACGCTATTGATCTTTAGCTAGTTTGTGAAAAAGGTGAGATAACCCAGTGGGGTGTATGCTCTGTATTTTTTGGGTATATGAATAGGAAATTTGAAGCATCTCTCGTCTTGTATCTCCATCTCTATAGACATCGTACCTTACTGTATGCAGGTTGGAGGGAACGACGGGGGAGATTTGTCACACAAAGTTTGAGCTTAGCCCCGCCATACACCGCCTACTGTTTTGGTCAGCACTGCCAAGATCCCCGCTACGGTGAGTTTCATATCTCTTCTGTTTCTCCCGTTGGGGGACTGTGATCTAATCTACTGGGACTGTTGAAATGTTTCTTCAAGTTACATTATATCGGAGGGAGAATCAGCAAGAATTGGAGATAGCCTAGAAGTGCACAGGCTGACTAAGATGGCTGCTGACGGCAGAAACTTAAGCCTCCGCATGTGGGGTTGAAGCTGTTACCCCGGTCACCTGACCCTACACGGTGCAATGCTCTGTGACATGTAGATGAGCTTTTCTCCTTCTCAATAATGAGTCGGTCCAATCAGGATATTTTTGAGGACTCAATTGTTAGACTAGAGTTCTATCCATGGGTACAGTATCGGTATTGACTTGGCAAGCCCTCCCCCACTTCACAGCTTGCCGCGGGTTAAAAAACGCACCGGAAGATCGACGTGGCGCGCTCGGAGGTATTCTGCCACATTCTTGCCGAGAAAGTCGACAGTGGTGGTTACGCCGACGCCTCGATCCAACAGGTTGCGGAACAAGAAATGCACCGCATGAAGCTTGGGCAGTTCAAAGCGCTCAACGGCTAGATCAGGCTGTTGACGGCCCGTGTCTCCCAGTAGTTCCTGCGCCGTGTCGACAGACAGTAACGCCCTGAGCCATTGATACTCATCGCGGTGTCGCACCCAGAAGCCGCAATTGGCATCTGCCCCCTTGTCTCCGGAGCGAGCATGCACAATCCAGCCAAGGGGGCCGCGAGTCGTCGGCCCAAAGTCCCGGGCAAGGTCGATAGGCCCCTCGGTCTCTGTGACAGGCCGTGATGGCTGGCGCTCCGGGTAAGTTTGAGTGCTGGGTGGGGGTGAAATGTCCAAGATTTGCGTGGGTTCGTTGGGCTTCCACGGCATGTGAACACGGTGCTGGACTGCGGACTGGGGCATCAAGCTGACATAGTACTCAAAGACCGGCCGGGGGAATCCCTGCCGCATATCCAAGTGGAAGGTAGCGCCAGGGTATCCTTGCATGATGTTATCCGAAATGGGCTTGAGGAAACGACTGGGAGCAATATCCTCTGACCGTCGTGCCTGCACCACGATGCGCAAGGGGACGGTGGCGCGGTTCTGGTCGTGCGGATCCGGCAGAGCAGAGCCCAGCAAGTCAAATTTGAGAGACGTATACTGATCAGAGAAGGGCGCCAGCTGATGACGGATTTGCGCCTCCAGCATGCGGGCTTTGGCTTCGATATCCAGGCCAGTCAAGAACCACCATGCCTCTGCCTGGAACCCACCCCGGGCAGTGATACCGACCTTGGTGGTAGGCGGAGGAGGGCTCGACCGAACTCCAAGGACTGCGACTCTGTTGACACCTCGCTGCTCGAAATGAATGCCATCGAGGACCGAGGTGACGTCGGAGTTGAAGTACCAAGGTCCCTGGATCTCATAGAGAAGTTGTGAAGTGCAGGTGTCAACAGTGACCGCCCCACCGGTGGAATGCGCCTGCTTGGTGATCACAACCTCGCCTTCGGCAGAGATCTCAGCGATGGGATAGCCGATATTGGTCCACGCATCTTGACCCGCGTGCTCCAGTGCTTTGAACCCGGTGAAGTTGCCACCGCAGACATAGTTGCTACACTCAATGAGATGTCCCGCCACAAAGGCGTTGGCGAGCTTGTCCAGGTCCTCGCGCTGCCAGCCATGGTACCAATAGGCCGATCCGATGACAGGAGAAGCATCCGAGACTCGTCCGCAGAGCACAATGTCCGCACCATCTGCAAATGCGGCCGCGATCCCCAGACCGCCGAGGTAGCATTGGGCATAGATAGGCTCGAACGACCAATCGGCCAATCGCTCGCCCGTGTAGACATTGCGGAATTCAGACCCTGAGGCCAGTCCTTTCTGGACGGTCGTCAAGACCTCATCTCCCGAGATCCATGCAACCTTGATACGATTAGCGACTGCTGATCACCATGGAGACCAACCCAACCTTCAAATCCAGCTTCTTCGCCTGCACCATGCGCACGACCACCTCGTAGAGACCCTTTGTATCTGTGACTCCCGCATTGACCGCAAGCTTAATCCCATGCTTGGCCAGATCCTCCAGGGCTGGCTCCACAGCCTCCAGGAACGACAGATCATAGGCAGGGTGGGAGCTCGCCTGGTCCACGCGCCGACCCGCGGCGGTAGCCATGTTGTACTCGCTCATGAAATCCGCAATGATCACATCGATCGGGTCCGTCGGGTGGTGATGCGCGAATTCAGCGATGGCTTTACGCCGGTCCGAGGTGGACCCCGAGGCACCTGGAGAGGGGGGGGTCAGTTGGAGTGCATGTTTATAGATCGAGGACTGCGACTGACCTGCAATACGAATAGATCGGCTCTTGGTCATGGTAATTGCAATGGTTGAAGAATTCACATCTAGGATCGAACAGAAGGCCTGTCAGACCGCATGCGGCCGAGGTGACTTTGGGGTCCTCGGCTTGGAATGCGGGGAACTGTGAAGTTTTGGAGATGCAATTCATAGTCTCCAACTACGAATGATATATATCTATACGAGTAATGTTAAGATTAACGGACGGGAAAGAAGAGATAGTAGTGTCAAGTAATAAATAATATAAGCTCACGCTTACGAAACATAGCAGTTTATGTACAGACTAGATCCAATCTAGTTTGATGTCCCAAAGCCCTAACAAGAAAACGCCAGGCCAGTTATCCCAGAACCAAATCAAAAAAAGTCAAAAATAAATCAAAAAGTCGAGTTGCTTTTCCCAAGGAAGCAGGTGTATTCGCGGATGGGAGTAGTGCATGATGTTGCAGATGTTAGGGGGAAGAGGGTGGCAAGTAATGCGGAGCGGATAAAGGTGAGGTTCGAGGTATAAGAGGTAAGATGTAATGTCGACAAGAAAATCAAGGTGAAACAAGCCCCAGGCTTGAAATCACAGAAAGAAACACGCTCAAGGGATATCGAATAAAGACGCGATGAAAACAAAGTTGCTGATGAGGATGAAAGTCAAGACGGAAGGTGAGGAAGATATTAGTTCTCGGTTTTCTCGTCGACAGGCCTCAATACAGGCACCTCGCCAGTGGGATTGGTGTCCGGGGGGTGCTGCTCGGCAACCTGGCGAGGAGCGGGTGCGATCTTGACTTCATGCATAGCCATGTCGCCCTCACTGCCGGCGTGGCTGCTGTGGCTGATCTCGCCGTTGGGTGAGTGTCCGTCGAGCATCATCTCGCGCGGGGGGTTGCCGAGCATCATTTCACTGTGCTCGCCAATACCGTAGCGCTGGGCGGCGGGGATCTGGTGGCCGTCTTCGAGCTGGTCGTGGTTCTGGGGTGTCCAGGCGAGGTAGTCACGGCGAACCTCAACGTAGTCGTAGGCGAACTCGCCCAGCTGATCGTCGTCCATACCGAGCAGTTCGGCTTCCTCACTGGCGCGCAGGTTCAGACCGGGGATGGCGTTGATGGCGTAGGCGATGATGGCCGACATGACGAAGGCGTAGGAAGCGGTCGCGACGATGTAGGCGATCTGAATATAAAGCTGCTTGTAGTTGTGGATGACCCAGCCGCCGACAGCGGTGCCGGTGTTGACACCGTCCAGGCCGACAATGGCGTCGTCACCGAAGAGGGCGTTGAAGACGAGTCCAACAATACCCGCAATACCGTGCTCGGCCAACACATCCATAGAGTCGTCGATGCGGATCCAGAACTTGATCTTGGTGGAGTAATTGCACACTACGCCGGTCACCACGCCGAGAATCACACTGGCCCAGGGAGAAATGAACCCGGAGGCCGGGGTGGCTGCGACCAAGCCAGAGATGGTTCCAGAACACCAGCCGACCATGGACCACTTGCGCGCCAGACGCCAATCGAGCAGAACCCAAGTGATGGCCGCAAAGGCCGCCGTCAGGTTGGTGTTCCAGCAAGCCATAGTGGCACGCAGGTTGGCACCGAAGGAAGATCCACCGTTAAATCCGAGCCAGCCAAACCAGAGGAAAACCGTGCCGAGCAGAATGAGCGAGACGTTGTGCGGGCGGAAGTTGAGCATCATGCGTTCCTGTCGGCGACCGAGGACCATGGAGTAGGCCAGCGCAGTGAATCCGGATCCGATTTCGACGGGACCACCACCGGCGTAGTCCATGACACCATACTTGTACGCCCATCCGTTGACGTTCCAGGCCCAGCAGGCCAGCGGGCAGTAGACGATGGTCGCCCAGATGAAGGTGAAGACCATGGCGGGTAGCAGGCGACCGCGTTCGGCGACGGCTCCCATCACAATTGCAGCGGTCACCCCACAGAATTGCATCTGGTAGAAGGCGTAGAGCAGATTTGGCACCAAGGGCGACCCGGGACTAGGATCCGCCAACGTCTTCATCAATCCAAAGTTGCGCAGGTTACCGATATATCCATTGGTCGCGGTCGGCGAGAAGGCCAGCGAATAACCCCAAAAGTACCACTGGAAGGTCACGACAGAGAACGAGGCCATACACGCCCAAATCATACTCAACGCGGACTTTCTGCGCGCCAATCCGGAGTACAAGAAGCCGAGACCGGGAATCATGACCATGACCATGGCCGAGGCCACAATGATGTAGGCCTGGTCACCCGATTGGAACCATTTGTTAACATTTTCAATTCCTGTGCAGAACACGTTAGAACAAGCACTGGCTCAAATGGCAGAAGTTGCATACGGGAATCGCCGCCCAAGTCGACGTTGGTTGAAAGGTCGTAGTTTGCGGGAGCGCCCACCCAGTTGTAAGACGCGTAGTCGGGGGCGTAGGGAGCTTTGCCGTTGAACGACATGATGAGCTCTAGGGGAATATGTGTGATCTCACGAATTGAGAAGGTGAGAAGGAGAGAAGTAGGGGGAAAGTGAAAAGGGAATTTGCCACGGGAGAGGGCTTATAAGGAAATCTGGAAGCGTGGAGAGGCCAAAAGTTCAGTGATAAGTCGGGATCGACAGCGTCTCCACTTTCGAGATTTGAACGATTTCAAGGGAAATCAATGGTCATCAAGGGGAGAAACTGAACAGGGGAAAAAAAAGAAAAGAAGATAGAGAGCCCGGCAACAGGACGATTGGTATAAAACCGAAGAAAACAGACGATCGCGGTTCAGCAGGAGAAAGTCGGGAAAAGTGGTGTAGTCAGAGATTGTGACAATAGCAATGGGATAATCAGCCCCTGCAGCCAATCACCGTCGCGACTGTCGACTACGGCTCCTGTTGGTCGTGAAGGGGTTTAATGTGAGTGGTGAACGGTGGAATGGTGCTTTCCCCGGTCACTGAATTCGCTGTCACTGCGATTCAGGTGCGTGTCTCGGCTGAATTGGCCGTGATACTTGTACAGACCGGCGGGGAGGTGGCAAATCCTCTTCGTATTGCGGTGGTCATCCCCGAGGCATCTGGGCAGCACTGCTCTCTCGATGCCTGGCCCCGAACCCGCCGGTGAACCTCTCTCGGCAGTGACTTGCACTCCGGGGAAGAGTTCCTGGGGGCCCTGTCGAGTGGATTCTCGTCACGGAGATCGGGTCACCGTGGTATAGATATAAACGTGCCAGACTACCAACCCTATTTGACCTTTGTTCCCATCTAGATAGCTTATCTCCCGGCAACGCGATATATGCAGGTACCCTGGACTCTACTCGCGAGTCTCAACGGCGGGGACAGCCTCCAGCGGCACTTATCTTGCACCTGCGCACGCGGAGAATCCTCCCAGGTCAATCCGCCCGCCGCAATTGGACCGTTGGCCTTCCAATCTCCGAGCTCCCATTGGCTGCAGATAAAGCAACCGTCGCCACGGGCAGTGGGTCCCGCCAGGCGCCAAGCCTTTCTGTATGAGGACTAGCGTCAATCGGTTCCAGGGAGTCAACGATTGGCGACAGATAAGGTGTTTTGCCTCACTTCCCGAATCTTCCCGATCCCGAGCTGCCCCCGAGTTCGGGGGGACCCCTAGCATCGGGGGAAACACCATTTCAGTAGCTGTACACTATGGGTCCCGTCATGGGGGACACAGTGAAAGAACAGGAACATTCCCAGCTTTCGACTGTACAGAACACTCGGCAGCATTCGGCACTCTGTAGACTCTGCATATTCTGCATACAGTACTCTGCAGTAGTGTCGTTTTATTGGGGCGCTAGGCGCGGTGATCCGCCCCCACGGGACCGGGTCTTCAGCCTCTTGGCCAGATCCGGTCGACTTGCATTTTCGCGGGTAAAAATAGCTTTGGGTTGTCTAGTTCATCAAATCCTTCTAGTTCATCGGATATCTTTCTAGTCTATGATTTAGTCTGCCCGGTGGACTCGATATCACAGTAACGGCCATATTGTCATTCTCGATCCCGGGGTCATTCGGGTGGCGCAACCATATCTACAATATAGTGTAGGTGTCACGCTCTATATATATATCCGTGGAAACGGTCCGCTCAAACTTTGGGTGGCAACTCTATTTTCGAGGCAAAACGTATAGCCGTCTCCCATGGAGATACCAACTTTGAGTTTACAAATTAAAATGTACATCGAGATAGTTGCTCGGTGAGAAGCAAGACCCGTCCTGCAGTAGCTCATTGACTTGATTTCTGGCTCATATTGCCATTGCTGTTTGCGGTCTTCAACAAGTAGGCCGGCTGGCCCAATGGCAAGGCGCTTGACTACGAATCAAGAGATTGCAGGTTCGACCCCTGCGTCGGTCAATTTTTTTTGTTTTATTCTGTCATCAACTCAATATTCTCAACGTACTGTACGTGGTAGGACTCGTTGTTCTTTTTCTTTCTTGCTTTCCTTTTTTTTTTTTTTTCCCCAGGACTCAGAAGGATGAACCAAGATCCTATATCGTTGGACAACCCTTCCTTCCAATTTATTTGTTTCTCCTACACCAGGAAGCCTACGATAGACAATGAACCTATCTACAGAAACTGTACGACTCTACTGTACAAGATATCCAGGAAGCCAAGTCCTTCGCAGGCCAAGGGACGGGCCTGTAAAACCAGAAGAATGCACGGAAGGTCTCTATTATGTATATAGGGATATCAATCAAACATGAGAAACTACATTTACCAGCCTCAACAAATCTATGCGACTGGCAGCTAGCCCATCCAAACATGGAAAGCACATCAAACATTGACACTGTACCCAGAGCCCACCCCACGGCGACGACGGATAGCATGCAAATACTTGCGACCCTCATCAACCCAGAACACAGAACTAGTAATGCAAACAAGTTTAACCAGCGACCCAAAGGCAAGAGGCTCGGTCTGGAAGATGCGCTGTAGGAAAGGGAGGTAGATGACGCAGGCCTGACCAGCCAGTGAGCCAAGAACGGCATAATTGAACATCTTGTTGCCGAAGAGGGGCATTTCGCCACGAAGAATGGATTTGCCTTCGCTGCGGCAGGTCAGGGCGTTGAACATGTCAAAGAGGACGAAGCAGGTGAATGTCATGGTTGTGTCGTGGGCTGTTACGACCCGGGACCGCTTGTCGACGGGTGAGCCGTCATCGATGTCGCCCATTTCGTGAATGTAGATTGAGAGCGTTCCGATCATGATGACCATGGCTGAGGTTAGGACTCGTTGAATCAGAGGTCTTGTTAGAACGCGAGCTGTCTTAGGTCGGGGCGGGCGGTTCATGATGGTTGGGTCGACGGGCTCAACTCCTAGGGACTGAGCGGGTGGGCCATCCATCAGGATATTGATCCACAAGATCTGCATGGCGTTCAGCGGGTTCTTGAATCCAAGAGTAGTGCTCAGAAGTACAAGACTGAGTGCAGCCACACTGGTGCTAAGCTGGAACGTAATGAAGTTTTGAATGTTATAAAAGATGCCCTTGCCCTGTTCAATCGCCCGAAGGATAGTCGAGAAATCGTCATCGGTGAGAATCATATCCGCCGCCTCCTTGGCAACATCGGTGCCAAGCTTGCCCATCGAGATACCAATATCGGCCTTCTTGAGAGCAGGTGCATCGTTGACACCATCTCCAGTCATAGCAACAACATCGCCGCGAGATTGAAGTGCTTGCACAATTTTCATCTTATGATCGGGGCTTGTACGGGCAAAGATGGAGACAGTTGAGATCGCCTGGGTAAGTTCGGCGGCAGTCATCCGGTCGAGTTCATCACCTCGGATGACAGAGCGTGCATTTGGAGACTTGCTGATTGGCATGCCCAACTTGGTCGCAATGGCCACGGCGGTTGTCTCAGCATCACCAGTAATCATGATGATTCTGACACCGCCGGCCATCAAGCGTCGAATAGATTTGTGTACATCCTTGCGCGGAGGATCGTTCATGCCGACCAATCCGGCAAAGACCAAGCCGTTGTATCGGTCGTCCTCATCAACGGGGCTTGGCTTGGACGTAGGTGTGCCGGAACGGCTACCAAAGCTTCGGCTGCCCCTAGAGGTGTCTCGCACAGCTCCACTGGCGAAAGCGAGGACTCGCAGACCCTCAGCTGCCATGCTTTCTGCTGCGTCACGAATGATTTTGCGCCGGACTTCATCCAGAATAACCTCACGGCCATCCTTCGTAAGATAAGTGTCGGAGCGTGCCAGGACCTGCTCGAGAGCACCCTTGATATAGGCAACATGAGAGTTGCCATATGATTCACCAGAACTACCAATAACTACACCCATCCATTTGCGCTCCGAACTGAAGGGAGTTTCATGAACGCGAGCAGCAATACGATCACGGACGTCGTCCTCTCCTAACGTATCCAGAAGATCCAGAATCGCCACGTCGGTAGGTTGACCCACCCATCTACTCTTGGCGGCAGCCGAGTCACCGTCCAGAGTAGATGAAAGCACTGCCGCAGAAGAAGCACTGGCTGGAGAGTTGGCATGGATTCGTGACAACCGAGAGTTATTGGCAATATTTCCAACGCGAAGGATGGTTTGTGCTGCTGGCCCGGGAGCCACCGCCGAGGCTGCATCTCTATTCATGTCGAATGGCTCTGCGCAGTCGAAATGCCACATCTTGGTCACAGTCATATGATTGAGAGTGAGAGTTCCAGTCTTATCAGAGCAGACAACATTGACAGAACCAAGCGTTTCAACACTAGGGAGCCTCCGCATGATAGCGCCTCTCTTAGCCATGCGCAAAACCCCAAGAGCCAGAGTAACAGTCACAATAATAGGCAATCCCTCGGGAATGGCAGCAACTGCCAGAGAAACGCCAATGGTGAACATCTCGAGTATCTTGCGACCTTGCAAGAGACCAATTACAACAATCAATCCAATGACACCAAAGGAGATGTAGCTTAGTTCCTGGCCCAAACGATCCATAGACAGTTGCAAAGGTGTTCGCGGACTTTCAATCTCCTGCAAGGAAATTGAAATGCTGCCAAATTCTGTCTTTGCACCCGTTGAAATAACAATACCCTGACCATAGCCTGAGCGAACCAATGTGCCCATGAACGCAATGTTGTGCTGCTCGTTCAACCGAATATCGGCACCCACAGCTCCGGTAGCAGGTGCATCGTAGAACGGAGAGCGAGGCGGGATTGGCGCATTCGCTGGGGCAAGCCCATTGGATGAGGTGCGCAGGGCTTCCGCATACTTCGACACGGGTTCGTTCTCACCGGTCAAATTCGATTCGTCGATGCTCAAATGTGTAGCGGCGGTGATTCGAATATCGGCGGGGATGCGATCTCCAGTAGTGAAAAGGACGAGGTCGCCAGGCACTAGCTCGGCCGCGGGCACGGTCGAAGAGGCCTTGATCGCCGCAGCTGCCGAACCCGGACTTTTGCTTCGGATTTCCTGCATTTCCTCTCCAGAGTCTCGTGTTGGAGAACCGCCATTATCAGCCGCAGCGTGCGTTGCAGTAGGCAGATCACGGATCAAATGAGCGTAATGAGGGACCAAGCGGCTCAATGCCTCCAAGGACTTCTCCGATCGGTACTCTTGAACAAAGCCCACTGTCACAACGATTGTCACGGCGAGTGTAATACTGATAGCGTCGTCGAGATTTCCCATCAAGAATGATATACCGGCAGAGGAGAGTAGGAGAAGGATGAGCGTCTCCTTGAATTGCTTGAGGAATCTTAGCCAGAGCGGTTCTGGCTCTTCGTGAGGAAGCTCGTTTGGCCCATCGCATGCTAACCGGATCTCCGCCTCTGCAGGGGTTAGGCCATGTAAAAGTGAGGTCCTTAATCGCTCAGCGGTCTCATGAGGCTCGAGCCACGAATATGTTGAGGTGGAGGTCTGGGGAAAGGAGACCACTTGTTAGCAATTGTGTCAAGACCACAAGCAATATCCTAAGTCACATCCCATGCAGAGTATGTTACTATATACATACCGATGACGGAGCATTTGGCCGGCCACTCATCGGGTTGGTTGAGGGAGGTCGTAAGGAGTCGTTGGATGCATTATGCAAAGGCAATGAAGGTGTTGCGGACCTTGACATTTCTCATGCTTTGTAATATGAAGGAACAGAGATAGGGTAGCGCTTTAGATATGTCGGAAATGGTTTCTCATCCCGTCTCGATGAGAATTGATTCTGCGGTAGGCCACGTTAGATGCGATCTGGCAGCAGCTTGAAACGGGGCTAGACCAACAAAAGTGGAGGCGCAAGAGTAACGACCGGGAATGAAGAGTATCGGACAAAAGATCCAAGAAGCTGCCAGTTGATCGGGTTGCTGGATGCCAAATCGCAAAAAAGACTCCGTTCACAGCTCGAGTCCTCTCCGACAGGCCACGGCCATGCTGATGCTTTACCCATTGCAGCTTAGTGATACCGGATAAATGATTAATCCGATAACATATACAGACTAGCGTAAGGAATAAGTTGTAGCCTTAGAAAAGCACACGTGAACATAATCACATGACTGCATTCCAGCCCCCTCAATTCCTGAGTCAGCGGGAATCCGTTGACGCCTGATTCCCACGCGCATCTCCCGTTCCTTTTGGTTTCTCTGCCAACTCACGTTATCCCTCGCGCGCCCCTCCTATTCTTGAATTCGATGTCGTTTCACGCGACTCGGTGATTCCATCCTCGTTTGACTGTATCTCTATTCGCTTATCCGAAACTGTGTGCGTTTGATTGCTAAGTCAATTGTTTTCCCGGTCCAGCGCGTCACCCTGTTACGCCTTATCCCCGCGCCGGGCGGGTTCTGCTCTTTTGGGCTTGGTAAACCACCCTTTGTCTCTGCATAGTATCCAGTGCGACACACACTATGTTCTATTCCGAGACTCTTCTGTCGAAAACCGGGCCTTTGGCTCGCGTTTGGTTGTCGGCGAATATCGAACGCAAACTCTCCAAGTCGCACATCCTGCAGTCCGATATCGAGAGCAGTGTCAATGCCATTGTTGATCAGGGCCAGGCCCCTATGGCCTTGCGATTGAGTGGACAGTTGCTCTTAGGTGTTGTTCGAATTTACAGCCGCAAGGCTCGCTACCTCCTCGATGATTGCAACGAAGCCTTGATGAAAATTAAGATGGTAAGTTCCTCAATGCATTTCCACGAATCATTCTAATTTGGCCAGGCCTTCCGTCTTACAAACAACAATGACCTGGCCTCTACTGTTGTCGCGCCGGGTGGCATTACCCTTCCCGATGTCCTTACTGAATCAGATCTCTTCACCAATCTCGATACGTCTCTGCTATTCCCGCAAACCCTCGACTTGGAGCCTGCTTCCAAGCGCCCTGGCACCTTGGATTTTGGAGGCGACAGTCTCCTTCCCGACAGTAGCTTCCGCCGTTCTGTTTCTCAGGAACCCGCACGCCTCGAGGACCCCTCTCTGGTTGATCTCGACTTCGGCGAGGATGAACTGCCTCTTGGAAATGACCCTACTATGGAAGTTGGTCGAGATGCTCCCGCTCCCCGACCTGTCGAGGAGGACCTTTTCAGCGACGCCGGCAAGTTCAATGATGGCGCCGACTTGGATCTTGACATTGGAGAGGATGATGGCATGGACAAGATGGATCTCGACGACGGTCACGATAACCTGAATGATTTACTACCTGATGGTGGAATGGATATGACCGATGAACACGACTTTGGTGAGGAGACTCCCCGTGCTACCGAAAATCGATTTGAGCGTGACTCGGAAAGCCCTCTTTCCGATGCTGGCTCCGACCAGATGAATCAATTAGAAGAAGAGTTCAACCGTGAAGACAATGCCACTCCTGAGGTCGTTACCACCGAGCACGCCCAACGCGCCAAGCGCCAAAAGTTCCTGGAGCTGGACCAATCGGTTGCTATTTCTACCCGAGATATCAGAGACCAGCAGAAAGACCGTTCCGCCATCATGAAGCCTGCTTCTTTCTTGCCCCGTGACCCTGCCCTTCTCGCTCTTATGACCCGCCAGCAAAACGGCAATTTCGTGTCTAGTGTGTTTGGCGAGGACCACGGTCGCGGATGGGCTCCTGAGCTGCGCGGATTGCTGTCTTTGGACTCGGTCAAGAAGGCCGGCGAGCTGAAGCGCAAGCGTGACAGTGGCATCTCCGACCTGGAGGTGGCTGGCGTCGATGTTCCTGCTCTCGAGCTTGGGGAAGATGACGCCATTGTGCCTGTTGACGAGGGTATTGTTATGGACAATACTCTCAACCTGAACCCCGAGATTCAGTTCCCTGGCGATGATGACCAGCAGGAGCTCCACTTGAGCGACGATGACCACATGAACCAGCTTGAGGAGTTGGACGACACTATCGCCCACCCGATCCACACCGAACCGGTCTCCACGGGTACCAAGCACGCTGTCCACATCCTCCGCGAGAAGCTTGGTGACGCTGAGTCCTCGCAGAATCAGCGGGTGATGTTCCAGGACCTTCTTCCTGAGCAGCGCTCCAGCAAGGCCGATGCCACCAAGATGTTTTTTGAGGTCTTGGTTCTGGCCACCAAGGATGCTGTCAAGCTGGACCAGGGCTCCAAGTCCATCGGTGGCCCTCTCGCAATTCGCGGCAAGCAGAACCTCTGGGGCTCCTGGGCCGAAGAGAACGCCGCTGGTGCTATGAGCCAGCTGAGCCAGGCTCTTTAAAGCAAAATCCTTTGATCGCAACCTCTGGGATTTACCGGCGTATTTTCTTCTTGTATAGCTCACTTTGGCATGGCTCATGGGTTGGTTATTGGCTTTGGGGATAGCATTGGCTATCAGGAGTTTGTTAGGAGTGCTCGGAGAATGGGATTCTGGGTAGTTTATGGGGGGGGACAATTGTCCATTGCAGCGACGATATGAATGCGTTTCAAATAGCTCTAATTGAACATATCACTCTCGACGTCCAATCATCTCCAATAATCTCCAGTTGTACTGTAAGTTGAGTTCCTACCGTAGAGAGTCCCAAAGGGGAAGTGGACCGGAGATTTGTTATCTCAACCACGTGTTGTGTGTCTTGGCGCATTGTTGATCTCTGAGTATAGAGTGTGAAAGGGTTGAACTCTTTGAATGCGTTCAAAGAGTTCAATCAGTTCAATAAATTCGGTGAAAAAAATACTTCAATTCTGAGATCAAAGTGCCAGTGCCATAGGAGAAATGATATCATGCGCTTTCTCAAGACCCGGAATTGCCTCCCCGTAGCTTCACGGCGCCAGATTGCCGTGATTGATCAGCTCGGCCACTGATACCTCCGATTAGAAATATTCCATATTCCACCTCAGATCTCAACCTTCAAAAACCCCCGACACTCACCGTGGCCTCCATGGATGTCATCTAGTCCATCCATTCAAGCAAATATCCATCTCCTATCGCGGATGATATCTTATCCCAAACAGCGCTCCCGTTTGCCATGTCCCCGACTACACTCCCGCCGCGCTCAACGTCCGAAGAGAAAACAATGAACATGGAGTCAGGGAGAGCATCTAGCGACAAAAGCGCGGAATTGGAACGTGTCAATACAGATGAGATGACTTTCGCTCCAATCACCGCGGCGGCAAATGAAAAACGTGGGGCACCCTTACAGAAACAGAAATCGAATGCTTCGAAATCGCTGGAGCGTAGCTGGTCACTCAATGATGGGGTGAGTGTTGGTGGCAATGATGTGGAGGCCGTTGATGATGATTCTTTTACGATTGGTTGGGATGAGAACGATCCCTTAAATCCGAGGAATATGAGTACTGCTCGAAGATGGATGGTGACGATGATTGTTTCGATGGGTTCGCTCTGTGTGTCAGTTTGGGTTGGATATCTTTATCGACGGCGGATTGCTGATCTTGACACAGAACTTGTACCTCGTCTATGTATACGACGACGTATACCCAGTTGATGGATGAATTTGGGTGTTCTCGAGAGGTTGCGACTCTTGGATTGTCCTTTTTCATTTGGGGTCTTGGTTCGTGATCCTGTTTGTTGGTGAAGGGTTGAGCTGACCATTGCCATTTAGGAGTTGGTCCGCTGTTCTTGAGTCCCCTGTCTGAGGTTCGTCTGAAGCTCCCTGCATTTGGATAGAATCAAGCAACTGACTTTTGGTAGTTTTATGGCCGACGAAACATTTATATCGTTTCGTTTTCGCTGTTCCTCATCTGGCTGGTTCCCTGTGCCGTGGCTAAGAATACTGCAACCATGCTGGTCTCTCGGTTTTTCAATGGATTGTCTGGTAGTGCATTCCTGAGTGTCGCAGGCGGCACTGTGGGCGACATGTTTGATCGCCATGAGCTTGCATTTCCCATGATGCTTTATACTGCGAGTCCGTTTGTTGGACCTGAAGTTGGACCTCTGTAAGTGACCTGCGCCTGCGATTTCATCAGCATTACTAATAGTATTCAGTGTTGGTGGTTTCATCAATGCCTTCACCACATGGTATGCACTTATCTTGACTCTGAGCAAGTTTGGAGCTAATGTAACCTACAGGCGTTGGACATTCTATGTGCTCCTGATATGGACTGGTGTCTTGCTAGTCTCGATGATCTTCCTTGTCCCGGAGACGTATCACCCAGTGTATGCCTAGCCCTGAAACCATTGAATCAAAATGCTGACATGCTTAGACTTTTGAGGCGCAAAGCCCAAAAGCTCCGCAAGGAAACCGGAGACGACCGATGGAAAGCTCCGATCGAAAAGCTAAAACGTAGTGTGGCGCAGACTGTTTTGCGATCTATGTATCGCCCGATTCTTCTGCTAGCACTAGAACCGATGTGCCTGTGTCTTTGTATCTTCTCGGCTATTCTGCTGGGTATTCTTTATCTCTTCTTTGGGGCTTTTCAGTTGGTGTTTTCCAACGTTTATGGAATGGAGATCTGGCAACGAGGTTTGTGTTTCCTTGGCCTATTTGTTGGCATGGTATTTGCCATTTTGTCGGATCCAATCTGGCGACGGAATTACGTTCGCCTGGAGCGCAACCACGAGAAAGCCACAAATAAGATCGACGACTTTCAGCCGGAATGGCGGCTTCCTCCTGGTAAGTTTCCCGCGGATGATCTGAAAAAAAAAAACAGTGACTGATAGCGTGAAGCCATTCTGGGTGGACCCTTGGTCACCATAGGTCTCTTCATTTTTGCTTGGACAATTTACCCTGACGTTCATTGGATTGCGCCAATCATTGGCAGTGGTATTTTTGGAGCAGGGTAAGTCATTCCTACCTGACCTGGGCAATTCGGATCTTGTGACACTGACTCGTGTTACTAGGACAATCCTGGTCTATTCAGGTATCTTTACATTCCTCGTCGATGCATATCCGACCTTTGCCGCCAGTGCTCTGGCAGCGAACAGCTTCGCCCGGTCGTCTTTTGGAGGCATCTTCCCTCTGTTTGGAATCCAAAGTAAGTTTGCCTGCAATGCTTCCATGCTGCGACGAGTTGAACATCCGTGCTCTGTATGCATTTCTAGCTGCGGGCTGATGCATACGTCGAACAAACCCACTGGGAGCTTTTCAATGCTCAAAGACTAAAATTTTTTTTGATAAGAGTAATGCCTAACGGTCATGCAGTGTATAACAACCTGGGTTACCACTGGGCGACTTCCTTGCTAGCGTTCCTGACACTTGTCATGACCCCATTCCCGTAAGTGCTGAATCGACTATGAATTACACCCTACTTGTCTGCGCTATGACCCGATCTATCCACCCTTTCCCCCTGCATTATGGGCTCGAGTGAGGTTGCTCCAAGCATGGAAGTTGGATATTCCAACTGCATGGCAGGCAATCGAAAGGTAGAATGAGACTCACTAACATCCATCTCAGGTATCTCTTCTACAAGTATGGCAGCCAAATCCGAAAGAAAAGTCGGTTTGCAACATCGCAGATGTGATATACACGTCTGGAATAATCAAAACGGCCAAAAAAGAACAACCTTTGATATAATACGCATCTTCTAGATACAGAATTGTATAAACAGAGTTGGTTGCTGGCTGAATTCCCTTTTCGAGGACAACCACAGGTTTATCCTCGGCGCCATTGCATCTCAACACTTTGCCAGTCTTGTCTGGATATGTGTCGCGGGCATTTCTCGCACCCCATGACTACCTGCTGGTAAGATTCTGACCACTGGAGAAAGGCCAACAGCTAGTCCATAACCCTAGACAAAAGACCCAACGACATAGCTGCTGTACCGCCTGCAGTTGAAAAGTTAATGCAGACAATGGAAATGCATATGCATGCAAAGCAAGGATACGCTTTGCTTAAGAATCTACTTCAATTCATGTCCAAAATGAGGGTTGTCGGAACTAGACTATCACGCCCTTGTTATCTTCTAGAGACCTTAACCTAGAACTTCTAGATCATCTTCGTACTATAATGCAGCCTTCAAGCTCAGTCCATACTCCAATTTCTCCAGTCATCCCAGCAGGCCAGTTGCAAAGGATACGAGCATCATGTGGTCTTGGATTCTCTTCACAGGCAATCATCCCCAACCAACCACCAGTCTCCCTCTCTCTCTCTCTCTCTCTTTTTCTCTTTCCGGATATGATATACTGGCCCAAGCTGCGTTCTAGCCTCGGCAGCGCTCAGCCTCGGAACAAAACGGGACCGGAGGAGGATTCCGGGATGCAAAGTATGAATTGGACAGTCTGAAGTGGAGATGCAATCCAGCATCCTGTGAAGAACCCCAGTCCTGTTCAACTAAGTAAGAAGTGTATACTGTCGTCGTCCGGGTATACAATCGTCCTCTGCACGTGCGTTATTGCCTCGCGGGGTTACGGTTTTCCGGTGGTATTGCGATCTATATGGTATTGTAATGTGATACTGTGATACTGTGGTAATGTAAAATCGAAGAGGTGGTATTGTAATTGGACCAATCAGAAACCCAACCCTCAGCCGTTGACGCGCTGGAATGGTCCATTTCCGGCAACTGGTCTGTAATGGTATTACCATCGGGTTGATGGCCGGTCCTCGTCCAGTGGCCGAGCTGCCAAACGTCAGCATGTGAGGAGAACATAGAGACCATACAAGATCCCTCACACGCATGATATTCTGTATAGACTCCCTAACCGATATCTCTAGTGATAGTCGAGCCATCTACCTTGCGGGTGAGGTTGGGTAGCAACATAAATTACCGATTCATTCGGCAAAAAGGGTGGCTATTACGCAGTAGATTCAGCCCTGGGGCTTCGAAAGTGCGAAACGACCCTAAATCCCGAAAAATCGCATCGCTTTCCTACTTAAAATTCGACTAAAATTATCCTTGTCACTTTGGCAATTGAACTGACCCCAGTCACGGGAACAGAGTCATCCACTTCCCCCGCGCATACCTCGAACTGCCTTTTGTCTTTGCTTTCTCCTCATTTTCTCGGTTCTGCGATCCGATTTGGAGATTAGTCTCAGATCTGGTAGACAATTTTACGGGGTCGAGCTGTTCGCCGTATTGCCTCCCCCGCAGGCGACTCCTTTCCACTACCGTTGCGGCATTTTCTGTCAGCTTGCGCCAATTTCTCGCATTCCTCGAAAACCCTTCAATGTGTCAGATCGTCGTTCTTTCGCATTTCCTGTCGATTGTTCCCCATTACACCCGTGACTCGACTCGCCGTTCTGCCGATTTCTGCCCCGATACAACCGCCAGCACCGCCGCGCGATTATAGGAGCCGAGGATCGGACCGAGAGGAGATCTGGGTGGGTTCGCAGTTTCAACAGGAGTAATTCGCCCCGTGTGATCGTGCGTCTTGCGTCTTGCACTCGTCGGGCAAGATATTGCGCACGTGGATCCGCTTGTCCGCCGCGATCGAAGCGCGGATGCTATCGGTATTGTCGCCACCACGTCTTGTTCTCTAGATCAACACCACTAGCCGTGCAGAGGGTCGACGCGCATTGAGATATCTTTGATAGTCTTCATTCTTCGGACGATTTCTTTCAGCCGCCCATCTCGGAATACATGCCGAAATGAATGTGGACGCTAGGAACGGCTCGATAGGAGACGAGGATCGCGACTCCGCTGATGTCACCGAATATTCCGAGCATATGGAGACTGTAAATTCCAAGTCTAATGGCGATAGCAAGGCGGAGAGCCGCAAAGCTGCCAATGCCAAGGATCCGTCGCGACCGCGACGGAAGAAGGCCCGCCGAGCTTGCTTTGCATGCCAGCGGGCGCACTTGACATGCGGTATGATGGATTGAGCACCCGATATCGGGAAATCTACTAATTTTTTGGTGTTTCAGGCGACGAACGACCGTGTCAACGCTGTATAAAGCGCGGCCTTCAAGACGCATGCCATGATGGTGTTCGCAAGAAGGCCAAGTACCTTCACGATGCTCCAGATGGAGCACTCATGCCAGCTGTCAGCAGCAGCAACCTCTATAACAACACCCTTCGCAATAATCTGCCCATATCTAGAAATGGATCAAACGCAACCAACACGAACCCACAGCAAACGAATTCTTCGAATAACAACTTCTACCCGACGCCGCCACAACCCGGTTACAATGTATACCAAGATCCTCCTTTGAGTCAAAGTCCTTTCACGACACAATCCCCCGTGTCGCCTACCTTCCACATGAAGTCCAGCACCAATGGCCGCACTCCCAGTCTTTCATCCGCCGTGAACCAGCAATCTACTCCCAACACCGCTCTCCCTGGCGAGACGAATCAATCCCAGAACCCGAACCCCTTTGCAGGACCATTCTTTGACCCCAGCGATCCTGCGCTCTTTAATTTCGACCTTTCAAGCATGAATTTCGAGAACCGTTATGGTGCCTTGGAATTTGGCATGCTCGGTCACATGGCCACTGGGGCTGGAGACTCTCCGACCGATTCCGCAGGGCAGCGAGGCTCGATCGGCCGCAGTGGATCAGCCCAGTTCTCCACACCAGCTCCTGGATTTGGAGAAAGCCCGGGTAATCAACAGCCATTCATGTTTGGTGATCCTCTTCTAAACGAATGGTCGACTAGTGCGGCCTCGGGCCAACATGTGAATGTTGGCGGTGTGTATGGCCCGAATGGCATGGTCCCCGAACACATGAAAGCAAATGCGCCACATGCATTTGCCATTGAAAGTGGCCCTGCCAACTTTACAAGCCCTGGCTCGGCCCCAAGTCCGAATATTGCAACTGGCTTTGAAGACGGCACATTTAACAATGTTCCTTCAAAGTCTAACAGCCTGGCGCCGAACGGACAACGCCAGGTGACTTCAGCTTCGATCCTGAAACACCCGAACCTGCAGGTTGGCTTCAAGCGGCGTCAACGTAATCCTTCGTCAATATACGAGAGTGTTAAAGAGCCCTATGCTTACACCAGTGGTTTCCACAACCTCACTGCTTTCATCCAACGGCGCTTCACCCCTCAGAAGACTGTGCGTATCGCCAAGGCTCTCGCTTCTATTCGACCCTCCTTTATCGCAACTACGAAAACGCTTAATCGCGATGACCTGATCTTCATGGAGAAATGCTTCCAGCGTACGCTCTGGGAATACGAAGACTTTATCAATGCCTGCGGCACACCGACCATTGTCTGCCGACGCACCGGTGAGATCGCCGCCGTAGGTAAAGAATTCAGTATCCTAACCGGCTGGAAGAAAGACGTGCTATTAGGCAAAGAAGCCAATCTTAATGTCAACACGGGTGGATCAGGCGTACCGCAATCGGGGACAACATCTCGCGGCAGCTTCACACCGCGCGGCTCAACACTAGAAAACCAAGGTGGACGCCCACAACCCGTCTTTTTGGCCGAACTTCTTGACGACGACAGCGTCGTTGAGTTCTATGAAGACTTTGCCCGGTTGGCATTTGGTGACTCTCGTGGCAGTGTCATGACGAAATGCAAGCTTCTCAAGTACAAGACCAAGGAGGACATGGACGGGGCCCAGTCTGATGATCATGGCAAGTGGAATAGTCATCTTCGCAAGGGTGGCATTGCCGGCGAGGCTGGTATGAACCAGCTTGGGTTCAAGGATGGAAAGGTCGAATGCGCGTACTGCTGGACAGTCAAGCGAGATGTGTTCGATATTCCAATGCTTATTGTGATGAATGTAAGTTGATCCATGAACTGTGGGAGCTGATATGACTGGATGCTAACTTTATTTAGTTCTTGCCCTGCATTTGATTTCTTGTCTATTCTCAGTTTTGCCGTTTCTGTTCATTTTCAGACTTTCATACCCTCGACAAGGTTGTCATTTTACGCCTGTCTTTTTTTTGCACGTTTTTTCTTGTCGCCACACTCTGGTACATATTTCTTGACCCTGGGACTGTATGATTCCCCCGATCCCGGTTTTCTTCACTGCTCGGCTTTTGTCCGGGATTCTTGTCTTGTTACTTCTTCACGTACATATGGTGTCTGTTTGAGCCCCTAGCACTGATTGGGGGATGTCGATATGCTTTTCTTTCTGTCTTCTTTGTGGCGCTCAAAAGGAAAAAAAAAGATATCTCTGGGATAGGATTACTGTATGGAGCATTAATGCCATGATATTGAGTGAGGCCCCTTGTGACCTCGAACCCTAGATTTGTTTCAGTAACGAGCAGGAGTATCACTTCCAAGGTTGACTCTCCTGAAGTATAACGATCGAAGACGCTGTGGACACCTGGACACCTGAACACCTGAGGAACAAGGCCACAAACCCTTATCGCGATAACCCCACCATATCATCCAGTCGATGTTCCCCCCGTAAACCTGGAATCTCACTCATTGACACAAATCCAATTCGTCAAGACAATCTCCTCTTCAACTCCAACTACTGAACCCACTCGAGAAAACCTCACTCCACCCTACCCGACACAGCCATGCGCCCCGACAAGCCGCGCGATCCCGTTGCCGGTCCCGATGCAGGCCCAGAGACACCCTACCCAGTCCGATTGTCAGGCCCAGTGATTAAAGGATTTGGCCGGGGCAGCAAAGACGTACGTGACAAGCTCTCGCCTTTCCATGCTATTCCTGTTCGCTTGGCGTATAGGATAAGCTAGGACATGTCTAGGGCTTGGACCATATAGCTGACTCGTACTGCGAATGCAGCTAGGAATCCCAACCGCCAATATCCCCGCCGATGATCTCTCCGACAAACACCCCGAGCTGATCTCGGGCGTCTACTTTGGTGTTGTGGCGCTAGACCCTAAGACATATCACCCCGATTCTTCAACTCCCGAGGCTGTTATTCTGCCCGCGGTACTGAGTATCGGATATAATCCTTTCTACAAGAATACTGTGCGCTCGGTGGTATGTTGCAGATTCGCCCGATAATCTGGTTGCCATATCATATCTATCAACTTTGTTATGCTGCCTGATTGTACATGGATGTGTTGCTAACCAAGGATAGGAAATCCACATCATGCCCCCTCTGAATGAACCATCGCCTACAGCTGCAGCTGAAGGACAGACCAAATTCAACCGCTTGCCGGACTTCTATACGACGAAGCTCAATCTCTTGATTCTGGGTTACATTCGTCCCGAGTTTGATTATGTCTCGTTGGAGGCGCTTGTGGAGGATATTCGACTTGATTGCGAGGTTGCGCGTGAGAGCTTACTGCGTGATTCTTATAAGTGTTATGTTGTTGATGATGAGAAGGCGACTGGGAAGGTGACTGAGGATCGGAGGTGGTTGATGAGTTTTGAGTGATAAAGTATAGATCCGGTGCCCATTGAAGATAGGGACCAAAAGACGAGTCTGTATTGTGTCTAGCAATAGAGGAGACATCCATACCTACATACTGACCTACTTCCTGGCCACATCAACTTATCAACTGCACCATGTGATGCTATACTTCCGCATTTGGTTATCTTATCGGAATGTGACATCGTCGACGTCACTCCAAGAAACCCTAAGCATTGGCATATTGGCATTCCAGGCATTCATTTTCCTTTCTTGACATATGTAATACCAAGTCTTTTCTGTCTTTCTGTCAGCCTTAATTAGGGCTGAGTGCCCGATCATCTTTCTACATTCTATCACACCACAATGGTAAACGTCTTCCAACGCCTCACCAGACGCCGAGCCCAGAGCTCCGGCAGTTATCAAGCAGAGACCACAGGACCCAATTCCGCTGATTCTCATCCACATGGACTGCAGCGAGTGGTCAGTACGAGTTCCGGCAAACGCAACCGGTGCTTTGATGAGCCATCGCGGCGATATCTCTTCATCGTCTCTGATACGTCTGAATTCGATTCGCATACCATTCAGCGCTTTCAGGCTGAGGGGTTTGTGGTGACTTATATTCCTTTTACAGGCCGTGGAGATGCAGAAAAGGACCGCAAAGCTCTCGAGAAGGTCGTACATCTGGAGGAAGATGAGCTCGAGACCGGCGAGCGGTTTGCGATAATTGGTATACATTATCAACTAGACTCAATCGAAAGCCATTGATATGCTAACATGAGAAAATAGCATACCACCGACCGGCCTATCTCCTGCTATCTTCGCATCATCAGATTACGAGCAATACAAATCCTTTCCCACGCCTATGTGCTCTGATAGCATACTATCCCCTGCCCTCCTCAGACCAATACACCTACAGAAGCAAAGAAAATTGCGAGCAGCCGGCATGCTCAAATGAATCGACTATATTTGCATCTGATTCGAAGAGTACCTTCCTTCCTATCCAGATTCACATGCCTGGTCCACGCCTCCAGCCCTGTGCCCTGTGGCCGTGGATTCAACTCAGTGCATCTGAAGGCGATGTTACACATAAAAAACGGCATAGATGCCACGTCTACTCGTATCCGGGGTGTACGGCAGGATTTGCAGAAAAGGAGATGGGGACTGAGAGGTTTGGGGAGGGGGATGAGGATATGGATATAACTTACGAGGATGAGGTTGGGTCACAGTTGGCTTGGAGTCGAGCTTTGGGATGTCTGAAGAGGTCTTTTGGAATTGGAAGCCATTGGGCTGTTGTTGATATTGAGACTGTTTGGGAGGAGTATTGGGATCGAATTTGTGCTGAGGTTGATGAGCGGCGACTAGGGGATCGGCGCGTTGTAAACCCGCCTGTTGAGTTGCTTGCTGCTAGTCATGCTGGCGACGCTGACTATTCTGAGGGGATATCGGCTGTTACTTGTCTTCCTACCTCTGCCGGTGGTGAGACTTGATTTTCCTTTCGGGCTAGGGCTTCGCTGACGAATTTTAGCTTCGGATATTTCGAGTTTGAGGTCTTTCTTTTCTCAGACTTTCATTCCTAATGGACCCAAGGATCAGAAGATTCGTCTTCTAACGAGGACGGTGGGGTCTGATCGGATTGTTGATGAGATTCAGTTTTCTTGTCGGCATACTGCGGAGATACCCTGGTTGTTACCTTGTATTGCGCCTACAGGTCGAGATATCCAGGTTATTATCATTGTGGTGGCAAGTTTCTGTGCAGGGCAGATTACACGCCAGAGTTTGTATTGGGATCAAGCAAGCGTGCTCGTGCAAGCTGGCATGTTGGATCCAGGACTTCTGCCGCGGGCAATGCAGCCTGTTCCTGTTTGAGGATATGCAACCAGGTCACTTATTCAAGACAGCTTGAGAATGATACTTACAATCAAAGAAAGTATAGAGTTAAAATAGACTTGGTAATAAGATGTGGTAGACTGCCGGTAGACTACAGCAGGACCCTAAGAAGACCAGCCAACTCCTACAGCCCTAATGTCGCTCGCAACTCCACGAGATCCTTGCTGACACCTCCAGCACTAGCAAGTGTTTTCCGGCTTGCCTCTTGAGCAATAGGAATAATATCCTCAATGCGCGCAGCATCACTCTTGGCCAGACCAGCCACAACAACACCAAGCAAGGTATCACCAGCCGCGTTCACACTGACGATATCCTGCGCACCAAGAATTGTAGCTGGTGAGAATAGTCGCATGTAAACACCCCCAAACGGCACGTCCGAGTCAACATGGGAGCGAGCCAGAATATAAGGCGCAGACTCCGGATCCGTAAGACGCGGATCCCCTGGCGGCAAAAGCTGTGTGAGAAGAGCACCTGCGCCACCAAGCTTGGTAAGGATACAAGGAATGAACGGAAGAAGCTGGATAGTCTGCTGCGGAAGACCCTCGTCTACAAGTGATGGTGAAGTTAACCGCACAAGTCGCTCTCGTGAACCGGCTGGACTCATGTTCATTGAATCGATGACATGCCACCACTCAGTCGACTCAAATAGCTGTGCTTCACGTGCAGCAGTGAACATAGCAGCCAGTTCCAGCTTATTAGGACAAGCCAGGCTAATATTGTTGTCAGGCACAGTGTGCTTTGGTCCAATAGTAGCATCAGCGCCATTGGCATCGCCGCCGAAAAGACGGCGCGCCTTAGTCGTAGAGACGGGCTCGAAGGCCACGCGGGCTCCGTACTTGCGTGCAACGGCGCTCCACTTAGCAATCACTTCAGGTCGCCAGTTCGCGTCGACAACAACCCATTTTGGCGTTGTGCGTGCGATGAGCGGTTCCCAGAATCCGTCGAAGTCGAGTTGTGATTCTGGGAGTTCGACGATGCCCATGTCTGCCATAGCTACTAGCAGGTCCTTGTTGATGTCGTTTATGGCAATGTATTGTGCTGTGCGGGTGCCTGGTGTTGCAGGGAGAACGGATACGCCTGTTGTGCTTAGACCTTCTTTCTCCAGGGCTGAGAGCGCTGCTCGTCCGCTGAGGTCGTCTGCGACTACGCTGCAGAAAACCACAGGACTACCGACGTAGTTAGCTGCTACAGCGACGTTGTGGCCGACGCCGCCGAGGCTTTGGGATATTACTGCTGGGTTGGAGGTATTTGGAACTGGTGCGACTTGAGTCAGTTCGTCGCCGAAGGGGGTATAGTCGCAGGAGAGGTCAATGGCGAGGGAGCCGGCGACGATGACATCTGCTCTTTCAATTGGGGTTGGGGTTGAAGTGACTGGCGTGGAAGTTTCTGCTGGAGAGATACCTGGAACCGGCGAGACTACGCCTGGGGTCGCTGGCATGTGTCTATGGGGAAAAATATATTCGAACTTAGCATTGATTGTATCTCGTATCTCATATCTCGTGGCTAGACATAAACTCACCGATCCTCCGCTCGGTCAGACTGTTCGAGTTTGGCAAGTTCCACGGCTACGAGGGTTGCGCGTTTGGCATTGGACTCGATCAAGGCACGGTTTGCCACTACACTCTTTCCACCGCTCAGCTCCTTGATCTTGGCGAGGATAAAAGGTGTGTTGTCACTGCCGTGGTAGCCCTCTACATCAGCGAGGCGGACTGCCTCCTCAATGATGGAATCCATGTCAAGCTTGGGGATGGAGAACTCCGAAGGAACAGGGTTGGCGAAATGGATTCCAGAGGATAGAGGGAGCTTGGATTGCGCATCTGGAGTTCCGTTAACCTGGTTGCATCCCAGCGAACATGATACACAAACTTACAAACGATAGCAGCGGCTTCGGCTTCATTTTGAATGACTTTGGGGCTGCGGATGCCACTCTCGCGGGTGAAGAAGGCAGGGAAGTCGACAGGGCCTTCTCGGCCATCTGCAAAGGTACCAACGCAGACGCCCTCCGTCTCCAGGTATTCGAGAGTTCGAGGAATATCCAAGAAACTCTTGCAACCAGAGCTGATGACTGTTACTGGGGTCCGTCCCAGCTCGGTAAGATCAGCTATACCATATGTCAGTATTCGATCTTGTGATCATCGTGTACATTCTTACCAGAAATGTCCATGGAGTTCTCTGCTCCACGATGCACGCCACCTGAAAATGGTTAGATATCATCAATCGACTTTGAAGGTGAAAATTACCTAGTCCACCGGTACCAAAGATTTTGATACCAGCCAGCTCTGAGAGAATCATAGTGCCAGAGATGGTAGTACCGCCGTGCATTTTCTTGCCAGCCAGACCCTAGAAATGTATTAGTTCGAGACTTTGAAATTCGATCTGAGTAACGCACTAATCCACATATATAGCCCAGATCTCTACGAGACACTTTCAAAGCACTCTTTTTTTCCGCCGTCGAGGCCAGCTCGATCATTTCTTCTGCATTGAGACCAACCTTGGCCACACCACCGACGATGCCAATAGTTGCAGGAACACCGCCATTAGCCCTGACCACAGATTCCAACAATGCAGCTAGCGCAATGTTATCGGGATATGGGAAGCCTGTAGTGATCAGCCAATGTTTCCCCGCTTTTGAGCGGAGATGCCCATCTCCAAGACATGCCGGGACTCACCATGTGTATAGATGGTGGTCTCGAGAGATACAACCGGTTTGCCAGTAGCAACTGCATCTCGCACCTCTTCTGAAACCCTGAAGAACTTGCTTTGAGCGAAGTCATGATAACGAGCACGCGACAGTCGAGCTCCCTTCACGAGGTGAGACTTGAAAGCAGCTCGCGAAGCGAGCACTGTGCTTGATAGCATGATGCTCGATGCAATGCAATCAGAGGAGCTCTGGCAAAGCTGGAAGAGCAACAAGCAGAAATCAAAAGCAAAGACAGAAGAGAGAGAGAGAGAGAGAACAAGAGAAGTAAGTCGAGAGTCAAGAGCCAAGAAAGTAGAAGAGGAGAAGCTGTTATCGATAAGAGCCCGGAGTGCGCGCAATGGCCGCTCCGCCCCCCGTACACACATTGGGGACACCTCATCAGCTTCACGTCCTCCATCGACGACTCACGTTGGCATCTGGATACCCTGCTTTTTGAAAAGCATCATTTTCGGACAGTCACAATGAGGTTCTTCACCGCCACGGTGCTTGGGCTTCTTGCTCCTAGTCTGTGCGCCGCCTCCGACCTTACCACGCCGAGTCGACTGGATCTTCCTGCCGACTTCAAGCCCCCTCAGGTCTTCAAAAACACAAACTTGGTCCGGAATACCAACTTAGAGAAGGGATTTGTGCGCGAAACTATCAACGTTGTGGTGGAAAATGTCGACAAGCAGCCGCAGACCGACTACTATGTCCCCTTCCCTTCCGAAGTGTTTGACCAAGTTGGAGCTTTTGAAGTGAGGGATAAGAAGGTTCCAGAGCAGGGACGCTTTGTAGTTGATACAACCGATGCTGTATCATCTAGGTGAGTACCAATTGGAGGCTCAATGGCATGCAATTGATGATCCATGAGCTAACGGTCCAAACAGCGGCAACCAGTACTTCGTTGTTCACCTTCCAGAGCCATTGGCCCCGAAGGCCCAGATCACCCTTGGAATCTCGTATTCGGTTCTCTCTGCTCTCAGTCCACTTCCTGCAACCATTCAGCAGAGCGAAAAGCAATTCCTCACCTATTCCTTCTCCGCCTATACCCCAAGCGCCTACACAACTGTCACGCAGAAGACCAAGCTGAAGTTCCCCAGCACCAACGTGCCTGACTACACTACCACCGATAACCTCAAGTCTGGCTCAGACCCCGAGCGCAAGGGTGCAACATACACCTACGGTCCCTACGACACAGCTGAATTGACCCCGGGAACCGAGTACCCTGTCAGCGTCCGTTATGAGTTCACCAAGCCCATCATCACTGTCAACCTTTTGGAGCGTGATTTGGAGGTCTCGCAATGGGGTGGAAACCTTGCCACTGAGGAACGGTACTGGCTGCGCAACAACGGCTCGCAGCTTGCTAACCACTTCTCGCGTGTCGAATGGACCATGGCCGCCTACCAGAAGGCCCCCAGCTCGGCTGTGCGCGAGCTCACCTACCCTCTCCTGCCCGGCTCTGTTGACCCCTACTTTATTGACGACATCGGCAATGTGTCAACTAGTCGCTACCGTCCTAGTAAGGGCAAGAACGCGGCCAGCCTGGAGCTGAAGCCTCGCTACCCCATCTTCGGTGGCTGGAACTACAGCTTCCGCGTTGGCTGGAACAATGAACTCTCCTCGTTCCTGCGCCTTGCGGCCGGTGTTAACTCCGACTCTCACGTTTTGAAAGTCCCTCTGATTGAAGGCCCCAAGATGGCCGAAGGTATTCAGTATGAACGTGTTGTCGTCCGTGTTGTTTTGCCCGAGGGTGCTCACAATGTTCGCTATGAGATCATTGAGGGCACTTCCAGCAATGGTCTTCCTGGTGCAAACCAGATCCAGGCTAGCTTGAGTTCTCTGAAGACTTACATGGATACCCTGGGCCGGACTACTTTGACCCTAGAGGTTGATAGCCTGACAGATGAAGCCCGTGACGCTAAGTTGGTGGTATGTATCTTTCTTCACTCTTATCATTACAAAGACTCACACTCTGTAGGTTACCTATACCCACACCATGATGGATGCCCTCCGCAAGCCTTTCACCATCTTTGCTGGTCTATTGACAGTATTTGTTGCTGCTTGGGGCATCGGAAATATTGATATCAGCATCAAGAAACGGTAAGTATCAGACAAATCGTTTTGATGGTCCTCGTTTTCTTCTATCTTGTCCGATAGGACCTCAATTGATGCATTCTATGTGAAATGTTCTGTCTTCTCGTTCTGGAGTTCACGCCAGATGGTAATCAACATTACTCCATCGTAGCCTAATGGACGTAAGTCACGATCGTAGCCTAAGGCTGCGACGGCCATCATTGATCGCCACACGTTCACCAACTGATCATAACAGCCTCAAAGCAGCAGGCGCATAATTTAACATAAATGCAGCTTTTCCACTCCCAGCGCTTTCTCTTCTTTTCACGTTCCTCCGATAATCCAAGTCTTCTTCCCATACAGGCAAACAAATTCCAACCCAACCCAACAATGGAGGGTGACCCAAACCTTCCTATTGGCCCTATGGTCCTCTACATGGCCAGGGCTAACGATCTCAATGACCACCCTTACGCCCAAGGTCTCGGAACCACCCTGACCAATGCTCAGATGCATGAATACCTCCGCTCCACTCTGGTTTTGATCGCCGGGGAGCACCGCAAGAGATATGGTGTCCTGGGCTGCCGCCCCTTGAAGATGCAGACCATCGTGCACAACGCCAACAGCAAGATTTCCCGCGGCTCGAAGGTCTCCCGCTACATCTGGGATGCGCTGGAGGAAGCTCGCGCCAGCGCTACCGAGTGTATCATCGTTCTGAACAACTGGGACGGTTGGACTACCGACCCTGCCACCATCGGTGATTTGTGCACCAGCTTCCCGGACGTTCGAATCACCCTTCGTGTTTATGCAAGCACTCCCCGCGAGTTTTATGATGCCAACGCTCACACCGTGAACATCTATCTGGAACGCGAGATTTCGGTTAATGATGCCGTGGTTTATACGGACCGTGACACTGGCATTTTCATTCGCATGTTCGAAGCCCTGGGAGCCCTCCACTATCAGGTTCCTCTCCCTTGGGAGAAGGCTGCGCCTCTTGCTCAGTATGACTCTCGCCTTGCAATCCATTGAATGATGACACGACAATGAATCTGGCGTCGACGTGATGGAACAACCGTGGTCTTTACCTTTGATTCCGTTTTCTTTCATTTGCCCTATGGGTTTGAATTGTGTTTCCTTTTTCCGGCGCCAGGAGCCTGATGCCCACGTTCTTTGATTGATAGCTTGTGGTGAGGAGGATGCAAGGTGACATGGGACGATAACAATCATTTGAGTTGAAGAGAGCAGGTTCCACAAGCCAAGAAATCAATCATTGACATGACACGGTGCTGTGTAGACTGTTGTAGTTGTAGTGTAGTCTCCAGGGCTTCAGGGCTCGTGCCCCTACCCGGGGTAAGTTAGGGTAAACTTGCCCAGGTGGAACTCACCCGTGGACGTAATCCCCGCGTTAGTCATCCTCGTGCTGGTCTTAACCCTCAAATGCTGTTTTGGGCATGTTTGGAGGTGTTCTTACACCTGAGTATTCCCTCTCCATCTCTGTCGTTCTCTTCTTAGCTTCATCCAGCGCCATGGTAGTCTCATGTGTGGAAAGCAACCTAGGATCTTCAACCCTCATGGATACAGGAGCATCTTCCTGACATGAACTCACGGGCTCATCAGGAAGATACCGGTGAAGCAGCCTGTCGCAGGCAAGCGGTGTCTTTCAGCAGGCGAGAAGCACAGTAATGAGGACAAGAAAAAATGATAGGAAAATCCAAAAGATGACAAGAGGTTGATCCAGTGGTATACTGACTTTTAGGGTGCGCAGCCTACAAGGGCAATTCCTTTGTTTCCCGCCCACTTTCAATCACATCGATGACAAATGATAGTCCGTGAAATTGTATTTTTAGAGATTCATATGATGTGATAGGGGGGACACTAAGAAATAGGGCCGGCGTTAAGGGGGCTCAGCTGAGGAGTCTGGGCTTAGGGGTCAAAGGAGATCAGAGAGAGAAAGAGATAGAACAAGATGGTACATGTTGTAAAAGCTAAGTATAACCAGTCATCTAAGTCGTCCAGCGTCTGCTTTAATTCCGTCGGCGGATACCTAGATGGACCTGCACTCATCAGTGACTGTCTGTGGGTAAAGTGCCATTTGACTCACATTGTTTAGGTGCCTTTTCAGATCTGACATTCTGCCGAATGATTTCCCACACTCCTTGCATGGGTGTTTCGTCCTCCAATTGGGATCGTGTGCTTTTTGGTGTTCTTTGCAATTCGACCGCCGGGTAAATTTCGAACCACATATCGGACATTCGAGACCACTGGCAGAGACAAGCTTGCTGCGGGGAGAACGACTTCCTCGGACTGATCTTGGATTCGTTTCCATTGTCCCCGGGGACGGTGTTCGAGACCGGGTCCTGACTCGCTCTGGGGTCAAGTTCTGTCCAGGTGCACTCTCAAATGGCATGTCGTGTCGCATCGCAGGAAAGGGGGTATCGGTGACTGGCATTATGGGAATGTTGATTGGGGCACATGTGTTTGAGAATAGACTCTGATCCCATTCCCCAGTTCCATTACCCACAGCGGTGACGAGTTCTGATGGAGTTGTTGGTCCCGAGCAAGGCGTCTGAACCCAAGTGTATATTTCGGAAGGAAATGTACAGTGACGAGGATCTAGGTCCACGGGGTTGTAACCGGATGACGTGTTCATGGCTGTTGGGTTGTAGACCCCCAGTAAAGACTCCGAGGCATCTGGAAGTCTATGGTAGATTGTGTTTTCGGAGTGGTTGTCATCATATTTGAACTGGAAATCGTAGGAAACTCCTTCAGGGACCATCTCTGATGGAGCTGTGGGCGGGACAGGCATGGGTGGGGCATAGAGCCTCACTTGATCGAAGGCGTTCTCGATTCCACAGTTGGAAATCCCCAGGCCGATTGGAGAAAGGCCTCTTTGGGATCCTATTGGTGAGATCGGGGATGAGTATGTCGACAATGTCTCGAAAGAATGTGTAGATTTGGGTCGCGAGACAAATGCACGGTGAACTGGTTGGATCTGATCCATGTTGATAGCTGCCAACAATAGTAGCCAGAAGTAGACAAAACCAACCAAGGCTTAGCTATATCAAAGTGAAGAAAGTTCGGCAACAGGGAGTATATATAGCAAAGGCTTTCAAGTCAACAGCCTCGCTGTTTGTTAACAGCGGCAGCATACATGGACGGTGGCTGAGAGGATACCGGATGGGGTATGGATTCATTGGAGAAGAGTTTGCGCCGCATCGACACCGACAATCAGTGAAGACTTGATGACTTGGCGCCGCAATAGACAAGGCAGATTTGAAAAGAAAAGAGTCTGTAATTGCGGCGGAAGAAGAAAGGGTGGGGGGAGGTAACGGCCGGGGCTAATCCGGACCAGATCGATTGCACAGGTCTGCAGTGTGCCCTTACACACCAGAGGATTAGCGCCGGAGATCAATATCGAGAGACTATGTCATAGAAAGATCATAGCCTCACAAGGGGGAGAGGGGGACAAGTACCTGTGGAATGATATGCCATAGATGTATAACGATCCTGGAACAAACTAACCATCCCTTTCACCACCTTTAGGCTGGTCTGCCCAACCGCGACGTGTTCCATGCAGGCAGTAGCCATACAGAAGCATGAGCAGAGCCCGAGGTTCTGGTTGTTAGCTTGGCGACGTGCATGCCAGGGTTTGTTGACCACTGAGGAACACAGCCGCAGGATATGTACATGTATGAAGAGTCCAGAAGGAGATAATGAAGCTGATCACATCATGCCGGAATGGGCAATGCCTCTCTCGTAACTATTGGACTCATGGCCATCGTGACCATAACGGTATGCGGGTCTGACTTTCCGAACCGCTCGATCCCTTTGGCTTCATGTATACCATAGCGCAGCTCCGCATTAGCTCCACAGGAAATGATGCCCCGGAGAACATGATCTATGTCGTCTATTTACTTGCTTCTCCCAGACTGTACAATATGGATGTAATAAAAAAGGAGAGTCGGATCCGAAACACGACAGGGGGGAAATAATAAAAAGAAAAAAACTCGAAAAAAGAAAATGCGCCTGAAATAATGATGTCGTCTAATTCGTCCAGAGCGTTGATATGCTCATCTCGAACGGTTTTCAAGTTGTCAGGGTGCCACTAAGCCCGCAACTAAACCCGCGAAGCCAACTAGCGCCAGTCCGGTGCTGCAGGGGCGTGCGTGGCCCTAAGCGCCAGGGAAGTGACCCATCCTACCGCGCTGTTTGCACACCTCGGCGCGAAGTCAGAGTTGTTTTTTGCCCCTGAATCAGTTTTGTCGTTCGGCAATTGCATCCACCTGAGCTCGTAATCGTTCTATCGTGTCGATCAAGTCTGTAAATTGTGATTGACTCTGCTCTATGCCAGATTCACGCGCGGCTTGCTGATCCACACTGCGTTCTTTTCCAGGGCCCAGACTTGTTTCAATTATCCTTCCTGAGGGGTGGTGTGGGTCCTGGCACCTAGACACAGTCGCCTCGTTTGCATAAGTACGATAGGCGCGTGCCGATATTGGGGGTAGCCGACTATTGCGTCGCCGCGGAAGTGGCCACTTCGACTCATATGCCCATATCAGCGCGACAAAGGGCAGATGCGTGGCCCGAAGTAAGATAATGCGCACGCGGCGAACAGTTCCCGCGGATAGGAAAATTCGCATGGGGCGGATACAAAGCAGGGGAATAAGATTCTGCTGAGCATTAGCATGGAAGCATTCCAGAACACACAAAGAAACATCTCATTGAATGATCAAACGCTAACTGACCAGGGGTGGCATGAAGTATGTCAATCGTCGAGAATTGCTACTTTCCAGAACATAGATCGCCAACCTGATTGGTGTATCAGCGCAATGAACCTTGCATGGAGGCAGTGCCCTGTTCTCTAAAATCAGGGTGACTGGGGTATGGACTCACTGAAAGAGATATTCTTCTCGAGCATGACGCATTACCTGGCATAAGTCAATGGCGCCCCCCACAACCTGTGGGGAGTACATACCCCTTCAAGACTCATACTCATCAAACTGATCAAAGATGAGAGAATGAGAGTATTGGTCATCAATGCGAAAATCAGCCTGTAATCAATATCCGTTAGTAAATTCTGTATTTTCCGCAGTATAGAAACCTGTGTTGCCCTGTTTGAGGAACCCAAAGCCATGCATAACTGCGGCCGAACCTCACACGCATAGAACGTGACTGAAAACGTATGCGATTATGCGAGGTTGCGTAATAATATCAAAGGTAGCTCACATCAAGCCGTATCCGAAGATTGGGGAGATCTAAAATATAGCGTGTCAGTCAACTAAACGCGACAGCCAACCAGTTTGCCAATCTTCGGGGATATTGTGATCTGGACTGCATAACAGCCGCTTAGTGCGCAGACTTACTTCGGATGCGGTATCCTAACATCCAATCAATTCAGCCACCGTCAGTGCACATCCTCAAAGGATCATAAAATATAATCACCCACCAAGCCAAGAACACTCGAGCTGTGATGAATGTCAAATTAGTAAAGAACGGCGCAACAAGGGTCAGTTCACCGCCATACCCAAAGAACACCTTTACTAACAAATGTGACATTGCATCAAGAGACAAGCGGTCACGGGCGAGCATTGTAAATGTCGTTAAAAACCCTGTGGTCTATTAGAGATAGCTTTTTTTGGGTCACATGTACTAAGCCACACTCACCAATATACAATACTATCACCACTGGAAAGAATCTAAAGAAAGCTTTCGTCTGAAATAGTCGGTGGTCAGCCTTGAGCCCGAAGCCTGAAGGGATCATCGTACCATCTCCTTCAATACCGGTATCTACGCACAGCCACAATCAGTTGACCTTTCTCGGGATATGTGTTTCATGTAGGGTCCACTTACTAGACTGCCGAAGTAAGAGTTCAAGCTCACGAGGGAGCAGATCCTGTTCATCCGGTCAGCCCTGTCGCCACAATGCATGCTCCGCGGATAACATGCCTTGGCACAAGAAACAGAGCCTCCAAGGACAAAATATCAAACGACAGTTCGATCATGGAGTTGTTACTTTTGACCAGTCCAATAATTCCTGCGGCGTTATCATTAGCCGCTTACCAACTCACCTGGGAATGAAAGGCCGCAAGGCAGATTCGAGAACATGACTCACGCGTTATGACAAAAGCTATTCCGACCCCGATGATACTGATATTCCACAGGCTCCAGAAATCCATTTGATAAAAAACAACCCCGGCGTCGATGATCCCACTCATTTCATCGTACGCAAAAGCAACAATCCACACGTACATCACGGCCTCGAAGGCGCCGACTGCATGCTGCTTCCTCTCGACAAGAACTGCATAGTACAGGAAAAGAAAAGAGACGAAAAAGGCCGCCTCAAAAATCTTGCGGTAAATAGGAACCCTCAAGCGTGAATACGGATCTGCTGTTCTAGAAGCATGTCAACATGTTTGCTTACCGTAACTCTTTGGTACTCAAATCTCACCTTCTGTTAAAAAGCTGGGGCTTTTTGGTCGAATGCACCGTCAAAGAATCCCAGAACACGATCTCCCCATTCCAAATATCATTCACAACCCGCTGAACAACTCGTTGGCTTAGAAATCTCTTTGCGTGGGCAATTGTTGCGATCTCCAACGCATTTAAACCAAAAAATTGAGAGTATCTCTGGGCAGCGTAGATCTCGTCTTGTGAATTGGTGCCCTGTGAGCTCCCCGTAGACCCAACTTCGTTCGCCCTACCACTGAACAGACGACTCAAAGGGGACGGATTTAAGAGGGGTGTGGTCTCGTTTCCGGTGTTGTGAGAGCCACCTCTATATGTCAAACCAGAAGTACCTGCTTCTGCTTCGATGGAGTTTGCAGAATTGCGCCGAGGAATCGGAAGCTCGTGTAGCAAAAACTCGATTGTTTCATGCTGATTCAAATGACACAGAAACTGCCAAGCAACAAACTCACACGCTGCACCTCTACTCTCATTGAGACCCCAGTCGTCCTCGACAACAATGTCAAACTCCCACTTCAGAATCCTGCATTTATTAGCAAACCAAGCTGAGCAGGTTCATTGATGAGAGGATTACATCAAAGCCACTATGATGAACGGATTGTGGCTATCTTCAGCTAAAGCATGTACTAGCTGCCTGAGACGGTGTCCTTGGGATCCATACAGCATTTGCTCAAATGTGTAAGCCATGTCGCCCACAGCCATGCTGATGAAGCTGAATAAATTTGTTAGTCTTGATTCTTTAGGAACAGATAGATGACCCTCACTTGGAAAGTTTAGGAAGGACATCGAAAAGGGATTCATCGGTTTCGATGATTGGAATCTCCGTATGATCCATGTTGATTGTATGTGGTTCCATTGTGGACGGCAGGCAACGGAAAGCTCCACTTTGAATGGTTAGCGGAGGCCCCAGAATCATGAGAAGCAGCCAAATCAACTCATATCTCTCAACTTGGATGACAGAGACGAAGTTCCACTTACCCAATTTTTGAAGCTGGTTTTCCTGGCAGTCTGTCATGCGTGTCTTCTATTGGGATTGTTGTGGGCAGAATCGTAACTCGGTATCAAGACCGAGGTATCCCCAATGAGAAGCTCATGCCGGGTTCAAATGTTCAATTGACGTGTACACAGCTCATTGAAATAACAAAGGCCTTCAAGCATCAAGTCCAAACCAAGAATTGTTTACAGGAGAAGTCGTGGAATGAGCTGAGAGCCGTCGGCTTGCTGACCGCCCTTTGATCACGTGTAGACGCGTCCAGTGACTTCATAGCCTCAACTTCCTTATCGCATCTCCACCGAGTGTCCTTCAAACATTTGTCTCGTTTCTCTCTACAGGAGATGAGGGGCAGTCGACATGGGTCAAGGCTATTCCCTCACAACCCTGTCGGCGGGGTCGGCGGGGATCGATGTACCGGAGCTGTCCGACTTGGTGTATGAGAAGTCCATGGGTGGGGGCAGATTCATGAAGAGCATTCGAGCGCGACAACCAAATGGCTTGGTGTTTATCAAGGTCATAATGAAACCGTTCCCCACGATGGAACTGGAACCATACATTAAAGCCATCACCAGTATGTTTTAACCCCTCTTCATCGGTTCTATCGTCTAACCGGCAGCCCAGGGGAACGAAAACTACTATTGGATGTTCCAAATGCGTTGAGCTATCAAAGGATTCTTGAGACCAGTACGAGTGGATACCTTGTGCGTCAGTATATCCACAGCTCTCTGTATGATCGAATGAGGTTTGTCTGTCCTGTTGATATATGCAAGTCAAGTCTAACAGGGGCCTAGCACACGTCCATTCTTGGAGCACATCGAGAAGAAGTGGATTGCATTTCAGTTGTTATGTGCTTTGCGAGACTGCCATTCCTTGGACATTTACCATGGCGACATCAAGACAGAAAACGTTCTAGTAACAGCGTGGAATTGGTTGTACCTTTCCGACTTCTCATCATCATTCAAACCAACATTCTTACCGGAAGATAATCCAGCTGATTTTTCTTTCTTCTTCGACATTTCTGGAAGAAGAACGTGCTACTTGGCTCCGGAGCGATTCTGCGTCGCCGGAGAAGAGCCTAGCGATGGCGGTATCAATTGGGCCATGGACATTTTCAGTGCCGGGTGTGTCATTGCCGAACTATTCCTTGAGTCACCCATATTCAATCTGAGCCAAATGTACAAGTACCGCAAAGGAGAATACAGCCCAGAGCACAGCCAGCTGGCAAAAATCGAAGACCCGGACATTCGAGAATTGATTTTACATATGATCCAACTTGAACCTGAGTCTCGGTATTCTGCTGATGAATATCTCAAGTTTTGGAAGGGAAAGGCCTTCCCGGAATACTTTTACAGTTTCCTTCACCAGTACATGTCTCTAATGACGGATCCTTCATCTGGGCGAACGGACGTGGGCACAGAATCAACCAACAGAGGCGAGGCAGATGAACGAATTGAGCGAGTCTACTTGGATTTTGACAAAATCTCGTACTTCCTCGGCTCAAATTCCCGTCCCGGTGCTTTGTCCACCCCCCAGTTCCCAGGCTGACAGGAAACACTTTGCCTGTGAAGCTTGAACTTCCCAATGGTGAAATTAAAGTATCATCGCGGCCTTCACAAACCGACGAGGGTGTTCTGATTTTTCTCACTCTTGTAGTTTCCAACTTGCGAAACACCTCCAAGGCGTCTGCTCGAGCCCAAGCTTGTGACATTCTTTTGGCGTTTGCAGAAAGATTGTCCGATGAAGCCAAATTAGACCGAGTCCTTCCGCACGTCATGATTATCCTCACTGATAGGACCGACACTGTCAGAGTTGCAGCGATCCGTACCTTAACAAAACTACTGGAAATGGTCCAAGTAGTTTCTCCGGTCAATGCCTACTTGTTCTCCGAATACATTTTCCCAAGGCTTCAGCCATTCGTTGCAACATCTCCTACAAATCCAAGCCCCGTGGTCCGAGCCGCATATGCCTCGTGCATTGCATCTCTGGCTCAGTCCTCTTTGCGGTTCCTAGATATGATCCAGGCATTGCGTTCAGATACGCGTCTAGCTGCGTTAATACCGGTCGGCTTTGAGCCGCGATGGACTGAAGATGCGACATACCACAATCTCTATGACGTGGCTCGCATTGATCTCTTAGAATACTTTGAAGTTCATACAAAGGCGCTATTGACAGATACGGATGCATCGGTTCGTCGGGCCTTCTTGGGCTCGGTTTCAAGCTTATGTGTGTTTTTCGGAAATCTCAAAGCGAACGAGGTCGTTCTCAGCCACTTGAATACGTACCTGAACGATCCGGACTGGATCTTGAAATGCGCCTTTTTCAAAGCCGTGGTTGGTGTCGCGGCTTACGTGGGAACGATCAACCTTGAGCTATACATTCTACCACTCATGGTTCAATCCCTGACTGAACCGGAAGAATTTGTCGTGGAAAGGGTGATACGTTCATTAGCGGCGATGGCTGGTCTAGGCTTGTTCCAGCGCTCAACAACATGGGACCTGCTTCACACCACTGTTGGATTTCTGATACACCCAGATACATGGATCCGAGAGGCAACTGTGAACCTAGTGGTAAACTCGGCCAAGTTCTTGTCAATAGCGGACATTCATTCTATATTGGCACCACTCCTCCGACCTTTTCTCAAGATCAAGATCATCGACTTTTCAGAGGCCAAAATCCTTGGTGCACTAAAGCGACCAATGCCGCGCAGCGTTTACGAGATGGCGTTCTTCTGGGCCCTCAAATCTGATAAAGGTGTATTCTGGAAATCGACAGGGAGGGATGGTATGCTGGGCCTATCTGAGCCTGGAGCTTTCAGTTCTCGTGTTGGGCAACGAAATCCGTCGTATACAATGTCTGCACAATCAAGGAATGAAGAAGACGAACAATGGCTGACCCGATTGAGAAACATTGGAATGGGTTCTGAAGATGAATTCAAGTTAGTCGCTCTCAAGGATTACATCTGGAGGGTCTCTTTACGGCACTCGAGAGAAGCCGATCCCCAGTCAAGTCTACCTATAAATGAGATTGTCACTTTGACTCAACAAAATGTCAAGCTTCAAACGGTATTTTTTGACAAGGAAATCCCTGACTCGCCCCGACGAGCGTCGCTGGACAGAAATGATGGCCATGCCGACGATACGAGGCCGAGAACCATTGCAGATGCCCTCCTTGATGCCTCTACGACTATTGAGCGAGCACCCAGTACCCAGCGTAAGCACTTGCGTTCCAAAAGCCAAGTCCATAAAGAGACACGACGACCCTCGGGCATTCCTATTCTGGATGGGCATGATTCTTCTTCGCTATCATCATCTCCGTTGGCATCATCGCCAGCCGCCGGCACAGCATCTCGTCCGTTATCTCCTCCAGGCTCTGATGTCGATCGCAGACATTCCACCCATCGTCAAAGCCCTGATGCAGACGACTCATCAACACCCACTAGAACTAATACTCCGGATTTGAGGAGCTTGTCTGATCGGGTTAGCAAAAAGTCTAGTGCAATCAACCTGCTGAATCGCAAGGATACCACCAAAGCATACGCGGAAACTGGCACAAGCTCTGCGAATGCCTTCGGTAAGGTAGATGCACCAATTCATCGTGGGGGAACCCCCCAGCCAGCGACATCTCTACTCTCAGATGAGCGCAAGGCCGCCCAACTCCCATCACAGAAATACCGACCCAATCATTCGTACCAGGGCAACGACCCTGCAGTTCTGCGGCTGCTAGACAATGTTTTCGCAGAGAACTACCCAACAGACCTGTTTGACCTGGGTCCCTATGTGAAGGAACTGGATACCCGGCAACCCATTCACAGCGCTGCCGACCAAGAACCAAATAAGGTCTGGAAGCCTGAAGGTAATCTTGTTGCGACATTCGGCGAACACAGCGCGGCCATCAATCGGGTCGTGGTCGCCCCGGACCACTCGTTCTTTGCGACTGCGTCTGATGATAGTACCGTGAAGATTTGGGACACAACTCGTCTCGAGAGGAACTTGACCCCTCGATCTCGTCAAACTCATCGTCACGCGACAGGGTCACGCGTCAAGGCTCTGACCTTTGTAGAAAATACTTACACGTTCATCAGTGCAGCTACTGATGGCAGCATCCATGCTGTTCGCGTCGATTATCAGAAAGTCGGCCAAACAGCTGTTCGGTACGGCAAGCTCCAGCTTGTCCGTGAATACCAATTGCCTATCGCGCAAGACGGGACAGCCGAGTATGCCGTCTGGATGGAGCACTTCCGCGATGAAGGACAGTCCACTTTACTTGTGGCAACCAACACCAGCCGCATTCTTGCCCTGGACATGAAGACCATGTTGCCGATCTACACACTGGAAAACCCAGTCCACCATGGCACACTGACCACCTTCTGCTGCGATCGCAGACACCACTGGTTATTGCTTGGCACGACCCACGGTGTTTTGGACCTCTGGGATCTGCGCTTTCGCGTGCGGCTAAAGGCCTGGGGACTCCCAGGCTGGGGCGCCATCAACCGGATACAGGTCCACCCAACCAAGGCCCGTGGCCGCTGGGTCTGCGTCTCGTGCAGTGGCAGCCACGGCAATGAAATCACCGTTTGGGACATCGAAAAGTTCCGCTGTCGCGAAGTCTATCAGGCTACCCCACTGGGCAACGCCAATCCTACCAATGGAGGCCACCATCCCTCGCGGCCCCGTCCTCCATCCCGTATCACGCCAGCTGACTACGAAGCATGGCGTGTGGATGGTGACCGTCCGGAAGGAATGCTAAGTCGGTTCGCGAAACCCGGCGCGGACGCAGGGATCCCCTCGAACAACAACCCCGCAGGCGATCGGCTAGGCATTTGGGCGTTCGCCGTCGGACTCAATGCGCCGGACGAAGACAAAGACTCTAGCACCAAGTGCGGGTACATTATCACCGCAGGATGCGACCGCAAAATCCGCTTCTGGGACCTCGCTCGACCCGATCTGTCTTCGATCGTCAGTGGTCTTGACGTGGTCTCGGATGGTAGTGCCAGTGGCAAACCACACTATGAGCAATCCCAGCCGGGGCCTAGTCTCCTTGTTACCACGGAGCATCTTCCTTCTGCTAGTGCTTCTCGTGATGCTAAGAAGGCTAGCCCGAGGCCGCCCCGTAGCACGGTTATTAGTCTCCAGCAGCAGATGCTTCTCAAGAGTCATTTGGATATTGTTCAGGACGTGGCGGTTTTGCGAGTACCTTATGGGATGATTGTCAGCGTGGATCGGGCTGGGATGGTTTACATATTCTCCTAGGTGTACAGGATCTCAGACTGTATAGAGTAAGGAATAACGAGTCACTTGCAATTATCTCTCCGAGCAGTTTGTTTTTTTGGGGTTGAAACGAGATATAAACTAGGTTTCGCTACTGCGGGTTGATGTGTATATCGCCACGAGTCTTGCATAGTTACAGAACCTCATGCCTTGTGTAGTCTGTACAGTATTGACGTATCAATCGTCCAACGGAGAATAACCCCAACTCAGGACAGTCCCAGTCCAAAATCCGGATGGACTTGCAAATCACTGCCGAACGCCTCCACAATCACATCGGCTTGTACCGGCTACTTGAGCCCACGCGACAGACAGGGCAGGGACCCAGGTACCGGGTACCCCCTGTCGCCAGCTGGGCAGTGGATTCTGACCCACACAGACGAAACACTGGACAAGTGGATCGAGCGATCGACAGCTTCATCTTCCTGTTGAGTCCTACGGGGTGTTCGGAGCGGAAGTCCATGCTCTTCCTTCCTCTTCATCCGAGCATCGTTCGGGCATTCTAAGGGCTTAGTGAAGGGGGGTCTGGCAATAATCATTAATATGGATGATCCATCTGGGACCTAATCAACTATATTAAAGGTCTCGGCACACAATCCCAGGGCTATTTTTGCTCGGAGGCACCGAAATAGTAGTAGTGTTCTGACTCCGGGACTCTTTACACCAGGCGAAGTATGGTAGGTTTGACGGGTTGACAGCCAGTGGAGTCACGGGAAGCAAAAAGCCCTGAAAACGCGATGTGGACGTGACATGGACATGGACACTGTACATGTCCAGACATGAACGCTGTTTCATGATACATTCCAGCAATTTAACAATTCAGGGGTAAACCAGACACTGCATGAGATCGAACACAAATCATTGACAGTGGGGACAGGGTAACTGGGGGGCAGACACCAATGAACACTCCTGGACGGGACGGGATATGGGCTCTTCGATCGGGTTCCAAAATGAAATCTTGGGATCGACAATGCACGCCTCGATCGTGACCCAGTGGTATTTGTCAGTTGGAGCTGTGGTGCACTGTAACCATGTTGGGTACGCGTTAAAAGAGCTCCCCTAGCAGCGCGCAGTGAAACACTGCTGAATATGTAGGTTGAACCTGCATTATGTTGTACTGCAGCAGGTCCAGACAGGGCTTGGATATTTGTCCGAATGAATACTATTATCATTCTAGAGAACAAAGAAAGAGTTTGGAGGTGAAACACGCGGAAACTAAGCAACCTTCCCCATAATAATGGACATATCAGATGTGAGAAAAAAATAAACAACCAGCGGTCAGCGGTTAACGGTCAAACGGTAGAGACTGCCTCGACTGCAGGAGGCCATCAATGCACTCTGGAATCGAGAAGCGAAAACCCTGCAGTCCCAAGGCCAAATACGAAGTCCAGCACGACAGGCAAAAGAAGTCAAAAAAAAGAAGAAATTAAAGTGGAGGTGGTTCTCCCCCTTTGGATTTAGCGTGAGAGTCTCCCTAACCCCCTAAACCTCCTCTTTTTGCCTTTCACACGGATTCTTGTCTCGACACTCTCTTAACTATTGCCTTTCTTTCTGGGTTTCGTCTGTGAATTGCACTCGAATAGTGCTTTCGACTCTGAGGAGTCCCCTATCCTCCTATATCCCACCCCCTCTCCCCTTTATACCCTTTATACCTTATATAGCCCCCCATATAACTTATATCAACGCGACTCGACATACACACACAATGGGCCACTCAATGCGAGATCACGGCTCTTTTGTCCGGCCGTCCACCCGGGATAGGCCATCGACACGCGGTGAAGGGGAAAATTCGCTGGTCGTTCCCAGCCGCACCTCGTCGCTGCACTCGCGCATCACTCAACCTATCCCGTCTACGCTCAACATCAAACCCGCCCAGCGAACACCGAAAACACTGACCCATGCCTATATGGTCTGTGGTGTCGGGCGGGAACCCTCACAATGGGTCAAAGCCCCAGCCCCAGAACAGGGTAAGATTGGCCATATGAAGGGAGCAGTCGGTCAATTCTGGCTGCCCGAGATTCTGGGAAGCAGCCCGCGACTAGAGCAGGACAATGAGATCGCCCGAGCCCTGCATTCGGCCATGCGGGCATGTTTCCCACACGACGTGGAGATCTGCACCGGTAAGAGCCAGCCTCACTGTGCACACCACGCGTTCGTGTTGCAGCAGGACTCTTCTCACACTCTGTACGGCATCGCGCTGCGCGTCTGGTCCCGTGCGGATGAGAAGCGCGCCGAGACTATTCGGGAACTGCGCAAGAAGACGGAGCCGGACTTCTACGACAACCCCGATGAGACTTACTGGATTCCTTACTGTCTCAGTTTCCTCTCGCGCTACCCCCTGTACGACCTGCTAGGGGATTACCTCCGCGGCATGTGGATTCATTGGAACAAGGCCACCAACCTATTCCATGCCGAGGAGGTCTCGCGTATCCTCAGCTTCCCAGCCCCACGTCTCAACGACCTGGTCCGTATCGATATGAAGGACTACGCTCTTTGCTACCAATTCCCCTCTTCACCCACAGGGTTCCAGAACTTCGCCATGTGGCCCCTGTTTACCTGTTTGTCAATCCCCAACATCGTCGGAGTCATTGAGGCTGCCGTCTCCCCTACTCGTCGTATCATATTTGTCTCTCACTACCCGGCCATGTTGACCGTGGCCGCCGAGACCATTCGCTACTGCGTTCGCGTCTACGAGTGGAGTGGCTTGTACGTGCCCGTTGTGCACGCTCGCCACGTCAAGGAGCTCGTCCAGGAGCCCGGTCCATACATCCTGGGTGTCACCGCCGAGTGCCGGACTCTGTTCAACGCCCCCTCCGATGCGCTCGTTGTCGACCTCGACCGCAACTTCGTCCTGACCTCCAGCCCACCTAACGTGCTAAACCAAGGTCAGCGCACCAAGTTCATCAACCGCATGACCCAATCTCTTAATGGTGATGTCTCGCCCTCCGGTGTGCCTCCTCACCTGCGCACTGCCTACGCCGGCGGTAAGCTCATCCCCGCGGGTCAGATTATCGTCATGCGCGGCGAGGTCGAGAGCATCCAAGAGCCCCAATGGTGGAATCAGGATGCTGTCATGAGTGTTATGGACCATGTGTGCGAGAAGCTGGTATTTTTGCTCTCTAATGTTGGAATCACTGCATGAGATTAACTAACTTCTTTATAGGGCCGCAACACCGGTATGAAGGCCATCTTCGGCGGATCCGTCAAGAAGCCCCTGATGACCAAGGTCTCGATGCGTCACCTCAACGAAATTGTCCGCGAGCGCAACCAGTACTCCCGTGACGCTATGGAAGCCTGGCAAGACTTTATCAACCTCAAGGGAAGAATGGACACCGAGCTCAGCAAGGTCACCAAGCGCAACAACTTCCTTGTCGAGGAACTCGAGACCTGGAAGCAACAATTCCTCAAGTTCCAGGCCTTTGCTGAGCAACTTACCAAGGAGACCACCGAGCTCAAGAACAAGATTGAGAACCACAAGCGCGAGAACCGTCGCCTCACTGGTCTCATCGATCAACAAAAGGACGATGTGGCTCGTCTCACTCTTCGTCTGTCTGGTACCGAGAAGCAGCGTGATGACGCCCTCGAGGCCCTTGTTCTCCAGCAGGAGATTGCCGAGGAGCTTGAGCGTGAGCGCAAGCGCAATCAGAAGGAGATTTCAGCCCTCACTCACACTAACTCGACTCTCTCCCGTGAGCGTGAGGACGCTCAGCGTGTGGTTCTCCACCTGCGCAGCCTCATCAACGGCCAGAGCCACCACATGGAGCACATCGTCCGCTCCATCGGCAGCACATCGGAGATTACTGAAATGGTCGAGCAGGGTTACGAAGACGCTCCTGAGGAGCGCAAGGCGGAGACTCCCAAGCCCAAGGCGTCCGCCCCGACAGAGGAGGTTAATGGTCAAAAATCTCTGGTAAATGACATGAACCCTGCTCTAGAGCAGCATTTGCTGAACCTCGGCAAGGACCACAAGACCCTTGCTCGTTTGAGCATCACAGATGTTGCAGACCGCTATCTGCGCGACAAGACCGATGCCATTGCAGACATTATCCGCAGCATCAGCGATCAGTGTGCTGCCGCCGTCGAAGGTCTCCACTTGGCCCAGGACGCCGAAGATGATGAGGAGGTTAAAATGCATTCCTCCAACCGTCTTGGCTCCGATTACGACACCCAAGAGGGCCGTTCCACCCGCGCCCCCAGCGAGATGAGCGATATCGACAACAACTCCCTCCACCCAGATAACCGTCACTCCAGCATCCCTCCGACCCCGGATTTGGTTCACAACCGCTCCAGCACTTCTATGTCCATGGTCAGCAGCTCGACTTTCCCCGAGCGCTCAAGTCAGCAGTACGGACTCAGCGACTTCCCTACTCGCATCGTCGAGGATGACGACGAGCATGCTCACGAGACTGAGAATGTCGATGACCAGCAGACTGAGCCTGGTACTCTGTCCAAGCAGGCTAGCGAGGACCTCATGCGGCCAAACACCGCTCGGGTCATCTCCTAGGTTCAGCATCAGCTATCTATATAAATCTATATAAGACTAGATGATGCAACGGTTTGACTGAGACGACCTTGTTTGTGTTTGGCTTCGGCTTTCTTTCCTCTTCTCTGTCCATTTCCTATATCTTTTGCCTGGCATGGCCCATTCCCTTTTTTACTCCTTCACTGTGCTGTCTTTTGAACACACACACTTGCGCTCTGGTTGTCTGGCGTAACTTTTCCCTCCATTTCTTTTCTCTTTTCTTCGTTTTTTTCCCCTCCTGCTTCGCTTCGCTTCGTCGTGTCGATTTCTTTTGATACTCCCTTATATCCACTGACCATCTCTCTGTCTTCTTGTCCCATAATTCTGGTCATATTTGTCTTTCCCGTGGCTGCTTTACCCGGGGGGTTTACTGTCTATTATTTATCGTCGTGCCGTCTGGGATGCATCGGCTTGATCTTATTTTTTTATTGTTTTGACTCGCTCATTCTCGTGTTGTCGAGAGAGCCACCCACACTGCACTCGCCATCTGCATACTGTCTGCGGATGAGATTTCTTTTTTCGTCTGTCATGCACTTTTTCCTTGTCTGAAGTCCTTGATCTGGATTGATCTCATGGTTATTTCAGGGTTATATAGTTCCCTGTTTCTCGAAAATGGATTCTGTGAATTGACTTTCTTTACATCGCTTCAATTGAGTAGGTAATCTACTCAAAGTTCACCTACTATATCTTCGTTTTTCGAAATCATGTTAATTGCTTGGTCATGTCTATGCCGTGAAATCTTTATGCAAGTTTCCCGGGAACCACAGGATGTCCAGCACTCAACCCACCACAAACGGCCCAAGCCTGTCCATTAACATAGGAAGCCTCGTCAGACCCAAGGAACAGCGCAACACGAGCAACCTCATCAGCAACAGCACCCCGCTGCATGGGATTCAACTGTCCAATCTTCCGCTCAGTGCCGCGTTCCCGTGCCCGATCAAATACAGTTTGGGTCATGCCTGTTTCGATCAAGCCGGGACAGATGGCGTTGATGCGGATACCCGTTCCGGCAAGTTGGTACGAGACTGTTTGGGCGATTGAGACTACTGCTGCTTTTGAGGCTGAGTAGTCCGTTGAGCCGGCATTTGAGCGGAGACCAGCTACCGATGCTGTGCCGATAATTGAGCCGCTTGGGTAAGGCTTCGTCGAGGATGTGATTTTCATTGCCGGGGCTGCGTGTTTGGCTGCTAAGAAGACGCTGGTGGGGGTTAGTTCAGCTTTTTCTGGAAAGAATTGAACAGAAATCATACCCGAGTGCATTTGTTCGCATGGTTTTCATGAATCCATCGCCATCAATATCAGTGAAGAGCTTGGGCTGGCCGACGATGCCTGCGTTGGCAAAGAAGATGTCCAGTCGGCCGTATTTGGCTACTGCTTCATCGATGACTGCTGTCAGAGCCTTTTCATCTGCCGCATCAAATGACCGTATGTGTACATCTGTGTTTGGATAAAGGGACTCCATCTCGCGCTTGTGAGTTGCCAAGTGAGTATCGCTGTAATCGCAGATATAAACTGCTTTGGCGCCATTGTTGGCGAATTGGTGTGCGCTGGCCCGACCAATCCCGTTGGGTGAATTTGCGCCTACTTTTGTATCAGTACATGTAGCTTGCAATTTCTCTCATGAAGATTACCTGTCACGATAACAACCTTGTCCTTTGTCCGGCTGCAAGTATAAGTTTTAGCTATAGTTGACCGGATGACGAATTCAAAGACCAAGCAGCCAATTGGCCAGTATATAACTCGGGAATTTCGTCAAGTTACTTACAGTCCTGCCGAATCGCCAGCAACATGGCGAATCTTGGGGATGTCCTCGAATGTACCCTCGAAAGGGATGCCCTCGACAAGTTGCTTGCTGAGGGCCTGAAGACGCTGTTTTGCTGCAGCAGACATGAGGTTTATTCTGCGATACTGGTTGGGAGAGTTTAATAAAGATGGAGAACGACACAGTCCATTCTATGTAAAGCAGCTAACCTGTAAACTTATATACGAGCTCAGCTTCCCCACTGCGTCGGTTATGCGGAGAGCCGAGGCAGATGGTCACGTGGAACGCATTGGGTCACATGACTAACAACGTCATGTGCCCAGGCCATCAACAGCTTTGTGTGTTTCAAAGAGAGCAAAAATAGCAACTCTTTGTGCACCTTTGGGCAACTTGAATTTCAGGCTTTGGAGGCTTGACATTGCTGCTCCCTTCAAATTGCGTCGATCACCCTTCATTCCACTGATCCACCGATCTCAAGGGATCGCCAAGGACGCGTGACAGGGAAGGGCTAACTTACCTGCAGCTACTCGATTATACATGTTAGCTCGATCACTCCCAATCTACCCTTCAACAAGCCTTTCGGAGAGCCTTCATGAAGTCATTACCCGACGAGTCCTTCGTCCACGCCATTACCCGGTCGTTGAGTCATGGCAGAGTCCGACCAACCTCAGCGGCGGTCGTCATCGCAAGCCTCCAGCGCCTCAAGCAGAAGTCGAAATGCTAAGATGATGCGCGCCAAAGTCCAGAAACGCCACTCTGGCTCGTCAAACACAACCACGGATCTGACCTCGTTTCCATCTCTTTCACCTCCCGACAAAGCCACCACCCTCACCCGTGGTTTGACAAATACTTTATTTTCCGGCGAAGATGGAGAGGAGACCCAGGGAAATGGCCGAGGGCGCAAGGCAACATTAGCGAAGCTTACAGCCGGAGCGTCACAAAAGTCTGGCCGATCTGCCTTGTTTGCCGATTCCGTTTTGACCCAGGATATCCCAGGTGCCTTGCATTTGGCCGATGATGCGCATATTGAGCGTCTAGTTGCCAGTACAGGGGCCGTGAAGATGGTGAGACAGTTCGCGCGCGATCTGGCTCAACGAGATGCTGAGATTTCTGCTCTCCGCCAACGTGCCGATGCACGAGAGCGAGAACTAAAGAGAATGCTCCGAGAGGTCTCCGTCAGTAACCAGGACATTGAGCGTCGATTGTATCAGCTGGAAAACCCGCCCGGAGATCGAATTTCGGATGCTGAAAGCACCCACAGTAGTGATCATGCTGGCCATGCCTCCTCTGGATTAAATGGGCTGATGTCCCAAGCCATGGAGGACACTGTGGGCTCTCGGCCCTACGACAAATCCGAAGCGCAGTCTGATCTTCAAGCTACAATCCGGGCTCAGCGAGCAGAGGCTGATGGTCGCATGGTTGATGGCAACGATACCACTCGGAAACGCAATAGCTCGATTCGCGGCTGGCAAGAGTACATTTTTGGCTCGACAAACACAAGTCGCAAAACGAGTCGTGCTAGCAGTATCATGAGTGGTGTAGGAGAGCACGATGACGAAGAGACTGAGCGCCTTCGAGTGCCTAGCAATCCATCGCGTCGCAAAGCTCTTGACGAGCAGCTTTTCCAACCACCCGATGCACTAACACGAGTTGGTGGACCGGCAAAGCGAATTGCCAGCCCGTCAGTGACGGGAGACGATGCCAGCACGCATTCACGCAAATCCTCGAGGTCAATCGGCTCGTGGACCGTCAAGCTGTTCGCTGGCAATCCTCAGGCAAACAAGGATGCAAGTGACTCCGAGACCAATCAAGCTAAGCCAATGTCCAAAGTTCCGGGTGGAGATCGAAGCGCTCCATCTACTCTTTCAGGCAAAGGCGGGATGTCGGCAGTCGCTGCATTGAAAAGAATCAATAGCAATGTCAGTGTGCCTTCTGCACGCTCTGCCAGTGGAATAAGTGTCCAAGGCAAAATGGGCCCATCTGCCTCGCGACGAAACCCAGCAGGCAGCATCTCGCAAGGAGCAGCGTCTGAGGCCACAGATCGAAGCTCCACGAACCTGGGACCTGTCGAGATGGATGCCATCTTGCCTATGGAATCGAAGCCTCCCACACTCACTCCTGTTTACAATAACTCTCAGTCAGGTGAATTTCTCACAGATCGCTTTGGTTTCATTTATGATCAACGTCGAAAGAAGCGTCAAAGAGAAGCCAATACAACCAAGAGTAGCGGCCACCGCTTAAGTATTGGAGAGACTCTTGGTACCCTGCGAACAGACGCTTCTGATGCAGAAGATGATCCTGATGTTCGAAGTCTCACCCAGACGGTCTCTGAGACCACACCTCCTTCTCCTACATCACCAGATGACCCTGAAAGTGAAGCGATTTCCGTCCGCCGTTGGCAGGACTATTTGAAAATCCCATCTCGCCCTACAGAACTTCTCTCCCATACACCCTCTGCGGGGCCAATCATCTCTCTGACCTCAGGAGAAAATCGTCCCCATAGCTCGTCTGTTTCTGTTGACAAAGTCGGAGCCTTGTCTGTTGGCTCTGTCGGCCAGCCATCTGCTTCAACCTCAGCCATCACAGCCGACAGTCCTGAGTTTGCGGGTCTATCATCCGATCAAGCAAATGACATGACTTCCAAGATTTCAATGGCAGAGACTGAGCCGGTGAAATTATTGCTAGAGCAACTGACAGAGCTCCACGATACCCTGCAGCGTGACCGAACCGTGCGGTGGAACGAATTCCTTCGCAAGGTGCGCGCAGAACGCCGAAAAGAAGGTGAGGCTGCAGCCGCTGCAGCACCCGACCGGTCTGTAGCTGCAGTCGATACACCTGAGGCCTCACTCGCAGATGGTGAGGTCGTGGGCATCGCCGGCCTGGGCAACAAGGGCAAGGTTGGTCGAGCAAAATGGCGCGAATTCCGGCTGCTTGTACTCGGCGGTATCCCAGTCGCTCTTCGTGCCAAAACTTGGTCAGAATGCAGTGGTGCTTCTGCTATGCGAATTCCCGGGTACTACGACGATCTTGTGCATAGTGTTGGTGGATCGGAGCCTGATTCCTCTGTTGTATCCCAGATCGACATGGATATCCGTCGCACTCTCACCGACAACGTCTTTTTCCGCAAGGGTCCTGGTGTCGGCAAACTGAAGGAAGTGTTACTTGCGTACTCCCGCCGTAATCCTGAAGTTGGCTACTGCCAGGGCATGAACCTGATAGCCGGATCCCTCCTACTCATCATGCCCACTGCTGAAGATGCATTCTGGATTCTGACTTCGATGATCGAAATCATCCTACCCCAGCACTACTATGATCATGGATTGCTAGCCTCTCGAGCCGATCAAGTTGTACTGCGACAGTACATCTCGGAGCTACTCCCCAGACTTTCAGCTCACCTAGAGGAACTGGGAATCGAGCTTGAGGCGCTCACTTTCCAGTGGTTCCTATCAGTCTTTACAGACTGTCTCTCCGCCGAGGCGCTTTATCGCGTATGGGACGTTGTCCTTTGTCTCAACGTCACAAGTGCTGTCAATGGCCCTGGGCCCACCCTAAATACGAAGGAAAGCAATGACAAGGCCCCCAAGGTGGCCGAAGACGCCTCCGGCAGCGGAGGTGGAAGCACGTTCCTTTTCCAAGTTGCACTCGCTCTCCTTAAACTCAACGAGCAGCAATTGTTGACGACCTGCTCAACGCCCGCTGCTCTATACACATACATCAATCACCAAATGACCAACCACGCAATCAGCATCGATGGACTGATTCAAGCCAGTGAAGCATTGCGCAACGTGGTCCGTCGAGAAGACGTCGTTGCGCGCCGAGCTGTTGCCCTGCAGCAAATGCGAGACTTGAGCAGCGGCCACAGTAACTAGACTTCTTTGACTTATCTGTTTTTTCTTATGACCTTTTCTTTCATTTTTTTCTAGATCCTGACGATGCCGATACGACTTTGAGCATACAGCAAGGAGTTTTTGCTTTCTGTTTCATTGATTGGCGCCCATTTTCTCTCTTTAAGCCTTGTTGACATAGCCTGCGATATCCCCTTTCCCATCTCATACATCAACCACATTCAAGATACCCCCTGGATTTTACACTTGGGAGGCAGCAGATTAGACTTCTTTGAATGAAATATTGCTATTATTTCGCTCTTTAAGTCATCACATTGACTCAGTTCTATATGCCCCCGACGGAAAATCTACTCCAACTTCGAATGCGAGACCCAAAGATGATCAACAGGATCGGAGACACCATGATAATAGCTGACAGTCCAGCCAACAATGTCGCCGACCAGTTTATATGCAGCATCTCGTACATCGGCCGCTCAAACAGAGGGAATGTAGCGGATACCAGACTTCGCACCATAACATGAATGCTAATAGCAGAAACAGTGTTGAGCAGATACACATCAACGATATAAACAATACCACTGATGAAGATAATTTGCAGCGCCAGCCCAATCGCATAACATGCAATTACCTGAGCAATCCAATGTGTATTCCCCGTCCAGCCAAACCACAACAAAGCCGGCGGTAGCAATACAGCCCCAAATACCATAGGAGGTAATCGACCCTCGGGGGCGACTCGAACTGGCGTGCCCGCTTGAGATTCACTCGAGTTCTTGCTTTTCTGCGCAGCCATCCATCGCCGTTTATATACTGTCATGGTGAACGTCGAGAACAGTCCCAGCGCTGTTAACACACCCAGACCAACGGCTATGAATGGAAGCGTGGCAGCAGGTTTGCTCCACCCTCGACTTTGAAATTGGCGTGGGAATAGCTGGTAAGATAGATATAAGGAGCCGTAGACCAGTGTCAGGTAGATGGTCATGACGATCAAGATGGGTTCCTGGACGAACATCCGCACTGGCTTCGTGCAGTACTTCCGCAACAGGATTTTCGGGTCTAGAGAAGCCATCTCAGCCTGTGCGCGCAGCTTTTCATTCCCTGTTTCTTGGCGGAGCCGGGCAGCGCGACGCATCAATATCCGGTTGTGTGATGACTCGCGGAGGAGGGCAAGACAGAGGATGCCGACTGCACCGCAGAGGATGAGTGTTGTCCATGCTGTCCAGCGCCAGCCGTATCGGTCGACGATATATGCGCCTACTATTGGGCCTATAATGCTGCCCAGGTTCATGACTGTTGCAGACATGCCCACTGCCACGCCTCGTGTGATGGGCCCGTAGATATCAGCCAGGATGCCCGATCCCACTGCCAACCCACCAGCCCCGAAGGTTCCTGCTAGGAAGCGGCTGACGAGGATGGTGGCGACGCCGTTGGCTACCGCGAGTGGGATCTGGAAGATTGCACAGCCGGCCAGGGCAATGGCCATTGGGGGTGCATTGCCTATTACTTCTGCCATGGGCGCGAAGATGAGTGGACCGACGGCGAAGCCCGCGACGAAGAGGGCAACACCAAGGCTCATTACCTCTTCCGATACACCATATTCTTTGGCCGTGATGTTTGATGCGGAGCCGAAGATGCTGGATGCAAAGGCTATGGAGAAGATCACTGCTAGTGGTGCTGCAGATCTGAGGAGCTTGGTCGACCGCGGCCAGTTCTGGGGATTGTCGGGATCGATAGAACCATTCCAGGTTACCAAGTTGGCCAGATGGGGTGGAGAGCTTGTGCCTGGAGTATTGGCGCCCATTGAGAGGCCGTCTGTCATGAGAAGATTGACAGTTAAGCTGGCTGGCTTTTCAACCATGCTGACTTGCGTCGCTGGCTCCATGACCCTGATCCTGTGGACATGGGATGCGAAGTATAAGGTATGAGATCTGGGCGAAGTTGAAAAAGTTTGAATTTTTCAGCTTGACAGGACAACAGTTGGATCGACACCAAGTACAGGATCTACCTTGATCGTTTGTACTCCACCGATCTATACGGAGTGTCTCCGATGGTGCTTGTGTACTCGACTATCACCAGGTGAGATACGCCAGTGGAATTGGAATCTTGAGCACCGAGCAGATTTTACGTGCTACTTTTCACTTCTTCTTCTCAGGTTTCATATGTTCACACGCAAATTGACAAGTTGAAGACGCATGAATGCCGAAGATTCGGAGAGATGGCCGAACAGATTTCCCTTTTCGGCAATTCGTGCCTATCGCTTCCACTCACGAACTGACCTCGACACGAACGCACTTTACCTGCAGAATTCGATGTGTTTTACATTGAGAATGTCGGTGTATTTTCCCTAGCATCACAATTCTGTCGAGTCGCATCCTACTTGGCCATCCATTTCAAATCAGACCTAAGAATCCCACCCAATTTGCTCCGATCAACGCCCGTTCATAAGAGAACCCCATAGAACCCCCCCAGAAATACAAACTCACTGCAATATGAACCCCCGATAACACCATCACTGCTCATACACCCGGAACTGCCCCTACTTGATACTAGCTGTACTCCCCCTCGGTGTCGCCTCAACATCCTTCAAAGCCTCCAAATCAAATCTCTTCATATACCGCAACATCTCCAATTGATGAAGTTTATGTTCGAAAGTCAGCGCATCAGGAACGGTATTATCCAGCTCAGCCTCGTGATCAATAGGCGCCGTGATAGGGAAGGGTGCATTATCCATGAACTTGGCCTCGACCTGAGATGCGAAGTTCTGTCTCGCTTGATTGATGTTTCGGACAGCTTCCTCGGCGATATATGGGGTATATTTGATTTGGTTGGTCTTCAATGTGGCTATTCGAGGTTAGGGTTTGTGATGGCATGTGATGAGATAGAGAGTAGACTTACTCTCCAGGTGTTTGATGTGTAGACACAGCTTTTGATATGTGCGTTGGAATTCGCGTTTCTTTATCGCTGCTCGTGTGTCGATGTCTAGCATCCAGGCTATCATTGCACAGGACAGACCTGGTGGTCATTAGTATGAAGGGCGAGATGATGGTTAGGTTGGTGCCCACCATCTCTGCTATATGCCATCTGCGCATGATGGTATGGCGCTGGGACATTCTCCATGTAATTCACGAAGCTTGGAGATTCTTTGGTAATTTGAGACATTGCGAAAGATGTCAAACTCCGTGGAAGATGTAGTAATTCGTGATCGTAGGCCGATTGTGGCGGGAAAACGAGATGAACGAGGTGTAGGCAAGGGTCATATAATGACTTAGCCCTGTGGGCAACCGACAATTTTGCTTTGATTTCTCTTCTGTGCAGTCTGATCTAGCTTGAAACGAGTCTCGAGCTCATCGCTCTCTTTGTTCCCGAATGCAATCCCGCCACATGGATTTTGGTTTCTTTGTTCTCGGGTGGGATTCCAGGGCTCGAAAGCAACAGTACTTTTGACGGAGTTGGGTGTCTGACCTGTGCAGATGCAAGTTCTTTGTTCCCGGAATAGACTGGTATAGACAACCCTGGCGCTTTGTTCGCACCAGTAACGCTAGTTTCCGAGTAATTACCATGTGGTACACAACGCCAAAGGGTTATAGTCATTGACATTCTCGATCATTCCGTAGCCCTGTTCTTCTTCCTCTGTAGCATCTCTATCTCTTCGAATCAGACCAAAATGAACTACCAACGAGCTATAAACGAAGTTCCCGCTGTATTCCAAGTATCGTCAGGCGAAAGAGGTAACGGTCTAGGTTCTACACTCAGCTCGCAACGAGAATTAACAATATACAGGGTCCAACATCCTGAACAGTTTCCTAGGCTGGGTCCGCAATGAGACATTTGGAAACATGGCTGAAGTCTGTGCTTTGTGGGCTGCGATCGTGGATGCCAACGAGCACCTGGTGAAACTAGATCGTGAGATCATGCCCTGCCCGCAAGTGTTGCAGAAAAATGAATCAATGTGAACTAATCGGTTCTCCTTGATATAGAGACCCTCACGTCCCGCGAGATTCCACATGCAGAGTACAAGACCAAGGATATACTGGACTCGGAGTTGCAAGAGGCTAAGGAGTTGATGCGTCTTATGCCTGGTGGGCCGGAGAATAAGGCGATTAATGCGGATGAAGATCTCCTCCAAGCAATGGTGCGGTTGAAGTTTCTTCGCCATTTCAATCAGCAGAAGTAGAAAGGTTAAGAATCATTGCTGCCTATCGGTCTATAGGTCAGAAAGCCAGGTGGAAGCAGCACAGTGGTCTAAATTGCCTGTGGACTTGTTTAGAGTTCTAAATCTCTAATGCTTAGCCTATATAGAGGTCAAACCAGCGAGTCGGGCTGCGGTACAAGTGTTTAATGGATTTGGTCATCAGTGGTTCAGGATTAGTATTTATATTCTGCATATCTTTCAGATCATCCCGTAGAAAGCCGATGCCGTCTGACCCCAATAGGGGTGGGCGGCACTGCATACAAGCCATATACCCTGCCAAGAACATCCCGGTCAGCGTGGTAGTCAGGTTTCATCCCCAATAGAAACCAGGCTTTGATGACCGGAGGTCTGCAGGGAGGGATTAGGTGGGGGATACTCCAGCAGCAGCAGCCTGTGCGCATATATGTGCCCCATGGCCAGTAAGTACTGGGTATCTGAGTGCGTGCTACACTAGGCCGTGGGGATGAAGGTCTGGGGACAGCGAAGCGTGGACTAGAAAATCGAAATGGGTGGTATCTTCACTTTCTCAGCTGGGGCCCTGATCAACCCAAAATTGACTATTGTCCAGCATGGTGGACAGATACAGTGAGTCCATTGCCATCGTCGGACGGAGACCCATTTCCATGACATCCCGTGAAACAGCCTTAATCTGCCTCATGATGGACTGCGAGATGGCCCAAGTGCGAGCCAACGACTTGAACACACCAATTGTCAACGTGAGACGGTCACGACTGGGGTCGGGCATCTGACCCGCCTTGACGGAGCAAGCGGCCAACTGAACGATGGAACTGAGCGTAAGGGCACAGATGAAAAAGGGAGTGTGTTTGATGACGGGCAGACGGAATGAGGCAAGTCGAGATAATTCTCGGGCAGCTTTGGCTGCTTTCATGGCATGCTCGTTATGGGAGAATGCCGGCACACTGATGGGCCCAGAACCACCACAGATGACAGCCGCGGCAACGGCGGGGGATGAGAGAAGGTCGGACCGAGGGAAGTTTAAATAGATGGATGCGCCGTTCAAGATCATGGTCGCCTGGAACATGATCTCGTCCACGGTGCCGTCCGGGCGCAAAAGCTCTTCCTTGGACTCCGGCAAGTGATGGCCCCAGCTACCAATACGCGCATCGATAGCTTCTACATGATCCTGTTGACCCTCGGTCATGTTCTGCGTCGCGACCACACGACCAAGGATGCGGATTGCTTCAATTCGGTAGCAGTAGGAGGAGAAATGTAACTCCTCGTCTGCAAAAACACGCTGGTCGAATTGCTCAATAGTCGGGGACGGCGGAGGGAACAGACAATCTTGATAGATGCGCTCCTCACAGGGAAGTGGCACTTCAAGCGGGACTGAGTTGGTCCGGAATTCAGTTTGCACACCAAGAGCAGTCAAGAAACCTTCAATGACGAACAGGTCCCACCAAGTGCGCCGCAAAGACTCGGCCCGAATCGGATCTCCATTGCTGGCAATCACCGCGAAAGTTTGCTGGTGCATGCCAAGCTCAAAGGCCAGGTCCACTGCGGAGGCAAGACACTCGCCAGCCTCCGCACGCTCGTTGCGCGAGTGTAATACAATTGCTAGCAGGAGCAGTGCTTGAACCTTTTCCACGGTAGGGTCCTGTTCTCGAACCACCGAGACCACATTTTGGCGGTATGTCTCGCTCGAGGCCGCTGAGGTAAAGTGGGAGCCCACAAATTTCATCACCTGTTCCAGATACACGGGGAGATAGATGCGATTAAGGTACCGATGGGGTGGCAGGATTGGATGTGCGGCGTGGAAATAATTATAGTATATATCGATCAAATAGGCATCGCTGCTGGGGGCGGATGAGGAGGAGTCCGGAGTTAACGGATCGCTAACCGGGCGAGCAGGTTGCGACATTGACATCGAAAGATCGTAAAACCCGGGACTGTTTGACCCCGACGAGAGGAATGGGACGGCAGGCGCATAGCCATAGCCTGCCTGCATGCTCTTCCAATCCACGGGGTTGACCATGGTGGGATCGACCGGCAACTGCTCCGGGGATTCTGGGTTGGCGCGGCGCTTTTTGGATGGACCCTTGTAGCCTCTTCGAGATTTGGTATACTCGCACTGGAAAGGCTGGCCATTGACTTCGCAACGGCCGCAAATGGGGATCTTGCCATCACATTTGAGATGTTTATGGCGACACGGTAGACACGCTAATGGTGAGGGGCCATTTGATTTCCCCGAAGTCTGTTCAGTCATAGTGGGAGCATGGAACGAGAAAGAGATAGAAGAAGCAAGGAAGAAGCAGAGAGAGGGAGAGAAGAGGAAGAGGGAAAGAGACCGTTGGAGATCAAACACAGCGGGGAATCTGGTGACTTTGGCGTTCCCGATGTGACAATACCCCAATACCATACACGGGGTTAATAAGCACGCTTTACGATACCAATACGCTCCTCCGCCCATCTTATCAGCTGCTCTTCTTCTCCGTCTCTTCGACTCACTTCACTCTCTTCCTCGACTCTCTTTCGGACTCTTTCTCTACTCTTTGAAAGTCCAATTACTCTTCCATTGGTCCGTTGTTTCACCAAGAAACAAAAAGGCAATAAGTTTGCTTCTGGGACTTGATCCCCGAACCTGCTCCTTGTGTAGCGTCACCCGAACTAGTGGCCGACGTGTCTTCTCCGACTCAATCCTTTGTCTCTCGGCCACCGTCATTTGGTCTCGCAATCAACGTCATTTTTTGACCTGTCTATTCGCACCCCTGCGAATCTTCCTTTCACAATGATCTCCGACGACGACCTCTACCGCCTCGCCATCTTCCTTGGCTCCTGCGCCATGATGATGATTGTTCTATACCACTTCCTCGACGTCAATGCCACCGAGGACGAGCCTACCGATGCCGTGAACCCGAAGGCTGAGACCTCTGCGCCGCTGGCGTCCGCAGAAACTACAACTCGGTCAGGAAAAAATTGAATACGAATTGTGCTGAAGGAAGGAGGACCAGGAATCAAGATACCATTGCCAACATTTGTTTAACGTTACCAGCGAGTCAGAGACAAGCCAATTGTACACTGTGATTACAATTAATCCTGCAAATGGTCATTGTCAATGTCATGGCTTCAATGCTTTCATATATTTATTAGTACAATCGAGCATCAGCACATGTAAATCATCAGGCGCTGTTAAATGACAGATTCGATTAACGCCGTTCTTCATGCTAATCGCTCAAACGAAAACAACAAGTGGTATACGTGGTTCAATTGAGACCTCAATCGCTGCTGATGTAGCACACTTCATCACAGTCAAGGTTGGCTTGTCGGGCCGGGGTGGACAAAGGGGTATCACTCGATCCTAGAGCTGGACCCGTCCTCTTTTTCCACTGTTGCCCCGCTTGAAACAAATCGCGAGCTTTTTGTTTCTCGGTTGACGATCCGTGGGTTTTGCTGAACGCCTTGATTTGGTGATCATCAACAGGCAAGGCCATGGTTCCTTTACGCGCACTGGGGTCGGTCACATTGATGTTAGCCTCTGCAGGTTCACCGCCGATGGGCACTGTCGGCCCGTCTCCAAGTTCCCAAGCCATTTTGGCAAAATGCATCTCGGCCATATGTTCATACAGACGCTGGGCAGCCCGGAATTCCTTATCCTCGCAGTCTTTCCACTTGCATTGGAGGTGGTGCGGGATATGCACTTTGGAAACGTGGGATCGCATTGTGTGCATGTTGTGAAGTTCTGCCGCACAATCTTCCCAGTCACAGTGAAAGACAGAGTAATTTACGGGTTGCGTGCGGGAAATCGCGACCTCAACCATCGCGGATCCACTCTTGGCCTTGGGAGGTCGACCGGGCTTTCGCTTTGGTTGCATTTTATCCGGCGACGGCGGTATCACAACTTGTGGTCGGGGGAAATTAGTATGTGGCTTCCGGAAGGAAGTAGTCGCCGGATTTGACGTGGTATTCGATGAGTTCTTAGGGCTAATCGTATGTTTGGCCCTAGGCGTCACAGCAGCCACCTCCACGGGGACGGGTTGGTTGGGTGCGACCGGTTTGGTAGATTTGTTGTTTATCGGTTTATTGGTACGCGGACCGTTGCTTGTCTTGGATCGCACCTTAGGGGTCTGCTCAGTTTGTGGAACAGGATGCACTGGCTTGGTTGTTTGTTTAGGCGACGATTGGGAAACAGTAAGGGGTTCGTCGGAGAAAATGGGGGGCTCTGGAATTGGATCAAGGCGAGGAAGACCAGAGGGGAACTTCGAGGGGATCGTCGCACGTTTCGGCGAGTGGTAGGTAGGGGGTTGAAAGGGTAAAGTTCCCCAAGAGCTTAACCCACCGGGAGGGGCGCGTTCGTCAATTCTGGCAGAACGCGGCGTTGACGATGTGTCACGTGGAGAAAAGGCGGCGACGTCAGACAAATGCGGTGTGTTGGTTTGGTCACGTGGGGCGCCTGGCCCTTGAACAGCCTTCTGTGTAGAGATGGAGCCCGTTGAAGGCACAGAGCTTGTGGGGGGCATAGACCTTGTTGCACTGGAGACAATTGCTGAAGGTTCTGGGATCACTGGACTCATAGAACTATTCGAAACGGATTTCTGTGTAGACTCTAGTTGAGAATTAGCCCTCTCAGGGGGAATTGTACCAGGTGGAGACGCGGAGCTCGCTGAAGGAACGGATCTCTGTGCAATGAACCGTGCTGGAGGGAAGTATGCTGCGGGAATAGAGCCCGATGGATGAACATCACTTGACGGAGTAGCCAAGCTTGGTGAAGGCCCAGAAGTCTGTGGAGGTCCAGAATGTGCCAGAGAGATTGGTCTCTGCGTAGGGATGGACCTTTGTAGGTTAGGAGGGATATAGGCATACGTATGTTGCCATTGGACAATGGACCCTGCCGGAGTGGTACTTGCCGAAGTAATAGGGGCAGGTGAAGAAACAAATTGCTGTTGAGGCGCAGAAGCTGCAGGGGGAGGTCTTGCGTCAAGGGCTGTTGTTGGGTTTTGTTCAACATCCACCAGCTCCCAGCGAAAGGTTGCCAGGTCTGAACTGGTATCCACTTGGGTAATATTGGCCCTTAATTTCTCTAGGTGATGATTTAATCCCTTCATATTAGGATGTTTTCCTGCGGCAATAAGAATGTCGCGTGCAATTGTAGCAGGGTTATATGACGCTTTCATCAACGCATCGCTGATGCGAATTGGCCTCACCAGGTCATCACGGTTCTTTGTTGCCCTGCGCTGAGGTCTATGAGCAGGTTGCGCCGTACGATGCGTCCCAGTTGAAGGATTAAGTGGCGCGTAAATAACTGGCCTTTTCTGTATCGACACAACCGAATTCGAAGGTGCCTGTGACGGTTGCGTTGGCGGTTGACTTGACTTGACTGATACCGGTTGGGTAATCTCGACATGGGAGTTCCCGTTATCCAAGCGCGTTATCTTTGCGGGCGATTGGCCCTGCATATTATCGTGTGTTGATTTCCGAGGCCCCCGAGTCTGCTGAGGGTGTCCAGAGACAGACAAAGAATGAGAAGTGCGTTTTTTGCTATTCGTGCTTGGCTGTGATGTTGTTGGAGCCGGCCAAGCCACTGGGCTTGAAGCATTTGCAGACCGGGAAGACGTTGTCAAGTCGATTGGATTTGTTGCTTGATCTGAGAGGGTTATTCCCGAGATGGCTGACTGGGGTGGCGGTCTGTTCTGGTTGTTCAGGGTCGACCGAGGACGCTCATAACTCGGACGCTGTGTTGTTGTCAGCCGATCTTGTTGCTGAATCGGTGGTTGGACATGAGCAGACCAGGTCTGACTACCCGTATGACGACTCTCAGGATCCGTACTCTGTCGAGGTAATTCCATCCGGTTCGATTGTTGGGCCATAGGTTGGTGAGCATGCCACTTGCTACTGTCCGAGTTGATACGTTGTGAAGAGAGTGTAGGCTGCGCGCTTGGTGTTGGCGGAAGTGTAGGGTTTGAAGATCTCACGTAGGAAGTAGCGTTTAACAAGTGCGAGTGGTGATACATATACGCAGCTTGAGCCGCATCGTCGAAGGCCGGATGTTGATTTGCATTGGAGGTACCCTGATTCTGCTCAGCGCTAAGGTAGGAATTTATCTGGTCACTCGAAAGAAAGTTCTGCGGCCATTCTGCTTCATCCATGGTGTTTTCTGCGCTTTCGGACTAATAGCGCATTGTTTTCGGTCCAAATGAGGCTGGAGTCGGCGCGAACCGAATAGGCCGGCCCGCAGGATATGGCGAGGGTTGGGATGAGACGGAAGCTATCCAAAAGAATGTCCAAGAAGGTCCAAGAAGATCTCCTAAGATAGCCGTAGCATTGCTGCGTGCTAAATCTGGAGAACAAGCAGAATCGCGGCCGAGTCAAGTTCACGTCCGCCGTTCAAACAAACCACTGCTTGAGCCAAGCCAAGACCGGAAAGCGCGTCAACGTGGGGCATCCGCTCCAGCCAATCACAGCCCGAGTTCCAGCCCTAAGCGGTACATCATGTGACGCACAACCCTCATCTTGAATATTCGGACACACAGGAAACTTCCTTCTCCTCGACCAACGACAACCCGCCCATTCACGACACCTTCAGGAGGCTCCGTCAAGATGACTGTTACCAACCATGGTGTGTACCCATTTCCTGCATTGCTGCATTGCTGCATTGCTGTCCCAATGTCGTTTCTTGCAAATTTTCAATACTAATGGATTTTTACAGCCCTCGCCTCTTCGCGCAGCAAGTCTCGCAAGGCTCACTTCCAGGCCCCCTCCAGCGAGCGCCGCCGTATCATGAGCGCCAGCTTGTCCAAGGAGCTCCGCGAGAAGTACGGAGTATGTACACACCAGATACCTTTACCGTTTTGCCATATTCGGGTCCGGCCAGTCTGAATTTTCACTCGTGAAATCAGATATGGGACACCCCTTCTTAGGGAACCGAAACTAACCAGCACCCTGCAACAGGTCCGCTCCATCCCCATCCGCAAGGATGACGAGGTCACCATCGTCCGTGGCTCCAACAAGGGTCGTGAGGGCAAGATCACCTCCGTCTACCGTCTCAAGTGGGTTGTCCACGTTGAGCGTGTTGTCCGCGACAAGTCCAACGGCCAGAGCGTTCCCCTCGGTATCTCTGCCTCCAACGTTGTCATCACCAAGCTCCACCTCGACAAGGACCGTGAGGAGATCCTCGCCCGCTCCGCCAAGGGTCGTGAGGCTGTCAAGGCCAAGTCCGCTTAAGGGATTGATGTGTAGGGTCTAGGTTCATGTTGCAATGGCGGTTTGACCGCGCGGGTGCAAAAAGGAACTCCAAAAAGGAGGTCCAACCTGCAATCATCAGGATATACCAATGAAACCAGGTGCATTGCGATGAATGAAAAATGAAAATTTTCCTTTTTCTTCTATCCGGAGTTGGTACTTGCAGTTTATTCTGCGAGACTGGCGTTCTTTCCTCACTTTCCATGTGCATATAGGATCTCTCATCGAATGCTACACTACGATCTCAACGACTCTTTCGTTCGTGTTCAATCGGCTCGTTCGATCTTTGCTGCGCTTCGATTTCGTAGCAACTCTTTTATTTGCTTCTGTTTCAAATCCTTTATTTGGACAGGAAGTATCGCCAGATTATCTCCTCATCAATCCCGCTCTTCGGAGCGGACTCAATGGTTGGCGAGGTAAACGAACGGCGTAGAGAGAATTGCAGGACTTTCTGGGAAGCTGGATCGTTCTGTCTCGCTTGCAGACTCACTCTGAGCCTTAGGGCAAGGACGCAGTGGGTTTGAAAGTGAGGTATATTCCTCCCCATCATGGAGTATAGACTGTAGGCTGTATGTTGGATCATTTTATGAAGGATAGACAATCAAATTATATTCTTTGACATAACACTTTCCGATTTGGGTATTTCTTGGCTGTATGATCCGTTGGCTTTGTATTCAGCTCAACGTATGGGTCATGGCTCAGTGTGAGTAGATTCGATCAGCCCATAAAAGGCTGGATCAATGAGGAGCAAAACTGGGGGAATGATTATTAGCCTAAATGGGGCTTGCTGGCTGCAATATAACGGAATGAAGTTACTGTAAGCTATAACCATGCACCAGGGCAGGGGAAAGTGGCATTGCTACAGTCTCAAGCCAACAGAGAATGCTCGTCAATTCAATTTCCAAATGTGAATAAATCTCCATTTCAATTTTGGTATAACATGACATATTTGACCATATTGCTATCACATTTGACTATTTCTAAGTTATACGCATATCAGGCTATGCGTGACCGCCGAAAGTGTAACCCCTAATCCGAAGTGGCATATATGCTGGTCATTAGCACGCTTGAACGGACGAGTTTAATAGAAATGACTCCTTAGAATTGAACAACATCTTCCTTCTCATCCTAACACTCTATTCCCCCTGATTGTAAGATAGCCTCGACTAGGTTGAGCTTACTCTTCCAGCAAAATCAAGAATGAACTCTGCCGATACATCATTTCAGCCATTCTGCAACCATAGATAGTGCATTCAAACTGATCAAAATCACAACAAAGTATGAATAAATGGCTTTAATATACAGATCATGGGTGCCAGACAAAGCAAATATGCAAGAAAAATCAGAGAACACCATATCGTATCTCATGAGAAACTCAGGCAACCGAGTAGGCCCGATGAACCGAGAATCAAGAACGCAATTGCTGAAATGTCGAAAGAACAAGCTCAACAAAATTGAGTCTCAGTCCTGGGAACAGAGCCGCTTCACCCCTTATTGCTTGTGTCCAACACATTTTCCCCACGCAGGAAGTCCACACCCCATCCCGATGAAGATATAAAGCAAGAAGATAACCACAATCACAATCATAATCATCAGTTTGGTATTCTTCCACCACATTCGTCTCCGTAAACCCCGACTCCGCATTCTGAAGTCATGGGCACTCCCACCAAGCCGATCTGTCTTATCAACAAGTAGATCGATGCGCTCTCCTCGCTCTAGAACCCGCTCAATATTCTCGGTCATAATGTCACGCACGCTGTCAATTTCGCGCTTGGCTGAGGCAAGTGAGTCCGCCGGGGGAGCCGTGTTGTATGTCTGTAAAAGAGAGCGAAGCTCGCCGTTGAAGGCGGCGCAACCATAGGCTGGAAGCGAGGCGAAGTCTGTGGTGGAGGGTGGGTAGCGCGATAGGAAGTTGCGCTTCATTTCCAGAAGATAGGCGAAGGGGATCCGGCGACCTTGCTCGGCGGAAGCGACTACCAGGAAGCTCAGGGGTGCTTGTGAACTTTGTTCTGAGCGATTGCCATCGTCGCTTGCTGTTGGCGAGTCGGCGATATAGTGGACAAATAGACGCTCGTGAGTGAAAGTGAGCTTTTGGGGCTTGTCATGGGTGATCTTTGGGAGGATGACGGAGGCCAGGGACGAAGCGGAGGTTGACGATGCGCCGGGCGAGGAGTGCTCTGCTAGGATGGTGGTCCGATGAGCGATACAGGAGCTGAAAAGAAGACAGCATGGTTAGTTTGAGCTCCGTTCTTGAAAGTTGTCTACCCAACTGGTAGAACAGGTAGGACTCACTAGAGCAACGAGCTCGTCTTCGAGGATGAAGCCATGATTATGATGTCAGTGGCCGGATCCTGAAATTTGAAGTTGAGGCAAAGTACTGAATAAGCTAGTGATTTTCAAGAGAGTCTAGAGCAATCTTCTCAGTATTCTTATGATCGAAGTATTTCCAAGTTCTCCGAGGTCTGAAAGGGAACCTGATGCCCTGAAAGACGCCGGCGGGAAGCTGAGTCAGCAGCAAGGTGCCCGCGGAAGAGTTCTGATTGGTCGAGTGTCATAGATCCTGTTGTTCGCAATAGAAGCAAGAGAAAATGGTCCGAACAAGAGGTAAATCAACCCCCAGGAAAGTCACTTAGACAATTTTATAAGCTATTGGATTATCGCTGTCAGCTCGAAATTTCACGTGCTCATGATTCTGCCGCTTATTGATTCCTACTAAGTAGAAACTTATCACCCGTAAGCCGCACCTTCAACTACTTAGTTATACTATCTATATACGCATGCTGTCTTTCATTCATGATAACTAAAATTGCTTTACTTGAATGTTATTTTATATTGGACAGCTGACTCAGTCTCACCACCTCTTGCTAACTACTTGTCCAGGTGCTACTTTACTACTTTCTTTTCCCACTACAACTGTTCGGTCAAATGTAATGCACCATGCAATGCTTAATTTATTACTCAACTTGGGTATGAGTAGACTGTTGGCCTATTGTATAATTTTTTCGGCCTTTTCAATTCTCTTCGATGTAGTTTCAACCTAGTAAGTGCCATACCTAAACAGGTCATGTGATATATATATGCAATTAGAATCACATCTTCCTTCTTCAAAATGGAAACGTCGGCTTCGGTTTTGAATATCCAGTAGGGAGCCCATCCGTCTGTAAAAATTTCATTGTCTTCAGCAAGCTTGTCCTCTGTGCGATAATGAATCGGAGCAGTCAAGGTATAACCTATAGAGGATCTATTTACTAAATAGGGTTGTGATCATGCTTTATATTGTTCCTGGTATTTTATTCTATATTTCGACTATCAAACAGGGAAGGGAACAGTCACATCTTCGTATGTCATACCAGATGCTCCTCTGTTTGTGTGGTTTCTATCCGCTGTAATCCCCATTCACCCTCGCCAATGTTCTTGCCATAAACGTTGACAAGACAACCCACCACGATGGGTCCCACGATGGTGTTAAGCAGGATAGCCCAAATGGCAGTAATAAAGCCCTCCTCGGTCACATATGGTGTTTCGTTGTAGCCAATCTCAATAATCAAAAGGCCAATCTCTCCACGTGCCACCATTGCTGAACCAAGAAGCAATCCAGCCAGAGATGCGGCACCGTAGCCCCTTGTGCTCTTTTTGGGTTGAACAGGGGTAGCTGTTTGCTCACGAAATGGGACTTTCTCTTTAGAACCTTGCTTCGTCTTTGAGGACGTGAGGAACTTCCACAGCGGAACCCAAGCGCCAACTACAAACTGGGCAAATTATTAACCGGGATTTATCGTGTGCAGAAAGTGAGGTCGTCTTACCTTGGCAAACATCATAAGAAGCGTGTATAGGATGCCTTTCCATATTCTTTCACCTGTCCATAGCGAAACAAATGGAATTGCAAATCCAACACTAGCAAAGAACAAAGGCTCCATGAGGTATTTTTGAACATCCAGCAGATAACACTCGAAGGTATGGACGAATGTAGGGCTTTTGTCGGCTTCACGTTCCCCCTCTTCACGATTCAGAACAACAAAAGGGCCTTCGGGGTGCTTGCTAGGCAAGTAGGTAAGGAATGTACCAGCAAGAAAAGCCCCGAATAAGACTGAGGTGCCCGCGTACGCAGCGATACTGATGAAAGCGGACAGTACCAAGACCATTAGGGTGATATTAGAGACGTGGTCGTATTTTGCAAAAGAATGCTCAATCCATCGTCGAAACACCGGCGCAAAGAACCATTTAGTGAGGATGGGAGTGAGAATGGCCATGGCAAAAGAAGCCACGATGGGGCGGCCAATGATCCAGCCAAGATTGACATCGCCGGCCCTAGGACCGGAGAGCTCACGCAATTGGCTGATAATGCTAAGAAGAAGTATGTCAGTACCCGATATCCAGATACAACAAGAAAGAATTAACAAATCACTTACCTGGATAGAACAAGACCCACGACGTCATCAATCACAGCAGCGCTGACAAGGATTGAGCCAACCCTCGTCTGAGAAAGATCTATGGACTTGGCAGCCGAAGAAATGACCGCGAAAGTTGTTCCTGATATGCCATGTTAGAGCCTTGATGTGCGTCTATTGAATGATAATAGGATGTGAATGGCACAAACCCAGAGACGTCGCAGATAATGCGGCTCCAATAATGAATGTCTCCACCGCGCCTTGTATACGATCAGTCAGGTTAAACTTCATTTTCCCAAGTGATAGTTGACCTACCGTAGCCGTATCCCAGATAAAGTAATAGATAGGAAAGCCCGATTGGGAAACAAACGCCTGTTGCAGCTCCTAGACAACTGACAAGGAAGTTTTGTTTCATCAGATCAAGTCGAACAGTGAGACCGCCTGGTAAGGATTCATTGATTAGCAGCCAGTCCATCAATGACAGAGGTGAAACTATTACCCTCGAATATGATCAGGATTAAACCAACATAACCAACAGCGAGGAAAGTTTCCTGCCAGGGCATTTCTAGGATATCTGCTAAAGGTTTTCCATAGATAATGCCAACAGCTATTTGGCCAATAATCCCGGCCCGAATGATCTTAGCAGAGACATATTCAGCCAGAGATAAGAAAAAAAAGAACGATATAATAATGAGGATCTCGACGACTAAATTCCTGGTTAGTACATCGTGTCGAGTTTTGGGCTCAGGGCTATACTTACTACTAGGTTCGTGGTACGCAAGGAAACCGCCAGCCATCACAAGGCCACTTTGTCCGTTCAATTGAGAATCCAGAGGAATCAGAGTGAAAGCAGAAATTAGACACCGCAAACTTCTCTAAGCCGAGACTTCTGGGCATCTTGGCTCTTCCACTGGATGTCACGTGCAGTGCCGGTGACATCAGCACTGAGCCTTCCCGAGGTCCAACATAAGGGTTTACGGTGGATATTTAGGGATATTTAGGGATATTGAGAGATAAACCTCAGCTTGAGAATCACTGAATGGATAGGAACAAGGGAATGTGTATCAAGTTATGCATGCTGAACGAGATGGTATCTGCAGTTAAAGCCAAAGCGCCAGGTATCAGAAAACAAAAAGCCTCTCCACAATATACATGCTTGTACAGGGTGTCATGAAAAAGCAAAGCGTAATTTACAGTTTTGTAGATGGCAATGCATCATTGCCAGGTCCTTCTCCCTTGGAAGGCTCTCCACCACTGCCAGCCCAACTGCCAGGTGATGGATGACTTCGCTTCTTCTTCTCGCCGCGCTTCTTCTTCTCACGGGTTGCTCCACGAGCCTCATCCGGTCGGCTGGGACTCCGACTAGATTCACTACGACGGAGATCTTTGACTTCTTTGATGACTTCACGGAATCCTTCTTCAATGTTGTTCATGCGGGCCAGAACGAGCTTGCTAAGCATGTCTTGGGTTTGGTGTGGAATATCGCGACGTAATCCAGCAGCGAAGCCCATTTGCGTTTGGAAACTGGATGGAACGGCACCGGTGAAAGCGCCCAGGCCACCGGCTACTGCCTTGTTGTCGCCTAGGTCGGAACCAAGATCGAACAGCAGGGAGGGGCGAGGTCGTGTCCCTGTTTGTCGATCCGATAGATAGATGCTGTCCAATTCTGGGACAGACATTTGATTGAGTGCGAGTGGGGAGTTTCGAGGGCGAGACGCGTCCAGGATGTGTCGTTTCATGGTGCCCTGGTCCATTGAAGCGGAGATAACAGGCATTGGCTCCTCGTCGGAGGAGTCCGTGTTAGGTCGCGGAGGTGTAGTCTGGCCTTCAGTTTCTTCGTTCGGAGATCCTACAGGGTTGTACAGCATGGTGACACCAGAGGCATTACGATTGTGCCTGGGACGTCTGGTTGGGCTGTTGCGGCGAGAAATCATTCTCGCGGTAGATGGGCGAGAGCTGTAAAACTTGGGCGAAGGCTTTTCGGAAGCCTCAGCCGGATCCACGGTGTTACCGATAGACCCTTGGGCGGATTGCTTATCGTCATTTGAATCTCCATCATTGCTGGTCAACTCATCATCGCCCTCCATATCCGTATGGTGAGATGGCGCTCGTTTGTGGCCGGGCGAATCAGGTCTTGTGCGCCGAGGTCGAACCATTGGGCTTGCAATCCGACTAGTTCGGTCTTCAGGATTCGAGGCCACTGAGCGCGTTGTTTCCGTAAAATTGCGAGGACGAGAGGTCAGTTGAGTGCGGAAGGGAAGCTTGGGTCGCCGTGGGTTCATCTCGAGATGGTCCACCACGATAGAATCTTGCTCATCAGGGCCGTTGGCTGGCCCAGAGCCGATTTCCTGCATCCAATCTTTGATGACATTGTTGGTCTGGCGTTCATGCACCGTGCTTGGTGGACCTCTGATTCGATCGTCACTGTATGGCCGGCGGAACACTTCTTCTAATGCTTGATCCTTCTGGAAAGTAGCCACTGATGGTGCTCGTACCATACGTGATACCCTGCTGCTGAACCCGCGGAATCGACTAGGCCCCCATTGCTTGGGAGCCGAAGTCACATTTGGTGATGTCGGCTCGATGAGATCCATTGGCTGTACAAATTGCGCACTAAGAATTGTCTTCTCATAGAGGCAGATTGTAAAGAGAACGGGCAGGTGGGTGATCTTGATTATGGTCCGATTAAGGCGAATAAACTCCCGAAAAGGCATCAAGTATCGGAATGGTGTCACCAGCCAAGCGATGACATTGGTGGGTGCCACGTAGGAGAACAAGGCATCGGACTTGACCATAGAAATTGTGTTCACCGCAAACAGGAACTGGTGTTCTTGATTCGCATTTTGGACAATCCTCATGAAGGAGTTGGTCAGAACAGTGATCAAGATCGTGACGACAACAAAATGACAGATAAAAAGGAAAACCGTGAGGATCGCCTTTCCTAGGAAGTTGTATTCTTCCCACATTGCCCATGCAGTAGGCGTAAAGCCCATTAGCATTTGGAATAAGCCATATGCCACCACTTTCGGGGAGTTGCTGTCACCAAAGCTTAAGAAGGCGACAAAGAAGCCGGAACAAGCAATGACAATGAGTACAAAGACTGCAATCAGATCAGATGCCATGATTCGGAACGCAATCAGCAGTTGCGAGAAGTAACGATAATGGTCCAAGATGGAAAACAATCGAGGGAAGAGCAAGGGTGCCGTAGCCGCAAGAACATCGAACTGAATGCGTTAGTAGGAAAACAGTATTAGAGGAACCATGACGATACTTACAGCTTGATCGGTGACTATTTGGCTTCGGGGGTAGGTCAAGAATGAACCGTAGATCCGCAAGCAATAGTACGCGAAGAGCAATAGCAGGATGCCCAAATCGAAAAGATTCCAGAAACTCATCAGATAGAGACTAAATCCTTGTTCATTGAATCCCACAATTTCGTCGAGCATGAAGCCAGTACTCCAAAACCAGAACACAACCTCGAGTGAGGTGATTCTACGACTGCGTTGTTCCAGCACAGCCAAAAACAGCCCTAAGAGCACTGCATAAGACAAGGTGGACAGGAACTGTCGATAGCGGGGCACCCGCAATCTTGACAACTTGAACAAAGACGCGTCGCGGGGATTGTAGAGGGACACTGAGCGTCGAAGAGATCCAGTGCTTGGGGATGTCCCAAGGGTTCCATTCCGGTCTATTGAGGTCCCATAGTCCATATCTTCTGGGTTCCTATTCACGCGGCGATGCAGGTTGTCCGCGGCTGAGTGAAAGACCACTGTTCCAGCCCAAATAGCTTCCAATTGCTGCACAACCACTGGATGAGCCAAGAATCGTTTCGCCTGTGCGCGAATGGCCACCTCCAGACAAGAGACCCGGGCAGCAACTACTTGTTTTCTCCGGGGGCCGGGAGCCATTGCAGTGACCGAATCCTGGCCTTGGAGCGGATAAAACTCATAAGACAGCGCGTCAATCAACTCCTTTGTCGAATATTCCCGTAACAGTTTGATTGCCAATAGTTCGCTCACCATGGCCCGTGTCTGATTTGCCCCGCTATTCCCCGGACTCAGATGCATTTCCTTCTCAAATTGTAAACAATTGGCCATCAATGCGTAGAGTGTCGCGCGTGAGAACTGGGTGGACATGATTTTCAGCAATATTGGCTTGATTAGGAACTGGGAGACCTGCGGCGAACGGAGTTGATCCCAGGTCAAGGTCGTTTCGCAACGCGAGACAATCAAAGGGCGGATGGCATGAGTGATGTTGTACACCGGGAGCGCATCTAGTATCCCAATCTTGTCAGTATCAGGCTCGGCACATGGAAGAGAGCTGTTCCTACCTAGATGCGACGCAGAGAACATGGGCAGCAGAGGGGTTGACTCGAGTGGGCCATCTTCCTCTTCCTCTCCGTCCCAGTCCTCGTCCATATCCTCTTCATCGATACCTTGCAGCTCCGGCGCATCCTCCTCACTGCTGTCACCAGATCTATTGACCCGCCGGGGATCATGGCGAGGACCCCGAGACCATGGAGATGGGGTGGAAAAAGGTGACTGGTCCACCTGATCGCGCTGGCGTTTGGGACGCAGTAGAGACGCGAACATCGTGGTCGGTGGTGATCACGGTTTGCATAACCGAGTTGAATCCAGAGAGAGATATTAGAGCATCGTGGAGACAGTTGTAGGAAAGGAGAAGGGGAAAGAAAAAAAAAAAAAACAAAGCCACAAAGACCGTCAAGCCCAAGATATGAGGGTTGAAGTTGAGACAAAAAGCGGGATCTAGTCGGAGCTATCTTAGTGCTGTGCTCCCCACGTCATCGCACATACAGTCGCACACAGTTTCTGTGTATGCCAGAGGAAGTGATTTGCTAGTTTAATAGCGCAGATACTGGTTTTGGAGCACATATCGCATTGATCACGCGTGCGAATGGACGGGGAATACCGGTAACTCAAAATTGCCACCTTGTAGGGGGGGTTGATATCGCAGGAATTCGAGAGTCCTCCTTAACCCGCTGGCTAGATCCCTATTCTGTAATTTATTCCCCCAGTTCACTAATCAGATTCACTATAAACTCGGCGTCTCTGGGTTAATCAATCTGTTACAGGGCTGATACGGTTATCGGCCCACCGCCTAGGCAATATATTCTCACTGCATGCAGCTAGGCATAGCTTAAGCTAGGGAGCAGAACCAGATGGGCCAACTGAATCCTCCTAGGTAAAGTCATACGAACACAAGAAGTGTGTCATAGTCCAAACCAACCGTCCTAGTCCCCTCGAGGCTCTCAGCCACCAGTAGTGCACTAAAATGACATACTGGAAATCTCTGCGGTGAAAATGTACCGAAAACAGATGTGGGGCTCAAAATGCACGAAAAAGATTTTCTGCCGAGATTTCTTCTCTTCCTCCTCCAACCAGCTGGTTGCAGCACTACTCTTTTGATCTATACTCCTTTTTCGCGATTTCTTTTTTCTGTTTACCTCCCAAAAGTTTCTCTCCTATAGCGAATGCTGAATTAGGACCTGCTCTCGTGAATTCCCCCCGTCCTCGAGAGGACTTGTCCCCTCCCAATTGTCATGTCCCACGCCAATTCCCTCGACGACACCATTTTGCCTACTAGTCCCAAGTTGGGAGGACCCATTGCATACAAAGACTCGCTGCCCATTATGGATTCCGTCCGTGGTGCAGTGATCAAGCCGGCGACCATCCCAGTTCGGGGTGGCTGCAGCCGCTTGACTTCCCTCGAGTTGGCCGATGGCACAGTCTACCAGGGTTACAACTTTGGTGCCGAGAAGAGCATCTCAGGTGAATTGGTCTTCCAGACCGGTATGGTCGGTTACCCCGAGTCCATCACCGATCCCTCATACCGCGGCCAGATCCTGGTTATCACTTTCCCCCTGGTGGGTAACTACGGTGTCCCCGCACAGGATGAGATGGATGAGCTCCTGAAGGACCTCCCCCGGTACTTCGAGTCCAACCAGATCCATGTGGCCGGCTTGGTGGTGGCAGCCTACGCCGGTGAGGACTACTCACACTTTTTGGCCAAGACCTCGCTCGGTCAATGGCTGAAGGAGCAGGGTGTTCCTGCCATGCACGGTGTTGATACTCGTGCTCTCACCAAGCGTCTTCGTCAGACCGGTAGCATGCTGGGTCGTATGCTGCTGCAAAAGGATGGTGCCTCCGATGCCGCTGGTGTCGACGGTCCCAACTGGAAGTCCCACTTCGAGGAGACCGAATGGGTCGACCCCAACACAAAGAACCTCGTGGCTGAGGGTAAGTGACCTTTTGGGTTCAGTAACGAGACAACAAGAATTGGCCTTCTGACAGTATCTTTTTCTTCCCAAACTACAGTCTCCATCCGCGAGCCCCGCCTATTCACACCCCCCGAGAACATCGCTCTCAAGCACCCCTCAGGCCGTGGAGTCCGCGTGCTCTGCTTGGATGTTGGTATGAAGTACAACCAGCTGCGATGCTTGCTTTCCCGCGGTGTGGAAGTTTTGGTTGTCCCATGGGACTACGATTTCCCTACCCTTGCTGGAAAGGACTTCGACGGTTTGTTCGTATCCAACGGTCCCGGTGACCCTGCCACCTTGGAGGTGACCACCAAGAACCTCACCAAGATGTTCGAGGATGCCCGCACACCCGTTTTCGGTATCTGTCTGGGTCACCAGTTGATTGCCCGCTCCGTCGGCGCTCAGACTTCCAAGATGAAGTTCGGTAACCGCGGTCACAACATTCCCTGCACAAGCATGCTCTCCGGCAAGTGCCACATCACTTCTCAGAACCATGGTTACGCCGTGGACGCTAGCAGTCTGAAGGACGGCTGGGAGGAGCTGTTTGTCAACGCCAACGACGGCAGTAACGAGGGTATTCGTCACACTAGCCGTCCCTTCTTCAGTGTGCAATTCCACCCCGAGAGCACTCCCGGCCCTCGCGACACTGAGTACCTGTTTGATGTCTTCATCAACACTATCAAGTCGACCATTGCCTCCGCCGAGGCTCTCAAATTGCCTGTCTCTTTCCCTGGTGGCGCCAAGGCCGACAACGTCCTTGCTGCTCCCCGTGTCTCGGTCAAGAAGGTTCTGGTTCTCGGTTCCGGTGGTCTCAGTATTGGCCAGGCTGGAGAATTCGATTACTCCGGCAGTCAGGCCATCAAGGCTCTGAAGGAAGAGGGTATCTACACCATTCTGATCAACCCTAACATTGCCACCATTCAGACTTCCAAGGGTCTGGCTGACAAGGTGTACTTCCTGCCCGTCAACGCCGACTTTGTCCGCAAAGTCATCAAGCACGAGCGTCCTGATGCTATTTACGTCACCTTCGGTGGTCAGACTGCTCTCTCCGTCGGTATCCAGCTCAAGGATGAGTTCGAGGAGCTCGGCGTCAAGGTTCTCGGTACTCCTATTGACACCATCATTACCACCGAAGATCGCGAGCTGTTTGCCCGCAGCATGGATTCCATCAACGAGAAGTGTGCCAAGTCTGCTTCCGCTTCCACCCTTGAGGAGTCTCTCCGGGTTGTTGAGAACATTGGCTTCCCCGTCATTGTTCGTGCTGCTTACGCTCTTGGTGGTCTCGGATCTGGTTTCGCGAACAACATGGCGGAACTCAAGGAGCTCTGCACCAAGGCTTTGGCTGTCAGCCCCCAGGTCTTGATTGAGCGCAGTATGAAGGGCTGGAAGGAAGTCGAGTACGAGGTTGTTCGTGATGCCCAGGACAACTGTATCACTGTCTGTAACATGGAGAACTTCGATCCTCTTGGTATTCACACTGGTGACTCCATTGTCGTGGCTCCTTCCCAGACTCTCTCTGACGAGGACTACAACATGTTGCGTACCACTGCTGTTAACGTCATTCGTCACCTCGGCGTTGTCGGTGAATGTAACATTCAGTACGCTCTCAACCCCTTCTCTCGGGAGTACTGTATTATCGAGGTTAACGCCCGTCTGTCTCGTTCCTCGGCCCTTGCCTCCAAGGCCACCGGTTACCCTCTTGCGTTCATCGCTGCCAAGCTGGGTCTCGGTATTCCTTTGAACGAGATCAAGAACTCGGTCACCAAGTCCACTTGCGCTTGCTTCGAGCCCTCTCTCGATTACTGTGTGGTCAAGATCCCTCGTTGGGATCTGAAGAAGTTCACTCGTGTCTCCACCCAGCTCGGTTCCTCCATGAAGAGTGTCGGTGAAGTCATGAGCATTGGCCGAACCTTTGAAGAAGCCATTCAAAAGGCCATTCGATCTGTTGATTTCCACAACCTTGGATTCAGCGCCACCGATGCCCTCATGTCCATTGACGCCGAGCTTCAGACTCCTTCCGACCAGCGTCTGTTTGCTATTGCCAACGCCATGGCCGCTGGCTACACCGTTGACGACATCTGGAAGCTCACCAACATTGACAAGTGGTTCCTCTCCCGCCTCAAGGGCTTGAACGACTTCGGCAAGTCTATGTCCGCCTTCAACGCCACCTCTGTGCCTACATCTATGATTCGCCAGGCCAAACAGCTCGGTTTCTCTGATCGCCAGCTCGCTAACTTCCTGGAATCTAACGAGCTGGCTGTCCGTCGCATGCGTGTCGAGGCTGGTATCATGCCTATTGTTAAGCAGATCGATACTGTTGCCGCTGAGTTCCCCGCTGTGACCAACTACCTTTACCTCACCTACAATGCCTCTGAGCACGATCTGTCTTTCGACGATCACGGTATCATGGTCTTGGGATCTGGTGTCTACCGTATTGGTTCCTCCGTCGAGTTCGATTGGTGTTCTGTGCGCACTATCCGTACTCTCCGTGAGCAGGGCCACAAGACTATCATGGTTAACTACAACCCTGAGACTGTCAGTACCGATTACGATGAGGCCGACCGTTTGTACTTCGAGAACATCAACCTCGAGACTGTTCTCGACATCTACCAGTTGGAAACCTCTAGCGGTGTCATCATGTCCATGGGAGGACAGACCCCTAACAACATCGCTCTGCCCTTGCACCGCCTCAACGTTAACATTCTTGGTACCTCCCCTGAGATGATTGACGGTGCCGAGAACCGTTACAAGTTCTCGCGTATGCTTGATCGTATTGAGGTTGATCAGCCTGCCTGGAAGGAACTCACTTCCATTGAGGAGGCTCGCGGTTTCTGTGACAAGGTCGGATACCCTGTGCTGGTCCGTCCCTCCTATGTCCTGTCTGGTGCTGCTATGAACACTGTCTACTCCGAGCACGATCTCGCCAACTACCTCGGCCAGGCTGCTGATGTCTCGCGTGAGCACCCCGTTGTTATCACCAAGTACATTGAGAACGCCAAGGAGATTGAGATGGACGCTGTTGCCCTTAAGGGTGTCATGGTTGGCCACTTCATCTCTGAGCACGTTGAGAACGCTGGTGTTCACTCTGGTGATGCTACTCTGATTCTCCCTCCCCAAGATCTGAGCGAGGAGACAGTCCGTCGCATTGTCGAGGCCACCCGCAAGATTGGTAACGCCCTCAACGTGACCGGTCCTTACAACATCCAGTTCATTGCCAAGGACAACGACATCAAGGTTATTGAGTGCAACGTGCGTGCCTCGCGTTCGTTCCCCTTCGTGTCCAAGGTCATGGGTGTTGATCTGATCGAGATGGCAACCAAGGCCATGATCGGTGCTCCCTTCCAGGAGTACCCCCTGTCAACGTCCCCAAGGACTATGTTGGTGTCAAGGTTCCTCAGTTCTCGTTCTCCCGTCTTTCTGGCGCTGACCCCGTTCTGGGTGTCGAGATGGCCTCCACTGGTGAAGTCGCTTCGTTCGGTCGCGACAAGTACGAGGCCTACCTCAAGGCTCTGCTGTCTACCGGATTCAAGCTTCCCCGTCGCAACATCTTGTTCTCCATTGGTGCCTACAAGGAGAAGATGGAGATGTTGCCATCCATTGAGAAGCTCTCCAAGCTCGGCTACAACTTGTTCGCCACTGCTGGTACAGCTGATTTCCTGAAGGAGCACGGTGTGACTGTCAAGTACCTCGAGCACCTTCCTGACCACGAGGAGGAGGACATGAAGTCCGAGTACTCTCTCACTCAGCACTTGTCCAACAACCTGATTGACTTGTACATCAACTTGCCATCGAACAACCGCTTCCGTCGCCCTGCAAACTACATGTCCAAGGGTTACCGCACTCGTCGTATGGCCGTCGACTACCAGACCCCTCTGGTCACCAACGTCAAGAACGCTAAGATCTTGATTGAGGCTATTGCTCGCCACTTCCCTCTGAACATCATCACCGCTGATTTCCAGACCAGCCACCGCACCGTCGTTCTGCCCGGTCTGATCAACATTGCTGCCTTCGTCCCCAACCTGGTCTCCGCTGGTTCCAATGACTTCGAGGCTGTATCCAAGGCCTCGCTCGCTGCTGGTTTCAGCATGATCCGTGTGATGCCCGTTGGTGTTGACACCTCGGTCACCCAGGCCAGCGACCTGAAGATTGTCCAGAAGAACGCCCAGGACAAGTCCCTTTGCGACTTCAACCTTTCCGTTGCTGCCACCGCCACCAACTCGGATCAGATCATCCAGGTTACTGGTGAGGTTGGTTCCCTGTTCATCCCCTTCAACCACCTCTCTGGCAACATCAACAAGGTCGCCACTGTTACCAATCACTTCAGCGCTTGGCCCTCGAGCAAGCCTCTGATCACTGATGCCAAGAGCACTGATCTTGCCTCCATTCTGTTGTTGGCTAGTCTCCACGGTCGCAACATTCACGTTCTGAACGTTACTTCCAAGGAGGACATCACCCTCATTGCTCTGAGCAAGGAGAAGGGCCTGAAGGTGACCTGCGATGTCTCCATCTACTGCCTCTTCCTTTCCCAGAAGGACTACCCGGCCTCCAGCTTCCTGCCCACCGTCGAGGACCAGAAGGCTCTCTGGGACCACATGAGCACCATCGATGTCTTCTCGATTGGCAGCATTCCCTTCCAGCTCGCTGGCAAGGCTGCCATCCCCGAGACTGGTATTGCCGAGTCGCTTCCTCTCCTGTTCACCGCTGTCGCTGAGGGCCGCCTGACCGTTGAGGACATCACTGCTCGCCTCTACGAGAACCCCAAGAAGATCTTCGAGCTGCACGACCAGGCTGACAGCTCTCTCGAGATCGAGGTTGACCGCCCATACGTCTTCCAGAGCCTTGACGCCAACTCTCCCTTCAATGGCAAGGTGATGCGTGGCTCCGTTCAGCGCGTCATCTTCCAGGGCAAGACCTCTTGCCTTGACGGTGAGATCATCAAGGATGCTGTCAAGGGTACCGACATGTCTGCCCACCGCATCGCCCCTCCCTCCCCCGCGATGACCCCCATGGTTCGCCCTGAGAGCTCCCTTGATCGCCAGCACTCACTCTCCGGCACCCCTGGCCGCCGCCAGAAGAACCTGGACAACACCGTGCCTGCTATTGGTGAACTTGGACCCCCTCTCTACCCCTCGTCCCAGGTCTCCTCCAACATGGCCGACCTGCTCTCGCGCTCCAAGATCCGCGGCAAGCACGTCCTGTCCGTGAACCAGTTCACCCGTGCTGACTTGCACTTGCTGTTCACGGTCGCCCAGGAGATGCGTCTCGGTGTCCAGCGCCAGGGTGTCCTTGATATCCTCAAGGGCCGTGTCCTGACCACTCTCTTCTACGAGCCCTCGACCCGCACCTCGGCCTCGTTCGATGCTGCCATGCAACGCCTCGGTGGACGCACCATCGCCATCTCCACTGAGCACTCTTCTACCCAGAAGGGTGAGACCCTCCAGGACACCATCCGCACCCTCGGATGCTACGGTGATGCTGTTGTCCTGCGTCACCCCGACGCCAGCAGCACTGAGATCGCGGCCAAGTTCTCCCAGGTCCCTGTCATCAACGGTGGCAACGGCTCCCTGGAGCACCCCACTCAGGCCTTCCTTGACCTGTTCACCATCCGTGAGGAGCTCGGCACCGTCACTGGCTTGACCATCACCTTCACTGGTGACCTGAAGTACGGCCGCCCCGTCCACTCCCTCATCAAGCTCCTCCAGTTCTACGATGTCCGCATCCAGCTGGTCGCTCCCAAGGCCCTTGCTCTTCCCGAGGAGGTTCGCCAGCAGATCATTGCTTCCGGACAGCTGGTCCTTGAGTCCGAGGAGTTGACTCCTGAGATTGTTGCCCGCTCTGACATTCTGTACTCTACTCGTGTCCAGAAGGAGCGCTTCGCCGATCTCTCCCAGTACGAGGCTCTTAAGAACAGCTTCGTCATTGACAACGCTCTTCTCAAGCACGCCAAGAGCCACATGGTCGTCATGCACCCTCTGCCTCGCAACGCCGAGATCGCCGAGGAGGTCGACTTCGACCAGCGGGCTGCTTACTTCCGCCAGGTATGCTCTTAGATCCTCCCCTTCACACTATGATATGCTAACCCCTTCTCAGATGCGCTACGGCCTTTACTGCCGCATGGCCCTGCTTGCTCTGGTCTTGGCCTAATCACCGGGATACCCTTTGCCACTATAACTTTTCTGGGGATAGGGCATTCAAAAGCACCATGCATTTTGATCACGCAAGACATGTTTTCCTTTTTTTTCTCGTTCTGTTTTTGAAAGTTTCTATGCCTGTAGCTGTATAGATTTAGATGAATCTCCTTCTCATGAAATCCTCGTATGTCACTATTTTGTATTATATGTTCTATGTGTGTGTTATGTGTGTTGTGTCATGTGTTATGTGTGATGTGTGTGATGTGTGTTATGTGTGGTGTTTTGCGTGTGGTTTGGGGTTTGGCTTGGCGTTTTCTACTGGCGATTTCTTTTGGGCGATTTCTTTTCTTTACATTGTTTCCAGCTGTCGGAATACAGTCTACGATTGTTCGAATGTTCGAGTATGCTGTGCCAGTGAAGCACATGTCGACGGTTATAGTTGCCAGCAGGCTACCCTGCTCACATCCCAGGCTTTGATTCCCAAAGAGGAAGACCCAGCTTCACAGAACAATAGCAATAGCCATGAAATGCGGGGAACGACTGCAAAACCTGGAGAAAGTCGTCTCAAATTCCATAGCTCCATGGCCTTCATGTCCCTATGGGCCAGCAGCCAATCCCTTCATGTCACCATCGGCAGAAGACAACGGCAAGTGGACAATTCAGCCTAGGTAAAATCTCTCCCCCGCGAAGATCAGCCAGATCCCTGTTGATTTCTGGGAAATCGACCAATCCAAAAATTTCCCGGTGGATGATCGACGTCACAAAGGTTGGCCAAGGGCAATTCGGCAAATGCATCAGATCGTCGAATTCCCGGGGATGCGTCTATAAAGGGATACGATGGTCGAACTCTTTCCTGGCAGAATAGAGATCTAGATCACTTCTAACATCAACATGGTGCACTCTACCTCGACCCGAGGGTGGGCGACTTGTATGCTAGCTCTCGCTACGTGCTTTGCATGGATACCCACCAGCATTGCTACGATACCCATTCCGAATACCCCCAAGCTGTCGTTCCTTTACACGGCCTTTGTCGAGTGTGACCCAAACCTGATGAGCACCTCGATCGGACCGCATGGGATTCGCAAGTCAATTCCTATCGTGGGGGGAAACTTCAGCGGCCCTCATCTTTCCGGTAGGAACTCGATTCCAACTTATACTGGGGATCTAACAAGGCGTCATTCTGGATAGGCAAGATTCTCGATGTCGGAGCCGATTGGGGTCTCATTGATCCTCAAACTAATATCTTTTCCGCCGACACTCGGTATAACTTCCGCACCGATGATGGTGCCGATATCTTCCTCCAAACAGCGGGCCCCAAGGCCCCGGACGATCATTTGCATCTGCGTCTGATCTTTGAGACTGGAAGTCCGAAATATTATTGGCTGAACAATGTGGTTGGTGAGTGTCCCCCTCAACATGGCAGCATCCTTGTCTAACATAGTTCGATCTAGCTATTGGCATTCTGACATCGAATCAGCCCACTAACAAGAATATAAGCTTACTGCGGATTGATGCCTGGAATGTAAGTTCATCCAGTCGATTCCCAGTATGGAACTAGAGATGAGAATTAATATGATGCTTAGTTTGCGTCCGATTGGAACGCGACTCAGTTCGTGAACACCACATCGGCATGAAGAGGCCAGGGAGATAGGCCGGGGATATCTCAGGGAACAGAAAGGCTCCATAGTAACTGATGGGCAAATCGCGACTGGAAAACATGAAAATTCTTTGATCTTGATTGATCCGGTCTAGTTCCACGCCCCCAAGTCCATGTTCAACGGAGATTGTGGAGTGCTCTATATGTCTTCGCTCATTCAGAATCAATTCAATACACCGGGCATTACTCGTCTCTCATCCAGTCTTTGATTCATGCCTTGTCGGGCCAGTACTTTTGCACAATGATTTTCTTATTGACCTTACCCATGGCATTGCGTTCGATTCCGTCCACAACCTTCAACACTGTGGGAATCTTGTAAGGAGCCATCTCACTCTTGAGGCTCGCACGGAGGACCGGGAGATCTAGTGGTACAGCCTGCATGGTGATTAGTTAACCAGATCCTTGATTTTTAAGAGGAAAACTTACTCCTTCACGGAACTTGACGACGGCCGCGACTCGCTGGCCCCATTCTTCATCGGTGAGTCCAACGACTGCCACTTCCTGAATTGCATCCAAAGCAAGCATCTTCCGCTCCACTTCCAACGCGGAAATCTTGTACCCGCCAGACTTGATCAGGTCGACAGAGGCACGACCTTGAATAAAGTATGCCCCCGTCGAATCTCGTCTGGCGACATCGCCAGTCTTGAACCAACCATCTGGGGTAAATTCGGAAGCTGTCGCCTCAGGCTTCCGCCAGTACTCGCGGAAAACATTGGAGCCCTTGATCTCAATCATACCATCCTCGTTTACACCTTTGATGATCTGGCCTGTCTCTTTCTCGATCAATTGGACCTCGACTCCCGGCAAAGGCCATCCAACACTCCCGTCAACTCGTTTTTCAACCTCGAGCCCACAGCTGAGCGCCATACCGATCTCGGTCATTCCATATCGCTCTAGCAATGTCTGGCCAGTGATCTCGGCAAATTTGGACTTGATAGGTGTTGGGAGAGCTGCTGAACCGCTGACAACTAATCGCAGAGCCCGTGCGCCAGCCCGTGCGCTCTCTTCTTGTTCCGTGCCACGGATGTGAGCATCGAAATAGTCGTTCAGGCGGGAATATATGGTTGGCACGGCCATGAACATAGTCGAGCCACCTTCCTGCCATCGCTCCCAGATGACCTTGGGATCAAACTTAGGGTGCATCTCGACAGTGGTCCCACTCAAGAAGCTAGCCGCTAGACCATTGATAATCCCGTGGACGTGGTGCAGCGGTAGCACGTGAATGAGACGGTCCGAGGGACTGTATTCCCAAGCCTTGACCAGACAGCTTGCCTGGAAAGTGATGTTTTCGTGTGTGGTGACGCAACCCTTCGGATTCGAGGTGGTTCCAGAGGTATAAATCATCAGCGCGCGACGGGTCAGGGCGAACGGTGGGGAGAAGGATGGCAACGTCGGTGCATGATTACGACTGAATGGCTCTAGACCCATGAATGGGATCTCTGCAGGACATGCCTCGCGTAGTGCAGGTGCTATCTTTTCGAAATGTGGGTGAACAATAATCAACGAGGGGTCTGAATCGCCAACGGTGTATAAGAGCTCCTTCACTGGGTGACTGGTGCCTGATCAGGACGGTGTCAGCTAGATTATTGTTATACACTCAATCTGTCAATCCTTACAAAGAGGAACGCAGACACCTCCTGCTGCCCACACAGCCCATTGCGTAACGACGTAATCGTACCCATTGGGGATCAAGAATGCAATGCGCCGCTCGTCCAAGTCCTCGGCCAGCCCCAATTGTTCAATTATGCGCTTCCTTAATACCGCAGCATCAGCTAGTAATTGAACAAATGTGAAGGACTCTTGTTTTGTGGCGTCGATGACCGCAATTCGGTTGGGGTTGTCGCGCGCATGCTGTTCCGCCGCGGCGAAGAGGGGCAGGGTGGGGATTGGCATTGGAGACCGGTGAAGGGGGTTGTTCTCTGCAAAGGAGTGCGTGAAATGAAGGATAGAGTTGAAGAGAAAGACGAAGAGGAAGGAAGACCAGCGTCCGACCCCTTACAACATTTAGCCGGTGCGGAGAACTGCCGATGTGGAGTACTCGGCTTATTCAGATGACTTTTGTGACCCTAAGTCAAGCCAGTCAAGCCAGTCCACTCAGTCAACTCAGTGGACTTCTATGATGCAGAAGATGGGCCTCAAAGCCAACTACTTTCAAGAGAACTAACGTCTAGTCTTGCTTCGCAACCGTATGTAATGGATCGAAAGCCATCAGTAATGCCCCCCATTCTACCGCGCTGGATATACTAGACCTTGGCCAAAGCTTGGCGTCAAGTATAAACCTGGGTACTCGCGAATATCTAGTTCAGGTCAGCATTCTCCCAGAGATGCTTCCGTCCACCATTCAATGCTAAATCCAGCATAGTACGAGCAAGATCATCCACCTTAACCGACGGTCCCAGACTAAACGCAAGACTGCGCAGACTCATGTCTCGCGTCACAATCATAGCCGGTCGCATGATATGCGCCTCGAAGTCAGTATGCTCATGAGCAAAATCCAAAACTTCGGTTTCGACTTGACCCTATGAGGTGTTAGCGGTGAGCCCGGCCTCAAGAGAAAGACGGCTTGTTACCCTAATGCGTCGGTAGTCTTGCATAAACCACAGTGGCTTGGTCTGGTCCCTTTCAGCTGCAGCGCCACTGCAGTATATGAACCGGAATGGTTTCTGGCAGGTCTGTTCGAAGACTCGGGCTGCAGCAAGTGTGTAGTCCAGACTCACGCGCCGAGCTGTGTCGTTGTCAGGCATGCGAGCCTTGCCCAGGGTCCTGTGACAAAGGATTAGTCTGGCGTCGGGCGATAGATGCTGATCTTTGTTTTCCGACAGAGTGACCATAGTACCTACCAAATACAGGCATCGGCATCCTTGATTTGCTCTCGAACGGAGTCGGGATACTTCAGAAAGTCTTCGACTATCGCGACTTGAAGCTTCTCGTGGGCTGGCAAGTCACGCCGGCTTAGCGCTACGATGGAGGTGATGGCTGGATGCTGCTGGCATTGAGATAAGATTTCGCCACCAACAAAGCCCGTGGAGCCTGTGAGAATAACTTTCATGGTTGATACAATCAGTCCTGTGCAAAGATTGTTGGCAGGAGTAGTTACAGATCGCCTCGGGGATAGATCTTATCTCCGCATTCCATGGCCCTAAACCCGTGACATCAAAAAGCCTTTGCGAACAGATTCCTTCTATGCTTCAATGGTAAACAACTTAAGTAAAAGTCATGAATTCGCTATTTAATGGCCTATTATAGTTTAGATGATGGTCGCCGGTGAGGGAGCTTGCGCGAGCTCTCCTGGCTGAACGGTACGAGGCCCCTCAGGCGAGCCCTCGCCATGCTCCTCCAAGTCGCGAGCCACCAAGTCCGTAAAGTCCACACCGACTTCCACCAGGAGAGCTGCATGCTCGTGCACAATGTCGAGGCATTTTTGCCAGACAGAGGTGCCCCGCTGCACACTGCTGAGCTGTCGACTGAGCAGAGCGTTGAATCCGTCAAGGTGATGCTTCGCCCATCGGATACAAGAACTACTCATGACACTGGGGAAGCATTGCTGATAAATGCCAATGGTGTTCTTGATGAGCGTGAAATAGACATAGGAGATCTGGAAGATGTAAAGAGGAAGATCACCCTCGAAGATGCAAGCTCTGTTAAGGGAGTCAGTAAATCAAAGAAATTGCCTACAACCGAAAGCATGACATACCGGATGCGTTGAGCAATTACGTCCGAGCGCGCTTTCAGATAGGTCTCGCGAGCCGGGTCTTCAAATCCTAAGCGGGTCAACCAAGTAACATGAGTTTTGGTTGCCGCTGGGAAAGAGTGCTTGTCCACAAGCGCCCGTGAGAGAATGCCACCCAGTCGAGTTGCTCGTTCATCAACCTTGACATTGATGACATCTTGTGCAATAGCGTTACTCTTCAGTCCCTTGGCCAGTTTTCGTAGCCGCTCGATGCTAGCCACAGATGCTTCGAATCGCTGTAAAGCAATATCGATGTCAAGCTCATCGACCTGCCCTTCCACCCACCGGAGGTTCTGCTGTTTTCCATCCACGTCAATTCGCACATCGGACTTGTCACGCGCGGAATCAGAAGGGTCGAATGTCTCTGCCTGTTGTGAAAGCGACAGGTGCCGGCCGGCGAGGTATCCATATCCTTCCAGGGGCTTGCTAGCCGCCTCAGTCTCCGATCGCAAGTTGCGGCGTAGATCCTCAACGGTTTTGCGGAAGGTAGCCAGCAATTCCTGCTTGAAAGATGGGTCTCGCTTATCATTTCGGTATGTAAAGGGCTTGGATGATCCAACTCGGATGGTAATGGCATTGCCTATGCCCCGATCTATAGCTTCTTCGCGTGCGGCGCCGGTTCCCAGATTAGCCCCAAGATCAATCATGTCGATGTCTTGTAGAGGCCAACAGTCCTCTGCCACTAGTTTTGTTGGAACGGGGCCACGGTGTTGGGGATGACTCTGATCGACTCGCTTGCGCTTCTTTGCAGCTACCAAAAGGTGATCGTTTAGTAGCACAAGGTGGATAGGCCGTCTCGGTTTCCATGTGGCTGAGTCTAGCTCAGCCCAATTTCCTGTCTCTAGGACAATATGCCGCCCAGGCACAGCGGGCAGAAACTTCTGCGATCCTTCCACAGTCTTCCAGAGAGTCTGGAGCTGCACGCTCCACATACTCTCCAAGTTGGCGACCGAACTACGGTTGGCATTGCGCTTTGGGAATGAGTCCTCTACCATAGGATTGGGTGTATTGCCGACGCTTGTTTGTCCCAGCGCCGTCGTGAGCTCCGCCATGAGGGTACGCAGGGTCCGCATTTCATCTTTGAGCTTTTCCGCCTCTTTACTGATCTTGATGAATTGCGTGCGGTTCTGGTAAACGTTTTGTTGTAGATCGGTAGATGTTCTGTTTTTCACTTTGCGCAAGCTTTCTTGATATTTCTGAATGTCTTCCTCGGACGCGTTGGCGAGAAGGCTGGCGACATCTGCAGTCTTCAATTAGCTATGCAACAGTGACCGAGACAATACATTACTCACATCGATCAACTGGAAGACTGGGGTCTCGTAGAACATTGAGGTCTACTTTCGGAACCGGGGAATTGGGATCGACTGGCGATGCTTGTCTCAGCACAGCTTGCGGAGGTAGGCCGAGCCCCCCAGGCATCTGTGTAGGGAGTGCCGGCACAGGGGGAGCACCGGCATCGAACTCGGGAACATTGTTGAATCGGGTCGAGTATCGTCGTTTCACCAAATCCGAGGTCGCATCGTTTGGGGGTGCCCGCTCTCGAGTAGAGGGGACATCTACCTGGCTAGACTCGGGTGATCGGGTATTGGCAGGTAGAGGCCCGGAGATAGGCTTGGGAGCACTAATCTGAGGACGCTGCCTACGAGATTTACTTCGCAAAGTCAATCCTCGGCCCTCCATCTTGAAGCGTGTTGTCAACGGAGTGATGTGGCAGGAAAGGGAGTGAGGTCACTGTCGGGCTTAGTCAGCGCTGGTCCCGGAGGTTAAACATTTTCATCGGCCAAGGACGCGATTCCAACACGCCAACTTCATCATCGCTTTCGTTGAGTCTCTTCTTTAGACTCCGTCAAGACTATCGATTCTCCTCAAGTCCCAGACATTCGTGACTTAGGTTCCACCCCCCCTCCGCTTTTCTCTATCCGCCTACCCGCTTTCACAATGGCCTTCCGTAACACTGCGATTGTTGCCGGCACAGTCTTGACTGGACTCGTTGGTATGGATCACTCTGCTGTCGCCGTCACTCGAGCTCTATCCTAACACGTTGCCTTCATCAGCCTACGCCGTTTACTTCGATCACCGCCGCCGCACTGACGTTACCTTCCGCAAGTCACTCAACAAGAAGAACAAGGTCGTCGAGAAGGTCGCCAAGGAGCAAGAAGCTGCCGCTGAGGGCGCACAGAAGGAGGAGATTAAGCAGGCTCTTGCCAAGGCCAAGGAGGAGGGATGGCCCACTGACCTTGAAGAGAAGGAGGTTAGTATACACTTGCGGGTTCCATACTTGGAAACTATAAGCTGACCTTTTCGCAGTCATTCTTCATGCAGCAAGTAGCCATGGGTGAGGGACTCTGTGCTGATGGTACGTACACTTCTCTCTTTTCATCTCATTCAATGGCGCATGCTAGAGCTCAATGACTAACCCATCCGCTCCCTCAGGAAACAACAAGGTCGAGGCCGCCGTCGCCTTCTGGAAGGCATTGAAGGTTTACCCTCAACCTGCCGATCTCATTGGAATTTATGACAAGGTGCGTTGTCTGATCCACAGCCTCGAAGCTTCCCACTGCAATTTCCGAGAACCCGACTAACATCTGCCCAACACAGACCGTTCCCAAGGAAACCCTCGAAGTCCTCGCTGAGCTCATTGCTTTGGACGGTCCCCCTCTCGCGCTGGTGCGAACCCTGCTGAAGACCTTGTGGAGTAAGATATTTCTGTGTGAATTGCCCCCTCAACAACTTGTATTTTAGAAGACCTATGGAATTTCCAATGTTACATTTCATAATTTATGTATTAGAGAGCCCTCTCATGGCGTTTTTCACAGACAGATTGAAGACGCTTGCATTTTGGCTTCAGCATATCTCCCGTCAGCCGAGGACATTCACCTGTTCAATTGCATTGGCTCGGGGAATGTAGTCGAGTATACTATTTGCAGACTCAATACTTTTTTTGATCTCGCTATCTACAAGGTTTTTTATAGTTGGGCAAATGATATCAAGTCATTCGTAGAGCGAGGTGTGGTCCTCGAACTAACATTGCAGAACAGAATAGACTGAAACCGGTGTTCTGACAAGATCAGTTTCATGTTTGGAATACCCATCGAGGATCTTGGTCTCCCTGGAAATCTCCTTCAGCATCACCGACATCTCCCATCAAGGGTGTCAAGCCTTGCGCTTCTCTGAGGCGTTCTTTTTCGGCATTCTCTCGTCGAAGAACCAGCCACAAGATTGCCACAACGATAATGTTGGCTACGAGATAACCTAACGCGAAGCCTGAAGAACAGATATGGTAAGCGACAAGTCTACATATGCATATAGAACGATAGTTCAACCCACCATGGCCCAGGAAATATCGTGGCGCAGACTCCGTCCGATACAGCTGTGTTCCAAGAACCGCTCCTAAATTACCGATTGAGATTTGCAGGGCGTTCGCAATGCACCGTTTCGTTTGACCAGACACATTGTTAGCAGGCCAAGACAGTACAATTGCGACAGCTGGATAGATTCCTGCCGCCGCAAAAATAGTTCCCAAATAAGATACACCCGCACGATGCTGTGATAGGAGGAGGATGTACCCAATACAACCAAGGGCAGATGAGCCCATGATGAACGGTGCACGAATGCGAGTCTTTTCAGAAGCAATTGCAACGCTGATGGTGAGGACGAACGCCACAGCGTATGGCGGCACGGACAGGAGTTGAGCCTTTGCGGCGGAGAACCCTAACTCCTTGATGATTGTGGGCTGGGACAAACCAAGATCAGTACTTGAACCATATATCGTAGAAGAGTGGCAATTTACCAAAAAGAGTGAAAGGGTATATAGAGGGAGCGACATGGTATGGAATCCGAGCCCATAAAGCCACACCTTGGGGTCCTTGATAGCTTCTAGAACTGCGGACCAGGTGAACTCTTCATCGAAGGTGGCATCACTGTCGTTTTTCAGGCGCAATTGAATAAATTGCCGCTCTTCCTCTGACAGAAACTCGGCTGTGGATGGATAGTTGTATACCCAGAAGTATGCGAGCAAGGACACGATCACAGTCAACAGTCCTTCCTATGTATGCCACAGAAGCAATCAGTATGAGAAAAAAAAAACATACAAAACAATATTATGTGTGAGAATAGGCTCCTACCAGAATGAAAATCCAACGCCATCCATTGAGGCCCTGTATATACTGTCAGTTTACTGTGGCACGCACCAGTACTCCCTCATGTACTCACGCCAACACCTTTCATGTGAGCGATTGCCTGAAGCTGTGTCAGTTTAGACTCTTGGAGAGAAGAAACAAGCATCACTCACCCAAGCAAGGATACCACCAAAGGCACCGGCCAGTGATGCAGCACTGAAAAAGAGAGCCACTCGGTAATGCTGTTCATTACGCTTATACCACATCGACAGATAGAAGACAACACCTGGGAAGAGGCCACTTTCTGCCACACCAAGAAAGAATCTTGATGCCAGATAGCCTGGGTAGTTTTGTACGATTCCCAACAAAGTCGCGACCACACCCCAGATGAGCGTCAATGTCGGTAGCCACTGTCTTGGGGTGGTGTTCTTCAGGACAACATTGCAGGGCAGCTCAAAAAGGACATAACCGATAAAGTACAGCGTCAAGCCAGTCAGGTATTGATCTCCTGCTATATCAATTACCCGGGTGAGGAGTATGTCATGATCGGTAAGACAGTATTTAACCTACACATCTGGATGTCATCGGTCATTCCTTCGAGTCGCGCATTCCCCACATTGCTGCGATCCAAGAAAGAAAGCAAGTATAGTAATGTAAGTGGTGGCAGAAGACGGTAGTCTAGTTTTCGCAACAATGCCTTCTCGTTGATGCCCACGACCTCGACACTGCCTGACGGCGAGCTCCCTTCATTTTTAACCTTGAGGTCACCCTTGTGTGCAGAAACCGAAGCCATAACAGCCCGCAGAGGTTGAACTTGGGAAAGAGTGACAGAGCGAGGAAGACATTGCGGAGAATGTATATCAAGTTGAAGCACACCATCCACAGCCTGCTGCACGCGATGAAAACCACGAGGAGAGAAGTCCGAATGAGGTCATCAACACCGCGTGCACGAATAGAAAGGCTCGAAAGGTGAAGAAGAGCAATACTGGGGTTGTGATGACGAGATCGGGAGCCGATCAGTGCAGAATTCCCTTTTGTAGCCCATTTACCCATAAGCTATTTACCCATGAACTTTTTACCCATGAACTACTTACCCATGGGAGATGTAAACCACAGTTTTCTGTATAAAATGAATGCATTGGATCTGGGACTTGTATAGGTCTACAACACGTACCAGGGGTATCACCCTATGCAGGTGTTTCTTAGACTCTAATAGACCACTGTACAAACTACAAGTGTAGTTAATTCAGACCATGAGAATAGGATGAGCCTATAGTATAAGTTATCTGCTAAAGAAAAGGAATGTAGGGAATGCAAGCCTAGTCAATGAGCACATGTGGTGGTCCAGTGCCTGACCCCTGAACAGAAGACCAGAATCCGACTCCAAGACCGTGGCAGTGCTGTGTGGCGTAAAGAACGACTTCCGCTATTGGACTCCTCTGTCCCTGTAGCTTGGCCCAGCTTGGCCCAGCGCTGGCTCAGCGGAGGAGCGTACCTTGGCGGAGCCTTGGCGGCAATTCCCGCGAGTTCGTCCCTTGGCGGGGTCAAGCTGGAGTGGGAACGGAGATGAAATCTCTGACGGAGGAAAAGTGGAAAAGTGAACAGGATGATGACCATCCCTGTCCACTGTATGTCCAATGTATGATGTAAATTGATTCAAATTAATCAGCGGTGATATAAGCCTGAAACACGAAATGAGCAGCCCATTAGTCGGCCCAAACCCCGCTAGGCGCCCTAAGTGTCTCCCAAGACCCTAAGACCCCTAACGCCCCCCTATTCCATTGTTGGTCGGAGTGGTTATCGGGTCCACCTTGCATTTGAGACAAAAGACCGCTGATCCTAGGTTCGTCCTTTTTTTTTTTGGGAATTCAGATCTTCTCTTTCTTCTTGCAAGCTCTTGGGTGATTCACGTTCGTTACTTCTATACTTCCCGCGCCTGGCGCAGTTCCCTCGTTTTATACCTCGTTCTTATATCTCCAAAATGCCTGTGAGTGTCGCATAGTTGCATTGTCGCATTATCGCATTGTCGCATTGTCGCAGGAAGTGTGAGAACGCAAGCTGACACCCTCATCTAGTCTTACACTCAGCTGTTCGCTTCGGCGCTCGCCCTCGCTGGCTCTGCGCTGGCTCTGACACCTCTCGAGGTGAAAGGAAGGGTAAGCAATTACCCCGCGGCACTCGCATAAGCTGACAAGAGAACAGGACTTTGTCAACTCCGACAGCGGTGATCGCTTCCAGATCATTGGTGTCGATTACCAGCCTGGTGGTTCTTCTGGCTTCACTGCGAAGCTGGACCCTCTGAGTGATGGTAAGATCTGTCTGCGCGATGCCGCGCTCATGCAGCGCCTGGGTGTAAGTTGATATATTTTTGTTCCTGGGTGCGATTCAGCAACTCATGTCTTATAGATCAACACTATTCGTGTCTACAACCTCGAGCCCAGCCTGAACCACGATGAGTGTGCTTCCATCTTCAACGCTGCCGGTATCTACATGATCCTTGATGTCAGCAACCCTCTGGAAGGTGGTTATCTCGACCGCAGCGCTCCCTGGACCACCTACAGCGCCATCTACTACAAGCAGGTCTTTGGTATCATCGAGGGCTTCAAGAACTACGACAACCTGCTTGGTTTCTTCGCCGGAAACGAGGTGATCAACGAGGATGCCACCTACTCTGCTCCCAAGTACATGCGCGCCGTGGTTCGTGATATGAAGGACTACATCGCCAAGAACTCTGACCGCGCCATCCCCGTCGGTTACTCGGCTGCCGATATTCGGGATATTCTCATGGACACCGTTCACTACTTCGAGTGTGATCTCAAGAACTCGACCTCCTCCCGCGCGGACTTCTTTGGTCTCAACTCTTACTCCTGGTGCGGCAAGTCTTCTTACAAGGCCAGTGGCTACGACGTTCTCACCGATGACTTCTCCAACGCCACTATCCCTGTGTTCTTCTCCGAGTACGGCTGCAACGAGGTCAAGCCCCGTGTCTTCACTGAGGTCCAGGCTCTCTACGGCGAGGAGATGACCCAGGCTTTCTCCGGTGGTCTTGTCTATGAGTGGACCCAAGAGGACAACGAGTACGGTCTGGTCAGCGCCAATGACAGTGACACTATCACCATGCTCATCGACTACGCCAACTTCCAGAACCAGCTCGGTCAGCTCGACATGGACCGCATCACCTCTAGCAACTCCAGCCAGACTAGCGTCAAGGCCGAGGAGTGCAGTGCCTCTCTCGTCACCCACAAGTCCTTCTACAACGCTTGGGATCTTCCCGAGGTGCCCTCCAAGGTTTCCGACTACATTAAGAACGGTCTGCCCGATGCGCCCTCCGGCAAGCTGGTCTCGGTCTCCAGCACCACCATTCCCCAGAAGGTCTACGACCACAACGGCAAGGAAGTCACCGGTGTCAAGTTCGAGGTGAAGTCCGCTGCCAACACCCCCTCTGCTACTTCCGGCTCTAGCAGCTCTTCTAGCTCCTCCGGTTCCAGCTCCACCTCCGGCTCTAGCTCCAGCGCTTCCGGTACCTCGACCTCTACCAACGCTGCCTCCATCAACGGCGGTTCTCCCTCGGTCGTCTTCGGTGGCATGGGTGGCTTCTTCATGCTGCTTGCTTCCCTTCTGTAATCACTTTGTCGCTTTGACGTGTTGCATAAATTCCTTTTCTCTCTTTTTTGACTTCTGAGACGACCAAGAGGCTAATATAAGCTTCAAGGATTTACTTCTTTTCTTGACCATTGTTCACTCGCATCCGCGCCTTTGTGACTCGCTTGGTATTTGCACATGATTCTCTCACCCTTTGGAACAATTGATGTCTGTTGTTCTGTTATTCCTTTTAACTCGCCCGCATAGATTGGAAAGAATTCCTAGCATAGCATGGCAAGGTAGCATTATGTATTCCAATGCGCGTTTATTCCATTATGACTTCTTCTATTCGAATCATAGCTTCTACTCAATTCATAGCTTGGACGAAATGTCTTCGTATACCACAGCACCAACGGCTTTCCCCCGGTCCATCTCTTCAATGCGGTGTTTGAGAACACGCTTGAGAATTTTGCCAGAAGGTCCTTTAGGAATTTCATCGACCCAGATGACACCCCCACGAAGTCTCTTGTGAGGAGCCAGCTTTTGAGCAACATACTCAATCAATTCTTCTGCAACCTTTTGATTTCCTTCTGTTCCCTCATTGAGAACGACGTAGGCAATCGGTACCTCAGACGCGATAGCCTGACCAAAGACCCCAACAACAGCGACATCATGAACAAAAGGATGTGTATGGAGCACACTTTCTATCTCTGCCGGCGGAATCTGGAACCCCTTGTATTTAATCAGATCTTTCAGCCGATCAGTCAAGAAGAGATTGCTCTCCTCGTCTTGATACCCAATGTCGCCAGTCATGAACCATTTGTCAGGCGTAATTGATTTCTTCGTATCTTCGGCATTATTGCGATATCCCAGGAAGATGGTCGGTCCTCGAAGACAGAGCTCGCCTTCGCCTTGGACTTCGTCCCCTCTTCCATTGATGAACTTTACCTCGACACCGGGCAGTGGGGGACCATTGGATCCTATCGCGTGATTCCATTTGTCCCATCTCTATTTGTGGAAATCAGCCGAGACTCGACTTTTTCTTGAGGTCGATATCTTACCTGGGTATGACTTATCGCGGTCGACTCCGTCAATCCGAATGCCTGGCGAACCGGGATCTTCAGTCGATCATGTACCGCGCGGATCAGGCCTGGGGGCAGGGGTGCGCCCCCGGATGTCACCATTCGCAGGGATGATAGACGAGCTCGTGTCATTGCTGGATCCTTGGCCAAATGCAGAACAATTGGGGGAGCAACGTAAACATTCGTGATAGACTCATTATAAACGTCACGCAAGAAGCTCGAGATGGAATATTTCTCCACGATAATTGTCTGCAGTCCCATGAAGACGGGAACATGAAACAAACACATAAGGCCTGCAAAATGTTAGGTAAATTGTGACGCGAAAAGACAATGTCCTTGTTGGGATAGACACACCAAAGATATGATAGGTTGGTATCACAGCAAGAACTCGGTCCTTTCTCCAATCCATAAATGGACCATCGACTTGTCCTTGCATTGTCATATTCGCCACTATATTGGTATGAGTGACCAGTGTACCCTTGGGTCGTCCAGTCGTTCCTGAGGAATAAACTAAAAATGCTGTATCTGTAGCAGGGTCGATACGGGGACGAATTTCTCCCACTGTCTTGCTGGCAAGGATAGATTGAACATGCCCTAGTCCTGGTTCCGAGGGTTGTGCTCCAACAACCCATATATTCGACACTGGCAATCCGACTTTATACGCCGCTGCTGTTGCAACTTTGACCAGAGACGGATGAATAACTAGTGCTTTTGCTCCACTATCCGCAAGCTGGTACTCCAGCTCCTCTGCAGTATAGGTCGGGTTGGCAGGTGAGACGACGCCTCCGGCCCAATGACAGCCCCAGTAGACCAGTGGTATATCAATATGATTCGGCGAAAACACCAGAAGAACATCGTCCTTTTTCCATCCCAGTCTGACCTGCAGATTGGCACCAAAACTCAGAGCGTCAGAACGAATATTGCTATAGGTGCGCTCATCCGGACCGGATTTGAAGATGACTATCTCGGGTTAGAACCTCTAGCTATCGACGAATGCCAATACGTACCCTGATCATCTGGGAAGGGCTTTTGCTTCCTTTCGAAGAGACAGTCCCACACATCAGCCGCAAGTATCCGAGTGCTATTCATCGTAGATGACTATGACTGACTATCTCCAGGTCTGTTGAAGGGATGGGGTAAGTATTTATGACGCAAGTTGGTTGTCATTGAACCTCGGGCAAAAGGGGGAGTGTGTGTAGTCTCGTCATCATAGTGCATTGATGTTGTATGAGAATCCTCACTCCTTGGAAGTTCTTCATGATATCCCTGTGAGTCTCGTCACAATCGTACCTCCATGCTGCATGATAGTTCAAGTTCATTGGAGGTTCTTGAGTTGGTCCAGAGTTGCATTCCACCCATCTGAATAATTCCCTTTGTGTCTCTCTATATCACACGACATCAATGGTTCGCACTCGTTTCAACAGCCATCACAGCTTAGAATCCCTCTTTGGCTCATTCTCCATTTCCGTCAGAACCCGATCGGCAAGCTTGAACGACGACACTGCCGCGGGCATACCAGCATACATAGATGTATGAAGAATAACCTCCTGGATCTCAGCTTTGGTGACTCCATTTCGGATTGCCCCGCGAAGGTGAAGTGCGAGTTCATCGGACCGATTCAGCGCACTCAACAGCGCAATGTTAAGCATGGATCGCGTGGCTCGACTTAACCCAGGCCTGGTCCAGACCATTCCCCATGCTGCTTTGGTTACGACTTCCTGGAGAGGTTGCGTGAAGCCATTGGGCTCCTGGATGGCTTTGTTCACGTAGTCGTCGCCAAGGACTTCGCGGCGTACTTGGAGACCGGCACGGAAGAGGTCATCCTCTGTCAAGGGATCACGGGAGTCTGGCATTTCGTGCGATGTCACTTGAATCGGGGATTCTAAGATGGAAGATAAAGGTAGAGTGGGATATAGAAGCCAGGGGGTTGCTAAGGGGGGATTTGGGTTCCCGAGATTTCCGGATGGTCTGGTCACCTTCACAGAAGAAGGGTTGAATGTCTAACGTGGACGAAATGCAATAGAATGCTCTAAACTATGAAAACTCGAGATGCAATGTAAATCCAACAATAAATTACACAAATTCAAGAATGTCACAAATGATCAAATCAATCCCAGACGGCTCTGGCTTTGCCCTTGCCTTTGCCTGATGGCGAGGTCGACACAGGCGCTGCGAGGGATGGGAACTCTTCCCACTCCTGTTCCTCCTCTCGACTCTTGCCCTCGGCCAAGCTGAGTTGAATGGCAAATTCGAGATCGTCTATCTCTTGCTGTCTACTGCCCTCGGCCTCCTGGGGCTCAGGAGATAGATGACGTGGTTGCATTCCTTTCGCATACTTGATGGGAATAGAAGACGTCAGATCAAAGGGCGCAGGAGCATCCTGTTCTTCGAGCAAACTGCGACGAATGGCCTCAGCCAGCTCATCGTCATCATCGTCATCCACAGGATCTTGATAAGGGGATGAAGAGGACGAGATCTCGCCAGGGCAAAGGGAACTCGGTCCAACAGTATCTGGGAAAGAACTGCTGGTGACCGAGCTCGACACTGCTGCATTTTCATCACTCTTGGGAGTGTCACCCGAGTAAGCCTCTTGACTGAGAAGCTGGGCATACAGCAAAAGCTGCTCCTCATCAACATCCGGCCCCAGCAGATCCACGCCAAACCGCTGACTCAGATGGGCTCGCTCTTTCTCATCCGCGATCTTTTGTCGTTCCATTTCCACACGTTCATCGTCGATGTAGTCCTGGATTGCACCCCGGCCACTGTTGTTGAAACGTTGACCTTCGGGAGCACCATTGTTGCTGCGTAACAGGCGACGCAGGCGACGTTTGCTGGTCTTGTACTGATCAGCCGCAGAAGAACTGTATGACCAGTATCGCAAGTGTGTGCCCAGTGAGACCATGCCACGCAATACAGTAGGATCTGTATCAAGGCAAATGGCACCCGTAGCGTAGAAGTTGTTACCAACGCCTAGGACAGATGCCTCAGCTTGCACAAGACGACGACGGGCGCGAGATGAGAAGCGGGAATTAATTGTTCGAATTGGCCTGGTGGAAGACGCTAGAGGATCCCAGGCCTGCACAAGGCCGTCATTGCCTCCGTGTACCAGGTACAGCGACGTGACGGCTAGACAGGACACTTGGGGCGATTCCGTTTGGATAATGCGCAGAGGAGAAATGGAATTAATGATCTCAGTGGAAGGCGACGCGGGTGCACGAATATTCCAGACAAAAACCATTCCGCTCTGAGTTCCAATTGCGAGATATCGAGCACGTTGCCCCGGAACATCAAGACTGGAGCGCGGCTGGTCCATGTGAGGCAGCATTGGCGAAGCAGTCGCGGACGAGTGAGAGCTTCCAGACATCGTAAGCAGAGGATCCTCTTCCGCCGTGATAGTCGCGAAGTCCGAAGTATCCAATGCGGTGGTGCTAACTTCCACAGACTTGCAATCGCCGAAGACAAATTCAGAGATGCGCCATTCATAGGTCGTAGAAATCGATTGGGTTAGTCGACTAGAAGACCGAGAAGAAGTACTGCTGACCGTCGGAGTTGAGAGGGCTGTTGGACCGCCAAACAGCGACGGTGGCGGCGGCGCAGCGAGGGTCCGGGACTCTGGTGTGAACGAGGTCGAGTGGTATTTTGAAGGAGAGCGCATGAAACGCTTGATCGACGCCTTTTCTTCCTCGCCTGAGGTGCGAGCAATGACAATAACCGACTCGCCAGCCCCACGACCATCGCCACCAGCAAAGTCCACCTCAAGGTCACGTTGCATATTCCAGCTCTCACAGACCTTGCGGAAGTGCTTGGGTTTGAACGAAAGAAACATTTCAATCTCCTTGGTTTCAGCCGCAATTTGGTGTTCGTTAAGGGCCATTGAATCGGAAGATGAGCGCGGACTGTAGCTGCCATCGACCAATTCCCGATTGAAGGGGTCTGGGCGTGCCACCCGTTTGCTTGCTTCGACCAATTCCCAGTGCACACTCCGGCCAGTCTTCCAGGCTAGCTCGTCAAGTTGCTCAGCATCAAGTTTGGCGGTGAATGGGGTATCCGGCTGCCGAGGGAGATCAGTAAGATAAAAGATTTCACCCAAAGCATTCAGAGCAACAGCCCAGATGCGTCTTTCTGAATGGCGCTTGATCGAATATTGTTCATCCACGGCGATTCCAATAATAGGGACACCGGGACTTAGGACCCATTTTGCAGTCGCCTGACCTCGTTCATATCGCTTTTCATAAGTCGGATTGGGACCCAAAGAATACGCCGTGAGTACTCCGGAGGATGAACCAGACATCAATCCGATGAGCCCCTCTGTCATCTTGAGAATGCCAGAAGATTTCGCGATCCAGACTGAACAAACAGCATGGGTAATCATGTTCACTGCCGGTATTCCGAGTTTGGGGTGAGAACCTAGTTCCGAAGGTCCTAAAAACCGACCACGCTGCTCTGTAGTTGAGATGAAGTAGCTGCGTCCTTGGGGACAAGCCTCGCCATATACCATGCCATAGGGCTGGCTGACATCCATCACATTGGGCAGACCAACCACGTCGCCAGCTCCGAGGCCAAACTGTGCTTCTCCAGGGAATAGGTCCGCGAAGTGACGAAACATCTGGTGATCGGAAACGCCCCAGGTGCCGACTTTAACAGTCGACGGATCGCTTGCAGATGCTATGCCTTGCTCGGCAGCGGCATGAATAAAGTGGGGGTCCTTGTCTGGACTGAAAGATCCATGGATGTGGCTGACCGGGAAAAGCAGATTCGAGGTGTATGTCGCGATCGCGCTACCATGACGAGCGCTCGCCGTGCGTACATTTCCATTCCTCTTGGGCGGCTCGAATTGCGCCGGTTTGCCTCGAGACAAAGATCGCATTAAGCGGGTGCGCAGAATGTATTCGCTGCGCCAAGATGCCAGCGCAGTAAGCCTTGTGAAGTACCGCCTATCCGACAGCAAGTCTGCATCGTTGAGTGTGGCATGGCGATCATCATCCACAGCCTGCGGTCCGGGGAAGAACCGCGAAAAGGCGACCCTCCAAGCATGCGGTGTTGTGACCAGCGCATGGAATCGACGAGACACCAATGTGATGGCCGACAAGGACTGCGGAGGAAGGTGCGATAGGATGTGAGTGAGGACCTCTGGGGATAAAGGTCAGAAAGTAATGCGCTGCGGGGTTGAGAAAGACATACCATTGGGGAACGTCTCAAGAGATCCTTGCGACTGGCCAGTAGAAGCCACTACCCGGAATGCAAGTGGTTCTTGCTGCAAAGGGGGAGTCCCGGGAGTTCCAGCATTCTCATACTGACTCACTCGATCGACTGGGGGCGGGGCAGGGCGACCGTCGACATTCACGAACGCGTGCTGTTCACCATGAATCGACATGCCCGGGACGTCTGCAGAGTCTCGGACCTTCTCTCGCTGGAGAAGGTCAGAGACTTGAGCGTCATCGAGGTCATGTCCATGCTGGGTGGAACTGGGATCGACTTGGGGTGAGTCAACGGGGATCGCACGTTGAGATACGGCAGAGGGCTCTGGTTGCATAAAAAGATCTTGAGTAAAGGTTGGAGCAATAGCGACTGAGCCAGGAGAGTCCAGGATCAGTCGAGGGAATAGAATGCAAGGTAAGAAGAAGATGTACGAAGCGTGCGAGCGTTGATGAAGAGAAGAGAATGAACGAGTGCAGACGCCGAAGGCGAGGCACAGCGGCCATCCCGCACATTCATGCGGCTCTGCTTCCCTTTCCCTTCCGACGCCGACTCTCTCGACTTCTTCTTTGTTATTTCCCCAGCATCTCCTCTCGCGGCATCTGCTTCATCTCTCTTGAACTTCTTGCCTGATTGCCATTTAGTTATTTGGTTGCTACTTTTACGCGTCTGACACGTGTCGACGCGAAGCATCGCCAAGTGTGACGTGAAGTCGTGTTGATTAGTCTTTGTTCAGCTACAAAGTAGTCTACTTCTCATGCTTAGTTTCTCACTCTCTTAGTATTGCATGAGACACGACCGCAGTCTCTGAAGATGCCCGTGAATGGTGAGTTATCATGAACGGAATGTTGGACACCAACTGACATATCTCAGAGGCGGAAACCATCCGCATCCTCATCTCCACTGACAATCATGTCGGTTATAACGAACGAGATCCTATCCGTGGAGATGATAGCTGGAAGAGCTTCCATGAGATCATGTGCCTGGCCAAAGAGCGAGATGTCGATATGATACTCTTGGCTGGAGATCTATTCCATGAGAACAAGCCGTCGCGTAAATCCATGTACCAAGTGATGCGGTCAATTCGAATGAATTGCTTCGGGGATAAGCCTTGTGAGCTGGAAATGCTCAGCGATGCGAGTGAAAACTTTCATGGTGCTTTCAACCATGTTAACTATGAAGACTTGGATATGAATGTGGCTATTCCCATTTTCTCTATCCATGGCAACCATGACGATCCATCTGGAGAAGGCCATTTGGCTGCGCTGGATCTGCTGCAGGTGTCCGGACTTCTCAACTACTACGGCCGTACCCCGGAGTCAGACAATATTCAGATCAAACCAGTCTTGTTACAGAAGGGCCGGACAAAATTGGCACTTTATGGAATGAGCAATGTTCGCGATGAACGACTTTTCCGCACATTTCGTGATGGCAAGGTCAAGTTCTTCCAACCCTCTGTTCAGAAGGACGACTGGTTCAACTTGATGTCCGTTCACCAGAATCACCATGCACATACCGAGACCAGCTACTTACCCGAGAATTTTCTTCCTGATTTCCTCGATCTTGTTGTCTGGGGACACGAGCATGAATGCTTGATTGATCCCAAGCTTAATCCTGAGACGAAGTTCCACGTCATGCAACCAGGATCATCTGTCGCTACATCCCTTGTGCCCGGAGAGGCTGTGACAAAACAAGTTTCTATCCTCAGTGTTACAGGTCGAGAATTTAAGAATGAGCCTATTCGGCTAAAAACCGTGCGGCCATTTGTGATGCGTGAGGTTGTAATGTCAGAAGAAAAGGGGGCCCAGAAGCTTGCCCGCAAAGAAAACAATCGGACAGAAGTCACCCGATTTCTCATGTCTATTGTGGAGGAGTTGATTGAAGAAGCCAATGCTGAATGGCTTGAGGCGCAAGGCGAGCGCAACGAGAATGAATTTGATGAAGATGCATCCCAGCCGCCCCTTCCTCTCATCCGCCTACGTGTCGAGACATCTACACCAGAAGGAGGGATTTACGACTGTGAAAATCCGCAGCGATTCTCGAACCGCTTCGTGGGTAAGGTGGCCAATGTCAACGACGTTGTGCAATTTTACCGGAAGAAGAAGACATCGTCTACTTCACGCAAGGGTGATACCTCGATCGATGAGGCGGCTGTCTCTCATTTGGCAGCACTTGATACTGTGAAAGTCGAGCAGCTCGTTCGCGAATTTCTTTCTTCACAGTCGTTGAGTATTCTGCCGCAAAATTCTTTCGGGGATGCTGTTGCCCAGTTTATTGATAAAGATGACAAGCATGCAATGGAAATGTTTGTCAATGAGTCTCTCGAGAGTCAAGTCAAGCACTTGCTAGCTTTAGATCGTGATGACGACGGTATGGATGAGGAACAGGAACAAAGCTCATTGACCACGGCGATGGAGAAGTACCGAGGGCAAATGGAGAACATGTTCTCCAACGGTGTAAAAAAGCGAACTCGTGGCAAAAAACGGTTTAAGCCCAAGCCAGATGGCTGGGATAGCGAGTTTGACGGTGTATGGGAGGATCAGCCTGGCGCATTGATTCATTCTGACAACGAGGGGGGTGATCCGGCCGAGGAAGAAGCTGGAGAAGATGGCACAGCCCCAGCTCGCAGTCGTGCAGCAGCTGCACCTGCTCGTGGCCGGGGTCGAGGTCGTGGTCGGGGTGCTGCCGCCAATGCGCGCACCACCAAGCCCAAGACAACTGCCGCAGCTACTAAGGGTCGCAAGAAGCAGGTCGTTTCCGACGAGGAATCAGATGTGATCATGCTAGACGATGACTCCGAGGGTCATGCTGCCAATATAATTTCCGATGACGATGATGATTCACAGGCGTTGTTCGTCAAGCAACCCAAGTCTACTACTACCAAGTCACGGACGGCTGCACCCACGACAACTACTCAGCGCCGCGGGCGAGCTGCTGCTTCGCCAGCTCCGTCTTCAACTACTGTTGGCGCAAGTGCTTCTCGTCGGGCTCCCGCGTCGCGAGCTAAGGCCCAAAGCACCTTGAACTTTGGTTCTCAGGCTAGTGCACCTCAGTCATCGAGGCCAAGTCGCTCCACGCGTAATTTGAGTGTCATAAGCGATGGTGTTGACGATGACGATGACGATGACGATGCGTTTGAAGAAATGCCGAGTACCAGTTCTCGTCGACGAAGGTGAAGAGTTTTCTTTTTCGCTTTGCGTGTATGGAGTTATTGAACCCAGTGGCAGCATAGGTAGCGTAATCGATGTTTTCCCATTGTAGTTAACCCCAGTACCCCTAAACCTCATAAACGGCTATCACTCGAGACTTTCATGTTAAAATGGTTAGAATTTTTGTTCTGTCCTGGCTCTGCAAGTATCCAACAGTATCCAGATGAAAGATACCATTGAGATCATATATTGGCCACGGGGGCACGAATTAGCTACGTCAGGTCGCAATATAGATGCAAGGTCTATGTTGATGAGTCGTGACTATACAAAAAACAAAGCTTAAAATGCATGAAAATGAGTACAACCACCACTGCTCTGTATATACATCTCCTTCACGAAAAAGAGCCAAATCACCTCCTAACCATTCCTCTCACCCTAATCCTCTCTTCAATCCCAAGCTTCTCAACCACCTCAGCAGCCTCACCACCCCTTAGAACCTCATCCCACTCGTCCTCATCCATACTCATTATAAGCGTCATCTGCAAACAACGAGCAAAAGCCTCCCGATGGCGATACCGTCCGGGCGCACCGGCAACATACCCGACATCAACAGCAGCACTTACCAGACCGGCAATATCACGCTCGAGTCTCGCAGCTCCAAGGGGGTTAATCCTCGAATGGTAAGAGTATAGCCTCTTCTCCAGGAGGCGAGCTAGATAGGCGATTGTGACTGCTAACACGCGGTCGAAGGCCGTTGGTGTCAGGATACGTGCTAGAGGGACAAGAAGATCAGACCAGGAAGATGTGAAACGCGGCTTGACCAATTCCTTGGAGGAGGACTCATCGTCCATATGAGTATTGGATGACGGATCATTGTCTGGGGTTGGGTGATATTCGATGTCGCGGAAGGCATCTGCCAGAATTGGGCGGAGGCGAGGCTTGATGACATTGTTGAAGATGACTTGAATGCCGTCATTGAGGAGGTCTGTAACTTTGCTTTCGAAAGACTGAACGAGGGAGTGCAGGGTTCCGGCGACGCGGGTTGCACAGGAGCGGGAGGGGAAGATTGAGAGAAGGTGGTCGGTTGCGAGAGTTGATTTATCGATGGTGTCAAGGTCCGTGTAGACCGGGAGTTGTTTTGAGCCCGTGTTGTTTTGCACGATGCGACGGATGTATTCGACTCCCAGGTCGAGGTTGTTGATTTGGACCAGGAATAAGACGATAATCTGTTCCGGGGGACTGCCACCGTGGGCTGGAGCTCGGGGATAGCATTCATCGCGCATCTTACGCTGGGTCATACCGATGAAGTCGGAGCCTAGAACGCGGGATAGGGTTGGGACGACATTTGTCACGACTGCTTCTTGCGAGGTGGAGATTGATTGCTGGATGACCTTGTTGACGATGTACATTATATCGTCGACGGCAGAGGTGATATGTGGTGGATTTGCCTTGAGGGGGCGCTGGAGGTTCAGCGTAAGACCTGAAGGTGACTCGTCCAGCTGAAAGGCCTTCTCGACAGACCGGCGGAAGAAGAAGGTTGTCATCGCATTGAAGGGCGCTACCAGGCGGTCATTGACCTTGTGCGCCAGAGGGGATTCTCGTAAGAAGTCAGGCAGAGTGAATCTTTTGTCGTCATTTTCATCTTCTACATCCGCAGTCTGGAATTGTCAGTCGTGATTTTATACCAAAAGGCAGTGGCAGCACTTACATTGCACTTATCTGCCAAGAACCGGCTGTACAATGACCAGCGGCTCAACATGACCCCCATCTCATTCAAGACCCCGTCAATCTCTTTCATATCTACTCCCTCTTCATCCGCAGCAGCAGTCACCGGAGCCGGTGAGCTTGAGTGAGGGGGCCCAGGTCTCTGCGCGGGCAAGAAGCTCTGTACCAAGAAAGTAAAAGCGTAGGATTTGATATCCATCAGCTTCCGGTCGACCTGGCGTTCATCACCCCAAGTATCAAGGATGATACCACCCTGGACATCAGCTTCGATCTGCAGCCGTTCAATGACACGGCCCATCTTATGCGGACCATAGTGGTGCTCAACTAGCCCACCGTGTCCTTCAACAATTTGAGCGATATGCTCAAACAATCGAGAGAAAGCATTGGCATAGAAGAACCCATCCTTGTTCTGAACACCCCCAGTAGCCCCATTGAGATTGGTCCGAGCCTTCGCCGCCACACCCTGGCAGACATAGCGGCCATAGACATCCAGTCCCACCTCTGAACGGCCAATAAGCGGGAATAGCTTGAAGAAGCGAGTGATCTTGGCACCGTCATTCTCCTTGACAGCCTTTTCAAACTCACGCAGGAATAACCCACACAGCGATTCGGCAGCACTGTCTAGCGTAACACTCGGTGGGTCGGGCACCTCAGCTGTAGGGACCATCTCGGCAGCAAAAGCACCATTTACAACGGAAGCTGGAATCTGCGCAGCTCGGTGCAGATAACTGGCAGCTTTCTCCCAGTCCTGGGGTGCCCCCATAGACCCGGCCACACCAAGCGCACAAGCCTTCAGCTCGGCAACCTGCTCAACAACCTCCAATGTAGCCTTGACTCGAGCTTGTTCAAGATCCAATCGTCGGACAGCGCTAGAGATGCGGTCGGCGGTGCCCGCAGCTTCGGAAAGCATTCCATGGCTAATGGACCGGGTGGTACTGGCGTGCGTGCCGATATTAGCGCGCATCAGATCCAACCGGCCCAATTCCCGAGAGAGATCTTTCTGCGATGTGACCAGGGCATCGAGGCGGGCTGTTACGGAGGCTTCCTGGGTGTGGAGGTGGGACAACGTGGCCTTGATTTCGGCGACGGAACTGGCATTGAAGATATCCGGGGGTGTGGAGGCCTCTATAGGCGACACAGGACTCAATGGCGGGCGATGCCCATTGGTAGTAGCCATGCTGGGCATAGAAACCGTGGAGGTGACCTTGTTGATGCCAAATACGCCAGACGTAGGGGCTCCGCGGGCGGTGAGCGGAGCAACTGTGAAGAGATGCGAATATTCTTTGACTGGAAGCTCTTGCGCTCTCTTGTTGGTGTTGTTGTCTTTGTCTCTTGATTTGTCTTCTCTTTGGTTTCTCATTTGGTGAATCAACCGGTCATTTCTCTTTTTACCCCTCCATTAGTTCCACCTTGAAGGGATTTTTGTGTGAGGCTCTACACTTTTTTAAAACATCTCCATTTGGTGGCGACAGAGTCAGAGACAGAGACGGTGATATACCTCTCTTCCGTTCTGTCATCATTGGACGCTACAGAAACCGTCATCCCAGGCGCTTTGCGATGGGCAACGAAGAGTCAACTATGGATGCGTCCGCCTCCCCCTCTGTACTAGAGGCGCGTACGGTTGAAGCCCTAGCCAAATACATTAAGGAGCACGATGTGAAGCGTGTTGTGGTGATGGTAAGTCGTGGTGCTCTGGTAGATCTTCATAAGCTAACAGTGCATAGGTTGGAGCGGGCATCAGTACTTCAGCAGGTATCCCAGACTTTCGCTCTCCAGATACTGGAATCTATGCCAACTTGGCTTTCCTGGACCTGCCAGAGCCAGAAGATGTTTTTGATATCAGCTTTTTCCGAGAAAACCCAAAGCCATTCTACGCCTTGGCGCATGAGCTGTACCCGGGTCGCTTTCGTCCAACCATTGCTCACTCATTTATCAAGCTGCTCTACGACAAGGGCATCTTATTGAAACATTTCAGCCAGAACATTGACTGCCTTGAGCGTCAGGCGGGTGTGCCCGATGACATGATCATTGAGGCCCACGGCAGTTTCGCGTCGCAGCGCTGCATCGATTGCAAGGAGCCATATCCCGACGCTGATATGCACGAGAAAGTCTCCAAGCAAGAAGTCGCCCACTGCGCTTCGTGCAATGGGCTCGTCAAACCTGACATTGTGTTCTTCGGGGAGGGTCTCCCCTCCTCTTTCTTTGACAACGCCGATAAGGTCAAAGAAGCCGATCTTTGCATTGTCATGGGGACCAGTTTGTCTGTTCAGCCATTTGCCAGTCTACCTGGAATGTGCAAGGATAACATCCCCCGCGTGTTGATCAACATGGAGCGAGTGGGTGGTCTCGGCTCACGAAAGGATGATGTGCTCCTCCTCGGGGACTGTGACAGCGGTGTTCGCAAGCTTGCTCAAGCTCTCGAGTGGGAAGAAGAACTGGAGGCCTTGTGGGAGGCCACGAAGCCCGCGGTCCCGGAAGAGGACACAATCCCCCAAACGCGGGACGAGCGCCTGCAGGATGAAGTGGACCGACTTAGCGAAGAAGTCAATCGAACTCTGGGGTTAGCAGATGCATATCAGAGCAAAGTCCGCCAGAGGTTGGGGTCTCACGAGTCTCACGAAGCACCTCAAGCACACGAAGCACACCGCCAGTCCACGGGGCTGGCGCATGTTTTCCCGCATTTGGCTTGAGAATTACGATTTGATGACTGGACGAGGAGAATGGAGTTTGAATAGAATCAAGACTACTGTTTTACTGCTTTATTGTTCTAGTATTCCACTATTTCTACAGTATAATACCCACATGTTGACTGCCAAGCGTGGTTCTTCCAATGCTTGAGCGTCCTCACCTAGCAATGCTGCGCGGAGAAGGGAGATTTAAACCTTAGAAACTAGGAATTGGACCTGTTCGGTCTGAGACGCGAAAACCCTCGTATCTACACAAACTGGTCTGTTTTCGCTCCAACTCCGGTTCGCCCACCGCAGCCAAATCAAGCAAGGCTCACCCTTGCCCCACGTCCGTCATCGCCCCTCAGCAACTTCCTTTTCTTTTCACTTTCTTCACATCTTCACATTCTAATTCTCATCATGGTTGGACTCGGACCTAAACAGCCTCCCTCCCGCAAGGGTGAGTCTTGCTTATTCTCTTTCCCTCTCTCCCTGGGCTTGTACTCGTACTAATCATGTGGTACAGGGTCCATGCAGGAGCTGCCTCAGAACCTTCTGGGCCCCATCAAGGACTTCGAGAAGGCCTTTACCGTGGATACTGCTAAGCTGAAGGAGGTGGTGAACCACTTTGTCAAGGAACTCGAGAAGGGTGAGTAGTTGATCCTGAAGCTTCCCCCCTCGAACTGCGTCATAGCTAACAATCGCAGGTCTGACCGTGGAGGGCGGCAACATTGTGAGAGACATTCCCCTTCCGAACCCCCACGGTGGAAGAACAGAGACTGACTGATGAGTTAGCCCATGAACGTGACCTGGGTGATGGGCTTCCCCGATGGCGAAGAACAAGGCACTTATCTCGCCCTCGATATGGGCGGCACCAACCTGCGTGTTTGCGAGATTACCCTGACCAAGGAGAAGGGCGCTTTCGATATCACACAATCCAAGTACAAGATGCCCGAAGAGCTCCGCACCGGTACCGCCGAGGAATTGTGGGAATATATCGCCGATTGCTTGCAACAATTCATCGAGACCCACCACGGTGGTGAGGAGCTCGCCAAGCTGCCTCTCGGTTTCACCTTCTCATACCCGGCCACTCAGGAATACGTCGATCACGGTATCCTGCAGCGTTGGACCAAGGGTTTCGACATTGATGGTGTTGAGGGTCAGGATGTTGTTCCTCCCCTCGAGGCCATTCTCAAGAAGCGCGTATGCATCCCTAGTAACTATTACGCATAGATGAAGCTAACCTATCGCAGGGTCTCCCCATTAAAGTTGCTGCCCTCATCAACGACACCACCGGTACTCTCATTGCCTCGGCCTACACTGATACCGACATGAAGATTGGCTGCATTTTCGGTACCGGTGTGAACGCCGCTTACATGGAGAACGTTGGCTCCGTGCCCAAGCTTGCCCACATGAACCTCCCCGCCGACATGCCCATCGCTATCAACTGCGAGTACGGCGCCTTCGACAACGAGCACATTGTTCTCCCTCTGACCAAGTATGATGAGATCATTGACCGCGACTCTCCGCGTCCCGGCCAGCAAGCATTCGAGAAGATGACCGCCGGTCTGTACCTCGGTGAGATCTTCCGTCTCGCCTTGATCGACCTCTTTGATTCCCACCCCAACTGCATCTTCAACAACCAGGATGTCTCCCAGCTGCGCAAGCCCTACCTCTTGGACGCCTCCTTCCTGGCTGCCATTGAGGAGGACCCCTATGAGAACTTGTCGGAGACATTTGACCTCTTCGAGCGGACCCTCAAGGTCCGCCCCACCATCCCCGAGCTGGAGATGATCCGCCGTCTTGCCGAGCTGATCGGCACCCGTGCCGCCCGCCTGTCTGCATGTGGTGTCGCCGCCATCTGCACCAAGAAGAAGATCGACTCCTGCCACGTCGGTGCCGACGGCTCTGTCTTCACCAAGTACCCCCACTTCAAGGCTCGTGGTGCTCAGGCCCTGCGCGAGATTCTCAACTGGGCTCCTAACGAGAAGGACAAGGTAGACATCTTGGCCGCCGAGGACGGATCTGGTGTTGGCGCCGCCTTGATTGCCGCCCTGACTCTCAAGCGTGTCAAGGCCGGCAACCTGGCTGGTATCCGTAACATGGAAGACATGAAGACCCTGCTTTAAGCGGGTGTAATGTTCTTGGTTCCACGGCGGCGACGCTGTGAACCCCTGAAATCTCTTGCCATAAATGACTCCCTATTGGGATGGAGTATCTCTATTTTTGACATTTTGACGTTTGTTATGCCACTGGATGGGGTTTTGATGGATTATGATTGCATGTTGGCCTTGGGTCAATAGAATACAGGTGTGTTGGTGGTACCTATAAGTACATACCGAAACAATCAATGCACCTACGGGCTACTATCCCCTAGAATTCCCCTTGAAAGCCCCTAGAATCATTAGTAGAACTAATACTGGTAAGCCACTTAAGAGTTGGAACTGAGAGATAAGTTATAAGTCATCAACGCCACGACGGGGACTCGTACGTCTTAACAGGGGTGTTTAATACTGTCTACAATCAACTTGCAAATGTATGAAAGAATGCCTCCACAATATTCATTAACAAAATCATGCAAGATATTAGATCCCTGAATCCTCCTGTTCAATATTATAAGTGACATCATAAGTATTCCACGCCGCACAATTATCCTGCAAAGCATCGAAATCAATCAAAGGATCAATCTCCTCCTCCCTCTCCAAGAACTGCAGGGCAAATCCCTCATCGGTATGCCATCCAATATGGCAGTGCATCAACCAAGCCCCAGGGTTATCCGTCTCAAAGCCAATAAGCAGATACCCATTACCAACAAGCATAGCGGTATCTCGTCGCGGGGGATTATTAGTGTTCACACTTCCATCCCAAGGATTAGAACCCTGCGCCAAAACAAAGAAATCATGCCCATGCAAATGGATGGGGTGGGTGACCGGGATGGTAGTATTGATCATGAGATACACCCACTCATTGGCATTAGGCAGCTTGATCAGTCCACTGGTGTCACTGTAGTCCGTCTGGTTGTTGAAGACCTGAAGCAGAGTCGGGTCTTCCCAGAGGACTTGCATCGACGTGCTGTTGAGGTACCAGCGGAAGAGATTCGCCGAGTTGCGGCCTACCGTCACGTCCTCCAGATCGCTCCAGTCTGCAGCGGAGACGCTTTTGGGCACGTAGGGGACCAAGCTGGCGGCGGGCTCGTCCACGCATCCGTCGTCTGCAAAGTACCAGGGACTTGTTGTTGGTTCCTTGACTTTTTTGTTGTAGTGCACGATCCCCCGGATGTTGTCTGGGCTGGCGTTTTCGGAACATGCTTCTTGGGGGATGGCACGCATCCAGAAGGATTCGGCGACCTTGCGTTGATTGGCCGTTACAATCACATCGTAGCGTTGGCCTGGAGGAGTTAGTCACTTGTCAAGTCGAGGAGTAGGAATTTGCAGTAACATACCCATTCCGATGTTGAGATAGTTCGTGGTGAATGGTTTGATTGGCACAAAGTCCGCGGAAATCACAGTCAAAGTATGATTGTCAATCATAAACTTCCAGTGCGTGTCAACAGCAGAATTAACAAGTCGCAGTCTGTACGAAGTGCCACTTTCAAATCTCATTGTAAAACGCTCTCCAGTTGCCGTTGAGCCATTACCATAGACGTTAGTCCCATTCAGCAGCCCAGTGTCCAGAATTGGCGGACCGATAGTCTGAGCGTATGAATAAAGCTCATCAACTGTCTGATGAGACCAATCCGTTAAGAACAAATTGCCCAGATCAACATCATAATTAGCCGTCGCAGGACCATTGATAATGATCCCACCAAAGACACCCTCCCAAGCCTGGAGACCAATATGAGAGTGATACCACGAAGAACCATACTGCACAGCCCGCCATTTATAGGTGATAGTATCACCAGGAGCAGTCGGACACTGGGTAATAGAGACAACGCCGTCCTGGCCATTGGTATAGTTCTGACGAATACCATGCCAGTGAATACTGGTGCCATTCTTGGATGTGAGCAAGTTGTTGGTAACGTGCACAACGACCCAATCGCCCCAATCTGCGATAATTGTTGGGCCGGGGATGGACCCGTTGACTGCCATTACTGGACGGCTGAAGCCATCTGGTGCGGCTGTCAGGTCCTCAAGAGTGAGCCAGTACTCGCGGGTTACGCCTGTATCTGGCACGACTTCAGTGTAGTCGGTGCTGGTGTCGTACTTGCACCATTTGGATCTGTTGCTGGCTTTGTTGCCGGCACAGGGAGTTCCTGTGGGCTTGCTGACCTTGGTGGTTGTAGTTTTGGTCTTGGTCTTGGTCTTGGTGCTGGTGCTGGTGCTGGTGCTGGTGCTGGTGCTTGTAGTTGTGGTAGTTGTCTTTGTTTTAGTTGTCTTGGTTGAGGTTGTCTTGGTTGAGGTTGTCTTGGTTGAGGCTGTAGTTGTTGTCTTATGGTTTGCAACTGCAGCCACATCTTCTTCAACAGAGATGGCAGCAGCAGCAGCAGCTGTCAAGCCAAATGCAAAGAAGAGAAGATTTTGGAGCTTCATGGTTCCTCTGTACACCCAATTGGGGTATCTGGCAAGTTGATGCCCCAAACAGAAATGAGACGAGAGGTCTATAAACTCAATGCACAAAGCAAAGATCGACCAAATAGAACGAGTTCACAATATGTCAGGAAACGACCGAGTCTTGCTGATCAGAGGCCAAGAGCTATATCCCGTACTTAAGCCGTGTGGCTATATATAAGACTCCCTCAGCACCGCACAGACGGACATAGGTGGACAATCATGTCAGGAGTCAAGGTCCGTGTTGCCTTTCACGAGGTGACCTGCATTCGGAGCCCGCTAGGATATGCCCGTCAGCCCTGCTCGCAAGGCCGAGAGATACACAAGCTGTCGAGCTACAGTACAGACGACGAGGTAACGGACGAATTGCAATGATAGATCACAAATTCCGGCCCCAAACCCCAAATCCATGACTCTATACTAATGCAACTAAAGGAGCATTACTTCCAGCTAAGGATACAGTCATCCAGTCAAGGAGTGGGACGATAGTCGGCTCGGAATGCTTCTCAGTTGTGGGATTGTTGAGGCTGCAGCAGCGCTAAAGATACTCGAGCTTTGACTCGTGTCTTAGAAGACTGCATCTCATCTTCGTATCAGTGAGGTTGGAGGTGCTGGCAGTCTTGGAGAGAAAACTAGGGCTGCGTCTCATAGTGCCGAGAAGACACGAACCAATGGCGGGAATTTGACAGAGCGTCGAGATTACCGAAAGTGTATTTTTCCTTGCTCGAAACTCGTCCGATTGGCTTTTTATGGCTTGCATCGGAGTTATCTCCCCGAGTGGCTGCCAGTCCAACTTCGTGTTGGGGTACCTTTACAGCCTCTGTACTGTATACGAGCTGGCGCAAGCCTCCGGCGTGCAAGGTACAGCAGCTGAGTATCCACCATGAATCCCGCATAGTCGCCCTTGTGGAGTCATCAGGTGAGCATGCAGAATTGGGCCAGTGTTGCGAGTTAACGCTCATGCAGAACATGCATCGTGAGACTCCGCCTGACGTTAGTTGTGCTCTGGATCGTACTTTGGGAGGAGGGTGTAGGGTATGCTTTTGAAGGGTGGCTATTGAGGATGTCATCGTTAGGATTGGAAGATTGATATTTCCAAACCAACCAGGAAACCCCTGGTAGTGATCAATGGTGGTCTTGTTGACTATGTGAGATCCTGGTGATAGTTCGCGTCACTCGGCAGGTCAGCTTGTCCCAGTCCGGATTGAAAAAAAGAAAAAAAGAAAAGGGCTTTGATCGCGTGCGTAATGGAAAAAGAAAGTAATTTAGCAGACGCGAAAATAGATTGCATTGGAAATATCTTTCGAGCGCGAAGCGTCTGCCTATCTACCTCCACTTATATCTGTTTTGCTATACTCCGGGCTCTCCCTCTCGATCTATAACTCTTGCAGCGCATAAACTCCTGAGAACTTGCTATCCATCCCACTCCCTTTAGTGCACTTGATATCTGCAAAATGCTCTTGTTGTCTATCATGCGTCTGTTTCTAGCTTCTGTGGTGGTTTGTGCTGCGCAACCGCTCGAGGCGCGACAATCGACTAGTTCCTTCACTCTGTATGCGTACGGAGAAGGCATCGGCGGACTTCCTATCTACTACAAAAATGGTATTTCATACATCTGGCTCCAGCTTGCTTCTCTCAGTCGGCATTGTCTGATGTTGCTTATACAGGCACTGCTCAAGTGGCAGATTCGTCCAAAGTCGACACTTCGGCATTAACCCAAGTCTACTGTAAGCCCATCGTCTCCTTCCCTCACAAAGAGACCTCAAAGACAAGAACCATTCTCTAATGCTTCCACAGTCACCTCTTCCGACAGTTCGTCCAGCACCTGGGTAGCCCATCCCGGGTCCGACACCACCACCGTGACCAGCTCTGCCCCCTTTACCACCAACTTGATCTACCTGGCTCAGGGCTCTACATCCAACCCGGTCAGCTTCACCGGCACCTCTGACGCGGCACGATCCGGTAAACTCACCGATGTGTGGTCTTTATACGGCAATTATGTCCTCGTCAGCGTAAGTGGGGCCAACTTTTATGCCAAATCGACCGGCACAGATGGCTTGTATTCCCTCCTTTGGAGTACTTCGGCGGCCGACATGACAGACACAATCTCGCTGACTCTGCGGACCATCGAACCAGCCACTCAGTCGGTGCTCAGCTAAGCGAGTACGGGCGGGCAGAGTTGGGGGCGGGATGTGCTTACGAGTCGAGTCGGGGGTTTGCAGTAGTTAGGTCTTGGCTATGTATGTGCTGGCCAGGAGACGCGGTCCTGTCTACTGTATCTTGATTTATTTTCCGAAAGAATGTTGCGCATGTGATACCTCGTGTGTCTGGGGTAATCTGCCATGTTGGGCATCCGGCCAAGGTCCAGGGTTGCCTGATGAGGCTTAGATATGGAAATGGGGAACTTCGCCCTTCTTTCTTCTGCTATCTTGTTCTGTTTTGAGTCGTCTCCTTTTGGTTCTCACCGTCATCGCGCTGCTATTCTATATTTAGAGATCCGTGCCAAGCAAGCAAAGCATCCCAAGCCTTACGTATGCCTGCTTGATCAGTTTACAGTACCTCACATGAAAGATCGATCAACCGGGTTTTCCGCAAAGGACTATTACTCGATGAGTCATAAGTAAGAGACATCCCACGATAGACATCCCACGATAGCCCCCAAGTCTACAGTAGGTTGCTTTTTCCTACTATACACATACCTCGACGACTGGGGCCACATTTGAGCTGGGATCTGTTTCCAAACGGCATTCGACAAGATGTGACACCGAGTAGAGACTCAAGCCCTCGTCAATGCTTATACTCAAGCATCCGAGGGAAGATACAGCGTGCTGAGCTGGTACTGTGGCTCCCAGGGAGAGATCCTAAGTGGGGCCATGGATCTGAGAGAAGCCAAATGCGGCTTAGCGCCCAGATTCAGCCGAGATCAGCGAACCATGGGCTGAGCCGAGATCCCAAAGCATGTCTCAACGTCCCGAGGGGTTCGGCCAATTGGCTGGTTTCACCCTTCCGATTTGGTTATGTAGCGATTATATGTTTACGGCTGACGGTGGTCGATAAAGGCTTCTACTGTGAATACGTGTGATTCCATAGAAAGCCTAGCATTCAATTACTACACAACCCGGTATTCGACATGGTATATGGGTGAGGGTTGGCAAGAAAGAAGATTATATCAAACAAATGAAGCACAAATACGAAACAGAAAACGCCAGGTGGCTATACGCAACGCATCCCAAGGCTCAAAAAAGAAGGCCCAACACCCATTAGCAAGCAAAGGGTTGGTTGTGGAGGAATCGCAGGAAAAGAAACACAGAATCCAGAGAATATGGAATGGAATAAGGAATGGACTAGACCAGAGTGAAAAAAAAAAAGAAGTTGGAATCACACAGCAAGGCAAAAAAAAGCCGGATCAAATAAAGAAAATGAACCTGATGCAAAAAAGCATTGATATCAAAAAGCAAAACTCCCCAGTCTTCCAGACTCGATAACGCCAAACTCAAATAACATGAAAAAAGTCACCATAGAAAACACCGAATCTCCTTCCCAATCCTTGGTAAATTGATACCCCTAGTAATCCATTGCCTTGACCGAAAAGAAGAAGAGAGAAAAAAAAGGAAAGAAAAAAAGTAAGCAAAGATCGTCCCCTGCTTTCTGTGACCTGGAGTCCTGCTAGCGATAGATAGTCACGTCAAGTTAAACGCGCGTGGAGCGTTTCCGCAGACCAAACTCCTGTTCCTGAAGCTCTCGTATTAAACGAAGACTTTCCTCGTCTGCGTCTTCATCTCCGGTGATATGCTGGGTATGCTTGTGCTGACGAGGGGACAGCGAGGTGGGGGCGTGGCGGTGAAAATGCTTTTCGTACATTGGAGAGCTCTTCTTCGCATGGGATGAAGAAGGGCGCGACGAAAGCTTTCTTGTTGACGGTGGGGGAGCAGGGGTTGTCTTGCGTACACCGATTGTGGAAGAAGTTGCTCGCCCGACGGGTTTGGATGCCCGAGAGGAAGTCATGTCAGGCGCATATCGATCAACGTGTCGAGGCTGGCGAGAGGAATGCCGAGAACTGGAATTCGGTGTGTGAATTGCAGTAGATGTTTCACCTTCCACGGATTGAACAGCATCTCCCTCTTGCATCCCATCGATTTCGTCGGCCAGCGAAGTGGGCGGCGAGACCAATGACGTGGTTGGCTTAGACGACGACACCGAGATGGAGTTCAGATCCTTTGCATCCCCAGAGTCGGGTTGGAAAGTAGGCGGTGACGCATACAAAGCCTCACCGCGAGGCCCCTCGTCTGATTTGAGTTGTGGATTGCTTTGGTCGGCAGGGTTGCTTGGTTCCTGATCATAAGCATCTGTGAAGTTTGGTTGCCTAATTGGTCCCTCGACATCATGACTATAGAAGACAGCCGGTCGTGTGGTAGGTGATGTGCTCTCTTGCTTTGTTTTCTTGGCCGATGCAGGTACTCCATCATCTTCAGCAGGACGCGCTCGCTTGGCGGAAGCATTCGCACGAGGTTTAGAACGTTCTTGGGCCTTGACGGGATCTATACGGCCATATTCATCGTGAATGCAACGACGCTAGTTTCATGTTAGCAGGTGCGATTGAATAGACCTCATTCTACAGGAGGAAGAAAATACCTTGCTTTTCCGACAATCATCGCACGCCTTGCTGCGACCCTTCTTTCCACCAGTTCCATCAGGGCTCAAATCCATGAGTCGGTTAGCAGCCATCGTGGAGTTACCCATCGCCGCAGATTGGAATCTGGCAGAGTTCTCAAATCGATCCATGTCGACAAGAGGATTGTTACTCTGAAATCCGGTCTGAGATGCAATCGCCGCCAAAGAGTTCAGCGCAGAGACTGCATCCTGGGCAAGGGAAGATGGTGTGCTCACCCCAGAGCCAGGCGTGAATGTAGTGGCTGTGACCTGTCCATTGAGCATCATGTCACCAGGCTCATCCTTGTGACGGCATCGAATCCGTCGCTTGCGACATGCATCACAGGCGACGCGCTTTGGACCAAGACCAGAACCTCGTTGCACCACCCGGGGTTTGGAGGCAGCAAGCTCTTTCATGGCGGTGTCTGGAGCATGACTGAACGGCAGGGGTGTTGAGCTTTCGTCTGATGGTCCATCTGATGGCACATAAAGACCGCTGCCGAGCGCGGGATTTGGAGTCACAGAGACTTCATCCGAGGGCCATTGAACCGCTTGTCTTTCGGCATAGGTACGCTGGTTATCGACATTGCGGTCCGATCGGCGGCTGGGTCGACCTGCCGGCTTCTTCTCCGCGAGTGAAACCTTGGGGTTGCTTTCAATAACACCAGGCCTAGTCCAGAGTGGTGCTTTCTCGTTACCACGTTTCCATGCAACCCACATTCCGAATTGTCTGATAACATCCACGGGATCTCCAATAACCCTGGGAATAGAACGTCTGACCGCGTTGCGAGCATCTATGGTGACTCCCCCGTCGACAGTATAGCCGCCTGCAATAAGCGCAGTCCGCAGCAGATACCGAGTCAGCTCAGGCAGACCTTCCAACTCCGCTTGTGAATAGAATCGGGCATTATGATGGGAAGAGCCAGGTGGCTCCTGGTTGGCACGCTCTCCGAATTCATAGTAAATTGGATGCTGACGGTGGAATCGATAGTGCTCATCATGGATAAAAGAATTCACCACATGCGGCGGAATAGGGTCATCTTCCAAATATTTCAAAGCTGTATACCATTGGATCCTTTGGAAAAAGGGGTATCGGAATTTCCTGGGCACTTTCGTGTCCTTTTCAATGCCAAGAATCTTGATTTGCATCCCGTAGTTTAGTCTGGTCAAGAAATTTCCCCCAATGACCAAGCTATTTTCCGGAGTCCAGACTGCATGAATCCAGCCGGACGGAATCAGCATAGTGTCTCCTTCCGATAGATCCACGCGGTAGCATTCCTTGGTTTGATTGCCAAGGAAGATTGAATCCTGGGCAGGAGAGTTACACCACTCTTCATATTTCTTGAGGTGTTTGTCCTTGGGAGGAATGAAGAAGAAAGTCTTCTTGCCCTTTAAAATATGATAGTAGACTGAAGATCCGCCGAAGTCGATGTGGAAGTCAGTATAGCAGTCAGCGACAGACATTAGGCAGTAGAACTGAACCTTGGGATAGTCGCCGACGGCTTGTAGTTCTTCTGGCCATACAGAATCCTGCAGATCCAAGTCACGAACAACCTTGGGACGCTTGATGAGTCTTCCCAGTCTGCTTTGGGATACCTCGAGACTGATGACATTTCTGACCGGTTTGTCGAGCTCTGTGCTCTCGTAGTAGTCGGCCCATTGTTGCATGTTCCACCTCTTGTCTTCTCCTTGTTGAGACTTGACATCGATGACCTCAACTCTTTCTTCAGGACCGTAAAGCTCGGCGACGGCACGAACAGTGAGACCTTTAGGAATGACCATGTCCAAGAGATCTTGGCCACAATCTCCTATTTCTTCAATGTGGGTATCCTGTCTTGGGTGATTGTCGAGTAGCTCATCAAACATCTCTTGGGACACAGCTTCCTCGACCAGAGATTCGAAATCCGGTATCCCCTGGGAAACGGACTCAGTGGTGTTCCAGCAAGCGGGGATTACAATTGGTTCCGTCCATCCATTTCCTCTTTCGAAATATTCTGCAGTAACCAACTCGGGCTTCATGCGAGGAAAACTCTCTGGCTGAAAGCGAATCTTGCCTTGTCGAATGGGCTCGAGGTAGTGATGCTCCAGAGAGTCGCTGGCCGCCTTGACAAGGCCCTGATTGAGACCTGCGTAGTCAATAGCTGTGCGAGCCCGCGAGGATTTGCGCACAAATGTTGTTTGGCCATGGGTTGATCGGCACGGTTGACAAATAAATTTATCAACGGTACGAACTTCCCGGTCGCTCTTAAAGCCGGCGCAAACGATATGGAACCATCGTTTGCATCCATCACAGCCGATCCATGTGTCTTCCTCTTGTTCTTCGGTTTCGACTGGAATGCGAACCATATGGCATGCAGCACAGCTTGCTTGTGTGGTTTCACTTTCCTCCTCTTCCATTTTCAACGGCACAGGTAATGACTTTGGAACCCGAGATTCATTTGCACCGGTCAACTTGAGCTCCAAATGGCCTGTGTGGGTTGTATCAGACGGCGCATGCCAGGTATTGCCTTCGTTTTCATCTTCCCAGACAATAGGCGGGAGGGTGCCTGCACTGGTAGTTGGTCGAATACCACGGATCACAGGACGGGAGATGAAGGCTGATCCGTCTGAACGTGAGCGCATCCGGGATGTGGGAACGTGATCTTCAGCATCATCGCCTTTCCGGTCACCATGTCCCTGATATCCATTGGTAGCAAACCCCACTCGAGCTTGACGAATCGCGTCGCCGGCGGTATGGCAAGACTCATCAATGCTGACTCGCTTCGTCGAATCACTTGGGTGAAAGTTTGTGGGCCGCGCGAGGTTGAGAAGAAGCTCCGCATCCGTTGTCATACTGTCAAATATAGGATGTGGGTTTCCCGGAGGATTTCTTGCCGACCGTGCACGCTTAGCCGGCCTGTCGGAGTCAATAGATTCATGAGGAAATAATGGTACGGCTGATCGGAAGCTGGGAGAGGGCGGATTCGGGGGGAGGGGTGCGAAGGTGGGACTCGTTGCGAGAGCGATCGTCGCAAGCGTGTCGATGGTCGAGTTTGATCGACCGTGGCCTGTCCGAGGTTGTGGATTGTTTTCAGTGGCGTTTCGGTTCGAAATTGAGGTACGTTGGTCGAAATCAAGGCTTGCAGCTCGAGGGCCACTGCGGCCGGTCAAGGCGGAATGGATTTCGGTGGTTGTGGATGGAGTGATAGGTTCGACTGCACGTAATGGAGGGGACGGAGTGCGGTACTGCGGCGGACGACCACCGATGGGGCTCGCGAATGAGGCCGCGCTCATCATCTTCGCGGCCCAGGATTGTATCAGTCAGAGGGAGGATGAAGGATCGGAGGTGCGAAAAGTTGCGCTTGCGGTAGGTGGGTGCAAAGCGGGGATGCAGACCACACAGGCTAGCGAGAGATCGCAGAAGGGAATGTCATTCCTGGCAGAAGCACATGCGCAGGGGAGACCGATCGCGAGATGAAGACTGATATCGATGTAGGATTGAGGGCGAAGAAAGTGTTCGACGAGGTCGAGTCGCGGAGTGGTGCGTTGAGGGGGTTTCGAGCGGGAGGACAAAGGCGCCGGGAGTCGCGCCGCAACCTGCGGGCAGGTAGGGAAGAAGGTGAGATGAAATCCAGTAGCCAGGAATCGATTCCTGCCAACTGGATCAGAAGTGACGAGTATTCCAATGGATAAAGCGCCAGACGAGATGTGAGCGCGCGGTGTTGAAGGAGGAAGCGGGAGCCGAGTAGAGTAGCAACTTTGGTATGTACGCGGTCCGCCTTCAACGCTACATCCCCAAGCTGTAGGGAAGCTCTTAGAAAGAGATTAGTGAGGATAATCAGATATCATTTGCTATTCTGATGACTTTTGTTACCAAGTCCACCCGTTCAAATCTTCGATTTAACCAAGCTATTGCGCCGAGAGCCTGTCAATACGGTCCGATACCATCACGTGCCGGATTCGGCGGCTTCCACACGCTGAATCAGTCACATGACCTGTCACGTATGGTCAGCCACAACTGCCACTAACCGGGATAAGTAAGCGCCAAGCCAAACCTCGTGGTTCGTTCTTGCGTCGTTCTCGTCTGCTCCTCTCTCTTATTCTAACACCAATCGATACCTTGCGTATCTTTTCTCTCTACTCTCATTAAACATCTATTTCACATCTTTTTCACCCTGAGGATGAGCCGCAAGCTCGCCCCCGAAGCCAATCGGTACGTGAGGTCACTTTTTCATGCCCCTCCCGAACCCGGCATGCCAACTATTGCGCATGGAATAGCTGCTAACCTGAGTCTCGTCTTCACAGGATTCTCTTCGCCAAGAACCTCAAGTGAGTGCTCCGTCAATCACCGCTTTCCTCCGGCGTGGTCCTCCGCCAGATTTCAGCCCTACAGCCTGTCGTCTACAATCTTGATCAGATCGTGATCAAACTGTGTTAACAATCGCTAACCTTCTGCCATCAGCTACAACGTAACAGCAGAACAGCTGTTTGACCTCTTCGGAAAATTTGGTCCTATTCGGTAATATGTCCCCGATCTCGTTTCCCAGCTCCACATCTAACACTTTTTACTTGCAGCCAAATTCGCCAGGGTATCGCCAACAACTCCAAGGGCACCGCATTTGTGGTATACGAGGACGTTCACGACGCCAAACAGGCATGCGATAAGCTGAACGGTTTCAATTTCCAGAACCGTTACTTGGTCGGTACGTGTTACACATTGGTCATGGGAATATCAACGACCACACAGAGATAACTGACTCTCGGACTTTAAGTATTGTACCACCAACCAGAGAAGATGCTGCGCACGAAAGAGGACATCTCGGAGAGGCAAGATAACCTAGAACGGCTCAAACAGCAACACGGGATAGAATGATGTGACGACTTTCTTCTCATGATGCCCTGCTCGCATTTCGCTGCGCATGGTGTTGCAACGACTATACTCGATTGCGGCTTGGTTGAGGGGTTTCTGGCGTTCTATTCCCTGGGTTTCTTTTCTATTTTCAGAGGGTATGGTGGGAGGCGGGCTCTGGCCATGTAATAAACCAGATTGATGCGAAAAACACACCCCGCGAGACTTGATTTCTTCTCTGTTTATTCTTCTTACTTAACTATTATTCTTTCTCCAATCCGACCCTCTTTGCTCTACCACCTTACATCGGGAGCTTTCCAGTGGACAGCTTGCTTCCAAGGTTGGGAGACAGACGGCCCATCTGTGAGAAGGTCAACTCCATTCAGTTCCCGCAGCTTCGAGCTCTCATTGCCAGGATGAAAGATTGAAAACCGTATGTGGGCTGTCAAGCTGTCAAGTTGAGCTGTCCCGAAGCCTTGGTGGATGTGTAAATCAGGGTCTCAATACGTAAGGCGGTTGCAGCACTGGGGTAATTGTACCCACCTTCATGCAGAACCAGACTCAGTAGGCGACATGAAGCGAAGGCAGCACTCTTGGGGCCAAAACAGCAGCCTACGAAGTGCATTCAAGATTGCCAAGGCCATGAAACTAGAGGAAACCATCAGCCTCATCCCGCTGCGGGGACTTCCAGGGCTGCCACCGCCCCCAAGGCGCTGTAACCTCACTTCACCTCCACACTGGCAATAGTTCCTGGACATCTTTTCCTTTATACGTGATTTCTATATTGACCCCCTTGCGCTTTCAGTTTCACGTCGAGGGCACGCGTGTGACACCTAGTCACTTGCCTTAAGCCTAGGCGCTAGCTGGACCCTTATCCGACCCTGGTTTCTGCACATGACGCATTCCGTTTGAAATCCCCCGCCACCTTCCTTTTGGCTGAGAAACGATGGAAGACGCGACTGCTGCCCTGGCTACGATAGCCACCTCCGCACTCATCGCTACCACCAGTCTCGCCTCTCCAACACCATCAAGCATGCACACACTATTGTATCATGGAACAACCCCGGCAGAGGACCCAGACGAGGGAGGAGGTGAATGCAAGCTGCTCGGTCCGTTCTCGGTATTTGTGCAGGTTGCGCTCGGAGGACTTGCGCTATTATCTCTGGTCTTCAAAAGGTGGAGAGAACGACCACAGCGACCACTCAAGGTGTGGTCCTTTGATGTATCAAAGCAGGTGTTTGGGTCGGTGATGCTTCACATGGCCAACCTGCTTATGTCTATGTTTTCGGCTGGCCAGCTTGAGATACAGAAACAGTATAAGCCGAATCCCTGCTCATTCTACCTGCTCAACTTGGGTATTGACGTGAGTTCTGATATTGCCGATCTCAAGGACTGCAAATTAACCCGTTTCAACAGACTACTCTCGGTATCCCGATTCTGATCCTTATTCTCCGTGTTCTCAACTATTTCGCCTCTTACACAATACTCGCCAATCCGCCAGAATCAATAGAATCAGGAAACTACGGCCATCCTCCGCGCGCGACATGGTGGCTCAAACAGTCCATTATCTACTTTATGGGGTTGTTTAGCATGAAAATATGCGTCTTCTTCCTCATCCAACTCTTGCCTTTCATCGTCAAGTTCGGCGACTGGGCCTTACGATGGACAGAGGGAAACACAGCCGTCCAAATATTCTTCGTGATGCTTCTTTTCCCAGTCATCATGAACGCGATTCAATACTACATCATCGATATATTTATCAAGAAACCGATCTCGCACGGCATGTACACGACCGATGACTCGAGCGCAGAAGGGAGCACATCCGACGATGCTCAGCGCCGGGAGGCCCTTCTTGATGGTCTGGACGAGTCATATTCCACCGACTCGGATGATGAAACGCCAATACTTTCAAAACCAAAGGCTACTATGCATACGGTGAAGGAATCGGAGCACCAACTTACGGAGGACCATTCACCTGTTCCTCCATATGAACCCCCTAGCTCGAGCAGTAGTCGTGTTGACCCTGACTCAAAGTCTAGTGCTACACACACTTAAATAGCTTGCTTCAATATGCCTGTGCTCTGGAGTTTGAATATTGACTTCTTTACACATCTTTTTATGACTTTGAACGTGTATACGATTTGCTCGAATACGAATCTGAGTTTAGTTTTTCTTATATCAATAACCCGACCGAGTGTCTGAGCTATATTTTCAATCTTGGCTCGCACAATCTGGTTAGAAGAACAAGTAATTCAGAGTTAAACCACACTATCAGTCGATTAAAGCTGATCGCATTGATATAGATGTTACGAAATGCAAGTCCATATACCGCTTTCTACACCGCTCTATTCTGCCACAATCGGAAAAATCAAAGAAGAAAAATATTCTAGCTCCGCCTCAGGATTGTCGACGGCTTACAATTGCTTAATTGTATCCAACTATTTTCATCTGGCGGACCCTGAAAGTACTTGCGTTGAAATTGCAGTGCTTTGCATACCCGCCATCATGCCTAAAACAGGGCTGAAGGAAAAGACGAAGCGGTCGACCAAGCAGTCCCCGCTCGAGACAGCCAAGTTCCACCCGGAAGATTTAGATGTCGATATGAATGATGAGACAAGTTCTGACGAGGAGAGCGAGCCTGAGAAGGATGAGGCCGAGAAGAAGCTTGAGCGCATGCTGTTCGGCGACGATGAGGGGTTCATGGGCGCATTGAAGAACCAACAAGCCCGTGAGGCCGGCATGGCTCTCACTTTGCATAGCGACGATGAGAGCGGCGCTGAGGAGGATGAGGAGGACCAAGAAGCCATTGATGGAATGGCCGATTCAGACGTATGCGATTTACACACTTCAAACCATCAAAACTATAAACTAACACTTCATTTGATCTAGCTTTTCTTCCTCGACTCCGGTGCTCCCACAACAACAGACATCATTCCCTCCGAGGCCTCGGATGCTGAAGAAGAGGAGGAAGAGGCCGAGCCCGCCGTGTGGTACGATAGTGATGACGACCGCCTCGCCGTATCGCTAGCAAGCCAGGCCCGCCTGCGCAAACTGCGCACCACCGAATCAGAAGATGTGGTTAGCGGCAAGGAATATATCCGTCGCCTGCGCAGGCAATTCGAGCAACTTCACCCAACACCCGAGTGGGCTACCCCCGAGCTGGCACCGAAGCGCCGTAAGACCGACTCGGACTCGGAAAGCGATATCGAGTCAGACGATGAGAACGAGCAGCTGTCTATGCAGCCCTTGGCCAAGCTCCTCCAGAACGCCTCCGACCTAACCCGCATAGAAGACAACGCAAAGTCAGGCGGCAAGCGCAAGTTGCGACAAGAGGTTCTCGACATTCAGAGACTGAAGGACGTTGGCAAATCCCAACCGGTAAGCACCTCAATCTCAGACCTGACAACTAGATCCAAACTAACATCTTGCAGTCCTCTGTCGACTCTCTGACCTTCCACCCCCACTACCCCCTCCTGCTCTCCTCTGGGCCAGCCTCGACCCTCTTCCTGCACCACATCTCCCCCTCCGCACCTGCACCAAACCCGCTCTTAACCTCCCTGCACATCAAGCGCACACCAATCCACACGTCAGCCTTCGCCCCACCAACAGGCAACAAAATCTTCGCGTCCGGACGCCGCCGCTACTTCCACATCTGGGACCTGGACACCGGCAAAGTCGACAAAGTCAACGGCACCTCAGACCGCAAACAAGAACAAAAATCCATGGAACGCTTCAAGCTCTCCCCTTGCGGCCGGTATATCGGCCTCGTCGGTACATCCCGCAAAGGAGGCGGTCTAATCAACGTCCTAGACGCAAACACAGCGCAATGGATAGCGCAAGTGCGCGTCGATGGCCGCGGTGGTGTAGCCGATTTCGCCTGGTGGTCCGACGGCGAGGGTATGACAGTAGCAAGCAAGAACGGAGAAGTATCAGAATGGGACGGCCGGATTGGTCGCGTCGTCGCACGCTGGGTTGACGCCGGTGCAGTGGGCACAACAGTGCTCGCTCTGGGCGGACGATCCGGCCGTGCCCATTTCGGCGGAGATCGCTGGATTGCCATCGGTTCTTCCAGTGGTGTTGTCAATATCTACGACCGACGGGAATGGGCGACTGCCTACGCCAATGCTTCTGCTGCGGAGCGCGAGGCTGCTGCTCAAGTTGGAATTCCGCGTGCGCCTACGCCTGCACGTATCTTGGATCAGCTTACTACACCTATCAGTCACCTTGTCTTCGCGCCTGATGGGCAGATGATGGTGATGGCTAGTCGGTGGAAGCGTGATGCTCTCAGACTTGGTATGTTTTTGTTTCTCCCTCATCTATTTAAGTGGCCTTAGATCGAGTTGCTAACTGGTGCTCTAGTTCACCTTCCTACTTGCACGGTTTACCGTAACTGGCCTACGTCCAACACGCCTCTTGGTCGGATTTCGTCTGTGGCAATCTCGCCTAACTCTGAGCAGTTGGCTGTTGCTAATGAGCAGGGCAATATCCGTATGTGGGAGATTCGGGGGTAGATTTTGCATTTTATATGTAATCTAAAATATATCTTCATGTTTTGTCATTATTTCGTGGTGCTTAGGTGTACCATTGTAGATTTTTCGCTAGCATAAACTAGAGATTGACATGTCCAAGTGGTCTCATTGTATGACTTGCCAAGTCACTTTGATCTAGTTCGCACCCTAATCCAAATCCATACCTCAATCCTCAAGGGACCATCAAAACACCGAAAAGGATCTATAGCACCAAAGAAGAAAAGTGTAATTGTTGATAAGTGTCTAGCAAAGATGAACAAGCACGCAAACGCCAACCAAAACCAGAGATCAAAAAGACCAGGCAAAGGGAATCAGGAATGGAGAGAAAATATCATCAGGAAAGCCAGGTAACACGCCACATCACATGCAAGTCGTGTTGAAATCAGATAAATGGTCATGGTATCGTTCGTAAGGAGAGGTCTATACTGCTGGCCTTTGATCAAGGATTCAGTAACACAAGGGGTATATATGAGAGAGATGTAAAAAAGCAGAGAGAAATGAGGAATGTAGAACGGGTAGGGCACGGGGGCAAGAATATATCCAGCGAAAGAATCTCCACGCTGTCTGGGACGGGTGTAGATGGGTTGCTCGGGGGGATAATATGGGTCAAGGTGTGAGGGGATACGGGTGCCATTGACAGCTGGACCATTCATCAAGAGTTACTCTCCTGGCCCGCTCGACCCCCATCGCTGTGGACGCTTCCCTTGCTCGACGTAGTTCTTGATAATGCAGGGAGCGTGATCAGGTCCTTGGCAAACCTTGTGACGGTTGAGGTGCTTGAACCGGGGCCCTGTCGGCCCATTGACATAGTGGTATTGGCCGGCAAATCGATACTGGCGGGGGTCACCTAAGTGATAGAACTTATCACCCCAGTGGCCTTTGAAATAGAACCATTCAGTAGGGGCAGAGGGACTGAAGGTAGAGGCGCGCAGGTTATCTTCGTCGAAATCATAGGTGTAGGCATGGGAGTTAAGCAAAGGATCCCATAGTGGGCCGCGGTCTGTCACGTCGTGCAAGAGTCCCCAGGGGAGAATATACTCGTGGACGCCGGCCGTGGCATACATGGCGTGGCTACCCTCGGCAGAGTAGATGACCGGCTGCAAGGGATGTTAGGCATGGAACTCTCAATTCCCATGATACTTACTCGTTGCCCGATCTTTTCCACCGCCTCATAGCTGTACGCTTCCCCACCTTGATGAGCACTGAAGAAGAGCGATTTCGGGCTGCCATTGTGAAATCGGACCAGACAATGCTCCCAATCGCCGACGTGGTTCCCAAAGCGCACATTGGCGACGGTGTTGCCGAGATTGAAGCTGTAGAAGTAGAACCAGAAGGCATCAATGATGCCATTGCCCTTGTCCATCACTACCAGGATTGCTGGGGCATCGCTCCGACCCCCGCCCCCTCATCTCGTATCTCCTTGCCGCTGTATCGTTTGCGCAGTTCCTCTTTGAGTATGCGCTGCGCTTCTTGATGCTGATCCGGGGTGTCATCTGTCGGGATCGTGCCCGGCTGCGTGAAATCGTACCATTGGGCCCGATCTTCCTTGGTATCGCCTGGAATCTCCCCGTCGACCCGTCCATCCCAATCAGACCACGATTCCTGCCTGGTCCCACCCTCTGGGATATTTCCCTCGCCCTCCAGCCACGGCGGTCGACTCTGGACATCATCCTGGCTCGTCAAGTAGACGGGCCAGCCCTTTTCCCACTGATTCAGATCATCCAGATTACTCAAGGTGGGGTACGCCCCATTGAGGTCAATGGGGGTATAATTGAGCGAGGGTGTGGTGTGATGCAGATGCTCGGCGATGTCGCCCGGCCAAAACTGCTCGCCAGAATAAAGATGCACGAGTGGGGCGTAGTGAAAAACAAAGTCGGGGATCTGCCGAGCCCGGCGTTCAGCGTCCCCGCGCCAGAACGACCGCCAGCCATCCGACTCGGACCCCGTCCAGCCCGTCGGATCGCGTTGTCCAAAGGAGCCCTTGGCCAGGTGTAAATGGGCGGCACCGCACACACTCAGCCATCGACAGGCCTTGCGGTCGAACCAGGACCGTGAACTCGCAATCCAGTGCTGCTCGTCCCGGTCCTCTGCATACCACACAAACGCCGCTGGTTTGGTGATATGGGCTATGCTGTTGATGGAGACGTAGGCGATCAAGGTGAGCAGCAGGGCAATAATTGCCTTGGCCTTCCGGGTCATCTGGATGGAGCCAACATAGACTGTGTGTGTATCAATGTGCCAATGTGTCAATGTGTGGATCGAGGCCAAGGGAGATGGGACTAGAGATAAGAGCGAGCACACATAGACACCCAAAAAAAAAAAAGGGGAAAACCAGGAATTCCACAAATTCCACAGAATCACAAGAGAAAGAGAGAGAAAAAAGAGACCTCTAAAGGGTCCAGAGCGGCAGACCGGGAACGTGCGGAAATGCTTCAGACCATAGGTCAACTTGCATATGCTTATCCGCCCAAAGCCGGTGAGGGATGGGAGATCATAAGGCTGAGGTGGATATGGACAGGGACGAAGAGGTCCATGTCCATATGGGCATTGGAGTCATAGTATGATAGTATTATATATTATATTATATTAATACATATATATATACTACCCGTAAACTACAGAATCCGGAGAATGTCACCGCAACCAGCCCTTTTGAAGCGTTTGCCACTGGACTGACCGGGTTATTTGTTGATCTCACCGCTTGCCGCTGACTCAGATCTTATCGCATGCGGCAGATTGCCTCAGTGGAGTTCATTCCTCCATCATGGACGAGGAATATGAGTATGAATATGGCCCAGAGACAGAGGTGAGAGGCCGTGCCGGGGAGACAGGGATGACCTCGTGCTAACTCGCCCGATAGACCTTCTATCTCAACCTGGACTTGAGCTCGCATCACGGCGCATTACGACCCCCCGCCGTCGCGACAAATCCTCCACCGACCAGATCGATGGCGGCAGAGACCCCGAAGCCTTCACCTCGGTCGGCAGTACCGAAAGAGGGGACTTTGCAGAGGAGCGAATCCAGATTCTCGGTCTACACACGTGCAACCCCGTCGTGTCGTACTACAACCAAATCTTCAGCTGCTCGTGGGCCGACCAGATCGGGACCGAACTGGTCTTCGCCAACCCCGACACAGACCCAGACATGAACAATCACCCCACAGAGCCGTTGCACCGGGGGCCCTCCTACGAGCTAATCGCCGCCAACAGCGCCAAGATCCTCGGTCGCAAAGCCACCCTCATCCCATCGGGATCGGACCCAAACCTAAACGCGGCCTCTCAGGGTTCCACGTCCCAAGGCGTGCCCCGACGAGCCGCCCCGACGCACCAGGTGCACTTTATCCAACGTCTGCAGCAGATCAAGTCGACCAAGGGAGATTCGGATACCGTCCGCACGGTCCTGAGTACCCGGCGCAACGTGAACATTGGTGACCGGGTGAGTGGCTGGGCTCGCACCGAAGCACAGATGGCCGAGATTGAGCGACTCAACCAACGTGCCCTCCAAGGGGATCCGGAGGCGCAGGCGACGTTGGAGCAGTTGATCCAAGAGCTGAATGCACCTGACAGTTCTGAATCGGATCAGTCTAGTGACGAGAGCTCTGCATCCTGAGATGCACACCGACACGAGATCGATTATCATGAGACGAAATTGCCAGGAGTATTGTCGCCGGAGAACACGATGAACAGTCCAATTGCATGGGTCTGGCCCTGACCTCCATACGCAACACATCAAGCACCCCCAAACACGGAAGCCCGGGATAGAAAACATCAACATCCGGCCCTCGGATATCGGATATCATTTGACATCCACGCTCGTCAAATCCATCGTGGGAAATTGCCGGTAAGCCGAGGGCTCTAACTCGAAAGAGCGATATGCTCCATCTTCAGAAGTACCCAGTCCAAGAATCAAACATGTACAATTTATTCAAGCCTATTTTTCCAATCAATCCCCATTCGTCCAGGTACAGTACAGTATTTAAACGCAAGCGCAGGAACAACAAAGCCGAGAATCCCCTACAAGCCCCACGCGAACAGTGCCATTGGGCCCGGTTAGCTTCACTTGATAGCTCGTAGCTGATCCCTGACCTTTCACGTAGCCGAGTGGTAACGTCATGCCATAACTCAATGCATGGATTATATCCCTGATCTCGCCTGTTATCCCTGAAGGTAAACCCTATTCCACCATTCAATCCAAGACACTTTTCGTGGGCTCCAATTGTATTTCTCTTTCTTTCATCCGGCAAGTATTTCCGGAATTGAGCCCGTGTAGACTTGTTATTTTCCTTGAAGGTGTGACGTCGTGATCGGTAGGATCTTCATAGGTAGTCGATCTCATTGTTGGGTTCATGGAAGGTCCTTTATTTGGTGCACCGGGGTAGAGGCCAGAGGGTGTTGTACATGTATCTGGTACTTGTCAGTTAACTTCCCTTATCTGGTACTTGTGTCCGAGTCCTGTGATCTTCTTCTACAGCTTATGAATACAAACATACTACAATTACAGCAAAACAGAGTGTAATATAAGAATATTTCAATTATGAGGATACATAGAGTATCAAAGACACCATTCAAAGAACCCCGGGGATCTCAGATGACCACCAGAAACTCCCCAGACTTTTTGAATCCCAGTCAGAACAGGAAACCAGGGCGATAAAGGGCCACGCCGCCATGCACTCGCTAAATCCAACCGGCGGCATGAACAAGAGCAAAATAAAAAGAAAGACATAGGCTAAAGACATCGCACATGTCCAGGACATGAAATGAGACCGAACAGGAGGATGTGATCCAAATCTCACTGCATCATATGCAGCAGTAAGATCCGGCCACAGACCAGAAACCAGGTAAAGAAATGTTGATACAGATAACTCGCAAGCCCCGAAAACAACCGAAAGCAGTCAAAGAAGGAGAGAGGATTTATTCCAGAGACAGACTGGGAATATCAGCGAAAGACCCCTTCTTACTCCCCTTGGCGAAAGCGACTGGGGAGGGAGGCGGTGCAGGAGGCATACCGTCCACGAGGGTGGAGCGGGTCTTTTCTGGTTTTTGGGCTGAGGTTGTCATCATGGCGCGGGAGATATCTTGAGGGAAGAAAGCTGGGGGCATGACGGGGGTGGCGGTTTTGGTTGAGACGGAGGCCATTGTGTGGGTGGTATAAGATGTGGATAGAGGTATAGATAGAAGAGGTTGAGGTTGTCGAAAGCGGTTGGGTTGGTTTTGTGTCGTGCAAGGTAGGTGTAGTATATCGACGGACAAAGAGCAGCAGCAAGATGAAATATGAAAGGCGGACCGAGCCAACGGCACTTTTATACCAGGGAGTAGTGTATGGAAGTTGAAAAAGCGATATGCCGGGCGTGATAGTAAAGCGTGACCGAACAACCTCGGCAAAAACAAGTGGCAGAGGTTTGACGTATAACAGTTGATCGTGTCGGGGTATGAGCTGGATTCACAAGATCGAGTTAGCATCTGATGTGATATATAGGGCTTTTGTACTCTGGCATATGCTTCGTGTTTCCGAACTTGCCCGAGCAGGACCCGATCTCGGTGGATCGGGTCGGAGGGGATGTGCGGGTATTGGATGTATGGGGGACGGTATATGGAGTAAGAGGTGATGACTCACATGAGATTTGAATTGCTGTCGGGTTGGTTCAGGTGAGGGAATGGGATGTGGTGGTGGTGGGAAGTATGTAAATGGGGAATCTGTATAGATGGGATGGTATCGATGTAGATGGACGTTATAGCGCAGAGACCGACTTGGATAAGTCACTAGTGGGGGGTTTAAATATTCTAGAGAGACAGAATGGAAATCGAGAGGAACCGGATAGTTATATCCTTAGGAGAGTATATATAAATACGACCCAAACAGCCACTGTGGAGGGACATGGGGAAGTAACCAGTACATACCTGGGGCCAGGCCCAAAGCCTCGTAGATCTTCTCGCCAAGCCCCATCGCCTCATTCTAAACCTCCCCCAGGGCCCAATAATCCATGAAAGTAGGGGAACATTCTCCATCGGAACTACGGGAGTCCAATCCGGAGCCTGTCGGGGAGAAAAGGGGTCTGACGCGTTAGTGTGGGGATTGGCTAGGGATTCACAGCTTACATTTTACTGCTTACACTTTGGCGGTATTGGAACTAGGTGGACTAGCAAGCAATACATGTCTTAGTTTGCTGTACGTTAACTTACGTGTGCAACCTCTTTCTTCTAGTGCTTCTACCGCGTAAGTTAGTGCTTCCATAGAACCTGGGGTCAACCTCGGCATAGCGGATACGGCGATCCTTGAACAAATCGAGGCCCGGCAACCAGTCTGTCGGCACGGATAAATTTCCCCATCGGTTGCGGTGTGTGTGGGAGAATCGAAGTGGCGAGACTATTTTCGTCTCTGTTATACTCTCATCCGCTGTATCAACCCGTCTTTACCCACCGCTGTTCCGGAAGATCTTTTTTTCTTCTTCTTTCTTTGGACAAATCCAAGTGATGATGATCCAGTCGATCGTCCCGAAAATTGAGACAATCGGATATTGTGTGATCCTTCGTTTAAAAGGGTGAAACTATTCCCCCCTCCCATACAGTACAAGTCCGAAGTATACGGAACCGGAGTACAACACGCACTCCAGGGGCACACAAACACGTCTGTTGACGACAGTAGAAACCCTACTACAACTTGCTAGTCGCAATAGTAACACAGCAGACGCCACTAATTAAACAACAGATGATACTGATACTGTAGTGGGACCACGCCAGGGGTCGAAACAGAAACAGTCTGGGGCGCATATATTCTTTGAAAGGACAGGGATAAGACTCCCAGTCCGGGGATTAGCTTTCCCCAACGTTTTGTGGATTTCGGGCTTCTTTGATTGCAATATTCCATACGGAGTATTCAATAATCACTACAGTATTCAGGGGGTGCCCCTAGCGAGAATCCGTTAAGCGAAGTCTCAAAAGACAAAAGTACCTAAATCCACCCCCGTACAGTAGGCGCTGAAGGCTGATCGATCAGTAAACTCGGGAAAACTCCACCATTCTTCCCCCGGATTCAAGGGGTATACTTGTACAATATGTATGGACTCCTCGATTATTCCTTATCATGCAGTCTGCCACCTACGTAGGAGGATGTGGAGGGAAGGGGGCTCCATTCCTTCGATAACAACGTTACCATCTGCAGTCCCAGTTTGTTGGGGGGGACACATACTTCGGGAATTGCCCCTTTGCTTCCACTTCCACATTTGGATTATTGATGATACTGCATGGATAGGTAGTACACCTGTGTATTTGGATGTATACGTACGCCACTACTCAAATACAAACAAAGTACAAAGATATTGAGGAGATAGAGACAACATTCAAATATGTTGGGGCCCTCTATCTTCGGCGCATGACTTTGGCCTCTGACTTGTCTTCTACACCGCTCGTTTCAGTAATCTGGGGAGAACGGAGAAGAAGGGGGGGAAGTGATGAGTTGTCCGGTGTCTATGCCCATGTGGCGCCAACTGGCTGGGAGATTCGTCAGGTACACGAATGTACAACACAGCATTCATGCATGATGATCAATGCTGACTATGTACTGGTACTTTATGATTGTTTGTGGAAGTATGTGATCCTCATGGTCAACATCGATCGTGCCTGGTTTGAGTGCATGGGGGTTGCTGCATCCTGCACAGAATTTCTGGACGTTGTGTCAGGGTGAGACACCGAACAGGATTGTTGGGTTTGGAGTTGTTCATGGGTACGTGGACAGGTTGTGGTACTACCCCTACCCTCCACGCCTGGACTGCGATCGAGCGCAGGGTAAGTCTACATGTATGTAGGGGATACTTGTAAGATCGGGGGTGATCGAGTGAGATCGAGACCCGATGATCAAGGGCTCTGTGTGAGGGACCTTGGGGAGGGTAGCCGATCTACAATCTACAGATTGTGGTTGATGTGCCGCTGCAGTCGCTGTGGTTGCACATGTGCGTACTGTAAACATTGTTCCACTTCTATTTGAAAGTTGAGAGCTGATAGCTGCTTCTGCTTGTGTACCCAAGATGTGTTCAGGAACAGCCTGGCAAGCCGAGGTCCTGACAGCCGATCTTGTTATTTGTCCAGCGTATACTGTAGATTGGGCGTGAATGCTTGGAAGGGACTTGGTCTGGTCAGATCCAATGACCTTATCTTCGGGGTCCTCCGTGGTCTCAGTATTTCCTAGCGATGCCGAAGATGGCGCTGAATACCGCAGCAGACTTGTTCGCGTAGAGAGAAAGAAGGGAACGAGACCAACATGCTGGCCTGGACTCTCAGGCTGCCACCAAGCCTCAGGCCGGAGTCACGGGGGGTGATTACCTCATCTCGGATGCATCTGCCAATGGTACGTCCGCCGAGAGTCCGCAATCACGTAAAGCCCCGCCGAAGAACTTGGATTGCGTGAAAAATTGTGCAATTCACGTTGGAGATAGACTTCGTATATTGGGCCAGATGCGCTATTTCTGGCGAATAACATGACCTGACCATCCAAACGTGCAGGGCTTGGATGTCAAGGGCAGGGCCATGCCGGGTCAATACCCCGCAAGTCGACGATCCAGGTACCAGAGCCCCTCCGGTTGGAGATTTTCTTCTGTCACCGGCCCGGTGATAGGGCCAGACTGGAAAGGTCTTGGTAATAGTCGAGTATACCCCAAGGCGAAAATCCCCCGGACTGGACCTTTCAACCAGTGAGAGAGACAGTGAGAATCCGGGGATGGTTCAAGAACCTTGCACGATGAGGCATTTAGGGACATATTGTACGTGATATGGGAAGTCGGGAGGCAATTGAGTGGATTTAATGACACATTGCATTCCACGATGGTCCAAGGATATATCCTGATATCATATTGTCGTAAATTTAGCCCGTGAACGAGGCGAGTGCTTTGTATAGAACACTCAGGTGACCTGGCTTGGACTCTATTTTTTCACAGTCACCTGGTCAATTGCCCCTGTAGAAGCAACTAAACATCTCAGCCACGTTCCAAAATTGAGGCAATTGTTTCGGCCCGCATGACGCATTGCTATCTTGTTCGGCTCGGAGGGCATTTGGCTTCCAATGAGAGTGGCGCATGTCGCCGGGCTTTAGTCAAAGCCAAGTGGAGCAGAAGTCGAGACGCTGGTTGAACCGCCTAGCGTCGGTGATGACAGAGTGGACCAAGTCAGAACGTAGCAGAAATCAGGTTGGACTATAAAAAGATCAGGGTTCCCCGGATTTTCTTCATACCATCATTGTCCGTTTTCTGTCTTCCATGGCGACAGTCGATTCTCAGTAAGTCATTGACAAGGGAAAAGGTTGAAAGGGTCGAGGCGGTCGTCCCTTACTTCCACTTCTTATCTCCAAAGATAACCACATGCCCCACGTGAGCTCTTAACTAACGCTCTACTTCCTAGACTTCTTCATCTTTACTTTACGTGTTAAGAGATTTCCTCTAAACATGTCTTCTCCTATTTCTACCCCACATTCTGAGACCGGTCTGCCCTCGCGGCCCCTTCCTCAGGCTTTTGCTAGCCAAGATGGAAGCTCCGGCACTGGCACTCCCATTGGTTTCCAGCGCTTCCCTCCTCACAACAAGCACTTGGATCATGCCGTAGGAAATGCCCTACGTCAGCCGTCACCACAGCCTACTCACCTTGGCATTCCTGGTACCCCTCAACACCGTGTGCTGTCCGAAGAGGACCCAGGCTACATTGCCGCCACCTTCGAGGGCAAGCAGAAGCAGATGGAACAAGGTTAGTCGACATACTCAAACTGGAATGCAAAAAGAAAAAGAATATAGCTAATTCCGAACAGTCATGCTTCAATTGGAAGAAAAGGGTTTCTTCCCAAGTGACTTCATCGAGTCCGAAACTACCTGGTTCTACAACAAGCTTGGCATCGACGATACCTACTTCCAGACCGAGACCGTGCCTGCCATCGTGACCCAGATCCTCTCCCTCTATGCCGCCAAGGTGGCCGCCTATGCTCGGGATGATAGACAGCTGGAGATTCGTCTGGACAAGGAAGCTGAGGACCACGCTGTCTACATTGATACCAGCCGTCCTGGTATCTCCACCGTTGATGGCCCTCGTTACGAACAGCGGATCGACGAGAAGTACGTCAATCACTCCAAGGGTGCCAACAGCTACCGTGTCGAGACCTTCCGCTCGCCCAGCACTCTGCCCGGCAACGATGGCCAACAGCTGCGCTGCTACTTTGTCTACAAGTGCCAGTTTGTGAACCCCAACCCTTCGCCAAATGAGACCGACATTGAGATCATCGGCGAGAAGCGGTTCCTGCAGAAGGCCACCCCCAACACCAAGGCAGTCTACCAGGAGATCATCACGACGGCTGTCGGCCGGTCCGGACCCGTCATTGAGATGTTCGAGATCGAGGGCAGCCGCGAGAAGCGTCTGGTCATTGCCTACCGCCAGGGCTCCGCCATGGGTCTCTTCAGTGCTCTGTCTGATCTGTACCACTACTACCGTCTGACCAGCTCCCGCAAGTACCTGGAGAACTTCTCCAACGGCATCACCGTTATTTCGCTGTACCTCCGACCCTCGGCCGATTCTGGTGTCTCGGCCAAGTTCCCTCCCATCGAGGCCGCCATTCACCAGATCATGAAGGAGGTTTCCCTTCTTTACTGCATTCCCCAGAATCGCTTCCAGGGTCACTTTGCTACTGGCCGGCTCAGTTTGCAAGAGACAATCTATGCTCACTCCGCCTGGGTCTTTGTGCAGCAGTTCCTTAACCGTCTGGGATCAGAGTACACCTCGTTGTCTGCTCTCTTGGATCCCAACAACAGTGTCCACGCAGAACTTCTGTCTAAGATCAAGAAACGTCTTCGCACTGAAACCTTCACTGCCGACTACATTTTCGAGATCATCAACAAATATCCCGAGCTCATTCACAAGCTCTACCTCGACTTCGCCAATACCCACTACGTTCAGACCCAGGGCCCCACTGGCGATGACTTCCTCCCTACCCTAAGCTACTTACGTCTTCAGGTCGACGAGGTCCTCGACGGTGCCAAGCTTAAGCAGCTGATCCGCGGCACCGCCCTTAACGAGCACGACGAGATGGTCATGAACTCTTTCCGTGTTTTCAACTCCTCTATTCTCAAGACCAACTTCTTCACCCCTACCAAGGTGGCACTCAGCTTCCGCTTGAAGCCGGACTTCTTGCCTGAGCACGAATACCCCCAGCCCCTGTACGGCATGTTCTTGGTGATCAGCTCCGAGTTCCGCGGTTTCCACCTGCGTTTCCGTGACATTGCCCGTGGCGGTATCCGTATCGTCAAGAGTCGTAACGGCGAAGCTTATAATATCAACGCTCGCTCTTTGTTTGATGAGAACTATAACCTGGCCAACACCCAGCAGCGCAAGAACAAGGATATCCCTGAAGGTGGTGCCAAGGGCGTCATTCTCTTGGATGCCGACCACCAGGACAAGGCGCATGTCGCCTTTGAGAAGTACATTGACAGTATCCTTGATCTGCTTCTGCCCCCTGTAAGCCCTGGTATCAAGGACCCTATTGTGGATCTCCACGGAAAGGACGAGATCCTTTTCATGGGTCCCGATGAGAACACTGCCGAGCTTGTCAACTGGGCTACCGAGCATGCTCGCACCCGTGGCGCTCCCTGGTGGAAGTCGTTCTTCACTGGCAAGAGCCCCAAGCTGGGTGGTATTCCCCACGACACTTATGGCATGACCACCCTCTCGGTCCGCCAGTACGTCCTTGGTATCTACCGCAAGCTGAACATCGACCCTTCCACCATGCTCAAGCTGCAGACCGGTGGTCCCGATGGTGATCTCGGATCCAACGAGATCCTGCTTTCCAACGAGAAGTACGGCGCTATCGTTGACGGAGCTGGCGTCATTTACGACCCTAATGGTCTGAACCACGAAGAGCTTCTCCGTCTGGCCAAGAAGCGTGCCATGATCTCCGAGTTCGACATGACCAAGTTGTCCTCTGATGGTTACCGTGTCTTGGTCGACGAGAAGAATGTCAGGCTCCCCAGCGGCGAGGTTGTTCACAACGGTATGATCTTCCGTAACACCTACCACCTCCGCTCGCAGGAGAAGTTCGACATGTTCGTGCCTTGCGGTGGCCGTCCCGAGTCCATTGATCTGTCCACCGTCAACAAGCTTATTAAAGACAACAAGTCTATTGTTCCTTATATTGTTGAAGGTGCCAACCTGTTCATGACTCAGGACGCCAAGCTGCGCCTTGAGAAGGCCGGCTGCATCCTGTACAAGGACGCTTCCGCCAACAAGGGCGGTGTTACCTCCTCTTCCCTGGAGGTCCTCGCCTCCCTGTCCTTCAACGACTACGAATTTGTGGAGAATATGTGCATCCGTGAGGATGGTACCGTCCCCGACTTCTACCAGGCCTACGTTAAGGAGGTTCAGGAAGTCATCAAGCAAAACGCCGCTCTCGAATTCGAGGCCATCTGGCGCGAGCACGAGCAGACTGGTGTGTTGCGCAGTGTTCTGAGTGACCGCCTCAGTATCGCCATCACCAAGCTTGACGAGGAGCTCCAGCAAACCGAGCTCTGGGACAATGTTGCCCTCCGTCGCTCGGTACTTAGCGATGCTCTGCCCCGCCTGCTTCTTGGCAAGATTGGTCTTGAGACCATTTTGGAGCGTGTAAGTTCCTACCCCATTCTCCATTCTACCCCAATTGAATCATTACTGACACCCACAGGTCCCCGAGAACTATCTCCGCGCCATCTTTGGTTCCTACCTGGCCAGCCGCTTCGTCTACGAATACGGCAACCAGCCCAGCCAGTTCTCCTTCTTTGATTTCATGACTAAGCGCCTGGCGCAGATTCAGTCTTGAACCTGAATTTTGGATCTCGAAACTAAAAATCCTCCCCCGAGCCCGATGTGATTTTGCGTTTTGCGGGCTTTCATTTCCTGTTTCTTGTTTCTCTCTTTTCCCGTTGGATTCGTCCCTCTTGCATTATATATCTCTTAATCCGGAACGAACAAAAAGCGATTTGTTCCTTGACGAATGTATGGTTAGACAAATTTGGTGATTTTCTAGTTTTGGAAGATGAAGAAAGAGATGTAGTTCTTTCGAATAATTCGTCCTTAGATTTGGATTTGAATGTCTTTGTAGTAGCCACAGTGCACTTCGTAATATTAGCATATCTGCAATATGGAGGAGGGATTTGATCTAAGTTCAATTTGTATCTTAATGTCCAGACCAAGTCTGTGAAATTTGTACCGTGAATATAAATTACCACATATAATCTAACTCTAGTCTAAATCAATAGGGATTCCGCTCCCTCTATAGGTCGTGCCACATATAATCATCAAAGCTCAATAGCAAGCATATGCCAGATTCGGAATTCCTTAAGCCTTGCCGTTCCCACTCCAGAAAGAAGTCTGCCTCTGTCCAGACGACTTGCCCTTGAAAGCAGCTTCAATCTCAGGGAATGTGCGGCCTTTCGTCTCATGCATATAGAGAATGCCCACAACAGCCGTGATAATACTGCACCCACCCCACAAAAAGTAGGCACCATAACTACTCTTTGCAAGTAGAATCGGAGTGGTCAAAGCCACCAAGAAATTGCAAAGCCAGTTACTCGAATGGCCCAGTGTTGTGGCTGATGCTCGGGTTCGCTGAGGTTGGATCTCTGCAGCGTACACTTTGACAGCGATCCCCCAAGAGACAGAGTAGAGAGCAGCAAACAGGAAGATACAGACAATCACAACCCAGCGGCCGGCGCCGGTAGATTGATGAACGGCATTTCCAGCATATAGGCCACCCATCAAGAACATTAGAACGGCCTGCCCAATACCGCCATAGACAATGCTGCTTCGGCGGCCCCATCCATCGGCGTAGATCAATCCTGGAATGGTCACGGCAAATATGACGAGGGCTGAGACACCCGAGGCTAGGAAGCTTGCTTCCGATGAAGCGAGGCCTGCCTTTTGGAACAGTTCAGGGGCATACTATCGACTTAGGGTTAGCTTCCCTGGAAGCGAAAGAAGGGAAAAAAAGGATTAGACATACGTAGAGAACTCCGTCAATACCACTCATCTGCTGCATGCCCATCAAGAAAACAGCAAGGGCGGTTCTTCCTCTCACATCTTTAGAGAAGACATCCACGAGTTTCTCCATGGTGCTCATGCCCTTCTTCTCAATCTCAGTGCCAGGCTCAACCTCCGTTGTCTGTACTGAAACTATGATCTTCTCACGGTCCGCGCAAGTAACACCCAACTTCTCCCAAGCCTCTTCCGCCATAGCATAACGACCCTGGAGACCCAGCCATTGGGGCGAATCAGGCAAGAAGAACAGGGAGAGACTCCCTAGAATGATAGAGAGGGAAGAAAGAAGAATAAATGGCGTGCGCCACGAAAGCGAAGATTGGATATTCGAAGAGCCATAACAAACGAAGTATCCAAGGACCAATCCAAGCGTCGTAGCTAGCTGAGGACCAGTCGTCAACGCACCTCTAGTGCGCGTTGGCGAGATCTCACAAATCAGCACCACCAGATTCCCGAGGAACAGACCCTCGCCGAGTCCTTCAACGACACGACCAACGATGAACATGGACAGCTGGACAGCACCTGCTTCAATAGCAGCTCCGATGCCGAAGATGAAAACACCAATACTGATCCCCTTTGGTCGGCCTAGCCGGTCGGCAACGTAGCCCGCAAAGAATGAAGACAGAGCCGCTGGGATCAAGATACAGGAGACGATCAGGCCGTGGATTGTAGAATTTTCACTACCACCGAACTGTGCTTTGAATTCTTTCATGTCGGTCACTGGACCGATGATTCCCGTGTCCATACCAAATAGGAGGCCATTTGCTGAACAGAGGATGCAGGCTAATAGGTATCTTGGTGGGGTCTGAAAAGGGACTGGGAATAATCCCATTTTGTCGGGGAGTTAGGGCTTGCGGGTAAGAGTTAGGCCAGGTCCCCTAAGCGTTTTGGCAAGTATCTTCTTTCAAGTTTGTTCTGGAGTGTAAGTTATTGAATATTGAAGAACTGTGAAACGAAGAGAATCTTCGAGTGAGAAGAGTGATCATTATTATATGAAAGCGTGGGATGAAAACTCTTCCCCTAAATGCTCCGTTAGTACATACGGACTGCCCCACGTGGCAGTCTTATCTTCAGATGCATGAAGTATGCGTATGCGTATGCAGTATGAAAGCAAGCATGAAGTAGACCTGAGAGTCCATGAGTGGGTTCTGATGTGTTGTCATTCTTGTCATTCTCGTGATTCTTGCCTACGGAACACCGTGATACAACCATCATAGCTTACTCAAGCTACTCGGGTTCAGGAACATCATCCTTTAAAAGCTTCATAGGGCCCCCGGAAAAGGGTCTCCGGAGTATTCAAATCCCCACGGCCCGAGTTGGGGGAAAGCGAACCGAGTCTTTTGTGGGCCGTTTTCGCGTCGTTTACTATCCCGGGCGGTTCATTGGCTCCACTGTGGCCTGTGAGGACTTGTTCTTTGGTCTTTAGCCGAGATCTGGCACAGAAATTTCTATTTGATGCAGAAGATGGGCGCTAATAATTTCCGAAAAGGGGTGACAAGCCGAGTCTGGCAGTCATAGCCAAACCGTCTTGTTCAGGGTTGATAAGTGCATGTGGTAGCCTGAGGTTTCTCATACTATCAATACTTTTGATTCTTGCTTGCTAAATACATCTTGTTCAAGTCCCTAGATCTCTTGACCCTAGATCTCTTGAATCAAATGAGCATCAAGACCAACCGGTCTATCTTCTTTTAGTTGTGTGCTGCCAACTTCCCTCAGATGAGCATCGCGTGCGTTTGAGTCCTCGGTGAATTCGAACTTTCGCCATTCACAGTTCTTCCAGCCAGTACCTATGGCTGCAGTGTTAGTGACTGGACTGTAATGTATCATGCACTCCATCAACAGGGTGTAGCCATGGTCAACATACAGTGGAGTTTATCATAGCCTGCCCAATCCTCCATGAGATAGTGCAAGAATCCACCATGAGTTACCAACGCAACATGTTCCTCCGGTCGGCTCCAAAGCCAGGACCGTAAGTCAGCAGCGCGCTTGCGGATAGCAGAAAGCGTGTGGGCATAGACCCCGGTCTATGAAGAGCATTCGCATCAGCAAAGTTTATGCCATCACCAGCAGTATTTAGTACCTTGGAGTTCCACATTTCATCCATGAGAGCGACATCTAATCGACTACTATCAAAGTTGGGCGCCGCTTCGGCAATTAGCTTCGGGGCTTGTAATTTGACATGCGCCTCATCCCAGCCATGATTGCAGTTGAAACCGCTGATCTCCTGTGCCCCAGGGACTAGAATGAAAGGTAGCTGACGCTTCTCCAGTTCTGCCGCAAATACCCAAGCTGCTGTTTGAATGGTTCGCTGGAGAGGAGATGCAAGGACGACGGAGATATCTTGGGCGAAGGGAAATTCTTCTCGAAGTTGACAGCATTCGTCTTTGCCCGTTTGGGTCAGTAATGGATCACGCAGATGGTTTGAGTTCTGTAAGAGAAATTAGAATAGTTTCTTCTCCCAAAAGATGATTACATTCGATGTACATTGACGTTGTGCTCGCCTTGTCCATGGCGGATCAAATAAAGAGTTGGTGGCATTGGCGCTGATTCGATGCTCAACTGGCAAGATAACAAGTAGGGGTCCAAAGCTCCGTTATAAAGGCTAAGTTGACTTATTTTGACTATAGAACCTGACTCGGCTCGATGTCCGGATACCATGCATTGATTCAGTGGCCCAGGAAGCGAAGCCGAGCCGAAATATTCTGCGAAGGGCTTGGTGCCGTATGGAGACGAGATCGAAACTGCAGAGCCATAGTCACCAATTAGACGACGCTGAGTACTGAGTGTTATATTGAGTATACTGAGTATACCGAGAGAATCTCCAAGCAAAGATTGCATACTCTCCGAATCCGGAAATATTGCCGAGTCGCCACAAGTGGAACTCAACTTCCTCAATTGTCTGCGCAACAGATCAGATCAGAACTTCAACTCGGATCCGATTATAGTATTCTTTCCGAGCCTCTCCTGTCAAAGGAGAAATGCGCTCTTATACAGGATGGTACAAGCATAGAGTCTGAAGGATGGCGCAGTCAGCTAATTGCCCGGTATAGCCTCACATGCAGACGACGCAAGTTGAAATGCGACGAGGCCAAGCCGATCTGCGGCCCTTGCAATAGGGCTAGTCGGGAATGCAAGTTTGATCAGCGATGCATCTTTCGTAGTCAGAGTTTTTCTACGCCCAAGAGTAGGCATAACCACAGAGCTGCCTCGCGGGGGAACCACGATACTTCAAATGGGCTGGAAGAAGATCAAACATGGGTTCAAGTGCCCAGGAATCGTGAGTCTCCAGATTGGAGCAACATGGCCCTGAGCTAACGGAAGAGAAGTTACGTTTATTCAAATAGAGGACCCTTGGTCGCATGATAAGGGCCAGGTTTTACACGAATCCCGTGGGGATCAAGCAGAAAGCAACACATCGGTGCAGCAACATACAGAGCCAGAGGAAACCTTCAATGTTGACAGGCAGCCTCCTGCAACACCTGCCGATGTCTCATTCCAATCAACTCCTACATGGTATACGCCAGGACCAGAAGTCATTCCAGATACACCGGATCGTGTCGGCCCCCTGATTTCAAGACCCGAAAGATCCAGCAAAGATGTTGATCCCAACGTGGTCATCTCCTACATGTTGCGACATTTCAAAGAAGGCCCGGGCCAGTGGTAAGTAAGCATGACGGAGAAAGAGACCTGATCGCTAAGAGAATCCAGGATGGATCTTTTCGATACCACAGCATATTTTTCGTCCAAAGTGCCCGTGATAGCAGCCGTGCGGCCTCTGCTGAAATCTGCAGTCTGCGCTCTCTCGGCAAAGCACCTTCAGCATCTCTATCATATATCAGATGGCAGCGAGCGCAATCGCTATATTCTGTCGCTGGCAGATGAAGAGACTTGGCACTATCAATCCGCAAAGCACTACGATCAAGCGCTAGGATATTTGAAAACCGCAATTGATCTTGAGACCTATGACGACAGTCCCTCGGAAAAAGAAGAAATGCTAGCTGCTGTGGCAATCCTATGTCTCTACGAGCTTATGGATGCACCTGGTACTTCCTGGAGGGCTCATCTCAGCGCACTACCTCTTTTTAACGATACTTCTGTCTCGATGCCTATTCACTCATCGGTCATCATTCCCAGGACAGCAATAAAAGGACCGATATTTTGGAGTCTGGCCAGGCAAGACCTGCTTTGTGCCTGTAAGCCTGAAATGCGGAAATGCATCGGAAAATGTGCTAACACAGTTAGTTATCAGTGAGACCTCAACCCGTCTCGATCTCAAAGACATGCGTCTATGGCAAAATGCTGGCCTAGTCACAAATGAGCATGGACATTTGCTACCCTCCAACGCAATCAGCCCATTGGACATCCAAAACTACTCAGGAATTGAAGAAGACATGAAAGCAAACGAACTCACTTGGCTCCTGGGGAAAATCGCCAACCACTTAATTATGGGAGACACAGTCACCTTTGAAGACTTTGTTCTACCACGCGAGCAACGAGCCTACCTCGGTCTGAACCAACAGCACCTGCTTGACCGGTGGAATCTTCTCATGTCCGAGTTAGAACAGTGGTACGACTGTCTCCCAGCAACGTTCACAGAGGCAGCACGAACGAAAGCAGAGGGTAGCACTGACCCACGACACCAGCTATCCTTGGAAGCCTTTGAGCAAATATGGTTCCATCTACCATTATGTGCAGCAACCATCCAAAGCTATCACCAAGCTCGGATTCTTTTATTGGTCAACCAGCCACAGCAGTCAACTGCAATTCAATCGACTGTATCCTCGCGACTGAGAGCATACCGCAATGCATTGAAACAGGCTCTCTATCATGCACGAGAGATCTGTGGGATTAATCTCGCGAATGCAACCGATCCTGTGCGAATTAATTCGGTGCAGGCTTTGTTTGTTGCTGGGCAGGTGTTCCAAGAACGGCGGGAGCAGGACGCCGTTCTTGAGATTCTTACTGGCATCGAAAGGGATCTAGGCTGGACAACCCAATTCCATGTCTCAAAGTTGATCGATGAATGGGGGAGAGGAGGGCGGTGATAGTCTCAGGCTTGGCTAGGGTGGATTCAGCGACAATTGGATAAGTCCGTAGATAGATTCGATGATGAGTGATCTCCTGAAGTGTTATGCTTGTGTCTATCAAACCAAGAGTGGTATAGATTGGCTGATGTCATTCCACTTGAACAGGATTTCGTTCTCTCTTGTGTTCTGTAAGCCAGTTGGCGTTATACAGATCGACACAATTCCAACTGCCAGACGAACAAAACCCTACAGTCTCGATGGATCTATAGATTTCCAATACTTCCAGCACCATTGAATGAAATCAGACAAACTTCGTGATACTGGCCGAGTATATCCGGCGCACCCGAAACCCCACGTCAACAGATCTTCACTTGTCACATCCCCAAGAAGTAAAGAGTCCTTTTAAAGAAACATTGGAGAGAATCATTTACTCTGAATGCCCCGAACATATCCCCTTACACCCCCCGCAACTCCAATAGCACTATGCCCCAATAACCTCCTCTCTCCACCCCCAGACCGCCTCATTGACGCCCCAACCACTCTCTCCATCACGCGCGAAACCCCAGGCCGAGCGTTTACTGTCCATCTCATCCGCGCGCACGAGCCTCTTGATAGTCCCGACCGATACACGTTGCTCTTCACCGTATCGGGGAAGCCATGGCCCACGCAACACCGTCAGATATGTGATGCAGCCGGGGTGCCAGTACTGGAGCTTAGACGGGTTTGGATGGGATCTCGAAGATGGGCTGTACGGGGTGTGGGGGGAGAGCAGACTTACTCGAGGCTTCCATGCCTTGGTCTGGGGGTGGCAGTGGGAGTGGGAGTGGAAGTACCGGATTCAAGTTGGATGTGAAGTTATGGAATGTACTTGGGGCTGGGGATTCCGATACTGGATCACGAGTCCATTCATCGGATCCTATACCGGAGCCTGTGTTTAATTCAGAGACTGGATCTCGACGCGGTGTGGGTGATGAGCCGCCGCCTTATGCGTCTGTTGCTGGCGATGAAGAGGAATATCAAGACGAGGAGGCTGAGATCTGGAGAAACGAGAAAAGGAGCCCATTCCCTACCTCAGAGGACCAATTCAGCCCGGAACCAACAAGGCGTGAAAGGGACCAAGACTCGCACATTGTCCTTCCCTCCTACGCGTCGGTCCGCAGAAACTCGTCAAACTCGATACGAGATCTCCTGGATGCGATAGAGCCGCCGAACGAGCCAGCCCCAGCTCCATCTTCGTCTTCCTTGCAGACTCCAACTTTGCTCTCGGCTGGCATTTCATCCGGGTCCAAAGTCGACCTCCAAGTGATGCAGCTCACTGCATCCGGTATCGGTGTCATGATGGCGGATCAAAAGATCATCCATATAGCCAGGCATAACGTTATAGACTATGGAAGGTCTGGAATCAAGTCCAAATGGGAGGCTGAGGTTGCGGAAGGAGTCGATTTACTGCTGGTAAGACTATATTTCCTGTGCCTTTCTGGTTCCCATACTAACTCAATACTTGATAGGCGGTAAATATTGTATTGATCATGGCGAGCTCGGCATAAGCCTCTCAGCTAGAGGCCCTTGTAGTGTGTTTCATAAAAATTGGGATCATAAGTTATAATTTTCCTTACTAAGTGCATAACTTGCCTCGGATATAATATTCGAACTGCCGAAGCCATGCCAGAAAATGGCCTTTGAACCATACGATGGTTAAATATACAGATCTAGATCCTCCGACAGAATGCTCAATTCCTCCCCTTTTCTTTGGTTCTAGACGTAGTGGGAACCCTAACGGTTCCCAATCAAGTCGACCGAAAATTGCCTGTTAACAAAGTGGAACTATGGCCCACTTCGCACCGAGGTCATAAATAGTCCGAGGCGCAGTCCAGACTAGAGAAAATTTCTGCAAGTCAAGTGATCGGGAATGGTTTCGTTTTTATATCTATGGTCTATTTTGAGATTGAGTGCTGATATTTGCATGGCGTATGAAGCCCAAGGCAAATCAACGAGGAACTGGTTAGCGCGGGTTAGTGCCTAAAGGAGAAGCTTATTTTTTTATGAGCCCAAAAATCAGACAATACCGTATGATATAATCGAGAACTTATGCCTGTGGCCTCTATCGGCTTCTTTTGGCCTCGGATCTCCTCGATTCTTTGTTGCTGTGTGCCTGATCCTGGGTATGGTCCCATGGACCAGCATAAATTCCTGTTTCAGGACCAACAAAAACCAGCCAACTCGCCCATTTCTCAATCTCTGGAGGCCACGTTTCGGAGGTAACTGACGCGTTCCCCTGGACATGAGCTCAATCCACATTAGCGACGTGGGTCCGGTAAATTGGAGACAGCGCGGGTGAAGGTCCGGTTTCTCCTCATTCTAGAAAAAGAACGTCTTCCCCCCCTTTTTACTCCCCAGGAATATGAATTTGTTCTTGTCTGTGGGGTATTTTGGACTGTTGCGTGTTGGGCTCCCTGTCGTGTGAGGTTAGGGCTCGCTCAACTGATATACTGTATCTCCCCCCTGGGATCGTCAAACCCACCTGGAAAAAGATCGCTATTTTCTCCGGCTACTCCCGGTAGGGTTCACCTTTACTGTGTGAGTTATATGAAATGTCGGATTCACTGGATAATTCCCAATCTATGCCTCTTCATTCCTCGGAAGATGGGGAGAGAGACCACGAAGGTCACGATCATGGCGACCATGGCGACAATACGACTAATTCGGAGACTCTCTGCCAAGACGAGGTCAGTGAAAAGCCCACTGTTTCAGCTATCCAGCGATGGCGGACAGCAAGCAAACGTGTTCGAAACGGCGCATCCACGTTAGCAGACCGACTGGGACGACCGCATGAAAGAGAAGCGGATGGACTGGATTCACCCATCACTCCCGAGTGGTATGGAGCCACAGACGACATACAAGCATTCGACGCCCGTCAAGCCCATGATGAAGAAGACAGAATCCCTGGAACAGACACGGGATCCCAAGCCCGTCTCCTGGTGGAACAATTAGGGTTAGAACACCCGCCACGACGCCCACCTATCGAAGAACCTCGCTCTGGGGCAACGACTCCAGGAACTCCCGATGAGCACATGATGGGCCAGTCGGAAGGGCCCCCAGGAGGAATGCTCTCGCATCTACTCCGTGTCTATGCCAACAACCTTCAAACGGCTAGTCGCATGAGTCTCGTCTCCACTGCATCGTCGACAGACCCTGACACGGAAACACTGGCGCCCTCCATTGCGCCCTCTGCCGTACCCTCTGGCACTGTAACACCAGGTGGCAAAAGAGACAAAGTGAAATGGTATGCCAACGGCACCAAGCCTGCTAAGAAGCCAACACACAGCTATACTTCCTCGCTCATTCATGCATCGATGGATATGGGCCGAGTTGGAGTCCCTGCTGCCACAGGGCCGGCTCCTGCAAACTCGAAGGAGCGGAAGAAGCACAAACGCCAAAGCAAGAAGAATGTGGCGCTTACAGTACATATTGCTGCTCTCTTGTCACGGCAGCAGTATATCATGCAGCTATGCCGAGCTCTCATGAAGTACGGTGCCCCGACTCACCGACTGGAAGAGTATATGACGATGACATCCAACGTCTTGGAAGTCAAGGCACAGTTCCTGTATATTCCAGGCTGTATGTTCATGTCCTTCGATGACCCGTTTACTCGTACGGCCGAGGTGAAGATCATCAGAGTGATCCAAGGACTGGATTTGTCCCGTTTGGCGGAGACGCACAACGTCTACAAGAACGTGGTGCACGACGTGATCGGCGTCGAACAGGCTACGCAGGATTTGGATCAGATTATGCAGCGCAAACCACGCTACAATAAATGGGTGCTGGTCTGTCTGACTGGGCTCGCCAGTGTTGCAGTTGGTCCATACTCCTTCAGCGCTCGCCCAGTTGACCTGCCCATTATCTTTATACTCGGATGCTTGGTAGGCTTCATGCAACATGTCATCGCCCCTAACTCGGCCACATACTCGAACGTCCTCGAGGTATCCGCTGCCATTCTCACGTCCTTCCTTGCGCGCGCGTTCGGAAGTATTCACCATAACGGCGAACGAGTGTTCTGCTTTTCAGCCATGGCCCAATCTTCGATTGCCATGATTCTCCCCGGTTTTGCCGTCCTTAGCAGTAGTCTGGAACTACAATCGCATCAAATGAATGCAGGCTCTATCCGCATGGTCTTCACAATCATCTACTCCCTCTTCCTCGGTTACGGCGTGACAGTCGGAACCACGATCTACGGCTTAATGGACGGAAACGCCTCAGACCAATCGACATGCACAGGCTTACCGGAGGTCTGGGGCAACGAATATATTCAGCACTTCCCTTTCGTGGCGCTATTCTGTCTCTTTGCCGCTCTCATCAACCAAGCCAAGCCTAAACAGCTCCCAGTGACAATCTTCATGGGCGTTTGCGGCTACGTGGCGAACTACTTCAGCACCAAGAAACTCGGTTCAAACCAGGTCGCCAACACCGTTGGTGCCTTTACCATCGGCCTCTTGGCCAATCTTTACAGTCGCGTGTGGCATGGCCACGCCGCTGCCGCTATCATCCCTGGAATCTTCACCCTCGTCCCTTCCGGTCTTGCGTCCAGTGGATCAATCATCTCAGGACTGGAGTATGCCGACGCCGTGGCCTCTGGTAATGTCACCAGCGCGACTACCAGTGCCACATCCAGTAGCTCGCTCACTTCGCTGGGCTATGGAATGATCCAGACAGCCATCGGTATTTCCGTCGGGCTGTTCATCTCGGCTCTCATTGTTTATCCGCATGGAAAGAAGCGCAGTGGAATTTTCAGTCTTTAGACGGTGCATTTTGCTTGATATCTAGCGATTTGAATGATTACCTTGTACTATTTGCATTGGCGTTTTGAATCTTGATATGAGCGAAATTTCTTGTTTTTTTTTTGGAGTCAGCTCCCCGCTCTTTATACGATATCACAATATTCTTATTCTAGATGATCTACAAGAGACATATGCCTGTTGTGTTCTACCAGCAGAGCAACTCAGACCACCAACGATATATCTTTGGCTTCCTCTTCTGAAGTAAAAATCGTAGGATACAACGTCACAGCGTCAAAACAGCACCCACAGTAGCCATTTTGGCTGGGGTTGAATGTGCGCAGAAAGAGATATAAAATGGGGGATTGCGATGACAGAGTGCTGTCTAGGTTAAGTTGAGGGTTAAGTTTGGACTTGGCTGGTCAATTACACCCGAGAACCAACAATATTTTCAAGTGAGTATTTTCAATCGAGATCAAGTCAACGGCTCAATATACGCGAGATGCTAAATGAAACGCCATTTTACACAAAAGGAGGAACAGCAGTTGCAGGATCCAAAATAATATACAGTGAGCTATGTGCTGTGGAGTTTTAAATTAAATCACCACCTCATTAACGATGCCATCGAACTTGAGTCCTTCTTCGTGCTCAGTGCGATTCGTCTTAACCAGATGTTCCCAGAGCTCGGGGTACTTTTCAATTGCCCACTTCTCAACATCGTCCTTCCAGTACTGGTATGGGATAGCGTTATAGAATAACCCGATACTAAGCTTATATTAGCCGTGATCCCAACTTGTAGACCATAGAGAAGTACTCACGTATTGCTGGTTGGAAGAACTCCGACCTCGGCTTCCATGTTGTTGATGACTTCGGTTGCGAGGTCAAATTCGCACTGCGCTGCCACGGCTTCCATGTATGCGGAGTATAGCGGGCGATCAAGAGAGATCTCCAACTTCTTGACCTTTGAAAACATTTTCAAAGCTTCTTGGGCCCCGTTGTGGTGCTTTTCGCAGACCTTGAAGAATATTCTGATAGTGTGACGAGTAGGACCCTCTTCGGACTGGAGGATTTGTCTGAAGATATCCATACTCTTCTCTGGCATTTCGCACGCAGTATAAGCCATCATCAGACCATTCAGAATTCTGGTAGTCAGGTCAACCTGGGTGTCCAGCTTCAGCATGTTGTGCACGAGTTCCAGATTGGTAGCATCGGCCGTGCGAGATAATCCTTGGAAGCAGCGGGCGTAGGTGTCCGGCCTAGGACGACGGGCCCATTGTTCAGCCTGACGCATGTGCCCAAATACCTGGACGGCAAGATCACTGCGCTCGCGTTCGAAGAAAGAGGACATAATTTTGGTTCGCATCGGAACACCAGTCTCTGGGAATGCAATTTTCAGGAGCTCATAGGCATTTGATACCTCTGTATCGGCCTGGTTCATGTCCAAAATGAAGTCGGTGAGCGCGGTTCGAACCAACATTTTCATTTCGTCGTCGTAGTCACCCAGCCTTGGACGCAAAAGATCTGAAACAGCCTCCAAATCATGTCGGTAGAGGAGCATATGTGTCAATGCGGCAACGGTCTTGGGGTCCAGGCGCACATTGTCCTGGAAGAGAGGGTCAAGCAGGGAGGAAATTTGCTGGAACAAGGCGTCCTTTTCCTCCGAGCGGCAAAGCATTGTGATGAGTTTGTTTGCAAGGGGTAGATTTGCAGTTGCGAGGGAGGCTGGGTCAACCTTGTCCTCCAAAAGTTCTAACGTTTCCTTGACATTACCAGCCTGGATGTGGGATTCCATTTGCAAACTGTAAGATTGCTCATTCGGCGTGAGGCCCCATTTCTCTGATAGCTTCATGAAATCGGCAGTCAACTGGGGTCTATCAAGAACGTTGGCCAACTTGAGCAAATCATTGATAGTCTCAATTGTGATGGATGTCTTGAGTGACGGGTTATTTGCAACCCATGTGTCAGCCTTCAATGCAATATCAGAAGCGTTGCTTTCTTGTGCAGCTTCCCAGAGCAGCATAATCCTTGCAGTTTCCGAACTGGGATGGCGAGGGAGAGTCTCATAGATCGTGGAAGCCCACTCGAGTTGAGACTTGAAGATACAATATTTGATCACAGCCTCTTTCGCGGCCAAGGAAGGTTCGGGTTGGCCGGAGATCGAGAAATTGTAGACAGTCTGGACTGCATGAAGCTGGTCCTGGCCAATAAGGAATTTGAGCAGTTCGAGATGAGAATTGCTGTCAAATTCATTGCCGTGTTTCTCAAAATCTTGAACGATTTGCCGGACCAGCCGCATATCGTCTTTCAGGGCAAATCCCTTGAGCACGGTGAGCCAAGGCGATGGCCTAGCATTGCGCATTTGGCCCATGTACTTCAACACAGTATGTCTGGCCTCTTCAGGATTTCCATTCATAGCCGTGAGATTAACGTAGAGAATGATAGCTTCTCTACTAATCTTGTTCGCGCCAAATCCATGATCCGCACAAAGTTCAAGATATGCAAATCGTCCAATGCGCAGAACAGTCTCGCGAGCCTCTTGAGGAACTTCACATTCGTTGAGCACATACAGCATTTTCTCCAGGTTCTCAATTGAGAAGACATTTTGGAACTCTTTTTCTTCTAGCTCGCTTTGTTGCTTCTTCAAATGTTTCCAAGTGGTGTTCAGGAGGCGAGCCTGAAAGAGATTGATAATTCCTGGTGTCTCAAGTCGTGTAGCGAAAAATACCTGAAATGCCTTTGCGAGGACCTCATTAGGAGGAGGTCTGTTTCTACCGACAAGAGATCTCATCAAATCCGCCATAGGCTTGAGACCTTTCTCGGATTGTAGAGTGGTTGAATCTGCCTCGGTGTTTTGGGACGTGTTGAAGGAGAACAGAGTGCGTCGTGACATATGTGGGAGACCGGGAAGAGGACCTCGTACACGTAGAGGAGCTATGGTATGTAGCAGCCGATTCCGATGGCATTGCGAGAAACGAAGTGGTTCATTGTTAATAAGTGCGCGAAAGACCCTTCTGGTGAGATGGGACTGCATAGTGAACTGCGAGCAAAGCCTGAAGCTCGAATTGAAATCAGGAGGAGGTGGTGCCGATGCTGGAAAAGAGTCGCGACGCGGAGAGAGCTGGAGTTTGCTAGGCGGAAGAAGTCTTGGCGAAAAAAGATCTCAACTCCGCGTTGATCCCGGACACTCACATCCACGTCAAATCCTCAGGCGTTTCAAGCAAGATGTCGTTGAACCTCTTTTCTTCCTCGGTGTTGCGCAATGTCGCCACTACCGCCAATGTTGGCCTTTCGATTAGTCGCTCAAGCTCGACCGCTGCCATGAGCGCCTTCACTTCTCAACGCAACACAGGCTCGCAGGGTATGTAATGCCCCCCTACCGCAACCCCTACTATACTTTTACTTCTCAAATGATTCGAAATTGGGTATCATGCGAAAACGGCTGCTGACATGCAGCGGTAGGCTCCAATGTGCTCCAGCGCCGCCGGTTACCCAGCCGTCTGAAGTACCTCGAGGACCAGAAGGTGCAGGGTGAGAGCCGCGCTCTTGAACGATTCCAGTCCCGCGAATTCCAGGCCGGAGATGTTTACGCTCCCCATGATCTGAGTCCAGCAGAGATGAAGAAATGGGGAAGGCGCAAGAGCCCTCGCACAGACGCCTTCGACGCATTGAACTTGAACCCTCTCGACATGTACAAGGTATGAACCATAGCATCCCGCAGCAGCACTTCAAAATAGCTTTCCAGTCATCTTTACATACACAATATCTTTAACCGATCAAGGTGACAACCTTTGACTGACACGGTCCTCTCCACAGAACTTCGCCGTTATGTCCGAATATATGACCTCCATGGGCCGCATCAAGCCCCGATCCCAAACCGGCCTGCGACCTGTAAACCAGCGCAAGTTGGCCAAGGCATTGCGACGAGCCATTGGCATGGGTCTCATGCCCAGCGTTCACCGACACCCTGAGATCATTGCATCTGAGATGCGGGCACGTATGGAGGGCCCTGGTGGCTTCTTCTGATCTGGATCTATTGTTCTTGAGGTCTGATCTAAGATCTTGGTAGAAGATGTTCTTGTATAAGTACAGGCCGGTGCCTGGTTGAAAGGGCACTTCGTGTATTATTACTCTTAGCGCTATGCATTTATTTCCGACATACATGAATTTCGTAGAGAAACACAGTACACACTTGCAGACTACATACAGTACAGTACACAGAGATTTTACTCGGCATTTTGTATGGCCAAAGTTGACCAAACGGCTTAGCTGCAGCTGAGACGTGGCTGGTGTTCCCCGCTAACGTACGTCAGTAAACACTCTCCCACTTCCAACTCACTGAGTGTCAAACCCCCCCTCCAGCAATGTCACTTACGAACGGTGAGATCCTACTGTCTTCATATAGTGTCTTGCCGACCTGACATTCTCCAAGAGTCCATTTGGGCTGCGAGCCCCTCCACCACCCGCGGCCAACCTACGCAGCTTTCCTCCGATGCCAAAGGCGAGCGATTGGCATATGCAGTACGTCCTGCAACTTGACAACTCACACCAACAAGACCATTCAGATCTAACAATGCCTACCATAGTCCAACAAATCGATCTTCCTTCGTTCAATTGACGACCCCGCTGTTGCGAGACAGTACACTGAGCACAAGGCCCAGACAACAGTCGCACGGTTCGCCCCATCTGGATTCTACGTTGCCAGTGGTGATGCTGCGGGAATTGTTCGAGTGTGGGACTGTGTCGGTGAAGGAATCACCAAGGGCGAATACAGCATTGTCAATGGACGGATTAACGATTTAGCCTGGGACGGGGACTCTCAGCGCATCATTGCTGTCGGTGATGGCAAGCAGCGATATGGACACTGCATCACCTGGGACAGTGGAAATACCGTTGGTGAGATTCACGGCCACACGCAACAACTCAACACTGTGTCAATCAGGCAGCAGAGGCCTCTGCGTGCTGCCACTGCTGGCGATGACCGAAAGACCGTCTTCTACCATGGAGCGCCGTTCAAGTTCAATATGGGGATTGCGGACAAGCACTCCAACTACATCTACGGAGTTCAATTTAGTCCGGATGGCTCGCACTTGGTCAGCGTCGGCGCAGACCGCAAGATCTGGCTCTACGACGGCAAGACTGGTGAGACCAAGGGTCAGATTGGTGAAGGCGAACACAACGGCAGTATCTTCGGTGTTTCTTGGGCCAAGGACTCTCGAAAGTTCGTGACCGCAAGTGCCGATCGTACCGTTAAGATTTGGGATGTCGAGGCTGGCAAGGCAACCCAAACCTGGACTCTGGGAGAGGAGGGTGCTATGGCTGTTCGCGATCACCAGGTTGGCGTTGTATGGCCCCCTGGAAGAAGCGACGATTTGCTCATCAGTTTGTCGCTCAGTGGTGACCTCAACTATCTGGTTGAAGGCACTCCCAAGCCCCGCCAGGTTGTCTCTGGCCACCAGAAAAGTATAACCTCCTTGAACCAGACTACCGTGGACAACAAGGAGACCCTATGGACAGGTAGCTTCGATGGAAGAGTGTGCAATTGGGATGTTGCCACCGGCACCGCGGAGGAGATTGAGGGAGAAGGCCACCCCGGTTACGTTGCCGGGCTTGCGACGACATCGGAGGGGTCAGGTAGAATTTATAGTGTCGGCTGGGACGACACCGTTCGTTCCATCGATGCTTCCGCCAAGACCTACACCGGTAGCGCTTCAAAGCTGAACGGACAGCCCAAGGGCATTGCAGCTGGTGATGTGACCGTCCTGGTCGGTGAGAGTGAGGCTGTCGAGATTTACCAGGATGGCAAGAAGACTGGAGAGTACAAGACCGACTTCGCAGCTACCACTGTCGCGGCGCACGGCTCCATGGCAGCAGTCGGCGGCGAGAATGGATCAGTTCAGATTTGCGCCATCTCCAGCTCGCGACTTTCTCCCCGAGCCGACATCAGTGCTTCTCGCAACCCGATTTCTTCCCTTGCCTTCTCCCCAGATGCTTCTCACCTCGCAGTCGGTGACCTGCGGGGACGTGTTCTGGTTTTCAAGGTTTCAGATGGCAGTCTGGTTACTGACCGCTGGACAGCACACACCGCACGAATCACATCCCTTGCCTGGAATCCTACGGGATCACACGTTGTGAGTGGATCGCTAGACACAAACATCTTTGTTTGGAGCTTGGCCAAGCCTGGAGACTGGGTTGAGCTGCAGAATGCTCACAAGGAAGGTGTCCATGGAGTCGCTTGGGTCGACGGAGGCGTGAAGATCGTCTCCGTTGGGGCTGACGCTGCGGTGAAGAAGTGGAAAGTGGACGGTCTCCAATAGATATTATATTTGCTAGAATGAACTATTTCAAGGCTGGGACCAATTCTAATTCAAGCCTACTCCAAACCATGCAATAAAACTGTAGATGTCAGGCACAGCGTTGGGCGCAACAACAAACAGTGCGTGGCGGTGACCGGGGGGCCGTAAATATTGTTCCAATCGCAGCCGGCCAACAACTTGACCTGCATAGCTCTCCGCACCTCCGACTCTGTGACGTCTCGAGTCCCCAGTGAATTCCTCTCCGCCATGAGGCTTGTACAATGAGTTTACGCAAATTCCGTGACGTGTGAACCTGAAGATGCCGTCTGGAAGCTCAAGCTCAAGCTCGCGCCGCTTGCGCCCTACAGTATGCCCTCACATTCTCTTCCCCATGTGGGGGTTTGAAGACCTGCTAACACCCGCCGAAGCTGCGCCAGGCGACCTTTGTGCTCCCCAAAACAGGTCAGCGCCTCAAAGGCCTCGTGAACCTCCGAAATTCCACCCCAACCGACGAACACGATGAGCGGCGCGGTCTCCTCACAAACGAGATCCAGACACATCATGATGCATACATCCCAAGGATCTGGCGTTATGTCAACAATAAATGGGACCAGACGAATCAATTTTGGAGATCAGAGCTGGGGATTGGAGTGTTGAAATATAGTCTCGCCTATTTCCTCGGATCTCTTGCGACGTTCATACCCGCAGTATCAGCATTCCTTGGGCATCAGGATGGGAAACATATGGTCGCCACAGTCACAGTCTACTTTCACCCAGCCAGGTCCCAGGGTGGCATGTTCAAGGCCCTGATATGCGCGTTCCTGGCATTCTGCTATTCCTCTATACTGACCATCACGAGTATGTTCGTGGAGATGTTCTTCCAGGACACACTCAAACGGCCTGCCCTTGGCCATGCAGTGGTTTTGATTGTATTCTGTGGCGGTGGACTTGGTTTTGTCGGCTGGACCAAGCAACGACTCGGTGATCCCTTGGTGAACGTTGCATGTTCACTTACTGCGCTTTCGACCATTACCGTCTTAACCAAAGAAGGCGCCGTACAAAGTGGTGATCTATCTCTTGCCAAGATTTTTCAGGTCTTGAAGATGGTCCTCATGGGTGTGGTAGCTGTCATGGCGGTATCTTACTTCATTTTTCCCATTTCGGCACGAAAAAAGCTGCGCGCGAACCTTGTCACTGTCACTGATACATTGGCAATCATGATGACCACCATTACGGAGAGCTTTTTGAGCGGCACTGAGGAAGAGCTGAAATCCGCTGAGTTTGTCGATGCAGAAGCCAGGCATAGAAAGGCCTACGGACAGCTTGATAAGCTTGTTCGAGAGGCGAAGCTTGAACATTATGTGGTTGGCACTGAGAAGGAGTACAGACTTGAGAAAAAACTTGTACGCTGGGTGCAAGATATCACACACAACATGGGAGGACTGCGCAATGCTGCGTCCCTCCAGTTTAGTCTGATCCGCGAGACCATTGCCCGTGAATCTAGCTCCGTAGATGATCAACAGGCTAGCTCATCTCATGACTACTTCACCCCCATCGAGCGATCGTGGTCATTCCCTGACGGGTCATTCTTGGAGCCTATCGTTGAGCGACCAGAGGAGGAACTGTCTCCAAGCGGCTCCATGCGCTCTCGTCAAAACGAAAGCGCTCAATCAACACCCAGGCCGTCTCTTCTCCCAGCTGATGTTTTTACTATTTTCATTTCACACTTGGGGCCATCAATGGTAAGTCAAAAGCTCAAATCTCTCCCATACAACAGCTGACCGAATGAAGCGATCGTTGGCATTTACATTGAAGGAAATTTTCAAGGAGATCCCATTTGGGCCTGCTCCGAATTACAAGGTCTCTGTGAATGGCCGGCTGCGGATCAGTCTTGATCGAGCTCTTGAACTCTACAAAGACTCGCGCCAAAAGACGCTTGCATCGCTCTACCAGCAGAAAGAAACTATGAACATGAAGACCCAAGAAGCAGAAGCGGATCTCGAGGAAGTAACAGCAAGTTGTGGTCACTTCAGTTTCTCCCTCCTTGAATTCGGCGAACAGCTCCAAGAGATGCTAGCCATCTTGGATGAGCTACAGCTCGAAGTTGAGGAACGACCAAATGGACGATCCTGGTCCTGGCTTAAAATCTGGCAGTGGTCAACAGGCACAAAGGCTGCTAAAATGGGTCACTTTGATGACGGTAAGCAATACAAGATACGCCAAAAGCTCCTGTGACGTTGTACTGACCCTCGCAGAACCAGAATCTAGTGTCCATGCCAATAATCACATCAACCATCGTCGCCATGCATCGGACGGATTGATTGCACATGACAGAGTCGCCGTCAATGTTCGTGCCCACAAAGCACCCTCGTCGCAAGATACAACGAAACAGAGACTAGGCTACCGCATATGGAAAGCGCTTGGGTTCCTTCGAAGAGATGACACCAAGTACGCCATCAAAGTCGGAGCAGGAGCTGCACTTTATGCCCTGCCTGCCTTTCTTCCTTCAACTCGTCCTTTCTATACGCACTGGCGAGGAGAGTGGGGTCTGCTGTCATACATGTTGGTGTGCTCGATGACAATCGGTGCGTCGAATACGACGGGATATGCGCGTTTCCTCGGTACCTGCCTGGGGGCCGTCTGTGCAATCGTAGCATGGGAGGCTACGTCAGGAAATGTGTTTGGCCTTGCATTCCTGGGATGGCTTATGGCTTTATGGACCGGATACATTACGATTGTTCGAGGCAATGGTCCGATGGGCCGGTTCATTATGCTCACTTACAACCTCTCTGTGCTATACGGGTACTCTCTTGCCCAAAAAGAAGCAAACAACGACGAAGATGAAGGAGGCGTGAATCCAATTATGAGCGAAATCGCCCTCCATCGTGTTGTTGCTGTTCTGTCGGGCTGTATTTGGGGAATCATCATCACTCGGCTAATCTGGCCCATCAGTGCAAGACGCAGATTGAAGGAAAGCCTCAGTCTTCTCTGGCTACACCTGGGTCTTGTATGGAGGCGAGACCCCCTTTCGATCATGGCCATGGAAGAGAGGAACGTTGTTTACATGACTCCGCGAGAGAAGCTCGAGATCGAGCGATTCTTAGCACGATTGGAGTCTCTTCAAAGTGCTGCTGGAAACGAGTTTGAGCTGAAGAGTGCGTTCCCTGAAGCCTCATATGCCAACATCGTTCGCCGCACCCGTATCATGGTGAATTCATTCCACACCATGAACATTGAATTGATGAAGAACGATCCTGCCACCGAAGGCGAGATCAGTCTTCTTCGATACACCGCAGTAGAGAGACAGCAACTCTCTGCTCGCATCAGTCATCTACTCTCAGGTGAGTTATGACAAATGACGCATATTCTGTGAGATATGGTGCTAACCAACATGTCAGTCATGGCTTCTTCGATGAAGCTCGAATACCCCTTGAGCGATGTGCTTCCCAGCATTGAACATGCCCGTGACCGGCTGCTAGGTCGCATCTATCGCTACCGTTTGGATTATGAAGTATCACAACATACTACCGATGAGGACTGCGCTTTGCTTTATGCCTACAGTAAGTTTTATTCTGTGACTCTTTTTCATTCATCGCTGACTCTTCAGTCCTCGTCACTGGTCAATTATCACACGAGATCATGGAGATTATTGCGGAAATCGGACAGCTCTTTGGTGTGCTCAGTGAAGATGTAGTCCAGCTAGCTTGAAGGTCTCTTGAGCCTCTGACCAGAAAAATATCCCATACTGCCATTGATCACGATCGAACTGATCTACACTGTAGAAGCGACGACCATGGCGATACCTTGGTTGACGGTTATTGAGGGGATTCAATAAAGATGTAAAAACGCTAGCTTGAGACCCTATCCAGAGCTCCATTGCGCAACCCTTCTCCCAAATGCGCTTGATCTTGAAGCGATCTCCCAAGTAAGAAAAAAAAAGTGTAGGCTTGAGTTCGGCGCAGGTCGATGCATCCGTTTCTGGCGGGGAAACTCGCAACTCGGAAACCTCCCTTCCACCCCAAACCCATCGCCCACTCTCTTCCCTCATCGGTGTCCATCGTCTCTTCATCGGTTTCTTATATGGAACTATCTTCCCTTCAAGTCTGCGAGATTTGATCCCCCGGAATCCTCCTTGATGAAGGCGTAGGTGCCAATATACTCTGCCCTTCGGCGTAGACCGTCGCGCTCTCCAACCATGCAGATCGATCCGGCCGCCTTGAGTCGCAGTGACTCTGCAAATAACAAAGGCGTTGCGCCAAATGGCGCAACCTCAATCAAGACATCCCGAGCTTTGGTATCGGTGCCGCGGCTGGACCTGGAGCATGCCTACACGGACTTGAAGGCCGCCATCGGAGACAAGTGGAGCGAGTACAAGGAGTCCACAGCCCTTTTCCTACTAGGTATGTGCTGAAGCGCATTGGCTGTCTGATGAGAGAGCGAAGGCTAGAGCCTTTTGGAGACAGCTTCCTTTCTCCCCGCAAATTGAACGGGATGAGCTGACCTCCTGACCTCTTGCCCGATTCTAGGACATTACAATCAGAACGAATACGCGTCACGAGTGGATTATTTCTTATGTGCAGACCCGAAAAATGAACATCTACATAACAACTTTGTATGCGCGCTCATCGGAAACCTCACGCGCGACCTCCCTGATCATGGCGTCGCAAACTGGGTATCAGCCAACGATAAGCCCTCGGCCGTGTCGAAACCCATCTCCGGAGATGCTGCGGAACAAAGGCTGAAGACGGAGGTCATGCAACTACCTCCAAGGGACCGCCGGCGCATCAAGGCAATCACCGAGGTAGGTGGTGCTCGCGACAGCGATATCTTCACACCAGCGGCTGACAAGACAACTAGCGTGATAACTACGAGACATTGCCTACGGAGCTCGAGCAATCTCATCTGGTCAAGCAAATCAAACTACCCAGTCAGGTCCCCGCAAGTGCAGGCGGGCTGAACAAAACCAGTAAGGCGCCACCACTCCCCCATCGGACAGGATATCGTCTTCGTACCCGTGGACATCCTTCTCCCAACTACAGACCCTAACAAAGGTTTCTTCACTTTAGACTGGGAACTGGAAATTCGGAAACGATATGCCCAACCCCTCGCTGCAGAAACTGGTGAATTTCCGGATGCCGAATCTATCTATTCACGCATGGTCCCCATATGCTACGAAGAATCCCTCCCCAGCGGTGCCGGTCTCCCCTGTGCAGAGTTCATGGCCATTGCAACGGAAACCTTTGTCAAGGAAGTACTATCCGCAGTCTTCTCACGCACACGTTCGAACGGACCATCGGGCACAATTAACAACATGATGATGCGCAAATATCGGCAACAGCTTGAAATGGAAGAACTTGCATATACCCGAGGTGAGATTGCGAAAGATGCTGCGACAGGCTTGCTACCTGTTGAAGCACGCGAGGCCAAGGTTCGGAGACCCCTGGGTGTGAGAGACCTGCGACTCACTCTCGAGCTGGGCGGCGGTGTTCTCGGCCATATGCCCTTGATTGTGGATCAAATCATGGGCGGATACTTTGAAGATGAGCTCGAAACAGAAAAGCAAGATCGTGTTGAGAACGGAGTGGAACCGCATGAGGATATTAAACAACCCGCCGAAGACGAGATGGACCTGGACGAAGATGAGTCTCTCTTGGACTGGGAAGGAGGCGGTGTTGGTGACCGAGAACAGTTGAGCTCGTTGCTTGACGAGTGTCTGTCCATGGCCGCATGAGAATTTTATTATACCCCTTCCCTTTTTCCCTTTTCCCATTTCTCTTTATTTTCATACATGCTGCTACATTACATTTTTTGGTCCTTTTTTGTTGTTCTGTTCTCGGTCTGGAGGGAGGAAGGCTCACGGCGTCTAGGTATTAGGGAGGCTGTCACTCTTGTGACGCCGCATGATTTGCATATGGATTTGGAGTTGGAAGATATGTCTTTGTGATCCGTTCTCGATTGTCTCTGTCTTGTCCTGCTTTTCTCTCACCTTCCTCTCGATCTCGGTCGCTATCAAGTCGACCTGGCGATGTATAATATCACACTTCCTATCCAAAAGACAAGACAGAGCAGTTGGGACGGGGTGAATCAGGAGGCAAGAAACAAGGGAAGAAAAAGTGAATCAATGACCATTTTATTCTCTTGCTGGGGAAGGTCAAGCTTGTTCGATACCCATGAATTCCATTCCTTTACTGCATTCCTTTCACTGTAATTACTTATATAGTTCACATGCCATCAAATCTGTTCATTGTCTCGAGAATATTTAAAAGAATCTAACGAAAATAATTGTAATTGTAGCCAAGCTGCCTATATATAGTACTAGAAGCTTTGAATCTCCCCGTCTCATTCTTTTTGAGCATGAGTATCTCCTCGCCATCACCTGCTCGGCGAGCTTTTCACGGCTAGACTAGCAGAACATGTGCAGATCTTTGCCAACACCCGAGGGTATTAATAGACTATGGCTAATATATGAGCCTTGAGCCGAAGCCGAAGCTGTAGCTTCATGATAGAATGCCGATCCTGTCAGCAGTGACCCTCGGATGTCGCAAAGGTGGGATCACCATAGTGATATCCCATGAAGATCCTCAAAAGGAAGATTATGCTTCTCGGGTCAGGTATCACGTTTGCAATCAAGCCGGCTTGATTGCAGTAGACCGGTTCTCACGGAAAGGGCTTCGGCAAGATTGGGCCAGCTCTCTTGAAAGAGATGGATATCGTTGATGGAAACAACGACAATGAATGCCAGTGAGTTGAATGTCAAAGTCTCAATGGATCCAAAGCGTATCACAGCTTAACTTGAAATCTTGGGTGAGTGCGAATCTGCGCCCCGTATTTCCAGAAGAAGAACGGCACAGCGCACATCGCCAACGCAATGAAGCCCAGCAAAGAGTTCCCCCATCCCAGTCCTAGTTCCGCATACATCGATGGTCCCGCCAAAGGCAACAGGGCTCCGACCAAAGACCGCAGGGCCGTGTTTGCCGCGGTGACTGACGCCGCATAGCGTAGATAGGAGTCCACAAGGTAGGTGCTGGCACACATAAAGACCGTCATCAGGCCAGTGGCAAAGACCCCAGTGCCAATGATGGGGACAATCCAGTGAACACCGGCCTGGGCTGACCAGCCGTACCAGAACAGGCCGACAGGCATGAACCAGCAGCCGAACATCATAGGTAGGAGACGAGATTCAGGCGTGAAGCAGCCCCGTTGGATATGATTGGCAGCGATTCGATTGGCGACTACGCCTGTGACGATCAACCCCAACATACTCCCCACGCCAAAGCCCAAAAAGGCCAGTCCAGAAACGCCATGGGAGAAGCCGTATTTCTCTTCGACAATCGAGGTGATGGTGGTGAACATGAGGTAGAGATAGCCGTAGGTCGTGGCGGCGAACAAGGCCATGAGGAACACAATGGGTGAGCCGAACAGCAGCTTCAAAGGGCGGGCCAGTGCCGAGAGGAACAGTCTTCGATCCAGTTTCCCCTTGTCGTGAATGGACCGGAGATGCGGGTTTCCGGTGGACTTGCGCAGACGAGCAGCTTTGCGCTCGAGGACAACGGGGCCATAGGATTCGCGATACCAGACGATCGTCAGGACCATCATCGCACCCGTCTAAGCACGGTTAGTTTCAGTTGGGGGTTTCCGTCACTGGAATAGTAGACCTACCACAATAGCAATCACCCAAAACACCCAGCGCCAGCCCTCAGCTTCGGCCAAAAAGCCGCCAGCCACGGGGCCAACGACAGGGCCGAGGATAGGGCCCATCGCCCAAATGGCCATGATGCCGGCTCGCTTTTCCTTGGGCACCATGTCGGCGACCGTCCCCGAGCCAATGGTCAGCGGACACACACCCGCCATGCCCGCCAGCAGGCGAAAGACGATGAGTTGGGGCATCGTCTGAGCGACGGCGCAGGCGATGGTAAAAATGAGGAAGAGCAGGTTACAGCTGTGGTACAGGGCCACACGGCCATAGATCTCCGACAGGGGAGCGATGAGGAATGGACCGAAGCAGTAACCCAAGATATAGACCGAGACGACGAACGAACCCAGCATGCTACTTGTAACATGGAATTCCTGCATCACATCGCTGACCCCTGGGGTGAACATGGAGGATGCCAGCGGTCTATCTAGGTCCCCTGGTTAGAGCGTCCACTCGACTGAAGCGTGCCACTCACGTTATGAAGGTATTAAAGGCCATCAAGACCAGCTGGCGACCTTTCTTCCAGGTCGGCCAATTGAACGGATTCTCTGTATCATCAGGGCCGTCGAAATCCACCAACTGGGATTCCTCCACAGCCTGCGTCATCTGTTTCTCCAAGTCGGCCATGGATGAAGTGTCCAAGAGATGGAGTCACAAGAAGCCCCCATAGCTGGGTCTGTTCTATATAAGAACATGTCAAGAAGAAAAACACGGATACCGGCACGATCTCGGCTGTTGCGCCGATTGTATACCTTCAAACCCGACAAAATCTCCACCGGTCGTTTCGGTGGCCAATCGGTAGCGTTGGTTTGCGGGCTGTGGGTGGTTTATGTCCGATTTTATACAATTTTATACGAACTTACGAACTGACAAACTGCCAAACTGCCAAACTGCCGAGGTTTTGCCCCCTTTCATGGGGGATTTTTTTAAATTGGGATCCATATTTAGATGTCCGATTGCATATTAGTCTCGCATACAGGCAGATACAAGGTAAAACGGTTCAATGCCTCATCTATGCGCCTAAAACACCCGGGGAACGAACACGGCGAGGAAAAAACACGGGCTACTGGATGGTATTCGCGACAAGCTTCAGCGTTTCCTCAGTCGATTGATACGCGTTGGCCGGGTCCTTCGCAATGGACTGCCAGATCTCGCCGTGCTTGGGCTCCATCGAGACACACTTGGAGACCACATCGGACCGTTTTTCCTCGGTGCCGTGCTGCGTAAGGAACTTGTAATACCAAGCCCAGCCATCACCATAATCGCTGTCGGCAACAATGGCCTTCTCAAACCAGGTCATGGCCTTGTCCAGACGACGTTCACCCCAGAAGATGCGCGCGACGGTGATGAACAGAATCGGGTCGTTCTCCACCTTTTTGATAGCCTCTAAACTGCGGGCCTTGCGCTGGGCACGCGGCTCGAGGTGCCAAATGCTTTCGCTCCACAAGAGCCCCGAGGTGGGGACTTCCTGGATGGCGCGCGCCATGAGGACCTTCGCCTGCGCAATGTTGTTGGCGCGGCGCTCAACGCGTACGCTTTCGGTCCAGAGCTCAGCACTCTTCGGTACCGCGAGGCGGGCACGATCAAGAACCGATCGGGCGCGGACAACGGCACCCGCCTTCTCTTCCAAGCGGGAGGCGAGAAGCCAGAGTGCTACAGACTTGGAGCAGGCGCGGGTACCTGTTCCGTATGCCTCGCGTGCTTGGGGGAACTTGTTCTGGGCTTCGTATATTTGGCCCTTGATCATCCAAAGCTTGTCGGCCTTGGGGAAGAGTTGCAAGCCCTGGTTGACGAGGTCAAGAGCGTCGTCGGTATTGCCGAGTTGGCGCTCAAAAGCAACGCTCTTAATCCAGACCCGATCGGTGCCTGCTTCGCGACGAGCAGTAGCAAGGAGCTCTCTGGCCTGGTCGGTTTGCTTGGCGTCGGCCTCGAGTTTGACAGCAGCCAGCCAGATGTCTTCGTTGTTGGGATTTTGGTTGAAGGCGCGGCCAAGGACGCGGCGTGCATCGTCAATCTCGCCGGATTGCCATTTCTCCTTGGCGAGCTGGAGCCAGAGTTCTTCACTCTGAGGGCATGCCTCGACGGCTTTCTCGAGGACCTGCCAAAGGGCTTCTTTGGTCCCGTGATTACGCTCCAAGTCTGCTGCTGCCAGCCAGATAGATCGGCGGTTGACAAAGACTCGCAAGGCGTAGGCGTAGATGGCACGGGCAGTCTCATACCTACCACGGGCAATGCTAGACTTCGCATCGTCCATCCAGATGTCCTTTCGGTCGTCATCCTCATCCAGTCCCCATCCGAGAGTTTCTTGGATAATACCACCACAGGTGAGAACAGCACCTTCTGCTTCGCACTTTTCAGCTTCCGTGATCCATTCTTCTCTCTTCAGCATAGCGTTTTCGCGAGCCAGAGCCTGGATAGCACGCTTCATAACATTGACCTTGGCGAAGGTGCCCATCTGTTCCTGGAGTCGAGCGGCCGCAATCCAAATTTCGTAGCTGGTGGGAACGGCCTTGCGAGCAGCGTTCAGGACCTTTTGGGCGGCATCTGGAGTTTCCAGGCGAGCAAGAGCAAGCCACAGCTCGACCGAGAGAGGGATCATCTCAACAGCCTTGGCCAGAAGGAGACGCGCATCAGCCGGGTCTTCTTCCAGATTGACGGCTTCTTTCCAGATCTGTACGGATTGAGGGATGTGTAGGATGGCCTGTCTGAGGACGTTCTTTTTGGCTCGAGTGTCGGTTTCTAATTTCATGGCCTCGGTCCAGAGTCGCGTGGACCGGTCGTTGTTCTTGATGGCGTTTGCTGCAATGACCTTGGCGTTGTGGCCTTCATTGAGTCGGATGTTCTCCAACCAAGCATCTTCACTCTTCGGGCATAGTTCACATCCCTTGGCGATGAGGTTTCTGGCGGCCACTATCCTGCCAGCAAGCTCCTCGAGACGGGCGAGTGCAATCCAACCGGGAGCGTGCTTCGGGTTGGTCTTAGTGACAGATTCCAATAGGGTCCGAACTCGCTTGATATCGCCGACCTCGACTTCTCCGGCTTTCGCTTCGGATTGCGTCAAGCTAGTTAGGTAGCCCTTGGGGTCGATGTTCGTGGCGCTTCCTGATGATGTATCGGCCGACGATCCCAGCGCAGCCTGGTCCAGTCGGACCTTCAGTACTTTATCACGCGCCGCACCGATGTCTGCGAAGTTTGTCATGGTCCCATCAGTTTCTCCATCACCGCCATCAGGTTGCGCTCCATCATCGGCGACTGATGTATCGTATTGGGTCGAGTCTCTAGCACCAGCAATGACGTTATCCGGAACGGCATAGAAACGTTGTCGGAGGTTCTGCTTCTCTCGTCGATTCTTGCCCGTTAAATCACCAACCTCGGGGAGGTTTGCCCAATCTTCTTCGGACACCGAGGCAAGGGTTCGTTTCAAATCGGCGAACTGTTGTTGAATCTTCGGGTTTTTTCGATTGTAGTCTTCTTCTTCTAGTTTTTCACGGGCTTCCCTGTAGGTGGCGAGCGATTCAAGTCGGTACTCTGTCCAAACAACCGGGGCTATCCCGATGAACAAATGGTTCGAGGGGAAATGTATGGGAAATGCGACTAACCTGCGAGCTTTCCGACGCCTGTCCATCTTCTCGTCTACCTCTTGGTAAATGCGATCTGCCTCGTCGTCTTCTTGATCGAACTGTCCGTATGCGAATAGTCCGACCTCATTCTCGGGATCTTGGAAGCGCTCATCGTCTTCTTCCTTCTCGTCGTCTTTTCCGCCTTTCTCGCGCGATTGGTTTCCGTAGGCAGTAGGTGCAGCGGCACCTAGTTGTGCTGCTCTCTTGTTTAGAGCAGCTTGGATCTGTTCGGGCGTAGGACCTTCGCGCGCCGGGCCAAGATCGGAGCGAGTGGTGAAACCGGTCGCACCACGACCAAGACCAGCGACATAGTTATCGGGCGCCAGCTGGCTCAGGAAATCTTTTCGTCCAGACGCCATGTTGGGCACGACGAAGCTGAAGCTCGAGATCGACGGCGAAGGAAAGGCGGGCGTGAGAAAAGTTAATCCGGTGCCGGCAATCTTATCGGCCAAAAAAAAGTGCCCACATTGAAGTCGATGCGCAGGACTTGCTCTTTCTCCAATCCTTGAGTCCGCGAGGTTTTCTTATACAAAATGCCTAAAGTTGCGAGACAGAAGCGTAACAACGCTTCACAGGGTCTTTCAGATGCTGCCGCCAAGACCAAAGCTGCTCACAGCATCTTCAAGATGAACACTGATATTGGCCAGCACGTTTTGAAGAACCCTGGTATTGCAGGTACGCTGCACTTTGTCTACTAAATATATGCTATGGCTAACGTTTGGATGTCTAGCTGCCATTGTGGAAAAGGCCGAGCTCAAGCAAAGCGACGTGAGTGCTTCAAGGAATTCGACTTGAATTACAAACACTGACGATAAACAATTTGCAGATCGTCCTTGAAATCGGTCCCGGAACTGGTAACTTGACAGCCAAGATTCTTGAGAAGGCGAAGAAGTGTATCGCCGTCGAATTGGACCCTCGTATGGCTGCCGAAGTCACCAAGCGTTTCCAATCCACCCCATACCAAAAACGCCTAGAAGTTATTCTTGGAGACGTGATGAAGACGGAGCTCCCATATTTTGATGTCTGCATCAGTAATACCCCCTACCAGGTAAACACAACCCGATATTGCAGTGGTCGTGACTCTTCTAATGCAACATAGATTTCTTCTCCTCTCACATTCAAGCTTTTGGCTACCTCCCCGGCTCCGCGCAGCTGTATTCTCATGTAAGTTTTTTTTGGCAGTGCCTTCTAGCTCAAGCGATGGTTACCATTGAGATCTAACATAACTCTTGTACAGGTTCCAACGTGAATTCGCCCTGCGATTATTCGCCAAGCCCGGCGACAAGCTCTACAGTCGACTCTCTGTCAACGCGCAAATGTGGGCCAAGATCGACCACATCATGAAGGTTGGCAAGAACAACTTCAAGCCCCCGCCCCAGGTCGAGTCTAGTGTCATCCGAATGGTTCCCAAGAACCCACGGCCGCAGATCAACTACGAGGAATGGGACGGACTGCTGCGCATCGTTTTCGTGCGTAAGAACAAGACCCTCCGGTCTAGTTTCATTGGAACTCAAAGCATCATGGAAATGCTAGAAGGCAACTACCGAACATGGTGTGCGCAAAATGACATCCCCGTTGAGGATGGCCCGGTTGAGGTTGCCAATGACGATGCGATGATGGATATGGGCGAAGAGCAGGAGCAGGCTCCTGAGGAGCCCGCCGACGAGGTCATGGACATGGATGACGACGATGTCCCTGACTTCTTCAAGGAGGAGACCAACGCTCGTATTGAAGCAGCGCTTAAGAACGGAGCTTCGCGCAAGAAGCGGGGCAAGGTTGCAGAACTTGTCCGTGAAAAGGTGCGCCAGGTCTTGGAGGATGACACTGACCTCGGAGAGAGACGTGCGAGAATGTGTGACGAGAACGATTTCTTGAAGTTGCTGTGGGCATTCAACCAAAAGGGAATTCATTTCAACTGAGCGAAGCACCATGCCTCTGCCCCGAAACATCCGATGATGAAGCCGGGAATTTGGATGATGAATTATGATTACTATCAATAAAAGATACCATTTTCAGGAGGTTCATCCCCAGCAGGCCGAAGATGAGCACGTGAGTCCTGGAACAGACTCTGCCAAATGAATGCCTCGCTGAGCAAAAGCTCGATGTCTTTCTCGGTCCAATCCTTGGTAGGCAATGCCTGGAGGAACATCATGACCTCCTAGTTTGATGTTAGTACATCACGCAGGTGGCAATTTAGACTAGCATTCTTACCTGGAAATCCATCTTAACCAATTGATCCGTCCACTTGACCAAGAATGCGGCGCAAACATAAAGGTGGAATCGAGAGAAGCCCTGCTCCTCAGCCTGTAGTTGAAGTCAGTATCTTGGGGTCGACATAACATGGGGAGGTGAAAAGTACCATATATGTGTCCCACATGCGTATCGTGTTTTTGATGCTCATTTCCCGCATGAGCAAGCAGTTCATCCATCGGAAACTAAATTGCATAAATTCCACGCCTTCTTGCTCCAAATGCTTGGCGAGCGATGAATCGATGCGCATTGTCAAGTCCCGTAGAGCCCTGACTTGTCGATGGATCCCAGGCTGAGCATATATGTAGTTATCTTGGATACCATCCAGAAGCTTTGTAAGGCACCAGAAAGTGTCGGCTTCCACTGCATCCAACACGCTTCGGGGTAGCTGGCCAGGGTCCATGCCTTGTTCAATGTTCAAATCGGTGATGTAAACACCTAAAAACACCTGCCAAAAAGGTGTAACCAAGTCATTTATACCCTGAACGTAGCCACTTGCTGGGTGACGAATAGCCCAGACGTAAAGGATACGTTCCAAGGAACGCTGGGTGGCTTCATATCCATATAATGGAATGTGAGGACTGGTACGAGGAACATCGATACTGATCTGATGCCAAACTGCCTCATCCAGTCCTCTGCCACGACCCTTGGTTGAATCAGGTGGTTTTGTGGAGCTTACTCCACTGCCTCGCTCAAAGGCCTGTCGAACACCGTCAAGGTACTCTTTGCGTTTCCGCTCTAGCGTAGAGATACGACGCTCGCTATTTGTAGGTAAATATCCTAGCAAAAGTTGCCAGGTCATTGGCCGGACTTCTTCCGGCACACCTGACCAAGCAAGGTTTCGCAGCTCGGTTGGAGATACGGTGCTTGCCTGTAGAATGCGCTTGAACTTGTTGATTCGCGTAATGCGACTAGAGTGAATATCTCTTTCTTTCGGCGATGCATTGGTAGGGGGTGGGGAATGGTTAATGAGGTTCAGAGCATTGGCAGGATCTAGGGCTAATTAGCATGGTCCGGTCGTCCTTTATCAAACATAAATACCTTGCAGAATGTCCTTATATTGAGGCCGGAGAATCTTCCCCTCTCCCTTTCGCGCAGTTGGATACATTGGCGCACCACGCTCTTCCGCGATGTCTGCACTGTCCGCGCGACTTCTGTTGTTCGAGGCCAGTCCATATCCAAGTGTTGAGAGATTGCCACCAGCCCCGACACCAGTATCCAGATTCTTTGGTTTAAACGGCATAGATCGTTTTCTTCTCATACTGGCAAGACTAGGCAGGCCAAATTCATCTTCATCGTCATCGTATACAATCTCGTCATCTTCATCTTCATCGTCTTCTTCAGTCGGGTCGCGACTCCACTCATCAACCCCTTGGGTCATAATCCCAGGATAAGGTTGACGGGGAGGTGATGCGATGACGTTTCCTGGCCTTCGGTTCAACTGCGATGCCGCATTCACGGCCGATGACTTTGGCGGGGTTTGAGGGACTGAGTGGGATGATGTAGCTCTGCCACGAAGACACTTTGTCAATCACTTGTTTCCGTTGGGATTTGAGGGCGTCAAGTAATACGCACTGTACAAGATTTGCATGGGAGTATGATGCGCCCACTACTGTATTTGGACCGTATATCTTCGATCCCTGGTTTAGAGAGGTGCTTCGGCTGGCCCAGAAAGGTGATTCTGTACGTCTTGAGAGTGAATCAGCATTGAAAGCGCTTTCTAGTTCATATACAGCTGCAAAACTGGAGTAGCTAGGGTTGCAACTTACTCTGAATTATCTGTCCGGTTGGCAAGGAGATAATGTGAGCTATAACTGTGATTGAATGTAAGGAGACAGGCACTCACCAACCTGGACCATTTCCTACAATTTAGTTAGCCTTAGATCGGCGCAAATGAAGGGTGAGCTCAAGCTGAGCAAGAACCATTCACTGACCTGCCCTTTTTTGTTTGCCATGATGGGGGAATTCAATGTGATCGTGGTCTCATGGGGCTAATAGTCGTGCGGGGTGGCGCTGCCAGGCCATGTAGGAGCTCAACGGCTTAGAGCAGCATTGTAAACGAGCACAAGAAGTATAAGAAAGTAAAAGCAAGGTCGACGAACTGACCACAAGTGAGAAGAAGACACTGAAGTTCAATCGCCGTGACAACATCCAAAGTTGGGAACTTTCCAAGGTTGAAAGTCGGGGTCCCTTAGTCAGCGCACCTCATCCCTTGAAGTTCTTCACGGCCTTTCCGCTCTGCGAACTTCAGTCCCCGATTCTTCTTGTCTCCAGCGCTTTTCTCAGTTCGTACTCAATCGCTAATAATGGCTGACCCCGAGGATGGCGAGGATCTCTTCGCGGATCTGTATGTTTATACTTCGTGAATACTTCGTTTATACTTTGCCGCCCTGCTAACGCCTGCCAGTTACGATGCCGACGAGTCGACCACTCGCACTACTGCTCCAGCTGAAGCTCCAAACCCTATTCAAGAAGCTCCTCCTGCTGCACCCGCTATGAATTCCGGCTTGGATTTTGCCCCCGCCCCTGTCGAGTCCCAGGAATCGCACAATGCCGGCCAGGCCTCCGACTATGACGCCGGCTATCATAATGGCCATGGAAATGGTCAAGAAAACGCCTATGGTGCTCCTATGCATGCTCAGGTGCCCCCTGCTGAGCCTGAGTCTCATGGAACCGGCATCAAAGAAGACGGGTAAGTTTACTGACCCCTCCATACTCCCAATTATCAAATCAGGTATCTATTGCTTGTGTCTCCTTGGCATTGGGCTGTGCTTTGCTGGCTTTCTTCTCGGTCGCTGCTGCTATTGCCGGGCTTGAAATCGGTATGGACAATAAGAAACGAGTTCTTTGTCACGAAGTGCCTCGTTTGAGAAGTTGTTGAAAAGAGATGAAATCTTGGCCTTTGAGATGGCAGACTTTGTTGGAGGGAACCAAAATGGGCTCGATTATAAGCAAGTTTACTCGGGGACAATCATGACGCGGCCATCACAATCTTCGACTTTGCCCAGCCCCGGGCACTTCGATATCTGCACTCCGCAGAGGCAATAAAGAATGCAGATCCCTGGGAACAAACGCACAAAGACTACAGCAACCCATCACGGATCTTTATCAAGCGATCATATATAGTACACCCGATACTATATAGCTTCTTGTCGATATACCTTGTTAGAGCAGAGCGCAAGAAGTAGCTACACTGTCGGAAGGGAGATTATCAAGCCCCATCTACTTAGCTTCAGACTTTGTTATACAAGGCAGTGGGTTCCCAAGATTCCCAGGTCAGACAGACAGACAGTGACAATTCACTTTTTACGACTGAACTACTTGCGCCCCTACGCTTTTCATCTTCGCCCGGTTTGAGCCCGAAAGAGGAGGATATCGGCGTTCTCAGCTCATGTAAACCAATGGGCTTCTCGTTAAATCCCATGAAGATCAGCTTGATCGGATTGAACGTATACTGGGGGATCAGGCTGCGACAGTGATCCTGTCAAAAGCTTGCCTCGATGGACTTGCCCTAACATGGCTACGACATTTGCATTAGCTGTATGCGTGGATAGCAGCATAGCACCGCCAGCCCATATAGCCAGGACACGCTTGCAACTTACTTTGATCTTGATTCACTTGCTTTTGTTTATACAGGTCGATGCTTTAGATGGCCGCTAATCGTTATGGATAGGAAAATGTTCATTGGAGGTCTGAACTGGGAGACTACCGACCGTATGAGCATCTTTCAATACCGCGCAATTTTCTTCTGACGTTTGTTCTAGAGTCTCTGCGTGATTATTTCTCCGAGTTCGGTGAAGTCCAGGAATGCACTGTCATGCGCGACAGCGCCACCGGTCGCTCTCGTGGTTTCGGTTTCTTGACTTTCCGCGACCCTAAGACTGTCAATACTGTTATGGTCAAGGAGCACTACTTGGATGGCAAGATTGTAAGATTTTCGCAACTCGTCATTTCGTATGGTAACTAATGGCGATTCAAGATTGATCCCAAGCGTGCTATCCCTCGTGATGAGCAGGAGAAAACCAGCAAGATCTTTGTCGGTGGTGTCAGCCAGGAGGCGACCGAGCAGGACTTCAAGCAATTCTTCATGCAGTTCGGCCGAGTTGTTGATGCTACCCTTATGATTGACAAGGACACAGGCCGTCCCCGTGGATTCGGATTTGTGACTTTCGACAGCGAAGCCGCGGTGGAGAACGCCCTTTCTCGTCCCCTTGAAATTCTCGGCAAGCCCATTGAAGTCAAGAAAGCGCAGCCCCGTGGTAACCTGCGCGATGATGATGATCGACGTGGCGGCCGCCGTGGTGGATATCGTGATATGAATCAAAATGACGGACCAAGTGGACAGCAGGGTGGACAGCAGGGAGCTGCCGGTGGCATGACCCCTCAGATGATGGCCCAATACTGGCAACGTATGCAGCAATACTTCGCCATGATGCAGCAGCAAATGGTGGCCAACCAGGGTGGTGGCATGCCTAACATGAACATGGGTGCTATGAACCCGGCCATGATGCAGCAGATGCAGCAGATGCAACAAATGAGACAGATGCAGATGGGTAACCAGCAGCAGGGCAGCATGAGCCCCATCCCCCAGAGCCCTGGCTCCCAGCAGCAGATGCCAAACATGGGTGCCATGATGCAGAGCCAGCCCAGCAACGGCGGCAGTGACAATGCCAGTCCTGGCCCTAACGCGGCCACTATGGCTGGAAACTACAACAACGCCAATGCCAACGCCAACCGCCAGACCGGACCCGGCTACAACGCCCATGAGCAGATCGCATTCGAGCAACAGAAGTACGAGCAGCAGCAAGTCCGCCGCACGATGGACCCCCGAGGATACTCCCCTTACCAGCAGCAAGGTGGCCCTACCTCCTGGGAAGGCATGTACGACGAAGTGCCCCAGCCCAACATCCCCACTGGACCTGCAGGTATGAGACGCGTCGGAAGTTCTGGTAGTGGTATGTGGTTCTTACGAGACTCAACATAACACATACATACCCCTTTTGATTCCAACTCCATTTTTTTGTTCTCTTAAAGCTAACCAGACTCTAATAGGAACCACCCCGCAGCCCCAGGGCACCGCACCCGCCAATGCTCCCACAGGACCTCGCAATGCAGGCAAGCCCGGTGCGAACTACCGTGGCGGCGGCCGTGGATCTCACCGTGGCTACCACCCATACCAGCGTTAAATCACTCAACGTGGATTCATGTAACTGTTGTGTTTGTCGCCGGTGCCTCTTTTCTTTTCAATCTCTGTGTTTTTCTACGTCTTTTTTTTTTTTTTTGCCTGGGGTCTGGCTTCGCTTGTAACAAGAAAGGGACTGGCTAGGTGATCTGTGATATGTGATCTAATGATTGAAGCTCGACGTTCAGTTTCGAGCTTGCTTAGACACTTGCAGTTTTTTTCATATGCATGCAATTCTGCAATGACATACGTATGTTCACTCGAATTTGCTTACGTAGCTTGCCAGGGTTTCTTTGGTCTTAGGCAGACAAAGCAGTCCCATTGAGATAGAGTAGAGGCAGAAGTGTGGGCAAGGCGAGGATATGCATAATTCTGAAGCACCTTAGTCCAGTCAAGTTGTCCGGATCTTCATGTCGTAGAAGGTCCAGAAATCTAAAGCACGCGAGTGACCAACATCGCTGCATGCCGAACAACGCACGGCTCCAGTCATCAACCGTCAAAGGCAGTCCACATTTTCCGCCTCTAACATGAACGGGGATTAGAACTTGTCTTTGTTTTATAAATGATCTCACCTAACACTTATGACCAGCAATAGTCAAAACAAATGACATTGGCGAAGCATCGTCACGTGTCACGACGTGCCCTTGTATCGATTTCCTTGCCGTTTTAATGAAGTTATATAGTATAACTTCTGGTATAAGGCCTGCTTTAGCCTCATGTATATAATGTTGGCTCGATCAGACCGAGGAACATTGTCGCTAGTTGTCAAGTTTTAACAAACACGATCTCCACGTTCACAATCTCATTTATCGGGTGATCAATAGAACAATGCTTACGTTTTTCCTGGCTTGTAATCCATGGATGAGCATATCTCTCAATTATATCAGTGATTGAAGATAGATAGATTGGGTTAACTGAATAATATGAGGTAGAGCATCGATATCCATATAGTCATAACAGCCAGGTTAAATTTCAAGGAAATACTTAACTCTACCCGACAAGATACCATACATCGAACCAAATATCTAGCAAAAGATCATAAATTGCAAGCTGAAATAAAAGAGTGATAAATAAAGAGTGAAGGTATGTATAGACAAACGCAATATCAAAGAAAGAATGAAATGATATCACAAGAATATGCAAAGAAAGACAAGATAAAAGGCCCAACCGCCATTTCAAGCACGCTAAAAATCGTCAAAAAAATGGAAAAAGAAAGTGCTCGATCGCTCGATCTAAGATATATGAGGCAAGAATGTCGAGAAAAATGGGGTCAATGAGAAACAAGGCAAGTCCGCTTGATGCCTTCGCTTTTTTTTCTGTTTTGTTTTGTTTTCTTCAATTTTAATACGCCATACCATAACCAGGCTTAGTGGGATGGCGGCCTTCGATAGAGCTGCGCGATTGGCTGCTATCACGGCTTGATCTGCGACCATGTGATACACCGTAGTCGTTTCTGACCAAGCCATCGTGGCTGCTGTTGGACCTTGTTCGGCGGGGTGCATCGTGGTAGGGTGCATATGGGGCATTGAAGTTGAAGTCGCTCATCTCGGCATAGTCCTTGCGCTTGGGGTGCTCCATGAGGAGAGATTCTCGGGCGTCCAAGGGGGTAAGATCGTCGAGGTCGCGGTTTGCTTTTTCTATGAGAGGGTTGTATTAGCTTGAGAACAAAGATTCGAGTTTTTGTAATGATGAGTGACGTACCAGCTTCTCTTCTGCGTCGGGCGTGAGGGTTCTCGCGGCAGCAGGTGATGACTGCGTTGACCGCAATGAGGATGGCAAGGACGGCAGTAAGGGTAGACTGCACGACGATGAGGACAATGCCGGTGACGGTCTTGGTGGTCTGAGAAAGACCAAGCTCCTCAACGAAGACAAGGACACAACAAATGGATAGAACACGGACGACCTGGACGGCAATGTTGATTCCCATGGAGGACTTGGTCGCGTAGGGGCGGTTCCAGACCAGGATGATCAAAAGGATGGCTTCACAGACCAATTGGCCTGCACTTTGGACTAGGCCGTGACCTTCTGCTCCAGCGATGATGCAGCCCTTTGCCAAGGCGTAGAAGATGATTGGGATGAAAATCCACCAGAAATCTTTCTTGTAGTTATCGTAGAACAAACTGTACTTCTTCCAGGTCTCCTTGTTTTCGTACAGACTGTCAGTGTCGCCCTCGGCCTTCTTGTATTTGCGAGCCATGTAGACGATGCGAATAGCGAAAAATAGAAGGACGGAGGTAAAGACAGCGAGGGTGATAGCTGCTAGCAGTTTTGCTGCCCATGAGTCACCGTTTCGTAGTTGGTAGACACAGTATAACACCCAGATGCTGTAGAGCACAAGAATCATGTTGGTGATTGTACGCGCCATTATGCCCCAGTAGTCTTTGCGGAAGTCAGTAAGTTTGTTGGGGAAGCTGCCGTACAGCGCCCATAGTTCGAGAATGACCTTGACCAGAAGGATGCCGACGATGACAACAGCAACAACAATGGCGAATATGAGAAGAACAGTCATGAAGATATTGGCAGAAGGTATCATGAGTTCTTCGGAGAGCTTTTTCAAACTGCTGATCGTCGAGCTGGTATCGTCGCTGGAAGAGCTGTTTGAGACACTGGCATCAGATGATGTGTCAACGGAGCGAGCGACAAATTCACCGAAATGAATCGCATATTCCAAGCTACGTTTCGTGGTATTGCTCGACGAACTGCTGCTTGTCAGAGAAGCGTTATTCAGGAAGACATAGCTCTCCTCGGTCAAATTACCGCCAGTCGATTTCCGAAAGCTGTCAATAGAGTTTTGCATACCAGACCAGGGGATCAGACCAGTACTCCACATAAAATTCTTCGAGAAGCTGGTGTACACAGTCGGGTAGCTAACACTGAGCATGCCGTTGGTGGCCATGGAATGGAACCAGCCCATTACATCACCGAACCCAGGACTGGCAGACGGTGCTCCAGCAGCTCCAGCAGATCCAATGGCAGAGATTCCAGTCAGCGCTAGAGCGCCAGCTGCGATACCAGCGGAAACGTAGGTGACGGCCTTGACGCTGGTAGTGTGACCGTTGGACAAGGTGGACTCGACACAAGCCACATTGGAACTGTCGTTCGAAGTGAGCACCAACTTGGCTTGACCATCCAAGTCGGGCATTTGGAATGCGATAGCCGGGATCTGGCTTGCATATTCGGATGGAACCTGATACGATCCCTGAGCCTGGAATCCCTGCTTAGGGACCGGGCAGAGCTGGGAAACATGGATTTCCGTGCCGCAAGGGTCAAATTCTTTGCTGTAGATGTTGTTCCCGTAGGCAGTGACGGACAAGGTCGCAGTCACGTATTGTTCTTTGGCGCTGGTACCAGCCACGTCAAAGGTCAAGACTTGCGAGGAGCGAGAGTAGGAGACGTCCAATTTCTGGACTTTGATGGTGGAATCGGTCATACACAGGTCGAACCCGTTGGTGGACAGGGTATCGCCTGCGAGCGCCTGGGGCACCACGGCCAAGCCCAGTAGGGCCCAAATGATGTTCCGCATGTTGACAATATCCAACCGGAAGGTTCCCTGCTCAATACCGATAGGGCGCGGAGATCATAAGGAGACAGAAATCGAGAGTCGGACGAGGATCGAAAACGATAGCGATTGAATTATAACGGTGGGTATATCGGGGGTCAGGGCAGGATCAACCTGCGCGCGACAAAGTAACGAGAAATGAGCTGTTTGGGGGTCGGAAAGAGGGCCCGACAATGATATAGTACTGGTTAGTCGACCAGGGGCGAACGAGAGACAATAAACAAGAGGAACAGGAGGAACAGGAGGAACAAGAGGATTGAAGAGAGTGAAATCCCCAGCAATGCAGCAATGCAAAACAGAAAGCAGAAAGCAGAAACAGAGAGGAAAGTCTCGACCGCGAGACTCCTCAGGGCTGGAGGATCCCCCTGAATTTACGATTGGCCGCGTTTCAGAGTCTAGACCTGCCCTACGACTTGTCCTAGATCTGATTTTGTGCTAGTTAGGTCTAGTAGACTCTTGCTTGGAATTGTGTCTATTTGAATTATCCAATTCTATTCGACTGACCCTATTACACCCGGAATAGGAGGCGACAATGAAGCTTTGGCAATTTAAGCAGCCTCTCCATCCGTGGGAACATGAGTTGCCCTAAGACCAATTGGGAGTCTTCGATCCACTATGCACATTAACATTCACGCCACAGGAGAGGCCACTATTGTCTCTAGTCGGGGGTTGGTGCTTCTGGGTACTCCGGACACACGTACATGTATTTTGGTAGACATCCCTGGAATGACGTTGCCCAGGGATTTCCAGTCGTTCCCAATTCTCAGGATTGACAGACTCGCCACACTATCGGCGATCCTCCAAGTTCTAGATGGTGGGCCCCTTGCAGCTGGGGACACATCTGCGTCCTGGTGAAAATCGGTGACTCTGGTACATCACTTGGACCATTCACTTATGGGATGTACTCCGTAAAATGAGACAATTAACATTGACAGTACAGTAGTGGGCGCTATTCCGTCCTATCAATGTGAGACAGGCCAAGTGCTCGGATGCCCCATCTGACAGATATTTAAAAGTCCCAAGCTGCACCTATGGCACACGATCACTGATGATCATTGCTACTCCCGTGGCGCTTCCCTATCATCGCCTGTCCATACAGAGGTCGGTATCGCCCAATACCCAGTCTGTGGCTGGTGATCAGCAAGACAGCAAACTTTTCTTCAGAGGGTCAGGTCGAGTTTCAGAATTATTATCAGAGCAAACCCTTTCCTAAAAGGTGGATACAAGGGGGGTCTGTTCGTTAATGAAGGAGTGGCATAATAAATTGTAACCGAGGTCTTTCATGACCGGTATATTTCAGAAAGACCATCCGAGTCCGATTCTTGTCCAGTATTCCGCAGAAGGCTGTGAAATGAGCCACAGGCGGATCGTGAGCGCGAAAAATACAGTCACGTGAGTAGCCGAACGGTTGGAAATGTCTTCCGAAGACCCAAAATAGTAACAGAAGGGGCGGAAGAAAACGCCAATGGGGTGTCGCAGCCCTACACCGCCTGATATATCAAGAATCATGCATAATTTGATCCTGTTGGCTTTGGGTAGCTTGTGGTAATGCTGATGGCTTAGGAAAACCAAGTAAGACCTAATTAAAACTAAGTCGTTGAGAGGCTCAAATAAGGTGGGACCGAAAGTAGAAGGGGCTTTGCATGAACCATGGTTGAACGGATATTTCTATTGCTGGGGTGGCTGCATATGCAGTGCATGAATTGGTCATTCCCAATAAGTGTTGGACAACATAAGAAGATCAGGGCATGTTATAATGTGAACGGAAACAGAAACACCTAGGGGTTCGGCTTGCAGTTAGACGGCTTACCGCATGGTGATTTCCTAACTATGCGTTACTTCAAATTCAAGTTGAAGGGTAAGAATGTTCAATTTGCTGAAGGTATCTTAGATATTGTCATCTTAGACAAAATTCAGTTAGAGATCAGATCTCTAGTAAGAGACCCGACACCGAAAGACAAATTGTTAAACAGATGGTCCATTTAAGGACTACTCCAGACACCGGGGTATTTCCCTTTCCCGAAAAGCCATTCGCCATGCCATGCACAAAGAAAAAAATTCGTTAGAGCAATCACATGATTAAGCTCAGGTCATTATCACATCCCCCGCCGGGGTCGCCGCAGCAGAGGGCAGGCCAGAGGCATCAGTCATGGCATTGTCGCCATCGACGTCATTTGCAGGGGTGCTGTCCTCCTGCATGCTAGATGCAGCTTCTGCTGCATGTCCCTCGGCGGGCTTTGGGCCATCTTCAGACACCTCTTCGAACAAACGGACTGTTTTGTCCATTCCACAACTCACAATCATGCGCTTGCCGTTTAACGTGCCAGCGTGGACACCGAGAACAACTCCCTCGTGAGCATCGATGCGCTGTAGGATCTGCTTGCTCACAATATCCCAGAAAATGATAGCACCATCCTCGCTACCGCTGACAGCGAATGCCAGAGGCGGGTCATACTTGATGTCGGGCGATCCATAGACACCAAAGCATCCAGACAAGCTGTACTTGCTGTTGGTATGTCCCTGGAAAGTCTTGATAACGCGACTCTCGAGGTAACTCCACATGCGAATGCAGCCATCCAGAGTCCAGGCCAAGACATAGTGACCATTGGGAGAGAACTTCACGCAGGTAGCGGGAGGGTTGTCTTCCATGACCAGGGTACGAAGACACTGGCCACTGAGAGTGTCCCAGATACGAATGAGGCCATCCAGGGCGCATGAAACAATAAGGGTTCCGTCGTGAACAACATCGATGCCAGCAACAGGGTCGGAGTGAGCTGGAAGAGAGCGGAGAACAGATCCTCTACGGACATCCCACATGAATACAGCTTCGTCGTAGGAGCCACTGACAAGAATGTTTCCCTTGGGTGTGAATGCAATTGAATACAAATAGTTGTGGTGTCCATTGAAAATTCGAGGATGAGCCCTGAGCTGTAGGAAACAATCAGTGTGAAGTTCAACCAAGAATCGCATGTAGGTTTCTTACAGTCTTGACGTTCCAGAGGCGAATCGATTTATCATCACTGCCAGTTGCAATCCATTCACCATCCGGAGCCCAAGCAAGAGTCGAGATACCGGCAAGATGTCCTTCGAAAGTGTGGATAAGTCTGCCGGTAGCAGTATCCCAGACCTTAAGATCCGAATCGGCACCTGTTATGCGCAAGTCAGTCAATTGAGTGCATGTCAGGCGAATTTGATGCAACATACCTGCACTCGCAATCATAGTACAGTCTGGCGAGAATTGAACAGCAGAAACTCCACGAAGATGGCTGCGCATCACAAACTTCTCCTTGTAGTTCAAGTGGTCGGGCTTTGCAGGCGGCGGGGGAGGAACCGGGGTAGCAGAACGGTCAGACCAGGCGTCAGCATCGCCGTGGGCCTCTCGTTCATTGGTGCCGTCCATACCTGCATCAACAGGCTCCTCCGAACTCTCTTGAGATTCACTGGCGCGGAGGGCAGGGCGTACAGGTGAACGGCTGCGGCGACGGTTAAGCGAGGTGCGCCAGTACTCATTGGCGTCAACAGCTAGCTCATCAGTACTCTCCGAATCGCTGTAGCGGCGGTCCTGCTGCTGAGGGCGCTGTGGGGTAAATCCCTTGTGGATGGTCCAGCTGGCTCTGCGGCGCTCAGCTTCATCATGTTCGGAGCCCGCGGCGAGTTCATCGGAGGACGATTCAGCGGGTGAGACGGCGCGAGGGTCGCGACGGCGAGGACGAGCCTTGGATTTGTCCATTTTCAAAGATTGATACACAGTGCATCAAAGCATAAACATGTAAGTCGAGGCAGTGGTGGAAGCAATAGCTTCGCGTTGCGACAGGGAAGAAAATCATTCGAACGCGTGGTTCGTGATAGGAAGGCGGTGTATATACTGCCTATATATGGAAAGGCGGTGAGATGGGGAGGCGGTGAGACCATGTGTCGGATTGCGTCATAGGGCAATTTATAGTTGGCTGAGGGGGATAGCATAGATACCCTCACAACACTCGTAGAAATGTACGAAAGTCCTGATACAGATATTCTGATACAAAGGACTTGATCAGCCTAGAAACTAAGGACTAGTAGAACGGGTCATCTTAATGTGCTCTTTAACTTAAATGCGAATAAGACATGAATGATCTGCAAAGATACTGCATACTCTATATCGAGAGAATGAAGCAATTGACCTATCTGTGTATTAGTGGGTAAATATCTAAAGATGAGATTTATGTTGTTCTTGTCTTTGAGCTGTAGTCCTGTTGAAGAAAGCTGTACACAAAAATTTGTTTAACCCGACGTATAACGTTTTATCCAGATGTAGTAATAGGACTGCACCCAGTCACAGTATGGCCTGTTTACCCCGGAGGTTGATCCATACAAAATTTTAGTGTAGCTTTTCAACAACACAAATACTGACTCGGGGACACGAGGTAGCCTACTAGACTGACCTCTGCTTTTATACATCACATCACATGACCGTAACGCCTTGAGACCAAAATTACATCATGTCGAATCAACAACTTTCTACTCGACAACGTGAAGCTCACCACGGTCAATTCCAGGCCCAATGGCCCCATCAATCCCCTCAAAGGCCCCTTCAAGCATTCGAATTCACACACTCAACTGCTGGGGTCTCAAATACATCGCCAAGTACCGCAATGAACGCATGTCAGAGATCGGACGGCAACTGGCATTAGCCAGCCCGCCGCCGGAGATAGTTGGACTACAAGAATGTTGGACACAGGAGGATTTCGAAAGCATTCGCGACCAGACTCGACACATCCTCCCATACGGAAAATTCTATTACGGGGGCATATTTGGTGCAGGACTGGCCATTCTGTCAAAATGGCCGATTGAGGAGAGCAGCATGTTTGGGTACCCGTTGAATGGCCGACCAACAGCCTTCTTCCGAGGAGATTGGTTCGTTGGAAAAGGCGTTGCAAGTGCAAGAGTTAGATTTGGACCTGGTACCGCAGATGTGGCAGAGGTGTTCTGTACACATCTGCATGCTCCGTACGAGCGCGAACCAAACGACTCCTATCTATGCCACCGGACCGCCCAAGCATGGGAAATTGCAAAATTGATGCGAGGTGCTGCTGAACGTGGTCACCTTGTTATTGGCTTAGGCGACTTTAATATGCTGCCCTCGTCTTTCGCCCACCGCCTGATCACAGCTCAGAGCCCCGTCCGTGACGTCTGGCGCGAGCTGCACCCAGAATCCTCCCTCGCAGCAGCAATTGATCCCATCGAAAAGGCACGTGGCCTGTCCATACCTACCGCGGAGTACAACATCACTGAGAATGGAGCCACCTGCGACGGCTCCTACAATACCTGGCGCTGGTCTGAGGCCTTGCGCAAGCGTCTCGAAAAGGGCGAGGAAATTGTTATTGACAAAGACACCCCAGACCCCCGCGGAAAACGTCTGGACTATATCTTCGTCGGCGATGGCGGCTATCCGCCTGCCTTCCCACCTTCCCGCTGGTCTGTTGAGTCAGCCCATATCGCCATGACCCAGCGTCACCCTAAACTAGGGTGCTCTCTGAGCGACCACTTCGCTGTTGAGGCCGTTATCACTCGTTCTTCGAACAACCACTCTCGCTCCAACTCCAGTATTGATATGCCAGCCGATCCCGACTCTCCTACCCTTCACAAAACAACATCAAAGCAAGTCTTCCCCAACGCCGCCCTCTCACCAGACACATATGACCACATCATCGATATGACGCATACATATGTACGCCGCGAACGTTCTCAACGTCGCTGGCGTATGGCACACTTCATCGCGTCCATTTTTATTTCCATTGGATGCATGGTTGGTGTCTGGTGGGTTAGCAGTCGCACGTACATTGGCTTCATCCTCATTCTAGTCAGCACACTCAACCTCAGTGCTGGAATCTTGGATGGCTTGATTGGCGGACTTTTCATGTCGAGCGAGTTGCGTGCTTTGAAGGAGTTTGAATGGGAGGTGAGAAATGCGAGAAGCTTGGTGGTTACTGCTGAGGGCGGTGCTCTTTCGGGAGAAGCAGAGAACAAAAAGGACGATTGAACGACGCGTCCACTTTGGGGTTGTAAAAGCAGGAACAGAATGTGCTACTTACTATGCGCGTTATTTGTATGTTTATATTCTTCATGTTACTTAGTGTGTGTATATATTTTCTAGCCATTTGTACTGCGGTGGCCGAAATTAATTTCTAATTATGAAAAAAAAGTCATCTACGTGTCTACGTTGCAGTCGAAAAGATTGTGCACAAACGAGTGTGGAGTGCATTTGCTAAGTAGTCATCATCAGAGCCAAATGAACGTCCATCGAATCCATAATCATAAGCAAGTATCAAAGAAAAACAGGGACTAGCACAAGGTACGATTTTACTCAGCACACTCGCGCTTGCGGGTCTCGAAGACTCTCAGAGTCTCCTCGGCAGCCTTGACACCACTCATAACCATGGCACCGAAAGTAGGACCCATACGGTTGAAACCATCGATCTCAGACAGTTCCATACCACCGATGATGAGACCCTTGGCGACCTCACGAGTGTTCTTGACAATGGCATCCTCAGCAGCGTTCATGTCTAGACCACGCATGCCACCGAGTTTCTCGATGGCGCTCATGGAGACCAGACGCTTAGCACAGAAAGCACCGAACGGACCGTCGTGGCCGGTGGTGCTGACAATGATGGGGGCGTTGATGGTGTTGGGGTCCATGCAGGAGTGATCGTCGTGGTGAAGGGTGACGAGAGTCCAGTTCACGACGACACCTGCCAGGCGCACGTTTTCACCGTCAGGGCGGGTGATCAGGTCCTCAACACAGGTGGCATTGAAGAGCTTGACGTTGGGGAAGGACAGGACCTTCGACAAGAGAGTCGAGGTGAACTGGGCGGCGTGCTTGACGACCACGAAGTTGGGGTTGTTGGGCTCTTCCTCGAAGGGGACGCCGAGTTCAGTCAAGAAGGCATCAGCAGGTCGACGGAGGACCATTGCGGAGAAGAGCTGGCCACCCAACCAGGCACCACCACCTATATAAGACATTAATAAAGGTCGAGGTTGGCTTTCATATAGGAGAGACTTACCGGGCGACACGGAGGCCTCCAGAATGGCAATCTTCAGGTCCGGACGGGCCTTGGCCAGCACATAGGCAGTGCTCAGACCACAGGAACCAGCGCCGACGATGACAACATCGCTCTCGGCATAGTTATCAAGGTCCTGGAAGTAACGCCGAGTCATGGCGCGCGAGACTTGGCTCTCGCGGATAGGAGCGAACTTGAACTCATCCCATTTGCCACCGAACTGTTCCAGAAGCTTTGACTGGCCCTGACCGGTCAAGGTGGTCGTCACAGTCTCAGGGACGATGACCTTGCCTTTGATGCCGGTAGGGGCAACAGCTGGCTCAAAGATAGCAGCGGGAGGAGACATAATGAGTTAGGGATCAAGTCGAGGGGTTGACTTGAGGCCTTTGTTAGTTTGGCTACTCGAGTGGGGGAATAAGGGGAGAGTCATGATCCTTTCGCTGGTATTATCCAGATCAAGTTGACGCCGTATAATCTCAGAACGAACCTGCACAGATGATGAAGCCATTCATGTAGACAGAATCTAGATGAACAGATGCACCAGCCACACAGGAACGAACACCGGCCCATGCTCAAGAGTTACCTGAGATACCTTGATCCCTGAGGGATAACGTGCCCAGCCAAAGAGTATCCATGGCTCCCAAAGGAAGGGCAATAAGTACTTGTTCGTTTGGGGATCTATATGAAAGTCAGCTCTGAAGAGTAGAAGAGAACAAGTAAGTGGCTAATAGTTACTGTTGTGATTCTTCAGTGTAGATTGAGGATGAAGAGAGAGAGAGAGAGAGAAGAAGGAGCAGGAGGGGGAAAGATGACTCTTTATAGACTCAGTTCGACCCCACCAACACGTAACGTCATACTGAGTATCGAGATATTTCCCGTTTCGTGCTGAACCCGCGCCGCTTTTGACTCTGCGTACAGTTGGGCACGTGAGAACTCTAGCCCTTCTTCTTCTACAGTGTGTAGGTCTGGATCAGCTGTGTTGCACGGCTCTCTGTGTCGACCCATTGCATTCACAAAACATGGAAATGGATCAATCGTTCTTGATGGTCACGGCGGAGCATGAAGGAGATTAATTATAAATATAGATATACGTACATGGGGTTGTCCACCTTTCATCAGCTTCAGCTTGTTTGAGACTTCTTTCTATACTAGCTCTCAGTCTATAGAATGACATCCAAGACGGACAGTCTGAGATCTACTCCGAAGTACAAAAGCGGCCCTAGTATAATACAACCAAGTACGAGCAAATGTAATGCATGAACAATCCGACTCTCCCCGCCGGTGAGCATCTCCCATGCAGATCCAACCGCAGAATGACGTTCCACGCCGTTCCGGCTCTGTTTTGGCTTCACCGTGAGTGGACCGGGGCAGAAGGCTCCGGGCGCTCTGCCATGCCCCACGGGCCAAAGTCCGGAGTATAGTATCAGATCAATACACTAACCGACAGTAAAACTCGGGAAAGAGATATTCTGAATCTGCACGAGTCTACGTATAAAACTCAATCAAAGACTCTCACGAGATCGACATTGTCAAATGTGTATAGATTGAGTGTTGGTGCGCTTAGGAACGGCGATCGCGGAGAGCCCTTAGTAAACCTTAAAAACACTGAGCAAATTAAACGATCCACCGGTGGTTTCTTGTTGTTTCTGTTACGCCTCGGAGGGCTTCGGAGATTTAGTGGGTTTGGGGACAAGGTTGGAAGCCCTACAAACTACGTTGGCTTCAACTGTTTGCTGCATGCACACGGTGCCTTGTGTAGCTTCCAAATCTAGAGTTTCTTAACACGATTCACCAATCGACAATGCTTCAAGCAGGGTATATATGAAGCTATCCTGTCATCTGAAGAGACCAAAAGTGAAAGGGAACGCAAGAACACTAGATTCCAATCACAATACGTAACGGTAATTAGCACCGTAATTGTCTTCCGCGACGTCCAGCGTTTTCACCGATGCCTCTATGCGGGGCCCGTACTTCTTGTCAAGGCGTTTGTTCTCCCATACAAGAAGGACACGCAGACACAAAGCTAGCAATGTGGTGAAGAACATGAACGCCGCGCAGATAGCCATGCCCTTGATAAATCGCGGCGCTTCCTCATCGGGGAAGATATTGGTTCCCAAGAAGGGACCGCATTGTCCGATCACATTAAGCAAAATGATACCTCCTCCGCGGCGAGTATCGGAGCCTTGGTTGTCTACAATTGATCCAGTCAGCTAATTTGTTCTTCTATCTCTATCCCAGCAGATGATGATGAATACTTTGGGCAATATCCCAGTTATGAGACAGCAGTTGTGGGAACCGGGAAAAGACAAAAAAATTGAGAATATGACTCACTCAGAACCCAAGGCAAGATATTGGCAATCGAAGGGAAGATCCCACAGGCGGCCAGGAAAACACCGAAATATCGGACACCCACTGATGTGCACGTAGCGCAGAGAATATACCCCACGCCGCCGACCAGTGATAACACAGCGATCATAAGTCCACGTTGTTGAAGACGATCCGCTATCCAAGTCGTCGCAATAGTCACCAGAAAAGATGCAAAGAATGGAGGCGCAGTGAGGCCTTGAGCATTGATCGCCGTGAAGCCCATTTCCCTCAGGATAGTTGGCAAAAATACAGGCAGGGAGGAGAAGCTGACATTGCAGCTGAAGTACATCAACTACTCATCATCAGCATGGAATTCTCTTTTTCGCAGATAGACAAGCCACTCACCGCTGTAAGCCATGCTTTCAGATCAAGTAACGTTTCAGCTAATTCCTTCCATTGAACTTTACCTTCGCGATCGGGTTGACCAGACTGCTGCAGCGAACGAGCACGAGCCACAACCTTCTCTTCATCCGTAAGGAACTTGGCATCTAGTGTACTATCCGGTACAAAAAACCAAGCCAAAATCGCCGCCGCACAGGTCGGGGCACCCTCCACCAAGAACAACAAGCGCCAGTTAGCCAGCGAGGCATGGCCCGATGTGATACCATAGGCCAAAGCACCCGCGAATGTATTCGCCAGCGGAGCCGCTGACAAGAACATACCGCATCGCAGACCTAGCTCATGGCGCCGATAGAAGAATGACAGGAGGTATGGGACACCGGGGCCAAAGCCGGCCTCAAAGGCGCCCATGAGGAATCGGAGCGCCATCATGCCTTGCCAGTTCTTTACCGCTGCCTGACATGTTGCGACCAAACCCCTACCGTGGCATTGTTATTTGACAGAGTCCTCTGCAATTGATGGTGGCACTTACCAGGAGAACACGACAAATGCTGCCCATTGGTGTGGCTTGACGATCTTCCACATCAGAGCTTGAAATTCAAAGACTGTGTATGAGATGTAGAAGATTGTCAAGAGCCATGCGTATCTCTTTCCCGTTAGACCGAGGTCCTCCTCCATCCCGGCGATTTTGGCATTGCTATACCTCCATCAATCTTTCGCGCTTCATATAATTCTGGGTGGGATATAGTAAACGAACCCGATATTGCTTCGATCAAGGAATGCGAGAAGATCTAAACGGTCCAGAGTTAATCAGCGCACAATTCCCACTGATCTGCCGTCTTCTCGGCAATATAAGAACAAGCCTGGAGAGACACCCATACAGAAAAATCCCATGAGAGTCGGGAGTCGCAAGTCCAATTTCCTCACCACTCGACGCTCAAGTTCCGGATCGATAGCTGGGGCATCGACTGTTGTAGTAGGGGGTTGTTCCACATGGGCCGGTACAGTGACTTTTTCAATGTCTTCATCAGGAGCCATCTGAATGACATCTTCGGGCATTTCAGCCTTGCCGAAGAACCCCATGGTAATAGAGTCTAGAGAGGATACGAAGAGACGTGAAAGAACTTAGGGAGAACCGGGGGGGAGAGGGAAATAGGTAAATTAGACCATGTGGACTGCTGTATGCGGGGTGTGTGAAAAAATGCCCATGATCGGCACAGATGCATCGCATGGACTGGTTACATGAGGTTCTAAGTACAGTGATTGGGTGGAGGGCTTGAACTGGACGAGATCATTGGCTGACACTTGGAGACAAGCCCTCTTATGAAGTGGAGAATGGGGAAAATGCGGAGGATTTGGCAAAGCTTAGGTGGAGCCGAGTTGACCCAGGAGGGTTGGTGTCTTTATTGTATACGAATTGTAATTCTAACAGTTGGGATATAGCTTAGAGTTGACTGTGGCTTCGCTAGGGGTTCACCATGGCTTCACTATGGGCTTAGCTTTCTGAGCCAGAACTATGCTGGACTACCTAAGGTGAGTTGAGTCAAAGAAATCTCACTAGGTGTTAAACACAGACTACATATCATATGTAGTAAAAAATAATGGCCAAAATGACAATATTAACCTAATTCCATTAGATACCGTAGGGTAAATAAAATAAACCACTTTGACTCCTGTTTTAGCGTTTGAAGCTGGGAGAGCGTTTATGCCTGAATCATCAGGTGTTGTGCGGTGTAGGTCTCTGGCACGCGCCGTATCAAAAATCTCCCGCTACAAGTCGCGTTGTCCGCTCCGCGCTTCCCTCTCCACCCCCAATTCATTTGCCCCATTCAATCCAGCAATTATCATCTTGATTTGGGCCTAATATCTCAAGATGGATGACCCTGCCGCTCGCATCCCGGGGCAGCTGGTATGACCTCCTATTCAATCCCACCTCCCCCCGAATGCGCAACTGGGTTCAAACTAACAATTGCTGTCGCAACCATGATAGCTCCCCCATATGCACCTGATCTCGCGCAATCGCTACCCTAGCATGCATATGATGCCCACAGAAACGGCCGTGGAGTATCTGACGAGCGCACCTAGAATATGCCAGACCCAGCCCATGCATTGGACCTTCTTGGAGGCTCCTCCAGATGGCACGGTCATGCTCACTTGGCAACCACTGGCTCACTTGGGCAACAACTTTGCTAGTGATGGTTATGTCTGGGCTGATGCGGAGCAGGCCTTCACCTTTGAAGCTCGTGGCTATGTAAGACAATCTTCCCTTGGTATTGTTCCCGGTTTGAATCACCTCTAATATCCACTGGATGTAGACTGTCGAAATGTATCTCCAACGCTGCGGTCTACACCCCCCGAATGAACCGATGGCCACCCATTGCCGCAAGCGCTACCGCATCACCTCCTGCAAAGTGCCAAATGCTCCCCAGCCTGATCCATCGCTATGGATTGTTCACTACTCTCGCGCGGCGCCTCCAGACCATATCCCTGGAAACCGCGTCCCAGTCACACCTCAGATTCAGGCCACAATGGCTCAGCGACGCTTTCTCCAAAGCCAGGGTCAATTGGCTCGCAAGGACTTTTTGCTCCATGACCGGAATAACTGGCCGACTATCAACTTCCCACAGATGGGCCCCCAGGCCTTCGCCCAGCCCGCGGCTCCTTATCCAGGCCATGCGCAGCAACGGCCTGGCTTCTACCCTCAGGGCCACCCAGGTGCAATGCCTGCTGGAGCTCCTGTAGCCAAGGGGCCTCGTGGACACCGTGCTCCATCTGCTGCTATGGGCGCTGCAACAGCTGACTTTGCCATTGAGGATGAGGATGTGTCTAGTGGTGACACTATGGATCTTTTGACACCCCGGGAAGTGAGCAAGATGCGTTACCAGCAGCACCACGAGTGGATGGAGGAGATCTTTGCCTCGCCATATGCTATCACACAGATTACTCCCGTCTCGCTTGGCTTGGGCCGAAAGGGAGAATTGGAGTCTCTGACAGCCGGATTCTTCGATGCTCCTGTTGGAACCACTGGCGGGGAAGGCCAAGAAGCGGGTGACGGCCAGCCTGCCACCAAGATGGAGCCTGGCAAAGCCGAAGAATTCGCCGAGCGTGTGTCCAAAAAGGTCGCCGATGTGACCGCCGAGATCGAAAAGATGAAGAAGCAGCACGCGCGCCGCATGCAGCGTTTCAATCGTACTTCATTACTCAAGGATGCAGAAATCCGCCTTCGGGAGTCTGCCGCTGACCCTGCTGAAAGGGGCCCGGAGATTTGGCGATTGGAGGGACGTGTTGTGATCCCCACGGAAGACGAAACTCCCCAGCTTGACTATGTTGAAGACAAGGCCAAGTTCAAGGTCGACGATATTGTCCGTGAAGTTGAGACTGCCTGGAAAAAGCAGATTGTGTCTGAGCCCAAGGTTTCTTGCGTTGAAAAGGGTGGCTTGCTTGAAAAGATTGAGCCGGAGCACAAAGACGAGCCTGACTCATTTACCAATGACATGGTCATGGACCACGATGATACTCATCTTCTGAACCAATTTGGCAGTCCCGGCGTTGGTGGCGCAGGCATGTCTAGTGTTTCTGTCAACGGGCAACCGATTCCCGCTGGTATTTCAACTGATATTGACATGGATTTGGGTGGCCAACTCCACGGTGCCCCCAACGGCGAATCTAACGACTGGGTGATGGTCAATGAGCAGAAGGATCACGGTCCAGTGGGTGGGGAGTTTGACTTTACCAACATAGACAGCGCGGGTGATGCCCTGGCAGCTTATAGCGAACAGAACGACGGGCTGGATCTTCCTGATCTAGACAACTCAGCGTTCGGCGATGCATTCCATGCATCGGATAACGAACATTCACACAACCCTGATGCGGATGACATGTCATAGACAGGATGACGCGCTTTTTTAATGAATGATTCCGCGAATCATGAATCTTTCAGGTGTTGCGGGTTCTGTCTCTGTTCAACTGTGGCGATGGGGTTCGGATTTCATGCAGGTTTATTTGCTTTACGGTGTACAATAAGATAGCCACGGGGACCCTTCCTTTGGTCTTTCGAGTTTCATTTTTCTCGAGCTTGTGATGGGCGATGGGATTCTAGTTATTATCTCCCTCTTTTTTATGATACTGCATTTTCTCTTCTTCTCCCATTCTATGTGCTCTATATATGTGAAAGCCAGATTTTCTGCCGTGGATTGGGTGTTTCATATAAGTTTTATAGATGGCTGACGGTGGTTTCCCAATCAGGAAGGACCGGGTGGGCTCTGGAGCTAACGAGCTCCAAGAAGAGCTTCAAAAAGAGCTCACCGCAGACACACATCACCCGATGGAATTCATTCAGCCCTGTCGATGTCCCCAGCCCAATCAGTAGTCCTTCATACCCAAGATTCATGACATGCATGACCCTGGCACTGATATCGGGAAGCCGAGAGTGGAGTATGACGATCAACCAGTCGACAGCATCTCAGACTCTACTTATCAACCATCTGCAAATCCCACTCCATCCCCATGTATGACACTATAATCTTCTGCAATCGGAAAAGCTGTCAACTTCCGCGCATCCCGTCATGACGTCAACCGGGACTGGGCTTCCTACTGGGACGGAGGAATAGGGTTCGAGCATCGTCATCTACAGGAAGGCGCCTGATTTACTTCTTTCCTCTCGCTTTCACTTCTACATACCTCATATCCAAATTTCGCATACACAAGTTAACATAGTAATCGTTATTTCACTATGTATGCCTTTCAATATCTCTATATGGACGATAGCTGACCTCTCCAGGAATCGCAACCTCTCATTCCGATCGCGCAAAGAACCTCCTGCCAACCGGCACCGGTTCAGCATCTCGACTTTCCGCGGGATGCAAGCGCCGGAGTTGAGCAAGAAGATGACCAAGCTGATCAAGAACGAGAACTCAGCCATCGGCGCCCACGAAGCCGCCGGTCGTGAGCGTAGCTCCATCGCCGGCCAGCTCTCTGAATGGGGCGAGGCCACTGAGGATGACAATGTCTCCGACATTTCTGACAAGCTCGGCGTGTTGCTCGCTGAGATCGGCGAGCAGGAAGACGTCTTTGCGCAGAACCTCGAGGATTACCGCACCATCTTGAAGCAGATTCGCGATATGGAAGCGTCTGTTCAGCCTTCTCGTGACCAGCGCCAGAAGGTCACCGACGAGATCGCAAAGCTGAAGTACAAGGATCCCTCCAGCCCTCGTCTGGTGACTCTGGAGCACGAGCTTGTTCGGGCTGAGGCTCAGAACTTGGTTGCCGAGGCGCAGCTGTCTAATATCGTACGTCATAATTCGGATACTCCATGGTTTATACACTCAGATGAAAAGGATACTTGCTAACCATATTTCATCGGTAGACGAGACAAAAGCTGAAGGAGGCTTATGATATCCACCTCGCTGCTGTGATCGAGCGCTCTGAGAAGCAAACCATCCTTGCTCGTCACGCTCGTCGTCTTCTCAACTACATTGACGACAGCCCCGTTGTGCCTGGCGATGCGCGCCAAGCATACGACCACGAGCTCGATGCTCGCCAGGTTCTCGAGGATGCCGAGAACGATCTCCGCTCATGGGAGCCTAGCGTTGAGCCCATTGAGTCTGCTGCAGCTCGCGAGTCCCGCAAGAACAGCTACAGCAACAATGTTAACGGACTTAATGGCGTCGAAGAGAATGATCAGGAATCAGATGTTCTGGAGCACCCCGGGGCGATGGAGACCGGCGGTGTCACTGCACCCGTGGACAGCGGCGCACCACCAGCAAAGATGATGGTTGAAGCTGTGTAATGGGCGGGCTTGAGTTGCGGCTTAGTAGGCCACTGTTTTGGTTGTGAACATAATGTAGCTGTTGTACTGTGTAATCTCAGCTCTGTTCTCAGATTGGTGCAAGGGGTTTTGGACTGGCGTTGGACATGCAAGATTATACTCAGGAAATATGCAAATTGTGTATGATAAGTGGTTTAGTTATTAATTGACAACTGTATCTTTCGCGTGGATTGACTTGGTTTCCTAGATTTGTCTTTTATAGAATCGGCGGCACGTGACCACAGGCGCCAGAGTGACGCGGAAACCCGAGCTCCAGCGGAGCTTCAACCATCGCCGTCTCACCACACTTCCTTCGTCGTTTCAGCCTCTCTTCACTACTGTCTTATTCTACCCTATACAACACATCATGGATAAGCTTGTGGCCCAATATTCACGTCCTCTTCATCAGAATGAGATCTACAACGAGCAAGAACAGGAGGACCTCTCTGCGAGCGTCCCTCCTCTCTCACTGAAGTTCTCCCTTCCTCCTGTCGACAACGTGAGTTTTCAAATGGATCTGTGACAGATGTTCTTCGGCCCAGATGGTGCTTCGATCGAGGGACATTCCTCTTTCCTGACGTCAAGACGACCAGCGGTGCCATCGAAGCTACACACCAGAGACCTACCAGCCAACCTTTCATCATTGATACGACTGGAGCGACGAGCTGACTCTGATTTCATCTAGCGATCTGCTTTCCTGCGTGCCATGACCGATGACCACTCCAACCCCAGCGCCCCCATCAAGCTCGCCCACGGAACAACAACCCTGGCCTTCCGATTCCAGGGCGGTATCGTACGTTTTCCTTCGCTTCGGTTATAACTGGTCTTGAGGAATATGGATTGAGGTATACTGACTTGAATCTTGCTTAGATTGTGTGTACCGATTCTCGAGCCACAGCCGGCAACTGGATTGCCAGTCAGACAGTCAAGAAAGTTATTCCCGTATCGCGTTTGAGTCGCGGTGAAGACAAGCCATCAAATGAACCCACGCCGGGTCTTTTGGGAACCATGGCCGGTGGTGCGGCTGTAAGTTGAGATTGAGTGACGGCAGGTGATGGGCTACGCTGATGTTTTGCAGGATTGTCAATATTGGTTGCGGTACTTGAGTCAGCAGTGCACTTTGCACGGTAGGCTGGAATCCGGTGCTATGAGGAGAAAGGACATTGCTAATGAGTTTATTAGAAATCCGACACAAGCGCCGTATTACTGTTGCGGCCGCCTCGAAGATTCTCGCCAACCTCACCTACGCTTACAAGGGATACGGACTTAGCATGGGAACCATGTTAGCAGGAGTATGTCGCATACACATATGGCTATCTGGACTGAGACTAACGATTCCCAGGTGACGCCCCAAGAAGGACCCGCTCTCTACTACATCGACTCCGATGGCACTCGCCTCCCCGGTAACTTGTTTTGTGTTGGATCTGGTCAGACTTTCGCCTATGGTGTGCTGGATGCCGAGTACCGCTACGATTTGACCGAGGAGGAAGCATTGAACCTGGGTCGCCGATCTATTCTGGCTGCTATGCACCGTGATGCCTACTCCGGTGGATTCATCAACTTGTACCACGTCAAGGAAGAAGGATGGGTGCACCACGGCTTCGACGACATGAACCCTATCTTCTGGAAGACAAAGCTTGACAAGGGCGAGTTCTCCAACGTGACATCGGAGCTGTGAGCGGAAGGAAAGTGTGTAATATTGATATCAATCTGTCATTGAATTGGATTATGCTAGGTTATGGGGTTTTACCGTGCAGTTAGACATGATATATCTGCTCAATACTCTCAATCCTTTACATCCACGTAGCATGTTTCCTGCAACCACTAAACAGCCAGCTGTGAAGCCCCCTCGATATGTGAAAACCTCGCCCGAATGACCCGAAACTTATCCAACAAGATATTCTTTGACATGAGCTGCAGATTATGAAATGAGAGAACCACCCCTTGCATAAACACAATATCCTCAATGCGACCAGTCGTCTCCTCCCGCGTCGCCTGCGGAACATGAATCACAACATCGGCAATGGTATTAATAATCTCCAACAACTTGCTAATCATCGACGAGCCATGTACGCGAATGGTATTCTGCGAGATCTTGGTCAAGAACCCTCTGAGCTGACTCGACAGCTGCAAGGGCATCTCCAGCTCCAACGAAGGACAAGAGGCATGACTAGACAACAGACAATTGGACATGGCCATCTGCCAAAGCAACGTGCGCATCCACTGCCTCGTCACCACCAGATCCGCCTGCTGCAGCTCACTCAGGGTCGAAACCTCCAATTCCCACAGCTCATCATCCAGCTCCCGATGCTTAGCCTCGACCCAGGCCGCGGTCACCTGCGAGCGATCCCCAATCCAAAGACTAATAAACGCGGCATCCAGCATACAGAACGTCTTGATGACCTGCGTCCAGCCCTGCTGGATGCCACCGCCCAGCGACAGCGACACAGGATCTTCCTCGGGGAACTGTGCATGCGGCGGCAACGTCACGGGCGAGAAGTATACTATCGACATGAAGCGCTCGTGGATGAAACATTGCCAGTAGAGCCGTTGGCGGCGGGCGCGCTCAGTGATGTCCAGGTCGGAGAGGTTGGTTGTCTTGTCTACGCCTAGGATTTGGATCATGGTTATTGCTTCGCGGAGGTAGAAGAAGCCTAGGTCGTAGTGGCCCAGGCTCATGGCGCACATTTGGACGAAGATGCTTGTCATGGCGCGTAGGATTGAGGGACGGAAGCCTATTGAGAGGGGCTGTTGGGATTCCACGGATTGACGAAGCAATTCGGAGATTTGAATGGAGGTTGATGTTGAGGGTGGTGAGGAGTGGGAGTGGGATTGGGATTGGGATGCCCGTGTCAGGTCCAGGGTTACTGCTGTAAAGGCGTAGACAAAGGCTGCATGTTCTCTTTCGGTGTCCATTTGGCTGATTGAATGGCGCACTTCGATGTCGGTTATGATTGGACTGAAAGGGTATACGTAGGTCATATAGTCTGGGATCAGGCTGGTGAAGTAAGAGGTTGGTAGTCGCCGGCTTGTCAAGGGCAAAAGTGGTATCAAGCTGGTGGACTTGGGAGTGCCACTCTTGTATTTGGATATCACTGCACCTCTGTGCATGGCATTCTTCCTTGACCGGGCCGAGTGGTTCTCTGTATAGGTGCAGAGCAGATCCAGATGTTCACATTGTTGGCAGCGGTGTTGACCATTACAGCGGACTTTACGGCGGTTGCAGGCATCGCATGCTTTAGGCACGCGAGATGTTGAACTGGCCATGAAGACCCTGGGGGAAATTCAACTCCGTGAAGTGAAGATGATTCTCCCCCGCGTTTGAAGTTGATGTCTTGGCGTTACTCTTTTGGCTAGTTTGGGCTTCAAGCTCGATCCAATGAACGACATCGCTTAGGGAGAAGTCTATGCACGTCAGATCATGCTGGTTCTAGCCCTTGGGAAATAGGTAGCCAGCACATACGTTATGAACCGGCCGACTTGCTGATCAAGATAGTATTGTGTAGTCCTCAATCTATTCCAATAGGCAGCTATATAGTCCAACTGTACCCTAACCCAGCTCTATATCAAAATAACTCTTCCCTCAAACGCCTGTAGTGTGTCACTGGGATCCTCTACATTGCCAACCAACAGCTTCCAGTCATGATCTTGCAGTGTATCCGGTTTCTCAAACCTCTGTGCCGTGTCCGAGAAATTGAGAACAACCAACAGGTTCATATTCTGACCCTTCTTGGTATATGTGAAGACGCTTTGGTTTGGCTCGTCGACGATTTCAAATTCTCCAAAGACCATGGCATCGGCGTACTCCTTGCGTAGTTGATTCATTTGTTTCCAGAACGAGAGAACAGAAGCATTGTCTGTCTCCTGTAGCTTCACATTCAGCTCGTGGTAATTGTCGTGCGGGCGCATCCAGGGCTTAGCAGAGGAAGAAGGCGAAAAGCCTGCGTTGATCTCGGCACTCCATTGCATGGGAAGTCGGGAGTGATCCCGAGCCAGATGCTGCAGGGAAGCCATCGCATTTGCCAACTCAGCGGGGTCGTTATTGGTGATCTTGCTGGTCATCTGATAGTAGTTGGTGCTGTCGATGTCTTTATATTCCTCAATTGTCCATTCCTTGGGTGCGTTGACCATTCCAATCTCCTGGCCCTGGTAGATGAATTGAGTGCCCGAAAGAGTACTCTGCATCATGGCTAGCATCTTTGCAGATCGCTCTCTGAGCTCGGGTGTCTTATCTGAACCAAACCGGGTGACGGAGCGGCCCTGGTCATGATTTTCCATAAACACTGTGGTCCAGGCATCGGTGCCTTTGATAATATCTTGGGTGCTCTTCACTGCCGACTTCAAGTCTCGTAAGGCCCAGCCAGGGAATGTCGTGAGGAATTTGTAGTCCTTTCCCATTCCCAGATCCACGAGGTCAAATTGGAAGACCATACTCAGTTGCTTCTCAGCTGCTGAGACATAACGAAGAACGCCATCCAGAGTATGTGTATTCGGACACTCCCCAACGGTCATGGCATCATACTTGGAGAGAACATCATTCATTTCCCGCAGATACTCATGAATGCGAGGGCCATTGCAGAACTGCGAGAAGGCAACCTGTGTATCAGATTTCGGGTCAAGAACCGGTGCATCACCAAGCCCAGGCTGCTTGCTGTACATGTTGACCGTGTCAACGCGGAATCCATCCACTCCCTTCTTCAGCCAGAACTCCATTGCAGACTCATAGATCGCCCGACGAGTCACAGCGTTCTCCCAGTTGACGTCAGGTTGCTCAACACAGAACAGGTGAAGATAGTATTCCTGTGTGGTCTCATCCCATTCCCAGGCAGGGCCACCGAAGATACTGCGCCAATTATTGGGGGGTTGACGCTTGCCGTCGGTATCATACTTGGCCGGTCTCCAGATATACCAGTCACGCTTGGGATTCGTCTTGGAAGAACGTGATTCTTGGAACCATTTGTGTTGATCCGAGGTGTGGTTGACCACTAGGTCCAGGATGATACGGAGTCCTCGCTCATGACAAGCATCGATGAGCACTTCCATATCTTCCACCGTGCCATAGGGCTCATACACTTTCTCGTAGTCGGCAACATCATAGCCCATGTCAATCTGGGGACTGTCGTACATCGGACATAACCAGATCACATCAACCCCAAGACTGGTGATGTAGTCCAGGGACGAAATGATCCCTGGGATATCGCCAATGCCATCATTGTTAGAATCTTTGAAGCTAGCAGGGTAGATCTGGTAGATAATGGAGTTCTTCCACCATTTTTCACCCACGCGAGCTGGAGACATGGTGACGGCAGTGAGGGTAGTGCGATGAAAAGATAATCCCACTGAATTGGAGAGAAGAGGAGGAACAGCACAGCGCTCATGCTATATACCCCAACCAGAGCCTGTTTTTAGATAATCCGAGCACCAGGGACGAGCCCAGAGCCCTGCGAGGCCATACTGTAGGGACGGCATATACTGTGATTGACTCCAAGTCGGGCCGAGTCAACGAATCGATTCCACTTGACTGCATGAGGGGGTTTTTATCAGGCAAATCAAATGTGATGAGTCGTAGAGTTGAGAGTATCGCCGAGGTTGCCCCCGAACTATCAGTCATCTCCAAATCTGGAGAACTCGTGCTCGACTCTCTTTGACCCCCGACTAACCCTTTCCGTTGAACAACTGAACTCTGCGGCACTTCAGACTTCTGCAGAACAAGAAATGAGGGGCGTCTATGTCGGCCCGACTGCCAATGCGACGATATCTGCCGTCTCTAACCCCTTTGGGAGAAGTTGCAACCTTCAACGGAAGAACACCAAGGGGCCACACCTCGTCCAATATGTCTGGCTCCCTGAGATTCCGGTCCGACATTAGTCCAATCGTCGTCTCCCCTCAGACTCCGAGAATCCGGGGTTGAGTGGGCTGATCACTGAACAATCTGGGGAAAACTTTCTCTGCGCCACCGGCCTCGCTTGAAAAAGGTGGTCGCTGCAGCCAATAGAGCCCCCGGTCGATGCTCGCTCAGGATGGACTGCTCCGAGAAACCGTTGAACCTCGTGCATATAAAATACCCATGAATGCCCGCGCGAATACTGCATGTTCCATTCATCTCACCGGTCAGAGACAGTGATACAAATCCAAACCAGCCCATTGAGAGTCCAGTGATGGCTTCTGAAAAGGCACCAATGGCCGAACATGTTGAGAAAGAAGAGTCTAATGACCATGCATCTCACTCAGAAGTCGACCACACCGACCTCCAGACCAGCAATGAAGCCCACGCAGCAATCGAAAAGGAGCACAACATGACCCCCTGGCAAGCCCTGAAGATCTACCCCAAGGCAGTCGCCTGGTCGCTCCTTCTGTCCTGTGCCATCATCATGGAGGGCTACGATGTAGTTCTTCTGGGCTCATTCCTCGGCTTCCCAGCCTTCAACGAGAAATATGGAAACCTCATGTCAGACGGGACCTACGGTCTAACCGCATCCTGGCAAGCAGGACTAAACAATGCCATGTCTTGCGGTCAAATCGTAGGTCTTTTCCTCAACGGCATTGTCTCTGAACGCTACGGCTACCGCAAAACCCTCATGGCCTGTCTCGCCTCAACCGTCGGCTTCATCTTCATCCTCTTCTTCGCACCAAACATCTCAACCCTGGTTGCCGGCGAGCTTCTAATGGGCATCCCACTTGGCGTCTACCAGACCCTCACAGTGACCTACGCCTCAGAAGTGTGTCCAGTCGCTCTGCGCGCCTATCTGACCACATACGTCAATTTATGCTGGGTCTTCGGCCAGCTCATTGCCAGCGGCGTCCTAAAAGGCCTAGCAACACGGACAGACCAATGGGCCTATCGCATTCCCTTCGCCATTCAATGGGTATGGCCCATTCCAATCTTCATCGGTGTCTATCTCGCACCGGAGAGTCCATGGTGGTTAGTCCGCAAGGACAGACGCGAAGATGCCGTCAAATCCCTCAAGCGTCTCACCAAAGCAAACAGCCCTGGATTCAGCGCCGAGGAAACCGTCTCTATGATCATCTACACCAATGCCCTCGAGAAGCGCGTCGAAACTGGTACCTCGTACCTAGACTGTTTCAAGGGTATTGACCGCCGCCGCACGGAAATCGCATGCTGCGTCTGGGCCGCTCAGAGTCTCTGCGGTGCAGGACTAATGGGCTACTCGACGGTCTTCTATCAGCGTGCTGGATTAGCAGTGTCGCAGTCCTTCACGATGTCTCTGGCACAATATGCCATCGGAGTGGTTGGAACTCTCAGCTCGTGGGTGATGATGACCTACTTCGGTCGACGAACCCTGTACGTGGGCGGATTGTTCCTGCTCACAGTGGTCCTACTGGTCATTGGCTTCGTCTCAATTGCACCATCAACACCAGCGATCTCTTGGGCGACGGGGTCCATGCTTCTCGTTTATACATTCATTTACGACTCGACTGTTGGGCCAGTTTGTTTCTCGCTTGTATCTGAGATGCCGTCGTCCAGACTGCGCACAAAGTCGATTGTCGTGGCGAGGAATGTTTATAACGTTCTCAATCTTGTCACGGGCATTATCATTCCGTATATGCTTAATGTTGATGCTTGGAATTGGAGGGGCAAGTCGGGTTTCTTCTGGGGTGCGCTCTGTATCCTTTGTCTCGTTTGGGCTTTCTTCAGGCTTCCTGAGCCGAAGGGACGGTCTTATGCCGAGTTGGATGTCCTGTTTGAGAACCGTGTTCCTACTAGGCAGTTTGCTACTGCCAAGACTGGGTTGGTTCAGGCTGATCTTAAGGAGGAGGGTGTTGCTTAAGAGTATGTTTTGTTAGCTTTGGTTGGAATATAGTCTTGGCCATGTCAATTGAGATCATCTTTTTTGTCATTGACGTACACTCCGTAGTAAGTATAATTCACTAGGTATTCTTAGCTCACATTACTAAAAGTTGACTTGATTCCGCTGTACTCAGGTATAAACATTGCTCAAAAAAACCATCTAAAATGACCAGTTTACAAGGATGGACTTTTTGGAACACTTAATTTTGCTGTATGCTGTTCGTACACGAAGAAATATTTGCAAAAAGAAAAGAAACAGAAGCATCCAGTATAATCATTAAAGGACCAGGTATACGCCACCAATGACAATCGAGCGAAAAAAGCAACAATTTTTGACTCCAGCTAAAGAGAGGGAGAAAGACTGGTATATCAGTTGTCCACCAAGAACTTCATGCGGATACCCATAGCAGCCAGCTCAACATCCAAGTAGCGGAGCACACCAGGCACAGCAACAATAGTAACATTGTCACCGCCAACGAAGCGGTGTCCATTACCGTCCTCCCAGACCTCAGCACGGGAATCGTCGAAGATAGCCTCACGGGCACAACGACGACAGCGCACAATACCAGCCAAACCACCAACAGCACCAACGGCGCCCGCAGAGTGAGAGTGACCCTGCTGGTTAGGCGCAGCCTTGGCAGCAGCAGCGACAGCACCGGGGTTGACAGCAGTGCGCGAACGAGACGAACCAGAGACAGCAACCTGGGTGGAGAGGAAAGAACCACAGGAACGACAGATCCAGGTATGCTGGGCGTCGGAGCAGTTCATGAGACGATCTTGGAGGAGGAAGGCGGCACCGTGGGCAATCAGGGAATCACGCTCCATCTCTCCGACACGGATACCACCACCCTTGGCACGACCCTTCACGGGCTGGCCGGTGAGCGCGTTGACGGGACCGGTGGTACGCACTTGGAACTTATCGTTCACCATGTGACGCAGACGCTGGTAGTAGACTAGACCCATGTAAATGTCGGCGGAGAACTCGCGGCCTGTGATTCCACTGTACAGGGGCTCGTTGCCGTAGTAGTTGTAACCTGCTTTGCGGAGCTGCTCACCGAAGTAGTCGGTTGCGGTGTTTTCTTCGGAGAATTGGAAGGGAGTGGAGTCTTGAGGAAGACCGTGCATGGCACCGGCCTTTCCGGCCATGGACTCGATCATCTGGGCGATGGTCATACCTAGATTTTGTTAGACGTGGTTTAGAGGGATTGAGTGATGGGGAAACTCACGAGAGGGGAAAGCGTGAGGGTTGATAATCAGATCGGGCTGCATGCCGCTCTCGGAGAAGGGCATGTCGACCGAAGGCCACAGCTGTGACAAAACACCCTTCTGACCGTGACGAGAGGAGAACTTGTCACCAATGACGGGCTTACGGGGAATGCGGTACTTGACACTGATGGATTGCATGGGCTCATTGCCGTTCTCGGATCCCATGATACGAATGCTGTCGACATATCCCTCCTCGGCATCCTTGTACTTCATGTAGTGAGTGATACCGTCAACGTTGACAAAGGAGTCGGAGGCAGGATCAAAGCGAACGTTGTACCAGGCAGCAATCTTGTCTCCCTCCTTGACGCGAGCACCCAAGTGAGGCAATCCATCCTCGTCGAGGATGGCGCGCACCTGTTCCTTGATCTCGTCGCCGGGAGCAAAACCAAACAGCTTGGTAACATCGCGCTTGGACTTGCTGCGCTTGGAGTCGCCCTCGGCCAAGGTGTGAACCTTGGTCTTGTAGACTGTACCGTGACCGAAGCCGCGCTCGTGGGCGGACTTGTTGATAATCATGGCGTCGTCCATGTCGTATCCGGTGTAGGAGATGATAGCAACAACTGCGTTCATACCGTTGGGGAAATTGTCCAGACCATAGGCGTTGTACAGAGGTGGCCGGACAATTGGCGTTTGACCAGTTTGAATGCGGTACAGCTTGTTGTCTGTACGGTATGCGATGGAGGTACCCGGCGTACCCATGGTCTGTTTACTCATCTGACACTGGTACATGTTACGGGGAGATTGGTTGTAGTCGGAGAAGGGGGTCATGTTGGCGACAATCGACAGAATGTTGGTCGGGGTGAACTCGATGTGGGTTGAGAGACCGGGGAGCAGATCAGACTCAACACAAGCAATCTCCATGAAGGGCTGCTCGAATGGACCCACGTAGTCCAGCTTGTCGGAAGCAAGATACTTGACTGGTCGGTACATCCTGGCGGCCTGGGAGAACATGTAGACACCGGGGTATTGTCCACCGGAAGAGTTGGGGACGTATCCAACTTCCAATTCACGGGGGATGTTGTGCTTTCCTTCGACCTTCCAGTAACGGACAGTGTCGGCGATTCTCTGGGCTTGCTTCGGGGAGCAGTAACCGATGATTCGGCCATCCAACTGAACGACCACACTCTCGTCAATTGCCACAGAAGACTCAGCCCGAATGCCAAGCTGAACCAAAAGGCGAGGGAGGTGGGAGACGTCCAAATCACCGGTAGAAATCAAACACTTGTGCGACAAATGGTTAAGAAGACCACAAGGCGATCCATCAGGAGTGTGAACAGGACAAAGGAAACCCCAACTCTCTGGCAGCAGCTTACGGACGGTAGTAGTCTTCAACTGGGCGAAGAAACTACCACGGTGAATCATGCGGAAATGACTGATGAAACGGTAGAAGTTAATCTTTTCGGCGATAACAGTGTAACCAGACGTCTGTTGTAAATCGAGACCAGTAGGACTGACCAAGTTACCGGTCGAAAGGAAGTACTCGAGCGCATTACCAATGTTCTCGTTGGATCGTTTGACGATCTTAGACAAGAAGTCACGTTCAAATGCGGAGTCTGTGAACTTGGCGCCGTTGTTACGAATAGACCAGTCTCTTGCGATAGGTCCGAATGATCGAAGCCATTCTTCGATACGTTCCTTAAGGATCATACCGTACAGGAAACCACCAAGCAGAATTTCCTGGTTGGAGACGGCATCGGGGTTGTCAGGGGCACAGTCACCTGCAACGGTGGAGTACAACTTCCGAATCATAAAGGTGATCATCTTGAACTTATCCCAGTCCTGAGACTCGGTAACGTTCTCGTTTCCAAGGTGAGGGAGAACGACCTTGCGGAGGAACTCTGTGCCAACCTCTTCATCGGGCATATCCGCAGGAACACCGAGAACAGGACGGAAAGCCTTACCCAAGTGGGTCCGGCAGTCGTACTGGCTGTGCTTCTGGTAGGCATGGTAGGTTCTCAGGAGAAGTTCGACTCGGTCTGTGACGAAAGTGTTCTTCATGCCCTTGGATTGGGCACCGCCAACGATGGATTCGAAGATTTCGCGGTCATTAGTCTCAGCAAGGGCCTTGAGAATCATCATCACGGGAATGAGATATTCGTTCTTGCGCCATGAGAAACGGAAGGTAACGTTTCCATCGGAGAGGTAGTGGAGCACATTAGTCTGCGAAGTCTGATCGGGACGAACTGAACGTATTTGAACACCGAACTTTGTGTAAGATTGACCACGCTTCACGAACGAACCACGAATAATGGACATGGGGAAGTTGCGCTTGCCGACGATCAGCATACGAATCAGCTTCTCGTTACCATTGACAATGTAGAAACCGCCCAGTTCCTCAGACTCCTCCTTGTGGCGCACAAGCTCTTCGGGAGTGGCCTTCTCAAGGTGGCACCGGTTGGTGCGCACCATGATGGGGACGTTACCGAGCTCACGAACAGATTCCATCCAGTCGCCGTTGTTGACCTGGTACTCGAGACGAGCACGGAGCTTACCACGGTATGTCGAATGGCGCTCTCGACATTCTGAGGGGTAAATTTCACGGTTGCGAGTTGCGAACTTGTTCGTGGGGGGCAGAGTGGGCTTCTCGAGGAAGATTTCGCGCACGCGGACGTTCAGGCGGTTGCGCTTGGGTGCGCGCAAGCCCTCGGCTTGGCGGACCTTCTTCTGTTCATAGGTCTCGAGCTCTCCATCGAGGAAAGTCTTGGTGCCGATATCCCGCAATCCAGCCTCCAGAATCTTGCTATCCTCGAAGAGAGCATTGAAGGAATCGACATGCGGCCGAATCGACTCGGCCAACGACGGGTAGGCAGTGGTATCCGTGGGAGGATTCTGGAACAAGTTCTCCCGTCGCAGGGTGTCGTAGTCCACCGACCACTTGGTATCTGTGGCGGTAGGAGCCATGGTGGAAATTCGCAGCTCTTGGCTGGTATGATGTAGATTGAAAAAAATTGCAAAATGTCACGAGGGTAGAGGATGGAAGTTGAGATGACAATTTTGAGGGAGCAGATCCGCAGCCTCCCAAGAGTATAATATGCTTGAACCCAAGGGTATTAAACCGACAATGGCAGCTGCCAGACGACAGAGAGACAAGTCCGTTCTGCTTGGGGAAATTTTTCGAGGTGGAACCGTTATCATCACGTGGTGATATCCTTGGTGGCCTCACATTTCAGGCCGCAACTCCTCGTGACATCAACTCAACTTGAACTTAGCACAACTTTAGTGCTCTCCTCGTGTTTCCTTATCTTCCTGCCTAATATCTGCTTATAATCAACGTAGAGTTCTGTCTCTCTCTTGAAATGCGCCCGTAATTTTAAGCTCCGTATCAATCTAAATATAATCCAAGAATAAAATGACAAAACAAGGAAATAAGCCTAAGCGCCTGAAGTGTTCACCCGCGGGCGGTTATGTCCAAACCTCATCGACTTCGACCCCACCTATTTCATAAGCCTCTCCGCTGCTGGCAGCTGAGCTTGTTTGGATCTTGACTTCTCTTTTTTTCTTTTTGTATTTCATCATGGCTGCCATTTTCCGTACTATCTATGACTGGCTTCTGAGGGTATTCTGGTAAGTGGCCCGTCCCTGTTGAACCGTCAACTGGCTAAGTATCCCAGGGCCACGGAGATGGATGTCACCATGATCGGCCTCCAGAATGCCGGAAAATCCTCACTGTTGCGTGTATTGGCGGTATGTGAACCCCCTATCCTGATCTTAAAAGATCCCATATATGTTCAATCCGAGCCGAGTTGCTGACCGGTGTGCAGGGCGGCGAGTTCACTGTCGAGTAAGTGTTGTCCATCTAACCCAACCTGTTAGCTGTATCTCATCAGAGTGTGTGTGTGCTTGACAGCTCGATCCCAACAATCGGGTTCAACACGAAAAGGGTTCAAAAGGGCCATGTGACCCTGAAATGGTGTGTCTTTCCACCATCTCCAAGAGACGACACCACTAATCTTCCTCTCAAGCTGGGATCTTGGCGGCCAGCCCCGGTTTAGACCGATGTGGGAACGGTATTGCCGAGGCGTCAACGCGATCGTGTAAGTGCCCGTATCTCCTAGTACCTCCGGGCTTCTCCGGACACACTGACCCAGACGATACAGGTACATTGTGGACGCAGCAGACCGTGCTGCACTGCCAGTAGCGACAGAAGAACTGCACGACCTAATGAAAAAGCCCACGCTGGACAGTATCCCCTTACTAGTCCTTGGGAACAAGTCCGATCTCCCAGACAAGTTATCCGTGGATGAGCTGATTGAAGCGATGGACCTGAAATCCGTCACTCATCGCGAAGTAAGCTGCTATGGAATCAGTGCTAAGGAGGAGACCAATCTCGATGCGGTTCTGCATTGGTTGATACATCGGGCCAGTCGATGAAGAGCCGGGTCGTTTGGGTGTTAGCTTTTTATATTCTGGACTTTTTCGACTCACGATATCCCTCTTGTACGGTTTGCGCTTTGGATGTCTTGCATTTCTTTGGATTGATTTCATATCCTGTAGACTCTAGCGTTTTTCTGTTGGTTTTGTCTTTTTTCTGGGGGGGCTTGCAGCGAAAGTAACGACTTGAACGATATAGTCCGACAGTTAGTGATTTGGCGATTCGCATGTTAATCATGATACACGTTGACCCGGTTTCTCATTTGACTTGGATTGAAGTCTGAGCAGAGTAGAAGGGGAAATTGACAGATAAATAAGTTGAAACACGGGCCACCCTGCATGGATGCGCTGGCAGCCAACGCATAAGCACTTATACAATTCACGTATAGGCCTCGGAGGACATCCGCCTCTACACATGCTACGCAGGATCATGTTATTCTCACATGAGAAATCAAGTGGCATTAGTCGTACACAAAAATATCTAAGATCGGTTTTGTTGGCCAGAGCAACTGTGCCCATCCCTTCGCGCCCTAGATAGCGCAAGAACGCCCGTAAACATCAAATTAAACCAGATTAACAGGACTCAGATGGTGAAACGTGAGCTTATTTGCAGCGCTTCTCCACGATGTTAGGTCCATGCTCCTCGTACTCCTTCTTCGAGATCCACATCTGGTGGAATGTTCCCAGACTGGCCAGAATACTTCCTCCGATCCAGGATCCGAAGCGACGCTCTGAGGTGTTACCAGGGGCGGTGACACGGACACGGGGGCCGGGGAACATCTGCATCAGTTCGTGGTTCAGACGGTCTGTGAAGCCATAGAGCAAGCTTGAGCCGCCAGTCACGACGACATTGGCCAACAAGTGGGGACGAATATCCACATCAACACCAGCCAAAGAGGCCTTGATCAGTTCAGGGATAGTCTGAGCGGGAGTTGGGGGAGCGAAAGAAGATTCGGGGTCGGGAATAGCAGCCTTAGCATCAAACAGCGATTCCACCACGCGGAAGCGTTCAACACCAAAGACCTGGTTGTATCCGTCGGGGAACTCGAAGGGACGGCCGGGGGAGGTACGGGCCATATCCTCGTTGGAAACGCCGGTGGGTCCAAGGGCAGAGAGTCTGGTTGGCCCGGGCCACACCTGGACGACACATTCCTTGAACTCGCCGAGTGTGCGCTCCTCCATAAGAGCACGGTATGACACATCGGGTGCCTTGTCTGCGGGGAAAGTCTTGTACTTCGCCTGGGGAGCCTGGCCAACTTCGACGGCAGCCTTTGAACTGATGAGGTAGTGCGGAGTAATTGTGATCGGTTGCGGGGAGTTGGATTTGAACAATGCGTTTATCTGCGACGAAATGTAGTCACCTCCAAGCGGGGAGTGTTGCACACCACGCTTCAGGATCATGCCATCGTGGATCGGAGTAATGGAGATGTTAGAAGCACCAATGTCAACAACAAGGGCAGAGGCCTTGCCAGAGGCGAAACTACAAATAAATCAGCAAATGAACAGCAAAGCAGATTGGCTTGGCACATACGCAGCAAGAACACCAGTGCGGGCTAGATAGAAGGCAGGGGTATCCCATTTTTCCATTGCGATTTCAATGGTCTTCTCACGCGCCTTGGCCGGGTTCCATCCAGGCTCCGTCATCAACAGTGGGCTGTCCGAGAGAGGCTTCTCTTCCGACTCCACCTCCATCTCTGTCGGGAGCTCTTCGCTAGGAATGTCGTTCAATCCATTCTGGAATGGGTTGCCCGGTTTTGTCCCGGTGAGTCGGGAAGTAAATGAGTGCTCCCACACCCTCTCTGCCATATCCCAATCCTCGACGATTCCATCCTTGTTGATTGGGTTGTGGATGGACAGACCGGGGCGCGGGGTAACGAAGATATCATCGCCGTAAATGAGTTTTTCTTGTCCGTCGGCATTGTACTTTCCGTAGTAGGTAGGAATTAGTGACTTGGGAGCATCTTCACCTGCGAAGCCTGCGCGAGTGGTTGAGTATCCTGGGTCCAGAACAATGGCAGACACCTCGTCTATAAAGGTGAAATTAGCATCTTTCGGAGCAGTGATTCGCCAATCAACAAGGTTGTAGTGGGCGCAATTGGTACTGTGTTGGGATCACGTACCTCCGCCATACTCGGCAGCTTGAGGTGGGTTGGAAGGGTTCATTGCGGTTGCGCAGGGATGTTTAGGGTTTCTGTCGCCGTCACAGTTGTATTATGCAACAATGTTGGATAATGCGTCCAAGTGTCCGTTTTTATGCGAAAGCGACGAACGATGGAAGGGGCTGGTCTGAGGCAGGGAAGAGCCGTCTTTTTGCGGTTGTTAGCTTCAACCGTCTTGGTCAATTGGCGTCAACCCGAGAGATTAGTCAGATAATATGTATCACGTGACTGTATAGCAGCCTCGCCTTCTTGAAAATACTCATTCATTATTACTATACAAGAGGCGTCGATTTAGCTTAATTTGAGTTTAAGTCTTTGATCAATTCTCCTCGTTTTGGTTGCATGTAAATCATATGGATGATACTTCATGTAAATATCTAGGACCTCATTGTATATATAGATAGGACCACACGCTCATTCGTACTCCTGTTTTCGTACGATCGTTCCATTTCATCTTTCTAGGCCTCTCAAAAACGGGAGAACATACAGGAAAAAAGAACAGCTAGCTAATACCATAAACATAAACAAAATAAAAACTTAAAATGCTAAGTAATGGCTTGTGAGAGGAATATAAACACAGATATCAACAAGAGAAGCCTAAAGTTTCTCTTACCAAACTAGCGAGTTTTCATGAAAGACCAGGAAGCATATATCTAGAGAACCCGCCTTATATGTAGTTAAACCACAATAAATTCAGTATCTGAGTGACAGGGAATCAACAATTATACAATATCATGATGGTATCAAGTAGCTAGCAACTTCAAAAATACATGCCACATAAACAAGAGACATTAAGATCATACAAAGGGCTTGTTTGCCCGACAGAAACATGACAATCATTTTTGTCCTGGCTTCGTCTGTGTTTCTCGCATAGCAGCCCTGGCACTCCGACTGCCTCCCAGCTTTGGCCCACGAGGCCCCTCAGCAACCTTGGGAGCTGGCTTTGCCGTTCGGCGACGGGTCTGAATTGCATCCATAAAGTCACGTCGGAATTGCTCAGCGATTCGATCATCAGCTGCTTGATCGTCGAATTGGGTTTCGTCTTCAGGATCATCATAGACATCCACTTAAGCGGTCAAAATTAGCCAAGATACCCTGAAGTTCAGGTGCGCATGCCACGTACATTTGCTTTCGCGTAGAATTTCCTCAACAAGACGATCTCTTTCGATGTCTGCGTCTGTCCTCTGCTTGCGATTCCGCCAAGGCTTTCCATCAGGGCCAGAGCGACTCGTTCCCAGTGCTGATGTATCTCCCGGTACCAGGACATCTTCTTCTCCAGCAAGTTTCCGAGTCGCAGCTTCTGTTCGCGCAATGTTGCGCAATCTGGCTTCATGGCCGAGATCGATTTCGTGGAGTTTGCCGAGTGATGCAGGCTCGCGTTGTTTTTGACCGAGCACTGATAGCCCACCGGCTGTTTGGTCGCGGGATTGATCGACTTCTGTGGTCTCTGCCTGAGACTCAGGCTGGTAGCGCTTGGCCATTTCGGAATCTATGTATGCCATCCTTATCTCGTTAGTCCACATCGACCGAATTTGTTATTATGTGTAGCAAGGGTTCATACATGTGTCTGTCAACATCCACAGTCTGGCCGGTATATCCTGTGAAGCGCTCATTCATAGCCTGGACCTTCTCTTGATCAGGATCTCCAGATACGGGCCCAAGGGCCTGTTGTCGATTTTGTTCATCTCTTAGTCGTGATGTGGTAGAGAACGCAATCCCACCTTTCCTGGTGACACGTGCGCGCCGGCTCGCGGCCGGCTTTGTAGTACTGTGGGCGTCTGCCGGTGATTGCCTGTCAGGACTTCGATTGGGTTGGTTTGCTGGACTGGGGGCAAGATCGGCATCGGATGCTTCTGGGATTTCATGATCGGGACGGCGGCGCATGAACTTGCGCTTTTTCGCTGGGCGAAAGAGGGATTCATGTACAACGTCCGGCCCTAGATCCATCGTGCAGGGCGGTTCAAACTCAGAGAGGCGACAAAGGAAAGATTTCTGGAGAGCAATGTGAGGTCATCGGGAAGAAGGATTGCTATTGGTTCAACCGCAGACCGCTTTACCACCTGTTGACATCAAGCGCATTTGGTGATTGACGCACAAGATGGAGAATTCTAACCTCTTTGGCAATCCATACAACCGTGTGATGTGACTGATAAAGACGAGACCTAACCTGTCACGACTCTACTTGCGAGACTTTCGGCGTTAGCAATTGGAAGATGTGATATATACCCGTCTCTACAGAAACCGGGGCATTCCAGTCTCCTGAGCCTTCTTCTTCTCCTCATTTTGTATGTTCTTCTGGAATAATTATACACCGCGATGCCTTGATAGACAACCAGGACATCAAATAAATTATTAGGCACAGTCTACACGTTTTGTGTTTGAATGACCTCTTGCAGCTGTTGTAGCTGCGCGGCTCTGAAACCTCTAGATGTTAGCAATATTGTGGGCTGGGGGCTCCGGCGTCTGTCAAGCAGTTCAGTGTGTAGCTGTCCTTGGAGGTGTCATGTTGCGAATTAAGCGCAGCGCTGTTGAGTGGGCTGATCAGGGTGTTGCTGGCCATCTTGCTGCTGCTGCTACTGAAACTGCTGTTGTTCACTTTGTCATATCAGCGATGGGGTGCTTCCTAAATCTGGGTCAGATGAGCTATCGCGCTCATCTTGAATTGCTGAGCTTGTAGCTCTTGGTGGGGCTTCGTGAGAGGAGGTGGATGATGTGACTCGGGCGCATCTTGGAAATCGGAGTGGTTCGTCTGGGGTCTGAAGGCCCACTAGCAGTCGTGCCATGTTGCCGATCACGGCGTTGGTATGTCCAGCGGGGATAGGGGCGGAGGTGGTGGTCGAGGTAGGGTCATATATCGTGTCACCGCACAAGGGCCCCGGTGATTGTTGTGGTGTTCGCCGTAATCGTGGGATTGTTCTGGATTTCTATTTCTCCGTCAATCAGAGACCTAATTTTTGGGATATCACATAACAAAACTTTTATCTTCCACTGGCCTTTTCACCATCTTTTGGGTCGCATCGTCTGTACGGCAAGTGAAGCAGCTGCGTGGCCCGTGGGTCTTCTATAGAGTATTTTCTAGATACTAGCTATCTGAACCAAGCTTGCACATAGTCGAAATATTGACGAATTAGAATTATACCATAAAGGCCCTAGATTCCTTCAAGTCCCATCCTTACATGGCTCAGATGATCAACCTTGGGTACTCGGAAATGGGGCAAAGGCGCCAAAACAGAAGAACCAGCCAAGTCAAGACACAGAGAATGTATTACGTGGTACACTTGTTTCGAGACTTTTATATTGCCTTGTTCTATACTTTGATAAAATCTCATATTATCTTCAGTAAACTAGCATAAGCACTGGAGTTCCGGCCCACGATACAAAGAGCTACACGTCTCCGATGCTTGAGACCAATGAGGTCCACGTTGAAGCATTCGCACGCCAAGATACTAACGAATGTGCAATCCAAGCTACGGATGATATCGGAAATATGTCTGGACAAGAGGCCAGAGTCGCATCGGGAAGCCGTTTTCATACAAAGTTTAAGCCTCAAGTGACATCCCAGGGAAAGTATGCCGGTACTCTTCCACGTCCGCTGCTTATCTGACCTCCATTGGGTGGTAATAAAAGACTCCTTTTATTCAATATCTGCCATCAAGAGGCTTATGAGAGCATCTGCCGGTTCGAAAGGTGCCAAATTACCACTGTGCCCAATGATAGTCCTCAATATATGGGCTAGAACCCCAAAAGAAAGCCAAGAGTAACATATTAGGTATAAGTTAAAATATGGCCATCTCTACTTAGAAAAGGCTCTTTTGGAAAGTAGAACCCGCGGTACCCGAACGAATTATGCGCTCTATCTAAGTTATGCCCACCTTTGCAATGACGCGTACACAACAGGAACTGGGGCCGAACAGTCTCGAGCTTCGGGAAATTGTGATCTTATCGACGCCGTCTCCGCATGTCAAAGAACAATTCTTCCTGATATCCACTCGACTCCGCACTTGGAAGGCATTGCACGTCATGTTGACTTAGGCTCAGGGTCTCCCGAAGGGGGATGTCGGAATCTCAATTCCAGATGTATCAGATTGATCCCATCATTGGCTTGGAATCCCTTTCAATGGCCTGACGAGTGGGGATACGAAGACAAACGAATGGTACTCGAAAATTACCCGGGGAACTCGGCGGATTGGGGCAATCACAATGTTCAAGGCCAGCCCCGTGGGGGTCAGGATCAACATTTGCGGAGATCGGACATTTGGAGACTCGGGATGAAGCGAACATTGGCAATGTCTTGGTATCACGTAAGGAGCTATACTATAGTGGTTCTCAGAAAGCGAAGTGGTGTAGCTCGGGATATTTCCCAGCCTTCACGTTCAAGTCCTGGAGAGGTGAAGGGTGACAATGGAGGCGATACGGCAAAGGCGGTGACATGAACCGGGCCGATAGAATCGGGGTCCGATACATCACTTCACCTGTTAACCATGTTGAGCCGAGATGCGATAGTTTTCGACAAGCCATCAGGAGAGAAGATTGTTTCTATCTCGACCTCAACCCGGGGCCCCGTACCCCATCCTGGAATCTCCAAACGTCAAGTCTCCACTTCAGGATGAGGTGGGTTTGAGAATGCGGTTTCGTTTGCACGATTCAATTACCCAACCTCATGCCATTCGCCATTACCAATCACTATCGTTTTACGGAAAGTGACCGAGTCAAGTGGAGATTTCGTAGGGTTTGAAGCCAAGATGCCAAGACTGTCCACGTTGTCTGGGGCGCAGGCACACCGAAATCAAGCCAGAGACAAGCCTTGAGAGCCTCCGATATTTGGCCCGAGTTAGGAAATGACTGACCGAAACCCCACGCTTGACAACAAGCCAAGACACCTTTCCCTCGGCATATTCAACATGGTCAACCCAGAATGTTGTCCATAGATCCCGGTCCCTCTCAAGATGTGAAGGGACCTGTGCGGGATACCTCCGATTCTCGCAAATCAATCTCTCAGAGATCAGCCCGCCACACCCCTGATCTTCGGTCCCAACCCGTGGATCAGGCGGTCTGTTGGCTCGGGAGTGGCAAACCGGTCCAGCTCTCACCGGGGGTCAAAAACCTTACCGTGGAGTCGGCGCTCTGACCGAGTCACAGTCCCGTTTGCGAAACCTGACCAGCTGCAATGGCCAGATTGATCCACTGTGGCATTTGTCTGTCCACAGAATGATATTTAAAAAAAAAAAAAAGACTGATTACATGATGCGGGGTCTCCACGACACCAGCAAAGGGACCAAGGGTATAAACTTGTAGGCGAGACCTGCCTACTCTGACTTTTTTTCTTGTCAGAGTGACAATCCTATACTCCTATATCCATCCCGGCCATGTTGTTTCGAGGTAAAGCCCTGCGCGTAGCGCAGGCGTTGCTTATCGTTGCACCTGCCTTCATTGTTTTCGGTTACAACCAGTCTGGCTTGGGCCCTCTCGCTACCCTCCAGAGCTGGGTGAATGTGTTCCCCGAAATTGACACCATTGACACCGAGGGTGCCGTGCGTGCCACAAACTCTACCAAGAAGGGTGCTGTTATTGCATCCTTCCAACTAGGTGCTCTGATCGGAGCTCTGTCCTGTACATGGTTTGGCGAGCGACTGGGTCGCCGTTGGACTATCTTCGTGGGTGCTATCCTTACTATCATCGGCCAAGTGCTGCAGACTGCAGCCTTTGGTCTTCCTCAATTTGTCGTCGGCCGTGTTATTCTCGGTTTCGGTGTTGGTCAATTCAGTGTTGCCGTCCCTGTGTGGCAGTCTGAGTGCACATCGGCTAAACACCGTGGACAGCACGTTGTTGTGGATGGTATTTGTATCTGTTTAGGTTATGCCCTATGCAATTGGATCGACTTTGGTCTCAGCAAGATCGATGGTTCATTGCAATGGCGTGTCCCGTTAGCCATATCTTTCTTCTTCTCTCTCGTTGTTCTCGTCTCGGTCTTCCTCCTCCCCGAGTCTCCTCGTTGGCTCGTGCGTGTCGGTCGCATTGAAGAAGCCACCCAAAGTCTGGCTGCCTACAAGGGGCTGTCCGACGAGGATGAGGCCGTTCGTATTGAGATCTCCGGAATTGAAACCTCTCTTGAGGTCTCTGTCGACAGCGCTTCGCTTATGGATATCTTCAACCGCAGCAAGCCCGACGAAGAGCGTCTCCTATACCGCTTCTGCCTCTGTGTTGCACTGCAATTTTTCCAGCAGATGTGTGGTGGTAACTTGATCTCAACATACGTGTCAACTATCTTCGAAGAGAATCTTCACATGGACAGTGACTTGGCCCGCATTCTGTCCTCATGCGCAATGACCTGGAAATTCCTGTGCAGTTTCATTGCCTTCTTCGCCATTGACCGTCTTGGTCGCCGAAAGATCTTCATGATCTCCGGTGCCGGTATGTCTGTTTGCATGATGGTCCTTGCTATCACCAACAGCTTCGGCCAGAACCACACTGCCTCAATTGTCTCGGCGGTATTCATCTTCTTGTTTAACTCCTTCTACCCCGTTGGCTTCCTCGGTGGTAACTTCCTTTACTGTACCGAAGTTGCTCCTATGCGTCTTCGTGTCGCCATGTCCGCTATCTCTACTGCGAACCATTGGCTGTGGAACTTTGTGGTTGTCATGATCACCCCCGTCGCTCTCGACACTATCGGTTACCAATACTATATTGTGTATACCGTTATCTCAGCCATGATCCCCATTTCGGTCTATCTGTTCTACCCAGAGACCATGAACCGCAATCTGGAGGCTCTGAACCATGTCTTCCGTGATGCACCCACCACATGGGACATTGTGTCTATGGCTCGTCACTTGCCCCAGGGTGAGGCTGCCGAGGTGGATGTTTGGATGAAGACGGAGGAGAAGGGAGCTGTGGAACAAAAGGAACTTGCTTGAAATATAGATTAAATTATTGATTTTGGCGACTGTACATATGCTTTACGATGATGAAACTCTACTATCAAGAGTACAATGAATGAGTGATTTCTTTTCAACACATTGGTCAGATAACAGATTCCAGCAAAGCATCGTAGCCTGCCTGGACTTTCTCTTTATCTTAAGCTTTTTCTACTTAAATCAAGGTCCAAATCATTTGTGTGGAAAATCTCTGTTTATCCCGTTGAGATGCCAAAGCTGCCCCCACCAGTGGATCATAATCTTACAAAAACATCTTCCCCCAGAAGCAAACTCCAATCATTAGCAAGGTGATTATCTTGATGAAACATAAGAACCGAGATAATATAGCCAATCTCTAGCGCCTTTTAAAAACCAAGGGGCATTCATCCTAGAAATCAAAGTTAGTACCGGTGAGCTCAACAAAACCGAACAAGCCAACACCGAGAAAACCCCGAGGAACTAGGGGAAAAAAAGAAAAAGGAAAAACCAACCATGGGAAACAAAGTAGCAAAAACCCGAATTTCCTCCGATTTGTCGGTAGCATAATGCTCCCAATCAAGCTCTAGTGCTGCTTTCCCAATCATGGCAGCCATAGAAAGCGGCACATACTTCCTCGCCAGACAATCATGAGGCCCCGCGCCGAACACAAGCCAATTCTTAGTCTTGGACTCGGCATCCCCGGATATCCAACGCTCCGGGTCGAACGTGTCGGGGTTGGGGTAGACGTTCGGGTCATGCAAAGCAGGGTAGCAAGAAGGAATGATCATTGATCCCTTGGGGACTGTGTAGGAAGGTGTTACGGGGAAATTTTTAGTTGCCAGATAGGGGACAAATATGACGGGTGGTCTGTGGCGGAGGAGTTCTTTGATTACTGCGTTTGTGTAGACCAGAGACTCCAACATGGGCAGGTCAAATGGTCTGGTTTTGTCGCCGCCTCTTGCTGCGAGATTCTCTTCGCGAAGTCGGGTCAGGACGTCCGGGCGTTGGGCGAGGATTTGGAAGAGCCATGTTGTTGCGCTACTTGAGGCGTCTTGTGAGGCGAAGAGGAAGGTGAAAAGTGTTTCACCGATTTCCTCGTTGGTAAACTCGCGGATCATGTTCGTTGGCTTTTCGGCGTCTGTTTCGCCTGCGGCCACTTTCTCTTGGTATTCTTGAGATTTGATCATGTGCAGCACCCAGTGGTCTACAATGCATGTGGGGGTTGCTCCTGTTGCCATGTTTTTCTTGCACGCTGCTGCGCATTTTGCGAATTCGACATGGACTGCATCGGCGATTCGCTTGCCGAGCCAGGGCTTGGTGAAGGGAATGTATAGAGATAGGGGAACATTGACTAGTTCCAGGGCAGCTGTCGCCAGGTAGAAGTCGTCTGCGATCTTCTTAACCGCTGCTTGAGAGATGTAGTCACCGAAAAATGTCCGTAAGGAGAGAGCACAGTTGATTTCACGGAACATGGACATAAAGGGAAGTGGCTGTCCTTTGTTTGCCTCGCTCGCTGCGATGAACTTTTCGAAGTAGTCGGACAGTACTTTCTCTTGGACTGGGAGGTAGGTGGAGATGGCCCGGTTTGTAAACAGAGGAGTCAATCCTCGTCTGTACTCTGCGTGCGCTTTCCCTTGGAGAAAGACCCAGGCCTTATGGCCGAGGATATCCTTCGCAATCGGTACAATACATGGCTCGGCATAGGAAGGCGATTTGAAGACCTTGTGGGCGATGTCTCGGTCGGAGGCAAGTACAACAAATCTGTAATTCATCATGTCAGTATATACATAATCATGTGCATCTTCGGTGTATGCTTGTAAAAAAGAATTGAATATGCATACTTGTGGAAGACTGATACGCAGCTTAGAGGACCACTGGCCCACTGTTCAAGATATGCATCGAATTTGGGATGAAGCGCTTGGATGAAGGGACCCATGAGTGGAATCTTGAAAGCCGGTCCGGCAATGGAGCCTTTTCGCTTGATATACATCACTACAGCGATATCAGCTAGGTTGGTATATTAGGTGAAATGGGCATCCCCGGTTACCTTGGTCGTAGACTACCATGGCAAGGAGAAATGTCACGACATATTGCCAGGTAGACCACCCTGAAAAAGCACTCAACCAGCTTTCAGCATGATGAGACGGGTTAAGCAGTAATGTATTTGATTCAATCTGAGTTATCGAAGCGTTCGAGATATCAGCCGCCATCTTGGAGATCTCGGTCTTTCTGCAAGATACTGGGGTAGAGAAAGAAATTGGGAACACAAACTGGGAGTAATTGAATTAAATAAGATGGAGCCTATGCACCCTTCAGGGGGTGCCAGAGTGAAGTTTCCAACAACTACAAGGGAGCTGAAGTGCTTTGTATGGCCCCATTGCAATCGGACCATCTAGGGCATAGCCTAATTAGGACTAGACTCCGATGTCAGTCGGGATCTAGTCCTATTTGGGCTAGCGCAAGTTTGGCAAGTATATGCCGAGGTGTGTCGCTCTGCAAATATTGAGAGATCTTGAGAGATCTTGAGACGTTGAGAGTTGAAATATGAAATGAGAAGTCGCCAAGAGCCGGAAGGAAGTCTCTTTTGTCTACATGCCAGCCGTTCACTTCGAACACTCTGTTGCTTCGATCCGACCTTTGAAACACCAGACAGGTAAAGGCGGTGTGTCATAGGGCAATCTATTCCGCTGACTCTCCTTGTTTTGATGGCTCAATCCCCCCAGTCTCGTTGCTTCGATATGCCACAGTCTCTTCGCCGAAGTTGTGCGGCGTGTGCTAAAGCGAAACACAGTTGCGACCTCCGTGCCCCGCGCTGCTCTCGCTGTATCAAACGTCAAGTCCAGTGTGTGTATGCAAATACACCGTGGACCGTTACGGCACCCTCCGGTCCGGACGAGAAATCAGACAGTGCTTTCGGTACAGCCAGCAGGTTAAGCTGCAGGTTTGGGTCCGTCGATCCATTTGATTCATATCCACAGACCAGACTTCCCCGGACACAAGTTCAACGCCTGATCCATAGCTGTACGTCTGCCTTGAAACCACGCCGAACAAAACTAAGATGTACAGTCCTTCATAAAATTGCATTTCAATACTACCCTCTTGATTTGAACGCAACCTCAAATCCGTTCCTCATCTCTTGGTGGCCATTAGCTCTAGGTGACCCGGCATTATTCCATGTTTCGCTGCAGACGGCATGTCTCGACGAGGAACTCCTTGCCCAAAAGGGCTTCCAGTCTTCCGAAGTACTCATGGCAGACTCAGTGACCCTGCTGCGATCTAAAATTGAGGACATATCCCTTGCCGTTCAAGACGGGACCATGAACTCTGTTATCACTTTGGCAACGATCGAAGTAAGATGCCGAAGGCCCTGCTAGACTTTTTGAACAGACCACTGATCACCCGTAACTTCAGTTTGGGAAAGGAAACACTGAAATAAGCGAAATGCACGTGAATGGAGTGAGGAGATTGGTGAATATGAGAGGTGGTATTAACTCGGTGAGACAAACCAGTCCACTGACAGCGCGAATGATTTGTTGGTAAGGTGGCATCTTAACACAAGCTGAGTATGCTACTGACCTAGCTTTAGGGTATCCATGTTGATAATGGGTCATCCGCAATTCGAGACCCAGGATGACACCGGCATCGGAGATGGTATACCCCCCATCCCCGAATGGCAATTAAGCTCGACCGCTCTATCCGAGAATCTATATGATGTTAGCAACCTTGAGCTTGAGGATGAAGTGACAAATGTCTTTATCCGTCTTCGAAATGTCTTTCAGTTTGCTCAAAAGATATCCATTCCAAGCACCAGGCTTCACGACCTCACCTGTTTCGTCGTACACCGACTGTTGCTGTCAGCACCGGGAGCGGAAAGCATCATGCTATCACCCATGACGGAATGCATTCGCTACGCCATGATACTTTATATGTTTCTCATCCAAGGACCGACATATTACTCGCATGCAGTATTCATGAACATGACTGTCACTCGACTGATTCGGCATCTCAATCAGCTCGAATCGACACGTAGGGTATATGACTCGCTCGACATCTGGATGTTTTCGATCGGAATGGTTGCATCAACGGGCACACCAAACTATTCATGGTTCAAAGAGCGAGCGCGGAGGTCGAGCCTTTCTCTACAGCTGGATAGTTGTGATGCAATTCTCTTCCACGTAAGGAGAGTCCTTTGGCTGGAGATGCTGCAAGGCGAGAATGTGTTTCAACCTCACTGGGGCACGATCTTTGGTGGTAAAAGTCCGCTCGAGTTGCCCGCCTATGCAATTTGTGCCTCGTCCAGCCGCGCTTTACCGGGCTGAGCTGACCAAATAGCGCACTATAAACTCGCGATCGACTGATCTACCCAATGAGGCAAAGGCAAGACCGATGCTCGACAAGGCTATCTCTTAGCTCATTTCTTTTGAGAAAAATACACCGATCAAATGGCCTGTGCCCTCGACAGGGGATCAAATCAAGGCAGAACCCCGACTTCATGTAATTTCAGATGTCCAACCAGATGATCCCATCGGGAACCAGGATATAGCACATCAACCAATATTGAGGTATGGGGTCCAGGTCCACAAGGTTTCCGGACCCGGTCTCCGAATCTCATGCGAAAAGGGTCTTGCCAATTTCCAATCGGGCATCGTGAACCCCTGCAAGCCAGTGATACTTGGGCCTTTAGCGCCCATCCGTGCCACGAGGACACTGAAACCTGACTGCCAGGAAGCCATGTGGAAGGGTCTCCGAACAGACGCGATAGCCCTTCCAGTGGACTTCCAGAAAATCGAGAATGGTCTTAAATGCAGGGCGCCACATGCAGAGAGTTCAGCCTTAATGGCCCCCTATCAAATGAACCGCAAGAAACGCAAAAAAATGCCTCTCGCATCATGTGAGACCACGAATGACCTGAACTCTTGCCACACCAATTCTTTCCACAGCGCCACCTTTATAGAACCTAATTGATTCATCCGAGGCTCTCGAAGCTGGACAACAAAGGGACCGAAAAGGAGGCCAAGTTAGGGCCCACACCATACACGAAACAGTACATTCGGCTCCAGAATTTTGCATAAAATTGTACAAGACTTCTTCAGGTACGAAAGAGTTTATGAGCACCGTTTGAGAACATGCTGCACACCCTATGGAAATGTGACATTCAATCCCAACCAGGGCGTTCGATTCACGTGGGTGCCAGTTGCCATACAACACAGCGATAATATAATAAAGACGACGCATACCACCGAACTGAGGCCAATTAACTTAATCGAGTACGCGAAGACCAAAATAGGACATACATACTCGCTTGTATTGACCTGAAAACGACGGTCGCGCGATCCCCCTAGCGCGGGGAGGGTTACAGTGGCAGGATGGCGAATCCTGGCGTCTTCGTTTATCTGAATGCAGACCAAGGGAACTCGCTACTTGGCTTTTTCTTCGGACGAATCAAAATCGTCAAAATTTGAGCACTAAATTAAGTGTGGCGCTGGCCCGACGGAGCTGTGTTTATACTCCGTCCCGCATGCACGGGAAGCAAGAAGAGCATGAATCGGACAGTTTGTGTTGAAAGGAGAATATTGGATTGATCAAGCAGGTTCATTGACATTACTTGTGTTGAGTAGCGCTACTAGCTTTACCCGATGCTCTCCCTTCTCTTCTCTGGGGACGAAATTAAAGGTTTACCCGAGTTCTAACTGCCGCGTCGCCCGCCAACGCCACACCAGCATCTAGCGCGGAAGTCCGCCAACCTAATCAACCCTGGCAAAGATATGGCTAAATAACAGCGTTATCGCATCAATCAGAAAGAGGATCTTGGTTTGCACTGACATGAATGGAATGCGAGATTGCCCGTAGGGCTTTGGAAAGTGGCCTGGGCGTCGGCGTGCGTCCTGCAATGGGGGCAATGGAGAAGTGATCCATGTTAGTTTTGGCCTCCCGAGACATATCTGATATACTAACCTTCCCCATTGGGTTAGGACGATGGCCTCATTTGGGTACTTTGTGGTATCAGGTCGGTTCATATAAGAAGCGCGAGGGGGCATCTGTCTGAAATACATTCTCGAATTCTCTGGATATACGGCAATTGACCATGTCGCCAATCATTGCCGAGTCGACGGGCATAAGCCTGTCAGATTCCCAGGACTCTGTCCAGGAGAAGAAGGCTACTGTCACTGTCGCTACTGGGGATGTATCAAAAGACAGTGAAAACGACCTCAGCGGCCAAGAGGAGAGCGATAACGAGAATGCCATTATCATCACTGGTGCGGATGCCGCTCAGCATTTGCTACCACTGCGAGACGACTTCGACAGTGTTTTGACTTTTCGAAGTATCTTCCTGGCCTCGGGTCTGGCTTGCTTCCAGGCGGTCATGTATCAGATCTATCAAGTAAATGAACCTAATATTCCGTTATACACCCCCAGATTTCTAACAAATGGCTGGACAGTTCAAACCGACTGCGATTACCATTCAAGGAACCTTCATCGTCCTGATCGCTTACTTCTTGGGCAATGGCTGGGCGAAATTCCTTCCCCGCGGTGATAGATACGAGGCTCGCTGGAGGGAAAAAAATGGCCAGGGAGAGTTGCCATGGTGGATTAAAGCGCTCAAGGTTCTTAACAATGGTGAATGGAGCCTAAAGGAGCATTCGATCTGTGCAATCACTGCAACTTCGGCCTCAAACGCTTCGGCATCTACAACGGTCTTTGCAGCGCAGGACCTTTTCTATAACCTTCCCCTTAGTGCGGCGACTGTCATTTTGAGCACGATCTCTATTGGTCTGTTTGGATATGGCCTATGTGGAATCATGCGTCCCATCGCTGTCTGGCACACTGAAGCTGTTTACTGGAGTACGTTGCCCACCGTCAAGACTCTCCAAGGTCTTCATTGGCAACAAGTGAAGAACTCAAAGCCACTCCGATACTTCTGGTATGCTTTCACTGGAATGGCTGTCTATGAGACTATCCCCGCCTACATTTTCCCGTGGCTGAACTCTGTCTCAATCCCTGTGAGTGGCAGCCGAATTACAATCAGTACTCCATTTGCATTGATCTAATATGTCTTCAGTGTCTGGCCGCACAAAAGGCGACCGGCAACACGGGCTCTGTACTCAACAACCTATTCGGTGGTGCTACCAACAACCAGGGTCTCGGTCTTTTCTCTCTGTCTTTCGATTGGCAATATGTAAGTCAAATTGTTGCACCGGTCTGTATTGACCGAAGCAAAAAGCTAATCTCCACAGACCACATCGTTTCAAACATCTCTTCCGTTTAAGTTGCAGCTTCACCAGGCTTTGGGAATTGGCAGCTGTTTCATCATCATGATCGGAATCTATTATGGAAACGGTTGGAATGCGCAGTCGCTGCCTTTCATGTCAACGAAGATGCATTTGGCCAACGGTACCACCTACCCAACAGCCGAAGTCTTCCCCAACGGTGTTCTCGATGAAGCCAAGTTGTTTGAATTCGGGTTGCCAAAGCTTACAGGAACATTTGCATTTTCTATGTTCATGGCAAACGCTGCAGTATGTTGAACTCTCACATCTCTTACTTACAAGCTAACCATACTCTAGATTGGCGCTCTTATTGTTCATTGTATTCTCTTCTGGGGCAAAGACATTAAGCGGGCATACCAGAGTGCCAAAGAAGGGAGATATGATGATCGCCATCATACTCACATGCAAAAACACTATAAGGAAGTACCATGGTGGTGGTATGTCATTGTCCTCGTGGGCAGCTTTATCCTCGGTATCATTGTGGTCAGCAAAGAGCACGTTACTCTGCCTGTGTGGGCATATGTGGTTTCTTTGCTTGTTGGAATCATCATTGCGCCTTTTGTGAGTCTCCAGAAAACCTTTATAAGCGACGACTTCTGACAAAAATGCTCTCTAGAGTACCATCCTCTATTCCCGATATGGCAACGGAATTGCCACCAACAACTTGTCCAAGATGTTGGCAGGACTCATGATACCTGGTCGTCCGGTTGGAAATATGTACTTTGCTGCGTGGTCGCACAATGTCATCACCAATGCAGTCAACCTGTCAAATGATCTGAAGATGGGTGAATACCGTAAGTGGCTTTTGCTGTTGTCTTTGATTCCGAAGTCGACCTGACGTTGATACCTACTTAGTCAAAATCCCTCCCCGTATCATGTTCATCACGCAAATGTACGGAACAATTCTTGGTGGCTTCATCAACTATGCCATTATGATCTCTATCGTGTCAAGTAACCGGGAACTTCTGACCGACGGCAACGGAAATTCCTCCTGGAGTGGTGCGACTATGCAAGCCTTCAACAGTAATGCAACGTCGTGGGCTCTTGCATCATATCTATACAAGACTGGCCGTGAATACTCCATGGTACCTCTCGGTATTGTCATTGGCGGAGCAGCTGTAGTGGTTCATCGCCTATTCTATCAGGTATGTCCCTTCGACCAATCTGCCCATTGTATACTCCCAGCTGACTCATGTTCCGTGTCTAGTTTGTACCAAAAATCGGCAAGTTCGATGTCTCCGAGGTCAACATGGCACAATATATCCAATACGCTGGATACATCCCCTACAACCAAAGTCAGACTTGCGTTATCTTCACTTGGATTCTCAGCGGCATGTACGTTCAGTACTACCTCCGGAATTACAAGCCCCGCATCTTCAAGGACTATTCATATCTCATTACTGGTGCCTTTGATGGTGCCAGTCTGATGGTCCTCTTCGTTCTCTCCTTTGCTGTATTTGGAGCTGGTGGAATATCACGTCCATTCCCAAGCTGGTGGGGGAACAATGCCGACGGAAATTACGATTGGTGTCCAGTGGTGGAGTAGTGGAGAGGCAGTGGATAGGGCAGTGGGACGATCTCAATAGGGTGGTTGAGATATTGACACATGAAGGTTCTAATAGGGTTGAACTTTGGCTTACTTGCCTGGCTTTACAATAATGAATAGACCTTGGTCTCATCCTTTGCTCTTTACGTTCTTGATGACTGAGTCTTCACAATTCATGTGCAATCAATATATTCTTCAAATAATCATCCGTACTCGAGGGCTTCCACCAAGACTTATGAAGTTGACCATCTTCGGGATTGATTCGAGTATTATACCAGTCATACAATTCACCAAGGTTGACTCTAACAGTGGCAGAAGAACTCCGTATTCAATACAAGAAAACAACAGCTCAGATACTCAAATGCCGAGTGACCCAATCTTCCACCTCAAAGACAGAATAAACGATTTTGGCATTACCTCACCCCATGTATCGTGCGACAAGTATCCTCAACAGTTACGATGACTAGGTAAGGTTGAGAGTGTGCCCCTGTCGCCTGATCAAATACAAGCAGAGGACCCTTAATCTGCGCCCAAATCGCCTCATTTGCGATCAGATCGACTATTATTTTTTTTCTGTCCGTCTCAGGTACAAGATCGAGATGACATGATCCTAACACGTGGTTCATAGTAGCCCTGACCATGCAGACAAAGAACTTTCTACCGACAATGATCGCATAAAATCACCATGACTTTGTGGAGTTCTAGTGACCGTAAGCCAATAAAGAGCTCCAGTCATCCTCGCTCAAACTATGAACCGCCTCTGCCAAGCTTCACTTTTCCCAACTAGTCACCTTCCCCCGCCTGAGTAGCTGAATCGAATAAGATCCTTGGTCACTGGTCTTTTCGAATGGGAAAAAAAAGCACTTTTTGTCGTGAAGGGTCGTTGACTAGCATACATGATCTTCTCCACCAGAAGGACAAAGCTTTGTGACCAATGAATCTAGATGGAGATCTATTGACATTTCAGGCCTTTATAACCTAATCTTGGTCAATTATGGTACGGGAAAGCTATCCGATGAATCTGGTCCGTACACTTATGGAATTGAATGCAGGCCCGATCACAATGTCGAGGGCTCTGATATTTATTGAACGCCTGTGAAGGCTGATTGGCGACAAGTGTACGAGCAGGAAGCGACTCATGGAAGGACCCAACAGCGTGAATCTAGACGCTAATTGTATAGCAAACGTGCATATTGTCTCTACAGTACGTGTTCGACCTTTACCAATCCAGACAGCGCGAAATCAATCTAACCCGCAGGACATAAACGTGGGTTTGAATCACCGTAAGTGACCTTCTATTTGTATTTTTATTCGTGATGTTTTGTTCAAAAATCCCCTGGATGTTGCCGTACACAATCCAAATGTTCCAGGGAGAGCCAAGGGGCCACGGCTTACACCAAATTACATTCTTGGGCGTACAATCTAAATGGCACAAAGCGGCGCGCTATTCGTATCGGACAGCATTTGGAGACAAAGAAAGTTGATCGCTTAATCTAACTCCTAATCCGAGGGACATTAGCGTTGGACACTAGCGTCGAGCCAGGGTCCTGTCAAAGTACTTACCGCGAATCAGAGCGGGTAGTAACTAGAATTGCATGAGGCAAACAACATGTTGAAGTCAATAATTGGCGATTGAACGGAGGACGCGAGATGCTCTTTGTTTGGCTCTTTGGCTCAAATTCCTGGAGGGTGAACTGCATAGCGGTCCTACCTTATTGGGAATTCTACAAAAACCATAAAAGCGACTCCATTTCCTCGGAGTTCTTGATCGTTATGCATTGCAGCTCACTTCTCTACTTCTGCTGTTCATGATGCGCTTCTCGTGGGTGTTCTCAATTCTAGCCCTTGGTGCCAATGCTCAGAAAGTGTCAGAATGTCCCCTTCTCGGACCAGCATTCCCAGCACCCACTGCCCTGTCAAAATCCGGGGTTTTCCTCCAGGCGACTGAGAGTCTGACTTTGAAGCTCAAGGAAGCGATTGCCAATGGAAGTCTTCCTTCCAGCTCGTTTTCCATTCAATTGTTCAGCGGCCACGAGAGTCACTCGGCCTTTACCTTTTCACATACGGACGATGGAATTGCCACTGGCTCTATAGGTGTTCGAGAAGTGAACGAAGACTCCATATTTCGCATTGGCAGCATCTCGAAATTGTGGACTATGTTCCTTTACATGACCTTGGACGGCACAAAATACTTTCCCCATCCGGTGTCCAGTTACGTCCCTGAACTGCGAACCAATCACAAAACGAAGCAGAATGCAATTGATCATGTACAATGGGACGACATAACCATTGGAGAGCTGGCCAGCCACCAAGCCGGGATCTCAAGAGACTGTCAGTTGGTGAATCGGCAATGCGCTCAGTAGACTAACGAACTACAGATGCATTCGGAGACCTCGGGTTCCAATCGACTACCCTCCAGGCGTTGGGTTTCCCTACTCTTTCTAAATCCGACCGACTTACTTGTGGCAGTACTTTCAACTGTGACAGAAAGGGTGAGCACATGGAGATCCTTGTACTATTGCCATTCTGATTTGACTGATTCATTGATCAATACAGAATTCTTCGAAGGCGTGCTTAAAGCGCGTGAGTAAAACAGTCCGTGTGGAGATAGATCCCAGTCTAATGAGGCTGCTGTTCATAGATCCACTCACTACCAACTCACACACACCTATATACTCTAACGCAGGCTACCAAATTCTTGGCTATGCATTGGAAGCCATCGCCAAGGCCGATTTCGAAGACATTTTAATCGATCGTCTGATCAAGCCACTCAATCTGACTCAGTCCGGTCTTCAACCCCAGTCGAGATTCGGTGTGATTCCCTCCAACGAGGCTCATAGCTGGTTCAACTATACAGTGGGGGACGAAAACCCGTAAGTACGCACGCAGGGCGTAATGCGCAGATGACTTATCCTTCACTAGGGCCGGGGGAGTGTTCTCGTCTTCAAAGGACATGGCTACTGTTGGCCGTGCTATACTTTCAAGTGCTCTGGTCAAGCCTGCCATCACAAGAAGATGGCTCAAGCCAGCCACGCATACCTCCTCTCTGCAGCACTCGGTTGGAGCACCATGGGAGATCTATTCTTTCGCAACAGACAAGCGTCAAGTGGACCTTTATAGCAAAGCTGGAGACATTGGAGTCTACTCCAGCTTCATGGGTCTTTCCCCAGACTACAATGCCGGATTTACCGTTCTGCTTGCTGGTGATAGCAATCCACACCAGCTGACAGCGAATCTTGCCGAAATGATTGCAGACAACGTACTCCCAGCGCTTGAAGAGGCCGCCAGAAGTCAAGCGCTTGAACGCTTTGCAGGGAAGTATTTTGTTGCGCATGGTGGTTCCAACTCTTCGATTACCATCACGGCTGATGATGGCCCGGGGTTGAAGATAACAGAGTGGACCAGTAACTCTGTCGACATGTTCAAGACCCTAATAGCTTTGCAAGGGCTGACCGACCGCTCGAAGTTAAACATTCGTCTACAACCAAATGGTCTCGAGACAGCCGGGCGAATCGCGTTCTCGGCCGTTAATCTTGTTGCCAATCCAGCAAGCAATGGCGGACCTATCCTCAGCTCGTGTTTGTCCTGGATCTTGCTTGATTCTTTTGTATATGGCAACATTGGTCTCACCGAGTTCGAGTTTGAACTGGATAACAACGGACATGCCGCCGCGATAATCCCGCGCGCACTCCGCATTACGATTCCTAGGGCTTAGTTGGCTGGTTTAAGTTTCGGCTGTTTTATAGTACAAGAAGTTTTATATGTCAATTCCTGCTCTAGAAGATTGTTACTCGTATGCTATTGTAGGAGCAGGAGAAATCAAAAAGAATGAAGAAAAGGATTGAAATAATATGGCTTGATCAAGGGCCATGTTAAAAACACACCCTCCCCATATGATAGTGAAAGTAAAACATTAAGGGTAAGATCTATCCAAATAGTTCGTTGATGTAGAATCTTTCTTGTGCGAGGGTTCTTACACCCAGGCAAAGCACTGTGCGGGTGTGGAACAGCGCGTCGAGAAACCCCAAATGGCGAAGAATCGATACCCAAATCAGAATGTAGCAACTGAGTCAAGCAAACAAGCATGCACTTGTTACACAAACCAAAGGGTTGATTAAAATGTCGCAATGAGGAAGCAATGGATATTACCGTACAGATGAAGATCTCTTGGGCCATCATTCCCTTGATCCAACCTCGGAAGCCCCTAGCTTGATCCATTTTTGCCTCTAGGTCAAAGGAATGTGCAAGCCTTGGCCCCGAGTGCAAATTCCGACAGACATTTTGCAGAGAGCGTAGTGTATAATAACCGACTTCCTTGCATACTGACCGTTCGAAAAATGTCTGTGGACCCTTGAATGGGGCACGCCCGAAAAGACATGAGGTTTCGTGAGGACAACCCTCTGAGGGCCCTGGGAGTCTCCGAAAATGGGAATTGACGAGACAATTCTACTAGAAATCCGATAAAGACCAAAAAGGGCGCATCTGCACAATGCAGAATGGATGCGAACCAAAAACTAGGTCACCTGACCCTCAGGTGATGGCTGTCCAGGTATGATGTCACCTGTCGCAGACTCAATTGTCGGCTTCTAGAAACATGGGATGTGGGGGGACCCCGGATAGCATGAATAGATTAACCCCATGTCTACTGTACTGTACTGTACAAGGCTACGTGTGTATGACGTGCCACTATTGCAACAGTCTCACCTGTCGGTATACACCGGAGGAGGTTTGTATAAGAAAACGCCAAGGGTTGCCAATTCAAGCCACAGAACTTTGTGGATAACTATGACTCTATGCTTCCGGATGAGCAGGCTCGGAAAGTGAACGGCATCGGAGGAGCCAGACCTATTCCATCACCAATCGGTACCGATGGCTTCGGGCCCGAGGCCGGTAATATGCTGACGGTTATTGGTCCTTGATGTGATCATAACCAAGCCGGGTGAACTACGGAGCGCCGTTTTATGGTCCACGGAGCCACAGTATCAAGAGTTTTCGCTTGGAGTGAGCATTCGGGTTAAACCATATGTTCGGAGACACCATGAGCGGCCAGTGAAACGCCGTCCGACTTACAGGACAGTCGTGAGCAAGGCCCTCATCGACGCTGGCCGCTATACCTACCCGAAAGAATCCGAGGTGTGCCAGTTCAAGCACTTGGACCGTTCCAGGCATGGGGGTGAACAGACAAAGGCTTGGGGCTAATGCACTGTACAGTACTGTATAGAGGGGTCTGCGCTCACGGCCGATCAATGTCAGATGAATTCAGTTTGTGTTTGGGGATCTCCCGGGGCTCGCCACATCTCCTCACTCTGGTTGGACGGTGGTCCCTTTTTTTTTCTCATCGTTTATGGCGCATAATTTTTCATGTATGACTTCATTGCCTGCTTTCATACCGTGCCCTTGCGGCTTACAGTACATGGAGTATATTCTTATGGGCATAGATGTATAATGTAACATGTGATGAAGAGATCTCGAATCTGCCGACTGAACTCACACATAAAGATCGGATTGTCAGTGTAGACGAACCCAGTTATCGGCTATGTTGCTGCATCGGGCATTGACGTCAGTGCCGACCTGAGGCTGTGGGGCCCGCCAAGAAAGCATAGCAAACCCTTGTCTGATCAGACATCAAGACTGTACAAGTCTGATCTAGTTTACAATTGCCTGCCAACACCACTCGTACTGCTATTGAGCTAGTTACACCTTGATCGCATCTCTCCATCTCAACCCACGGGCGTCTGAGCGAACAGGCCTAAGCCCGTCCACATTTATGCATAGTTACGCCAGGGGGACCCACTCGGTGGCCGTCGATCCACTCGAAATCCGGTTTGGGCGGCAAACTAAGAACCGAAACCAAAAATTGGAGAGCCCCGAGGTATGCAAATTCTGCAATATAACAGCTGGGGTAGGTCCCCATATTTCTTTTGTTCAACTCCTTGCTCTGCACTACCAGGATGTCTCCCCCAGAGCAACAAGAGGGCTTGCCTCAAGCAGCTCACGAAGAGAGCAGACCGGTTTCCGCCAAGGTCAATGGCAGTGGCACCGACAGCGACTCGAGCGACCCCGTCGACCTCTCCGCTGAACTGGCCGAGAAGCCCAGTGAGCGCGCCGATGGAAAGCGCGAGCTGAAGGAACAGGACTGCTACGAGATCCTCGGCTACTCATGGCCGCGATGGAAGAAATGGACCTACCTCTCGGCGGTCGCCTTTGTTCAGGTGTCCATGAACTTCAACACCTCGGTCTTCCCGAATGCCATTAAACCATTGTCCAAGGCCTTCAACATTAGCAATCAACATGCCCGAACGGGTCAGATGGCCTACTTGGTCACTTACTCCATTGGTTGTGAACTGTGGGCGCCGTGGAGTGAGGAGTTTGGTCGCTGGCCTATCCTCCAGCTCTCCATGTTCCTGATCAACATCTGGCAAATTCCTGCGGGACTCGCTCCCAACTGGGGAACTGTTGTCGTTGCCCGTGCATTGGTGAGAACCTTCCTTTTCCGTGTCAACAGGTCTTGGTTTGGAATGATAAACTAACTCATGTTTTAGGGTGGTCTTTCGACTGCTGGTGGTAGTGTTACTCTCGGTTTGATTGCCGATCTCTACGAACCCGAAACTCAACAATTCCCTCTCGCCTTTATTGTTTTGTCTTCTTGTATTGGTACCAGTATCGGTGGTGTGATTGGTGGACCCATCGAGCGATGTAAGAATTCCATCCTACGACTCGTCTTTTGCGAGAGACATACTAATGCATCGTGCAGTCCTGGATTGGCAATGGTTCTTCTGGATCCAGCTCATCTTCGGTGGTGTCACCCAGGCCATTATCTTCTTTATGCCCGAGAGTCGCTCGACGATCATCATGGACAAGGAGGCCAAGCGTCGCCGTAAGACAGGCGAAGACCCCAACATTTATGGCCCAAACGAGCTCAAGACTCCACGGGTTTCTTTGAAGGAAGCTGGCAAGATTTGGGCGCGACCCTTCTACATGCTGTTCAGGGAGCCGATTGTGCTCTGCCTGTCTCTCCTGTCCGGTTTCTCTGATGCCCTGATTTTCACCTTCTTGGAAAGTTTCGCCATTGTGTACGAGAAGGGCTGGGGCTTCGGAATCCTTGCTCAGGCCTGGGCTGTCATTCCCATCAACGCCGCCTACTTCATCGGTTACTTCAGTTACTTCCCGTGGTTCATGCGTGATCAAAAACTACGCCTGAGACATGGAGACGCGGCGATTCCACCCGAGCGTCGTCTCAAGTGGCTTTTGTTCCTGGCTCCCCTCGAGCCCATCGGTCTGATCGGCTTTGCCTGGACGTCGCTGGGCCAAGAGTACAATGTGCACTGGATTGGATCCATGATCTTCTCCGCCTGTGTGGGAATTGCCAACTTCGCCATCTACCTATCCTCAGTCGATTACATGGTCGCCTCTTACGGAGTCTACTCCGCGTCTGCGACCGGTGGTAACGCCTTTGCTCGTGATCTGTTGGCCGGTATCTCCGCCATGTACGCGACACCCATGTACTCGAACATTGGCAACAAATTCCAGGTGGAGTACGCCAGTACCATTCTTGCCTGTCTCTCGTGTCTCGTCGTCCTTCCAATCTACGTCTTTTACTGGAAGGGACCTGAGATCCGCGCAAGGAGCAAGTTCGCTTCCACGCTTGCCAGCGACCGCGCGCAGAACCAAGGACGTCGTGTCAGCAGGATCAGTCACGAGCCGTGATTTGATCTGCGCATATGCACCTTCATCGGCATATAATTGTGATTCAATGCGTGTATATTTGTCCCCTTAGATGTATATATGACTCCTCACGAGTGTGACGGGTGGCTTCCTCTTGCGTGCCTTATGTCTGCCCCCTGGGTTTTAATTCATGTCCAATTTGGCTTTTATGTTATATACCTAGTTGCCAGTCAATCTGATTGCTACTTTATGATACCTCTGGACTTATAGTAATTTTGTAGACTGAAGATCCTATGCAGATCTGCATTCGTACGCCGATCGATTACGGGTATCTCCATAGTCGATTTGATGGTTAATGCATGTTTAAACCACATTCATGTCTGTATTCTCTAATATTCTGTCCTTCTGTCAGTCCTAGGCAGAAAAGACACCATCGACCCCCTATAAGCATGTCAGCCTATCTGCAGCCACGGTGGGCGCTAGCATGGATCCAGCAGGGATGTGCAAGAAGCTATTTCCACGCACTCTCCCTATCTTTCAAGTTATCCCTCTCGCGCCTTCGACCTTCCTGACCACCCATCAACACCATGATTACCAGCACGATCGAGATAGCCGCTCCTCCAGCGAAAGTTCGCGATATCGTAAGTTCCCACCGTGGTGAGCTCGCGGCCCAAACAAAACCCTAATCCACTTCCACTCGCAGTTGCTTAATTTCTCGGCATATCCCGAGTGGCACACGGAATGGCTGAAGGAGATCAAAGTCCAGGACACCACCAAGACCCCGCAAACCCTCAGCGACGGGGACAAGATCGACGTCAACATTGAAAACTTCAAATTCGTGGCTGAAGTTAAGGTAACTCCCCCCGATCTCAACGAGGAAAATACAGTTTGCTGAAGATTACTTCTCAGGAGAACACTGAGAGCTTGTTCTCTTGGCAGGGCCCGCCGGTCTTTACGATTGCTGGTCTGCATAAATTCCACCTGGAGCCCGCCAACGATGGAGCATCCACTGTTTTCACTCAGACTGAGGATCTCAAGGGTTTTTTGGCGTTCATCATGAGTCCCTCGCTGCTTGGAAAGAAAATGGCGGCCCATTTCGACATCTTCCACCGGGACCTTAAAGCTCGGGCCGAGCAAGCCTAATTTATTGGGCGATTGGAGGGAATTGGGAGGAATTGGGAGCAATTTGGGGGCCGTTTCATACTCACACAACCTATTTTCTATGCACACACACCGCCGTTTGGTCGTTTGTTTCAGAAGTAAGCCGCTGCACGCAGATCATTCATGTCCACTTTTGGTATCATTGGCAATTTCTTCTAGTCAATGGTTTTTTAATTTCTATATTGGCTGCACTGGATCATCTAGAGTAATCCTTTAGTGACTAGCCCAAATATACCCCGACTACAACTTCTTCTGGTGGGCCAAGATTCAATTCAAAACACGCTTACTTATTGAAGGACTCTTAGGTCCTGGACTGTTGCCCTTGCACGCTTCTTTGATGTGCCAAGCCCTGGTCCCGGCTTTATAATAAGCCCTACCGTGAAAGCTCAACCGAAAGGGTCGGACTGCAGGCATTCATGCTTACCATCCTTAGTACGTGCTACGTGTCTCATGCCAGCTGATCGAAGCAGTACATCCACACATAATATCTGAACTTGAGGCTGACCATTGGCTTTCAAAAGTCCACCTATGTACAAATAGCTCCATATCTCCTACGACATGCACATTGGTATAATGCCGCGCTACAGTTCCGAGCTCATGCTACTAACTTGATACCAGTGACATTCTCGCAAGCTTGGACGACAACTTCTTGCAGATGCTCATCCGCCGTCAAAGCAAGAGGCACCCCAACCTCCCGCTTCGGGTCAAAATAAACGCCCGTTTGGCTTTGATCGTAATCACCCTCAGCCAGCATGACATAGGTCTCAACCCCATCCTCCAGCTTGTCGGTCGCACTAGACGTTCCAATCTTGGTCGGAACCCATCCAGGATGCACTGCCGTGACAGAGGTTTTGTGGAACCGCCTCGCCACCGCATTAGCTAGGAGCATGACATGGAGCTTTGAATCACAGTATGCCGGGAAATCCTTGAACTCCGCTTCGCCCCGCTCGAGCCAGAAGATATCCTTGACGTCCGTGTTGGCTTCTCTGTGCAGGACGGACGCAATGAACGTAAGACGCTTAGGGGGAGTCAGGAGACAGGAGAGAATATACGGCGCAAGAACGTTGACGAAAACCATAGCTGGCACGCCGGTATCCGGCGTCCTGCGGAATGGCCCGTAGAGCAGTCCGGCGTTGAGGATGATGGAGTCGAAAGTCCCAATTGCGTTTGCTTCCTCGGCCAACCTGCGCGCCTCTGCAAGGCTTGTCAGGTCTGCGACTAGGACGCCGGCAGCTCCGGGACATTGTGCCTTGGCATCCGCTGCGCGCTGGTGGTTCCGCGCGTGCAGGTAGACGGTGTGGTTGCGTTGAACTAGTTGACGGGCAGTCTCAAGTCCAAAGCCATCTGTAGACCCTGTTATCAGAACACGGACCATTTTGAGGAATTTGCACCGTTGATTTAGTGGTAGTGATGAAAAGGATGTCTCCAAAAGTCTCAACAAGTGTAGGAGCAGCTTGATGGGAGGAAATCACATCCGATTCTGGTACCGAAGCAGAGATATTCCGACCTTAGGAAGTTCTCAATGACAATCAAATCAGCGGGGAGAAATGAGGTTCATAAGTTCAAAGGGAAGTGGGGGAGGCAGAAGGATTTGGCCCCCATCGTGAGATTTAATCCCCCGGTGAACTCGAAATATTCCCACAGATGTCGGACACTAACAAGAGACTTGTGTGTACTACTACGTTTAGCAATGGGAAAATGGAAGCCATGAGCTATCGAACTGAAATAAAATTCATCGCTATGCAACTTTCCAAAAAGAATATCGGCATCGAAGCGTAGACTTCATAATCTGTACATAAAAAGCAGGGTATACATGAAGAGACTCTAAGTCGAGACAGGAGTAATAGTAGTAGTCTCATTCAAATCCCTGCTGCTGAAACCAGCCCGGAGAGTGAACTCACCCTGAGGGATGAGCCACTTCTGCGAGACGATGTCCCAGTAGCTCAAGTCACGGCGCATCAACTCGAAGCTGATATCGCGCGACTCACCAGGGGCCAGGGAGACCTTCTCAAAGCCGCGTAGCTGCTTGACGGGTGTTCCCTCGGGGGCAGAGTCTGGGAAAGTGACGTACAACTGGGGAACGGTGGCGCCCTTGACATCACCGGAGTTGGCGACGGAGACGGTCACCTCGTAGAGAGTTTCCCAGAGGGCAGGGTTGCCACCGGGCTTGATGGGTCGGTCCTCGGGAATGGAGGTGATGGATTTGGCGACCGGGTCGGCTTGGATGTCGGAGATGTTGAAGGTGGTGTAGGAGAGACCGTAGCCGAACTCGTACTGGACGGAGATGTTCTTGGCGTCGAAGTAGCGGTAGTCGATTTCGAGCTTCTCGTCGAACCAGGATTGCCAGTCGTCGGCGCCCTTGGTAGACACGGCGGTGGTGGGAGGGGCGTTGTAGTCACTGCCGTTCTTGGCGATGGTGTAGGGCAGGTGGCCGGCCGGGTTGACGTCTCCGTAGAGAACGTCGACAATGGAGTGGCCGGATTCTTGGCCGGGGTAGTGTGCGGCGAGAATGGCGGTGACGTTAGGGTTGCTGGCGAAGGGGAGAGTGTTGATGCCAGAGGAGTGGGTGACGACGACGGTGTTGTTGCAGGACTTGGCTACTGCCTCAACGACATCGTTGCCCTCATAGTCGATGCTCAGGTGTTCGCGGTCAGCGCCTTCCTCAGCCCAGGTCTTGAGGAACACAAGGCAGACATCGGGAGTGGAGGCCCAGAAGCTACTGACAGTCGAGGTGGCGATGTCGGTGTTGTTCAACCAGTACTGCACAAGCGAGTTGTCTTCGCTTGCGCGAGACTTCACAGCCTCCAAAGGAGAGACAAGGTACGTGAAGCGTCCAGTTCCAGAACCACCACCGGAACCGAGAGTACCGTACTCGAAAGTAGCTGCGTTGACAGGGCCCATAGTGTTTTCACCAGCATCGTTACCAAAGACAGCGATGCTCTTCGGGGCCTTCAAAGGCAGGGCACTGTTCTCGTTCTTGAGAAGAACTGTTGCCTCGGCAGCGAGGTGACGGATCAACTTGTGGTGATTTCCGCGAACATCACGGCTTCGCTCGCCGGTCAGGTTGAACTGGCGCAACCAGGTCGAGCGAGGCGAGAAAGTGTTGAGATCAGCAGAAGAAGGATCCACAGAGGGATAGTCCTTATCCTGACCGAGCCAGTAGTAAGGAGTCATGATACGAGCGATCATGTCGTCCACGCGAGACTCATCCACAGTCCCGTTGTTGACAGCGTAAGTAACATTCTTTCCGAAGTAAGACCCAGCTTCCGGGACCATGCCGTAGGCGCCGAGACCGCCAGGCATGTTCATATCGAGACCGCCCTCGATAGAAGAAACACCGGAGTGAGTACCACCCCAGTCAGACATAACATAGCCCTGGAAGCCGAGTTCCTCCTTCAGCAAGCCATTGAGGGCCTTGGAGTTCTCACAGGCATAGGAGCCGTTCAGACGCTGGTACGAGCACATGAAGCTGGCAGCTCTGGCGCGGACCGCATTGGCAAACGGCCACAGGTACAGCTCGTGCATGGTTCGGTCATCAATGTTCGATGAAACAGCCTCCTGAATGACATCCGTGAGAGTTCCATTGGAGTCAAAGGTAGGGTTGCGCTGTGTCTCTTGCTCGTTACCGATGAAATGCTTCGCGGTGGCTTGCACGCCGGCATCCTGGTGGCCACGAATGGTACGCTCCATCGCAACACCTGTCAGATAGGGGTCGGCTGCGAAGCCCTCCCAGTTTCGGCCTGCGTAGGCGGAGCGTCCGAGAGGGCCAGCCACTGGGCTGAGGGCAATGTGGGCACCCTTTGCCTTGAACTCTTGGCCCATGGCGTAGCCTCGCTTATAGAGAAGGTCTCTATCCCATGTGGATGCCACGGTGACACCGGCGGCGAACACGCTGGCGTAGTCTGCCACTCGGATGGCCAATGGGCCATCCTGCAAGCAAAGACCGGGGAAGCCCAGGCGAGGAATGGCAACGATATTTCCCACGCAGGGGCCTGGCTGGCCAGTAACCATGTCGGCCTTTTCTTCGATAGTCAACTTGGCTACGAATTCTTGGGCTCTGGAGAAGGCTTCATCCCAACCACCTGATCCGGTAGCATTGGCTATATAGTTGTGGTTAGCAAACCTAGTTGAGATGAACGGTCTGACAGAACCTACGTGACGGAAGAACGGCCGGAGAGTGTCCATAGGCACCAAGAATAGTAGTGTTCTTAGGCTGGACATAACTGAACGCATCTTCACTTCGAGACGTTCCATCGAATGATTGGCCGTTGACTGCTGTGGCAGCCAACAGGGCCGAGAGCATAAGCTGAGTGATGGCCATTATGTAGAAACTGCTTGTTCAAAAGCCATTGTCGCGACTCACCAGCCCTTCTTATAGTTTCCTGGATTTGTATAGAGGAACAGTCCAATGCCGGAGTTCTGCCGCCGTCTGGTCCGGGGTTCTACCGGCAAATTGTTTAGCGTGGGGACCCCACACTCCCGCTTTTTCTCGTCTGGGGATTTATGCATGTTTCCTGCATTTCCTGCATTTCCCGCATGCCACTCTCATGGCTATGACGCGTTATTGGCCTTTTCTTCGGCTCTGGCGTTCCTGAACCACCGGTCCAGACGGTGGCCAAGTGTCAGCCACTCACTCTGTCGGCTGCCCGGACTCCCAACGTGAGGCATTTTGACCGATCACCGCCTTGGCAACTGAAATCAGCTAGTCGGCGTCTTGACCCCGAGAATCTGATCGAGGAGAAAAAACGCTAATTGTTGCCAAGCAGGGCAATGGGTGTACGCACCGGCGTTACTTCGGGTGTCAGTGCAAAGTTTCTGTGCGCCACCAGGTCACTGCGGACAGCATCTCGACTCTTTCTGTCTTGGACGGCCCGATCTCGGACTTCCTTCTTCTCTTCAACGCTCAGTGGCCGGAACCGCCATTTCCCACCGTAACTGGCCATTCTCGCAGTGGTCTAGCACGGTTTCTCGGCGTCGGATACCTTCATAGCCGGTGAGCTTTACTGCTCTTGGACACTCTACCGAGAGATACTCTCGGCATACTGCGGAGAAGTCTACGGTTGCAACGAAAGGGTCACTGCTAAACCCCGCAAAACGCTCGATGTAGTAGAGGACTGGCAGTCCTTGGCTCATCCCCGCCATTGATCAGTCTACACGGAACCGCGCAAATTCCGTTCAATCTTGAATAATTAGAACTGTAGCTGGGGTCAAGCGCTTTCCGAACTCGGTGGGACTAGAGATATTCGGCTTCTCGGCTGTAGAAGTTTGATTACCGGATATAAACACACGGCATCAATCATTATGTCCGGCATCAAGGTCATCATCAGACCATTTCCCTCGGCTCTGCATGCCCCGAACTCTTGTTGCGGGGTGTTAGTGGGGAAGTTGCGGAGAAGGTGTGAAAGGCGTGTTTGTTAGTCCTGTTGAATACGGGATGGTGGATAGGCACTCTTAGTAGGGTTTGAGCCTTCCGGTTAAAAGGCAAAAGGACCTTTCTTTGCTAGTATGTGGGGAGGAAAAGCTGGAGTTGGCGCTAACTTCAAAGAATCCCTGCAATGATTTGAACGTTCATGGTTACTTCGAGTGGCTCGGTTCTTCGCTTTCTTCCGTGTGTCTGTTCGATAATAGTGTTGGATATTCGTATGAATGAGGATACAGCCAGAGGAAAGTATGGTGAGTGTCCTGTTAATGGTCAAGCCACCAAGCCCCACTACACATCAAAGACAAATTCACACTTGAAGCGCGGCATACATGGCATGCTTCGCGGGGCCGGTATCGCGGGGACTCTGAAAGGCAAAGGCTGTCTCGCCGGAGTCGGGAATGTTCCCCGAAGTCAACACTACGGATGAACTTTTGGCTTGAGATGATGAAGCAGAGTGAAGCCTTGACTTTCGGGCACTTCAGGCTTGGTCAAGCTTGTTTAGCCCCACACTTTCAACCCGTGTCATGGGTATTCCCTACAGACCGATTTTTATCTCTCTAAATCCATAGCTTTATCGCGAGAGAACTTTGACTTGCTATATATTGAAATAAATGATCAAGAAACAGAGTTCATATCTATTAAGTACACAGTCAAAACAAGGCTTAGTAGTGGAGATTGAATCTCTTCGAAGCCAGTCATGAGCCTATATCTCCCCCACATTCTATGATACTGTACTTGACTCGTTGCCGTTTTAATTTTTTAAGATCCGGAAGTCACTGACATCAGACTCACTCTCGAGTCATCGCCTAATAGTAGTCACCTGAGACTACGCTAGTCTCTGGATTTAGATGGGCAAGCGATATAGAATCTAATGAAAGCGTATACAATGATAATGGATATATATTGTAGGAGGTAGTCTGGGCATGCCATTTAATCATAGGCTCACATGACCTAGCCATGTGAGGGTGACGTATCATGAGGGACTGACCCAGTCCCTGTAATCAACTATGAGGACTCGTTACTCGTTCTGCATGTCAGGCACCAAGGCTTCGACAGCCCAGTTGCGGGTGGTCCTGACACGATACTACCAAGAGGCGGACTTTGACGCGCTTAAGATTCTTCGGCCTATTACACAGAACAACGGTCTAACGGAGATCGAGTGCACTCTTGGATGTCTCTCACATCACTCGCAGTTGAAGAATGAGAACGGTGATGGTGCAGTCATTGGATCCAGTAGTCTCAAGCAGCGAAGAGAGAATATGGAGGCCATGAAGAATGGCTCTCTTCCGGAGGAGGTTGTCGACGCGTTGAACCAGGGATAAGAAGTCAGCTTCTTTACTGGGGTTGATTTATTTGTAATTGAATACAAAATGACATTTCCTGCTTGTATAAGTCAACCTTAGATCAAGAATTAAGGATTATGTGCCAAGTATAATTCTCGTATGGCAAGCTCAGAGTATTCTATGCAAGCGTTTGGACTAGTCCGCTCCAAAGACACTGCTATGCGACAGCATGGATCGGATATTGAGTACAGTTGGAGAATTTGGAGTTGGCCTGGGGTATAGAGGAAGGGGTAGTAGATGTGCACGATTGACACTGATTAATTACGCTGATCGACAATTACGGCAGCGTCCATGTATTATTTAATGTGTGCTTGCAAAGTGCTTGTGTCGTATTTGAACAAGTAGTTCGATACCTAAATTTTCAAATATATCCTTCAACTCACAAAGAAAGAAGATATGTTTTGAATCTCACTAGACATTTGACTATGGCCAGAAGAGAAACAACGTAAAATACAAGATCAAAACCAACCTTCGATAGTCTGACAGTTAACACGGCATAAGATCATAAAGTTGAAACCGCTTTTGAGAATTTACGACTTCTCTTGGGTCGACAGCCCGGGAGGACTTTGTCAGCCGGCGAAGCGTCTTCCAGGCGAGTCAGTTGGTCACCAGTTGTATCCGTATCGACAGGTTCATCATAATGTTCAAATTCTATTGGAAAGAAAGCCTCACTAGAGAGACAGGTCTAGTCATCGTCGTCTTGTGGTGGAGGATCAGAGCTGGAGGTCAGCGTCCGAGATCTCTTTATAGAAGTTGTTAGGTTGGCACGGCTGCACTGGCTCGGGGTTGGTTGACAAGCGTACCGGCGGGTCTTGTCTATGCTCGTGAGTTGACCCGTCAGTGTTGTCCGACGCAGGGCGTCGCCTAGAGGCTGACGATGGCCGATAGAGAAGCAATTCTAGAGCCATATGGCACTCGCGCCTAGTTACGGACGGCGGCTTCAAACCACTGCTGGTCAACTTGGTCGGCCCACCGCTGCCGGTGGCGTCTTACGTAGAGGAACTCTCTAGCGACATCATAGAGCTTCGACTACAGCGTTAACAAGTCAAACAGCTCTCTAGCGAAAGTAATCACTGCTTTGCTGCGCCTGTAAGCAAACTTAAAAATAAACAATATACAAAACACGGCGGCTGAAAGGAGGAAAATTGTCCAAAAAGGAATTTCTGCCGATTTCCTATCGAGATTCATCTCCACCCTATTAACAATATCTGAGTGACACTTTTCGGCCACCTGATCTAGATATGATGGACCAAATCGATCATTCTTCTGCTAAGGTATTTGTTTACCCTCGTCGGAACAGAGATTTAGAATAATATTCGTGGAATCAGAACCGTAATATCTATTAAAAGTTATGATGCAAGTAGGGAAACGTTGACGAGGAAGGAGGTACAAGAGAGATAATCTTTGAATTGATTTACCGAGTTGTTTAAGACTAGAGATTCTCATTTGTGGGAGAATCCCTTTATATACAGAAAATCTGTGCCTCAAGCTAGTCCTAATTAGATTCCATAGGTCATAAATCATTCTGGTTGCCGTCATGGCTCATTCATGGTATGAATCATGGCCGGCTACCATAAATCTCAACAGGTGGTGGTCCTGACATCTTCGGATTCTTATATTTATTAAAGATAGCTAGAATACCCTCTATCTTGATTCTCTTTATTAAGGTATATAAGGGAGGTTCTTAATCTTTACTAGTGATATCGGTTATAGTAGGGCGATCTGCGCTAATTCGGGAACATGATCGCCGAACGGAAGTGTCTTAACCATTTCACCGAAAACTAAGTGCTTATCGGCGTGACTATACCCTGCCTTAGGATACATAGAATAACGATAATTGGAAATGGAAGGGGGACGGGCGCACGTGTGCCAAGGGGCATAGCGGCCGAAGTCCCAATAAACCTTTTGGCCTAGGGCTTTTCGGCCGATTCAACCCCACATGGTAACACCGATATCCTGACGATCAATCATACAAGTGGCCAAGTGGAGTTTCTATGGTTCTGTGGTAACTGATAGGGTTTGTTTGGTACACTCTATTCATATTGTTCATTCTTGTTGGATCCCATGTACTGATGGTATCGTCCTGGTACCCTGTATCTATCTTACTGGGTCGTGACCCATATAACTCCATTGACATTACAAATTACCATACACATGGTACAAGAATTTTATAACTAATTTACTTGATGCCGTGCCTGTCACTAACTGTGCATATTTCTCAAATAGATACTCAATGTAGGTAAGAGGTGATATACCGGGTTCCAATTTCACCAGATCCTAGTCGTGCTTTTTTGTGCCATTAATAAAAAAATGGAGATTTTTCAGCACTGCCTCTCTCCAAGACACACGGACAGCCTTCGCCAAGTAATTTGGGATGGCCAATTGACCCCTGATGACCGGTGTTTCCGATGGTACCGAAAACCTTTTGCAGTATATCAGTCCCGGTGTCACCCATGGCGTTGGGTGCATCAAATTCTGTGTTCGAGAAAAGTTTGAAGCCCAATATGAGAGTGTTCACTTATTTGCTTCTTTGCCCGGCCATAGCTGTTGCATTCCCTGGCATGCATAATCTCCTCAATGAGATCCAAAAGCGGCAATCGAGTGCTGGGACAAGTCAAATGATTGGAGATCTCACGGACGGTGCTACCACTGTGGTTGGAAGACGAGTGCGCGACTGCATTGCCTCAGGCTCATCATGCGAAGACCAATCAACAAAGGTCAATTCCTCAGCAAGCGTCCCGATACATGTACTAACCAAGAACAGAGCTATGAGCGTCCCGGCGACCTAGAAAGTGACGCTTGCCAAGCGGATTCGTGCTGTGTGTGGGATTTCATCCAACAAGACCTGGTTCCAAGGTTCCGCGACGGAAATGGCACTTGCAATGGCCTTGCCAGAGCCGCCGTGAGACTGGGATTTCACGATGCTGGGGCATGGTCAACAACAAGCGGTGCTGGTGGTGCCGACGGCAGTTTAGTGCTAAGCTCAGATGAGATCGATCGACCGGAGAACAACGGTCTGCAAGAGATTCGATCTGAAGCACTACGGTTGCTGGACAGGTACCCTGGAGTCTCGGCGGCTGATCTGGTACAATTTATGCACAACATCGCAACCGTGACATGTCCTCTTGGCCCTAGAATGCTGACTCTGGTTGGACGCGAAGATAGTCGGGACGCAAATCCCGCGGGGCTCATTCCAGGGAACAATGGGACCGACGCGTCGTATCTCATTGAGTTGTTTGAGAATAAAACAATCTCAGCTCGAGATCTAGGTGCCCTTCTCGGAGCGCACACGGTTGCTCGGCAATTTCATCTCAATCCGTCGCGCGCGGGCCAAGGACTCGATACAACGCCTGGAATTTGGGATATGAATTTCTATCGAGAGATGGCGCTTTCGAGTCCTCCTCCGTGAGTATCTATGGAGCAAAGCGGGCTTTTTATGGTAACTAACTGTATCGAAATAGAGGTGTCTTCCGACTGCCAAGTGATGAGGCACTTTCTCAAGCCGACGGCACTAGTCAACGGTTTCAAGCGTTTACAGTATGTGTCCTTTTTTCCGCTTTGAAGATATGTGCTGATTGAACTTTTCTAGGATGTGACTTTTGGTCAAACGGTTTGGAATCGGGATTATTCTTCGGCATATGCGCGCCTCAGTCTTCTTGGCGTCAACAAAATCAATCAGCTTAGTGACTGCACCCGAGTGCTGCCTGATGCTGTAACCTCATTCTCGGCACCTTCAGCATCATCGTCGGCCTCGGCTGGACATGGGTTGTCTCTAGGAAAAAGCAGAGGCATAATATCCGGGCTGTTATTTCCAGCGCTGCTTTCTACAGTACTATAGAAGGGTTTGAAGTAGGCATAGAAGATATTATAGAAAGCATTTTTAATTTGCAATAGAATACGACAGTGGGTCAAAAAGTCGCAGCTGTAAGCCATGATTTGTAAAAACAGTTTAACTAAATTCTTCCTGTTTTTACGTGCGTTGGTATTTTACCGGAATAACTGATATGCTATCCAGGGCATGGATGGGGACTGGAGCTGTCTGCTCGTATAATACCACAGGTTTCAAGCCGAACCGACAGCGACGAGGAGACTATCTCGATGACCACCAAGGAACAATTCAAGTGGCAGCCAAGCGAATGCCCGCTCCACTTGCCAGCATTTGCAAGGGATCGACGGTACTGGCGTGGACATGGAATAAGTAACTTAGGGCCAAGGTGTAGGATTACTTCGGCCGATGGAGACCCCACTTGAACTTTGATGCACAACGTCAAATCAGCATTGATGGAGATCAAGCTTCCAGTAGGCAGACATAAGAGCTTCGGCCGAAAATCATGAGCGCCCTATTGGAGTTCTTGCAGTCCTCAATCATATCGAACGCCAACTGAAACCCGATGCTAAAATTTTGGGTGGCATGAGTCATGAAATCTCGTGGTAGGCAAAAAGTTCAACTAGCCCAATCTCATACGCAGGTCATGAAGTCATCGTTGGCTTAATTTTAAGAAGATTATTATTATCCTCGGACGAATCCACGCAATATTAGGTAGCTTCGGTGATCAAATTACCAGTCTGTACTGTAAATAGTTACAGGCAACTTACGCTGGTTCCACAGTCCCCGAACCTAGCATACGGTGGATACTTTTCGCAATCAGATTGAGGACATGAGCTAGGCAGCGGATGTAGCTGTTAAGACCTCAATAGAGTGGTGCTTGCATTGCACCTTCCGCCCTAGGTCGGCCGGAAAGAGAGAAGTATAACTCCGAGGCCATGGCATCATTGTAACTGGTGTTGTCGCCGATAATAGAAATGAGCTTGTCCTCGAGACTTAACTCAATAGATACATTTTTCACTGCAATTGCCGGACTTTTGCTATTATGAATACTCTAGAGTTCGGTGAACTCGAGTAATCTCTCGCGGTACACAAATTCGTCAGTCAGCCAATGACCAATGATTCCTAAAACAAGAAGATGATTCTAGCTTGTCTAGAGGTCTAGTGATAAGGCAACGGTTTTGCAAGCTAAATTCAGCTCATTCTTTAGGTTAGTGTGCTATATGGCGAACTCTTGTATGATTCGACCCCGTAAGGTGAAGCGAGAAGTGAAAGTACGCTTGGTCCTAGGATTGTCTCGGAGCATTTTCCGAAACTCTAGAGACTCGATATTGGTAAAGACTATTATATTAGTCACTATTTAGCGAATGGTATTTCTTTCTAAGACCTCTTGATGGGTGAGGCTCTGTTTACGAACCATAAATCTCTGAAAGTCTGGTCCCTTTTTCGCTAGCAGTATATACTTGAGGTCGGGCAATAAATGCCATGCTTTGCTAAGTGGGTTTGTATGTTGCTGCTTGTGTTTTGTGTCTGGGAATCTGACGTATGCCAATCACAGCATGTTCCCGTTTTTTTCATCTACATGTATACAGCAATCTCAATTAGTCAATATATTATTCACTTTTTCTAACCGTAGGGGTGGTAAAACGCCATCTCACTCTCAGAAGTATCGTGTAATAAACAGGAGACTTCACTCGAGCTTTGGAGGGACGCAATGATTGGTTCCATGGTAACAGTCAAGAAGACCATACAGGCCATAATTCACATGTGGATGTTGGTGATGCAAGTCGTGGTGGTTTGATGACCCCATTCCCAAGTTCAGCCCATAGCCGGAGTGTTCCAGGCCTGTCTGAAGGAGCGCACTTCCCATAAAAAGCCACATGGTAAGAATGTGTGCTCCCAATATCATAGGTGGAATCGCTATTGGGAGGACGTTCGCCACAACATGCTCGACTGGATGAGCGTAAGTCGAAGCTAAAGCTATCGGTGTTTGGAATTGGTGGTGCATTTTATGCACATGTTTGTACAAAGCTCGATGGTGGAGGAGCCGATGAACGTAATAAAAAATAGCCTCCCGAAGGAGCATAGAGAAAGCAACGGCAATCACAACCTCTCTAAGCAATGGGATGTTGGCGTCAACTCGATAGATCGATGGTCGAATCTTGAAGTAATTCAATAACCACAGTAGCGCGAGGTGAAGAAAAGATAGAATAGCCTGGTTCACAAGCCCAACTTTCACGCAACGAAGGATCGCTTCACGCTGTGGATGTTCCTTGGCCTGTTGTAACTTGTATTCGTTTGATACAGAGGGCCAGACTGTTTCCGGGATCATCAACAATAACGCAAACCCCCAAAGACATATAAATTGAACCGCTACTGTACCCAAAATCTCTACCATCCAAGGCGGATAGAGGTCAACGACGTTCCCCCACAGAGCGAGAAGGCTCAAAAAAGAAGCCATATGTGAAGTGAAGCTTGTGTTCAAAGTAAAGGGTGTTTGTTCAGCTAGGGAAAGTGGATGGACCACAGTGTGGTAGGTATCTGCACCTGTACAGCCAATTTTCGTAGGTAAGATGTTGTTCGTAAGTTGTGTCTGTGAAAGATCTACTATGGTAGAAAGGCACAATGATCAAAGAGTTCCGTCAAGACGAGGAGACCTAGTAAAATTACTGAAAGAGATGCAGGATGCAATCCTAGGATCACATGATCGACACTAGAATGGACTGTTTTTAGCGCCTGGCGTTTTTATTGAGATCTGCATATTTCACCTGCAGGACTGCTGCAGTATGCGCGCATATATGTTTCAAGGAAATCTGCGATATCCGAAGCCAGGGATGTCGCTACAGTGCACATGAATCATGTACATTTGGAGAAAGTATCGGAATTCAAGGCAGAGAGCCCTGGAGAAAACAAACATGGACAAAATGAGAGCCCAAAATTCAGAGTAGGAATGATCAAGCAAAAGCTGCATTCATGTATTTATTGATTTGGCATGCAAGGGCTAATTCCTGGATATCATTCTATCCCGCTTTTGATTTATATGGCTGGGAATTATGATCATGCTATTCCGTATCCTATTCCATTTCTCTCTCAATCCAAGCTCGACAGTTCTCAGCAGCCTATTATTCCAATATGAAGCTCAAAATTATGGCCCTCACTCTGATGGTCTTGCCCGTCAGCTTGGCAGATTTGCAATTGCAGCAGTCTATCAAAGAGGACTTGAGAGGGGCTCTAACCGACCTGCATTCTGCCCTGTCCTCTTACGAAGGCGGTTACCTTGGCCTTGTACGCATTCGTGCATCCATGGTCAACTCGCGCACGACAATGAACATGCTTGAAGACTGGATCTCAAATGCACCCATTTTGGATGCAGAGGAAAGCGCCGCAGTCGTCAATACCAGCGTGGAACTCCGGGGGATGTTCACTGAGGTCATGAACATAGCACGTGTGAAGGTATGTGAATGACTGTTCGGCGGTTGAACGAGTGGCATTACTGATAATTTCAAACATTAGGTGCCTCTAGTCAAGGCTGCTGGTCAGCAGGATCGCATGCGGACAACCTTGCAACCCTTCTATGAGCAAGATATGAGGTATGGCCATGCGCTTCAGGCGAAAATGGACCCCGAGCAAGCTACCGCGCTCAAACCTATTTTTGACGAGGGTTTGGGTGCCTACGATGCGGTATTTAGAGCATTGTAAATTCCTGGCACATCACCAAAGTCTGCTTATGTCCTAAATTCTACCAACTTCAACTATGAGTATTTCCTCGTTGAAGAATATGTTTGATAGAATCGGCCAAGAGTCCTTCCACATAGGGAACCGGGTCCCTGCGGACCAGATGGAGAGGTAAAAAGGAACACATACATGCTGCATCAGCTTCTCATATCCAAGATTCAATCTCTGTTTCTCAACTGCAATCAAATATATTCATCTTGATTCCATTGTGGTCCTCTTATTTGATGGACATGATTCCTGCCCTGACTAGTAAATCTCTTGGAAGCTTTTTCTGTTTTGGCAATGGAACGGGCTTGAAAGAGGTTCCTGCAGTGACCGGACAGGGGGATACATATGTGTGGGTAAATGAGGTTGCCCTTGACTCGATGCACTCGCAACCTTGAAAGGCGTACAGGTATTTTCGTAAGCTGAATTTACGGGTGTCTCCCATCCGTTATTTCCCAGCCATAATTCACCTTAACACACAGTCCTGGCACTAATTCTTTGTCGAACCATTGCAATTCTCATACCGTTACTGAAGAGTCTCTATCATGCATTGGCTGACCTGAACAGGAAGATCAAGCTAGCTTTTGCACGGTCACTATCCCAAAGCATGCCCAAAGTACGCTTGTAGACCTTCCAATGTTGGAACGCTGATGATAAAAATATCACAAATTTTGCGTTCAAGGTTCTTAGAAAGCACCACTAAGAACGGAAAACCGGAGTTGCATATTGATATTCATGGTGCAATGCTTCTGGCTGTAAAATAGCAAATTCTACTATCAGCGTGAACTATACGCCAAAGTCATATTTGTCACACTATCAAGAAACATCTGCGCTACGCGATGGATCCGTAATTCCAGAAATTCCTCGGGGTCATGATTTTCAATCCTCAATGCCAGGGGCCCTCGAATGTCGCGCAAGATGTCAGACCTCTTGCACTCAAATTTCCAGTTGCGAAAGAAGCAGGTAAAAGTGTGCGCCAAGTGCGACACAAACTCAGGTGTTTCGCCAACATCTAGCTTATGTAGCCTTTCCATGAGATTCGCCGGCAAAGTCTCCGAGGACTTGCGTCTAAAATCCTCAAGGGTTCTAGGCACGTAGAGATCTGCAGCCGAGTGAACGACCCCGGTTGTTCCAATCGCCAGATGAAGGAGACATGTATTGGCGACGAGGTCGACGGGTACCTCGTCGAGGATATTCTGGGCTGACAATTTGTCATTGAGTATGCTTTGCGCGTGTGTAGAACTGCTTAAGAAGCATTGCACATAAGTATGTATGGGAATAACCATGTGAATTCCGTAGAGAGGGGCGGGGTCACGAATGGCTGGGCCAATGTTCGAAGGGCGAACGACAAGAAGAGGCAACGGCGCTGTTTCGAGCATTAGACGCTCGGCGATGTATTTGGCATGTGCATATGGGGCGACAAATGGCGAGTTGAGATTGGACGACCCTGTCGAAAGGATGGCTTGAAGGTCCTTGTGTGCATCGGTTGCATCGGTTGCATCGCCATAAGCGTTGTAGACTTGCTCCCCGACGTCACCCCCGGGGAGGAAACTGTTGACAAACGCACTGGAGATATGTAAAAATATTTTGATTCCCGTAAATTGAGCACACATGTTCATCAGCGCCATGTGAGGGACGCAATTATCAGAAATAGACCCACGTAGATCTTGTAGCAATGATACATTCCCGGCACTGTTAATCACCACAGTCACTTGGGTTTGCAGTTGCAACAGATCAGACTTTTGAAGTCCCAAATTGGGCTTTGTGATGTCACCGACAACAAAGCAAACTTTTTGCGTTTCGAGGATATCGTCCATTTGTTCTGGCATTGAGTTCTCGAGCTTACTGATGGCTTGATAGACCGATCCTCGACAGAGTACGAATATCCGCCTGGTGGGAAGCTGCAAGGCAAGCTTGTACAGGAGACAGCCTCCTAAGGTCCCGGTGCCTCCAGTGAGGAACACAACCTGGCCCTGGAACCATTGATCGATATCAGCCGGGCTGGAGGTCATGCTGCGGCTTCAAGCTACTTGACAGTAGTAGCAATTGTCTGGTTCGGCCTACAATAGAAGGAAGTACGTGAGGGATCAGACATATCAGGCGAGTATCAGGAATTTATGCCTCTGGCCGAAGATTCTAGTCTCCATTCCGTACCATTGGTCATGTTGGTGTCCATATATGATAAGTCATAAATTCCACAAGGCGACTTCCCTGCAACTACTTCGCTAGTAAGTCGGTCTGGAGTCTGGGTACGGAATATCGGACAATTGACATGCTGATCTGTGCCGTCAAGTACCTGTAAATTACCAATAGTCAAACCCCACCATGCTGGCAATGCATAGCTATACGAGTATATCGTCAGGCCCCGCATGAACCTCCCATATTCCTTACCTTGATGAGTAAACTGAAGTTGCCTCTTTTTTTGTCAGGTGGAATTACTATCCAAGCTGTAGTCTCCGACCCATATCTCTGCACTCCAGTACGTTTGGCCCGGTACTAATTAGGCTTCTCTGCCTTCGCAACTCTAGCTTTATATTTTAACATTAGTTAAACAACAACTGCTTTGGTAATGGTTTATATTTTCCTTCCAGCCGCCATGTTGTTATTCTATTATACAATTACCAATTATATCCCTTTCCTAAAAGAAAACATTAATTTTCCACCCAGAACAAGTGAGCTCTGCCTTTCAGTCCATTTACCATTTCAATTTTCCTTCCTATATACTGACTGGATCTCTCGTTGGGGGGTTCGGAAGGGGTTTGAAGCAAGCCCAACCCACACGCACGACCAGATCAACCACTTGGAGGGGTCAAATGCGCACCAACTGATGCCGTTTCGGTAGTCGGCAGGGAATTGATGGTGGAAATTATGATAACCCTCACCAGATGTAAGAAAAGCCACAAAAACGTTGTCGCGGGGGGTGTACGTGGTAGAATAGGGCTGGCTGCCGGCGTAGTGGGCCAGCGAATTGACGAGAAAGGTTGCATGTGCAGATACAAATATTCGTAGAACACCTGCATAAAGAAACCCTCCCTGCCAGTCGTTCCAGCCAACATGGGCGATTATAGTCGGTATCAAAACTCCTGTTGTTACTGCAATTGGGAGGTAATAACGCTTTTGCCAGATCACTACAGAGTCCCTTTTCAAATCTGATATATCGACTTTGCCCCATCCAGCGGGATTGTGGGCAATCAACCAGCCAACATGAGTATAAAACAAACCCCTACGGGCATTGTAAGGGTCTTTGTCTGTGTCCAGGTAGCGATGGTGGGCGCGGTGGTGCTGAACCCACCACAAAATGGACCACTGGAAAGAACCAGCACCTATGCTGGCTAGAATATAGCGGAGGGCGAGGGAGGCACGGTAGGATCGATGGCTCCATAGCCGGTGATAACCTGCGATGTTTGAATAATGATCAGTAATTTCCATATCTTTCGTAAGGAGAAGATATTTACCTGCAGTAATGGCTATACTATGAATCTCGTATAAAATCAAGAATAACACAGCTGTCCTGAGTTTGAGCTCTACCATAGAGAATCCAAACCAAAGCAGAACTGGAATGCCATTCAACAAAGCGAAATGGAGTAGGTGAAAGTGCTCTAAGTACAAGGGGACCTCTTGCCGCACACTGTTTATCATTGCAGTGAAAGGCATGTTGTATTAAAAAACTGATGCCGATTGATATGCTCGCTGTGAACGACACAAACAACGGAAGCTCCCCACGGGTGAATAGTTTGAGACGAACCAAGCGATATCCTTTTGTGGTATAGAAAGCAAAGTGGTTGCTGCGGAGGGCTAGTTACCGAAAAGGAAGGTAAATTGAAAGAGCCAATTCATTTCTATCGAGAGAGATGGAGAAAAGGGAAAACAAGAAACAGAGAGCTAGAAAACTAGCAAACTACTAGAGAGCAGTTCTGCCCAAGGCACCTAACTCTCCAAAAGCGGTATTCGAATTGGGGTCTTACTGTAAGGATTGCCCCTTTCCTCTGGGCAGAAAGCTTTCTCTCAATGAAACGTGTACAATAATACTCCGTAAACGCATTCTATAGTAAGTACTTGGCCGCAAAGTTTCCGATTTATGGGGGCGGTGTGATTAATCATGCGCTAGATATCCCTTGCATAGCTCGGCGTCTGCAAGAAGAAGCAGGTGTACGAGGGGTATACAGTATAGTACAGTACAGTACAGTACAGTACAACAATATTGCACTCAACTGCATGTTGCAGCAAAACAAATATATACGAGTCATATTTCTGTTTTATAAATCAATCACATCACGGCAGATCTCTGCATGTCTCCATAAGAAGCTTAAAGAGCAGATACGGAGCTCTATCCAGTCGCCGATTATCGGCCAGCAGAGATCCGTCGCTCATATTTACTGATCATAGACCAGAAGTGTCTAGTGTTTCAATAAATCCCATGAAATCCAAATTGCATGCCAAAACGACTGCTCAAGAATACGCAAATTTCAGCATCAAGGCAGATCACGCCAATATGCACGGTAGTATTACAGAAATCGGGTCCAACGAGCAGTCGATGTCGGTGTCCATGGACGAGACTGCGGCAGGATCCTTCTGCAAAGATAGTAACCGTTGTTCTCACCACGACTCACCTTCTTCGGCTGACTATTCGAATTCCTTTCCACCGATCGCAGTGGTGGGCATGGCGATGAGGTTGCCTGGCGATGTAAGGACAAGCAAAGACTTCTGGGAGTTTGTCATCAACAAGAAGGACGCACATGGTCGGGTTCCTAAGAACAGGTACGAGGCCGAGTCTTTCGACCATGCATGGAACGGAAGCAAAAACCCCAAACATGGCTACTTCCTCACCGAAGACCCTGCTTGCTTTGATGCCAAGTTCTTTGACAGCAACACGTACGAGGCATCGCATATGGATCCTCAACAGAGACTTCTGTTGGAGGTTGTGTGGGAATGCCTGGAAAATGCAGGAGAGGTGGACTGGGAAGGCAAAGACATAGGGTGCTATGTTGGGGTCTTTGGAGAGGATTGGCTCGGACTTTCTCACAAAGACCCTGCGCACACTGATAGGTCCCATGCCATAAGCACGGGGAGCTTTGCGCTCTCGAACATGGTCTCATACAAGTATGACTTTCGTGGCCCCAGGTGAGTAATCCTACACAATGTCACATCTGGTTACTGGTTTAATGAAATTTGAAGCATGACGATTCAGACTGGATGCTCATCTTCTTTGGTCGGTCTTCATGAAGCATGTCAGTCTCTGGCCACAAAAACCTGCTCTTCTGCCATCGTCGGGGGCACCAATCTGATTCTGACACCCACAATGACGGCAACCATGTCTGGCAATCTTGTTTTATCACCAAGTGGCATCTGCAAGACATTTGACGCGGAGGCTGATGGGTACGGACGAGGAGAAGCTGTGAATGCTATATATCTGAAACGTCTTGACGATGCGCTTCGCTCCAACGACCCAATTCGAGCAGTTATTCGATCTACCTCTGTGAACTGTGACGGTAAAACATCGAATATCACAAACCCTTCAACACAGGCCCAGGCAAAGCTCATCCGAGCGGCGTATAAGAGGGCTGGGATAGAGGACCCCTCGCTGACTGCATTTGTTGAATGTCATGGTACCGGTACAGTGGCTGGAGATGCCGCCGAATGTTCAGCAATCGAAAATGTCGTTGGAGCAAGAGGAACCGTCATTGGCGCAGTCAAACCCAATTTTGGCCATTCAGAGGGTGCATCCGGCATCACGAGTGTGATCAAGGCAGTTTTGTCCCTGGAACACGGAACAATTCCCCCGAATGCCCATTTCAAAACTCCAAATCCCAGTTTGGCCCAGGGAAGATTGACAGTACCTTGTGAACCTATGGATTGGCCAGCAGATCGTCAAAAAAGGGTCGGGGTCAACGGGTTCGGCATTGGTGGCACTAACGCGCACATCATTTTGGATTCTGCAGATGAACATTGTCCAAAAACTCCAGTTCAAACGACTCCTCGGTCTAATGGCCCATTCGTTCTCGTTCTATCAGCAAAGGATGCAACAAGCCTGCAGGCCCGGATCAAGCAGATGGTGGATTACGTCCAGATGAATCCCCATGTACTTCCCGACCTCGCATTTACCCTTTCAACCCGGCGCCGACATTTGCCTCATCGCGCATTTGTTCTATATAACGAAGGAGAGCAACTTCAGTCTTCCGACTTTGTGACAGCCCAATCTACCTTGTCGCCCCGCTTGTCCTTTGCTTTTACTGGCCAAGGAGGTCAGTGGATTGGTATGGGCAAAAGCTTGATGGAGACATATGAGTCCTTCCGTGCGGATATAGAAGGCCTAGGTCTGGCTTTAAGATCAATTGAAAGCCCGCCGGCATGGTCACTTGAAGGTCAGAGAGAATGAAGACCATTTAACGCGTATCTCGCTGATTATTTTCGAACAGAAGAGCTCAGTCGTCTGGAAGGATCTCGGATCAACGAAGTGGAGTTCTGCCAACCTCTGACTACAGCTGTGCAAATAGGACTGGTCAATCTGCTTGCCAGGTTCGGTGTCTGTCCAACTGATGTGATTGGTCATTCGAGTGGTGAGATAGGGGCAGCCTACGCTGCGGGCGCTATCACTGCCGATTCAGCTATTATCATTGCATACTACCGGGGGAAGCTCGCAAAATCCCAAATGAACCTGGGTGAAATGGCAAGCATTGGTCTTTCAAGTGAGGATGTGGCCCCTTATCTCATTGAAGGTGTTTCTATTGCTTGTCAAAACAGCTCTCAGAATGTCACGATATCAGGGGATAAGCAGAGCATAGACGAGGTGGTCAAGACGATCAAGGCACGTCTCCCCGACGTATTCTGCAAAAGACTTCGCTTGAACATCGCATATCATTCACGTAAGTCTGGACATTTCCATCAATACCGCACTTTTAACACTCACGCAGATCACATGAAACCTGTTGGCCTTCCTTACGAAACTGCTATCTCGAACTATGTCGACAGTAACCACCACATGTTACCGATGTTCTCGAGTGTCAATGGAAACAGAATTACAGATGCCGCGGATCTCACCGCGAAATACTGGAGGCAAAATCTTGAAAGTCCTGTTTTGTTTGCTGATGCGATGAACAACCTCCTAGACAGCGGAAATGCAGAGACAAACCACATCATCCTCGAAATAGGGCCTCATTCTGTTCTTTCCTCTCCCATAAAGCAAATCTTACAAGCCCGACACCAACGGTCAAGCACTTTGTATGTGCCAACTCTCATTCGGTATAACCAGGATTGCAAACGGCAGCTCTTGTCTGCTACAGGGATCGTGCACATCCACGGCCTTGACCCTGACCTCTTGGCAATTACAGGCCCAGGACGGCCCTTAACTGACATTCCCCCGTATCCATGGAATCGTGAAGCAAAATACTGGAGCGAAAGTCGTGCTGCGAGAGACTGGAGACTTATTCAGGAACCTTACCACGAGCTATTGGGTCTGCGATGTGCCGAAGCTACAGATTTCGATCCTTCGTGGCGAAGCTTCCTCTGTTTGGAAAATGTGCCCTGGTTGTCGGATCACGTCATTCAAGACCAGATCGTATTTCCTGGAGCAGGTTATATTGCCATGGCAGGTGAGGCAGTCAGACAAATATACCCGGACAAGGTTGGATACTCTATCAAAAGGGTCCTATTCCTGTCTCCATTACTCCTGGAGGAACATGGCTCTGTGGAGGTTGTGACATCTCTGAGACCACACAAGTTCAACGATATAACCGATTCAAATTGGTTTAATTTCACCATCTCGTCTCATGATGGTACTAAATGGGTCAAAAACTCCACTGGTCAAGTGTGCGCCGGCACAGAAGAGCTTCTTTCAGCTCCCAAGTTGAACCACTATGCCCGTAATGTTTCCCCAAGTCAATGGTACCAGACCCTGTCTGCAATGGGAGTATACTACGGAGAAAAATTCAAAGGTCTCCAAAACATCACTGCTGATCCATCTGCAACCAAAGCTGCCGCCGAGGTAGTAGATAGAATGGAATGCCAGACTAGCCGTTACGCTGTTCACCCAACCATGATTGATCAGTGCCTTCAGGCAATGAGCGTTGCGGCGGCCAAAGGTTTATCACGGCATGTCACAACAGGGGCCATTCCAGCATCCATAGCATCGCTATATGTTGGCAAAGGAAATATGCCCATGAAAATCAATGTGGATGTTTCGCAAAGTACGACAATCAGTCTCGTTGGCAATGCAACCGCCGTTGTTGACGATGAAATTACTCTTCTCATCAGGAGTGCCTCGTTCCATTCTTTCGGAACAGTCGATGAGGCGGTCACCCGACGGATTCCATTGAGTGCGCAAATCCAGTGGATGCCAGATATTGATTTTGTGGACCCTCAATCGTTGGTTCCACCTGTGACTGTGTCGATGGAGGCGCTGCAACCACTTAGGCTCACTGCCCAGCTCACGCTGTTATACATCCTTGAAACTGTCGATTTACTCAGAGACGTGCAACCTACAACAACCCATATGGCAAAATGGAAGACTGGAATAATGAAACAGGCTAATGAGGCCTGGAGTGGACATGTGAAGATGTTCCCAGACTCGGGGAACTGGCGATCCCTCTCCCAAGTTGACAGACAGGCCCTCATGGCTACTATCAAATCTCAGTTGGAAGAGCAAGATGGTGACTCTACAATTGGGGCCATTTGCATGGAGCAGATCTATAATCACTGTCAGGAGTTAATGACTGGCGTCTCCTCCCTGGATCTTCTGATGAGTGACAACCTGATCAGCCGCTATTATGACTTTGGTAATAAATATGCCGACTGGAGCAGGTTCCTTCGCCTCCTGTGTCACTCCAACCCGCGGCTACGTATCCTTGAGGTTGGGGCCGGTACGGGAAGTGCTACCAGTAAAGTGCTGAAATCATTGCACATCTGCGATGTACCAATGTACAGCCAGTATGTTTTCACGGACATATCAAATGGGTTCCTGGGTCCTGCCCGAGATAAATTTGGACAGTATAAAGGCCTAGACTTCAAAGTACTCGACATCGCTCGTGATCCAGTGGAGCAAGGCTATTCCCCTCATACATTTGACCTTGTAATCGCATCCAATGTGGGTTCTGACCTCCCTAGACGTCCATTATCACGAAATGTGGCACCTAAATCGTTTCACCTAGGTTCTGCACGCCACACCACTATTGAAGAAAACCCTCCAGAATATTCGCAAACTGTTGACATCAAGTGGCCACCTCTTGCTGCATGAGTTAAGTTCAGGCAAGCTCATTTCCTATATTCTTTTGAAGCAATCGCTGATGAGACAATTAGAAACACGTAACGTCGATTATATTATGGTATGTCAGACGGAAAACTGTCATTCAAAACGCCCAGCTGACATTACCAGGGAACACTCCCTGGTTGGTGGGTAGGAGAAGAGGATGGAAGAGTAGACAGGCCTTATATCAGTCCCGAGAGATGGAGCCTGGAGCTCCAAGCTGCTGGATTCACTGGAGCAGACGCGTTCTGCTATGACTTGGAGCCTCCACTTCAGGTAAATACCACCATATTGTCGCAAGTCGCTGCCAATACTCTCAGTCCCTTGAATCAACGCCTTACTATCGTGACAAGTGATAGAGATGATGATTGGGTTCTGGGATTTTCTACAGAGCTAACGCGATTGGGGCATGAGATCGAATACAAGAGTTTGGAGGAACTACCAACTGGTTGTGAGTATGTAATTTTCCTCATGGATGTACACGAGCCATTTCTCTACAACATGTCGCCTGAGGATTTTGACCTACTGCGGACCTATCTATCACACGCTAGTCAGTGCAAACTGGTTTGGGTAACCAAAGCAGCTCAAATTTCCTGTGATGATCCGAGATATAGTCTGGTTCCTGGCTTTGTGCGGACTCTCAGAGCGGAAATGATGCTTGAGCTCTCCATGATTGAAGTCGACTCATTCGGCATCCATGTGGTAAGGGCGCTGGGAGATATTCTTGGGAAAGTCTTCTGCGAGAAGGAAGAATCCCAAGATCTCGAAACTGAATTCGTCTTGCATGATGGGACAATCTATACCAGCCGCTGCTGTTGGGGACTACAACCGGAAAGTAACTCGTCGCTCTCATCAAAGAAGCTTACTATTGGAACACCTGGTGTTATTGATACCCTGCGATGGACCGAAGCTGTGGACGCACCGTTGCAACCCCACGATATTGAGGCTAAGGTCTGCTATATCGGGATGAATTTTCGTGTACGGCACATGATCGATCAATGATGAAACTACGCGCTGGTAGCTTACTTTTTGATAGGACATTATGGTGGCCATGGGATTTTTCGGTCAGTCGAATGAAATGGGAATCGAAGGAACAGGTATTGTTCAACGAGTCGGCTCCAGCGTTCGAAATATTTCGATTGGTGATAGGGTGCTTCTGCTCGACATCGGCATTCTTGGCACTCATGCAGTCGTACATGAGCAACGGTGCGCGCCATTACCTGAGGAACTCTCACTGGAGGATGCAGCAACAATGCCAACTGTCTTCCTCACGGCCATCTATTCCTTGATTGATGTAGCTCAAATCAGGAAGGACCAGGTCAGTACCAATCTGCTCCAGACCAATGGTTCCTTTAACTCATCTTCCTAGTCTGTGTTGATACATTCTGCGTGTGGTGGAGTGGGCCTCGCAGCTATTCAGGTCTGCCGGCTAATCGGGGTCAAGAAGGTAGGAGGCTGCACTATGGAGCTGATGAGCAACAGAGCTGACTGTATAGATTTTTGCGACCGTGGGGAATGATGATAAAAAGCAATATCTTGTCCAAGAATGCGGACTGCCCGCAAGCCAAATATTCAACTCCAGAAACAAGAGCTTTTTGCCTTCTTTGATGCAGGTGACAAATGGACGTGGAGTCGACATCGTTCTAAATTCACTTTCGGAAGAACTCTTGCATGCCTCCTGGGAATGTGTTGCTCCCTTTGGAAAGATGATTGAGCTTGGAAAGCGAGACTTCTTGACAAACGGCACGCTCGACATGAGGCCGTTCCTTAACAACCGAGCATTCTTCGGTGTCGATTTACTAGAACTTGGTGATGCTGATGTGGGTATACTGAACAGGTAAATCTATCACCTTTTGACTCGATGACCACTTTGCTGATTTCGATTCAGATTAATGTATCAGACGCTGTCATGGTATAAAGAAGGCAAAATACAGCCCATCCGTCCTACCTCAGTGTTCGAAGCTTCCCGCATCATTGATGCGTTTCGATATATGCAAACTGGTACGCACAAAGGAAAGGTGCTCATCAAGATGCCTGATGACCCTGCCCAGCTACCAGGGGACGCAAGTTGGGAACCGACTTTGTTCTCTCATGATGCTGCTTTCTTGTTAATAGGCGGACTAGGTGGCCTGGGCCGTGCCGTATCTATCTGGATGGTAGAAAACGGAGCACGTTGCTTAGTCTATCTTTCTCGGTCTGCTGGCTCAAGCAATTCTGATCAAAAGTTTATTCATGAGCTGGAACTGATGGGATGTGCAGTCGAAGTGTGCCAAGGTGACGTTGCAAATATCGACGATGTCAAACGTGCAGTTTCACTCTGCCCAAAACCCTTGAAAGGAGTGCTCCACATGGCAATGGCATTAAATGTATGTGTTGTTCGTTCTGTGTTTTTCTTTCTCCTGCGCTTTTCTCTTTCTCTCCTCCAGGGTTACATTGATAATATATCTTCAAGCTGATTCGTGGGATTTTCTAGGACTACCCCTTCCCTCGCATGAGCTTTGAACAGTGGCAGGCATCACTGGCCCCCAAAGTCCGTGGCGCATGGAACTTGCATCTTTCGGTTTCGAACGAGAGTTTGGACTTTTTCGTCATGTTTAGTTCCATCGTCGGGATCTGTGGAAATGTCAGTCAAGCAAACTATGCAGCGGCCAATACATTCCTTGACGGGTTGACGCTGCATCGTCGTCAGCATGGGCTTCCTGCATCTTCCCTTGCTGTCGTCGCTGTGGAGGATGTCGGCTTTGTCAGTCAAGACCAAAAGATGCTAAATCATTTGAAATCTGGTGGCCTTCGGATTATAAGTGAAGCCGAATTAGTGAAAGGCCTGCGACTGTGCATCGAAGAATCTCGAGTGATTAGTCTCGAAGAATCGAAGACGCTTCGCTCTGTCCCCCACATCCTCGGACTGGGCCACACGCGACCACTCTCTGATTCTTCTGTGCGGCCGTATTGGTATCGCGATGCTCGATTCCGCTCTTACACTAATCTAGAATCGATTGGTATGCAGCAGACTGACACGGCGACTGGGAGCAAGTTGAAGAAGTTCATGGTCGATGTGGAGAAGGACCCATCCATCCTCCTTCAAAAAGAAACGGCGACAGTTATCACTCGGGAACTTATTTCTCTGATGACACAGCATACGGCTGAGCCTCGTGATGCTGGAGACGAAGACCTTCTTAATATTGTTATCGACTCCCTCATGATGATTGAGATCAGGAACTGGACCCGACGCAATATAAGCATTGAGGTGAGTTTGGCCGATGTATCTAAAGCACACACGGTGGGGGGTTTAGCTGGCTTGGTCATTGAGCGTCTGAAGATGAAATTCAACGTCGCCCAAGCCGCGGTGGATGATCTTGCTGCAGAGAGCGCGGCATAGTTGCTCGAGGGGATGCATTGTGTCTCTTTGTTTCTCGACTTTTCTAGCATTTGGTGGATCTGTTTGCTACTTGTTCGCGTCGTTGACAAACGCTCCCCGGGCTGTGATAAAGCGAATGAACGTATAAAGGAATAGCTAATTTTGTTTTCTCTTCAACTATTCCCGACTCTGGGCGCCCTCGTAAAAGCGGCGGCAGCTGAGATAGAAATACCCACCCATTAGAGGAGATAATAAGCTATTGAAATGGGATATGCTCGATGGCAGTCTGGTCAAAACAGACGGGTCGACAAATGGTGGCAAGAAAACCCAACAAGAAGTTAGGTTAGGGAGCTCTAGGCAAATGACGCCTATCAAGGATAATCAAATGCTATATCAAGGAGCATAATAGTCATAAATCATGAATCAGGAAATGAGTGGCATTGTTGTATATTTCTATCATTCTCTGCAGTCGTAGATTGCCCATATCCTTTCCTCGAGGACATCACTGCCTGAGGCAGTAATCATACAAATCTCGTGATTTCCCCACTACACTATCTTTTTCTTTACTGTCACCTAGGTAGTCCCTGTCGGTGTTAGTTCCGCTACTGTACGCTTTGCCGTCATCCTGCGAGACCGCGTAAGATCTGACCCTATCACCTCGAGCGATTCTATTGTGGACATCACATTTAACCGTCATAGACAACGTCGCCATGCGTATAGTGATTGAGGCCCTGTTACTAGCCCTGTCTTCTATCTTCTTGATTGCCCTTGTAATCTTCGCGAAGAGATTATAGGAGAATAGCATCTCTCAATTTTACTATAATTGCTTTGAAATCGTTGAGAGCATGATAGTTCTCTCCTTAGTGCCTCCCGAAGGGCTTGGATTCGTACAAAGTCGTTCGGAAGTAGGTTCAACTTGGTTGCGATGTGGGTATGTATACTTTCACTGACGAAGGACGAAACCCCTTAATCACCATCCTGAAAATTAAGGCGACAAAATAGAAAATAGACAAAGAAAGATAAGAATATATGGTGAGGCGCACTCCTTGGGTAATTCTGCATTGAATCATGTGACACTTCATACTATCATGAAAAGATAATGAAAATGACCCTTGATACAGATTCATGTCATTACAGAATACAAAAGCCCTGATCTTTGATTTTCGAATGAAACCAAATAGCCTCGTTTTCATGATATTTGGTATAATAGTGGTATATAATCATGTCAAAAATCTAATAGTAAAAATACATATAGTGAAGGATACAAATCCTCATTCAGCAGAATCCTCATCTGCCACAGAACTCATTATTCTTTCGTCTTCGGGTTGACCAAGTGCTTGATCTTCTGAACAAGCTCTTGAGTGCCGTAAGGCTTATGAATGATGTCATCCATGCCAGCGCTCATCATTTCCTCTTGTTGTGCCTCTCTCGCATTGGCCGTCACGCCCAAAACGGGCACATGCCCCCCAGTCTCTTCTTCAATTTCCCGAATGGCTTTCGTTGCTGCGTTACCATCCATAATAGGCATCTGCTGATCCATGAGAATACAGTCAAATGAAGTATTTCGACTCATTTCCAGAGCCTGTTGACCATTGCATGCTTCGGTGATAGCGAATCCGCGCGCACCCAGCTTGCGCGAGATAATTCTTCGATTGATGAAGTTGTCCTCGACAAGAAGAACTCGCTCACCAGAACCTCCATTTTCCAAATCCAGACTGACTGGCGACTTGTCATGCTCGCGATTAAGCTGACCATCGGATACCTCCCGCGCAATGCGTTGTGTGTGTGACGTTCGCTTGTCGTCAGGTGCACCCACTTCGACTTCTGCAACATTGGCGACGGGGGGATTTTCAGGAATATCAGGTTCATCCGTGGATTCGTTGACTCCGTTCATTTCATTCCCGAGCATTTGAATATCAGAAGATAGTTGGTCGAGCGCAAAAGCGTTAGAAGTGTCGTGGCCTTCATCGGGGGCGTGGGGTGTCCGACGCGCCTTGAAAAAGAAGCCGAAAGTACTTCCTCGTGCTTCTCTCGAACTCACGCCGATCTCGCCTCCGTGTAGATGGCAGAGCTGCCGGCAAACATTGAGGCCGAGACCGGAGCCACCGTAGATACTTTCAGTTCTGGGGGTGGCCTGATTGAACCGCTCAAACAGTCGTTTTTGAGCTTGGTCACTGATGCCAATACCGGAATCTTTAACGGCAACCATGATATATACAGATTCGCCGCCTCCCCATTCGGATGTGTTCGTTGCGTCTTTGCGGAGCCCTGCTTCTCCCGAATCAAAGAAAACGATGTTTGGAGGATAAGAAGAAGGACGCTCGATGGAAGCTCCCATTGACACTCGTAGCAATCGCTCATTTCCGGATCTGGCGGTAAACTTGATGGCATTTGAAAGGATGTTGATGAGCACTTGACCCATGCGGTCAAGGTCTGCCATGACCCAATCAATGCCGCAGTTGCCATACGAGACGTCGACTTCGTATTCGAATTTAATCCGCTGTTTTCGAAGCTCGGGTCGAAACATGGAGAGCGGAGTGGTTAGGTGTCGTTTCGGTTGAACCTTGTGGGGGTTTAAAGAAAGCATGGAGGCGTCGAGTTTGGAAAAGGTGAGAACATCATTCACGATCTTCTTTTGATGCGTGATGCAGAGACTGATAGTCTCGACCGCTTCAGTGATGGTAGGTAGTGAAATATCTTCCCGCTTGGTATTATAAATCGCTTCCTGGATGTCTTCTGTACAATGGAGTATAGCGGAGAGGGGATTCCGAATTTCGTGACTGATTATATCAATGAACCGTTCTTGTTGCTTCTTCCGATCTTGTGCCTCCCTTGCAGCCTGCCTTTGCATCAGCTCTGCCTTCTTCTCCGGTGTGATATCCGCGATGGTACAGATGAAGAGTGTATCTCCACGGCGACCGAAGCACTTGACGTCTTCCTTGTTCAACGGTTCTAATGTCATGACACACCACATCGACTCCGGGTTATGGCTATGATATTCGATCCGCAGGGGTTGTTTAGATGATGCACCTTCCTGAAATTCAGCAGTCACCCTTTCATAGTCGTCCGAGTGGACCGATTTCAGCCAGCATTCGGAGAAGTTCGCGCTCGCGCATGGTACCAGCCTTCGAAATCGGCGGTTGATAGAGATCAGTTCATATCGATAGTTGAGAATGGCGACACCGTTTGGAAGGATGTCGGCCAGCTGTTGGGCTGTGACGTTAGGAGCGAAATTGAGCGTCATTGACTTTCTCGACGACTCGGGATCGTGCGTCTTGCAGGGATGAAGGAGAAGGTCGCTGTCAGTCTTTGGATGGCCTAGTATGTAATGTCCTCACCAATCCAGGGTGATTCTCATTGCAGATCGATCGACAATTGCTGGATATTGGACAGGTTCGATTGGAGATTCTCAACCCGAACCACGCACTAGGGAAGTATGGGCTTCGAATTAAATTAGACCACAGTTTAATATCAAAAAAGGGACGAAGTTTGCAGAGTAGTTTAGGGTGATCGCGGGGATATAGTATTGTCGCTTGACTCCCCTCCGATTTTGTCTTGTACGTCATTATTGTGGAGTTGAAGACTTCGATGGACTTCCAATTGCACTGCTGGATGAAGTAGCCCATGCCTCGCCATTGGCCGGAAGATTGGTCCACACCTGATCGTTCAGGCACAAGTCATGACGTCACTGTATCACGGGCGCTGTTTTGGTGGTTTGCTCTGTTTGCTCTGTTTGTCTCAGTTCCCCCTGAACACCCGAGGCCATTCGGCTATCAGCTGGAGTTATCACCAACTACTTAGGGTACACTTGAGTTGACACTACGGACTCTTGAGCTTCGAGCTTCCCTTGTCTGTCACTCCGGCGTCGGAGATATGCGAGCCCAACTTAAGAATTTACGTACCCCTTGGGCATTCCGGCATGAGACCCATCTAGGCCTAGGTGAATGTGTATCCCACGAGCATGTCTCAAAGGGCCCGAAGAACATTCTGAGAGAAGGACACCGAGGGAGCAGTGCGCCCACGTCACTACTTGAACAGGCGACCAACCCGACGTTGTTGGGTATGGGTTCATGGACGACACTCACGTTATAGAATTCGATTATGTCTTTCCGTGGCGGGTATTGTTTTCACGCTGGAGCATCTAATTTGGCCAAGGCATATGCGGGGAAGCAACTTGTGGGCGAGACGGATGAACGCGAGGGCCTTGTCATGGTGATCTTCAAATGGGAATTTGCAATCTCCACTCGTGGGTGGAGTATGAGGTCGACCAGAGGTGGGGTGTGAATGTATGACCCTGAAACCGAGCTACAAGATTCCAATCATATAGCTCAAGGACGAGCACACTCAGTGTGTGATATGATTGCCGCCAGGAAGGGGGTCAAAAGTCGACGGTGTCACTAAGTACGGGCTATTTGTTACCCACGCTATTGGACTAGATTTTGGGCAGTGGGACACTAAGCTGCATGATAAGCAGAGCTCAACACAACACAGCCCAAACTAAGACTTCTTAACCTGAAACTGCCAAAGTCCAAATTTGTAGCTCATGAACCACGGTCGTGGATAAGGTGAAGTGAGGGATTTGATAAAGCGACAAGGTCCTTGTCCCTCTAGAACAATTGTACTGTTGTCGCTGATCACAGGTTCCCATGACTTGCGAGGTAAGCGCTGGAATGAGGAAATGACCGAGACTGCAGTGCAGTTGCACTTCATGCATACGCTTATGCAAGGTGATAAGACAAGGAAGAGCATCACAAATCAATATCGGCGAATCGTGCTCAGGGCAAGGTTCAGACCACGGATGTACGCATCGTGAGCGAGAATCTTAGATGCGGTGAGTATTCGATAGTGTTCTTAGACCTACGAATGGAACATCATAGACCCATTTCAATATTCTCGCGCAATCTAGCATCTGCTTAGATCTCGTAATCATTGCTGATCCCCACAGCAGTTCCGGATCATATATTCTGAGCTTTAGATTGGATGGCGATCTGCACGTTAGCAAAATCCAATATTAGTTTCCTCAAAGATAGAGCTGAGTGAAGATTCTTTATATCAGTTGGGAGGTATTACTCATTTGGCTTTGGCCAGGAACTCGGACATTATAGAAAGCTACGGTATGCACAGCTAGTGGGGGTATAAGCCGTCGGCCCACCTTGATACAACATCTGAGAGGGCTGTGCGTAAACTGTTAAAAGCACAATCGGGGAGACGTTGATTGCCTCGAAACTTTGAGAGTGGAACAGACTATGCTCCACTTATGTAGGAGAATAAAAGATCTAGAAGTTTGCCAGGGCCGACACGTCGGGGATGAGCTGTCGAGGCGGGAAGAAAAATCTAGCGTGGCAAATCCCGTCAAATCTTTCCTAGCATACCAAATCTTGGTTTCAAATATTTGGAGCTATTATTTTCGGCATGAAACCTACCAACAAAAGAAAAGATTTCATGACTTACCTAGTATCAGCATGGAACCTTGGAAGATTGGGTGTAATTGCTAAGAATCGGTGATTGAGCCCTACCACCGGGATCCCGGACCACAAAAAGTTCGGCCCGACAACATAACGCTCGGGTGCCGCAAACTAAGTTTTTTAGCCCTACAAGACCCTGTTGATAGGATTTTGGATGATATAATTTCATCATCGACGCTTAGCCCGGTCTCTATGTCAAAAGACTTCGTTTGAACGTACTGAATGCGTTATCAACATAAGTTTCTTTAGTCCAATCCGCAGTTCTATCTTGCATGTGGGAAAGATGGCTACCCAGTGGATTGCATTACCCACTCCTCGTGGGTCGTCGTCTTCTCAAAATGGTAACCCGAGTATCTTGCTCCAGTTTAAGGTGTTTCTCAAAAGGGTAATCCGAGCAACTTCCATCCACTTTTTAAATTGGAGCGATTGAAGATTTTGATTTTTTCGACTATAGGAAATCGTATATTAGTAGGAGAGTAGATGCCAATGCTACCCAGAATATCCGTTTTCATCTCATTTAGTTTTCACATCCATAATGGGCATTGTTGGCTATTTCAGTCGACCGCGTGGCCATCAGGCACAAAATGGTGATGGCTCTATCACTCCTAGTGAGCCGAAAATAATTGAGCCTACAATTATCTTCAGCCCTGAGTCGTCGGGCACTGCTACACCTGCACACATGCTTCCCTCTCCTGCTGGCAGCGAAGACCCTCTCATCTTTGAAAATATTCCCAACCAATTTGGCCGTCTCAGTTCTTGGAGAGGATGCTTGATCTTGCTTGTCACTTCAGGATCTCAGTTCCTAGACAACGTTTTCATGACAAGTGCCAATATTGCGTTGTCATCAATTCAGCAAGACTTTAAAGTCTCCAGCACCGACTTGCAATGGATGATCTCTGCCTACACTTTGACATTCGGTGGCTTCCTCTTGCTTGCCGGTGCTTTGTCTGATCGGTATGCTATCTGAATATATCCCTCCCCTCCCCCACTAGGTTCTTTTGTTTACTAACTTTTTCAGCTACGGTCGAAAGAAAATCCTTTGTCTAGGCCTTGCGTGGCTCTCCATATGGACACTGGCCATTGGATTCGGTCAGACCTTTATTCAATTAACAGTCTTCCGTGGTGTTCAAGGAATTGGAGCGGCACTTACTGTTCCATCCGCCATTGGAATTATCAGCTCTTACTTCAGCGGTGTCGACCGTACCCGTGCCCTATCAATCTACGGAGCATCCGGCACTTTGGGATTCTGCACTGGTCTGATCTTTGGTGGATTTCTGACTTCTTCCTTGGGCTGGCGATACATTTTCTACCTCATTGTTATTATCACTGGCTCGTTGGGAATTCTTGGTTTCATTGTCTTACCATGCGATGTTCCATCCGAAAAGAAACATGAGCGAATGGACTATATTGGCGCAGTGATGTCCACCGCTGGCTTGATCCTGCTCCAATTCGTCCTTTCCAGTGGTGGTACCTACGGCTGGGATCAGCCATTCATCATTGTGCTTCTGATCGTCGCTGTGGGTCTTCTCGTCGGATTCACTATCCTCGAGAAGTATATCAGCAATCCTATCATGCCACTCGCCTTGTGGAAGATTCGCAATTTCGCTGGTCTCTGGGTTATTGGCTTCAGTAAGTAAAACGAGCCATTAAGAGTTTTGTTTGAACAGTGCTGACCGTCACTAGCTGGCTATGGTACATACCAGAATGTCATCTACTACATTGTCCTGATTGCACAGGAAGTTGACAAGCTTAACGCTGGCGACACTGCCCTTCGCTTTTTGCCAATGGGAGCGATCGGATTTATTGTCTCTCTCGGCACCGGCAAGCTTCTGGAATACATGAATGGAAAGCACCTCCTCATCGCTGGTCTGGTTCTAGCAGTGGTCGCTCCCATCTCAAGTGCTTTGACTTCGAGCACCACGACAAACTTGTATGAATAGTCCCCTTGCTAAATAACTGCATTATGCTGACTGTCACAGCTGGCTCAACGTGCTCCCCACGTCTCTGATCAGTATCTCGTCCGTCTCATTCATTTTCGTGACGACCAGCACTGTCGTGCTTACAAGTGTGCCTGTCGAAGTGAAAAGCTTGGCTGGTGGAATGGTGAGTCTCAATTCCTTGAGACGCATAGGAAGTATTTACTTATCATATGAAACAGCTCAATACTGCATTCCAAATCGGCTCCGGTGTAGCGCTGGCTATCTCAGCTGCTGTCACCGATGCAGTTGACATCCAGAAGGGACACAGTCTCGCAGAACAGTATGCCACTGGCCTTTGGTGCTCTGTCGGACTTGCTGGCTTTGGACTTATCATTGGGATGATCTCCGTTCGACAGAAGGGTATTGGTCCAAAAGATAGACTTGGGGCTGGCCCGGTCGCTATCTGATTTGGTCATGGTTATGAGACTGTCCAAATCATATCCGTAGATGATAGATGACAGATGGTACATTATTGTTCCTAGATGCCCATCTACAGGAGAATTTATGGTTTCAGCGTTCAATATGAAGAAAAAAGCGAGTGCGGCATTACTTTAATTTTATACATCTTTCTTTTTATTTGAAATTCCAACGGTCACGTAGCCCCCCTTCAGCCAATACACGAACCTCCTAATGCTCCGTTCCGCCCATAGTCACCGGATCACCTGGTAAGTGATACCAAGGGTGTGCTTACAATGTATCGGCACGTCGTGTATATCTTTGACAATAGCAACACAAACACATGCTTAGTTTTCAGTATCAGGACTATTCATTTGATTAGAGCTTGCTGAGAGATATCGTCATATCTCCAGAGAGCCACATATTTCCCTCTTCCTCGTGTACCATTAATTTGCTCCTACTCCTATGATGCTGAAAGGTAGCATCGCGGACAATTGATTTGGTTCAAAATAAAATGCTCATAATTACGATATTTGCTTCAGCATAGTCCAGGACACATCGATAGAAGAGTAAGAGTACTTGAACAGATGTAGGTAGCTTTATAGCTTTCCGATCATACTTGAGATATACGTACGTAAGCCGGGCGTCTTAAGCATCCTTGCTTTTTGATCCAATGGTTAAATATCCACTTTCAAGAATCATTACTCACAAATATCTCCATCATCTTTGTATGACCATTCAACCCCAGAGACAATGCCTATACCAATCAAAAGTGAATCCAATCTGCTCAGGCTCGCCTAAGGAAAGCAAGTGAAGAAGTCCACTTCTCTCCAGGTGCTGACAGAATTCCTTCTTTTTCGAGAAAGAAAACTCATCTTACATGTATTCTAGATTCAAATCACAATTGTCATCACTATCCTTCATTCTGTTTTCTTTAATTTCCATCGCATCGGATCTTTCGTTCAAAAGGTGTTCTTCTCGTATACGCGACTAAGTCTAAGACCGCGACAAATTTGATATGCCAAAGCTTGTCGATAATATTGTCAATCAGGGGGTTATTATCCAATTTCGGAAGCTTCATATTTTGTAGTACATAAATCTACGAGCTTAGGACTATGTTCGTAAAGATCTTCCATAAAACAGCGATCTTTACAAACCTCAAAGTCGTAATTTATCAAATAGTATAAGTAAACGTGGGTAAGCTGTTCTGTTCGAGGGGTAAGAAAGCCAAAAGTTCCACATTCCCCTTGGTCTGACTTATTATTGATTGTTCGGCTATACGGAGCTATACAAGCTTCATAATTTGTGGCAATCTTCACTGTGCAATCAAATTAGAAAGCTTTAGTCGGTTACGATCAAGTGGGACCTTTTTAGGTCGTAAATAACAATAAGCGAGATTGACGGATTCTAAGAAAGCAACAGTTTAAGCGATATCAGTCATCTATGTTATTCGCAGAGAGAGTGGTTCCAATGTGTCTACCACAAGGACTATCATATTTTGCTAGTCCCGAGTGTGATTGTTTTGTATCCCGGAAGAAAGTGATATGTCTAGGACATAGATTAGTGGACAACTTGTTAGATACTAATAGGGGTCGCACCTCTCATATACTCTAGGAAGATACCACTACTAGATAGAGAAGTATTTTAAGAAGAAGAAGGGATAGGAACATAACATCAATGTAAGTTAACACCTCCAGGGGGATCTCGTGACCTTCCCGATTCCAGCCTCATGCATAACTGACTATAGATGCTATTCGTAACCCTTGGGAGACTCTTGAGAAGCCTTTGGTTTGTAAATATGGCTGGTGATCTCGCCTCGATCCGCTGACCAAATCGAAATTAAAGCTCTTAATCGTTGATCACAAGGTTTTTTAAGTTCCGGGTGCTGAGAGAAAGGGGTTGTAGTATCATTCCATCTAGAATTCCTCGCATCTTGGCAGCCATGGGGGGGGGCCAATCAAATGCACAATATTGAGCTTGATAAGTTAATCCCTCAGGCTATGCTCTGTCTAATTCGTTGCTTATTTCCGCCCAGATTAAGGTTGTCGGGTTCTTGATCAAGCCTGGACAGGGGGAGAACTGTAAGTCTACCTTGATTGAACCCTTCATCGATTCCGTATTGACGCCCTTGAATGAAGGTGAATCTAGTGCCATCTTCAAACACCTTTGATGTTTTCCAAGTAGAACCCTAATGGGGCGGTGTCACACTGAAGCCACAAGACCCTAGATGCGTGATTGCAATACCAACCTCAGCCCCTGCGATAAATTCCCTCTTCTAGCCACTGTGAAGCCCCTTACTTTAAGCCTTGAATACCAGGATCCCCGCGCTTGTACCCGTCGGGAGCATGGACAATCAGCCGGGGCCCTCTTTCCCTTTAATTCTTTAATCTCCTCACCTCGGTTTGTCCCTTGTGGGACATTCCTAGCATTGAATCACAAGAGCCACCCATTCTGGCTATTCGGCGCGGGGAAGGTATGTCTCTCAGTCGCCTGGCCTTTGAGCACCTGGGCCAGAACGGTCTGGCCTTACCTAAAGTCTTCTTGGAAACAGACTCCTTCTGTCTTCACCACGCTGAGTGAATATTGGACAAACTTATGGAATGTTTGTAGGCCTACGGCTACAAGCCGAATTATCCGGGTCTACTGTGCTTTGCGATGTCTTAAATATCGGAGATTTCAACAACCCGACAGCATTTTATACCTTGACTTTCAGAGAAATCTTCCCCATAGTGTGGATCATTGTCGATCACGCCGATCTTGCACCTGTCAATCTATTGACGCGTACTTTATATCATTCAGACGTACAAATGGCACGTTTCCTTGGCCTTAGGGGCAACAGCCTCAACGTCGCAGCAATTCTGGGCGTCCTCATGCCTGGAATCCTCACAGTTGGCTACAATGCCTCATCGTTTGGAGGTGTCCTGACGCAGATCAACTTCGAGACCCAATTTCCGGAGATTGACATTGACCATGCCAAGAATCAATCAAAAGCATCAATGCTTCAAGGCTTCGTCGTTGGAGCCTACACAATCGGAGGATTTCTGGGCACACTGTCATGTATTTGGGTTGGTGACAAGTTTGGCCGTCGCCGCACAATTATGATTGGAGCAAGTGTGCAAGTGATTGGATCTATTCTCATGGCTGCTGCATGGTCATTAGCCCACTTGATTATATCCCGGATCACACTGGGCTTCGGGACAGGCATTCTTCTTGCCACTATTCCCCTCTGGCAATCCGAAATTTCGCCTGCTGAAAAGCGCGGTGCACATGTCGGCATGAAAGGAATATTTAGTGGGCTTGGATGCGCCCTTGCCTTGTTTCTGGACTTTGGAATGTCTTTTACCCGTGCGAGTGTTGCTTGGAGATTCCCTTTCGCCTTTGTGATATTGCTTTCCCTTGCCATTCTTGGATTCATTATTCTACTCCCCGAGTCTCCACGTTGGTTGATTCGCGAAGGCCGGATCTCTGAGGCAAGTGAAGTTCTAGCGGCCTTGGAAGATACCTGTGTGGATGATATATCTGTTGAAACGAAAATCAAGGATGTTCAGATGTCCCTTGAGCTGTCTGGAAAACCCTCTCTTGGGCAATTCTTCCACATGGGTCCTCAAAGAACCTTTCATCGGGCCATACTTGCTTGTTTGGTTATGCTCTGCCTACAGCTTACAGGTTCTACTGTCACCACCTTTTACAGTATGTTTAGTTCTTTGCCAGCGTGTATAAAACCAGCAGTATCACTGACTCTATGCACCTTTAGCAACTGCAATCTTCGAGAAGAACCTCGGACTCGGCAACTCAACATCCACAGTTCTTGCGGCGGTCTATCAACTTGTCGGTCCTATTGGAGGAACGTTTTGCGTTCTGAAGATTGAAGGCTTTGGTCGAAGGGTTCTACTTCTAGGCAGCGCGGCTGGAAATGCTCTATGCTTAGCCCTGGTAGCTGGCCTTGGAAGTCAAAGTGAGAACCCGCTCGCAATGCGATGCGCCGTCTTCTTCATATTCCTCTTCCATTTCAGTTATATCATCGGGTTCGGCGCGATACCATATCTCTATGCTACAGAAATTGCTCCTTTGCATCTACGAACAACTATCAACAGCTTCAGCATCAGTATTTCCTGGGCTGTCAGCATTTTGATCACTAATGTCACGCCACTCGCCTTCAATACCATGGGACAAACCTACTTTGTGATATTTGCAGGGTTCAATGCGGCTATGGTCCCGATCATTTACTACATGTTTCCAGAGACTGCGGGACGCAGCCTCGAGGAAATGGACAAGATTTTCGCCCTCTCTCGAAGCATGTTTGATGTGGTGAAAGTGGCGAGGCTTCTCCCACATGGGCAGCCAGATGATCTGTCTATTGAGAAGAATCTGGTATCCGATCTCAAACATCCAGAACTCCAGCTCCGTGAAGTCCACTCAGCCTGACACTACTTTCACGAACCAGAAAAGATACAATGAAGCGTTATGAAGCAATGAGAACAGCTTGAAATATGAAATGACTTTCGGACTATTTTCACTTTATTCCACAATCGACAGACTCAATGATCAGAGATTAGTAGGAACAGTAACTTATCACGTCGTGAAGGAAACCCTTTGTATAGAGCGACTTGGTGCATATTTTCGACCCACTTACAAATTTAGTCACAGTATTCGTTCATTCGAAAAACCAATGGTACACGGAGAAAAAATGAAAAAAGAAATGTTGGAATAAAACAAGTACTTGTTCGCCTTCTGTCTGAGCTCATTTCAAAAATCGAAGTCCGCCCAGCAAAATCTTGAATTTTTCCAGCCGAATCCTATTCCATTTAGAGATCCCCACTTACGATGTTACTGCTGTGTATTAATAAAAAAGGTGAACTTTCAAGTAAGACCAAAGGAATATCGTCACAGAACTGAAATTTAGATATGATTTTCAACACTGACGATATATGCCAAAAGCTTCTGAAAAGAACGACAGTTTCCAACTTCAGAATAGTATAAACGGTAGGTTTGTTTAGCTGATAGATGCAGACGACAAATACTGAGATGGGGTCTATTTAATTAGATTGCCGAGATCAAAATGGCTTTCAAAATGAAAGGACCATTTCGTCTGACGCCCTACTCACTCTATTGTAGTTGGGCTTGTTGACGAGGCGACTGATTCTCATCATCCAAGTGTAAGCTCCGATTCGTTCCGTCTGTGCTTCCAACTTCAATCCAGCCATCACCTATCCATGAAAGAGGGTTGTTGTCCAGATACTGGTAGGGTATGCGTCCCACCCTCTTGATAGGATCCCCGCTGCCCCATATGTGGCGGGGCCGTATAATATTGGAATGCTTGCTTTTCATTTTCTAGATCACTACTAAGGTATGTGGCTCGAAGTTTGCATCCTAATATATCCGTTCATTTTCTCGACATGTTGACTCAATATCTTGTCAGCAACTGTGATTTTGAGCCGACAACCGAGACCTTTTACATTAACATACACGTTCCGTAATAAATATAGGGAAGTTTTAAAAAGCCAACCCCAATTGCTATACAGCTCTCCGTCGGTACCCTCACTGATTATATTGGCAATTGTGCTCCCATCCGGCTGGACGAAGACCAGTAGAGAAGACTTTTTTGCAGTGACAGTTTCTCGGACTTTGCGTTGATCTTCCCAAAAGACCACTTCACGCACCGTGACTAGGTTACGCGTCAATGTGTGGTTAACCTCGGAGATCACGGTGGTGGGTTGGATAGCCTTCGGGACGAAGGTTTCGGGAGATCGAATTTTGAGGAGTAGACCAGCTCACACTTGATCTTCTCTGAGGATTGGGCTATCTCCAATGAGATTGAGTGGAGCAGTGAAAGCGATATCGTTGGTAGACATGATGTTGTTGGGCTGTATTCTGTTTCTTTTTGAGAGATGATTGGTATGAAATGATCATCGATCTGCAGTGGATAGAATTATATACTGAAATGGGAGATGCTCGATGGCAGTCTGGTCAAAACAGATGGGTCGACAAATGGTGGAGAAAACCCAACAAGAAGTCAGGTCTGTGAGCTCTAGACAGATAACGCCTGTCAGGGATAATCGGATGCTATATCAAGGAGTATAATGATCATAAATCTTGAATCAGGAAATGAGTGGCATTGTTGTAACTGTCCATCCTTCTCTACAGTCGTAGATTGCCCATATCCTTTCCTCGAGGACATCACTGCCTGAGGCAGTAATCATACAAATCTCGTGATTTCCCCACTACAATACATACTGCTGTGGCTTTTTCTACCGACAACATGGGAAGAAGCGACACATCTTACGATATTTTGGCCAAAGCTCATGAGCGACATTGACTATCATGATCACGATTGTTATTCAAGAAGTTGCTTTTGAAGCAGTCACGCAATTGTGGTCCACCTCCAGGTCTAACTTTACAGAGGATCAGCTGTAAGAGAGCAGCATTTTGCTGATCCATCAAGAAATACTAAATCTTAAATGGTCTTTAGCCTTATATGCGTAAAAAGCTCGCTTAGAATGAGATTCATAAGGCGCAATTGGCCTAGTAGATGATGTGCCTCGAACCGCTAAGACAACTCTAGTGCTGTAATGTTTTGCATGTCTCCACAAGCGCGCAGATTCTCTCAAAGCTCTTGGGAAATTCATTGGCTGTTATTTCTAACCAGTGATGCCATTTGGCGCTTTGCTTGAAAATGACGCCCCCTCTTCAAAAGTCAAGGGCTGCCACTGCGGCTTTCCCCCAAAGCCGTGCACTTTCAAGTCTTACTCAAGCGATATAATCAAAGAACTTGGAGTCAAATAGACCTCTTAGCATGACATTACGTATTTGAGTATTCTATTTACGCTTCAACAGAATTATTGTCAACAGAGCTGTTCCATCGTGCTTAAATATTTAAAAGCGGCCAATGCGCTAGAGAATCGAGATTGGAACCTCGCATATAGCAAAACATGAGCCTAGCATATGTAACCAACGTCAATTCAACTGCCATAAGCGGGAACAGGATCCCAGTATCTGGAGCACTGCAAGGTTGCTAAATCAAACCGACTTTGAGGTACCACCAGGCCAAGAACCTCGGTGGTATCAATAATATGGCTGACCTTGTGCCGATTTAGTTTTACTTTAGCCTTAGTTTCAAATTTGTTGTATCATTTATTCCTCCGATGTTGGAATATCCCACGATCCACAATCAGGACTTTGTCTTCATGTCAGCTACATGCAATTTCATGCGTATTGTGTGGAGAGTAGCATCGCGTCGTCAAGAAGTCATATTATATAGAGGTGCATACGACACATTTTAATTTCAATTTCCAATTTACATGAACATCATCACTGCGACCTTGATTTACGATTCCTTCCTTCAGTCGACAAAAGGAGTCCCTTGCCTTTGTCATACGTGCTTCGAAGCTGCACCACGATGCTTTCGCGACGAGGCTTTAACAAGGAAGCCGATATAATCGTAACTGGAAGCGAAACGCAGAGTACGCAAGTCATAAATGGGAGCTTCCAGTATGTTGGGGAGGGAGGGGGAAATAATGCGGGACTCACGTACCAGGATGCATCCGGTGCTCCAATCGAAAGCAAATCCCCGTTGGGATACTCTGTCGGTCCCATTACAATTACCTTGCTCAATATCACCATGATGATTGGTGCTGGCATTTACTCCACGCGTGAGTGCAATTGATCCTCACACCACCAGGTATGCCGGGTGGTAACTAACATTACCAAGCATCGTCTATCCTGTCTGGTACTGGTTCAGTTGGCTTGAGCTTTGTCTACTGGACCCTCGGCTATTTGGTAAATTCTATTATATATGAACAGGGGACTCTCGTTGACTTTTTATACTCATTCACAGTTATGTCTCGCATCTGGTGCTGTGTACCTTGAATTTACAGCATACTTTCCCAGCCGCTCAGGCTCGGAAGTCGTTTTTCTCGAGCAAGCTTATCCTCGTCCAATGTGGCTCTTTCCGACCACATTTGCCGTCCAGAGCGTCATTCTCTCGTTTGGAAGTGCCAATGCTACAGGTAGGTGAACTTGAATCTATGTTCGAGCACGATACGCTAACCAGTTACGACAGTTATGGCCAACTACTTGATCGCGATCTCTGGACACGAGGGAACTGAATGGCAAATTAAAGGCACTGCTCTGGCCTGCTACAGTCTTGCTACGTTATGTAAGTTCTTCATTCCTCAATTCCCTTGTGTTTTGTTCGCTGATGGAAGTAAGGTTTGGTTTTCAATACAAAGTACGCCTATAGGTTCTCAAATGCCGTGGGTATTGTGAAGATTTGCACGCTACTCTTTATCATTGTCACTGGCTTCGTTGTTTTGGGCGGCAAAACCAAGGTTGCAACCCCCAAAGCAAACTTCCAAAATGCCTGGTCTGGTAGTGCTACAGCTACAGGATATGGCTTGACCACCGCCTTATATCGTATTATTTTTTCATACGGAGGATATAACAATGCCTTCAATGTTGTGAACGAGGTCAAAGTAGGGAGATAAAACATGGATCAGACAAACATGGGACTAATTCTTTTGCTCTAGAATCCCGTCAAATCGCTGAAAATATATGCCACAGTTGCCCTTACTGCGGTATATCTTCTATATATGTTCGCGAATGTGGCCTTCTTTGCTGCTGGTGAGCTGCTATGATGTCATCTGATCTTGGGATTACAATACTAACATTGAATTGTTGCAAAGTTCCGAAAGAAGAGCTGGAGAACTCCGACTTAACTACTGCAACCTTGTTCTTCACCAAAGTATTCGGTGATAGCGGTGCAGTTCGTGGTCTTAACTTTTTAATTGCCTTGGCTTCCTTTGGAAACATGATTGCTGTGATAATTGGCTTATCTCGACGAATCAGGGAATGTGGAAGACAAGGCGTGCTACCTTGCACCAAATTCTGGGTATCGACCAAGCCATTTGGCACACCTCTAGGGCCATATGCGGTCATCTGGTTCCTGACCACATTGATGATTCTAGCTGTTCCTGCCGGAGACGCTTTCACCTTCGGTAAGAATTTACCTATCAGAAAAGAAGAGAAGCTATTACGGTGCTGATAGCAGTACAGTCAACGACTTGAGCATTTTGCCTAATGCTGCATTTAACCTTGCGATGGCAGTTGGTATATACATTGTTCGTTGGCGACGAAGCAAAGCCAACCTTCCGGAACCCCAGTTCAAGGCTTGGCACGTCGTGATTGTTTTCAATATCCTAATTCAGCTTTACCTCGTCATAATGCCCTGGTATCCTCCTGCAGGTGGTCAATATGCAGGGGATGTCAGCTTCTGGTACGCCACATACGCTGTGACCGGTATTGCAATGTGAGTCATTTCAATCCTCGCGTCTACTGTGCTACTGTTACTGACGTTACCATAGTCTCCTTGCGTGCGCCATCTATTACTGGTTTTGGGCATTCCTGATTCCTAAGTGGAAGAAATATAGCCTGCGACAAGAACTGTTCAGCCTGGACGACGGAACGCAAAGCTACCGGCTTCGAAAAATTCCCAACTCTGAGATTGCAGACTGGGATGTGAGGCACGATGTAGCTGGACGTCTCCTTGAGATTCCTGTCGGCAAATTTCAGAGCGCGGAGAAGTGAAAACAGATATTTGAGACCGAGAACACACGTTGAGAGGTGGATTTACAGACCCTGGTACTATAAGAGGGGCACTTATCTACGATTTGGAATAGCAGGATGGGATTATATCCATGAGGTTTGAAGGCTATGGCTTTATTAGGAAGTTCGATGTGCATACTTACCATGATAGCACATCTCATGAGTATCTATCTCTTCGGACTATGTAACAAAAATGGCAAGACCAAAAAAAACATACAACAGTAAGGATTCGCTAGTGGTCACCCACCTAACTACTAACTTACCGGCGTGTGGCTTAAGTACGGCTGAGCGGACGGGAAGCCCTGTTCTCCACACCCTGTGGTCGTATGTACTAACTCTGGTAGTGAAAAAGTATAAGTAGAGTAGAACAGAATGGTTGTGACATGAATACTATAGTATGACTAGGGGTGAAAGGGCAAGCGCGCTGTAGACAGGGTAAGAAGCAGGGTAAGAATCACCTAAGACGCACGACTGACTTACACTAACCTCCTTAGCGAAATAATCACGGAATATCATTAGATCGTTCCGTTCCCTACAAAACGCTCAGTATCGTAGTATGTACACGTAAATATCATACAATTTTGTCACTACTTTCACTGATCTTTTAAATACTATAGATTATATATCATATAGCGAAAGCTTTCTATAAATAAGATTACCTTGTATATATGTTCAACATTTTCGTTACATTACCACCTAACTTCAGGATACTATCAAATTTTCTAAAGATTTGGTCGTTTCTAAATGCGGGAAAAGATATAATTGTACTGGAACACCATTGCCTTACGATTGACAAATGAATAGACAAATATCTAACCACCACCCTATATTTGGCAAATACTTGCCCACAAGAAAATCAATTACCTGCAGCATCACATTCAGTGGGCTTGTGTCCGCCTTCATCAACAGCAACAGATACATCCGCAAGCTGTCCCCTACTGCCCTCGACTCTAGTCTCATGTGCAGCAGTATTTCTATTCAGCGCGACGATTTGGGCATTGATAGCTTCAATCAGAGCTTTTGCCGTATCCTCCGTCATACATTGTGCAGCTTGATCTTTGTCAAGGCCTGGCTCGAACTTGTTGTTGATAAACATAGCACCGACAGTACCTGCAAGACCAACGGGGCCTCCTGCGAGCGTCGCAATGAATGGTTCGTTTAAGAATTCCCATAGCGGCTTTTTTGCCTCTTTTGCAGCTGCAGCTGCCATGGTTACCAGTTTATCACCCCATTTCTTCAGTCCTCCGTATCCCCTCCTTGCGATATCCGCAGTACATCGAACGGTGGTCATGCATCGGCTATCCTCAAGATCCCGTTCTAGCAGAAATGGTACCAGGCTCTCGTCAACATCACGTTCGGCTATAGAATAGTTATCTGACGTCAAATCCAGCTCATGGTCTCTCGCTTGGTGGATTTCATCATCCCACTCATAAGCAGGGACCCCAGTGAAGACGCCTCTGGCAATTTGATGCCACCTTCGTGTGACGCCGTTATGCTCAAATTCATCGCCATGACGAGCAGGAGGATTTTCCGTTTCGCGGCGAAGTGCCTCATAGTCTGAATCTGAATTGCGGAAGCTACGGGCAGAGATGGGCTTTTCGACTTTGAAATGTGATTCCCGATCAACCACCTGGAACGAACGATAACTTTGAGATGAGCAGCCCAGGTGCTGTTTCTTGATAAGATGGGCTGGGTCACAATCATTGGAATCGTAAAAAGCGACAACAGAGCCACGTTCGTTGTCCCCTGGCGTAACAGTGACGCCGTGAGCCACACCAGCATAATTTTCGTGACATCCGGAGCTAACATCGCCCGACCAGGAGCCAATAGCTTCACTGGAACATCGTTTTGCAGATTCTTTGTGAAAGTCAAGCTGATAACCATGGGCAGTGCTTGCTGTGAGGCTGAGAATCCAAATCAACGAGTCGGAAAAATACATGATGATCGATTCCACAGAAAGAGAATTCAACAATAGATTGAAGGATAGAGAAAAGGAAACTCAGATTTGGTCTATACAGGCAGATTGCTTTAGATACCTAGCTCGGTTCTACTGCTACTTATAAGTTTCCAGATCTCTGTTTCCTAAAAACGCACTTTTCTGCCCCCATTCTCTTTTACAGGAATAATCTCGAGAATTCAGAGAATCAGAAGGTTCAAAGGAGATCATACACTGCCCCCTTGCATCTGATATTGGGGGCTGTCGGCTGTTGATCTGGAGGGGCCGACTAGATTCACGTCTTTGGAAGGATTCCTTGGAAAGTTTCATCGATGGCGATGAGGTCATTAAGGATTCAGGCTCAATGATTCCAACTATAATCTAACAAGATATGTATTGTCCAATAGCTACTTGATCTATCTACGAAGTGATCAAAAAGCCAAGTCTATGATTTCCGTCAACTAAAGCCAAGAGGCGATGGCTGTTGAGGACAATGACATTGTTGGTGACAGCCAGACTACATTATCCAGCAAGAAGTGTTGTTTATATTATGCCAATAATAGATTAAGAGAAGTTGGTTGCCCGACGCTATGCTACATGTAAAGCTCTGTTGTTCTGTTGTTCTTGGTGTTGTATCAATGCACGGGTGTGCAAAGTGGCGAAATATCTCCGCAATTTCTATAATTAAGACTAAGGATTGCCTCAGGGGCCAAAATCCGACAAAACTGTATTCTATGGCCTATCCAATCCCCGCATCACTTGGCGGTTGTTGGGATCGTCATCTTGCATACCACTCCGAGAGCCCTTCCTGTGAGGGGATCTTCGATTATCCTGCCATGTTAGTCAGTACCTGACGCCCTCACAAGTCTGCTTCGTGATAACTCAATTGTTACAAAAATAACTTCCTAGTGATAGACCGATTTCGTTACAGTGTCTCGGGGCGAAAATGCCTTGCGCATCCGTGGAATGCTGTTGAATAGCACTAAATTGGTCCTGCCTTAGTAGGAGTTGGACGCCTGGTCTATCTTGGCGATACTGACATGCTTGGGTGCTAGTACAAGCCATGCTCAGATATGGAAGTCCATGATAATCCTGTATGACTCCATTGTACTCCAGTAGCTCCAGCTCAGGGTTATAAAAGCGACTGAATTCCCGCGCTCATCTTGCATCTCCCATCAATCCGAACAAGACCAAGAAAGCACAAACGAGAAAAGCCCACTCAACTCCACCGTTTCTGTCTCATAGATCTTCAACCAAATATCTCAGCTATCAAGAAACCGTCTTCATCATGCAGTTTCTCCTTCCCGCAATCGCGCTTCTGGCCTCAGTTGCTGCTGCTGCCAAATGCCAGACTGCTCTCAAGTATTGCGCTTACACCCTTGTTGGAAAAGGTAGCTTTCCCTCAATCAACAGTCCGCTTTGTGTCGGTCAATAACATCGAATAGGTGACTATCACCAGCAGGTTAACAACGCCATTTCAAGCTACACTGGTGGCCCGCTCAGAAATCACCACCCGGACTTTTACATCTACAACTGCGAGAGCAGTGACGCCATCACTGTTCATTCATCGTGTCCCAATGGCTGTGTTGATGGCGGCGATGACAACAGCGACTTCTGCGGTTGAATAAGTTATCTCCGCTGGAGAGGAATGAATTTTCGGCAATCTTTTGTTTGAGAGGATGTACTGGATGCTGTTTGTTTCCATATCATTAAGCAAATACCATTCCTATTGAATCATTATATATTTGAGAATAACTTCCCTACATTGTAAACGAGTAGCTTCTAAGGTTGGCCACAGTTAATTTTGTAGTCAGCATTGGCGGTGTTCTAAATTGTACCTCAGTATTCAATGGTATCACGGAGTGACGATGCATTTTATACTGTACCTATAACCGAGTCTTTTTGGCCTTCAACATATTGAGGTTGTCATGGTACTGCTTTAATGAAAGTATGAACAGCTCTATTGCCATTGTATGTAGCCCACGATTAGGTCATTTAGAGAGCCAGTCTTGAACTCTTAAAAATTCGAGAGTAGTTGAAGTGACTCCCACTCCTAGTTTTGCAGCTAAATTGGCTGTTTTCAAGTTACAACTTGTGTTCAGAGCAAGGAAAGCATGATAGTCGACTAATTATACGACATGAATTATAGTATAACGTCTTTTTTTAAGCTAGCTCGGATTCCTATACTCTCGATGACCTTAATTATACTTCTCTTGAGAGGGCGTCAGAAATCGCTAAATCATAACTGGTTTAGATTTGAGGGCTGGTTTCTACGGTTTTTGGTTTTTGAGGTTAGAGCCATAATAGTTTTGAGGGCCCTTGTTTTTATATCTATTGGGTACATAATCAAGCAAGGCTGACTAGTGGAGATTGAATCTCTCCTAAGCTAACTTAGTCATAAGCCTGTTTTCTCCCCCTTTCTATAGCAAACCAGTTAGAAGCCTATATCTTACCCCATTACATAGTGCGTATATCGTTACCGTTCCAGTCTCTGAAGATCTTACTGATATTAGACTCACTCTTAATTCACCTAATACTATAATTCTACTACCTCCTTTAAATCGCAATTTCCACTAACTAGTTCGCTGTTTATCCATTTCCGCTATAGGTCTCATTTTTATCGATCGCAAGTCAAATTTAGTAAGATTGTTAACGGTTTAGCTCTATAACATTAACTATAATATCACCCTCTTTAACCCCTCCCCTCTATACTTTCCTACTCCTGCTTAACCTCTAGATCCTTCCCGTCGTCGCTCTCCTCCTTACTCTAGCCGTATTCACCTCTACTATAGTATCAGTAAGGTATTAGGTAGGTATAGTCGGCAGCACTTCTTCCACCGTAGAGACTGACTCAATGCTTTGACCCACGCAATATTCTTCGTGTTATGCGTTCGAGCGGAATTTCCGTGACAGGGGGCATCCAGCCACGAGAGAAGACGATGCTCCTCCCATCCTGGCCAGCCAGATGCACTAATCGGGAACATGGTGATGGTCGGGGAAGTGACAGAAATCATAAATACGGGCAAAGAAACACCAGAAAATGAAGTCGAAGCTGTAGGTTTGTTGAGTTTCAAAGATCATAGTACTGCATTTAAAACTAAGTATTGTATATGTCTGATCCATGGCTCAGCCTGGTGAGCTGGTCCCAAGCTCTCACGACTCGCACCAGTTCAAGACTCTGAAGATCAACAAGCCTTTAGTGTTTTGATGCATTTTGGAAATGTTTCGTTGAGAACCACCGACGTTGAACACAGCGATAAGACCCCGTACTTGTTGACATTTCCTTATACCTTCACCACTTTTTCATACCATGTTCGTCTGGATTTAAGTGGATTCACTTAGAACAGTAGGACTACTGGTGTATTAGTCTTCTTCCTAGGCACCAGAAGATAATAATAATATAATATTTAGCAGAGGTAAAATAAATGGATTATCGGCTTGTATACCTAAAGGAGGTCATTTTGCACCTAATTCAACTCAAAATTTTTGTTTGCTTTGGTCAAAGACCGTGAGCCTTCCTATTCATTATCTTGACTCTTAAATATTCCTATGTTACAAAGATAAATCATCTGTCGACATGTTTGAACAGACTGTTGAAGTTAGTGGCAATTAGTGTGATAGTCCAAAATGAGAGATTTAAGATGGTTTTGTGGGCCATTTTCTAAAATTTGCAGTATTTTGAATGAATATCTGCGTGCAGAAAGAGTGTCGGCGAAAAACACTTCACTTTGCAAACCTCAAACCCCAAACCCCCCTCGATCACGTTTGACCAGAACCGGAAACTCTCATCGTCTCAGAATGACTCAAACGTAAGTATGGGTGATATTTCTCGCACATTCATCGACGACGAACCTTTCACAGCAGATTGAAACTTGCATTGTCCTTGTCGTCCTCTGAGATTGAGGATACCCGAATTCCATCAGTTTCAGGGGCAGGCGATAACAGAGATGAAGAATCTTCCTAGCAGGGCGGAAACAACTGCTCTGGCGACCAGAAAAACATTAAATCAACCGATAATTCTTACTTTCGGGTTAACACATACCACCCAAATCTAACAATTCTTTGTTTGGATGAAATTATAGCAAAATAGCCCGAGTAGCGCCAGCAAAAATCCTCCGATCTGCAATGAGGTGACTCTTTCTTGCCAAAGCCAAACAGACGCCGCAATGGTCATCATTGCCTTGGGGCCACCACACAGAGCAAGACTCAAAGAGGAGCTCCTGCTGATAAAGAAGACCGAAGCGATATTCAATGAAAAGGCAACTATCCCATTACTGAGTAGCAACCAGCCATTGATCTCTCGAATATTCTCAGCTGTCAAGACATTTCCCTCTGTCACAAGTGCAATGGCCCAGCAGAAGCCGGCGCATATTGGTGATAGATAATAAAGAGAGAGCAAAGGTGTAAACTGAAATTTCTGGCTGGATAACAGTTGTTCCGTCATAACCAGGCGAATTGCTTCGAAAAGAAGTGCCCCGGACTGAATCAAAAGACCAATCCCATGCAGGTGGACTTCTCCATAGCAGGAAATTAAAATGCCGAGACAAATTGCACAGACAATGAAAAGTAACGTTGGGGTGAGTGTGTAAAGACCAGCGGTCCACCCTGAGAGCAGAACAATGACTGGTCCAAGTGACTAGATAATGGAATGTGAACCAAGATTCGTGAATATCGCAGTCGAAGAGAGTGATGGACTTACTTTGAACATTTGAACGAACGCGACACTTAGGTACATGTAGGCAACATTGTTCAAAATAATATTCATGCTAAATGCGATGCTGATCGGAATGAAATAAAACACATGAAGTCTTCCCATAGGTGTTACATCGACCGGTTTAATCAGTTCTGTGTATTGTGCTAACAGACGAGTTCCCACGGCTGATATAGTCAGATGCCATGCCGTAAGTGTTGTGGGATATGGAAAGGTAATAAGAACGTATCGATTGAAAAGAATCAAGAAAGAACTCAGGAAAATCGAGGGCCTACTTCAGGGTTAGTATCGGTCAAGTCATACTTTACGAGCGTTGGAGAATCACAATCCATAGCAGATAAGGAGGCCCAGTGAGCGAGTAACTTTCACAATCATCTTGCTGAAGCTAAGATATATCGCCTGAAGCCGACGAGGACTGGGAGTCTATGACATTTGGATAAAGAGAAAACAGGAGCAACACCCCTTGCGCTGTACTCATGCTTGTTACATCACAGAATTGAAAGGGGCTTGCGACAGGATTAGACTATTTCCCGCAGGAGAATTTTCAATTAAGAAAAAGAAATTAGTAGAGCACCGCTATTGATAGACAACGCATTTGCTTCCGGAATAACTGGAAAACGTGCGTGTTTGCGATCGATCATAACAACATGATATAATGTTAACGCCTCTTTATGCAAGGGACGATAGATAGATCGCCCCCGAATCTTGCCGCGATCTAGGGATATAACAGTGGGCCCATGGTGTTATAATACCGATGGTATCGTAACTCAGTATATTAGACCGAGAGCTTACCTACATGGTATGACCAAGCTTCAAGTATATGAACTAGTATTCGGTCAGGGCAAACAGGATCAAACATCAAGTGGAATAACTCAGGACATAGGACGAAAAGTTAAATCAATAGAACTGTCTGATAAATTGCGTAATCTAGAAAATTTATAAATGACCATCCCTCTCTATACGCCGGTACTCGGCGGTCATAGCACCGGAATTGCAGCTTGATGAAAAATATGAAAAAAATAAACATGAAACACAGTGAAAGATCCTGAATATCCCTCGCGCCCACTAGTAGCTTTGCAACTTTTCTTTGTGAACACTAAAAACATCTTATTAATGTGCTATGACAGTGAAAAAAGGTATCCAATTAACAATTTTCACTAGACCACTTTCACTTGGCACCGCGATTGATTGTTCGAAAGGGTTCAAGAGAGTTGAATTTCTCATTGCTATACTGTATCTGTGAGATGAACTTTATGTTTTCCACTTTGCCCCATCATGTCGGCTTCATTTTACATGAAGCGCTTTGGGGCAACGTTGCCACAGTTGTTGGACTCAAGTCGTCGTCTCTTGATCGGTCTGTCTTTTGCTGGAATATTAGTGTCCCAGTCGGTGCACCTACATCACCATTACTCCTTTGCAAAATGGACGCCATTGGACGTGCTGATTGTTCCTTTCTTTTTCATTGACGATCTAATCATCTTTCAATTCATTCATCACTCGATAAGGGGAAACCTCTTTAGCCCCGATTTTGAAACGAGGAGCTCGTGGAAAACAAAGTTGAAATTGCTGCTGTACATCATGGCAAATGTACTGGCGACTACCATTGGCCTGGGTCTCGCTGTGGCCATCTTTCTTTGTGCCGGAACGGAAGTGTACATGTATCATGGACTTGGCCTTTTGACATCTTGGACCATGTTATTTCGAGTCTTCGATGCTCCTTCTGAATTTTGGGGGCTGATGGTTGCTATGTCCAAGACCAAAGCATCTGCATCAGCCATTGCCAGTATGCTTGTTGCCGGGCTATTGGAGCCAACTATCTCGCGAATAGCTATCAGGGCTGTCTCTTGGCAGAAATCATGCTCTTGGTATCCAGATGTCAATACACTTCAAGCTATCATCGTTGCTTCCGCGAGCTTTGGAGGACCGATAGTACTTAAAGTCACGGCACTTTCTTTGCTCTTTGCAAATGCTGCCTTCGTCATGCTCATTGGTAAACATTTAGAGTCCATTTCCAATAGTCTACTGCTGATACGCTCATCTAGGCACCTTAACCGACTATGCTATACATCAGCCGCTTATCAAGACGAGATCCCAATTTCCAATGTGCACGAACTCAAATAATGTCAAAGCAGTGTTCAATCTAATCCTGCTCATTATTTCCAGTCTTCCTAATTTCGGGGACCAATATGATGACATTAGGCATACAGTTCCTACAAGCCTCTCAAGTTTAATCACTGGTCCTCGTAGGCAATTTTGTGTCTATGAGAAGAGGCTCGTTGGTAATGCACTACGTCCAATTGAGTTACGCGGCAATTCAAGTCCCTTACAAACAAGACTTCCACTTGATCTTTTAGTACCCATCCCGGGTAATGTTTCTATGGATGCTAGCTACCCATCTGTTGATGAAAACGAATGGAAATTCCATGAGATTGCCCCTTTCTTGAACCATACTGGGGTGACAAGTGCAATGGTAGCAAGCGAGTCCTACGAAAGTGAATCAGTCATCCCAGCTGAGAAGTTGCAAGATTTGAAAATTCGAAATATATTCATGATCACACTTGAGTCGACCACATCGCAGGTCTTCCCAATCCAAAATAATACGCACCTTTTGAAAGAGGTCTACAAGCATCGCCGTCCACATCAAGCATACGCTGAGCCTCTTGACGCAACGCCATTTGCTAAGCAACTGTTTGGGGATGATAGTGATGGAACCCACGCGAATGGGATCGTCATTGAAGGCGCCGAGACATCAAGCAGCTACACGCTAAAAAGTATGTTAGCAAGTCATTGTGGGGTCTCACCTCTTGCGGTCGACTTTCTCGAAGAAGTCACTGGCACCATTTACCAACCGTGTCTTGCACATATTCTCAAAGAATGGTCTCTTCCTTCTATTTCTTCCCAGAAAAGCATGACCAACCACAGCCAGACATTGGATTTCAGGGGCAAGAGATGCAGAGATGACTGGTGTGGTGCATCTTGGGGCACACACTTTGTCCAGTCGACCATTGCAGGCTATGATCGGCAACAAGCAATGATGAAGATGATGGGCTTTGATACGGGAGAGGTACTATCCAAGGAAACATTAATGCTAACCACGGCAAAATACCCGATTCCTGACGGAACTATTAACTCCGGAGAATGGTCCTTCCCGGAGACTTTTATTATGCCTTATATCCGAGACTTGATTCGAAAATCGCGGGTCAGTGGTGATCGTCTATTCCTGAGCCATCTGACGAGCACGACGCACTATCCATTCCGTTCTCCAAAATCATGGAATAAGAGAAAGTACACAGACCATTCAGAGCTCAACAATTATTTGAATACAATTGCCTGGTCAGATTCTTGGGTGAAACAGCTATTTGATGTCCTGGAGAAGGAAGGAATCGCCGATGAAACTTTGGTTATTATCAGCGGCGACCAGTGAGTTTTGAGCACATTCAAATTCACACATGTGAGCTGGTACGCTGACATGAAACAGTGGTATGGCTATTGAAGACGGGGATCTCAGTCAAACCCTGCCATACGCCAATCCGCACGTGAACAATTTCCGTATTCCAATGATGTTTCATCATCCCAAGTTGACAGAAACTCGTATTGTCGCCAATTGGACCAACGTTTCAATACTACCTACCATACTCGACTTGTTACAAGAGACAAGCAGTCTCAATCCAGAACAAAAAAAATCAGCAAAAGTTCTTCTCCGTGAATACGAGGGACAATCACTGCTCCGTCAACCCAAGTACCGCTTTCCCAATGGAAACAAGAAATACAACTTTGGAGTGGCCAACCCTGGTGGTACACATCTGGCAGTCTCATCTCCAGATCCCGACGTACCCTGGCGTATGACACTCCCCTTGTGTCAATCGGGAACGTTGACGTTCGCCAATATCGTTGAGGATCAGGATGAGAAAGAAGTTGTCAGACTGCTGACACCCACGCTCTTGATAGAGTCCATTCAGAATAAGTGGGGAGACAAAGCAGCTACGTGGGCTCAAGAGGCTCTCTCTGCTGCCGATAAGTGGATGAAGGACACATCGAAACGGTGGAAACTATCTTAGATAGAGCTGCCGTCTAGAGCCTCTCTAGCATCAACACAGTTCAGAGGAAGCTTCAACGTGAACATGAAATTGATGTATATGCATGGTTTACTTCCTATGTTCTACCTCGCTTAGTCGATCGGGTCTTGTTTCTCTTAGCTGCAGTTATATTGAATGGCAGTAAGCATAGACCTTGACTAATTCAGACTCTTCTTCATCATCCTCTTGTCGGTAGATCCATCGGAATTGACACTTTCGGTTCACACACGGTGCTTGTCATTTGGTTTGGGTCTATAGATACTTAAATCGGAGCTTCATGGCCAGTCAGGTCTTCAGCCATATCCGAAGACACAGACCTCGGGCGTGTCAAATAGCTCGGGATGTAGCTTTGGTTTTGCACATGAGTCCCACCTAGATTCCTTCGAGTGGCAGCCTCGTTTCCTCCAAGATGTTCACCCTGAAAGAACAGCGGCTCATGCTGAGCAAACACATTATATGACTTTTGTGTCAAGGCAACCAGGAGATCAAGATGGCACGACCGAGTACTGGCTTCAACCGCGCAACGTAATAAGTTTGATGCGAAGCGCTCGCTCAAAACCACCACAGCGTGTGTAGACAGCATGTTGTATACGCGCGCAATGTTTGGGATAGTCGTGTTGGAAAAGTAGACAGGAGAAGATCCCCTCCGATATTCCGTGCCCCACAATTCGGCCCCGTAGCGGCTGACAGAGACATAAAGAGCGTCTGCATCGTTTGGAATGGAAATTGTGGTGTCGAGGCCGAGATGCACAGCATCATCCTCTAGAATAAGGAATGGAATGAACGGACGGCGTTGAAGTGCTTTCTCGATTAACATGGCATGGCCGTATGCGCAGGCGTAGATAGGATCTTCAGGGCGATAAATTCCGTATGCAAACCTGAAATCCTGAAAACCTGTGCTTTCAAGAGAACTGGCTATATGATCCCGTCGAGCTCGAAACTTTTCTGCGTCGGTTCTTGCCGTAAGGACATGTATTGGTATTTTCAAGAGATCCAGACTGAAGCTCGTGTTGCCAGACATTGGGCGTTTAGCCACATCTGAGACACTTGAGATATAAGTTAGTGCCGAGTCAACAAATTAACAGCTCTTGATCTACTATACCCTGGATATGTGAGGCCGTACTTTAACGGAGACACTTGCCAGGCAATAGCTACTAACAAAGCGATAGTAGGTGCCCACCATTTCCACGAGAACTTGTTCCTGGATAAATCTTCAACGCGGATTCAACGAAAATCAAGTATACGAAACTTGCAGATTGAACATACCGAGACTGCATGATTGTGGTGTATGAGACTGACCCGAACGTAGTAAGCCCCTGGACCTCTTTCGGGTCCGTCGGCGGTGTCGTGTGTGATTTAATGATGATAAAATAGGTATGATCTGAGCAGGAATCAATTTCTAGCTGTGTTCATGTAAAAGGTTGCCCTGAGTGCCCCCTACCGTCAATTTCAAAGCATTCCTTTCGCGCCTGCATATCTGATGTCACCAGACTTTGTGCGATTGGTTTTCAAGTTGACCTCCACTTTTAAAGTAGTAGAGTGGGAATTTTCTAAATATAATCAGTATGATCTATTCGATTCTGAAGTGGTGTAATCAATTGAACAGAATTTCTAGTTTGCTCTTATTCTGGAAAGGTGCCGCTTACGCCTCACGACCACCAAAGCGAATAGCTCGATGTATCTTGGGAATCAAGTTTTAATGTGTTCTCACATGGAAAATGGATCCAAGACCATAACACCACAGCAAAAATACATAGAGGTGAAGGAATTCCGTAGACATCATTCGCTGAATGGTCTTAAAGGGAGGGTAGCAGGGCGTAGGATAAATCTTGGTACGACCCTAGTGTGCCACGTCCACGGCGCGAGGGCTTTTAACAATACAGAACTGGGAAAAAACCCCTTGCGCTATACTCAAGCTCTTTACTTCACATGATTAGCGGGACACGCGACAGGTTTGCACGATCTCCTGCACGAAAATTTCCACTCAAGAAAAGGAGCTCAGCAGAACACCATTCTTGATAACACACACCCTTCTCGAATAACTTGAAAATGTGCGTAATTACGATCCATCATAAGATACAAGATATAATTATAATGATAACGCCTCTTTATGCAGGGGGTGATGACTAGATCCTCGCCGGACCGCGATCTATCTACCTCGTAGGGATGAAGTCTGCTAAAGGTTGATGTGGCCTGAGACGAGTCTCATGGGTGCTCAAGCAGTATGGAATAGGGACCTGAAAGGAATATGATTATTCATGAATATTTGCAAATATGGCTCTCGATTCCAAGACGTTTCTTGGGGTCGAGATGGAATTTCAAGTCCTGTGGTTGGCCGAGCGGGAAGGAAGAGCGAGGTACCCAAGCAATGTTTTGAAAATGTTTCTTGGTCAAACTCCATAAATATAGCACCGATCGACTTGTACCTTTTCAAAACTATATTGAACTATGACTGCTATACGTCCGTAATTTCCGAGGGTTTGAAGCCGATCGAGGAATTATTGGGGGCGTGGTGGCTGACCTTAATATTTAGCATATTAATAAACTAGACTTCCTCGAAGCCTATCCGACCGCACGAATTAAGGCGTTAAAATTGCAGGCTATTATGAATAGCTTCGCAGCCACCGGTTTAGTGCCTTCTAACCCTGATCGGGCCCCAGGGTTATATGGAAGCTTAGTACGTATTTACGTTCGTACGACCCCCCCCCCCCCTTAAGCCCGGGTAGCGAGTAGGAGCTAAGAACGCCCTTATAATATCCAGATATGCTTCCTCTATAAATACCTTATTCAAATAACCCCTAAAAAGCCCTTCGAGCCCGTTAAATTTCTTCGATAAATCAGGTTTTAAAAGCCTGCCAATTAAAAATACAATCGGTAGCTATTCTCGGGAAAGAAGTAAGTTGTTTACGCGCTTAAAACGAGAAGAAGAAACGAAAAAACGAAAAAAAGGTTAGATTTACAAGGCAAACACCTTCGGAGGAAGGTCTTACAATTCAAGAAGCCTCTTCATTAATACAATAGCCAGAGCAAGTAGGTTTAGCACCGATACTATACGAGGCAGGGTCTACTCCGGCCCCTTCTCAGCCTCGTACGAGAGCCCTACCGAGGTGCTCAGGATATAGAGTTCACGGTCATGAGAGAAATGACTGCCCTCAAGCAGCCAGGCTCTCCCATCACGTTAAGTAGGAAGTTCCAAGTGACTCACTGCTGTCACTTGCTTAGACATAGACGCGATTTTACCAAGTTAAGATCATAGAGACAATGAGAACAGGTTTTTAATTGCCACTGCAGTGGTCTGCTCTAAGCCTAGTTCTGGGCAATCGCCAATGTTTGGCTCTTTTGGTTGAAAGATACCGCAGTAACGTTAACTTGTCTGTTTTGATTGTTTATTACGTGTCTTACGTGCACGTCCCAACAACCCCTGGCTAAACCAACCATAGCACCAGCCACGCTAAAATATACGCTTAAGCTTATCCATCTGAATGATAAGCGGGTTTCAAGTGTGCCGATGGCGCATACAGGAGACCTTTGGCGTTGATCAAGCTGGCTTCTCGGGCTCATCTAGCTGGTGGTACTTGTTTGATTAACCGTTAATAATATGTGAACTGTCGAAGTATGCTGCTGAATGACATTTTGGAGGACACTGAGCTCAACCCCGCACCGATATCACTCATCCAGACTGTCTCGCCACGCACGATGCCTCTCTCCAGATGCCAAGCAGTGGGAGACTGTACTTGGCACTGTAACCTCAGCTCTCACATCACAAAGTGCCGTCGGAGTCCCGCCTGAAGGGTGTGTTCCGGACACCAGCCGGCCCTATGGAATCTCGGCCTCCGCTGCCAAGTACAGCCAGTCTCTTGGCTTGCCATCAGGACCGTGCCAATCACACATCATTGCTTTGTGTTATCGCGTGATGCAGATAGACCGACTGCCTGCAGAATGGGTATAAGAATTCCCTTCCTGCCCCTGGCTATGAAGGGATAATAGATCCCACAGTAATCAACGATGAAGCTGCTTCTTTTGTTAAGCCATCTTTCTGTGGTCCTGGCTAATCGGCCAAAGCCCCTTGTTTCACCGGTGTGTACATATGTTTTCCCTCCATCATTGCTGCCAGATAGTCTGACTTGACAGGATAAACTTTCCTCTGAGATCCAATTGAAGGACCTTCTTAAGGGCACACAAAAGCTGGAGGACTTTGCTTATGCATATCCTGAGCGGAACCGTGTCTTTGGTGGCAAGGCACATAACGAGACGGTTGACTTCCTCTATCGCGAGTTGAAGAAGACCGGGTATTATGATGTATACAAACAGTCACAGGTACACACATGGACCAGTGCAGAGGCCTCCCTGAACTTCAATGGCGACTCTATTCCAGTTACCTCAATGACATACAGTCCCAGCGTTGATGTGACTGCTGAGGTGGTGGTGGTTTCGAATGTCGGATGTACTGCATCAGACTATCCGACTGAGGTGGCTGGTAAAATCGCCTTGGTTAAGCGTGGAGAATGTACCTTTGCAGAGAAGTCGACTCTGGCTGGTGCTGCCAATGCAGCTGCGGTCATTGTATACAACAACGCTGCAGGGTCTCTGAGTGGAACGTTGGGCGGTGTTTCCACTGCTTATGCCGCCATTGGGGGAATCTCCCAAACCGACGGTGAGACTCTGCTCACGGCGGCAGGCAGCGGTGCCATCACTTTGTCTCTCGAAATAGACAGCAAAGTGGAGAACCGCACGACATTCAATGTCATTGCAGAGACAAAAGGCGGTGATCACAATAACGTCGTCTCTTTAGGAGGCCACACCGACTCAGTCGAAGCCGGTCCGGGCATCAATGATGATGGCTCTGGAATCATCAGCAACCTCGTGGTCGCAAAGGCGTTGACAAAATTCTCCGTCAAGAATGCGGTGAGATTCTGTTTCTGGACTGGTGAAGAGTTTGGGTTGTTGGGCAGCGAATACTACACCTCACACCTTAGTGCTAAGGAACTGGCAAAGATCAAGCTTTATCTTAACTTCGACATGATTGCCTCGCCCAACTACGCGCTCATGATCTATGATGGTGACGGAGATGCCTTCAACCAGACCGGACCAGCAGGCTCTGCTGAGATTGAGGCCTTATTCCAAAACTACTTCAAATCCAAGAAACTATCGTATATTCCAACCGCTTTCGATGGTCGCTCTGACTACGATGGCTTCATCTCTCGTGGAATTCCCGCCGGTGGTATTTTCACTGGCGCTGAGGGCATCAAGACAGTCGAAGAGGCCAAATTGTTTGGAGGCCAGGCGAATGTCTCTTACGACGTGAACTATCATGCGGCAGGTGACAACACCACAAACCTAAACCATAAGGCATTCTTGATCAACTCCAAGGCCACTGCTTTCGCCGTCGCCAAATATGCTACTAGCCTTGCTTCAATCCCACCACGGACTGAGACCCCCACCAAGCGACGGGTCAAGAAAGCACCCAAATCACATGCTCACACCAAGAACACTGGGTGCTTCCATTCTCTGGTTGAAATCTAGTGTATTCTCTGGCTTAACTGTCAGCCCGTAGGCTGAGTGCAGATAAAACTCGAATGAATGCATCTAGTCTGAGCAATATTTGTTCTTGTTTATGACTGCCTAAACGATCTGTCAAATGCATGCTTATGATTCAATTTTGCCCTGAAACCCCCTCATAGCTATAAATTACGTATGAAGCTCGGCCGTTACTAAAATATTGTAAATCAAATTCCCATCTCTCCCTTCACTCAAGCAAAGGGGTTCCAACCGCTCTCGACCATATCCACCGCCCTCCTCGTCGCCTCATCCAAATCCTCAGTAGGCAACCCCAACGACTCGTTTTCCAGTGGCATTGTGGCTGCATAATCACTGAACTGGTTGCTATCCAAAAACACGCCACCATAAAGCATCTTGGCGAAGCCAGTAAAGATGCCGTTCTTCATCTCCTCGGTCCCATCCTGAATACGCTTGGCGGTGGGCTCATATTCAATATCCCAGTCTGCATCTGTAGTACCCAGTACCCGATGAAGGCTATCGAGCATGTCGCGCTGAGAGACGCGGAAGCTGTTGATAAGAATGTCCTTCGTTTTGAAGCTGGCAACAGACGTGAGCCCCTCAGATTCCGGCAGGCTCAAAAGTGCTGCAAACGCCCGACCGCACTGGTCCCATGTGCTGACTGTGATTGTTCGCTTGCCGTCATCGAAGAAAGTGACTTTACGGTCCTTGATGGTGAAGCCGAACCATTGGTTGCCGAGCGCCAAGCTCCATTCATACCAAAACCCACAAGACATGTTGACTGTGATGGAGAAGTTTGTCTTCTCGATATCCCTGATCCGGTTTAAGATGAGCTGGCTGTATGAGTCCTCATCTTTGACATCTTTACGCTCCATGGGATATCCGAAGACGTTGGGCATGATGTAGGGGACCCCGGCCTTGCCTGCAGCAGCCACAATCCGAGCATGAAGATCATTAGGAGCCCTCACCGCAAGGGTAATAGCGAGGAACTGTTGACCTCTAAGAGCTTCCATAATTGAGGCTTCATCGTCGTAATTTACCTCCACGGAGTTAACACCATCTGGAACCTTGCCTTTACTCTCGGGGCGACTCAAGGCCGTGACTGTGTGCTTTCCTGTTCCCACTAATGCCTTAGCAAATGCACCTCCGATGCGACCAGTTGCCTGAAATATATTAGAAAAAGGGTGACCAGAAATTGAGAGGCGTACTCACACCGACGATAGCAACTCTCTCTAGAGGGGCGGACATTGTTCGTTTTTTGGACGCAAATAGGTGGGCAAAGATATGACTTCTTGGAATCAATGGCCTCTTTAAATATTGAGTTAGAAAGCAGTTTAGATATAGAAGCAGTGAGTCCGAGACTTGTCAATTTATATCCTTTTTCATTGTTCGGAGATAAGCAACGGGGTTACCAGGCAACGGAAGTTGATTGGCGATTCTCCCAAACCGCTAACCGCAAATCGTATTCATTTTATGTTCACTCACTGAGCCGTCCATTCGATTTGAAAGTTTCATTCCATGCGGACTTTGGGGAGTTATATCCATCGGGTTTCGGGATCTCAGTTATGTCCATCGGACTTCGGCATATCACTCCGTGTATCTCGGTCATTGTTTCAGGGATTTGGTGCATTATGCTGGAAATGAAGAGGACTGGGGGAAGCTGGGTAATTGGAAGAATATAATAAATAATAAGATCAATCCCACCCAAAGAACCGTCGCAATCTGTTACATACATGAACTATCCTTTATACAAAAGAAAGACATAATCCATCCGAGAGAAAATCGACAACTTTGTGTTGGTCACGAAGCCTGCGTTCACCATTGTCTTTTCCATAGATACTGCCAGATATTTACCCTCCAGCAGCGAGGACAAGCAACATCCGCCAGTCGTGAATCAATCGCGAATCACGAGACTTGTGCAAGCCAGACCCTTCGTCTTTTTCCGATAATCATACAACCACGCACATCACCAACGTCGGTCTCTTCCACTTCGAATTCGTCCAAGATTGGAGATGCTGCTAGAAGAGGGTTGTCCCCAGCTTCCTCAGCAGCCCTTTTGACAAACCTTTCATAGTCTGCTTCATACTTTCCAACCACACGCGATCGGATGACACGATAATACCACTGTAGCCATCGTTCTTCAAATGAGATAGAGCAAGATCGTGCTTGAAATAAGCCTATAATAAACTTGAGATCTTGCAGATATAAGTCATTCAGATAGACAATGATTTTGAGACATTTGCGGCTCTTGAATCCATGTGTCAGGATATCAATGAAAGCCTCAAGATCTGTATGTCTCTGTTGAAAAGGGATTGCCCTATGCGCCCAGCCGGTCAATTTGACCAATGTATAGATCGGGGCATATGTTCCTAGAAACACTCCTAACAAGACTGAGATCCCGGGATGTTCCCTAATAAGAGAAAGCACACCTCCATCCACGCGTATTAAAGGGCCACTCATTATAGATAACTCGGGGTGAAAGATAACCGTAACATCTCGAGCTAATTGACAGAGCAGAGGATATGTCTTCAAAACCCCGATTGCTCCAGGTACTGATGTGTTAAATTTGCTCAGTCCCCCGTATCGAGGTATATCTACCTGAATGCACAGTGAAGACTGTTGGAATATGACAATCATTGTTTCACGTCGGACCTGACGATTGATGGCAAAAAGGTTGAAAGGCTTTAAGAAGCGGCATTTCAGACCTGAAGCATTGATGGTGAAATCATGCGGCTCTGTTTCATCCCCCGTTCTGAAAGTACCACTTTGTGTTTGCGGGCTGAGGAGTTTTTGGCTGATTGATAGTTTGATTATTTGACGTCGAATCTCAAAAGGAAGGTCAAGGAACTGAGGTGGATTTGACCTAACATTTGGACGGTCTGGTTGAACGGGTCAACAAGTATAGGTTGTGACTGGAATATTTAGATAACTGACCAAGAGACGCCATGGAGCTTGTTTTCGTCGACATAAGAAACACACAATTTGCTACCACAGTAATGAGATAAAGTGATTTTAGTTGTTTCACATAGTCTAAGATTCAGAAAATTCTTGTCAGTTCCGACGGGATGACAATTTAGGAAAGTTTCTAACTAGTCACCAATAAGCAGGGCGGCTTAGGTCAAGCGCTAACGGGAAAGCCACATGAGAGAAACTCTCCAGCATCTGGGTTTAAATAAAGCAGAACGGCAAGTGCCAGAATTGCCGACGGTCCAATCAGCCGCGGGGCTGGAAGTGAGGGTCGAAGCGACCACAAATTCCGCGACTAAATCATACCAAACTTACAGCTTACTCCGAGCGCATTGGCGTGTTTTTTATAAATGAATAAATCTTCTAGGTGTGCTCCTTTGACTCGAGGTCCGAATCCTGCACTACATAATATAACTACGTTATTCAGAGAACCTTAACTATCGATTTAGTGGTCTTTCTGTCTCACGTGTCTTTGAACGAGAAAATGACTTTAGCAGCTCCCCGCAGCCTTTAGACCTTGGCTGTCTCTCACCTATGGCGACCACCACACCGCTTCCCAGTCAGCCAGGACAAGCCACGATAGCTCAAGCACCAGATGAGCTTGATAGTAATGAGCTAACTATTGCTTCATTGAAAGGATGCGATCGCACTGTGCGGCTACTGTTAGAGCAAGGCACCGATGTCAATGCACAGGGGGGATTTTACGGCAGTGCGCTATATGCTGCATCATCGGCAGGGCATGAACAGATTATACGCCTGCTGTTAGAGAAAGGTGCCGACATCAACGCCCAGGGTGGCCCTTACGGAAATGCTTTATATGTCACTTCATCGGATGCGAAGGAACGGATTGTACGGATGATATTGGAGCACAGCCCCAATAGCAATACACTGGGCTACAAAAACAACTTGCTAGACCGGCTGTTGGAGAAACGCCCTGATATCAAAATGCAAGGTGGTATTTATGGCAATGCGCTATACGCTGCTTCTATAGAAGGCCATGCACAGATTGCACAACTGCTGTTGGATCAAGGCGCAGATGTCAACGCGCGAGGTGGTATTTACGGAAATGCGCTTTACGCTGCGTTGTCAAAAGGTCATACCGCGGTGGTATACCTTTTGTTGGACAATGGCGCTGATCCCAACGTACAAGGTGGTCACTACGGTAATGCGCTCCAGATTGCTTCCTCAAAAGGTCTTGCCGATATTACACAGCTGTTGTTAAAGAAAGGTGCGAATACCAACGCACAAGGTGGCTATTACGGCAATGCACTCCAGGCCGCTTCATTCAGGGGTCATGAGCAAATAATACAGCTGCTGCTCGAGAAAGGTGTCAATGTCAACGCACAAGGTGGCTCTTACGGAAACGCGCTCCAAGCTGCGTCGTTTGGAGGCCATGAACGAATTGTACTGCTGCTTTTGGAAAATTGCGCTGATGTTAACGCGCAAGGTGGCACCTACGATAATGCGCTGTATGCTGCTTTATCGGAAGGGCATTATGGAATTGCACAGTTGCTGTTGGAAAAAGGTTGGGAAAAGTCGCCGATGGCAACATGCTGGCCCCAATTCGACTCTTATATCGCCCAAAGATCTGAATAATCATGATGCCACCAGATCTTCCACTATGCTAGATTGTATATTTGAGAATAACTTTGAAATTTACTCATCAAACGGTGCTACCATTCAACAGTTTCAGAAATTTGGTCGCTCGAACATGTTTGCCTCTTGAGTACACTGTTCCGGCTAACACCCTGCAGAAACATGGATTTTCATAAGCGCCAAGACATTGAAATATCCGAAAGGGAACGGTATCTAACGGCCAGATGGGCATGCAGCCACTCGAAAGGGTTTAATCCAGTTAGACAAACTTCAATACGGTTACAATGCAAATACTTCAATACACGTGGTGGACTTTGAGGCTGAGAATGCGGGGTTTGAGTCTCTTGCGCCACAAAAGCTGTGCACTTTTTCCTTCGCGCATTTCACAGCGGCTGGATGAGCCACAATCACACTCAGAAAAAATTTCATATACCACTATAAACCAGTTCCCCAACGGGTGCATCGGGTAATGCTGTAGAAAAGGCGAATTGATATTGTGGAGTCCAAGGAAATTCCGCCCGTGGACGCCCGTGGACGCCCAAGCGGCTTACGGTCATCCCCACTAGCACCCCACGTAAAACTTAGTCTTGCATTAGCTCATTGCCCAGTTGGTAAGATTATTTCAAAGGCTAAAGAATCACCAAGTTGGGTGATTGTCTTTTGCTTTCTTCATCTGACCACTCTCGCTGTTGCTATCGGAGTGAGCGGCTTGTTTGAGTCGGAACAACATTATACGGGCAGCAGAGTTTATAATGACCGTGTGCGTTCTTGGGGGAACCCCATTGCTCCTCTTTTATAACATGATAGGCGTAAAACTTGGATTTTTAGTGCGCTTACCGAGTGATTAGCTGCGGGTTCATGGATGATAGCACAACGCTTCATAGTGGAAGCCCGAGGTATACCAGGATCGAGGCCCTAACAGATTTCCTGATCCGACTGTTGAGACAATAACTTAGCAGGCGACGTATTTCCACTGTGATTTGTGATTTGAACGTAACAGTGTGATTGAGGAATTAATCTGACGTGATACACAGATTTTGTGAGCGATTTGATCTCAGCATAGCAAGATATAGACGTGCGGCGAAATGGGGTTTACAGGGGTGTCCTGTAGGACATGCATATCTAATAAAATGAGGACTTGAAGGTTATGGAGACGTACATAAATAACATCCTGCCCAGATTGTACTGACAGTGTGCCACGTCTACCGTATATCCCGTGTCTTAAGCGGGTCTCTAGCAGGCCGCTAGCCCGCCAGTAGCCTCCGTCGTCGCCAATAACAGAGCCGAGATTTTTGTCTATCCAATTGTGGAAGTTGTTTCGTTCCGAATCGGGAAGTTGCTTCGTTCCAATTGGGGAAGATTTTTCGATTGCTCCAATCGAAACAAAGGCTATTGTCAGAATAAAACTACAGTAAATCACATTTAGCGTGATCATCAAGTGTAAATCTCTAATCAAAAGACGGTCTAAACCGGTTCCACATATTTAAATCTAGCTCTTCCCACAAGTAATTGTTGAATTCTGTCACCTTTCATGATGAACGTTCTCTTTTTGCTGAGTTTAATTTTCGGAGCCGCTGGCATTTATGCAGCCCTTAACTCAAGACGTAGGGAGTCTGTTCGGCGGCTGCCCCCTGGGCCCAAGCCGATGCCCATTGTCGGCAACATTAAAGATCTCCCGCCGAGTGGCAAACAGGACTGGTTGCATTGGTTGAAGCACAAATTCAGCTATGGTAAGTTGAAACAGAAGCATTTATATCGCCGTAGTCAAACTAATCACAAATTAATTCCATACGTTCAGGCCCAATTAGCTCGATTACAGTATTAGGACAAACGATCGTGATTGTAAACGACTCGAAAATCGCGCTAGACTTGCTAACAAAACGATCCTCAATTTATTCGTCCCGTCCGAAAATGACTTTCGCGTCCGAGATGTTAGTTTCGAGCTTCATAGAAGCAGGCAATAATGTTAATTCAATTCTTTCCTAGGGTTGGATGGGAAGCTGGACTTGCATTCCAAGGCTATACCGAACGATTCCGCGCTTATCGCAAAGCCATTCAGCCAAGCTTTGGCTCAGAGTCAGCAGTTTCTCAATACACACCGCTGCAAGAAGTAGAAACCCGTCGGTTTCTGTTCCGCGTGCTCAAGGACCCTGCAAATCTTTTGAAGCACGTGCAAACGTGTGTTTCGCTCATTGTTCTACTCAAATGATCACATTTCTAACACCGGTCAACAGTGAGGCAGGAGCAGTGATTCTTAACATTGCCTATGGATACAGAGTCGAGCCTTTTGGTCGAGACAACTTGGTCGATCTCACAAACGAAGCCCTTGATGAGTTTGGCAAAGCTACAGTGCCTGGTGCCTGGCTTGTGGATGTCATTCCAGCATGTATGTCATCACGAACTCTACACCTTTTGCAAAGCTTCTGTCGCTAATTCGAACAGTGAAATATATTCCTAGCTGGTTTCCGGGTGCTGGCTTTAAAAAGACCGCTAAGCTTTGGAGAGAGCATCTTGCTGGTATTGCAGATAGACCCTATGAGTTTGTGAAGCAACAAATCGAAAGTGGGAAACACACATCATCGTACCTTGGTGACATGCTCCAGGCCGGTTACCCTGAACCAGGTTCAGAGAAGGAACTCATCGCTAAATGGACCTCGGCCTCACTTTATACCGGTGGCGCAGATACAGTGAGTTTTATTGGGTCTTTGACTGAGCTACACTAACAAATCCAGACTGTTTCTTCTATTCATTGCTTCTTCCTTGCAATGGCTTCATTCCAAGACGTCCAGCGTAAAGCGCAAGAGGAAATTGAGCGTGTGGTCGGAAAGAATCGACTTCCAAACATGGCAGATCGTGCCAGTCTTCCTTATATCAACGCTGTCGTGAAAGAAGTCCTTCGCTGGCATCCTGTGGCCCCGATGGGTCTCCCGCACATGTCAACCGTCGATGACAACTATAATGAGCACTTCATTCCCAAGGGATCCATCATTCTCCCCAATATCTGGTAAGATGCCCAAAGTTCCAAAGTTTTACCATGATCTAAACGAAAATTAAAAGGGCTATGATGCACGACCCGGAGGTCTATCCCAACCCGATGGAATTCCAGCCCGAGCGCTTCCTCGGCGAGTCTCCTGCGCCAGACCCCAAAGTCATCGCCTTTGGATTCGGCCGTCGCGTTTGTCCTGGTCGATTCTTAGCTGATAGAACAGTCTTCTTGAGTGTGGCCCAATCTCTTGCGGTATTTGATATTAGCAGGCCTACGCAGGGTGGTGCGGAAGTCACAACTCCACACTTCGAACCTGGTGTTATCAGCCATCCTACTCCTTTCCAGTGCGATATCAAGCCTCGCACTCCAGAACTTGAGGCGCTCATTTTGTCTGTAGAGCAGGATCATCCTTGGGAGGAAAGTGGTGCGGCTGATTTGCAAAAAGTTGTTTTTTGATGCACGACTTTCTTAAGTAGCGATAACGGCCATTCATTTTGGAACGGGCGTACTATAGCATAGCATCGTTTATTTTCATTTCACCTTTTCTATGTCTTTATGATGTAATTTGGGCTCTATCTCAAGTTCTTCTCTGAAGTCGCCCCGGGATTTGTTGTTGGAACTTTCCCTATTACTCGATTTCCAATCTATATCGGAACCATTCAAAAAGCGCTAAAATGTTACTAGTTTATTAGTGCCATCAAATTGTGCCTTCTTTCTATGGACTAATATAACTCTTCTCCCTCACTACCTATAGAATCTAGCTAGAGTGAGTCCTATAGTAATCTCCTAGATAATACAAAATTTGAGCTTGCGAGGCAATGCATCCTTCTATGTAATTGAGAAGACCGGTTTCCGAAATGCGGTAATTTCACAAGGCATACTGCCAAAGCTGAAGAGCTGCTATCTCCAGTTGAAGATATCTTGCGAGGGTAGAAAGGCTACCTCACAACTAGCTTATCTGTCAGTTCACTCATGCCTAGCTTACGGGTTGAACAAGATTACTTGTTGATGCTGGTGAGAAAAGACGACATGAAGAATGTCATCACGTGACTGAATACAGGTATAGTGCAAAACAACCTGTGAGCAAGAATAGCAGTTATCAAGTTTAGCGAGTTCCCAAGAAATCTAGGGGAATGCAGGAACCGTGCAGTGAAGTCGGCAAAGCAAAGCGAGCGAATGACAGCTGAAGTCCCACTGGGCTTAGGGCCGCGGTCGCGGTGGCGTTGACACTCGGGGCTGAACGACGCCCCAATTGGACCTCAATTCTACCAAAACACGCGACAGAACGCGTAATTGCGGATAATGGGCCGAACCTAAACAAAAGCTTGGATCCGGGGGCAGCTTTGCTCGGCTTGGCCATCCTGAAGAACGCAGCTGCAGACTAAATGTGGCTATGTTCGCCTTATTGGTCGCCTTATTGGTCGCCTTTTTCGGGGGCGACTCTGATCTATCGATCTCCTGCAGCAGCCCTGCCTGACAGAGTCCACTAAGTGTTTCACTGCGAGTATGTGACACCTGGCCCCTCGCGCCGAAATACCAATTCAACATCACCTCGTGACGACTTGATCCTATCTGTTTCGGTCTTTCCCGTTCGCCTCGAGCGATCGCACACCGGGGTTTGAAGAAATGTGTCTTCGGCCGAACAAACTGCGGGGATAGTGCTACGGAAATTGGAACATTGGAGCGAGTAGCGACCTGTGTCTGGCTGTTATCGACCTCACACTCGACCCATCGTCGTCGGTGTCTCCGTATCTTCTTTGGCTGACGGCCGTGGTCTTCGTTTCAGCTTACGGAGAATGAGGTTGCCTTCATGATAATGGAAGCGAAAGAGCCAGGCTCAGGAGTATATGAAGGTCCTTGACTTCCCTGGAGTGTACCTTGTCTCAATCTACTCATCTCATTCACTTTCTACTCACACAGTCTCGTTCGTTCTTTGATATATCTCATTCATTCATCTCTTCGTCTATTCTATCTCCATCTCGCACTTTATACCCCAATACAAAATCGCAGTCATGACAGTCGCACTTGAACTTCCCATGCCTGCCAACGGCGTCGCACTTATCGAGCCTACCAACGGTGTGAATGGCATCGTGGTTCCATATGAGAAACCCGTCGCACTCCTTCCCGCCATTCCGCCCCCTCGCTTGGTCGATTCCGAGACTATCGCTGTTCTTGCCAAGCGTTTCAACCTCGACAATTTCGTCAATAAGCATGAGGTACACAAGCGTGAGCTCACCGATCTCGACGTCGAATCGGTCGACATCCGCGACAACACATTTGTCGATACCATGATCAACCTCAAGGTCAAGAACAACCACCACTGGCGCAGAATCATGGACTCGCGCCAATCCATCGCTACTCACCTGCAGTTCGCCATTGAAGATAGCGACAAGCTTCTCCAAGATCTCACTGAAGTTACTGAGAAGCTTGACGTCGCTGAGCATGAGTGCGCCGTTGCTGTCCAGAAGTATCAAAATGCCGAGAAGCGCCGATTGGATCTCGAGAGTCAGCTCGAGATTGCCAACTGCGAGCTGGGCCGTGCTCGCCTCCGAATGATCAAGCTGGCCAAGGACCGTGATGAGGAGTCCGTCAAAGCCCAGGTTGCCCAGCACCAGGTGCACATCCGAGATGGCCAGATTGTGCATTTCAAGAAGGATGCTCACCGGCTCCAGAGCCTGGTTCTGCGCTTGACCGCCGAGCATGCCGCGGCGGTTGAGGCGGCCAGAGAAGCTCAAAAGGGTGAGAGCTTCGCTAAGCAGGAAGCCGAGGAGGCTCGTGGCAGGGAGGAGCAGTGGAAGAAGGAGAAGGAGAGAATCGAGTCTCAATATCAACAGATTGTTGCTTTGTATTCCAAGCTCACCGAGGAAAACACAAAGCTCCAGGGCGACTTCACTGTGAACAAGGAGCTTCTTTTCGAAGCCGAGAAGCAGGTCTCTCACCTGTCCAAGGCTCTGAAGCAACTCGAAGAGCAAGTCAAGAGACTGGAGGAAGAACGACGCAAGTTTGATGCTATTCTCAAGCAATCACTGGATGACCGCCAAAAGGCCATTGACCGCGAGCAGAAGGCAGTTCAAGAGCGTGCCGATGCCGAGACTGAACGTGATCGCGCTGTCGACAGTGAGAAGGAATGGATGCGCAGGTACTCCGAGGCTCTTACTATCATGGAAGAAACAAAGTCCTCGCTTGAGAAGGAAATTCACGAGAAGGAAGACATCAAGGTGGAGCGCGACCATGCAGTGAACAGGGCTCATGTTGCCTGTCACTACGCCCAGGAGAGTCTCGAATGGGGCCAGGCTCTCAACCTCATCAACCACCAACTCCTGGGTGAATGGGAAACCATGCAGAAGGACAAGATCAGCGCAGTCGAAGCCAGACTTCTCGCCGAGCGACAGAGCGTCGTTGTTCTCGGTGAATCCACCGGTGCTACCGAGAAGATCATCGGGCTCGAAGCCGAATTGGCATTGCTGCAGCAGGGCCAGAGAGCCGCTCTGGCCGACCGTGTTTCTCTTGAGACGCAATTCACCGAGACCAAGGACAAGCTGCAGGCCCAACTTGATGGCAAGACCGAGGAGCTCGCCGGCATCCACATTGCTCAGCTCGGATGGGAGAAGGAGAAGGCAGCCTTGGCCAAGTCACTCGACAATGAGGCAAGCGAGCTCGCCAAAGCCTCCGCCAAGATCACTGAGCTGGAGGCACAGCACGCCAGCGCCGAAACCGTCCTGCAACAAGAAGTCCGCAAGCTATCCGCCAGCATCAAAGAACTTGAGGACAGCCGTGAAGCCCAGATTGAGGAGGAGCTCAGCAAGCTCAAGGCCACCTTCAAGGAAACTGAGGAGTCGATTCGGGCTGAGGCTGAGAAGAGAATCACTGTTTCTGTCAAGAAGGGACTGGAGCGAGTGAAGCACGGCGTTGAATTCGACAACGTCATTATTCAGGATATCTTCTATGCAGGCCAGCGTCTTGATGAGCACAAGCGCAGCGATGTGTTCAACAAGATCGGATCGCACTGGGGCTCATCTGAGGCTCTCCACGTTGAGCCATTCTTCAACGAGAAGAAGAAGCTTCTTGTTGTTGTGTATCGCACCAAGAAGGATGACGAGTCTCGCATCCTCACCAATTCGGATGGTAACCTCAAGTTCCCCAAGAACTGATTCTGCCGTTCATGAGGTATCATTCTCTGTTTCAGGGACTTTTATGTCAATTTGTACGTTTATTTACGGTCGGAGTTATAAATCATTTCAATTCAATCATATTCTATATCATTCTCGTTTCTTGTACCAAACCCTGCAGTGCTTATTCGGCTCATTTCATGCATTGATAATCAAATAACTTAGGGCACAGCATTATATTCAGATCCAGCAAGCCCGTCATTTTCCGTCTGAGTTCAGAGATCAGAAAGCTATGGCATTATATGTTAAACTGGTATTTCAGCCGCTCGTAAACCATAAAGCTAGTAGCAACCATCGGAACCACTTTAATATACCCAATAGTCAATCCAACCCAGAATCCCCGGAATCCTCTTTCCGACCATATCTTACGGCAAGTGCCTGCAATGCCTATATTCCTCTCGCCCTGCGTTACCCCGCTAGCTTGTATGCGACGGCGAATGACCTCGAGCGGGTACGAAGTAGTCTGAGCGATCGTTCCAGCAAGCGCCCCTGCTGTCAACTGTGCAGCTATTCTAAGACGAGGTTTTATAGGCTTTTTGTCTGCGACAGACTGTGGGACTGTGGTGTAGCTTGCGAGCTTAGGATGCCGTAGCCAATCACTCACAGTGTCGTGCGCGAAGAAAGACATCCCAGCGTAAGGAAGCATCCCGAGCAGTGTTGGACTAAAGCCGCGATAGAAATTGCTGAGCTTGGAAAGTGGAAGAGCCTTTTCGATGGCACCAGAGATAGTATATGTGCCTCTCACCGCACTAGTATGTGACGGCGTGTGATCCCGTTGCTCGTGGTATATCTGACGGCAAATGCCCTTCAGGGATGATTTATGTGCCTGACTTTCGATCGCCAACCGCACTCGCACAAGGTCCAACGGGTACGTGAAGATGACCGACGTGGCACCGGATATACTGCCAGATAAGAATCGACGCAGTGGTGTTTCCTTTTCTGGAGATGAGATGAAAAGTGCTCGCATCTGTTCATACATCAGGAAGTTGATGGCTGCGTAAGGGAATTTCTGAAGAAGGGTGGCCGAATGACCCCTAAACAAGCCTCGCAAACCCTCATGGCTGTTGATTGACGATAATGCAGATAAAAATCCCTTCCAGCTGCCGACATATTTCTCGTATGCTGGAGTTGACGTCTGAAATAGAATCTTGACGCGATCGAGCGGTGCGACAATTGTTTTCGCCTATACAGATTATCAGCTTTCTGGGCCAGTAGAAGATACCAGGCTTCACTTACAGCACATCCTGCCAGACCACCTGCTAACCCACTTTTTAGTACATATTCAAGGGTTTGCTTGTTTGCAGTTTTTGTCTGGATCCCTTGCTCGGCTTTGGAAGTCATCGCCAGTACTACTAACCTGGCCACACAGTCTGGGTCTATCCAACCACTAATATCGGAGCAGAGGAACCGGGGTTGCGTAGTCAAGAAGTCTACACCTGGCAAGGAAGTCGAAATAGCTTCAAGTCGGGGCCAATGCTTGCCAAGCCCAGTGCTTTATCTCCGATGTCCAATGCTTATCTCCGGAGATCACCTCGGCCAGTGGCCTTTCTTCACGCTCAATTGGTAGAAGGGATACAGATTTTATGCGGTGGAAAGGATAATGAGAGTTGCTTGAATCTGATTTCTGGTTATATTGGCTCCATAATAGGCGGTTAATTCCCGTTGAACTGGATTGGGGATATGGAGGGGAAAAGCCCCAGTTATTGAAGCGCAGTAAGAAGGCTTTTCTCAGTCAAGAACAAGCTCTTCAAACCTGTGGGAATAATCCCGCTATATCTGCGAGAGTTTGACGACTATTTGTGCCTATTCTTGATCGATTACCCTCATCCTCTTCCAAGGGGGAATCACAAACCCAGTGAAGAGGCAAATAAGGACCACCGAGTATTCCATCAACAATCCCATCGTCAAGAACGGAGCAATAGGACCGGCGAGCGCACTCCATCTTAAATCCGAGGCGTGGAACACTGAGAGAAACAGAAAGGTGATGCGAACGATCATGAACGGCAGCGCCAGGATGATGGATTTGAGAATCTGTACGTGAATTGTTAGCCGGAACGACACAAAACCTGATACACTTCGACTTACGGTTTGGCTGGTATGCGAAAGACGAGAAAATTGTGACCAGAAATGACCTTGGACAGCCAACAGACAAACCACAAAAACGACGACAATGAAGTATCCAGCTTTGACGAGTTTGACCCCAGTGAGTGCATCACTGGCCGTATCGCTTCCTTCCAAGGCTCCGCCAGCGACAGTAAGCCCGATACCAACGAAGAAAAGGACGCGAGACGCAAGTAGGTATTGGCGCACTCTTGGGCTTGCCTCGTGCTCAATCACCATGCTGGGTGGCGTATTAGAAAGCTTGACACAAGACCGGTTGTAGTTTTCTGACTTACATGATCCGAATGAAGCCTAGAGTAGCTGCAATCAAGGGAAAGACACCGGCATTGAGAAGAATGGTCGAGGCGATCGCCACTCCCAGACTAGGGCTTTGTTCTGAAATAACCACTAGAATTCCTGCAGCAATTCGAACTTCAATGAGGAAGGGCAAATATGTTAGGAACACCGCGAGCTTGCAAGATCTGTATGTTGTGGCACTATACTCACTGGTCGAGAAAAACATCAATATAATCCATACCATGCGAGGTCGTATATGCCGGTAGAATGCGAGATATGCTGCCAGTATTATAACCGGAATGTAGAATATGATTAGAGCAATGCTCATTTTGGAGTGACTGTGAAGCATGTTGATGTGGTTGTCGGATTTCTGGTGGCTTAAGGAATAGGTAACGTGTGTTTGATGATTGAAAAGCAAAATGTGGGACTTAGAGTGGGCAATTCTATTGAATTTATAGACAATGTCTAGGGGTCAGTTTTGCTCTGCTTCCTGGACAAATAGGGCTGTGCCTCTCGAGTCACGATCTTGGTTCGCAAGATCAGTCCCCATTCGGGTTTAGCGTGGGCGCCACCAAGTCTTAGTTCGCAACTTCAGCCTTCGGCTTCCACCAACTGAGCCTCCATGTTGAGGGTGGAACAAGTCTGGAATCTTATTTGCTCAACAGGCCATAAGGTCATCGCTCTTGGCTCAGGTTAGAGGCCTTGCAGTCTAACACCGTCTAGATCATCCTATGGTGGGCGTGGCGGGGAAATCTAAAGGTTGCAACACCTGTCGAAAGCGAAAAATTGCGGTCAGTGATAGCGGCAGTCTCAAATAACATGAAGAGGCGCCCAACTAATACAAGCCACAGTGTGATCAGGAAAGACCAGTCTGCGCGCAATGTACACGCTCGAATCGGGTGTGTGGCGGGTACCAGAGGGACAGGATCTTCGTGCTGGTTGAGCCCGCTGCGAAACAGAAGCACACTTTCCTGAGATCTAAATCTTCAAAGCTGGAACCCAAATATGTTACCAATCTTTCTGGGTCGGATTCCGCCCTTACTAGCCCATCAGCTACTACTGGACATCGAAGCCCGCAAGAACTGCTCTCGCTCTCTGAAACAAGCCCCGCCTATGCAATAATTCGAGGAAGTGCGGAGTGCCATAATTTGATCCAGGTATTTCTCTCGCAATGCGGGCCCTCTCAATGGGCGACTTTAGGGCCCCGGTCATGGATTTTGCTACTTGGGGGTCCAACGACGAAAGTTGACGCACTTGAAATGTCAAGTATGGCTGTTGCCGCTTCAGCAGTAGGGCAGATGTCTCAAAACATCGCTCTTACTAAATCAAGTTTAACTTATTACACAAGAGGACTTCATCAGCTGCAGAAGGCTTTGTACAATCCCGACCTCATGAAAGAAGACGAAACTCTGGCTGCTTGCATGGCCCTGAGTCTCTATGAAGCCATCGAATGCCCAGATTCTGGGACTGAGGGGTACTTTGGTCACTGCAAGGGAATACTAGCGCTTATTGAATCCCGTGGTGCTCAGGCACATTCTTCGGGTGCTGGTCATCAGTTGTTTCGAGGCGCTCGAATTCCAGCCGTAAGTGCTTTTGAGGCTAACCAACATCCATACTGCATTTCTAATAACTCGAGCTATAGATTTTGCATGCTTTGCAAGCTTATACCTCGACAATTCTGGTTGATCCCGCTTGGATAGAGCAACCATGGACCATAATGCCGAAAACATTTCTGGATCGGGTAACAGATTGCCTTGCTAAAGCTCCAAGCATCCTAGAACGCTTGCCGCTGTTGCATCATTTGAACCCCAATCAACAACTAGAATTGGTTCATGAATTGGCGCATGAATGTTGGCAACTTGAAGAGAGACTGAGCAGAATTTACGATGAAATGCTCTGTTCCACGCCAGGCCCGCTTTACTGGTCGATTCCATCCCAAAAGCATATCCCAATCGATCCTTCTATCGTTCTCGGTTTCGAGTCCGTTTATCAGTTTGCTGACTTCCAATGCGCCTCGACTCTTGTACTACTTTGGGCAACACGGACGATGCTCTGGTCGGGACTTTCCAATTTTTACCGCCTCGCCAACGCCCTGTCGACCTTTGGCGTCTCAACCACTGACTACAATACTAAAGGTGGACTTAGCTCGCTTCCTCCTCTCGGCTACTGTGAGGATATTCTCTCTATGGCACATCATGTTTGTCGGTCAGTGGAATATTTTCTACGAGATGATCTGTTTTTGTCAGGTCCGTTATCGGTAGCACCGGCGCTAGGTATTGTGATTGATGCTTTGAAAAATCAACCTTTCAATCTAGTAGAGGTATTGTGGCTACAGGGTGCTTTGGATGCAACTCGAAAGAGAGGTATTCAAGCCTTGAAATATGCCAAACCCAAATGAGACGATGTTGAATATCTCTGGGGCAGTTGGATTTTGTGACGTACAGAACCTTGCAGCTACCCTCATTATCAACTTGTTCCAGTCACAAAGGCAACAAAGGGACGCCGCATGAAACTATTGGAGCATACCTGAGATGACCGTGAACAGCAATAACTCGGTCTCTGGTCTCGGTCTTTGTTTCCTTGGAATTATTTGTGACAATTTTGACCGCTGAAACATTACAGCTGAAAGTTGAAACCGACCGGAATGTGATCTATCGTCTTTTTTACTACGTTCCCAGTCGATGAGCAAAATGTTTAAACTTCTTAGCGGACTTATTATGGCTTTCCAAATACGAGATTCGTGACCTCGGGGAAAGAGGCAAAGACAATGTCACCTCGCTGGGTAACTTATGTACCTCTCGAGATTGGTGATGCATTTATTAGCCTATATAGGGCTAAAAATGCAGATGAGGGCTTCCATTAGTGGGGAGTTTCCTGTCTAGACAGAGTTGTTCCAAGCCCAACTCGCGGGGGAATCTTGTTATCATGCACCTCGTCAGCCGTCAAGCCAAAGGTGGGGGGGGGGGGTGGTGATGTTAAATCCACAGCCCAACTCATTCCCTCGAATTTCTCATTTCTTTGGTTTTGATTCATGTTAAGTAGTGATTCAGATTGACAACCGGAATTTCCACCATCACTGGTCAAGCCCTTTTTGCAAGAGTGGGACACTATCATCTCTCTCGTATTCTGTTACACATCGTGGCACTAAATAACCTTCAACATCAAAAAGCCTGACCATGTCTTTACCAAATTCGCGTATTATGAAGAGAAGACGACTTGGGCAGATATCAAACAATCAGTCGAAAACGAGCAAAGCACGCTCTTGCGAGGCTTGCCGCCGGTTGAAAACGCGATGTGAGGCGAACGGGTCTGATCGATGTCATCGTTGTGATGTTCTCCGGTAAGAAGAAGGCTTCGAAACCGCGTAATGATGCCAGTACCTGAAATAATCCTTTTGGGATTTGCAGAATTGAATGCTCTTTTCATGGCATGGCTACCGATCGCCACCCTTTAGGTCCAAAGGAGCCTGCAGCTGCGATGATTCCTAACGATTATAACACCCGGTGAGCTCTCTCGTATGCTACATTATATAGGTTTGAATCTTTCGGCTTATGATTAAGACTTCGAGCGGTGGAAACCACTCTAGTAGAGCTGCAAGCATCGATATCTGCCGGCAGCACGATTATTCGCCAAGATACTGTCGAGGTAACTGATATTCATCATTCAGATGGACACTACAGCTAATACGCCGTGAAAGCACCTCCCGTCCAGTGCAGATCGAACGGCTCGCGATGCGCCCATGAGCCTTATTCAAGAGATCAGAGACAATATCACCTATAGATATCATTCCAGTGCCGATGACTGTGTTGAGGATAAGATGATTGAAGGAATTGTCTCAGAGGATTTGACAGCAAAACTTCTTCACGGGTAGGTATTTTTCGATAAAATCTGTGGTTGCTTCATTGACATTAAACCTTTAGCTTTACCAAACTGTCGAGCCGCTGGTTATTCATGAATACAAACCCTTTGCAGCTACGCACTAAGTCGCCATTACTTTACGGAACTTGTCTTCTAGGTGGTCTCCATTTGACCCCATCTCTACAAGGATCACAAATGCATCAAGCGTTGTATCGCCATGTCCACGGACTCCTGGGTCAAACCCATCTATCTTCGGCTAGCTCGCTGGATATAATTCAGTCCATGTTGATTCTATCTATGTGGGACTTGCGACCCACGCTAGGTCATGAGCATGGGAACTCATGGCTTTTAAGTGGAACAGCGAGTATGCGAGTTATGATGACTACTTCTTTTGAGCAACTGTTGAAAGCAGATAACAAGGAAGAAGAAGCTCGAGCACAGGAACTGATGCGTACATGGAACCTCATCTGCCTCTGCCAGTTACAGTGAGTTGCCTACGTTCTAGGCCCTTTTATTAATTATCAACACTATGTATCCTTGAGTACTCTTGATCAAATTTTGTTATTGTATATTCAAAAGAGTCCATCTCTACAAGGCCTGACAGACGCATAGGTTTTCTGTTGGCTCTGGTCGTCCCCCAGTTATCTCCGGTCAGTATTTTGACGAATGCGCCAAGATCCTTGAGTTTTCGTCTTATACTGCACGCGATGAGCTTGTACTGGCTGGGGTGAGGCTCTATCGAGTCCTCTGGGGACTCATGAGTTCGGATATCGTTCAAAAGACGAATGCCATTTGGCCAGAAATTGATAGCTTACGAAAATGCCAAGGCAGCATATACAGTAAGTAGCTTGATCATTTACCCATTATTCAATCCTGATTCATGTTTGCCGCAGAGCTTGACTCCTCCGAGCCTCTTCGCTTCGCATACTCCTGTGCCTATCTGATGCTAGCGCGTCGGACGCTCAAACACCTGAACCATAGCGAGTCCAACAAACCTGATAACCTTGACGGTACATTTGATACATGCGCGGTTCCATTTATTGAAGTTTCGGTTCATTACTCTATTCAAATCCTTAATCTTTTTCTATCCATGTCGAAATTGACTACATACATCCACCCTGCCTATGAAAATCTTCTATGCTCCTTCGCCATGGTCACATTGGCCGAATTTGTCACTTATATAGCTGATTTCAGTCAAACAATACTTCTGATGGAACAGGCTATTTCACATATTCAATGCGGAGGCAAGGCAGAGCCAGTGAGTCGATGGTGTCTCAACATCATAAAGCAACATTTCACTGAGCATCAGGGCCTGACCCATACTGGAATTGCTGGAGAAAATAGGCCGGAAGTACTGGTGTCACAGTCGGTTCAAGACTCAATGGAACCTTGGGATGACGATGAGTGGAATATTGAACAAGATTTTCCCTCACTTGAAGACATGCTCTTTGGAAATGTTGTATGATACTGGTGCCTAGTGACAAACATTGTTCATATAACGTTACATCACTGACTCCTCCTTAAGTGTGTAAACAAAACATAGAAAGCCCTTAATTCTGTTTCCTCAGTCTGATACCTGCATGACACTCCCTGGGCTTCTTAGAAAAGCCCTCGTGGGATTCCATGGCCGCTTGATACAAAGAAAAGTCATATCGATGGAACAGAGTGCCAATAATCAGTTGCAGCTCCATAATAGCAACATTTTGCCCAACACATGCTCGAGGGCCATATGAAAATGGATTGAATGCGATCTTTTGCCGGGGAGTGAGATTCAACCAACGATCTGGTTTGAACTCTTCAACATCGTCGCCCCAGATCTCCTTCATGTGATGAATTGTATATGATGGCACTGAAAGAACAGTCCCAGGTGGGAAATAAAATCCCTCGAATTCGATACCTGCACAGGTATCAGCTACCAGACGAGGTAGACCGATAGCTGAGGTTGAGTGCAGGCGCATCGCTTCGTCAATGCATCTTCGCAAGAAGGGAAGGTCTTTGACCTGCGAGTAGTTCACAATATCTTCATCTGGACCAATTTCCCGGTCGAGCTCCTCTTGTAACCGAGGAACTATTGTGTTTGGTGCGTTGCGCTCCCCATGAAGTATCCAGTAGAAAATACCGCAGGATGTGTTAGAGACTGTGTCAGAACCAGCGATCAGCTGCGTGAGTGCCTCCGCAATGAGCTCATCTCGACCCATAGGTTTTCCGTTGGCATCTTCGGCTTGAAGCAAGCGCGACAGAATATCGTTGCGCGAATCTGCGATCCCTTTCTCCGCAGCATCCAATCGAGATGCAACAGCAGCGACAGCAATTCCAGTGAGATTCTCCACTGCCGCGACGCCCTTTGTGAAGAATGGATCGGGAAGATATCTCGCCCATGGCCGCAGTGCCGGGAGAAGGCCTAACGTCGAAGATATTTCGCCGCGTCGATTGATAGCCTCAACCGCCGAGGCATATGAAATAGGCCCTCCTTCCACAAGTTGTGTCTGAGTTTCATCTTTCCCCCGATCGACCATACCAAACGGAGAGCCAAATGCTAAATCCCCAATTATGTCAAACGCAAGATAACTAAACCAAGGCATTGCATTGAACCGGCTGAAAGCCTCTTTATCAAGTTGAGGTCGAGATGCCGCAATCCGATCCAGTTGTACTATCCACCGCCGCAGATTATCCGCCATATGAGGCTCGAACGCGGCAACTGATCTCGGTGAAAAGGCATGGGATATGATTTTTCGCTTGCGCGTATGCTCTGCTCGATCGCGCACGTTGAACATGCCTGGTGTTCGGGCGACAAATGCTTCGTAGTAATAACTGGAATTGGCGCGTTCACGTTAACGACCTTCACGCTCAGCTTATCTGGGTTGAGAGGGCATACTCTTTCAGGAATCCGTTTCCATGCCCATACACAATGTTGAGAGCAGTTTCATCCGCAATAGACACATGGTTGAAGCCTATGCGGACAACCTTGCCGTGTTTTCGGTGTGCCGAGTCGACCGCGGCGTATTTCTGTCCACGTCGGGCACTTAATCCAACCCAGAGGTTGCTAAACTTGGCAATAAATGGTCCGGGGACAAGGTATAAGGAGCGGTATGTCACGAGATAGGGATATATGTAATAAAATGATAGCCAGAGCGGAATCAGTCCAGCAATGGTCCATGGCGACAGAAGGAGATTCAACAAAGCCATCGTGAAGAGGTATAGTGAATAATGATCTGATTGATCAAAACACGAAAATTAATTTCAATCCCAAGTTCACTATGTGTGTTTAAATGTATTTCGGTGTCCTAGGTACAGTTCCTATCTCTCCGACGGAGGACATGCAACACCGTCGGAGGTGAGATAACTGACCTAAGTTGAGGTCGCGTTAGTCTGAAGTTAATCTCAAACCTCTTTTGATATACTTTAAAGCGAACAAAAGGCACAAGAGGCAGTATAGCAACTTATATTAGCTATGAGTGTTCTTTTCTTGACTTGTTGGTTTTTCGGGTGTATTTGGACAACCTCACAAGGCTTTTCTCCCTGCATAATACCCTTTTCTTATACCTAGCAACTTATGGGCTTGTGGTGTCTTGAGGTCTTATTTTGCCAGTTTTGGCTTGGTTCATACCCTGGATGTCTGTCGTGAACGGAACTTCCCCTTGTGCATACTTCATCTCGAATCGGTTGACAAACAACTACAACCTCGCCGACGGCAACTTCAAGTACTGCAATTCATAATTGACATCCTTGCTGGTCTACTATACTAAATATTCTACTATTGTTGTTCAATTAAGTCTCATACAGCAACTGCAGATGAACTAACATGGATCGTTTGCTTGCAACGGACTAATATGCCGCCACATAGTTACCGCAACACTAACATATACTAAAAGTCCATTCATGCTACCTGTATTTTTAATGACCTAATCTCCAAACCTCACTGAATACGAAATAATTCTTATCAAATATTCGATTTGCAGACTGCTCCTGCTTGCACTTTGCTCTGGGCCATATTAGTACGGATATCGCCGTTCCCAGGTTGTCTAACCGACCATTAGCTTATGGTGGCTGCTTAGAGAGGGGCACACAAACACTTCTCATAATGTTTCCACGTCTTCTCAACCTTCTCTGCCCACACTGACTGAGAGAAAAGACGTTCAATATGCACGCCAGCGCCAGCTACTACAATGCTCTCGTCCTGACATGCTATGACTATTGCGTCCATAGCCTCTTCATGGTCTACCTCTGGGGCTGTCCCACCACCACAGTAACTCTGCCCTTTTTCAAATCAAACATTGGTCGCAGGCACATGGATGTCGGAGTAGGGACTGGCTATTTCCCTGCTGCCGTCCGACAAAGTGTGCAACAGAAGCAGCAGAATCACGCAGTCTTGCTAGACAGCCCATTCCTTCAATGGCCGGAAAAGCTCCTACTGGTTGACTTGAATCCCAATTGTACGGAGATGGCAGCTTCTCGTGTTGGTGTGAGAGACCGTACCGAAATACTCATTGTCGATGTCTTTCAGCCATTACCGGCTGTTGAAAGTGTTGAAAAATACGATTCAATCTCACTCATGAACCTGTTACACTGTCTACCTGGCTCTGCGGAATACAAGTCTCAGGTTTTCGGTAACTTGAAGCCATTCCTCAAAGATAATGGTACTCTGTTTGGCGGGACAATCCTTGGAAAGGGCGTTCAGCATAATTTTCTGGGAAAGGCTCTTATGTGGGTGTTCAACTGCATTGGGATATTTCATAACTACGAAGATGAAAAAGGGTTGTTTCTGCAGGTGCTTGAAAAGGAGTTTGGGAAAGTAGACCATGTTGTCGTGGGTCGTATCCTGCTGTTTGTCGCGAAAGAGCCTCTTCTCTGAACGTATGATTGACGGTTTAGCAGGGTGGTCATTTCAAACATAGATTAACTCATACGTCGATTAACTGGACTCATCGGTGGTCTTCATGTACAAAACTCACTCCGTAACCCTATGAACTCCAAATCGATCACTGGAACACCAAATATCCTCCCCTCTAAGCCTGACAGCCACAACATGAAGATCCCTCATGTCCAGTGCAATAATAGGGAAGAAGTTGTCTAGAAGCCCCTCCACAGCAACATTAAAATAGCCCTTAAAATCCTGCCCGGCAATATCCTCCTCCTCATCAACCGGCGGCAAGGTCCCAGTAAAGGAAGCAACAGTAACCACAAACGGGATCTTCGCGCGTTCGCGACGAGGAGCAGAAGAAGGCAAAGGAGCCTCCAGGATAGACTCCAGCGCCGGCCGAGTAACAGCCAAGCAGACACTGTGATCCAACCCTCGAGACGGTGACATTTGCCTATATCGTCTACATCACCAGCTATCAGTCTTCTATTTCAAAGAGGGCAAAAAGAGCAGCAAAGATGCCAGTCCAAGCAAAGGTCCAACTTACGCAGCTATCTCCGCCGGCTCGGCCCCATCCAGAGTCGGATCCTCAACCCATTGGAACCGAATCAGATCAATAGCCTTGTCGACGCGCGGGTCACTTCCTCGAAGTGGGGCCAGGAGATCGTCCATGATCTCGTCCCAGCGCTGTCGGACTCGTTGCCATTCGGCCTCGTGGTCGGGGCCATATGCTGTCGCGCGGAAGATGACGAAGCCCCATTCTTCCCAGGGGAGGTTGAACCGGAAGACTTTGTCCAGAATGCTGATGAAGGGGGCCATTAAGTATTGGACGTGTCGCTCCTCTTCGGTCATTTCGGTTGGTTGTGGGTCTGTGGTCATTTCTGCTATATTGGAAGAGAGATTCTAGGTAGTTATTTGATGTCGTCTAGAATCAGAATATGGTTCTGGTGTTTTGGTGAGGCTGAGAATAAAGTCGAATATCACCTTGGAAGGAAAGTCGAGAGATATTTTGGTCTATTTTGGTCTCGGCTGGAGCCTGAGGCCGAGAGAGGGTTTCCGAACTCACTCATTGGTGCCGAACACCATCATTCAGGCTGTAGAGCAACAGGTGGCAATTTGCTGAGCTGTCTCATGACAAAATGGTAGATTGATCTGACTCGCTGGACTAGATTGTGTTATAGTATCAGTGAATTGGTTTCTGCCTGGGAGCCTTGGGCCTCATGATCGTCTTCAACGTCATTGGAGCCTGATTAGACAGGCGTCAAATCACACAATGCCCTAAGTTAACGAAACACAATACAGAGCCATTGGCCAATTTACGATGCTATACTGTAAAAGAAACTCATACAAAGTAAATCAGATTTTGGATATTTGCGTGTACTCCCTAAAAATATGAACACAAATTCATAGAACCCACAAGATGACCTGGCGCCACTAGATCCGAGAAGAATAACAAATAAAAATCCAACCCACAAGCACGCTTTTCGTCACATTCATTGGCACCATTCCATCTCACCTGACTGCTAATCAGATTTAGTTGGAGGTGGAAGTGTAAGCAACACCAGCCTCGTTGAGAGCGCTGTTGGACAGCAGGTAGTTCTCGGCGCACATGAAGTAAGAGTAGCGAGTGACAGCAGTCTGCGCATCCAACCAAGGGACAACCTCGTTGAGGAACGCAGTGGTGGTAGCCAGGTCAGAAGTGCCGCTGGCATCAGCAGCAAGGGCGAATTCGGTGATCCAGACCTCGGAGAGGTTGTGGTTGCTAGCAGTGCTGATGGCCTCGGTGACGAAGGAGATGAACTCATCGGCGGTGGTACCGTACCAGTGGACGGCCATGCCGGTGATGCCACAGCTGGAGCAAGAGTCCAGGAAGGAGTTCATCCAGTCGAGACCCTGGCCAGTGGTGGTGGAGGAGCTGGTGGCGGGGGTGATGAGCTTGGCCTGGCCAGAGTACGGGGTGATGTAGGTCTGGTAGTAGCTGGCGGCATCAGTAGGGCTCATGTTGGCCTGGGAGGCCATGTCGGGCTCGTTGAACCCGAGGATATAGTTGCTACCGCTGGACAGGATGGTCTCGATGGCGGTGGCCCAGCCGGCGAAGCCGCTGGCTCCCCAGAGCATGGGGACAAACTCGACATCGGTGGGGAGAGAGCCAGAGAGATAGGCACCCCAGTTGTAAGCCCAGGAGACGGTGTTGCTGCTGGTCAGAACGGAGACGGTGCTGATGTCGTTGTAGGCGGCACCACGCTTGCTAGAGATGGTGCGCTTGGCCTGCTGCTGCACTGGGGCGGCAATGGCAGAGGTGGCAACGAGGCCAGCAGTGAAGAGCTGGGTGAAGGAAACCATTTTGAAGATTGCAAAAAGTAAGTCACAAAGAAGTGGACTTGGTGGCAAGATAGAGAGTGTGAGAGAAACCTGTTCTCGTAAAGAGTGTATAAAGCGTGAGCTTAAGGAAAGTGAGGACTTCGACCGTGCACGGCACAGGTGATAGACCAAAAAGACAAAGTAGAATGAAAGACTGTGGGTGAAGAGAGAAAGAGAGACCACCAGACGGCGAGACGGGGGGTTTAAATGCTTTCAGTGGCACAATGCATGTCAAAGCTACCATTTAATGCATTGGGCTGGAACACAATTGAGCCACACAATAGATTTCTTCGAGTGGAGTGAACGGGACCATTTCCATTGGGCATTGGGGTGCCATGCGTGGTGGCCATACATCATAACCATGTCTTCTGTCAGGGCCGACATGTCTACCGGCTCTTATTGGCAGTGAGGACCAGGGGGAGGCGAAGGATGGGGGGCCGGTCTGGGACGGTTGACAGCCACAGGAACCACGGTGATTGGGTTGAACCGAGCGTTCTGTGCATTTCCAATAAGAATTAGGGTGCAGACGCTAGAAAGAGAGAGATTCGCATCTTGTCGTACTCCACAGCCAAGATCTTTAGTCCACTTTCATCTCACTCCACCAGAGCCTGGACCGCCATGGAGTATCTGTATCGAATTTCACTTTGTCCGAGCAGTCCAATCTCGGGGAGACGTTCATTAGAAACTCCGTGGGTGTTTGACCAAGCGCCAGTCGATGGCGCGCTGAATCACAATAACCCCTGACAAAGCGAGGGCAGGGGGTATATCAGAGAGGAAGAGGCTGAACCATGAGTGCGTAGACGGTGGATGTCCAGTTACCAGTGACGTTCCTTGGTTGTTCGTCAGGGCATCACATTTGATTGGCTGGACCGGACTACATCATCACTGGATCCCCGAGCAGCCAATCACGTTACTTTGTGGGAGCATCTCATCCGAGGTACGGTTGATGAAACAAACATTACACGCTTGAAAAAGGTCTCACTTCTTTTTGGAGTCGGAGGAACTGCTCTCGCTGCTATAGCAGACCGTTCGGCCCTCATCGTACATGTAAAGTGATCGATTGCCAATATGACACACCGCACAAGCGCCACAATGGATCACTAACAACCAGTCATGGCCAGCTGGAACAATTACCGATCGACGTGTTTCACTAAAGATCAGCCCTCCGTGCCCTAGTCCTTCCGTGCCCTAGTCCCCCTCCTTGCTGGATCAACCAGCAGTTCCTGTCTGGGCATTCAATCCTAGCCCCTCTCTGCCCCTGCCGATCGATGGAAAGGCCCTAGCGACAGGGTATTAAACGGTGAGACAAGCCTTACCGGACTCTCGACCGGTGGTTCTCTCCGGTCCATTGTCTTCTAGCCTCTCGGTGGAGGTCTAGCGTTCTTGGATGCCCCCCGCTATTCGCCAATATTGAACAAATGAATAAGTTCACTGGGCATGGAGGCGTCTAATATTCCTTTTTACCGGCTTTGGTCTGGTGCTGCTGTACAGTACCAAGCCCGTAACCATTCTTTGAATGGGGACTGACTGGATCCCCCGGGGTCCCGATAGGCGGGACTCGAAAGTACAAGATGCGACAACAATATGGCCGACAGTCAACCAAAACTCGGTTCTCAATGGAAATCTCAATCTCTAGAGACAATCGTGTACTCCCCAGATTTACCCATTTCTTTGGGTTTTTTAGTCTCGAATTTTCTGCATTTCCAGGAACCCGCCACACACTCATGAGATCACAACTGAGTAACCCTCGCCTCACGCGGATACTATTCCGAACAAATGCCGTAAGTCTGCATAACGTTAGTGTTTTCTTCTTTAAAACATGAAACACACTATTCAACTTGGGCCTGATCCCCTGCAGTCCACGTGGATGTAGACGTAGACAAAGACGAACCCCAATGTCTAGTTTGGCCCTAGTCAACCCTAAGTGTGCTGCCAAATTATTGTCGAATGCCCAATAAAGAAAAGAAAGCAAAATATTCTCAGCCTACAGCCTTAGTCAGGTTGTCCTGGTTCAATTACAAACCAACGTGGCTCTATTCTCGCCTCCCACTAGCGCCCAGCCCACGTCATCCTACAGTTTGTCCAAACTCCGGAAGTGAACGGAGAGGATTTAGTTCATTCTCACTAATCGACAGCCCTCTCGTTTTATTGACATGCAAATGGAAATGTTCTCCAAAATCCCTCAGCATCCCACACAGTCCAAGAGTCGAATAATCCCCGAGCTTCAAGACAAAGGCACTGACCCTATGAAGCACCATTTTTAGATTGGCACCGCGCGGCCGACTTATGCCCTCGTCCAAAGACGCCTATGGCACCGTTTTTGGGATAGTCGGGCGATACACATATATTGCACATCGGTCTATAACACGGTCGCCGATCTGAGAACTAGACAGCTCGCTGTCGTCGACTTGTGGCGCATTATGACAATGCGAGCGCATACTGCCGTACTAGATGTTTGCTTTGTCGCCCGATCTCATCACTAGGTCTTTATCGCCGTCCCATACTTGTCATGCTATTCTCGGTTCCTGAAACATGGGCGGGTTTATACATTGTACTTGGAATTGGAAATGCCAGATTAGGGCGATTGTTGTTCTCGTCGCCGTATCCGGCGCCTGGGTCTAGGCTACTATGTGGCTATGGCTACCTGCGCTTGGTCTGTGTCCTGCCTTTATTGATTTCCAATAATAGGCTGGGGGGGCTATTGCCTAGCTATTCTCTAAAAATACCTTTCTACTCGGCTTCGCTGTGGGTCAGCTATAGTACGGGATCTCCTAGCTTGCGGACTTGAGCTGTTGCTAAACAGTATATGAATTTGGCATTGAGGGGGTTCTAGATTCTTAGGTTTTATTATAAAAGTATATCTATCCTGCCTGGGGTTCGAACGGTGTGTTTACCTCAAACCGCGGTGTTCGTCTTGTTTCTTCATACTCTCAAGGCTGTGAGCAGCTATTGCTTATGCGACATCGATTGAGATTACATCCCACTGAAAGCCAAACTGTTCTGCTCATAAATCAGATCCTTCCAGAAGAAAGATGCTCGGAATTTCTTCCCCTCAACTAGATCTACACTGGATAATCTGCCGCAGTCAGAATCCACAACTACAACACAACCCCAAATCACAAGCATACCTATCAGAACATCAATCTTGAATCTAAATCTTCTTCAATAGAAAATATACTTTCTCCACATGTATCGTCAAGCAACAAATATAATACCGCATTGAGCGAACACGCTGTCTATACTTCGCCCAATCAGAAGTACTGCCCGTAATCATCCACAAGTGGAAGGCGGTGATGCCGATGATGTAAATCATTATTTCTCCACCTGGGCACATCATAGCTCGACCTGCGTAGCTCTCTGCAACACCTCTCTACACCTTTGAACACTCATTTACTTAGCCCTCAATAACAATGCTCTCTCGCACAGTCCCCAGAGCTCTGCTCGCAACTGTGCGCCCATCAATCCGCACAACAGTGCCCACCGGCTCAGCACTGCTCTCGCAAACCCGTACCCTGCGTGCCAGCTCCGGGCCCCAGTTCACACGCTCTTTCCAGTCCTCCCCGGCTATTTTCAAGGGCATCCACCCTGAATCTCAAGACCCTCCTGCTCCTAACCCTCAATCTGCGCCCATCGCCGGCGCCGCTGCCCACGTCACGGAGCCTTCGCCGTTGAGCGCTGAGGAGTACTATGAGTACTCAGAACATTATTTCAATGTGCTTCTAGCCGAGCTGGAGAAGACACAGGAGGAGGGCTCAGATGTGGAAGCCGAGTACAGTGTATGTATTATCTGCTATATCCAAACAAGTCACGGAATACATTTGTTTCCACTATTTTCTCTTCCTCCCTCTCCCCTCTCCCCTCATTGAGCAAATCACCCACTAACACCAAACCCTCTCCCACAGGCCGGCGTCCTCAATATTTCCCTCCCAGCAATCGGCACCTTCGTGCTTAACAAACAACCCCCCAACAAGCAAATCTGGCTCAGCTCCCCGGTCTCCGGGCCAAAGCGGTTCGACTGGATAGTTGAAGGCGACTACATGCACGAAAAGCAGGACTCACGCCCTTTCGTCAATGGACAGTGGATTTACCTGCGCGATGGATCGAACTTGACTGATCTGCTCAACGCGGAGCTAGCGTTGCGTTTGCCTCAGGACATTTACAGTGAGGTTATTGAGTAGATTTTCGCTAGGCTCTGTTTTACCTAAAGAAATCCCTTGGCATTATCATGCGGTTATTACATATGATATTTGTTCTGCTTGGGCCTTTTGTTCATAACATATTGTGTCTGTAGTTTGGTCACAATGCAATTGTATTTTTTCACTTGCTTATGATATATGATCTCTGGTAGGGATTGAACTTCATCAATACCAGGTAGAAGGATACAGAAAGAAAAAGCTCTCATAACATAATATGCATGATGGGTATCGTTTGAATGCAAAAGTCGGGTATAAAGCAAGAGTCTGCTGTCCACCCACCGCAAAAGAGAAAAAGCATAGTAATTTGTCCAGCTCCGAAGACATGCAATGATGGTATCCATCGTTTCCTTGCCTGAGACAGATACGATGCCGACTAAGAATAATTTCATGTCTTGCAAAGTGTATCCACATCCTCGGCGATTCAACTGAAACAGCATCGGCGGTATCGAAGTCAATGCCATTCGAGTCAAAATCGGAGACGTAACCACGACGAGAACCTGCCCTGTCTGTTATATCCGTATATTCTCTGACAAAAGTCGAGTGCATCGATGCACTTGGCGCAGGACATAGACCAGCGACATCGAGTGAGTATCACAGTAGAGTCACACACGGTAGACGAGTACCGCAACAGCTGCCATGTCCAGAGCCATCCAAGCAATATCCAAGAACCACAGTAAGAGTAATCGTAGACGACCGGGCTGCCCAAGTCGATTGCGCCGAGAACGAACCCGCAAGTTGCGCGATTCTCGAAAAGACGCCAACAATCGATGCTCATGGCAGTCGCGAGCATTGTCTCCGCCATATCCAGTTTGTCCAGGTTAGGGTCTCTCGTGTCTCTGAGACCTCGGGCCAGCTCACGCAGCTTTAGGAAGATCAGCCTACCAACACAGATTAGCAAATGACCCCTCCAATCCAATCGAAGTAAGATCATACCTCGTCGAAGATAACCCGGATCATGAGACTGCAGCTCGGACAAACACCGATATCCTCGCCATCGCGCAAATCATCAATGGCAATCTCGAAGCGATCGCCACACGGGCATGGATAAGTGTAGATCTGGAGGTTTGGGTCGAAGGTCATATCCTCGATTTCGATTTCGTCGTAGATGTTGAGTCCTTCGTCGGCCATGGTGGATATTTGAATATGAGTGGGAATTTGAAGGTAAAGAATGAGTGACTGGAGCGTGGCGAAAAGATCGTATTGGCGTCTGGAGTAAATTCCATATTGACTCTTTTTTGGTGGCGTGGAAAAGTTTGGATGGTCATGTGATGCCGGGGTTAAGCGGAGTTTAGATTTGTATACTTCCTTGGTTGTTTGTTCTATGGACACTCATTACAGTAGAGTTATTGATTATAATCATACAGGGTTGGATATATCCAGCATAGTCTTGAGTTTCATATTGAATAGCAATAAAGGCGTATGAAGATGAACGTGCCGAAGTGGGGTGTTTGCTTGGACTTCTGTCCAGACCAAATTCGTGACCTAGGGTAGATAGAAATAGTCAAGTTAGATATTCGTGCATGGAGTCCTGGCATCTGGATCCAATCATGACCCATGCATTGTGTGTGTATGTACATGGCTGAGATATGAATGTAAGTTATGTATGTACCTGACACAAGTATGTATCATTGCTCAAGTCGAGCGATTTCCATCTGTACAGTTTCCACGTCTCTTACAAGAACACCATATTGGCGAGCAATCCCCGCGACAGTGTCTCGGTCTACAGGAATATCTCCAGCAGAGTCAGATGCTTCCACATCTCCACATGTCTTCAACTCTTGAATTGCCATCTCATGCGCGTCCTCAAGCCGCTCCCTTATCTGCCTTAGATGCTGCTTATATCTCGTGAGTGCAGCAATAGTCTCAGGCGTATAGATAGTTGCCGCAATCTCAAGTTTCATAACCCTAAAACAATGCACCTCGTTAGCAACCGCGACCTTCACAGCAGAGAAAAAAACAACAACTCATAGGGCAAAGAAACGCAAAACATACTCCAATTTCCCCTCAATACCCTGCGCAACCGTCGCCAAATGATCAGCCTTAGCCCTAGTAGCCCTAGCCAAAGCTCCATGCTTCGCCCGCTCAAGGATAACAACTGTGCGCTCTAAGACCTTCGCGCGCACAGCAACAACCCCCGCAGCCGTAGCCGCCATCTCCCTACGCGCCTCGGGTAATTCGGATAGTTGGATCGTGCGCAGCGCGCGAACCCGCTTCGCTAATTGTTCCGAGAGAAGGGGAACAGAGGCCATAGACGACCGAACGCGACGGTCACGGGCTCGAGCGCGGGAATTGTGATTCGGACGTGATGACGCGGGTGCTCCTGGTCCTTGAGCTGGGCCTTGGTCTTGGTCTGCTGGGGAGTCTGCGGTTGCGGCTAGGGTCCGGGCATCGTGGAGGGATGATGAGAGGATGTTTGTAAATGGCAGGATGAAGGCTGGAATATTAGAGTAGAAGGCTTCAAAGTCTGGGCCTAGGAGGGAGAGTGTTTCGTCTTGGGATGTGTTTGTGGTTGCGTCTTCGGAGTCTGGTTTGGGCGCGTCGAGATCCAGCGCGCTGCGGGGGGTTTCGAGGTAGAGGGTTATAATTGCAAGGTTATCATGGCACTGTATTGGTATTCAGTGTGAGACTGAATACATTGTGTCTTGGGGGTTGTTTGGGCGGGCTTATGTTGTACTGACCTCCGCGGGTAGGCCGCTGTCTAAGGCGAATGCTAGCTGGCGTAGTGTTCGCTCTTTGATTCGTTTCTTTGCATTTTGGTTTTGGCATTGCTTCAAGTCCTGGAAGGCGAGTTTGTTAGAGCTTGGTGTTCACGGTCATACTCGGGGAGTACTGATTCCGGCGCGTCGACTTACTTCCACAGCGGCCGTGCGCGCTGGACTCGCGCTTTGAGAACGCGTTGAGCCATCTGCGTCGAGGAGATTCTTGGTTAAGTTTTCATACAATCGTTTGAATTGGGGATTGTGCTCCAGAATGGAGGGGTCACACGGAGGAATCATGTTGATGTTGAAAGGAGAATGTCACTGCCGGAAGACACCGCCAATTATAGAGCTGGCTGCATTAACCTACATTTATGCATATAGACAGGATAATGTCTAACCAATTTTGAGTGACATATGAAATAGGTATGATTCTGTATGATACCATTATCGTGTGGTTTCGTCTGTATAACATTTCCACCCAGGCCTCCGCCGATTCGATATTATTTTGAACACCCCTCAGGAACTAGCATCTAGGCAAAATTGCCTGTAAACTCAACGACGTTAGTTCCACGAGGATCGAATGGACAAATATAACTTGATGCTTGTTTAACGACTTGACCATTTTATCGTAGGCCAAAAAATGGCAGGCTGGAGCTTTCCCGACTACGCTAATTCTAGAAATCAGCGTTTAGACTACTACCTTTTACAATACATATTCTTCATTATTATATACGCTATATCAGGATTCTATCTCGCTTACCTATCTATGTATGTTAACCCCGAGACTAGCGTAGTCTCACATAAAGCGGCGGTAGCCTAGATAGGAAGGCCCTACCTAGCAGACATTACCCTATCTATATAGGTGCATTACATTGGACTACGAGGATTACAAGTTAGAAGTACACATTGAGTTTGCATTTGCGCGTTTCTTTCGTAATCATACAAGATGAAGCTCGATATCGAGTTTCGGTTCAGCTCCCAATTTCCACCTGCAACACATTGGAGAAAAGAGAGAGAAAGAAAAAAAAAAGTCGGTCTGATACACAGACGTGAACGGACCATTTGGGAAATAAATTGTGCACTGGGGCATTGAAGAAATTTCAATCCAGCAAATGGGAAAAGATTGGCGAATATTGAGCAAAGAGGTTCAAAGGAAACAGAACCATGCCAAATCCAGGGTCTCAAAGGTATGTACAGACGTTGTCAGTGGGTTTCGTACCCACTGACTAAGCGCGGTGTGATTGAGAAAGAAAACAACATCAGAAAAGCACAGGGGAAATCGACGCTTGGAACGCAAATCAATGAAAAGGCCACCTTTGATTGGAAAAGAATGGCAAGGTTCAACGGAGTATCTACTCCTCCTCGCTCTCTTCCTCGGAGGAGTCCGAATCATCGTCGCTGCTCTCATTGTGTTCAACCGAGGGCATGGGCTCAGGGGAGAGACCACCGCCACCCTGGAAGCGGGAGAGGTTGTTCTGGAGCATGTTGATCTGGGCCTCTTGCTCAAACTTGCTCATTGGCTTGTTCTTCTTAGGCTTAGGCTGTGCCACGGTGCTGCTGGCAGGGGTGTACTCCTCTTCGAGGTCATCGCCCAGACCAGGCACGTTCTTCTTGACGAAGCTCAGCAACATGATTAGGACATTGTTAGGAAGCTCATCAATGTCAAGCTCAATCTCGGCATCATTGGTACCCTAGCAGTGAATTAATTACTGACGAAAATTTGCGAATGTGCATAAAAGGCTTACCTTGAGTTGAGGAACATTGTTCTGGATGAGCTGCAGGGCATCCTGCATCTTCTTGTCTGGCAGGCTACCAATGCCCTGAGAAATGAGCTGTTTTTCGGCATAGGTGACAGGACGGGTGCGTTCGGGCTTGGCGATCTTGCTCTTCTTGTCCCGCTTCGCGGAGATACTCTTCCGAGGATCTTTCTTGGAGGACTTCGACTTTCCAGCTTTCTTGGATGATGGGGGTGTCTTCTTCTTCTTATTAGTGATGGCCTCAACCTGACGGGACATCTCAGCGATCTGCTTCTGGAGCAAAGTGAGCTTCTCATCGTCTTCCTCACTCTCCTCTGCATCCTCGTCGCTATCTTCGTCGGAGTAATCGCTATTCTGCTCTTGATGTGGTTCATGGGCATCGAGGTAATCCGCCTTCAGGGCCCACTTCTCGTTGAAGATCTCTTCGGCTCGCTGGCCACAGACATAAGTTGGGTCACCGTTGATATTGAATCGGTAGCAGTTCTTAAAGATGAGGCGAACATCGGCTTCGAACTCCTTAGCATTCTCATATTGGCCAGTTTTCAACTTGGACTGAACAGTGGACAGATCCATTGGCTTCTTGACCACGCTGTGGTAGGTCGGGATATTCAAGGCAACTGGATCGACGGGGTAGTAAAATGGCATGACCCAGTTGTAGTTCTTCTGCTTGAACAACTCATCCACAACTTCCTGGCAGAAACGGAGCTCCCATTGGAACTTCTTCTTCTTAGGCTTAGTTGAGTATGGCAGATCACGCTTCGGGGGGTGGATTGAACGCTTCGGGCGACCATCAGGATTGGAAGAATCGCGACGGATGACAGGAAGTCCCTCAGGTCCTAGCGCAAAGGTCTGAGCTTGAGGAGAAGCCGCCTTGGTGCTTCCCAGCGAGGTCCGAGGCTCCCGACGAGCAGCGGAGGTTTTCTCTGTCGCCTTCTTGGGCTTTTTGTCTTCGACTTCATCGGGGCCAGGGCAACTTTGCATAAGTTTCTGAAAGCTTGCCTTCAGCTTGATACCCTCTTGAGTGACCAAGTGCTCAGGGCCGTTGAAGACGGTTGTGTTTTGGACCATCAAAGCGAAGTCTTCCACAACATCCTGGGGGGAGTGGTATTGGTTGGTCTTCAACTTCCTGTCGATAGTTTGCAAGTCCATGGGGTTGGTAACAATGGTATGATACTGCGGGATGTTCAATTTGATGGGATCCACAGGTTCCCGGTAGAAGCGCGAGTCGTGCAGGCGCTTGAGGTGGGTGAGAGTCTTGAGAAGAAATCTGTGCTGCATCTTGGTGAGAGCATGCTGGCCGGTGTAAGTAGGACCTTGAGACCCGATGGGGGTTCGGACTTGAGTTGGAGTGTGAACATCACGAGCCACCGATCCATTGTCTTCGCTGTCAACCTTGGTGCGCTTGGCGGCGGGCTCCTCGTGAAGGTCCGCATCGCGTTGCCTGGAGATTTTGGAGGGAGACATAGGGGGTTCTGGCGCATCCATCATCTCCTGGTCAGTGGGTGGAGCTGGGAAAGATGGATGAGTGAGGTCGGGGGTAGGATGGTGAGGAAGTTCGGTCTTCACTGCAGTTGAGGCTTTCTCTGAGGTATGGACAGCCATTTTGTCACTCGCGCGTTCAGCTGCACTAGTAGTTGGCGCAGAAATTGCAGGCTGGGTGGCGGGAGAAACAGGCTTCTCGGCACCAGTGTTCGTCGCGGCAGGAGGAGCTGCCGAAGGAGATTCCTGAGGCTGCACTGGGTCCTTGCTGTCGCTCTGCTGGGTCTCTGCGGAAACCGCAGATTCGGCAGCAAGTGGTTTGTCTTGGGTCACTGGCGGGGTCTGTTCGGCGGGTGCAGGGGCGGGAGATTTAGGAGGGGATGTCGCGGTGCTTGCGCCGTTGGTAATCGATGGCGCGGGGTCGTGTCCATTCAGTGGGGGATGGTTGGCCTCGATATTGGCGGGGCTACCACTTTTGAGAGCTACTGCATCTTGCACACTGGATACATGTCAGATCTGGGTGGATAATGGCAACGCGCTTCCAAAGCCCATTCAGAACAGCTTACCTGGTAGGCGCGACATCCGGCGCAGATAGACCAGTCGGTGATGGCGGGAGCTGTAGCTTGTCCTCCTTTGGAACAGGAGGGGCCTCGGGAGGCGGAGTAGCCATTGAGGTCGCGAGGGCTGAAGAATACGAGGAAGACAGGTGTGATGGTGGGAGGTTGGACGAGGTGAGAGTCGCGTTGTTTGGAAAACGAGTGACCAACCGAATGCGCTCTCACACTTTGACCTCGAGCGCGTCACAAGATGATAAGATGATCAAATGTGTCGAGCTGGAATCACCGTGATTGGATATGGAGCTAAGAGGCGGGAAGTAGAAAGAGTGGAGAATGCGATCAGAGAGGAATTTATACTGCCAAGAAGGCGGTATGTATGAGATCACGTGACTCGAAAGTAAAGTGTTGCCTGAGGCCGATGAAAATAATTATGGGGTAATAAAATAATAGAGAGGTTTTTTGGTAAAAAAAAAAAAAAAAAAAAAAATAGGGGTGACGCGAAGACGCGTTTGTTATGTTTGAGGAAAAAGGGGGGGGGGCGGTCAGAGGAGAATAAAAATAGGAGAACCAGGAAGCAGAAAAATGCTCGGGGGAAGAATCCTTAAGTACAAACGGCCGCCTTGCTCTTGTCGTGCCAGTTCCACCAGCCACACTAGTCCGGATTCTCCTACCTTTCCCCCTTGTTGATTGGTTCTGTTCTCCCCCCCTGATTGGACCGGGTTTTCTTCTTTTCTTTTCTTTCCCTTACTATACCCAGATTTGTGCTTGGTTGTTCGGTGTCAGTATTTCAAAAGAACCTAGCGTTCTACAGTTGGGAAGTTTGGGCTTCCCTGGTGTTTCTTTTTTCTTTTTGCAGTTCAGCGTTTTGATGCCCCAAGTCCATGGATCATGGATGACTCATAACCCTAGGGTTCTGGCCAATTCCGGTGATCAATCGAGTCCGACGTCATCACTCCACGTGACCTGAGTACACCTATCCAGTATTCACTGTTCTGTATTCACAGCAGTCAATATCTAGGATGTAGTGTACAGGGTTCAGCTGCTGTACACTATATCAATATACTTCGGGGGATATAGGGCATTCCAATCGGCTCTTTACCTTTTGGACTGCCACTAAGATATGCTGCACCTGGACCCTTACACATTAGGCAGAGGCACCCCTATCACATGATTCGCGCGTTTCGACCTTGATATCTTTGGCGTCGAATAGTCGCCCAATGATGTTTCACCCTGCTATAAGGGTGGTTTCTTAGTGCCTGATGACTTTTAAATGGCTCAGGCTTGTTTGAAGTCTGCCCAGTCGTCCCACGTATCTGACTTCCTATTAATTGCAACCAGGCTCCATTCTCGGTTGCACTCCTATTGCTCTGTCAAATCATTTTCTGATGTGATTCCTTACACATTCTAGGCTTATGTTGAGTGTACGAAATATGTTGTGCAACCTGAGAGCAACAGTGGTTCATGATCAAGTGATTATCCTAGCAAGTAAGGTCGACTATTGGCAAGGTATTCATTAAGCAATTTAGAATGCATAAAATGCTTCATGGTGGAAAGTTTCACGGTTGCTGGATAACTTAGATGTCCTAGTGGAGATATACGAGCCAATCCACGGATATAGAGATCATCAATATTGCTCTGAAATCTCTCCTCATCCACGTACATTCCAGCGAAAGCTAACTTACACTGCTACTGGTACCATACTGTGTACTATACTCCACTGGGGAACATCAGTTGACGGTGATCCCAACTCATGTAAGGGTCTGTCGACGATAATGTCTAGAGCATTGCACAGGGATAGAATATATTCAACCAAAATAGATTCGACAGGTGTGAGACACAACCTCCTCACCGATAACGGTCAATAAACATCAAACCCTATCTTGTCTATCTTGTCCCAACTAACTCCACGCCCGTTTGCTTCTTGTTCCTGCGAGTGGGTTGGCTCACACAGCCCCGAAAGACACGGCATTGGTGGTGAACAGACAGACTCTTTGTCACAACTGCGTTCCATCACCAACAAATATCCCACCACAATTATAGCAGCACAAAACCATATAACCCGACTTTGCTACTTTTCCGAGTTGAGCCTCGAGTTCTGACTAAGGAGTATATGTCGATGCTGCCTAGGCCATGTTAGGACTAGCGTCTCCAGTCTCCACCCGAACATTTTTTTTTCCTTGTCGGCATCAACTGCGCAACCAACCTCAACCCCAACTGTTTTCTTTAGGGGAGAAAAAGACGGTCATCTTGGGAATATACTGTCTCTCTTTGGACTAGGTTCATTGAATAAATCTAACCAAGCCTCATCCCCGAGGTAAAAAAAGACTATCGCCAAGATGGGAAAGAAAACGTCTCGCCCGTCGAGCAAGGTCGCCTCGGCCGCCGCATCGCCAGCAGGCGGTCTGATGCAAGCTGGAAGCAAGTCTTCGATCTTGCGAGCTGCTTTCTCTCCATCGGAGTATCAATTGGCCCTGTTTGCGTCCGTCATTCAAGGTCTCGATGCGCAGCACATCCGAATTCACGACACAAACACCGGACGTCTCCAATGTGAGCATGCTTTAGGGCCGAAGGAAACAATCACCTCTCTGGATTGGGGATACTACGGTGGCTCTGGCAAGGGTCGTGATCAGTCGAAGAAGAAGCGGAAGCGTGGCTCCGACGTCAACGGAGCTATCGATGGCCTGGACCAGGGTGATATCGTGGTCGCATTCGGTACAAGCACCTCGGACATTCGCATGTACTCGCCCGCTGAGGACAAGATTGTCGGGACTCTGACCGGCGCGCACGAGAAGGGAATCAAGGATTTCAAGTTCACAGCCGACCGACCTGGCCAAGAGGCATGGAGTATCGGCGGTGACAACAAGCTCGTCCAGTGGGACCTGCGCACTGGACAAAGCATCAAGTACGATCGCATCCTCCGTGAACTATTTGGAACTCTGAACTAATAATGTGCTAGGGCGATTCACCTCCCCGCATCCTCTGTCTTCTCTGCTCTCTCCCGCCCTGTTCCCTCGAACCTCCCTCTTATCTGCGCATCCCAGGCTCCATACTTAATAGATGCCGAAAACGCCGACGAGCCCCCGGTCCAGTTCCCCGCCATGCGCAACCCTATCCACAGCATTGTCTCGTCCTCTACAGAGTCTGCCGGTGAAGGTTCTTTCCTCGCCTCCGACGGTGACCGCTTCATCAACGTCTTTGACGCCACCACTCAAAAGCTTGTTCGGAACCTTGTCGCCGAGCAGGAAGTTTCATCCATTTCTCTGCACACAGCCGGCAATGCCACCCCGGAGAAGCAAATTCTTGCTGCCATCACCGAGGATGGCACTATTGAATTTTTCTCAAAGCCTTTCGCCCAACCCCAGAATGCGCCCGCCGCCAGCGCCAAGGCTAGCCGCAAGCAGATGACCCAAAAGGCAAATGCTGCTCTGAAGATCACCCACAACGCATCTTCAAGCGCCTGTGTACCAGTTGTTTCCATCTCGTTCCAGGGTCCTGTCGTTGTTGTTGCATACGCAGAGGGTGGTGTTGTTCCCGTTTTTGAGCGCGTCAAGTTCATCGATGAGAACACCGAGGAGATCGCCTTCAACGGAACCAAGACTGTGGTGAAGACCAAGTCCAGCCCAGCGCTTTCCTCTGTCAGCACAAATGGTGCCAAGAACTCTGGCGAGAGCCGTGTTGATGAAACCCGCATGGTCGTGGAACAAGGCAACCTGGTCGATAACGACGTGGAGATGGAGGACACCCAGCAAGATGCCGACTCCGAGTCTGGCAGCGAGGAGGACTCTGACGATGAGGACAAGAAAAAGTCCAAGGATTCTACTGAGAAGAAGACAAAGCCCGCCAAGCAGTCTGCGGCAGCTGAGGATGTTGAGATGCAGAACGCATCCGAATCCGAGGAAGAGGAAGAAGAGGAAGGCGCCGAGCCATCATTTGGAGAACTTCTTCGCGCTAACTCCGGCCAAGAAGTCGACGTCGAGGCTGAGCTTGAAGATGATGTCCTGATGGGCTCACTGGTTCCTGGCAAGCCCAAGGCTGCCGTGCAACAGATTCCCACTGGTGTTTCGCTCGCAACCGTTCTCACTCAGTCGCTCAAGACCAACGATGCTGGTATGCTCGAGTCTTGCTTCCACACCAGTGACACCACTATCATCCGCACTACCATCCAGCGTCTCGACTCCTCTCTCGCCGCAAATCTGCTCCAGAAGCTCGCTGAGCGCCTCGCCTCTCGGCCCGGTCGCTACGGTCACCTTCTCGTGTGGGTGCAGTGGACCTGCGTCGCCCACGGCGGTGCCCTAGCCGGTCACCCCGATCTGCTGAAGCGCATGGCCACTCTTTATAAGGTTATGGACCAGCGCTCCTCGAGCCTGCCCTCCCTGCTTCTCCTCAAGGGTAAGCTTGACATGCTCGATGCCCAATTGGGCCTGCGTCAGGCGATCCGTGGCGGAGATGAGGGTATGGATAGCGAGGATGAGGACAACGTCATCTATGTCGAGGGCCAGGATGACCTCGAGGACAGCGAGACCGAAGCCAAGACCCCCGCACAAAGTCAATACGCGACCAGGTATACGATGAGGACGAGTCCATTATGAACGGCATGGATGACTCCGAGGATGAGGAGGATGGCAGTGATGACGAGGACGACGATGAAGAGCCTATTTTGGACATTGAGGCCGCCGAGTCCGTCGGCTCCTCCGATGCCGAAGAGTCTCTCGAGGAGAACGAGGACGATGATGATGACGAGATCGACAGCGATGGCTCAATGGTTGACTTCATCGCCGATACGGAAGACGATGAGTCTGACGACGGCGCACAAGTCGCCCCGCCGCCCAAGAAGAGCAAGACATCCGGCAAGAAGAGCAAGGGTGGCAAGAAATAAGCGTGTCTTCACTGTACGAATTTAGAGATGGAAGGGTAACGGTCTTCAAAAGAACATATTCAATTTTTTTATCGATGCATCCGACCTCGTGTGGTCTGCATTTCTATTTCCTTTCTTGTTTTATCTACTATCCACTGTTTTTTTTTGATATCTATGCGTCTCCTGAGCGCCTCTGCGTCTCTATCCACAACGTCTATTCAATCTATCGTCTTGAATATCATCCTGTGACCTTAGTCCAGTAACTCATCTCCCTGACAAGCTCCTCCATGCAACACTCGATGACTAGGAACTCCATCCTCCGCAAGAGGAACCTGTACCGCAACCGTCCGCTCCTTGGATGGATACTTTGTATAGTGACCCAAGGCACTGACATCAGCCGTATCAAGCGCGAGAATAGCACCATTCTTGCCGCCCTCAATCCAAGCCTCCGCAGTCGAGTTGGGCAGAGTGATATGGGCCAAGCCCGACAGGAAAACAACCCACCTACCAACAGGGATTAGCGACATTCTTCGTCCATTCTACTGTACTCTGAACCCAACCACGCATGTAGGCATATCCAGTCCAATACCGAGAGAGAAGAAAGAAAGAACAAAACTCACTGCAAAGCAGGCGCATTATGTCTGCCACCATCAAACTCCGCCGGAATGGCGGTAAAAGAAGCATTACCGTTCGCAACACCCATATCCAGAACGGACGAGCCCGTCGTGCCCGCCTGGGCCGAGGTCTCAAACCCAGGCTGCAGAGCCCAGCATTCTAGCGTGGAGCGGTTGTGGCGCGCGCCGATGACGGTTACGTTCAGGGTGGAGCCCAGGGTTGGGTCGGCTTGGCTTGCAGTTGATAGGGCTGGGAGGAGGGCGAGGAGGGTGAGGGGGGAGGGTTGAGAGGTGCATTGTTGGGAAAATAACGGAGAGAATCAAGGGTAGAATTGAGGTTGAGGAGGGATTAGGGGTTGGATCGGAGAGTGGGAATTGAGTGGGAATTCAGTGGAATAGTTCGGAGCTCGATAGGTGGAGTGCGATCTGCGATCTTTGCGAGGACGCTAATGTAGGGGAGAGATATTTGGAATGTGGTGTGGATGAGCTGGGCTGATATGTTTACTGCTGTACATTTCTTCGTTCGATTAGAGATGCACCGATCTATCATGGAACAATCGGATACTCCATAGTATCTAGTCAACAGAAATGGACTCCGGCAACGCTGAGAGCGATCCAACCCATATGGGTGAAAGAACAAAGAAATTCATTTCACTAACGTATAAACGGCTATCTCATAGAACCTATTCTATGCCGCAAACCCAGTAATTATAAAGACTACTAATGATAGCGTTGCCCAACAAGAGAAATAGAAGGACTAGCGAATGACTTCCCCACCAGACTTCTCAATACCCTCCATACCCTCAAGGATATCACTGCCCCCAAAAGGGCCACAAGCAGAGCCAGTGCGGATCTTGCTTCCGGTCCAGACCTCGTGAAACTTGACGGTTTGATCACTAGAGGCCACAATGATACATCCCTCTTCCATGGTTCGCGTGCACCAGATTCCACCCTCTTTCTCCTTCGGGCTCACTACCCGGGGCTCAAATCTGCGTCGGCGACCTCGACTTCGGGTCGGAGATCGTGACCGACTCAATGAAGGCGACCGCGAGGAAGAACAGCTGTTTTGTCTGCCATAGGGGAAATCCAGTGGAGAATGAAGTCTTCCTGGGTATTGCACTGCCCACAGAGCTCGTCCACAATCGATGTTGGGAGGTGGATCAGGTCCATTCCAACTGGCTCCATAAGGGCCCCATGGAATGACAGCTACCTGTGCGCAACTGGGCCAGGCAAAGACAGCGATTCGGAACGGGTGATCGGGTTGGGAGTAGCCAAACGTAGCAGCGATCTCACGTCGGGTTTGACTCCAGATCAAACTGGTAACTTGGGCAAATACATTGATGGTCGCTAGACACGCTCCGCTACGGGTGTGATAGAAGTGGATGGCGCGATCATTTGTACCTCCTCCGGTGGCGAGAAGAGATGGCTGCCATGGTGCAAATGCAATTGCTTTGACGGCCGCGGAATGCATTAGTCGATGCTTTTGGCGATTGAAAGGGACCAAAATGGTTCGTCCATTTCCAGATATCAGTGTTCCGGCGTTGCTCAAGAGTGGAGGTTTGGCCGGAGGCTTGATAGGGGGAGGTTGGACCCATGATGGGAGAAAGTGATCGAGAGCAGTTCGTCTATGGAACAGTCGTCTCGTTGCTGTACCCAGGGCAAGATAAGGGAAGGCACCCAGGCTGAACTGAGTCGGCGAATCAGGCGGTGTCGTGGGTAAGTCTGTGTCCAAAGGCTGTACTGGGACAATCTCGCTCATTTCAAACAAGAGACAGGCATTGTCATTGCCGCCAGTGGCGAGGTATTTATCATCTGGTGACCAGGCAAGTCCACAGATCTGCTGCGTATGAGCACAGATTTTGGCAAGCAAAGTCATGGATCCATTCCAGTTCCATTCTTCTCGATCCTTGGTGTCAGGCCACTCTACCGAGTAGTACCAAACATTACCAAAGTCATCACCAGCGGCTAGCCCTTCGGTTTCAACTTTCCTCTGGGTGGATCGCTCTGAGTTTCTTCGAAATGTCCTTTGCTTGAATGCCACACATGAAATGCTATTAGGGTGGCTGATCTCGAATCGAACATCCGCCTCAAAAGTGCTCCACAACGAAATTTGGCCAGATCGACGAGCTACCGCAAGGATGCTTCTTCCACCAATATCGGACGAAAAAGACAAAGAGGTTACATAGTTTGAGCGGTGCAGGGGTCGGAAGGGCGGATTATCCATCTCTCGGCCCTCGGACCAAAGAAAGACCCGATGTCCAAGGCCTACTGCCAGGATGCCGGAAGTGAAAGAGTATGCCAGTGTGCTGCAATAGAAGTCATCTCGAAGAAACGGAGCATCCAGTATGCGGAAGGGCTTTGGTGGAACAAGCTCTTTTTTGTCAAGGACTGTAGGCCCTGTGATCAGTTGCATAGTCAGTTTTGTCTGTCATTAGTATTTTCTTTAACCTGTGAGTCTCGCTTATCCTATTCCCAGGTATGGGGTCTCGTGTTATAAATGTTCCTATTAAGCAGTAATATATGCCACAGTGAAGGGAGTTTGGGGATAGAACCTGTAAGTGCAGCACTTACAATGTTGCCTTTCCACTTTCTTCCATGCACTGTCCTTCCAAACAAACGGAGAGAGCCGTTCGTAATGTGGAGATGCTGGACTTGGTTGAGCCTCGAGACAAGGTAGGAAAGTGCGAAGCAATCTGGTGGCTGGGTCAATATCCAATGCAAGCGCAAGCCTTGACTCATGCTTTTCCTCTTCCTCACACATCGGCCTTTTAGGTAGAAATCTGGCCACATAGTTTGGTGCAGTTGGTCTATGGCCCGTAGTGATTGATGTATCGCCAGGAGCAGTGGAAAGAGGGCCCCCAAGAACTGCAGATGCTCCACCGACATTCCAAACTGCACCGTTACTGACTTGTCTCAAGGTCTCATCTGGGATGTTACCTCTTGGAAATGCAAATTCATTCACAAGATGGGGCCGTTGATGTGGAGCTTGCTGCAATTGAGTTGGTTGCTGCGGTCCAGGAACAGTTGAAAGTCTGCGTGTACTTGATGACAAAAACGGATCACTTCCAGGTGGGCACCTTCGTAGATATTTCTCTCGAGGCGAAAGACGAAGCGGATATTTGGCCACGTGAAATGCTTCTGAACTAGAACAGACATAGTCACGTTTTGGGATGAATCTATCTGGCGAGATTGAGCCTCCAAAGGGACTTCGTACTGCCGCTGTACTTGAAGCACATCTGACTCTGCCACGTCCTCTCTCGGAATACAATACTCGGTTTTCCTTGAAGCGAGGAGTAGGTATGACAATGGCTGGGGCTTCTTTCTTGGTCAACAATGAGGATGTATTTGTTTCAAAGAATGGCAAATTTAGCGTGGCAAATTCGGTTAGCCTGATCGACCCGCTGTCTCTCGAGGATCCAGATCGAGAACGTGAAGTCAATGGATTAGTGTGAGTGCCTGGAGAGGCTTCCCGGAAGGATCGACATGACGAATCCACCATAATTTGGATAGATATTGATGGACTGGACTAGTACAGATCTCAAGCTAGGAAAGGAGTGTAAGAGAAGACCTCTCCCAAGGCACAATAAAAAGAAGACTGGCGATGAAGGAGTTGAAGTACAAAAGTAGAAAGAGACCACCCGGTCACGTGGACAAGCCGTGAGATTATATAAGCTTGGATTAGTTTCGCCTCAGGCAGCACATGATTCGCTCTGCGGCATAGATGGGACGAACCTCGCAACTCCATACCTTTGCCCATTTCCTGTTACCAAACTTGAACTGTGTTTAAAATGCCTAGTGTGCGTTGAAAGACCCAAAATAAATGTATTGGAAAAGGGCTGATGATCCTAGCATGGTGTCCCGCGGTACAAACCCGTTGAGAAATCACCCGAAGCACGACAACAAGAGCAGGAGAAGATAGCAAAGTACCAAGATCTTGAGCGCTTGGTCTCCAAAAGGGTATCTGTTCATTGAAATTCTGAAAGGCAAGCGAGACTGACAAGATCAGGTAGCGGAGCAAGAATACACAATCGACACATTGCAGAAGATCTCTGAGCTACTGTCCAGCAATCCAGAATATTATACAGCCTGGAACTATCGCCGAAAGGTTCTGCAGAACCAATTTTCCCAAGCAGGAGAAGCAGAAGAGGCTGCCGATTCAATCACACAGTTGATCAAGAATGATTTACTATTCCTGCTGCCCCTCCTCCGCAGCTTTCCCAAATGCTACTGGATCTGGAACTACCGTCTTTGGCTACTAGACGAGGCAAGCCGTTTACTACCTCTGCCCGAAGCCCGGCAAATCTGGCAGGAAGAGCTCGGCCTTGTGGGCAAGATGTTGACCTTGGACAGTCGAAATTTCCACGGGTGGGGGTATAGACGCTTCGTGGTTGAGACCCTGAAACAGCTTGGCACTGCTGAAGAAGCAAATAGTATGACTCAGAAGGAATTTGAGTATGCGAAGAAGATGATCGGCGCAAATCTTTCCAACTTTTCCGCGTGGCATTACCGAACCAAGCTTATCCAGGGGCTTCTGGATGAGCAAGGCGCCAGCAATGACGATCGGAGAAAGATGCTAGATGATGGTTGGTCGATCGAATACCAGAATGCAGGATGGGGAGGCTAATGAAGTTATAGAGCTATCACTGATCCACCAGGCGTTTATCGATCCTTATGACCAGTCGCTTTGGTTTTACCATCAGAATCTCATGAGTGTCTTTGACCCGGAGATGGCTGAACGCACCATGGCTCCCAACCTGAGTGCCTCCGACCGACTGGAGTATATCAGAAACGAGATTGAAGAGCTTCAGGAGATGTTGGATGGGGCTGAAGACTGCAAATACATCTACCAGGCCTTGATCGACTGCACACTTCTTGCCTCCAAGGTGGAGGGTATCCTATCACAACCAAACAGGGATCAAATTCTGAGCTGGCTCTCCGAAGTGAAGACGTTGGACCCATTGCGACGCGAACGATGGCTTGATTTTGAAAAGGGCCTACAAGCGTCCTAAGTCTGTTCATAGTGCCATGAAGTCCTAGGGGGTATGAAGGAGCTATAGAGGTGTATTGAGGATGCTCCCTTGACCCCTTTTATTAGATTGAGCCACCTATGCATACAAGAATTTTCTCAGCATTACTAGATAAGACATAACATCGTGTAATTCGATTGAGCGCCAATCCCCCAAATAATCCAAGTGAATGTGGTAAATGTATGCAGGCGCATTCCAACGTCCGATCGACAGCTCCGCATTTCTCGGGCGCCAATCAGCATTTGTGTACTTGGCCTCGAATTCATTTGAAACTGACAACTCGAATTCCCTCCACTTTCTCCTCATTCCTTTTACACACACCTCTGATCTACAGTAGCGAGTTGGGCTTCAGTTTCAATCCTATGGGTTACATCTTCTGATTGTGAGGCCACCTTCTCGAAAGAGAGAAGAGAGAGCGAGCGAGCTACATCCGAGATGTCTGCCAACCACCACAGTCCAACTGAATACGAAGGGGTGAGAGAACCATGACGACGAGCATCCTCAGTTACCTTGGCATGAGCTTAACTCCCATTCTTATAGGAGTCGTTCGACAACGCCCTCGAAACCGCCCAAATCCAGGAGAACCTGAGTGTCGACATCCCCAAGTCCACCTCCACGCGATCCTTGACCGACAGTCCACCAATCGGTACAATAACGTCTCCGGAGACGGCGGAGAAACCTCCGCTGCCTTCTGAGCTGAGCGACGAAAAAGAGACCGAGGTGGTCGACCAGAGTGGCGAGGAGGGAAAGAACGAAAAGAAGAAGAATAAGAAGAAGAACAAGAGAAAGGGGAAGAAGACGGACGACGCAACTGATGGCAATGAAACCAACGACGATGCAAACACCGTGACAGATGAGACCAACGATATCGACATGCCGGAGCAAGGATCCGAGGTTACTCAGACAGAGGAGATTGGAGAGGTAAACAAGCAAGAGGAACACGTTGATGTGGCTCCCCAGAAGTCACCTCTTCTCACATCCCACCGACTTTCAACCGCATCGTCGCTAGACGAAATCAACTTGATGAACGGCAAGGACGACGACCTGACAGAGAAGGGGCCAACCTCAGGAGACAATATGGACTCGCCTCCAGTACCTCCAAAGGATGACACCGCCTCGAGCTCTGGCTTGATGGGCTTGTCAGGAAGTCTTCCCTCGCTGCCCTGGGGAGCACCTCCAGTCAACAAGAACCCTCCTCCCGCACCGCCACCACCCCCTACCCGCAAGCCGAGCGGTCCATTCGCATGGTTCTCCCGAAGCTCGAGCGTACCAAAGGATGTCAAATCGCCTCCATCGGCCGCCAGCCGACGAAACACTGCGACCTCAGTATCGACCCTCGCAAGCAACCTAGAAGGCGGCGACGACGTGTCGAGCGTCGGCTCCAAGAAGCCGAGACGGAACAGCTTGAAGGATCAATTCAAGATGCTTCGCTTGCGCGAAGAGAACCATGTGCCTGAAGTTGACGAGACGAGCCTGCGATCAGGCAGTATCAGCCACGCTGGAGCCAGTCCCCCAATCATCCGCGAGGAAGGAGAAGACGGCCTCATCGGCGCCCCAGAAGAGCCTCTATCAGCAACAACACTCCACCCTCGCACTGGGTCTGTGTCGGACGCTTCCACGCCGGTCGATTGGGAGATGTGGCAACAGCTCGTGAACAACGGACCCCAGGCGCTAGCCAGCTCCGAAGAACTAAACGCGGCCATCAAGCGTGGTATTCCGCAAACAATTCGAGGAGTGATTTGGCAGATCCTGGCAGATTGCCAGACAGCCGAATTGGAGGATGTTTACCGAGAGCTGGTGGCACGGGGAACGACACACGATAAGGATGGACGGACATTAACAGGCGCTGAAACCACTTCCTCACGCTCATCCGTTCGCTCGGAGTCTGGGTCTCGGTCGAGCAGTGCTGCTCCTAGTCCATCTCACGAAGCGGACCCTGATAAACTAGCCAAGGACCAGGCTGCCAGCGAGGCCGAGCGAGCGAAGAAAGCCAAGAGTGACGTTGTTGCCTTGCAGAAGCTGGAGAAGGTTATTCGACGGGATCTGGGTGCTCGCACAAGCTATGCCAAATACTTCGTTTCGCAGGGTAGTCAGGAAGGTCTCTTTGGGCTGTGCAAAGCCTACGCATTGTATGATGAAGGTGTTGGCTACGCGCAAGGCATGAACTTCATTGCCATGCCCTTGTTGTTTAACGTGAGTTTCCTTGATCTAGGCTCCGTGGAGATCGTTGGCTGACATGATATACAGATGGACGAGGTTGATGCCTTTGCGATGCTCGTGAAGCTGATGAACAAGTATTCTCTTCGAGATATGTTCATCCAGGATATGCCTGGACTTCACCGTAGCCTGTATCAATTTGAGAGACTCCTGGAAGACTTAGAGCCTGCCCTTTACTGCCACCTCCGGCGCCGTGGAGTACCTCCCCAGCTGTATGCCACGCAATGGTTCTTGACCCTCTTCGCATACCGATTCCCGCTGCAGCTAGTCCTACGCATTTACGATTTGATCTTTGAAGAAGGACTGGAGAGCACAATTCTCAAGTTCGGTATTGCCATCATGAAGCGCAATGTCGAGACTCTTCTCGAGATGAAAGATATGAGTGTGCTCACCACATTCTTGAAAGAGCGTCTCTTCGATGCCTACATTGACAAACAACCATCTACCTCGTCGATCCTGGAATCAGGTTTCTTCGGCAGCTCCGGCGCTGCGGACAAGGAAGTTTACCGCTCGGACATCCTGGTACAAGATGCTTGCGCAATCCCACTCACACCTCAGATGCTTGCCACATACACAGTTGAATGGGAAGAAAAGACACGCACCGAGAAGGAACGTGAACACGAGCTTGAACATCTCCGGCACACAGTCAGCACACAAGGCGCCCGTGTCCGACTCCTCGAGGAGCGCGCCGAAGCATCCGACAAGGAACATGTGCAGCTAGCTTCGGAACTGGTGCATGTCAAGGTTGAGAACGAGGAGCTGCGCGACCTCACGGATGCCTTGAAGCTACAAGTCGGGGAGCTCAAGAACATAGTCGATAAACAGCCTGCGGAGGTCGAGGAGAAGCTGCGGATGGAAATGGAACGTATCATGAAGCGCAACATCGAAGTCCAGAACGAGAACCGCGCTATGGAGGAGTCCATGTCCGAGATGGAGAAGGAGTTGGTAGCGACGAAGATGAAGTGGGCAGAGGTAAGACCCAGATCCTTTTCGCATGAACTGCTCGAGGCAATCGACTAATCAAATCCCCAGATCTCCGAAAACCACGAGACCCTGCGCCAAAAATGGAGCGACCTGCGTCGCGCGCTCGACTGATCCCTTCCTTTCATCTCCCCCTCCTCACCGGATAGTCGCCGGATCTGTATATTTGCAATTGCCGATGCGACGGAAGATCTGCGATCCCGCTCGCTCGCCATTTGACCTCGTCTTACTGTATGGGCCGGATCGTTTTGCTTGCCTTTGCCTGTTACCCATTCCGTACTTTGCTTCTCGTTTTGAGCCAATGTGATGATTTGCGTCCAAACCGCTGTTTTATGAACCATTCCCATTCCCATCTTCCCTGTTCTCTGTTAAGCCCAGCAGGCCATTTTTGACCTGTTTCTATGTGTGTCTGTCTGCTTTAGTGTCTTTGTATGCCTTACCTCAATTCCATTAGGGCTGGGCTGGGTAAGGTGGTGCATACTCGATGTATGCAGTGTACATTAACTGATAGTTTCAAGTTAACTTACCACCTACCTTTTCTCCATGTTTGGTCAGCGTCTGTCTACTGCTGACTTATTGCTACAACACACCTGTCCAACTTGACTTCTCTCAAACCATTCACATCGAGCAAAATAATAGAAAATTAAGAGGAACAGACAATTCTTGATTCATTTACAAGACGGACTCATAAAAGCTCGTCAGAACATCCTCCTTCACCGGCCCAACAACAGCCTTCAGCGCCTTGTGAGCCTCACACTCAGCATCATAGTATTTCATATCCTCCATCGACGCAAACGTCGTCTTCACAGAGAGATTGAAGCCCTTGTTCCTTGGATCGGGGAAAGAAGCACCGGCAGCAGCAGCTAGGATGTATGGCTTGCCGTCCTAGATGGCCACGCGATTAGTAAACCGTTCGGCTGGTATCGGAGCTCCAAGCACGGAGAGGGAAGGGAAATGAGAGATGAGGGCTGACGATTGAGCGTCGACGGGGGTGTCTAGGTGAGATTGTCCGTTTACATACCTTTGTAGCGGTCTTCGCGAGGACCTTGTACTGCTCCAAGACACGATCCCGATCCGCCTCGTTGGGGATCTTGAAGAGGGTGATTCGCTCGATGGGTGCCATGGTTGATCGGGAGGTATTGAGGGTGGGGAGAGTATGAATGAAGCGGGATATGGATCTGGACATGGACATGGGTATGGGGATGGCGGGCTTTAAGTAGGCCGGCTCAAGGCGGGGGAATTACGTGGATTGGAGGGGATGTTTTTCTACTCGGCTCGGAAATATTCTCGGGTTGAGTTGGATGTGGGGGAATATGACTGGGATTTTGGATTACGGATCCGCCCATTCTTTGACTGATTCTTTCTTTTCCCAATTGACTGTGTATTGGAAAAGCTGAGCTGAAAGGAGAGCGGAAGGCTTCTAGAGAGCGGGGAGATTCCGCTCCGGCGGGATGAGGTCAGCTCCGAGGGCGGAATTGTTTCGGGATTTTATACTTCCAACTCTCTGCTGAAGATCTGATAAATAATGGCCCTAGCAAGTCTGGATCTGCATCAAGCGTCCAGGAGACATGCGAGAGACACCCTGATAGTTGCAGACAAAATCACCCCATACCCAACAACAGCAACAAGGCACGGCTCAGCAATAGCCCGCGCACCATTATCCACAGCCTGCTTCCAAACAGCATACATGTCGCCCGCAATTTGAGAAGCAATGTGTTTCACCCCATCGCCATGGGTAGAAAGATGTTCATGGATCTCAGACAATGCCACGAGCCTGTCATCTGAAGCGCAGCGCAGTACATTTTTATGCTCATCCGACAGCTGACCATAGATCGGACCCGTGAGAACTAATATCGCAGCTCTCTTGGACACGATATGGCTGACCACATATAGAGATCTAGCTTCCGGGTCTTGATATGTTATGGCGCGGAAACCCATACGCGTGGACCAGTATGAGGCATCCAGTATGAGGCCGATTGTATTGGATTGCCAATATACCAGTGGATATGGTCGAAGCTGGTATATTCGGGGCCCCATTTTGAATTATATTTCGGTTGGGGATTGTCATTTTGTGGCTGTGAAGGGCGTAGAGTGTCGTGCTTCCAGTTCGAAGGGTTCCGACTCTGTCGTTTCGACAACAACAAGCACGGGGACCGCTCCAGGCGCATTGTGTACCCCATAGACTTTCGCCATTCCAAGGTCGATAAACTCACACAGCCCTCAAACATTATTAACAGGCTCAGGCCGACTCTTGAAGAAAATCTTATACCGCACAATCTCAACAACTTCCAATTCCTCCTCATTCCCACTGCTCTCACTCTGGTGCCTCTGCAACACGGCAATCGGGCGTGGAAGTTTCTTCACTTCCCCGGTCATGCGCTGGTACCGGCCGACATAAAGGTATGCGCGCTTCATCCATTTTGTGTCGTCTGGGTTGTGCACCGAATAGTCCGGGAACATGAGTTTTCCAATTGGGGTTTCGAAGGTGGAGGATGGGTCTGTAGAAATGGAGGTAGAGTTGGGGCCGTCGGTCATCTCATCTTCATTGTTTGACGTTGGGACGTTGATTGTGCCTTGAAGTTCGAGAATGGCGAGGCCTGTCGGGGTTTGAAGGAGGGGTGGGAGAGGGTTCGGGGGGGCTTGAGGGTTTGATGCCTTTGTTACTGATGAGCCTGAGGAAGGGTGGAGTTTAATGGAGGGCATTTTGGCTCAGGTTGGAGGGTTGAGTTGGAGGGTGAGAGTAGTGAAGAGTTAAAGTGGTGAGACGCGTCGGTTCGCGTTTTCGTCTCCGGTGGCTTATCGCAGTATCGAGACTTGGGATTTACAGTCTGAGCTATTCAACACGGTTTTACATCGTTTTTTGTACGGAAATGAGTAGATCAATTGTAATGCTATTGGCTGCTTTGGATTTTCAAAAATCAATTGCCTGGTGCAATTTGTAATGTCCATGAGCATTGAGCCGATGCGAGACAGGCCTAGCTAAGGATTCAGGGTTCTAACATAGTGAGGCGATCAGATTGAATTGGAGCCAGCCGATATTGAGCAACATAGATTGGATTGACAAGAGCGTTGGGTGAGGGCATTGAGATGCAATCTAAGGTCGAATTGCCCTCGCTGCCGCGCAACACTCACGTTGCGGAATATCATTTCATCCAGCATAGACAGAGATGAGTCTTTCCGTTGGCTCTCGCAACAAAGCTCAACTTAGACTTGACACATAGGGCATTTGTAGAACCCCACAGTAACTGAGGGTGGCGAGTGCTAGTGCTTGTGAGAAACACTTGGGATTGAAGCCTCCGCGTCATGATTGCTTGATTGGATAGATGCTGTATATGAATCAGCCCGAGTCTTGGAGTTGCCTGATCAAATACACACACCTTGAGGGGAATTGTTCAACATTTGACAGAGACAATCAGCCATGATGGATCAAGACATGCTATTCTTATAGCAAGTGTCCTCCAAATTCTGCAAGCCCTTGATAGCCTCATTGGCCATATCATCAGCAGTTCCAGTTGGACCCTGCAACTTGCCATAACGGAGATCACTCATATCCCCGACAGTCGTACTAAGCTGAGCCAAGATCCCCGCCGCCTCTCGGTCAATGGCGGAAATCTCCTGTTCAATATGGGCACTGGCAGTCTCCATTGCAGTGAGCAAACTAGCCACAGAGTGATAATCCTCCGGTGTGGCAGTCTGTGTCTGACCAAACAGATGGAGATCCATGTCGACCTCGCGCTGTTCATTATCACTCGAGGCTTCCACTCCGGTGGCAAGGCAGGCTTTGTGCAACTCTGCTTTCTGCTTGTCACTCTGCTTCATCTCAGTGTCGATATTTTCATTGACTCTATCCATGTCCTGCTCGCGGACTTGCTGGAGCTCCCGGTACAGAGTCCTGATGTGCGGGTGATTGCGCAGGCGCTTTGGAAAGAGTTCTGTGAACTTCTGGAGCGACATCACCGTCGGCAACGGTGCTGGTGACAGCAGAAAGTTGCTCAAGATTGATTCTTCTGTTGGTGCCATGATGAATGATGGATGCAATCTTCTGCAGTGTGTCACCGGGAAAACACGCGAACCACAGACCCGAATAGGATTTCACACAATGAGCAATACAAATAAATCAAGTCAATGGTATAGATTCAACAATGAAGCGTGAATGACAGTCAGCGTAGAGAGAGTTGCGATGGGCGCGTAGTTGAGCGTTCCCGCCTTTTTCTTCAAGGGGTCCGCGTGTTTCCTCTTCCTTTCCTCCTCTCGAACATCGACCTCATTCCCTTCGCTATCACCCACTTAATCCTTTTTCTCTCTCTAATCTTGAGCTGTTCTCTGGTAGGACACAAATTGTGCGCTACATATTGACTCAATTTGCACATCTTGTTCTGCAATTGTCATCGCACCTGTGCTCGTTTTGCACACGCAACTCCAAGGTCTAAAACACCCCATTTGGAAATTATCGCCATAGTAACAGTTGAATTGTTACTTTCTGTTTCTTCTCCTGTGATATTGTCACGATAGCCCTGAATCTTTTCCAAGAAGGCGAGAAGCTCGTTGTTCGTTTACGTCCAACCTGAGGGCTCAGGAACCATCGCATAGATCGCCAGCACCTTCAAGTCCCCCATTTTCTTTCATTCTCATTCATCATGGTTGTTTCTATGTACTCCAAAGATGAGAAGGTTCTCTGCTTTCATCATGACATCCTCTATGATGCTAAAATCCTGGATGTTCGCCACAAGGATCCCAACGACAAGAAAAGCGCTTTTGAGTACCAAGTCCACTACAAAGGATGGAAAAACACGTAAGTTTGACTCTATCTCATCTCAGATTCTCCTTTGATTACCCAGATATGGTCGTGGCTATCGTGGTTGTTGCGCAAGTCGTCCCTATGCGCCATGTCTGGGAGACCTTGACCTCGATCTATAACCCCTCCATCTCCTGGACAGCACCCTGCCTCAATATACAGGAAGCGTGTCTCTTGATACAACTCCATCTATGTGGCAAACTTCATCACTGAATTATCATACTGATATTGACTAGATGGGATGACTGGGTCCTAGAAGACCGTCTCCGCAAGCACACAGAAGACAACCGCGAGCTAGCCAACAACCTACGCCGCGAAGCTGAAGCATCAATTCGCCAAAAGACCACCAAGGCATCCGCAAAGAAGCGCGCCACTTCCGACCGTAGTTCTGTACGCGACAGCGAAGAACGCGGCAACTCCGTGCCGGGCCGTGGCACGAAGCGAGCTCGCGAAAATGACATTGAAAAGGCAAGAAACCAGTCAACTGAGTAAAGCTCGGATGACAAGCATGCTAGATTAATTCATACTAACAATTTCTTCAGGAAGAAAGCTTCCACATGCGACCCTCGGTCCGCATCCTGATGCCAGACAACCTCAAGTCCCTCCTAGTCGATGACTGGGAACAAGTAACCAAGAACCAATGTGTGGTCTCCCTGCCATCTAACAACCCCGTACGCCAGATCCTACACGATTGGTACGAAGAAGAGCAGCCGAAGCGAACCAGCTCGGCGGCTGACCAGGACGTCCTGGAGGAAGTCGTTGCAGGGCTCCAAGAGTATTTCGACAAGTGTCTTGACAAGATTCTTCTGTACCGTCATGAGCGCGCGCAGTACCGTGGTCTACGAAAGAAGTTTGAGGCTGCTTCTGGAGAATTGGCTAATAAGGGCCCTGTTGATGTCTACGGTGCCGAGCATTTGATTCGGTTGTTTAGTGAGTCGCGTCTTGCCTTGCTTTCCGCTTAATTGGGCGGTGTTTACTAACCTCGTTTACTTGCTGTAGGTACCATGCCTGAACTCATTGCTCAAACAAACATGGATATGCAGGCGACTAACCGTCTGCGGGAGGAGATTTCTAAGCTTGCTATGTGGTTGAGTAAACATTCGGAGAAGTATTTCACTACGCAGTATTTTGCGGCGGAGGAGACTCATTAAACAGTTCTCGTTTTTATGTTCTTGTTTCATTGTGATGTCGCGACTTTTCCCGGATTGATATCAGTTTGAATTGATTAGTTAGTGTCCAGCATTCGAATTTTTGGCTCTTTCATCAATTGGTTGAATTGTGGATGTCTTTCATTCTAGGATCGTAGGCTTGGAACTTACGTTTTGTTTGTCTCAGTGTTTAATACTCGTGGGGTGGAGGATGTAGATAGCAAACAATTAAGTGAAAGGGGGAGTTGGCAAAGTACGATATATCTGCACGAAGGAAACATTCAAAATAAAGAAGGCAATATACGTATGCTCAACTAGACATCTCAATAGAAGCTGCAAGGATGCCTCTACCACCACCACTAGCCCGAAAATCAAGACCCATTCCTTGCTCAACTATCTCGAAATCAGACACAACTCCCAATCTCATACAACTCAAAATTCGACAAGGCTACAGCCCAAGGACCAACTAAGCAACAAGCTGCCTGGCATCATCAACAGCCCACCTCGCCGCCTTCTTTAGCTCACTTTTCCATTCGGCCTCGCGCCATCTAGTCCAATTGCTTAATCCCTCAGGCGGCTGAATACTCAAAGTATCATAGCCCTGCTTGATAATACGATGAACTTCCCGTGGACTGAGGTTCTTCTTTCGGATAGAAGGCAAAGGCACAGAAGCCGGCTCATCGGGTTTGGGGCTTGCCGCGGCGGCGGCAGCAGCAGCAGCATTTGCATCACTGCCATCCGAATGGAAAAGCAGAGTGTAGAAATGGGTCGAGACAGATTGAAGTGTATCAATAGCGGCAACGGTTTGCTCAACACCCGGTTCAGCAGCCTTGGAGGCTGTACCGGTGAAAGCATACGCGACACGGAACTTCGAGATTATGGGACCGGTTTCGACGAGCTTGTAGAAGAGGTCATCGTAGGATGATGGGTCTGGGAGGAAAGTGTCGCCGCCTGAGACGCAGAAGGCGATGAGATCGGCCAAGGAGGATGTTAGGGTTTGGATCTTTGGGTTGGTTGTTAGGTCGCTCGCGTAGGTTGTGAGGAAGCGCATTAGGGAGAGGAGGGTGCGCCAGAGTTCGGACCAGTGGTATGTTAGTCTGATTTTGTTCTTTGATAAGTGGGTTAGGAGGCGGAGGGTTATTGCGATCGCGTGGCTTTCGTATTTGTTAGTTTTGTTTTGTTGAAATGCAGCGCAGGGTATAGTGGGAAAAGGTTTACCTGTAGAGATTGACATCTAGACGTCGGCGGAGGTTGTGAGTGATTGTGTCGATCATGATGTCGAATATGATTGTCGCTAGGACTCTGTCTCCGCTGACTACAGGGAGGTATGGCTGTTTCTGTCTGCAGATGCGGACCTTTCGTTTGCCATCTTCGTTGCAGATGTGTTTGCAGATTGTTGAATCCTCGACTAATATGCGCAGAGTGAATAGAGTGAGCTCGGCGTAATGTCCGACCCGAGGGGATCGATATGCATGTTGTAACAGATATGAAGTCAATGAAAGGAAGCTTGAGAACGGCGATTCATCCTCGCTTTTCTCGGCCTTTGTATGAACAAGGTGGTAGCCAAAGAGTTTGTTGGCGTTTGTGAAGTCGTATGTTGCCATCAGAACTGTTGCTTCTTGGGCAGGACTGATATCACGTTAGTCTCGTAAGTTAAGATTTGATAAGAGAACTTACAGCTCAGCAAAGATTGCTTTCGCTTCTTCCGTGGTAGGAGGATTAGCCTTTTCTCTGGCACCGGGTGCAAAGGCTCGCAATCCAAAGAATATCAATGTATTAGTCAAATTCCAGCCTTCTGGGATGTCGTCCTGTACAGCGATGTAGCCGTTACGTAGACCACCACAGGCGAGACCGACGCCCTTGGCGATCTTTTCAATGCTCGACTCGTTGACAAAGTCATCAAGTCGAAGCTGGTAGGGATTTTGGAACTCAAATTTGTTGTAATTTGCCAACAAGCCCAAAAGGAGAAATGGATCGAAGACTCGCATTGGAGTATCAGAGTCAGAGACATACTAATTGATGTCAGTGAAAAATTTCAGAATCAGGCTTTCGTATTTTTCTACCTTCATAAGGGATGGGAAAAGGTCTCTGTGCGTGAGATAGGACACCAGGCTGGTTTTATATGCCCCACTGGTCATTGCAACGGCTGTCCTGATAGCCTTGAGCCGCACGTCGACTAGCAAATAGTCAGTTATAAGTATGAATGCTTGATTGGGAAAAGTCTCACAGTTGCTGCCATTGCGGATAATACCATCTAAAACGGCTACAAAGTTGGAGATGACATGGTCCACTTCGTCGAGTCCTGCAAGAACGTTGATGACATCTGAGCTAGGATTTGTGTATTTCTTGCCCAAAATACTGGTCAGGAAAATCGTCAAGGTCTAAATCATTGAGTGAGAACGTTCCTTTAAACAGATCATGATGAACACTCACGTCCAATGCATAAGAATTCCCAGGGGCAACCCCTGTAGCTGCCTCGCGGATAGCACGAGTGAATAACAACTGAGTTTGATTCTAATTATTTAGTTAGTCGTGTTTCCCTTCATTTCAAATGAGAGCAGCTTGCCTGTAAGCTTAATATGTCATCTGGACTCAAATGGTCTAAAATGGCATGCAGTTGATTGCGGTCCGGGGGGAGCAAGAAGAACTCCCTCCAGAAACCTTCAGAAGGGTCCGAGTCCTCTCCATTCTGATTCTCAGGGCCGAGTTAGAATTGCTACTCAATCTCTGTTCTGGAGTTCTTACTTTGAAGAGGTTCTCATAGAGCTGCACAATCTTAGGCTTGAAGGACTCAGGTCGACTCTGTAGGGTCAAGGGGGAGGCTTCCATGGTTGAAACAGGAACACGGGTGATCTGCAGTTAGATCGCCAGCATCGGGAGAAACGAGGTTAATTTGCAGAGTCGAGGTCTCTTCACGGCCTTGGAGTTCATTGAGCAACCGTCTTGGGCACCAGCCACTTTGTCAGCAGATCCAGCCACATGTCCTCTCTACATTTGATACTTGGCATTTACGAGGGTTTAAAGAGGTTTGAGTGTACCATTTTAGTATGCTGATCTAGAAGTATATCGAGAAAGTCGTCATGGTCATTCTGATGCTAATCCCCGCCACTTAACTGCATTTGGAGCCCTGGGGGCCTCATGAGGGGTGAGCCAGGCACTCCGAAGAACGGAAATCCCCTGTGCCTGGTGATGACTCAGCTTCCGAAAAACGCACAGTGCTGGAGCTGTCGACTCTGAGGATCTCACAGTCGTGCGATATAAAACACGAATCAGCTGAGCCCCATACTCTCAAACCCTTGAAAGATCCTCCGGACTCCATCTGGGCTGAGTCAACCATTACAAAAAAGTCCCAGGCGAACAGTGGCGCCATTGTGTGTAGAAACATCTCAATGCTGATTGGTCGGTTCTGCGTCATGCAACTGGTTTAGGTAATCCACCCGGGGCCACGGGGGGATTCTCAAAACAGTCAGAGATTCTTCCTGCCAACTTGGAACCTTCACACACTTCCCCATTCCTCGGACACTGTATCCTATGAGTTTATAGCATCTTTTGTTGAGACTCACTCTCATTTCACATTGCTCGGAAATCATGAGCTTCCACACCATGCAGCGCTCAGTGACATCATCCGCCACACTCCTCCGATGGGCAAAGCCCTCGGCTGGACACCTGCGTTCATTCTCGTCATATGGCAACGCACACCTCTCCTCCAAGCGGGACATGCAGACCGCAACAGCGTACCGTCCTCACACCCTCCCTTCCTCGTTCCCGCCTCCCCGAAGTAGCGGTGGCGCCGACACTTCCATCTCCGCTGAATTTCCCCCCTCCGACCGGAAATCATCTCAGACTACCTTCCAGAACGGTGTTTCACCCAGTGTGAGCCTACGGGAAGGTGAAGCGCAAAAGTCGAAACCCACCTCCGCTTCCCCGAAGACTTCCCCGAAGACTTCCCCGAAACCCCGTCGGCCACTTCGGCCAAGGAAGGCAGCCATGAAACTGTCGGCGGTGGCCACTGAGCAACTCCGGAAATTGATGGCCCAGCCGGAGCCCAAATTTATTCGGGTGGGCGTTAAGAACCGAGGCTGTTCTGGCCTTGCCTACCACCTGGAGTACGTGGAAAAGCCGGGCAAGTTCGATGAAGTTGTTGAGCAGGATGGCGTCAAGGTCCTGATTGACAGCAAGGCCCTCTTCAGCATCATTGGCAGTGAAATGGACTGGCATGAAGATAAGCTGAGCCGACGCTTCGTTTTCCGCAACCCCAACATAAGTAAGTGGCCCGTGCTTCTATCCTCCCATCATTTTCAGTACTGACCCATTACTACAGAGGAAGAGTGTGGATGCGGTGAATCCTTCATGGTTTAAGCCTTCATGTTTCTTTTACGGGGGTTCTCGGCGTCTTCTTACCAGTGCATCGGATGGCGTTTTCAAAGGGGATTGGATTGCAATCACTCTTTTGTTTCAGTACATACGCTTGATACCAGTCGATACATTTCATCTTTTCATTTCTCTCGGCATTCTCTCTTTCACATTTCAGTGGCTTTGGCTTGATTCAGCTCTAACCGGGCTTTGATCATAGAGACGGGTCCCTTCTTTTTTTTTCTTTTTCCTTTGTTGCTGGACGTTCTTTGGAATACTGCTACATCAACCATTTGATATCTTGAGATATCTTCATGTACAACGCATAGATTAGTCTAAGGACAATGATGACATGTCAAATACACTTCTTGAATTCCCACCTTTATAGAGATATCCAGTAATTGTAACACATGTCCTATGGCCTCGGTCGTCCAACAAAATCATCCCATACTGTACATGAATACGTCACCTCTAGTAGATTCCTTTACTTCCAACGTCCAACTATATTTATAGCTGAAACAACAGCTTATATTGGTCTAGAAGGTGTCACATGACGAACTATCCTGGGGTCCGAGGCGCGGGAATGGGGTAATCACTGCATCTCCAACGTCACCTACGACTCACCTCCCACCACAACCACTATCTGTAGATTAGCTACATGACTTACGCTCAACCGCCATGGTGTCACCATTTCTCTCCTCCAACACAATAAACGACAAAACCACAGATCTCCTCGTAACTGTCCGCTTCTCCGCTTCAATTCCCGATCTCCAACTCGACGTCCCAGACCCAGAGACTACAACAGGCGCAGGTCTAAAGCAATTAATTCGCGTCGAGCTACCCCCAGATCTCTCCTCACACCGTCTCCGTCTTATCTATGCCGGCCGTGGTCTAGAAGATACAACGGCCCTAACAGTCTCACTGAAGCTCTCGCCATCCCCAAGCCGCAGTCCAGGCCCCGCATCAGAACCAGAAGACCAAAGCGAAGCCACAACCGAAAATGGCAAGGGCAAGCAAGCGATTCGCGATACACGACCACGACTCTACATCCACTGCTCAATAGGCGACATCGCACTCTCCGACTCGGACCTAGCAAGCGAAGCAGCAGTAGCCTCAACACACCTCCTCCAAGAAAAGAAGAAACAAGCCTCCAAAGATGCAGTCTCAACTTTATTCCCCCGCTCCAGCCAGGCCAACACCCAATCCCAGACAGAGAACCAGCAATCCGCACAAACCACGACAACCCCCGCACCACGCGGCTTCGACCGCCTCCTCAGCGCTGGATTCACCAGCGCAGAAGTCACCGCTCTGCGCTCCCAGTTCCTAGCCGTCCAATCCGTCTCCCATACACGCGATACAATGCCCACGGGGGACCAGCTACGCGATCTGGAAGATAGGTGGATGGACGAGGGTTCGACGGCAGCGGGTGTGGCGGGTGGTGGGGAGGGGATAGCTGGAGGGGATGACGATGGGAGTATTGGGGCTGGATCGCGAGGGGCCATGGATGATATGTTGTGGGGGGCTGTGATGGGGTTCTTCTGGCCTGTTGGTTGTGCTATGTGGTTGAGAAGGGAAGAGGGGGTTTGGAGCTGGAGGAAGGGGGTTGCTGTGTTTGTGGGGGTGGTTGTGAATGCTGCGTTTGGGATGATGAGGATTATGGGGTAGGACTTGGATTCAGTGGGATTGCTCTTGAGATTTGGTTTGCGTTTGCTGTTCGAGATACCCCTATTTGATGTTATTATGTTTGGTTGTACAACAGGTTTCGAGTTAGTCTTGTGACGAGCTTTATTTGGTCTAGGTGATTCATCGCAGGAAATGGGCATGAAAGAAGCAGACAAGATACGGCAAATTTGCATACATTGTCCGATACTCCTTGGCTCAGCATACGTATGCTGATGACCTGTCTGATATGGTATGGACTTGGAAATGTTGTCACTTGGATTAGGGATCGGTATGGCGGGAGACCAAGCAATGGGGCTGTATCAAGTCTCGCCGAATGTATCATACAAATGGCACATGGCAAACGGCAAAAAGGCGTCAAAAGACAGGAAAGTCTTGTATAGGAAGAAAAAGGGACATAAACATAAAAAACACCAGTATACACAACGCCAGCTCAACCCCAACGCTAATGGAATTTGCTGTAAATCACGGCGAAGATCAAAAGCACCAGAACAGTAATGATCGCAATAGTAATCATCCGATTCGTAGCCATCCTGAAATAGAAAGAGGTGTCAGCAAAACATACGGCAAATCTACCAGAGCGAGGGAACAGGGGAGTCAGTACCTACGGGCCATGCCCCTCAAAGTCTTGATACTAGTATCAACATAACCCTCACTTTGCTGGAGATTGTTCCGAGCATTGGTGATCTGCTCGCGCTGCTCGTACAGCGTGCCGAGCGTGCCGCGCGCAACATCCTCCGTGTCAAGCGCCATACGCTGACTCTGCTGCAAGCGGGCAGAGCTGCGCTCCAGCCTGTCCGTGCCGGACAGCAACTGCTGTCTTTGTTCGAGCTGCTCATCCTGCGGCTCGTCGGTGTAGCGATCTCCAAAGAGGGCCTGTCGATCATCTGAGAGGGACTTGAGCTTGCGCTTGACTTCGTCGATGTCTGTTGAGTAGTTGCGGAAGCGGACGTTGACTTTTGACCGGGCTGAGGAGGGGATGTTCTGCTTCTCCATGCGTAGTTGATCGAGCTACGGGGAGGGGAGCGGGTTGATTAGCTTTCCTGTCTTCTCTTTTTGCCTTCTGGGACTTGGTGTCTTGTGGCGCATCGGTGGCTTTTTCGGGGTATGTCTACTCACCAGCTCTGTCGCTTCGTCGAGGACTTGCTCTGCGCTGCGAATTGCGGATTTTCGTTGCTCGCCGCTTGCCTCGGCGATCTGGTCCAGCTTCTGGTTCAGGTCGGCCTGCACAAGCTTCAGCTCGTTCTCGTAGCTGGCAAACATCTCCGAGCCGGCGTCTGTGTCCATGTTGTTGGCCATAATGATTGTGAGGTAGGTGTCGGGGGAGTCAAGGTGTCAACGTGGTTGATGTTGACCAAGGCTCCACCTTTATCTGGGGGGCGGGTGACTTTCAAGAGCGCTGAGTGGCGGTTCGCTCAAACTTGCCAAGACCACACCCGGAGATAACGCCGTGGATGGTCTTAAGGGAAGCAAAAGAACTCAGGTTGAGGAAGTATGCGATATCATTACTTGGGACAGGAACGGGGTGGTGATGCTGGGTTACACGTGATCCCGATTTAGGTTGCATCCGAATGAACTCTACTCTCCTCTACAGTATACGTATTCGTAGTAATCTTATACCTAATAGCCCTGGAGTCGATCAAGCAATCCGCTGACTCGGAAGCAGCGAAGGTGGGAATCTAGGGTTCGCTGTCTATGGATTGGCTCAGGGAAGGACACGAGTAAAAATGAAATTTGATACATAGCATTAGCGTAAACCAGGCCCACAAAACAATTCGCCTTTTCAATAAATATCCAACATACCCCAATGGTATACAAGATCATAGCACTTCAAATTTGATAGCCAATCATGACAGGAAGTTTTCGCTATCCTTGCCGACAATGATTGCGCTTCGCTTGGCATCCAAGAAGAGGTCCTCGCACTCAGCAACGTCGGCTTCTTCGATGCCACCGGGGCGGCCGTTGACGCGCGCAAGAATGCTGGCAGGGGTCAGAAGCTGCAAGGCGTAGCGCAGACTGACCTTGCTGCCATGCTCGGAGACCTTGTTCAGGGCAGGTTCGGTGATGTTCAGACCCTCAATCTTGGCGCGCAGGCGGATGATAGTCTTGATCTCATCGGGGCTGTAGGGGTTGGTGGGGATGATAAGGAGGCGGGCAAGGAGATCGGGAGGAATGCCGTGGGCGGCGCTGATATCGTTGGTGCCACGGATGACTGTGTGGCCGCGGTTGGAGGCGAGAATGACGATCGGGGAGATGGTCGATTCGAGGGCACGGTTCAGATATGTGAAGCACTCAATGTCGAGCATGTGAACCTGAAAGTGTTGTTAGCTACAAGTCACCTCCAGTGAAAGACATTGCCTTACCTCGTCAATGAACAAAACACCAGGAACCAACTCGGCAACGCCCTGATCAATGTATCGGTTGACAACCTTGTTGATTTCCTGGCGCAGCTTGTCCGTGATTTCCGTCTTCTTGGGCTTCATCAGTTGACCCATCATGCTCATCACATCCTGGCCACCCTGTGGCCGGGCGTTGGCCATATCGAGATCGTGGAGTGTCACATCCTGGACAATCTCCTTCTTCTTGTGGACCTCGCCCTTGGGGACGGGCACATACTCCTCTGCCTCGAGATCAAATTCTGTCGCATAGGCGTCAGATCGGCCGACACGCTTGCAAGCGCCAGTGTTGGCTTCAATATAAATGACGTCTCCGACAGTAACACGCTCCTTCTGAATAGCCTCGTAGATGCTAGGATCCAGGCGAAGCTTCTTGCTTCCCTTGGCAGACTTCAGGCCGATAACCAGATGGCTAATTGTGCGTCCGTATCCACCCAGAGGGTTCTCGGTCTCTTCGGGGGTAAGTTCTGTCACTTCACCCTCGTACACTTCCTTGGTTTCGCGAACACGGAGACCTATCATAGGTTAGCCTGACATTCTATAATCGCTTGATTGGTTTTCGCATTCGTACCGATAGCTCTCCGGAAGTTTTCCATCAATGCCTCGGTCTTCTTGACCTCTGCGGAGTAGATTTCGCTGCCGACGATGGGACAGAATGGAACCTTGGTTCCCAGCTCCTGCGATACAGCAAGAGCCAGAGCAGTCTTTCCGGTGCCGGGGCCACCAGCAAGCAGAACAGCACGTCCAGCCATCTTCCTCGCCTTGATCAAGTCCACCACAATACCGCATGCCTATATCGATCGATGGAGTTAGCTATCTTTCCTGTCCCAAGCCAATAGATCCGGTGTTGCTTCATTTACCTCACGGGCAGCTGCTTGTCCGACAAATCCATCTGCGGTTGTCTCCGAAGTGCCATCAGAGCGCAATCCAAGGCCCCGAATGTGTGTATGCGCTGCGGTTCTGTTCTCGCGCGAGTTGCCCTTGACTTCACTGATCTGGACCATGATTGCGAGACGGTGTAGCCGCGAGGAGCCACTTGTTTGAGCGGAGGTTAAGTCAATGGGTTGGAAAACCAAAGCGAAGCGTAAAACAAAGCTTTAAAGAAACAAGACAGATAGAAGAGGGAGGTAACGCGATGAATGTCAACGGGACATGCTTCTGGCCGAAATTCGCGAGCAAAGGGATCGTCAAATGAGAAGGCCGCACCCAAGGCGGTGAGCCTCCCCAAATTCTTCCCTGGCATCAATTGGCTCTTGTTGTTCAACGACTCATTGCACTCTCGACGCTGCAGAGTTCAATTTCAATCACAATGGCAGGCCTGTACGCAAGATCTGCCATGGTGGCCCCCTTCTCCCTCGCCGCGGCCTTCCGAAGCCTGTCCATCGCCGCTCCAAAGCGAGCTCTCTCAACGGCTCCGGCTACGCGATCAGTCTTCAAACTGCCTGAAGATGCTCCAGTCTACCCCTACGCTCCCAACCGGTGGTACAAGCAGTCCAACAGCGGTCTCTACGGTGGATCCATGATCCGATTCGGTAACAAGATCTCCAAGGGCCGCAACGAGGGCAAGACCCGACGAAGCTGGAAGCCCAACGTTCGCCGGAAGAAGATTCACAGCAAAGCACTCGGCGAAGATCTGTTCATTAAAGTCACCAAACGCGCATTGCGCTCAATCCAGAAGTCAGGTGGTCTAGACAGGTATCTGCTTTCTGATCGCCCGCGACGTCTCAAGGAGCTGGGTCCGTTCGGTTGGAACCTCCGATACCAGGTCATGCAGACGCCATCCATCCAGGCACGCCTCAAGTGTCAGCGTATTAAACTCAACATTCCCAAGCCTCCCACTTTCGAACAATTCCTCGACAGCAAGAAGAATGAAATGAAGCAGAAGATGGAGGACTTGGATATTGATGCCCTGACCAAGCCTCGTCCTTTCGGTCGCCAGTTGAACAGTGCTCGCAGGAAGGTGTAAGCGAAATGAGACAATTGAGTTGTTTCCTCGCGTGTCAGGGGATGAATAGGCGCTTGTATCATTATCCTAAAGAGCGGTGGGTGGTTTCTTGAGCACCACAAATTTTGTCATCTTCGCCCTGTTCATTTCAGAAAATGATGGTGAGAATGATCTCACCTGGGTGCAGTGTTTTTTTTACTATTTGAATTTGCATATTGGGTCTTCTATGTACTTATACTCCAATCTTACATCGTGTTTACTATTAAGACTTTGGCTCGGCTCCAGGCCATACCTAATGCTGATTTTGTATTAACCAACTTTGGGCGAATTGCTTCTCTGCAGGTCTGCAAGTGTCCATCAAAACTCAGCAGACCCAAAAGAGAAGAGGAAACATCAAAGTCTCATCATCAACCCCAAACCCACCCCCAATTCCATCCTCAAAGGAATCAAAGCCTGGGAAATCCACCGCGAGAGTTGCAGCATGACCAGACCCTCGGAAAAAAGGACATTCAATAGAACACAAATGATCCCCCAACCCAGCAGACAAGACCGGATGATGCGGATCGGCAAACCCACCAGGGAAATCCTCCGTAACAATCTCATGGATCATGCGCATAACCCCCCGATGCATAATTATAGAGGCGAGCAACGGTATCTGGGACTGGACATAAGAAGCAGCCTCCCCCGAGATCCGTCTCGGTAGATCATCAACGACCAGTCCGCAGACAGGTATTTCTCGAGCTAACGTATCAAACACGTCACGCAGCGGCTCAGCTTGAATCCATCTTTCAGCAAGAATGGCTAGCGCCGTTGAACACGCTCGTAGTGCTTCGGGGACTTCGCGTGATTTATAGGCCGGTGTCTGGTGTTGGGGTGGTGTTGCCCAGAAACAGTAGAGAAGTGTTATTCCTACAGCAACTTGGCTAAGGAGCTGGTTAGATGTGTTAAGTTAGTCAATGTAACTCATATAAGACAAAACAGGTAATCTCAAGCGTATCTACATACCCCAGGCCATAATTGAGCGGTCTGTCGATCTTTTTGAAATGTTCTGAACGTCATAGCAATTTGAACACAAGCCGGGACGGAACGGTCTCCAAAGCCGTTACAGACATTTTCTTTGGTGGGCTGGTGAAGGAGGAGGATGGTATAGTTGTATGCCATGCCGACCCATCGGTCACTCGTGTAGCTTTTCGATGCCACGTCGCTCAGCAGACGGAGTTGTGATCTCCATGTGTCTAATTCTCCTAGCATGTGCTCTCGCCATGTTGTCGAGGCGTTTATCTCTTCGAAGTCTGATCGCAGTAAGGTACTTAAGATGCGGGATTGGATACGCCTGCACCGGAATAGATGTAGTGCGGGCGAGACATGGGTTTTTTGGGATGGTGTTTCTATTCTGATACGGCTGTCGTCTGAGCTATCGCGGTGAAGGTCTGCGTCTCCGACGTTTGAGAAGAGCTATCGTTGTCAACTTTTTGCACGAGCGGTGCAGGGTAAAATTATGACGGGCTTACCTCCACGCTAATATGCTCGTCGATGATATTGTTTGGGATATGATAGATCCAGCTGATTAATCGATCCAGAGCATATGCAGACCAGAATACTCGGCGGCGGGTTTGGACCTCCAACGAGAAAGCAGGATTCGGTCCTTTTGGCTCACTCTCGGCTAGATGAAGCTGGGCCATGACACAGTACCTCATCGTTGCGGATATCATGGTGATAATCATTTGTGATGAGGGCGAGTGAAGTGCATGCAATGTTAAAAGTAGGTATGCTTGAGCATGTAAGATGGGATCAGGCTCTGCGAATACGTAGCCAAGATATTCCATGGCAGTGTTATAAAGAGACTACATTTTTAGGTCTTGTTCTTTGTCCATTAGATATAGCAAGAGTTGTACTAACCTGAGATGAGGCGATGTCACTTTCAGAGACCCGAGGCGTCAAGAGTAGGGCAACAGCATGCACCTTAGAGGTTCAAATATTAGTATAGTTGATGGAAATTCTGGAAAGAAGCTCAACACAACATACCATGGTAACGAAATAGTCCTTCCATAGACCATGATGGCGTCTAGCCCGATTCAGATGTGACTGAGCCTTCCACGATTCATACCAGCTGAGGAATGTATCGAGATGAAGGAAAGGATATCGTGGATTGACTCTCTCAAGATAAATTTGAACCAAACGATCAGATATCTCCTTTGAAAGGCTAAGTGGACGATCTGATTGGGATATCTGGGTTATGAACGGAGATGATATGCTGGTGGTTGGTGTTTCAGTATGTGGAGATATACAAGAACCAGACTTCGCCAAAGTGGCTATTATACCAATCAACAAGCTTGGGTGTCCGCATTGGCCTTGAGCGTCGGGTAATGCATCTCTGGAATTCGATTCTGGTAGTGGCTGTGTCTGGTTTGGTGTGGTAGATACTGAAGGAACCTGGGCTACTTGTGGATTTGAAGATGACCCATGCTGGGACGAATCGTCATGTAGCCGTCGTCTTGAAGTGCGAGAATCAATGTCTGATTCATTCTCTGAAATTGCACGCTCGAATGTTCTCTTGTTTGACCAAAGTCCATCGTTCCTTGGGCGGGAAGTATCCGGTGCTGTTTCTTGTCGGATGACCGGCGTAATATGCTCTCTCTGTCCTACTTGGGACTCAAGGTCTATAATCCTCTCCTCGAGTGCTCTAGCATATCTATAACCAGATTAGTATTCAATTCCGCACGAGACTGATATATCTTACTTGGCACTGACACGAGCCCTTTGTGTGACCGGTTCACTTGATACACATTCTATATGATATCAGCCCATGACCAATCTGTGCTGTATAGTATAGAATCACCTTTATTGGCCGTTGTGCAGTTATCACAGGGTCTATTATCGGTGCACTGAACAGGTTAGTCTGCAATCAATGATAGCATGCGGCAGTTAAATAAGCTTACTTTTTGCTTTCGAGAGCGACACCTCTGACACGCCAATGGTTTATGCCTCTTGGGCGAATGATCTCCCTCCATCGGCACTTATCGGCATTGAAGTATAAGTCATCCATCGGAGTTTGACGTCCGACTTTTTATGGGTCCACGTGACTATGACTCTTCACGAACTATATGGAAACGACGACCAACTACTTTGTTCTTTCCAACTCCCTCTCTCAGATATTTGGTGTCCCAATATAACAGAGCGCTCTACTCAAGCATCTAAACTCCATGTTCAAGTGCCAAGAGTAAAGTGCCTAGTATATTTCCGGAAGCCTAAGGTCCGTCGGGGGTTAGAGGGTCCGAAAAGATCCCCGGATTAAGTACTTAACCAACGATAGAATATTTTTGCCTCTTAGTCTCCTCATTCTAAATCTTGACTCTTAATATCATCACACAATGCCACAGAAGATCACTGTCGCAGTGGCGCAATCCCGCACCCTCTCGACACTAGAGGCCACTCTGAACGCATTGAAGCAAGTGACTCAACACGCCGCTTCCAAGGGAGTACACCTCCTCCTCTTCCCAGAGGCCTACTTAGGTGGATATCCACGTACCTGTGACTTTGGCACAGCGGTAGGTGCCCGTGAATCGTATGGTCGCGATCAGTTCCTGGAATATTTCCGCTCTGCAGTTGACCTTGGCGACACGCCTACGGGAGCTGGAGATGAGTGGGTTGAGCGGAAACTGCCCGTGGCAAAAGGACGGGATCATCGGGGTGATGGAACTCGAGAGTTTCTGGAGAAGGTGGCCCGCGAAACTGGAGTGTTCATTACTACTGGATTGATTGAACGAGCAGGGGGAAGTTTGTACTGTTCCGCTTTGTATGTCGATCCCGTGCGGGGCGTGTTGGGGAAGAGAAGAAAGGTGATGCCGGTATGTGAAATCCTTCCCTTCCTGTTTTTTGAGGGAGATTGGGGGATCAAGCTGATGCTGACTTGAAACTGGAAAAGACTGCCTCGGAGCGTCTTATTTGGGCACAGGGCTCACCTTCAACGCTCAAGGCTATTACTACGGAGCTGAATGGGGTCAAACTTACCATTGCGGCTGCTATTTGCTGGGAAAGCTTCATGCCCATGCTTCGGCAAAGTCTCTATTCGCAGAATGTGAATATCTATCTTGCACCCACGGCTGATAGTCGTGATACTTGGCTCCCGCTTCTGCGTACGATTGGTGGCGAAGGCCGGACCTTTGTGCTGTCTTGCAACCAGTGCGTGCGCTATAACGAGCTTCCTTCGTGGATTATCCAGAGTAATGCTTCCAAGGGTGAGGAATGCCTATTTCCCTGATCATTTGCAAACTCTGACTGTGTCTAGAAACCTCCGATCACTATATTTCGCGCGGTGGGTCTTGTATCGTCGGACCCCTCGGTGAAGTCGTGGCCGAGCCCATCTGGGAGGTCTCCACTGATGACGATGCTTCAAAAATTGAAGATGGACTGGTGATTTCGGAGATTGATCTGGAGGATTGTGAGCGAGGTAGACTGGATCTTGATGTCGCGGGAAGTTATTCGCGAAATGAGTTCAAGTTGTCTGTGGAGGGATTGGATCTGAATCCTCCTCCGTTTTAGTGTGGGGCAAGAGCCTCTTGAGGCATGCAATAGTCATACTCGTGGTTTGAGATAGACAATGCTTGTATATGAATACTCTATGTTCAACAGACTAGCCAGTTGAAATATTGATGCCATTTTAAAAAATATCGGTTGCAAAAGTAAAGAGTTCATAGTATACATGATCAGAGACGGGGTGGATATATATACATCGACATAGGTGCACACTTTATACTTTATTCGACTAACAATAAAACCAATATTACCGGATTGGATTCCGAGCACAAAGATAACCCAAATAATAAGCCAATCAATCATTTCCCCGGATTCAATTATTCTCTGGATGCAGATAGAACCCCGTTGGAATGCGAGTGACGCATTCGGATGGAAGCTCGGAGCGGGATCGACCTCGGGATGATCTCCACCCTTCTTCTTCACACTCCAACACCTCCAATTCAAGTCAATATTATTATGATTTGAACCTGGGACGTGAAGTCTACTCTTCGAGCCTGGCAAGGAGAATGCAATTCGCCGTACCTCCGCGGAGGAGTCCGCTCCCAATCGCGCGATCATCGCGAGTACAGCCCTACCGAAGAAAGCAGCTCAAGACAATCGCCATCATCGGCTTCGGTCTCCTCTCCCTCTTCTACCTGTTACACCATTTCTTCTCCTCATACTCGACATCTCCCGCGGTATCAGGCACCTCAGGCGTTGTCATCGTCACTGTACTTGATCGCAAACAGTTTAGTGAGAGCTATGTGAAGAAGATCATCGCAAATCGGGAAGACTATGCAAAGCGCCATGGTAAGTATTCCTTTGATTCATGTTCCACCTCCAAGAACACAACCAACACCGAAAAATACCCCAAAACTAACTCCACACCACACAGGGTATACAACCTTCTTCGCCAACACAGCCGACTACACCGAAGCAATCGGCGACGCCCCCCAAAGCTGGGCCATAGTCCCCGCTGTGCGCCACGCCCTAGCAACACACCCCAAAGCAGCATACATCTTCCACCTCAGCCCACACTCACTAATCATGAACCCGAGCAAATCCCTCAAATCCCTCATCTTCGAGAAAGGCCGACTAGAATCACTCATGTTGAAGGATACACCTATCGTCCCACCCGATAGTATCATCAAGACATTCACTCACCTCCAAGAGAAAGATGTGGATCTGATCCTCACGCAAGACAAGGAAGACCTCAATCCTGGCAGCTTCATTTTGAGGAATGGAGAGTTTGCACGCTTCTTCCTTGATATTTGGTTCGATCCATTGTATCGCAATTATAATTTTGCCAAGGCTGAGGTTCATGGTTTGGTATGTTCTTTTTGTCTCTGTGTTGGGGCACTGTTGACTGACCCGAGCTTGCTATTTAGGATCACATCATGCAATGGCATCCGACTGTTCTTGCGCGCACGGCCTTGATACCCCAGCGTGTGTTAAGCTCTTATGGAAAGGATTCCTTGGCCGCATCTTTGGATGGGGTTTATCAGGATGGTGATCTTGTTGTTCAGTTCCAGGGCTGTGAGGATGTTGAAAGTGGTCGTGACTGTACGTCGGAATTCGAGCCCTACTTTAAGGTATGGCTGAAGAAAGTCAAGAGCGACTAATTGTTTGGACTTGTGCTTGCTTGCATGATGGAATATGGGTGGCGTTGGGATGGGATGGGGGATTGTATTGACAAACTAGATTGTTTGATTGTTTGATTGTTTGCTTGTAGGATTGGCGTTTTGTGTGTGATTTTCTTGTATAATGTTCCGGGTCTATCGGCGTTTGGTCGAGGTCTTCAACATATCGCGGTTGTCTTACTTTTACATTGCATCTGTTCGAATGGAACACTATTATCATTTTCACTATTTGCTATGTGTTTTATTTTAAAGTAATACATTGCTTGATATTATCAGCAATTGAAGATATATCTTTTTTTCTCGTGACAATCGACATCGATCGATAGCCGGCTCGAGAGATGAGCGTCTCTCAAGCTCTCTGCTGTGGTCACCCACAACATCAACTCAACACTTCATGTCAATGTCAATGCCAATCCAGAAATTGGCCATCCAACGTTGGAAGTCATTTAAAGAAGGCCAGGCAAGAGAACAGTGCGCTTCTTCTTATACTTGTCACCAAACTCCTTGCGATACCGCTTCTCCTTCTTCCAAGCCCAGCTCCACATCTGCAAGCCACCAATCAAAATAAAGAACAACACACTCCAGTTGCACTGACTGACGAGGTAAACACCAAACCAAGCCATAATTTCAAAGAAGTAGTTAGGGCAAGTAACCCAGTTGAACCCGAACCCAGAAGGAATACCACGCTCGGTAGTTCCCGCGCGGCGAAGGTTCCGCAAGATCAAGTGCGCATTCAAATTAGCAAGCTGACTGAACGAGAACAGACCCAGACCGGCATAGACAAGGGCATCGTTGGGCGCATCAGTCGCAGCCGACGAGTCTGGGCGGAAGACCCAGTAGGCGATGTTGAAGCCGGCCAGGGCCCAGTAGTGGGCACTGTTCTTGACGATGTTGCGGGCGGGCATGGTTGCGTTGCTGAAGCGATGGACGAAGATGGTTTCAAACTCGCGCTTGAGGAAGTGCGCGGTCAGGAGGGCGCAGACGAGGAGTTGCACGTCTGTTGGCTCCGGGAGGGGCTTGTCATAGTTGAAGTATAGGTAAGAGCGGAGGGGGAACAGGAAGAGAGCGGGGATCAGGAGGGGGCCTAGGTATTCGATGATGAAGACTGTGCGCCAGGCGATCTGGGGACCTGATTAAATGACGTGGGTTAGTTTTTCCTGTTGTTGAGTCTTTGGGGTAGGGGGGGGGGTTGATCTCTACTCGGAGACCGCGAGGTATGGGAAGTGTGGAAACGCACCGAGATCCTTGACATGGATAACGCTGGAGTTGCGCAGGCCCGTCTCGTCAATGGTTGTACCAATCGAGTTTGGTACCACGCTGCGGTCGCTACCCTTGGTGATTCTCATGCGGTGGATGGAGCATCCGGAGGCTGCGGAGAGCGCAGTGTGCAGTTCCTCTGTCGAGGCATTGAGGCTGATCTCGACCTCCTTGGGGAGTTTGCGGATGGGCTTGCCTGTCTCAAGAATTAGCCGTGTGCTCTGCGCGGTCTCGTGTTTTGAGAGCTTTCAAAAATAAATAGGAGCTATCTTTCCGTACCCCTTGGCTCAACGATGAGCGTGATGTTCGACATGACGGGTGACTTTGTCCAAGCTTTTGCAAAGCAAGGCTTAATTATGAGGATCAAGTCAAGTGAACTTGTTGAGGTTGCAGTCGGACTGGGAATTGTTCAGTCCCAACATACACGACCTCGGCTCCCGTCACGTGCTGGTGCCTGAGGCCACAAGGCCCCTGGGTCTTGGCGGATGACTAAAGACCTGCGGACTCCGACCTGGGCAGCCCTGGAGAACTGCCATTGCCAGCACTGGGACTGTCAGCTGAGAACAGGACCTCGGGAGGACTCTTTGTCTTGTCACAGAACTACTACTTGGTTCCTATTTTCCATTAGCCTTTTCAATCACGGAGCACGAGCAACATGCGACGGAAATAAGTACTTCAGATGGGGGCAGGTCTCTTTTTTTCCCCAAGGTTAGAGGCTCCCGAGGTCGTCAGCTGGCCCCCTAAGGCCATCTACGGGGGCAATGGCAGTGCACAGCTGAAGACTAGTCCAACGGCCAACTCCCAACAAATCAGAATCCAATGATATCAAGCAAAAGCCCCGCTGGGTCTCAGCTTGAACGGTTAGTTCGGCCGACATCGCCAATCAACGCCTCATCCGTGACAATTCCTGGTCTTTTCCAATCAAATCTAGTCTGACTGTAATTATACACACCTTTTTTTTGTTTCTCTTCTTTTCCACCCTAAGGCACTAGCTATCCTGCGGAGCCGAGACTCATGCATCGCATATCTCCGGTTCGTTTAGCCGTTGTCAACACTCCAATCACATAGTTCCAATATCTGACCCAAGAAAAAAACCACTACGCCCTCGTGTTGGGGGCCGACTATGGCTCGTGAATACCAATAGGGATCTGACAGGGGCATATAGTTCACGAATCAGCGATGTCTCTCCTTGCTCTCTGGTGGGGCGTTCGTCTGTCATCTCAGAGTTCGAATACGCTAAGAATGACCATGGAGACACACGGCTGGAAGGAAATTCAGCCGTACTGCTCGGCTGATGGGCTTATTACTCCGCGTTGCTTTATATTCAATCCCATTCCCCCCAAGGCGTCGCATGATGTTTTGATGCTCTACTTCTTCTCCTACCTCTTGTTTTGTCTGTCGGTGGTGCTCTTATTTTGCTGCCTCTTTCCCGTGTACATCATTGCGACGCTACCTAAGTAGTTCCTCCCCCGACTTGTTCTAGTCTCAGGTGTCTGGTAGGCTTCCCTCTCTCTTAGCTCTTCTCCTTTGCACCCGGTGCATCCCATGGGATTGCTTCTCTTCTTTCTTTCTTGAACCCGGCGACTTGCTACAACCATACCGTGGCCAGCATAAGCTAGTCTGCGTTGCGCTTCACACCCTCATTGAACCCTTCCCCCCGCTAACAGATTGAAGTTGCCACCTACCCTACTTGCACTTTCTTTGTGTGCCCTGTACCATATTGCCTCAATTCACAATGGGCGAGAAAGACTCTGCCAATGGCAGCAAGATTGCCCAGGTGGAGCAAGTTGTGGCCGCTGCCTTGAGGCCATTGCCTACTCAGACTGGCGACGGTAGCTACATCCAAGCGCCAACCGTGACTGGTCTTGCCAAGGACCTGCTTCATTTTGACCTGAAAGATGCCAAAACCCTGGCCGAGGTCGCCAAAACAGCCGTCACCGGTGAGGCCGTCAATGATCGAGACTACATCATGGAGCGTGTCATTCAGGTTTGTCTACTCGCAGGAACTCGATTTGAATAATCTAACCACCGTACAGCTTGCTGCTGGATTACCTGCAACATCTAAGAATGGCAAGGAGCTGACCAACACTTTTCTGAACCAACTGTGGGGAGATCTGGAACACCCGCCAATTTCGTGAGTTGATAAAACTGGACCAGATGGTTCTAAGTACTGATCATTCATAGCTATCTTGGCCGTGAATCTGCCTACCGCAAAGCTGATGGATCTGGAAACGTATGATCTACCTATCTCGAGCCTCGTGAACCCAGCTTACCTGACCTAGAATCCCTTCTGGCCCCAAATTGGAGCCGCTAATACCAACTATGCCCGGTCTGTTCGACCAAAGACAATGCAGCCTGCCGCTCTTCCAGAGCCAGAGGCTCTATTTGATAGCCTCTTGGCACGCAAGGAGTTCAAAGAACACCCGAACAAGATTTCGAGTGTGTTGTTCTATCTTGCTTCTATCATTATCCACGGTATGTAGTATTGATCCGTTAAGGATGAATAGTGAAGCTGACAGCAACAAGATCTGTTCCAGACCGACCCCAGGGATCAAACCAAGTCACTTTGTTCCTCATACCTTGACCTCGCTCCCCTCTATGGAAATAACCAGCAGGAGCAAGATGCAGTCAGAACTTTCCAAGACGGAAAGTTGAAGCCGGATTGCTTTTCTACAAAGCGTATCTTGGGATTCCCACCTGGTGTTGGTGTCATGCTGATTATGTTCAACCGTTTCCACAACTCTGTTGCTACACAATTGGCTGCTATCAATGAAGGTGGTCGGTTCACGAAGCCAGATGTGTCCAATAGTCAAGCCCTTGCTACTTGGGAGAACGATCTTTTCCAGACAGCACGCCTGGTCACTGGTGGACTTTATGTTAACATCATTCTAAAGGATTATGTCCGCACCATTCTTAATGTCAACCGAACTGACAGTGTGTGGAGTCTGGACCCTCGTGCAGATATCAAGGATAGCTTGCTCGGTCAAGCTGCTGCCGAGGCCACTGGAAACCAGTCATCGGCCGAATTTAATTTGGTTTATCGCTGGCACTCCTGCATCTCGGCCCGTGACCAGAAATGGTCTGAGGACATGTACAAAGAGTTATTCCAATGTCAGGATCCAACTTCCATCACTATGCAGCAATTTACCGGAGGTCTCAGACAATGGGAGTCAAAGCTTCCGGCTGATCCCCACGAACGCCCTTTTGCTGGCCTGAAACGCCAAGCAAATGGATCATTTGACGATAATGATCTGGTCAAAATCTTCCAGGAGAGTGTTGAAGATCCTGCTGGAGCCTTCGGCTCTCTCAATGTTCCCGAAGTTTTCAGAAACATTGAGGTCCTTGGTATCAAACAAGCCCGCTCCTGGAACCTGGCTACCCTGAATGAGTTCCGCCAATACTTCAATTTGGCTCCTTACCAGAGCTTCGAAGAGATCAACTCGGACCCGTACATTGCTGATCAACTTAGACACTTCTACGACCACCCTGATCAAGTCGAGCTGTACCCAGGACTTATCGTCGAAGAAACCAAGCAGGCCATGGCTCCGGGCAGCGGTCTATGCACCAACTTTACGACCTCCAGGGCCATTCTTTCGGATGCGGTTGCTCTTGTTCGTGGCGATCGATTCTACACTGTGGACTTTACCCCGAAGCATCTTACAAACTGGGCTTTCAACGAGATCAGTAATGACGACTCCATTGACGGCGGCCAAGTCTTCTACAAGCTGGCCTTGAAGGCGTTCCCCAACCATTTCCGGGGTGACTCGGTCTACGCCCACTTCCCCATGGTTGTGCCTGATGAGAACCACAAAATTCTGAGCAACCTTGGCACAGTGAAGTCCTACAGCTTCGACCGGCCTTTCTACAAGGCCCCGGCTCTGTTCATCAACTCTCACAGTGCCTGTGAAAACATAATCAAGGACCAAGAGAATTTCAAGGTCGTATGGGGTGATAAAATCCAATTCCTGATGGAGAACAGTGGCCGTCCTTATGGTCGGGCCTTTGCCTTGTCGGGCGATCTCCCTCCCAATGCAAGCTCGCGGAAGATGCTTACCGCTGCTTTGTACCGGGACAAGTGGGAATCTGAAGTGCGATCCTTCTATGAGGATATCACTCTGAAACTTCTAGAGCGCAATTCATACAAGGTCGCTGGAGTCAACCAAGTTGATATCGTCCGCGATGTTGCCAACCTTGCTCAAGTCAACTTCTGTTCCAGCGTATTTTCATTGTCTCTGAAGACTGAGTCTAACCCACGAGGTGTGTTCAGCGAGCAGGAACTGTACCAGATTCTGGCTGTGATTTTTGCCTCTATCTTCTACGATGTCGATGTCTCAAAGTCTTTCCAGCTTTGCCAGACTGCTCGCAAGGTTGCGCAGCAGCTGGGTGAATTGACGTTGGCGAACGTTGAAGTTGTCTCCAAGAGTGGATTTATCTCCGCTGTGGTTAGCCGTCTTCACCGTCATGATATTCTGAGTGAATATGGCGTTCACATGATCCAGCGCTTGCTTGACAGCGGTTTGCCAGTCAAGGACGTTGTGTGGTCGCATATTCTCCCCACTGCTGGTGCATTGGTTGCCAACCAGGGCCAGCTTTTCTCCCAGTGTCTTGACTACTATCTCTCTGACGAAGCAGCTGAACACCTGCTTGAGATCCAGCGCTTGTCCCGAGAGGACACACCCGAGGCTGATGAGATTCTCGTGCGATAGTAAGTTGTCCATTCTTTCATCCTAATGATAGCCAATACTGACTGCATCCAGCTTCATGGAAGGTGCTAGACTGCGTTGCTCTGTCGCCTTGCCTCGAGTTGTGTCCAAGCCAACCACCGTGGAGGACAATGGCCAGTTCGTCAACCTGAAGGCTGGTCAGGAGGTCATCTGTAACTTAGTAAGTCCTTGCCGTCTCCCTGATTGAACGCCCCTCCATGTCAGCATTCGGATCTAACGGATTTCCAACTCATAGGTTGTTGCAGGCCGTGACCCTGTCGCTTTCCCCGACCCCGACAAGGTCCGTCTTGATCGTGACATGAGCTTGTACACTCACTTTGGCTTTGGTCCTCACCAATGCATCGGGGTTAGGATGTGTCCCATTGCGATGTCTACCATGCTCAAGGTTCTAGGCAAGCTGGATAACCTCCGCCGTGCCCCTGGCCAACAAGGTCACCTGAAGAGACTCGATGGCCTTGGTGGAATCGCCATGTACATGGATGCTCAGCACAGTAGCTTCTCTCCGTTCCCCATGACCATGAAGATCCAGTGGGACGGAAATCTGCCCGCCAGACGTGAGTAAAGGGGACTGAGTTGAGGAATTTGCGTACGGCGATGGTGTTTATCTGCATGATATGATGTATTTCTTTTCCCGACGTTATTTTAGCCTGCGTTTGGCAGAGAGTCTTCTCAAAATTGATACCTATTTGAATTATCAAAGCCTTGCTGGATCCAAGTAAAAGATGAAAAAAATTGGAACATTGACATCATATGTAAAACAAGACCCTCAGGCACGAGAAGTGTTTGCCTCAGGCCCAGCGGGGGAAATCAGCCAGAGCCGCCCTTCCATCTGCCGGTCCAGCTTCAATCTTCCCTTTGGTCTTCCTTTCTCTTCTCTTCTATCTTCACCCTTTCCTCTTGACCTCCACCTTGGATATCCCCTCTGCGTCAGAACTTCAGGGCCGAACGACCTGCACCCGTTTTCCCTGGCAGCTTTGACCAACCGATATCTCATCCTTCAGCTCTCATCTCTCAGATTTGAGCTCTCTCTAATTCGCCAGCTCCCCCACGATTGAATAATAACTTCAACCCAGACTTTCGCCGATTGGAATCCTTTACCTGACCGAATATTGACCCGTGGGTCTTTGCGTTGATTGGATTTGCTTTTCGTTGAGGCAGACCAGCACCAAAAACGTCATCAGGCATTCTCGCGCTTTCTCCGCGACACTGGTCTTCACGACCTTCCCACCCCACTTCCTAGGGGATAAGCCTCCTGGAATTTCAACACTTCCTCATGTGTGACTGTTGATTCGATAGTTATCATGGGGAGAATCAAGAAAGTAGCCAGCCAAAAGCATGAGGCTACAATCGTGAGTTACCCTCCGGCGGCCTGATGTGCAACCCAACTAAAAATTTTTCTTCTCTCTACAGTCACCTTTTTTGCAAGAATTCATAGGTCGTGCAACGAGTCTTCCTGTTCCCGAGCTCCCGTCCCTCTTCAACACATTCCCGAAGCTATGGCCATTCCCACGCGGTGATCTCTACCACTGGATCAATGTCTTGGACCGGTTCGACGAGATTCTGGCCTCGGCCGTCGAGAAATACTTCCTCAACACTGGTCCTCAATCCCAGTCGTTCACTCGGAGTGTTCTGGAGGAATCATACTCAGCTGATGAGAGCAAAAAGCCGGCAGAGGGCGTTGACGCCAAGCTGAATGGCCTGGGATACGGCCCCGATGGAGACCGAGAGCTTCTGGAAGCAATTCTGGAATTCTCACGTCTTTTGCTCGAGAAGTGTGGTAACCGCAGTCTCTACAGCAGCAGCGATCGCCTAGGTGACTTGTTGAATACAACTTCGCTATCTCTTCTCCAGTCTACGTTGCGCCTGTCTCTTTGCCTAGCCCAAAGATATCACTCCCGCCAGCGTGGCGCTCACCAACAGTCAGTATTGCAATCTCACTATGCTCTTGACCTTGAAAAGTTGCAGAAGATCGCCGCACCTTTCCCACGTCCATTCCTCGCCGGAAAAGCGCAGCCCACCTCTTCTCCCACCATTTCCGCCAAAGGCAAGGAGAATACCGTTCAAACGAAGGTCAATGCCAATGAATTGGTCGCTCTTGTACGTGACAGTGAAGGCTGGGAGGAATGGGGCGATATTCGCGTTCTCTATTATCCCTCTGGGTCATCTGAACAAACGAGAACGACATCCGAACATGGTCAGATCGAGCATGGCTCACACGTCCCGACTACGCCTACGCCACTGCGACGAAGTGCCACACATCCCGCTTCTCAATTGAGTCGTGTCGATGATTCACCAGCTACCCCAGTCACAGGCGGAAAGGCAGATGAGGCAACCCGTGGAGGCAAGGTCCTTGAACTCTCCTACTCGAAGGTCTCTTCTGCAGCTTTGGAGGATCTTCTTGCGGCGAATCTTCCCCACCTGCCCATTGAGTCAAAATATGAATTGCTCCACAAACTACGAGTTGCGAAGGCATTGACAGGCTCTCGTGCTACTCGCGAGCAGATTCTGTCCATCAAGGCTCTTGCAGTAACTAACTTGGCCCATGTTCAGCCGGAGAACGCTTTCCAACAAAAAGTCCTCCAATATGACATGGAGCAACCGAAACGCCTTCAGCTTGCCTACCAGCTGGCTGAACTGGTTCATCTCGGCGCCAGTGGTGACCTTGAGGTCTCTCGAATTGTTCAGACTTTGGCGATCCAGACGCTGGACTCATTAGCGAAACACAAGTCTCGCGCCGTCGATGTCTGTGCAGCTTTGAGTGTCAATGTTAACCATGGTGTTCTCATGTTCTTGACCCGGAAAATGGTCACTGAACTCAGCGCAGAAGGCGAGGATACTGATGCTGTTTATTACGATGAATGGCGTGATGCTTTGCTTGCACTCCTGCGCACCCTTCCAAGTTCAAGCACACGCACACCAGACACTCTGGTCGCAGCTGGTCTGATCCCTATGTTTGTTGACATCCTGAATCTGCGTAACGAGAAATCGCGCCGTGTGTATTCCCGCATCATGGAATTCCTCGACACCTTCGTGCATGCAGTCCGGGATGCCCTGGGAACATTGACAACCTCAAAAGGCTTCGACGCAATGTCTGACCTGATTGACTACGAAACAAAGACCGCTTTTGAAAAAGTCAATCGAGGCGAGGGTTTCCCTGCTCAATATAAGAACCCATCTGTGGATTATCAAATTCCATACTTCCAGCAACAGACACTGCGCTGGATGTTCCGTTTCGTCAACCACATCATGCAGCACAATGGCGGAGGGTTCGATCGTGTGCTACGCAACTTGATTGACTCTCCCCAGCTGCTCACTTCTCTCCGCCTTGTGTTTGAGAATGCTCGTGTCTTCGGTTCGCATGTATGGAGCACTGCTGTCAACATTCTCAGCAGCTTCATTCACAATGAACCTACTAGTTATGCTGTCATCGCCGAGGCTGGTCTCAGCAAAAGTCTTCTCGCTGCTGTAATGGGCCGTGAACTCCAAGTTGACGAAAAGCCCCCTGCGGTGGAGCCTGAGGGTTCTGCAGCTGGAGGCGAATCTGCTTCTCAGCCGCCCACTGCAGAGGCTGCTGCTGAGTCCGAGGAAAAGAAGAAAGACCGTGAATACACACTTGTCAGGCCAAAGGGTACCCCTCTTGCGCCTGGCATTATGTCCGCAGCTGATGCTCTTGCTTGCATTCCTTCCGCATTTGGAGCTATCTGTTTGAACTCTTCTGGTCTGGACCTTTTCCAGTCTTCCGACGCCCTTGAAAGCTTTTTCGAGATCTTTGAAAACCCTGATCATGTCAAGTGTTTGAAAGACGACCCCGAACTTGTCCGTTCTCTAGGTACAACCTTCGATGAGCTTGTTCGACACCACCCGGCACTAAAGACCTCTATCTTGTCTGCTGTTCTCGTCATGGCTGCCCGTGTCAACGTTCTCGGTCGGACCAAGGCCTGGGAGCAAGGAATGGGGACCAAGATGTGGATTGAGGATGCTGACGGCAATAAGCGTCTGTCCGGAGACATCTTCTCGTTGTTCCGCGAAATCGGCACACCCGCTGATGCCTCAGTCGATGACCCTGCAACCTTGGGTGCTCCTCAGCTTAACTCCCACGATCTACCCAATGGCGCTAAGCTTGTCGTTGGTGACCTGAGTCATGTACTTCCTTCGCCTGGTCCCGACTTCGAGCCCAAAGACAAAGACGAACATGGTCTTACTGCTACCGACTACTTGTTCCCTGCCATGCGTTTCCTGGGTGCCTTCTTCGAAAACCAGATTAACTGTACTGCCTTCATCCAAGCTGGCGGCGCAGAGTTCCTCCTAGATCTCGCAACGCTTCAAAGCTTGGCTTTCGATTTCCACAGCACCAATGCTAACCAGGAGATTACGGTTCTTATTCACATGCTCGCAGAGACAAAGCCTCACCTGATTCTTCCATCTCTCCTTCGCCGCGCCCAGCACGCAGTGGAGAATCTTTCAGCTTTCTGGACTGCACCCAGTGGATCTGGATTCTTCACGTCGTTGATTAAGCCTGCAGACTCGAAGGACCCCGTCTTGGAACCTACCGCCGCTGCTCAGTCTGGAACATTCTTTGTCAGACACTTGAATGCCGTGCTTCTTTTGACTGATGTCCTCCGTGAGACCTTCGCGTTGCCCTTGTACCAAACCCGACCTGGCCAAAATACTTCCATCTTTGGCCAAGTCAACCTCGCGGATCAATATTGCATTTTAATTAACTCTCTGAGCAATCTTCTTGCTTCTTGCGTGTGGGAAGGCATCTTGCTAGAGAAGAATATTCCCGAGAAGTGGCTGAAGGCTACACAGGCGACTGCTGACAAGTCCGCCTCTGGAAAGTCCAAGACTACTCCACAGGAGCCTCCAGCAACCCCTGGCGCCGATTCTCGACCCCAAAGCTCCGGTGCTGCGGAGCCTGGCGGCCAAGCTCAACCAGGCCAGGAACCAAAGGAAGACGACGCTCCCGTTGATGAAGAAAACGTCAACTTCAAGAATGCTCGCACACTTCGTTACCTTCTCAGTGCCTTGCCTACCTCTATTACTGGATTCCTGCACAACCTCGGACTTGGCCTTATTGGCAAACGCCGCTTGGATCCTCTCCTGAAGCAGAGACAGAATGGTACTTTGGTTGCAGAGGCCATGGCAGAGGGTGTTATTCGCCAATTGGAATTCAAGCCTGCGAACTCCAGTGACAGCCCCAAACATCGGTTCGCCTATCTGATTGTCGTCCTGTCGCACTTCTCCCACCTTCTCTATGAAATCCCCACGGAGCGTCCCAGCTCGAACTACTTGACATCGGTTCTCATCGCGTTCAAGAAGAACAACGGTCTCCAGCTGTTGAAAGAAATTTGCGACGTGTTCCTGAACGACATCAAGTCTCTTCCATCTGCTGAATCCATTCCCGATGAGGACAAGGAGCTTGCTAACCGGCTTGCCTCGGGCTATGGTGGAATCAAGATTATTCTTGGGCTCTTCGCTGATCTGGCTACTGGAAAATACATTGTGGACTCTAGCCAGACACAAGCCTTGGCCGGTCCCGAGCGCGACCGCGATCGCCCCGAACACTTTCAGCCTGGTCAATTCCTGGTTGAGCTTCGTATGGAAATTCTGCCCATGGCTCAAGACATGTGGAACTCGGACTTTGCTACTCAGTCATCGAGCCCCATCGTCAGGTTGTTGATTGATATTCTGCGGGCATCGCTGGATGGCGAATACGAGGTCAATGTCATTAAAAGGGCAGATGTGCGACCTCTTGTGGCAGAGACACCCAAGAAGCCATTCGTTGTCCACAAAGACCGAGCCGCCGCCCTGGTAGATAAAGGTTTCAAGGATGTTGATCTCAACAAAGAAGCCCTATATCGTTGTAACAACGTCTTGAATGCTGCCGAAGAATACTGCAAGGCTCAGAGCTGGGTCCGAAACCCTCCTAGGGTTCACCCAAATCCCAATGACATCCAAACTGGTACCCCCGAGGCTGCTCCCGGTATTGACACCCTAGAGGATCCTGGCGATGAGATTACGCCTTTCTCCAGCGGCGACTTGTCACGCTCTGCTCTGACCATGCTTCTAGCACAAGCCAGTGGCGGGCCACTGACTGATTCGATGCGCCGCATTGATACATTGGTAACTGGAAGAGATGCAGATGCTGACGCACCATCTGGAAACATTGGCAGAATTCTCGATGGAAACGATATGGATAGTGATGATCGCGCTGGGTCATCGAACCAGAGTGCACCCGAGCCTCGCCCTGCCGAAGGAAGTTCCTCTGAAGGACAACCTCCTGCCCAAACCCGCTCGGTTATCACTATCGAAGATCTTGAAGCTGAGAGGGAAAACATTCGGTCCAATCTTATTGAGCGCGCCCTGGACATCCTCAACGAACATCATGATGTCTCATTTGAATTGTCTGACCTGATATCGTCAGCCATCAGGAAGCACCCAGAGCCAGAGAGTTTCCGCCGTGACATCGGAGAGACTCTTGTACAATCTCTGGTTTCCCTGCAGATGGAGAACTTCCAGACAGCCGGCAAGAAGATTGCCGCCTATGCCCACATCCTCGCACTCACCCTTCAAGATCGTGAAATGTACACTGCAACCATCGAAGAGCTGAAGGATTGTTTCTCGACTTTCCTTGGATTCATCAAACTCCCAACACCTGAGAAGGCTGATCAGGAATCATTCCCTTGGGTTGGACATGTTCTTCTTATCCTTGAAAAGCTGCTGTCTGATGACTGCCAGCCACCTCAGATCTCCTGGGCCCAACCATCCAGTGTTGACGATCCCGTTGGTAACGATGAGCCCGCAAAACTTGAAGAGCCTCTTGTGTCAGCCGATGAGAAGACCCAGCTCTTTGAAGCTCTTGTTGAGATTCTTCCCCGAGTGGGCAAGGATGACACATTGGCGCTTTCCATTTGCCGTGTTCTTGTCATTCTCACTCGCCAGCGTAGTATCGCTGCTCGCTTTGGGGAGAAGCGTAATCTCCAACGCCTCTTTGTCATGGTCAAGCAGCTTTCAAGTGCTACCAACGACAAGCTACAAAGCGCGTTCATGCTTATTCTCCGCCACATTGTTGAAGACGAAGCTACTATTCGCCAGATTATGCGGAGTGAAATTGTTGCCAACTTTGAGTCTAAGACTTCACGCCAGGTTGACACCACTGGATACGTGCGTCAGATGTATCACCTGGTGCTGAGAGCCCCTGATATCTTTGTGGAAGTAACAAATGAGAAGCTGCGGCTGCTACGCTTCGATCCTAACCCTCGTCCCCAAGTTCTTGGGCTCAAGGCCGACAAAGAACGTCAAGATCGCCTACGTCAAACCAAGAAGTCTGAGGAGAACAAACCTGAGTCATCTGCGACAGCTGAAGCTGTCACCACGGAAGAAAAGGACACCGAGAAGGACAAGGGCAAGACACCGGCCAAAAATACAGAATTGAAGGCGCCCGTTGTGGAAAATCCTGACGGTGTCATTCACTACCTGCTGTCCGAGCTCCTGTCCTACAAGGATGTGGACGACAAAGAATCTGCCCCTGAGATTTCAGAGCAGACTGCTGACCAGCAGTCTGATACTCAAACTGACGTTGAGATGGCTGGAGATGAACCTGCGCCCTCGGTTTCTAGCACCACCGAAGCACAGCCAACTCGCGGCTTGAAGAAGGGAGATAAGCCCCAATTCAAGGCAGATGACCACCCGATCTACATTTACCGCTGCTTGCTTCTCCAGTGTCTAACTGAACTTCTCTCTTCCTACAATCGTACCAAGGTCGAGTTCATTAACTTCTCTCGCAAGGCCGATCCTTTGGCTACTACTCCCTCCAAGCCACGCTCTGGCATTCTAAACTACTTGTTGAATGTGCTTGTTCCACTTGGTACCATGGAGCATGATGAGACCTTGACATTCAAGAAGCGCAGCATCACATCTACATGGACCATGCAAGTACTTGTTGCTCTCTGCACCAAAACTGGCGAGTTTGGTGGTGTTGGCCGACGTCGCACTGAGCCCAAGTATGAGGAAGACGAGCCGGAGCTTGCGTTCGTCCGCCGCTTTGTGCTCGAGCATGCCCTTCGTTCTTACAAGGACGCAATGGCCTCAAATGAGCCTTTGGACGCTAAATATTCCAAGCTCATGTCTCTTGCCGACCTGTTTGATAAAATGCTCAGTGGCTACTCCTTCACCAACGATGCAGGTTTCCCAACCTCAACCAGACAGCTTGCAAAGACTATGTTCGAGAAGCACTTCATTCCGGCGCTAACTGCTTCGGTTGCTGACGTCGACTTGAACTTCCCTTCGTCCAAGCGTGTCATAAAGTACATTCTTCGCCCATTAAACAAGCTTACTCAAACCGCAGTTCTTTTGAGTGAGAACTCCGATATCTCTTCTTCCCTTGGTGAAACCGAGGATGATGAGATCTCCTCGGCAACCTCCGTTTCTGACATGGAAGACGAACGTGAGGAAACACCCGATCTTTTCCGTCACTCTACTCTGGGTATGCTTGAACCCCGTCACGAGGAAGAGACCAGCAGCGAGGAGTCCGAGGGAGAAGACGAGGACATGTACGAAGACGAATATGAGGAGGAGATGGACTACGATGAAGATATGCCCGAAGATGATGGCGAAGTCGTCAGCGATGAAGATGACGATGGCGTGGGTCCAATCGAAGGCCTCTCTGGCGATGCAGTTGAAGTCATTCTCGATGATGACGACGATGATGACGATGAGGACGACGACGATGAAGACGACGACCACTCGGATATGGATGATGATATGTACGCCGATGAAATTCCTGGAGACCGCGACAACGAAAGTCTCGAAGACGGAGAGGAGGATGAATGGGAGAGCGAGGAGATGACTGAAGATGAAGAAGAGGTCGAAATGATGAACCAGTACGAGGATGAGATGGCCGATTTAAGACAGAACCGTGGTCACGGTGAGGAACACCGCATTGGCGACCTCTTCCGTGCCCTCAATGAGGCTGCTGGAGGTGCTGATGATCTCCATGGAGATGGTCTCGGCGGTGACATTCACGAAGAAATCCTCGATGACCTCGACGAAGATGGTGCGCCACCCCTCCTTACTACAGACCCCCCTATTGCAGACCCTCCAGCCGCAGGACCTCCAACTGCAGAACCCCCTGCAACATTGACTGCAGCACTCACTGCAATCAATGCAGTCATGCCTGCTCTACGCCAGCTTTCAACGCTGTTGCTGACCACCCGTATAGTTGAGGATGAAGACGAAATGGACGAACTTGAAGATGACATCGACGGATTCGACGGCGAGGAAGGATCCTTCGGTGATATGGAAGGTAATGAATAATGACTCAGACTCTGCATGGAAGGTTTGCTAATTCACTTAACAGATGACGATCTTCTTGAGCCCTGGGGATGGGAAGGTGACGAGCCACCAATGCCTCGCGCTGGACATCACCACCACCGCTTCCGTGGCGGCGCGCCCCCAGCCTGGGCTGCTGTTACCGAAATTATGCCGGGCCGCGGCTCTGGTCTCGTTCCTATCCAGCCTTATCAACGTGTCCACAGAACCCAGCTTCCCTCGCGTGGAGAAAATGACGGAACTAACCCTCTACTTGTTCGAACTGACCGTCCAGAAACCGCCGTTTCATCTCGTGGACCCAATGCCGACCCATTCGCTGATTGGGGCCAGACCATGGATCAGGCCGGTGGCCGAGTTGTTGCAATGGACAGCCCCATCAGCTTCATGAACGCCATAATGCAGGCTATTGGTGGACAAGCTTCCCCTGGTTTTGGTGTGGTTACTCGTCCAGACGGTATCCATGTCCATGTTGACAGACGTGCAGTCCTACCCGGCCGCATTCAAGATATGCTTGGAATCCCTCGTGGGTCAGGACCTCCAGCTCGCACTCGTGGTGATGACCCTCACACTGCCGTCAAATTTGGTCTGTGCACCACTCGGACCCGCTGGCAGGAGGAGGCCCGCATTCTCTTCAGCACCCAGTATGTTGAGAGAACCCAGCGCATCGTCAACTCCATCATGAAAGCCCTCGTTCCCACTTCAATGGTCGAGGAAAAGATCCGCACCAAGCAACTCGAAGAGGAGCGCAAGCGCATCCTAGAAGAGCGCGCCCAGCAAGATCGCGAAGAGCGCGAGGCCAAGCGCAAATGGGAGGAAGAAAATGCTCGTCTCGAAGCTGAGAGGGAGAGAAGAGGAAGCTGAGCGTCAAGCCGAACGCCAAGCTGCTCAAGTCGATGAGCCTATGGAGGATGTCCAGCCAACTGAGCCTCCTGTTGAAGCCGCTTCATCTGCTCCCACTGAATCCCAACCCGAAGCCCGGCCGACAGAACCTGCCCCTCGGGTTCACACCAACATCAGAGGCCGCCAACTCGATATCACCGGTCTTGAAATTGACCCTGAGTATCTGGAGGCTCTGCCAGAGGAACTCCGCGAGGAGGTTATCATGCAACAACTCGCCGAACAGCGATCCCAAGCTGCCGCCGCCGGCGAGGAGCCCACTGAGATCAATCAAGAATTCCTGGAGGCTTTGCCTGCCGAGATTCGTGAGGAACTGTTGCAGCAAGAAGCCGCTGATCGACGCCGACGCGAACGTGATGCTGCCCGTCGACAGGCTCAGTCTGCTGGTGCTGGTGCTACTGCCGGCGCCGGCTCTGGTGGTCCAGCTGCTCCTCCTGCTCACGCCGAAGATATGGACGCTGCCAGCTTCCTTGCCACCCTTGACCCTTCGTTGCGCCAGGCTGTCCTTGCCGATCAGCCAGAGGATGTTCTTGCAACTCTGGGCCCTGAGTACTTGACTGAGGCCCGCGCCATGGGTGGTGGTGGCCGACGCATTGCTCAATTCGGTGACATGACCGCCGTTGACCGACAAAGAAACGAGCCTTCTGGAGACCGGGAGCCAAAGAAACAGCAGAGACGTCAAATTGTGCAGATGCTCGACAAGGCTGGTGTTGCAACTCTTCTTCGACTCATGTTCATGCCTCTCCACGGTAACGCTCGCCATCAATTGAATGACATTCTCCATAACGTTTGTGAGAACCGCCAAAACCGCAGTGAGGTGATCAGCCTTCTTCTGTCGGTTTTGCAGGATGGCAGTGTTGATTCTACCGCAATTGAGCGTAGTTTCTCTCACCTCTCTTTGCGTGCAAAGGCACCCGGAGCACAGAAGACCCCTCAGGCTGTCAAGCGAAACATGGCTATTCAAACTTCTTCCAGTGTCAGTAACGACGTGACCCCTATCATGGTCATTCAACAATGTCTTGGAACACTCTCCTTCCTGTCGCAATTCAATCCTCACATCGCTTGGTTCTTCTTGACCGAGCATGACTCTGCCTCATCCGCTAAGTTGAAGGCATTCCGCAAGGGCAAGGGCAAGGAGAACAGAGCTAACAAGTTCGCCCTGAACGCTCTGCTTTCTCTCTTGGACCGCAAGTTGATCATGGAAAGCCCTAACTGCATGGAGCAATTGTCTAGCCTCCTTAGCAGCATCACTCAGCCGCTTACTGTTCTCCTTCGCCGCGAGAAGGAGCGTCAAGAAGAGAAGGGTAAAAAGCCCGAAGAGCCAGTCAAGGGTCTTGTTGAAGAACCTGCTCAAGCTGGCGACTCTGGTATGGATACATCTATGACCGATGCCCCTCTGCCCACCGTTGAGACCACCGAAATCACTGGTCAAGAGACTATTGAGGGTGGAGAAGATGACGACAAGAAGCCCGAGGAGTCGAAGGAGCCCGCTGAAGATGAGAAGCGCAAGAAGCGTTCCATTGAGCCTCCTGTCGTTCCCGATCACAACTTCCGTCTGGTTGTTCACATTCTTGCAGCCCGTGAATGCAATGGCAAGACGTTCCGTGATACCCTTTCTACTATCAACAACCTTTCTGCTGTCCCCGGAGCTCGCGATGTGATCGGCAATGAACTGGTCGCTCAAGCTCAGGCTCTCAGTGATACTATTCTGGGTGACCTGGAAGATCTCCTCCCTCACATCCACCAGGCTAAGACTGGCACCGATATGCAAGGTCTGGCTCTGGCCAAGTTCTCGCCCGCTAGTTCGGACCAGGCCAAGCTTTTGCGTATTTTGACCGCTCTCGACTACCTATTTGATCCTACTCGAGTCGACAAGTCGAAGGGCAGTGAGCCCGAGTCTGCCCCCAAGGAAGATGTGCTCAAGAGACTTTACGAGAGCGCAACTTTCGGCCCTCTGTGGACCAAGCTCAGTGACTGTTTGACTGCTATCCGCCAAAAGGAGAACATGCTGAACGTGGCTACTATTCTCCTGCCTCTCATCGAGGCACTGATGGTTGTCTGCAAGAACACTACTCTCAAGGATCAGCCCCTGTCTCGTGGCAGTCGTGAACTTTCTGTGAACAGTGCCCCAGCTGACAATGGACTCAGCATGGAGAACCTCTTCTTCAAGTTCACCGAGGAGCATCGCAAGATCCTCAATGAGCTTGTGCGCCAGAACCCTCGTCTGATGAGCGGTACATTCTCCTTGTTGGTGAAGAATCCCAAGGTGCTGGAATTCGATAACAAGCGCAACTACTTCACTCGTCGTGTCCATTCCCGTGGTGCCGAGCCTCGTCACCCTCATCCTCCTCTCCAGCTTTCTGTGCGGAGAGACCAAGTCTTCCTTGACTCTTTCAAGTCTTTGTACTTCAAGAGCGCGGATGAGTTGAAGTATGGCAAATTAAATGTACGTTTCCACGGCGAGGAAGGTGTCGATGCCGGTGGTGTGACCAGAGAATGGTTCCAAGTCCTTGCCCGTGGCATGTTTAATCCTAACTACGCTTTGTTCATTCCCGTTGCTTCCGACCGGACCACATTCCACCCCAACCGTCTCAGTGGTGTGAACTCTGAGCATCTCATGTTCTTCAAGTTCATTGGACGTATCATCGGCAAGGCCTTGTACGAAGGCCGCGTTCTTGACTGCCACTTCAGCCGCGCTGTCTACAAAAACATCCTCTCCCGATCTGTGTCTATCAAGGACATGGAAACTCTCGACTTGGATTACTACAAGTCCCTTCTCTGGATGCTGGAGAACGACATTACCGATATTATTACCGAGACATTTGCCATTGAGACCGATGACTTTGGCGAGAAGCAGGTAATTGATCTGATCCCGGGTGGCCACGATATCCCTGTCACCCAGGAGAACAAGGAGCAGTACGTTCAGCGTGTAGTTGAATACCGTCTAGTGGAGTCTGTCCGTGAGCAATTGGACAACTTCCTAAAGGGCTTCCACGAGATTATCCCCCGAGACTTGATCTCCATTTTCAACGAACAGGAGCTGGAACTTCTGATTTCCGGTCTTCCTGAGATTGAAGTTGACGAGTGGAAGAACAATACTGAGTACCACAACTATTCCGCCTCGTCCTCGCAGATCCAATGGTTCTGGCGTGCTGTTCGCTCGTTCGATAAGGAAGAGCGAGCCAAGCTTCTACAGTTCGTTACTGGAACCAGTAAGGTCCCTCTCAATGGTTTCAAGGAGCTTGAGGGTATGAATGGTGTGAGCAAATTCAACATTCACCGCGACTATGGCAACAAGGAACGTCTTCCTAGCTCGCACACATGCTTCAACCGTAAGTGAACACCATCTATCTATTCATTCAGGCCGTGCAATTACTGACTTTTACTTACAGAGCTTGATCTTCCTGAATATGAAAGTTATGAGGATCTCCGCCAGCGTCTCTACACGGCTATGACTGCCGGAAGCGAGTACTTCGGATTTGCATAAAGCGGTTTCCGGATGCTCGACATGACGATGGTTTCAAGCGAAAGCATTCCATGGCGTTTCTTCTCTCAATTCTTATGGCAACCTTTTTACTGGAGATGAATGAGGAGGGTATGAAAAGATGCTGGCAGAGGCCAGTGTGGAGGAATTTCTTTATGAGCTGAAAACAGAGACTTCGGATGATTTGGTTGAAGTGCAGGTCAACCTTATTGTTTCGAGGTTCTCTATTATGTCTGTACTTAGATTGCTGCATTTTTATTTCGTTCTCTAATGACTTTGCAAACACCTTTTTCCAATGTACTTTCACACGTTAGTCTGTGGGTGGGGTTACTTCTGTTGCAAGTACCGTTTCAGTACCATAAAATCACCGGTAGATATCGGACGTAATCACAGGCGGTGAGCCCGTCACGGGACTGCAAAAAGTCATGCGGGGCCGTGAGGCGGAAACGATTTTTTGAGCCGAACACGGTCATCGCGGAGAAGATTGTGTTTGTGCTTCCTCGATTTGAAGATCTTTCTCTCTCGTGTCTCAGAGGACTCATCCTGCAATATGTCGACTAACTCCATCAAGCTCTTGACTGGCAACAGTCACCCAGAGCTTGCCGACCTCGTTGCTGATCGGTATGTAACTTGCAGAAAAGTGAACCCAATCCCAGCCAGCTAATCTTGAATTAGTCTCGGCATTGAGTTGACCAAAATCATGGTTCTGCAATACTCCAACCAAGAGACCAGTGTCACAATCGGTGAAAGTGTGCGAGACGAAGATGGTACAGACATCCCACCTTACTCCCCACCTTGACTGAAGGAACCCGACTCACATATTCATGATATGACGCAGTCTTCATTCTCCAATCGACGAAACCTAACGATATTAACGACGGACTCATGGAGCTTCTGATCATGATCAACGCCTGCAAGACTGCCTCCGCCCGCCGCATCACCGCCGTCATCCCCAACTTCCCCTACGCCCGCCAAGATAAGAAGGACAAGAGCCGTGCTCCCATTACCGCTAAGCTCATGGCAAACATGCTTCAGACTGCGGGTTGCAACCACGTTATCACCATGGATCTCCACGCCAGTCAAATCCAGGGCTTCTTCAATGTCCCCGTTGACAACCTCTACGCGGAGCCCAGTATGCTCAAGTACATTCGCGAGAACCTCGATGTCAGCAACTGTGTCATCGTCAGTCCTGATGCTGGTGGTGCCAAGCGGTGAGTACTTTCAATATTGAGACTTATAGATCGGAGATAGTACGGGGGACTAATGCATAATTCTTTTTAGTGCTACTGCGATTGCCGATCGCCTGGACCTGCAGTTCGCTCTCATTCACAAGGAACGTGCCCGTCCCAACGAGGTCTCGCGCATGGTTCTTGTAGGTAACGTTAAGGACAAGGTTGCCATCATCGTCGACGACATGGCCGACACCTGCGGTACTCTCGCCAAGGCCGCTGAGACCGTAATGCAGCACGGTGCCACCGAAGTCAACGCCATTGTTGTCCACGGTATCCTGTCCGGCAAGGCCATTGAGAACCTGAACGGCAGTTGCCTCAAGCGGTATGTCCACGCTCCACTTCTCAGTCATCCGGTGATATCCATGGCTAACTCGTACTTCCAGCATCATTGTGAGCAACACTGTTCCCCTGGGTGACAAGCAGGAGCGCTGTGATAAGATCAAGACCATCGACATTAGCCCTACATTGGCTGAGGCATGCCGGCGTACACACAACGGCGAGTCGGTTAGCTTCCTGTTCTCGCACACCGTGGGGTAAATCACAAGTCTGAGAGACAGAAATGAATGATTCCATCAATACCAAGACGGAGGATCAGTCCACGGGTGTTTTGGTGCTGCTATTGAATGTGCACTAGACTGTGGGGTGAGCGGGAAACAAAAATACGATTTTTATGACCCTTTTTTATTAGCCCAACGAGGATTTTAGTCCCCGAGTGTTTTATTATTGTTCTATTATGCTTTCCTTTTCTTGCTCTCTCTTCCTCATGAGGAGAGAGGCCAGCTTTCAGTGCTGGTTTTGTGTCTCTTCTAGGTTGTCCGTGGGGGTTGAATGCATCTTGCATCCATTGTACTTTGTATTTTGTACAGGCTTTTGCTATGATGGGGTTTGGTTTGATCATACAGACCTTGCTGGTCATTTACACGTGAAATTGATATGGTGTATCTCGGTTGAAATTCTGTATATCTGTAGTACTGTTGGAACTCATAATCTGACGTGACACGTGACATGGTCGTACATCCCAGGTGAAGGGTTGACTGATTGGGATAAAACGTTATAACGGACGATGGATGTGGGGGAATTAGAGTGCGTCCATGACGAAACTAGTTTATGCCATGGACAAGTAGCGTCATGCCTGGTGGGTTCGCACAACAAGGATACGACCAATATATATACTCATGTTCCCTACAAGACTACGCGGAACCCGAATACAATCTACTCATTCGCACAGCAAATTCAAGCAGAGCAGGAATTGACAGAACAGATATTGAAATTTGCATGCACTCCATTCAAAAAAAAGGGTAGTCAAAAAAGAAAGGATCAACACAGATATTGCATCGCCACTCCCGAGGCCCGTAATCACCGTAGCCAAACACAAGGGAGTATCAATCATTCGCCTGCTTTGTACGTTTTGAAACCTGTTCCCCGTCTCTTTTTTGTGTCCCTTTTCTTCTTATCAGACATGTCACCTTCGCGCCCCTGAGAGTGACTTCATTTTTTGTGAATCTCCCTCAAATCATCCCAGAGACGTGAAGCTCCTCCATTAAACCCCATCGCCGCAGAACGAAATCATAAAACCGCGGGTGTGGAAGTTTACTTCCGCATGGAAGAAGCTCTCCGCTTGCGGAGCTCGTCACGCTTGGCCTTCTCCTCGTGGACACGGCCAGCAAGGAGCTTGGCGTAGTCGTTGCTAGTGGGTGTTAGTTTCAGTATGCTCAGAAGACAAGGGGGTAGGGCAGGGTTCTTACGCAGCATCGCGGGCAGCCTCAGCGCGGCGGCGCTTGATGGCAACGCGTTGGCGCTTGCGCTGGAGACGCTGGGGAGTGACCAGACGCTGGATCTTGGGGGCCTTGGTGTAGTCCTGCTTGCCCTCCTTGGTGACGGTACGGCGGATGACGAACTTGCGGACGTCGTCCTTCTTGTCGAGACCGAAGAAGCGACGGATCTTGGTGGCACGCTTGGGGCCGAGACGCTTGGGGACAACGGTGTCGGTCAGGCCGGGGAGCTCGCCCTCACCCTGCTTGACGATGGCGAGAGCAAGGACGGAGAGGTCGAGACCGGTGATGGCACCACGGACGGACTTGCGCTTGCGCTCACCGGTGCGGCGGGGGCGGTAGCAGCTGTGGCCGTCGGCGAGGAGCAGACGGGTACGGGTGGGAAGGAGAACTGTAGAGAATCGATGAGTATGATGCGTTCATGGTGTGTTCCTGGGGAAGATAATTTTTTGTTATTTCCCCAGGTGTTGTGCGGTCGTGTACGTACCACCCTGCTTCATGGGGAAACCTGTAATTTCATTGTCAGCAATTTGATTCGATGATTAATGCAAGTCTCAAGTGATCCAGAGACAGGGGAGTGGTTGCGTACCCTGCTTGTCGTTACCACCGGTAATCTTGAAGAGGTAACCCTTGAACTCATCACCGAGAGCGTCACCGGCAACCTATTCGAAAACAAATCCCAATTAGCCTGTTGTTCTCCATCGTGTGCGTGTATTCTTTTTCAAGATTCCAAGTTGGTCGTCGTGTCGGGGAATGGGATGGGGAGTGCTGACTTCGGTGCCCATGCGCTTCTCCATGAAGGGACGGAGCTTGCGCTCATCGTCGATCTCGATAATTTTCTGGGACCCATTGGCCGGGAAGGAGATGTTGAGCTTCATCTTGACGGAGGCGGCGCGGTCAAGACGGTAGCGCGGGTGTTTGTCGACGGATGAGGTTGTCGTCGAAGGGATCTGTATTGTGGATTTTTTTAGTTCGGCGGCTTTAGCGAGCGATTGTGGGCGGGTCACGTGTGTGCCAGCCAGTCACGTGGGAATAGGGCTTGAGTCGCTTGCAGGTCAGGTGATGAGTCATGTGACTCTCTGCTGATGATGGTCCTTTTTCGGCATTTGAACCCTCCGAATGCAACCATCGTCAAAGGGTGGAACATCCACGATTGCCTTCTTCATGCTGGAGGCTTTATTTTGATCTCAACTAATACAAACAGCATCGACAGATCTGGAATCCTTCAGCACTACCAACTATTCACATTATTCACGGCTTGATACTGACACGATGATCCTGAATAAAAACGCCATCTTCTTTTGGATTTTCTTTGCAACTTCTGAACCAGACTGAGACTAACTGAGCTATCAAGCTGGTCCAATGTGTGTTTCGGCTATGACAGTGTCCAGCCGAGACACTCACAGATATTGAGCTTGGGCATCGATACATGATATATGATACATGATATATGATACATGATACATGATACATGAAATCAACTTACTTGTGTTGGTCGGATAGCTTGACGATCAAAGAAGAGGTTTGACTCTCCAAGTGGCTTTCAACCCCAATCAATCATAATTTTGAGAGCGCACGTTGTTTCTTCAACATCGCATATCTATACTCTCCGGAGTATTAGTATACAAGTGAAATAGACCAAGTCATTGATTCTCCATGCTGCATTCTGAACCCCTCAGTTTGGGGGATTGATTCTTATACAATGTCTTGGCAATTGAATATCGGACGGCTAGCTCAAGGCCATTCATACACCGAGTCAGCCAGGATCAGATAAAACACCCAATACGAGACATTGCAATGTAGCTTCAGGGGGAGCGAGTCGAGCACCCAGTTCACCACTATTCCGCAAATTCCGCATAGTCGAGCAATAGTGTGGCGTCTGGACGCTTAGACGTCAAATTAAGCCGGCGCACGCGATGATTTGCCCGTTCGAAGCTTAGCCCAATCTACTTCGCCCGAGCCACGCGGCCATACATTCACAGTTGCCCACCTTTAGGGGCAGAGTTGTTTCCCCTTACATTATACATTATAACCATTATACTCATTGTACACAGTTGAATTCTACCCTCTTCCTATTTCAGTGGCTCCCGCTACCGAGTTTGCCGGTTCTCCAACTCCGAGTGGAGCATCTCGTCGTAATCTCCGGACGATCCTCTTTCAAAGCTTGGTCATATTTTCTCCGCAGAGATTGAACTGGAGAAGGCTTTCTATCACATTGCGTATCGCATAGTGGCAAGTATAGCGGTCATCGGAGGCGTGGTGGCGATTTTCTTTTATCCTCCGGCCAAGACCTCAAGAAATAAGAGACCCAAGAAGACACTTCCGGCTGGCCCTAGGTGTCTCGCCTAAGATGGTCCGGCTTTTCAACCGATTCTACGCCTTATCCGCAGTCGCAGCATGCATGATTCTATCAACGGCCTGGTTCCTAACCTCCCGCCGCTTTCCCGACATCATTCCCCTCGCATCCGGTCAGTTCGAAGCAGCGGCCACATTCGACCAGCGGCTAGTCGTCTTCGGCGACTCATGGAGTGACAATGAAACAAACGAGCCAGAGGGGAAAGTATGGACAGACTGGCTCTGTTCAATGGTAAGACAAGGACCATGCCACGGACCACGAACCCCAATGTCTCGGGGGGAGCAGTGAAACCCGAACAAGATAGAATGTCTGACTCTCTACCAGTTCTCCTGCCACCAAGAGAATCTAGCCCAAACAGCCAACCCGCTCCTCCGAGGCAAAAACGTCGGCGCCGTAGTCGACAACTCAGAGCTCGAACCTCTAGGCCGCCTGTCTCAGACCCGTCTTGCAGACTTCAAGTCCCAGCTCGCAGAATGGCTAGCTGCCGAGTCGCGCGCCACAACCCAACTCGCCAGGGAAGACCTGCGTACGCGCCAAGAAGCTACCATTTTCGTGGTCTCCTTTGGTGTATGGGATATCTGGAGTTTTATCAACAAGGACTACGACACCGCCAAGGAATCAGTCGAGCGACGTATCGCAACGATCATTGCCCAGCTCGATATTCTCGCTGAGCAGTGGGACTCGGAGTCCGAACTAAAGATCATCTTGACGCAGACGGTTGATGTGACATTCTTACCGGGCTATAAATCTGCAGCTGGATACAAAGATATCGTAAAGACGGTGGAGCTATGGAACAAGAAGCTGCGCGAGGCAGCGAAGGCGTGGGAAGGTGGGACTGTGTACCTATTTGACATGAACGGGTGGATGGTTGATCGGATTCGGGATTGGCAGCTCTACGCAGCAGGCATTGAAGAGGAGAATGGGCTTGGGAAGAACGAGCAGGGCTGGCTGAATGTCGTGGAGCCGTGTATCGAAAGTGGGTTCCGGGTCATGATGTCAAAGGGCAAGACGGAGTGCGAAGAACCTGATCGGTACTTGTTCTGGTAAGTGTTGCTTTCCCCTGTTTCCATGTTTCCTCCAGAGATCGACATGATCCCATGCCTTTTTCTGCTGACCGGGACTGACATATTGATGTATCAGGGACGAGATGCAGTTGGGTCCTGAGGCTCACCGGCTTCTGGCTACGGAAGTTTACTCTGGCATTGGGGGATTGTTCAATGCATCGCGCCACACCCGGGGACTCGCATAGACATTGTCCCGACTTCTCAAATTATCCATCGCAGAGAAAAAGAAAAGAAAGCAAATATGACGTCTCACAAGGGGTCTATAAGCCCGTACCCGTGCAAACGAAGACTAAACTTGATGCGGATATGGCCATGTTCCAGAGAGAGTGGGCCTTTTGCAAGGACACGGTAGTATGTCCCAACCGGAGTCAAGAACCCTGGGAAAGGAGGGAACAGGTCGGGAAAGGGTGAAAGGGTGGTATTGTTGAAGTTACAGTGGAGACGCGATCGGGTATAGTTCGAAGTTCACTCCATCTCTCCTTCATACAATAGGTCAAGTCCGAACAAAGAGAAGATCCCAGTCTAAAATCATATTCTGATTACCGATTTCTGATTTCCAAATACCTCCAAATCGAATAACCCCAAAGAATCCCTAAAATAAATTGTTTGCCGCCATGTTTGCGCACTTCTTTGTGACGGGGAACCAGAGGTGAGCCCCGACCAATCACAGCAAGCGATGAACAGCCCGATCAAGCGGGTCGCCGCATCCGGAGACAAAGAAAACAATGAGTCTAGCGTCGCCCTAATTTTGAAGGTTACAGGTTGAGATCGTGAATGACACCTACGTATAGTAAAAAAAAATAAAAAAAACCCATAGTAATGGTGGTAGTGGTAATAGTAGTAGTAGTAGTGGTAGCAGTAGTAGTAGTAGGAGTCCTTACTAACTTATAGATCTCCCGATTCATAACCCTAACTCTCTAACTTGGAAAAAAAAAAAAGTCATTTCATTCGCATATCTCGGTTGGCTCGGTCAGAATAGCAACTGCATTCTGGAGCTATTGTCAAAGGACAAGCCACTAACAGGGATTCTGGGGAATAAGCCAACAAAGACGCCCAGACGCCCAAACGCCCATATACTTCGCTTTGTCTATCTCTGGGTGGATTGCTCTGGGGTTATTTATTTGATTCTCTTCTTTGTTTCGCTCTTTCTCCCTTGTATTTCTGACGTCCTCTTTCCACCATATTATCTCGACCGTCTCTTTCATCGTTTATACTTTGGGTTGCCTTCTTTGAGATTTCCTGAGCCCTTTCATTCAGAGGGCGCCTCCTCGAAACTGTTAAATGTCTTACGATCGAGTGCTTCCCAATCCCGTTGCTCTCCAATATGAGTCTGCTCAAGTCTCTTTGCCCAGACCGAGCAACTTACTCGATCACAAAATCATGAACGACGATCTCAAGTCTATGGCCCGGTATCCAGATGGACCGGTCGGGGATTCACGCTATACAGAACTCAGATCAGATGGTGTATTACAGACCCATCCGCACCTAGCGGTGCTGAATAGTACCAAAGATTCTCTCAATGGCGCAGTCAAGATTGCGGGCCCAATGATCTCAACGAAAGAGCTGCCTCTCCGGGACCGATCTGATCGATCATCGTCCTCCTCAGCCAGCAGTACCAGCCCTGGCAAATCACAGAAAGAGGGAGCTATGCAGTTCTGCCTCTGCCAGCCGGACCCGAAGATCCCCCGGCCTCGTAATGGTGAGTCGAGTTCGTCCGCGCCTTTAGACCTTGGCAAGTCTTTTTTGATTGTTTCTTTGGAGTCTTGAGGCTTATTTCGGATCTATCAAACCCCCCTCGTTTGAATATGGCTAATGCGGTTAAAGCTTTTATATTGTATCGTCAGCATTATCAGGCCATGGTTGTAGCTCATAACCCTGGTCTGGCAAATCCGGAGATCTCTAAGATCATTGGAGAGCAATGGCGGTCTTTGTCGGAAGATGACAAGAGTAAATGGAAAGCGCTTGCCGAGGTAAGAAAAACGCCGTTTTTTAGAGAGCCAAAACTAACAAAAAGCAGGAAGAAAAGGCTCGTCATCAGCAGCAGTACCCCGACTATCGGTACCAGCCTCGACGGTATGGTCGGGATGGTAATGCACGGAATGGCGCCTCAGGAATTGGTCACAATCCATCGGGATCGTCCACCTGTAATCGATGTGGTGGTCGCCTTATGAATGCACCAGCGTCGCCCATGACTCCATTCACACCGAGCAGTACCACCGCTGGACCTGGGTATAGACCGTCCAGCTTTTCAGCAGTCTCACCACACCCTAATACGATACCCAGAAGTCGAGAAAAAGACTCACATTCAGCGCAAAAACCAGTCAAGATAGATCAAAATGACCCACGGGCTCGACCGAGGCAATGGGAAGAACACGGTGGTCGCTCCCCACCAGAGAACAAGCGTCGTAGGATATCGCATGCCCACGCCCATCCCCCAGCACATGCCCCATTCAAACCAAGCTTGCACTCCTACCGAGACCGGAGTCCCGAGTCACCAATGACCCCCTGGAGTGCTCGACCAGACATGGCACCGCGTCACCTCCCAATGATTCAACCACATCGCCATTATGGTAGCATTCCAGGCTCACCACACCCAGACCCGAGTTTGAAACTCCCACCACTCCAAACCGCAACAACACCCATAACAGGCTCCATGACGCCCTTCCCACAAGAAGACACCAGCGTCGAAGCCACAGTTATGACAATTCCCTTCCTCAACAAGATCAAAGTCCTCGCTAAAATCTCTCCACCCCTGGTACCCTCCTTCCGCGAGGGCTTCCCACCAGCCCGTGGCCCGGTCATCGCCATCGACGGCCAAGACCCAGGCCTCGTCCAATCAATCGTCGAGTATCTAGATAATCTCCTCAAAAAGGAACCCAAATACCATGTTCGTATCTTCGACGGTCCAGAAATCCAGGCGCCACGCTCAACCTCCGCAGAGGCAAGCCAAAGCCAAGGCCAAATGGGCGATGCAACAGTTGGCTACCTGAACACTATCTCAGCCTGGCACCGCATCTCGGACGAAGTAGTCGGCTTCGTCAAAGCGGTCTCAAGAGCCGGCTCTGTGGAGGCCCACTCAACAACCACAGACGAAGACTCTGGACCAAACGTCTCACCTAAAACCCTCATCCCAAAGACAGCAAACCTTCAAATTAACTCGCCCGCCCAGTCTAGTGACCACGGCTCCGAGGGTAGCGTCGTGTCAGCCGCTACAGCGGGCAGCCATTACTCGGTGCCTATCGCGCTGGTACCACGCTACCAGCTTACAACAGCTGATGCATTCGCATGCTCGACTCCCATTGGAGATTCCTATGCTCCACTTGATCACTGGCAGTGGATGGCATCGCTATGGCGAGCATGTGTTGGTCCTGATATCACGGTTTATGTACGTGAGTGTGGGAAGGAAGAAATTGATCGTATAGGGGCTGTTGAGGTGCGACTGCAGGATGTGCGAACTGTTGTACTGAGGAAGACAATAGGAAAAGACCTTGAGGACAAGGTTCTTCGGCGCATGGGCTTCGAGATTGAGGACTTTTTGACTCAGTGAGCGTGAGCGTGGACATTTGGTTGAAAGATTGTAATGCATTGTGATAGATACTTAGACCATTTTAATGGAGAGTGTATTTAAAAGTAATATTATTGAGCCTGTAGTCAATAGATGTGCTAGAATTGAGCAAACAACCGAAAAACAGAGGTTGACCAAGTGAAAGATCGAATCTTAGGAAGTTCACGTTGACCTTAGAAAGAAGGAGTCGCGCACGAGCCATCCTCCACTTGCTTTTTCTCCGCACCCAGAAGGCGGTGACTTTTTGCCATCTCCAATTATGTTCGCCTTATCTCCCCACGTCTCCTTTGAAGAGTGTCGCGATTTGTCTGAGAGAGACAATGCAAGCCATAGCCTAGAGGAGAATGGCACATCCACCATCGGGGCTCCCCTGGCTACCCTTGGTCCCATCCAATCCACCTCCACACGTCCCCGAAGATACGAAGCATACCAGCCCGCGTGAAGTACAAACAGCCAGTCACAACCGTACAATCGGAATCCACCATTCATACATACCAGTTGGAGTCTTATGGAAAGCGACAGTAGAAAACACCTACCCTGCGTCAGAGCTAGCTCTATTACAAGCACACGACTGGGTCCAGACCAATCCTCGCAATGAAAACACACAAATCTTTATCCTACCAGATGACGCCAAACGCGGGTCTATTGCGCGCTCGAGCACCAAAGTCAGAGCGGCACTCAAAACAATAATGTCTAAGATTGATACCACCCGATCAGTTTGGAATGGCGTTTCCTGTGTTCCCAGTCCGGTGCCCAATCCATCTGCTGGCGCCGAGGATGAATCGCTCTGGTACATCTTCAATACTTTACAAAACCCAAACCCGCAGGTGAGCATTGTGCGGGATAGAAATGCACGCCAGGCCATGGAGGATCTATTAGAAGGCGAAGATGCGACTCTGGGCCTCAAAACTGCGCTCTATCCTTATCAGCGCAGATCGGCTGCTATGATGGTTCAGCGTGAGGCGCAGCCTGCTATGGTCCTTGATCCTAGATTGCAGGCTTGGAAGGGTCCTGATGGAAAGGAGTTTTACTATGATAAAGAAGATGGAAGGATCTTCAAGGAGAAGAGGTTGTATTCGGAGGCTTGTGGAGGTGGGCTTTATCTTCCATGTCATTTATCTACTCCTTGATTGCGCATTATTGACTTCAGAATAGGGATCCTTGCCGAGACCATGGGCTGTGGCAAGACTTTGATCAGTCTTGCCGTTATCTTGGCTACTCGTGGCCATTTCCCTCAGATTCCTATCGAGTACCAAGTGACTGATATTCAACCGACAAGGAAAGTGACTGGCTCCCTAATGGATATGGCGGCTGCAACTGCTGGCCGATTATCAGTGCCATGGAGACCATTTTTTGAGAGTCTTGCCTTTCAAGGGGAGCACCATGATCGATGTATTCAGGCGTGTAAAGCTCACTGTGGTTCCTACGAGATTCCACCTCACCAGACCCGGCATCAAGGCCGCAACAGCTCATCATATCCCCGGTCACCGGCACAGCGCATTATTCTTTGCTCCGGCACTATCATCATCGTTCCGCCCAACTTGGTTGATCATTGGGAGCGGGAGATCGCCACCCACACTACCGGACTGAAGGTACTCGTTTTACGAACAAGCTTAGATCGAATTCCTTCGATCGAGGTACTTCAGAATTTCGATATCATCCTCTTTTCCAAGCCCCGGTTTGAAAGAGAGGTCGGGGAACCAGTTCATAAACGTCGCCTGAGTATTCAACCCATCCAACCTGATTCGAACCTTCTTGGGCTCCATTGGCTACGAGTAATCGTTGATGAAGGCCACAACGTCGCCGGAAATGGGTCAAATATGGTCCATATGTTGAAACAGCTTCACTTCGAACGGCGCTGGATCATCTCTGGAACACCTTCCACCGGGCTCTATGGTGTGGAAGTGAGCCTTGCCTCACAGGAGGCAAATACCAGTGATACAGAATCACCCGAAGAGATTACTGCGGCGGTTTTGAAAAGCCGCAAGAAAACCGGGAATGCGGTCGACAACGAGTTGAAAGATCTTGATCGGATGCGTCGCATTGTTATCGAATTCCTTGATCTCAAACCATGGTCTAACTCGCGAGCCGATGATCCTGCGGATTGGACAAAATACATCAAACCCTTGGGCGCGGATGGACAACGCCGGAAGTCGCCATCTCTACGTGCGACTCTGCAGAGCTTAGTCGTACGGCATCAGCTACACGAGGTAAACCGGGAGATCACTCTTCCCAAGCTCTACAACAAGGTGGTCTACTTGGAGCCAACATTTCACGATAAACTTTCCATTAACCTGTTTCTCTTCGGTCTCGCGGTTAATGCGATCACCTCTGAGAGACAAGGACCAGACTATATATTTGGCAAGGAGAATCAAAAGCATCTCAATCAAGTGATCAGCAACCTACGTCAGGCTGGCTTCTGGTGGGCTGGCTCTAGCGATGTTCAGGATACAGCCGAGCATGCCCTCACTTATTTGGAGAAGAACCAGAACAAGATGACTCCAGCAGATATCAATCAATTGGAGCAAGGACTTCTCATCGCAGAAAAAGCAATCCATTCCCCCAATTGGCATGGGTTTAAGAAATACCACGAGCTTGGTGTCTTCGTGCAAGATTTCCCAGAACATGCGCGCAGTCTTTGGGCCCTTGACTCTGCTAATTCAGACCATGAACCACTTCTCCTCGGCATTACCCAAGCCCGCCATGCGCAACAATACGTTACCAAACACCTCCGCTCTTCTGACCCAGCCGAAGGTCTGCCAGGTGCTGGCATCAAGGTCCGCCGAGAACTTATCGAGCGTGACGAGAAAGCCGCACCCAGAGGTGCCCCAGAGTCAGCCAAGCCAGCGCTGAGCCAGCTAAATGGTGCGAGACCTTCAAGCAACAAATCGCCCAAGAAGACGTTTACGCAAAACAAATCTTGCTCTCTCCCAGAGACGTCCGCACTCAAGAAAACAAAACTGGTCGGGGTATCCTCCGCAAAGCTCCGCTACCTCCTCGATGAGGTACAAAAGGTGCACAAAACCGAGAAAACAATAATTTTCTACGACAACCCTAATACAGCCTTCTGGATAGCCGAGGGCCTAGAACTGACAGCGATAGACTATCGCATTTACGCCAGCACCCTCAAACCGGAGCTACGAACCTCCTACCTAAAGCTCTTCCGCGAATCCGAAGAAGTGCGCGTCCTCCTCATGGATCTTCGCCAAGCCTCACACGGTCTACACATTGCTCAAGCATCGCGCGTATTCATCGTCAACCCAATCTGGCAGCCAAACGTTGAAAGCCAGGCTATAAAACGTGCCCACCGCATCGGCCAGACGCGTCCTGTCTACGTCGAGACTCTTGTTCTACGAAACACGCTCGAAGATCGCATGCTAAGGCGCCGGAAGGAGATGTCTGAAGCGGAGATGCAGCACGCTGAGAGGAGTTTGTTGGATGATTCAACCATGGCTGATATCATTCAGAATGAGCCGTTCTTGGAAATGGGAGAAGAGGCGCTTGAGGGTATTGCGCCGCTTCAGCATCAGACTGGGTTTTTTGATGCGCATCGCCTGCCTATTCCTGATGATGAGAGGATTGCCGTTGGCAGTCCGGCTAAGCGGCGGCGTTTGGAGGGGCCGGAAGACGTTTGTGTTAGTTCTGATATAGGTGCTGAGCCGAGCGGAGATGCGCGGTCGATGGATACTGTGTCTAAACGGCCCCGCATTGGATTTGTGGAGGATGTGCTGGTTTCGGCTGATGCTGGAGTTGATGCGGGTGGAGATCTGCCACCTTTTGATATCTCTGTGCCTACTCGGCCTCGTATTGGGTTTGCGGAGGATATACAGGTCTTGAGTAATGCTGTTGAGCCATCGCCTACTCGTCCCCCTCAGAGTGAAGGGGGCAATGGTGCTGGTGATCGACGCATGTCCTTGTTCGGGCCATGATATATATCGTGTCTCGGCGTATCATTTTGCGAATTAGCGAGGCGTTGGGGTATTCTGTCCCATGTACATCACAATATATAAATACCGTTGCTCCTACTTCTTCTTTTAATATGAAGAACAAGCCAATAGTCCATGCATCTCACTTTCGTTGAACATCGTCGCATTCGTATACTTCGCACTCAAAATCATCCCAGATAAGATAAGATAGGCGATAAGCCCGATCAAACCCCTCCAACCTCGAAGCTGTCGACGATTCCTAACCTCACTCTAGTCCCTCCAAACAGCCAGAACCATAATGGCCCAAGAACCGCCCCAAAAAGCAACCATAATCGGGATTTCAGGACCCTCAAGCAGCGGCAAAACAACCCTCGCCCGCCTCCTGCAACGCATCTTCTGCGGGGTGAATCTGACAACCAATGACAACAACAAGACGAACCTAAACACGTTTATAATCCACGAAGATGATTTCTACTTCCCGGATGATCAGTATGACTCCCCAATCTGCCCAGCCAGTCCAGCCCCTGCCACACACAAACACATCCATCCACGCACCCCTACCAACAACCCGCACCAACCAATAGCAATACCTGATACCTCAAGACATCAATAATCTAACAACCCCAGAATCCCAACCGTAACTCTCCCCTCAGGCAAACAAATCCAAGACTGGGACACAGCCAGCGCAATCGACATCCCCTTCCTCTCCAAAGCACTGACATACGTCCGCGAACACGGAACCCTACCGCCCCGACTCCGCAGCAAAGAAGACCAAAATGACCAGGGAGAGAGTGGCGTCGATGATAGCCTGATCCTCCAATTGAGGGATACAGTCCAGCGGGAACTGTCGTCGATATCATCTTCGACGGAGGGCTTGATGCGCACAGTCGCGTTTCTGGAGGGATTTCTTCTTTTCAGTCCGCCTGATGGTTCGATATCTGCATCTGCATCTATGGGAAATGTAAATGAGAATGTGACTGCCCAGCAAGATAAAGACAACCACATCCTCCGCCCAGTCCACAACGCAATAAATCTACACCTCTTCCTCCCTGCACCGTATGAACTTGTCAAAGCGAGACGGGAGGGGAGGAGTGGGTATGTGACCATTGGGCCCGCGCCTGAAATCTGCGACTCTAGCAATGTCACTGACAATGGCACGAAACCCGGGTCTGGGGATGTCGATCTCGAGGGCGAGGATGATCGGCCGCCGCAGAACTTTTGGACGGATCCGCCGGGGTATGTGGATGATATTGTTTGGCCTAGGTATGTGGGGGATCATTCTTGGTTGCTTGTTGCCGATGAGAAGGGACAGGAGGAGGGAGGGGATGGGGAGGATCTTGCGGATCTTGTTAGGAGGGTTGGAGATGGGAGGAGGGTGAGGAGAGATGTTGGGGTTGAGGTTGCGCCTGGATGTGGAGAGGAGGGAATGGAGGTTGTGCTTCGGTGGTCTGTCGAGTTGATTTTAGCGTATTTGGCCAAGGGGAAGACAGTATAAGGTCTGGGAATCTCTACGTCGGGGGTATGAGGGCAAGTATTGGTTGCATTTGTAATATCTGCTGCTGCTCGACTTTGCTGTCTGGGTCCCTTCCATAGTAATGATGCTATTAGCTTTCCACTTTCATCTCCACACCACTCAACTACCAGATACCCTCACTGGTTCTCAATTGGTCCTCTCCATCCCAGGAAATAGTCAATATTGTCACGCAGGGAGAACGGGGGCAACGTAGCTGGCTCAGTCTCACTTGGAGTTGACTCTGGCTGAAGTTTCTTTGCCTCAACTGTCTCCAAATCAATCGATGCTGGTTTGAAGACTTCCACCGGGATATTTTCCATCACTGGCCAATCTTCAGGAGTGAAATTCAGCGCAGGAACCGGTATATCAGGAAAGGACAGTTGCTCTGAACAGTAAAGAGTGTAACCGCCGCTGATTTGAGCCAGGAAGCCAGAACCTTTCCGCAGGGAACATGAGTAAATAATAGTGAAAGATGCCAGAAGGGTCACCAGCTGAAACAAAAACCAGAAGATGTCCCATGTAATCCACAGCCACTGCACCATGCGAGACAAATTTGACTTTTCAAGCTTGACAAAGTCCTCTGGAGGTTCGCCACGAGGCACTTCTTCTTGGGTATCAGGGTTGGCCTCCATGACGCCCTTGCTTTCCAGCTTGAATAGGGCAAACTCCTGTTGAAGTTTCAACTCTGCCTCGCTGACAAACGGCCTGGTCTTGATTTGTGGTGTCCAGCTGACAGCTGCGTGGTATGGCAGTCTGGTTTCCCAAGTCAACATAAACACGCTCAGACTTGAACGGGGGCATGTGATGCGGACTTGACAGTTGTTAGAGCCAATATCGGTACCGTTATCGAGCTTGAAAGTCTGAAGACTATTTTGATCTGACTGGAGTTCGCCGGTGTACATACCGTCTGGGCCACCGTGAATATAGAGGTCGAAGCTACACTTCTCCGCCCAAAAGTCGCGTTGAACCAAATCGATAGAGCATAGAGCACGGTAGCTGACAAGATATCGCAATGGATCGGTATCATCATCCTTCACTTCAGTCTGGATGAGCTGGTGGACCTTGAAGTCTTTGATCAAACCGTAGAAAGTGGCGTCACAAGTCCGGAATGGGACGAGGAACCTCTGGGTGACCACAAATTGAGCAATGAGGTAGTTTTCGGCAATCTTGTTTCGCTTGAACCCCGTGGTGCGATATTCCATGCCTTGGCCACGTGGGGTTCGGAAGTATAGATATCCATACTCATCGGGACAAAGTTGAGGCAGTCCAGTTAGAGCCACTTCCCACCAGTTATTTTGTCCCTTTCTCACATGAATGGAAACCTTGATTGACAGCTCGTATGTGGCGGGCCATATAGTAGGAGAGGTTTGCATGTAGATGGTGTTCTCGATTATGATGAGCTGAGCACCTGCATTAGAGCTTGGTGCAGATGAACGTCGTGGAGTGAACAGTCGAGCCAAAGGAACCCCAAAGACACCACCGCAATCATCATCATCGTTGCCGGATGAAATATCGGACTCGTAATCAGCAAGGCTGTCTTCTTTGCCTCCGAAATGTGAAGAGTTTCCGGGGGAAACAATGGTAGAGAGAGCATCTAGCTTTTGCTTTTTCTCATCAATCTCTGGGGTACGCTTCGAGTAGTCCTGATCATGAGGTCCAAGAGAAGCCCATGCATCAAAGAAACCCTCCTCTTCACCATCATTTCCTTGAGCAGTGTTTCTAGACGCATCCTTCCCAGGCGAAAATTGCCTCTGAAACAGGTCACTATTCTCAAGCCGACGAAAGTCCACCGCAGAAACAGGAGCCGAATCAGTAGGCAACGGGACTCTCTCGGGCAGAACATCCATATCCAGACTAGCTGGACGAGGGATGGAAATGGGCCGAGAACGATGCCGGAGAGGACTGTCATTGCTGTCGTCACTGGGAACCTTAGCAACAGGCACAGGAACAGGCACAGGCACATGCACAGAAGACCCCGGTGACGCCAGCTTTGGCTTGACAACAGTCACAGTATGTCCCTTTCCATCACCATCATACCTCACATCGCGATCCTCATCCGGGATAGAGTCAGGAAGTGATGCAGCCGTCGCAGTACGCTTACGAGAATTCGGGGACCTGGAGGGAGTCGAGAGATCCGAGAGACTCGTATCGGCCTGGGTATAAAGGACGCCGATATTCACTGGGCGGGTGGATTCTTCTGGAGATCCAGGACTGAACATGAGGCTTTTTGTGCCGGACGCATCACTGTCTTCATCTCCATCGACGAGTGCGTCGAACTTGGATTTGGTGGCAGATTCGATTTTCTTGTATTTCCCTTTGTTTTTGATTGAACTATTGGGTGTCACTGGGGCATCGGTGAATGGCCGTGTGGTATCGGATGCGCCATCTGCACCTGTACCTGTGTATGCATCGCCATCGGTGCGTTTGCTTTCGCTCTTTGATTTGTTCTTTGGGACGATTGAGAATGTTGGACCCCCTACCATATATGGAGAGTGAATATTGAAGACTGGCAGGCGAATATTTGGAGTACACCAGGCCTGAGATATAAATGATCAGTATCGGTGACTGCTCGTGTGGTTCTGGATCAGTGGTCAGTGTGGGTGGTGATGGCTTACCTCGATGGCGATGGAGACGTCCACTGCATCATTCGGGCTTCCTGTCCAATCGAACCAGATATCCAGGTTACTGAAGGGACTTGACCCCATAGATGCGGGTGTGTCGTCCATGGTTGACAGGGAGAGATGTCGTAGCAATGATCTGAGGGATAAGTTTCAGGGCAGGAGTCAGGGCGACCAAAGCTAGAGCTATCAGGATCTTGATCTCATAAATCAGAGTCTCATGGCTCAAACTCATGGCAGAGGAAGATTGGCGAAGCGATAGGGAGAAAGAAAAGAAAAGAGAAGAGAGGAGAGGAGAGGAGAAACAGCGAGGAAGACAATACCGAAAGGGAAAGAAGAGAAAGAACGAGAGCGTGGAGAATACGGAAGGAACGAACAGTGTAAGAATAAGCCATTGCATTTCCTCCTCATACATCGTCAATTAAAAGAAGACCCAGTGGAAGGGTTGTAAGGAAAGAGGTATATACAAGAAGGGCTTAAGAAATAGAGCTCTCCAACCCCAAAGAAAGAACCTCCCCTTTTATATCCGCCAGCGCCTGTAACAAACCATAAAACATAATAGAACACTCTAAAAACAAAAGAACAAAAGCAACTAGAACCCACCCCAATCATTGATCATTGAGGCGTTCCAGTCGTAGAGTCGGGATCAAAGGCTGCGGGGCCGGCCACGGAGCCAAAACGATCGACCATTTGAGAAGGAAGAATAGGGGTGGTCGCTTCTGGAGGTTGGTCGAAATAACCTCGAGATCCATTCCCCATGTCGCGGTTGCGCTGCAACGGAGGAAGAATAGTAGAGCTAGCGGGAGGATATCCGGTCCGGGCGTATCCCTGAGCCATCATCGCTCCAGTCGAATCCGGAGTCTGTCTCAAAAAGACCACCTTTTTAGCTGGGTACTCACTGGTTTGCAGAGGGGTGTCGTACAGGAGTGCCAGGCTGGTTCATTGCCATCAGTTGTCCCACAGCGGCCTGCTGGCTGGATCGACTTTGACCGGAAGGATCGGGCATCTGAGTCATGGGGGCTGACGGTTGCATCCCGGAGTACATCTGGCACTGGGTTAGTGACATGGCCGATCTAACGAACGTGTGATACGAACCCCATAGTCAGGCACCACCTGGCCCACTCCACCCACCTGGCCTGCGTACGACGGCATCGCTTGCGTCGGATACGTCCCTGGTTGACCCGCGTACATGGCGGTTGCTGGCTGGCCGTAGGCATCCATCTGGCGAACCATCCGGCCATCGGCGTCGTAGATACCCTGTCTGCCGTAATCGACCGAGGTACGGTGGCGCTTGACTGGAGGTGCTCCATAGTACGTGTAGTCGCGGGCTGCCGCTGGATAACCACCATAGCCAGAAGTAGGCGGAATAGGCACAGTCTGCCGCTCCGGTGATCGAGCAGGGATGTTTTGGTGAAATTCCTCCGGTCGTGGAGCTGAACGTTTCCTGGGGGGGCTGTCAGCTACCTTGATTCCTCTCAATAGGATCTTTCTAGCCGGGTCTGCCACGTACAGCATAGTTCTAGGCTCCTTGCGAATGCGCAATTTGACTCCCTGGTCTGCAAAAGACCGGGAAAGGAACGTTGATTCCATCATTCCTGGGAAGCTCTTTGGAGGAGACACTGCCACCCTGGTCAGCTCCCATTACGCCACTCTTGCAGCGGAGGTCTTACCTGTGAACCGTTCGGAAATAATGGTCTTCAAATAGGTCACTTGCGATCTAGCAGCTGGTTAGCTTGCGTTTGAACCCTGTTCCCGACCGTGCAACTCACTTGCGCATCTCGAACAAGGTGAACTTGAGGCGAAAGTCGCCCTCAATCTTGACCGACAGATCGCCAAAGACGAAGAATCCTCCATCTACAGAGGTCAGCGAAGCTCTTTCGCTCTCTTTCTTTCTCTCACCCTCCCTCTCTCTCGGATCAGTACTCACCACTGTTGTCCACATCCTTCAGCCGGTGAAGGGACGACACCAGGGTTCCTGCCAAAGCAGTTGAAGGTGCTACAGGCACCGGATGATCTTCCGTGGCATCGTACAAGCTGCAGCACATAAAATAGTACGGGCTTTGCAGATAATGCCTGTTTACGAGTCAGCCCGCTCTTCTCCCCCGTCGCATGACCACTTACTGTGCGAGGTAGGTGCCCTCCTCTCGCACTCGGAGCTGAACGATCGGAGGCGGATCGATCGGCTTGCGCTCTGGAAGCTATTAACCAACGGTCCCTGCCAGAACCCAGCTGCATACATACCTTTCTCCTTACCCCCCGCCACGCGGGCCCGATTGGGCTGCTGACGAATGGTCAAGTCAAAGTCAGAACTGGTGTTCAACATAGTCAGTGGGAAGCCCTGGACCACGGCGTAAGAGTTGCGACCCTGTCAAAATAAGCGGGCAGAACGAACCTCTGGGCTTCGCGCGAGAGAGAGGAGTCGCTATACGTTGCACTCATCAAGACGAGGAGGGGCAAATGGGGGGGTAGTGATTCGAAAGGCGGAGAGAACCCAGGTCACGATCCAAATTAGGTGAACCACAGGATCAAGGGTATAGGAGAGACCAGGCAATGGTGATCTGTGGTTTTACAGGGAGAGAAAACGATCTTGAACGATCAGGGTTTGGGACCAAGATAAAAAAGTCTTTGGTCGCGGGGGAGAGTGAGCAAAGATAAGGAGAGTGTGTAGTGGTAATAGCTGTTGGAGAGGGTGGGGGGGGGGTTGAGTTGGGTTAAATTCGAGCCAAGGGCAACAGAGAAGAGAGAGAAGAGAGAGTTGGGGAAGTTGGAGGTTTGAAGGGACTGAAAACGGCCAAGTGGTGTCGTCAGTCTGCAAGCGGAAACCAAAACCTTGTGATACTCAGTTAGAAAGAAAGACAGTTTCCTTAAGCCCATTAAGTGCCCCGAAAAAATTCAAAAAAATTCATTGGATCACAAGCGCCCGAATCTTCCACTCAGGAACAAATCAGATGGGAGAATCGCCCATTACTGAGCGCACATAAAAAAAAAAGAAAAATGAAATGGAAAATGAAAAAAAAAAAAAAAAAAAAAAAAAAGAATCATGCAACTAACCAGAAATGACGGGGAAAATTCCGTCCAAATGGCCGTCAAATCCTCCAGAATCAAAAAGACAGAGTCGTGGCCAATTCCACGCCGTGGTATTCAAATCCTCCCGGAGGAGAGAGAGCCCAAGGTAGTAGCTGGCAAATCAAGCACAGCTGAAGTGGAGTCCACCGTTGGACGAAAGAAGAACAAAAGACCAAGCCCCCAAATGACAGAGGCCGAAAAAAGTGGAAAGGGTTCAGCTGTCCACGGGAGGCAAATGGCGATCCGGATGATGCGGACATCCAGGCTTCTAGGCTTCTTTTGTCACTGCCAGGAACCCACTGGCCCTACCCACAAGGTTGGCGGCTATGCAGGTGATCAGACCCGGTTTTCTTAGCTTAAACGCCAGGACTCGGGGCCCGCGTCTATGTGGATATATCATTGAGAGTCCCCAAGGAACTAGTGAAGAATTAGCTCTCTGACGATAGAATCCGTGGAAAAGAGCGAGTCCGGGAGAGCTGCCCCAGGCGCGGATCCATGACAAAGTCTTATGTCATCACTGGGATCCCGTGTTCGCCGGAAAGGGGAACAACCGCGCTCAGCCACAGGGCCATCCACAAGACCCTCCACAGGCATATCCAGAGAGACAGGGACAACGAGGGGGACAAGAGGGGAAATACCTGTCAGCAACCAGCAAACACCGTCGTGGGTGCTGGAATCACCGTTCGTGAGGAATGTGTCTGTCAGCCCCAATGGCGGGGTTAAGCGCGTGGCCGCGACGTGATCGCTGAGACAATCCCAGGCCAAACCAGGCAAATCTGCCACACAGAAGAGTCGTGCGGGTCGAGAGACGGTTCAACAGCACACAACACACAATTGTGCCAGCAATGCTCAGGGCACACAGTCCCAGAAATCGCGCACTGAAGCGCAGCGTGACGCGAGCCAGAGCGCAAACCGAGGTTAATCCGACTGGACCAGCGATACATGCCGTGTCATGGCGCGACAAGAAGACGAGTCAAAGATTCCAGTCGGGGGCAAGTCCAGCGAAGAGGCAAGTGAAAAATGGAGGGGAAGGCACGAAGAAATAAGAATGGAGAAAAAGCCCGCACTGCAAGTCGGACGCACGGCGGTTTAGGGGGGCACGACTGAGGTGAGCTGAGATGCGTCACATTAGCATTCAGCCATGCAGATGGATGATCGGGCTGCAAGCTACTGCAAGTTGAGCCACACGGGGCGCTGGTTGGGTCCCACACTGAGATCCTGAAAGCTAGGACCTGGGTGCAGGTGGTAGCACGGCGCGCGATCGGGCAGCGTGCGTCAGCCTCCAGAAAATGAATCAATAAAGCATGGCTGGGTGGGGGCGTGCTGCAGATCGGGTGTTTATCGGTGTTGACCAAGTTGTGGACGATGGGGGCGCCACAATGTACCCTGGATTCTGCGGCTGAGGATTTCCGGTGCTGCTTTTTGGGGGAGAACTTCGGGGAGCTGCCGTGGGGAGGCGTTCGCACACCTTGGGACTTGCATCGTGCTAGCGATGCATCTGATATTCCCATGGGGACTTGGCATCCCAGATGGGAGACTCGCTCCATTAGCATTGATTGTCATGGAGGGGATGGCTGCAGATGCATGTCAAGCGTCTCCATATCCATCTCCGCATCTGGATAGTATCATGCAAGGGTAGAGCGAATCAGATGCCCAAAATCCCGACTGACATCAAAGCATTGGCCAGATGGGTCCCGAGAACTAAGTCAGCAATGAGACCATCTGCGATTGGTCCCCTTCAAGCCGGGAAAAAAAGGAGCTGAAAAGTAAGGGCACAAACTCAGGGCAATCATCTGTTCCTGAAATTCGGTAGGCCCAGACACGGTAGAGATGCACATCATTATGCGATAAACCCCCGTGAACGCTAGACCTGTCACTTTGTTTTGACTTTCGGGACTGGATTCCGGAGCGATGTTTCCTGAGCCTGAGAGGGGGGGAGAGAGGGAAAGCCATGGAAAGCCAATTCAAAGACTCAAGAATCATGACGTGGTCATCAAACTCTCAGATATATTGTGAGGGAGATCCCTGGGCCGGACAGCAAAAGGAAGAGAGAACTGAGGAAATGAAGAAAAGAAAGTTCCAGTGCGAAGATCGAAAAAAGAGCGACTAAAAAGGAAGCGAGTTTTCGAATTTTTTTTTTTACTTTTCAAAGTACAACGCATCCTGCATAATCCACTGCGGTCCCCGAGTGGAAAACCGGGAACCCGTTAGTGTCGGGGAGACCACCTGGTATATAGCAGGGTATAGGGGCACTAGTCTTGACAGGGTCTACGGGTTGACTTCAAACCCTGAAGAATTAACGTTAACTAACCGAGGCAACGGGAGTAAAAAAAAGATAAAAAAAAAGAGGGAAAAATAACCACACCAGTGCGGGATGGGGCGGGATAGGGGAGAATTTTAGGATCAACCGGACAGAGAAACCAAAAAGGGAGGCGCATATCTGACAGCGGCCTACCCCATTCTGAACCAAAGGAGGTTGGGGCTACACAATTATGCTTAAATGGGATTCCGCTTGGGTTCCATGGTTGTGTCCTGACAGCTTTGCTGCTCTGACCGCCGATCTTGCCGATCTAAGGCTTCGATGAGGCTACTGTAGGGAAAAAAATATGATATATGATATCATTTCGGACTCGACTCTACTGTAGATGAAACACAGTGTAATCTGATCTGTATAACGTTCGATCCTCAGAGTTACAGCCACTGGGCCGGGAAACACTTATCACCGTCACCTTCCTAAAGAGGGTTGGGCTGGAAAATTCCCCTAACAGGGTGGATTCTAAGCCTCATCTCCTGATTAGGAAAATCACGACGGGCAAGTTCATATTGCATACCGCACCAGATAACGACTGTGTCGCAGTAAAACAAGTGGCAAGACTATCCCACACTGGAACAAGACTACCTGCAAGACAAAAAACAAACAAATGATATCACTTCAACGGGACCAAACACGTAACTAGACATGATCTCACATCGCCCATACATAAATGGAGATCCCTCCTCGATAGAATACATCAGATAAGCCGCAGGTCAACCATGGCCTCGGGTCGAACAATTGACTTTGGCCTCGTATTTCCTGCAGGTGCACATGGCCTTGTTGGGCTGGACTGTGCTCATGTGGGTGTGGGAGCCCCTAATTCAGCAAGGGCCTTTTGAAATTGTCATAGCGTTTCCCCACTGTGTAGATTTCCCCCAAGTCTACTCGGTCGATCTGGAACTTTTCATAATTTTTGATTCGGATACTAGCTCTGCTGTACTTGTTTCTTCTATTTTTTCCATGAATGGTCCTCGAGGAATTTTTTTTTTCAAGGTCAACTTGCAGACTAAGAGTCTGTTTCTATATACTGTAAAACATAAGTCCGCTTAAGCCTCGACACGAGTCCTGCATGCGTTTCTTAGGTCTGACTTAGTAAATTAGACTTTTCTTCTACATGAACTGCATAGTTCAACTCATGTGCCTCACACCCTGAATCGAACATGTCATAAACCTACAGTGGGCGCGACACGACTTTCAACTGTATGACACGCGACGGTGAATTACCACATCGGGCTAACAACGTTACATTACTAAACATGTCGAGCAGGAGCAAGATCAAACTTTATACAATACGAATTGGAGAAGAATACCAGCAATTGATACATTGACACGGATGCTAATCACACACTGTACTAATTCCTCGCAGCTAGAAAGGGAAGAGAAAATAAAGCACCTGAACAAAGCAGAGCAGGAATGAGAAAAAGAAGGATAATGAAGAAAAAAAAGAAAAGAAAGAACTCCAGACACCCCGCCCTGCTCCTTGCTGGATGAAAAAAAGGGACTAGTCAGAAAACCAAAGAGGATCGACGACATAACAGGTATATCACGCGACACATTGATATCGATAATCAGACCCTTTGAACGGGCCACATAATACCACGTAGCTAATATTCCAACGTGTAAACGAAACAGAAAAAGAAAAAAGCCGAATAAGATATTAGATCGACTGGTGGAATAGGAGTGGAATATTGCAAGACCCGAAGACCCGAAGACCCGAAGACACGGACACAAAGGAGAAGAAGAGTGGGAATGAAATGGGAATAGAGCAGAGCGGCAAAGAACCAAATCCCATCATACAAACGCCCTATCCACATGCGTAACATTTGGCAGGCAAAAAAAAATCACAATCACAACTGCCCCATCGCTAATCGTGAAATAAACACCCGAATCAACCCCGAACGTGGTCATCATGTCTGCATCACGACGTCGCCGTCTACTTCATACTCGGCGTCCGCATCTGCGTCTGAGTCGGCGTCGATGCCATTTGTGTTGACAGACTTGGCACCTTCGCCTTTGCCCTCTGACTTCGAGGCGGAACCTGGTTCCGCGGGGACCATGAATTGGACCTTTTCGACTAGGGCTTTGCGGTTGACTGAGCGGGGTGTTTTGGGATTATCGTTTGACCGGTGAGATCGCAGGGAGATGGCTGTCTCTGGAGACCGAGACGGGTGTTTGCTTTTCTTGTCGGGTGTCTTCAGCGGCTCGCTGTTCTCTGGGACCTTGGGTGATCTGATGCCGTTGGTCTGAGGAGGTGCGTCGCGAGTAGTGTTGCCATTGACACCTTCTGTTTCAACGGCTGCGTCGACTTCTGCTACAGGCATGTCATCAACCTCGCCGTCGGCATCCACGTCATCATCAACCACGGCTTCTTCCTCGATCTCGTGACCTCGTTCTAATCCAAGGATGCTGGAGTGGGAGGGGGTTGCATCGGCTGCGGGGGATTCTGCGACAATGGAGCTCCGTCCGCGACGAACACTGCCTCCTGGTGTGAACATTGCCAGCGCAGATGGCCGTCGAGGGGTGTTGCGACCACTGTTACGGGGAACCGAAGGTGTCAGGGATGCTCGATGGTTGTCTTTCTTCGTACTGCCAAATGGACGACCAGGCTTGCGTTTAGGTGCTGCGGCTAGTACTGGAGGCCAGAGCTCGAACCGAGATGGTGGAATTCCAGCTGCAGGGTTGACGGGTGGGAGTTCAGAGTGTCCCGCTGCGTGGTGGTGATGATGGTGATGATGGGCGCCACTGGAGTGGAGAGTCATTGTGGAGGGCGGCCCAGCAGGCTCATCAAGTGCATCCGGACCGGAACCATTCATTATGGGGGCATCTTCGACCTCAACCTCTTCATCTTCGTCAGGGTCATCCCTCTGAGCAACTGCATGCATAGGAGCACGGTCGAAGTGTGACTGGTTGCTACGTCCCATGATATAAGGTGTCCAGAGAAGGGCATCCTCGTTCAGCTGAACGTAACCTTTGCTCTCCCAACCGCTGATTACCTCGTCGTAGTACTTGTGGTCGAGTCGGATTGCGTAGGTCTTGGTAATGGGATCCCGCACGAGAGCCCGAAGTCCTTCGAGGGCAGAAACGATATCGTCTGCCGTCATTCCGGTTAGGTCAGACAGATCAGCGATGCTGACAGGTGTCTTCAGATCGCGAAGCTGGTACGACAAGATGAGTCGCCAGTAGTTTCGATAAGAGACCAACCCCATGTCAGAGAGTGGTTTCTCGGGAGATCCGTTCTTGCCTTCAATGCGAGTGAGGAGGTAAGAGAAGTCGATGAGAAGGTTACCATAACCTTTTCGCTGATGAATAGGTAGGGTGAGAATGCAGGAGACGTTGTTTGCCGAGCTGGGACGCTTTTCTTTACTGAAGTAGCCAACAAAATGGCAACCTAAGTCGTCGTACTCGGTCATCACGTAGAATAGGAAGGGCTCAACATCGTAGTAAAGAGTCTTGGAGCCAAGGAATAATTTGGCGAGAAGGCAGAGGTTTTGACAGTAAACGGGGTTCTTCCGTCCATCGACCTCGAAAATTGAAATGGATCCGTCGCGGTAGATCTCGTCCCCAGGAGGGTGCTTAGCAGGACACTTGAGCTTGTGGCGCCAGGCGACATAGTCCGAGTTCATGTATTTGAGACAAAACTCGCAAATGTATAGGACACGGTTGCGACTGTATTCCTCCGGGTAAGGCGCAGCGTACCAGGTTTCGATCTCATAGCCACCAAAGTTGATGTATTTGATCTTTGAGGGAGGGCCAGAGACTTTTTGGGAGGCATGTGGTGTGTGTTCGCCATTGAGTTCTGCCTCTCTGACCTTTTGTTGCCATTCGTCTTCGGCTTTCAGGCGAGCCTGTTCGAATCGTTCACGATCGAACTGTGTGGGAAGTGTTTTGGAGGTGTCTTGCTCAACCTCGGTCAGGATGCCCCCATATGGTTTAGACTTGGGGTCATCGGTCTCTCGGTCAAACAAGGTGATGGTGTTATAAGATACAGGAGGAAGCGGAACAAAATGTGCTTGAGGTTCTGGAGGGGCGACTGGTGGCTTTGGGGCTTTCTTCTTCTTGCGTTGTGGTCGGGCTTGGGCGCCTGTGATTTTAGACATTCTGGTCTCGTCAAGTCGGAAGCCAACGATCAGTTTGCCGAATTGTCTTGTTACTACACGGCAGTGTTCTCGATCTAGAGCACGTGTGCGCCTAACACGAACGGAACGCGTCCGAGCAGGAGAGTGAGGATCGATCTCGGCAGCATCGGCAGCACCATCGAGGGATGTGTCGTTTAAACCGGGACGCTCGCCGCGGAATGACGTTTGACGTAACCTTTTTCGAAGAACAGGTACGTGGTCTTCGGCTTCGATTGAAGATGCCTTGCGTTTGCGAAGCGATCGAGAGCTGTTGAGCATCTCATCATTGACTCCCGTTTCGAAGATTGAGTGAAATCCTTCATCGTGAGTGCCTGCATGTGCAGGGAGAAGTTCTTTCGGGAGAATGGAGGCTTTATGTGCTGGCACCTCGTGCTCCATCGGGTCAGGTTTTATATTATCACGAACACAAGTGAGACACCTCCACGGGTCTGTTCCTGGCAATGTTAGTCGCCGGGTGGGCCTTAGCAAATATTTTGACATACCTTCAGAATCATCGAACGCTTCTTGCTCGCGAGCGCATTGGCGATGAGCTAAAGATGTGTTATCAGCGACCGAACGGGGTTCAAAAAAAGGGATTTGCTCCCGCAAACATAACATACAATGATCACCACAGACAATGCAGGTCAACCATTCCTCGAAATCTTCACTTGGGTCGTGTTCTTCGTCTTGACTGCAAAACCTATTCGCCCGTCAGTACCTGCATATGCTGGCTGCGGCGGCGCCTGAACTATCCACTTACACGCAATTTGTGCGACTGCGGATATCAGTCTCGATGTCTTCATTATCATTGCTCTCGGCCTCCCAATCTTCAGCCTCTGATTCGTGATCAGTGGACTCGGGTTCTGATGCATCACGGTCGTTGACTTCAAATACGGGGTCGGCATCCGCATCAGCTGTCTCAGATTCCGCATAGTCATCTTCGGATGGCACATCCTCGTCGGGAAGCTTAACAGCACCCACAGGCTCTGCCTCGTCATTATCGCCACCATCTCCATTCAGGCCGTCGGCGCCAGCACTTCCGTCCGCAGCTTCGTCTGGCCCATCTTCATCGGCCTCTCCAGTGTATGCTCGATGCACAGCATCTTGGAGCTGTTGGTCCATCTCATATAGGTCGGTTTCTTCCTCTCCCTCCGCATCGAGATCGCTGTCGGCCGGGTCCACAGACGGGTGGGTTTTACCCGGTTCATCGTTTGCTGGCGGCACGGTCGCCGCCATAGTGTAGGTTACCGCGACAGCCAGGTTGAGCGCAGTCCTATGGTATGTGCCTGAGCGGTACAGAGGCTTGGTTATAGAAGCTCAAACCGATCTGGTTACAGGAGCACCCCGCTGACGTCGGCGCTGATCCGGGGGTGCATCTGGATCTAACACGAGATTTGCGGCGTAGTCAGATGTTGCCAAAGAGGTTCCAAGGCACAAATAGCGATCGAAATTGACCCTCAACGTCGCAAGGCGCAAAGTGGAAGCTAGACAAACAAGAGGTGTCAGTCCGCCGCTGGAGGTGGCTCGAGCATCGCAAACGCGTGTCGCAAATCGAAGAGAACTCACCACAAAGAAAATCAGTAGAATCTTTGAAACAAAAGCGTACCAGACGCGTCGAAGGACAGTCCACACACCGGGGCCTGACTCTTTTACAATCGAATGCGATCCGCAACGGCCTTCACGCCCCTTGTCCTGCCTGAGTGTCGTTGCAGCGTGCTGACTCAGCGCGGCTAAGCCACTTTGGGTGGAGGAGACCTCAAGCCCGTCGCCGTGCGAAGAGACACTCCCCTCCACACTCTCCGCGATTTGTCCACTCTGCTCAATCCGTGAGAGACTGCGCGGCTCTTGAATCTACGTCTGCACATCCTTCCGCTCCATCGCTCACCTCCGAACCGCACATCATGGGTGTTCCTTTTGAGGCCTTGCTTCCCTATGGAATCATTATCGGCGTGCGTATCATTGGTCAATTGCTTTAGGGCTACAACTCACCAATGCTACAGATGTTTGGCGTGACTGGCTACGGTCTTCACTACGTCAAGCGCTTCGCCAACGATGGCAAGAAGGCACGCTGGAACCGTGACCTGTGGGACAGAGTAAGTCATTCCTTGTCGGCTGCGGTCGGAACTCACCTAGAATGCTTGCTAACACTCAAAACAGCAAAGTAAGTTATAACCGAACCAACAACCGCAACGACTCGAAGCCCCTCAAAGAACCTTGCCAGGCTGACAATTCGCGAACAGTGATGGAGCGAGACCAGAGAATCACAGGTGCATTCCGGGCACAATCCAGCAATCACCAAGCACCCCCGGATTCGACGTCAGCAACCCGTGGAAGGTACGACATCACAGGCAACTCGATTTTTTGGAATCCGCTAACCAGGCCTACAGATGGAGAAGCGGATCTACTAGACTCAAAATTGCAACCTCGTTTTCCCGTTACGCTCTATGCCTGCGCCTTCTTCTCTTCCGTGATCATACATATCCACTGCAATTTATCTAGAAACGCTGTACCATATCCTATTTACATTTGGATTTCCTCGTAGCCCACCAAGGCCTATTTGAGTTGCGAGGGCAAGTTCCGAATACCTTGAATCTCACTTGCGCGAAGGTGCATATCAAAGTACTTGGCCAAGGCCTTGATCCGATCTTCTTCGTTTTGCATCACCTGCAAGACCTCTGTTTGCCCACGCATTCTCTGTTTGACTTCTTTGCCCGCCATGATGCACTGTCCTACGATCTCCTTCCCACTTTCGTCCATGAGGAACCGCACACAGACAAATCTCTGGGTGAACCAACTGGCTCGGTTCTTGCTGACGGAGAAGTTCATGACTCCAAAATCTTGAGGCAAGAACTCCTGTTCCGAAAAGCAGATCTGGGATAGCCAAGAGCTCTCCGGGTTGTATCTTGTCTGATAGATCCAGACCTTCTGAGTTGGATCAGTGAATTCAATGATGTTTTCCTTGACCAGACGCATCTCAGACGGCGTAATATGCGTAGCAGTAGTTCCTTCTTCCAGTGGCAGCGGGGCAGTAGCACCGTTATTCCCGAAGCCCACATCAACCTATCCGGTCAGCGTAGTCCACGAGTAAATGCAGGATCCCATCACGTACCATATACCTCTTCCCGTCAATATTCACAATCAGAACCATATGAGTCCTTGACCAAAACAGTTAGCTAATCCATTCTATACCCTAGGATACATCCCCTGCTATTCAACCCCGAACTTACACTGAAAAGAACAACCCATTATCAACACCCGTCTCGGCAGCCTGAGCAACTCGACCACCAGTAGGATACACCAAATACCCCAAAGACCGCAAGATAATTAGAAACATCCCCGTGCTCTCCATGCAATACCCATCCAGTCGTCTCTCCACCATCTTCTCGAACAGACTCTCTGGGTCGAGCGAAATAGTATGATGGCGCGAATAATGCAATTCCGAATTACCCCAGGGAATCGCAGTCAGATGACGCCGCTGTAGCTCACACAGCGTGGCATAGGCATCCTTTTCTATACTCTGGCGCACATCCTGGAGGAGATTTGTCTCTGTTCCTGTGGATCTGGAGTATGCAATGCGCTGGAGGTATGTTTCCAATTGAGATTCGGTGTAGGTTGGCTTAGTGGCCATATTGGTTTGTATGGAACAGGGATATCTCAAGATGGAATTGACTGGATGAACAAGAATGCAGAACCTGGGGAACGTGGAGGAAGCCTGTTCGGAATTGTTCCACGTGTGGATATAGTCCACGTTGATGACCAATTTCTTTGGCTCGGCATTTGGTCAACTGCCGAGCAGTTGGAATAGATTCCATATTCAATTCTGATATTCTGATATTCCTGATATTATTGACCAGCGGACCGTGAATCAGTCCGGTATAGAGTCATCGTGCATGCAGAAAGCTGCACCGTCGGATCATCCTCGGCTATACCACATCCGCGGGGAAATACCGATAGGTCTGCCATAGCATGTGTACCAAACAGCCTTGAATAAAGCAAGATATGTAAATTGAAATGGCAATTGCAAGACTTTTCAATCAACCTGTATTATCGAACATACTATGTTGGGTCAACCCCAGCGCGATGATGTATTCATCCGATATCCGGACATGCGGACATGTGCTCGACGGCTTTGCCCGATCCTTTCCTTGATACTGACCTATTCTCCTGGATATCTTCATTCAACTAACTATACGATTACCAAGATCTGTTCCGCTCCACCTTCCGCGCAATATAAACCATGACTGTATTGAAAGAGCAACTCGCAACTCTAGTCAAGAATTACTCGGCTTGTGATGTATGTCTAGCCGAACCAAAACAGTGCCACCTCTGCATAAGATGACCACTCCTCTAACAAGATATCTCCGCAGGTCTCAGACGCCCTGATCAAACTCCAGAAAACACCAGAAGGAAGCACCCCTCGAGCAGGGTACCTCGCAGACCTAGGTAAACCACCACCACCACCAACCAACCCCCCAGAACCAACCCCAGCACCCAGTAACGTTATACTAAAGAACCCCAACCCCCAAACAGTGCCCTTCTCCCCAATAACAGGCCGAAATGACCAATCCGCCAAAATCGCCGCCCCAGCAACAACATTTAAATTCATCTCCAAAAGCGCCTCGCCACCAGGTATAGCAACAGAACAACGCTCGAAACACGGCTTCGAACCAGGTAGGCACTGGGTTGACCATGTAGGGGAATACGCAGCAGCGGATCCATCCGGGGCCGGGTCAATTGTCGTGATTGAGCAGCCGGAGGATCAGTTTTGTGCTGTTACAGGTGGGATCATGGCGACGAGGATGGTTGCGGTTGGGATTGTGGGGACTGTGGTTAGTGGGCGGGTTAGGGATTTGGGGGAGTTGAAAGAGACGGGGCTTCCGGTTTGTTTTTTTTCCCTTTTTTTTTTCTCTCTCTGTTCTTGATTATTGTGTTTGGGTTTGTTTGGGTTGACGCTGATTTCTGTTACAATGGAATAGATCTGGGCCCGGGCTACGTCGACGGTTGGGACGAATGCCGAGGCCAAAGCTGGGGCTCGTGATGTGCCGGTTTGTATTGGGGGTGTTACTGTTTCGCCGGTGAGTTTGGGATTACATGGGTCTGATTTTATGGCGCGGTGCTGACGAGACGGTAGGGGGATATTATCTTCTGTGATCCTTTGGAGGGCGTGGTTGCTATTCCTCGTGGATTGCTGGACCAGGTGCTTGAAATCATGCCTCGGTTGATTGCGATGGATGATCAGGCGAAGGCAGCTGTTGCCCAGGGTATGAGTGTTACGGATGCATTCAAGAAGTTCCGCTCTGGGGTGTGATTTGAGTGTGGTTGATGCGCCATATTGAAGAGAAACTGGGGATATAAGCACAGTCAATGGTATGCTCCGATGGTCATCAGTACATACTTCTACGTAGTTGTGATTATATCTCAGAGAGAGACAGTACGCGCAGCGTAGGTAGAAGTAAAAGTTGTTCAATCTCGTGGTATTCAATACATGGCAAGAAATCTGTGTGTATAAGGGAAAAGAAAACGTAAAATGCCAAATCGCTAGTTCAATGTACAATCGAAAGCATATGCTTTACTTATTCGGCAACCCAGACAGCGGCCATACCCATGCCGGTACCGACACACATGCTGGTGACACCGATCTTCTTGTTTGTGCGCTTCAACTCAGTAAACAGAGTGCTGACCTGGCGGGCACCAGTGCAGCCAAGAGGGTGACCGAAAGCGATAGCACCACCCTTAGGGTTGATCTTTTCCTGAGGGATGCCAAGCTCGTTGACACACCAGACGCACTGGGAAGCGAAGGCCTCGTTGATCTCATAGATGTCCACATCATCCTTGGTGATGCCGGCCTTCTCCAGAGCAACGGGGATGGCCTTCCAGGGACCAACACCCATGAGCAGGGGCTTGACACCGACGATGCTGGCGGCAACATACTTGCCAATAATCTTCTGGCCCAGACGCTCGGCGGTGGAGCGCTTCATGAGGATGACGGCGGCAGCACCGTCGGAGATCTGGGAGGCGTTACCAGCGTGGATGGAACCATCCTTGGCAAAGGCGGGCTTGATCTTGCCCAGAGACTCGGCGGTGATGCCCTCACGGATGCCGTCGTCGGCCTTCACGGTGATGGTCTTCTCCTCGCCGGTCTTGGGGTCGGTCCACTTCACGTCCAGGGGGGCGATCTCCTCGTTGAAAAGACCGGCCTTTTGAGCCTTGAGGGCCTTTTGGTATGAGTTGGCGGCGAAAGCGTCCTGGGCAGCACGGGTCACACCACGGTCCTTGGCCATGTTCTCGGACAGAACACCCATGGGAACCTTGCAGTTAGCCGACTCGGGGTGGTTCTCGAGGAGCTCGGAGAACTCAGTCACGGCACCGGGTCTATAGAAATTGTCAGATGGAGTTGAGAGAAAATCATACGCTGTACGTACCCATATTGAGAGGACATGCTCTCGACACCAGCACCAATACCCACGTCGATCATGCCGGACTGAATACCGTTGGCAATATCTGCAATGGCCTGGAGACCACTGGAGCATTGACGGTTGAGACTCTTGACAGCAGTGGTCTCGGGGAAGCCAGCCACGAGAGCAGCGGCACGGAACTCAGTGGCACCACCACCGGGAGGGAGGACAGAGCCAACAGCAATGTCCTCCACGGCCTTGGGGTCGAGACCACTCTTGTCCAGGACAGCCTTGAAGACACCGGCAAGCAGATCAGCAGCAGCGGTATCCTTGAAGCCACCCTTACCACCCTTGGTGAGGGCAGTTCGCAGGGCACATGTCACGACAATGTCATCGGGGTGCTTCTCGGTGAGGGCAGCGGCTCCCTTCTTGCCGAAGTGGGAGGAAACCTGGTTCAGGCGTTGCTGAGCTATAGATCGAGGTTAGCATACTTTTTCTTTGGCGTCCACTCGTCGCAACGGCCACCAAAACCCATATTCAGCCGAGTACGGTGTGGCTTGCATATGTTACGTACCAGAAGACATGACGTCAATGTAGGATGGAGAAGGGAGGGGGGAGTATAGGGTTGAAGGAAAAGGGTCAGATGGAATTTCAGAAGCTAGTGCAGGCCGGGGAAAGCAGTCATTTATAAAAGTAGAGTGAGATCGGTGATACTTCCCCTTTGAATGGCCGTTGCTGGCCGTCATCGCATATCCGCTCAAGTTACCGAGGTCCATCTGCCCGCATCATCATTGATCCGGACAGAGTCACGGGATCCCCGGGGCCACATGTAAATTGCATGTGCCTCAACGTCATATACTCGGTCCGATGATATTTCTACTGACATTGATACTGGAGATCAACAATCAGTGCAGTGCGGACTGTATAGGGCGTAATATAAAGTCAAGGGGTTTCTGTAACTTTGTGGGGAAGCTCGGCTGTCAACTTGTATCCACCTCTAGATCATATCTTTAGTTTCTTGTTTTCCTTTTAAATCTTTATGAGTTCCCTTTCTTTAAAAGCAAGGGGTTGCAATACCCACTCAAATGAGTCAATTGTTATAATCATCATGTGCTACTATCGGATATGTTGGATTGCTTTGCTTAGAATCACGCGCGATATTCATCATCTTACAGTAAGCTTGAATTTTAGTGTTTACCCTGATATAGTTAAGTTACTCAATTTCAGTCTCGTTTAGTAAGCTCGTAACATGCTAACTTATTCTCTCTGATTCGTAGGCTTGATCTCGATTTATTCTATAGCTCTGAACTTACCGTCAGCTGTGCAATGACTGGAATCGGCATTCCTTATTGGATGAAAGAAGACACATTGAATCTCTTGCATACAGTAAGTATAATCCACTACGTTTACAATGAATAAATAAGACCTTCCATAATCCCATGAAAAGAATCCTACAAAGTCATCGTAATGAAAGGCCCTACTCTGCTTTACTCTGTTTTATTTTACTCGACTTGACTTTGCTTCCACTGTTTCTCCGGGGCCCCGTAGCGCAACATGCCAAGATCTGATAATTATTTGCATTCCCAAATGCCAACTCAAAAGGTGTCCAAGTTGCCAGCACTCAGAGTACTAGGCTCAAAATTTACCCCTTTTGGACCCAAGGTGTAATCGAGGAAAGCTCGCTACCAGCACTAGGTTCCCTCGAAACCGTTACGTTAGTTGTATGCATCACTTGAATACCACCAGTCCCATTCTCATTACCGCTCCCACTCCCACTTTTTCGATCCTCCGACAAATCCCTCCTCAAATGTAAATTCTCCCGTGACTCAGAAAGACCAGTATTCCCAAGCGGTATAGCATCATCGTCAAGCTGAGACCAGGTCGTCTCAGGATTCTTGTGTCGCCGTTTCATCCACGGTTTAGCAAACCCCTCAGAGCCGGAACCAGGACCAGATGGCTGACTGGGTCGGTTCTCGAAGGGTAGGTTGCTGTTCTTAGCACCGTTGTCGCCGAGAGCGCGCTTGACTCGGCTGGGTAGATCAGATTTGATAATCAGCTTTGAGAAGAAGGGCATGCTGAAGATGAAGAAGCCGCAGGTCATTTCACCGAAGGCCCAGAACAGGAGAGGTCCTATGAAGTACATGCTGTCCGGTTGATTCGCGAAAATTATTGTGTGTGAGAGACGGAAGCAGGCTGTGACTAGGGCGCTGGGAGTTGTGAGCTTGGCTTGGTTTTGAAGAGGGAAAATGGTTGGAGTTGGGGTAGGGCCACTTACGATAGACCGACGCCAAAGATGATAGATACACCTAGCTTCTTCTGCCAGTTCATTTGGAGACCCCAGATGATCTTTTGTGGGAGGATAAACATCACGATATCGGATATGATCTGGATGCTGGAGGATACAAGCAGGATCTTCGAGAGGGGATAGCATTTGCTAGGCAGGTAGAATAACCAGATCGCTTCGTGTGGAGTGCATTGCATGTTTAGGAGGATGATACAGGCGACTCCCCAGGCACACTGGATACAACTGACGAACATGCATCCCCACCAGAAAAGGTTTCTCGATCGATCAACGGCGACGAAGACTCGACACCAGCCGATCAGGATGGCTATCTTGATCAATGGAATGACTGTTGAGTAGCTGCAGCCGTAGACGAGGATGAGCTGGTTGTATGGTCGTTAATTTCTGTTTATTGTAACTGCGAAAGAGTCGATCTTACAAATAGAGGTCGAATGAGGTCTTTCTTGGTGAGGTCCCAAGTGTGCACGAAATAACCGGGTGATGAAATTAGGGCATAGCTGGCGTAAGCTGTACCCCAGTAAGCTCCCTGTAAGAGTGGCAGGGATTAGATCTCGATCTCGGGTGCTCGAGTAACAATTGGATTGTGGAGTTGTGTGGAAAACAGCATACATATGCACAAATCATCATCACTGTCAAGAAGGATAATTGTCAGTAGGATTTCCTTACACGCCATGGAAGATTCGTCCACTCACCTTCTTCAATGCGAATTCGCTTGTCCAGCCACAATCGAGCAAAGACACGCAGAAACATACATAACGTTATCACAACCGTACAGAATGTTGTCACAGCCCAGGCGAGAGTGTTTCCATTGGGAGGATTGTCAAAATTGGCTGTAACACCAGGTGGTGGCACCAGGGCTGGCGCAGCCAGCACTTTGGCCAAGGCCTCCTGTGACATGAAAGCCAATATCTGAAGTCGCACGAAGCAAAATAACACGCTGAGGACCAGGGGTCACTGTCGCAGATGGGCCATATTCATATAATATCGTATGTCTCAAGGCCTGACATTTCAGTCCGGTCGAGTCGATCAGCCTAAATTCGGTCGATCTGCTCTCCTTTGATTAGGGCTCCATCTCCCGGGGGCTTTCTGACCGAGGAATATCATATCATATTTTAAGCATCCTTCACGGCAAAGATCTTCAAACCATATATTAATCCGGAATATCTTCGGTGGATGTATGGAGTCGAAGGAATAGGGTTCAAGCCGAAACGACAATCGACCACGCTAGTGGCGCGAAGGAACAGCCCGCGGCTTGGCTTTTATTTGACCGTTTTAGAGTCCGATGCAAGAAATAGAGAGAAATCTATCCTTGTAGACCATGGACCGGAGTTGACAGCGATCATTTGGAGTCAACGCCTGGCACATCGAGTGTGTTCAGGCCTATGCCGGCCTGTCACTTCTGTCAATGAAACCCTCCTCCATGGGCCCAGCGCCCTCGGCTTGCGGCGTAGATAAGAATCCGTGCCGTGTTTGGCCTCGTGGTTTCCGCCAGGCCAGGCAGCCGTGACACTATACTCAACACGGCATGAAGGGGATTTCGTGTTCGGGTATGGGGACATTAACAATACCTCGCTAGTCTCTATAGGGTCATTGCTGAGACGAGCCCAGGAGAGCTGTCGACGATTCCCTTTGGTAGCTCAGCTCACCATCCTCCATATAATGTAGTCGCATTAATCATGGCTGTTAGTGAGTATTGATACCCGGAACGCCAGTCTACTAATCGCCGGCATTCGCGGACTTTGGCGCTTCAGATCAAGGCGTTGGAGGGGGATACTCCAAGACCTATGGCTTGGTGATTGCTGGATCTGTTAGATGCGTAACATTCTTTAGCCCTGTTTTTATCGCCGTTGTTTCTTCCCAATTTGCGAACGCCTGAGATGGATCATCGAGATGATCTCTGAAGGCGAGAGGGTCGTCTATTTTTAGCCGGTCTCCCACCTTCACATATTCCACCATGTCGACGGCAGACATCAACCTCGTCTCTGAGTTCCTCAGTGACAATCAGCAAGATCTCTCTCCAGTCGACTGTATCGTGATCTGTGCCTCAGCAGTTCTCCACAGCGCCGAAGTCCTCTTCGCAACTCTCCAGCAACGACCCTCTCTCACCAAAGCCCTGGTGCTCTGCGGGGGAATCGGCCACTCCACCACACTGCTGTATGATGCCGTGAAAGCACACCCTATATTCTCACGCATTGCAAATGAGATCCAAGACCTCCCAGAAGCAAAAGTCCTAGAGAGAATCCTAGATGAGTTCTACGATCGATCTCTCGTCACCAAAGAGGGATGCCGCATCCTTTTAGAGCCCGACTCCACGAATTGCGGGCAAAATGCCTCTTTCAGTCGCAAGGTCCTCGGTGATGCCGGTTTTCAAGCGCCGAGGACGTGTATGGTTATTCAAGACCCTACCATGATGCTCCGGACTAGAGCTTCGTTCGTCAAGATGTATGAAGATGCACCGTCCCCGGTCTCGATAATCAGCTGTCCGGTCTTTGTCCCGCGCATGCAATTGTCTCCAGAGGGAACTCGGGAATTATGCCCTATCTCGACAACCTCGGAACTGTGGTCTCAAGGTCGATTCCTAGAGTTGATTATGGGGGAGATCCCCAGATTGAGGGATGATAAAGATGGCTATGGGCCCCGGGGACGAGGATTTATTTCTCATGTTGATATTCCAGATGCCGTTGAGGCTGCTTGGTCTCGACTGGAAGTTATGGTTAAGAGATCTAGATAGTAGGATAATAGAATACGAGCCTGCCAGCAAAGCTCCAACATCTCGGAGCGTGGAGATGGGCGGAGAAAATCAAATGATTCTCCGACCTCCAACTCCAACTCCAACTTCACACCAACAACGTCAAAATCCAAAGAACGAGGTTTCTCACAGACTACCTCCAAATGTTGCGACAATCATTAAGAACCGCCTCATCGGCGCGCTGCATCCCCACAAACACAATCGCAGCCTGCAAAATCCCAAGCCGCGCACCATGGCACCTCGTACGAAAACCCCAAGTCACCCATACCCTCGCACTCGCATTTGGCTTGACCTTTCAAGCAAATAAACAGACAAAAGCCCCATTAGATACATCACTAACAATATCCCAGACCACGACACTCCAAACCCTCACCCCGCGCACGTTCTCAACAACACCACCAACACCCTTCAAATCAACACCCGCAACAAAAGAAACCCCCTTCCGCATGTCCACAACAAAACCAACAAACACCGCGCCCCCCTCCTTCGACGATGTCTACTACAGCCCTTACCAACCAAAGCGCCAATGGCCACCAGACATGTCCAAGCTCTCCCCGAAACACCAGTTCCGCCTCGAGCGCAAGTACCGCCGACGAGCAGCGCTCAAGTACGCGCGTCCTCAGTTCATGAAGGCCGTCACCTTGGGGCAGTGGGTGGTTATCGGATGTGAGTGTTGTCCATCTGAGTTCCGAGGATAGATGTTGGACTTGGGGATGTGATATATGGACGGATGGCTCAAGGGAAGAATGCATACTAACTTTGTTTCGCGGCAGTTGTTATCATCTACGCTGTTCTGTTCATGGAATGGCAGACGGAGAATACGCCTTTCCATGGGGTACGTACTTGCACTACCTGCTATCCTCATCGCTTTCCTGATATTGTGGCTAATGTTTGTGCAATTGCAGATACGAGAAGCCTTCTTTGATGGTCTCAAATCTGTTTTCTCTGCACCGCCGGCTCCGGAGCCTAGGAGGGAGCGAAAGGAGTGAACGGGGTCTTGGGGAGAGGTGAGGTAAGGTCAGCTGGAGTGGACTTTTGTGTCCTTGTTTATTGATCTCTTGCATTGGCAATAGTTGTATGATATTGAGATAGATTCCCAACTTGTATGTTTATATGTTAAAGTTACAGTAACTCGGAACTTTTAGCGACAACATAAATAAACTGTATCAAATGAGAATTGAAAAAGTAGAGAGAGAGAGAGAGAGAGAGAGAATAGCAACTAAATTCAATCAAGTGAGAATCCAACAGGCAAGAAACGCTACATACAATGTTGACGGTAAAAGTCCAAAGTAAAAGAAAAAGTAGGGACTATTCATTCAATTGTCATATCTGTCATTTTGTCATGAGGAAATCCGGTGGGATGAACAGGCGTCGCTGTACCACGGAGAGAATAGAGAGCAGAGAAAACAGACGAAACAGAAAGAATCAAGATCTAGCTTCGCCATCCTCCATTCATCACCGTCGCCTGTGCCAATATGAGGCTTCAATACATCATGTCCGCAGGAGTTCTCTGGACAAGCAAGGGAGCAAAGCAAGAAAAAAAAAAAAAAAAGGAAAATGCAGTCAAACAAAAGACCAAGAACACCAAAAATGCCAGAAACGCCCTGGAAGCAACATCAAAGCCACAGGCTGAGAGAGTCACATAAATCCCCAGGCCAAGCCCGGGCAGGAAGATCACGATAAACAAAAACCAGCAAAGTTAAGATGAGAGGGGCAGGAGCAGCCCGAACGCCGAGTCATGATAACGTGTAAACGCAAAAGAAAAGGGTTAGGAAAATAATGACAAAGAGGAATGGAAATTCGTTAAAATAGAAACCGGGGGTTGCGCACCCAGCTCTTAGAGCCAGCTGCGCAGGTCGCTGGACGGGGTGGCCGGGCCTGGAGCTGGACGATTATCGGAGAAGTCGAGGGCTAACTCGAGCTTTGGGGGTCGCTCATCGACTAAACCCTTCCTCGGGCTACCTGGGGCTACCTTCTTCGGGGATTTGGTAGGGGATCCGGGCTCGCCAGCGCGAGGTGGGCCTTCGCGAACGAAGGTGTATGGCCAGCCATCGTCTGCGGCGGCGGCAACCCAGGTGCGCAGGCAGTCATGCACGGAAGAGTAGAACTTTTCCTTACAGGTGCGCAAGCTGCCACCCATGACTTTCTCGAAGCCGGAGGAGCGGAGCTCGGTGCGGAGTTGGTTACGTTCATCTGGGGAGGGAAGAGAGGCAATAAGGCCGTTCACAAGATCGAGGTGTGCGGCGAGGTAGTTCGTTGCATCCCACTCGACACCACCAACGTAAGGAGCAGCTGGGACGGGAGCACGAGGGGGTGGGAAGTGACGTTCAACATAGGGGCGAGTGTCTTCCGGTGACTTTTCACCAGACGTGTCCTCAGTCTTGGGGAGGGGAATGACATTCAGATGGTGCAGGAAAATCCAGAACACCTCCTTGGTAACGTTGGTGACTTCCTTGCACCACACACGGTATGGCCGGGATTGGTAGATATTGGCAATGAAGGAGAGCGGCTGGTTGCCCTCTGGTGGCGCCGGGTCATGCAGGTAGCCGAGGATCTGCCTAGTGCGCCTGACTGCCATCTCACCAGCGGGAGCAGTGGAAAGCTGGGTGAACAGTAGGTTGGCAATGATCCCTCGCGTAGTGAACTCGCTAGGGCCCTTCTTCTCCTCATCAAAAAGCATTTTCAGCAGCGCGGGGAAGAGCTCATCTTCAATGGATGAGAGATGAGCCAGGGCGACAGAAGTGGTGCAAAGAGCCTTCAGGCAAAGCAGTGCCTCGTGCAAAAGTGTATCTTCGTGATCCTCTCTGCGACAATGTCAGTGGGCATTCATCTGAGATAGCTGAAATTATACACACCTCCAGGTCATGTTCATAATTCGGTAGAGAAGCTGCACAATCTCATCCATACCCCCCTCGATGATGAAACCATTGACCCAGTGGACAGTCTCGTTGCGAAGAAGAAGGCGCAGTTTGTGCATCTTACCAACTTCCACCATCTCAGGCTTCTGGATCTCTCGCAGGTAGTGTACAAAGTCAGAAGGATCCGCTGCAGTATCAACAGCTGCCGCCTCAGCAAGTGACGCAGTAGAACCCGCAGCTGAGAGGGTCGTATAGACACCAACAGGCTGGGACAAGTCGACGGATTTTGGACGACGGTTGGAGGCTTCACTGTCCCGCCGTATCTTCTTACCCGGTGAGGATGGACCTTTGGTCAGGGTAAATCCGCGACTTCTAGACCGTGAGCGCGAGCCCTTCCGATCTTGAGATTGGTTGTCCTGCGATTCTTTTCCGCGACCTCGGCGACTGTCACCGGTCCCTGCACTGAGGGGAGTATTCTCCGTTCTATCCTTCTGAATAAAGTCCGCCTTGATGTTGGTGTCGAGTGATCGCATCTTGTCTCGCATGTTATGGGGAATATTTCTCGCATCCTAAAGGTATGTTAGCTCGGCCATCAACGTGACTCTTCTGCGTGGCATTCACATACCAGCAACTTTTCGAATTCGCTCTCGAGATCCTTCGAGTTCAAATGCTGGTGCACATCCGCATCTCTCTCTTTTGCGTTGAACACGGAGATGGCGGCCTGCACACGAGACAACCGCTTAGGCTCCTCTTTCACCGAAGGGGGAGCCGCTTTCCGAGGACTGGGAGGTCCTCTGCTCTTAATAGAAACATTGTCGGCTTGTGCAGCAGACTCATTTTCCCGCGACGTTGCGCGTTGCAAACTAAAGAGATCCTTCACCTTCCGATTGCCAGTCAGAATGTCAGACTTCGGACGAGGCTTCGTATCACTGCCTCTCGTGATCGATGGTTGGTGGTAGTCGTAAAAGTTGCGTTGCTGGGATGGGCCGTATCCTTTGGGGGTGTAAAGGGAGACTTCCTCCGCCATAGTTCGTCGTGTGTCAATAGTCGAGGTGGGCCTCGGTCGACCGACAGACTCTCGATGAGCGGATGGTGCGTCGTGAGGCCCATCCCCACCCCACATTGGGTAGGGCATATTATCGATCAAGTCAGTTGGGCTGCGGTTCTCCTTGTCGCGAGACTGCTTCGATCCATCGCCCTTGCGCCCACGCTGGGATCGCTTGAGGATGGCCGAGAGACTGGTGGATGATTTAGCCTTCTTGGGAGACAACACCTCTCCTTCATTCGCTTGCTCCTCTGACTTCCCATCCTTCCGCTCCATGTAACTTCGCAATGACTTCAGAGAGACAGCACTCTTTGTCTTCTTATGCATGGGCCCCTTGGGCATTTTGTCCATCTTTGGGGCGGAGACTCCGTTGTCCCCCGCATCTCTGTTGGGGACGATCTCACCCAGCGGATGATACCCGTCCAGGGGAGTCGAGTTGTCACCAAATGGATATGTATTCTCGGATGGCTTGTTTCGCTGCAGAGGTCGCGGGGCCACGGCATCGTCGGCCGATTGGTTTCGTTTATGACTCTTGGGCGACATTATGGCCCGGAACATGGACGTCTTGCCGGGAGATCGGTTGGCATCGTCGAAGATCTGAGGACCAGATGCACTGGCAGCCATTGCTATCCTCTTTGACCAGCAACTGACGGAGTTAGTTACCTCAACCGAGTCCGGATAGTTGCAGTACTCACGGGATAGGAAACACACGCAAGGCAGAGCAAAGAGAAAACACAAGCAAAGTGGAAAAGAAGAAGGGGTTTGTGGGGGAAATATGAAGAGTTCCGTCATCGAGTCTCAAGATTGTCCTCGAACTAGGCCAAGCCGATCACTGGGGTCGAAGTAAACAACGTGCGGATAGGCAGGTTGCGAGGGGCAACGCGTCGGCGGTGAAGGCGGACTTGAGGCCCATGTCATATTGTCGGTCATCTTGCATTTGCATGTCCATGGAGTGTGTATCTGCATCATTGGCCTGTCCTTTGCAGCGAATCCTTGCAGTTGGTTGAGATGTTTGTGTTTGGCCGAATGCGGCGTTGTCCATTGTCTACAGTAGTATACTCCCTCCTACAGCAACATGAACCATACAACTTCCGTCTGCTGCGTGAATAACTTCCCTCTCTGAATTGTCATGTTCTATATGATGGAACGTTATTTGCAGTCCAGTATTGGAGACTCTTCGTGTCATGGTCACCCGATCAATAAATAGATTCTCGTTTCCCCGGTGGATTACTCTGCCAACACACCCCTACTCCATGCATATCCATAACATATCAACACATCTCCAACGGATCCAACGGATCCATAATCACCCCTCAGTTCCAGATCTTCTGATTATGCATGTCCCGAGGCTTTATCGCATTCTAACGGTGGACGTGGGCCATTCACACTTTGGCCGTTTGCGTGCTTCCGGCCTCAGGTCTAATATGCTGAACCAGGCCACAACAAAAACAAGAATGATGGCAACAATTCTCACTTATTCTCTGCCCTACAGTCAACCCAGTCTATACAGCCCACACAGTCCACACAGTCCACACAGTCCATGCAGACCCAGTGTAGAGACCCAACACGGGAACAACCCCGGGCGCATTCGGGCCTCCCCCACAAGGTTAACGCGGATTCTCGTGTAGCCCCGATGAACCGAGCATCACCCGATCAACCCCAGAAATCAAGCTTCTTGCCTCTCAGATTGTGAAACCGGAATCTGGTTTCTTGCTCCTGCTCCTCTTCATCCTACGCAAAGATGAATTGCCCCTCGCGCACAGATGACACGCTCCAGAATCCGAGCTGGAACCAGAGCCCACCGCCCTTCAGTCCAGATACCACGACTCGCAATGACTTCAATGGCCTGGCAAATTCACGGGTCCATCGCAGACATGCCAACTCGGCCAACTCAGCAGGGGACGACACGTTATCGATCAACGAGGGACCGCGCAGTCTGCACGATCGGGATCCCGAAAAAGAAAAAGGACCCAGTGGCGAAGTGATCGCTGCTCACTCGGGAGGTGATTCACCCCCGAGGACCAGCGGATCACCTCGCCGTCCATTCTTAACCTATTTCAAAGACTCTGCGCTGCACTGCGCCCGTAGTCTGGCCAAGTTCGGCCACTTCATTGGGCCTGGTTTCCTCATTGCGGTTGCATATATTGACCCAGGCAACTATGCCACAGATGTTGCGGCCGGTGCGGAGTTCAAGTATGCCTTGCTGTTTATCGTTCTCGTTTCCAATCTGTTTGCTATCCTGCTGCAGTCCCTGTGCATCAAGCTAGGTTCTGTGACGGGCCTGAACTTGGCGGAGAATTGCCGAGCTCATCTGCCCAAATGGATGGTGATTACACTGTATATCCTGTCCGAGGCGGCCATCGTGGCTACTGATATTGCCGAGGTGGTTGGATCGGCGATTGCATTGAACTTGCTCTTGAACATTCCCTTGGTGGCTGGATGTGCCATCACCTTGGTTGATGTTCTGTTTATTCTCATCTTCTATCGACCCAATGGGGCGATGTGGGGACTACGATTGTTTGAATTCTTCGTCATGGCCTTGGTCTTAGCGGTGGTTGTTTGCTTCTGCATTCAGCTCTCCCTCGTTCATGAGCAGTCTATTGGCGAAGTCTTCCGGGGTTACCTGCCTTCCTCGGCTATCATTCAATCAGAAGGGTACGTGTTGTTTCCTCGTCTTACAAAGGCAAATACTAACCCATAATTAGTCTCTACCAGAGCTGTGGAATCCTTGGCGCTACAGTTATGCCACACTCCCTCTTCTTAGGGAGTGGAGTGGTTCAATCTCGACTGAAAGACTTCGACGTCACAGCCGGTTACGTACAATCCACGGTGCCCCTGGGTAGCACTGGCGGCGAAGTCGAATACCGTCCTTCCATTCATGCAATCCGAGGTTGTATGAAATATTCGATCATTGAGCTGGCCGTGTCCCTCTTCACCTTCGCACTGTTCGTCAACAGTGCCATTCTCATTGTTGCCGGAGCTGCCCTTTACCAAGTCCCTGGTGGTGCTGATGCCGACCTCTTTGGTATCCACAAACTGCTGTCTTCGTCAATCGCACCCGCCGCCGGATTGGTCTTTGCCTTGGCTTTGCTCTTGTCGGGTATCTCTGCTGGTATTGTTTGCACGATTGCGGGACAAATGGTCAGCGAAGGAATGCTCAACTGGACCATCAGACCTTGGCTTCGAAGACTCATCACTCGCTCCATCAGTATCATTCCTAGTATCATTATTGCTGCAGCTGTTGGTAAGGATGGTCTGAACAAGACTCTGACAGCGAGCCAGGTTGTTCTTAGTGTTATCCTGCCATTTGTTTCTGCTCCGTTGATCTGGTTCACCTGTCTCAATCGCTACATGACTGTGAAGACAGAAGAGCCCAGTGAGCAAGTGGGTGAAGTGGAAATCACCGAAGTTCCCATGCGGAACAATATCGTTACTTCAGTCATTTCAGTCATTGTGTGGGTCATCATCGTTGTGATGAATGTGGCCCTGCTGGTTTTACTAGGCATGGGCAAGGCCTCTTGATAGAAATCCTACAAGCCAGGCATGTAAAAATCCCCAGGTGTTCTATTCAATACCTCAGAGAAACGGTTCAATATGTTCATATGGGCGCTTCAAAAACAATGAAATACATACTGCAAGCTAAAAAAAAAAACACCAAATAAAATCCGCTGCCTGACACCAGATAGATATAGAAGCACGCTGAAAGAACTACCCAAGGCCCCCAGCAGCCTCCTTGACCTTAGCCTGCTCAGGGGGTTCATCAATAAACTGCGGTGGCGCGACCTCATCCTGCAAGAAACTAGGCATAGCACTCTCACCAATACCACTCTCAAACATCGACTCCTCACCAAGCGCCTCAAGCTCAGCGTCCAACTCAGCCTCATCAACATCCTCAGGAACATCATAGGCTCGCGAGATACTCTCGTTGATCTCATTCCCAACCTCCATTAAATCTGCCATCTCATCCTGCATCTGCTCGATCTTATCGATATCGACTTTTCCATACTGCTTCTTCAATTCCTTCGTTGTCGTCTTCATTGCGTCGACCGTCGTCATGACGTTCTTGAGATTATCTTGCATCATGCCCGCCTGCTCCATATTCCAGCTTTGCTGGGAGAGCTGATCGCGCTGGGATTCGTATTGTTTGCGGCGTTGGAGCACTTTCAGGGCTTTTTGGCGCAGCGCGGTTTTGCCGGGTCCGTCGCGCATCTTGGCGATTTTCGATTGGTAGGTTTGCAGTTCCGAGTTTAACGCTGCCAGTTTCACGTCTATGCTTGATACCCGGGTGTCGACCTGGTGTGCTGTTAGTGGGGGTTTGGTAAGAGGGGTGTGTGTGGCTGAGGATGTAGCTGCTTGGGTGATAGGCTTGAATTGGGGATGGGGGGGGGGGTTCTCTGTACATTTGATATGGCGCCTTCTAGAGTCGGCTTGGGAGCCGTACTCCTTGTGCCGAATAGTCGGTTCATGGTGGGCTGGGGGATTGGAGTTGTTTGGATTGGAGCTTGAGGGTCGGGTCCAGAGGTGTGGCCAAAGCTTAGGGTCGAGATCAGTGGGCCAAGAGGGTATAGTACCCAATTGCTGGGACAAACAGGGGGAAGCACAAGAACCAGAGCTTCACGCTTCACTTTGCGTGTGCTGTGTAGTGTATAGTGTTGATGTATGTGTTTAATGCGGAGCAACGTCAGTGGGGGGCCTCAGGCCAGAGATTACACGTGATACTGTTTCAGCTCTGAACTCCAACTGTCAGCTTCAACCTGACTGCAGGGCTTTCAGGCTTGTCAGATGATTTATTTTCGTCAGCTGAATTCTACGACATTCAACGTGGGACAGGACACGACAGGTATTGGGTACTTTCTTCAGCACACAAATCTGGCGGGGAGGGGCTGTACCTAGTACCCACCACCACGATGCAGACAGATCCCGAGATCAAAATGAGAATGTCAGAAATTCGCAGAAATAGAGACTGAGATAAAACTACTGGAATATATACCTATATACATATAAATGTAGAGTAGGACCACTCCAGGTAGACTAGGATCGAGATATCAGTTCATATCAAGTTAGTTCGTGGTCCCGCACTGTGTGTGTTCCGCCCTCCGGGATCAGTAATCGATCACAGCTTCACACCTCTCCTCCTCCTCACTTCCTATGGACAGGTGTTGAGTCGCCAGTCCAGCCTACTTGAGTCTTCTCATTTTGACTCTCTCACTGCGATCCCCATTTCTTCCTATTTTTCCTCTTCCCCATCAAACCCACAGGGAGATCTCAATTTCTATCTTTCTTCGTCACTCCCTCATTGCTCAAGATTGAAGGTATGATCTATCAAGGGCACAGGCTCTAGACCCAGCGCCTACCCATCGCGTTGCAATTCCCTTGGCTATTCCCTCACGCTCCGATTCCATCGCAGCCACTCCGGTGAGGCTGGACCTCACGGGGGACACGCCTCATCGGGGTTGCAGGTGATGCAGGTGATGCAGGCATCTGAACTTGATCGCTGATCTCTCTCCTCTACCCAGCGCTAGATCGCTTCAATCATCTTTCCTTTCGCAGCTCCCATTGCTAGTTCCTTCTAGGTGACGGCCCCCCGACATACCCCACTCGACCTGCGCGACCTGGCCTCTGTGTGTGGACACCACGCTTACCGGTGATCGGCCTGTCGCGCAACTGCTCCTGAGAACGCCGTCTACCAGCCCCTTGTACCATAGACCGCTCCGTTACGATACCTCGGAGACGAACGAAACGTAACGAAATCCTTCCATGAAACATAGTCCTCGGCGATATACTCCATCATGTTTTGGCGCTTTGGGGGATATGCGAGTATCTCCACCATCGATACCCTGCTCGACAAGCCTGATGTTACGCTCGAGGATCTCCTGGATGAGCCGGAGATCATTCAAGAACTGAAACAGCTTAATACAAAACTCATAGAATACCTGCGCGAGGATCATGTCTTGAAACGCCTTATGGACTATGTGATCGCGCCCAGTCTTTTGAATGAAGATGAAGACAATGACGATGATTCCAACACGAAAGATGCTCCTAAGAAGGACAGTGATGGCACGGAGGAGACCGATGCCGAAAAAGAGGAAAAGGCATCGGATCCGTTGAAGGGTATCCTTGACTCGGAGGATCTGGAAAAGATGGAGAAGAATCGCTTGAAGCATGCCTACATCGCTTGTGAAGTTCTCTCATCAGAGACATGGTCCATTCTCGAATCAATGATGGCTAACCCTGAATATCTGCGAGACTTTTGGGGCTTCCTGCGACGATCCCCTCCTCTTGATTCTCTGCAGGCAAGTTACTTTACGAAAGTAAACGAGACACTGCTCGATAAGAAGACCGAGGAGATGCTCGAGTTCCTCAAGTCCCTTGATGGAATTGTTCCCGCTTTGCTGCAACACGTTGATAACCCGATGGTTATGGATCTCCTCCTAAAGATCATTAGTCTGGAGAAGGCCGAGGGTGGCCAGGGAACCGTCGACTGGCTCAAGTCCCAAGATCTCATTCCGACCCTTCTATCATTCTTATCCCCTGAACGCCCGGCCTCCGTGCAAACCTCTGCAGGCGATTTCCTTAAAGCAATTATCACCATCTCCGCAAACGCGAGCCCCAATGACCAGTCATGTATTGGTCCTAACAGCTTAACGCGCCAACTTGTCTCGGCCCAATGTGTGCAACAGCTGATTGATGCAATGCTCAAGGGTGGAAATCCATTGACAGTGGGCGTTGGCATTGTTATTGAGGTGATTCGCAAGAATAACTCCGATTATGACCCGGAGAGCCTCGGCGGACCCGATACCATGCTCAGCACATATGACCCAATCTACCTTGGGACACTGCTGCGCCTCTTTGCTCAACACATTCCTCAATTCATGAGTCTCATCCAGAGCTCTACATACACTATTCACGACGGCACCAAGCTCAAGACTGTTGACCGCGGTACACTGAGCTCTGCATGGGGAGCCAAGATTGAGCCTCTCGGATTTGATCGATTCAAGACATGCGAGTTGATGGCCGAGCTACTTCATTGCAGTAACATGGGTCTTTTGAATGAACCCGGCAGTGATGAGTACATCCGGCAAAGAGACGACGAAAGGGAGAGGTTGGTTCGCGAGGGAGTCTTTGAATCCCATCACGACGAGCACTCTGGAGTTGATTATAATGATACCACGGCCGATTTCACAAGTGCATCTGCCTTTGAGTCCGGATCTCCAGAGGATATCAAAATCACAGAAGCACCCCCGCAGGTGAAGAGGAAGGATTCGAGGATGTCGGTGCATCTGGTGTTCTGGTAGACAAGAAGTCTGCCGACAACACTGCCGATGCTGTTTCAGAGCCCAAAGAGACGGTTGAAGAAGTCACTGCCACTGAGGACCTCAAGATCGGAAAGGAGTCTCCAGAAGACAAGACAACGGATGGGCCTCAAACATCGAGTGAATCCACTGAACCTTCATCACCCTCCATTGGTCTTCCTGACCAGGTTGATAAGATCAATCTCGATAATGAGCCGCAAGACGTGCAAGAGACACCTGCAAGCGATAATAAACAATCTGAATCTGTGGCCTCGCGTCCCGAAGATGTGCCGCCCCCTCTATTTTCGACTAACGAACAACCTGCAGAGTCAACTGAAGCCCCTGCCGCTGAAACCACTCAAGAACCAAGTGCCATCAATGATGGCGGCGACGAGGATTCTGCTGAGCAATACATCCAACTTGATACCGATGGCCAACCAGTGGTTGGAGATTACTTGAAGATAATGTTTGTGGAGAACAAGGTCGTTCCAACAATCCTGGTAAGATGTCCTTTTTCTTCTGGGGTCTACTTTCTAATACTAACTGACTCTAGGGATTCTTCTTCCGCTTCCCATGGAACAACTTCCTTCACAATGTTGTCTACGATGTAATTCAACAAGTCTTCAATGGGCCCATGGAGCGGGGCTACAACCGGGCTGTTGCTGTTGATGTCTTCGATACTGGTCGCATCACCAACGCGATCGTCGAAGGCCAAAAGCGCAGCGAAGAGACCCAGCGCACCAAGCAGATTCGTCTCGGATACATGGGCCACCTAACCCTCGTTGCAGAGGAGGTTGTCAAGTTCAGCGAGCGACACCCACCAGAGCTGCTTTCGCGATCTGTCATGGAAAGCGTACTGAACCCAGCCTGGATCGACTATGTTGAACAGACTCTTTCCGAAACCCGGGAGCGTGACAATGCCATTCTTGGCGGTGTCCGCCCTGACATGTCTGTCGGACCTCGTCAGACCAACCTGAACAATACCAGCTCCAGCCAAGGCTTCTCGAGCTCTTCCGCCCTAGCTGACGCAGGCTTGAATGGAGGCGGTGGAGGTTCAAACTTCCAAAGTTTCGATCTCAGCAACCACGGAAGCGTGTCCGGTGGAGCATTTGGTGGTGGCGGCACCTCCCTATTGAGTGACTTTGCTAGCTCAAGTGACGATGATGAAGATGAAGAAATGGAGGATCATGACGACAGAGACGCCGGCAATGCCGATCAAGATACTGACAATGTGGGTAATCCTTTTTCGAACGATATAACGATGCGTGATACGTAACGGATTTCGCGTGCATACCTTCCCTTACCCCCATGTCCGGACATTTGTCGATGAAATTCAACATGAAACCCAGATAACTCGAACGGAGTAGCAGGAGGCGACCCAACAGACATCTGCATGATTGACGAGTCATGAAATGCGTTGAATTGATGTCGGCCTCCTGCATTCTCCAGATCCGATATTACCTATTTGGTCATACTTTGTACTTTTGTATCTCTAAACGGGACTGTTCTCCAACCCGCATGTTTTCAACATCATCCTCAAGCTGCATCTTGTCAATTCTTCAACAATGTTCACCATTCATCTGTCTTCAATTTCCTATGCATCCATCATTCGTCTTCGTTTACATGTTATCCCCTGCTGAGTGGGTACAAGGCCGCTCAGTTCCTGTCGACACACAAGCTACCAGGCGTTAACATATTTGCTAACTTGACTTGCTAGGTGTCATCAAACTCAGCGAGCCAACCTATTCCTATCTTACCCCCGCCACCAGCGCCCCTGAGCCTTGGTCCATCTCGGGCTCGTCGTCAACTAGCAGCACGTCTCGCAGCCCAGAAAGAAAAATCCGAAAACCCAGACGATGACAACGAGCCCCGAGGCGAAGAAATTGAAGACCAAGAATCAGATTGGCCCACAAATCCCTTCGTCATCGCCGGAGTTGACGATGATGCCGAAGGCGGCAACTCAGCCTTCCCCAACAGTGACTTCGGCTCTGCAAACGCCAAACACTCCCCAACATTCCCAGACTCAGGATTCAGCCCTCCAGACTCGCTATCAACAAACTCATCCGAGGACGAAGGCGACGGTCACGCTGCCTCAGTAAGACGCCAAGTCCGTGTCCCCCTCGAAGTCGAAGATGATGACGACGAGATGGGCGAGATGGTAGGACCGAGTAGCTTGGGCATGATCGACTCCGACGATGATGAAGACGAGGCTATCATCAACGAATCACTCGGGTACTCCAACCTCTCCGGTCCAGGCCGGTATAGTGGATTCCGTCGATCTCGGGCTGTAAGCTCGCATTACGACGATGAGCAAAACGACAGCAGTGACGGTGAGGATGATGGCCTAGTTGAAATTTTAGTTCCCGGCCGGAAATCTTCGACCTCGAATTAACGTCAGCTTTGAAGTTATCGTTTACCATGGTCATGGCCGTGGACCCTGTCTTCAATGCCATTGCAAAATGGTGCTTGCTGCATATCCGTTTCATCGGCTAAAGCGTTGATGCCTGCTTTTCTTCTTATTTAATCCTCGATATTGTGCCATGAGAATTTTGACAATTCAAATGTCTTGATGGCATGGCGTTTGTATATACACTTTTTCCATTGATCCTTGAATTTGTCTGTTCCGCATGGAGTGTTCTTTTCTTCCTTATCTTGATTCCTGATCTGGTTTTCTTTTGCGTCTTTTGCATGTGTTGCGTGTGTATCCTCCCTTCCCTAGGATAGGCTCACGCGTCTATGGCCTTTGGTTTGGTGGAGGTTGTGGTTGGTGGTTGTCTGTACGATAGTTGTCTGGAGACGTGAATTGATTGTTTTTTTCGTTTAAGCTTTGTTGAGAGTAAAGTAGATTCAGTTGCTTCGTACATTGATACAGAATCCTGCGATAATTGCTGGAATCAGACGCTCTCAGTCAAGCTTCTTCTGAACAGCCCCGAAGACGAAGTAAATCGAGTTCGGGCAAAAAGCGGGCCCCACCAACCCGCAGCAATTCTTTTCTCACTTCAACCGATAGAACCCAAGAACCATCTCACATCTGTGACGGCGAGTCACCCAAATCAAATAGATCCAATCAATCCACAAATTTGCCATTCAAAAAGATGGCGACTCCCTCCGAGTAAGTGATAAAACCCGCTACGTCATCGCCCAAACCCCCAATATAAAACCCCCAAAACTGACCAGCTGCCACAGATCAGTCGACCCATCACTGAAAGCCCACACAGAACTAGTAAACTGGTTCACCCAACATGGCGGCCAAGTAGACAAAAGCGTGCGCATAGCCACAGATGCCTCGCGCGGCGTTCACCTCCAAGTGAAAAAAGACTGGCCAACGCCAATTGCAAAGGAAACACGAGTAATCAACACTCCAATCAACATCTCGATGTCCTGGTTCAACGCCATGAATTACAGTTCGCCGCGTGGCTCGTTCCCCAATCATGGAGTTGAGTTCCCGCGTTCTTGGATGGAGAGTGTTGGGCCCGAGGAGACTTCTGCGTTCTTTCTTATGGCTCAGTATTTGAGGGGCGAGGAGGGATTTTGGTTTCCTTATCTGCGTACGTTACCTCAGCCTGGACAGTTGAGTACGCCACTTTTCTTTGATGGTGAGGATGTCGATTGGGTTGTTGGGACTGGTGTTCCGGAGGCTGCTACTGAGAGAATTCGGATATGGGTTGAGAAGTATGATCGGGCTATTGAGGGGCTTGAGGAGCTTGAGTTTGAGGGCATTGAGTCGTTTACTTGGTGAGTGTTCCCTCTAGGGCTTCAATATCAGACGATGTTTTGCTGATTGTTTAGGGAGCTGTATCTTTGGGCTTCGACTATTATTACCTCGAGAGCTTTCTCGGCCAAGGTTTTGTCTGGGGCTGTTGAGCCGGCTGATCTCCCTGAAGATGGTGTTTCGGCTTTGCTTCCGCTCATTGATCTGCCTAATCATCGGCCGATGGCTAAAGTTGAGTGGCGGGCGGGCGATGAAGACATTGGACTTCTTGTGCTTGAGGACGTTGCACCAGGCGCAGAGATTTCGAACAATTATGGGCCTCGGAATAACGAACAATGTGAGTACTTGACATTCATATTGCTGAAAATAGACCGGGACTAATTACCAAATAGTATTGATCAACTATGGGTTCTGTCTGAGAAATAACCCTACTGATTACCGCATTGTTCAGTTAGGCGTGAAGCCCGACAGCCCATTGAGCAAGGCCAAGGCTCGGCAGATTGAGATGTTCCCAGAACTGGCCAAAGCGACGGAAAATCACTATTACATTTTCAATCCATACTATCCTCTCTTGGGCCCAGACACAATGATGGAACACTCTATCTTCTCACCGGCCTTGTTCAATGCGTTGACGATTATGGAGTCCAATCTACGCGAACGCAAGATGATGGAAATTACCAAGGACTCTATTCGGATTCCCTCAGCCTACGGAAACGATCATTGCATCTATGCCGCATTAGCACAGATGAGCTTTGAGCTAATGGCCCACGCAATTAATCTCAAAGCCAGCGCAGAAGATCTCCCCTCGCAGCCAAAAACACTTAACCAGATCCATGCGAAGATCTACCGAGATAGTCTCATCACGATAGACGAGTCTGCCTTGATCATAGCCCTATGGACCATCTCCCGTGGCCGAGCTCATGGACGAGGCTCCAGTTGGGAAGATACCAAGTCATTATTAAGTGAGCACGACGCTCGCATTCCAGCAGGTCTTCTCCCCGACGATGTTTTATCTCGAATCCGCGTCCGCATCTTGGAGCGTCCGTCTATACTCACCAATAACGGACAGTTGTTCAGATTAGTTGAGATGTTCAACCTCTTCCCATCAGAGATGCAGGGTCCAGCCCAGGCATGCTTCAACCGTATTGTGCAAACTACAGGCCCAGAAGTCCCAGCTATGCCAACTGATCCGACGAACCTGTTCGCTACGTTGATTTGCTTGTTCATTGCTACTTACAACTCTCCCGAGGCACGGTCGAAATTGCCATCGCGTGTTACTCGGTGGTTGGCGTTCTTACTTGAGAATTATCCTTTGTCTTCGGATATCATTGACAACGTCCACCCTGATCTTGAACAGTCGAGGGATGTTCTTGGCTTGTTCCAGAACTATATTACTTTGGCACAGCCGGGCCAGTTGGCATCTGCTGATGGCGTCGATTGGCTTGATCAGAACAGCGGGTGGCTGAGCCCAGAATGGATTGAGTGGTCGTGGATTGTGGCGAGCTCTGAAATGGTCATGCTTCCACTTGAGCCATTGCAGATTCTGAAGATGGATGGGCCTCTGCGTTTGAACAAACAGCCTGTTCTCTATATCCCACAAGAAGAGTAGAAGTGATAGATCACAGGTGCTTCAGACCTCAATATGATTGACCTATTATGTTGAAGAACTGATATCAGAGGCTCCTGAAAGGGAAGCCTAAAAGGGAGACCAAAGTAGGACAAACTAAAGACATGAAGCGGTAAACTTGAGGATTCCGTAGAGAAGGAACTCAATGATTTGGCAGTGACATTATATGTTGACTTAGACCTCTGTTATACCTAAGTGTAAGCAAAATGGAGGATTGAATGATTTCAATTGCAGTGACATTATAGGCCCTGCTTAGTTTTATACCCCGAAAGGGTTAGTATGTGTTCCTAAAACGGTAAATTTATGCCTGATTCACGAGGCTGTCATACCGTCATCAGCGAATCGCGAGCCACTGACTCAGCATGGGTCACGTGTGGGACCAATACCCAATCAGATCCTGCGTAAAGGCGGATCATTCAGCAAGCGCAGGAATTGCCGTGAGCTCCACGACTCCCTTCCCTCTCCCTCCACGACCCTTGACCCTCACCACGAATTGTCAATTCCCGCCGTCATCATGATATCTCGAGCGGCGGCTCCCTCCACCTCCTCCCTTTCTCACCTTTCGACCCGCTCCCTCCGCGCCCAGGGAGCGGCCGCCCGCTCCTTCGCAACCGTATCGGAAGCACCCCCCGTGAAGCACTATGGCGGACTCCGAGACCAAGATCGAATCTTCACCAACTTGTACGGTCACCATGGAGCTGATCTGAAGTCATCAATGAAGTATGGTGACTGGCACCGCACCAAGGATATGGTTCTGAAGGGTGATGATTGGGTGGGTTGTCGCACAATTGGATGGACTGGGAAATATCAATTGCTAATCATCCGCATAGCTCATCTCTGAGATCAAGGCCTCTGGCCTCCGTGGACGTGGTGGTGCTGGTTTCCCCTCAGGATTGAAATACGTAAGTGGCATGTTCGCGGTTTGGCGAAATGTGAGTGTTTGGGGTTAACGGGGCTAATCCGTTACTCGACAGTCTTTCATGAACTTCAAGGATTGGGACAAGGACCCTCGCCCCCGTTACCTGGTCGTCAATGCTGATGAGGGTGAGCCCGGTACCTGCAAGGACCGAGAAATCATGCGCAAGGACCCCCAGAAGCTGATCGAGGGTTGCTTGGTGGTGGGACGTGCCATGAACGCGAACGCCGCCTACATTTACATTCGTGGTGAGTTCTACCACGAGGCCGCCGTCCTCCAGAAGGCCATCAACGAGGCCTACGAGGCTGGCCTGATCGGCAAGAACGCGTGCGGTACCGGATACGACTTCGACGTCTACATTCACCGTGGAATGGGCGCATACATTTGTGGTGAGGAGACCTCCCTCATTGAATCCATTGAAGGCAAGGCCGGCAAGCCCCGTCTCAAGCCTCCATTCCCCGCTGCCGTCGGTTTGTTCGGTTGCCCTAGCACAGTCACCAACGTCGAGACCGTTGCCGTTGTTCCCACAATCATGCGCCGTGGTGCCAACTGGTTCTCTTCATTCGGTCGTGAGCGTAACGCCGGTACCAAGCTGTTCTGTATCTCCGGTCACGTCAACAACCCCGTCACAGTTGAGGAGGAGATGTCCATTTCCCTGCGCGACCTTATCGAGAAGCACTGTGGAGGTGTCCGTGGTGGCTGGGATAACCTGCTCGCCGTCATCCCCGGTGGTTCTTCCACTCCCGTGATCCCCAAGTCCGTTGCCGACAACCAGCTCATGGACTTCGACGCCCTTAAGGATTCCCAGACCGGTCTCGGTACAGCTGCCGTCATTGTCATGGACAAGTCCACAGACATCGTCCGCTCTATCTCCCGTCTGTCATCCTTCTACAAGCACGAGTCTTGTGGTCAGTGCACTCCCTGCCGTGAGGGCAGCAAGTGGACCATGCAGATGATGCAGCGTATGGAGACCGGAAACGCCCGTGAGCGTGAGATCGACATGCTCCAGGAGCTCACCAAGCAGGTCGAGGGTCACACTATCTGCGCTCTGGGTGAGGCCTTCGCCTGGCCCATCCAGGGTCTGATCCGCCACTTCCGTCCCGAGCTGGAGGCCCGCATTCGCGATTACCAGAAGGAGCTTGGCGCTTCCCCCACGCCGGCGGCTGGCACCCCAACAGCCGTGCTGAGGGCAAGCTGATCTCCCCTGGCATGTAAACGCACTACCTACACCTCTTTCCTTACCTCCTCCACATCTTTTTCCCTTTTTGTCATCCCAAAAAGAAGCAGGAACTGGTCCCGGGATGCATTCGACGTTCTAGACCTCCTTTATATTTCCCTCTCCTCGGCCGGTAATGTCTTTTCTCTGTTTCTCCGTCTGGTCCGGCTGGGGAGGGTGGTGTTTCTCTTTTCTTTACTCTGCTCGATCCCCTCGTGTTCTCCTGTCGCGTCTAGGTTTCTCTTTCTCTGTACAGTCGGTAGCAAATTTGATGCATTTGATGTCTTCATTCGTTCAGCCAGTTTGAGTAACGTACACATTTCTTTCTGCTCCTAACATCCTTACTTCGTTTTCTTCTTATTTCTCCTCTCGCCATGATCTCTGAATGAATACAACCCCACAGCAAGACTGATGCTCCCGACCTTCCTTCTCATTGACCTAGCGAGTCTCATTTTCAGCAGCAGCCTCTGGTTGAGAATCAACAACTTGCTGGACAACGGTGTCTTTGTCAACCCGGTGCTCCTCATTGGTCTTATCTTCGACGGGGAGATCATCGGCCTCAGCCGCTTCCTCCCTCTCTTTGCGCTCAATCTTGAGCAGCCTTTTCTCTCTCCATCCCATCCCATACACACATTCAATCCAGAGCAAGGACATTCCAGCAGTCATTAACAAACCGAGGAAGACAAAGCACCAGCCCCAGCCCATTCCGCTAAGCATCTGATTGATAACCGCAGCACCAACAGCACCGAGACAGCACCGAACAAGATTGCATGCCGCCGCAGCTGTAGCAGGTCTATCTGGGAAGAGATCAACAAGCAGGGTATTGAGACAGTTTAGTGATGCAACGAAGCAAAAGCCAATGATGAATTGCAAGACGAGCGGTACAGCGAGGGGCACTCCCCGCTGCAAGACCCAACCATACGGGGTGAAAGCCGCAATACCCACGGCCATGGCTGGAAAAACGGTTTGTAGACGGGCACGCTCGATTGGGAATTTCCGAAGATTATCGCCATTCTGACGGTTCGCGGGGAGGCCGGCTTTTTCGGCTGTGCGCTTATAACTATAGTCGATTACTTTGCCGTATACAACCGCGCCGAGGCAAGAGCTTATGCCAAAGGGTCTGTTTGTGTGGCTATTAGTGCGGTGTGGAATTGAGTGAAGCGGATGAGAGACTTACAAGAAGCAGATACCGATTTGAAGCTCATTGAGTCCATAAAGCGGGCCGAATAGGTTTGGGGTGCTGGTCAGTAAAGCGATATTCGCGAACATCACGAATCCGACGTACGAGATGACGATGAGAGCATCCCATTCAAGAAGAATAGCGACAGAATGGAGTGGGTTTGGGAACTTCAGCTTCGTCTGTCGGGACTGTTGTCCGGATCGTTGAGAAGCTTCACTAGCACGCTGTTCTTCATCAGACTTTCGCTGCGAACGCAGCACGCGCGTCGATATCCATTGAAGCACCGACATGCGCCACCACTGAGTTGGCACCTCGCCCCCATTACCAACGATCTTGCGCGCTGTCTCAGGCATGGCAATCATAAAGAAGACCAAATACCCACCACTGATGACAACCAGAAACCAGAAGACACTTCGCCAGCCGAGGAACTTGGCCAAAAGACCACCGATAACGGGGCCCAGAGCTGGTGCAACCATCACACCTGCCGCCATGGGACCGATGTACTTGCCACGCTCGGCTGTTGTCGCAATGTCCGCAATAACGCCATATCCGAAGGCCACGGTGCCGCTGCTTCCTGCACTCTGAATACAACGCAGCACCATCAAAGCTGCAAAACTGTTCTGTAGAGCCAGACCGATATTGGCCGCAGTATAGACAGCAAAGGCAATGATATAAGCTGGTCTTCTTCCTCCTGTATCGGCAAATGTGCCCATAAAGACTGGGGCCAGACCTTGAAGAATCATATATGTTGTGATGGTGAGATTGATTAGCGCGGGAGTAAGTTGGTAGTCCTTGACCAAGGTTGGCATGATAGGGTAGTATATTTGACCGGAGAGGGGAGAGAAGAAGGATGCCAGAGAGACCATGATCACGATAAATAGCTTTTGGCGCTTGGTGAAGGCAGAGAACAATGGCTGTGGTTCTTCATGTGCTTGAGCCAACTCTGTTGTCTCTGGTTGTGCTTCGGGGACAGGTTCCAAGGATGGTTGCTGGGCGTCGTTCTCACTGGGATGATGCGTGCTTGTGGCAGCCATTGATCCTTTGTTCTGGCTACTCTCGTTAGGGTCTGGCAAGCTGTGACTCTCCTGGGCTGAATCGATCCCCAATTTTATTCCAGCTGTGCTTGAGTCTTCCTGACTTGCCTCAGCGATGCGCTCCAGCGCCCAGTGTTTAGACGCCATTGGGAATTGAAAAGAGATGTTTGATATTTATTATTCAAAGGATGTTTTCAATTTGGTGAGATGCGAGGAAAGAAGAAGAGAACAGAGGAAGAAGAGAAGAGAAGAGAAGAAAAGAGGAAAGGCCAGGGCTCCTGCCATGTGCCAACACCTTGTGCTTTTCCTCGTACGACTGCGACTCTTCATTCTTCACTCTTCACTATTAACTCTCTACTCAACTCTTCACTGCTTCCTCCTTCCTCGATACACCCCTGCAAATGCCCAAATATCCTCCAGTATACATCCTCAGCAGCACACTTCCCAACAATAGGGTCAAGATGCCCATATCCCTCGGCCAGAAATCGACGATAAAGTCTCTCTCCAAATCGCCGACGGAGCAATTCATAGTCCTTGAGAGTAGACTGAGGATCAAAGACTTGATTTTCCATACCGGAGACAAACAGAATCGGCAATCCCTTCAGTCGCTGGAGATTCTTCTCTGTCAGAAGAGACTGCGAGGCATTGTCCGTACAAATGCCCCGAGTCCCCATACCCACAACATGCTTCATGAGCTTGGTATGGGTACCCGCAAAGAATTGATGAATGTTATCATGCAGAGCTGTATTCAAGTTCTCATGATTCCAGAGCAAACCAAACGCAAAAGAAGTACGATGACAGGCAGTGGATTTACACCTATCTCGCGAGAGCCCGACAGGGTAGAAGCGCAGGAGAACATCAAGTAGTCGCTGGAACAGGACACTCCCAGCATGGCTCATGATAGGGAAATAATGACCCGCAAGCAACTCATACAATTGGATCAAAAGTGTAGTCCGTCCTTTGAGTGAATTCCAATACCCAAAGACTTGATTCATGAAGACGGAGTTTGCAGTGATCCCAATGAGGTCACTGCTCGCAATAGTTCCGTCTAGGAGTCCCATACAAAGGGCTACGGAGCCCTGGCAGTGCCCTATCACATATGGTCTCAGAGCCTCTTTCTCGCGAATGTATTTGATTGCGGCTGCAACGTCCAGTCGACAGTCGAAAATGGTGGCTTCCTCAGCCACCGTTGGATCACAGCCCCAGCGCGGAGTAAGAACGAAGCAGCGGTGACCACGTTGTGTGAAGTAGTCGACCATATTGCAGCGCAAGAATGGGAGTGCATATAGATTGTGCATTGTGCCGATGCCGGTGATTCCAGGAAGAAGTAGGATGGGGGGTAGGTTGGCCAGTCTTGGGCCGTGATTGTCTTGTTGAATGGGATTGTATACTTCGAGCAGGACTGGGACACCATCGGATGCATTGATCTTGTCGGTGAATGGGGGATTCGAAATTTTCTTAGTTTTATCCCCAGAACAAGTTCGAGGGAAGCGAACAGGGACAAATGGCATGAAGAAAAAGATGCTGACATGGTATAAAAAGGTGAACAAAAAGGCCAATAGAGCAAGGAGTGAGCTGATGTCGACAGATCTCGTCCGGAAGGTTCTCATCTGCTTTGTGAAGTCTGGCAATGAGATATGAAGCGCACCGGCGCCAACCTGTGTCCCATCTAGTCGACTGATATTCACATTGACTGTCGTTGTCGCCTGCCATGTCTTCTTGACTGAGAAAGACATTCCCGAATTGAGAAGTTTGTGTCCTTCCAGAGCATACTCCAGGCCCTCGACTGAGAACAGCTTCATGTGGTATGAAATGGTAGACTCGGTGTCTGCTTCTCCTACAAAGAAGTCGACTGTCCCCTGAACAACTTTCAGCGTATACCGAGACAACGCATGACAAGAGACTGTTCCCGTGCATATTCCTTGATACCGCGAAGAAGATCCTGGGGAACTGATATGGCAGATATCAATGGTAATGAACATGCGCATTGCGCAAGACGAGCCTCTTCCAATACGCTCAGAAAAGGCGTGGTTCTTGAACCCCGATTTCATACTTATATGTCCAGAAAGGGTCTCGGTAAACTGCCATCCGATGGATTGTGCTTTTTTCTCTATAATTTCTTGTTGATTTTGGTCCTTGTGAACCCTTTGTGGATTGCTGGCGGCATCTAAAGCACCATTCTCGGTTTGATCGATTGTCAATCCGGACTTCTTAGCGAGTAAGCTGACGGAACGCTCTGAGAGAGCAGAAATTGTTGCCAGAGGATTCACACCTGTTATATCAGCCAATAATGAGCATTTGGTTTATTGGTTGAATCAATCGGGGGATCCCAGAATGAACGGAGATTCAAAGGACTTATAATCCCTATTATAAACTCTTGACTTACCGAGAGCTGTTGGTATGATAGAGGCATCACAACACACCAGACCGTTATATACTTCATCTCCAGGACCAGTGAAGACCTGTCCCAGATGGTCCGTCACACCTCCCTGTCCTGTTCCATCACTGCTCATATTGGCACCTCCCAATAGATGCACAGTGACTTCCTCTTCGTGGCGACCTGTTATCGAAGATGAGAAAAAGCCACTGAGAAGTCGATCTTGGTCGAAGCGTACCGTAGAAATATGAGAACCCCATGTCTGCCCCTGTGCGAGAGAACAACTCTTTGATCATCCTCTTCATTTGGGTGAAGTGCTCACTTGGACCCTCTGATCCTCGCAAGCGTAGTCGATCATTCTGCAATGTCAATGCAAGTTCATTGCTATCATGGGACATGACAAGGTACGTCGACGTTCGCTGGAGAGATCCACCACGCGCGTAGGGACCAAACAGAAGAGATCTGAACGCGGCCATGGACTTTGACAGCGTCAACTTGGGATTCCTCAGAAAGGACAACCCTTGAGACTTTGCAGTCTGCATAGTCAACATTGGCAATATCACCGGAGTGAAGGTCTCCGGTATGCAGCCATCTTGAATCACATATCCCGCGAGAGGATTGGTTCGAGCATCAGCATTTCGGTTGTCAACCACGCAAGTGACTGTTGGGCCAGGGGGAATTGAAGCTTGTGAAGAGTCGCCGGCGATTCCATTGACATCGGCGCTTCCATTATATCCTATACGCTCGATATCAGCCATGGCATTTCAATCCCCAGCAACTTCCCTACCAAACATCAAAAGGTCACCATTTCCAGAGACATTTCGTCCCACAAGAGGAGACATCTGCAAACAATGTTGTCTTGATCGAAGCAAAATCTCCGTTGTACCCAAAGCCCCGGCTCCAAGGAAACAGAATTCTCGCTAAGTCGTCTGTGAGCTCAATCATCACTTCGGATGGGCAATACATACTGCTTTCACCCAGAAAAGCTGCTCCTTGAAGTGATCTGCAAAGACCGACCTTCCATGACCATGCCAGGTAAAGAAGATAATATACCCTCCTCCTTCCATCTTTTCCACAAACCGCACCTCACATCCACAAAACATCTCGGCGCCCCAGTTCCAAGCATCCGCTAAATAACTGGTCGCCACGGTGTTTTTGGAACCATCATTGAGACCCGTACATTCGTGTCCTGATCGACGATTGGGATGCATGGGAACACCAGCCTTGTTCCGACCGCCGTGGAAGAATGTGGTGACTGGTGCACGATAAAAATTGTCTCCTTGACCAAGCCACGTTGAATCATTTCGAAGATGTTCTAATTTGGCGGGATTTGAGTACTTCTCCGGATATGTGAATGGTTGCAGCATTTCTTCTGCGCGCGAATAGTCTGTTCCGATGAGCTGTTGAACATAACTACCGACGCTGTCCAATGTCGATATGCAGAAATGGGGAATTGAGCCTCACATTCATCAAGTCCTGAGGGATTCTCTCGAATCTGTGACGGCCAGGGACTCATTTCCAAAGTGCCTGTATCGGCTTTGAGGAAGACGCCGCAATTAATCAAGGATGTTCCTCCAAGGCCTATATGATTCGATTCCATCAGAACATACCGAGAGCATAAATGACTACAACTCGAACCCAACTCACCATGAGCAGCAAAGGTATGCTGTCCATCCCCAAGGAACAATTGAAACAGTCTAGTAGGATCACCAGCCGAAAGCCATGTCGATATGAAAGAGTTCTTCGCTGAACTCCCCGAAACATTCATATCCCTCACGCACTGCGAGAAAGTCTGCGGAAATGAACCAGCTGTGTTGAATTGTCAGATTCATCATTTCAGAGTACACGAGGAATTAGAAATCACACATCTTCGTTCCCAGCCAAGCTCTAAAACAGCAACACTCTTCCCAGCGCGCGCCATTCGACTCGCCGCCACGCCAGCTCCATATCCAGACCCAATAATCACCACGTCATATTCTGATTTCATAGATTCAAAGGGACGACTCAGAGCCGGGTAATCGTCAGTCTGAGCCGCGGAAATCGACATTGTTCCAGTTCGACTCGACTAATCCCAAAGCCGTGTATTCTCGAGCGTCAAGCAGCCAACCCGCAGGTCCAAAATCCCACACGATAAAAGGCCGGCAGCACCCAATGATATATGATCAGAAAAGTCCAGCCAGAAATTTCAACACTAACTTGGATAAACGGCTGATAAAACAGAAACGGGAGAGGGTTAGCGTGCTAGTCCTAAAGCCCTAAGCTAACGCCACGGCACAAGGCTGGATACGAGCTATGCATGGCACTACCCTGTTCTAAACAGAACAAGAACCATTTCATTCCAGCTGGAAGCAAGGCGTATATCCCACACTCATCATTGGGCTCGGGGGGGAGTGTGATTTGACTAGTGGTGGCTATGTGCAGCAACCCGTTGACCCAGATAGGCTTGGAGGGAAGTATAAATTCCAGATATGGCGAGGTGACCCAATAAGTTCAAGCCTCGTTTTTTGGCTGAGAGTCCAATCGGGAGTGCCACGCGGCAGGGGATTGCTGTACTGGGGGTATTTGTGTTGATCCGGTGGTGATTCGGTGATGATTCCAGTTCTGCAGCTTATTGTGGGGCGTGGGGACGTGTGTGCATAGTTGATTTGGCTGGGATATTCGTGTTGTCTACTGTTAGTTATACTAGTTACACGGGGGGGAGGGTGGAAGTAAACCCTATACGGTTAGAATTCGGGCTACGGACTCTATTCGGAAGATGGATTAGGCATGGGTCAGCAATTTATTCTTAGTTGACTTGGTGTATATCGCTTAACTCGACACGCTACATACTACTCGGTCTAGACCAAATCAGAAGGAGTCAGAGGGAATATGGAAAAAAAAAATAATGAAATGATCAGGCAATAGGGTGTACTAGAATACAGGTCATGGGAACCATACATGGGAGCAAGAGACTCAGCGAAAAATCGAGAGGCAAACAAAAGAAAAGAAGAAAAGCAGATAGGGCAAAAGGATGCCCAGGATTGATTCAACCCCCTTTCAAAATAGGCTAGATGCAAATGTGTGTACTCTTTCTCTTCTGATCTTGCGTTTTGGGATTATGTTTCGTTTTCGAGATTTTAATGGCCACCTGCCATGATAACGCCGTAGTAACGACGGCTCATCTCTGCTGTCTGTGCGATGCGCGCATCGCCTGTAAGGGGGAGGCTGAGGAGGGTGGAGGATTCAACGAACTGGACATCCTCGTGGGTAATCCAGCCTGTGACGGCACGACTCATCTCCTTGAATGCGACACGCTCTTCCAGTCCTTCCATGCCGGATCCTTCAATACGGTCGCTCATAGTAACGAGAGCATTGACGAGGCGGTTGAGACGGGTTGCGTCACGTCTACCGCTGGGAGCAGTGACCAGACGCAGGAAATCCTCGTAGACACCACCGCCAGAAGCCCAGCCGCGCATCTTACGTTCTGGTCCATCACCGAAGCCGGAGACCAGAGTCTCCAAAGTGCGGTAGTCGCCCTCGATGATAGCGGAAGGAGCGACAATGCGACAAAAGGTGGCGTGAGCGTCGTTCCAGTGCTTGCCGTGGATAAGACAATCGACTTCGCGGGCTGCGTCACCGGTGTCGCGAGCGTAGAGGGCCTTGGCAACCCAGATCCAGGCCTCGGGGAGTTGGAGGTCGGAGACAAGGTAGTGCCATGCTGGGTTGTTAGAGCCGTCGGCGGTGAAGGGCTCAGGCAGCTGAGCAGCAGACCGGGCAAGAGTTTCTTGCACGGCGCGCTTGCGGTCGTTGGCCTGGGAAAGGTGCAAAAGGACGAACAAGGCCTGGTTGAGCTCTCCGCTGGCACCGAGTTCCGAAGCAAAGTCCCAAACGAGGTGGTCAGCCTGGTGCTGGTTGACTGTGATGGCAGAGCTTGGTCCCACAGTCGCAGCGAGGACGTGGTGAAGCTGGAAGGAGAGGCGGTTTGAGAGACGGTCGCCGGAGACCGTCTCAGGGAGGAGAGCAGCGGGGAATTCAATAGACTGGGTCTTGAGTCCCTGGGTGGCAGAGTAAGCCTTGAGCAGAACCCAAAGTGGAGATTCACGGCCAAGAGTATCAGAGCCAGGCTGAGGGACAGCGCGAGTATTGGCCTCGTGCGAGGGGTGAGGGAAGGCTTGTTCCTGTCCAGTCGCGAGATCCTCAAGGAATTTGGCAACCGCAGCTTCAATGGGCTGATCCTCCGTAGTGCAGTACCACAAGCGAAGACCAAAGGCCTGGAACCAGTCTAGATCGAAGCGCTCGGTGAAGCCGAAGCTGGAAGCACGGTCCTCAAGGGCACCGCCGGTCTTACCCTCACTGCGGAGAGCGTTTCCTGCAACCAGTTCGTAAAGAGCTCGCACAGGCTCACTCATTTCCGAAAGCACATTGTTCTGACGCCACATGTCAATCTGGTTCGCCATGTCGGCTCGAGAGGTAGCATCGCGGCCAATCTGTGCCACCACAGTAGCCAGATGTGGGTTTTGACTCTCCACCAGTGTGTTACACGCTTCCTGAACCCGGTGGGCGCACATCAAATGGACAGCGCGTTCAACAGGTGAGCGGATCATGTCAAGGTTTGGATTCTTCTCACGGATGACGCCCTCCCAGAAACGAGTGAGACGATCCTTTTTGATACGGTGGGCGAACTTCTGCTGGAGTTTTGGTGGGACGCCAGCCGAAATGTCATCTTCGATATCGTCGTTGAATAGGATGTTGAGAAGCTGCCACACCAGGGTCTCGTCCTCAGATTGGGAACGGCTAGAAGGAGACAGAGGGAACTGCCAGAGCTCGGGACTGGTCATACGGACGAGAGGGGTGCCATCCACGCGTTGGATAGTGGATTGTTGTCGCTGAACGTCAAGCATTTCCTTTGACTATTTTGCGATCAGTGTCAGTTTCAAATGAAAAGGTAAGAAAAATGTAAACAAACCTCGCTTGTCTTATTGTAAGTCATAACCGCAACGTCTCCTCCTGCACTGAAAACAGTAAACTTCTCCTGCCAGGTCTGGGACACTTCCGAGATAGTCTCCTGCATATCGGTCTTTCCACAAAGTAGAGTGTCCTGGGGACCCCAACGCGGCTTGAAAGAATCATGGAAGGAAAGGTCGATGTCGGACATTTCAGTTGTATCACCGGCGAAAGTTTTGGGTTGTTTGTTGTAGGGCCACTGTAAGAAAGACAGAATATTTTAGCTCAGTTACTGTCACATTGGATCAACTATCTGGGGGTGGACGTTATCGTGATAGATACATGTTGAAAGGCAACAAAGAAAATGACAAAGGAAATAGCTATCAGTATGAACATAAGAAAGGAGTTCTAACCTCAATGCCTTTGGACTGTGTCTTGACAGGCTTCAGCGGGGATGGGGCGTTTCTCTTGCCTGGCTGTTGAAACAAAGAGTTCATCAGATCGATGCTGTTTGAGAAGCCCTTCTTGGGAGAAGCTGTCGCAGTGTTTGAGGGAGATTCGTCTTCAACAAGATCACGATCCATGAAGGCATTTGCCTGCATTTCACGCAATGCATCGCGGTTCTGCTTGCGAGGACTAATGGTGCGCTGCAATTGCTCAGCCCAGTCGCCACTGAGATCAAGCTGAGGCTTAGTAGGGCTGCCGAAGTGTCTCATAGGGTGAGTGGTATCCAAGGCACCGTTGATACCCTGGTAGTGATCCCGCTCCACGGTGCGATGAGGAGTGGGAAAGGCACCAGCCATATCCATTTCATCTGCCTCATCTGATCCAACTACCGAATCGCCAGATTGCTGGCTTTCGGTGACGACATCGTCGTCTTGCTCAGTAGTTGAACCCGTGGAGCCTTCCTCTAAAAAAGACTCGGTCTCACCCTCGGAAAACATGTCATCGTCCTCTGCAGCCATGGCCTGGCTACCAAAAGAGCCGGGAACAATCTTGCGCTTCTTGAAGTCAAAGGTGTCGTCCTCAACGCCGACCATGGAGCCAACGAAAGACTCATCGATTGAGAAAGTGGTGGATTGCTCGAAGCTCGCGGGGTGATCAGAGTGAGCCTTGGGAGTAGGATGGTCAGGGCCGTCGACACTCATAGTGCTTTGGTCAAGACTCTCACCTTCCTCGTCCTCATCATAGTCAAGTCCGTAGGTAGTGAAATGAGGAACCTTGAAGACCCAGGTACCGGTCTCAGTCTCGTAGTTGACGAACTCGGTATCGCCGACCTTCTGGAGACGATCAATGTGCTTATCGAAGAGAGGGCCGTTGGTGACAGGAGAGTTGCTCTTCCTGTCTCTGCCACGAGGCCAGGAGTTCTCGATGCGCAAGGTAGAAGGCACGTTCAGTCCCTTGCCCATGGGGGGCTTGATGGCCTCATCGGGGTAGACGGTAATCTTACGAAGACCGATGTTGACAATGGTATCGAACAAGTTATCCACATCAATGATGCTCAGATCAACCTCGCCGTTGAAAGTGACGGATCCGCAGTTCTGGCGTCCGACAGTGAAGTCGACAACGTGCTTCAGCTGCTCGCGGCTCATCTTGCCGAGGGTAGCTTGGGAAGGCTCCATCCAGTACTCACCGGGCTTGGGGTCACCACCAGGAATGAAGGTCAAACGCTTGACAGTCGCGCCATTGGTGGTAGCTGGGCCGTTCTCGGGAACGATAGCGAGATCACGGCTGACAGACTCCATTTCTGGACGGCCAGATGAAGCAGAGTCAACACCGTTGAGACTTCCACTCTTGCGAACAGAGCGAAGGAAGCCAAGCTCCTCAGCAGTGGGCTCGGGGCTCTTGGGTTCGACAGGGACAATCTCGCCTCCAGTGAGACCAGGAGAGGTGGAGTCAAAGCTAACCTTCTTCTTCAACTTGTCTGAGTCATCTCCGTTGGTGATGGGTGCAGGGCTGGAGGGCTTTTCGAACAGGTCGGATCTCAGGCTCCGGTTGATAGTAAGACGCTTCAAGCCACTTCCGCTGCGGGTGCTACCCGGCTGCAAAGCGCCGGGAGAAAGGACACTGCTTGACTCTGGATCAAAAGTATTGCGAAGGTTGCTGGTAGAGTAACTCTTGCTAAAGGTGCGGCCCATGCTGCCACCATTGAGACTACCACGTAGACTGTTGCTTCCGCCCAAGAGGCTGTTGCCCAAACCAGAGGGAGTCCCGGTGACGCTAGAGGGAGAGCCATAAGTGGAGTAAGAGAAACCATATCCACGCTTAGGGGGTGTGATAATACGGCTGTTGGCAGTCGAGGTGGCCTTGTACATAGGCAACGGAGCTCGCTGCTTCTGTCTCATGCTCGAAGACAATGGGGTAGCGAGGGGGCCAGGAGCCGCACCATTTGGTGCAGGAAGACCAGAGAAAATAGACTGACTTCCGTAAGGGTTTCCGTCAAGAAGCGAGGCCTGGAAACTTCCAGGGGCGGGTTGAGACTGCTGTCCAGACTGAGAGTTTCCAAGGAGACTGCCGCCGAGGCCACCGGTCTGCTGTTGTTGACTCTGGCCGCCGCCGAACAATGAGCCGCCGGAGCCAGCAGTACTCTGGCCACCACCGAACATGCCTCCTCCAGTGCCGCTGTTTCCGAACATACCACCTGGCTTTTGCTGTTGCTGCTGCTGGTTTTGGGTGTTGCCAAACAAGCCACCGCCGGTGCCAGTGCTTTGCTGAGGCTGAGTGTTGCCAAAGCCTCCGAACGCGCCTCCAGGGGCGCTGGTAGTAGATGATCCGAAGAGGCCACCGGGCTTTTGTTGCTGCTGGTTTTGTCCACCAAACAGCCCACCGCCAGTGCCGGTTGGTTGTTGCTGTGACTGTCCACCGAAGAGACCACCAGACTGTTGTTGAGGTTGTTGCTGCGGCTGTCCACCGAATAGCCCACCGCCGCCTGTGCTGCCGGTAGCACCGCCTAGAAGGCCAGTGCCAGTCGACGGCTGCTGAGCGCTCGCGCCAAAGCCACCGCCGCCTCCGAACAATCCCTTGTTTGGAGTCTGAGCCTGGTTCTGTTGAGTTGCCCCACCGAAGCCACCGAAAGCACTTGTTCCTTGCTGCTGGGTGTTTGCGCCGCCGAAGGGAGATGCAGTAGCAGTCGAAGCTCCGAATGGGTTTGCAGCACTGGTAGTTTGGGCGCCTCCGAAGCCACCGAAGCCACCGGTTCCAGTGTTTGTGGCACCGAAGGCAGGCTTAGCCTGCTGGGTGTTGCCGCCGAAGAGAGAGCTGCCAGTGTTTCCGAAAGCTCCTCCAGCTGTGGCACCAGTTCCGGCATTGGCGCCGAAACCGCCAGTGGTCTGGGTAGAATTACCAAACATACCGCCGCCAGAAGTGGCAGGTGTCGCAGTGTTAGTGGCGCCACCGAACAATGAGTTAGCTGGCTTGGCTCCTCCGAACAATGGGTTGGAGTTGGCGGCACCAAATCCTGCGCCAGCGGTTGGGGTTGATCCGAAGGCAGATGGTGCGGTTGTAGCAGCGCCGCCGAATGGAGTGGTGCTTGCACCAAATCCGCCGGTTGTGTTTGTTTGAGGTTGCGCACCAAATCCAGTACCACCGAAGGCAGAGTTACCAAAGGCACCAGCTTGTCCACTTCCGTTGCCAAATCGGCGTCCCTGCTGATAATCTGCTAAGCGTAGTTCCTCGAAGGAGAATTTGCTGTATGGCTGTTGGAAAACGATGCTTTGATAGTGGTTCGTGGCGTTTGAAGTGGTATCCTTTTCGGTGAATGCGTTGAAAGGAGTGCTGCCTGTTCCTTCGCAGGCAGTATTGCCACCGAAAGCAGAGCCGGAGGCGCCGAAGCCTGCAGCTGGGGCAGCAGTGTTAGCCGCAGTCGATCCGAAGCCACCGCTGGTAGCTCCACCGAAGCCAGAAGGCGTGGCTGAGGCACCAAACCCGGTAGCAGGTTTAGCGGCACCAAAGAGTCCTCCACCAGTGTTTGTGTTTGTGTTTGCGCCGAAGCCAGTGCCGGTGCCTGTGGCGGATGATCCGAATCCTGAGCTGGTACCACCGAAGCCAGTGTTGGCAGGAGTGCTAGAAGCGCCTCCAAAGAGAGATCCGCCGGCGGTGTTGTTTGAGGCACCGAATCCGGTAGCGGGGCGGTTTTGACCACCGAAGAGTGAGTTGGGTTGGGTTTGCGTGTTAGCTCCGAATCCTGAGAGAAAAGAGAAGAGGTCAGTAAATGTCAACAATTGTCAGTTCACGCGATGAAAAATTAGAAAACGAGAGCGGAGATCCAGATGTGGTCCAGCAAAAGTCCAGAAGAGTCGCAATGTGGTCAAGTCGAGTACCGTCCAGATCACTCATTCGGAAGAAATGAATGTGGTATCGATTTGCGAGACCGGTACAAAGCTTCTCAATCGCGAGTCGATACGATGCGATGAGGGACATCTCAAGTGAATTCGGAAGGAACAGAATCGCAAAGCTCTCGAGGAGCACGTACCTCCGCCGGTGCCGGTAGAAGATCCAAATCCAGTGGATGTGTTTGTTGCGCCACCAAAGGCAGGCGTGGTGCTGGCGCCAAAAGCACTAGGGGTTGAGCCAAAACCTAGAGAGCGGAAGTGATCGTGGTCAGAGGGACTGCGATTCAAGCTGGATCTAGCTTTCTTTATCCTGTCGGGGTGTCGCTGTGCCTGCCGTATGGCGCGCAGGGTATCTCTGTCGGTAGCACGGCGAATCCCAGATTCAGGGAACATGTGATTCGCGCGCGGAGGACTGTCGCGATACGGCATGAGGAGCAGCGGTTGTTGCTGAGGTAAAGGGAGACCGAGGGTGGGAGTACGAGAGTGGGAAAATAACAAGTCCAAAAAGGCAAGAAGGGAACGATTTAAGGGCAGAACTAAGAATCAAAGACCTACCTCCACCAGTGTTGGCATTGGCCCCGAAGCCTGTACCTGTGCCAAAGCTGCTACTTTGGTTGTTCTGACCGAATCCTCCTCCTCCACTTCCAAATCCGAAGGTCGACATTATGTCGGTTGGAAATTGTGGGTGTTCACACAGTCATAGGTCGATTTCAAATCTAAAGCGAAAGCGCAGGTAGTCGAGGATGTGGAAGAAGCGCGTGTGATGAGGTCTGAGAAGAGGAGAGGACGCGACAGAAAAGAGAGGATTTGCTAGCCAGGCAGACCGATTATGTCAGCGCCGGGTCACAATACTCCGTCACGTGAGTCTCGCTGCCTAAAGCGGTAGTCCAATAGAATGCTCTAATAAACGATAAACCGGGCTATTCGCGGATTTTCTTATAAAGAAATGAGTCATTGAGCTTTATTACAGCTCTAGAACCTGATTTTAGAGTCAAATTATGAGTAATCCGAAATGAGGGCGAGAATTGGCATTGTTCCGAACAACACGAGATCTATACAAGGGTCTCCGCCTTGAGGAACGTTTATAGTCCTGCAACCATCCACGGCTCCTATCAGGAATGCAACAATACAAATATGAGTAGACTCGTTATCAAAAGACTGTTAAATATTCCATGCATCTCTCAATCTATTTCCGGCCCATTATTGTCTCAAAAATGCTTAATGGTCTAACATTCTGCCGAACAAACACTATTTTCAGAATGGTCACAATTACATTCTGTAACCCGATATGCAATGCAGGCCATTATTTTCAAAGTGAATCAAGGCCTATGGAGTTAACCCGAGCATCGACCGCTTTACGGCTAGAGACGTTCTCCTTCCTACACTTTCCTACACCTCACCGCCGAGCAGTGTTATATCCAAGCCCAAGAGCTGAGCTCGGCAACGCAACTTACATGTCCAAAGCAGTTCCGTCTAGATTATTTTCGCTATTACAGTCTAGTAAGGTTCTGTGATCATGCAATGGTCAGAAATTTACGAGCTTACAGTGCCACAAACAACTTCTTGTAAGATATATTTTTCTTTTGATGCGTGTAGACTATATATTTTGGCGGTGCCTGTCCAGAATCTCTACACTCAATGTATATATACAAGGATTCACTGACAGTAATTTTGAATTCATAAACCCGTCAGTCATAACGACATTACTCAATTTTCAGTTGCAAACATCTTCAAAGTACAGGCTGGTTCAAGTGAAGCATGGCAGGAAGCTTGATGCCCAGCTAGGGGCACACTACAAAACACACGAACTGAATCTCAAGAACATTCAATTGAAGGTTATGACCCTACAAATAGAACCAAAATCCAAAGCAAGATACTATTCACAACGCTTCGGAGCAGACAAGGGAATCTCAAATACAGAAGACAAAGAACCTGAACAGAAAAAAAGAACATACCACCCCCACAGTCCCAAATCCGGGCAAGGGGGCGCAAGTCAAAAAGCCAACCATCAGAGCCATATCCATGGATTGACAGCATAACATATGATGAGAAACATCACTTTTCTCCGAATGTTTCCACTAGAAAATTTCACCCGAAGTTCATTATCATCAAAATCGTAGACTTGCACTTTACTTCTGGCGGGCGGCGTGGACTGTGGCGATAATTGTGTCCACAACACTGGGATCGGACAGCTATAGATGTATTAGCATTTGTTTGATAGAGGAATTGGGAGTAATGGTAAACTTACCGTGGAGGTATCACCGAGACTGTCTTCTTCACCACTGAGAATCTTCCGCAAGATACGGCGCATGATCTTACCGCTACGGGTCTTGGGGAGGTCCTCTACGACGAAAACAGCCTTGGGGGCGGCAAAAGGTCCGATGGACTTGCGGACTTGCATGGACAGATCCTTGCGAACCTGGTCGTTTGTCTCGTTGCCATCCTTGAGGGCGACAAAGGCGTTAACGGCCTGGCCGGTCAGCTCATCGGCGATACCGACGACAGCAGCCTCGGCGACCATGGCTATGCACAATTAGTTTGGGACCAGTAGATATGGACGTGTGGTGTACTTACGGTGCTCGAGGAGCGCGGCCTCGATCTCGGCGGTAGACAGACGATGGCCGGAAACGTTGACGACATCATCGACACGGCCACGGATCCAGTAGTAACCATCGTGATCACGACCAGCACCATCTCCGGTGAACTTATACCTGTTAGTTCGATATTCTGTATGTTGGAATTGAAGCACTCACGTAATAACCCTTGTAAACGTTCAAGTAAGTATCCATGTAACGCTTGTGGGCACCCCAGACAGTGCGAGCCATACTGGGCCATGGCTGCTTGAAGGCAAGAACACCTTCGACGTCGTTGCCTAGAATCTCCTCTCCGGAGACAGGGTCGATAATAGCGGGCTCAATACCGAAGAAGGGCAACGAAGCACTACCGGGCTTGGTGGGAGTGACACCACCAAGAGGAGTAATAACGTTAGAACCGGTCTCAGTTTGCCAGTATGTCTGTAATCAATATTAGCAATTGTTCCAAAATGTCCAGAGATTCAAGACATACATCGCAGATGTGAGCTTCTTCCTTTCCGACAGCCTCGAAGTACCACTTCCAGACCTCAGCGGCAATGGGCTCTCCCACGGAACCAAGAACACGCAGGCTCTTCATTTTGTGGTGAATGTGCTCACCACCAGCGCGCTTCAGCAGACGCAGGGCGGTCGGAGCAACGTAGAACTGAGTGACGTCGTACTTGTCGATGACATCCCAGTAGCGAGAGAAGTTGGGGTATGCGGGGGTACTTTCAAACACAACGGTGGCACAACCAAGCAGGAGAGGAGCGTAAACGACGTAAGTGTGTCCGGTAATCCAACCAACATCGCCACCGCAGAAGTAGCGGTCATCATCGTGGATATCAAAGACGTATTTTCCGGTCATGGCGGCACCGAGAAGGTAACCAGCAGTAGTGTGCATGACACCCTTGGGCTTGCCGGTCGAGCCGGAGGTGTAGAGCAGGAACAAAGGATCCTCGGAGCTGACGGGCTCGGGGGCGAGATAGTTGGGGTACTTCTCGACCTCCTCGTGCCACCAGATATCACGACCGGGGGTCCAGGGGACCTCGGCACCAGTGCGCTTGTAAACAAGAACAGTTGTGACGTCGGGGCACTGCTTCATAGCCTCATCGACAATGCGCTTTGTGCCAATGACCTTGCCACCGCGCTTACCTTCGTCGGAGGTGATGACCACCTTGGAAGAAGCGTCGAGAACACGGTCCCGGAGCGAGTCTGAGGAGAAACCGGCAAAGACAACGGAGTGCACAGCACCGATACGCGAACAGGCCAGGAAGGCAATGACGGCCTCGGGAATCATGGGGAGGTAGATTCCGACGGTGTCACCCTTCTTGACACCACGCTCCTTGAGAGTCCAAGCAACGCGAGAGACCTCACGCATGAGCTCGCCGTATGTGATGGTACGGCCCTCATTGGGCTCGTCCGCCTCGTAGATGATGGCCACCTTGTCGGGGTTCTTGAGCGCGTGGCGATCCACGCAGTTGTATGAGGCATTCAGGCGACCCTCGACGAACCAGGCATTGTCGCCGTTTTCGAAAGAGCCGTGGTGTGTGGTCTCAAAATCCTTGTCGAAGGTGAGCAGTTCACGGGCCATGCGGGCCCAGAACGTGTCGGGACTCTGAATCGATTCATCGTAGAGCTTCTGATACTCGGCCATATCCTTAATGTGGGTTCCGGTGGGGTGCTTGTCGTGGAACGCCTTGGGCACGTGGAAGGTGTCGACCTCGTGGGCCTCGAGCACCTGCATCCTGGTTAGCCAATTGCCAATGCTGTGAGCCAAGCTCAGCACGAGACCACAGGGGACGTTACCACGGAGGGCTTGGGCTTAACTGGGCCGTCCGACATAATGTGATTTCGGAAGGGGTATCAAGGAGAAATCTGCCTGAGAGTCAGTGAGAAGCCCAGGGAAGCCACGGAAGAAAGCCTCACCAAAGGGATGTGAACGTAAAGAAAAGAGTCTGAGAGCGGGGGATGAGCCATTATGTATTTCCCCGGGTGGAGCGTTCCCAATCCGGCCGCTTTACAAATAAAATACCACTCTACAGCTTTGTTTTACCCGACTGCCATTCTCTGCTCTGCCCTGCTCTGCCCTGCTTCCGGTAACTTTCATTCCCCTATTATCTGCGTTTCTTACGCCAAGGCGTGAGTTTGGGTTCGGTCATGCGGGGGGTTGACATCCTTCCGTTGCTCCGGGGAAGTGCCCCTCCACGATAATCAGGTCGACTGAGATCAACCGACCCCTGTCCCCGTAACCCTTGGACCGAACCCCCCGCCTATGGACATCGTCCCGATAGATTACATATACGGGTTGCATATACGAATTGCAGAGGGCTAGATCCTCATCCAGCAGGGTATAGATGCATGGATACATAGTGTGTGGCCTCTGGGCCTATAGTTCCCCAAATATCCCTCGGGAGATCCCCTGCCCGATCCTATTGAGATCGCAACGAGCCTCCCATGTCCAGATCGACTGGGGTTGAATAATACGAGCCATGTCATGAGGTTTGATGATGTCAACCGTGATGCTTCCTCCGCGCAACCTTGGGACTGTATGTGCAAGCTGGAAGGCGGACCGATGTCTCCATGTAGAATAGTGCCGCCACTCATCGACCTCACAAGGGAAGTTTATTGATTCTTGGCATTTTACAAGCTTAGACAAGACATAACAGGGCGGTTATTTATTTCACGTTCCTTTGAATTGTGGATAGCCTGGGTTGGATTGTGGGGAGTGTGGGACAACGCCTGTCTCGCTAATTTCTTTCCTTTTTCAATTATGGAAAAAGAAGGGAAATAAGAAAAAGGTATACTTCACGAATAGAGAAAGAGATCACTGGTTCCTGGCAAGTGAACTTAAGCATAAATGCCTGTGTCTTCCCCTGACTGACTGGATGATATCCTTCGTTGCATCCGAGTGTCACCTTCGGCCGCCTGAGGCAAATGCAACTGCAACGCGAAGATCAGACACGGCAAAGAACACACCGAGCAACACCGCGCATATGCAGAAGAAATAAAAAGGTTGGACTAATGCACTTTAGCTCCACCTCTCCCACTTCGCGTCCCAACAAAAAAGGCCCATGCAGACTGACCTAACCGACCTAGGAAGATATTCCAGCCGACAGCGTGTCCGTTATACGGCCAATACCCGCAGGATGAACCCGGAGACCCCACCCGCGCAAAGTCCGACACAATTGTGGGACAGCTGGGAACCATTCTTTGACATGGTGAAAGGCCGAGAAAAGACCGTATTCTGTCCAGATTCTGTCCCAGGGACAGGAGGCCGAGGAGCTCAGGGATGAGAGTGTCCAGAGCGGGAGGGTCCGACATCGGAGAAAGGATGTTCCTCTCCGATCCAATGGGACAAGGGCTATTGCAGCATCCTGATCTTCCAGGGCTGGCTTTTGACTCGACGAAATCGACAGGGATTGCGGATCTCCGGAGGATCTGGGATATCGAAACCAGAGGCCGACGCAATGCCGATGCAATGCCGACGGGATAAGGGTCACAGGTCGTGACTTGACCCGTGCGGACTCGACCTTCTCAGCGTTGGTCTGAGTAATCTGTGCATGAAAATCGCCATGGAAGACGATGGTAATCGGTCAGCATAGAGAGGCCGGGATGCCTTATCTTTCTGACATCCGGTGAGGAATATAGTCAAGTAGGCCCTGAACGGCGCGTCAGACGTCTGTCATTTTCGGCGATGATAGATTGATGCCGGAGAGAGTACAGAAAGCACAACTTCAACCTTCCAAAAGATGCAAATAAAACCTGTGCTTAACCTGTAAATGCTGGTAGCCATCAATCTATCTCAGGGAAACTCCCTATGCTCCCCAGATCGTTCAATCTCCGCCATCGAACATCCAGACCAAGGCAGAGTCGAACAAGACGGATGAAGGGCTTCCAAGCCGCGGGTATAAGCAAACTTCAAACCTCTTCCATGCTCCTCGGTTCAAGGTCAACCCTTTGTTGGGACCGAAGGAAATGACGTTCAACCCGACAGAAATCTTGGGGAACCCTGGGACGGTCGGTTAGGGCTCGGGAAGAACAACTTCCATATCGGACGAGCGGGGCATCCCATGGGTGCCTGAGTCTCGGTGAGGAAATAACGTGAATTACCTACATATATAGGTAGGGATTCTTCTGCGCTGTCCCATTGACTGGCGTGGGATTTGTAAACCCATGAGCTGATTCGGTTCGGCTGGCTCCTTGATGTCATTACGAGAAGATCTACCTATTTCAGTAACATTGGAAGTAGTTCCGGTTTGTAAGCCTATGATCTGATTCGGCTCAAGTAATACCTTGAGGCTGTGAGACAGTGATCCGGGGTTTGTCAACAGATGAACTGATTCGGACCCTCTGATTCCTTGATGTTTCGAGAAGGCGCGGGGGTGTTATCAGCATCAGTAGTCAGCTATCAAGATTCACCGCTAATGATGTGGCCAAGATAAATAATTCGGCCTCGCTCAATGGCCAGTATATCCAGTGATCAAGTCAATGCCGATATTCGAAATGGGCATCAGCGATGAAGTCGAAATGTCCAGCCAAGGAGCTGGCGCGAGATCCTTATCTAATAGCGATCTATCGGCTGAGAACTACCCAGAAGGAGGCCTACAGGCCTGGTCTGTTGTTCTCGGAGCATGGTGTGCAATGGTTCCTTCCATGGGATTACTGAACAGTCTTGGTGTTCTCCAAGCCTGGACGAGCACACATCAATTGAAGGATTATTCCGAATCCAGCATTGGTTGGATCTTTGGCTCTTACGGATTCTTTCTATACATCGCGGGAGCACAAACCGGTATGAATACACCACATCTTTATATAAAGATATGATTCTCACCATGTATAGGCCCGATCTTCGACACATATGGCTCAAAGTTTGTGATCATCCCGGGGTCCATCGGGATGGTGTTGTCCATGGTGTGCTTCAGTTTCAGCGAAGGTACGAACATCCAATCATTCCAAAGTCGGCCATTAAAATGCATCAGGAACGACTAACACAACAATAGAATACTACCAAATCTTTCTCTCCTTCAGTGTTCTCGGCGGCCTATCAGCCTGCACACTCTTTACCCCCGCAATCTCAACCGTCGGCCACTGGTTCAACCTCCGCCGCGGCTGGGCAACAGGCGTAGCATGCACAGCCGGTGGAATTGGCGGTGTCATCTTCCCCTTGATAATCCTCTACGCCGCACCGAAGATTGGTTTCCCATGGGCGATCCGGATCATCGCGCTGCTTTCTGCGATATTATGTGCGTGTGCATGTATATTACTCAAGACACGACTCCCACCGAATAAGAAGGCTGGGGCTTCGGTGGATTTTCGTGCGTTGAGAGATGTCAAGTATGCCTCTACGACTGCTGCGGTGTTTCTTGTTGAATTTGCGGTGTTCATTCCCATCACTTATATCGCTTCTTATGCTATTGCTGTTGGTGTGGAGAATACTATGTCTTATTTGCTGATTCCATTTTTGAATGTTGGTGCCATACCGGGTCGATTCCTGCCTGGATTGGTGGCTGATCGAGTCGGACGGTTCAACGTCATGGTGTTGACATCTTTGATCTGTTCGATTCTGACATTGGCTTTGTGGATGAAAGCTGGTGATGACTTGACCTCGATTATTTGTTATGCTGTTTTCTTTGGATTCTGGAGTGGTGCTGCTATTAGTCTCACGCCGGTTTGCATCTCGCAGGTTTGTGCTACTGATGATTATGGGAAGCGGACTGGGACGACTTTTACTATTAGTAGTGTTGGGACTCTTGTTGGGATTCCGATTGCTGGGGCTATTTTGGAGCATGATAGTGGCAGCTATGAGGGGCTAATTGTCTTTGGTGGTGTACTTTATCTGGCGGCTACGATTGCGTTTGTTGTTGCGAGGGGGATTTGTGTTGGGTGGTCTTTTGGTGCCAAATTTTAGACTTGAAAGATAGATTGAAAGTTGAAGAGTGAAATAGAAGGGCTGATAGACATAAGACTTTCCGAAGAACTGTCCCTGAAGAGGTACACTGAACCCCGGTCATCCTTCAAAGAGCTTCGCCCCCGAGAAATGATATTATGCATTTAGAAACAAATGTAAACCAAAGAGTTGGAATATGCACAAAGCTGAGGCTTATCATGCAAATTGATACTCCATTCACAGCATAACAGCAGTGCTATGAATTCGTATCAGCGCTGAACTTTGTGACTACTCTCACTAGAATGCCATGGAGCTCATGGCTACCTCGCGGTATAATGTCAACTAGCGAATGTGCGTAGGGACAGACAAAACGGTATGTATAATGTGCCCCCAGCAAGACCCCAAAAGACCCCCAGGAACCATGCGAGGAGAACCTTTCAGCATGGGTATCAGATAAACAAAACGAAAACCAAAACCAAAACCGAAACCAAAACCAAGCCACAGACTTGAGATATCTAGAACTTCCTACCGAGCATATCCCGTACCCCGGCAACAAGAACCAAAGCATTGATCGCCTGGTAGCAGTTAATATCTCCGAACAAGGCAACAAATGGTTAGAGTATACCGTTATAAGGAGTGGGAGCAGTATAACACGCCATTCTGGAGTGACTGCGACAGGGTCAGAGGATATGACGTCACACAACAGAGAACACCTTACGGATATGTTCTCGATCCAGTGGATGTTCTCGGTCTAGTATCGCTGTCGGTCGACAGGATAGACCGGACCTTGACCTTGATGCTGTTGCTAATCTCTTTGCCAGACATCCTGAAGGTATGTTCTTTTTGAACCTTGTATGGCTTGTGATTGATTGAATCGTATACTTGACACGAAACAGAGACTCTGAAATGTTTTTTGAGATTCTCGATGTTTTCTAAAACGAGGAAGTTAATAGCATTTATAGTCAATTCTTCACGACTGACGTCGGATGTTACAAGTTACTTCGATATGCATGTTGACGTGACACATTGTGTAGATTCCCGTCGGAGAATGCCGGCGGACGGCGAAGTCCTTCAATCACCACATACTTCACAATGGATCTCATACTATCTTTCAAAGATGGTTGGGAGGGTAAATCGTGATCTTCATATTAAGATTCGATCCATGGTGACTGATTCATGTTGAGCCCCATGGCTGGCCGTCTAGCTGCGAGTGGCTGCATATCTATAGCGCCAAATTGCCTAATCGAGCATTTCAGTGCATAGCTATGTTACATTGAGCTACATCATCTTACCTAATTGCATTTATTGCGAGGCTGTACCGCATAAGAGTCGTCCGAGAATAATCTTTGCGCATATAAGTTAAGCTTTGGATTAATGAACAGACATGCCTACCGTGCTTGCTTCCCGTCAACGTTCCAACTACACTTTCGTTACGGAGCGACTGTCAATGGCCGCCAAGGTACAACCGGGGCATAGTGTAAGGACGGATTTTGGTCACAATCAACATTCGAGGTTGTTGCAGCAGATGATCTTGGGAAAAAATGACCAGGAACTAGGTAAATACTAAGGCTGGATACAATGTGACGGGCGTTTAACCAAAGCATCCATGAAAATTGTCTTAGATACAATCAATCTCCGAAAGACGATAAAATCCCTGGAGATTTCCTATTTCGAAAGCCCAGCCCAGGGTTCTGTTCGGATGTAAATTTCTCTTCAATCATCACCATTCCCATTTTCATGATCCGGGGCAACATTGTTAACCTCTATGCTTTATCCCATTCGCTTGATCATCATCAGATATTGGCAGAACTATCATCCAATCGAGATCCACGCCGGGAACCCTTCATCTCTTCAGTGATGGTCGATAAGCAAGCTAAACAAGTCTGAGAGTTTTCATCGTTCCTCCGAAGTAGCCGATTCCTCAATAGTGGAGAGAAAAGGGGGCCGCGAGCAGAAATAAGCCGACAGAATTCTGCTTCGTGAGCCAGGAGAAGTATGCGTCATATCCTCCATCCAGTTCAAAATATCCTTCGGATACGTCCACAGACTTTTGTCGACGGGAAAAACCTTGCGGTCATACCAGTCTGGATTCATAAGACTTGAGACATATTTCAGCAGCTCCCAAGAACGGTTGAGATGCTCCAGCCTACCATCTATTCCAGACGGTCCAAATACAGGAAAGGGGGGCTCGTATTGGATGTCTTGCTTTGCGCACACCCGCCCAAACCTGGCCTCGAACTTTGCACGGGACTCAATATTCTTCGCTTCTCGCTCATCCGAGGTCTGGGCCCGGTAGACATCGAAAAGCATCGGCAGATGAAGAAGACACCACGCCTTTCTCTTGGATCGTATCATCTCATTGCTCTCATCCCATACCTCTCCCACGGGCCATTGTCTCTCTGGATCAATGATGTCCTTGATTATTTCACGGGTAGTAGGCGAATGCAGGATTTCAAATGGCCTTGACTTTAGAATGTCACTTTCAAAGGGTTGGAAAATCGGTATGATGTCGAGGACTGGCCAGGATGCTGCCAACGATTGCAGTTCAACGACATGAGCAAGGCCCAGATAGCGTGTGAGTTTTATTTCTTCCTTATCTGCGCACGTAATCCATTCCTTGACACAGGAGTTGATGCTCAGCGCGAAATAGAAGTTGGCGGGCTTTCCGTGTGCCTCATTCTTGGTTACTCTTCCGCTGGAACTCGTGGTAGGACCTGGAACTGTGCGTGGAATGCTGTCACCCCCCTAAATCTTGCATTAGCTCGGCCAGAATGTGATTTTTTTGTCGTGGGCTTACCATAACGTTCTCGGTCACTCTTCCGCTGGAATGTAGGGCAGAGCCTGGGATCGAGATAGGCAAAGTCCCGGAGCTGAGGATGCTTTCACCACTCTATAGCCTGTATTAGCCTGACTAGAATGTGAGAGCTATGCTGTGGGCGTACCATGGCGTCTTTAGGTAGTGAGGGATTCATGCACGGAAGAACGTGATAGAAGACGGAATGTTATGAGACGAGAGATTGGGAAGATCACCACCAGAGGAGCTAGCGTGAGCTGTACTCGTTGAGGATTGAAGAAGAGACAGTGGGCTTTGCATCAGAAAGGTAGGAGCAGAGAGAATCAAGGTGACCAATCCGCTGCGCCGTCAAGTTCATGCACCAAACCAGCCTGCTCGCTCAGGTTCAAGATACCGAGCAAGTTGACTTAAATGATGATACTAAGGGACCTCAGCCTCGAGATCATGGAGCAGTATTATGAGATACTGGAAACGCACCACTACTTGCAAATGGAGCCGAGGGGATAGAGCCTCGACTCGCTGTTTGAATATACGGCGTCTAATAAGACGAGTAAGCTAAGACTAAAAACAATGACTTTCAACAGCAGTTGGGGCTAAAGTGAGGATATTGGAAACGAGATCTGATATTAATACAGTAGGATTTGATAATGAGGTTAAAAAATTGTATTGTGTATACGCCATGAGCTTGGAATAGAGCTTGAGACTGAAATTGGGGGAAGGAAAACAGTGGAAAAAGAGTTTGCAGGACTTGAGTAGATATCTCTGATAGTCGGGTTTACCCTGTAATGCCTCGCAGAGAAAAATCAAAACTAACCATGATACTGGCAGTCTTATTCTTCTGGATGTTAAGAGCAGTGCGCTAAGTAGGATTCAGGGGTGGCTTACCAAGAGTCCACTTGCAACAGCGATAAATAGGATTCAAAGAGTACAGTAAGGCTCCAAGCTCCCTCGGAATAGAAGTTGGTTAATTTCTACTTTATACTCGACATAAAAAAAGGGCTACAAAGATAGCCAAAGAAGGGCCAAAATACCAGCAAAAGTCAGCAGCAAGACTAATATGCCGCGAAGAACGCACATTATTCAGAATTAGATCCGGAGCTTTTTTCTCCGTAAGTATAGTCAATTCATTCATCTACATTATATTATCAAATCCAAACCGTGTAGTCGAGGCGGATTGTCCCCGGTCTGGGAAATAATGTAGGGTTAGATGTCGCGGGAAGGCGCCGTCGCCACAGGCCAACTTGACGTAGTCCACACATACTTTGACGGATAATTCCCACTCTTCCGTTCTCCATTCGACTGACTTTTGTCTTGCATCTTACCTTGGCATCCACAATTGTTCAGAGAAGGCGCTGCCAGACCCATAGATTGGTCCACTCTGGTATCCCTTGATACATACGACCATTACCGGATGCTTGTATTGAACATCTCTACATAAGTTTCGTGTCCGCTGAGCCCGGACTCTTTCAGCCGTCGTCTCTTCTCAAAGATAATATTTTCGATAAAATGTACGGCACAAAAGGCGCAATACGCGCCCTGTACTCCAACACACGGCAATTCTCAACTGCCAGCCGACTTGAAGCAGCTTCAGGCCTCAAGATCAATCCCGAAAGATTATGGAACACATTACACGAGACATGCGAATGGGGTGCTACCCATCGGTACGGCGAGTATGGATTTATCTTCCCTTTCCGAACAGAGGCCTTTGATCTAATGCGCCAGTAGAGGCCCTACTGAGACGGGTATGGCTCGGTTGACTCTCACCGATGACGATGCCAATGTGCGCAAGTGGTTTGCGGCTGAAGTGCAAAATCTGGGCTGCACTCTTTCCATTGACCAAATGGGCAACATGTTCGCACGTCAGTCAGGTCGGCTGAATTCTCCTGCTCCAATGATCGCGATGGGAAGCCATCTGGATACCCAGCCTCGCGGCGGTCGGTATGATGGCATCCTTGGCGTTATGGCTGCGTTGGAAGTTCTGCGAACTATGAAAGAAAGCAAGTTCCAGACTCACTATGATGTCGGTATCGTTAACTGGACCAAGTACGTACTATGTTCATATCTTGGCGGTAGGACTTTTTTCACTAACGAGACTCTAGCGAGGAGGGAGCGCGCTTCCCAAAGTCTATGTGCTCATCGGGCGTCTGGGCTGGATCCATTCCTATCCAGAAAGCTTGGGACCTGCGTGATATCCACGATCCTAGCGTCACACTCCGTTCCGAGCTTGAAAGACATGGATATCTTGGGGACCTTGCTTGCTCTAGCAACCCAGCCACCGGATTTCCACTCGGCGCTCATTTCGAATTGCATATTGAACAGGGACCAATTCTGCAAGAGACTGGGCGATCGATCGGAGTTGTTCGCGGGGCTCAAGGCTACCGATGGTTGACTATGACCGTGCACGGGAAGGACGCTCACACTGGAACGACACCGTTCAGTGTCCGTCAAGACCCGTTGCTTGCATCCTCTAGAATGATTGCTGCTTCGCACGATATTGCCAAGAAGCACGAAGCACTGGCTTCCACTGGCATCATCAGAGTTCCCTCAAACGCATCCACTAACACTGTTTCATCGCAAGTGACATTCACACTTGATATCCGCCATCCACAGGATAGCGTAGTGCATCTCGTGCAGGACGAATGTCTCAAGGCCTTTGAAGCCATTGCCTTGCAGGATGGAAAGGGTGTTTCATTCGAGTGGACATTGGATACTGACTCTCCGGCCGTGAAATTCGACGACAACTGTGTTGCATCTATTCAGGCTGCTGCAGACCACCTGGTTGGCCGAGAGAAGTCCATGCTTATGACTAGCGGTGCAGGCCATGATACTGTCTACACTAGCAAGCATTGCCCCTCCGCCATGATCTTTGTCCCTTGCAAGGATGGAGTCAGTCACCACCCGACTGAGTACTGCAGCCCACAAGACTGGTAGGTCCTTCAGCTCATTTGGTCTAGACGTAGCGACTAACTTTTGCAGTGCCATTGGAACTCAGGCTCTTCTGGAAGCCGTCGTGCATTACGATCAATTTCGAGCAGAGAGTGAAGAACAAAATTAGTCAGTAGTATACCTTGAGCATAGCAGAACCATTATACTTCTTTCTACTTGGTCAACCAATCTATGTGAAGCACCAGAATACCCCAAGATGGGGTTTACAAGAATTTGTCGACTGCGAATAAGTGATCCAATCTCAGCAAGTCCATACAAAAGGTACTCTCATACACTGCCAATATTACCGGGCGTAAATGTCCCCAGAAGGCGCTTTGCGGCAAAACCGTAGATTTTGATGCCCCACCGAGCCCATGTCGTCAGACGGCGCAGTACAATGCGACAAAAGGCAATAGAAATAAAGACGGCAATTCCCCACCAAAGATATTCCTCCCAAGCCAACACATCAACCTCCAAAATGTCATCCCGACGACCAATCTACTACAACCCCACAGCCTCCAACGAGCGCATCGCCTCCCCCCAAATCGAAGGACTTCAAGCATTCCACCAATCCTTCCCCAACTACGCCCCAACACCACTAGTCCAATTCCCAGAACTAGCAGCTGAACTCGGTGTCCGCAATGTTCTCGTCAAAGACGAAAGCAACCGCTTCGGACTACCCTCATTCAAAGTCCTAGGCGCGTCATGGGGATGTTTCCGCGCCATTGCCGCGAAACTGGGACTACCCGCTACAGTATCGCTCGCAGATCTTTCAACGCGCGCCAAGGCAGAGTCTATTGTCTTGACGACTGCTACGATGGGGAACCACGGCCGCGCGGTTGCATTCATGGCTCGACTGCTGGGTATCGAGGCTCGGATCTTCGTTCCTGAGTGTATGGACCGGGGAACCCGGGATCGCATCGCGGGGGAGGGAGCGAGGATTGTGGTTGTAGCGGGTGATTACGACAAGGCTGTTCAGGGAGCTTTGGATGTATCGCGGTTGGAAGAGGGGGTTCTTCTGATTCAGGATACTGCTTTTGCGGGATATGAGGATGTTCCGGCGTGGATTGTGGAGGGATATTCGACTATGTTGAATGAGGTTGAGGATAGTCTTGCAGAGCTTGGTCTTGTGGCGAGTGTGATGGTTAGTCCTGCGGGCGTTGGAAGTCTTGCGCATGCCGTGGCGAGACATTGCAAGTCGCGGAGTTCTCCGTTGTCCATGGTTGCTGTGGAACCGGATACTGCTGCTTGTTTATCTGCTAGCTTGACTGCTGGTAAGATGGTGACTACGCAAAGCTCGGAGACTATTATGGATGGCATGGACTGTGGAACGGTTTCATCTACTGCTTGGCCGGATTTGCAGCGTCTTGTTGACGCCTGTGTCAGTGTCTCGTCTTACGAGGCACACTGCGCTGTGCAGTATCTGACATCCAAGTCTGTGGCGGCTGGTCCTTGCGGGGGTGCGTCGTTGGCTGCACTGCATCATTTGGCGAAGGAGGGATCTTCGCTTTTGAACAAGGATTCTGTCGTGGTTCTCCTCAGCACCGAGGGTGCACGTCAATACTCTATTCCCAGAAGTGTCTCCGTCGAAGACGTCGTCGGCCTAACGCAGACTCTCACCCAGATCAACTCCTCCAATCCAACCCTGTCTGTCACGGATGGAGTAGGCGAGACTGAGATCGCTAATTGGCTCGCTTCCTGGTTTGCACACCGTGATATTGAGTACCACTGGATTGAAAAGGTCACAGGAAGACCATCAATTGTTGGTGTCCTGCGCGGTAGTGGAGGAGGCAAATCTCTCATGTTCAACGGCCACACCGACACTGTCAGCTTGTCCAGCTACGAGGCGGATCCCCTATCAGGCTCGATCCAGATCAAAAATGGCAAGGAAGTCATTGTTGGAAGAGGCTGTCTGGATATGAAAGGAGGTCTCGCCGCAGGTCTAGCAGCACTGGCAGCCACCAAATCCAGCGGCCGTATTCCCCGGGGCGATATCATCATTGCTGCAGTCTCGGACGAGGAAGATGCTTCCCAAGGAACACAGGATGTGATTGAAGCCGGCTGGCGGGCCGATGCCGCCGTTTTACCGGAGCCTACAGAAGGTGCCATTCTAACTGCTCACAAAGGCTTCGTCTGGGTTGAAATTGATATCCTGGGGGTTGCAGCACACGGCTCGGACCCATCGGCGGGACAAGATGCAATTCTGTATGCTGGATCTTTCCTCCAGGCTTTAGAGCAATTCCAGTCTGAGCTCCCCATCGACGAAGCTCTTGGACAGGCATCGCTGCATTGCGGCTTGATTCGTGGCGGCGAGGAACCATCCTCATACCCGGACAAATGTACTATCACAGTCGAGTTCCGTACTGTTCCTGTCCAAACTGAAGCGTCAATCTTGAATGATATGAGCCAGTTGCTGCAGGGAATTGCTGAACAAAATTCTCGTTTCAGATATGCTCAGCCTCGCATCACCATGTCGCGTCCCACACAGAAGGTGGCTGTTGACCATCCCTTCGTAAGCCAGAGTCTTGCGACTGCATCTTCTGTATTGGGAAGTGAGCCCGTCGTCAAGAGTGGGCCGTTTTGGACTGATGCAGCCCTGCTTGGTGCTGTTGGTGTTCCTTCTATTGTTTGGGGTCCGAAGGGAGAAGGATTACATGCGAAAGAAGAGTGGGTTGAGGTTGAGAGTCTTCGCCAATTCGAGAAGCTTTTCACACAGTTGATACAGGACTTCTGTTGCTAGGATATTTGTTGATGCAGTAGCTCAAGACGAATGAACAAATGAATGCGTTAGCGCAGCGAGCTATACACCGTGGATTCAATATACCGGAAGACTGAATACTCCAGTGTTGATCTAGCTAAGCTTCTCATCTCAAGCTTTGCCTGTCTGTCATTTAATATGGGCTATAAACAAGAATACCGAGGTGCAGTTTTCGCCGTCGTTGAAATTCATGAGGTTCGGTCCCTAGATGACTACACAGGACTATAACGAGTAGAAGTTGTGTTGTTCTCTTGTTTAATGTAATGAGTTGAAAAGGGGCACGAATTATATAAAATGCTAAAATACACTCCGATGATAGATAACACGCTGGAAGAACTTGGATTACAAGCACATTCATCACCCCAGAACAACATGAAGCATCAAAGAAGACTTGTTACCTGTCTACCTCAACACCCATTCTACAATATGGACCCCGCTGTCTATGAGCAAACTTCGATTTTGAAGTTTCTAGTTGGAAGTCGGGGCGATGGTTGTGGTGACAGTAGCAGTGACTGTGATTGTGGCACCACAGGTGGGCTTAGATGAGGGAACGGTGACAGTTTCATGGACAGTGACAGTGAAGCGAGGGCCACAAGTAGCATCTGAAGACGTAGGAACCAAAGACGCCTCGGTCGTAGCAGGGACAGCGGGGTCCGTGGACATAGTGAAAGCAAACACGGGGCTTGATTCAGCAGCAACCGCAATATCGGCAGATTTGGCAGCATAGTCGACGGAGGAAGTGGCTCTCAGCGGTGTACTGGTAGAGCTAGCGGGGAGTCTGGAAACAGAGGAGAGCCCCGAGACCACGGCCTTGGAAGAGGCAGTTGCATACGAAGCAGCGGCGGATGAAGCGTAGCGTGTCACAGCGGGCAGGGTCCAAGGGGTCGCAGTTGGAGCAACACTCACACCGGAAGCAGCCACGTTGGGCAAAGCAGCGTCAGGGAATGGTCTGGGACCGGGCATTGTATAGTTGACAATAGTATCACGGTACATGTAAAACAGAATGCCAGGCTCATATCCATCATAGACACCGGGAATTTTGACAGTTGGACCCGGGGAAACGGTGCTGTCACTCTCAACCTCGACCTGGGCACAGTTGAAGAAGACCTCAGCACCACCCCACTCTCCAGCTCCGTGGACACCAATATGTTCGATGCGGACGAGGTATTGACCAGCGGGGACTTCCTTGGGCAGAGGGAATGTAAAGTTGCCAATATCAGTCACACCCCAGGTGATTCCGTTATTGGAGAAATCCTGCGGACCAAGCTCGTAGATCTTGAACCAGTCGCCAGAGCCATCGTAGTCGCGAACATCGTCGGTGGTCGACTTGGACATGTACACCTGAAGCGGGCCGGGGTGTTGAATGAGCGCGTTGAAGTCCGTTCCGAAGCCGATCTCGTCGCCGGCTTTGACTTTGTAGACACCCGTTTTAGCTGCAAAGTCCTGGGAACCAGTGTTGCAGCGGAAATCGTTGCTTGCATACTGGCCCTTCATGGGCATGTAGCTCTGAGTGTCTTCGCGGACATACTCATAGTAGCCCGTGAAGTTGCCATTGGCGATGAAGTGAGGGAAGAAGTAATGAGCGGACACGTGAGGAACAGCCGCCAGGGCCAACACGGACAGGAACGAGAGGTTCTTCATGATTGAAGCAGAAAGGAAAGACTTGGATCTGTTAAAAGAATGATTCGACGAAAGAGCGACTGTTACCACCAGGGTATAGAATGAGAGAATGATGAGCAATGATCTCGACGGCCATTCTCTGCCTTATATCCCATCTTGCTTTCAGGGTCCCGTAGTTTGTTTCAGAGTAAGCATGATTTTGACGCCTCGAGGTTTTTTGATGAGTTCCCCCTTCGCTTAAACAGCCTTACAGTCCCATGCCGACTTGGCAGTTTCAAATAAAAGTGCCGATCGCCAAGTGGGACGTTGTGCGCATAACGCTGGAACCATCATAGAAGCATAAAGCATAATGAACCACGCTAGTTTCCGGGAGAATAAGGGCAAGACTGGCTCCGATTCGAGGATCTGCGCAAGCCCTGGAGCTAGGGATCTCCGAGTGAATTTTGCCGGGGGAAAGCGATTATGCGCGTTTCATAGAATAAGCTTGAAAGCATAAAATGAGTCTAATCGAGTCATAATTGGACCCCCTTTAGCCGCAGGGTTGAGTGAGCGATTCATGTAGAAGTGTGCTGGGTTTCGTATATTTTCACTTTTCGCCCTTGCCCTAACTCTGCTCGCTGCCAAGATTCCCTCAATCGTACAAATCCTACTTACGCACTACTCGATACTTGGCTTTCCATGATAGAGGATAGCGTTTGAACGCACCTTTTGACTTTCACAGCTCCCACTGCCTACCTTAGCACTGTCCCAGGGCCACAATTCGCGACGTGCGACCCACTACGGTCTATCACATTAGCAATGGGCGTCCCAAATAAGAAGAGCAACAGGATGATTTGACTCGGGGTGATCGTAGTCTTTTGTCCATTGGTAGAAGGACCCCCATCTCAAAGTTTGGTGAGCTTCTGTATTTGTCCTAGTCCGCACTCTATGTGACATATAGTGTCGCAAGCATTTCCCTCTACATGATAGTGGCACATGCCGACAGAATGCCCTGACAAAGCTCCGCTCTTAATGAGATCTCTACTAGCGTCTTCATCACGCGGCCGTTGGGCCTTAAGCACCCCTGTACAGCACATCATCCTTCTCAGCCCTGTCGAGCCGACTGACTTGAGGTTGAGCGGGAAAGGCATATCTTGATCAGTACAATCCATTAGACGATTTTATCTCGATGGTAGTGGTTGCACTATTCGTGGCACTGTTTGCAAACTGGCCTGGCCAGTAGGTCTGCACTATTTTCTGTGGCAAAGAAAACGCCTCTTGCATTCTCCCTCAACTTATAGTGGTAAAATTAGTAGACTATTGTCAAAGAATTAGGACACCGATAAGTGCCGAAAATCACGCTTTTTATAAAGCATTATTAGTTTGTTTTGTCCCAGGAATTTCACTTTGAACAAGGAATATTTGTCGATAATTTTGACTGATGTAGAACTTGGCAGCCTTTTGAGCGTTTTAAGATATATTGACTTTCGTAGTATTGAGGTGTAGTTTGAGGATTTTACTTCCCAGTAAAAATCGGTGCAAATTCCAACTCAATCCAAGTGAAAGAACCCAATATCTTGAAGATGTAGAGAGAAAGTGATGTATGGCCACGGAAGAGATCTTATCGGCACGGGACTTGATCGACGTCGAGACACCTTTGCCTTCCCTCACCATCCCACTTCCACTACTTCTACACCTCACGACCTTTAAAACAGAAATATCTTTACTGATATCTGAACCCCACAATGTCCGAAGAATCCCCAGCTCAAAGATCCGCCCGTCTGCGGCGCGAGCGGCGCGAGGCCAAGATCAAGGAAGGAGGGTCTGCACGCCTGGACAAGATCACCAGCCTGAGCGGACGCACACCACAATCGGGTACGAAATAATGTCCTCCATTCTATCAGCGCTTATCTCAAGCACCTCGAGATCGCCAAACATACAAATCACCCCGAACCCAGCTAACCTGAACCCCAAACAGAACGCGAAGATGCCTCCCCATCCCCGTCTCCCCAACCCTCAATCGGCGCCTCACCATCTCCAGCACCCCCAATCCCCCAGTTCCGCCCCTCGCCATCCCCTCAGTTAGAAATGCAATCGCCTGAAGCCCAACGCGCCCAGCAAGAAGCTTTCCTCGCCATGCTCCAACAATCTGCGCAGAACCAAGGCCAAGGCCAACAACCCGATAGCCAAGCCCAAGCTCTCCAAGCACAACAAGACGCCTTCCGCGCACTGCTGCGCCAATCCGCACCAGAACAAGGACAGGGACAGGGACAAGGTCAAGCACAAGGCTTCGGCCCGCAATCCAACGACGCCGAAGACCCCACTATCAAACTCCTCAACTCCCTCCTAGGCGCCATGCCCGGTGGTGATCCCAACGCCCCGCCTGGTGCACCACCTGCTGGTGGCCCCACGCCGGGACCTGGATCCTCGCTCGCTGCCATGGCTACTATGGCTGGTGTGCCACCCTTTTTAGCGAACATGCTTGGTGGAGCTGCGGCTCCAACAGAGGCGCAGGCGAAGAGCGCTCGCATTTGGAAGACGTTGCATACTGTTTTTGCATTGGCTGTGTCGTTTTACTTGCTTTTCTTGATTGGAACTTCTGTCTCGTTGTTTGGAAGTCCGCCGCCGAAGCCTGCGACTGCTCAGAATCCCTTTGCCATCTTTGTCACGGGTGAATTGCTCTTGACTGGAGGGAAGATCATGTTTGGTGGGAAATCAGGTGGAATGGGAATGGCTGTGCAGCTTGGAAAGGATATCATTCGCGATGGGAAACTGTTGCTGTTTGTTCTGGGGCTTGCTTCATGGTATCATCCTGAATGGCAGGCTTCGGCTTCCGCGTAGGAGACTGTATACTCTGAGTTCAGACGATAGGATATGAACATTTGCATTGCATGTATTATAGCGTTCCATTTTTCATAATTCGTATCTACATGTCACATAAGGCTTTTCGCAGCCTATCCCCATGCTAAGCAGGCGATTCCAGCGCACGGCCAGAGGGCAGCATTGCATTCCGTAAAACGCCCATAGCCTCAGAGTCCAATCCCCAATCCCCTTCCCACTGATACATGCGGAACCCATTTTTGAAATGATCCGCCAAATGATCAACCCTCGCTGCCCAGCTCGAGAGCCGACACCCACAGAATCCACAGCTGCTCTCGACATTACCGCCTGACCCGCGCCAAGCATCGAGGCCAGAGACCAGTGGTTTTGTACAACCGTGGAACTTGCGAAGATGTTGCCACAGATAATCCTTCCGACTGAATGACCGCTCAGTAATGGGCTTGTCGGCACAGACGTGGAATTCATGTTCTTCCATATGAGCAGGCATGGGATAAAGGACGTCACAGAATGGACATTCAGAGGGGTTCACGCCGAAGGATACTTGCAGCTCGGTGAGGTTTGGTGTGCAGATCCAAGAATCAAGAGTGAGGTGAACGCTTTTCTCATGGCGAGTCCAGTCATGCTTCTTCTTGAAGGACTGTGTGCAGAACGTGCATTGGTACACCTGGTTTGGATTCACTGATCCCGCTCGGGACCGGCCCCTCCGTCGGGCGTTGCTTTGTTTCGGCAGGAGTGGGAACGGCAATCCTGTATCACCAGAGGAATGGTAACTCCAGGCTGAAGAGGCGCTGTCAGATGTCTCGGAAGCCCTACTGCCAATGCTTGAGACGGAAGATGCGAGATGTGAAGAGCTTTCGTCGAAATCGAGGAAATCCATGGCAGAGCTGTCGAGTTTGAAAGGGTCGATTGTGCCATCTGAATCCATCGAACTGGAACCAGAAGCAATGGCGTTCTGAATCGCTGCTGCGGGAACTGGTTCTTCTTCTGGTGGCGATGCTTGCCATCTTTCCATGGGTGTCATGGCAGGGACCGTGCTGGTTATCATTGGAGAGCCTGCGCGGGTACGAGACCTCGAGTCTAACCCCGACGACTGGATCTTCTGCTTCTGGCGACGACGAGCGTTTGCAAACCAGGTTGATATTCGTTTTTGGGAGAACCCTGTTTCGGTGGACAGTCGGTTCTTTTGCGCGTCGGTTGGGTAGGGATGTTCCTGGTTTTGGTAGAACCATTCTCGGAGGACGCGGGCTCCCTTGCGGATAAATTGCTTTGGTTCTTTTCGGTCTTCGACGTCTGTTCTGTCCAGGCCGACGACCGAAAGCATGTTTTCATCTTCTGGGACGCCGTGTAGGTGTCCCAGAACTGGTGTCATGGTCTCGAAGCCCGCTGGGAAGCGTTTCTCGCCTTTGGCAAGACTGCATTCTCGGAACAAAGCAACACAGCTTGAGCATGATGTTTTGGGGTTTGGATTGGCCTCTGTTGTCCGAATGATTAGACATTGTAGTCGATGTCTGCGACAATGACTGCATGAGATGGCAGGACGGTACGCTCCATCCAGCCACTGTGAGACATTGTTCAGATTTGGTTGCGGTAGAGGCTGCACGGTCCAATCTGCTGCCAGAGGTGAAACATCGTCGGTTATTCCACCCGAACACTGTAGTTCATTCTTATTTTGAGGCTCAAGTGGCCGATCTGATGTTGGTGACTCATGGTTGATCCACTGTGGCCACTGTAGATCACTGGGTTCTGAGGGATGGAGAAAGAAATCATTGAGAGCATTGGGGTCAAAGACTGAGTCCTCTGGCAGCCAAGGATCTGACTCTGCTGTGGGAACTATGCTTTCTAATCCCGAATTGTCGACAGAATGTGGCAACGGCGGCCATGCCGAAGAGTCGATGGGGTGCGGATTCATGCCATAAAATATGACCCGAGTCAGCAGATGATGGATTGCGGGCCCACTCGTTGCGATTGATGTATAGAACCAAGTCTAGAATCTATGAGGCTGTGAGCCCTGGAGCCTCCATTTCAGATGTCAGCATCGCGGGTCAATCCACTAGTCCAGAAGCAGTTAGCACATGTCCTCCTACCACTGATTATTCATCCAGATGTCATGTGACCATCGGACTCCGGGGATGCTCGTACCTGCCCACTTGGGCAGGTCAATATTTGCTTGGCATCGGCCCGCTTTTTCATGCAGGAACTCAGCATGATGTTTCTATCCAAAATGACACATTATACTTCTTATCTACCCCGGGATTACGTTGCCTTTTCTGGGGATGGCATGATCAGATTACTGTGCAGTAGTTCAGTCTGCTTATCAATGTATTTGTCAGGACGTTATTCATTCCAAGGTTTACTGCGGAGTACCTGGAGACCGGTGTCTCAAAATGCACAAAACAGGTTGAGGGTTGTAATGTGCCCTTCATGTCCCTTGCTATAGATTCATTGTCTGTGATTTACAGAGAACATGGTCGGATTAACGGATCTAGGCAACGTCAGGACAAATCTCGGCATGAAAAGTTAAACCGTAAAACTCGAAACGCCTCTGAGAAAAGTCAATCTCAAACCATACATTCAACCCGGGCAATACCGGGACATCGAATTGGTGTTGATGCTGATAGGACACCTCAAACGCCGAGCGAGTTGTGTGATCCAGCCACAGGCTTATCACCATTAAGGTTATCTCACGGTCAGGACACAGAGATTAAAAACGAACACGGCTCACGGAAACTAAAGAAACTAACGCCAAAGAGGAAGGATGGAACTTCTAGAAGGACCATGGAAAAAACCGCTGTCACACAGAACGGCACGAAGCGAAAGTTTATGAGCAGACTCGTTACAGTGTGCACCTGTAGTACATGCTCCATACTGTACACTGGTAAAATGGGCAAGAATTAGCGTCGTTCTTCTGGAGGGGTGCCTAAATTAGCTGGTGGACACTCCGGAGTTCTCTCTCAACTCCCCAGTCTGGTGGGTCTCGTTTGAGTTGCCACCCCTGCATGGCCGGTGAAGGCAAAAAAAGTTTTAAGTTGGGGGGGGCGTACGAGGCCGAGCCGAGCCTCACATCGGTGAAGAGTTTAGACCGAGCTGAATAATGTAGTCTACAGCACCAAATCCAGAGTCATTGCGAGCCATTACCCCAGATCCCAAACAAATAAAGAAGGTTCACCATAAGCGGCGATCACTGCCAGTGATGATTCTACAAGTAAGTTTGAGAGTTGGGGAACGTTACAGCCGGCCAATTTCCATCACCAATTGTAATGAGTCAGCAGCCCGTTCCCGACACGCTGATTGGTCGGCTGGCCGGAGTCGGACCGAAGTATAACAACGATTGGACCCGGCTTCGTCCGCTTTGGGATTTTGGTGGGTTGGAGTGGGTTTCGGTGGACTGACGGTGGATCGATGAATGCCCATGGGGCAAAATCGGCACGCGAACAATAAGATGGCCAGATTCCCTTTCTTCTTTCTTCCTCATTCCTCAACTCCTCCCCTCTCACACCCACACACATCTGCTCTTCAACAAGTCAGACATGGAGGTTACACCCGCACCTCCTGCCTATGAGCAGGACAAGATTGCTGAGAGGTATGACCAGCCTCAGTTTGAAGAGGAGGGTCAGCTCAAGGGCGAGGTCCACGATGCCTTTGGTAACGAGGAGTACGCCGAGATCAAGTATAAAACCTTGAAGTGGTGGTATGTATCATTCCGGATCCGCTGATCTGCTGGAGATTCTGACGCGTTTCATCAGGCAATGCGGTCTGCTCATGATTTGTGAGTCAGTGTCGCTGGGTGTGTTGTCACTGCCCGCTGCTGTCGCTACCCTGGGTCTGGTCCCGGGTGTTATTTTGATTGTTGGACTGGGTCTTCTTGCTACATACACTGGCTACAACATTGGCCTATTCCGTGAACGGTACCCTCATATCCAGAACCTCGGCGACGCCGGCGAGATTCTGCTGGGCAGAGTCGGCCGCGAAGTCTTTGGTATTGGCCAATTCCTCTTCTGCATCTTCGTCATGGGTAGTCACATCCTCACTTTCCGTGTCATGATGAACACCATCACCAGCCACGGCACCTGCTCGATCGTCTTCTCTGTCGTTGGCATGGTCCTCTCCCTTGCTCTCTCCATCCCTCGTACCATGAAGGGTATGACTTGGATCTCCTTCGCCTCCTTCATCAGTATTTTCTCCGCCGTCATGATCACCATGATCTCCGTGGGTGTTGAAAGCCACCCTGGCCGCGTCATTCAGGCCACCGTCGAAAATGATCTCTACACTGCCTTCCAGGCCGTGTCCAACATCGTCTTCGCCTACTGTGCCCACGTCGCCTTCTTCGGTTTGATCGCCGAAATGGAGTCTCCCCAAGACTTCAAGAAGTCCCTCTTCATGCTCCAGGGCTTCGAAATCTCCCTCTACTTGACTGCCGCCGTCGTGATCTACTTCTACATCGGCACAGACGTGCACTCCCCTGCCCTGACCTCCGCCGGACCCTTGATGAGCAAGATCGCCTACGGTATCGCCATCCCAACCATCGTCGGTGCGGGTGTTGTCAACGGCCACATTGGACTGAAGTACATCTACTTCCGTCTCGGCGCCAAGTCCGGTTTGATTCACCAGAACAACTGGCGTGCCATCGGCCTCTGGATCGGCCTCGGAGTCTCTTGCTGGATCGTTGCATGGATCATCGCCGAGGCCATCCCCGTTTTCAGTGACTTGAACGGTCTCATCAGTGCCCTCTTCGCTTCTTGGTTCTCCTACGGTCTGTCCGGTATCTACTGGCTGCACTTGAACAAGGGTCAATGGTTCTCTTCGCCTCGCAAGATCTTAATGACCATTCTGAACGTTGCTATCGCTCTGTTCGGTCTGATTCTCTGCGTTCTTGGCCTTTACGCCTCTGGCACTGCTATCCATAATGATACCAGTAATGCCAGTTTCACCTGTGCTAACACTGACACCTAATCGGTGCAGTGTGGGCTTTTGTTTTATTGTTTTGCATCTTTGACGTTTTACTAGCATTGTATATAATCGCATATAGAATATGCCTGGGCACACTGGTTGGCTCTAGAATATAACGAATATCATTACACATATTAAGAATCATTCTTTGTTCTTTTACTTTCCTCATAATTCAGTAAGCAACTTTCTGCTTATTCAGGTCAGCGTAAATCTGACTGCTATCTACAAGTCTAACTCAGATCTTCGCTGACTGTCGGGCTTGCAAAATAATGTAGTTCAGAGCGAACAAAGCTGCCTGTCACCATGGGTTTGGCTTTCACAGTATCCACACTCTTAAGTCTAATGATCTCACCTGCTCAGGAAAAAGCTGAATATCTTATTTTACGGGAAGACTTGGCTAGGAATCCGAAAGGGCACTTAATATGGAAGAGTAATATGATGATAGTGGTCTTTAAAAGGCAGGACATCCGGGATGAATTGAAGATGTACTCTTAACTATAGGCATGCTCTAACTTAAGTGTAGCTAGACAAATCAGGTAAATAATGCAAGAGCTTTGAGTGACCAAACCCCTTCCAAGGTTTACTTATGCCGCTGCTGATAAATCATTCTACACAGTCCAGGCTGTGTCTAGCATTACACTTTGAGGGTAACATATCATGAAACTCACCTGGGCAGATTGCAAATACGATCCCTCATGTCATCCATATAGGAGGCATGGAGATAAATGGAGATATCGGATTTGAGACATTCGGGATTAATTCGGAGACGATGGCCTTGCACTTGCACCAAGGTCATGTCGGAGTTTAAACGTAAATCCGAACACCATATTACCAGTATGTTGCTCTGATCGGTTTTCTATCCCCGATGAAGCCATGCAGATTGGAGAAACTCAATGGCAAATGCGAGGCTTCGATTCGCTGTGGTTCCCGAAGCTTAAAGGCTATCTATCCCCTTGCCCAATTGCATCATGCAACAATTTCTACTTGCTACTTCACCTCGATCTTGTGCAACCTAGACTTCAAGCCTTTCCGTTTACAATAATGACGCCTATTATCAAAAATGTGGCCCTCGCCGGGGTATGTATCCAAAGATCAAACGCTGCATTGCACAATTGACACTGGGTTAGGCTAGTGGAAATGTTGGGGCTCAAGTACTGAACGCCTTGCTCGGTCTCAACTTCAACGTAACGGTACTCGCCCGCAGTTCTAAGCCCTTTCCAGCAGCCGCCAAGGTAAAAATCGTCGACTTCACATCTGTGGAGTCCTTGTCTGCAGCTTTGGATGGACAGGACGCCGTAATCGATACCACATTCTCGCCCGAGGTTGACACATCCCTCAGACTGATCGAGGCGGCGGTCAAGGCCCGCGTATATCGCTTGTTCGTGAGCCGATGAATACCACTACAGATGTCCCTAAATTAACAAGCGCAGTATTACCAGCGACTTTGGCCTCGATCCTGAAATCCCGGGCGTTCATAACATGCCCGTTTTCAGTCAGAAGAAGGGTTCGTATGAGGCTGTCAAGGAACAAGCAGCCGCTAACCGCCTGACATACACCCTGGTTGCAAATGGTCCTTTCCTTGATTGGGGTCTCTCGACGGGCTTTTCGGGTCTGAACTTCAGAGAAAAGACCGCCTGGAGATTTGGTGATGGAAACAATGTTATTCCATGGACAACGTTGGCGGATGTGGGAACTGCAACTGCAAATGTGCTTTTGCATCCCGAAGAAACCCTGAACCGTCCCGTCTATATCCACTCCGTGTTCATGTCACAAAATCAACTCCTCGGGGCTGCGAAATCGGCTTTGGGCAGTGAGGAATGGACAGTCACGAACAATGATATGGAACCTCTTCTGCAAAAAGCTTTGTCGGACCTTCAGAGTGGGAATATTACTGACGCCACCTTTGAGATCCAGATCAAGTACTGTCTGGCCACCAAAGCGCTTGCGCATCCCTGGGAACGAGATGATAATTCCCTTTTGGGGCTGAAAGAATGGAGCGCGGAGAAGGTGGAAGATCTGGTTAGGGCGATTGCCAAAGAGCAGATTGACCTGGTCTAGATTATATGCAGAGAATATTCGGGGTCTTTTGCGCTGTAGGTTAAATCCGGCAGAGTCATTGCCCAGGTGGATATCCGACGTAATTAGGCTTCTATCTAGAGCGTGCCTTCAGATCTTATTTTTTGAAGTTCCCAATGCGACTGGTATATGATTCCTTTCTAGAGTGAGGGGTTCGAGGATACTTCTATTTACTAGTACTTTCATGCAATCAAGTAGTGCCAATTCCGACTCAACATGGCCATGGCCCTTCAACCTGATATACTTCGAAATGCGGGGAGATCACGTGAGGCATCGGTTAGCATCGGCGGGCAGAACACTTGAATAAAGGGACTCAGTGCTCGTTCGCTGTTTTCCCAATTTTTCTGTGTCTCCTGTGTCTCCTGTGTTTTCTGTCTGTCTCAATCTTCTCCACAGTCTTTTGATCATGAGCTTCCGGCGCAGTGGGGGACTTCTCCCCCGCAACTTTCGGCCTTGTCTACCCCAGAATCACCTCCGCATTCGCTCCACTCCGCCGCTGTTGTCTCGGAAATTCCATGCCAGCTCCCTGCTATGGGGAATTAAGTCACAAATGTTGAAAGATGTTGGTGAAGGTATGGAGTAGTTGGGTTCTGTCTCATGTGTCAATTTGGTTGCTTATCAGTCCTAGGTATCACCGAGGTCCAGATTATTCAGTGGTATGTGGAGGAGGGGGCACATATTGAGGAGTGGAAACCTCTATGTCAGTATCAATCTGATAAGGCTGTTGATGATGTGAGGTGATTCAGTATCAATTGTCCTATATGGTAGCTAACCGGTATAGATTACATCGAGATATGAGGGTGTTATCAAGAAGCTTCATTTCGATGCTGACGACACAGTACCCACGGGGAGAGTAAGTCACATCATTCGGTGTCGCCTTCATGTGGGAATATCTAGCTGACACCACTGTTAGGCACTCTGTGATATCGAGGTTCCAGATGGCAAATACCCCGATGATAACCCTCCGCACCAGCCTAGAGCGGATCCACCAGCCCCAGATCTTGTTGTAGCTGCAACCCAAGCAGCCGAATCCTCCCAAATAGCTCCTCCTCCTTCTACGCAAGAGGTTGAGGTAGCGCCAAAATCAAAGCATGCAAACCTCGCCGTGCCAGCCGTACGCGGTCTACTAAAAAGCCATGGCGTGGACATCGTCCAAGTAAACGGGACAGGCAAAGAAGGCCGAGTAACGAAACAAGACGTGCTCGACTTTGTCGCAGAAAGAGACTCCCCGTCCGAATTAAGCCAAATTCCTCCCCAAGCCTCTACGTCACCAGACACAAGACAAATAGAGTCAATCACCAACCTGACCCCGATGCAATCCCAAATGTTCAAGACAATGACGCGGTCCCTGAACATCCCGCACTTCCTCTACGCCGATGAACTCAAGGTCAACGATATCACAGCCATGCGCAAGAAGCTCGCCAGTGACTCTCGCGATCCCAAGAAAATCACCTTTCTCCCCTTCGTCGTCAAAGCCGTTTCCCTCGCCCTGGCAGACTACCCAATTCTCAACTCCAAGGTTGACGTCAGCGACCCCAACAAGCCAAAGCTAGTAATGCGCGCCAAGCACAATATCGGCATCGCAATGGACACACCAAGTGGACTCATCGTCCCGAATATAAAGGACGTCGCCAGCCGCTCGATCGTCGATATCGCCGCTGAGATCGCGCGGCTTAGTGCTCTTGGCCAAAGTGGGAAACTGACACCCGCTGATCTGAGTGGTGGGACAATCACCGTTTCAAATATTGGAAACATCGGCGGCACGTACGTCGCGCCGGTCATTGTGTCGAGTGAGGTTGCTATCCTTGGTGTTGGTCGATCAAGGGCTGTTCCGGTCTTCGATGAGGCTGGCCAGGTTACGCGTGGGGACATGGTTAACTTTAGTTGGAGTGCGGATCATCGTGTCATTGATGGGGCGACTATGGCGAGAATGGGCAATCGCGTTCGCGAGCTGGTTGAATCTCCTGAGCTCATGCTTCTGAATCTGCGGTGATCAGAGCGGTGATTAAATAACTGCATCTAGATGTTTGCATGGCATGCACTCATGAAGAAATGAGTATCAATACATTGTCATGTCTAACTCTGGTCTATTGTAATGTAGTAAGTAAGCCCCAGGAACTGCACATGTGCGGGTACTGGTTCTTGGCAAAAATAAGATCGTCCAACCAGAACCATCAAACTGACATAGACAATTCAATTGATATCACTCGACACATGGATACATCAAAGCCCAGAGAAGCCCGAAACAAGCTCTCGAAAACGCCCAATCTAAAGCAGACCGGCAACAAAACCAAGCCAGTCAACACCAAACACCGAGAGGATGAACAAGACACCATCAAAACAAAACCAAATGCTAAAAAATCCTCATCCTCCATGCAATCATAGTATGCCACCTATCGCATCATTCATACTCAGCAAGCTTCTCCACAACAGCCTCGATCACATTCCTCTGCACATCCTCCATCGACCCCTCCACATTGATAGTGATAGCATCCCACTCGCCCTTCGGCTCCTCCAGCGCCGCCAGCTGCGACTGCACCATGCTACTCTTCATGTAGTGCGACTTGCGCTGTGTCACGCGCTGCAGGAGGACCTTCTCATCCAGCTTGAGGTAGACAAAGTGGATCTGCACATTGGGCGAGCCGTAGGCGGCCACGCGCATCACGTCCCGGTACTTTTGTTTCAGGGCTGAGCAGGCGACGACCACGCCGGCGGGGCGCTGGGTTTGGTTTGCGTCGCTTGGGGAGAGGGCTTCAATTGCTGCTCGGCGGAGGGAGATGAGCCAGTCCCAGCGGTCTTCGTCCGTTAGAGGGATGCCCTGGGACATTTTTTCTTTGTTGGATTCTGGGTGGTACTATTTGGATTGGGGGTGTGAGTATAGAGTATGGTGATATCTGGGTGTGTCTTTGGCGCAATGGATGCTGGGTTGGGGGTTGGGGGTTGGAATGCGCTTGTACTTACGTCGTCGCCTTCTAAGAATGGGACGCCGAGGTGTTTGCGCAGGACGTTGCCGGCTGTGCTCTTTCCACACCCTGCTGGTCCGGTTACGACCCAGATATGTTGCATCTGCGCATTCGCATTGGGTTGGTGCGCGGAGCCGTTGGTCAGATTGGGCATGATGTGCGCCTTGCTCACGGGCACTGAGGTTGAGTCGACTTTGGGAGCGTGCGGCGGCTGGGGACGTTCCCCGGCGGAGAGCATGGTGTGAGAAAGAGATGCGTTCGTGGGAAGTGGAGTTGCGAGATCCAGGGATATGATTCGGCTGGGCCGGCAGATGTATGACGATGCAGTGATACCCGGAAAGGGAGCGTACACTGGAAGATTCGAGTGAAAAGACGAGAAAGACCGAAAAAACAGAAAGGCAGAAATGCAGAAAAGGAGTCGCGCCGACTAAAAAGCAGTTTAAGTATGACGGTGGGTCGTGGGGAAAAAAAAAGAGCAGAAGCCGAGTGGGGGAACGATTCAGCCGATCTCAAGACTTGCGTTGTGATCGATCTTGTTGCGCTGATGGTTGAGGCTGCTGGTTCGAGTCTACATGCTCTACGCTCTGTAGTCTCTCTCTCTCTCTCTCTCCCCTCTCGACCCCTGTTACTGACTCAATTGACAGGTTCTATTCCCCTCGAAGCACACGGTATGATGTCACGTATTACAATACAGACCCCCACGCTAAGACACCGCTGGCTCTTTATGTTCTTCCCTGCTTCTCTCCCACGTTATGCCCACTTTTCCGGCCCATTTTCTGCCCTCGATTTTCGCTGGAGAATGTCCCTTTGTGCTCTGTGGCCCCGTGCCGAAACGCCGATGTTTTGCCCCCCGAGTCGCTGTCCTCCACACCGAACCCCCACACTTTGGGATCAATCCACCCGAGACTGGACACGGATTGCCGAGACTCAATCCCGTGGACTTCCGTGAAACACAAGGGGGACATGACTATTCCGGGGATTATACATTCATCCGATAGGACAGGGAAGAGGGGGTGAGGTGGTTCCCCCCTCGTACAGTCACACCGACAAGGCCCTGGATAGCCGTCTGACCAGGTCTGACCAGCTCATTTGCACTCCAAATCCGGGGAAGACAGATTCTTGCGGGGTAAACGAATCAGATCCTGGCTTGGAGAGTATCAGACCGTCTTCGAGGGGAGACCGTGCTGCCCCTTGGCCGGGATGCGGATTCCGATTCCGCCGCCCTGGTGATATCCGGGGAGAAGGATCCGTTTGGCTGGGTGGGATGATGCCTCCCGACAATTCCAGTGTAGATTCAATCGGGGGGAAATCACACTGGTGATCTCGTTTTCCAGTGGATCGGACGTGTCTGAAGTCCAGCCCGTACATGCACAGTACACGAGCCTACGGGTAGTTTGTAGATCATGTGAACCTTTTTATACCAAAGAAGCCATACGCTGGAACCCCAAACGATCCTATTCAAATAGTATCTCGCTAGATCCAAAAGAGACCCCCGAACGATATCCAAACTGTAACCAGTGTGACTTGACCAAGCCGAAGATGAGTTGACTGAGTTGACATGTTGACTGCCTGCAATGCAAGGCACCGTCTGCCTGTGCGGGGCGGTGTTACATAAGCAGACCGCACTCCAGGCCACCGCGCGACAGCTCCAGATCATCAAGTTGCTTGATTCGTGGGCTGCATCGGGCTCAATTTCCTCGAACAATGGCGTCTCTATTTTTCTCCACTCCCGTCGACATCGATGTCGTTCTTGAGGACCTCGATGAGCGCCAGACCGTCGACGTCAAGCTGGACAAGGGCCGCCGTGAGCGGGTCCCTTTGTACATGGACGGCGAGTCTGTCAAGGGTGCCGTGACAATCAGACCGAAGGATGGGAAGCGGTTGGAACACACAGGCATCAAGGTGCAATTCATCGGCACAATTGGTGCGTCTACCATGCCCCGTCGATAACACACCGGATGACCCCCGACTAACAGGAGCATACACAGAGATGTTCTACGACCGAGGCAACCACTACGAATTTCTTTCCCTGGTCCAAGAACTCGCTGCGCCGGGGGAGCTGCTGCACCCGCAGACTTTCCCTTTCAACTTCAAGAACGTCGAAAAGCAATACGAATCGTACAACGGCATCAATGTCAAGCTGCGGTACTTCGTTCGCGTGACGGTCTCACGGCGCATGGCGGATGTCGTCCGTGAGAAGGATCTCTGGGTTTACTCGTACCGCATGCCCCCAGAGAACAACAGCCCCATCAAGATGGATGTTGGTATCGAGGACTGCCTGCACATTGAATTTGAATACTCCAAATCCAAGTATCATCTCAAGGATGTGATTGTTGGTCGCATTTATTTCTTACTCGTGCGGCTCAAGATCAAGCATATGGAATTGTCCATCATTCGGCGAGAGACCACTGGATCACCACCAAATCAATACAACGAGAGTGAGACGTTAGTCCGCTTTGAGGTATGTTTCATGGACACCTTGATACCAAAGTACATTTCTTTTGCAGTCACTGACCGACATGCAGATCATGGACGGCTCGCCGTCGAGAGGTTAGTAGATAATACCCGGCTGAGACTCCCACGAGGATCAATCTGCAACACAGATACCAGCACGTGCGAGGTCTGTTTTGAACATAGCTGACTGTCCACAGGCGAGACCATTCCCATCCGGCTGTTCCTTGGTGGCTTCGACTTGACGCCCACTTTCCGAGATGTCAACAAGAAGTACTCGACGAGATATTACCTGAGCCTGGTACTGATCGATGAAGGTACGTTGAACTCTTATCCATTGCATCATCCCCGCATCCATGACGCACTCTATGGCGGGGACAATACACAGAGGCAAAGACCGAGTTGGGAATGCAAGCACCGACGGCAATTGAAATTGCCCAAGTGAACCGCGGTCTCGCCGATTTGGCTCCGGCCGCATTTTGACCCCCACGCTAAGCTGGTCTTGGCATCGGCTCCACACTTTGTTACCATACACGCTCACACTCTAAACGCTTGACTGCAATTGAATTGATTCTTACTCGATCCCACAGATGCCCGTCGCTACTTCAAGCAGTCCGAGATTGCGCTTTACCGTCAAGCTCCCGAGATCGCCCCGAATGCCCAAATCGCTCAGCAGCAACAAATCCAGCAACAGATGCTGCTCGAGCAACAACGTCAGCAGCCCACTCTCCCACCTGGCTCTGCTACTGCCGGTCCGGGTAGAGAAATCTCCACGCCGCTTCGACAGGAGGCTCAACAGGCTCAACAGGCTCAACAGGCTCCGCAATCTCAGCCTGTCCCCGCCACTGCTGCATAGATTATTCTCATTATCACTTGCGTCTTTAAGTTCTTGGTACTTGGGGATCTGTTCTTCTATACCCGCCTCCGTCTCTGTTTACCTTTCTCCCTCAACCACCGTTAGCACTACACTCTTACTTTCCCTCTCTGTACGTTCAGTTCTTGGTCACTATCAAGGCCATGTCACAATATCATGCTGTAGTGTACGATCAATCATTTCTCCGCCCATCGAACCATGGCCCCAACTTCTGTAACAAACCTGAGCCTTGGATGTTGCATTGAAACATATTCAATTCTGGATATGATACTCGGGAAGACCCAATAATTCTGAACAATACAAGAAACGAATACGGTACCGAGGTAGGGTACACCCCAATCCCCATGTAGACAGTAGACAGTATACAGTAGACATGCAGGAACCACCATAACCACGACCAACACTTCAACCCCCACTACAAACAAAACCAACCCCTACATACACAAGAACAAAAAAACAAAACAAAAAATCCTACCCCTGAACCCCCTCCAAAATCCTCCCCAAAGCCCCCAAAACCAACCCATCATCCCTCTCCTTCCCGGCAACCTGCACAGCCCTAATAACAAGCGGATAGACCCACTCCAAATGCTTCCGATAATGACCCCCCGCCTCCAAACTAGATATTGTCCTCAGCGCAGGTGGATCAGGAATAGCAGAAGGCTCGCTGTCCAGCTCGACCAACTTGACCAAAAGATGCAGCAGGGCCTTACGCGCGGGCGTAGGCTGCGGCATTAGACCTCGTAATGGCTGGTCTGCGATGTATGATTTGAGGGAGACTGCGCAGCGGAGGAGGAGGTATGGAGAGATGGCGCGTGCGAGCAGGGTCTCAGCTTCTGCTTCTGATTCTAGTTCTGTGTTCGGGGCTTGGCGTGGATGCGCGGCTAGTTCGAAGAGTGTGTTGAGGAGACTGTAGGCCATGTTTGGGCGGAGGGTTGGGAGGGACTCGAAGGTTCGGCCTGGGCGGACGGTGTAGAAATCCGCTAGGGGGTTCCCGGGTTGGGAACCGGTTCTGTGGTCCTTTGAGGTGAATTGGGTTGGGAGGTCGAAGCGGAGGGGCGCGTAGATGAAGGATGAGTTGAAGAGGGCGAGGGCGAAGTCGCGGCGGATGGAGTCTTTGATTGATTTGTTGCCGAGGGAGGGGAGGATGAGGGGTTTGAGTCTTGTGAAAGAGGTTATGTCGAAGGATTCGTCTGTTGCTATTCTGGTTTTTTGGAGGTTGTGGGCTTGGGAGCCGTAGGCTGAGACGATTCCATTTGTGATTTCGACGATGCGGTGCCAGAAGTCGGCTGTTTCGGCTTGGTTGGTGGAGTTGTATTGCTTTTCCACATAGGGTACTGCCACTTGGAGGATATTGAGAGAGGCTGTTGTTGCCTTTTGCCAGATGTAGGGCTCACGGTCTTTTCCTTGCCAGGTGTACTTTTGGCTGATCAGAGCGCTGAGATGCTGAAGTGTTGTTGCAAGGGCTCCGTTTGTGAAGACGTCTTGTTTGATGCCAAATTCAGCGATGTACCAGCCCATTAGGTCGATGATATTCTTGGAGAAGGCTACATAGGCTGGTTTTCTGGGGTCGTTGCCCGGGCTCCATTTTGAAAGTGGTGAATCGGATAGCTCGGCAAGGCAAAGGAGAATGTCTGGCTGGGAGTCCTCTTTCTCTTGGCATATCTTCTTGATGCACTCGATGACTAGCGCTTGCACGGCTGAAGGACGGTCGATATCCAACGTGTAGCGAGGTGAGATCGAGTTCCACACCAGCAGGCGGAATTGCTCAAGTACCTTCTGAATGTGTTCAGTGGTAAGTTGATCTCTATAGAGGCGGTAAATCTGTTGGAAAGTCTGAAGATACGCCAGCGCAGCATCTTGATTGGATTGTTCCAGATCAAGCACATCTTCGTTGGCAGCCGGATGGCCGTTTGCCCAAAGAAGCCATGCACACTCGAGAGCATCGTTGCTCAGCTCGCCAGCAGTTTGCACCCGAAGTAGGATTGCTGATAAGCCAGAGAATGTAGCTTCGCTGAACTCCAGAATTTGCAAGTCAACTAAGCCTTGCAAGTACTTCAGGAAGCGTTTCCAGGACTGGTCAAACTTCTCGTCCTGCACGAGCGTTTCAAAGAAGTTGGTGATCAGACTGGATGATCCTTTGATCATTACAACTGTCGTGTCGACCCATGACTTGAAGTCATCTGACTTCATGCTGCTCTGCTTATTCTTGGCCTGGATTACGGCGGTCTCGATTCTCTCAACCATCTTGAAAAGAACCATGTTTAAGCAGAGACGCCAAGCTTTAGGTAAGAGTTGCTGTCCGTAGGCATCGAAGATCCGCAATAGGGTGTGCACTGCGCTGTTTCGGATCTCTGGTCGACTGTCTGTGGTGATATCAACAATGCGAAGCAGCAACAACAACCACAAGGAGTTCCGAGAGACCGCAGGATCCTCATCCCGGGCCAACTTGGCCAGCTGTTCTTCATTGACAGACGCATCAACATGACCAATAGAGAACTCCTCAATCTGGCCCTGCAGGAAATCTGAGAAGTTCCAGAAGAAAGAGGTAGTGGTGAGCGAGATATTAAAGTCCTGAGTCTGTGACGCAAAGCTGGAGAATGCGTTTACCAAGCTGTAGAGACACGGCGCCGGAAGCAGAGAAAGGAAATCAGAGGCAACGAGATGCAAAGACTTGTAGGCAGCTCGGACTAGGCGAGGACCGGCTGGAAGGCCTGATGCCCTGCGCTCTATTCGAGTAGAAGGTTGCTCATCAGCTTCAGACTGTGGAAGATTTTGGAAGACACCAGAGATCAAGTCGAAGATCAAATGCCATCCATCCACTAAAGTCTCAGCATACTGCTCCAGGATGTTTCTCAACACTTCCAAGCTCTGCTCATGGATCTCAATGATCGTTATTGGCAAAGACTTCGATGTGTGCATGTCTGAGGAGTAGAGCGAGGTCACTTGGTCCTTCAATGTCTGCAAATTCCTCGTTTGAACCTGATTGTATACTTTCTCGTCGTCTTCCTCTCTCTGTTTCATGGTCAAATAGACAAGCGAAGTCACAATCGCGTTTGCCTGTAGGCGCAGATTAGGACTGATGACGGTATTGGCAGATGCGGAGATGAGACTTTGCGTCAGAAGCCGCCATGCTTTGTTATCATCTTCATCAAGCGAGGATAATCTTGAGAGATTTGCTCTGGCTAATTCATTTCCTTTCTCCAACACGAACTTCAATTCCTCGTCTTGCATTCTTGATTTTCCCACGGTGTGCGACACACGCCGAGAGCCTTGGTGCAGACGCCCAAGTCCCTTGGATGACTGCGGCGAGCTGGGAATTTGTGTGACTTCTGTTGCGGTATCTTCTTGGTGGCGCTGTTCAGTGAATGCCGACAGGTTCAACAGAGCAAGCAAGATCTCCTCAAAGGATGCACTAGGAAAATCGCAGGTGCTTTCAAGCAGCTTGCTAGAAGCAGCCTGTACCGCAATTACCTCAGTCCCTAGGTTAGCGGTGGGAACATCGTTTCCTGGGACGATCAGGGTCTCCCCAGCACTAGCTGATTTGACCATTGCACTGGAAGACATCCCAATCACAAGTCCTGTGTATTGCAGTGTCTCAAAAACAATAGACCAGGCCGGCTGATCCAAGGTTGGTCCTAAAGCAATTCCGAGATTCAGCAATGCCCGCAGGCAAAGGAGGTTTCGTGTGCTCAGGGATGCAGGACGACCATCGCTGACACCTGCTCCAGTGACATCAATGGAGCCAGAGCGTGCCATATCAACGCTTTTTCGTTTCTTTTGAGGCGAGTCAATCTGCTGGGAGCCGGTAGAAATTGAATTTTGTGACTTGTGGCCACCACCATTTGCAGGCATCGCAGCTTTTCCGAGAGTAGTTAAAAAGGCATCTCGCGGTACTGATAGTCTCATAAGGCCTGCCACATGAGCCAGCTTCTGGAACGCGCGGACGAGATTGTGGTAGTACTCGTCGTCTAGTGATGCGCGCAAGAAAGTAGAACATGCTGCGAGGACAGCCGGCCAGCAGTTCTCTATGATCCCTGCGCAAGTCTTGATTGCAGAGTATTGAATATGAGACTCTAAGTCCAAAGGATTGATGGGCACATGCGATTTCTTAGTAGGTGAGACAGTATGTGCTCGTAAGCTTTCTCCTGTTGTGAAGTCTTGCGAAGATCTGGCGGAATTAGGGCCTTCGGTAGGGCTCAGAAGTCGATTCTTGCGCCTTTGCTTCAGATCCGGGACTGTCAGGGGAAGGACGAACTTAGCGAGCCCTTCTGCAAAACTGCTAATGCAGTTCAGAACGAGACTGTAGATGTAAGTGTCCGGGGGTGGAGGTGGGTCCATCTTATCAAGAAGCTCAATATACGGCGTCCGAACAACACTCCACTGTGTGCTGATCCCAGGAACCTTTGTCTCGCTGGGAGGGACAGTTGACCCGATGACACCGGCAACTCCGCCAGTTTCCAGAGTTATTTGATCCTCGGTGGTTGATCTAGTGTGATCTGCACGCGAAGGTACTGTTGATTGGTTGCTGACTCCAATCAATGCGGGTTTCTCTGAAGCAAGCCGGACGAGCGCGGCCATATGATCGCGTAGAATATTCTTTCTTCCCTCTTCTCCGTCGTAGAGTGTGTAGATAAGTCGTACGACACCTGGCTCAGAGTACAGTCCTCTGAAGACCTCCATACACAATAGCCGCTTCCAGGGGGCCGTTCCATCCGGTTCAAGAAGATGGGTGATCAGACTCAAAGCCATCTCACATTCGGCGGTCAAAAGCGACATGTGGCGCTTGAGAAGTAGTAGAAGTATCCTGGCCACTCGAACAGTTTGCGCAAACGAATATCTCTCGGATAAACAACGGACAGCCAACGGCAATAGCCGAACACGCAGCACTTGCGAAAGTTCGGGATGTCCCACAAATAGGCGACCACTGTTCAGAAGAATGCTTTCAATGAGCTCCAGTACAAAGGGCGGGGATAGCGTTCGGGTGCGCAAGAACTGCAATTGCTCTCCATCAATCAATCGGCAGAGGTCATCCAAAACCTATATTTTGGAGTCAGCGCTAGATTAATCAAATGATTGTATCAATGCTTACCTGTAATGCATCATAGGCGAAAATACCGACATCGATCGATTGGCCATCTACCTTGATGGATGTGGTGATCTTTTCATCGTTCGGAAGCTCTGAGAGACAATTAGCACAAGCCGTGGGGATTTTGCGGTGATATAACTGACTGTCTTCGATGGAGACTCTTTCAAACGTTGAGACCACTAGTTGCTGAAGGGTGGCCGCAGCAGTACTGGACACTGCAATAACCTTGCATGCTTGCAATGTGGCACAAATTTCCAATGTATTTGCGAGAAGTTCTCCGCTCAACTCATTGGAATAGTACTGTAAGAGAGAAGGCAGAGACTGTAGGATCTTCAACTGAATATCCAGGCCTGCAAAGATTAGCGCTGTGTCAAGGTTTTGGTCGAGGTCATATCATGTACTTAGGCTCGTTGTCTCTCTCAGCCCTCCGAGGACATCTTTGAGGCGACTTGAAGGCAATGAACGAGATGCAATCAGTCTCTGTAGGCAGATAACACCAATGCCTGCAAGCTTTGCGTGCTTAGTATGGCATGCAATAATAAATGGCTCGACAAATTTAGGTTTGCGAACAAGATCTATTTGACAAATTAGCACTGGAGAGCCAAAACAACATCTTCGATTGACCAACCCGCTGCAATCTGAGCCTCGGATGTCGATGGCAAAGCCTTGAGCTCATTCAGCGACTGTTCGGCGGCCTGTCGTGTAATTAAGGTCAGTTTGATGTTCAAAGATATCTGCCTGGAGGTGAAAGACGAACATTCCGGAGATCAGTGTTTTTCCTTCGAGACTCCTGGATCAGGTTTGCAATCTCAGTCTGCAAGAATTGGGAGGACATTTCTGATACAAGATTGGTACATCAACGCATGGCCAGCATTGGCTTAAGCCCGAGGTCCCGACGTCAACAGTATAGGGAGACTTTCGGTTGTGAGCTGATAGCTTGATATCGGCACGACAGGCCAAAAGCACAAGTTGGAGCTTAAGTTTCAGAGCATATAATTAACCTGAGCTGCAATGGCTGTGATTTCTCCTATATCAAACAATCCCACGATGGGAACAACAAGGCGTGGCATCTCCAACCAGCGCCAAGCCTACGATACGGTTATCGCACGTGATATGTATCTCACCGCCCACGCGCCATGCCCCTCCTGCAACATCTCTCTTGAACTCATCTGCGAAGTTCACAGACACGGATTTATTGCTCTGAGCTCACTATGTCTGCCAAAGTCCCACGAAACTTTAGACTCCTTGAGGAGCTTGACAAAGGAGAGAAGGGTCTCAGTGCAGGTGCGATTGAACCATGATCTCCGAAGATGTCCGGTCACGAAGTACTGACGCATGTTCCTTGGTCGCAGATGCCTGCTCCTATGGCCTCGCCGATGGTGAGGATATGATGATGAGCAACTGGAACGGCACCATCCTCGGCCCGCCTCACGTTAGTCTTTCTTTGTCTCTACCCGATTAGCCCAATGCTAATCAACCCTCAGAGCGTCCACGAGAACCGCATATACAGTGTGAACATCCACTGCGGGCCCGACTACCCTGATAACCCACCTACCATCCAATTCGTCTCTCGCGTCAACATCCCCTGTGTTGACCCCAGCTCCGGAAAGGTATGATAATGCGCACCAAGACACAACAACGCCATTGCTAAGTTGTTATGCTACAGGTTGACCCCTCGAGACTCCCTACCCTTGCTCAGTGGAAGCGCGACTTCACCATGGAGACAGTTCTGATTGAACTGAGACGGTAAGCACAAGTTGGAACATAGCAGATTGGTGTGGTGTGTTGACCTTTGTCTAGGTACATGGCCTTGCCTCAACACAAGAAGTTGCCGCAGCCCGCAGAAGGCTCGAATTTCTGATCGAACATCCTCTCAGATGGTGCAGGCATATTTACGAGTATCAGGATCGGCCTCGTTGAATTTTACTAGCTTTTTCTATCCTTCCATGATCCTATTGGAGCGTGTACAGTCACCGCATGAATGCATCGGGTTTCTCTGGAAACCAGCTCTCGATCTTATTTTACGATTCAGTGTTTACGGACGTTTTTTTTTTTTTTTGGGCCCAAGCATTGTGACAGGCGCTTTTTAAGTGATGAATAACAAATGATCTCCTTTTCATTAATTGGCAACTCTCTAAAAACGGAGGATTGATCGAGACACATCTCCGTGTGGTGCCCTCCGCCATCAAGAGGCCCTCAATCGTAGCCGGTACAATTTATTGAAGACCGCAAGCTAATGTACTTCGCCTCCTTTGATGGTCTGGTCTATTCACTTGCTGGGGCCTCATGTACCGAATCTAGTATTTGAGCATGTGGTGTGTTGATTCTGATAGTAATTTTACTAGTGCGAATTACTTCAAGATTTCGTCTAATCAATATAAGGATACAATGGATGAAATGATGCCTTTGATGCATATAATGTCGCTAAGGGTAAGATTTTTGGCGGAAAATAGACTGCGGTGGGCTTACCGGGGCTGCGCCTGGATAGCCTGGCGAGTTTGTTGGCCTGCTTACTGAGGTAGATGTGATCTCCGCGCCAACGATCGTGGACGTAATCGAGAGTTGCGCCTCGGACATCTCGTTTCAATCATGTCGACAGGAGAAACTACAACTTATCTTCTGTGGGCACGTGATATTTGTCCTAAAGTGTCAAATGAAGGGCGTCGGGATGACACCGAACGACATGGATTCCTAGGAGTTGGCCTAATTTCACCCTATATAAACTACTCGTTCTCCTTGACAGTCTTGTTTTCCTCTCATATTCGCCATTTTCTATTTCAAGACCTCGAATTTTATATCAGATCGTGAAAATGGGCCATTTCGACGCAAAACACGAATTGCACAAACCTTGGATTGAAACGCCTTTAATCGAGTCGACAACTCTTTCAAAGGCGGCCGGATGGTAAGACGCTTTTTCCCCTCATGAAAGTCCCAGAAGCTGAAGGGTGATTATAGTCGCATTTTCCTCAAAATTGAGTCCCTTCAACCGTCCGGCTCGTTCAAATCACGGTGAGTTTGGCACTACATGCTACTGCATGTCGGGAAAACGTCTGACATATAGGCCAAAACTGGTTTAGGGGCATTGGAAACTTGGTCCTCACATCTCTTGCTGATCCATTGAACCATGGAAAAGCCCTGCATTTCTTCAGCTCCTCAGCAGGTAATGCAGGACTCGCAGCAGTCGTCGCCGCTCGGGATCTTGGCTGTGCCTGTACCGTTGTTGTCCCCCTCAGCGCAAGTCCCATGATGATTAAAAAAATACGGGCTGAAGGGGCTTCGGATGTCATTCGACATGGCGCTAGTTGGTTCGAAGCTGACGCCTACCTGCGGGAAACCTTCATCGAAAATGAAGACAGCAAGTCGGATGCTTTGACCAGAAATGTTTATATTCCACCATTCAATCACCCTGACATCTGGCAAGGTGCAGGGACCATGGTTGATGAAATGGTAAAGCAGTTACCTTCGAGACACTGCAGCAAACCCGATACCGCTTATTCGTTCCCGGCAGATGCGATTGTCTGCAGTGTTGGTGGCGGTGGTCTTCTGAACGGAATTATCAATGGCCTTGGGAGGCATTTACCAGCCTATCAACCATCGAAAGCGGTACGAGTTATTGCAGTTGAAACAGCTGGGGCAGATGCGCTGGCGCATTCGCTGCGCCAGGGTTCGTTGTACACACTACCTGCGATAACCTCGCAGGCAATCACCCTAGGAGCACTTTGTGTGGCACCTCAGACGTTGAAGAACGCACAGTCGCCTCCCCCGGTGTTGAGGTTATCAGTGTGGTGGGTACCGACGCTGATGCTGCAAAGGGGGTTGTGCGTTTGTGTGATGAACTGCGGTTGGAGGTCGAGCTGGCTTGCGGAATCAGTGTTCAAGTTGGGCTAGATAGGCTCAAGGAGGTCATGCCAGACCTAATGCCGGATAGTCGAGTTGTGATTGTTGTTTGCGGAGGAAGTGCTATTACGCCTGAAATGATCACGGATTATCGCCAGAAGCTTGCAAATGGGTGGCGATGAGAGACTGCGTATTCGAGCTGGCCAGTTGGCCAGGAATTCCCTGCGGTCCAGATCAGAGGGGGCTATCTGTATATCAACGATTGAGCGTGAATAGACTCGGAATATTAGATAAGTGAGAAAGAACTAGAAAATTACAACCTCATCTCGGCCATAGCCTCAAGACAGCATCTTGGAAGCAGGGGCAGCGATGCCAGTTGTTAGAAGCTAGAGGATGGTGACCCCTATGGCGCCAATCAAACATATTGTCAAGTTGTTTACCACTGTTACGCTGGCTGCAGGACTACTGTAATCCTATGCCTTGGCGCTAGCTTCATCACAAGATCCTAGAAAGAAAGCATGTAGCGGATTTTGATTGACGGTTAGGACGTGTGGAAAGAAGCTTCAAACCTAGACGAGCAACAGGTGAGACTGTTTTCAGGGAGGCGACAGCCAGGTGGAAGAGATCAACATGGGAATAGCATCACTTGGGAACATGTAAACAAACGACACCCAAGAGGGGAACGCACAAACTACGCATCGAGCGTGCACAGTAACAGCAATCCATAATACTACGAATACAGGAATACGAAAAGCTTCTTCTCCAAGCGACCGGTCAAGCCGATCAGTTGATGAAAAAGGTTCGCGTCGATCGAGGGTAGTGTAAGCCCGATGACACAGTGCAACGAGACATGCGCAAGCACAGAGGTCAAGTTGCGGGATCCAAAAATGAGAATAATCAAAGTGTTTCCAAGAGGAAACTTTCAGAGATTAAACTGAAAAGAACAGATACTACACTTGATCTAAGCCAATAGGCAAAGAGAGCTAAAGAAGAAAGAAAAGAAGAGGAAGAGCGGCGGGAGCGGCGGGTATATATAGGCCTTGGTGTCACGTGATCTCAATTGCTGATCTTCCTGTTTGGGAGGGCGGTCACATGTCACTTGGAACTTCGATACTCGATCACCTGTGCAAACACGCTGGCATGCCGAAGGCGTTAGTTCCAAGTCATTTTAGTGCTCATCGCTTTGCCTGTAAGCTTTAATTTCTGTCCTATGCTACACCTTGACTGACGACCTGCCCTCCGGTAGGTTTCGCCCTCTATCGAGCGCTTCTCCGGCAATGTCCCGCAACCAATACAACATCATGGCAGGGTGAAAGCAGGTCTCTTGTGAAGAAGAATTTTCGGCGCTTTCAGAAATTGCAGAGCCCATCTCAGACAACTAATGCTCTAAAGGCAGGCTATGAGGTACGTACATCGAAGACTGTTCGTCTCGGAGCCTTTGTTAACGATTACATCGCATCCAGGCTCTAGATCTCTTCTCATCTGCCTCTGAGGGCAATCGCCGCGATACGCATCAGATTATGACCTTGCTCGCCCAACACAAGTCCCATAAAGAAAAACATGCAGCAATGCAACGAAAATCCAGGCCCCCAAAGCCTGTCAAACCTTTGTCGGCCAACAATGCTCGAAAGGCAGAGTCAATGCGCTTCCAGCAAGATACTGCCAGACGGCATCCAAATGCTACACCGGTGCTATCGCGGCCTCGGCCACTAGGGTCCCTCGGAGACAAGATACGAAAGGTCCCAGTCCTCGTCAATGCGCGCGGAATCCCCCTTCTACGCTTCAAGAAGCCACAACCCAGAAACCTGAGTGGCACACTCCGGAAAAAAATGCATAACCGTTGGGTCTGGATTATGCGTCGGGAGAGGCTACAACTTGATGTACTATTCGCCAGAGACGAGGATGAATGGGATCGTATGACCCAGGCCAGCGAGCGATCCACATGGGTTCAGCCTGTGCAAGAGTCTCTAGACGATGTTTGTGACAAGGTCACACGCTGGGATATGAAAAACAAAGAGAATGCGGAGAGTATGTGGCGCGTTGTACTGGCCGAAAGAGCTTTGGCGGATGAAGAAGCAAGGCAAAGGCAGGATGAAGCAAGCCAGGAACTGGACCAAGCAACCTCGACGCAAGAGGAAACATACCAAACGGAGCCAGGGCGGTGATATGGATTTTCCATGCCGGTGTGCATTGCGATTTGTCACTACCTGGTCCCGGCTCCTTTGGGGCTTCTTGGGTCAAGGCCCCTGTGATACAGAAACAGGGTCATTCCCTAAATCTTGGCGCTAATTGCCTCGGGCCAAATATTCTTCTCCCTGCGATCACAACGCTGAACCATCCTACCATGCCAGCTGTCGATCAAACCCTCCAACCGCATGAACACCGTCATGCAACCTTGGACGGATGCCATCTCTTGATCAGGACAGACCACCAGTCATTTTATCCCAGACTGTCTGCCCATTTCCTTACTCACGAATCTTGAGCCGCTATCATGGCGCTGTCTTGGGCGATTCATCTTCTCGCGTTCGAGAACTTGACATCATGTATCATACGTCCACTCGGACTACATTTGTATATTTCTTCTCATACCCATCATGCAGGCTCTACAGCCCAGTCAATATATGTCACAATAATGCCAAGGGTTGAATATTTTCATGAAAGCAAGGGGAGGTCATAAACATCTCTACGGATCAATTCATGCAGCCACCTTCAGCTTATCAACGGCTGGCAGAGCATCCTCCTCATCCTCATCATAATCACCCTTGCCAACAAGACCCTTCTCCCAAAGCTGTCGTCCTGTGAGCTTTTTCTCTTCTTTCGCTGTAGTCTTTTTCTTCTTGTCTTCTGCCTCCTTCTCCTCGCGTAACCGTGCCTCTTCGTCCTCAATCTCCTTCTTAAAATTGGTACTCCACTCCAAGAACGACTCAACGGTGACAGGGGTGCCGTGGAACTTGCGGTTCTCCTCTTCTTCTTTCTTGGCAGCGGCCTTATCCTTCTCGACTTGAGCAGCGTTTGCACGTTCGGTAATAAGAATCTCGGCGTTTTCTTTGAGCGCACTAACAAGTGTGAAAACCATTGCCATTCCCATGTTCTCTTCAATGGTGGGTTCGAGGCTCTGCAGTAGTTCATCCCGGTCTTCCTGAATGTCTAGTCGGGGATGCTTTGGGGCATCGTGTGGAGAAGTGATGTTAAGGTCTGGTGCAACATCGGGGTATGCTTCCGGATATGAGATTTCCAGGAGTATTACTGGCATTTCTGATTCATCGCCATCATATTCGGGGACATCGAGAGATATGGATACTCGGTATGAGGTTTCGGTTATGTCTAGGTAACAGATGTCAGTGTCTGGAGACAACGAGAGAAAAACGTTGCGGTATGCCCTCAACAGTCTGTGCCGGTTGCGAACCTGTGATTTCATCGGGGAAAATTGAGTCGAGCACCTCGCGCTCTTCGATCTGGTCTTCGCGACCCATTGCTTCTGATCTGCCCGCGGAGTGGAGGGGTAACGGTGTGGGCTAGTGCGGATTTTGGGAAGAAGTCAGAAGAGAGGGGAAATCCTATCAAGCGACAGACTCAATAGCTTTTTTGGACGAAGAGTTTGAGAGATTGAAATAGCACCGCAGTCTCAAGAAAGATCGGATACAATCGAAGCGTGCCAATATTGCAGTCCCACATGCAAACCCGTCAAACACCCAAAATTTTGGCTCAGAGCTTCAACTTTTTTTACCTCGAAATACGTGCAACTTGCAACTTACATTACCGAATCTTTAACTCGACGATATAACACATTCCTTCCCCATTACGCTATAAACCTGCCATGGGAAAACCCAGACCGCAAAAGAAGAAGTCCTCCAAGCCCCGCGAAAAGTCCGTCCTCGGCCCTGGTGGCTCGATTTCCAAAGGCAAAATGGCCCAAGATCCCTCGCCGCTCCTCGACCAAGCCACGATCCTCTTGCAAACCGGTCGGGCGGATGAGGCGCTCATAACCGCACAGCAGGCTCTCGAATTGAGCCCTGAAAACACACCCGCACAGCTCCCCGCCATCAACTTGCTTGGAGAAATTAACGTCGAACTTGGCGATATCGACACCGCTAGAACCTGCTTCTTGCAAGCTGTTCAGTTGGATCAAAATGGTTCCATACCGGAATCCGAAGGAGGTGGTGCCGAGAAGTTCCTTTGGCTCGCGCAATTGAGTGAGCAGGGTGGTAAGGACAGTGTCTTGTGGTTCGAGATGGGTGTTTCGTCCCTCAGACAGGCTATTCAGGGTCTCGAGGGTAAGACCTCAGCCGCAGATATTGCGGAACTTGAACAGAAGAAGGCCAAGATGTCCAACGCTCTCTGTGCTGTCGCCGAGACCTACATGACCGATCTTTCGTAAGTTCTTCCGCTACACGACCCACTTTGAGGGCAACGCTAATCTTTGGTTTAGTTGGGAGGAGGACGCCGAAGCCCGTTGCGAAGCACTCATCACAGAAGCTCTTCTGGTCACACCCGAAGCACCAGAGGTTCTACAGACTCTTGCCTCTATCCGGATATCCCAGCTTCGAACTGAAGATGCGCAAGCTGCGCTCACTCGCAGTATGGCATTATGGAAGGATCTGGCTCCAGAGGATCCCAAGATCCCTGACTTCGCATTGCGCATCAGTCTGGCACGACTCCTGATGGAGGTTACTATGGAGTTTGAGGCGCTGGAAGTCCTCGAGCGTCTCATTCTGGAGGACGACCAGAGTATAGAGGCATACTACCTTGGAGGCTGGTGTCTCTTCCTGTTGGCAGAAAAGCAACAGGCTCCGAAGGATGCGACTCCCGAGGAATTGGCCGAGTCCCCACGCCATGTGTCGCTCGCTGCAAGCCGCGAGTGGCTCAAGCAAGCCTTGAAGCTCTACGATTTACTGCAGTATGAGGACGACCGACTCCGCGATCATGCCTTGGAACTTGTACAGGAGATGAATAAGGAAATTGGAGAGGACGACGATGACAGTGAAGCCGAAGGCGAGGGAGAAGGCGAGGACTCGGATGAGGAGATCGAAATCGACTCCGACGACGAGATGGCGGATTCTTAGATACCAAAAGTCACGACATGAAATGATGTACATGTTTCTTGATGCCAGCCCAACCGTAGTTTCATTCTTTTTCTTTGTCTCCAAATCAGATCTTGATATCGCCACCATTCATCGGCCCGGATTAAGTTGTCTCCGGCAGTGCAGATGCCCGAATTTTTGCCAGCGCAGGATCTAAAGAGCTGACTCCGAGGCTGGCATCTCAAACTCCAAAAGATGGATTTGGTACCAGCCCCAAGCGGAGATGACTCGTTGAAAACTCCCGTGGTCGAAGTGGAGGCCGTGGACATGGACCAGTTGGCCATGAGCGCGGAGGAGCGCGCGCTGGAAGACATCCCGTCCACCTACGAAACGGACAGCGACGACTCCGAGGACTGGGATGCCCTGTCAGATACTGAGGACGCCATTCAAATCCTGCGCGATGATCAGATCCGCGACGGGCTCGGTATGTAACTATACCCACCCCCTCTTACCCCGGACATCCCCGCTCAGACTAGAATGAGAGACACGGGGCTAACAGGTTCGGTCGCAGTTCCAGATGCCTGTACCTTAGAAGAAGCGCTTGCATATAGAAAGCGCTTGCATGCGATCGGCAAGGCGGCTTTCGTGGAAGAGACCATCGTTCGCGAAACCGTCACGGCCAAGAAGCTATGCACGGCGTTTGGAATTGTTCCTCCAGCATTCCTGGAGGGCGCCCCAGATGAGGCGTATCATTCTCTTTTGGCGATCGCGATCTCGCGCGAGTTCTCTCGGCGCCCCAAGCTGGCCCAGTACAACACTATTGACGATGCCGTTCGGTTGCTTCGCGAATCTCGGAATATCATCGTTCTAACAGGCGCAGGTGTAGGTGTCCACAATGAAGCGCATAATTCATATTTCTCGCATACAAATACTGACTTGATAATTATTCAGATCTCGACGAGTCTGGGCATTCCCGATTTCCGTTCTAAAGATACCGGTCTCTATTCAAAACTGGAACATCTGGGCTTGAGTGATCCCCAGGAGGTCTTTGATATTTCTGTTTTCCGGGAAGACCCTAAGATCTTCTTTTCCATTGCGAAGGACATCCTTCCTACCGAGAAGAAATGGTCACCTACTCATGGCTTCATTCGGCTTCTCCAAGACAAGGGAAAATTGTTGACCAACTATACCCAGAACATCGACAACATTGAAGCGAATGCGGGGGTCCTTTCGGAGAAGATAGTACAGTGCCATGGATCCTTTGCGACTGCAACCTGCGTGAAGTGCAATTTCAAAGTCACTGGCGATCAGATCTTTGGTGAAATCAAGGCAGGAAACGTTCCAGAGTGCACCGCCTGTCAGAAGAGAATTGCAGAAGAGTCGCTGAAATCACAGGGATTGAAGCGCAAGCGTAGTTCCAATGGCCAGCAGAAAGACCGCAAGCTTTCAGATGACAGTTCCGAGGACGACTATGAAATCCCTACTCCAGGAGTGATGAAGGTGAGTTGTGGTTCATCGAGGCTCTTCCCATCATACTAACTCTTGATGAAGCCGGATATCACCTTCTTTGGCGAGGATCTCCCCGATGAATTTGGCGAACGGCTGGTTAATCAAGATCGGGAAAAGGCGGATTTAGTCATTGTGATTGGAACCTCACTAAAGGTTGCTCCTGTGGCAGAAGTGCCCGGGATTCTGCCACGCAATGTTCCCCAGATCTATATATCGCGGACTGTGAGTTACTCCTCCGATTTTATAACTGTCCCACGCTGACCTCAATGTAGCCGGTGTCACACACTGACTTCGATATTGATCTCTTGGGCGATTGTGATGTGGTAGTATCAGAACTCTCTCGTCGTGCTGGCTGGGATTTGAAGCATCATATGATCCCCGACGATGAGAAAGTTGATATCACCACGGTGGAAGGATATGAATCACGACATGTTTTTAAGGTCACTGGTGCATAGTAGCGGAGTTTCGGGCATGTCTTGCTTCTTTCTTGACGGATGGCGTATTTCGGGCTCATGTTTTAGCTGGACGAGTTGAAGTCTCAGCAGATTTGGTTTTACCTGTCCGAGTTTGAATAGATCCTGTTCTCTATCGACTCTAGCTCGGTTGTTTTGTACAAATCTTGTTTCTCAGATCTTACTTAACGCGAAATATACTTTCTTTCAATTGAATTTCCTTGCAGGCTCTCTAGATATACCAATAAACATTCGAAAGTCCATTGCTGTGTTTCGAAACGTGGAGATATATGCAGTGGAACAGGGCTTGGGGGCTCCCGGAGTATATTTTGGAGCCCGACCAAAAAAAATCTCAACCCGCAACACCCCCGCCACCGTCACCAATTGCATGAACCACCACCCCAGGTCGAAGAATATCTAGGAATCAGACAGATCTTCGAAATGCCCACCATGGACTACCTGGTCCGGTTTGCTCAGATGCATGAGACCTTCCGACGGCCAGAAATACATGCCTGTGCCACACTTGCAGGCGTCGACATCGAGATTCTCAGTTACTATGAATTTGTATGTTCATTCTGGTAAAATACCAAACATGGTGACATGTATATTGTCTTCAATCTCCACGGCAATATAATGACCTATCCTGCCCACTGCGCTTTTGCGCCACATCCCAAAGGATTTGACTGACATGACCACTAGTCACCATACTGCGTCGTGAGACTGCCAAATGAAGAAGCAATGCGCGCCATTGCCAAGCGCAGCATTCTGATCAAAGATGTCTTCGAGCTCTGGGGCCAAGGTACCAACTACGAAGAATTACATGCAGACGTCAAGCAACGGAGCCAGCACCGTTGGAAAGACTTCGAGCACTCTGAATTCGCATTCAAACTCGAGTACTTCGGAGGGAAACGCAGCTCAAGCTTCACTTCAAAGAGAGAAATTTTGACTTCATTCACATACATCGGGTTCAAGGGCCCGGTCAATCTAAAGAACGCTGATCAGCAATTCTTTGTGATGGAGGAGTACATTGACGACGTTGAGCAGTTTGTATTGAAAGTTGAACCGGTTGAACTGCCACGGAATATTTTCCTTGCACGCAAACTCTGCGACAGTGGGCGCGATACTATCCTCAAGTACGATCTCAAGAAACGCGACTACATCAGCACGACCTCCATGGACGCGGAACTGAGTCTGGTAACGGCCAACATGGCTCTTGCCGCTCCTGGAAAACTGTTCTTTGACCCATTTGTCGGGACTGGAAGCTTTATCGTCTGCGCTTCACATTTTGGGGCTTTGAGTCTGGGGGCTGATATCGACGGCCGCAGTTTCCGCGGCAAAGAGGCTGGGAAGCTGGGCGTGTATGAGAACTACAAGCAATACGAGATGCCCAGCAAATTTGTGGATTGTTTCACTTCGGATTTGACAAACACTCCACTGCGGCGTCCTCAGTTCCTCGATGGCATTGTGTGTGACCCGCCCTATGGTATCCGAGAGGGTCTTCGAGTTTTGGGAAATCGCCACGGAAAACCCGGAGTGAATGTGATCATTGATGGTGTTCCTGCTCATCTGTATGTATTAATCTTTTTCTTCCAACGCTTCTGAGTTCTTGACAGGATAAACATGTGGGACTGACTCTTTCGCGCAGTCGACCTGGATTTGTCCCTCCCAAAAAGCCTTACGGATTTGAGGCTTTGCAGAAAGACATCCTTAACTTTGCAGTTCGAAGCCTGGTGACAGACGGCCGTCTTGCAATGTGGATGCCAACCACCAATGACGAGGCTGTTGAGTTCCCTGTTCCTATGCATGAGGACCTGGAGGTCGTCAGTGTCTCTGTTCAATCATTCAATAACTGTAAGTGCTTAAATGGATGAAGCCCACAGTTTCTCGGTAGGAAATTTGCTAATTATATGCACTAAAGGGGCTCGTCGACTTATCACTTATCGTCGTCTACCTGAGGGAGAAAAGTCCGATATTACCTTGGGCCGTAGCAAGACTGATGACCAAGGACATAGGGCGGATGATCTCAATCTGTTCCGACGAACGGTATGTGCTGCATTGAAGACGAAGAGCCAATGATTGATGATCTAACTCCTTGAACTATAGTTTATGAACAGAGGACAGGCCCTCAAAGCCGAGCAAGAAAATGAAACGACGCAAAAAGACTCATGATTCGCCCATGAAAAGGAGAGCTGTACCGGCAGGCTAGAAAAGCCATACAATAGAAGACCTATATACCAAAAAGAGAACCCGACCAAACGGGACGGACACGAAGCAGTCGAAGAGACAGATAGATTAGATGTGCCACATTGCACTTCCTTGCATGAAGCAAAAGCAAACCGAATTATTCACAGTTTCCCTCTAGTGCTCGCATCCAGAACCAACCCCTGCGTTAGATCCACACCCTCATCCCTCTGGATTCGCTTCACCTCCTCGACAAGCTCGAGTCTCAGTTCACGGGCAAGAGCCTCGCCCTCATCATCATCCAATTCCTCTCTCTGGCCCCGACCAAACATGGCAAAGCTAGATCTTTGATTGGCCCCTGTTGCCGGGCGGGGAATAATATGAAAGTGGACATGGGGCACGACTTGTGCTGCTCTTTCGCCTGTAGACGGATTAGCCAATTGATTTCCTCTTTTGACATGACTGGACAGATGCAACGCGTAGAATGGATGTCCAGCTTCGTCTCCATAGACATAGGCAAGAATGACACCCCCCAAGAATGGGAGGAACGAGACCCCCCTTTTCTTGTACGGGTATCGTAAAGCAGAAGATCCAATGCACCAAGCGGGGAAAATACAAGCACATACCATTGTTCTGCACCACATTCCAATGCCTGTCAGGGTCCTCCCCAAAGACAGTCTTTGTAACGACTCTGGACAGGATCGGAAGCCATTTGCCCATCTTAGCGGGTTAGTTACAATCCGGAAAATAGTCAACTGTGGACTGTGGAGTGGGAGAGTTGCATACCTCCTGTCCAACCAAAACGCCCATGTCACTCAACATCTGATGATGATGTCTCGGCGCGACTAGGACATGGCCACGAGTGAGGGGCATTATGTCGAGAAAGGCCATGATATGTTCCGTTGAGAGGATCATGTGGGATGTTATTTCATCTGTTGTTGGTGTTGGGTGTGAGGACGGGTCGTTGAACCCGGTTGGAGGATATGTTTCTGCAATTTTGCAGAAAGGGCATGGTGGAGGGGCGTTGGAGTCCATTCTCGATCTAGAAATAGGGTTGATGAGATATTTGGAGGTGATGTGTAGTTGTATCAGGGACTGGTCCACGGAGTTGACCAGTCCGAAGTTCCAACCTCGGTTACGCCTAACGTTAAGCCAACTACCAAAAGAGGACCAAAGTGTTTTGAACGATTCTTCCATGAGCGTCAGGGCAACGCCTATGTACCCAAGGTTAAAAAGAAATCAAGTTGCAGTTAAGTAACCATACACACGCATCCAGAAATCCAGCTATTTTGATCACAGAGCCAATGATTACCTCCCCTAGTATCCATGCCCCGTTTGCCTGGAAGGCCCAGCTTCCGTACCCAGTTTGAATCTCTTCCAGTTCATGAATAAAATCCTCCACAAAACAGACACAAAGGTCACCACGATTTCGAAAAACCTCCCCCCTCCCAGTCTCCCCAATACCAACGACGCACAAGCCACGAGAGCTTGAATGAGAAACAAAAGTATGACCCCAAAGGCAATGGCATGGAGCATCTAACCCGAAGAATATGGATCGCAAAGTGCAATCAGTTAAAAGTGCGATTCGAATGAAAAGAATAAAAGCCCGACGCCTGCAACACGAAAGACGAGAACGGAAAGGTATCAGGGCGGGAGACAAACGCCCATGCACGGGAAACAAGCAGGCCGAAGTCAAAATGATTTAAGGAAACAAACAATAGCACATAGTGCGCCGAACACCCCCATCACAGAAGACAAATGCGGTAGTGAACAAATTTAATATCAAGTCGTCGTAAGAATATGCAAAAGGTATTTGATACCAGCACAATGAAATGCCAACATATGTAGGAACTCAACTTGCCTGTTCGCGTCGTCGCGAGGGCCTTGGAACATCATGAAAGACAACGACGTAGGCGAACAGGGGTGACATCACATCGTAAATGGTACAATTACTGCTCGTCCTTGGCGTAGCTGAGCGATTCGGTGGTGTCGACGTACAGGTGGTGGTATTTCTTGGCCCATTGACGTGTCAAGATGGAAGCTGGACAAGACGTTAGCTATGCGACGTGCGAGTCTAAGTGAGACTGCTTACCCTTCAGGAACTTCTTGCTGGCATATTTCTTGAAGAAGGCTTCGTGAGAGACAGGACGGTGGAGGTAGTCAACCATCAGCTGGAAGACAGGATCGATCTCCTCCTCGGTGTATCCGGAGTAGTGAGCGAGGGTGGCATCCTGGTACACGTTAGTTGAGAGGAATAGATAAAATAAATGAAATGAGTGAACATACCCAGGGTCCACGCTCCAAGATGAGGCGGGCAAGGTACATCGCAGCAGCGGAGATGTGGCTTTGGGGGTAACCCATGAAACGGTGATCAAGGAGACTGATCTCCATGAGGTACTTGCCCAGAGTGCGGGTTTGGATATCATAGTTATCGGCCTTGGAGATACGTCGCAGGAAGTTCATGGGGTTGGGGAAGCTCATGTTGTACTCGAGAGTAGCAAGCACGTGGCGTTCAGCATCAAGGATTTCTTTATCCGAGAAGGTCTCGTCGGCGACATGGCTGAAGTTGGCGACGTGTGGAGAGAGAACCTCCTCGTACTTGGAAGCAATGAACATGGCGGTGACACCAACGAGCTGGAGGCGATCGAGGGCAACAACCTCGGCGGAGAGGAAACGATCGATAATGTTGACAGCGAGGAACAGGGTTTCAGGAAGGAGACGGAAGCGAGTGTGGACCTCGATCAGCCAGTCGACGAGAATACCACGCATCTTCCATTCGAGATCGGGTTGGTGGTCAATGTAATCCGGGTTGGGCAAGGTGATGACCTCGAGGTCCTTGAGGTAATCGAAGATCTCAACCACATATTCAGCAGCCATCAACGGGTCATCCAAATCCTCCGTGTCAAGATCCTGCACACCAGCCTCGATGAGCTCCTTGGTAGAAGGTTCATTAACTACCGGCTTCTCTTGCCCAACCTTTTCCTTCTCCTCAACCTTCTGCTCAATCTCTGGCTTCTTCCGAGGAGGTCCCTCAGGTTGCGAAGTCTCCTCCAGTGGGGCCTTGGGGTTGGGGCGCTTTTGCGGTCCGGTAGCAGGAGCATTCTTGGGGTTAGGGTCGCGACGGCGCAGTGCTGAAGTTCGTGATGTGTTGCTGCGGCTGAGCTTCTGCACTCCACCAGTCTGAACAGTTGACTTGGACGCCAGGGCCTTAGCAGCGGGCTTCTTCCCATCCTTTGCCTCAACACCTTCAGTCTTGTTCACATTGCTGACGTCGCCCAAAGCAGCTCGACGACGGGTAGGTCCAGTGGCGGTGGTTGTGGTCTTCTTGGTCTGCAAGGCCTTCTTTGCTCCCTCGACAGAGATATCGGTGGTGAGGGCAGCTGTCTTGGCCCGCGTCACGCGTGCGGACGGTCCGTTCTCATCGTTCTCATTCATCGTACCTCTGGTACGAAGGCTGCGAGCCTAAAGTGGAGTCAGTTGCTGTCCAGGAAACCCGCCAGATATACCCAATTGTCGTGATTAAGTATTAAGGTGTAACAACAAAGATATAAGACGCGTGTTCCTCGGGCTCAAAGAGTGCTCACCTGAGGCATCGTGGAGAAGAGAAGAAAAAGAGCGCGTAGGGGGAATGGAAAGGGACAGGAATATAATCTTGTCCTGCCAAGGTAATCAGGTCAGCATTCCATTCAGCAATACTACGGTGGAGTCTCCATACCAGAGACTCGAGTTCAAGGTGCACGTACCACGCGTGAATATGCAATTAGTCCGAAAGAGCTACAATGTCTGTAGACTGTAGCTTTTTCAGATGAGGGTGTTGATGTTGCTAAGCCACGTCCGATCCAAAAGTATGTTGACGTGTGACTGGACCCACGACGAACCCCGGTTCGGTTGGTGAAATGTCGCGCGATTCGGGCGAAAAGGGTGCTCAACGTAGGAGAATAACTTGGGCAAGCTGTACGGTTGAAATCCGCACGCGATAAAAAGATGATGGGGGAGTGGGGGAGAGAAGTGAGGGTATCTTTAACTGGAATGATGAGGGAAAAGGAAGAACCTGAGAGGGCAAGGCGATGTTTGGCCCTACTGTGCTAGCGCGAAAACAGGTACCTCAAAGACGCCCCACAGCGCAGTCGCGTGGATCAGGGAATTGATATTCCAGCCCTTTAAAGAGAAAATGAGATGAGCAATGAGAACAGAATAATAGCCATAGAAGAGAGAAGTTGGGATAGGATGAAGAAGGTAGATCCAGCAATGAAGGGAGAAATAAGGCGTTGAGGGTTGAAATTACGTCTGTATCGGTGGATACGCGAGGGCGCGGCCTTTCAGTGAGGGCGCGATGGTAAACACGTGGTTGCCGGGCAACGGCTTAGTCAGGGGCTGCTTTGGGGAGGCGGTGGAACCTGACAGAAACGAGTGTCACCTGTCTGGTCGGGCGCTGTGGCTTGACTGTGGCTGTACCGGAGCCCTGGTCACCTGATCCCTCCCGACTGTGCGTATTACGTGATGTCATATCTACTCCGAGGTCCACCTCTCTGTCCCAGTGTATAGTACAAGCAGTTTACCAACAGAGCCTGTGCGATCTCTCTACTCTCTCCCTTAGTAGAGTGGACATTTAATAAATATTATTGTTGCCAGCCACTGTCAAGCTAATAAGCAATGTTGAGCTAAAAATGTCCCTTGCAGCGTTCAGCCAGTACCGGGCTGGACTGGCTGGACTGAGCAAAGAAAAGAAGTCCTCGGCATATTCCTCATATTTACTCATGAAGTCCGCAATGTTTGAACTTGTTATTGGGATGTTTATCCAGCAACATAACGTCTCCAGCTTCGATATTCTCATCTTGAAATGCTGCGAAGAGTTCCCTTTTGTTAGAAGCTTGCGGAATGAAGTTTTGATTGTCACCAGTGACCATCACGCCCTTGAAGGCTTGGGACACTGCTTCAGGATCTTGGGACAAATCGACTGATTCACACTGACTGAAGTCCAAAGGGGAAACCCGATAGCGCGTTGCTGTAAACCCGGCTTTCCTAAGTTATCTTGTACTTTCAAGGCGGATGAACCAAACACAAACTCTAGATCATCACCGTTGATACTGGATCTCTAATGCAACATTAAATAAGCTTGATCCATTGAAGCTGCCAGTTTCATAGTATCAACTCCTACTTTTTGCATTGAATTGAGGTAGAGAGGGAAATTCGAGAGGGCTGTGTCGCTGTTGATTCGGCCCCTGTTCTCACCGAAATAGATCCGCGCAAAATAATGCTTGTTCTTGGAGTTTTCGAGGAGGGCTCTCGTCTCAGGGGTATCAACATAGCGGTCTTGACCACATAGCTGCGCAACCACAGGTCGTCGGACTATCTTGGGTAGTCGTAGAATATGCCTCATCCTCTTCATATCACCCAGTTATATATACGGGATTACTGAAGAAATCTCGATGTATCAGAGCACGTTTTGCTGGTTTCTCAAAACGAGCCCAAAAGGCCTGGAATATTGATATCGCAATTTGTTGTCGAGCGCTGATAACGTCCAATTGCGACATAGACATCTCTGTGGATTATATATACTCATGATATAGATTTTAATATCATTTTTCGTTACCGGGCAATTTTTTCTTGACAACTTGAGGTCATGCCAACTCGATCAAGAACAGAATTCACAGAATGTAAGACGGTGACAAGGGGTTTGATCAGCCACTGTGGCTTTGCAGGTGAACTGTGGCTGTGTGAGAGTACTGGTCACCTGACCAGTCCGAACTTTTTGTTGGAGACCATTAGAGCGTGGAGCAGCTGGTCTTCGTCGCCCGATTCCCTTCCCTTTGGTGTCCTCATATCAATCTTTCCTTGGCTTAATTGGTTCTTCTTCACTGAAGTTCCTCACCTGCCAATGATGCTTCAGACCCGAATTGCGCTACGGGGCATTCGGCTTCCTTTCAGGTGTCTACCCTCTCTACCTGTACCTGTCCGCGGATACTCGACAATCGTCAATGAAATCGAAAGGCCTGCCGAAAAGCCCGTCGACAAGCCCGCTGCATCAGTGTCTTCCTTTATCGACCCCAATATCTCCTTTGCTCCTCCCCCAAGCCGCGACGACTCCGGTGTTGTGTTGCGTACCTACACTCCGCGTACCCCCGGTGTCAGACATTTGCGACGACCAGTCAATGACCATCTATGGAAGGGCCGTCCTGTCCACAAGCTAACTTTCCCCAAGCGTGGTCAGGCTAAGGGTGGCCGTAACAACTCCGGTCAAGTTACTGTTCGCCATCACGGTGGTGGTGCGAAGCGTCGCATTCGAACTGTCGATTTCCTCCGCATGGACCCCGGTCCCCAAGCCGTCGAGCGAATCGAGTATGACCCTGGTCGCAGTGCACACATTGCTCTTACTCGCAGCAAGGAGACGGGCAAACTAAGCTACATCCTCGCAGCCGACGGCATGCGGGCTGGCGACGTGGTTCAGAGTTACCTGCCTGGAATTCCCCAAGACCTATGGGACAGCATGGGTGGTGCCGTGGATCCTGGTGTTCTTGCTGCCAGAACTGCCTGGAGAGGAAACTGTTTGCCATTGCACATGATTCCCGTTGGAACTCTTATCTTCAACCTCGGATTGCGCCCTGGCAAGGGTGGTCAAATCTGCCGCAGTGCGGGAACTTATGCTACAGTTGTGGCCAAGGGTAGTGACTCGCGTCAGAAAACCCTTCAAGAGGAGGAACCAGTGGCTGCGGAGGTAACGGGGGAGGCCAAGGTCGAGAAGAAGCTGTCTCAGCGCGAACAGCAGAAGCAGGAGCGTCTGGCCCAGCACATCACTGTTCGTCTCTCAAGCGGTGAGGTCCGTTTGATTCACAAGGACTGCTGTGCCACTATCGGCATCACCAGCAATCCTAACTACCACTACACCCAGCTCGGAAAGGCTGGTCGTTCCCGCTGGCGCAACGTTCGTCCTACAGTGCGTGGTTTGGCCATGAACGCCATGGATCACCCCCACGGTGGTGGTCGTGGTAAGTCCAAGGGTAACATTGACCCGAAGAGTCCTTGGGGTATTCCGGTATGTTTTACTTTCGCAGCTCATTGCCACACTTCCAGGTACTAACTCTATTTCTCTAGACCAAATCTGGATACAAGACCCGTCCCAAGTGGAAGATCAACAAGGCTGTTGTACACCCCAGACCTCGCAACCAAGGCCAGCGTCGTCGTGGTTACAACTAGAGATTATTTCGAGTTGTCAAGGTGGTCATTCCATCATGTTCTGAGATATTTGCCCTTATTTCCTCCTATACCTCATTCTCCGCGCAGAGAATGACTGTACGATATCTTTCCTTGTTGCTTTTCCTTTTGGCACATCCTGTGTACTATTCTTCCATCATGCGCTATTTTTGAAAATTTTTGTTCTGCACATCTGTCTGGTTGCAAGTTGGGCGATGGGCACTGTACAGTACGATGGCCCAATGCGATATACATTCCAAGCGAAAGAGAAAAAAATAGACATTTGAACCTCACTGGCAGTTGTATCCGTATCTGCATGTGTGTCGAGGCTTCTAGTCCAAGCCTTTATCAAGCCTCTAAACCCTGATCGGCGCCCCGAGATCCCCAGACGTCTGCCAAGCCTCCAGGCAGCTCCTTGGTGCGTGGCCTTCGTGTCGATCGTCAACGCTCTCGCAGGAAAACAAAAAGCTACGGAGATTAAAGGCTTTCCCATAGTTCTCATTGGAAACTGATAGAACGAATGGAAAAAAGGGGGTTGAGCCCATCTGATAAATAAGTTGGGGCGGAGGAAACCTCAGCCTCTCCTGATACGAAGTCCCGCCGTCATCCATAGAACTTTGTTCTTTCTCATCCACCCGTGGAATTTTGGACATGAGCAGCAGCTCGCTCAACGTCTTGGGTTGACCATCTACGCACCATCTCAGAGTTCTCCCGCGATAAGCCACAGGCCCGCTGGCCTCGCCCACTTCGAATTACTCAGCCGCTCAATCGTGCCACGCCATGGCGGCATTCCCGCCGTCCAATTTCGGCCTCGACCCTTCGCAGTACACGGAATCGGGTTCTTCACAGATGGAATTCGGGTCCGCAGAGAATGGCGCTGTCGAAAGCACCGGTGAAGGCAACTTTGTCCCGCGCCCGAAGCGCATCGCATGTGTCGTTTGTCGGAGGAGGAAATTAAGATGTGACGGGAGACGGCCAAGCTGTGGAACATGTTCGCGATTGGGACATGACTGCTCTTACGATGAAGTGCGCAAGAAGAGTGGCCCAAAGCGGGGATATGTCAAGCAGCTTGAAGCTCGATTAGGTACGAAAGCCGATGGCAGCCGCGAATCTTGTTATTTCCTTGAACTATACTGACTAGTGCGACCCTTTCAGCTCAAGTCGAGACCCTCCTCAAAGGCCAGGACCCCGAACCTCCTTCACGAACTTCCCCGCCTCAACGGTTGGATAATTCCTTTGGCGCGCCTATTAACGATGAATCTATACTGGCCTTGCCTGACCTCTCGGGGTTGGGAGGTGACTTGGATGGTCCGTTCCAGCAGTCGAATGCACCTGACGCAGTTCAGCCCGGCCAAATGATGTATCCTCCCGTAGAAAACACCAACAGCGATGCCCAGACCCAGTGGGATTTGATCGCCTTGGGATTGGAGGAGCCCCTCCCTTCACAAGATGTGATTGACGAACTGTATGTGCTCTATCATGCTCTATACTTCAATGTTTGTCTAATACAGAGCCATTTTCTAGAGACGCTATGTTCTTCGAAAAAGTCTACCAAATGCTGCCCATCATCCATCGACCGCGGTACTTCGCCAGCCTGAATCTGGCCCCTCACATGCGGCCGCCTATATGCCTGCGCTACATCATGTGGTGTCATGCTGCATCCGCAAGTGACAAATACTTCTTCCTGCATAGCCATTTCTACCAGCGCGCGCGTAAATATGCCGAAGCGGACGAGATGAAAGGGTTTGGAGAGAACATTGTCAGTCTAGCTCACTGCCAAACCTGGATTTTGATTGGAACCTATGAGTTTCGAATGATTTTCTTCCCTCGGGCATGGTTGAGCGTGGGTAAAGCTGCACGACTGGCACTGATGCTCGGATTGAACCGGCTTGATGGCGTTGGCCTTGATGTTAAACAGTCTATCTCACCGCCAAGGGATTGGACAGAGCGTGAAGAACGAAGGCGAGTATTTTGGGGTGCTTTCGCGACTGACAGGTATGCCAGTGTTGGAACTGGTTGGCCGCTCCTGATCGACGAGGACGATGTGAGTATCTTCTTTTCCTTCACCATTTTGTCTGTCGTAATCTGGAGACTGACATCAATGAGATCATGACAAACCTCCCTGCTTCCGAGGATTCATTCCTAAAGAGCAAGCCACAACGAACACTTCGTCTACAAGACATAATTGCCGGCGAGGGCATTGCTACCTTGTCCTCGTTCGCCTGCGTCGTGGTTCTGACCAGTCTTTTTGGTCGTAACCTCGTCCATATTCATCGCCCGCGGCCAAATGACAACGACCATGATCTCAACGGAGAGTTTTGGAAGCGGCACAGAAGTCATGATAATATTCTTCTGCATATCGCCCTGTCCTTGCCCGATCATCTTCGCCTTCCAAGTGGTATGTCAGATGTGAATGTCATTTTTGCCAACATGAGCATACATACTTCAACCATTTGTCTTCACCAAGCGGCGATTTTTAAAACCGAAAAGAACAAGATGCCAAACCAGATCACGATTGAAAGCAAGCGCAGGTGCCTTGTGGCCGCGAATCAAATTTCGAGCATCATGAAAATGATCAGCCACGTCGATCTGACTAGCGTAAGTCTTAACCTAGCCTTCTTCCCTGGAAATACCACTAATATATTTCCTCAGCTGAATCCATTCATATCGTTTTGTCTATACATTGCGGCACGAGTCTTTGTGCAATATCTCAAATCTCGACCCGAAGATTCGAGTGTTCACTCTTCGCTGCAATTTGTTGTCTCCGCTCTGAATGCCATGAAAAACAAGAACCCTTTGACCGAGTCTTTCCTCGTTCAATTAGACGTTGATCTTGATGGAACTGGTATTCGAGCGTTGGATGACAGAGCAAAAGAAAGTGCTCGTGCTTCACATGCAATGGCAGTAAGTCATTAATATTGTTCCTTATCTCTAGACCAAGCTAACATCCCTATGTCCTTCCAGCAAAACTATTGCAGCGATTCAGTCGAGTGCTCTCCCATCTATAACATTCGCCAATCCCAAACGGCGGGCACAATGGAGGAGTCGCCGCAACATAATACGGGCCGTGGGAACAAACGTCAGCACGTGGGTACTGGCACGACAACCTCGCTTCCTAGTCGACAGAGGGATTCAATGGCCAACTCCACTGACGAAAATCTACATCACCTTTTCACCCCTGCTACCCAGACCACAGGCCAGATCGCCGAGCAACCTGGCTCAGGGAGCAAACTCGATTTAGACATGGACTTTTCACCAGACTTCAGCACCCTCAGCGAGAGAAACAACCCGCCTTCTGATCACCCTACACCTTCAACACTCAACTCCTCCTCCAATACCTCCTACTCCATAAACGGCGTCGACAACCCATCCCCTGGCAAACAATCAAAATCAAGTCAATCTTATCCCAGCCAGGGATCGACTCAATCATTCGATAAGATGAATTCAATCCACATGCCTCCCGGAGACCTCACCTCGCAGGCCCCCGACTTGAATACTATGTTTGCTCGAGCTTATCAAAGCAGCTCTGGCAGCCCGTCAATCCCCACAGATACATCAAATCTGTTTTCCATGCCTTCTGCCTGGGACTTGCCAACTCCAAGTCAGGAAATGGGTGCTGCTGACTTTAGCAACCTGAACGTCGGCGCTTTTAGTGAGTCTCAGTGGGCGCAGATCCTCGGCGAGAATGGAGCCACTCCTGGTTGGGAGAGTTGGCGTCAATCTTGAGGGCAGAACACATTCGAGTTTTGCTTGAACTACTCCAGGGGCCGCTACTTAGGTACGGTACTGATCTACCTCTGACTAAGCGCCGGAGTGTGGTTTGTCAATAAAGAGACACCCCCGACAGTGTCGTTCTTTGTCATTTCGACAAGGCGCACTCACATGACTTTGAGCTTTCTATTTAGCTCGGACGGTTGGTGGCTTCTATATGCTGAGTCCTTGTGCACACGAGTCCTATCTCCCGATGAAGTTGAGATCAACTAAGCTCTGTGGGGCTTTTCCCTCAAAATTCACCCAAAAGCATCAAAGGGTCGATGAAATGATTATGAACTTGCATTTTCTTGTGGAACAATTCTCTTCTTACCGAGAGGTTTGTGAGCTACTATATGCTGCTGAATGATGATATGATGAACGAATAAACGGTCTAACTCTGGGCGGAAACCTTGAATCTCTCTACTCTTGGATGATTTTTCACTATTATACTTGGAACACGATGTTATGGTTTTAATCTTAGGAATCTATAACAAGACACTATCTGACTACAATGTTAAACCAAACCAACATCATTCTTAACAAATTTTCGAAGTAAACAGATCCTCGAAGTAAACAGTCTCTCGAAGGAAAAAAAATCATAGTAATAATTCGTAACATCCATTCATGATAATGCTAAATGTAATCGTACAAGACAAAGACTTCACATTGGAAAAAAACCAGATCAAAGAGCTGCTCAACAAATGACGCTCAAAATTGACAACAGAAGATACAAGTTCACAGTCCACCACCAGCAGCCCCAACAATCTTCAAGCCTCCCGAGCTGGAATGACCAGGACCATCAGTAGTAGTTGAGTAAGCCAGCCAGTAACGCGAAGGATGCCACGCAACAGCCGAAACACCCGCATTAGCACCAGCAGTGGGAATAGTGAAAACACTGTCACCGGACTCAGCATGGAAGATCTCAAGTCCATTCCCACCACATCCAATCTCATCACAGGCACCGCAGATGTAGCGACCATCGAAACTCCAGCTCACACCACGGATGGCGCCGCCATTCTCACTTGACAGTGTGCGCTGACAGATCCAGTCGGTTGTATCCCAGAGGGAGATGAGAGCATCACTAGCGCCGACTGCGAGGTAGCGACCAGTAGGTGCGAGAGCAACGGCGTTGCAGGCAGATGTGTGGGCGTTCATGGTGTACAGGACGTTAAAGGAGGGATAGGAGAGGATTTTGACTTTGCCTTCTCCGGTTGTGGTGAAAAAGTGTTGCTCGGGGCGTTCGGGAGTTGCCATGCGCCATGAGAAGGTTGTCGCGTTGGTTTGGACGGGTTGGGGGTGGGGTGCGAGGGCTGTGTAGGTTGTTGCGCCTGGGACAGAGGCGGGTAGGTTGAGGGCGTTCGCGCCGTCTGGGTGGGCGGTTGGCGTGGAGGGGCATTGGATTGAGATGGGGATTAAGTGGTCGTCCTGGATGAGGGGCGAGTTAGGGCCTTGTTGATTTCTGGGACCAAACTGGGGGGCTCGGATTCTGTTTACCTTTGTGCCGACGATCATTGTGGTGCCATCGGCAGACCAGGAGAGGGTAAAGGCTTCGCCGCCGACATCAAGCTTGCTGACGCAGGTCTTGGAGCGGACGTCCCAGAAGCGTACTGTGCCGTCGGTTGAGCAGCTAGCTAGCTCTGCGTCGCGGACTGGGTTGAAGAGGACCTTCTCAATACCGGCGGTGTGGCCGCGTAGTTCGGTTGAGTAGCGAACATTGGGGCGCTCGGGGTTCCAGATTCGGAGAGTGCGATCTGCTGAGCCCGTAGCAATTAGCTGCCCAGTGGGGTTCCAGGCGAGTGTTCGGATACTGTGATTTCAAATCGCTGTCAGTAAATGCGCGCAACCCTGTACAGTAAAACTTGACTGACGTATGAGATCCTGGACCTTTGGCAGCGGGATCATAATAGTTCTGGGTCTTTGCGCCTCCGAAAACGAAGGAAAAGTGATCCTTGTGAAGGAGATCGCGACGCGGAGGAGCCATTTTTGGCGGTTTGGATTGATCCGCCTTCAATTGATTCTGATGTACAGGTTCCTCATCTGCAGTATCACTAGGAGAAAAAGAACCAGCGGGCTGAGAACTTATTACCCCAAATGCGGTGGCAGATGAGGTGTCTGAAGCAGATAAGGTCGTGGATGAGCATTTGGAGACCGCCTCGAGGCGGTCCAGTACTGCCGAGCGATCATCGAGATTTGCCATGTCACGTGGGCGGTGTGAGACAGGTCGGCAAGGTCGAGATTCTTGGATTTAACTTGGACGCTGAACTTTTGAGATCTGGGTATGGGAGAGAATACGCTTACTTTGACTGTTCAGGTAGGTGCTAACCAATTGTCATTTGATTCATTTGATTCAAACAATCGGTGTGGGTTGTATCATTCCAAAGTTATATTATGGCCTTACAACTTAAAGCCATCTTTGAAACATACCAACAACAGTTCATATAATTTGGAATCGATTTTCCATATAGTATTACTGAATGTGCACAGAATCTTCATCCATTTTTAGCTGCAGAGAAACCTTAGCGCATACCATCTTCATAGATAGGAGTTTGTTGATGGAGCAAACATATTGGGGTATATAGGACTGATGGAGTATTCGGAAATGACGCCGAGAGTTGAAATCAACCAATAAGAGTGCGTCCAAAGCAAATTACATAGAATCAAAGCTTGATCAAAGCCTTATACTAGTGCAGAGGACGATAATTCCGGTGCGACGGACTACAGAACACTCGAGGTCACTCTCGCCCCCTATGTCCCAGGTCATCCCTAGATTCCTATTCTCAACTGTCACCTTGTAGTGTCGATTGTATGAATATATCTCTTCCACATCCACAGTCCATCGCGTGTAGTTGTATATATAGTTGTCAGACTGACGAATGAGCGCTTTGGTGGCTGCAGCCTTATGGGTCCGATAAGCCCTCCGAGCTTAATCAAACCTCACCCCGTTGGAAAAATTGTCCAGCTCAAGTCGGAGTCTACGCAGGGGAAACGGTCACCTGGCATTGAACATATTGCAAAGCTTGCAAATCAATTGAAAAATCCCATCATGTTTGACCAAGAAGACGACGCGTCGTGCCGCGAAAAGTGCTTCACGACCATTACGCGCTTGCCAGCCTTCATCGACTCAAAGCAAATTCCAAGTAAAAGAGCGCCTTTTTCAACAATTCAGAACCATGCATTTGCACACTCGGTTGGTCTTTGTTGAATGCACGGGGGTTTGACCGGTTTGCTAATGGCCGACACAGGTCGAAGCAATCTTGCCAAAGGGGGTCTACTCGAAGATCGAATCCTCATTGAAAGCGACACTGGAGCGACCTCAGTATGCACGAGTGTTCATGACTCCTTCTGCGTTACTGGAACATGAGTTTTTCAATACCTACATCAAGTCAGGTATGCGTGCCTCCAACTCAATCCCAGAAGCCCAAGGGTTCTCTTCCGTTTTGTTTGCCCCAGGCTACAGCCCTGGATTTAAAGCGCCATCAATTCCTGACAGCACTTTCTAACATGGATTATAGGGAATATTTTGATGATATCCGAGGGCCGTTCGGGATCTGATAATGTGTTCACGCTCCGAGATGGTTTGCATTCCTGCCTGAAGCTACCTTGCGGTCTTTTCTTCATCGACATGGATACCTAACTTTGTCTCAACAGGAGTCCTCCGAATGGAGCTTGGAAAGGAAGTTTTTGAACGAACAGGCCTCACTGGCAAACCTTTCCGCAGCAGCGGCAGGAAACACGCAAAAGAAAGATTCTGTCAGTATCGCGTCACAAATATTCACTACACGTTTACTAAATATGACATCAGTGGTTGAATTGAATCTCAGGCTGCCCTCCATGCTACATGGCAAGAAAGGGTTTGAAAGAATTGTCTGGGCCTTCACCAACGTTCTGACTCAACAAATGGCATGGCTCTTTTATGATCTACAGAGTACCCCTGGCACCGACCAAAGTATGTCCACCCTTCCACCCAGAAAACATGTCCCCCTCAAGAAAAAAAAAAGCTCATAATGAATGACTTAGCCACGAGACCAATTTACAAACTTCATCCTCAAATGATGACATGTGAACCATCGGAGACTGAGCATCGGCAAATCCTCACTCCTGAAGTTCACGCCGTTGGTCAAGACCTCGATAATATTTCGGAAGGTGAACTCCAGGAACAGCTGGGTTTTATACAAGAATGGATTGCCATGGTTCGAATCAAATCACCCCGTGTGTCTGGGGAAGATGACGTCGATCCATACTTGAGCCGTTACTCGGCTCCTGGAAACCACGTACCTTCCGACTTGGTCAGCGTGAAATGGCATGGTTTTATCTCGTCGCGATGGGTAATGGAACTATTTTTAGCGCTACAGTGAGTTTCCTTTGACATCATAGTACCTTCCACTTTTGAAACTTGGGGTGAAGCTAATGTTATCCTCGGATAGCCGCCATACTAAAGACCAATCCTGGTTCTCTCTTTCGGTCTCAGCGCTTGGAAAGACTGCCGTGGAGGGCAAAGACGGATTTACTCTTATGGTTATACCGGAAGAAAACGGGTTGGCCATATCATGGGAGCTGGTTGGCGCATCTGTGGTCGAAAACTGACTTTCTAGGGCAACATCATCCACGGACTGCCTCTAAGGGCAGAGTGACTCCCAGTCTCTTCGACCTTGCCTCCTTCCTTCTTTCATTTCTCCCATTCATTTCATCTATCTATTCCATCACACCATATCCTTGCTTATTGCTACCAGTTCTCATTACTCCAGTTCGAGATTATCGCGAGATTTCTACAACTCTTGCACCTTCCACATCTGTTTGCCCTGCGTTAGTCTAGCTCGAGACTATCGCGAAATACATACTCCTCTTGCACCTGCTACATCTGTTTGCCTTGCGTTACACTACCTCGAGATTATCGCGAGATTCACATCACTTTGGTGCCTACTATATCTGTTTTCTCACATCTGTTTGTTCTGTTACTCAGCGTCTTTTAACGCAAGTAGCTGCGTTTCTCTCGTGCTTATCATCCTATCTTTTCAAAATCCATTCCTCTGCATTCAATCATCCCATCATTCATCATGAGTTCCTTCAAAAAAACCCACAAAAAGAACATTTTTGACTACATGCTGAGCGATGAGCGCAATCAAGCTGAAGCAACAGCTGGACTCAATGATACTGTTGTTTACAAAGCGTCGGCTGAGTCGCCCTTGAATGGTTCTATCAAGTGGGACTGGCCCTTGTTCCCTCCTGCCGTCCACCATGCTGTGCGCCCTGCCGCCTTACGCCGGGACTGGTTTCCTGCCCGCCGGAACACCGATCACTTCGAGCTCAGATCCCCCGTGGCTCCCTTTGAAGATACTTCCTTTACCAATCCAAATGTCCTTCCAAGCCATTTCTGTGAGGATCTTCCGTATCCTTGCGATCCGGTCGTGACACAGGAATTTTACAACACTACCTTCGACCCCGAGCTCATGGCCCTACTGAATGATACCGCCGTCGATGTGACTGCCGCCATTGCTGCCCTGGATACATACCGTGCTTCCACGACCGCTGGTCATTCTGTCCTGGAGGAATCCACGCAATCTACTGCCACTGGTCCCCCCATCATCGATCTGCTCACCCCGCCTAAAGAAACAGCCCGTATCTCAACTGAAGTGCCCCGCACGATTCAATTCGCTCCGCCTATACTATCAGCTCAACATCACAGTTGGCCTTGCACGGTCACACCGGTTGATTCTGCCATCTCCATCGACCTGACTGTCAGTCCACCAAATCCGAATACCCAGACTTCCAACGGCACAAAGAGGGCAATTCCCATACCAAAAGAGAAACCGCATGCTTCATTTCCTAATGAGTGGACCTATGGCACACAAAAGAAGACTTTGGCCCAATGCACACCTCTACCAACGACTGCGAAGCGATATCCCACCCCAAATAGCCTCTCGCCTGGCGCGGCTTGCAAGATCGCATCCAACCCCCCAGTGTTGGATAATAACGCTGTATTCAAGACTCCCCAGCGAGCTCCTCCAAACGCTCCACTTAATACGATAACACCAGTGACCCTCGAGACACAAAAGCCGCCCAAAGAGCAGCAATACTCGAGACAGCAGAGCATCTATGGGGATCGACAACAGCAACTGAAGATAATGAACGAGACATTCCAAAACAACCTCCAGGAACAGATTGATTTCGAAAAGCAACAATCAAATTATCTCAATCAGCTATCCCAGGCGACCCAATCGCCTCAGTTGATCCAGTCACTCGATTCGTTTGACAGAGAATCTGGGCGTGCAGACTATCTACGTCAATTGCAACAGGCTCGCCAACAGCAAACTCCACTCATGCAGACATCCCAGGCGTCTAATCAATTGGCCAACGATGAGAACCATCAACTGCGTTTGCAAATGAGCCACCAGCAACAGCCTCAACAGCAAAAGCCTCACCAGCAACAGCCTTGTCAGCCGACTCAAAAATTTATGTTCGCTCCACAACAGATGGAACACGAACAGCGCCTATCCAATATGCCACTGGTCAATCCACAGCAGCAATACCTGATGTCATCTCTGCCACCTCAGGCATGTCAGGCGACTCAGGGGGCTCAGTGGCAGATGGAATACAATCTACATATGCAACAACAAGCCCTCCAGGGCTACCCTCCCCAGAAGCACCCACGACACCTCCAGCAGTTGCCCTTGACCCAGCCAAATATGACGCCCGGGATGCCTCAGTTGGCCTACCCACCCCAGCAGGTGCAAGGTACTCCAATTCAGGCTAACCATTGGGTCGGGCCAGCCTATGGTGCCCCGTATCCAAATCAACAACTGCAAGCTGTTCCTCACGGCCAGATCCACTATGCTGGTCAGACCCCTTATACCATCGCGCTTCCCGCGCAAGAATATCAATCTGCTTTTCCTCCTCCGCCATACCAATTTGCAGCCGGTCGTAATCAGCCAATCGATCGCATGCACTTAGTCCCATCTGAACCTTCCAACAAGCGAAATTTTGCACTCGTGGATAACATCGTGCCCGATTGCGTCGTGACTAACCCCAAAAGCGGTAGCCGATGGTTCATTCCAAACTCCAATGAAAAAGGAAGAATCTTCTTGCCCGGACCTAAGGGCAAAAAAGCCCGCAAAGCTCTCAAACTGTGAGGACGGTCTATCTTGCGGATCACGAGGAGAACGAGGAGGAGGGAATAATCGGTGCTATTTTCTTTTCTTATGAGCAGGACAGGATATGATATCATTTTTTTTCGAGATTCGAAGAATATGTTTTTGAAATTGGTTCAATATTGATGGAAAGGTTACGGGGCCTTCGATCACACTTGCTGTATCTACACAAGATTATTAGGGACTTTTTGTTGCCTGTTTGCTAAATACATGTCTACCCGTTCATCTCTTCCAACATAGGCTCTACGATAGAAGAATTCTCTATTCCAAAGTAGAATTTCGTTTCTTTCACTCCCTTTTTGGCCATTTCATCCTAACGTGTCGCTGCCCCAATGCCATCCCTGAAGCCCAGCGTATTTTCATACCATCATTCCTCTCACGGCTGAGAACTAATGTTAGCTTCCCTAGATAGTACAATGTGTTTTGATGCCATACCCGCTGCCCTTCTAGGATTGGTGGTGACTGAATCAATACAGGCTATTACGGGAGGACAATTGCCAAAGCAGTTCCACCGCATGAGCTATCAAGTCTAGGTATACTACAATGGGCGATCAAGATAACACCCAAGCCTCGCAAGACAAAAAGAAAGTGTATAACCCACACTCATTCATTCATTCATTCATTCATTGAAAGGGCCTAAGAACCAACAGGCCAAATTGTACCAAATTGAAAAAAACCTGAAAGACAAAAAAGACAGGATGTCCAATAGTATACCAACCAGTCCAAACACCAAGAACCATGACAGAAACTGCAACAGCGCATATCCAAGCTGCGCAAATAGAAATTATAATGCCCCGATTCAGTTCGCCTTGAAGATGAAGATGATAAAAACGGAAGTCGTGATTGAGGACGTGTACAGGTGTAATGATAATGCTAGCTCGTGAGATCGTTCACAATATCCTGGAGGATAGGTCGATTCCCGACAACATTGGTCCCGTTGAATAACTTAGCACCTGTCTTGGCAGGTTTTCGTAGACCCTTGCCCTGTTGCCGGGAACCGAGCGGGCTTAATGGTTCACGGGAAGAACGAGAAGCGGGGGACTTCTTTGTATTGTTTGGGGTTGTTCTCGCTTTCTTGCTCTTTGTGGAGTGAGGAGAGCCCGGAGACATGAGTTGGGAGTGTGGGATAGAGGATGGGAAGACGTGCTTGTCTAGAGCGGCGTTGGGTAGGTTGTAGACCCAGTCTTTACTTTCCACTAAACGTACATACTTGCAGAGAAGGTCGTTGCCGTCGCGGAGAGTGGATCTGCTGCCTACAACGAGAAGTTTGGTTTGGGCTCGGGTGAAAGCGACGTTGACACGGCGCCAGTCGCGGAGGAGCTCGCCGACATTATTGTCCGTGTTGCTACGGACGCAGCTTAGGATTATGACTTCTTTGTCTCGGCCTTGGAATTTGTCTGTTGTGTGCATTTCCAGGTCTGGGGTATGGTGGCGTAGACTCTGGCGGAGAAGTGAGAGTTGGCTGCGGTAGAAGGTTATGACACCGATGTTTCGAGCGGGAATACCGCAGGCGATGAATGATTCAACGAGTTGGGCGCAGAGGAAAACTTCCATGTGATTGACGACTCGGTTGCCCTGTGCTATCTCGAGGGCTGCCGGGCCGATGGGATCGGTGTTCACCAGGCGAGTCTTTGCAGATGGTGAGAGGAGGTCTCGTAGCCAACAGGGAGCATGTGGTTTATCCAGACATATTTCCTTTTGGGATGGAGAATGGCCGAGGTTTTTGAAATGGAATTGACTTATGGCGTCGATGTTGGGCAGGTCCAAGGACCGGGCAGCTACCTCGGGTGTGCCGCACTTCAAACGACCCGAGTAGATGAGGGTGTTGGAGAGTAACATAACTTCTTCACACATGCGGTACTGATGCTCAAGGTTGACGACTGCGTCTGGTTGTGCGTCTGACAGTAGCTTGAAAAGGCTGACATCTAGGCCTCCTTCTTGAGCTGCCTTGTTCTGCACTAAGGGCGGCAATTGGTAGTGATCACCGACAAGAATAAACGTTTTCGCCATTCGAATCGGGCCCAGACAGACCGGGAGCGTGATTTGTGAAGCCTCGTCGACAATGCAGTAGTCGAATATACGTTGGTTAAAGATGTTGTGGTTGACCCCTAGACATGTAGTGCCCACGACCTGCGGCTTCTCATACGAGTCCTTGAGCTCTTCTATGGTTGTTTTCGGGATAGCGGCAAGATCCGCAAAGTCTTGAACATCTGGATGAATCTTGGAAGTGGCACCGATACGCAGGACGCGGATATTGTCATCTTTGATCTTCAACAGAATATTGTCGACTGCAGTATGAGTGTAAGACGTGAGAAGAACACTCTTCCCTTGTGCAACAAGGGCTCGAATAATGTGCGCAATAGTAGTTGTTTTTCCAGTACCGGGCATTCCAAGGACAAGAGCATAATCTTTGGCACTCATAACTTTGTCGATAGCTTGTTTTTGATCAACGTTCAGGCTCTCAAGGCCTGTCATCGGGTAACCAGACGATGACGTCTTGAAATCAGGGGCTTCTCTCTCAATGATGAGTCGCCGCATTTGCTTGGCTTGGATTAAGTCTTTGTCCATCATGCAGATAAGGTTGTTTCGAACAATAGCCATGCCGTTGCTAAACTCATCTTTGTCAATTCGGTAAACGACTTGCTCATCTGGGTCTTCGAGAACAGCGGGCTCTATTGCACCAATCTCCATGATACCTTTGAACGATTGATTCGTAACAGCATCAAATCCAGCTGTCCGTGACCTCGCATTATGAAGTTTCCGGTCAACTGCAACCTTGATGTGCGAGGAACTGGCTTGCACCACATATCCATTCGCAAGGGCAAAGTGATCCTTTTCGTCAGAAACAACAATCGGCTCACCAATCGAGATTTGCGATTCCGTGAAAGAGAAGCCCGGAGATGGTTGTCTTTTGTGGAATGTGTAGTGGTAGCGATTGATCTTCGTACCAATGTTCTCTTCATAAGGAGACTTGGTGTCAAGGATGACATCCCCGAAACATCGACCAAGAGCTTCACGCTCGTGGCTCAATAATGTCCAAAGTTCCCGTCGGAACTTAACCAGGTTCCCTTCTTCCTTGGTAAGGAGTTCATCCCACTTTCTAAAGAAGTCACGATCACCATTGTTTAGATGGCTGACAGATGCATCAAAGTCCTCTGCAAGCCCGCTGGTCTCACCATCGCCATCTTCGGTGAGCTTGTGGTAAATGAGACAAGGAGTCTTCGCGTAACATCTGGTACATTGGCGTGCCTTCTTCAGCATTGGTGGAAGATTATCTCTTTCGCGGATATAGCCCGCCAGTCGATTTCGCACCTGGAGCATTTGAAGAAGCTCATGTCGAATACCACGGATGCTGAGTGTCCTTGACATCTCAAGATAGTAAAGAAGTCCAAAGGTAACATCAAGATCTGTAGGGGTCAGCAAATGGACAATGGCAGGGTGGTTCTCGTGTTTGCATATTTACCATAGCGATCAGAAAGGAGCAAGGTGTAAAGAGCTGTTTGAGCTCTGTGTGCCTGGTTCGTATCCCTCCGCCCAGTTTTGAGTTCCAGAGGAACAACAAGGTTCTTGTCAATTCCCTGCTCGCGACAAGCCACTTGCACCGTTGCATCGATGTTTCCTTTGAGACCGTACATTGGAGACCAGATGTGCTCCTCTACCTCAAGTAACTTGTTAATGCTGAGGTTGAGCTTGGAGCTATTTCGGTCTTCCACCATGGAAGTGGCCTTTAATTTCGGTTAGCAGCAGTTGTAGCAAAGTGAGATACATGCGAGACATACCTGTGGCTTCGGATGAATGAAGGTATCTGCCCACGCAAGAACGCCCGGCATTTTGCTCATGAGATATTCAACGGCTTCGGGTATACTCATCTGAATTGAGTACAAGTCTTCCACGTGTCTCCCCAGGACAGTTTCGACCAATGTTTTCATCGAATCCATATCCCATTGGTTCAATTTCAGAGCTTCTTGGAAGATCTCGTGAAAGAAGACACCGAATGCTTGCGGTCTCTCGAGCGCTGCGATGACCTTAACTCGATCCTGGAGAACAGCTCGTCGCTGACATTCGACCGAGTCTGCTACAACAGTTGCAGAGATGAGATGATCGGGGTGAAGAATGACCATATTTTCAGAGTTGTCCACAACGCATTGACCGGTAGCGTTGAAGTCTCCAACTAAATGTATGTATGAATCCTTGGTGCAGGGGGTCTCAAACCAGGTTTCTCGCAAGAAGATGGCTTTACGGTCTCGTGTTTTCTCATCTTCGACTAGCAATATCTGTTCTTAAAGTAAGCAGAGAGATCTAGTTTGCAAAAGGGCTAGACATCACACCTGCTCTGGTTGAGTACGCCCTTTGGGGTTGACATATGTGCCCTCGGCGATGTCAATGACTTGGTAACGTTTGATAGCTTGTCGATCTTTAAGATTCTAATATGTTCATGTCTTAGCATATATATAGAAAACAAAATCACTAAGAGCGACAAACATGAGCTGGTTTACCTTCCCCTGCCTGCTTCATAGTCTGCTCGATAGCTTCCAAATCAAAATCATCGTCAAACTCATCACCAGATGATTCCGCCTCGGTTTTCACGCCCGTCGTTGTAGGGGCTTCCCTAGACGCAAAACCCGCGGGAAGGTTCGTTGGATCTGACTTCTTGGGAAGTGATTCGTCTGTGGCCATCTTCGCTTGGACCGGTTGTGTATCACATTTTGCAAGCATTTCTTGCAGATTATCTGGCAGATCATCATAGTCGTCATCAAAATCGTCGAATTCATCGCGTTTTGGTTCATTATTCGTAGTGTTGTGAGAGGCGGGTGGAGGTTTGCTGTCGTACATTGGATTCTCCTTTGGCTGCCAGGAGCGAGACTTCTCAGTAGCGAGAGCGGCCCAGCTCGAGGATCCTAGAGAGCCAAACTCATTTGATGGTCGTAGTGCATCAACGAAGGGATCTGCTGACGCATCGGCCAAATCAATGAGATCCTGGTCAAGATCATCATCTCCAAAGTCTGAAGATGATTCTTTAAGTACAGGCATTTGGCCAGGTCTTGCTTTATCGACTGGTGCAACACATGGTGATTCATTAGTTTCCGTAAGATCTTCGAGGGCTTTGCGATCTTTTGTTGGAGATGACGAACGACACCTTCGTGCGTCCATGTGTTGCCGAAGAGGTGAGGAGCCAGGCGGATTTGTGTCGACGGGCGCCAGGTGAATAGATTTTTCGATCTTCTCCATAAGATAGTTGAGCCTAGAAGTTTTTGGCTTTCCAGACTCTAAAACGTTGCTGCTTGTTCGCTGGAATATGCCACACTTTGCACCACCACCACCATCTTGTCTATTGAAACGTCTCCTCTTGGCCCGAGACGTGGGGAACTCAGCAGCGCAACTAATAGAGCGTCTTAGTCCCGAGGAATCTCGACTTGTCCTGCCAGAGCCAGGAGTCTGGGGTGAGGAAGAAAGAAGGTTTGCGAGACGAGGCGGCGGAAGATCTTCAGCACCATCGACCATATTTTTATCCACATAGTTGTTCCACAGCTCAGCGGCCATATCATGTTGTGGTGTTTTGAATAAAGCTTGTATTGACTGCAAGTCAAGGGGCTCCTTTGGGTGTTTTTTCGAGTTCGCATTGGAGGGAGAGCCGTGTGGAGAGGAACTAAGTCGTCGCTTCCTTCGACGACCTGCTGGTGTTTGGGACGAATTATCTGGATTTGAGCTGGCAGGGACATGCTGCCAAATGACATGCTCAACTGGGGTCACTTCTGGGCCTGGGGCAGGATCGAAAGAATCCTCAGCATTGCTGATTAAATCCGCCAAAGGTATTCTATTTCCCGGAGTCTGAGGGCATTCCTTGATCGGTTTCGCTTCTTGAGCCTCGGAATTTGAATCTTCTGCTTTGGCCTGAGGATTGCCTTTGTCCGGTGACGTCTGCATCGGCTCGATCACCCCGTTTGACCACGATTTCTGGTTTTCCTTGTTCCCATGAACCGATTTCGTCTCGTCTTTGCGGGTGGTATCGTCAGGGTCTTCGTCTTTGTAGCGAAAGGCGTTTAATTTCGTCCGTGAATTCGAAGAAATTGGATATGTATTGTTTGTAGTCATTGCCTCGGTTGGGAATTATCCAATGACGCGATCAAAAATGGTAAGGATACATTCCGCTTGAAGCTTGAGTAGAACAATGTTAGAGACGAAGGTGCACCAAGCCTGGAGAAAAACATACAGATGCAGATAATATGTACGATGCCACTTGCTTGTACACGGAGACTGTGAATTGATGGAGCCTAGCACCCTGGCAGCATGGGGGGAAACGGGGTAAGATGCGATAAGCACGCGTCGCGCGTCAAGTGCTCACACCTTGTCAGTGAGGCATAAACTAATGCCTGTATTATCAGGCGTAAAGGCGGACAGGAAAATCGCCCAAAACGGGTTAGTGCCATGACTGAACAGCTTCCGGCCTTTTACGGCTTCAACATCAACGCCGAAACACCCCTCCACTCCCCTACAAGAGGCACAACATCAATTGAGATTGTCCGTGCCACTCGAATTACCAGGCGACTATTCTCGCCCGTGTCTATCTGACCAATTCATTCATACACCGGTGGTTCTGCGATCGCCCCTCGACTCTCTCACCCCCGTCTTCAACATGCCTGCTCGGCCAATCACCCACATGCTGCGCGCGCGCTGCCTTCTGCGCCAGCCCCAGGCTACTCAGGCTTTCTCAACCCGCTCCGTTGTCCGTGGCGGCGCCGACCACGGTGATCACTACGACCCTCCCACCGGCTATCTGTTCGGCCTGAAGCCCGGCCAGAAATACGAGAAGGAAGGCTGGGAGAACATCTGGTACTACGGATTCATTGGAAGCTTCTTGGTCGCTGGTGTCGCATATGTCTTCAAGCCCGATACTTCGTAAGTACACCTTCACCGCCATGTCGCGCGTCAGTGCAAGTGGATCTTTCTTTGGGTCGGAATACTGACAATTGCAATAGCATACAAACATGGGCTCTCGAGGAGGCTCGTCGGAGACTGGAGGCCGAGGGTATTCTGGAGGACCCTGATAAGGTCAAGAAATAAACGCTGAATCTGTACGCTGTACATATAGAGATCGGAAAGGGACACTTTCGGTTTATGCCTGTACTACCTGCGATGGCAGATATGATGTTCCGGTCTCGCTTTTAGACAGGTTTTTTTGCATGCTCATTTATTTTCGTTTGCTCCCTACTTGAGACTTTCTTCAAACTGCTTTTTCGATATGATGGTATAGGTGCTTTGATAACAAATCTGCTTATAATTCGCGCTCGGTAAATGACGAGAATGTCTATTAGCTCCACGGATGCTGCTGTATAGAGGTTTATTCCTGAAGGGTATTCCCCCGGTGACAATTGCCTGGTTGGTGATACGAAACTATCAGAATTCGGGGTAGAGGTCATTCCTTCGAAGTAAGGGCATTTCTCGCCGAATCTTCATCACGAAATCGAGATCAATGTCGGCTGTCGCAATTTGTGGCTCATCGTGCTCATCTCCCAGCTTCGCTATAACTTCACCCCAAGGGTTCACAATGATCGAATGGCCATAGCTTCGTCGTTTTTCGTTGTGCGGGCCTACCTGAGCAGCAGCTATCACGTATGACTGGGTCTCAATAGCTCTAGCTCGTAGTAGAGGCTCCCAATGGGCCTTTCCCGTCGGAACTGTAAATGCTGACGGATATGTGATAACCTCGGCATTCTGTCGCCTCAAAGCCAGACTGATCTCCGGAAATCGTAACTGCAAATTCCAAGCGCACATTGTTAGAATGTCGAGTGGCAGGAGTATGTATACAGGACAATACTAACATCGAAACAAATGCTTAAACCAACACGCCCGATAGGTGTATCGAAAGGCTTGGGGATCTGTTGCCCGGGCTGGACATTGCTTCAAGTTGTGAGTGAGCTATGTAACAAATACTTCACCAAGAAATGAAACATACGCGCTCTCTTTGAGGGTTGGGCCATCTTTGATATCAACATCAAAAAGGTGAATCTTCTGATAGTTCTGGGTAACGGCTCCCTTGTTATCAATCCAGATCAATGAATTCTTGAGTCTGGTCTCAGAGGCTATCTCGTGGATCCCAACATTGATGTGTAAGTTCTGTTTCTCGGCATCCTTCTGTAGGGCGGAAACAAAGTCGGTGCAATCTTGAGACCTGGCGAGGGCGTAAGACTGTTCTGGCGAAGATGCGATATAGTCCGAGGCCTCGGGAAGAAACAGCACCTAAAAGCTGAGTCAATTGGAAGCAACATAAAGGAACAATACATCACAGCTACCTTGGCACCTGCTGCTGCTGCCTTTTGAACCAGGACTTGGCATTGTGCCAGATTCGACGCTATATTGGCAGTCGAGCAAAGTTGCCCCACGGCCTATCTCAAGACCAACTTGGTCAGTAGGTTGGCCTCAATCTCCACTGATGACAGACATACTGCGAGAACCATTTTTACTGAATTGAATCAATCCGCTTGATGTCTATTTTAAGAAAGAAGTAGTTTGTTGTAACAAGCAAAAGGTGTTGAAGTCGATCAAGTCACGCCTTATCGTATGGGTGCCACGTGATCGGAGTAATGGGAAGATTCTCCTACAGAAGTTCAATGAAGCACTTTGTCTGATAAATTGACCGAAATATTTTGCTGGTAAGCATTCCAACTCGGGGTTCTTATAATCGAAACTACTTACACCTTTCCAAGTATTGTTCTCGAGGAATGTCAAGGCACCTGGGATGATATGCGCTGACTCAGCTATCGCGATCCACCGATAACCTTTCTTCCGCAAAGACTCTCACCTCAATATTTCACAGGTTTTGACTGAGCCACTGTCTGGAAAGACAGACATTTTTCACCATGAAAAGCTTACGGAGAGATACCTCTACCAACCCGCAGGCCGCAAACGTTACCAGCAAGGTCTTCGTGCGGTCTACAAGAAGTGGGAAAGTGCAAAAGATTGTTCGCGAGCTTTACCTGAGAGAAGACATTCCTTGCTCTTCGAAGCTCTGCTTGCAATGCCCCAAGATTGCACCCGCTGATGCTAATGGAAACAGTAAGGCTCATTGTGTTTTCTTGTGGTAAATCGATTGACTAATGCGAAACAGTTGCGCCGTTCATCCTCTCCGATCGCCCCGCCGGCACGAAGGCATTTCCCAAAGGCCACTATCTTCTTCCCGATACGAATGCGCTTCTTAATGGAATGGATCTTTTTGAGCATACTGGCGCTTTCTACGATGTGATCATTCTTCAGACCGTCCTCGAAGAGTTGAAGAACCGATCACTACCACTCTACAACCGTCTTCTAGCTTTGATCAAGTCAGACGAGAAGCGTTATTACCTCTTTTTCAATGAGTTCCGCCGTGAGACTCATGTCCGAAGAGGTCAAGAGGAAACTATCAATGACAGGAACGATCGCGCTGTGCGCACGGTAGCCAGCTGGTATGGATCCCACCTGCAACAGTCGGCGAAGAAGGCAAAGAAGGAAAAGACGATGCCAACCATCGTGGTCATTACAGATGACAAGGAAAATCTCCGAAAATCGAAGGAAGAGAATATTACAGCCCTGTCGCTATCCGACTACGTCACTGGTTTGGATGGTTCAGAGCTGTTGTTGGATATGATCAGTGACTCAAAGGATGCGCGGGATTCAAAGGAAGCAGCTCGTGGAGACCTTTTCTATCCCGAGTACTTTTCCATGTCCAAACTCACCACTGGACTGCGCGCAGGAACACTGCATCAAGGTATTTACAACGTTTCGCCCTACAACTACCTGGAAGGCTCTGTCAAGACTTCTGCTTTCGACAAGCCACTTCTTATTCTGGGCCGCGATAACAGCAACCGTGCCATCTCTGGTGACTCTGTTGTGGTTGAAATTTTGCCAAAAGACCAGTGGAAGATGCCCTCGACCAAGATCATGGATGAGGAAGCTGTGACCCGGAACGATAATCCTGACAGCGAAGAGAACGAGGCTGTGGTTACGGAGAAGGAGCGCAAATCTCTCCAAGAAGAGGTGAAGAAGGCTCACGGCAAGAACACAGAAGGCAAGCCTCAACCCACTGCCAAAGTTGTTGGTGTCGTCAAGCGCAGCTGGCGCCAATACGTTGGTCACGTTGACTCCGGTTCCACCAGCTCCCAAGTTGCATCAGGTCGACGACAGCAAAATGTCTTCTTGCTGCCAATGGACAAGCGGATTCCGAAGATCAGAGTACGAACCAGACAAGCTGCTGATCTGCTCGGTCAGCGTATTCTCGTCACTATCGATGCTTGGGATCGGGACTCTCGCTACCCCACTGGCCACTTTATTCGATCTCTTGGTGAGCTTGAAACTAAGGGTGCTGAAACTGAGGCTCTGCTGCTTGAATACGACGTGCAGTATAAGCCATTCCCCAAGTCTGTTCTTGACTGTCTCCCATCTGAAGGACACGATTGGAAGGTTCCTGTGTCCAAGGAGGACAAGGGTTGGAATGGGCGAAAAGATCTTCGTGACTTGCTGATTTGCAGTATTGATCCTCCTGGCTGTCAGGATATCGACGACGCACTCCATGCGCGTCAACTGCCAAACGGCAACTTTGAAGTTGGTGTCCATATTGCAGATGTATCGCATTTCGTCAAGCCCAATAACGCAATGGATCTTGAGGCCAGTGTTCGCGGAACTACCGTTTACCTCGTGGACAAGCGTATTGATATGCTGCCGCATCTTCTTGGTACAGATCTATGTTCCCTTAAACCCTACGTTGAACGATATGCCTTCTCAGTTTTGTGGGAGATGACCCCCGATGCCGAAATCGTATCTTCGAACTTTACGAAGTCTGTTATTCGCTCCCGGGAAGCGTTCAGTTACGAACAGGCCCAGCTGCGCATCGACGACAAGTCACAAAACGACGAGCTTACCGACAGCATGCGCAATCTATTAAAATTCTCCAAGGTTCTGCGTCAGAAGCGTATGGATGCTGGTGCTCTGAATCTCGCCTCTCCTGAAGTTCGCATCGAGACCGAGGGTGACGAAGTGGGTGATCCTTTGACAGATGTCAAGACCAAGGCTATGCTCGAGACCAACAGCTTGGTCGAAGAGTTCATGCTTCTCGCCAACATCACTGTTGGTACTAAGGTCTACGAAGCCTTCTCCCAAACTGCTTTGCTACGTCGGCACGCCACACCCCCGCCGCAGAACTTCGAGGACCTCACCAACCAATTGTCCAAGAAGCGCAACATGGAACTCGATGTCTCCAGCTCAAGAGCTTTGGCTGACTCCTTGGACCGCTGTGTCGACCCTAAGAACCCCTTCTTTAATACCCTTGTCCGTATCTTGGCAACTCGTTGCATGACCTCTGCCGAGTACTTCTGTGCAGGTGCCCACGCCGAATCTGAGTTCCGCCATTACGGTCTTGCGTCGCCTATTTACACCCATTTCACTTCTCCCATTCGTCGTTACGCCGATCTGCTCGTCCACCGACAACTGGCTTCTGCCATTGGGTACGAGGGCGAGGACGGCCACGCTGTCATCGAAGGTGTCAGTACACGCAGCAAGCTGGAAGATATCTGCCGCAACATCAACGTTCGTCACCGCAATGCCCAGTTTGCCGGTCGTGCTAGCATCGAATACTACGTCGGTCAAGCTCTCAAGGCTCGTGGCGAAAAGGTCGCTGCTGCTGGTAAAGACTCCGGTATCGAGGAAGACGGCTACGTTATGCGTGTCTTCGAGAACGGAGTCGTCATCTTCGTTCCTCGCTTCGGTATTGAAGGTGTCGTTCGCCTGGAGGATTTCGTTCTGCCCGGCGAATCTGGATCTCGTTCCGTGGCCGAGAGACGAGAGCTTGCACCCCACCGCACCACCGACTTCGACAGTGAGGAATACACTCTTCACGTGGGCGAGAAGGGCCACCCAGAGAAGGAACGAGGTGTCACCGTTGAGCTTTTCCAGCGCGTTCGTGTCAATGTCAGCTCCGTCAAGGAAGAAGGTCGTGGTGCTGGAAAGAGAAGAGTGCGGATCATGGTTATTGAGGCATAAGCCAAAACTACAAATCAATCATGTAGATTAAATCTTTCACCAAAATTATGTTTGACTCAAATGAATGACGGATAATTGTTAACTTTTGTACATTTTCTTTCCCCGTCATTTATGTTCATGGTAACGTTCCACTTGATATATTCCATGTTCCTTTCTCACTTTGTTTGCAGCCTTGAATGGTTTCAGACACGCTTCAAAGCAACCATCCCCCTGACCAAGTTGGCCGGAGTCCATAGGTTGGTATTTTCTACTCCTGTTGCCGAGGCTGAGGAGACAGTTGCAGGGCCGTCTTGCTTCTCACTCCCGCGATCCTCAGTTAACGGAGTCTCGCGTGTCTGGGCATCGCGTTTTGCTGCATGCTCTAACTCGCCAACCTTCCAACCACGGACAACCCATAAGCACAAAAAGGCACCAATATACATGAATCCAGTGAAGATCTGAACCCTCAGATAGGAAGAGCCACCTCCAGCAACGTGGCTGCGAAGCTCGAGGGCAATGGCCTCGGAGACGGTACATGGAGGCACAAGCGTGAGCCAAGTGATACTCAAGCCAGATGGGAGATCTCTGATGCCGATGATCTCGGCAAGAACAGGGGAGACGGTGGCCCAATATGTGCCTGAAACGGTGCCAACAATTACAGCGAAAAAACAAACGACGCCCATGCTATCAGCAAAGATCCAGATGACGAGACAGAATAAACCACAGACGAAGGTCAGGAAAGTGGCAATGTTGATCCGACCAAGTCGATCACTGAACATGCCAACAAACGGACGACCAATACCCTGCCCAAGATTGAGCAGAGCAGAGACAATACTTCCCTGATGCGAGGACAGACCAACAGAGAGAGCAAAGTTGGCAACACTGAATATCAGAGCCACATATCCCAGCATACTGAAAACACCCCATCCCAAAAAGAGCAAGAACTCAGGACGACGCAGAAGAGGCAAATGGAAAGCCGTGAATCGACTGCCAACAGCCTTGTTGCGATCTCGTAGAAGATTACAGCAAACTAGGTTCACCACACAAGAAATGATGCCGAGGATGCGGAAAGCCCAGGCCAGTCCGTAACGTGGAATGATAGCACCAACTGAAAGCGAGTATATCAAGCCACCAAGTCCAGACCCGCCTGCCGTGATACCCATAGCTACGCTACGGCGCTTCGCAAACCATTGCGGGGCGATACCGACGCTGCCCACGAAGAGAAATCCCATGCCCCAGCCGAAACACACACCCTGGCTGAGGAAGATGTGCCATTTCTGGGTTGCAAATGAGGATCCGATTAGGGAGAGCGTTTCGAAGAAAACGCCTAAATTTAGCACGAACCGTGTGCCCCATATATGAATGAGACGGGTAGCCAGTGGTGCCACTAGAAGGGCACAAGAGATGCTCAACCCGCCGGTGAAGGCATATGATAAAGCTGATGTATTTGGGAATACGTCGTGTGAGAGGTAATAACTGAGGAAGACACCATAACTCTGGATCTGAGAGTTAGTGGCTGGATATCTCCAAGATAGTTTGATTGACTCACGCTATTGATACCCCAGGTATGCGCGTTGATCCAGAAGACGCAAGCGACACAGACCCAGCCATAGCCACCGTCCGGTGGCACATCGCGTTTGTATTTCTCATCTTCATCAATCTCCGCTGGCTGTTCCAACTGCGGGTTCAGCCTCTGCTCTTGTTTTGCGCTCTCTCGATCCAGATCGTCTTGGTGTGATCGGATGATATCAATTGGCGCATTGTCTGCCATGCTGGCTAGTACCAAATTGTGGCCTATAGGTCTTCTCTATATGGCCGAGGCTTTCTGTACAACGACCCGTAACCAAATGTCTGCTTTTGTCAAGACATAGGGGTTGTTGAGAAAAGGGAGATGGATTTAAGATTAAACAACGAAGAAAAAAAAATGAATCATTGATAAGAGCTTAGCGGCATCGGACTATGTGCCGGATTTGAGGGCTTTAGCCTCTTCGGATCAAGGAAAGATGTCCGGGGGGACCTCGTGGTTTGTCGCCTGCAGACATCGGCGATATTGAACCAATCAACACAAGCTATACCGTTGAGATATGACAGCGGTGACTACTTTGCTTCCGAAGTGCAGGTTGCAGGGATCCTTTTGAAGTCCCAGCGTAAAGTTCGCTGTGGGGTAGACTTGTGCCGAGAAGCCGATGCGGAGAGCCGAGAGGGTCTCAGGATCGGAGCCATGGGTGTCGAGTGGGGGATTGGTTCATGACAGTCTGCATTTCTGCTTATTAGATCTCATGGCGGAGATATCTCGCCTCTACATGTATATCGTCGCGATCTATAATACGGTCGTACAAGGGCTTGCCTTCACCACGTGGTCAAGCCCTAAACCCTAAGCCCAAGTGGCTGAGTCATCTCGTTGCCTCGCGACGGTGTTTGTTTGGGGAGTGGGGGAGAGACGAACAACTCATATGACGCCAACTCAGACCGTCTATCATAGATCGACTAGGCTGTTCTCATCTTAGTTCCATTTTGCCCTCTATCCTGTAGCTTATTTTGTATTTCGATATCCTTCACATCCTTGCAATTACTTAGACCATGCACAAACATACTACCCAACGGAAGGTCTCCCCTCCCGGTCCATCCTTCATGTCCAATGATCAAGTTGGTAAGTGGTTATGTGTTCGCGTCACTAGTCAGAGCTGATACGCGTCTCAATAGCAACATACTTGAAAGACCTGCGGGCAAACCGTCCAGCGCGTCCAACTGGGTCGCGTCCATACCCAGGCAGATCCGCGGCATCGACAACAGATATACCAGACAACCTCCCCGCAAGAGCGAACTCGGCCCTCTCAATGAGATCACCAGCGGAAGATGAAATGAGGGACCAACCGCGTTCCGAAAGTGCAATGTCCCATCGCCGAGCAGTGTCCCAAGTGGCCAGCAGCGGTGCAATAGGCCGTCCGTTGGCCCAGGAACCCCGCACGCATTCGATTCGAAAGAACGTGTTTCCGGCAGAGATTCACACCCACAAAGTCTCAGCATCTCCGGCACTTTCATATCAAGAAAATGGCCAACGGCGGCACGAGAAGGAAGAAGCGCGGTCCCTACGCGATGCTTTGCAGGAAATGGATATACATGACGAGGTTCATATTCACCAAGCCGCCCAGGACGAGGCCACAGAACTAGTATGGATGCACCAGAACCCTGGTGTGGCCTTCAAGAACCCATACGCACCATACCAGAACCCGGATGTCGACAGAGGTAGTCAGAGTCCCGTCCGGAGTGATTCACGCGGCAACGACTCAATCCATAGATTCAGCCAGTCGACAGGCTCGAGTGGTTCTTCGGATGGGCAACGGAGTCCCGAGTCTCTTCAAAAGCGATCATCACTGGCCGGGCCCACAAAAAAGAACCTCAAGGTCAACTTTAAACTGCCTGACGAGGAGCCCCCAGTCCTCGAGGCTGGCCCGAAAGGACGGACTGCCAGCGGTGATTCTTCCAAGGGAATATTTAGAAATCCCAACGACCAAATATATGAAGAGCCTCCCAGTCCTCAAAAGCAGGAAGAGAAGCACGAATTTTCTCAGTCTGACTCGTCAGCCTTGAGAAACAAGCCTCGCAATGCCCTCGGACGCAACCCCAAACCTCTTCCTTGGTTGCAGAACAGAGCCAACAGCAGCACCTCTATGGTGGATAAGATTTCGCGCTTTGAAATCCACAGGAACCCTCCCAGCCAGTCACGCAATGCTGGCTATACACGAAATGAAGCCACCCCGCCCCCCGAAGAGACGGAACCTCTTCCAATGAAAGAAGGAAAAGAGATTCGGGGTGATGATATCCGTGCGGCCACAAGCAAGAGACGAGGAGACCGAAGTGAGAAGTTGCCCATGCCTTCAGCTGTCAGTGATCGAGTTGGACGTCCGATCGTCAGCTTTGACCAAACCTGGAAGCCAGCCGACCAGCCAAAGCCGCAACGTATACCAGTGATTGAAGTACCAGCACCAAAAATTGAGGTCTCAGGACCTTCGATTGAAGTTTCGGAGGCGCCTCCTATCCCCGTCATCAACGTCCCGGATATCAGAGTGCCCACCATCTCTGAAATAGAAGCACCCAACAAACAACAGAGCATGTCCTCACGACCAATGCCCCAGCCGCCTAGAACCAGCCCTACCAAGCAGGGGTTCCCCAGACAAACAGGAAACGAAATGCAAAACCGTTGGCATTCGCCATACACCCGATCAGGAGTCCCGACTGCAAGCTGCGAACTATGCTCTCATCCGATTTCAGGCAAGATCGTAACTGCTGGCGGATGTCGATTCCATCCCGAATGCTTTACTTGCTTCCACTGCCAAGCTGCCCTCGAATGTGTGGCCTTTTACCAAGAACCTGAAGCCAGCAGAGATGAAAGACTGGCCACGGAAGTCAATGACCATGAGGCCCGTGTGCCACGTTTCTACTGCCACCTTGATTTCCATGAGATGTTCAGCCCGCGCTGCAAGAGCTGCAAAACTCCCATTGAAGGAGAGGTTGTTGTGGCATGCGGTGCTGAATGGCATGTAGGACACTTCTTCTGCGCTGAGTGCGGCGATGTATGTTTTCCACCCCCGTTCTTCCCTGTCTATGGAGTATATGTAACTAATAAATTCCGTCACAGCCTTTCAGCTCGACCACCCCCTTCGTGGAGAAGGACGGCTTTGCTTGGTGTCTCCAGTGCCACTCACGTCGCACCGCACCCCGCTGCCTGGGCTGCAAGCAGCACGTCATGGACGAAGTTGTTATCACCGCAATTGGCGGACAGTGGCATGAGCGCTGCTTCAACTGCCACGAGTGTGGTGACGGGTTTGGACCCGAGGGCCGCTTCTTTGTCCGCGAAGGCGAGCCAAAGCGCACTGCGAAGGGCCGAATCATCGGTGGCCCCGTGCAGCTTGCTATCTGTGAGGGTTGTGAAGCTATTCGTTTGAAGGCGCCTAGAATGCGTTAAGATTTCCGTGCCATCTATCGACCGCTGGCTATGACTTCGATGTTTTCACGAGACGATTGTTTATGATAGGTCCACGCTTGATTTCGGTGTTTTGTTATTGCATCACTTCATTTCTCGGCGTGTATTCTTCTTCTACTTTCATTTTCATTTTTTCTTTGGGGAGTTTTGCTTCTCATTCTTAGCATGTGAGCGAAAGGCTGTTAGCACAATGTCGGAGTATGATTGATATTGATATATTTGCAATTCCTTTTACAAAGTTGTTTTCCATTCAATAGATAAACGCCCCAAACACCTTCTCTTTTCTAATCATCACTGATCATTGGGAGATCAGTGACTCTGAATACAAGCAGCGTCTTCCATGGCAACGCACTTCCAACTTCAAGAAGAAGGCCACTCAGGATCAGCCAACCGTCTGAAAACAGCAACAAACTTCTTGCCATTATTCCTCGTAACCTTCTTCGACTCCTCGGTCTCAAACTGCATCACCCGGACACAAGGATCAGCCGCAAGATCCTCATCCGAGACCCGCTCCCAGATATCCTTAATGCCAGGTGCATGAACCGCCTCACCCTCGGTCTTCTCGGCATCCTCAGCCTGGTGCTGGAAGTGCTTCAAAACCCAGTGGTGGTACTCCTCCACATCAGTAATGGTATACAGCAAACCGCCAGGGCGGAGCGCATACGCATACTCGGCATTGAGGGACTCGGAGATAATGCGCGCTTTGTGCTTGCGCGCTTTGAAGTGCGGGTCAGGGAAGCAAATGAAGATCTTGGAGAGTTGGTGGCGGGCGAAGAAGTTTGGCAGGAATTTCATGGTGTTCGCGCGGATTGCGGTAATGTTTTCGAAGTTTCCTGGGAAGATCTTGGTTGTGCCGATGTCGTCGTCTGTGGCGGGGACTGGGGCTTTGTCGTCGCCGGTTTCGGTTTCTATGCTCGTTTCTGTGGATGCTGGGGCTTCTGTTGTGCTTGGATTGGCGGCTTTGTTCTTTAGGTTTTGTTGTTGGGTGCGGAGGGCGTGGATGCGAGATGTAAGGTACTCGAGGACCTGGGTGCGGATTTCCATGCCTGTGGGCTTGTTAGCTTTGGTCTATTATCCGAGGGCCTTGCTAAGCTTCGTTATGACGGAAGATGTGTAGCTGGAGGAGGGAATTTGTTTCATTTCCATGTCGCACTCACCGACCATGAGGGTATCCGGCAGCAAAGGCGCCAGTCCAACAAGCAATCCACCGAAACCACAGCCAATATCCACGACCTCGACATTCTTAGTCAATTGGCGAGCACCGGCAAGATTCGTCTTGGAGGTGTCTGGGTCCACATAGGCTGGGTAATGAGACGACCAATCCATATGCGCGGGGCTGATAGGGCTATTGAGGTGAAATGGGTTAGCTCTGGCTCACGTCATGATCGCATGCCGAGGGATTTCGTCGCAAAGGAAGCTCCCGGCTTGCAAGCCATCTTTGAACTGCAAATTGACCTGCGAAAGAGAAGACATACTAGTCTAAGTTGTGGTCCGAGAAGGGATTCGCATGCGCGCGCTGGCGGAAGAATTTCTTTTGCGGCATCTTGACGACGGAGCCATCTTCGGTTTCTTGCTGGGCTTGAATCCCACGACGGTACTCCTCGCGCTTTTGGCGCTTGGTTGGGACTTGTTCGGCCATTGTTCGTGTCGAGTTGAAAGAGTCGAAGAAGTGAAGTTGAAGAAGCAAAATTGAAGAAAATCATTCCCCGCTCCGATTGGCTCCACCTCTCCAACCTCTCGACTTGCGACTGCTTTCTGCTCTTCTTCCTCTTCTTTCTCTTATTGAGTCTTTGTTCTTTGCGCTTCGTGCTTCGTTCTCGACTTGCATTTGCTCTGTACACTTCTGCTTTACCACTATGACCCTCCCCTTCACCTTCCCCCGCGAACACAACTGGCCCCCCTTCTTCACCCCGCAACCAAACACAACCACCCGACAAGACCAGCTGAGAAAATGGTCTGATCTAATCCAATCCTGGTGTCGACACCACCGCCAATATCGTCTCTCGCTCATAGAAGCGGTGGAATCCCCGCTCTTCTCGAATGCAACTCTGCGCAAGCGTCTCGATATTCGGGAAGCCCGCGCTGTCGTGGACTGGATGACCAAGAGCGAGGAAGAAGGCGGCGGTGGTAGACGCGCGGAGTGGATTCCTGATGCAGGCGGCGGTTTGTCTTCGGGCGTGATGGGGAGTGCGCAGGGCCAGGGCCCCCGGGCTGTGGCTTGGGTGTGGTGGAAGAGGCCTGAGGAGTGGGCTGATTTGTTGGTTGAGTGGGTTGAGGGGACAGGGCAGCGAGGGTCTGTTCTGACCGTTTATGAGTTGATTCATGGCGAGGGAACTGTGTCGCAGGGTATGTTTTTGTTATAGTCTGGGGTAGTTGCATTGCTTGTGCTAATCTGGGGTTGCAGAGTTCCACGGCATGGATACAGATGTCATGCTGCGCTCGCTGAATGTCCTGGTTAAGCGGGGCAAGGCGCAGATCTTTGGTGGTGAAGGCCAGGAGGGTGTTAAGTTCTTTTGAAGAGCTCAAAATGAGTAGGCTGGGATTTCTCTATGAGATAACTCGTGGCTATTCGTGACAAAAACAACGCCCATTGCAAGGGCTGGCTGAAAAGGCTTATCAAACTGCGCCGCACTCCAAACTTATACACAGAACCAATACTCTAGGCCGGGATTGATACCCAGACGTTGACCTACTCATCCGTGTTATCAATCATGTCCTCGGTCAACTCGTATTCATCGACGGGCCGTGTCTCCTGTGACATGGCCATGTCAAGCAGCCAGTCAACTCGGACGATCCGGGGGGTCTTTTTTATATCGCCTGCCACTTGACGGAACCGCGGCCAGACTCGGCTGTGTTTCGCCCCGGCACTGCTAAGAAGAAAGACCTCGTGACGAGCGGGCGTGTCATCTGGTTCACTTTCATCGTCGCTTTCCTCACGCCGGGAATGGTCCGCTAGGGCAAGACGGCCACGGAAGAGCATGCATTCACCTCCATTTGCTTCAACAATTGATTTGAATGCCTCGAAGCCACCGCGAATATCATCCACGCAGTACATGCGATAACCGTGCAACATCTTGTTCTTGTTCCTCTTGGCGTTCGCTGTGACAGAAGAAAGAGAGAACTTATACTTCTTTTCAGCCTCTTTGTCTACCAGAGGGTAATCAGAGGCATCAAGTAACTCGTCCTTCTGGAGGCAACTTGTAATAAAGTCTGTGCTCACAATTATTGGTGCATATGCGAGTGCGTTGACAAATTTAGTGGTCCGCAAAATGGACGGCGCTGCCAGATGAGTGCATCGTCGGGCGTCTTGTACGACCATAATACCGAGTTCTCGAAGGGTTCGCTGTCGATGTGTTAGTTTCGATGCCTATCTGTAAATCCAACAGCAAACAAACCTTATCTGCATCCTCTTTCTTCTCATTGCCTTTGCCAATCCACTTCTGGTAGCCAGTAATCAACAGGTGCATGGAGATTGGTGGTCGAGACTTCTTCTGTCGTTTAGGCTCCACTGCGTGGTCGCCATCACTCTCATCCTCAGGTTCAACCGACGCTCGCTTCCTGGTTTCCTTCTCCTTCTCTTTCTCCTGGCCCCGGTTCTCATTCGACTTGCGCCTTCCACCGTAGATCACACCACCCACGCGCTTCATCTCTTTCTCGTACAGTGCGATATCTGGAGCAATCTCGTGAAGTCGGGCAGTTGCGGCATCCTTGGATTTGCGACTGCTAGTCGAAGATGGGGTCTCATTCTCCTTGCCTTCGGACATGATGCGAGACCGTGCAGGAGTCTGTATGGGCCGTCGTGACTTGCCAGCGGTCTGCGGGGTGCCATGAGAAGCATCGGATGCATCATCGACAATCTTACGTTTTTTCTCAGGCGGGGCTTGCACAGAAACCATATTCTGGTCCTTGCTATGCATTGCACGCCGTGGACTTGGGGCAGTGTCCTCCGAGGAGAAAAAGACTCGCTCAAGAACATTACGGTCAAGTCGTGTCTGGCCCGCAACTTCTCCAAGATTGGTTCGCAAAGGGAAGTGGCTGTAGCGTGAGTCCGAGGCGGGTTGTAGCTTCCATTTGGCATAGCTGTCTTCCAACCACAAATGATTGACCACTTCCAGACCCCATTCCTTGGCTGCATTGCACTTCTCACTCGTTCCATGAGCAGTGATCAGATGAGTGTTCTCCTGCTTCAACGTTTTTGTACATTCCGCGCCTGCGGCTGCAATCAAATTTTCCAGGTAGATTCTTGCTTCACCAACATAATTGGACAAGCTGATCTTCAGTCCTTGAAATCCAGGAATACCCGTACGAGAGACAGGGTAGTGCAATAGTCGCCTGAGAGGTGATGTATATGTGTTAAATGTCATGAGCCGGTAAAGCCAGGCAAGGTTTCCAACGTCTAGGTTGAGCCGCGATGCCGTGCGGTACGCAAAGCCTTCTCGGTAGCGACAAATCAACATGTCTGCCGTATCAATATTTGATGTAACGTGAGCACCGCCCTGATTCAGAACAGCTTCAATCGACTCTTGTAGATGCGAACCAATTCCAAGATCCGGAGATAGCATGATGGTTTTCCCCTCAAAAACGCTCTGCTGACCGTCTGTATGCGCCGAAGCGGATGGCGTTGGCAGCTTTGTTGGATTAGTCGTCGATGCGCCAACCAAATCTTTATTGTCTTGCGGTGGAATCGGGGTCTCAACACCTACGTGCAGTATCTCCGGGTCTGGAAGGGTATAGGGACGTTCATCGATGCGCCGACCAAGTTTCAGGCAGTCATCGAACCTATTTGAGATTCGAATTAGCAGACTTCCTCGCCGTTGCAGCCGCTATAAACTCACCAATGCGGTAGAACAATCTTCAGATTCAATTTCTTGGCCTGGGCTATGCGCGCCTTGTCCGATTCTGCCGTAAGATCCACCAAGTGAGTAACCATCTGCGACATTCGCGGACTGTATAGTCCACCCTTTGCAACTACGCCGCCGATAATCGCATCCTTATCTCCTTCCGGTATGTCACCGCAGGTGACCACCACATCGTTCATAAAGAGACGAGGATCGGGGCTGTATTGGCGAGGGTTCGCTAACTTCTTCTTCGCCAGTGAGTTACTCACCCACTGTGGCTTCACCACGGGGATCAGCGCATCGCAGGTAGTATCGTAGGCCTCAAAATCAATGGTATTGGAGATCAAATGGCTGAATCTAGCCACATCAGGGACCTCGGCCCCGGGTTGGACAATCAAAGGCTCGCCGCCATGTTCTTCGAGGGTTGTCGCAAGCTAGCGATCCGACATGTTAGTTGCGTGCCACATGTGCGAGTGATAGGCCCGCACTTACCTGCTCCGCGGACTCTCGGGAGAGATCTTTGGAGCATACAATGCAAAGACGGCACTGGTCGAACAGCCGAGGCCCTTGGTCTTCAGATGCCATGGCCAGAGGGGCGTTGTTGTGGAGTAAATAATCGGATATAGACAGGCCGTTGTGTTCAAAATATCGAGGCAATCGCTGAATTGGGGACGCGCCGCACACGCGTGGGAAAACGCCCGGTCACGTGAGCCCACGCGGGGTGTCAGTTGGAAGAGAGGATGAAGATATCAGAATCGGTTTATTGAGAGAGGCTCTTTGTGTCTTGAGATCATCGAGGGTGACAAGAAAAATTATTGTTGCCTTGCCCGTATATAGCTGAATATCTTATACTGATGGAGCTAATCCTGATGAATAACATTGTATACTGTAAATTCATGGCGAGTGCTATCTAAAATATTCAAATTCAATTCCTGAGGTTTGATAATCTTGCTAGACATTTTGGAATATCGGTCCTCTAAGTAGACAAATTGCGGCGTAAAACACGCCCAGTCGATCCATGCCTAACTACCCAGCAACACAACCCACCTAAGTGTGTCCTTAAGAGTCCTGGCTTGGTAGCATCTCCATCTATCTACCAGAGACACATTCGGCCAAGAGTAGAACTATACGCCGTATAATGAAATCATTTGGTTGACTTGCTGTGAAAGTAATATGAAATTAGAGTCTTATGGCATCTGCTACATTCTAGGGCTATCCTCTGATAGGGCGACGGCGTGATATAGTGGACAAAGAAATAAAACAATCAAACTCCCATTAGTGAAATGGTATCATACACTCTGTACAGTCATACTCTTGGCTCGAGGCTTTCTCTTGGAACGTGTTCATCTACGATATTGTCGCTAAACAAAATGCCTCTAGAGCTACAATTGCACCGGCCTAGGGTTCCGCATATATGCATTCTGTATTTATGTACGCATAATAATACTATGTGCCAAGCAAACTGGCTATGTGAACTATGAATTAAGACAGACATTCTCAGCCCCCCAAAAAGCAAAAACAGGTCCAGGGATATCAACACTATAGAACCAACTCTTTCAGATAGCCGCCAAGCCTGACTCATGTGAAAAAAGAACAGGAAAGCAAATGAATAAAAAGGGGCAGGGGGAGATGGAATTTGAAGTTAAGCTGCCATGGTAAGGACATAACTGCAAAGAAAAAAGTTAGCAACTGCACCAACTGCAATAAAAGTGACGAGTAAGGAACACTCACGAGGTAATAGAATCCATCCGCTCAGTAGTCAACTTCAAACTGACAGTCAACAACTCTCTCGCAATACGAGGCTCCTTCTCCTGCAAAAGCTTCCACTGAGCACCAGTCAAACACCAAGCAACACAATCACGCTCAGCCTTAACAGTCGCCGTGCGACGGGTATCACTAAAGAAAGGCAACTCGCCACACGGTCGACCAGCGACAATGAGCTCAAAGTATCTGCCTTGAGGCAGATCATATCCTGCGCGTAACATGCCAGATTCGAGCAGGTAAAAGGCGCGCGGGGCGTCGCCTTCGTGGTAGAGGACTTCGCCTGCTGGGTAGGACTCGCGAGTGAAGTAAGAGCAGGCTGGGAACCAAAAGTCCTCATTTTGGTTAGAGAGACCTTGGAAGGTTTGGAGGAGGAGGGAAAGAGGTTGGCGCATTGCTGACCAGGCTGGGGAGACCATCATTGCTGTTTCATGTTCACGGATTGTGCTTGTTGCTACACGTTGTAGATATTGGCCTCGCGGGGAGCTGACGATTGTGTCGGATAGGGTTTGGGGTTGGGGGACTGGGACGGGGACTTGGAGGAGGGTTGAGGGTGTGGAGGGCGCAGTTGGGGTTAGGAGGGCTTCTTGGCGGCTATAAAAGACTTTGAGGTAGTCGTTCTCGCAGAATTCGAGGGCTGAGTTTAGGTCTTCGAAGATTGGTACGCCGGAGTCGGATTCGAAAAGTCCGACGTTTTGAAGACTCTTGCCTACGTCGCCTTCAAGGTTCAGGCCTGAGATGGTTGTTTGCACGTGGCGCTTCTTCAGGACCCGATTGATGCGGGTGAAGGCTTCGGCGGCGGAGAAATCGAGGCCGTAGACTCGGGAGAAGTCGAGGATGAGGAACCGAATAGGACGTCGATCGAATGCTTCTTTTTCGATGAGGCCGCGCAGGGTATTCTCGACATCGACAATTGTTCCAAAAAAGAGGTAGCCACCAAGCTTAATGATTAATGTCTGCTGTCCAGCTTCGTGCAAGAATTGCTGCTGAATGGGAGGTCGTCGGACGGTGGATCCTGCGGTCTCGCCGGAGAAGGTGGCTCGAATGGCGGACTTGCGGGACGTCTGGACGACAAAGTTCACGCATGCCAGGATGATTCCAACAAAAATTCCAACCACGAAGTCCCAAGCACCCATAGTGACGACAATAATGACAACAGTTAAGTATTCAAGTCGGGTAAGCTTTCCCCAAGTATCAACCAAGGCTTCCTGCAACAGCTCAACACCCAGTAAGAAGATCAAAGCACCCACAACCATCACTGGAATATATCCAATAATGACAGGACCAATGACCATGATACCAGCCGTTGCTCCAGCTAACATCAAACCCGCCAAGCGAGATTCTCCGCCGCTGGCAATGAAAAGAAGACTGTTGGTGTAAACAAGGTAATTCTGGATACTCCCAGCGAATCCAGAAAGAGCATTGGTCACACCATGCGCCACGAGCTCTCTGTCAACGTTAAGATTGTCTTCACCGGTAGAGATTCCCAAAGCCGGAACGTTGATAGGCACATGAAGCACACCAAAGAAGGTTAGTGCAAACATGGCCGGAATCGTCTCGCTGAAGGCAGTCCAATTGACCGCGGAGAGATCTGGAACGATTAGTAAGGCGCATTTGGAGGACGAATCAAATTTCACTTACCGTAAAGCGTGTAGAAATGATACCAAGGATTGTTAGAAGATGGAGCATCAAAGACCCAACCCTTCTGATGCAAGGTAAGCATGGAGATTCTCGCGCTCAGAATGACAATGTAGAATACAGCTGCAACCGCAATGAAGTAGCCCCCAACCAAAAAGTTCGAGCGAACGAACCTTTTCAAGACAAGGAGGCCAATTGCGAGAGACAGAGGAATGATCCAAAGAGGGAATGTGTCGAGCTGGAACAGTTTCTGCAGTGTCTGTAGATTATACTCCAATGTCCCAGGAAGTCGAGCCGAGACCTCAACACCAGTCGCCAGAAGGAAGTAACCCACACCACCGATACAGCCGATCAGAATATGGCGAGGGAAGAAACCGATGAGCGAGCCCAGCCCACACACACCCATCAAGAAGAAGACCAAGCCAGTCAGCACTGAACTGACAGAAAAGGCTAGGATAGTTGTTGCAATGACAGATTTGGGGTTGTCTTTGCCGATCGAGTTCATGATTGTGAATGCCATCTGGTGGAAAAAGGGCACTACTTCAATCATCTCGCTTCCAACTCCACCTTTGAAGATTGACCCTCCACAGGAAAAGACAACTTGGGAGATAATGGTACTGACGTAGAACATCGAGATACCATCGGTTCCTAGGTGGGAGAAAAGCGGTTCTCCCAGAGGGAACAAGATCATTCCATACGATAATGCGTCCAGAATGTTCAGTAGAAGTCCCAGCAGTACTGCAGGTACCAGACTAGCTGGACGGACCACAGCTTCCTGCCATATCGCATGCCTGTCCCATGACTTCGGGCTAGCCAGAGCCCTGGAGTATTTGGCCACCGAAGAAACACCCTTTGTCAAGAAGTTCGGAGACCGAGTGACATCACGCTGATTCTCAATATCCCCAGCACTTCCATAATTCTGTGTAGATTTAGATCGTGACTTGGATAATAGCGAGGTGTGCTCGGTATTTCCTTCGGGTGCTTCATATATAGTAGGCGGGGGCGGAAACGACACCTCCTCCGTCGCAGATGGTGTGACTTCATCATCTAGCACAGCTGAAGGACGGCGAATCATTTCTGTGAGAGCCGAAGAGGCCGATGTAGGGTCAACAGAGGAAGAACCAGGATCCAACGCCTCCCCCAGGGCCGTATGAGAACTGGAGGCTTCATCCTGGGAGAAATCTGCCGAATGCTGACTGCCGTGGAATATATCCAGACCAGGTGGGAGGCCTGGGCCGTCCCGCAAGATGGACTTTTTGTTCAATGATAGGCCGTAGGTTGCGAGCTCGGCGGTCTGGTCGCGAAGACCGTCTGAGGCATAATGTGCCGGATCTAAGCACGCATTGTCAGTAGCATGTCACGCGATGTGAACACTGCACAGGGAGGCAACCCACCCATATTGTTGTTGTTAAATGACCGGTGGTAGAAAGATCGACTGGGGGTTCGTCTTGATCCACTGTAACTTGAGGCTTCGGCGCCTATTGGACCGGGAGAGCTGGCCAGGTTTGCATGTTCCACCAGTGACTCTGGGGACAAAGCCATCCCTTGGTCACGATCAAACATCAGGTTACGAGACAAGACGGATGTGCGAGAATCGCGACGTCGGGGTTGCAGGACGCCCATCGCGCAATTGTCCAACCGAGGAACCTTTTTTTTCGGAGGATAATCCGGTTAATTGGACGCCACAAACATGGTGGAAGTCGAGCTATAAAAAGGATTAAGAGCAGCAGAACAGAAAGCAGGACCAGCAGCGCAGAACAGGGTCACTGTTATCAACTCCCATTAGCAAAGATAAAAAGAACTCGGAGTTTTGACTAAAGCTCTTATCTGCGGGGACTAACCCGATGCGGCCTGGACTGGCCCGTGCTGATAGGCCACTGGACGTAAATATAAGCCCGCGATGGGCACTGGGCCGGACTTACACCTCACTAACTCTATGTTGGGTCTAAGTGATCTGAGTGGTGTGAGCAAAGGAGCAAATGGCTTCTCCGTTGTCGGACACGCTGCCTAGACACTGCCTAGACGTACATGGATCGCCTGGTGCATATGCATAAGCGTTACCGAGCCACAGCTCCTAACTGGCTAGAATGCCCGACGTTCAATGGCGCCACGATCTCCATATTGGTAGCTCCCAAAAGACGCATAACCGACCCTGTCATCTTACGCATCACATCAACCTTGCGGGATATTCCTCAAGGTAGGCTATATTACTCGAGTCGGGTCATACACTCGTCCCACCTATTAAACGCAGAAAATCAATTGGGGCCGTTAGCTTAGACGCTAACGGCGGGGTATCTCAATATACATGCTCTCCATAGCGCCTTCATAGTCCCCCTAAGTGTTTCGTACAGTGGACTCAGCTCAATCGTTCCAGGAATCCCTGCGAAATCAATCTCTCCACATCTCCCTGTCGAACATAAAGCTGACTGTTCTTCGTCAGGTTGATAACCCTAAAAGAAAATAACACAGAAGCGTTAGCAAAAGTCATGTAAAGCACACCATAAACCCAAAACCAATCAACCAACACATCCTCGAACTCTCAATCCCTCCAATAGCAATAGGTTCAAGAAAACAAAGAAAAAAAAAGAAAAAAGAGAAAGTAACATACCCATACTCCGTCTGAATCTCTCCAGCATCCTTCAAAACCCTAACATCAATAAAAAGATCCCTCGGCGGCTCCAAGGTCCCCGTCAAATCAACATCCGTCCACTGCCCCTTGTACGCAGCAAGCATATCGCCATATAGTCGAAAATACTCCTCCTCCTCCGGACTTAGGGAGCTATGGCCTCCCTCGCCCCCGAACGAAGCTGATCCGCCCGCACCCTGCCCGCCCAGTCCGGCACTCCCCTCAGCATGCTGTTGCTCCAGTATATCCACCCCAAGCCAGCAAAGCTCCTCCAGTTTCTCCGTGCGGACGCGGTGGTAAGCGAGCAGACAGCGCTTGTTGCGGCGCATGCAGAGGTGGTCGACTAGCAGTGCGCAGGCGACTGCTGGGTCCGCGGAGGGATTGAAGGCACCTTCGAATGGGGCGAGGAGGCGGGTGACATCTCGGTCTAGATCGCGGACTTCGCGGGTGACAGCGCGGACGATTTCGGTTTGGTAGGGCGGTAGATGGGCGAGAGATTGGGTGCGTTTGGCGTGTTGGACCTGTTGGAGGGGTCCGTTAGCTTGTTTGGCGATTGTGGGTGAAGATGGTGTATGTAGTATATGGAGTGGCGTGGGATGCGAGTCTTGAATGTGCTGGGCTTTGCTGATTGGACTTGCTTACCAGTTTGTTGCCGAGTTCGCCGTACATCGTTGCTACGCGGTCTGGGTCCTGGTGAGGGACGCGACTTGGTTGATCCATTTCGATGCCAAGACTTTTCTTAGTCAGTGATCGGCGCAGTGCGATAAGGTATCTAGTTCTGATGTCCATGGATGGAAGAGAGTAGGGAGTCAGAAGATGAATATCATTCTGATTGATTTGATCGGATGAGTTTCAAGAAGTCTGTGGGAAACTTGGTTCAGATGGAAATGGAGAATGCAGATTGCTACTTCCATTTGAGGTCCAAGTATTTTACCTACAACCGCAGCAACCCAATCCAATTGCGTACCACTATCGATAATACTAATACTGCATAGAAGCCCTCATCTGGTTATATCCAGCTTGAGTAATAGGGTCATACTTAGCAGGCATATCATCGCGAACACAAGAGGGAATACACTCGATAATCTCATCAGGATCCGGCGCCATAAAGTAAGGAATAGAAAAGCGACCCCGAGTCATCCGCTGGTCGCCCTCGAATCTATTCCCAAGAGGCGGCAAAGTAACCCGATGGTTTGTAGAGCGAAGAATATCTACGTCCGAGTTAGCATCCGCCAAAAACCGGTACCTTACACATGCATCGACATGTGAGCATGACGACAGACCATTACTCCACATCTGCAGCAAATCCCCCACATTCATTACGATCGCATTCTTGATTGGTGTGGCGGGTAAATAGGATCCCAGTGCAGCGAGATCTTCTACTTCGAGGCCGCCACAGTCATCTTGGAATAACATCGTGATCGAGCTCCAGTCTGTATGTGGGGGACATCGTGCTGCGCGGTTCGATTCAAATACCTCCGCTGGGGCAGGTGGGTAGTGCAGTAGGCGGAGCTGGTTATTGTGGCCTGAATGTTTGTTCAAGAGGTGGTTCTCGTCTAGGTCCAGGCCCATAGCGAGTGCTTGCAGAATCTCGCCTCCCACGCGGGAACATTCCCAGTAAAAGCGTCGCATAAACTCTTTGAGTCCCGGGAGAATCTCTTCTGGGAGCCATTGATTAGGTTGGGTTTTGTTTCCGTCGCTGCCTATGTCATAGCTCTCCTGTTGTTGGTTAGTTGGGGTATCGAATCTGACCAAATGGAGAGAAGAGACATCGGGATCCACACGAAGTATCAGATCCACAGAGAGAAATGACAGCAAGAATCTCCATGCTCACTTTGATGTCCGGGATCTCTCTCAGCTGTTCAGTCCCATCTCCATCGGCACTGCCACTCATCGCCTGTGACACCTTCTCCAGCCCAGGCCACGAGTATCCTCGGTGTACATCCCAACCGGGGGGATGAGGCGCCTGCAGCTTTGCGTCCTGTGCCAGATTGAAGAATTGCTCGGACCAGCGGAATGCTTCGTCTAACATTGTCTCTGGCAGGGAGTGGTTGGTGATGTACACAAACCCCACCTTCTTGCAAGCGGTGACAATTTCCTGCGCGACTTGCTGACGGGCGGTCGAGTTTGTGTTCCAGGTGGAAAAGTCCACGACAGGGATTTTGGCCTCTGATTTTGGAGATGTCATTGCCTCTGATGTTTTGATGGTTTGATGATTTGATACTCTTGGGGGATGTGGATGATCTGGACGAGACTTGTAGATCTTCGGTCAGATCCGAGGGGCCTGGATCAGTTGGTACTTAGTGATTCGATGCAGTTGAGTGTCTAAGCTATATGTGTACGAAAGTCTCGAATCGGAACTGTCTGCCTGTGCGTTAAGCCACGCTAGGAGACTCGACCAGGAAGGCAAAGAGGAATTTGAAATAGGCCCCAATGCCAGCCACTCGGATTTCCGAGACCAAATGTATGCGGTGAAGGGGAAGAAAGCCCATTGTGCCCAAACACGGGTCAGGCGGTTGCTAGGGCACTAGTGGAGAGACCCTACATCATTCGACCCTTTCACTCTTCTCATTCTAGACTTGTGAGATTCAGTACTTCAGTTCAGGTTTTGACTTTCAATTCTTTTCTTGAAGCCCATCTCTGAATTGGATCGACTCGCCAATCTTACTCCTTTGGGTAGTCTGTTGACACCCGAGTCCATTCCCGATAACGCCTAACGACGAAACGACCAAGAACAAACCCAAGAAACTGAACTTCAATCGAATCATTCTTATCCCCCCGCGATCACAAGAATGCGGACTTCCCAGTGGATCTGGATCACAGCCGCATTCCTCCCAATCGCCCATACAACCCCCACAGAACCCTTTACACCAGCGACAAACGCCCAAACGAACAAAAGAGCCTTTGAAGTCCTCCGCCTCCTCCGCCGAGCAGACGACAACAACTGCCCCTCGGGCTACAATCCCTGCACAGATCTGGGCAACTCAGACGCATGCTGTAGACAAGGGACGAACTGCTCCAAGGATGCCGCCAACAACATCGCCTGCTGCGCGACCGGCGCAAGCTGCACAGGCAGCCTAACGGGGGCAACGACTGCCACGACCGCAACGACAGGCACCGGGACGAGCTTCATGTTTCCGCAGACGGCATCGGCGACCGCAACAAGCGAGGACTCCACGTCGACGGGCTCGACGATTGATGGCGCTTATCCGTTTATCGCGGTGCCGACGGCGTTTAACAATCCCCAGTCGTGCTCGAGTTACTATTCTGTCTGTCAGTCCGAGTATACGCAGTGTACCGGGGCATTGATGGGACGGTATGCTGTTACGATTGATGCGAATGGGGCGGGGAAGACGGTTCAGGCTGTGACCGCTGCGTCGCAGGCGACTTCTATTTGTTCCAGTCTGAGTGTTGAGGCTTGCCATGGGATTAATCTCGATTACTGTGGTTCGGTCGCTACGCAGACTGGGGGTTCTGGGTCGGATGCTAGCGGTAATGCGGCCTCTGGGAGGACTTCTAGTCTTCAGGATCTTGTCTTCGGGCTTGCTGTTGGGTTTGCGGGTATGTTTATATGATATGATGGATATTGATGAAGGCTTTTGTGTATATTTCTTTTCTACTTTTCGTGTCTATTCTTGGAGACATCATGGACCGATGAACATTTGGAATTGGGCTGTAGGTACCAATCAGAAGCCCGTATTTACAACTACTTTTTCGAGATACCCGAGTAGTAAGAGGGAATGGTTAGGAATTGGTTGCACCAATGATGTAATATGTTGCCTGCCTGTGAAGCTTGAATCGACAAGGGCATTTGGACATGCGCCAGGAATCATGGTCGTAAATTGTTGTCCGGGCTGCGGTGCATTCTTCATTTCAGCTTGTTCAAGGACAGAAAAGCCCGACCCCAGCAAGCTCAAGTCTTGAAGGGTTGAGCCAGTAACCGTAGAGCCTTCTCTCCCCACGTTGAGCCAGCGAAGCTGGCTCAACGTGGCTCTCATCTGCTGCCCATTCGTCTTTCTCTTCTTCTAGATGAAATTTGGTTCAGTATCCTTTGTACGCTTACCTGCCACACAGACCTCGGCGTGCAGACTCTTGTATCCATCCCGGGCCTTAACCAGAGGGGATTTTTAAGGAAGATTTGGGCTATATATTTCAGAGCACACTATCAAGCCAGGTCTGAAGGTCATCCACGAGGTTCTCTAGGATATTGACTTAGCGAGTTATCCACTCGGCATCGCAGGCCAAGTCTCGACTTGAAGTTCTGGGGGAGCTTCGGTGAATATGAGGGAGGCTCGATTGGTGATGAGATAGAACATGAATATGCCGTTGGAAGTCAAACTGAACTTGATGGGCAGATTCAAGTTGGCGTGGGGTATTAGCTGCGATGCGGTATTGAAGAGGATGTGGGAACGATGTGCTAAGGAAACCTGAGAGAGAGAGTTGCGTTCTATAATATAGCAAGTATAGGAATAAAGGAGGAGTCTCATACAGGAGAAGACATGCTGTGATACCGATTTTAAGAGGGCTTAAGCAATATGAGAGAAAATTAGAGAAGTAACAAGACATTGGTAGGTACACGGATATCAAGTCCACTCTGATATGCTTAATGGGGACTAGTGACATGGGACACAACGGTTATTGACAGTCTCTCCGTTAATCCTTTCTATTCATCAACCTATTCGCCTTTCAGTCATTCTTCCACACAACAATCCACACTAAATCGATCATCTCAACCTCGAAAGCTTGGCACGGCAAGCCGAAGACCCTAGATCTTGGGGTGTGGGGCCGTGCCTTTCATCGACAGATTCATCCAATTATGAAGATCATCAAATGCTCTCCCACACAGCTCGCGGGCTATTTAGAGGACATAATGCCATCAAGCCAGTGCCCTCTATGGTCACCGACTTCCTCACGATCAAGCAGTCCTTGCGAACTCGATGCAATCATGACTAGCGTGTATACTCCTACAGAAAAAATGAAACATTCCGAAGAAAGAGCTCTGCAGTGGAACGCTCTATCCACTTTGATTCAAGCTCCATCAAAAATACTCACTCCCCATCCCCCGGTACCTCCTCGATTGAACGTGACGACCCAGATACAAACAGTGGATATCACAAGGACTAATCTAGATCAGAACGGTCGACCAGACATTACAAATGCCTCTCACATCAAAGAAAGCACCGAGATACAGACGGGCACGGCACAACAGGGGCCATACCCCACGTTAATTATACGCCAATCGCCCTTCGAAATGCTTCCAGCTTCACAAACTGGCCAACATTCAAGCCATATTGGCCATGGTAACTTCAAAGTTTCCACTACTCGGTTGTTCAGCCTTTCGCACAATGGTACGTGTCTTCAGAACTAGAAAACCTTGCACAACAGTGTGAGTTGTCCCAGATAAGCCATACTCTGAGCAAACCCGAGAAAACGCGGGTGATCCGCGTCTTCTATTGATTCCAATTTTGCTCGAATATTTTCGGCCAAAAGAAGCGGACAGGAAGACACAGCCTTTCAGCTACAGACCCTGAGTTCATTTCGAAGGATTTCCTATCCGTCTTTTAGCCCTGGGAAGTTGAGGAGATCTTCTGTGTAAGCTCCTTCGTGAATGGAATATACGAGGTGTTATTTGACGAAATTCATGACGATGTTCACGAAAAGAACCCTCGGTTTGACAACGATCTGAATTGCGGAACTCCTCTTGGGTCATTCGATCTGTCCTCATGTGAGTATCTGTTTCTGACCGCGTAGTGTTGCTTCATGGATCTGGATTTCTTTCATTTTTGGGTGAGGACTAATCTTGGCTGCATTGAACAGGGCAGCGGGATGTCTTGCTACATGGGACAACATCCCTGTGCCTGGCGTTTTTCGACTCCGTTATGACCGCTGTTAAGGATCGCATTGGCCTTGTTTCCAAGATGCAAGCACACATAAAATCTGGTATTTTTCTTGGGATTGAGTATAGTGCTGCCAGCCGGTACATACAGTCTTGACGATGGGAGAAAACGCCTTCGGAGCGGGACAGGAAACAAGGTCGAGATCCGCTTCCGTAAGGAGATGAAGAGCATGGATGTGAGCTGTTCCACCACTTGCTTGGCCTTTACTATGGCATGGGACATATTCCAATATCTATGGAGGCTCTGTCCTGATTCTCTTCGCGATATGGGATGGGTAATGTGGGATGCGGGCCGGTGCAGATTTCTGAGCTACTAGTACGGAGTGCAAAGGACAGAGTACTCGGATCGTCAAGCCCAAATACTATTGGGCTCCTTAATCTCAAAGAAACTGAAATTGAGTCATTGGGCAATCACATTGGGCATTGTGTTTCAGACGCTCCAGTCGAAGAGTAGAATGGCGGTGTTGCTCGGCAGTGCTGTTGCAGTGGAGCATCTTGCATCTACTGCGTCGATCGTCGTTGAGATGATGCAGGAGAAAAAGACAGGGCTTGTTTCCCGAGTAGCAGAATTCCACGAATGAGAGCAGTCAATTAATTGGAGTTGGACAGGATCAATCCGAAACCCCAGCCTCCGGTTAAAAGACGGTCGGGGATGGGTTGGAAATGAGGTGGTTGGGTAGAGCCCTGGAGGCTGGGGGAAGACCAACAGGGTGTTGTGTTATTCTTCTGGACTCGAACTTCTCTTCTCTTCTCTTCTTCCATTCTTTACTCACATTCCACCTGTTACTCTTTCTCCCCGCTGGCTTGACTTGCGGATCTCCAGAAGACCGCTCAAGTACTGTATACCGGGTGAGACAACATTACTAGTGCTGAGAACCTTCGCTCGCCAACTCCCTGGAGACTGCAAATATTCACTGGACCGGAATCAAATCTCGACGAGTATATCTTTCGATTATTGTTCGCCATGCGCTCTTTATCTATCTCGCTCTCAACACTAGCCCTACTTCTCACCAACTCGCTGATTACGACCGCAACCCCGCTTGCAGAGGAATCGAACTGTGCAAACCCCTGTGGATACAACGGCTGGCTGTGCTGCGAGACTGGGGAAACATGCACAACCAACAGTGAGAACCAGGCCGTCTGTGCCGCCAGTGGTAGCGGCAGTGGAAGCTACGAATACTTCACCACCATCTACACCCTTACCGAAACCGACATGTCCACCATCACCTCAGTATGGAGTAGTCAGATCGCCGCTGCAACCAGCACAGGTACCTGCAGAGTCGATCTCGGCGAGACAAAGTGTGGTACGACATGTTGCGAGGCCGCGCAGGAGTGCGATAACGGTGAATGTGTGGCAGAGAGTTCTTCCGTTGCGATTACTGCCACAGGCGCAGAGGCTACACCCGGAGTCCGACAGACGAGTAACGGTGCAAGTACCGTAACGCAGACATCGGCACCCACCACGACCGAAGGATTCACCGCACCAGTCGGGACAGACGGGGCAGACTTGATCGGAGTCAAGGCGGCCAGCAGTGGAGGATTGAGCGGCGGTGCCATTGCAGGAATCGTCATCGGTACTATTGCCGGTGTGATCTTGCTGCTGCTCATATGCGCCTGTCTGTGCTTCAAGGGTGCCATCGATGGATTGCTTGCAGCGCTCGGAATCGGCAAGCGTCGCAGAAAGGAAACGACTTACGTTGAAGAACGACACTCACATCACTCGCATGGGAGTCGACCGCCTCCTGCAGGCCGGACCTGGTTCGGAAGCAGACCGCATGGCGACAGCGAAGTCAGCGAAAAGAAGTCCGGGTTCGGCTGGGGCAGTGTCGCCATTGTTCTCGGTGCTCTTGCTCTCTGTCTTGGGTTAAAGAGACGCAAGGACAGAGATCACGATGATGACAAGACGGAATCTTCGTACCCCAGCTCATATTATTACTATTCCGACTATTACACAAATAGTGCGTCTACCCTTCACTCTGATAGACAGAAGATCTTTGCTGACAATCCTCACAGGTAGCGCTAGTTCGGACAGACGGACTCGCGATACGCGACGATCACGACGATCGCGCACTCGCTCCAATCGTTGATGGATATTTCCATCTGGTATAAACAGGACCCTCGGTCTCGTTCGCCTGCGATCTTCCCTATTTTTTTTTTTGCCGATATTTCGGTCTTATGCATTTATGGCGCTGATGTTAAAACGTGATATGTATCACCACGACTTACCTGATGTTTTTGTCTTTTTCTCTCTCTTTGGTTTTGTTTCCAACTGGATGATATGATTGCTTTTTTTTATGCCGATACGAGGCAGTTCGATATGAGATCCTCTTCCCCGTTGAGGGCATGTTGCGATGCACATATGATATTATGAGAACACACTGGACATGATAATATGAATGAATTTGAAGATGAGTTGGGCATTCATGTAGTGATGTTTTGACAACCTATTGAAGGTCGATTATCAAGTCGGGCACCGGCATTAGATCTCTGTAAGTAGCTAGCTTGCACATGGGAATCGTTATAGGCTGCAGAGAGCAAACAGCTGCAGAGAGACTGGCCTTGCAGGTACAATGTGCTCTGTTCGGATGAGACGATCTGCAGCGGTACAAGCGGTTAGAGGATTGAGTCCCTAATCATGCAATATTCAGAATATTTTGATTATCGTGAATAGCCTGAATAGCCTGAACAAAGTGTAGGGCTGCAAAGGCGTGGAGGAGATCTCCAAAAAGCGGCCACACAAAGCGTTAGGGGAGACACTTCTCCCCGCCTTCACTTCCGAACTTCTCTTCCTCTCCCTCCTTCACCTTGTTTCTCACTTCAGCCTCGCATCATCAATGATTTTAGTTTCGGGATTAAGCTCCTGACGCTACACCTCTACTTCATTACCTTTAGAGTTTATTCTGCCCTTTGCCGCTTTTGAGTCCAATCCTTCGGAGTATTACGAGTCCCCGACTCATTACCGACCACCATGCTCCAAGCGCAGAGCCAGCAACATGTTTTCTCCCACCAGCATCAGTATCCTCAGGCTGATCCCTCATGGCTGCAGCACCAGCAACAACAGCAACAGCAACAGCACCATCAGCCCCAGCCACACCCACACCAGTCGCAGCAGCAGCACGCTTCCTTAGTCGCCCAGCAGCACGCCCAAGTGCAGGCTGCTGCTGCTGCCGCACAGCAACAACACTATGGCCGTCTTGCCATGAATGGTAATGGCGCTGGTAACCCCGCGCAGGGAGCCGGTGGCGCCGGTGGTATGGGCGGAGAGGGTTTGTCGAATGCGGTCTCCGTCATGGACGGCGGAATCAGCGAGGAGAATCGCAAAGTCTTCATTTGGGTCGCCGAACTCTTGGATCCGACTCGCAGGGAAGCCGCTTTGATGGAGCTGAGCAAGAAGCGCGAGCAAGTCCCCGAACTGGCCCTGGTCATCTGGCACTCTTTTGGTATGGCTCCGATTTCACCTGGGCCTATGTCTAAGCCTATTCACCCTTGGCTATGGAAACTAACGGTCGGCAATTTACAGGTGTTATGACTGCGCTCCTTCAGGAGATTATCTCGGTTTATCCGCTTTTGAATCCTTCTCAACTGACGGCCGCCGCTTCAAATCGAGTTTGCAATGCGCTGGCGCTTTTGCAATGTGTCGCATCCCACAATGAGACCCGTACTCTGTTCTTGAACGGTGAGTAATGCCTACTCAGGTCAACGTGAATACTTTGGCTAATTGTTTTCTCCTAGCTCACATCCCTCTCTTCCTCTACCCCTTCCTCAACACCACCTCCAAGTCTCGCCCCTTCGAATACCTACGACTAACGTCCCTGGGCGTGATCGGCGCATTGGTGAAGAATGACTCGTCCGATGTGATCAACTTCCTGCTCACAACCGAGATCATCCCTCTTTGCCTTCGTATCATGGAGACTGGATCAGAGCTGAGTAAGACGGTCGCAATTTTCATTGTGCAGAAAATCCTCCTTGATGACGTGGGATTGGGCTACATTTGCGCCACATACGAGAGGTTCTACGCAGTGGGAACTGTCCTCAGTAATATGGTCACCCAGCTCGTCGAGCAACAGACTGTTCGCCTGCTCAAGCATGTTGTGCGCTGTTTCCTTCGGTACGTGCTCTTCCCCTCGATCTCTCCACCTTTCATTTGCAGTTTTAACACATCCACAGTTTGAGCGACAACAGCCGGGCCCGTGAGGCTTTGCGACAATGTCTTCCCGAGCCTCTTCGGGATGCCACGTTCTCCTCGGTCCTCCGCGATGACGCAGCCACCAAGCGCTGCCTGGCTCAGCTTCTCATCAACCTGTCCGACAACATCTCGGAGGGAGCTCCGCCAGCCATGTAAAATACGAAAAGCATCTGTTTCTTTCTCCCCGAAATATTTCACGTTATGATATGCATGGGAAAGGCTAATGGCGATTAACGGTCACAAGGCGCAAAGTGTGGGTGAAGAACTGGCTGGATCCAACGTGTTAGATATGTCGTCGATTGAGGGCATCGGGTCCACCATCTGTTTTCTCTTCATTCCTGGTTGTTTCTCTCTTTCCACCGCATTTGTATTGGGTCACTTAAGGGTTCGGTGATTTGTATGCGTGATTGAGATTCTAATGTATTCTTGTGTCTTTTTTGTTCTTTTTCATTTCTATCTTTGCTTCGTATCTTTTTTTTTGCATTTTGCTTTTGGGAAATATGTTACTCTGTCTTTTCGTTGTTCTTTCTTTTCGACGCTGTTACTCGGGTGGCGCGAATTCTGGTCGGCGCTGTCGTCTTGTGTGCATTTCCTCCTTGTCTTTGACATGGTTTAACCGCTCTGTGTGAGATAGACCTTTGAGCGAGAGATACCAAAGATCCAGGCGTCTGCTTTTTACTTTCTATTCTTTGTTTCTGGTTATGTCTGTGTATACGCGAGTGGTTTTAAAAGCACGAATGGGTTTATCTATAGTTTTATTTGAGGACAATGCCATTCTTCTCTCTTGTCACCATTGAATGATCAATAGGCTGGATTTAGGCTACTTTCTAGTCTACTCAGGTGTATACTTTCGTCACCATTGCGCATAAGAGTAGAGCAATAGAATGTTAAGAACTCAGTTTGAAGCCCAGCCCTTCGAGATAGAATCTCTTCCAAACTAAGATGAAGCCCATCAATTATCTGAGACAATCTCCGTCATCATTATCCCTCAATGAGCAGGAAATAGTCCAAAATCATAAGAATCCGCCACGCCACCGATTTCCAAACGCGATCTTCACGTGACCCCGTTCTCGACGCGCCTCACCTATCCGCATCGCCTCCCAAAAAAAAGAGCCCATAACTACCACCAATCATTTTGGTATTTCGCACGGCCACATTTACAAGCGTAACCTTCTCCACGGCTTTTGCACACACCCAACTTCCACTCCCGTGAACCTCAGAACACCCCAGTCGACTATCCCCGGCCCTACGGCTGTCCCGCCGCGATGGGATCGCGAAAGCGCAACCGCTCCGAGGCCATCCCCATGGACCAAGACGCCCCGGAAGAGCAAAGCCTGCTCACCCAGCTGAGAAGTACCTGGGAATTTGCAAGTATCATGCAGTACATTGCCATCTTTGGGCAGGTGATGAAGATTGACGAGGAGTTTGAGATTGAGGTATGTCCATGCTCTACAGGACAATCCAGTCCACGTCGCATCAGCAAGGTCGAATATATTGTCGCATTGAATCGATCGAGCCTCAGCGACACCCCCCATCTGGTTGGAACCACACTAACGAGTTGCCCTTTTCTCGTTTACAGGATCTGGAAGCCGAGTGCCTCAGACCGGAACCTTCTCATAAGCTTTTGGAAATTGGATTATGCTTGCTCAAGTGGATCTCGTCGCATCGCGGCCTCACGTATGTACACTTGTCCCTTTTGCAATATTGGTTCTGGGTCAGGGAATGGGATTGGACTGACTGTGGTTTCGCTGCTAGATATGAGAATTTCGATGAGTACACCCGCCGCCAGTACAATGCGAAAGCCCCAAATACTACGAACCCCTTCGGATACGACGAGGAGCCGAAGAGATTCATGGATTTTGATGTTTTCCTTAAGCTTCGCGTTCTTCATGCGTTGACCACTTGGACTTTCTGGAACGCAGACCGGATTCGCGACAAGATGCCCGAGAAAAGGGAAAATGATCAGCTGGAATGGGTAAGTCGATGGTCTTCTGGAAATGAGGTTTGAATTTTCTTTGCTGACGCCTGCTAGCGCATTGAGGAATTTGGCTGGGATCGCGAGGGCCGTTCATACTACGTTCTAGATGATAACCGTTTGTACCGCCGCACCGATCGTCCCGCCCCTCCGCCTGTTCAGCGAACTAAGAAGAAGGCGAAGGGTAAATCTTCTCGGTCGTCAAGGGCGTCTAAGCGTGCTTCCACAGCAGCCGCGGAAGAAGGCTCCGACGAAGAGAATAAAGATGCGATCAATGAGGATCCTGCTGTGACATACGCTGAAGACCCTTTCAAGTGGGAATGTCTTGCTGTTACTCTTGAGGAGTACCAGGTTTTCTTAGAACCGCTCCAGAAGAGCAAGGATGCGGACGAGAAGGCCCTTCGGTCTAGTGTTGAGGAGCATATCTTGCCTATCTTGGAAAAGGCCGAGGAGGCTTCGCAGCGCAAGCGTGCCAAGCGTGATAAGGAGCTGCTGAGCTTGCAGCTTGTCGCAGGTGCGAAGCGGTCCAGTCGACTTGCTGCTAAGCAGGAAAATGAACGGCATGAACGAGAAGCTGAAGAGGCCGCTCGGAAACATGAACATGATCTCGCAGAGGCTCGCAGAGAACAGGCCAAACATAGCCAGCTCGAGGAAGACCGTCAGTCTCGTATGATGACTCGCGAACAGCGCATTAAGGACCGTGAACAGAAACGCATCCTACATGAGGCAGAGCTTGAGCGCATCGCCGAGGAGCAAGAGAGGTTGGAAAATGGCGAGAGTAGGGCTTCTGCGCGGAACCTCAAGGCTGAGCGAGAGAAATCGCAGAAGAACTTGGCGGAGCTTTCTCAGGAGGACCAGTGGATCTTTGATTGCTCCGGCTGTGGGGTGTACGGGGAGAATTTGGTAAGTTCAGCTTCTTGACATATACATTTAGGTGGTTTTTCTGAGGCTGACTGTTTCACAGGATGATGGGAGCCACAGCGTTGCCTGCGAGCACTGCAATGTGTGGCAGCATAGCAAATGCCTCGGTATCTCACAACAAGCGGCTGAAAAGGACGACTTTCAATTTGTCTGCCACGATTGCAAGCAGAAGGAGCACGATGCCAACAAGCCCAAGCTTCCACCTCTTAAATTCCGTGTCAGCGCTTCGGCCTCTCCATCGGCTTCTCCCTCTACCGGCAACAAGCGAAAGCTGGAGAATGAGGATGACCAGGTGCCACTCTCGCCCGTGAAGAAATCCCATACAGCTCTATCCAACATTCAGAATGATCCTCCACGGACGCAGCCTTCTCTTCCGCCTACTCTTAGCCATGGTCACTTCTACCCTCCTCCCTCACCTCAGCGCCCGACCCACCACATCAACCAGGCGTCGTTGCCATCTTCAAGTCCTCCACGACCTCCCTTCTCCCCTCCCAAGGGCATGAATGGTCTGCTGCATTCTACGGAGCAGAACCCCCGACCTACTTCATCCCAACACCACCTTCCGCCTATGAACGCGGCCCCTCACCTTCCCCCCATCGGTTCCTTCCAATCCGTGCGACCCTCATCCTCTCACTCTAACCAGAGCCCCGTTCAGAATCAGCCTTCCATGTCGCCTACGCAGGGTAATCCTGATGTTGGCCCTCTTGCAGGCTTCCCTCCTGTCGCTCCTCACGCCTCTTCCCCGTGGACCTCCTACGATACCCATGTGACTCCGCGCCCCCAGTCTGGCCATGGAGCTACCAACATCTCGGCGATGTCTCATAACTATCCATCTTTTTCTACCGCGACGCCGAACGGCAATCACTCCTCGCCTCCCCAGAGCTCCCACGGCCTTCTATCGGGAATCAGCCCGACCAAGCAGTCCCCTCGCCCAGTGACTTCTGGTAGCATGGCAGGTGCTCCCGTACTGCCGCCCATCCGCCGATTGGAGCCCAGCCCTAAGCTCATGGGCCGCAGTTCTCCGGATGCTCCTATTCCACCTCCGGTGAAGTGCATGACTCCTGAGCAGGAAGAACGCCGCCAGAGAGAAAATGCCCTGAGGCTACACCATGCTCATGGCCATTCCAATGGTCAACATCTGATGTCGTCGCCCTCTCTGAATCGTATTCCTCCTCTGGGTTCTGGTGCTGTTTCTCAATACCCTGATCCGGTCTCCTCGCCACAGCGTGGAAGCAATGGCCATGATAAATAAGATCCTTGTACAACAGTGAGGTGCCGCAACGAGGGTCTGACCATTCCCTGCTAGTGTTTCCAAAAATTCTTCTTCTTCGCTCTGCACATCTGGAATTGATCTTGTTGTTTCACAAGGATTCTTCTACGCAGCTTTGAAAGCAGTCAATATGATAAGTTTCGAGGGAAAAAAAAAGAAAACGACAAAAAGGCCTGTGCTTTCCAGTTGGTTTTTGAGGTCGATTCTACCTTTTTCACAAAACGGTTGTGGGCACGAATTATATCCATACGGAGTTGTTTTTCCCGATTCTTCACCGGATATTGTATCCATGAGACGACACCTCAAGAACCCAACCTCGCTCACACCATGAGATACATTGTTTGGCTTGAATTTGTGGGCAATTGTGCTTTATCCTGTCTGCTTGATCCTTCTTTCTATCACGGACAAGTTACTGGATGTATCTGCGTTTTAATCACGAGTTTCCTCCGTTGATGTCAGGGCTCCCCGGCTTGGGAGAATCTGAATTCTGTATTGGTTTTGTGCATTCGCATTCTCTTGGGGTAGTTGGGCAGTGTGATGGGCTGTTGCTGGGTTGGCGTTGACATTTATTCTTTTTTTATTTGATTCATTCTCTTTACAATGCATCAAGATGGACGAGGACTGAAGCGGCGTTTTTGATATGGTCTCTGGCCCTGGGTGTCAGGTATTTTGGGTGGGCTAGGGAATGTGTATTCTAATAGACAATTTCTTTGATTGCAAGCTCATGATTATTTTGGAGTGGTTTCGAGAGAGTAGTCCGTATATATATATGATTGTATGGTCATGACTTTGGGAAGTAAAGCACCAAAGTCAATATTTCCGCCAACTCTTCCTGTCTTTGAGATCTAGTATGCTTTCATTCACCTTCTATCATCACTATAATTGCATTGTGCCAACACATCATACCACTGTATACTGCACCTCTCGCCCAGAATGGAAAAAGCCCAACCCAGAAGACCAGAATAGCACGAATCTACCCAACGCAGTGCCAAGCCAATCTCCATAGCCGAGCATCGTAGCTCTAGACCTAGTCCTCTAGGCTTCGCTATTGATTGACTCTTAGAAAATGACAATCCAAGAACCGGACCAATGACCGCAATAAGCCCACGGTTGATCAGGGGACAAACCACCGAAATTACGAACTCCGTCCGGCCCGCGCGGCCCTTCATTAGACCATCTCCACATGAGCACAGGATGACTGGTTAGCCTCGTCGATTTCGAAGTTTGGCGGCCGAACGTTCCAATCAGAGGAGTTCCAGCGCGCCAAAATCGTGAAATCCTTCGGAATCATGACTCGAGTGCCTCACTAAAATACGACTAGACTTCTTTTCGGGCCTGACCTGCGCAGTCAACTCGCTTGGGCAGTCAACTTGCTTCGGGCTAATTTCGAATGTAGATCCCGCACTAAGACTACACATACACCAGTGGACACAGTGTACAGGACGGAGGACAGTCGGACCCCCTATCTGATAAGACACCTGTCAGTCAACGACTCGTGCCAAACCGCGAAGCCCCGCGTGTAACAGTCAATGGTGCGGTCATCCTTCGAACAATCCTCCTAGAAGTAGATCTGTAGATCTCAGGAGTCAAATCACCCACAATATCACAGCAGGGACCACCGGCTGAGCTCAAAACTGGGGCGTTGCTTTCGATCTAAAAGTGGAGTAGACGGATGAGAAGCCGATGCGCTCCGGATCGCAGTGTCTGCGTCTAGAGGATTGGAAAAGGAGGCTAAGAAAAGAAGCTAAACTGGTTGGATCTGCAATTTCCGGTACAATTAGGCTGCCAGACCGGATCCGATGTTCTCCACATATGCAGCTCATCTTAGACTTATTGGTTCTGGCATTTTTGATTCCTGTCCTCCGTACGGAGGTACTGCTATACGGAGTACAGTACAGGTCAACATATACGGTGGAGCTCCGGAACTTGTCCCGCCAATTATTATCTGTCCGCTTCCCGCGTCTTCGAAGACATTTCAATAGTTCTGGGAGGAAGGGACTGGATATAGGATATTATACGTCACGATTGTCCACTCCAGTGGAACTGGGCGGCTAAATCCGTTCGGGTGTTGAAGTGTTTATCAAGGTCTACAGTTTGATTTCAGATAGAAGACACAATTGCATTCGTATCTCAGATCGTCGACCTTGAGACCCTGCATGGAAAAGGAACGTTTACTGGAGACCCTGGATATTGCCGCTCAGAATCGAATAACTTACACTATTACAGTATACAGACTAGCACACTGACAGACTGACAGACTGACACGTAACACACCAATCTAGCAGCACACCAGCATGCTGGCATACCGGGCTCCTCACATTATAGATCTGCCTACAAGCCCGTGCTCTGCCAATCTCCCGCCTGAACCAAGCCCTAACTCCCCTGACATGGCCGACCTAGGGAAAAGTGGAGCAGGAATCGCCAATCCGATCATGAGCTAACCGGGATATGCGTGATAAACCAGTCATTCACTTTTCGTGGCGCGTACATCAATTGTATCCCTCCCTGCCGCAAAACTAGGAGTGTGCACCACCCTATACACCCATACATCTCGACTCCAGGTATTATCCTTACAGTACCCCCCATAAAACAGGCCAGAAACCGTGGACACGATTGGCCGCCGTTGGATGTGATGACCAAGTGACCACGCAAGTCCTGTGCCGAGCACCCAATTGTAAGCTACAGTACTCCGTACGGAGGACGATATCCTCGATCTTCCCGCGCCAAGGGTTCCTCCGATCTACAAGGGGGAGAGAAAGCCGAATGACTCCGGGGCCCCTGAATCTGAAAAGCTGTGACCCTTTGTCCGTTATTGATCTGGAGTAACTCTATTTGCAGATCCGGCCAGGTCTGTGGCTCTTTTAGGGCTGACCAATGTTATCTGTTCACATGGGGGACTTTTCTGTGTACCAACACGTTCGCGGAGTGCTAGTGCAGTAAGCAAATGGGAAGACTTTCAAATTCAGGTGACCGGCCCCTCATGCTGGGGATATAGCGACTAGCGCGCCAGTGACAGGGGTTTGCTTGAGCTTACCAATCCTCCAGATTGCCCAAGGTGCCCTAGATGATCCGGCTCGGCCGAGGCGGCCACCGATGGTCCCGACCGTCACGTTGCCTTCGCTTGTCGGCTAGAGGTTAGGGTCAGGTTGGGAGTAGTTCGGGTTCGTAATGAGTGGCGTTCATTGGATTGAATTTGCTTATACCGCCTACGTTTGGGATCCTGGATATTGGTACTTCGTACTGATATGGATCTGGAGACTGAAACCTTGTCTATCTTCGTATATTAGACTCTAAGTTATAGTTACTTCAGTTTTCAGAACTCCGAACTCCTTTTGGATGTGACGATCTGGGATGTGACACATCTAGATCAGCTGGATCTGGAGTTTAACTTTACACAATGTTCAAGTTCTAACATTTATACTTCGACCCTGACTTTGATGTCTGAGCATATGCCATCTTATAGATGGGGCCCAATATTACCAGAATAGGCAAGTGAAGGTGAGTTTGGCCGCGACAAATGATCTTCGGGGAGATATTTCTCCTGAGATTATCTCATAGTGGCCAAGGTAGGCTTAGTGGAAGATAATGTCGGATACTCAAGATGTCCCCCCGAGGCGTTACAGTCTAATGAAAACGAAACTGTTCAATCTCTTCCAATAAAGGCGAGTGACGCCTCACCAGCACAACATGCATCATTTATGCCAGACATATTCCAGTTTCGGAGGGGCATACTTAAGAGTTATGCCGACCATAAATATGGCCAGAACACACCCCCCTACGAGAGGCAAAACCTGCAGTAAAAACGACACCCTACAACGTCGACGATATGAAGATCGACACCCTACTGACGCTATTCACAGCTAGCGGCCACCGGCCCAAAAGGACGCACCCAAGAAAACAAAACATAAAACATTTTGACCCATGGTAGACCGGAAAGAGCATAGTCCGGAATGACAAGCGAAGATGGCGTCTGGACAAGAAACCCCTTCAATGAGAAGCCTCCGCGCTAAGACCAGTTGCGGCCCTAACAGCCCTGCACAGTAGGGCATGGCAGGAAAGCCGCTTATCGTCCAGCCAATCCGAGTCTATGTTGGTTGTTGGATGATAACATCGACGTGGACTACAGTACTAGCCGTCGATTCTAGTCGCCCATTTCCTATTTCGAACTAAGAAGCGTCTACACCCCTGCTGGGTTCACGTCCCAGGGAAATGTGTTTGCGCATTCTGATGCCTTGCACTGCCAATATCCATGTAGCGGTCTGAACGTGGCCATGTCTTTGATCGCCGATGCTGTGGATTGCTTCTTTACCGCTGTCTGTTGGCTGGAGATCTGATAGGACAGTACCAGGTCAATGGGGGCGTGAAGACATCACGGTGATGTCGAATGGTGATCTTTGTTTGCGGTAATTCTCTGATAAGCCTGCCAACCCCATGTATTTCCACCCCGCTCCCTCGCTCTTCTTGTCCATCTCTACTGTCTCTCTCTTCCCGCCACTTGGAGGCTGACTTGATCCCCGATCTCGCCACGCAGACTAGGGCGTGGCATACCGGGTTGCTACAGATGGGCTTGCCATGGGTATATTGTTCATAGGTGTTCATTTTCCCCTCAATCCACCCAACTGATGGAGACCGCTATTTCGCATATTGTTTTTTTTTTGCCTCTCTTTTATTCGTCCTGTGGATATCGCGGCAGATCCATGAAATGATTCAGGTTCCTACTGCCGGACCAACCGATACCCCTGCAGAGGCGTTCATCGAGGGGTTTATCGGGGAACAGAGTAGACAGGCATTTATAGTGGTGAAAGAGACCTAGTGGGTAAGTAGTTGGATTCGCACGAACAAGTGACTGATTTATTTATATCTCTTCAGTTTGTTCAGTTCTTCTTTCATGCCATCTAGATTGGATCGTTCCTCATCCCATTATACCGGCTCTTCTTTACAATCAACCTTCCCCCGGGAATATGAGAATAGCAACAAGAAATGACTTGAAATACGATGAAACGTAGTTATTTTAGTCCTGCCAGACCAAGAAATCAGGGGAAGGAGTGGTCTTCATGAAACAACTGTGTTTGAGATTGCGGAGATCAGGACATGGCTCCAAAGAACTCGAGTCAGGAGACCTGATGGCTGGGTTTAGCGTTGGAATACCTTGTCAACTGCCCTTTTTTGGTATGGCCCTGGACCACCGAGACCGTCCTTCTAGAAGGGCATCGAGGAGGCTTGAGCGGAGATCCTTGCTGTCAATCGTGTTTCCACTTTTTGAAAGCATGCAAGGGCTGTTTTCGCCGTCCAATCCTACAGAGGTCCGTGCCTTCAGTTCAACGGATCCAATACGAGCATAACCTTTCTCGAGCTTAGCATAAGTCAATGTTTAATTTCCAGGTAGAATTCCACCGCATCGGCGGAGATCTGCGCCGTGGGCGGAAGCCGTATGGACCGAGTCCCGGTGGGGTCCGCTCGTTATCAACTTGGAGCACTGATTTCCAGAAGGGGAAAACCGTGCAAAGTGGGCAAATTTGACAGCTCAATATTTGGGAGTGGAGATATTAATTTAGAAATGCAGATATTTATATAAACTAGCGACTCGGCGGAGTGTGAAATCTTGCATTTTCTACTTTGATAATCCGAAGGTTACAGGAATGTGCAGATGTAGACCCCCAGACTCGTAGATACCTACAGATCCAACATAGTGCTGACAGGATCACTTGAGATGCCCCAGCAAACAAAAAAACAAAACAAGAAAGATAAGCTCAATGAGCGGACCTTAATGAATCCTTTGATACAACAGTCAACCACATGGACCTGCAGACGCAAGTCGAATCCTGTCAGCCCTTGTTAACACATGGCAGTTAGAATGCACTCCACAGTTTCGGCAATCTATTGTCCCTCTGAATGGTCCGGGGTCCTCAAGAGATCCCCGAAGAAGTCAACTTGCACGGTCAAACAAAGGAATACCCCATGGCAAAGCCCGACGAGGGTAGGAACTGTGGCCGGCAGTACCTGCGCACGACAGGGTCAAGTGGCATGGGTATGAGGAGGGGTAATGGTTCCTCCCAGAAAACGCAGGGATATGATGGGATCTCACCGCATTGTCGGGGAGACAAGTCCCTGCAAGTAACAGTCCCGAGCCACTTGAGCCCCGATCAAGTCCCCGTCAAAGAAGATGGCATGCCTCAGGTCAAGGATTGGATCTGCGGAGGCGTCTGTCTCCGCGGGGTTCCCTGTCGACGGCATAGTAGACGCTAAAGCTTGGTGGCGTAAGCGCGAGCCGCTGTTATAGATGGCCCCGGGGGGGGGGTGCATGGTGAATTTGTCAGCCCATATACTTGTCCATGTACTTTCCATGTGTTTGCATGCGTTCATCGTGGCAAGTACACCATCAGAACAGTCTATATAGATCGGTCATACCGAAGCCAAAGTCAAAACGTCAAGAGTATGATGCAACGGGGCACTGAGGGAAACTCGTTGGGCAAACTAGGGTACAGTAGGTCACGCTCCTGCCCAAAGTAGCTTAGCCTGCCAAGACACCAACCAGAGTCAACCGGATACATCAACCGCCCCCCCCCCCCCCCCCCCCGCCAATCACTCAGGTGGCGCTACGGTCTGAACGGATACTCCTTGGGATCAACTCCACTAGACCCGAGATAGAGGGGAGGTCACTAGGTTGCTAGAGAAGGAATTAAGTCCCTGTCCTCGGGAACTCATATGATGTCTCCGAGCTTAACACCGTTTAATCCCTGATTTCACCCCTAGAGCTCCCCGAACCCCGGCTCTCAGATCTAGACTACTGCCTATTTCTCAAGCCCAATCCATGGTTGGATGAATTTTAATCTTGGATACTTCGAGATCCGTCGAACTACCGAACACTCGGCGGAGAAGTTGATCACGATCCCCTTAGTGTAGATGCCAGACCATGGCAAGGACTGGTGACAAGGTTTTGGTATTGTCATATAATTAGTGTCTAATTAGTAAAAACCGTTTAACATGTCTTGCATGGCTGAGATTAAGTCCCCCCCAAAGTTACCTGTATCCCTAGGGTCCGATACACCGATGTTCTGCCGTCAAGCTATCAAACGCCAGAGTTCATGTTGAGCCTGGGTCTCCATCACAAATGTAGGCGTGCTTCTTTCTGGACACTTGCATCGTATTCCCCAAATATTCATAATTGCTTCTGCTGCATCTTGACAGTTGGATATGCACTATACAGAGATACAGAGAAACAAATGAGGAAATGGGATACTAGGAGAAAAAAAAGAAAATGCAGAATGAGCCAACCGGAGCTTCTGTGACCGCGCGTGGATAACACTCCTTGGCCTATCTCGCACCCCCTCCCCTTACCACGGTATTCTGTCCTTCTATTTCCATATGTTCTGGGACGTCCCCGGGTATCATGCGGCTGGAAAGTTTGACAGATCCATGGTCTGCGCCCCGCCAGTAGCAGGGCCCAGAACATGTCATGTCTACTCCCATGTGGGCTCCAGGATATTCAGTGCTCTCTGTCTATTCTTTCGATATCTATTCTTGTGCTCACGCCCTGTCATGGCCGAATTTGGCACAAAGAGAGACGTTTAAGAGGTTGCTACTCACTGAACAACCGTTCCCTGAGGATCTATAGATAAACTATGCGCTATGGAAGGTGAGTGGAAATTGAGCATCTCAAACCAATGAGCATAGCATGATCTGACCCAGACAAAGAAGGCAATCTGCGACAAGAGCTAGATTTGGAGACAGAAAAGAAAAATGAAAAGAAAATCAGATTAAATTAAAAATAATCAGAAAAGTCGTAACAAAAAGAAAAGAAATAATAAAAAACCCCCCCAAATAAAAGTCGGCTAAAAAAAAGAATAAAAAAAAGAGACGAAATAAAATAACAGCAAAATACACTAACCAGCAGCCAGGCGAAATAGATCGACGCCAGACGTATTGTATTCCAGGCCTTCTTCTTGAGTCAGTTTCAGCCTCTGGTTCGCTGTTTGCATATCCGCCTCTCCCCTCTTCATAGCCGCTTCTCTTATTTAGTTCGAGACCCGCCCGTCTTCCAATCTTCAAGTCTATAGCTTTTTGTCTTCTACTTCTTTGATACTGATCCACTGATCTCCTTCACCTATTTCTATTTTGCTTATACATTCCTCCTCTGACAATCCAATTGGGGTTACGTCGTTTGTCTCACTTCACGGCTTCACTGCAGTTTTGTTTGAGACCTGCTCTTTGAGGAGTACTACATATGCAAAACCGCCCATCTTCAGGGTAGTACAGCAGCATATTTTATTCTGCTTAGATTCCACTTCTTTACCCTTTCTGGAGTCTTTTCTGGCCTTTCTCTTGTCGCTGGATACGCCGTCCGCAACAGCCTCTAGCCTCAATCTAGGGTCTAATAGATTTCCACAACAATGAATTTGGTGTCACCGATTCCCCCTTCACCTCCCCAGTCGACAGACGGGACTTCCCTTATGGAAGATTCCTTCGAAGCCCGTGGAGTTTACCCGCCTGTGTACAGAGGCATGAATGTGCCTGCTAATGATATCAACGGAACCATAGCCCATGGCATGGTGAGTCCACTGTCTGAGTGTCCTCTACAAATCGGCTAACATGGACAGCAATATGGCTCTCCTCCATCCTTCAGTCCTAATACTTTCCCTCACACGATTCCACCCCAGATGGTAAGCCGACTTTCAAGCAAGATATGTTTCGCCAGACTGATCCGATTCTGGGGGCAAAAAAGATGATGATGCCTGGACCCCAAGTGAACACACCTCCTACAGGAACCGATGAAGCATTTATGGGATTGCCCACTCCACCTCGCCGCCGTGCACCAGCAGGCAAGGCAAAACAACAACGACGCAACCGCACCCGAAACACTCTTTCTGAACCCGGTCTCAAGATTGAAGAAGCCATCAGCAAGCTCACTGCAGACTACGACATTCCGATCAAGGATATGGATGCCTGGGTTGCTCGACCTGCTGAAATCCGTAGGAAAGAGGCCAAGGCCAAGGGAAGAATTTCCCGTCCAATGAACTCCTTCATGCTTTATCGTTCGGCCTACTCAGAACGAACCAAGAGGCTCGTCGGAGTGACCAACCATCAGGTCGTCTCCAGAATTGCAGGCCAAGGCTGGAAGTTGGAACCGCCCAACATCCGCAAGAAGTATGAGGATTTGGCCAAAGTTGAGCGCGATGCTCACGCCGCAACCCACCCAGAATACAAGTTCTCTCCAAACAAGCAAGGACAAGCACAGCCTGTCAAAGGCCGCGAGGAAGGATCGCCTCATATACCAGCATATAACGTTAATGTCGAGGAAGGGTTCTGTTCGGACTTTGATAGTGAAGTGGGCTCAACGGTTTCTAGAATGACACCTGGGCCTTCATACGCCCATTCTCGCAATCAGAGCTTCGAAGAGGGTTACTTCAACACTAGTCGGGATCGATCACCATACGGCACTCCTGAGCAGGGCATGTCCATGCCCAACTACGTTCAACCCTCCTGGTCCAATACAAGCCATCCAACCGGCCTGCCAATGCAGCACAACTCATTTCATGGCATAAGCCACATGGAGGAGGATCATTTCCGCACAGCCAGTCCCCCAATGCATCAAAGCATCCATTATGACTCCTCACTCGCCGGTATTCCCGGTGCCTCGCATCATGAGCTGCTTCAGCCCCAGTCAACCCACGCAGCACCCCATATGGACCCTGCACTGCTCGGATATTCCAACGGCAGTGAAGCTGTCGGACTCCCCCACATGACTGGAGCCACCTTTAGCCCTGGCATCTCTACATACTCGACCTGGGGCGAGGATTCCACAGCTTACTTCCCTGGCACCACAGCTCCTTCCATGACTGCCAGCCCGGCCCAATACCAGAACCCTCAGATGGCATCCCCGTACCTTCTCAGTATGCACAACACTGATCACCGGGATCAAACCTGGGACTTGCAACGCGAGCACTCCGGTATGACCGATGTTGTCCACAGCGAGTTTGATCTGTGGTGCGGCGAGGCCCCAGCCCAAAGCTTCTAGGCCACATTGCCATGAGATCAACGATGCTCACTCCCTCTTTGGGCATCAGCTTTTCATACACTGGTCTAATTGGCCATGGCTGACCAGCTCTCTCTGCTTTGCTCCTGGTTGAGAGAAGCAGACGAGTTTGCCACGCTGATGGGTTTTGCAACAAAAGCTCAGTGGGAGAAATGGAGTTGAGGTGTTTGAGTTCGAGCCTCAGAGAGGATTTATTTGTTTGATAATTCTTTCATTCAGGTTCCTTTTTTTTCTTTCTTTCTTTCTTTCTTTCTTTCTTTCTTTCTTTCTTTCTTTCTTTCTTTCTTTCTTTCTTTCTTTCTGTCTGTCTTGTCATCCTATTTGTTTATTTTTCTGGGAACTATCATGTTCGTTCTTTTTCTTGACTGATCAAGTACGAAATCGGGAGGCCGTCTGATTTTTAGTTTTAGATTTTTGATGTCGAAGAATGACGGTGGCGGTAATCTGTTATTTGTTGCGCAATTTACTTTACTCTTGAATATCCAGTCCAAATGAATGTCAGAAACCAGTCAATAGAAGAATTCAATCGTATACTTCGAGCCCCAAGGCCACATTGTTCACCGCCCTCTCCGCCACCGCCTTCCATCAGACCCCAACCTTGCAACAATTCGCTGCCTCTTACAATCAAGACATTGCGTGGTGACACCGAAGTGAAACAGTCTCACGACCCGAACCCCCAGTCGGTCATCATTTATCGAAATCCAATCTCCACTGCTTCAATAACCCCATTTCGCTTCGATCCTCCGCACCCCTCCACACTACCCCTCAACCACACCCAAGCTCCAACGCGACACGCACACAGCCAAAATGTCGATTCCCAATGAAGCTCTGCAGAAGGTGCGTGTTTCCAAAAGCTATCCCAGCACCCTGGGATACAAACTAGAGCTACGGAACGGATCAGGGACTGCCGAGAATAGGTCTCAGCCTCTGATCTCCATCTCGGAGACGTGCCAAAAAACCCGCTCTCAGAATTGTGTCATTTGTATGATCCGTGCAGAGATGCTAATTGGTCTCACTACAGCTCCTCTCGGAGATTGAAACCCGTGCCATTGCTTCGCAGCAGCAAATCGGAATCACCAAGGCCCACATGACAGCCAAGCAGCGCGATATCCGGATGTTGCAGCTTACATCGAAGGAGTTGTCCGAACTGCCTTCTGAGACAAGAGTTTATGAGGGTGTTGGCAAGATGTAAGCTCCTGCCCTTTCTGCTCTATTCTATTCTGTCTTTTTCTTTTCTTTTTTTTTTTTTTTTTGGCTGTCGGATTGCTCTTTCTATGACTTGTTTTGTCCCTGCTATCTTGGTTTTCGATCTCGGAGTTTGAGACTTCAATCCATTTGGGATACTTTCGTTGGTCATGTATTTGGTTATGAGACTAACGTTGGCTACCCTCTAGGTTCGTTAATGTTCCCATCGGTACCGTTAACAAGCGCCTTACACGCGAGAGCGGCGAGGCTAGCGCTGAGATCACCAATCTTGAGAAGAAGCTTCAGTACCATGAGACGACGCATCAGAAGTCCCGGGAGAACCTGGAGCAGATCCTCAAGTCTGGAGGTCGGACGTGAAGTGATATGATCTGATGATGAGAGATGAAAAAGGGTGTGATGCGCCTGATAGGAGCGTATCTTTATACGGGTATCTTCATCCCATAGGCTCGGCAATCTCATGGCCCCACGTTGGAGGACAGACTGCAGTGACTGTCTTTTCTTCTAGGCTGCCGACCAAAAGTGGAGATGGATAAGATGTCTTCATGTGGATATATATATACTCGGCGACATCCAGGATACAGACCGTTCCCCTTCTACGCCCGGCTGGTCTGGTTCTACACATGTATACTTGAGTTGCAGGCTGTGACTTAAATACCCCGGAGTTTTTTGTTTGCTGGAATGTGTTTGCCGGAGAGGATTGTGTTGATTGATGGCCTCTGCCTCTCCCATATCTAGATAGATAACCTTCCGAACACTGACTCGGTATTTGCGCTATCCAGTATGGTTTGATATCAGGACTATCGAGTGCTCGTAGACCGACACCTGTTGGATGCTTCAGTGAAGCTATGACCTTTTTAAAACGATGAGTATGTTCACCAGGCCATGAACATAGCACTGAAATTCTCCCTCTTACTCTAATCCTTGGAATAACCCTTTCACCAACAACAAAATAGCCTCACATTTGACATGTACTAGTTGCATTTTCAAGCAGACCAGTGGGGCCGATCCGGCCTTACCACAAAGCAAGTGTCACTTCATGCAAGGAGAACAGTCCCCAAGCGCCCGTCTCCATTTCCTCGACTTCCAAATACCACATCAGATAGCACTCCGTACAGTCGCCCAAAACTGAACTCCAATCTACAGTCGACTAACTCACGTGGAAGCCAATCCCTGCACGGAGCGCCATTCACGTCATCCGCAAAGTCCACGACAGGAGGGCAACCGAGCCAGTCCCACCCAATATATTAAAAATGACGTACTGTCCACCCCCTTGAATTAGATGATTGAAGGCACTGACGACATCGGGGAGGTGCAGTGTCACTGATGGAGAATTGCAGGGAGGTGTATTCTGTATTGTGGCATACTGTCGACTACAGTACTGCCGACAAGTTATGAGACGGTGTGGCTGATCTGTTGTTGGTATAAGGTGTGGGAAGTGTATTTCTAATTGAACGGGAGATCATTGTCTAGCCCCAGGCATGTTGACTGTACCCTACTGTACTCTATACTGTACACTGCAGTGCAGCGATGAGAGAAAAGCCTCTGATAGGGCTGTCCAGTCTGGGTCATCATGTGCCCATGGGTCACTCACGGGACCACCCGACTCATCCACGGGTTCACGTCGACTCTATACATTACTGTATGTTGGCTGGATATGAAACACCCCTTGGTGCCCGATCCAGGGTTTAAGGATTAGGCGCTTACGGTCTTTCGAGACTAGGGGTCGGACGAAAAGTCACACTAAGAGATTGGGGGCCAGGGCTTGGGTTGGGGCTTGGATTGGGGCTTGGGTTGGCACGAAATGAAAAGAAACGAAATACGACTGAAGGTTACAAGACCAATCTCGAGCTCTGGCCCAGAATAGATCTCAACGGTGTGCGACAAGAACTCCGATAGGAAGAAGTTGGAGTTAGGGTTGGGTAATTTGCGGTCTAGACGGGAACAGGGCGTTGGAGTGGGGTTCGGGGCCTCGATGATGACCTGAAGAAGTGTGTGGGAAAGCGAAAAAGAGGGGAGAGAGAATAGGGTCAATAGAGGGAAACAGAGAGAGAAATAGAAAGAGAGAGGAAAAAGGAAATAGAACATAGAATCGAGGGTATAAAAGAATAGAACAGACCAGAATGGCGCAAAGAGGAATCCCTGAGGCTGAAATGCATATAAAGACCCTCAGCTGAATAAATACCGGTTCTCCTGACGATTTTCTTCTTCTCTTCTTCCCCTCCCCCAATAAGCCGTATAGACGCCCTTTTGGTCTTTGGTTTTCGGTCGATATTCGACATTCGAAATTCCTCGAGACTCGTGCTTGATCGGAGTTTCTCTTTCCCTTTCACTCTCGATATCGGGATACCATCCCCTCCCCCGCAAGGCCCCTCTATCGGGCCCAATCTACACCCCATATCACCACTTTTAAAGAGCAACCCTCCAACCACCCAAAATGCCCAGGGAAATCTGGGACGATGACTACACCTCCGAGGACTCAGAGTTCTCCGAGACAGATGTCTCTCTCCACCGCCCAGGCCGACGAACCCATATCACGCAGCGCTCAAGCTCGCGCCACCACCAAAGCCGGCCAGAAGTAAAGACCTTCCTGGCGCCCGCCCAGCCAACACGAATGCACCGGTCGCACTCCACAGGCGGACGCAGACGAGAGCGCGACCCGCCCCAAACCCCAACGGTCATGATCTTCAACGACCAAGCCCAACGCAGCGAGAACAAGCCCTCCTCGCGACGAGTCCAGCACCGCGTCAGCGAGCACAACGGCAATCACTTCCACGACGAAGACGTCGTGCAAGTCCCGCAGGCCCCACCACCCCCGGCCCCAGTCGTGCAGGTCCCCGCGCAGTCGCCCAGACGCTCGCACTCGCACCGCTCCCGCGAGCGCCGCTACAGCAGCGTCTCGCGCGACGCCTCGCCCATGCAGTTCCACCGCGACTTCGAGATGGCCGCGAACCAGCACATGCTGGAGCGTAACGATATTCGCCAGGACATGGATCTCTGGAAACATCAGCAGGAGATTGAGCGGTTGGAGCGCGAGCTGGCGCGCACGCATGAGCGCGCGCACAAGTCGCAGCCGGCGCCGGCGCCGGCCCCGCCCCCGCAGCTGCCTGTGCAGGTGGTTGATCCGAGGGAGTCGTGGCGGCTGCATGAGGAGGAAGAGGCGTATGAGGCGGAGATGAGGGATCGGTTGAGGAAGCTTGATCGGTATGAGCGTAAATATCGGGATGAGGCTAGTCAGCGAGAGGCGGAGGAGAGGCTGAAGCTGAAGAGGTTTGAGGAGGCGCAGCGGGCTGCGGCGGAGGAGGAGGAGGTGAAGCATAAGCTGAAGGAGGAGAGGTTGAAGGAGATTGCACGGCTGCAGGAGGAGAAGGAGGAGGAGAGGACCCGGCTTGTGCGGGAGGAGAAGTTGAAGGAGATTGCGCGATTGCAGGAGGAGAAGGAGGAGAGGGATGAGCTTGTGCGGCAGATTAAGGAGGAGGAGGCGAGACAGGCTAGGGAAGCTGCTGAGCAGAGGGCTAAGGATATGGCTATGAAGGCTGCTGCTGTTGAGGAGTGGAAGCTTGAGCAGGAGAGGATCAAGCAGAGGCAGATGGAGGAGGCTGCACGGAAGGATAAGGAGTTCCGTGATCGCTTGCGCATTGAGTTTGGCTATACTGAGGAGGAGATTGAGGCTATTCTCAAGAAGAAGAACAAGGAGGAGAAGAAGGAGAAGAAAGAAGAGAAGAAAGAGGAAAAGAAGGAAGAGAAGAAGGAGGAGAAGGAGAAGACCACCTGGATCAAGGTATGTATATCCATCTTTCTTCTTTTCCTTTCTGATGAGACTAACTGTCTATCAGGTTCATCGCAAGCACTTGCTGCCAGAGACCTTGATCGCCTACGGTCTTCCCTGGGACTGGGATGAGGTAAGAGAAACATACAACGTACCTTCGTCACGATATGCTAACCCTAAACCTCCACAGCATGACTCCGAATACATCATCATCAAAAAATGGATCACCGAGGACCTTCAAGAGGAGCTCTTCGCCCACACTATCCGCATCCGTCACCAGAAGGAAAACCAGAGAGTCATCGCCCAGACCTCCCACTCAATGACCGAACTGAGAGTCAACGACCGCAACAAGGACAAGATGTTCCTGGTTCGGAAGAAGAGCCCTAAAAGCCGGCTGCGCGTCTTCGCCTAAGAGTCTCTTTGGGTTTGATACGATTGATGTCTGTTGATTTACGCCCGTTTTATTCCCGCCTATACTGTGCTGTCCGGGGGGTTTGTTCCTCCATGATCAGGGTTGATATGATTGCTTTTTGAAATTGTGTTGAGCTACGATTTGTTCCGCCTGCTGGTTTTGTTTATTCTTTTATGTTGTCGAACGTGCGGTTAGTAAAGTAACGCGATATGAGTTTATGACTTGATTTCTTATTCGTCTTCGTGCTTCTCTCTGTTGATTTCATCCATAGTTGCTCGATCTATGTACCTAGTCAACCTTGCCTGTCAATTAACAGTTTGGTGACGATCTCGGATACACGTAGAACTTCTGCTCAGCACAGTAGGCACCTAGGTAGTATGTTGAGAATTTGTCAGGTCTCAAGTGAGGACAGAAAATTGATGAACAGCATGCACATATGCACACATGCACACATGCACAGAAGTCGATCAATCTACATTTTAAAATTCCCATTGGACCAAGCCCAATGCAAGGTATGCACATGCGCAGCCGGGCACAGACGCGAAGTAGAGCTCTCGATTTTGGGCTATTATACAAAAGTGGAATGGGTATGTATACAGGGGAAGTGTAAGCACACAATGGCAGACAAAACGCAAGTCTAAAGACCCATCTGGTGATTGCTCTCCAGGCGTTTCTCAGCGCGCAGAATAAGTTCCTCATAGACGGTCCAGGCAAGCGCGGAGCTAATGGCTTTGCGAGCCATGCGGAGACCAAGTCCACCAAACAGACTGCGCATGCCATCTTCCTGCAGCATCAGTCGCGTGGCATGCACCATGTTCTTGTACTTGGCGGGCATTAATTGCAGGCGGGTCTTGACAGCGTCAAAGGGGTTGGTGATGGCGGTTGCCATACCGGCTGCTGCTGCGCCGGAGGCGAAGTTGATTGAGGAAGAGGATACAGTTGTGGTTGGAGTTTCATTGTTGGTGGATTTGGTGGCCATGAGGGAGAAGCGGCGCTTGAGCTGTTCGTAGAAGAGGACGTAAAGACCAGCGTAGGGGGCATCGCGTGCGGCTGTGGCGCCGAATCCTGCAAAGAGACCGCGGAGACCTTCAGTTCGCACAATATCTCGTCCTGCGCCTAGTAAACTCCGGTATGCGTAGTAATCAGATTCGTAGCGAACTTTGAGTACCGTCACGGGCATCATCACGAAGCCCGCAGCCACTCTTGCAACAGCGCCCGTGGTTAGATTGGCTGTATTTGAAAGTTTGGGGAGGACGGAGGAGGATTTGACCGCATTTATTGGGCTAGTCAAGGCCATGGGGTTGGTCTGCGCGACTGCTTGACGGAGAGCATTGAGACTGGTGAAATAGAGCGCAGAGCCGAAGCCTGTGCGGAGGGCTGAGGGAAGGGTACCACGCCATAGTCCACGGATTGGGTTTGGAGAGGAGATGATTGCTTTCAAGGTTGGAAGGAGAGAGGCACCCTGGGATTGCTGGACTCGAGTTTTGAGGAGATCGGCGGGTTGGAGGAGGATGGAAGATGTGAGGCCAGAGCAAAGACCAGCGGCAAAGTGAAATGGGGTTTTGGAAGCTGCAACCGATCAGTATTTAGCAGGGCACATCACTGAGGGTTTGACCGAGGCATACCTGTCGATGTGCTGGTTTTCACCCGCGGCACTGCTACCGCATTATTGTTTGACATTGTGCTGTTCCAACCGTTGGTATGGAGTTCAATGTGACCAAAATAATGATTAGGTGAAGAATAGAGGTTTCGATGCCAGATCGAAATTAAGAGTCGCGTATGCAAGGCGGGATGGTAGCCGGATGCGTACAAAAAAAATAGAGCGAAACCTCGAGATGGCAAGAGCAAGACAGTGAAGGATCCCCCAGACCACAGCCGTCACAATCAGAGATGAACAGTGTGCATTCCACCTGGGAATGAGCGAAATTGAAAATATGAAGCAATTGTCAACCTCGGAAGAAAGAGGCTCGGAGTGAAGTCATCGGGATCTGCGACTGATAAGCCTCACCGCTGTATACACCGCCTTACTGGCTACACCGCAGGGTCTTTCGATAGGCGTAGACGCGAACTATGCAGAGATCTTCATCTGCAGTGGGAAAGGAATAGGTTAGGGTTAAATGACATTGCACACTGACATGAGTGATCACCCTAAAGTAACGTAGGTCACTATTGGGTTGAGTCAGGGTCTAACGCTTATAGATGCGGCTCACACTAGACCCAGACCTATACCATACCCTGTAGATCTGTAAGTCTATGTTTATTTGTCTAGTCTAGCCTGACGCATCCAAATAAACAGACACATCCACAGTCATACTGAAACCAACCGTCCAAATCCCAAAGAAATGCCGCAAACAGCCCGGCATGGCGCGGACTCGGGCAGCCAATCAATTGCCGCCAATTGGGGGGATGATAATCGACGTCATGTCTTGTTTTCCCTTCAACTTCACTTTTCCCCCAAATAAAGACCTGAGATCTCTGATGGCTTGGTTTCTGCCCCATTTCCCCTATCCGCCTGCAAAGGATGGGTACTGGGAGCCGGTCACCTCTACCCTGAACTGGTGTGAAGAGGTATGTCAGGCAATGGCGGGACACAGATGGAGTGTAGCTAACAATACTCCTCCAGGACTACTATGCCACTGAATACTCTGCTGAGATCGTCAACACCCTCACAAATCTGATGTTCATGTGGCTAGGATTCAAGGGCATTCGCAGTTGTATTCGCAATGGACATGACCAGATCTTCATCGTCTCTCTGCTAGGCTACCTGGTGGTCGGAACAGGAAGCTTCCTCTTCCATTCAACACTGAAATGTAACTTCCTTCCCGTCCTGCCCCAAAGGGTCGAGTCAAAACGTGACGACCGCAAGACAGAGCATACATCACGAGGGCCAAGCTAACCATACCCCACCAGATCCTATGCAGCTAGTTGACGAGCTCTCCATGATTTACACGACCTGTCTTATGTTCTACGCTTCATTCTCGTACTCGCGCTCGGTAACCTTCCGAGTCTGGCTCGCCGGTTCTCTGGCCGGCCTAGCCGTCTTCATCACTCTATACTACCACTACCTCCAAGATCCAGTCTTCCACCAGAATGCCTACGCCCTTTTAACAATCGTTGTGGTCTTCCGGACTATGCATACCATGGAAGTAACCCTGCGACCAAAGTGGCGCCACTCAACTGAAGAAGACCGTCTGGAGCGTCAGAAGAAGGGTCTCCCTGTGCCAACCAAGGAGCGCCAACACTTCGAGAACGTGCGCGATATAAAGACTCTCCATACTATGTGGTTCATGGTTTGCTATGGATTGTTCATGTTCCTAGGTGGGTTTGCTATCTGGAACTTGGACAATGTGTTCTGTTCGCAGGTTCGGCGGTTGCGTCACCAGGTCGGCCTGCCCTGGGGTCTTGTTTTGGAAGGTCACGGTTGGTGGTATGTTCAACCTAACCATGTCTTTTGCTTAAAGAAAGAAATTCTGGATGTCGGCATCCCGCTAACAACTACCGTATAGGCACATCATGACTGGACTTGGCGCATACCTCTACATCATTTGGGGCATCTGGCTCCGACACTGCCTCAACAACCGCCAGGACGAGTACTACCTGCGCTGGGCGCGCTTCTGGCATATTCCCGAAGTTGTCCGTACCGCCGACAGTATCACTCCAGAGAAGAAGTCAACCTGAAAAGGTCCGGCTGGTTTTGGTGTGTTTCTCGCTCTCCTATCTTCCCGTCGGTGTATTTGATTCACTTCAGTGCTTATGCCTGGGGGCGATATAACAGGACTTTGCAAATGATCATGATCTAGATACCACGCCCCTTCCTCTCCCTCTCATTCCTTTTTGCTGTGAGACTCGGGGCATTTTTGATTTTTTTCGATTCTTGGCGTTTTTGACTCGTCCCTGAGACGAAAGTTTATTGTCTTTTCTTTATTTTTGGTTTCGCTCTGGTGCATGAAGATACCTTTTGGTTGAGGCGTGAGGAGGGTCGAGTCGTTGCTTTAGATGGAAAATCGGATCGGACTTGGATTCTGCATCCAGCGTCTTTGGTAGGATACGAATTGGAATAGAAAATATCCCACGATGCAAAAATAAACAGTAGTCTTCATACTTCTAGCTCTTGTTGATATTGATGATTTATTAACGAACCTCAGTCCCCATCTACGTATACGTGAGACCCTCACATCACAATATATCAAGTCTGAGGAGACAGCGTAGTTGCAACTTGTTTTCATGACATATTATATTGTGCTCGCTTCTAGGAGCGCTCGATCAAAAAAAATTTCTGGCTGTAATTATGAGAGGCAACTGTAACAGATTGGGTCTGTTGAGATTTATGTATGTTTCTACGGCAGAAAAGAAGTAGGCAGGACATTATCAAGTCCCTAATAGTTAACCGTTAATGCTCTAAGTGAAGGGTGGGCTGATCCCTGAGCAACTATGAGTGTTTAGGCGCTCTCTAAGCACTCGGTGACCAGGGGACTAAGATTCTGGTATAACCTTGGAAAGAATGCTTAAATTGGCGTCGAAGGTAGTCATTTTCGGCGCTCAACTTACCGTCACCTAGCGTTGTGATGTAGTCTTGTTCTCTAGACAATGTATATATGTAATAGTGTAGGTTTAAATACAGTATAATCCGCTATATCATGCATGCATGGTCCACTCAAGAACTGGGGTATGAAGAAGCGAATATCAGAAACACAGAAAGACAAGTCCACATCTTCCCTCTCAAAGCTTTGCCTCAACCTTCTTAGCCCTCCTAGCAGGAGCAGGAACCCTGTCCAGCCACTCCTTATCAACAGTGACCTTCTCAATCTTAGACTTCCGACTCCAAACAGCACGGAAACTCTCCTCCTCATCCCTCCAGCGCCCCAACTCAGGCGCAAGCCAAGCAACAGCAGCATCAGCACACTCATCCACAGCCTCCTGGGCAAGCAAATGCCCAAACTCCTCCAGGAAAACATCCCTCACCCGCCCAGCTGCAACACCCCCACTGCCACCAAGTCCAGTCCCCGTGTTTGCCAGCTTGTCGGCACGCATAGGCGGCAGACACATATCACTCTTACCGGCGAAGATGTAAAGCACACTCGGACGCAGATGTGGGAGTTGAGCGAAGATGCGCGCTGGTTCAGGCCTGTAGAATGGATATGTGTCTGGGTGGTCGGCATCTAGGTCTGGGTGTGTGACGCGGTTGACGGGATCTGGGGAGCCTGGAATGTGGGTGTAGTTTGGTCGGGAGAAGGTAAATACTTCTTGATGCAGGGGTGTGCGGAGGGTGACGGGGGGATTGTATTTGTCTGCGTTTGGGGGCAGTGGGTGGATTGCTGTTGGGAGATCGCGGAGGCCGTATTTTACCCAGCGGTCCAGCACACGGGGGTTCCAGGTTTTGTAGAAGGGGCTTCGTTGGAAGCTTTCCAGTGCTGCTTTGCGGGAGGGCCAGATCTCGCGCCGGTGTGTGGATAGTTGGGTTGTTTTGGCTATTTCACGCTTGTTCTGGAGCAAGCTTAGGCCGTCTAGTTGGGTTGTTTGGCGTTGAATCACTGGGTCTAGGAGGACTAGGGTGTGGATAAGACGGGGGTGCATCAGGCAGAGTTGAGTTCTGGAGAGGTTGTTAGCGATATAGAGAGCGCTGATGTATGTCAGGTTGAACTTACAGATGAGCGCCGCCCATGCTGTGTCCAATGCCGACGATGGGCCGGGGCATCTCTGCCCTCTTGACATTGACCAGGTGGAGGAGGTCGCGCGGGTGATCGAACCAGCTAGCTGTGTTATAGTTAGCAGGATAATCTCGGTTGCAAGAAGTCCAGTTGCATACGATCGTTCCCTAGCGAGTCTTCATTGATCACGCTGCTCTCGCCTTCTTGCGCGACATCAGCCATCCAGATACTGCGGATGCGGAAACCATTCTGCTGTGATCGCGCGTGTATTTCTTCCCAGAGAGGTTCATAAAGCTCCTGAGGAAATTGTCAGTATATCGTGAATCGGCATTTGCGCATCATGTCAAACGCGCAGCTCCGAGAGGGGATCGGAGCTGGACCTCGGCATTTTGCTACACACCTTGGGGAAGCCATTCGCGTGTGCAGCAAGGATGGTCACATCGCCTGGTTGTGGGTTGGGGTTGTCGAGGGGAATGTATTGTTTCACGGCCAGTTGCAGGGGTTCTTCTTGCTCGTTGGCTGTCGCGCCGGGATATTCCCTGATGTGCTGGCTTGGTATGACATGTTGGACGATGCGAAAAGGGGAGGACATGATGGGCAGTGTCCGAGAGTGAAAAGAAACACAGAGGCACACAGAGAGAGAGAGGGACAGGGACAAAGAGAAAGAGCGAGGTTTATTCTGTAGATGCGCAAAAGTCTGGGGACAGTAAATTTCCGAGAGACCGCGGTTCTGCGGGGAGCCGAGGGATCTTGGGAGTTTGCGCTGGTTAACTGCCGATTTGACCATATTTACGAACTGCAGTAATTGGCTTTCAATACAGACTATTTGTATTTACGATGCTCTCAATATTGGCGGAGCGTCTATGTTTAGTTAATTCATTACTTCTTGGTCTTTTTTTACTTCTAGAAAGTCGTGGGTATGGGGATATCTACACCACTCTAACACTTTGACACTAAGGAATAGATCAGCCATGAAAAGCCATTACTTATTCGCGTGCGCTAATTCATTTAATCCTGAAAAAAAAGATCCTGTCAGTGTTCATCAGGTGAACCCCCGAAGCAAAAGAGGCAAAATATCTATTTACTATTCGGCGCTGAGAGCGAGACAGGCATCCACAGCGAGGCCAACCCTGCCAATAGTTAGCTTCAATTCAGAAGAGCATTCACAAAGTGAACACAGAGCACTCACCTGCCCTGTTTGATCTTGACGACATCGTCGATGACGTCCTTGTCCAGGTTGGGGAACATGTTAGAAAGTGTCTCGACAACATTTTTATGTTCTTTGCGCTGGATACGGCGCGCCTCGGCATCTTCAGCACTAGCCTGGCGAGCTGCCGCATCCTGGGCATCGAGCACACGAGTCAGGTTCTTCTTGGCGGATGCTCCGCTGCCATGGCGGATAGGGCCGGAGCGCTCATCTCCAGAGCGACGGCCTTCTTCACTACTTGCGCGCGGAGGTTGGTAGATGTTTGGGGTGAGACGTGGTGGAGCGACTCCAGGCTGAGGGGTGGGGACGGGTTGGGGGCGGTCTTGAGTTGAAGAACCTGCGTCGCCTTCGTCGGAGAAGATGCGACCGATGGTGGAGAGAGGCTTTTGAATGGTGCGGAGTAATCCTGCGACAGGGGCGGAGGTTTCATCGTCGCTGGACTGGGAGGCTTCTTTGCGGCTGGAGCTGGCTTGAGGTTGGGGAGAGGGTGAGGTGGAGGTCCGTTTTTGGAGGGTTTCGGATTCACGATTCTGTTCTGCCATGGCAGAAACGGCAGCCTCGACCTTGGTTTCGAATTCTTCATCGCTGACGGTTAAACTGGTTCGGTCGAGTGTCTCAATGAATTGGATGGCTCCAGACTGGAATCGGTCAGTTTGATAGGCCGTAGAACACACACAAGAGATATGTGGAGGATAAAAACATACCAAAGACGACAGGTAGTATCCTGCTTCCCCGCCAAGTTTGTCTTGATTGCGGAATCTTAAAATGTATTGAATATTGGAGACGAGATGATCCGGGTTTGCATGTAAAACAACATAGATCAAAAGAGGGATGAAGGAGTCGGCAGACGTATCGGCCTTTTTAGTATTCTTCAAAAGACCAAAGATGACCTTGCAACAATTGAGAATGCAGATCACCTTGTCACGAGGGGCTCGGTAGCCATTAATTTTTGAAATTTCTATAGAGAAAGTCAGATAAGTCCGCGAAGGTCAGGATGTATGCATACCTTGCTGCGCCAATGTCAAGAAACGGCGTCCACCACCACTCACAGGCGGAATATCGAGATGTGCTTCACTGACCCAACTATAGATGCGAATCTTCTGGGCCAAGATGTCGTCTCGTTCAATGTCCTCTTGGTGCTGGCCTCGCCGCCAGGGCCCATGAAGCCGCTCAAGCTCTCTCCTTCGACTCCGACTTGCGCTTCTAGGTATTGTTGGAGGAGCTGGGATGGCCGGCGCGAAAGTCTGGGAGTATAAGCGGTTCATAACAAGCTTTTCCATGCCTTCTTTGGCATTGTCGAACTCGCTATCTGAGACATCGCGCCAAATTTCGCATACCGCCATTTTATTCGTAATAAAGGTCAAGAAATCACTGATAATTTTGACTTGTTCATGGACCATCCATTGCTTCTTTCCAAACTCCATAAGGAATGAGCGCAAGAACTTGGCCACCGGGTCGGCGGTACGGTGACGCAGTTGTTCAAGGAACCGGTGAAAATCAAAGGGTTGGTCTGATTCAGGCTCCGGCATTGGTGGAACAGTCGAGGTAGATGAACGCCGGGTTGACATCGACTCGTCATGGGCAACAGACTTGTGAGATACTTTAGGTAATATCTGGCTCTCCGGGGATGTGCCTATAGGAGAGGCTGCAGACTCAGGCTGGGGAGCAGGGTCAAGACTCGATTTGCGCGGCGGGAAATAATTAGGACCGCGGAACTGATCAGCAAGCTCGAGTCGAGGAGACATGATTTCTTCTTGGTCGGTGCTTCGCGCAGGGTCCTGGAACTGTCCCATAATGTTTTGGATCTCTGGTTGAGAATCATTATCCTCTCGAGTTTCTTCGCCTTGACCAGTCTGGTTTGTCTCTTTTTCATTCTGGCTGGGCACATCTGGGAGCTCTTTCTCGGGGCTGGCGGAGCTCGTATCGATAGGCGGAAGTGTTCGCGTGGGCCCGGTGCCGGTTGAGTTGAGGTATACATCGTCTTTTTCGGGTGGAGTAGGGGGAAGAGGAGCTTTGGAGCTGGGTGACTGGTCTGACATAGTCTGTCCTGAGATCGACAAGCTTTCCATCTGCCCCGCAGGTGGCTCTTGATCAAGTAAGGATGAGGGTTGGGGGGCTGTTGTCAAGGGTTTCGGAGCGGACTTCGAGGTAGAAACTGATCCAAGTGGCTCATTCGCCTCTTCCGGACCCATGTCGCCGGGTTGGTTGTTATCTGGATTCAAGGATTCCTCCTGTGCTTGGGCAGACGGATCGGTTGGAGTAGCTGCTACTACCGTCTCAACATCTTCGTTATCATGGGGGTCCTTCTTCTCGAAAGACTGAGATGTCGAGGATTCTGGGGCCGACATCTGTGGTCTTCATATGCGCCAGGGCAAAAAAGGGGTGTTTTTTCAGGGGCTTAAAGACAACGAACATGCGCTATCATGAGGCTCATGTTGATGCGCGGATCATCGTTCAACCGATCTGCGCCTGGGGTGTCAGGTGTCAACTTCACTCGCCAATATTTATAAGACGGTAAAGTAGGTTTATCTCTTGAGACAACTCTCTTGAGATGAATTCTCTGTCCCGTAAGTTTTCTAACCAAAGCAGTCAGTTGAACGCAATTTTGATTGTTGAGAGGAAAGTATACATATGACTAAGTGATGGCCTGAGGCACCATTTCGGCCATAAAAAGCTGCTCGACTCCAACCCCAATCAACAAACCTCCTTTTCCCTGTCACTGCCATGTGTGGGATTTTCTTCTCGTTGAGCTCATCATGCCTGACACCGCCAACACAGGATACTTGCAATCTGCTTAAACAGCGAGGCCCAGACAGTTATAAGACTCACACGTTGCAGAAAGATATCGAGGCTCAGGTTGGATCAGCTTCACCCCTTTCTTATTACCTTAGCTTCACATCGACAGTCCTTTCCTTGAGAGGTAACCATGTGTACACTCAACCACTTGTAGACCCCGCAACCCAGTCTGTGCTCTGCTGGAACGGAGAGGCCTGGAAGATCAGCGGGGAACGCGTCGAAGGCAACGATACCGAGCGTGTGTTCAACTTATTTCTGCAGGCAGCTCAATGTGAATCTAGTGATGCTGTCGAACGAATGAACAAAGCCATTGAAAGTCTTCTTGGGCCATTCGCCTTTGTGTTCTACGATGCGGTTCACTCAAGAGTCTTCTACAGCAGGGATTGTCTTGGGAGAAGATCCCTTCTCGAGGGATTCGATGAACAGGGCAACCTGAAGATCTGCAGCATTTGCGATAGCTCATCAATTTCCTGCTTCAAGGAGGTGGGTACAGAAGGCGTTCATATGATTAATCTCGAACGCCCTCAAGATCCTTCGGCTTCTCCTAGAAAGCTATTCCAGATACAGACCTTGCCGTGGAGTTCAGATGCTTCACTACCGGCAGGTCATATTGTACGTACTCAGGCTCGGGTCAACGGAACGACCACTGACGTTATACAGAGGAAACCAATTCCCCCAATGAACACAACTCTGCCAGCAGAGCAGCCCCCTGCACTGACAACAGACTCCCCTTTTTTGTCGAGGAGCTTGAGTCAAGGCTACGCCAGTCCCTGGAACTGAGGATACAGAATGTGCCAGAGCCGCCAAATCACCTTCCAGGCAAGACAGCGAAATTGGCAGTTCTCTTCTCTGGTGGCTTAGACTGTACACTCCTTGCAAGACTCTCTCACGACATCATTCCTCTCGAAGAACCAATTGACTTGCTCAATGTGGCCTTTGAAAACCCAAGGGTGGCAGCAGCAGCAGCAAAAGCCAACCGACAAAACTCATCATCGCCATCACTCTCAATATATGAAAACTGTCCAGACCGAATGACCGGCCGTTCGGCACATATCGAACTCCAAAAGTCGTGTCCTGGACGCACCTGGCGATTCATTGCCATCGATATACCCTATTCTGAAACCCTCGCACACCGTGAGCAAGTCAAGCGTCTAATGAGACCACACAACACTGAAATGGACCAATCTATCGCATGTGCCTTGTACTTCGCATCTCGTGGAGAAGGAACATGCCAAACCAGCTCAACTGACCCGCAAGCACAACCATCACCTTACACAACTTCCGCTCGCGTCCTGCTCTCAGGTCTCGGTGCAGATGAGCTCTTCGCCGGCTACGGCCGTCATGGCGTTGCATTCAATCGTGGTGGATTCCAAGACCTCATCTCGGAGATAAACCTTGATGTCAGCCGTCTGGGCTCGCGGAACCTCGGCCGCGATGATCGCGTCCTTTCCCACTGGGGCCGAGAAACTCGATTCCCGTACCTGGATGAGGAGTTTGTGGCGTGGGTGTCGCAGGCCCCGGTGTGGGTCAAATGCGGATTTGGGCTTCCTAAGACTGATGTTACGGCTGATATTGATTCTGAGAAACTGGCCTTGCGACTTGTTGCCCTTCGGCTGGGCTTGTCCAAAGTCTCTCGTGAGAAGAAACGGGCCATTCAGTTTGGGGCTAGGACCGCGAAGATGGAGACGGGCAGGTCGAAAGGCACGGATGCCTTGAGCTGACATCAACTTGCCTTGGTCATTCTCTTTCTCTGCTCCACCTTCTCCTTCCACGCCTTAGCTACATTTAAAGAACTTTTTTTTCTTTTCTTCTTTCTCTACCTGCCCGTCTCCCCAAATCTCCCTCTCTCCCACTGACCCCCCTTCCTTCCTATACACTCGATGCCATGAACCACCTCTCATGATGACACAAAACAGAAACAGATACTTCCGAAACGAATCCAACAAATCCTGCCACCACCCCCATTCTAAACGAAGTCCAGAAAAGCCATTTCCCCTCTCACAACCCACAAGGAATGCCACTTCAAAAACACAAACGCCTCAGAGCCCTCTCTCTGTCCCATCTGTCCCTTTTCGTTCAGTCATAGAGCAACAGCTGTCTGACAGCGTGGGGCTCATGCCGAAAGAAATTGGGCAGGGGTGGTAGGAAGAGGTGTGAAAGCTGTTTATGTTCTCCAGTGGTATCTTTGTGGATCTTGTCGAGGGGGGGTTCTTGGTGGATCTGGATGGATGGTTGGGGCTGTGGTGGGCTAGGGAGATTGGAGGAGTTGATGAGGTCTTTAAAGGCAAGTCTGATTTGGTTTGGTTCATGCTCTTCTACACCGATATGCACTGCACTACACCTACACCTTCACCTATATCACTTTCAACAGATTAGACGTCTCTTCTCTCGCCACTGGGTATTACTTGTAGGTGCTCAAGTGGACTTCAGGAACGTATGTAGAAGTATGCCCTCACTTGATATACTGTCGTGATGGCCCAACGTCTATTGCGACGCTACACCATATGACCTACATGAAACATTCGTCAAGGGGTTTGACTTGGGAGTGATGATTTCTCCTCATACACCCATCCGGCTCTGGAACTTAGCAATCGAGACCGGTATGATCCAGACAGGACAGTGATGCAAAACAATCGCGTCCGTCAACACTCAACCTCGTTGCACTAGGAACTTGCTGGGTCGGTCCGCGTATCAAATACCGCTTGATATGGAGGACCACGCCAAATGCAGTGATTTATACTCGATTGATCTACTGAAGAAAGTTTACAAGGGATAGATGATACTGTAGGTGTGATAATAAAGCAGAGAATTGATTGAGTCAAAAGCAAATACCATATTAAGAGCCACGAGTCAATCCCAACACCCAGGGTGAGGGAGACAATCAGAACCGGCCAAACAAGAAAACCGAGAGCGGTTTTAAAAATAATAATAATAGCAAAGACAGATATACTGATAAGAAAAGGAAGCAAAAACACGAGGACGTGTATGATAAACGTCTCAAACTTTTAGAGATCCAGATGCAAAGCAAACTGGTATCTCGGTGAGACGTCGAGGCAAGGCTTAACCCTTCACCCGCGCCCACCACAGAACCCTGAACGGGTCGACATGAACCAAAGCCGAAAAGACAGGAAACAGAAACATATTTTAGAAAGGAAGGCAAAGCATCATGATCATTGGAAGGTATTTTGGATCTGGAGTTGAGCCTTGAGCCGGGCAATCTCATCGTCACGAGCGGCGATGATGTCCCTGAGCTCTTCGATTTGACGCTCGGAGACGGCTTGACGCTCCATCTTCTTGGCGCGAGACTTACGAGCGGCCTCGGTGTTACGGGCACGCTTGGCTGCGATGGGATCGGCAGGGTCAAACTCGACGGGGCTCAAGTTCTTGCGCGAGCGAGCGCCGACTCCAGAGATGCTGGAGTGCTTGACACCGCCGGAAGCGGGGATAGGCGACCCCCGAGCGGGAGAAGAGTGCTTGAGCGCAGGCGACGCAGGAGACGAAGGAGCGATGGAGACACGGAGAGAGGGCTTCTTGGGCTGTTCGGCAGCAAGAACGGCTGCGACGTCAAGGGAAGCGACATCGAAGGCGTTCATGTGCTCTGAGCCGTCAAAGAGAGATGGCCATTCCTCGTGTCCAACCAAGTCCATGTCGGTGAACATGGGCGAGGTGTTCTGAGAGAAGTTGCCGGGTGACTCGAAAGACGGGGTGCTCAAATCAGTGAATGTGCCTGAGGGAGGAACGGAGCTGTCCATCATGAGGTCCTTGGGAGAGATGGTGCCAGGAGGACCAGCGAACAGTTCGTCATCACCCAGAGGGATGCTGTCGAAAGCGAGGGGAGAATCCATGCCGTGGTAACCACCGGCAGAGGGAAGACCGAAAAGGTCGTCGTGAGGGGCTTGGGTAAAGTTAGCGATGAGGTCGCACGGATAAGGCGAGATATATGGTAAATTACCTTCCATGAAGTTGGGAGTAGACATGATGCGGCGATATGTTTGAATATTGTGTTGTTGGTTCGAGGCCTGACCGTTGAATAGCGGGATCGGCGGACGGTTGGTGTGTGGAGAATTGGAAGGCACAGAAGCCGCGTGACGACGGGTGTGCTTGAGCGTGGGGTGGGACCAATAAGAGGGAGACCGGGCAAGCTGGGTCACTCTGGGATCTGGAACAGGGGAACCAGAGAGCTGCTGCTGAAGGTGTCGGTGCAACTGCAGGTTGAAGGAGTTTCGTCGAGAATTGTTCTGCGCCAAGAATGGCTGGAGAGCAGATGGTCTAAGGGTTGTGTTCACGGTCGGAGCACGCGAGTCTCTGGGAGGCTGCGGTCTGGGAGCGGATGGATAGAGCACAAAGTCCGCTGGGGCACTGTTGTTGCTGCTGCTGTTGTTGTTGCTGTTGTTGTTCTGATTGGAAGCCAAGGGCTGGGTGTGCGGGGGCGAAGGAAGCCATGGTTGCTGTTGGTAATCCGTGGTGAACGACGAAAAGTCGAACGGGAAAGAGTTGTTGGGGGAAGAACTTGAGCTACGCGAAGCGATGCTTAAGTTCAGAGGTCCTGGGACAGGAGACTCTGAGGGGTGAATTGTTGAAGAAGAGGGTTGGGTTCCGGTTGGAAAAATAATGTCGTTCTCTGTTGAGAAAGACTGGCTAGAGCGAGAGAGGGAGCTTAAAAGACACCCATTGTGACTGAAAGTATGTTGATTATAGTTGTAGTCAGATGGCAATTTGGCGGTTGGTGTAAATGTGGGATGTGATAAAAGAGAAGCGGGTATGGAAAAGAAAGAAAAAATCAGGCACTCGCGGGGACTCAGGCACTTCTTAAGCGTTTCGGGCTCAGTGTGCGTCGCTGACCAATCGGGGACCAGAGCCGCACGGGGCTGAGGGATGGAGAGGTCACGGGGTGTGAGTCACAGCCCCATTGAGGCTTGTGATTGGCTGACTGGCGACGATTCCCAGGCATCCATCCAGGAGACCGTCCTGTACATGTACCTTGGGATACCTGTGCATCCGGCATTTCTTACTTGCAGTAGAGGTATCTACAGGTACTCCACTCACCCCCTATACTGTGGTCCCATGGATATTTGATGCCATCCGTGTGGTTATTTTCAATTCTAAATGTCTAATTCAAAGCCATTCTACAACCATTGTGATCATAATTATTACCCCTCCTCTGTTTTATGTGTGCTGACTGAAACCCTCCAGACTCCAGAATGACGCTGAGTAGATAAGGACTCCACCGATCTTTTCCCAATTGTGTCCCCGCGGTGGGCTGTGTCCATGGCCCGTGTCCTATAGAGAGTCCGCCTTTTCCTTAGCCTTGCCGAAGGGCGTAAATTTGACTTTGGACATTCTCCATCGGATCCGGAGTTGATCTAGTTAACTCCGGTCTGACCGTGAGAGCATTTGCTCCCTGGGTATGCTGAGGGAAGCCTCTGTGGGTTCAAAGGGCAATTTCGGGTTCGCGTTTCAAAGAGAGAAGAAAAAAAACAAGACCCATCAATATCGGTTGCGCTTGCTGGTTCAGGACTCGTTCCTGAAGCTAAGTCCTTGGCGAGAGCAGCCCTCGCGGTATCACACCCGTTTAGCGGTTACGTTTTTCCGCTAGGTCGTGTTTCGTGTTTGGTTTACTGGCCATGGGCCTGGAGGGGCCGGACCGGCGCCGAATCGGGAGCCCGCTATCGACTGGATGAGTAATGGGCATGACCATGCATATGCCTCTTCTCTGGCTTTGTATATGACGGTTGCTATTGACCGGAACAATCAGCCACCGATCTATGTCTTATGATGTTTCACTTGGGTGTTCACAATAAGCCACTGTGGTGCGCAGTGGATCCCAAACTCCTGCTTTTGTACGAACTATGCATCTCTGCCCATGGCTTCTGGGAAAAAAAGTCTATTGATCCAAATACGCATATCTCGTACCATATATCCTCAACAGCTCAGGCCCACTCATACTAAACCGTATGCCCAGGAGAGCGGCATGGGGTGGGACCTGAACAGTTGACTTGATGAGGGTTCTAGAAGCCTGCCTTGAGGATACCCAGGCTAGCAGCTCAGTATTCACTATCGAAGCAGTCGGGCTTATTAGTCCAGACTTAATACTCGGCCTGCAGTATGATGACGATAGCTAATCTAGAGAATTAGGCATCCCATCTATCCCCCTTCATACCCCAAAATGCCATGATACACCCCCTCCCCTTTCTCTCTATTCGTGCATATATAACGCAGTGGTCTAGCCTGACTCCAGGCTACCAAGAACTTGCAGCCAACAACAAGGCGACTGGCACCGCACATGCCGAGATCCGATCGATCCGAAGCTTGAAACTAGACCACCGTCTCCAAGAGCCGCAAGCACAGACACATATGTACGTGGCATAACCGTCCTCGTTGAATCTGGGAGCCTACGCACTGGTACATGAAGGATCTCGTGGACAAACAGTGCTGGACAAGAAGTACCTGCAATGGGTCTGTTCAAAACACAATGAGGACGGAGTGTCAGTATTACATAAAAGCCTCTCAGATGCCGTAGGCAGACGACATCAAAGATCCAAAGCGAAATATGCAAAGAGGCAGATGGGCAGACAGACCAGATCAGAAATAAAATAATCGAGTAAATTACATGGCCTGTGTCGGCGTCGTTGGATGCATGGCAAATGCTTCAGCATAAATTTTTTGCTCATACATGATCCTCGTTGCATATCATCCCCGGATTTAACGGTCAGGTCACATCCAACGCATCTCGATGGAGTCACTGATGGATCGACTGCCGCATTTCTTGCATTGGGGCCCTGCAGGGGGTTCCCACAGGCGGTGCATCGGACCCATATAAGATCACGGGTGTACCCGTCGACGGTGATGTCAATCAAGACTACGAGAGGAAGCTTATCGGGCCAAGATCATGCCCAGAGAATATGACTAACATGAGAATGACGGGAGGAGTATGTTACGAAAACAAAACTAAAGAGATTCTATTAAGTATTACCTATCGCAAGGTGTGCCACGTCAACGGGCGGGAAATAAACCAACCGTTGGGAACAGGTACAACGGTAGACAACATTAGAGGGACAATCTGGGAGTCACAGGAACAAAAGAGACAAGTCGACAAGACAAGGTCCGAATCCAAGCAACCATGGCCAAATGAATATCACCCATCCTCCCCACAGGGTATCGAATACAAAAGCAAGAAACCAAAAACGGCAGTGGTATCAATCTAGTCGGGTGACACACCACGTATCGCATAAGCACATCGCAAGTGAAGTTCACAGGCGCGGTTGGCAGGTCGTAACAGGAATGAACAGCAGTCACGGTGGACTGCTGGCGTCGTCGGCGCCGATGGTATTATTTTTTAGGAAAAAAAAAGAGATTAAAAAGCGACAGCGGGTATCTCATTGCCATCATCTCAGAATCCGCGAGATATAAGGCGTGGACACTGAGACGATGACAGTGGCGAGCAAAAACAAAAACAAAAAACAGCAACGGAGCGAAATGGTATCAAATCTGCATCACCTGATTTCAGCGGATGAGGCCATCAGGGATATCATGGGCCGTGGGTGGGTAGGACATGTCCCACCATCTTTCGAACTCCACAACACGTCTCCGAGAAGTCTCAGTTCATGCGGCAGCCTGAACAGGGGTGGCGGCGGGAACATTGACGTTCTTGGCCTCCTCAGTGATCTCCTCGACGGCCTTGGGGGCCTCCTCGACGGCGACGGGGGTCTCCTCAGTGTCCTTGGCAGGAACAGCGGGGGACTCCTCGGCCTTGTCGGCCTTGGCCTCAGTCTCAGCGGCGGAAACCTCCTCCTTGTCGAGCTTGACAGCCTTGGAGGGCTTGCGGAAAAGACCGCCGAGCTTGTTGGACTTGGCCTTGGTCTCCTTGGCCTCTCCGTCGGTACCCTCGTTGTCAGAGTCAGCCTTCTTCTCCTTCTTCATACCGAGGTTACCGAAGAATGAAGTGCGGCGCTTCTCCTTGGGAGTGGAGACTTCAGCGGCGGGGGTCTCAGCAGCGACCTCCTTGGGGGCCTCGGCCTCGACGGGAGCAGTAACGCTCTCGGGCTCGATAGGCTGGACAGCGGCCTCCTCAACCGGGTTCTCGAGCTGGGGAGCGGTGCTGGCGACGGCGGTCTCCTCAGTAGCGGAGGCAGTAGCCTCCTTCTCGGTCTTCTCCTGGGAGGGGCTGGCGACCTTCTGGAAGAAGTTACCGAAGATGGAAGCACGCTTGGACTTCTTCTCTTCCTTCTTCTCGTCCTTCTTCTCCTCCTTGGGCTCCTCCTTGGCGGCCTCAGTGGCCTCGACAGGGGCAGCAGCCTCAGTGGTCTCGGTAGCCTCAACGGGGGTCTCAGTGGTCTCAGTGGCAACGGCAGCAGGGGCCTCAGTAGCGACCTCAGCGACGGGCTCCTCAGCCTTGGCCTCCTCGGTGGCAGCGGGGGTCTCTTCCTTCTTCTCCTCGACCTTCTCCTCCTTCTTCTCTTCGGCGTCCTTCTTACCGAGGAGGGAACCGAAGATGCTGCTACGCTTGCGAGACTGGGAGCGGCTCTTGGCAGCGGCCTTCTCCTCCTTCTTCTCTTCCTTGGGCTCTTCCTTGACGGGCTCAGCGGCCTCGGCGGGAGTCTCCTCCTTCTTCTCCTCGGGCTTCTTAGCGGCGGCGGCAACGGCGACAGCGGGCTTGGTCAGCTTCTCGAGCTCGGCCTTGTAACCCTCGCTGGAGGTGATGGTCTCCTTCTCAGCCTTGGCCTCGGTGGACTTGGCCTCGATGGCGGCAACCCAGCTGTCACGCTCAGCGGCGCTGGTAGCCTGGAAGGTGTGCTTTTGGCCACCAACCTTGAACAGGAACTCGCTGGAGCCCTCCTTGGTTACATCAGAGACCTCGGCCTTTTCAGATGTTAGTTTTTTGTCTTCATGTATACATAGTCGCAAGGGTACTCACGAGGTTGAAGATGCCGGCGGGGGTGGCCTTGTCCTCAGCGCGCTTGGTGAAGAAAAGGAGACCCTTGCCGGTCTGGCTGGCCCAGGCAGCGGTGGGGTTGGCGGCGGCGGGCTTCTCGTTCTGGTGGAAAACGGAGAGGTTCTTGCTCTCAACAGCCTCCTCGCTGAAGTAGAAGTGACGCTTGGCGAAACGGAATCCCCTAGAGAAATAAGTTGTCAGTTTGTGTTTCTTTGTCGGCGCATGGAGGCGCAACTCACTTGACAAGACCGGGGGCCTTGTAGCCGAGGGTTCCCTCGCTGGCGGGCTTCACCTCCTCCTTGGCGGGCTCAGCAGCCTCAGTGGTCTCCTCGACGGCGGGAGTAGCAGTGGCCTCGGTAGCCTCAGTGGCAGTCTCCTTGGGAGCCTCGGTGGCTTCAACGGGAGTCTCAACGGCGGTCTCAACAGCAGGAACAACCGCGGGGGTCTCCTCGACGATCTTGGGAGCTTCAGACATGATTAAAAGTATTAAACCGAAGTTTGGTTTTGGGGGTATCAAATTAAAGAAGCAGAGCTTCGTAGAAAAAGCGGTTTGGAAGGGGGTATTGGGTATCTCAAAGGAAAAGCAAAAGAAATAAGAGCCACAAGAAGAGCTCGGGTATCACGAAGTCAGAAAGGGGGGTATGAGAAAGGGAAGAAGAAGGAGAGAAAAGGGAGAAAAAGAAGAGAGGGCGCTTGCGTATCCCAAAGAGGAAAGGACCTGCAGGGAGCCCAGACGGTGGAGCGGATTATGTAACTCTCAGGGGTTAATTTGCATTTCTTTCTTTTCTGGCTGGCTTTTTCTTGGGCGGTTGGATACGTTTGACGATAGCTCGTGTGCTGTTGTCGATGGCTTCTAGACTGTTCTCGCCGGTACTGACAACCTCCACGACTGTTCGACTGAGAGTATCCCCTCGTCACAACACCTCCGTCTAACTTTTCTGTGCTTGTGAAACATTCAGCCATCTATAGACGAACCTGATATTCTTTGTCTAGTCTGACGCTAGACCCTCTGGTCTAACTCAATCCAGCTCGATATTGATTGGGATGAAAACTCTTCTCTATCTTGGCTCACAGGTCATGAAACCAGTATCACACCATAGATCGTCCATGCAGCCTGAACGGTCCCCCTAATTTACCCGTGCAGCTCGGATCCCCTTACCGATATGACAGCAAATTAAGAGCCTTTTAACACGCGACATGATGTCTCTGCGAATGAGGGCTAGTCTTCTTCATCAATCTGCTGCGCTGATGAGAAATTTGCAATCCATATAGTGATTTAGATCTCTATTCAATATTCAATCGTCATGGTGGGGTTCTCGGCGGCAGGTCATCTGGCTTTAAAGAGAAGTATATGAGTGGCTGATTCCATACTTCCTGGCCCGTAAGGAGGTTTCCACGATTCAGTGGACCGCCACCCCCGTTGGCATTCATTCCACATCGCCTTTCTAGTTGCCCGTTATACGGGGTCAAGGGAGCCCCGTTGGAATCGCCATTTCGTGTTTTCAAAGGAACGGAGAAGGGCGTTTGGAGACCTTCGTATTACTCCGCATTCAACCCTGTCAGGCTCTCTCTCTCCCTCGGAAGGGCTATCAGGATATTGTATCCCTTTGCGAGGACTGTAAGGCCATCCCTGCAATCACCCCCACCACAACCTGTCATATTTCATGTTTCATCATCCTGGAACTTGATGTCCATCTTTAGCTTTGGGGGAATGGTTGGTTATCGCTGAAATCTCGAGACCTCATGACCCTTTGATATCAGGCTCTTTGGCGTGGCATCAACCAACCAGCTGTAGTACAACCCCTCCTTTCTGCGGGAACATGAGATGCTCTATCGGCGTATCATCGACCATGCAAGGATCCCATGATACTCAAAGAAACTTTGGGATGATCGCCTCTTTTTACGTGATATTCGCATCATTCCATAGAACGTTCCTCTTACAATCCGATAAAGCACTGAACGAATGAAGTCCTGGAATTCAAATGCCCTTAATTAAGCCCACTTTTTCCCTTTACTGTATACATTATAGTCCTGCAGTCAACTCCAAAAAGCCAAACCCGAAAAAAAAAAAAAAAGAAAAAAAAAAACAGTACGAAGGACCCCACTAGACTAATGACGCTGGTTCCATGTCTCAACGAATAGGGGGCTGGCCAGCCCTATCCAGAAACTCTGAATCAAAGAGCTTTGTAGTGTGTTTGAGGTGACTCATTAATCCACCAGAAGAAACAGTACCCGAGACCTCAAAATACGCAGTGTCGATAGGGAACAACTTATCGAGTGAATGTATGCTACATGGACAGATCTGCCGCCTCCTACCATTCCAGCACACACTAGGTCTCTGATCTACAACGACTATCAAACCGATCAACATACAGTCCCGACACACGCTGCCACGACCTTCGGAGCATTTTCAGTAATGATAGCCACACACAGGGGATCCACTCCTTGGCTTGGAGACGCATCACACCTATCATGAGCCCCTTTTCCACCCGTTAGGGCCAAGACTGACCTTTTGCCAATCCTGCCGTTTCTGCCTTTGTTTTGCGGTCGCCAGGCCCGTCACAAGCCTGGGTCTGCCCCTGCTGACTGGCCACAGACTCACAGGCCATCGTCGATCCTGCAGGCTATTTCTTGTTGATCTTGCTCCTCTTGATACCGCAAACTTTGACACCATGCAAGTGCCATGCTTGCAGTAACATTAGCGGCGACTAGGGTGTCTCCTTCCCGCTTTTCGGGATGTTCATGTCCATGTACTGTACTGTACCCTGTGGTCTATGCTTCATCTAGGTACGGTACCACGCAGCCAAGTGACATGTTTATACTGAACAGTACATGTGCGTAGACATGGACACGGATCTGGACAAGGAGCTTTGGGTGACACTGCTGTCTCTGGACATGCAGGATGCATCCCACTAGAGATACAAAAGACAGAACGAAAACAAACCAAAAAAAAAGTCGTCCAGGCGAATCCCGTAAATTAATCTGCCAAGCACGGGCTTGACATGCGGTGAACAGGGAGTCGCATTTCCCGAGCATCAAGCTCTCCGAAGCACCCCGTTGCCTCTAGCGTGCAACTAGATCAGGCCTCGGGAGGTCCTTACCATGGCACACTTTGATGAGGATGCGCGCTTGTCTGATATTAGCTTGAGATTAAGAGTGGGTTTCAGTCTGAATGCTACTGTGTCCTTTTTTCACGACTGTTCATTTCTGAACCGAGCAAAACTCCCGACGGGCGAGATCCCGATTCAGGACAGATACGAAGTTTGGATGGTTCTGATTTTCAAGTGCTATGGAGGACCACAATACAAAGTTGTGGAATAGGGGTGAGGATCCACATAAGCTTGGTGATGGAGTCTGGCTTTTGAGGCGTCGAGTGAATTGCTAGGAGGACCAATTATTGACTATTTTGGCGACTGTGCTCACGATTCTGTAGACACTATTTCAACCTTGTGTGCTAGAACGGTGATGTTACCAGAACAATATGCAAAATGCAAGGCAGGATGAACAATGTAGCCCAGGTATAGCTAGGAACTCATAAGTTATTTGATATCAAGGGGTAGCTGGGAGCCAAGCAAGGGGCCAGTCATTCTTCGGCTGTCAGCCAATCATCATTCAGCCTGGCTTCTCGCTTAGCTCTTGTCCTTGCCACTTTGGGACTAGTGTGTTTTTCAATCAGCATATATACTCGCCGTTCTCGCTGCCCTTCCCTCTCTTTTCTTTCTTCTTCATACTTACCTTGTTTGGGTGGCCGCGATCATGACGGCGGCTCACCACAGATTGGTCCCTGCATTGCACAGCGCGGCGGAACAGTTTGTTCAACGGCTTTCGGGTCGTCGACAGGCGCATTCTTTGGCACTCTCCATTCGTGGATTCTTTCTTTTCATCACTCATCGGGCCTTGAGCTCGTGTTTGGAGAAGAGTAGAACTTGGCGACACTGTAATCACTCGTAAATCTTGCCATCTCGCTGCCGCTGCACCTCGGGTGGAATAATGTTGTTGTGATGGGTATTTAGAACGTCACAGTAGCCCTTGGCGTAACACTCGCTTGTACCACTTCGTGTCAGCCAGTGCGAAAGACCTCGTGTCCCTCTCGTCACCCTCAGTTTCTCAGCTCTCATGTGCCGTTCCTGAATCTACAATGTAGTCCATCTCCCGCTCCGCGGGCAGTGCCGTCCTGGTGTTGACATGACGTCTGACCCAAGACCTCGCCACAAATGTGGCGAGAGCTCCCAATCCACCCACACTTATAAGTTGACTGAAGCAACAGTCCACATTCCAGCCACAGCTACAACTGAACTGATCACCGGGATCTACCACTTCTAAGATCTCATTCATCCTACAATCTTCTGTCCTGCAGACCTCAAGACCACATATTACAAAATAACACCACATTTCCACCTTCCCACATCCACCCAACATGCCCGTCCCAACCGCCGAGCTCTTCGACAAACAAAACGAAGCTAATGGCAGGAACTCTACTACAAATGGAACCTCAAATTCCTCTACGGAACAAGGCTCCAATGCGAGCTACTTCACATCCACCAATGCGCCCGTCTCGTCTGATCCGTCGGCGCAGAATGGAGAGAGTGGCCGTGCTTTGACGCGCGAAGAGGCGGATCGCTTGTATGAGGAGCGCATGGAGGAGGAATATGCTAAGAGGGATGGTGGCGCTTGAGTGACACCACATTGGTGATGATGCTTATGTGCTCTTCTCTTGTGCTGTTGAATGCCATCCATGTGAGGGGATGCGCCGATGTGTATCTTGGAGTCATGCTTCTTTATTCCTATTGTTTTTTCTTATGGATATTCTATACGTTTGATCGTACTCACTTCTCCATTCATAAGTCAATCAACAATGGGTTGGCTTTGGACGGCATGTGCTGGTTATGAGGTTCTTGAGTAGTGTTCCTTGGTTGGGATTGAGATATATAAGCGCGCACACGACCACAAACACAAGCATTATGACAAGATTTTGTATAATATCTTCAATAAGTGACGTATATGTTTGACATTTATTATAATATATAAAATTGGCCGAATGTCGAGTGTTTTGGTCCGGCGTTCAGAAACGCTAGATATGACTCATGGGTAGCTTCGATATCCATTACATCTCGCCATCCATTGCATCAACACCACAAACACCAAAGCAAACAAACAACTTTATCTTGATTACAACAATCTATCAAGATGAGTCTCTATCCAGATCAAGTCACTACAGTGATTGTCCCCGACCATGCAGAGCCCATCCACACTCAGAGATTACATCTACGGCCGATAACTATGACAGACGCTGCGGCGATCTTCGAATTCAGACGTCGACAAGAGGTGGCAGACTGGCTGTAAGACAAAATCGCAACAGTTATCTAAAATTAGACAGCATCACTGACCGGCTCGTAGTCGACAGAAAACTCCTCATCAGCACATATCAGAGTCTGAGGCTCTAATCACCAAAAAGATCTTCACAACACCAGACGCATCAGGCACGGTTGGACGACAGTTTTTCTTTGCCATTATCTGCTTGAATGATCCACTGAAAAGAGTCATTGGTGCTGCGGGTGTCAATTCGCTTGTGCCGGCTCCGTCTATTGGATATACCCTCCATCCTGACTTTTGGGGGAAGGGGTATGCCACAGAGGCTGTCATTGCTATTGTTAATCGGTGGTGTAAGCTTCCAAGGAGCAACCCAGAGGGATTAGAATTGGAGAAGACGGAAGAGAGGCTGTTTGCGGCCTGCAATAAGAACAACGTTGGCAGTGTTAAAGTGTTACAAAGATCTGGGTTTGTTATGTATGATGAACTGGTTCTTGAGGAGGAAGTGGCGGCTCTTTTTGAGTTAAATATCACCCCTAGCTAGAACAGGAAATCCCCATGAAAGCCCAGGATATGGTGATTGCTGTAATATTGCGTCCTATTGTAAATGGAAAGCGATTTTCAGGACAATTGTGCTGAGCAGTCGTTTTGCGCCACATATTCTTTCTTTGTTCTTTCTTCATCACACATCTTACCTTGCAAACCCAGATTCGTCACCATCAATACCCAAAGCCAAGACTGCCATTCATCTGTCCAAGACAACAGTAATGTAGAGTAAAGCTGTTCACCTTTCTCATCAAGTCAAAACTAATAACTTTGAATTTTCGATAGGACGTTGCAGGATTTTATCATGAACTGTGACAAAAACCGGACGGACGGCATGGCATTGTCCCTTCTACAGAAATTGGAACCCCAGCGACAGCCCATATTGCGGAGGCATAGATAGGCAGACTTCGAACAATCGTTGATGGGAAATGAAAGAAACCTAAAGTCGGCAATGATTCAAGTCGTGGGAGATGTCCCCGATAGACCTTGTTTCAATTGTGAATTCGAAAAAGGTGTATTTAAAGGATGCATTCAAGTCAAAGGGGTACCGCACGGCGCATGTGCAAACTGTGTGCGGAACAAAATTTCATGTGATCTCCAAGATACGTATGCACTTGATGAAAATGTGCCCCTATCAAATTCCCTTGGTACTGATCTGTATTGAGGAACATGAAGATTTCAGCAGTCTAATAAATCGTCCTCGCACAAAGACCACGAAGAGCAAAGGAAGCGGCGATGTTATCTCAGGCAATGTTACCAAACTAACCTATAAAACAAAAACCTTGATCACCAAGTCTAAATCCATTCAGGCTCTCTTGTGTGCTTTTCTTTCCGGAGAGCACACCGAGGAGATTCATGCCCGCATTGGCAGCAACTTGACGGATCTGGAGGCCAATGTCAGAGAAGTGATCTTGGCCATGAAGGAAGTCAGTGTCACTTTGACCACGGAAAAAATTGCTGCCAAGGTCGCTAGGCCTGAAGGAAGCCAGTTTGGCAGCGGAACGAAGAAGAACACTGATGATGAAACCGATATGAAGCCAAGGAAGAAGGCGAAAAAAACTAAATTTGATAGAAACCCCGAGGAGCGCACAAGACTCAGAGGGAGTGGGGGATACGAAACAAGATCAGGTCCAGAGAAGCGAGATCCGAGAGTCAATTTGAAGGAGAGGCAGATAATCAGATCGTCGCAGTAGGATAGTTATGCTTTGGGATAGGAAATCGAGAAAGTGATATGATATTTGAGACCGAAAAGAGTTGCTCAAGTAGTTACCTCTTAGTTACTATCCAGGGAATCCCATAGAGCATGTCGCGTGTAGCCATATTCTTGACGAGGATAATATTACAACGGTTGTTGGAGCTTCTTCAAGTCAACTTGTTGATAGATCTTGTATGTAAGGTCTGTCAATGTCTGTTGATAACTAATGTTATCTCAACCTTTGAATGTTGGAACTTGAAGCCCTCCAGCTGGAGCATTGGATTTCTTTGTCATCAAACCTTTATTATGTCATCAGTTGATGTTTCAAGATCACGTGTGACCGAAACGGCCAGCTCGACGCCGAGCCACCTTGAGAACAAGCAGCACACAAGGAGAGCCGTCAGGACTCTTGCAACAACAGACATCGAGATCCGTGTCTCTCTTCGGATTTATTGACTGGACTCAGTCTCTCTTTTACTTTTCTCCTGCCCCTTGGTGAAACGACAAGGCTTCTGGTAGCCTCCTTTCCATCATGGCTCCGCAGGATACCTTCTTCCGCTCGGCGGACATGAGCTTGACACAGCTCTATATTGCCAACGAAATCGGAAGAGAGGTTGTGAGCGCTTTGGGTGAAGTAGGCGAGGTTCAGTTCCGTGATGTAAGTTGTGCAGAAGGCTTTGTTCTGATGAACCCCACTGATCTGTTTCTAGTTGAACCCGGATACGAATGCTTTCCAACGCACCTTTACCAAAGAGATTCGTCGTCTAGACAATGTTGAGAGGCAGCTCCGTAAGTTCCCTTCACTGTTCAAGGCGACAATTATCTAATTGAATAGGTTACTTCCATTCCCAGATGGACAAGGCAGCCATTCCTATGAGATCTTCTTCCGACTTCTCCGACACACTGGCTGCTCCCCTAGCCTCCGAGATTGATGAGTTGGCTGATCGCAGCGAGAGCCTCGAGCAGCGAATTGTCTCTCTGAACGATAGCTACGAGACCCTGAAGAAGCGCGAAGTCGAGCTGACCGAATGGCGATGGGTGTTGAGAGAGGCCGGTGGTTTCTTCGACCGTGCCCATACCCAAACGGAAGATATCCGCAATTCTTTCGACAACGACGAAGCTCCTTTGCTCCGCGATGTTGAGCAACATGCACCCCGTCAGAACGGAGACACCCACGGCCAACAGAGCTTCTCGGAAATGAACATTGGCTTTGTGGCTGGTGTCATCCCCCGAGACCGTATTGGAGCCTTTGAGCGTATTCTTTGGCGTACTCTTCGTGGTAACCTCTACATGAACCAGTCCGAAATCCCGGAGCCTATCATCGACCCCGTCACCAACGAGGAAATCCACAAGAACGTCTTCGTCATCTTTGCCCACGGCAAGAACATTCTTGCCAAGATTCGCAAGATCTCCGAATCACTCAACGCCTCCTTGTACGGAGTCGATGAGAACAGCGAGCTGCGCAGGGACCAGATTCACGAAGTCAACACTCGCCTGGGAGACGTTGGCAATGTGTTGAACAACACCAAGAACACTCTTGATGCGGAACTCAGACAGATTGCTCGTTCTCTCGCCGCCTGGATGATTATCGTCAAGAAAGAGAAGGCCGTTTATGATACGTTGAACAAGTTCTCGTACGACCAAGCACGGAAAACGCTGATCGCCGAGGCATGGTGCCCGACCAACTCTCTTGCTTTGATTAAGTCCACTCTACAGGATGTCAACGACCGTGCCGGTCTCACCGTCCCCACAATTGTCAACCAGATCCACACCAACAAGACTCCTCCCACCTATGTCAGGACCAACAAGTTCACTGAAGCATTCCAGACCATCATGAATGCTTATGGTATTCCAAAGTACAAGGAAGTCAACCCTGGCTTATACGCTGTTGTTACTTTCCCCTTCATGTTTGCCGTCATGTTCGGTGACTGCGGTCACGGTTTACTAATGACCATGGCCGCCTCTGCTATGATCTTCTGGGAAAAGAAGTTGCACCGGGCTAAGCTGGATGAGTTGATGTATATGGCTTTCTACGGAAGATATGTCATGCTGATGATGGGTCTCTTCTCGATTTATACCGGATTCATCTACAACGATATCTTCTCGAAATCCTTTACTGTTTTCCCCAGTCAGTGGCAGTGGCCAGAGGAAATTAAGGCTGGCCAAATGGTCGAGGCGACCTTGAAAGAGGGCTATCGCTTCCCCTTCGGATTGGATTGGAACTGGCATGAGGCAGACAACTCTTTGCTCTTCTCAAACAGTATGAAGATGAAGATGAGTGTTCTCCTCGGTTGGTGCCACATGACCTATGCACTTTGCCTGCAGTTAGTCAACGCACGGCACTTCAAGTCCAAGGTTGACATTTGGGGCAACTTTATCCCCGGCATGCTCTTCTTCCAGTCCATCTTTGGTTACCTTGTCCTTACCGTGCTCTACAAGTGGTCCGTTAACTGGGGAGAGACGGGTGCGAACCCCCCGGTCTCCTCAACATGCTCATTTTCATGTTCCTGAGCCCCGGTACTGTTGACGAACAGCTCTACCCGGGACAGGCTACCGTACAGGTTCTCTTACTCCTCCTTGCTGTCTCCCAGGTGCCTGTCATGCTCTTCCTCAAGCCATTCTGGCTCCGCCACGAGCACAACAAGTCTCGTGCCCTTGGATACCGTGGTCTCGGCGAGCAATCCCGGGTTAGTGCTCTCGAAGATGATGATTTGGACGGCGGCCTCGGCAACCGTGACAGTCTTGCTAGTGACGGAGAGGCTGTTGCAATGATCGCTCAGGATATTCACGAGGGCGACGAACACGAGGAGTTCGAGTTTGGCGAAGTCATGATCCACCAGGTTATCCACACCATCGAATTCTGTCTTAACTGTATCTCTCATACGGCCTCTTACCTCCGTCTGTGGGCCTTGTCACTCGCTCACCAGCAGCTGTCCATCGTTCTCTGGACCATGACCATTGGTGGCGCCTTTGAACAGGAAAGCCCCGTTACCCGAGTTATCATGATTGTTGTCAGCTTCTACCTTTGGTTTGTGCTGACCATTGCCATTCTCTGTGTGATGGAGGGAACCAGTGCCATGTTGCACTCGCTCCGTCTGCACTGGGTTGAGTCTATGAGTAAGCACTTTATCGGAGAAGGTATTCCCTTCATGCCGTTCAGCTTCAAGACTCTTTTGGAGGATGATCCTGTTGACTAAGGAGGTTACTTTTCTTTTTTTTTCACATGAGGGATTTCTTCCCATTTCTCTTTGTAATGTACAGGGTCTAGAATATACATTATTAGGTTTCCACCTGATACATTGCTCCGTAGATCCGCGTAGACTATTATTTTTAGCTGTAGATAGCCTCAATACTGTTGGACCGCCTTACATAAAATCTGGGTCTTTTCCAGTCCGCATGACTCTGAGTGGGGTTATAGGGAATTCATTCTTCCGTTGATCCCGAGGCCGACTCGGGCAAGGGAGAGACCGGAGGAATCTAGACCGTCAATTGGGTATACTTGCATGTGTATATTCAGAGGGTGGCTCGGAAAAATGGCTCAGCCATAGGCTACGATAGGAGATGAAGCTCAGCGATCAGCAGTCCAAATTGGCCACTTTGTCCCTCAAATTATATAGATATCGCACGGGGATTCCCGGCTTCAGGGGGAGGATCAAACCGGGCGACGGGGTCGGAGGGTCACGCGGGGGCAGAATGACGAAAACCAGAGGCGGCCAGTCGGCACTGAGGTCACGGCTCCCCCCAGACTACTTCTACCTTGATTCCCCTCTGACGTTACGGTCCACTTACAACTTTTTTGTTCTTGAGATCCTTGTTTGAATCTTGCCACACTGCTATTTAAGATCTGCTCAATTCAATTCAATTCAACCCACCCCAATTGCTTTTTGATTGAGACCCTTACCAAATTACCCCCACTTTCCCCAATCTATACCCCTCAAAATGGCCTCAGGCGCACCCCCCGTCGGACAGGAGAACATCAACACCGACATTGTCACCCTCTCCCGCTTCTTCACGGAAGAGCAGATCAAGTACCCTGAAGCTTCCGGTGACTTCACTCTGCTGTGCCATGCTCTCCAATTCTCCTTCAAGTCTATCGCCTACTACATTCGTCGTGCCTCGTTGATCAACCTGACCGGTCTAGCCGGTTCCTCCAACACAACCGGCGATGACCAGAAGAAGCTCGATGTGATTGGCAATGACATCTTCATTTCCGCCATGCGTGGCTCGGGCAAGTGCCGCATTATTGTCTCAGAAGAAGAGGAACATGTAATTAAGTTCGACGAGCACCCCAACGCCCGCTACGCCGTCGTCTGCGACCCCATCGACGGTTCCTCCAACTTGGATGCCGGTGTTTCCGTCGGTACCATCTTCGGTATCTTCCAGCTCCCCGACGAGGTTCTCGGACCCAACAAGACTGTCGGCCCCGAGGACCTTCTGCACCCGGGTACCAGCCTCGTCGCTTCCGGCTTCACCATGTACGGTGCTTCCGCTCAGCTGGTCATCACCATGCGCGGCGGTGGTGTGAACGGCTTCACTCTCGAGAACTCCCTCGGCGAGTTCATCCTCACTCACCCTAACATGAAGATGCCCCCCTCGCGCTCCATCTACTCCGTCAACGAGGGTAACAGCATGTACTGGGACGAGTGGTGCAACGCCTACTTCAACAGCCTCAAGTACCCCGGCGAGGGCAAGAAGCCTTACAGCGCCCGTTACATCGGTAGCATGGTTGCTGATGCCTACCGTACCCTCCTATACGGAGGTATGTTCGCCTACCCCGCCGACTCCAAGAGCCCTAAGGGCAAGCTCCGTATCTTGTACGAGTGTGCTCCCATGGCTATGGTTTTCGAGAATGCTGGTGGTCTGGCTGTCAACTCTCGCATGGAGCGTCTCATGGAAGTCGTTCCCGAGCACATTCACGATAAGAGTGGAGTCTTCCTTGGCTCAAAGGACGAGATCCAGAAGGTCATTGATATGTACAACAAGTACCACAAATAAGCGCCTCCTCTAAATGTTCCTCTAATTATTCTGGATACTGGGATAGCTGGTCCTTTCCCTTCTCACGCTCTCATTCACCACCCTTTCTTGTGGATTGATGAGTTGGCTGGTCGGAGCTCTGTGGCTTGGTGTCTTGACATCTGCTTTATAGTCTTGTTGTTTTCAGCGGTTTATGATACTTTTCATCTCGGAAATAAAAGGAAATAGAAAAATCATTCAATAGCTTTCTTTTCTATCTTGACCTGGAGCACAGAGGACCATTTCTGGCGCGTTAAAAGCCCGAGATCAAGGTTCTGCCCATAGCTTAAACGCCATCTCGGCAATTAAACATCCCCCACGAATCACACCGGGGCTTGGCAATAGCTTGATGCCAGATGGGAATAGCGTCGCTTTCGCCCGTGTTACTCACCATTTCTCACGATGGCGTGCTCCGAACATCGCTGCTTTATAGTTGTCATGAAGACCGGGAAAAAAAAACTTCACTTGATCTGCAGTGTCAACTCCAAGACATAGTGTATAGCCTCAACATACACGATGGAGTCTCATACTATTGAGAAAGTGCCACACACGACACAAGCAGAAGAGAACCCAGTCATGAAATCAGAATCCCAGCATGTTTCTGAACACCGCCGCCAGAAATGGTACGAGTGGTTTGCGCCAACAGATACACCTGCCGAACGGAGATTAATCCTGAAGCTCGACGGGTTGATCATTGTCTTTGTCTTCCTGGCCTATTGGGCCAAGGTCCTTGACTCGTCTGCGACAAGTACTGCCTATGTGAGCGGTATGAAGGAGGATCTCAAGCTGTATGGGAACCAGCTAAATTACCTACAGACGGTATACATGTATGAGACTTTTGGACTGTTGGTCTTATGTGATCCATGGCGCTGACTGGGTTAGGGTTGGATTTATTACGATGCAGATCCCTTTGACGCTGGTGGTTCGTATATCTTTACCAAGTAACCTATAAGTGGCATACCGAATGTCTAATTGGAAACTCGAACAGATGACCCGCTGCCCGGTCAACTACTTCCTCCCAGCCGCGGATCTATTCTGGGGGGTTTTCACTTTGGCACAGTACAAAGCCAGCAACGTCACTCAGCTCTACGCTCTGCGATTCTTCGTCGGAGCTCTCGGTGGCTTCTTTTTCCCGGCTGTTCAATGGTACCTGGGATGCTGGTACAAGCGCTCAGAACTGTCCCGCCGAGGTGCCATCTTCTTCATTGCCAGTCAGGTCGGCAGTATGAGCTCTGGGTATATACAAGCAGGAGCTTATGCAAGACTCGATGGTCGATATGGGATTGAAGGCTGGAGATGGCTATACATCATCTGTGAGTGGTTACCCCCAAGACGCAGCAGCCAGTGACGGTGACTGACATCCAGACAAAGGCTTTGCCTGCACAATCCCCATTGCTTTCCTCGGTCTATGTCTCTTGCCCAGCACACCAGATAAATGCACTTCCCGCTTCCTCAACGAGGATGAAATCCGTCTTGCACAGGAGCGCATGGCATCGGAAAACCGCCAGGCTCGCCAGCCATTCACCAAGTCGAAAGTCCTTGAGATCTTGAAGGGCTGGAGACTGTGGGTTCTAGTCACATTCGCATTCTTCTTCTCCCAGGCCGACGGCGTATCCTCAAACAGTGGCCTTTCGCTGTGGCTCAAGGCAGAGGGATACTCAGTCGAGAACATCAACACTATCACCACAGTCTCGCCGGCTGTTACTATTGTTGCATCTGTGATTTGTGCGGTCTTCTCTGATATCTACGACGCAAAGGCTAGCCTGATCGCGATAACAGCTATGCTGAATATTTTCGCCTGCATCGTTCTTGCAATCTGGGATGTCCCCGTTGGATTGAAGTTCTTTGCGTTCTTCTTGTCTGGGACTGCGGATGGTATTGCTGCTATCATCTATGCTTGGGCTAATGAGATTTGTGCCCATAGTGCCGAGGAGCGGGCTATTGTCATCAGTGCTATGAATACTATTGGAAATACTTTTGGGGCTTGGATTCCGCTCTTGTGAGTTGCTGGATTGAGATGGTTATATGGGGATTTGCTGACTTTTTCTTCTTCTAGTGTTTGGAAAACCGTTGATGCGCCTAGGTATCTTATTGGGTACAACTGGACTATTGCCCTTGATGTGTGCATGCTTGTTATGTTGGTGGTTTTGCAGCAGTTCTGGGCTCGTGAGCAGAAACGATCTCGGGCATAGAGCGTTATAGGACGTCAAGTCACTTAATAGATCAAAAAGCCGATTAGACACACTTACGACAGCAATTGACTAACGTAATAATGCATGAATTTTGCTACATTCTGATCCAATGTTTCAGCTGGAGTACTGCCTGGTTATGAGTAATTTAAATATTGAACGTAAATGTTCGTCTTCAGATTCATGCAAAGGCAGCCAATGAGAAATTTGGCAAATGAATTGATGCTATTAAGGACATATTCAAAACGTCCAAATGTTCCCAGTATAATTCCCATACTGTTTCCTGGTTGACGAACCATCCATTTCGAGGCGGTTGGGGCACATGACGTAAGCGAAACTCGGCTGATGTCGCGCTAGTCCCAATGCAGCCTAACCCCGGCCGTACGTGCTTCCGCGCCGGAGGAGCTTGAAAAAAGTTCAAATTTGTGTTTTCTCTTCTTTCCTTTCCTCCATCCTATGCTCATCCTTCAGCATGATCAATGCTTCTTCTGAAGGGTGACCCGAGTCGACTCTTGGCCTTTGGCTAAACAAAAACACATTGCAATGTCTTTCTTCCACTAACCAGCAGTGGCTCGGCAGATTCTGCAAAAATGGTTCGTTTTTGTCTCCCTCCCTCTCCACGACACCAAGCACCCCCAAAATGATGATACCTATAACCAAATACAAACTAGAGTCTTTGATCCTACGGGAAGTGAAACTCATGTTATTGCACGTCAGGCTGATATCACATCAATGCTTTCAATATTCACACAAGCTTTGATTGGACTGAGCTAATTCGCTTTTCCAGGTTCTCTTTGAAAAACAAAGGAAAGCATTTTTGCAACCTGCAATTCCACAACAAGCGCAGATGGTGAGCACTACCCTTTCCTACCACACTCGCACCACCACTTTATCATGATGAACGCACACGTATTATATACGCTGGAAATTACCGTCTCAGACCTTCGGGTCGTTGATGATAACTAATGGCTATTACTGATCTTTACCTCAATCCCACATTTGCTTCCTGAAAAAATTTCAGACCATATGCTAATGTTTCAAAAGACCTTTAGACATCTGCGCTGTTGGCTCAAATGGTAAGCCCCAGACACTTCATCCACCCTTCCATATGTCCGAAGATGAAACGGCACTGGGCTCCGACGGCATTAAAAAATGTTCGGTCATGACGGATATGCCCATTTTGCGGCAGGCCTAGAAAACCTCGCCCACTGAGACATGTCATATATTCATCGATTTGTGAGATGGTTTCGTGACACAGTCACTAATCAGTTGAATAGAAGCGATTTCTTCCTTCACACTTCGAACAACTTGTAATTGTAGAAGGTAGGCGAATCAGTCTTTTATTCCAACTCCATCCACCTTCTATGATGATACCCTTTTAGATGACGAGTCTGATTCGAGTTTTCGATGCTGACACATCTTTTTAAATAACCATTCATGCCTTTCTGACATTCACCCCTACACATTGTTCACTCATCAAAATTTGTTGGCTTGTGCTAATGATTCTTTGAAGACAGATTTTTTTTCCATGATGAACTCTTTTGAGTGTCAGACCTAAGGTGTATGTACACCTCATCTCTTTCCCTTTTCAACCTTTCATGATGAAACGACACAAACAAAGACAAGCATATGTCCGAGCCAGCTTGCTGGCGAAGACGAGAACCGTCATGCCTGATTCACATCAAGCCTTTTGACTGCTGCCATGTCCAGTCAGTACAAGATGCTGATGTATCTCGTACAGAACAGAAATCAAGTTTGAACAAACTAATATCACAGACGTCAATCACGATCTGGTCTCCAATCGGTAAGCCATCCTTGGTTCCATCATCCCTTTCCCCTCTTTTAATGATGAATCATTACAACATTATCACGACGGTCAACATAAGGAATTATATTGATGACCATCGCCTGTGACAAGGCATTGATCTGAAAACCCTTTACACAAATTGCTCTTGTTATCGTTATTAGCCATGATACTAATATCGATCAGTGAACAGGTTTACACCCGCGATTTATTTCCAAGTTCGCAGTAGCTAGGAGTTGATTCTCTCGTGAATACCAATAATAATGATTTGAGAAACCCATGAACCTTGATTCCACCGTAAAGTCTTCTGATTAGTTTGAAACATACCCTGGCCCCAGTTGGTCTTTTATTTTGGACCCCCCTGCATCCCTCGATGATAAAATCCCGTGTTCTCAGATCTCTGGGCTGCCATTAGCTGGAGAATGTGCGGAGACACCAAGCTCAGCCTGTCACAACCAACTATAAGCGCCGAGCACGGCCCATATGTGATGAGAACCTCCAAGCTGCATAACAATCCCCGGGCTTCTCTATCACACCCTTCTGCTTCTGTTCCAAATATAGCTTTCTTTTAGCCCATAGCGCACCACAGGACTGGGTCTTCATTCATTGGCTCTATGACGCCGGTAACGATGGGTTTCTCCTGCCTAGGCAAGCCAGCCCTCCACCTAGCTGTAGCAAAGAATAGAAACATTTTAGCGTCTCGCCTGACCAGTGGCCAATAGCTTTCCCTTTTCACAATCCTGCTGTGCTTGCGATATTCTCTCTCTTCTATCCAGGCGCGCGGTGACCATGGCTTCGGATCGGGTTGCTTCCTAGAAGGCTGCACAGCCCAGTATGAATAGGTGCGCAATACCCATGACCCATTTGGCAGTCCTCGATTCTGAAACCTGCTTCTACCCTGGCTATGCTACGCGCAAAGAAACCCCTCTGATACGATCTAAATACTGATCGTGGATTTCTAGTTGGTTGGGTTCAAATCATGCAGCCGACGAGCAGCCGTTGAGCAACCATTACGCCGGCTGGTCGTCGACAGCTGCTAGTCCGAGTAATCAACAATCACCAGGCCGTCGAGAGCATGCGGTACAGCCACCTTTGTTGACTACGGCTTTGAGCGGCCCTCAGTATCAGGGTCTTGCGGCTGGTCTGGGGTTAACGCCGACGCCTTTATCGTCTACTTCGCTTTCAAGCCCTTTTACCCACGGCCAGTCGCCTTGCGTTCCGTCACCTATCAACGGAAGATCTGTTTCGTCTTCGTCGATGGCGTCCAGGAATGCATACAATGTACCGTACAACCCTCAGGACTGGGGGCCGCCTGGTAGGCCCTCGGCACAGGGCTATCTTCAACCTGGAGCTATGCATAGGGTGACACCGCAGAGGAGTGAGAATTCAGGTTTGTATACCGTTATAGCCCATGTATCATATTGGGCCCGAAGAGGGAAAAGTACGATATTAATGCTTGATAGAAGTTCCGGTGTCCCCACCACCACCTCCATATTCACCTCCCAGCAACCAAAATCGAGCACCGCAAGACTTTGCTGGGCCAGCAAACCCTCAATATGCTGCAACTCCTTCTCCGCCTAACACGAGAGAAGGTGAGTTCGACATGCCTGCTCAGTATCAAAGACGTTCGAACCGCCCACGGCCTCTATCCATGGTATATCCATCTAATACGGAGGCTCATCGTCAGTCTCTGCCTCCTCCGCCTCCTCCACAGGGAGCCCAAGGGGGTAGGTCCGTATCTCAAAACCGATCTGAGTATCAGGGTATCCCTTATAATGCTACATCAAATCATAGACCTAGGATGTCGTCATATGACCAGGGCTATAATGAGCAAATATCGGTGACACCAGCCCACTTGGAGACACCGTCTCGACCCCCTGCATCTCGAAGAGCCGCATCTGCCGGGGCAGTGCCGAGTAGTGCAGGCTCATCGAGAACAGGAAGTCAGACGAGAAATCGATCGCCTTCGGCGAATAGTATTTGGGAACCCGGTATGCCGCTTCCACCGCCGCCTCCTGGGCCCCCGCCTACCACAAGGTCCGTCAGCGTGAGCGGATCATCAGAGTCATCCATGAGAACGCCTCAAGGGTCTGCTTCTGCTGGTCGGACAAGGAGAGCACCGCCCGTACTAGGCACAGGACTGGGAAGTATCCCACCCACGCCAGCAGACTGGATCGACGAGGGATATCTGAACAGCCGACCAACGGAGGCCTTATATGTCGATACAGTCAAAGCAGCCAAAGCACCAGAACCATCGGAAAACGATCTTCATAACACAGCCAACCAACGAACACCTGGGAGCGGAGGTCTTTTCCGCAGTTCTGCTGTGCGCGACCCGAGCGCCAAGGGTATCCGTGAAAGACGAATCGAGCGGCGAAATCGTCAAAGCCAGGTCTATGAAGATGTCGCCAGCGCGGTATCCACAAGTGGCAACCCATGGGCCGATGCACTCGAGCAGATCAAACCCTCAAATCTCATTCTCCCAGACCAAAACGCCAGCCCGGATCAGGCCCAGCATCCGAAATCCTCCAGACACACACCTCGTACCACGCGCAGTATTGGCTCAGAAGGTCAGCGAACTGCATCGCGGTCACGAGCAGGCTCCACTGGTCTGTTTTCAGATCAATCATCCTATGGTACTCCCAAACAAGAACCCAGTTCTGCTGGCGCTGGTCCCGCTGCGGCATTTGCACACACGCCTCCGTTCTCGCCAAATGGAGAAGGCTCTTCTGGCTACCCAAAAGAGGCAAGCCAAGCGATTCCACCAAAGGCTTTGCCAACTCCTCCTCTTAACTCTGGTAAAGAGGCCAGGCAACGCTCTCGTTCTCGTGCCCCGTCACGAGGAGCCGAAGACCGTCCCATCTCGCACATTCTTCATATGCCTAACGATGCTTTATCCATGATGAAGCCATTGTCACCGCGTCGAACTCCCGTGCACCAAACGCAGCAAGCGTCGATGGAAGCGGTTATCAAACAAGACCCTACCTTCTTGCAGGATGCCATGGAACGACACAAGGCCTTTATCGAGAAAGAGTCTATTGCTGTAGATGAGACTGAAGCGCTTAAGACCTTTGCCGACTATATCCTTGCCGAATCTCAGATCCGGCGCCAGCGATATGCGAAGGTTTGGGAAAATTTCCAAGTTGATGACGTGCGCCGAAATCTGTTCGAGTTGCCGGCTGTCCAGCCATCAAAGACGAAGCCTCAGCCAAAGTTGGAGATACCTTCCAACCGAGCTGGCCGGCCCGAGTCTGCTTGGTGGAATAATTACCAGCCATGCCTGTCACCGATTGCTAGTCTCAACATGAGCAATGACGAGATGAGTTCTCGGGGCCGTGCACCAAGCCGTTGGTGGGAATCCAAAACTGGTTCTAGCAGTGAGGGTGGGGAGAGGAGGGTTCAACGATCCAAGCGGGAATCCAAGTATATGGGCTTGCCTCGGGAGGCGATGCAGTGGGACCAGGAGTTGACGCCCTCTCAGCCCAAAGACGTGAGTATGAATTATGAGAATACGGAATATGGTCCCGATGAGTATCCACCTGAGAAAGTCGGATGGCATGAAGGCTCTCCTGCCAACTCTACCAGTACTGGATATCAGTATCCGGAAAGCCGCAGATTGGATGTTTCGCGCTTGATTACACTGCCTCCGCCTTATCCTCGTCATCACCCTGCTGTGAATAATAGCCATCCCGACCTCGTCGCCCATCGGACTACAGTCCGGTCTATTTCTGACCTGACTGAGATAAAGACCACCAGACATCGGTACAAAGCCGACGTGGAGCGGATGGTTCAGGAACATCAAGTGCAAGTGGACGAGGGTCATCGCCACTTCAAATCCAATATCCAAAGCCAGATCCAAGAAGGAAGCCTCACATTTGCCGAGGCAGCAGAAGCGGAGGCAGCGATGATCGCCGGGGAGAACGACCGCGAAAGAGCGATGGTAAAACGTCAACTCGATACATACCAAGAGATTGTTCTGAAGCCAATACATGTCATACTCGCCGATAGGATCAGCAAAGCAACAGCCGGAATCGACAAACTAAGCAGCATGCTATTCGATGATGCCCAGCGTGACACACCAGACTCAACCCAGGAAGAAGGCGACGAAAAGCCCGAACTTCTTGAGAAACTGACGCAATTGAAATGGCTCTTCGAAGCCCGCGAACTGCTCCACCGCGAATTATTCGATTTGGTCAGTGACCGCGACGACAAGTACAAAGCTGTCGCACTTCTGCCGTACAAGCAGACCAAAAACGACGACAAGCTGCGGGAGACACAAGCGTTCTTTGCCCAGGATGCACTGGATAGACGCGTTGAGTACGAGAACGAGTCACTCGCCCGACTTGAGTCGTTCCTGAATGTCATCGAGCAGAACGTCGTGCGAGGCGTGGAGGTGCAGCTATCTGCTTTCTGGGATATTGCTCCATCGCTCTTGGCGCTTGTGCAGCAGGTTCCCGAGGATCTGCGTGGATTCCAAGTACAGATTCCGGCAGATGAGTATGATGAAAACCCGAGCTACCACTCTCACCCGCTGCAGTATCTATACACGCTGCTATCGCATGCCGAGAAATCGAGTTACCAGTTTATCGAGTCGCAGACGAATCTGCTTTGTCTGTTGCATGAAGTGCGGTCTGCTGTGATGCGAGCAAATCGCAATCTCCTTGAAGCGGAGCGCATTAAAAGAGGGGAGACCAAGGAAAATGTGCGTCGTGAGATGGAGCTGACTCGTGCTGATGAAGAGCTGGCTCTTACGACGGATCTCAAGGATAAAGTGGCTACTGTTGAGGGTCAATGGACTGAGGCGTTGGGGAGTCAGATTGTGGGACTCCGGGAACGGGTGAAGGAACAGCTTGTGAGTGAAGATGGATGGGAGGAACTGGAGCAATTGGAGGGATAGAGTGCTTTTGATGCTATTGATTTATGATATCCCCATTCGTTCGTTATAGATTGGGTGTTTCTGGCAGTGCCATGACACTTGATTTTCTGGCCTTGGACTGGTCTTCAGGGATTCGGATCGAAATATATACAAGATTCTATATTCGGACATCAAATGACCAGAAGAACATAATCAAAACCGAACCAAAGCAGAACCAAAGCAGAACTAAACCATAACTCACGCTGGAAAGTGATAGATGACGATGGTGAATAATCCCAGACCCACAGTCACGTGTGCCTTCTAGAGTCTTCCGCGCTCAAATAGCTTCTTCCCCCTCCGCTCTTCATCTTCTTTTCTCTTTCTTCTCATTCCACAAGTCCTTGATTTTGGACTTGATACACCGCAAACTGTAAGTGTTAACTGCATTCCCCCCCTCAATTTCCTTCCAGAGTGAGAGGTGGTCAAAATTTCAACATGCCCCTCGAGCTCGAAATTTTCCAATTGGCTTCATATGAAGAGACATCAGCTGGCACCAGTCTGAGATAGGTGGTTTTAACCATCTTCTTTGCGGACAACGCTTTTTCGTCCGGGAACATACGCCCCGGTCCTGACAATGGCTTTCCCTACATGCATATTTTTCTCATAAAAAATCCGTTCATGGCTAACGTGGAATTTCAACAGAACCCATCCCTATTCGCGATTTAAAGCTTCCACACAGAGTTAAAGAGGAGGAAGTTACCTACCTCTCAACCCCCAAATCAGATTTTTTCTTTTCCCCTAGCTTCATTTCATCATGGTTCTTCACAACCCCAACAACTGGCACTGGGTCAACAAGGATGCCTCTGGCTGGGCCAAGGAGTACTTGCAGCAGAACCTGGTCGGCATCAGTGTCGAGGAAGGGGGTGTGTCAGCCAAAGTAGACAAGCTGTTGTCCATGGATGGCGACGTAGATGTCAGCCAGCGCAAGGGCAAGGTCATCACCCTTTTCGATGTCAAGTTGTCGCTAGAATACTCAGGTTTGTAGTCCAATATCAATCAATTTTCCTGGAACCGGCAGCTGAGACGCTTCCACAGGTAAGACCAAGGACGCTGAGGATGTCAGCGGCACCATTCGCATCCCCGAGGTAGCCCACGACACCGAGGAAGACGAGTTCGTCGTACGTGCATTGTCCCCGTCTCCCAAGACAACCCCCCCAGTAAAACTAACCCGTAAAATAGTTCGAGATCGAGAACCACGCCGACTCCAACTCCAAGCAGCCCGTAAAGGACCTGGTACGCACAAAGCTCGTCGCTGAGCTCCGTTCCACTCTGAGCAAGTTCACCAACGCCCTCATCACCGAGCATGCCAAGGATCTCCAACACGCTCCCGGCGTGAACCCCTCCAGCGGCTTCCCCAAGGCCTCCGTCCACCCCCAGACCAAGCCTGTCGAGGCCTCCACCGCCCAGGCCACCACCACCTCCACAACCGGCAAGGTTGCTGTCAACACCACCACCGTGACAGCCTCCGATGAGTTCCGTACCACAGCCGGCGAGCTCTACAACACCTTCACCGACCCCCAGCGCATTGCTGCCTTCACACGCGGTCCTCCCCGCCAATTCGAGGGTGCCCAGGTTGGCGGCAAGTTCGCCATCTTCGACGGCAATGTCACCGGCGAGTTTGTGACTCTCAACGAGCCCAAGCAGATTGTCCAGAAGTGGCGTCTGGCTCAGTGGCCTGAAGGTCACTTCAGTTCGCAGGAGATCAACTTCGACCAGAATGATATCGACGGTGTTACTCAGATGCGTGTTACTTGGTCTGGCGTCCCTGTTGGTCAGGAGGATGTCACCAAGCAGAATTGGGACATGTACTATGTTCGCAGCATTAAACAGACTTTCGGGTATGTACTTATTTCCTTCCCCCTTGCCTGTCTTTCCTCCATGGATCGATGGGCTCTCCCTTCGTTTTGTTCCAGGACATCTTTGCCAATCCGCGGCCCTGTCTACAGATCCAACCCTTCTTCCAAATCATCTTGGTCATGGAACCACTTGCTAACAATGCTTGTTCTTCTCTTTGCTGTAGGTTTGGCACTATTCTCTGATCGACTGCATGATGTATTACCGGTGGCATGAAGAACACAAAACAATGCATTTGATGACATTCTTATGGTTACATGAATTGGCTACAGATAAAACCGCAAGGCCGCGAGACCTTTTAGATTTGCCTTGTTGTTTTCAATTCGTGTTTCTTTTCTTTCCCCCTTTTTTTTCACCCGTGGCCCGGTTGCAATATGATTGGGTCTGGGCACTATGATGCTACGATAGATGGTGTTATGTCTATGATAATGAAGATAAATTACGTGTGATCTAGCTATGTCCTTGGCCACCCCTGCGGCTGAGTTCTTTCCAGGCTGACTTGGTGCTGGATCCCCCTTGGAAGCAGGCATAAAATCAGTCTACGAAGAAGACTTGTACAAAACACGAAGATCAAGATCCCCCACATGACCATTGTCCTCTGTATGAATCCCCTGCTCCTTGAAGCACATCCTAATAAGCTCCAAACCTACTCCAGACGCGTCAGTTGTCAAAGTCGATCCCCTGGGCTTTGCATCTAGAAGAGTTTCTAGATCCCCGGCACTGAAAGAGATCTGATAAGGTGGCAACCCGTCATAACGCTGTACTTTATGGGCAAGTTCACTACAGATGGTATGTTCGTTGAGCCAGATACAACCTTTAATATCACAGCCGTAGTAAATTGCCCGGCGGATGTATTGGTCGAAAAGTTTCTGTTCAAGCTAGATACGAATTAGCACACTCCGCAGCTAAAGGAATCAAAGGCCGAACATACTGTCATAATTCTGAGTCTGAGATCACTCTTTCCGAGCTCAAGGTCTTCATCGCCGCATCCATTGAAGAGGTATTCCTGATCAATCTGAACCTTGCCCTTGAACATGAGCTCATGGACCACGAATTTCTCTTGTGCGTTCTGAAAAACGCGCTGTTCAACATAAATACTGGGGTTGGATTGTTCTTCGTCAGTTCCAGCTATGAATACCGTAAAGGGGGCATTCTGGTTGCCCTTTTTTGTCACTCCGGCATTGAGAGTACTGTAGTATATTTGAACAAGCAGCGCGAAGATCTAAGAGAAATTGATCCCCAAACAATTTGTTAAAAGGCTACGATGCAAGTAGGAATGATGACCGGTACGACCGTACAATATTGATAATCTAATGATAGATTACCGAGGTGTTTAAGTCTGGAGATTCTCATTTGTATGAGAACCTCCTTATATACCAGAAAACTCTGCCTTAAGCTAGTCATAATTAGATTTCCCAGGTGATGAATCACTGCGGTTGCCGTCATGGCTCATTCATGGCATAAACCATGGCCGGCCACCATAAATCTCAACACAATTCTCTAGTTTTACTCCCTAGTGCCTCCAATTGAATAGTCCTGATACTTAGTATCTATACTATTGACTTTAATTTCATTGTTTAGGGGCACTCCAAGTGTTTGTATTACAATCATGAAGGCAACTCATTCATATCAGTGCTCGTTAACTGGACCCTCAATCCTTGGCATACAATTTGTCTATGAAAGCTAGCGCAATCTCCAGATTCTCTAGCCAAGCACATTTAAAGAATCGAATTGCTGCTATAGCTACATGATATTTGGTTAACTGGTCATGCGAATGCTTACTATTGTGTTTTCGAGATGACACCCAAAACGGAAACCACATCTACCGCTACAAAGACAGCAACGTCACTCGAGGAGAAATGGGTTGCTGCCGCTCTTTTTGTTCTGTAATCTGACATTGATGATGTCCATCATTGGATCTCTGTTTAATGAAAACCGGCTGTATGGTGCATCCCTTTATTGATTGTACTTGATCATGATACATCTATTCTACCATCGAAATAGTGCGAGATATGCATTATACCCGTTAACTTCCTCTCGGCTGAGACACTCAGTCACTAGATACAACAAGGGTAGGATCATTGGACAGCAGAAGTGTTATAACACAAGTTAATTCTTCCTTCCCTACATGTTCAAAGAGAGGGAAACTCAATCTCAATGGTAAAGATTGCGGATCGTCTCTGGTCCAACTTCATGACTATTGGATACTAGACTTACCCTAAGCCATCATGTGATAAGAAGGTGAATCACCACCTCGAGGATCGAATAGCTAATTTTAGGACCTGACCAGATTTGATCGCCAAGCATGCGGAACGAAATGGCGTCCATTCGGGGACGACCAGGATGATGAACCGTGGATCGAACTAACAATAGCCACGTTACGCTTATTTAGCAAAGCACATCGTTGAAGGAACCAACTAACGACACAATGTAGTATCTTTGGAGTGTCTAGAGTTTCAGTTGAGACCAGACCAGAACGATATATGACTGATTTGTGAAATTTCAGTGATCTACTTGATCAAATAGATAGTCTGAATCGAAGTGGAATGTAGAAACTCTAAATCAACACAACACGAGAAACCCCCTAAATTCATTACAGCACGAGATGTTCAAACCGTAGGGATGTTTTCTTGGGAGTCAATTGCCTATGCGGAACCATAAGATTAACCGGAAGTAAATAATTATAAGAAACAACCCTTTGTCGGAATATAAGTGGTGTTGGTTACCGATTGGGCCTATAAGTGAGGCAAAAGCGCAGGGAATGGCTAACTTGAACCGAAGCAGCATTAGCGATAATGGGGGCCATATTGGGTGCATCATAGAACAATTGAGATCTAGACCGCTACTGTGAAAATGTGGACTTTAATCACTTGACACTGATGCATATTTCATGGACCTCTTAGGTTCACCTGAAGCAACCATGAAGATATCTGCATACACACTGTCCCCATGTCTCGAAATCGAACTTGCAGTCCTACAAACTACACCTCAGAGATGTTATGACCCGAAAGTATGGATTTAGAGCCGATTTTTGCACCTCTGTCATAACGTATTTTCTAATTAACGTTATTTTCCCTTCGACTGGACAGCATGAACGGGTAAGCCAGTCAGACCGAGACCTTTGAGTTACTGCAACAAATCCGGAGAAATTAAAAGGAGAACAAAAAAAAGCAGAATCTAAATAAAGATAGAGAGCTATCGGCCAACTTCGACTCGTTACTCATCATCAAGTCATTATTGGTCGGCCCGGATCGTGGCGTCACGTAAAATGCGGCAGGACCCTGCATCAAGGGTCCAGACAAACCCCGGATTCCAACCCTTGCTTTCAAAATCTTGTTTTCCTTCCCTTTTTACCCTTGTATCTGGTGGTCCCGACTGATCTATTTCAAAATGTTTCTCTCCCCTCCAAAAAAAAAACAACACCAAAATATAGAGATCATGACCCATAAAATCCGTAATTGAAAGCCGAACCTTTCTTACACCCTCTACCCAATCGTATTGCTACTCAATAGTGAATGGCTATGTTTCAAGCATCAGCATTCTCTTTACATAACGAGCCTTGAGCCGCTTCAGCTCGGCTACCGTGTTCCAGTGGCGGCATGTGCCTCTCACAGCCAGGGTCTATCTCAATACGAGCCCAGCTTTGGGAACAACCTTTCTGCTCCCCGAGACAAAATAAACGGTATACTAGAGAGGTTCATCAATATTTTCCCCACTAAATTTGCTAGCTTTTGGCCTAGAAGGAGCTTGCATGAACTCAAAATTTCCTGAAAAGATATGGAACATGTCTACACTGCATTGACGTGAACCGAGAGCCGAAAAGTTTATAGCCAGTGCAGGTTATCCCCCATTAGAATGAGCTCCGTTCAACATTGATTCAAGTAACGGAGTCAATAAGCAACAACATCAATCATCATTGTGCGTTAGTTGTTTTCTGATCACAGTGTATCATTCATGGGTTTGCATATGACGGTACTTCCCGAAAAATAGCTTAGTTTGAACGTCATAGATGTAATATGAACTCGCCCACAAAGTATACACTTGCTAGACCCCGAATGGCTGATAATACGAGGTGATCGGCTTTTGGGCGTGACAAGAATTGCCCAAGAGTGGGCTCGTTCCGGGGTGGGCTTGGCATCGGTCGCGCTCTTGGCATCGCCCAAAAGGTCAAGAGATCTCGACGCTATTCACGGAACCACTATTGTTCACAATCTTGCTCCCAATCATTTAAATCTACAACCCGAAGCTTTGATTGACCCAATGGGTCCTATTTTGGGATACCAGTACCTCAATGGTTATATCTAAGCGGGAATCAATAGATAATCTCGTATCCCCGATGGCGGCCACAACACCAGGTCTTCTGAGACCATGATGTGGAACTGATCTCATTGATTCATCGTAGTACATGCTCCACAAAATAGCCACAAAATATACTTCGAGAAAAGATTGTTCCAAACGGAGTGATCCCTCGCTCTCGGTCTCGTGTGCTGGTCTGTGAGTGGCAGGAAATAGAAAGCGTGTTTCTGTGAATAGGGTCACATAGCCGGCTGGATCGCTTTAGATTCATGATTCAAATCGTTGCTCTCAAGTCAATGATAGTATAGAGATAATTTGCGAATGAAAAGTCACGCCACTCAAGGCCTAGAATGAAATCTTTCTTGGACAGCACTGCGTCGCTCGAATTGTGTAAGTTTATCTTGAAATACGAAGAGTAAACTGCTCAACTGACCATGATCTCCAAATATAAATTGCCCTTCCTTCTTCAGCCAATTTCGAATTCAGAACATAGTTAGTTCATCATCGATTGCCAAGAGCCTCTAAGGACTGCGGTTGATTTCTTCTCTTCAAAAGCTTTTTTCTGACTCAACTTTACTGAGCCTGGCCGGCAGCCAGCTATTCATCTGCCATGAGGATTCAAAGCTTTGCTGCGAGCGTCTTTCTCCTGCTGCTGTCGGGAACGGACGTCTTCGCCGCACCAGCCAATGTGAATTCTCTCCAAGGTACGTCGCATCAGCAACAAGTGAGAAGTAAAAGTTATTTATACTAACTCTCATAGCTCGGAACAATCATTGTGATCGAAAGGATTGGCAGTGCAAGAACTGGGACTGGAACAAATGTGTCTGCAACGACAAGCATTGTGATCGCAAGGATTGGCACTGCAAGGATTGGGACTGGAACAAATGTATCTGCAACGACAAGCAAGTCTGCCACAAAGATCCCAAGTGTCGAGATTGGGACTGGAAAAAATGTGTCTGCAATGACAAGCGTTGTGATCGCAAGGATTGGCACTGCAAGAATTGGGACTGGAACAAATGTATCTGCAACGACAAGCAAGTCTGCCACAAAGATCCCAAGTGTCGAGATTGGGACTGGAAAAAATGTGTCTGCAATGACAAGCGTTGTGATCGCAAGGATTGGCACTGCAAGAATTGGGACTGGAACAAATGTGTCTGCAACGACAAGCATTGTGATCGCAAGGATTGGCACTGCAAGGATTGGGACTGGAACAAATGTATCTGCAACGACAAGCAAGTCTGCCACAAAGATCCCAAGTGTCGAGATTGGGACTGGAAAAAATGTGTCTGCAATGACAAGCGTTGTGATCGCAAGGATTGGCACTGCAAGAATTGGGACTGGAACAAATGTATCTGCAACGACAAGCAAGTCTGCCACAAAGATCCCAAGTGTCGAGATTGGGACTGGAAAAAATGCGTCTGTAACGACAAGCACTGCCAGAAAGACCCAAAATGCAAGGACTGGGATTGGAACAAATGCCTTTGCAACGACAAGCACTGCGTGAAGGATCCCAAGTGCAAGGATTGGGATTGGAACAAATGTGTTTGCAATGACAAGCACTGCGTGAAGGATCCCAAGTGCAAGGACTGGGATTGGAACAAATGTGTTTGCAACGATAAGCACTGCGTGAAGGATCCCAAGTGCAAGGATTGGGATTGGAACAAATGTGTTTGCAACGACAAGCACTGCGTGAAGGATCCCAAGTGCAAGGACTGGGATATGGATAAGTGCTTCTGCAAGGATCAGCACTGCCAGAAAGACCCCAACTGCAAGAACTGGGACTACCAAAAGTGCGTCTGCAATGACCAACATTGCCAGAAAGACCCCAACTGCAAGAACTGGGACTACCAAAAGTGCGTCTGCAATGACCAACATTGCCAGAAGGATCCTAATTGTAAGGATTGGGACTATCAAAAGTGCGTCTGCAAGGATCAACATTGCCAGAAAGACCCCAACTGCAAGAACTGGGACTACCAAAAGTGCGTCTGCAATGACCAACATTGCCAGAAGGATCCTAATTGTAAGGATTGGGACTATCAAAAGTGCGTCTGCAAGGATCAGCACTGCCAGAAGGATCCTAATTGTAAGGATTGGGACTATCAAAAGTGCGTCTGCAAGGATCAACATTGCCAGAAAGACCCCAACTGCAAGAACTGGGACTACCAAAAGTGCGTCTGCAATGACCAACATTGCCAGAAGGATCCTAATTGTAAGGATTGGGACTATCAAAAGTGCGTCTGCAAGGATCAGCACTGCCAGAAGGATCCTAATTGTAAGGATTGGGACTATCAAAAGTGCGTCTGCAATGATCAACATTGCCAGAAAGACCCCAACTGCAAGAACTGGGACTACCAAAAGTGCGTCTGCAATGACCAACATTGCCAGAAGGATCCTAATTGTAAGGATTGGGACTATCAAAAGTGCGTCTGCAAGGATCAGCACTGCCAGAAGGATCCTAATTGTAAGGATTGGGACTATCAAAAGTGCGTCTGCAATGATCAACATTGCCAGAAAGACCCCAACTGCAAGAACTGGGACTACCAAAAGTGCGTCTGCAATGATCAACATTGCCAGAAAGATCCGAACTGCAAGAACTGGGACTACCAAAAGTGCGTCTGCAATGACCAACATTGCCAGAAGGACCCCAACTGTAAAGATTGGGATTCGCAGAAGTGTGTCTGCAACGATCAGCCACCCCAGTGTCAGAAGGATCCCAACTGTAAGAACTGGGATTCGCAGAAGTGTGTCTGCAACGATCAGCCACCCCAGTGCCAGAAAGACCCGAACTGCAAGAACTGGGACTCGCAGAAGTGTGTCTGCAACGATCAGCCACCCCAGTGCCAGAAAGACCCGAACTGCAAGAACTGGGATTCGCAGAAGTGTGTCTGCAACGATCAGCCACCCCAGTGTCAGAAGGATCCCAACTGTAAAAACTGGGACTCGCAGAAGTGTGTCTGCAACGATCAGCCACCCCAGTGTCAGAAGGATCCCAACTGTAAGAACTGGGATTCGCAGAAGTGTGTCTGCAACGATCAGCCACCCCAGTGCCAGAAAGACCCGAACTGCAAGAACTGGGACTCGCAGAAGTGTGTCTGCAACGATCAGCCACCCCAGTGCCAGAAAGACCCGAACTGCAAGAACTGGGACTCGCAGAAGTGTGTCTGCAACGATCAGCCACCCCAGTGCCAGAAAGACCCGAACTGCAAGAACTGGGATTCGCAGAAGTGTGTCTGCAACGATCAGCCACCCCAGTGTCAGAAGGATCCCAACTGTAAAAACTGGGACTCGCAGAAGTGTGTCTGCAACGATCAGCCACCCCAGTGTCAGAAGGATCCCAACTGTAAGAACTGGGATTCGCAGAAGTGTGTCTGCAACGATCAGCCACCCCAGTGCCAGAAAGACCCGAACTGTAAGAACTGGGACTCGCAGAAGTGTGTCTGCAACGATCAGCCACCCCAGTGTCAGAAGGATCCCAATTGTAAGGATTGGGACTCCCAAAAGTGTGTCTGCAATGACAAACACTGAAAGATCCTTTGATATTGGCAATACAACATTGTCAAAACGTTGGTCGATTCATTCAACATGATCGATAATACTACAGGAATACTTTCATCAAGGAACAGTGAAGGTATCATGAGAAGCTTTTCCTGTTAGTCGTCTTAATGTACCTAATTTAGTGTTTATGAGTTTCAATTCTCGCTTGATTTGCATGACTAGATCCGTTGAAGAACGCCTGACGTAGTCATATTGTTGATTCAGATGGATGTACTCGCCTGCACTGAAAGCTTCTATTCCGTGTATCTGACGCGTGGTATACATTGAACATGTTCAGTAGCATTGGATTCTTAGCTTTTCCTTCGGAAAAGATTTTCTCTAACGGCCAAGTTGCTGGTCTTGGGAGAATTGGTTTCAAAGCTTCATCAAAACCAGAGAGTCACCTTATAGATAGCTATGCAGCTGTCTATGGGCATATGTTTTTGCACGAGGAACATACTATATAGACCACAAGAAAGAACCCAGGTAATGCGCCTGAGGGTAAATATGCCACTTCAATACGCAGCGTCCTGATAAAATGAGTTTAGCTGCCACTAATCATTTTCTCGGAGTTTTTTGTGCCGGTAGATAGTGGTAAATCTCTTAAACCAAGCCCATCGAAGTAAGTATAGCAATGGCCATAGTGTGACCAACCATAGTTGCATCAGCCCATTTTGTGTACACTGCGACATGAAAATAATGGTCCCGCCAAGTTTATCGTACCAAACCGGTTTTATGAGATTTCTTCAGTCCCACTCGCTGCCTTGCGCTATCCACTTCAGGGCTATCGGTCTCAAAATTGGCATTTGTGCCGAATCTTTTTATGAATTGGGGATCGTCAGCCTGAATGATTGGTCCATCTCAGATCCATTTATTATTCCGATTTAAAGTCTATCCAAGATCGAGCGCCACTTGTCCCACTGTTTGCATATCAATTTCAACCCCTTTCATCACTAGGTCGACTTTAGGACATCATCGGGATCTACCGCCGATTATTTCGTGTTTGTATTTAATTTCAAAAAGCTAATTTAATTCAGTCAATGGTATAAATGCCTTTGGTCCTTTTTCTTTCACACTCTCCATAGTACTTACCGAAATCTTCGATACCTACCTCGCCTCTCAACCAATCAAGTCCAATAGATCCCCACGAGCTCCTTGTCCTTCTCTATTGACATGACGCTGACTATCATGGCCAGTCCCAAAGGAAAGACCATTTTGGTTGACCTTGGGGGCGTCTTTGTGCATCCACCCACGGACCGGACGCTTGCGACTGGGAACTCTACCATTCCTCTGCGAAGACTCATGTTATCGTCAACCTGGATGGAATACGAATGTGGGAAGCTTAGCGAAACAGATTGTTTTTCACGACTAGCTAGCGAATATTGCTTCGAAACGAGTGAATTGGCGGCGTTGATGAGTGATCTCCGTCAAACTATCACTTACGATGAGAAAGTGGCTGCGGTATTTGCAGAAGCCAAACAGCCAGGAACACGCATCTTTCTCGTAACAAACATCTCTTGCGAGGACTATACAGCCCTCCGAGGCCGATGGAGTGAAGATTTCTGGTCTATCTTTGACGGTGTCTTCACCTCATCTGCACTTGGTGTCCGGAAGCCCAACTTGGGCTTCTATCGCCATGTCCTCCGAGTTACGAGGTCGATTCCGCATGAAACCTTCTTCGTCGATGATCGCCCTGAAAACGTGCTCGCGGCTCTTAGCTTTGGTATGAAAGGGACGTTTGAGATATCTGATATCTCCCGATCGCTCGCCAACTTCATCGGGGACCCTATACAGCGAGGGCTTGCCTTTTTGCAACGACAGCAGGGAAAATTCCCTACAACCACCCAGTACGGTGAACCTATTGATGAGAATTATGCCCCTCTGTTAATGAGGGAGGTCTTAAATGACAAGCACGTCTACCTTTACAATCCCTCTGATCCCTCGCTAACTTTGATAAACAGAAGCTTGGTCAACGTGGAAGTGCCGTCTCGACTTTGGAACTTTTTCAGTGGTCAGTTCTCTGAAGAACTTCGTCGAGACTTCTATCTGACCAGGATCTAGGAAAACCAAAATACACAACCGAGGACTATCCTCAGGACTTGGACACCACATCACTTGGAATGCTAGCTTTTCCTCCTGAAGATGCAACAGCCCACTCTATACTGGACGATATGCTTGATCATATTGACGACGATGGCAGCATTCAAGTAAGTTGCTCAATATCTCTGAATTCAGTGAATTGGCAACAGAGCTGACTTACTATATAGACTTACTTTGATAAATCAAGACCGCGAGCTGACGCGGTAATAACCCTCAATGTTTTGACCGTATTTCACAAATACGGACGCAGTCACGAATTGCCTACCACCTTGGAGTGGATGGTTAATATCCTGTTAAACAGGGCATACATCAAGGGGACACGCTACTATGCCAATGCTGAGTGGTTCCTCTACTATATGGTGCGCCTTCTTCGCGAGTCCACCGACGCTACCCTCCAAGAAAGAATCCAAAGTATTCTGCGCACACGTGTGGCCGAGAGGATCGGCAGTCCTGGAGATGCCTTCTGTCTTGGAATGCGAGTTCTTGCTTGTAAGCATCTGGAGATTGAGAATTATCCGGATCGCCAGAAGCTGCTGGATATGCAACAGGAAGATGGCGGTTGGGAAGCTTCTTGTTTGTACTATTTTCCGGGCAAGAATCTTGAGGTTGGAAACAGAGGAGCGAGCACAGCCTTTGCTTTGAAAGCTCTCGAATGTTGGGCTCCTTAATATCATAGTAATTGAATTTCGTCTTCTTTATCAAAATGAAGCCCTTTTGCCATGAGGTTCCAATGAACAACCAAAAGGTACTGGAATATTTTCTTTCTCTCATCTACTCTTCATTTGATATCAATTATCATCTCTATAAAATTGTACAGACCGACTACAACTAATTAGTCAATGACCCGCTACGTGGCTAAGTTTATGCACTAGACCGGTACAAAGAGCGCTCGCAGATGTACTATCTACCTTTCCAACATCCCACTTCCATGTCTTCCTATCTCCCCCTCTCAAATCCTGCATCACATCAACAGGCCTCGTCTCATTCCCACTCCGTTTGCATCTACTTTGCAAATGGCCATATGGCTAGAATCTCCGCGCTGAGAAAAGGTTGTTGCTTCGTTTATTTTAAGCAGTAGTACTGAAATATGTTATTATTTCGACTCTTTTGCAACAGATAGATTCCGTCGCCCATAAATCAGGTATTAGGGTAACTAAAATGGTTTATCGACTTACATAGAATTTTGACTAAGCTCCTTACTATTTCCCTCTACATAGTTCAAGTTCTAACTAAGAAGATGAGGAGTTAGTTATAATTGTACTAAAGAGGGAGTCTGATCGCGCTACGCACGATCAGAAAAACCTTGTAATTTACAAAATGGCCCCTCGTGTACCCCGTTCAAGATCCTTTATGTCTAGATGGAGGGCCAGGATCCGTCGGAAATCATTCCAAATGTTCTTTCGTGCACTGATCACAGCTTCTTGGCGCTCAGTTGAAAGATTGTACAGACATCTTTGTGCCACATTATCGGAGATGAAGTGAAGATACCCAAATCGGGTATTTTGCTCCTGGCAGGCCAGTGCCAAATATCCGACCTCACAGTCCACCCAATCAGCATCATGCCTGTTTTCGGCTAGCCAATGCTCAGTCTCAACAAGGGGACTCGAGACGGTAATATGAGTCCCCCGGCAAAGGTGTGCAATATTTTGTGTCGATAATGTTGTCGTGAGTGGGCTTTTCCAGTGGAGAATTTCGTTATATAAGCGACTTGTTTCACCAGTAACGAGAACCTCATTAGGGATATCTTGTGTTCGTAATGATCCAGCCTTGCCTATATACAGAACGCTGGAAATGTTGCTGTGGGCTTGCATGGTGCGAACAGCATTGCCAATAATGTCCCCCCAAAGACTCATCATGCTTCCCACAAAGGCGACAGAACTTCCGTCTGCTCGAAGGAAGCGCTTCCACGCAAACAATTGACTCGGCTTGTCTGTGCCTGTCTCCCATGGGTAATCATCATTAGTGGCCAGGCGGTCCACGTAGCCTAGGATGACAGTATCAACAGGGCCCATTAACTTCAAATTTGATTGCGAAAGAAGATCCAGACAATCTTCCGGAGAGGGTAGACGGTATTCTACTACTGATGCAGGCGCTTTGATCGAATTCAGGTTGAGATAATATGCGATAAGGAGGGCGTAATGCAGCACGTAGTCTCGTCCTGGAAAACACCTGATTTCTAGGGTCGAGTCGTCGATGATAATTGCTGTTGGCCGATGCCAGTTGAACCGTTTCCCCCGTTTTTCCTTCGGCGAAATATGTACATTCGCACCGTTTCGGGCATAATGGCCACAAACCACAATGCGGGGCCACACACGGGTCTTGATCAACGGATGGATTTTATCATGAATGTATGCTCGGAGTGTCTCGTGCATCAAGTTTTTGTTGGCTTGAAGAGAGTCATGGTCTATTCTTAACATTGTCATGCGTTGCTTCCAGTTGAGAATCATGAGATCCTGAGTTGGACAAGGCGATGTTGTCGGTCGGATTAAATTTATCCCGACCTTTTGTTCGTTGATATCTTCAGTCAACTAATCTTACCTTTTTGGGCAGTTTGTTGACTCTGTTCTATATTCTTCAATAGGTGATTATCTTGCTTTTAGCTCTAACTTGGCGTAATTGCCTCATTTTTGGTCATTTTTGCTTCTTTCTATGTCAAGACAGCCTCAATTTTCTAAATTCAACGTTGCACAGCCTCATGGCCAGGCAGTATATTCTCTCCACCTCTAATTTCCGATGAGGTCGTGTTTGTATAATTATTACCACCGACTGGATGTCATTATCCACAGAGCTTTCCTGCGAGTTCTTCTTCGTATAGACCTATACTATGCATACCGAATGAGAGGCAAACACCCTCGCTGCCGCCCTTGAGGTTTCTGATGCCATGTCAAATTTGTTCGCTGAAGGTCCATCAATATTGTCGAAAATATTTGCAATCTGTACATGCGACCGCTCACAGTTCCATATTTGAATTAGTCTGACATCGAAAGTGTCAAGGAGAGAAATCAGCTTCAAGAATCGATCTAGTGCACCGAGCACATATTGGCAAGGTGTGCGATTCCGAAAATTCTTTAGATCCTTCATGGCCGTTTTGACGACCTAGACTTCCTAGAACCGGTTTCGGGATCTAACACTTTCCTTCGGCGGTACTGATCACGCACGTAATTCTGGATATTCCGAATATAATCAAGGAAATTGAGCCCAAGCATAAAAGCGACAAAGCCCAATATTGTAATGGGAATTGTGCAAGCGAAGAAGATCCAGATCTTCGCATGTGCCCTCCATTGTAGTGGTTGGTTGTTGTCGCCTTCGAGAGTGAAGAAATTCATTCCGAATATTCCCTGCGATGATTATCAGCGGTTACTCAAACTCAAAGACAGACTCAAAAAAGGACAAGTTCAAAAATCAAATCGTTCAGATGGCCTTACCGAGATGAAAGTTCCCGGGAGGAAGAGAAGCGTTAGGAGGGCCACAGTGTCTGACAGGTCCTTTCCCTCATTCCGGGTTTGCTGGAGAATTCCCTTCGATATTTCACTATCGGCAACTGCCACAAAGTTTGACGCCTATTGAGCCGGTTAAGCCACCGTGAACAACCGGGGAGCGAAGATGCCCATTAGGGCAGGAGGCACTTACACACTTAATCTCATTATCCATGCGGCTAACGAATGCCTTGGCGCGGAAGTTCAAATTAGAGATCATGTTCTGATGCAGTAGTAGTGCTTTAGAAAGACGCCTCGTGACTGCAGAAGAACGGATGCCAGACTGAGTCCACATATTGTGGTCTCGCACTATCGCACTAAGACTGTTGGAAGCTGCGTCCATCGTTTCGGATATATGGATCACATGTCGCGACAATTCGTGTAGTTGAGTATATCGCTCGACCAAGAATTTGAAAGAGTCATTGTCGTCCGATGAGCCGGTATCTTTCTCCTGAAACAGCTTTCCGCTACGAGTCTGAGATTCTTTTAGATATAAATTGCTTAAATAGACCTGGAAAGAAGCCATACCTTTTCAATATCTCGCACTGGCTTTTGAAAGCTCCAGAGATCTTCTTCGAACTGGTCTACCACAATGCTGAGTGCAAACTCGAGCATGAGGAATGGTTCGTTCTTCCAGTTTCTGAGATCGGCTTTGTGCAAAAGACGCCTAAGTCGGAGGGTGCTATCATCATCGAGATCGAAACAAAGAAGCACATTAGTCTGGTCAGTCGATTGATCTGCTCTTAGCTGGCCGCTGCCTTCAGTAGGAGCCACAGATGATGCCCTCCACAAGGTACAGAAGGCCATATAGTGCCAGTCATAGTCGTATTCTGGGGCAAATATTGACTCGGAATTTGCTTGGTGTGAATCTTTTAGGTTTGGCATTAGCCCAGAGTGCTTTTCTTTGATCTTTTTAGAAAGAAAACGCGAAACAGTTCCTTCATAGGGCTTTGTATTAGCAAAATGCTGCAAATTCGACTGACTATCTCACCATAGCTGGCATCTGAATCATTTTGTGAAATATCCTCAGTACTCCCAAACATGCCATTTGCGTTCCATCCAAGTCTTTCAAAAAAGAACCCAGGAAGAAAGAACTTCTCAGATAATTGCCTGCACAATTCAGTACTGCCTGGCAATTTCAAAATTTCTTCGTCGACTTTTGGCATAAAACTGACAGCATATTAGTAACTGTGGGAGTTCAGCAGAAAGAAAGGCCTCACATTACATGAATACCTGGCTTCCCAAAGAACTGTGTTCAAGCTGTCAGTATTTGGCCGGAATGAGTTGGCACTACTAAGTTCGACTAACATCATATTGTAAGAGATCGGTCCGATTTAAGCGTTGAGGCACCGGTAGGTTTTCATCTCCCGGTAGCGATGATTGGGTGCTACCGGGGAGCGAATTATTGCCCCCAGGCTCCTTCCACTGCCAGTAATTGATGGTTGCAGAGCTATTAGCCGTCATTGTCGAGACAACTAGATATGATTTTCAAATTTTCACAAAGAAAATCAGGGGCTATAAAGCACAAACACACCCCTCATTCAGCCCCCAACAGTGCGTTCCGAGGCGGCACGCCTGCATACGGTCTTTCCCCTAATTGGCAAAGTGAGAAGGCATTGCACGAACCCACAAAGATTTCAATTGGCTAGTCAAATCACTTCCTGCAACCAATATTACTATTCTCGATCCATGGCCTATCAGCTGAAGAGAGCCAGTTCGTACTGTAGTCGCGCGGGTGATGTTCACCCAGCTTCACCCAGCACCCAGGCTACAATAACATACAGCACAGTGTACCTACATTTCCTAACGCCGGTCGCGCGACGATAAAGCGAATTTTCGCTGTGAACGCACCAGGGCGATACAGCCGGGTTACTGGACGCGCCTGAGCCGCAAATAAGGACGGGTAGGTGTTGGAAAAGAGTGGGGATGCTATTTCTGGGCTGCATGATGCCTCTATGTGACCAGAAACTTGTAATTAAGCTGCCCATTGGTATTCTGGCACTTTATAATCATCCGAGTGTGCAGAAGCGCCCCCAAAAAACCTCTGAAAGAGCGACGGAATTCTGCTCCAACAAATAAACGCGAAGATGGCATTTCGCAACCAGATCCCCCAGGCTGTCTGAGGGCCAATAATCATCGGGATAAGGGGTGGAATCCGCTGCATCTCGTTGATCAGAGGACGCATCTGTTCTTCATACCCCTTTAACCCGGCAGCGACTTCACCGCGATGCTTTCCGATCTCGCCGGCCAATATGTAGGCGCCAGCCATCGCTAGACTAGTACCCGTGCCTGTGGGGCCAGTTGCGTAGCCTGCATCGCCTACTAATGCAAATCGTCCTTTGTATAAAGTTGGTATCTTCACTTGGACCATTTCACTACCATAGAAGTCGTCTGCTTCCATCATACCCTGGATGACCTCGTCGCTTTTCCAGCCGGCACCTTTGTAGTGTTCAGCAAGGAATCCCTTCAGTTCCTCGTTTCCAAGCTTGCTTGCTTTGCGAAAGTGGCGGATGGAGTCTTGATCGTTGTGAGGGCGGATTCCCATCAGCGCGACGCGATTGCCACCAGTCGCATCGGGTCCAATGAAGATGGTGCGGCCACCAATGGTGCTGTATCCCTCGCCTATCTGGCGCCCGTCAAGAAGGTCCTTTTTCATGGAGAAGAACGCTGTCCAAGCATTCACCGGTTGAATATAATCTCGCACGCTACACCCTAGTCCAATCGCTCGAGTTCGGGACGTGGCCCCGTCACAAGCGACGACGAGATCATACCGCGAGGAGGGAGTTCCATTCATGAACTCAACCGTCACAGATTCGTCGTTGTTTTCATCTTGTTGCATAGAGGCAATTTGCTCGCCGAAGACGTAATTGACATTCTCGTGGTTCTTGGTCAAGTCGTAGAGAATGCTTGCCAGATCACCGCGCAGAATCTCATACTCCGACACAAGCGACTGTTGATCAGGGTCTCCGGTAGCAGTCATGGTTCCGTAAGGCTGGCCGTTCTCACGCACCAGGCTGATGCCTTCAATAGGCACGATGTTGGCTCGCACGGCTTCCTCCATCCCGGGCATTTTTCTCATTACTGAGACACCAGCTGTCCGAATGTCAACGTTTTGTCCGCCGATTCGCATTTGCGGAAATCTTTCTATGACTGTGACTTTTGCCCCCGTTTTGGCAAACCAGTATGCAGCTGTTGGCCCAGCAATAGATGCGCCCACGATTAAAACCCTCAAATTGGACATTGTGGATGGTCGATGAGGTGGTGAAACAGTTTCGCAGCTGGCCTTGATTTTGCCATCACAATGAATAGCAAACTGGTTTACTTTATATAGCCATCGAGTGCGATTCACTTTCGCATTAGAAAAACGATAGTCCCGAGATATCGCAGTTGCTGATTGGCCGAGAGAAGCTGCTCGGGTTCCTGCTCGGGCGTCAAGCGCCCGAGCAAAGAACCAATCAGAGTTGTCATCGGCTATAGTTTGTTTTTTTCCAAAAAATGCGGTCATTGCTAACTGCCTGGTGCTTGGTGGTCCTGCATTAATTGATCCCAAAACACCCAGTCGTCTACGTTGAGCCCGGAACTGGGGCCTATTTCGAGATCAAGACTATGCGAGAGACTGTCAAGTGAGGCATTCGTATCATCCGCAGCGAAAGGGCCAGTTGATGATGTCGCATCAGTAGAATATTTCGACTTGTCCCCTTTATGTTGTCTCTTTTCCCTTTCTTCTCTGGCACTTCGTAACAGACGAACAAAGTCTGGCTCCGGGGTAACGCTGATTAGACGGTAAGAATCCCAAGCCTTCAGAGCGAGACGCCGAAGCGCCACATACAGCGCTTGCTTGCTGTCGAAAAGCTCATCGTGGGTTTGAAAATGTTGTGCCACAGTTGCCCAGGCCGCGTCAATTTCGCCAGCAGAGAGAATATTGTGTCTTTTGAACAATGTAGTCAAGATAAAAATGAGGGAGTCCCGAGTCTCCCACGAAAAGTATGGTTTGATGTGCCACCGATACCTGCTGGTGCCTCTGCAGACATGAATTGCCGCATCAATATCTAAGGTCTTTTGAGCAAAGCAGAACAGCTCCTTCCACTCCGCGTCGGTGGCAGTCTGATTTCTCACTTTGGGGAGGCCAATTTTGAGGCGCATAGTTGTCATACACGACCGAACAAGACAGATAGTGAGATGGTGCAGCGGATTGACGATGTCGCAATAACGAATAAACTTTCCCTCGACTTCGTTTTCCACAGCACTTATTACTTTCTCCGCTTCGTGATGATCTGTTAAATTCCAAGCGGCTGTGCTGTTGATTGGATTTCCCGACCTTGCTAGGGTTTTTCCAATGTACGCTCGCGACAAACAAAAGATCATATCCGTTGCGCCTCTTTGCTCGACAGGCGTCTCGGTCATTCCCGGCCAGATTTGCTCGTCATTGATGTTCGACGGTGGCTGAGTATCCCAGGATTCAGGCAGACTGACAAAATTAATACCGGCAAATTGGCTCGCCCTGCCATCCAGTGGGACAATCTGATAAAATAGCCGTCGTCTCATCTCCACATCGAAGGGTGGTAGGCCCAGCTTTTCTCCATCCCGATGGAGACCTATGCGTTGACCTATACGGGCCGCGGTTCCGGTCAGTATCCAGTATGTATGCGGATCATAGATATGACGACTGGAGAGAAGAAAGAGACAAAGGGCTTGTAACACAGAGAATTCTGTTGTTTGAAGAAATGACGCATTCACGAGAGCTTGCTGTGCGGCAAAGTGGAATCGTTGAATCAAGGTAGACCGCGTCTCTCTGAGTTGGTCGTTACATTCTTTATCTGACATTGAAAACACTGCAGCGTGGTAAATCACAAACAACAGACAATCATCAATTTTGGACGCTGTTTCAGGATTACGGGAAACGAGATCGATCATTTTGCCAGTTGATGGAATGTGTAGGATTTTGCACAGAGGCTCCACGTTTTCCAAGTGCTTCTTCCATAGGAACATGGCATCTGTGTGGATCGGATGATATCTCAGAAGGCTTTGCGGAACGCCCATGAGCACACCCGTCAATGGATCCAATGGGACACCTTGCGCGATATGGGTATCGCCGAGAGGCATATCATCCCCATCGTCATCATCGGACATATGTTGAATTTCATCCTCACCGACATTGTACCACATATGGCTGTCGATATATCTGGATCCTCCTTGGACACTCAAAAGTTTACCGGTTTTTTGCGCCTCAGAACTAAGATTCAATCCCGAATCTCGAGGTGCCACCTCTTCGAAGGTCGGTGTCTCAGTACCTAATAGTCCATTTTGCTGTAAGATGCGTTCATACCGGGCCAGTCTTTCAAGAACATCGTCGTTTGCATTGTCAGCCGGTTTTCGTTTCCGAGACCTTGGCTAAGGAACTTGGTAGATACACTCGAAGTCGCCCTTACGGCATCGTGAGCAGATCGGGGCCAATTTATCACATTTGACTTTTCTCCTGGCACATGTCTGGCAAGTGTTAGACATAGGAGATTCAATTGTGCGTGGATTGTCACGTCTATCAAGTCCCCCATTCGTGCTCGGTGCCGGAGCAATGAGGACTGGTTCACTACGCTTTTGCCCGTTCGTAGCCATTTCAGCTCTTGTCGATCAAAGAGCCCGCAAAACTCTCGTATGTGAATCAATTTTAATTCATTTCACATCAGGTATTCTTCAAGGCGGTTCCCAGTAGAGCGATGGTGAGACTTGACGCGTCACGTTGAGCCGAGCGGCAGTACTCGAACGGCCGCTCTATGGCAGTACGGCCATGAGGTCAAAGGTCACGTGCCTAAAACCAAACATCTACGATCAGAACTCATGGATGGATGAGAGATTCATGTTGGATATAACGAGGTTTGAAATGAACATTAACAGGACGGAACTGACCAAATGGTTCAAGTTGAATTGTGGAGTCAGGGGGCAAGGGTAAGAATTGACAGATATAGTTTTACAGTTCAAGCACTTTAGCGCTCGTGAGGCGCAAAGCCAACTAACTAAATCTCCATCGACTTAGTTTAGTTTACATTTCAATTACTCCGTTGCAGGCTCAGCGCAATAACTTATGATCCATTGTCATTGTTTCAACAGACAGTGTGGCCCTCTTGAACCCAGAACAGGCACTAGCAAATTTCTACGGGGTCGTCGAAGTAGTGTGTTCTTGTTTACCTGTCTCCTTTAGAACACACAAGGCCGGGGGTAAACATTTTAGAATGGAAATACATTTTGCATGCCAGGAATAGGTATGTAGGAGTGAGGCCTGTCATTTTCTCACTCGGCACATTGAGACTCTTCTGTCTATTGCTGCAAACTCATTCATATCATAGTGGGGGTATAAAGTTGCTCTATGGTGCAAAGCAGGCATAGTCATTACAAGTCCTACGGAGTACACCGAGCTGCATAAACAAGAAACGGAGAAAATCATCATCACCCTGCCTTTGCAGGTATCATCCGCAGACGTGTCACAAACAGAGCGGGGAAATTAGCCTTTGTTACGTATGCTGCAGGTAATCCTGCAGCTTTGTGCTGGCTTGAAGAATATCGGGGTTTGGTAACTTTCAGCTAAGCCAGCCACGGCCCAGAGCCACTTAGAATACATCGCTTCTTTTATGTTTCATCGGTTATCGTGCTTTGACCCTTGATAGTTCTCTTGTTAACATCCATGTCATATAATTGGTTGCTAGTTCGAGATCAGAGAGATCTGGATGAACTGTGATGCAGCGAGTTCAGCGTCGTACATACCTCGTGCCGAGATGCCGAAGAAGAATAAATTCTCCCGGGGGTTTTTAGAGTGCCAGTGGCAAATTTGTAGCGTTGAGAAATCAAATATTTTCTCATCATATATATTCTTCGTCAACTTTATTTTTGATCCCGCCAGTCAGTAGCACAAGTCCGCAGAAATCATTATGACTGTTATCCAGGATAAATATGTTTTTGGCAGAGACAGGAAGGAATCAGAACGGTAATTCCGAACTGATAGATCTAGCCTGATTGCAAAACTTCTTATTGAATTGGCTAATAAACCATCTAGATTGGATGCCCAGCATCGCCTGCTATCCAAAGTGACCGGAAACACCCTGATCCATCCATCCATTCCCAAAGAAAGTATATTTTCTGTTGCAGATGTGGGCACTGGAACTGGGTAAGTCTGTCGTTAACTTCTTACAAGGTACAAAGACTGATTCAATGTAAAATTACAGCATCTGGCTGAAAGATGTTTCAACAGTATTGGAACAAACAAACACCAATTGTTACTATCACGGATTTGATATCGCGGCAGATCAATTTCCTGCAAATAGAGGGAACCTCGATTTTTCTGTTCAAGATATAACATTGCCATTCCCTAAAGAACATTGGAACCGATATGACCTGGTCCATGTGAGACTGCTTGTCGCTGCTATTGATGAGGTCGATTACATGACTGCAATCTCGAATTTGTCTGCCATCCTGAGTATGTATATCCGAGGATTACTCGATTTTACTGCGTCCAAAGCTAAACGATTGTTTTCCTATTTCTAAAGAGCCCGGTGGTTACCTTCAATGGGAGGAAATTGACGAAGAAACTTATCTATCAGACAATTCTGTCATCCGCGAGATCCGACGGTGTTTCGATCTATCATTGAAAGCCGAGGGTAAATGCTTTGCAGCATCAGCCAAGGTTTTTGAAGAATGCAACGCCGCAAAGTTATGGAATGTTGAAAGGCTACATTATCGCTCCGATTCGAATAGTGAGCTCCGCCTTGATACAGACAGCAGACTGGCCGCAATAATTGCAACTCTGTACGCAAATCTTTTGTGGCGGTCTGGCCAGGTCGCTGATGAGGCGGCGGCATTAGAACGTGCCGATGAATTGATCGAACAACATCGGCGTCTTTGTGCTGAGGGAAATTCTCCGCCACTGACATTGATGAGGGTTGTCGCCCAGAAGCCATATCACCCACGTCTCTAAGAAGTATATCCGGTTTCTAACGATAGTAACAATAGTATGAACTCAATCAGATTTAGAGCCATTGCTAGAGCTGCAACTAAATATTTCAATTATAGAGTCTCAGTAAAGCCATCCTTCATGCATCCTAAATTGACGCAATCTTGAAGTCAACTCAACCACACCAAGAAGTCTGGAGTAAAATAGCTAATGATGGCATCGGCACCAGCGCGGACTATCACCTCGGTCGTTTCAAGAGCCATGGTTTTCAAGTCAAAAACCCCAGCACTAGCAGCTGCATGAAGCATGGCAAATTCACCAGATACCTGCATGGCCACGACTGGCACATTAGCCATGCCTTTGGCATCACTGATAATATCAGCCCAACCCGGTTTGACAATAACCATGTCGGCGCCTTCATTCATATCACGGATCATGGCCTTATGAGCTAGTTTGCGTGCCGGAGGAGGCAAGAGATAGCGCTTGTGCTCATCTGTGACAAGATTTGACGAGACAGCCTCACGGAAAGGGCCATAGAGGCAACTGGCGTATTTTGCAGAATATGACATAATAGCAACTTTCCCTTCAAGCCGGGCTTCGAGGAGTCTGAGCTTGATTGTGCGTATGCGACCGTCGCTCATGTCTGAGGGAGCGACGCAGTTGGCGCCAGCTCTGGCGAAGGATAGCGCCATATCGGAGACGCGCGCGATGGTTGCCTCATTGTCGACCGTGCCGTCTTCAAATAATACCGAGCTATGTCCATGGTTTGTGTATTCGCAAAGGCTTACATCTGCGATCACATATAGTTCGGGAAAGGCCTGGCGTATGAGTGGAATTGCGGGCCTGATAGGACCTTGGATACTGTCTGCCATTGAGCCGGCATTGTCCTTTGTGTGGCTACTAAGCAATGTGCCAAAAAGAATGACCGAGTGAAGACCTTTTGAGACTAAGATAGAAATAAAAGGTAAAAGTTTGTTGATTCCCCGTATGTATTGGCCAGGGAGTCCGGGAATGCTTTCTTCCAAATCTGGATCGCTAGACAGGAAGATAGGGTAAATGAACATTGACTGCAGACTTTTTTTAGCATATAGTACCTTTGACTTCATAATATTTAGTGCTCTCACTTTATGCATCTGCCGCTCTGCTTGCCACATAGCAGAAACCGTATGGTTATAGCCGCTCTTGAGCTGACTAGAGATTTGAGCTGTGCCATCCTGAGCCCACTGGTTCCTACTAATGATGGGAGAGGCAATCTGAACTGCAGGTAAAGACTCTGAAGCCGTCATAATGTAGTTGGAAGGCTATGTGTGCTTTGTACGTGCGCAGTAGGCCAGCACTTTATATTCCTTTAATGGTCACTGCATTTCAGCCAAAGAGTGAACAACAGAGCCAAGATCTTCTGCTGATTCTAAAGACAACATTCTGTTACATGAACTCAGCCTACGAGACGCATGAAGTGAAACCTGCAATGCGTGAAAATGTGATGCATGTATCTTACATACGCAGAGCTGACATTTCTACTTGAACGTTTTGTCCTTAAATTCCGACCACTTCATCTCGGTGATAGGCTGAAGTAGCTACAATAAGAGACAGCAGAGTACATTAAATGCTCGAGAGAGGTGATGAGTTTTCAGTTGAACAGGGCTGGCTGAATGCGTGCGTAGCAGCTCGGCAATTTAGCCCAGCTTCAGCTTCCGGGTTCAGCTTCAGGAACCAATAGAATGAGGCCATGCATTGATTAGAGAGTTTCTTATAGATGCTGTATGCTGCTTTGATCTTGGTCAAGAAGCTGCTTAGCTTAGAGATGTGACTTTGAGCGTAGCTCATTAGAGTAAGGGCTCGGACTCAGTCGAAATGGGCAAAACTTGGTTGTGATGATTGTATTGACTGGCTGCTAAATATCGTTAATGACTCCCCTCGAGCCCCAACATCTAGTCAAAGCCGGGCAAATCTACGATAGGACCTCACAAGTACAAAGTCTCTTTCATTAAGTTTTCAGATCAGGTATTATATTTTACATCCACCCCTACTAAAGCGCCTATGATCCCCATAGCTGACTATAGGATGGCTTGGATCACGGCCGATCAATTAACAAGATCTAAGCTCTTACGTCTTCAAGAAGTGCAAAGCCCAAACTTATACATATACAGAGTCTCATATGATTCTTCTGGTCGTCCTAGGCAAGGCATTGAGATTTGTGGCGGCGACTGTATTCGCCAGTTGATCGATAATAAACCAGTTGAAAGGGAGGGGGGACACGAATTGGGTTTCTTTCACTCTGTTAAAACTTGGAAAAGAAGCCTGCATATCTTCAAAGAATCTCATGGGTATCATTCATAGAAACCATATAGTTGCCGCAAGTAATTTGCGGGGATAAGATGAACTATGAACACTCCGCGGGGCCCCGTATTCTTATATCCTGACTCGGTGTAAATCCGGGGATACGGGGTCGAAGCGGAGAAGCACAATTTAGATCATCTATATCTCAAGCCAACCTCATCATTTTCGTTTCCTTTTTTTATACTTGTATTGAATCATAACGTCTTCTACGATGGAACATAGCACCTCTGAACCCTTGAACCAGGAGTGCCAGGAGAAGGGACTTGAACAGTTCAAGCATGTCGAGAAAGTTGACAGCGTTTCCAATGAAGACTTTGTGTACGACAATGACGAGGAGCCTGAGCTTCATGCGCAGACTTACTTTGCGTTGGCTGCCATGTTTCTTCTCAACCTCGTCCAAGTCTTCGGTCTACTGGGACCCCCATCAGGTGTATGCGAAATCCTTGCTTGGAACTTGTTTTTTCCGCCATGGGATACTGACATAGCTTCTTTCAAGCTTTCTTATATCGAAAAGGATCTCAACAATACAGCAAACGGTACATGGGTACCGAATGCCCTATCGCTCGTTCAAGCCGTGCTCGCTCCGATAATTTCTTCCGCGTCAGATACTTTCCAAGCCCGCAAAGCGCTTCTTGTTGGTCCGGCTATTATATCATTCATCGGATGTGCTATCGCACCCGGTTCAAACAGTATATTTCGTTTGATTGCAGCCCAAGTCTTGATCGGGTTCGGGTTCGCTACAGTGCCCTTGGCATACTGTATCCCTAGTGAGATTATCCCACGAAAGTGGCGACCAAGTATGTTGGCGATCAGAAAATACTAGTTTTTATAGATTGCTGATAGGCTATGGTGCAGTGGCTCAAGCTTTCATGAATATTGCGGCTGCTCTCGGCGCTTGCGCAGGGCCGTTGATCATCGGATCGTTGACTAGGAAGAATCCGCACACTGGCTGGCGTTACTTCTATGTGAGATGCAGCCTACTCCTGTCTAAAGTACTACTGATCTGACAGAATCTTCAGTGGATTCAGATGGCACTTTGGGGAATGACAGCAGTTTGCCTTTTTGTTGGTTACAGACCACCTAAACGACACACTCGCTTTGATCATCTGTCATTCCACGAGAAGATCGCCCGACTGGATCTTTTGGGTATGTTCCTACTCACAGCAGGTCTTACACTGCTATTGACCGCTCTTAATCTCGGTGGCGGTCTCTACCCATGGGTCAGTGGGACAGTATTGGCGACGTTGATTATTGGCATTCTCACGTTGATTGCTTTTGGTATTTACGAGTGGAGATTTACGACGACTGGAATCCTTCACCATGATCTTTTCAGGGGTGCCAATCACAGTGGTCGTACCTTTGCAATTTGCATTGGTCTTATTTTCATTGAAGGAGTTTTCTTGTTCGCCTTTGTCATCTTTTATCCAGTCTTGTGAGTATACGCGTTTCAAAGTCAGCGACTAGATATACTAACAGATGACTGCAGGACAACATCTCTATTCGAGACAGATCCTTTTCTTGATGCTGCCCGCCAACAGCCATTTTGGATTGCCTCGGCCTCGAGCACTGTAATATATGGATATGCAAGCGTCAAGTTTCGAACTATTCGGTTTCCCATGATTGCTGGATTTGTCATTTTCACAAGTGGCATTGTCGGACTAGCAACAATTCAGCCCGGTGACGATATCAATGCTCTTGCATTCGCTGCTCTGACCGGTCTCGGATTTGGAGCCCCTCTCATTCTGGTCATCGCCGGCGTCCAGCTTTCTGTCCCGCATCATCTCATCGCCACAGCCACGGCGGCGACTACTTGCTCTAGAGCTGTTGCCACGGCGGTTTTCACGGCGATAGCTTCTGCGGCACTGAATAGTCGACTGGAGAAATATATACCGACGTACACGGTCAAAGCCGCTCTTGAGGCTGGACTTCCAAAATCTTCTCTTGTCGAGTTTATCAAAGCTCTTTCATCTGAAGACACTACCGCACTTCAAGGGGTAGCTGGCGTCACCCCCCACATTGTGCAAGCAGGAGTCATGGCTCTCAAGCAAGCTTATGCGGACGGAATCAGAGTCGTCTTCATTATAGCAGCACCATTTGGCGTAGTAGCTATCCTGGCTGCGATCTTCTTGGGTGATTTGAAGAGCGTTATGAATTATGGAGTCGATGCCCCAGTCGAGCATCTTCATGCAAAACGTCCCAGATCGACAAATGTATAGGATCTAGCAAGATAAAAATTGATATTATATGTCAACGTTTCACTTTAAATTTAAGCAATTTAAAAGAGCAGAAAAGGATCAAAACTGGAAGCATAATGAGAGCAAAATATAAATGAACTATAGAGTCGCCAATTTCTTGAATAAATCTAGTCTCATTGCCTGTAGAATTGAAAAGTAAAATTTCAAATCAGCTATATCCCTGCACTGCCTGCACTTTCTTCATTTTTCTTAAAATTTATTTAAATCGAGACTCGTAATCGTGATATGTGGATGAAATATTAAAGAGCCCTTGAACTAAAATCTCATCCAGTTCTCACCCAAATATTGTCCTAATTTCACTGCATATGCACTATTCATTGGGTTGAAATATTACCCCAGCTTCCCCACAATGTTAAGAAAGCTTAATTGCTGGTAACCAAGGAATAAGGACCATCTATGAATGTAAATGTGGGGATAAAAGATAAACCTTGTCCATATTCACAGGACCCGCGAACACATAAGTGTTCTGTCTTCATTACCTATAACGGCCTTGAAACTTATGTAGGGTAGTCATTACTTCGCGAGGTTTAGTTACCACATTGTCATGGGCTTCACATTATGCACTCCTGCTTTGAATATCTATCGTTACATCTGGGAGAGATTACAAGGTTTTAAAAGACATAAAGCTTCCCGAAAGGACCTATTTCAGTAGTATGACTTTTTGATTAAGCAACTGGTCTGCTATTCTTCTTTGCTTGACACCGCTGATACATCAACCATGTTGCACTTCGCAAATTTCATTGTCGGTATCATCTTGGCCACTATTCTTATTCTATCTTCTATAGCGGATGCTTGTATCGCTCATGGCGGAGCGAGTCTGCGAAGGAGAACGGAGAATCTTGAAATCGCTCGCATTCAAGAGCGTCAAATTCCGGCATCTCCTAGAACAATTGTGGCTTTGACCAACGTTCACGTCTTTGACGGCACCAGAATCACCGCGCCTAGCACAGTCATCATTGATGGCGAGTATATCAAATCTATAGTCCCATTACAGCAGGTGCCGGTCTTTGGCGCAGAAATTATTGATGGAAATGGGGGCTATCTATTACCAGGACTCATTGACAACCATTGCCATCCCGGAAGCCTGGATGATCTGACCAACTTGATCAGCTATGGGGTGACAACTGCAATTGGAATGGCATGCTTAAGCTATGATCTGTGCAATGCCTTGAAGGACCAAACCGGACTGACGTCCTTTATCACCACCGGCCTTGCAGCAATCGCCCCAAACAGTCCGCATGCGATGCTGTTTGATACTCCTATCGAGGATACAATTTCATCACCAGCGCAGGCTCCTCAATTTGTTGCTAATGTATTTGGAAATCATTCCGCCTTTCTTAAAATGGTTGCCGAAGAAGGCGGACCAAGTCAGGAAACCCTCAATGCTTTGGTGCAAAGCACCCACAACGCTGGCCATGTCTCTACTACTCATGCAACTACGATCTCAGCATACAATCAGGCTATCAACTCTTTAACTGATAGTATTCAACATACCCCCCAAGATGCGGTGATTACAGCAGACATGGCTCGAAAGATTCTCCGAAATAAGCAATTTGTCACTCCCACCCTCAATGTTGTGCAATATATTCTTCGTTTGCCAGGAGCCCCTGCGAGCTATAGCTTTGCAAATGCTGCACAAAGCGCCAGTATCTTGTATAACTCCGGTGTACCGATTTTGGTTGGAACAGATTCCTTTGTTGACCCCGATAATGTATTGCTCAGAGTTCCCTTTGGAAGCTCACTTCATGCTGAGCTTGAGTACTTGGTCCAGGCAGGTCTGAAGCCGGTTGATGTTTTGCGCGGTGCAACTTTACTTAGTGCTGAATTGCACTCACTTCCTGATCGGGGTTACATAAGGGCAGGGTTTCGGGCAGACTTATTGCTTATTGGGGGAAATCCTTTGACAAATATATCCAGTACAAGGGACATCAAGAGGGTTTGGGTTGGTGGACTTGAGTACCAGGGTGCAATTGGCCAAGGAAAGCCAAACTGAAGGGCTCGCCTTTTGTGATCCAAAGGCAACATTGATGTGTTAAGAAAGAGACAAGAAGATGGATACTACAAGATTATGGGTTGTACATGAAAGTGAAACAGATTCATTAGGTGATAAGAAATGACTTAATCCAGGCGAAGCAAACAAAGAGGGCCTAAGATCTCAATCTGAGTTCTCAATTCCTAGGCTTCTTTCCACTAAGCGGGCCAGCTATAATCATTGCGAATAGGCCACACAGTTATGCGGCCGGTGAGTCTTGTTGATCGAGAATTTGAGAAAGTGTATCACATTCCCAACCAGAATATATTGCGATCGAGGACCTTTGCCACAAGACTTTCATCATCGACACCTGGAAGATCCTCCTTCACTTGATACCCTTTTTCTGCCAAACAATAAGCCAGGAATCTATAGCTCTTTCGTCTAAAAGTCCATTCATCCTCAAGATCGAGACCATTAGATCCTAAGCCAGGGAATACTGGGGATATTTTGTCATTTATATAGATGACTTCCATGCTCAGCATTCTCCATGAATGACCTGCACTACCGATCTTTTCAACTCTCGACAGAAAGCGACAGTTCGACATGAGCTCGTATTCCGAGCCTTGCTTTTGAAAGCGAGTTACTATGCTTCCGACGGAGACAGAAAACGCTTTAGATCTGTTGAGAGATGTCTCCACTGGAGTGATGTTGTGAATAGCATTGGAGCCAGCTTCAAACATCTTCCTTGATCCTTCAACAAATCCTTCGATGTTCCCTTGATACCTTGAAGAATCAGCAAAAGGGTTCAAACCCCAGTTGACGCTCTATGAGGTGACTATACCAGGTAATCTCGATCATTGTTTTTGAGGCATCGGGGTGGTAACAATCCCTGAGCTTTTCCCATTGACATGAATCCCGATAATATCTCTCTCGAACAACAAGAGACCTTATAGCTGCCTCAGCAATGATATCTTGTTCGGTCATGATCAAGTATTAGATGAGATATGCAATGCCTTCTGCAATGTGAGGCGATGTGAATAAATTTGGAGAATTTCAATGTCTAACAGACCTTCACTTTGACATAAGTAGAAGTCATGTGTCGGTGTGGGCCCTATCTGCAAACATTGTATAGGGACCACCGGACACTTTGTGTAATTAACGCTTGTAGCGACTGGAATTTATGTAAACTTGATCCAATATGCACCGTGAAATTTGTGTAATTAGCCTCAGTGTTCTTAAGTGGGCAATACCTACCAGTGTGACTGGCAGAGTTAACTAGTATGATCTTGCCCCGCGTCAACGAGCACTCATAGGTTTGGCACCCACTGACAATGTGGCCGCATTCGAACATCATCATGGGTCAATTCTGATTCAGAGGAGAATAAGATGATAAGTGTAATGAATGACTAAAATACAAGCAATTGATCGAGATCATTCATCAAAATATGACAGTCCGTCTCTCCGTTGCCCTGGCACTCGACCTCGTCCATTATAGTACAAATTTGATCCTCAGACTTGCGCAACCATGTCGCTTGCCCCGAAGCAGTGTCGCATTGCAAGGGCGAAGAACAACGAGAGCCTTGTGAAGAGAACCCTTTGAGTTGAGAACTTTGGGCAAGTGGTAGATCCGCAAGCCTCTCTTGATTAGATTCAGAGCCTGTGAATTCTCGATATACGTCGGTGTGATCCTTGGATTGAGCAGACAATGGCGATGAAGATCTGACATGATCCAAGTCGCTACTTTCATTTCCCATGGGAAGCAATAGTCGACGAAGCTCCGAATACATTGAATGAAATGCACTCCAACGCGGTACTTCGTGATCAATGCCTTGGGGTAACGGTAGGTTTAATATTTGATGGGATTGGCCGATGTTATGAGCAGCTGTGGCATAATGAGAGCCTCCACTAGCGGGCATTTTGTAAGTATTTCTATTCCAATGATCAATAGTTTGCAAAACGTCAATTTTCAGTGCATACCTTTTCTTAGAAGCTCTCGGTAAGCATATTTGGCCTTTTTTGCGGCAATGAGTGCATTGGCTGCGCGACTGAGCCATGTCACATCGCCTTTTGCGAGCATGACAGGCCCGGCATGCTGGTTTTCCTGGTATTCTCCCTTGTCTTCTATTTGATTTCAGCCCTCCTTTTGAAGTCGTCGTCTGTATAGATTCCGGAAGATCCATTTCTGTGCAATCTTAGCAGATGAAGTTGAGCGAGTGATTCTGAAGTATAGTGGCTCGGAATGAGGGCTTCGAAGAAATAAGCCCCACATTCAGTACCGTTGAATTCTTCATGGCGGCGAATGGAGATAGTGAATAGGCACAGGATTCACTTAATTAGTGAAACGATCAAATACTCCAATGATGCTTATCAGCATCAGTTTGCTTTCGCTGTTATGGAATCTCGGCCCCAAGGTTTCATCATCTCGTGCGAACAGCAGGTCAAATTTCGGCCAAGCATTTTCAAAATGCTAAGACCGCAAAAGCGTAATTTTGTCACTGCTCAAATGTTTCTAAATTGACAAAGAGAACGAGCCGAAACTTCATGTAGGCAGGGAGCCTGAGTTGGTTTACGGAAGACTACAATGGAAAACATTGAAGCATGCGATACCATTCTCGAGTATAATGAGCCCCCTCAAGAATATATCAAAACAAATCCTGAGTCTCCTCAACAATAGCCAACAGCGTCGAAGCCAAGCTCTGCGAGATCCTCCAATGGCTAACTCTTTGCAGCAGATCGATGACACGAAACAACGACCCCAACGCCAATTTCCTCGGTAAAAGAACACTCGCCTGTTCAAGCAAAATACCAACATCAACACCATCCAGCAGCAACTCTTCAAAATGCAAATGATCCGTAGCATCAACAGTGACAGGATCATCAGTCTTATCACTAAAGCACATAAAACAAGCCCAAATAAGACCACAATAGTACAAGCAAAGCGGAACATGGATGGCCGAATCGGCACCAGCAGGGAGCGACTCGAAGTTTTTTTGTATAAGCATGGCGTGAAGGACGCAGCGTTTTGCATCGGCGGAGCGCACCCATGACCGCGCATATGGAACGTACTTTTGAGCTGTATCTTGGCCATCGCGGCCACAGGCGATTTCTATGGCATTAAAGTCTGTGTGTAGGGCTATGAATATTGAGTGCCATAGGATTATGAGGTTTCGCCATGATGGCTTGTTTTGGGCTTCTGGTGCATAGTCAGCATACCAGGCTGTTAGCAGGGTGCGACATTCTGCCGGCGAAATGTCATTGTCGATAGACAGGGCACTAATTGATTCTAGTATCCCGGTTAGAGCAAAGTCGCCGGGCGTGGACTTGGGATTCGAGTGGAACTGGGATTGTAATTGAGGTCGGGTGTTTTCTGAAGATACTGGATTTTGACAACGGGCCTCTGCCATCAGTGATTTCCAGTGGCTTGGAGTTGATGCTGTGAAAAGCTCATTGGATGAAATCTGGGGAAGTCGACCGAGAGAATGGCGAAGGATGGGTTCGTGGTGATAGAATCTTGCGAATTCAGAGTCGTGAATATAGAGACCGAGGACAATCCTATGAACCTTAGTAAGAACATAGATCTCTACTAGGACATTTAATTTTGCATACCGCATGTTCACTTCAGTTTTAATCCATGAACTCCAAGCATTTTGTAGATCTTTGCCCTCTAAGTCCAGGATATTGCGATCTGAGTGTCTTGAGTGAAACATCTTGGCTTTGCGAGCCCACTAACTAGTGTTAGATCACATCAGTAGTTTTCTCTTGGTTGAAGACTTACGGCAATTATACTCCCGTGAAAAACTTCAATCCCGAACAGGTCTTTCGGTCTCTAGATTCCAGATGGAAAGTTAGTCTGGTGGATGAGATCTTCAAGGGTATGAGTAAACATAAAAGTAATGAAAAATGGACATACCCCCACCAGTAGACCAAAGTTCTGACCTATGAGTGAAGCTTGCAGTGCTATTGTGGATGTGCACCCTGGCTTTGAAACGTAAGTGTCCCACTGCGGCTGTTAGCATCTGAATCTCCATTGGTATTTTGGGGGAACTACCGATGCAAGGATGGCTTTGTTAAGCCGCTCAAACATGCTCACTCCATGAGCTAGTGCACGAGCAGATCCAACAAACAAACTTCCTATGGAGCATATCGAAAGAAGAAGGATCGAATTTTGTGTGCCGGGCCGAAAGGTGGGCATATGAACAACTGGGAATAGAGGGTGAAATTTTGAAAAGTAAGCTTGAATACAGAGGTCCTATCCAAAGGTCAGTCAAATAGTCCGCTCAAACAATAGAGTAGAGGTACCAGAAATGTGGTAGATGGAAGGATCCCAGTGGGTACGGGAGGCTGGAGGCGTTCAGCAAGTTTCTCGCGGTAAGCCTCGTTTATATCATTGCCCTGTTGGGCCAAAACAGGGGTCATTTGACCTGAAGAGGAAGCCAACTCAGAATAAGTGTGCCATTTACGCTGGATTAAGCTGGCATGTTCACGGTGGTTCACATGCACATCTTCAGATTGAATAAGATGTCGTGGCCGAGTGGTGGACATCTCTGGTGGCGTCCTTATTGCAGGGACAAACTCGGATGTTTCATTGAGAAGTGACATGTTAACAGCATCCAGATCAAATAGTTCTCCGGTCAATAAGGCGTCCCAATCTCGGTCAATCCGGTAATCCCAAAAGGCTGGCTGTGAGCTGCCTCGCCATTCGTCTCCCGCTTCCATGGAGAACAGCGAGGTTAGGGGTGTTCTGTCACTATTCTGTAGAGTATCACCGAGACCGGGAATCATGGGAGTGTGACGATCAACCGGTGTACTGTCAGATGGGGATAAGGGAGCTAGCATGTTACCTGCCATCAACTCGGATGCCATTTGGCCTGGAGCTATCAAGTCGATGGGAGGTTGGGCCATGAAATGTTCATCGCTTATGTTTTGCGCATTATCATCATCGACTGGCCCTTGGTTCATCTTTGGCATTTCACAGTCCCCGTTATTATTGGGGTGAGACCGTGAATGTCGCAGCAAGGTATCCCTGCCGAATGTCAGCGCCTTGATCAGCCCTAAAGATCGTCGAGCGACTTACTGCCGAGCAAATACTTTATGGCATACAGGGCAGCTGAATGGTCGCTCTTTAGTATGAGACCGGAGGTGCCGGGCCAGATGCTCCGCTTTCTTGAATGCTCGAGTGCAGACGGGACAAACTCGTTCCTCCTTGGAGGTCTTGCGCCTGCGCTGTGCCTTGAGACCTGAGTTCATCATTCCTAAGCATTCCATCTTAGATTTTCTTCGCATATAGCAGCCTTGATGTTACGGGTAGACTCCATGTGTAGAAGGGATGTGTCCACAGGAGGTTTGGCTAAAGCATGTTCTTCCCGCTCTCGTGGCGAACCCCGCGCCTAACGAGATTCAATGTCAGGAAATCACGGCCAATGAGATCCAGATCGAATTGAATGTAACTTCAGACTAAATCTTAGCCGCTGGATATGCGGAGTATGTCCCGAGGATGTTTGATCAGATGAAAGAGAGGTTGAAATGTGGGATCTATCATGTGGGGCTTATGTTACTCAGTGCTGAACTCGGTTCTTGGTGGCTCCGACACCCTCAATCTCGACCTCGACAATATCTCCATCTTTTAGAAACTCTTTCCGGAAATAGCCTACCCCGGATGGTGTACCAGTCATAACCAAGGTGCCCTTTCGGAGGGTCGTGCCACGAGAAAGGTGACTGACGATCTGACGAACACTCCAGATCATGTCACCAGTGTTGGTTTCTTGCTTGACAATTCCGTTGACCTTGGTGGTCAGCTTCAGCACTTGAGGGTCTACTATCTCGCGGTTTGACACGATTGCATGACCAATAGGTGCAAATTTGTCGAAAGATTTGGCGTAACAGAACTGGCCACCGGAGGCTTCTGGCAGCTGGAAATTTCGAGCTGACAGGTCATTTCCAGCTGTATAGCCCAAGACATAGTCGAGTGCATCTTCTTCTGACACGTTTTTGGCGTCTTGCCCGATCACAATGGTCAGTTCACCCTCATAATCGAGAAGATCGCGCGCATCTGGGTGGATGTCAATTGATTCAAAGGGTCCAGCAAGTGCATCCGAAGGCTTGGTGAAAATGACCGGATAAGTAGGAACAGGGAGCTATTTATCAAAGTTAGCAGGCAATTTTTCATAGAGAATTTGTGTTTCCAATACTGACATTTGCCTCTTTCGCATGCTGGTGGTAATTCAACCCGACGCACATAATGATCGGGACACTTTCAAGGGGACATTCGAGCTTAAAAATGGTCAGATTTGCCATTTATGCTTTCAGTCCATGGCCTACTGTTTCGACCTGCACAGTCTCCTCCGTAGTCTCCAGCTTGGTGAAAGGGCTTCCGGTCATCTTCCGGACCGTGTACTTCCCGTCCACAAAGTTCACAAGATCCCCATAGTGGGTTTGCGAGCCAGCAGAGAACCGAACAAGTTTAGTGAAAGCAGACATTTTAAATCAATACAAAAAGATCTTGATACTCATCTAAAAGGTTCTGAACAGTATATATATCAGCAGCGGCGGGGCTGATGCTCCCCAGATGTGGGATCAATTCTGACATTATTGACTAAACATTCTCACCACTACGTACATGGGGAAGCCTTGAAATATATAAGGCCATTGACCCCACTACTAGCAGGCATTATACCAGTTCGTCACTGTGCGACTCAATTTCGTTTCATCGACCACGAAGTTGACAATATTCATTATGGATGCTACCTCCATCAAGCCCAATAGTGGCGCCACGGTATCTGACGTGATCGCCGTTGGCAAAGAAAATGAATTGCAGAAGGACTGGCTTGAGAAGCAGAAAATCAACCTCAACGACCGGGTTCATCTCATGAAATTGTCCCACATGCGATACCAGCATCCTGACCTTGAAGAGATCCATCGTTTCATGATCGGTAAGTTCAATATCCCATTACTTGAGTGATATTGTCTTACGCGTCTAGACTTTGGAATGCAACTTGCGAAGAAGACCGACGATGAGGTTTGGTACCACGGATATGGATCTGATCATTATGTCTACTATGCGCGGAAAGGGCCGAAGCAGTTCCTAGGCGGCACCTTTGAGGCGCTAAGCCAACAAGACTTCAACAAGTGAGTGGAATTTGTTTCACTGGTGGTGAAATTTAACTAACATATCTTGCTTCTCCTAGAGCAGCGAGCCTTCCCACAGCCGGTGCAGTCCAGGATCTTAACGACGCACCCGGTGGGGGATCCTTAGTGACTATCACTGATCCCGAAGGATTTCCCCTTAATGTCATTTTCGGACAAACTCCCAAAGATGTCAAGGTAAATCATCCCGAGCAGGTCGTGTTGAATTACACGGGCGAGAAAGCCCGTCGTCGCGAGTTCAATCGGTTTGAGCCAGGCCCAGCAGCTGTCCACAAAGTAGGTCCGACATGATACCAAGGGTACTGATTTATATTAACACTATCAAGCTCGGTCATTTCGGATTATGCACACAGCAGTTTGAAAAGCAGGTCGAGTTCTACACTTCCAAATTCAACCTAGTCCCTACCGACTTGCTTTTCATCGAAAAGGACGGCCACAAGATGATCGTGAGCATGTTTGCTCACATAGATCTGGGCGATACTCTAACAGACCACCACTCGTTCTTCCTAAGTGCAAATCCCGGTGGTGCACATGTGCATCACTGTTCATTCGAGGTCAATGATTTCGATACCCAGCATCTAGGCCACCAGTGGCTTGCCCAAAAGGGGTATCGTTCTGTCTGGGGAATTGGCCGGCATGTACTTGGATCCCAGATTTTCGATTATTGGTGGGATACTACTGGTAATATGGTTGAACATTATGCCGATGGTGATCTGGTGAACAAGGACACCCCGATTGGGCATGTGCAGGCTGGGAGTGAGTCTCTCGCTGTATGGGGGCCCGAGGTGCCTGCGAGCTTCTTGCAGTAGTTTTTTTTTTTTTAATATCGAGTTAGAAATTATTGTTATGCTTACAGCCTTCTTTAATCAATTATTTGAGAATCTGAACCGCCTAACGCATATTGCCCTAGAACATAGCCCGGTTCCTGTTTCCGTATGACCACTTTGACGTTTCTTTTCCAATAAGAGACTCTTTAATCAGTATACAACCATACATTCAAAGCTATGCAACCTGAGTTGTGTTCATATGTGGGCCTCTCGTGCCTTATATTCAAGACTGCCAGATACTCAGCATTTTCGGTATAAAGAAAGCATATTTTGAGGCAGTCTAGTCAAGCCTCAAGTAGACAGACTGCCATACCTTTGCCGTTTAAACCGCTCAATTTAATTCTCGGATATAGACTGATTGCCTCATCAGAGTAAAAGAGATCATGGACGTGCCAGAGGGGCCTACGGGGGATACATTGTCCCCACATTCTTATATTCCGTAGCCAAAAGCATCAACTTGGGTCATCTCGGGATACTTTAAATATTTTAATGGCTTGTTTCTTCTCTGTTGCACATTAAGAACCACAACTATTCCTAAATATTGCGATAATATGGCTTCTCATGAAGAATGGGAGACCACAGACGTGTTGATATGCGGCTGTGGCCCTACCGGGGCTATGCTGTCGGCGTATTTGGGGAATCTAGGTGTTCCAAATATCGTACTCGAAAAAGAACCGAGTATTACCACAGATCCTCGGGGGATTGCTCTCGACGATGATGGCATCCGGTTGATGCAGGGGCTTGGTCTTTACAAGCACATTTTCACGAAAGTCGGGTCCTGTTAGTATTGAAGATAATGTTTCAGCTACCAATAGATCCTCTGAGCTGATTCTTCCTACCTAGACATGCCCAAGATTCGGTTCATCAGCGGTGCACATCAGAGCCTACACGCAAGACCGTTCCTACATTTTGATACAGCTTCTGTTGGTGTCTCCATCTTGAAATATCAAGAAAAAAAGAAAACACTGACAGATTATAGAGTGAGGGAAACACAGGCCATGTCGGCGTGCTTGCTCACAAACAGCCAGTGCTAGAGGAATACCTCCGGTCTGCAATGAAACAGTCTGATATTTCTCAATTGAGAGGTGGCTGCACCTTGACTTCTATCGTCGAAGACGCGGAGTGGGTATATGTGACCTACACTGATTCATCCGGCGAGAAAAAGGCCCGCGCTCGATTCCTGGCCGCCGCAGATGGAAAGACAGGATTCACGCGCAAAACGTACCTCGAGCCAAAGGGTATTAAACTGGAGTGGGCTGAAAAGTAAGCAATCAAATTCAACGACCAATCTACGGAGCCCTAACTTTGATAAAGGTCCCGATACGAAGAGACATGGGTTGCTCTCAACTGGAAAATGCATCTCCCGACAAAGGAGACACACCCTTCTTTCCCGTTGTGGGATCTTGGATATACACCAGAAGAAGTCTATGACCTCTTTTTCCCGGCTGACTTTCGCTTCCTCTGCAACCCCAATCGTCCGGCGGTTTGTGGTCGATTTGGCTGTCCTGAAGACCGCCTCTGGCGCTTTGAGTTTGTCATTGCAGCCGATGAGGATGGTATCGAAATGGCTGGATGGGAAAAGATCAAAGAAGTTGTGTTCCCGTACTTGACACATGCTGGTAGCCGTTATGGGTATGTCGTGAGATCGAATGGCATCTTTGGGTGATTACAATTGACTGACAGCTTACAAAGACTCACTGAGAATATCCAATATCCGGAGGAATGTATTGAGGTTTTGCGATCCAGACCCTTTCGATTTTCTGCGAGAAGTTGCAACAAATGGGCTCTTGGTCGAGTAATTCTATGTGGCGATGCAGCTCACGTATTCCCACCATGTAAATGGACCAATACTAATCATTCACATAACTCCATGCTAACAATATACCTAGTTGGAGGACAAGGAATTACATCTGGGTTCCGAGACGCCATTTCCCTTGCCTGGCGCCTCGCTATTGCTTGCTCATCTCCCCGAGTGAATTACGAAAGCCTTTTCATTGGTTGGTATTTGGAACGCAAACAACAATTGGATAAGTCCCTGGCCTCTACCATTCGGAATGGCGATATGGTGAATGGCAAAAGCTTTGGGCAAATCTTGATTCGCAACTGGGGCGTGTGGTTACTCCAGCTTGTTCCCAGCTGGAAGCACTGGCTTGAGCAAGGCCCACGCGGTGCTGGTCCAACTCAGTACACATACTCTGGGGGCATGCCGTTTATGCCAGAGTTTGACGGCGGTCTTTGTTTCCCACAGACATATTGCATCGCTCTGGGTCCAGGTGCGGCAGTGCAGTTCACGGACGATGTCATTTTCCAGAGGGGAAAGATATTTCAAGTTGTCGTCTTACTACATGCTCTGCATGAGATAAATGCTGCGCGCCAGGAGCTTGAAGATATTCATGAGACGGGGCTGCTTTCAGCAGAAGATGCTATCTTCTTTGTTCCTCGTCCTTCAAGCACCGATCAGTTGGGGGATACGCAGTCCGATAAGTGGCATCGGGTATTTCGTGCTGCCACGGGCGATGAGTTTGCTCAGTCCTCGCTGTGCATTAATCGCCCGGTGCCTCGAGGCTATGACGAGAACCTCATGTGGAAGAGTGTTTGTTCGAAGCGGTATGTGATTGTAAGAATGGATCGTTTCATTTTTGCGGCATGCAATGCAAAGGCCGATTTGGTCAAGGCCAACTTCAGACTAGCTGAGATGTTCGAAAACAAATAAGCGTTGTCTTTTACTATTGACACAGAGACATAATTCGTGTAAGTTTATATCAAAAGCCACTAGAATGTGATGAGGTCACAAGAGGTCAGAAAATAGGTCACGATTCTATGTTTTGTTTACAATGTACTGCATAGATCAGGGTTTATAGAATATTAGCAAGCTCCTGGGTCAGCTTAGATGTATCTATTCAGATCAATTCAATTCAATCACCAGAGCCTGAGGCTAAGGTCAATATCAGTTAGTTGGGAGCACGTGATTCAGTATTTCGAAGTATTTGGACTATTAAAGAAGTACTCTACTCTAACAAAATACTCAGATTACCTTTGAGGCAGATAGGCGCCGCCGTGATAGAAAGCCCATCTGTGCTTCCCGAATCACTCACTTTGCCCGCGAGCGCAGACGGCACTTCAAGCCATGCTGCTTGGCAAACCAGAATGTCTCTACTCGCCAATCGGACTTATCGGAATCCCATTCAATCTCAAAGTGTCGGATGATCTGTGGAACCAGCTTGCCCATCTCCATGATTGAGATGTTCTTTCCAATGCATGTTCGTGATCCATATCCGAACTATAGTAACAGTTAGTCCAAGGGATTACGCGAAGCAAACGAAGAAGAACTCACTGTCATTAGATGGCGGTCCATCAGCTTGATATGCTCATGATTAGACTCTGTCCATCTTTCTGGGCGGAAAGAGCCTGCATCCCCTCCAAATATAGTGGTGTCGTGGTGCATCACTGTTGGATTCATTCCAACAATGGTTCCTGCATCGATGTGCACGCCACAAAGGGTGGTCCCGCCCTTTGGAACTACTCTCTCCAGGGGATATTGGACTCCAGGATGACAGCGCAATGCTTCTTTCATCACGGCTTGTCTGGAAATGGTCAGAATCGCTGGAATTGTAATCGAGAAAACTACAACTCACAGGTAAGGGAGCTCCAGGCATTCGGCGTAAGTTACGTACTCAGACAGCTTGCCTGCCTGATCTGCGTTGTCAACTTCTGCCTGAAGCTTTCGGTATACTGATTTGTTCTTGACCAGATAGTAAATAATCGCTCGAAGCGATATCCCAGTCGTGTCACTTCCTGCTAGCCTGAAACGAGATTCATGTAAGAAATACCGCAGGCTGTCAAAGAACATCACGATACTTACAGATTGTTGCTTAGATGATTAATCATATCCCGATTTGGCATGGGTTTGCCCTTTGCTTCCTCTCCTCGCAGCCAAGCAAGAAAGTCCGGACGATTGCCATGTTCCGCTGGCTTTCTATCATAGTCATCAATACACTGCTGGGTAAACTATGAGACAGTCAGAGTAGTCGATATAAATGGGTTCATAGCAACAGCAAACTCACCTGCACGATTGTCCGAAGGGGATCGAGGACCTCTACAAACGGCTGCGCAGACAGGAATTTTGCAACCCATTGATTGCCCATCAACCAGTGATGCAGAGCAGGTACTTGACTGACAATGCCAGCATAGTGAAGGCCATTATCTAGGGCCTCGATCATACCTCCAACATCCGTTCGTTTTTCCATAAACTCAAATCGGCGCTGGAATGTGATTGCTCCGATCACATCAAAGGCATACCACTGCAGCCATACACCAATATCCACACATTGGCCCTCCAGGTCATGCATGGCATCAATGAAAATCTTCGTGCACTCGTCTGCAAATGGCTCCAAGGCCTTGATTGATGACATGGAGAATTTCTGCGCAACAGGTCGACGTAGTGCCTGGTGCTGGACAGGGTCCCGAACAGAGAACATGCTAGGCATTGTCTCACCTTCGTAAGACGGGCTGAAAGTATCGTAAAATGGGGACTGAGCATTTCCATTAGATTTTATTTGCACGGTTAGAAGGGGTATTTATTACCTTGAGAAATTTGCTGCTAATGCCATATATAATGGGAAGAGCCATTGGATCCGACAGACTCACAGTCTTGGGGCCCGTTCGAACAATCGGGCCATATTTCTTGTGAAGCCTCAAATAGAAGTCTGGGGCGTCGCCTTTGGCGATCTTCCATGGGCGATATAGAGACGAGAACCGTGCAATGATGGGGCCGGGAATCAACCTCAGGCCTGGTTTAAGAGCTGTTATAACAGATGAAGTAAACGTATATACGATGAACAGGACAGTCACGAGCAATGTACAACTCTGGATATTGTTGGGAATGGGTAGAGAATCTCCCACCAGGCCTACAACTTGACTATGAAGAGAGCCCATGGTGTTCGCGTTGATTTACCCAATTTACATGGTCATATTCAGGGTCTTTTCTATCTCATTCAGTTCCAAGTGTTTCCCCCGCATTCCAACGTGGCGTCTGGGGAAGGTCCCGCTCAACCAAGGAGGTTTATGCCTGCGGGACCTATGTTGAGTGGGTACAAATGCATAATCCATAAGGAATTGGAATGAAAATTAATCTCAATCGATTTCGTAATCACATTGGTCCCCATTCAAAACATAGCGCCTTTGATCTTCAAGTCGTACGGCAGGTAATGCATAGATGGTCCGAAACATAGGGCTAGACCGGATGGCAAACACCCGAATGCCGGGTTTCGGTTGATATTTCAAGGTTCCCAACATTTCCGGTATTTTCAGGCTGGAAATTATGTGTTCTGATACATCCCTTCATTCAACACAAGACTTGCTGCTTTCCAGAGCCGGTAGGAAGACTGATGATTCAACCGAATACATATTTTGCTCATTCCGGGTTACCAGCGAGCTTTCTGTAGAAGAGTCGAATTTGAACAGAAGACTTCGGCGCTGGATTCAATAAATTGGGAACTAGCCTTTGTCCAAATATTCTTAAGTTCATTTGAGTGATTATGGTATTATGGTTTTAAGCTAGTGTGTTGATGGATCAAAGCCTCTCGACTTTCCCAAATGCGGTGTTAACATATGGTGGACATGCCCTCGGTGCACTCACCGTGCATTACAGTAAGTATCAGGTGCAGCTAGTAGACCGAAGTGTCGATCCGATATGGAGAATGCATGTAATGAAACGGGTAAAGTCACCTGTGATCCAAAGTTTCGACCCCAGAAATTGATCTTGAGATCTCGTTTATCTTGTATCTGTAATATAAGTCAGTGTCTTTATCATTGGTATCATGTCCGACCTGTGTGACCCATGGGATATTTCTTACATCTTTATTGCGCACTGTAAGACGCAAGTCAAGGTAGCAGCGTTGCGAGAGCCTGTCTAGCCCTCCTTAGATTGACGTTCGGGGAGGAGGGATGCTCGACGAAGAAACCTCGGAGGCAGATGCATGGTCATTTGACTAGTTTGCTGCAAGTGGCGGAGACTCGGGAGCAGCCTGATGCTGGGATGAAATAACAGAGCCCAGTGAAAAGGTATGATTGCGTCACATAGTCTATTCCGCCCCGAAGCCATGTCTCGTGTCGTTCTCCTGGCTGATTGTCTTCGCGATTTGATGCAGTGTGATCCTGAGTGTTGAAGCAAAATATTCAATCTTTCTTGATGACATTTCACGCTAGCGCCACGCTTTGTAAACTCCCATCAAGCGTATGTCCACATAAGAACACTCGATGTATAGTCATCAAAGGGTAAGTCATGAGTGAAGTCGAACTGAATCACCAAGTCCTATGACTGGACACTTTTCCATTTGTCAAGCAATGCCAATATAGCCCTAAAGGAAATCGGTTTCGTAAGGAAGACGTTGACACCAGCAGCATAAGCTTTCTTAATATGCTCGTCAGACCCCAAACCAGTTAGCGCAATGATGGTGGCTGGTGCTTTCTCTTGTCGTGCTGCTTCTATGGATCGAATTGCACGAGTCGCTTCAAACCCGTCGACAACAGGCATAGACATGTCTAATTGTGCCTAGGTCAGCAAAATGTAGGAGTGACTTCTCATTGAATATAGACGGAACTTACCCATGAAAATGTATTGATATCCGCTTGTCATTTCTTGCACTGCTTGAATGGCTTCGTCGCCGTTAATAGCCGTGTTTAAAAGCCGGGGCTTTGTTCGGGAAATGTATTTTTCGAGAAGGGCAAGATTGATTGCATTGTCATCCACCAAGAGAATTTTGATTCCATGATCAATCTCGTTCTTTGGGAATATATGCGTGTGGGTGATACCGTGTTCAATCTTAGCCGCGTGAGCAGTTTTTGTGGATGGCAGACTGTGTGTCGGAGTGAGTGTCAAGGTTTGAAGTTCTTCGGCTTTTCTGGTGTCGGTTTCAAGGTCTGGCACAGGACGCACTGTGACCTTCGCCAGATCGAGCCTCTTCATCTCTTCAGCGGGCGGTACCATCTGCCTTGGGATCTGACTAGATTTGAGACGTGCTGCGAGCGCAGAATGCGAAATCTCATTCAACCCGAGATTTGGGATTGACGAAATGTTTTTGTCAGAGTTCAGCAGGGTCCGGGCTAGTTGATGAGGGCCACAAGGAAGACTGAGCCATATAGTATTTGATGGTAGCTTGTTCGCTGTAACCATTTCTGACCGTGCGCGAGATGCTCGATGATACAGAACAAGCAGAAGAGATTCCAGTTGTGTCATGTCGACAAGATCCAAGTGATTCTCGTCAACGACTACTATGTCAGCTGATCTGGTAGATTCCCTATTCACTATGTTCATTCCAAACCACTCTGTTAGATAATGCCGGACCATATGGTTTGAAGGAGGCATGTTGGATAATGAACCTCGAGGAGTGATGAAATGCAGAGCCTTCCCTTCAAGATCTGTCCTTACTCGTTTGATCAAATCTGATGGACGAGGCGATGGGTCAGATATCGAGGAGTGGGCTTCGACTAGCTCGTGCGGCTGGGGTTCTGTGAGGGGGAAGGTCATCTTGACGGTTGTCCCAGTCCCAAGTTTACTTTTCATTGAGATATTGCCACCTAGTGATCGAAGAATGTCGCGAACGAGGGCAAGACCCAGCCCTGTGCCAGGCGATAGGGTATCTTCTTGGGAAAATGGTGTGAAGATTTTGGAACGAAGATATTCGTCTGATATGCCTCTTCCCGTGTCGGAGACTGTTAGAACAAGTACCGGGGAACCAACGCTATCAGATAATATCTGGCGGTGGATTCCCTTAACCTTTCTCTGTATCTCGATGCGAACAGAAACGGACCCTTCTTGTGTATATTTCAACGCATTTCCAACGACATTCATAACAATGCGCCGTAGTGCTCCTGACTCTAGCACGAACTCCCAATCCCGAGGTGTGGCGTCAATTGAAACATCGATTTTCGCCTTGCTGGGAGCATCTGCTGTCCCATCGCGGTATGCTGTTGATCCCAGGGACCATTTTCCAGGTTCCCTGCTGCTATTCATCAATGAATTTGACAAGATATGCCCCGAGTAGACACTCTCTATGACGTCTTCGATAATTGCGACGACGTCGACCAACTTTAGAATACGCAATGGCTGTAATTTGAGATTCTCTTTGCCTCCAGCCTGGAGACGGTGAGAGTCTGGGCCGTACCGAGATCGCTTGCTTTCAAAAGAGTTGATTTTGGTGAAGTCTAGAATCTGCTCGAACGTATCAAGCAGAGTTTGACCACAAGCGCGAATAGTATCAAGTAATCTCTTGGCGAATTCGGACTCGACATATTCAGCAAGGAATTCATTGGCCGCTAAAATTCCATGCAGTGGACTGCGAAGCTCGTGTCTTTATGAAGAAATCATTAGATACCCCCAAAATGTAAAGCAAGATGCAGAGAAGAAGTTCGTCACTTACGAGATGGTACTGATGAAATCGTCTTTTTGCTTGTTAGACTCCTGGCTTTGAATGCGACTATACTCGACCATCAAGGATGAGCCTAATCCGAAAAGTCCACCAAGCTCAACATGGGCACTGAAGACGCGGTTCTCGAGGCAGCTCCAGCCAAAGCAGCCGCCAAACCATCGAGAATTGAGTGAGTCCCACAGCGGAACGAAAATAATTCTCGTTGCCTTCGGGAAATATTGTCTCAGAGCCTGTAAATCTTTCTCGCGTAGCGAGCCAGTTGACTGTGGGTGCGCGGAAAGTAACGGCTGAGATGGATCAAGAGCGTCTCTTGGACTCTCCGCACTGGTTGTATCTTCTTCGGATGAGAGAGCCGTTCCATCTTGATGAAAATACCAAAGACCACCACGTCGGTAACGCTGCAACATTCGACGAGCAAAGTGTAGCTCTATCTGCGGAGCTGGGGCTGCATGCAATGCCCCGTGTTCCGGTTCTGACATTGCCCGAATATTTGCTAATTTACGCTCCTGGTCCTGTTCCTGGTCTGAACTGTTGTTAGGATCAAAATCGACATGTTCGCTAGTATCGAATATAACGATGCCACCGTCTGCCCCGAGATCTAGACTTTGACGCATGAGATTTGCAGCACGTTGAAATGTCTGATGTTTTCTGTGTTTAGTCTGACTTTGTGGTGACTTGGGTGCTTGCTGACTTAGCGGTTCGCGCCCTAGAGTCGGAGAAGAGAGTTTCGCGGTGGATGGAATATCCTGCACAATACTGTTCATCTGATTTGTCGAAGGCGCTGAAGAGCTTATGTTTTTGGCTGTGAAATATGAAGAACTGAGTTCCTGCTCCACATTCAGTTGCGGACTCGATGTGCGCAAGGAGCTCTGGTTTGATAAGGGGCTCTGGTTTGACAAGGGACTCTGGTTTGACAAGGGACTCTGGTTTGACAAGGGACTCTGGTTTGACAAGGGACTCTGGTTTGACAAGCCGAGGCTCTGATGTGCTTGCTTTTGAGAAGCCTCAGGATTAGCCTCACCTTGAACAAATGAATTCAGTCCTGAGAGTAGCTTGCTAAAGCGCTTAGCTTCTAGTGACTGACGCGATGCCTCCATATAATCGATGACAGCATCAGCTATAGTCCCAAGCGTTTCTCTATGGGCCTCGGTCAAAGGCAGATTAGGTCGAGGATCAATAACGTATAGACTGCCGATATTGATTCCATTTCTGGTCGTTAATGGAGTTCCTGCATAATAGCGGAAGTGAGGAGGCCCAGCTACACAAGGTATATTGCGAAAAGTGGAATGGTTTCGAAGATCCTCCACAACAAAGAATGGGTACTTTTCTTTTGCCATGCGCTTCAAAGTTATCGTTTTCTGTCATGAAGGATTTAGCATGATCTTCAGGCGGTATTACGCAAATCATCAATAGTTGGTTACCTCGCACAAGGTCCCTGCGACAGGGCCATGCCCGCAGCCCATCCAGAGACCATCACCATCATCGTCGTAGACATCATTTCTGCCTAGATTCAATGATTGAGATGCTTCAGCTGCAACGTACAGCGTTTCCCTGTCTATCAAACTAGACGATATATTAGCATCGATCTGCGGTCCCGTAATCCCAACTTCTTGAGCAATCCACCGGAGATGATCGTAGTAGACTCCACCCATTTAGCCACTTGGTAGTGGAACATACCTGATGATCGCCCGTTGAGCCCCCAACTTTATCGCAGCAAGTTGGCTCAGCGCCGTCAACACCAGGTTAGGGCTGACTTTGTCCAAAGATCGGGTAGCGCACTGGTCAGTCGGAAGCAGGGCTGGATTGTCGGGCTGGAAGTAATGATACAATTCCCGTGCGCGACGGTCGCCCTCGAGTCCTGGAGATGCCATTTCCGAGGCCTTGGAGTCGGGATTGCAAACACGGGGGGCTCCCCTGGGAAGAAAAACAAATGGGGGAGAACAAGGCGAAGTGGCGAATAACAAGCGAAAATAATTGCGATAGGATCAATTACGTCAATAATGGCCGAGTCTCGATGCCCGATGGCTTGAAGAGCCAGGGATCCACTCGGGCTTGGCGATTCAAGGTTAACTTACCAGGTATAAATGAGCGACGCATCTACGGTAAACATCCAAACAGTATGCACGGTGGTGGTAGAGAATTGCAAAGTACATTGCGTTGTCATTCATCGTCTATGTCGTTCCTAAACAATTTCTTACTTTTTACTAGTCAAGACATGCTAAAGTCTGACTACACTCTTACAGAGTGCGCTCAATGAGCTCAATGCCGTAGTCCTCCTTGAGGGTCTTGATAAGAGGAGCACAGATCTCCATGCTCATGGGAGCAAGGACACCAGTCTGGCTGATGGTACCATCGAGAACCTGCTTGACAGCGACACCGCAGGGAACACCGACAAGCTTGGCCATGGCGGAGTAACCGGCGGGGTTACCGTACTCGCAAAGAGTAGAGGTGCGGGTCTCCTTGGAGCCGTCCTTGTTCTCAATCTCGAACTTGTGCTGGAGCATGACGAGATCACGCTCCTCGGGGCCGTACTGCATCTTCTTCTCGAGGGTAGCGCAGAGGGTGTCGAGGGCGTTGCCGCGGGGAATGGTCTGCTCGTCGGAGAAGAGACCAATCCAGCGGAGACCAGAGAGGAGGCGGTCACGCTCATCGTTGTTGGGGAAGCTGGTCTTGGAGGAGACAGCAGCCTGGAGGTCCTGCTCGGAGGAAGAGGCGGCGCCGAGGACCTGCTTGGTGGCCTCCTTCCAGGAGGTGGCAGTCTCGAAGACCTTGTTGGGGGCGTCGTTAAGGAAGCCAGTGTCGACGAGGACCTTGATCATCTCGGGGAAGCCCTGGTAACGGAGAGTACCACGGACGACGGTCTGGGCCTCGGGGATCTCGTAGCGCTCACGGAAGGGAGTGGAGTCACGGTTGGGGTATCCAACGAAGGCGAAGCCGGGGTAGATGAAGAAGGGCTTGGCGGCGGCCATCAGCTCGGGGCCGTCAATGCTGACGATCTTACCACCCTGGTAGATCTTGGCAGCGTTGCGGAGAGCGAGGAGGACACCACGGCTGGACCAGGAGAACTTGTAGCCCAGAGGGTTGTTGGAGCACTCGGGGGCGGGAAGACCACCGCAGAAGGAGACAAAGCCGGTAACCTTGCCGCCAGCGGCGTGGACCTCGTGGATAGCCTTGACAGCGTAGAGGTGGTCACTGTGAGTTGTCAGCGTCTATCAATGTTTACTTAATCATAGTGGTTGTTCTTACAGGCCCTGGGGTGTGTTAGGAACATTTCAAATATATCGGGGTATAGGTGCGTGCTTACAGGGTCAAGACCGATCTCGTTCATGACAGTGATACCAGCCTTCTTGCACTCCTCGTCAAGCTCCATCATGGCGGGGGAGACGTAGGATGTGGTGACGACATTGGTCTTGGTGCGGATGGCTGACTTGATGACCTGGGCGTGGAAGGTGTAGGGGATCAAGGAAATGGCAACATCGGCCTGCTCGAGGGCCTTGTCAAGGGCAGCATCGTCGTTGACATCCAGAGCAATGGCCTTGGCGTTCTTGAAGCCAGAGGCGAGCTCCTTAGCGCTCTCGAGGGTACGGCAAGCTATGGCAGTGGTCAGTGATGGTTCTTCCATTGACGCCACAGATATTCGCTGAATCACTTACCAACAGTAACCTCGACGTCAGCCTTGCTGAGAACCTCAACAGTGGGCTTGGTGACTATCCAGCGTCAAACCGTTAGCGACCTCATACGAAAAAGCAATCCAATGCGGGGCACTCCGGCTATTGCGTATTAGATATGGAAGTAGGAATGAGAGGCATACCGAAGCCCGAACCCAGAAGAAGGGCCTTGGAACCGGCGATTTGCTTGACCATTTTGACTCAATTGATTATAATAGAGGTGATTGGAGAATTCACATCGTGAACCACCCCTCCTTCTCTTCCCCGATGTGCGGGTGACTCATGCGTCACGTGGCCCGATATCGGGTGGGGGGCCGTGCGAGGGTCTGTATCTATATAGTCGAATTTCATAGAACCTGTTTCAACTGCTACTTCTGTTGTATGTGAACAATAATGTTGTGTTAGAGCTTTAGGCTGCGCTATAGATCTATTTGACAGTGAGCTACCATGGCAAAGAATTGGATCCGTCATTGAAAGCAATTGCGTCCGGGAAAAACGTGGGAGATGAATGGATATATAGACTGAGCTCTGGTATGTCTGGCCATATGAAAGGATGGGACCTCTCAACAGAAAGCGTGAGTCTTCCAAAGGCACTCCAGGAGCTCGTGTAGCGACTGTCCCATGCTCTTTGACACCAGCACTGGATCAACATTCATGGCATCGATATGCTGAGTCTAAAGTCACTTGATGGCTAATTTCCATAGTTATAGCCTCTTGATTGCTCGACTAGCAAAGGCACACTCCTAAGTTGTCCGGTGGAAGATTGCGAGAATGCTCCATGCAATGTGTAATTCCAAAGTAATTTCAGCAGGTTATTTCCCGGAGACGGAAATGAGGTATTAAGTGAAGCTTATTTGGCGTGATGCAAGTAGCTGAAGAGTCTGCGCTACGAGTTGCACTGGAGATCATGGGAGCGCCTCACGGGGGGCCAATATTGACCAAATGAAACTTACAGTAGTTAGTTTGACTGCCAAAGAGGACCTATAACAAGAGGCGTACGAGTACTAAACTGCACTATGAGCCCTCCATCATGGTGGTAGATCATTGCGTATTAAAATTCGAAATATCCAAGGTCAAACGATGAGAGGAGGTGTCAAGAACCTAGACTCTCGGGGTTTCAACCGGTGGGTTCCAATTGTTGAAGCAGATCATATGGTCATATAACGTTAAAGGAAGCGAAATGGAGTGGATGGAGGTGGAAGAGGAAGAGAAAGAATAAATGGTTGAATGAGACTTTTAGGATCTTATATAGATTCTTGCGGGCTTAAGGTACCTCATGTATGTTCTGCCGGATTTTGGAAGTTAGACTTGCTTGGTTATATGGCTTTGCTACTCAGTATATGGTAAGCTATGGTTACCTAGGTAGCTACTTAAAAACTACCTAGGCCCTGGGATACACAGCAGAATCGGTATTCTGATGCAGCAAATCATGTCTGGACCTGCAGGTCGATTTGCGTAAATCGTTCATCAAAAGATAACAATAGCCAAATCTCTACTCATATATACTGTCATCCATGATTCAACAGTGTAAGCCAACCCATGACCATCGTAGTTTAGTGAGTAGAAATACAATATATTCTACGAACTAACCCTGTAATTGCAAAAGTCATAGAACAAAGATATGTATGGGGTGTCGATAACTGACAAAAATAAAAAGAGAATAACCGCAAAACGCCGCAAAATGCTGAAAAGATAAGACAACGTATAAATTAAGAAGTAAAAAAGAAAAGAAAGCAGGAAACTCAGGGTTGGGTATATATCTAGATGCCTTTGACCTTGCCGCCTTGACGCAAGAGCATCGCATCGAGGTCTTCCTCACTAGACTCCGGGCTGTCACCAGCAAAGTTACCCTCAGCATCAGGGTCCTGTCGGGCCTTGGAGATTCGTCTTTGCCAGCCGAGCATCACCGGGAGGAAGTGCCACAGGTCGAACTCAGGCCACATTACGTCCAGGAAGACGATTTCTGTATTTTCGTGTGTTTGCCAGAGCATGAAGTCGCTAAGACGTTCCACGCCCGAGGTACGGATGAGGAGGTCTAGGGGTGGTGTGCCCTTGGTCAACATGCGGTCGTTGAGGGTTTGGCGGGAGATTGTTTCGGGGGAGATGTAGACTGGACTGTCAGACTCCGTTGCGGCGGTTTGTGGTGAGCCCTTGTGAGGCTCTTGTTGGCCTCCCAGGTGGAGGGTTGTGGAAGATGAGAAGGAGGACCCGGTTTCGTAGACGCGGTTGGCGCGGTCGTTCCGAGTAACGGAGTCGTCATCTTGAATAGAAGATCCAGATGTGGATTCCGAGTCGCTGTGGGTATCATGTGTTTTTGAGCCGAGCGTCTGTGCGCGGATATTATGTGCAATGTGAGATTCCGAGAAGGGGGTTCGGGATGCGGCGGCTGCGGAGCGGGCGTTCTGGATTGGCTTGCTGTAGTCGTCGACTGTGTCGCGGATGGCGGTGGTGATCTCGTCCCGGGAGGTGTAGGGGAAGCAGATGTTCAGGACGCGGTCTCCGTTGCGGCTCGTCAGGTCGACGGCTCTATTAACAGCAGCCAGGACGTCGGGCTTGAGTAGGTCGAGGCGGCCCAGAACGCGGACCTTGGCACCGTATCGATCCAGCAGGTCTCCATGCTGGGCCATCTGTGACAGCTTCACCTTGGCCATTTCCATGAGCGCATCCACCTCGAATTTTGACCGTTTGAAATTCTCAATACTGAAGGCGTAAATGGTTACTACCTTGACGCCACTTTTATAGCAGACTTCGAGGATCTGAGGACGACAGCAGTTAGTATCGGATCACGAAGCAGAGGTAGGGGCGCTGCCTCGAGAGTCAAGCCCTTGAGGTGGGAAAGTCGCAACTCACCCTGGCCAGAGCCTCAAATCCAAGGTTGTGTCCCTCCACTGTTTCAATTCCATGCGAACGAGCGAATCTCCGGTTCCCATCCATGACAAAGGCCACATGCTGGGGGATAGGGCCCTGCTGGAGCGCGCCGATCAGCAGCTCCTTCAGGTTCGTGATGGCGAACTCGACAGGCGGAGAGGCGAGGAACCAGTTCCGTAGTCGCGACAAATGCATTGAACCCGCCATGATGTAATTCGAGATGAAGCCCGCAGACTTGAAATCCAGGCTCTCTGGAGAAGTCGGAGGATTTGGATGGGGAGATCGGAGTGAGGCAGAAAGTGCACGGTTAGCGGCTGGGCGGACTCGAGGTCTAAGGCAACGTGTTCAATTGTTTGAGAGAAAAGAGATGACGATGCGAGACCAAGGAGTTTTAAACTGCATGTGAAGCGAGGCTAGGCTGCACTGTTTTTATTTTTCGATTGTCCTGTTCTGGGCTTGTTGGCCCCTGCTCAGTGCTGCTCTCGGTGGCGAGGTATGCGGAGATATCAGCCACCAGTCCAGTTGACATTTGTTGAGATCCCCGCCTGCATTAGTGCCGATATGCCCAGTGTCTTGTTAGCTGGACGGTTTTATGTTTACATGGGTTTGGATGCGATCAAAAGATTCATTAACAGAGAGGATATCTTAAATGGATATATAGACACAGCAAATAGACACAACTTGAGAACAGACGCCGATATGATGTTCAGAATGAGAAAGCAACGGTTATAATGACAGTTTAAAGGTCCTTACGGTACTCATCGGTACTAGAAGGTGTGCCAGGACCCGAGCTAGCCATATCCCAGCTACCATCTTCGCTGCGGCGACGGCGGCGCTCGCCACGCTCCCTCATAGCATCTCGGATGCGCGAACTGACATCCTCAAGCGGGTCCTTTTGGGTAAGAGGACTCAGCGGCTTCAGCCCATGGCGAGATCCAGGTCGGCCGCTGGCAGAGCTGCTGCGGCTATGGTCACGGCTAGGAGGCCGTGTTGAGAAGAATCCAATGTTGGCCAAGTTGTGGAACGACTCATTGCGAGGTAAGGGTTCCGATGTAGGCATCCTCTCGCCCACTTCCGAAACACTAGTTCTTCTGATCTCCGGCAGTCCGTGCTCCTTGGATTCCGATTCGTCGGCCCGGAATGGATCCGTGACAATCCGAGAGGCATCGAAGTCGGGGAACAACTCAGGACCCATGGTGTTGATCGCGTCGGTCACTTGTTGCGCGAGGGCAGCGCGTCTTTCACGAAGTCTCACCAGAGTGTTGGCAGACGATGGGTTCAGGGACAGAACAAGCGGCCGGAGAGACTTGATGATATCCATACCCACCTCACCAATGCGAAGAGCCGCAAAGGTGATGGTGGGGAAAAGAACCATGCCGATCATCACTACAGACCAGAGTGGCACCCAATCGGGAACCAATCCTTGGACTCGGTTCCAGTAGGTCCAATAAGTAAAGGCCGCAGTGTAGAAAGCATACAGAGCGGGAGCAAATGCAAGGGCGATCAGAAGTTTCCATGTGGCCATGACATCTCGGCCTTGAAGTTTCACAGTAGAAGCAGCCAGGGCTTCCTTGGACTTTTTCGCAGAAAGATATTTGGTTGCAATAAAAACGGGGGTAAACAAGAGGAAACCAGGCAGTGTTCCAATGGCCAAAAGAGCCAATTTACCCAAACGGTATAGCAACGTGGCTACCACCTGGAGGATAGAGAACTTGGCGTATGCAACTTGATGATCGCGGATTCCGAGAATGCGAAGCTGTTTGTTGTAACCAACAATAGACTTGCGCAGATCAACGATTCTGGGGTCATCCTTAAAGTGAGCGTATCCTTTCACAAGGCGTCGGTTCAGTTCCACAACCATGGGAAGGGGGAGCTTTTTGCCCTTAGTGTTGTACAGACGGCGGGCCGCTTGAATAACCTATAATGTGTGAGCCGAAATACACGTCTAAAATCGAATGAAACCTACCATAAGAGTTTCGTAGTCGGGACTGGTGACAGTAACAGAGACGAGGCTTCCGTAGATAATGTCTAGCAAAGCACCAACAGACTCTCGTCGTTCACCTTGCTTGAACTGTTCCACCAACTCCCGCGGGACATCGATTGGAGTGCCAAACTCAATGACAGCGCGGGAACGGAACTTGTGAGCATGGAAATAGTTCATACCACAGGGAACGATCTTCAGGCCACAGTCCGGGTTCTCCGCTAGTGTACCAAGAGCCATCAAAGCCACACCAGCTATATACTATTAGCGAGAATTCAACCGAAGCATAAATCATTGAGCTTACCTTTCAAGGGAAGCAGTGTAGTGCGATCGTGGCTTCCACCTTCGGGAAAGATACCAACACAGCCTCCCGCGCCAAGTCGTTTGAAGACTGCCTGGTAGACTGCGGTCTGATCGACATGAGGGGCGACCTTGAACTTAGTGCCGTTGAACTCCGGGTCCTGCTCAGACGCATCACTAGCGAACTTTCCATCACTGCCAATATCCTTGCGCCCAGTAAGCTGACCTAACGCATCCCTGTGCTTGAAGGGCTTCTTCAGAACCAATTCCTCGGGCCCATGGATCTCCGCAATAGCCGTACTGTGTGATGTTCCGTTGATTGTGGGTAACGCGATCGTGCCATCCTTCTCGAAGCCGGGTCCTTCAAAGTTCGTTCCTACGCCACGTAGCAAAGTTGGCTCGTTGATCGGATCGGGGAGGTAAATGGTGCCGGTGCCGGGTTTCAGGTTGTCCATGGCACGTGCCACGGGGAGTGTACCAATGCCTCGTGCGAGGAATCCGATAAACTTGCGCCGGAAGGACTTGTCGGCAATGAGCCATGAGATTCGACGTTGGGCCTCGCTGCGAATGACGCGCATCAAAACTAGAGAATCGACAAACTGCGCGACCCCGTTTGTTAGTATCTTGTTTCAGCCTTGGAAGCTGGCGGCTTACCTGGTTGGCATGAGGCGCGGCCACCAGAATGATGGGACCACGTCGAGGGATCTTCCATGATCCCCGGGGGTGCACTTCGCGGAAGAAGAGGTCGATCAGCACGGAGAAAGTCCATAGGACCAGATCGTACATCCACCCGATGAGGGGTGGAATGTAGGGTCCTTTGTCTCCCATATTGTTGAGGCCCGGTTCGGCGATAAGAGTGGGAGTCTTATGATGTCGACATGAAGTGCCTAACAATGTGAGTAACCCCCTCGGATGAGCTCGGAAGGGCTCGCCAGAGCTGATGACATACCTGAACAGCTTCTATTCCTCCCAGCTTCCGTACGGAATATCGTCGATGGTGAGCACGAGATCAAGGGGAGTGAGAGGAGGAAGATTTTCGAAACCGGAAGTTGGCTTTTAGCGCGGGCTCGGACGCTTCTAGAACAGGCTCTTTGAAGACCTTCAATTCTTGGGCGTTCACCTTTCCTGCAACGGGGGAAATTCCAGCATGAGTTGAAGCAAGAAGCAGTTGCTAAATGACGGGTTCAGTGGCCTGAGACCGGAACCGTGGGGCATATATGTCTGGGCGTCACAAGCTGAGGGGTTCAAAGCCTCCAAATATCACCATGGACTACCTCATAACACACATTATCTACAAAGTAAACCCCAGATTTTCCCCCCAACGTCTATGCCAGTTTTGTTGGGGAGAATATTCCCCGATCCAAGCGTATGCAGTAGCGGATCGACCAAGCCGAAATGCATTCTGTATAAGCTTAATGCAATGCAGTGGGGAAGACAAACCCTTGGATCTACAAAAGCAATGGGTAAAAAAAAGGCAGTTCACCTCTCTGCATTTCTCTCCCCGCTCCCCCTCCCGCCCCGACTTCAACGGACATTTGGTGATTTTCTTGGAATCCCCCGAGGTCACCTGTTCTGTCTTGGATCTGATCTCTCCTCAACTCTTCAGGCTCTTGGCATAACAGTTAATCATCACAATGTCGCTCAAGTATGACTCCCTTCCCCATGAACCAAAAAGAGGACCTCACTAAATTAACTCTCTAGTTGGGTTATGCTTCAGGACCAAGAAGGCTTCGTCCGCCTTCCAAATGAACGCTTAGTTTACTCCTCACCTCCCCGCACCAGTGTGTCCTTGACCCCGCCATCCGGATACAAAGGCACGGAGAAGCTGTCGGTCCAAAGCAGCGCGGGCTGCATTCATCTCACCAACCAAAGAGTAGGGACTTCCCAGGGATATATCGTGACCTTCTCTCATATTTGACCAGGTCGTCTATCTCCCAGCAAGCAGAACAAATGACTTCCAGTCCTTCTCATCACCACTTTTGAGCGTCAAGGATTCACATGTATCAGCCCCCTTCTTCGGTCCAAATGTATGGACAGCGCTGGTACAACCCGTGTCAGGAGGCGGCATTTCACCATCCCTGCCAGCTGTGCAGTTGAAAGTCATTTTCAAGGAAGGGGGAGCATTTGATTTCCATACCAACTTTGAGCGCATCAGGGAACGACTGGAACAGGCCGTCGAAAATGGCAGTGAAGGCACCCGTGGCCAGCAGAACGTGGACCTCTCGGCGGTTCACCTGGAAGAGTTGCCTGCATACGAAGCACCGCCCAATGTCGGCCAGGCAAGCGCTACCCCCAGCGAACCACCCACAGAGCCCCCAAGCAGCCGAGTATCGGACGCAGGCACGGAACCTGTGGAGCCGCCTCCATGCTATGAGGCAGTTCAGTCGCAAAGTGTGGCAGATGAACTGGAGGCGCGGTTACGACGAGCCAGCTGATTACCTGCTGATGGGACGTGATACTGGATATCATCTCACTTTATGAACCTATGAAATCTTTCAAATTTTCCGAATCACCCGTTTTGTCCATGTACGATATGATCGTTTAGTTAGGTTAGCGACACGCAAGCGGTGCGACGCATTGAGATACACTGATTTGCTCCTTCCAATCCTCACGGGTGCCTACAGAAAGTAACAAGATACCCATTCACGTAATTGAGACTGAAGAATTCATCAGGGTCGGTATATATGTAATTCAACAACGTGAAGTAGTCAAAATGTCAAGATCGTCCATCGACCAATCACGTGCGGCATAATTGGTGTCTCTCAGCGGCCGGGGCTTTCCGATTTTCCAGTCCGAAAGAAGCAGCTTGGGCAAAACCAACAACCTCCCTCAATTCCGCAACTCCTTCAATCCCACACCCCACACCCAAGACCCCCGGTCACCGTCATTCAATTCATCACAATGGGTCTCTCCGACTTTTTCTCTGAGGTCGTCTCCTCCCTAGGCTTCGCCGAGGCCCAGGCTGAGGCTCCCGCCCAGGAACCCGAAACCACCCAGGACGAGTCCTCCGACAAGACCGAGGAGAACACCGAGTCCGAGTCCGCCGAGGAGACCCCCGCTGAGGAGTCTTCTGAGGAATCCTCTGAGGCCGCCGAGGAAGAGGAGGCCGAGCCTGAGGCTGAGGAAGAGGAGGAAGAAGAGGAAGAGGAAGAGGAGGAGCCTGAGGACATCAAGCCCAAGCTCGAGGAGGGTGAGTAATTCTATGCTCTTTCATCGTTCTTTGTTGATGCATTGGCCATGTCTATTGCCCTGCGATCGCGGGTGCTTGGAAATTGGTCGCGCCTATCCGTCGTATGTGTCAGGATCAGCGCCTGCACCGTACAGAGCCAATGGCATTGCCTTCACGTCAAAACAGCATCAACGTTTATATCAACCAGTAACTGACTCATGTCTACAGAGTGTGCCAACTCCGCCCAGTGCGCTCCCTACAAGCACCACTTCGACGAGTGCGTCGAGCGCGTCACCCGCCAGGAGGAGGATGCGGACTACAAGGGTCCCAAGGAGGACTGTGTTGAGGAGTGTAAGTACTAACAGCGATCATTATTGCTCAAGCGATGGAATTGGACACATTTTAATTTGTCCTCCATCGAATCCCGATTGTGCGACTAACACCATCTCAAGTCTTCCACCTCACCCACTGCGCCACCGCCTGTGCTGCCCCCAAGCTCTGGAGGGAGCTCAAGTAAACGTCTCACCCTGACGTTTACACCGGCGCCTGAAACTTTCCCGCATCGACCCGGTCACGCACCTCGCTCTCCGCGCCATCGATACGAGAAAATCTCTCGATACGCCGACCCAAAAACCCAATCCCGTTTTTCTGATGGCTGCCACGGCATTTTGGTTTAGATCTTGATAACCTGGCGGCTTGCCTTGGATTGAGAACGCAGGATTGATCAAGAACGTGTTCCCCCTTCATCTACTTTCCTCGTGTATGTGTGCGCATATGATATTGTGTTTTCAAGACAGGGAGGAAGGGCCCAGAGGAAACGAATAATAGATCATTTACCCTTTTCTCTCTGTCTTGCATGTACAGATAGCTGGTTTTCCGCCTGTTCGAACTGTGCTTTTGTTTTTTCTTACTCTCTTGTTTTAAAACGAATCTCATCTGTCTTGATTGGCACTCGTCATGATTTTAAGTGTGGTATAATTCTAACGCGACGCGGGGATATAGTGATTCCCGTCATGATGCTTTTCTCATCATTTTGCTCGCTGGGATCCAATGTACTGATTCGCTACTACAAAGTAGGAATACTCTTGATGGCAACATCGTCTGATAGTCATCACTTGATCGAGAGCCCAACCTCGGAACCCAAAGTATACCGGCTATTGTTCTTCCTGATATCGAGACACACTTGCTGGTCAAGAGCGATCGGACTTGAGTGGTCTTCTCTTGTGCTCTGAGTACAATCTTGTAGAGTAAAAAACCGTCTTGACGGCAGAACTGGTGGAAAACGAGAAGATACTAGAGTCGGCAGGTTAAGGGGTCTATACAGAAGTAATGGAGAAGACGTGGACAGCACCCTCTCTCCTATTCAAACGTCAACTGTCAATTTTCATATTTGTAGACATGGAATCCGACGCATACCGGGTAGCATTTGAGGTATGGCTTGTCTGTTTCCACAATTCATTCATTGTCGCTTATTTCGGTGCTGGATGTCTTCATTTTGATGAAGTCATAGAAGGTTGAGCAATAAGACAATCGCCGATGTCCACATCTAACAGCAGAACAGCAAAGTATGGAAGTTGTCGTGGTTAGGAAGCTCGTGAGTCTTGAACACAGCAACGATCATTATTGAAGAGACATCGTATGGAAGAGGATAAATATACCGCGTTGTTTGATATTTATATACTAGCAGAGAACAGAAGAAGATGAAGGGCGTGGAGGTTTTATTTATATGATCCTGCTATGTTTGCTAGCAAAGAAATCTCGCATCCTTTCTCTGGCCTTTCTTCTTTGTTTGCCCAAAAGGGCTCACATCATTGATTGTAGTTCATTTATTTCTCAGCCCTATGGACCATTCTAGAGCAAGCAAGCCAAAAAACCTACGAGCCTAACAATATGCTGCACCACGAGGTACAAACCAGTGCATAAACATAGCTTATTTATTCCAAAGATAAATTCTCAAGCTAAGTTGGACTAATATATGAGACAAAACCTTCTTGATATCAACTGCCCACGGGTGTCGTCTGGCAGCGTATCAAATCTCATAGACCAAAAAGCTTTTTGGGCGATGCTAGCGATCTTTGAATACCAGGTTGATCATACAGAATGTGAAAGGTGTCATTCGCTAATATTGAACATATACGCTTGCTTGAATAGCATCGTTTAGACCTCACAAGTCCTTGGATAGGCCATAGGCCCCAATCCAGAGACCATCAAGATACGCACAGGGCCAACTAGGCATACAGAGACACGTTCAACCTGAACATAAAATCACAAAGCGAATAAAAGAGACGGAACACCTCGCTTATAATCCAAACCCGACATTACAAACCCATCAGCGTAAAAGAGTCGTGGGATCCCTCGCAGAAGCACCCGAGCCACTCGAGTCAGCAGAAACCCCAGACTCAACCGAGTCAACTTTATCAACCTTCGACCTCTCCCCCCCCCATCCCTCAACTCAATACCAGAATCAACAATCCACCTCTTCCTCTCAACAACCCGACCAAACAAGCCAATGGTCAAAGGGAAAGGCGCAACAGCAACAGAAACAACAGCTGCAAAAATCAACGCATTCCTCATATCCCCAGGAACCCTCGCCCCATTCCCCATTTTCAACGCATCCTGAATGAGAATAAAACAAGCCCCCAACAACTGCCCCCCAGTCCAGCAAATGGTACTCCCAATCTCCGGCGACAGCGGATAAGTAATCTCCGCCAAAAACTCCAACACAATCGGCAACAGCGCAAACGACGACGCACCAAGTAACGCACAGACAACATACGTCGGCGCAATGCCCGCGCCACTGCCCGGCGCAAAAATAAGCCCGATGTACGTCGCCGCGATGATCGGTACCAGCACGCGAATGCTGCCTAGATAGTGCTTGAAGCGGTCTGTTAATGGGGACAGGACTGCGGCTGTGAGTAGGCCCACGACTATTAAGATTGCACCGGCGATCCCGGCGTCTGTTTCGGTGAAGCCGTGTGGGCTAAGGATTTGGTTTAGGAGGCTGCTGATGCTGTTGAAGAAGCCCACATAGATGGAGAATGGGAGCAGAATTTGCCAGAATTCCCACGTGCTTACTAGCTGTTTGGTTGCTTTCAAGATGGGGGTCTCCGTGATGTTGGAACTGGAGGCGCTGGCTGGTGTGGGGGGTTTGCTGGGCAGGAAGAAGGATGGGATTGCTGCAACGCTAGACTATTGTGGAGGTGTGGTGGTTAGCTCTTGGGTTGCATTGGGTTGGTACTGGTCGGGTTCGCTGTTGGTGCGTGGCACACTTACAATGACGGAGATGTATAACACCATATTCGGTATATCGGAGGGTTTGGTGGTCCACTCCGAACCAACCAGTTGGCCTATAGCGGCCCCGAGGGGGTTTGCCAGACTGGCGACCGCTGTTGCGCTTGTTCGGCCCCGATCTGAGAACCAGAGTTCGCTATATCGTGTCGGTGCGCAGAGACAGAACGGTTGCGCGAAGCCGATGAGGATCTGACCGAACATGGCCAGTCCGAACATCCCGCCATTGGCTTTGGTGCCGGCATATCTGAGCCAGTTTCCAACTAGCAGCAGGGCTGCTGTCGTGACGATGGCTGGTTTGGGGCCGCCTTTGTTCAATATCCAGATGACAAGACTGTCTCGCAATTAGATGCGATCCGATCGATTGGAGGGTAAGATCCACGGGGATACTTACGGGCTGACCACACAGAATGCGAAGAGATAGGCCGTACTCAGCCAGTTGATCGCACTTTCAGATACACCGAAGTATTCCGCCGTCGTCGTCGAGATCGAAGAGAACGTCAACCACTATGAACCCTGTTAGCCGTGGCGATCACCATCGATGTGGATATCACATTATGGGAAACTGGACATGAATATGGACATACATCCCAACTAACAACAATATTCAGCAAGACCAACTGGGCCAAGCCCCAGAACCGTCGCTTATACACCCTAAACACAGGAGCGACGGCCTCGACATCAGTGGGAGCCATGTCTGAGAGAAGTTGAAGCAGAAGCCATCACGCGCCAGGGAATAAATGAAACAAAGAAAGCCAAGAGTTGCATTTGGGCTCTAGCGGGGGTTTTTCCTTTTCTTTCAACTCTGATAAGTTGATCCGAGGTAACCTGGGATGTGGTACCCGGGTGATACCTGGGTCTCCATACTATGACGTTGCATACCGTGGGTACCGACAAGTACTCCATGTGCGGAGATGCGCTTTGGGAACAGACTATGTACGCGTAGACTAAGGACGGAAATTAACAGAAATCCCGGGTTCTAAGCGAAGTATCAAATCCGATAAGCTTGGAGATTGCTGCATCTAAAGTTTCTAGTGTATAGAGTGATAGTGTCTTCCTCAGACTATTAACGTTACTTATGGGTCTGGTGTGGTTCGCATTCATACGAATACGAGGCTTATGATGATCTCTGTTTTCTATACGACAGAAAGGAACACTTTCCCCTGACTAGAAACCTTGACTAGAATGATGAATCTGTCTATCTCCCATCACTTTTCGACAATACATCCAGAAATTCCCGTGGCTGAACTCCAGCGGATGCAGATCTTCTCCTTCAGTCCCCGCCATCTTTTTACTGCGCTAAACTAAAAACTTCGCTCCACTTCTACTCCTAATTTGAATCCTCTCTTCTTTCGAGACCCATTGCAGAAATATTGCAGAACGACTACAGAGCCGCAGACGCGAAATCCAGACTCCAGCGCCCGGAACTCATGATGCGCGACCCCTGTCCCTGAATCCACCCGACCGAACTACAACCACAGTATTTTGATCATTGAACGACTGGTCCACAATGAACAGTATCCGCGACAGTCAGTCATCCTATGGAGACCCTCGATACTTATCCACCATGACAGCCTCCGACGCCCCGGCGCCAGTGCAGGGAAAGTCGCTTGTGGATGGGTATCGGGATGCTCTGGATCCCCAGCATGATGACCGCTCGCGGTATAACCCGGTAGGTAGAAGCAAGGCGAGGACAGACCATGGAAATGTCATCCCCAGAACCAGCTCCAGCTAACGATTCTCGCTTGGTGTACAGCTGAACCCGTCCCACCCGCGCAGCTCGGCTCTCCTGAACGCCAACGACCCCGTGACGATGTACTTGTTGACCGAGACCGCCATCGGAGATAGTGTAGACTACGAAGTGCTATCCTTGGAAGAGGTGGAGGAATTGAAGAAAGAAAAGACGCTGCTGTCCAGTCGCATCCAGGGCACGAAGCGGAAATTGGCCCTGGAAACGAAACTCCGGGATGCTGCCCAATCGATCGGCCGACTATACAGCCCGCCTAGTCCGCGGAGCAGCGGCGAATACGGTGCGAATGGAGCCACACACCGCAGGAGCCGCAGCATTTTCGGACGGAGCGGTGCTTCAGAGGCGCTGGACAAGAGTGACTCGGAGCTCGCGGCGAGCCAGCGGAAATGCGAAGAGCTAGCTCAGGAATTATGGAAGCTGGAGACCAGAGCTCAAAAAATCGATCAACGCTTGCTGGAGCATACCGCGGGTGTGCTGCAGATGACACACAAGGGTCTGAAGAAGGGGCCCAAGAACCCTGCTCCTGCTGGCCCAGAAAGTATGTACGACGCACACGACTTCGACGATCGCAGTCTCTACCGGACGACGGAACATTTGGATAGCTTTGGTGTACACGGCAGAATCGAGACAAGTGCCGCTGCGGCCTGGAACATCGAAGCCATGCAGGCTACTGAGAGACGACTGGAGGACCTCAGCGAGCGCATACATGATATGATGATCCAGTCTAACCCTGGTGAATTCATCGATCCTCCACCCCAACCAGCTACGAATGGAGGGCCGGTCAATCCCACAGCAACAGTCGATGCACACCTGGCATATATCCAAAACGGCATGAACAACATCGTCTTACACACGGGCACCGAAGTTCCAGCTCCCACGGTTGTGAATGAGGTAGCTCCAGAGGCCGAGAGCGCTTGGAAGACCAAACTCACTGAGATCAACAATCGAGTGCAGACTATTGTTGACCGGTTTGGTTTGACACGTTCGCCGACATTACCTCCGCCTCCTGATGCTAACCACGGCGATGGACTGGAGGAACAACTCTCTTACCTCCAAACTGGTGTTGATGGTCTAGAGAGCCGTGTGGATGGGGTCTTGGAACAAAAAAGCATTCTGACAACCCAAATTCAACAGCAGCGCGAGCTCAACTCCAAGTCAGATGCTGAGCGAGATGCCCATATCGGCGACTTGACTGAACAACTGACCCATGTGCGCAGAGACCTCGAGGTCTCCGAGCGCGAAAGCAACGCCAACCGCGAGGAGCTAGCTTCAGTCACCGAACAGCTCGATGCAATGCGTCACAGTGGCTCCTCCCACGAAGAAGCCAAGGCGGCTCTTGTCCAGGCAGAGGGCGAAGTTGCGCGCCTACAGAGCGTTGTTGGCTCATTGCATCTCGAGTCAGATGCCAGAATTAACGAAGTCAGTGACGCTCGCGATGCGCAGGATCACGCCGAGGCCGAGGCCAAGCGCCTAAAGGATGCCATTGAATCTCTGGAGAGAGAGACACAGACCCGGGCCTTAGAAGTCAGTGATGCTCGTGATCGCGCAGAAGGGGAAGTCCAACGCCTCAACATCCTCGTTGAAACGTTGCAGCATGACACCAGTGCCAAGTCCAAGGAGGCTAGCGATGCTCGTGACCGCGCCGAAGAAGAAGTGGAGCGACTGGGAGCCGTCGTCGAAACGATGCAGCATGAGCATGCTGCCCAGACCGAAGAGTTGAAGGAATTGCTGCTCCACGCGGAAAGCGAGGTGAAGCGTCTGCAGGAGGTTATTGAGTCTATGGAAACCGACTCGGCCGCCCACTCTGAAGCCAGAACCGCCCGCGATCATGCTGAGAGCGAAGTGACTCGCCTGCAAGCTGTCGTTGGATCGATGGAAACCGATTCGGCTGCTCATTCCGAAGCCAGAGCCGCCCGCGATCATGCCGAGAGCGAAGTGACTCGCCTGCAAGCTGTCATTGAATCTATGGAAACTGAATCGGCCGCCCACTCCGAAGCCAGAGCCGCCCACGATTATGCTGAGAGCGAAGTGACCCGCCTGCAAGTTGTCATTGAATCGATGCAAAACGACAGTGATGCTCAAACCAGAGAGATCCGGGAGTCTCGTGACCAAGCGGAAAGTGAAGTCAAGCGTCTTGAGGACATCATTGACTCGCTGCAGAACGATACTGCCGTCCAGCATGAAGATATCAGAAACGCCCGTGACCATGCGGAAAGTGAAGTCAGCCGCCTGCAGGTTGTCATGGAATCAATGAAGCACGACAGCACTGCTCAGGCCGAGGAGGCAAGAAATGACCGTGACCGCGCCGAGAGCGAGGTGAAGCGTTTGCAAGATATCATTGAATCGTTGCAACACGACACCAGCAAAGACGGTGAAGCACTGGAAGCTCGTGAGCGTGCAGAGCAAGAGGTCGCCCAGCTAGAAGCCGCCATCCAACAAATCCGTAACCAATCCGATGCACGCATTAAGGAGGCAGATGATCAGCGCGCGCAGTCGGAGGCCAATAAAGCTCGCCTGCAGAACGAGATGACCGAGCTCGAAGGTGAGATTGTGCGGGTTACTACCGAACTCACTATGGCCAAGGCAGAGCTGGACGGTGCCTATGGTACACGGGCCGAGCGTGCTGCCAAGGTTGCTTCCAACCCCAGTGTTCAGAAAGAAAATGATGCTCTGGTCACCCGGAACATTGAGCTCACCGAGGAACTTGCTCTGTTCAAGAGCCAGCGGGGAGGCGGGGATCTCCAGCAACGGGCGGATACTCTCGAGAGGGAGCTTCGCGAAACCATTGATGACTATGAAGCCATGACCAAGGCCAGCATTGAGTTCGAAAAGGAACGTGAGCGCTTTGAAAGCTTCATTGATAGTCTCCGGGACCGTTGCGAACAGCTGGAAACACAGCTGGCAGAGGAACGTATTAGCTGGATGAACTTGAGCAGTCCCACGTCGGTGGGCCGAGAGGGCACTTACGAGACGACATCGACAATGGTTCTTAAGAATGAATTCAAGAAGATGATGCGTGACACGCGTAACGAGAATATGAAGATCTTGAGGGTGAGTTTCTTCTCAACATTTCCAGTGTCTCAGTTTGACTAACTATCCCCAGGCCGAACAAGAAGAGCGTCGTAGAATCGAAGGATTGCTGCGAGCCCTAAGAAAGGAACATGCGCAGGTGACTGGCAAGATGCCCAGCTCCGGCGGTACTCCGTTATGATCATGACATTCTGGATCTCGGGATTTGAGCGTTTGAAAAGAAGTGTATATATCGATTGTTTTGTATGATATTGGCATTTGGCAAGCACGACGAAGGATAGGAAATCACGATGACTTTTGTACCTGCTTCCCCTTTTACTCTCTCAGATTTGTATTGCGACTGTCTTCATGCACTGGGACTCGCTCTTGGGTCCTCAAAATGAGTGCGATCCAACGTCGTGGAGCAGTCTACCAATCCAGTGGCCGAAACTCGCAGTTTTTCTCAGCATCACAGAATCTTCGGCGCGGAAATCGACCTCGGCATTCCGATTCCCTCTCACCATCATACGATAGCCTCGACTCATCCGGATCTATGCAGAGCGATGACAGATCCATATACAACGCCATCAGAGTCAACACCCCAGATGAATCCCGCACTCGTTTCTACGCCTCCCTCGTTCACGAAAACCCCGTCCATGAACAAGGTTTAGCCGTAAACATGGCCATGTTCGTTCCTGTTGGTTCGCAAGATGGCCCCTCACCCTTGAAAGACCCAACAAAGCAAAGAATACGAACGAGGATAGCAAAGAGAGCGGGACACCGATCAAAAGTGTTCTCAGATCAGTATATGCAGGCTTCACGCCGATTGAAGCCCTCGTTGAATGGATCTAGCCCAAAGCGAGTCTCGATTTCTCACCAGTCACATCGCAAGGCTGTTTCGCTCGGAGCAAATGGTTACAATGACTGTCACAGACTACGATGGCCTGCCAATATGGGGCTTGCGGTGGCGCCTGTTCAACCTCGATACCCTCCACCCGAAAGATCGCCTACACCCCCAGGTCTTCCCTCGTTCGGTACCCCCGAGGCAATGTGTTACGCTGCGCGGTATATGGCCCGAGACAACACCCCACACTTGGGCCGACATGCTGGTTATTGTGACGAACGCTCCACTTCGTACAGTGATAGCTTGAGGCGATTTTTCGGTTTATCGCCTTCAGCATCGCGTGCGAGCCAACTTTCTGGTACTGGGATTGGAAGAGCCGAAGACGGAACACTCGTGCAAGGTCGGTTTCCGTATCGACAGAGTGGCCATGGAATGAATATAGCACGGCAATTGAATGAACATCCGTTCCATGAGCGCTTTCTCCCTGTTGCCAGTCCTCCGGCTGTCTATCAAGGTCGCGAGGCTGATGTTGAAGCTGCATATGTGAAGCAAACCTCTCGTCGCTCAAACAGATTTATTCAGCCGCGTTCTTCCCATAGAAGCCAACGGCTACCTCCTGGCGATTATCTTCCTTCGAACCCACCCCCTGTTACGATCCGTCGACCGGGGCAGCCTAGGCCCTCGGCTTTTCTTCGTTTGCCGCCTAGTCTATATGGTCTCGACGGATCACCCAGAAGTGCCACATCTGCAGTACCAGTGGAAAGCTCTGTCTTAGGGGTCAGGACAACTGGAGACCATCAGCCATCAAACCCCTCAAACCTCCAATCTGTCCTCACGATAGCTGTCCGTGGCGGCGGAGGCGATGAGCCAAACACTGCCACTTCCGTATGTTCAAACGCCTTGTCTTGGGTTCAAAGTCAACCATGTCTGAGCTGCTGTTTGGGTGGCCCTGATAACGAGGAAGCGGACCAATCTCTTGATGTGATCAGCTCCCGGGATACATATACCACTGCCCACAGCCAGGTATCGCCTGTCGAATCTCACAATGAACCAGAACTACTCGTGGGAGATAAACGGATTGGGTTCCAGGGCCTGCGGTCTTGGATCTCTTCTTTGTATGGCGTCATGTTCCCTACTCTGGTGAACCCCGCTGTGGTATAATCTGTGGTTGGGGTTTGCTATCCTATACGACGAGTTTCTACTGTGATACATTCTCTTGACTATGTGCATTGACTGTGCTAGGTGCACGTTTTGATGCTTGTTTATCTTTATTAATCACCATCCCTATGATTCGACCTCGATATACATACATCCCACCAACGGCGGTACAATAAACTTCTTTCTTATCCACACTAGATGTACTTAATGCATTATTTTTCTCCCGCGGAGCTTGTATGTAGACTCCTGATACATCAAACTATAGACTCTCAAGTGTCAAATTATCATGAAAGCCCTGTCAATTCCCAGAAACCGAAAAAGTCCAATCTTGCGGGAAAACGCTATACTGAATATCCTCCCTGCCAGAGAAAATATCATCATAGTGCGCAATCTGCGACTGGGGATCCTTGGCCTGTCCATAGTACCGATCCCCTAAAGCCCTGAAAACAGGATCATTCCACATTTTCTCCATCCAAGCCAGAGCACCAGGACCAGCAGCATCCAAAGGCACACCATAAGAGCGGAACCGCTACCACAATCATCAGCATCAATCCAGCAAGCCATCAACACCCCCAATAACGAAAGCGGACAGAAACAGGCAAAAGAAAAGGTAGGAAAGGAAGGCAAACATACCCAAAGAATCGGCCAGAAAAAGGCATCCGCAATACTAAACCCACCAAACAAGAACCCATCATCCTTCCCCGCCTCCCCCAGCTCCCCGAGTCTCTCCTTTGTAGCACTCCGGGCAGCATCCCAAATCCCAAACATGCGCTTAATCTCCGACATGGCCTCGGCGGAAATGGGCACGTTGCCCGTATACCGTGCGAGGAAGTTCGTGCTGAAGTCATTGCGCAGCACGGAGAAGCCGGAATGCATCTGCGATGCTGCGGAGCGGGCGAGGGCGCGCAGTTTGCGGTCTTTAGGCCAGAGGGGGAGGTCTGGGTGGGATTCGGCGAGGAATTCGCTGATGGAGAGGCTGTCTGTTATTGTTGCGTTGAGGGATTTGACGTGGAGGACTGGGACGAGGCCGGTTGGGGAGTGGGTTTTGGTCTGGTTTGGTGGTTGGGAGGTTAGATGTTGTTTTCTTTTTTGTTCTTTCTTTCTTGCTCTCTTTTTCTCGGGTTGGGTTGCATTGCTGCTGGTTAGGATGGGTTGGATGGAGGATTTACTTCGGAGAGTTTGATGAATTGGTGTGTGTGTGGGATTTGGAAGTATTCCAGGACGGCTTCCACTCGGGCTGTCCAGCCTGTGGTGTTGTGGTTAGTGGTGACTCATCGTGTTGGTCTTCGGTGGACTTACTGGAGTATCGGGTATAGAGGCCGATGAGGTGATAGTCGGGGGATTGGGAGTCCATGATGAGGGTTGCTGGGAGTCTGAGGGCTGGAAAGAAGCGAAGAAGGGAGAGAAGAAATAAAGAAAAGAAGAAAAGAAGAAAAGAAGAGAAGAAGAGAAGAAGAGAAGAGAAGAGAAGATAGAGTTACGGCTACGAGCGGGATATAGTTCCAGACTTGCCTGTTTCGTATTCGGTCCCACTTGCCGACTGACAGGAGTTTATTTGCATGACAAATCAAGGGTCGATTTCTACGCAATTGACTGGAGAGAGAAACAGAACCATTAAGTAAGTTATGTACATGAAGAGAGCGGGATTAAATCAAGGGCAAGGCTGATATGGGATAGTCCCGCTCAAAAGAAGACAAAAACGAAAGAAATGAAATGAAAAATGAAAAATGAAAGCATGTCGTCTCATGATATCATTAAGAAACTCATGGGAATATCTCCCATTCTCTATCCCCGGGAATTATACTTCTCGTTGAAAGCATTGACCGCTAAAAGGAAGGTCAGTTAGCGTGGGCCATGCATGGAGTATCTAGCGTAGAGTACTTACCAACAGCAATCTGCCGATACAGCCAGTTACGTGAACTTTCATCTTGCACAGGGATGAAAGGTCCATTCGCACCACCCTTGAGAGTAATGCTCATTCCCGTGCGCTCCTTGGAAATGGTCTGGATATCCGTAAGGGGAATGTCCCACTCGGTGGTAAGCTTCTTGGTGCGAACAAGCATGATGCTCGCGTACGTCAACAGCACTAGCATGTCCCGACCAGGAAGTTCCAGGTGGGCAATGTAGTCCGCGTCAAAGTACTTGCCATCGTCGGTTGTCTTCAGCCAGAATTGACCGAGGGCCTCACGCTGAGAGTACGGACGGACAATACCGTCGGTGCCGATGAAACGGGTCAGTCGAACGCGATCAAGACCCTCGGCGTCGAAGACAGTTGTCGTGTTGCGAACACCTTCAGCAAGGTCTGCGGAGAAAACAGATTAGCTGTGAACATCAAAGGAAGAATGTGGGCTGACTTACTAGAGGCAAGGTCGAAGGCGCCAATTGCAGGCTTGGTAGCCAGTCCAAGAACTCCCTTTCCAACGCCCTTGAAGAATCCTTGAATGCCTTCTTTCTCGGCGCCCTGCAAAGGATGACGCGCCAAACCGCCGATACCACTGGCCAAGCTGGTTGCAAAGGCATTGCCACCGGCCGTGATTCCATACAGTGCGTGCTTTGGACGATTGCGGACCTTGGACATCCGCCGTTGGGTCTGGAACTCCTTATCGAGGGTGGCAGCTGCGAGACCCTTGGACATACTTCCAGTGAGCTTGGCCATACTGTCAGAGAAACCGAAGACGGATTTCTTGACGAAGCTCGTAGCACCCTTGGCGATACCAATACCAAGTTCTTGGGGTCGGTCCGTCATGACCAGGCCCTGGTATGGCTCGTAGAAGATCGCAGCAACGCCGGAACTGACGTTGTTGAACAACCCGACAGGGTTACCAAGGAAATCAGCTGAGCCGAGAATGATGTGAACCTGGCGGAGGAATTCCTGAGTGTAGTGCGCGCGGATATTGCCGACCAGTCTGGGTAAGGAAACACGGGCATTCTCAAGCATCAGGGCATTGAGTCGGATGGGGGCATCGTTGACATTACCCATCGACATTGTCATGGCATTAACGAAGAACATCAATGGGTTAGAAGGCTGCATAGCATCCTCCACGTTGACACGCTCGGTACGCATGAACGAAATGTCCATTTGCATCGGCTGGAGGTGTAGAAGTTCGAAGTACACATCTTGGCCGGCGTCTGTTTGCTGAGGCTCAGGGATATTGAGGTCTTCGACGCAAAGTTTGCCCTCTTGCTCTTCAGTCCATGAAGCGCCGGGGATCTTGACAAAGTCAAGCATGGCAAAGACAAAGTCTTCATCCAGTTCGAGAGTCATTTGCTGCAGGAGAAGCGTGGCATACTTGATATAGAGCACACCATAGGAATCGTCCTTGACCCGGGTCACCATTGCGTGGAAGATCGGGTGTGCCTCCATCTCCTTGCCGGTTTTTGGAACAACACTGGGGTAAAGCAAGATGGGGAAGATACCACCGTAGAGCTGGTTATCGACTTGGATCCACTTGATTGTAGTGTTGAGAGTCTGGTACAGCCTCGATTCTCTGAATTTGATCTCAATTTCGCGGAAAGTGAGATAGAGTAGCTCTTTCAGGTTCTGATTGATTAAAGAGATACCAATTCCACCAAGACGAAGCTGGGCCTTGAAATTGACATCCGAGTTCATTTCCTTGATCTCAAATCCGTTGCCGGTACCTGTCTGTGAGGACTGGCCTCTCTGTTGCTTGTACATACTTTTTGATGCCTTAAAGTTGGACAGCACAAGAGTTTGAGTGGGACCATCGGCAGCAATGGTGATATCGATGATCTTCTGGTACCCACCAGGCTGTGATGGTGGGATTCGCATTGGGATCAAATTACCAATCTCGGCAAGCTTGATGTGCCGTTCCTTGCCCTGGCAAGTCAAAACAAGGGACTTGTTCTTCGTCGCCGGGTAATCCCAGGCGTATGGCATGATACTGCGTGGTGGAATGCGATAACGGATGGGTCTCCAACCGCTAGTCTGGTCATCTTCATCATCTTCCACATTGGGATTGGCTTGGTAGAAAATGAATTCGGTGTCACTTTCATTGCGCATCGAGAACGGCCAGTTGCGAGTCTCGAAACTGAAGTGCAAGAAGAGAGTTGCTCCTTCCATGATAATATCAACCTTGATCAGCTTCTGTCGCTGATTAGCCTTAGCCAATTTGACGTGAACGGTGCCAACGTCTGCAATATTGAATGGCGAGGACCATTGATTGTTCACGCCTGGGAAACAAAGGCAAAGCTGCTTCTCTGGGACTCGGCGGAGGAAGTGAAGTGGAACGAGATCCCCACTCTGGATCTGGAGAACGTTGGAAGAACCCGGCTCCCGTACCAAGAGATCCTCGTTAAGCTTGCTCTTTAGAACGTATCGCGGGGCGAGTGTAACAACCTTGGTCATTTTGTACTTGCCCTCTCCTTCGACAACAGAGACACCGGAATGGAATTCGGATCTTTCTTGACGGTCAGGGAAGACAACCTCAAAGGTACTACCGATAGCCTCGAAACTCTGTGGCTTGCTCCACGCGGAATCGCCAACCTTCATGATTGATCGGTTTCGTTGATCCTCGTTGGCATAGGAGTACATGTATGGCAACGCACGACCGCCCTCTCTGGGGTCGACTCTGAGTCCTTGGCCCGCGGCATTTCTCGCCGACTGAAGGAATGCTTTGCTTTGGATATCCATGGGAAGACCGGTTCTGTTGAGAACAAGGTATGGACTGTACACAGAAACCTTGAAAGCACCGCCGCTGTTGGGAACGTTGAAGTAGTGAAGCTGCAATTTCAGCTGAAGACCTCGTTCATCCTTGAGAGACAAGGTATGCTCCCTGCGGTAGTCTTGGGCATTGCCATTGACAATGGCGAATTCGCTCTGGCGGAAGACCGTATCCTCCAGATCAATGCTAAGCAAGAGAAGATGAGACAATTCAACAACGTGGACTGGGCTCACTCCACCCTTCCTCAAGAAGTTCGTCCAGTCCTTCTTAGTATTCTTGTCATAGATGCGATACTTGAAGTCGTACGGCAGAAGATTCTGGATCTCCACAGGGGCAAAGATCCGGATTCTCATGTACGGATAAACTGCGGTAAGCGAGTCCTTGCTGTCATAGGTAGCATTGACTTGGAAGTAGAAGGGCGGAGCTTGCTGTCCACTCTCGCTGACACACTTAATAGTCCGTGTGGGCCGACGAATAAGCTCCTTCCAGAATAGTTGTTCGTTTGACCAATCATAACCGAACCCTTGGTCAGGTCGAATGACAACGGAATGAAGGTAGGCTGATCCAACAGGCGCCGGTCGAGCATCGCCGGGTAGAATTTTCTCGATCTTCAACAAGTGGCCTTCTCCGGGGCTGAAAACACCCAGTTCGACAGGGATCTGTGTGTTGTTCTCGATAAGAAGCGGCGAACGGAAGGTGATATACTTCACGTTGTCTTCTCCGAGTTTCACTTCCACGAGCAAGCGGTGAAGGACGTTGTCCTGCTTCGGCTTAAGGGCGTACACTGTCTCGCCTTCACGAACGACAGGAATGCGGCTGATACTATCAAATCCACTTCCCTCGAGCTTGACGCCTACCACTCCACCGTGGCCTTCTGGTGTCAAGGTCTCACGGATAGCAGTGGAGTCTTCGAATCGCCATGGCGATTCTTCTCCGTCGGTTAACTTCGCCGCCGGTCCATCCTCCCCAACATTAACATCAGCCCAAACACGAAGATCAAATCCAGTGTAATTGCGGATTCTGTATGGAGCATCGGCACCTCTGGGCTTGGACAGCACATCCTCGATTGTAGAAAGGAATTGAAGGGATTTAGATGCAAGCGCAATGGTGGCAGATGTCACTGTGAGCTCCATAGTCTTGTGAGAATACGCATCGATTGAGAAGACATCCGGGTTGACCTCCTTGGCCATATGGAATCCAAGTTGCCAAGGCTCGATCAAGGGCCCCCAAGCCGACTTCGAGAAGTTGTACACATTGAGGAACATCTCGAAGTTGGTATCAGCGCTCAATGTGGACGACCAGTCACGTACATCAACGTTGAATTTCTTCACGCTCCAGTCGAGCAATGGTAGATCGTGGAGATCACCAATTAGAATGACTCGAACACCGTCAATCTTAGCAGACAGCTCCTCACGCCTGAGGACAACCGAGCTCTGCGGCGTGGTTGCTTCATCGGGTTGTCTGCCAGCCTGGCTCAGGCGCCGAGTCCTATTGGCAACGGTCATGGATGCCTTGCTAGCAGAGCGCGCTCTAGTGCTCTTGGCATCGGGGATCTTCTTGGCTTCTCCGCCTTCGATCTGCTGGGTATTCTGAGCCCTCATTTCGGAGGCCTTGTTGACAATTTGGGTTGCCATCAAGATATCACGCAAGGACAAGCGAAGAACCAAAGGCTCAAGATGTACCTCGATAGATGTCAAGGCACATCCCTTTTCTTGTGCTCTGCTATCAATGGACATTTCAAGCGTAAAGTCATCCAGAATGCGGAGACGAGACGTCTCAAACTTATCCATGCGGCACAAGAACATGCCTACCTTCTGGATCTGTAGAGTTGAGACATTTTGATGGGAGATGAGTACCTCCTTCGTACCAAGAACAATGGCCTCAGAGTGGGGAATGGTGGGATTTGCAACCATGATCACTTGGGCATCGACAAGGTTCATGCGGAACGAAACAGTCATTGATCCTCCTGCACCATCGCCAGAAGGAGCCTCGGTGACAGCGTTATCAGAGCTGGCAGCAGTAACGGATTCAGTTTCTGACTCCTCGGGTGTCTCGTTTTCTTCTTCCACGACCTCTGCCTCTTCAGAGGCAAATGCAGATTGGCTGAATGACTGCAAGGCTGACAGGTAATCCAATGCGAATATGATGCGGGGGCTATCAATTGTCAACATGGCGATGAGATGCTTCTCTGGTCCTCCAGACATGGAAACGCTCGCCATGAATTGCTGCTGAACATCATTGTTGATCAAAGACATGATGTTTCTAAACTTGTTGGAATCTTGCTTGCGGCTATCGCGGATAGAGAACGAGTGGATAAGAAGTTCCGACTCCAATGAACCATCTGTCAACATACGGAGCTTGACTCTAGTGTCATTGAGGGAGAACTTGGATAGACTGGAGTCCTCAATGCGGCCGACGGGCTGGTTATCATTTGCGAGAATAAGCTCCAATCCAACACTGTCGACCTTGAAGATCATGTCTAGTCGGACCCAAGTCTCTTTGTTCTCAGTATCCTCGGCAGGTGCTCCCTGTGGACCCTGCTGTGCCTGGACGGCTTTTGAAGTAGCCTCCCTGGTGGGCTCTGTCACTGAAGAGGGCAGAGACTCCATAGCCTCAAGCTCTTGCTGCTCGGCATCGGTAGCAAAGGCACTCGGTATCGTCTTGGACAATTCCAGCAAGAACTTAAGCTGGCTCTGGGAAATTCGAAGATTAATTGGGGACAAAGAACCCTCGATTTCCATATCCGGACGAGGATTGTTCGCTTGATGCTCCAGGTAGCAAATGCTAAACTCGAGATTGACCTTTTGTATCATCTCAAGCTCTTCCGCCGTGCCATCCTCGAAATGGAATTTAGAGGTAAGGCGGATATTTCGAACACCGGTAGAGATCACATTGACAGCAGGGCTGTCGTTTCCTTCGTCCATGGGGACGAATTCATTCTTAACATAGATCTCACCAAGATGAGCAGTGATCGTATCTCGAGGGCGATCATCTATCATCACGCGCGGGAAGACAACGATCGGGGTCTTGACAACAACATCAAGTCTCATTCGGGACGCATTCTCTTGCAATGAGTTGGCTTGATTGGCGGCAGCTTGACGAGCAGCGTTGAAAATGGCTTGCATTTTGCCAAATTTGACGAGGAAGTTGATGATCTTCCGGTAAGGTTCCTCCAAGAAGTTGATCTTGATTGAACCAGACCGCAGATAAACCTCGGAGTCATAGCCAGGGTAGCTATCGCTTTCAGGATCAAAGGTCTCATATTTGAAGTCGGCAAAGTCATCTCCTTCAATTGTCATGAGGCGTCGAATATCAGAATCCTCTTCAGCCCCAAGGTTGACATCATCCACCAGGGTCAGACTGCCGATTCGAGACTGAATGAGCATAGAAGCACCCACGAGGAAGATCCCAACGTCGGCTGTGTTAAGACTCAAAGTTGCCAAGCGAACTCCGTCATTGTTGAGGATGAGTGCAATACTCTTCAGGTTGGCCCTAATGCGAAGTTTCCCAGCCGGCTGAGGATTTTCTTCCACTGCGGGCGTTCCCTCAATAGCCTTATCTGCGTCGGGATTTTGGCTGGTCGGTTGTTGGGGATTCGTAAATGTAAGAAGAATGAAGTCCAGTAGCGTGAGAAGGGTTTTTCTCGTCACAACAAGGTTGATAGTTGAAACCGATATGTCAAGGTTCATAGCAACCCCTTCATACGTTGATTCAAACTCAGGAGATTCGGGCTTTACCCGGACCATCTTCAGCTGGAAAAGATCCTTATCTTCATCAGCATCAAAGCCCTTCGACGAGATAATCCTTTTGAATTCAGGAACAGGATTCTCTTCGATGTAATCATCCACGCTCAACGATTTCAAAACCACTTCCGCAACCATGTCATAGGGGCGCATGTAGAAATCGAGCTCAAACCCTTCGGCAACCAATTCAACCAACAAATGATCCTTTTGGGGATCATGAGGGTCAGAGCGAGATAGCGAACCACGTAGACGGCCAACAGTAAACTTGAACTCGAAGTCTCGGCGGTGAATGTTGGTGGGACTATCCACAGTCTTCTTAGACTGTTCAATCGCCTTTTCAGCTTCTTCGTCGTCATCATCGACAATCGGAAGATCCCGAAGAGCCGAGGAATGGAAGGATGCTGATCTAGCTCGTGTGGCTGCATCTTCTTTGGCCACGACTCCTGTCTTTGTATCAGAAGAAGTGTTACCTGTATCGAATTGCGGGATCGCAATATCGATCAATTTCATCAGACCCTTGTATTTGGTGTCTGACATAGATGCATGTAGTTCCGGTAGATGACCAGAAATACGCGTGCGGGTGAGCTGGGTCACCTTCGGCACGATACACATCTCCAAAGCGAAATCCACATTGATGCGGTCAATGATATGGAAGTTTCTGGTGTCGACATTGGTGTTGAGTTGTGCTTTGGTTGCATCAACACCAGGTCCGATGAGGACTTGTGTGGAGTCCAATTTGATTAAGAATCGATCATATAGAAGATGTTCGAGTTTCTTGTAGTCTTCCTCTTCGTATTGCCGCTTTTGCTTGGATTGAAGGTCTCGCATGGCCTGACGATCGACCAATTCGCTGTTGACACTAGCGTGACCTGCGTCGATAATCAAGCAAAGGGAGCTTGGTTGTGTAATACTTTCCGGGACGATGATCAGGGGTGCACGAATGTCGAATTGTGCGTCAACCTTCTTGTGCTCTTCAAGAGCAAACTCCAAACCTGCCCGAGTTTGCTGTCGCAATCCTTCCACGGTAGCTCCTGCAGTGTCTAATAGAGCACCGATAGACTCCATGTGTCGTTCAGGTGGTTCGAAGAAATTGACGATTCCAACAAGGAATCTGGGATTGTAAATGACTTCAATACTCTTGAGTTTGACCTTGACCGCGGAATCTGCATCGCTGTCGAGTGGATTCTTCTCAAGTTGTAGATGGAACAGACTGTCCTCATCTTCGAGGTCATCCGCACTTGCCTGTGAGGCAAGGTCATCATCATCTTCACTTACCTGCTGGGATTTTGGTTCAGGAAGAGAGTCTTTGACCTTGACAATCTGGGGATAGAGAGTTCCTGGGGTGGTACCATCATACATCTTCAATCCTCCAAGGTCTATGTCAAGGAGGTAAGAATCATGACGTTGAAGAGCTTTGGCTCGGAAATTGTCGAATACTAGCTTCATGACTTCGTTGGCCGCGCCATGGGGGTCTTTTTTCAGGGTAAAGCTGCCAGCCCTCAGGCTCCAATTGACCTGAAGTTTGACCCATTCACGGGGAATGTCAACGCTCTCGGTTATGGCTTTCTTTTCATCCCAGTCGATGGCGTTGTATAACTCCTGTCGTTGTTCATCGGTCATATCAGGCTCCTCGGATTGCTCCTTCTTGGCACCCCAGATCCATTCGGACCATGATTGTTGCTCTGCGGGTTTCTTGACGCCGACGTTCTCTTTTCGTAATTGGTTACGTGCAAGCGATCGCCAGAAACGGATATCCTCGTAGCTAAGTTTCGTCTCGAGTCTCTGTATTTCCTTGGTTTCGTCCGGTGTGAATGGTTCTTCCTTCTTTTTCTTCTTGAATAAGGCAATGTACGCAATACGATCATCTCTGCGCTCCTTGATGTAGTCCCAGGTCCAACGTCTGTTGCGCTCGTGGATCTTGCTGAGCACAGCTTCTCCGGCAAATCTCATCCACGCACGGGGATTTTCCTTGGGTGAGACTTTGGGTTGGATCTTCTTGTACTCTTGATGGCGAATAAAGTAATGGAAGAGATCAACCAGCATCAGCGCATCGCGGTATTGGTGGTCATCCAGGACGAAACCAAGTTCATCGAAGAGCAGGCGCGCTTTGATGGCAGGACGATCATGTTTGCCGGATTTGTCCATTTCAAGACCCGCACGACCACTTACAGGACGAAGCATGAACTGATTTCCTTCGTCCGCGTCTATAGCAGTTCTGAGTTTCTCCATCAACTCTTCGCGGCCGATGCCCTGAGCTTCTGCGCCGATATCAGAGCCACGTCCGGTCCCGAGAAGTGTGGCATCTGTATTCCAATATACGGATAGCGCTCCGAGAACAGCCAATTTATGGGTGACATCGGAGTCTGATTGGATAAAAGTCGGGTTCCAATCTCCGTCAGTACTGACAGCACTTAGCTCTTTCAGGGTCATGCCGACGGCGAAGGGGTGTCCCGGTGAAGCGATCGAGTCCTCGTAGCGGAAATGCACATTCTTGATGGAAATCTGCAGGTTGTCCACCACAGCTGTAATCATGCTTTGTGTGAAGCTCTGGTTTCTGCGCTGCTCTTCCTGGCTCATGCCTTCCGAATTTCGCTCGCGCAGAAGTTCAGCACTCTCTATTCGCTCCATCTTGAGGACATTCGCTCTCCGTTCTTCCTCCTCCGAGTTATAGTCCGCATCTTCTCTTGGTGCTGCAAGCAAATAGACATCTTCGATCTCGACCTTGACCGGCTTTCCTCGTAGATTCGACCACGGGATCGATAATGTGAGCTCGCCGAGGTGACCTTCAACGACGTTTAGAGGGAGATGAAGCTGGTCGAGCGCTTCGCGGCGCAGCTCGAGATTCCGTAGTTTGACGTCGCCCGACCAAATACCAATGTTGAGTTGTTTCGCGTCGAAGTTCTTCACGTATATTCCCAGGAAACGGTTGAGCAAGTTAGCGACCACTCCTTCCAACATGGTTGCGGCGTGCGGGTGTAGACCAGGCCCGGTGGACTGGCGCTATGGCCGGCGCGGATGTCGCTTCAATGGCGTGAGTCGGGAATTGGATGTTATTCCGAGATCCAGGGTAGCTGAAGGGTCAGCAATGAAGGCAAGTTGGCGGGGAGTTGTCTCATCAGCAAGGTACGTACGTCGTCACTTCTGAGAACCCTGGCACACGGGAGGGACAATCAAGCCATTCAGAGCGGGCTAGGCACGCGATACCGAGGAACTAAATCTCTCCAAGGAGGGTGATCGGTATGAGATGGCTGAAAGCCAGGAATAAGTAATCGAATGTGATAAACGGCCCGCTGAATTAAAGGAGTGAGAGTTGGGTATCCAAAATGGTAGAGAGTGGTGCTATCTGTTACGCAAAGGTATGGATGGAGGAGGTACTCGGTACAGACGGGGTACGGGTCAATTACGCCAATCACGGCTATGGTTTCCGCCCTGCCGAAGTACTTTGATGGTACACAGTACTCAGGCCTCTTAGCTTTAAGTGATGCCAGTTGTCCCAGTTGGGGGCCAATACTAATTTCTTTCAAGTTAAGCCCAGAAACATACGATGTCCAGTAGCAAAAGGACTCCTACTCGTACTGTAATGGATACACTTGTTTACCCCAAAGGTGACGTAGTTCCCTGCCCAGGTGCCAACTTTGGCTGAGTCAGCTAGGGCGCAGCCCCCGTGCTGGTAGGTCACGTGCCTGAGCACGGAGCCCCGGAAAGTCTGCCTCAGGCCATTATCTTTGCAGTTCGGGTCGCTACGGTCCGCCCGAAAGCAGACCACACCTCATCACTCGGTCACTTCATTTCTGGATATTCTTATTTGCTCCCTCCCGGAAAACCCACGCCCTCGACTTTGAGACCAAGTCATTTTCCGGGTGTATACCCTCATCTCCACTCTTCAGATCTCTTACCAGCTATTTAAAAGTCCAATTGGGTGGGTTGACTCTGCAATCCGGCCGAACCCGAGGCTTTTCTTGCTCCGATCTTGCTAACCCGACGACCACGAAAAGCTGTATCCCCGCCATGCTGTACCGCAACTTCGCCGCCCGCTCTGCGCTCCGCGCTCTCTCGAGCTCCAATGCCTCCGTGGCTCGCTCTTCTCTGGGCAACCAGATCTGCAAGGCTCAGATGACCTCGTCTGCCCGCAATGCGATCCGTCCTTCCGCGCCGAGCTTCGCGCTTACTGCTCACAAGCCCGTTACCACCGCTCTCGTTCGCTTTTCTTCTTCTTCCGCCCACGTAAGAACTCGGGCATATATTGTCATTCGCAGAGGGGGTCCAATAACTAACCATATGACAGGGCAAGGATGAGGATGACATCGATGTCATGGCGGGTATGCGTTCCGAGGCTGTACGTACTTTTGAATCCATGTCAAACAACGACTGTTGGATCTACGGATGCTAATTACCAGTATAGAAAGTCATCGGCGAGACCTTCAGCCTGAGCCACGTCCCCAAGGAGGCTCTCTACCTTGGTATGGCTGGTGTGGTCCCTTACCTGGCCACCTCTCTGCAAACCGTCTACCTCTCCTACGAGATCAACCGCGCTGCTGCTCTTGGTGACGGTCTCATCTTCTCCGGCCAGTCTGCTGAGCTGATGCTGCACATGCTCGAGCCCATCCAGGTTGGCTACGGTGCCGTTGTAAGTCCACTTCCGACAGACGAAGTCTAGCCCCTCTCAAATTTTGCGCGTTTGCTTATCACCCGTTGCGGTTAGATCCTCTCCTTCCTCGGTGCCATCCACTGGGGTCTTGAGTGGGCTGGCTACGGCGGCAAGTTCGGCTACCGCCGCTACGCTGCCGGTATCATCGCCCCCGCGGTGGCCTGGCCTACTCTGCTGTTCCCCGTTGAGTACGCTCTGATCAGCCAGTTCCTTGCCTTCACTTTCCTGTACTACAACGATGCCCGTGCCGCCGCTGCCGGCCGTGCTCCCCACTGGTACGGCATGTACCGCTTCGTCCTGACCTTCGTTGTCGGTGCCAGCATTGTCGCCACCCTGATCGGCCGTGAGCAGATCCAGCAGACCATTGTCTCTGAGCACACCATCAAGGACAAGATCAATGCTCTGATCTTCCTCCAGAAGAAGGAGAAGGAGGAGGCTACCGCTCGCCGCCGCGGCGAGATCGAGGAGACCGACTAAACTGCCTTTTGACAAGGCGAAGGGATTGTTTCCCTGAGACAGAACCTCTGTTTGCATTACCCGTGATTTCCTGTAGAATATACGCAGAACGCACTAGGGCGGCCACTGAAATTTTTCTTTTGTTAATTGGAGTGTCGATAGTTGGAAGATCGAGTCGCAATGTTTTTTTTTGGGGTCTTCTATGTTCGAGACCCCCAGATAAGATAGAAGAGTAAATTTTCCAAAGGATGTACAGTAGATGGAAGATAGAAAGTGTATTCACAGACCAGAGCAACACGTGCTTGGCACCCAATCTCACATCTGCAGGAGTACCTGAAAAGGGGAGAATTGGTGATCAACCAGGTCACAAGAGACCGGGTTGCCGCAGATCGGCGTCGGGTCTCCGAATTCCCCTCCAGGCAAGGGAGAGAAAAGAGAGAGAAAAAAGAAATAACGGCCTGGGGCCCCGGGGGGGGGGGTCACGGGGTGCCGAATATATCCAACTAGAGATTGACTATGGAGACACTAGTGTATCCCTGGAGAGTGTAGAATTACCATAATCCAGGGAAGAGGGAAATGCAGAAGAGCAGAAGAGCAGAAGAACAACAAGACCTGTTATCTCAACCCATTCCTCCAGTCCACTCATCCAGTACCTCCAGTCGAAATGGAAGCCCTAGAGTAGATAACCTATACCCGACAGTTTGGGAAGGTAGAGCGAGCACACCTGCATGGTCCAACAGAACCAGAAATGCAAGAATCCATAGATCGACGGGTTCCCATTTCCCATTTGACCTTTCCTTTCTGATTCCCTTCTTTTATTTTTCCAGTGACATTCCTTTTCCTTTTTTTTTTATTTTGCTGAGTGGGGATTTTTTGCGTCTTCGCGTGATCTACTGAGCTCGCACGTCCCTTGTCCCTGGCAGACAGATCCCTCTCCACGCGCTGGGCCGTCGTGGCTTCTTATAGGGCCAGGACACATGGAGCAAGACCGGTTCTCCAGACTGGGGAACCTGGTACACCAGCGACAAGCTGATGGAAACGTCATCTAGTCCTTCGTCGGGAACTGGCCAAGATCTTGGTATGTTATGCCCGTGTTGGTGGGACTGTGATTGTGTTATGCTAGGCTACGACTTGCTGTATGCACAGTCAACCCCAGCGGCGAGGGGTTCCCGTTTTTTTCCCCAGGGGGGGGGGGGGGGGGGGTTCGAATGTTCTTGGCCTCGACTAGAATCTCAGAATCTAGGGGATTGAGACCTAGACTGTAGGCTTATTTTTAAAAATAAAATCAATAAATAATTTTTCCACTAATTCTCCATGAATCGGAAGTACTCAGGGCTAAAATAAGGGGGGGGAGGTTCTAGAACTAGGAAAAATGGATCGTGTCATGTGGTTGATCTCCGTGTGGAGGTGATCTGGAGTTGAGAGCTGGAGGTGTCTGGAGAGCAGAGGATAGGAAGCGAGTTAAGCATAGATATAAAGATGGAAACGCAAGGTGGTCCAGGGGGAGTTTATGGACGAGAGAGAGCAACTGAGTATAACGAGTGGGGGAGTGACGAGGTCTTCTGATCAGAAAAAAACCCCGAACCGGATTTGTGGCTCCCCTCCTTAGGCCCACCCCTTGGGATAAGTGAGCTCTGTCTTGCTGTTAGATTGGATATATCTTCTTTTTCTTCTTCATCTTGTTACCCTTCTCTGTTCCCCTCTCCTCCCTCCCCCCTTACCCTATATATATATATACTCGCCACATTGGTGACCGCCAAACTGTACCCAAAGTTGCCCGGTCACCGGTACGTCACGGTCCACTTTTCTGCCAACGCTGTGGTCCCCCCCCCCCCCATATCACCGCCACCTCGTAGTTCCCCCCTCTCTCTTCTCTCCCTTAAATCCCTGGCGTAAACCCTACTCGCCCTTTCTTCTCCTCTTCTTCTTCTTTTGGTTCATATCTACTACCCACCATGCGGAACCCCTTCGATTTGGACTACGATAGCGTTGATGGAGACTCAGAACCCGCGGGTGATTTCGAGCGGGAAGAACATGTGTTCCAGCACCAGGAGCAGCAGCAACAGCGAAAGTTGAGTCTGGACTATCGGCCAAAACAGCAGAACGATGGAGATCGTTCGCTCTTACAAGATGAAGAGAAGGTCCCCGGTGATCTGAAGAACCGGTTTATTGGTACCATTGATCAGGGTACGACGAGTACTCGATTCATCATCTTCGACTGTACGGGTGTGCCGGTGGCCAAATACCAGACCGAATTCCGTCAGCTTCATGAACATCCAGGGTAGGTGTCGAACTCCCCCTTGATTTATATCTCCAGAGACCCCCAGGATTAATTGCCCCGCACCCCACAGATGGCACGAACAAGACCCGTACGAATTGGTTGAGTCGGTCTACATCTGTATCGAAGAGGCTATGAAAGCATTCCTGGCCGCTGGTCACGACGTATCCGACATCGAAGCCGTGGGTATCACCAGTCAACGAGAGACCGCTTTGGTTTGGGACTGGGAGACTGGCGAACCCTTGCACAACGCTATCACGTGGACCGACACCCGGACGGTCAATCTGGTGCGTGAACTGAAGGCCAAGCCCGGCGCGGATGACTTGGCCAGCATTTGCGGTCTTCCTCTCTCTACATACCCCTCCTCGGTCACACTACGATGGATGCTGGACAACCTCCCCGACGTCAGATCGGCATACGATGACGGTCGGGCGGCATTCGGCACGGTGGATTCCTGGCTCATTTACAACCTCAATGGTGGCCCGCAGAACAAGCTTCTGGTGACGGATGTGACCAATGCTTCGCGGACCATGTTCATGAACCTTGAGACCCTCCAATATGATGATCGGTTGTTGAAATTCTTCGACATTGACAAGACCAAGATCCGTCTCCCAGACATTCTCCCCTCGGCGGACCCCGACGGCTTTGGTCGGATTGTGGACGGTCCGCTGGATGGCGTTCGCATCACCAGTTGTCTAGGTGACCAGGCTTCGGCACTGGTCGGTCACTGTGCCTTCAGTCCTGGAATGGCCAAGAATACATACGGCACTGGTTGCTTCCTTCTCTACAACGTGGGCGATAAGCCTGTGATTTCGAAACACGGCCTGCTGGGCACTGTCGGTTTCCAACTGGGTCGGGATCGCAAACCTGTCTATGCATTGGAAGGCAGTGTGGCCGTGGCGGGTAGTGGTGTGTCTTTCCTTATGAACAACCTCGGTTTCTTCCGTGACTCGCGCAAGGTCAGTGACCTGGCTGCCAGTGTACCGGATAATGGAGGTTGCATTTTCGTTACTGCGTTCAGTGGTCTCTTTGCTCCTTATTGGATCGATGATGCTCAAGGAACCATCTGTAAGCTACTTTTCATTGCGTCTCCCAAGATTCCTCGCTAATGTCTTCCAGGGGGTATCACCGCCCACACACAAAAAGGACACATTGCCCGTGCAACGATGGAAGCGGCCTGTTTCCAAACCAAGGCTATCCTCGATGCCATGGCAATGGACAGTGGCAAGACTCTGACGGAATTGGCCGTCGATGGCGGCATGAGTAATTCCGATGTTTGCATGCAGGTACGTATACACCCTCCCTCACCATCACCTGGACCATCGCTCACCCGGTTCTGCTCAGACTCAAGCCGATATCATCCAAATACCCGTCGAGCGCCCCTCAATGCACGAAACTACTGCCCTTGGAGCTGCGATCGCCGCAGGCTTCGCCATCAACATTTGGAAAGACTTCTCCGAACTCAAGGACATGAACCGCGCCAATCGCGCATCCTTCGCCCCCAAAATGTCCCCCAAAGCCAGCGGCCGCATGTATAAAAAGTGGTCCAAGGCCGTCGAAATGTCCCGTGGCTGGATGGACGACGACGATCGCCAGAACCACGATGATGACGATGACGATGACGATGTCGAATAAACCACATTTCTATAAATATTCATTGAGATGACACCGCAAGCCGGTCTGTCATCGACACTTGAGACCGAGTTTGTGCTTCGCATACCACCACTCAACTCGCATACGTGAGAGAAGCGAGAGGGAGATCTGAGAAAGAGGGGCATTTTCATCATGACCAGAACCATACCATATCATCGGACACCGCACATATTCTCTCTTGGTCGAGTCGGATCACGATCATCCGTCTTTCTTCCGGGGGGACAGAGGGAGCCCCACGTTTCCTTTATTTTATATATACTAGAGAGCCTTCCTGATTAGAAAGTCCGTCCTAATAGGCGTGTGTTTATCACGCTAGTGCGCCTGTGCCGCCCTACACCCCCCTACATTTCCCTCCCCTTCATTTCATGAATTATGATGGGAATCGTCTTTTCTTTCCAGCGTGGATATGAGGGGATGAGCTGGAAATTTTATTCTTCTTTTTTTCATCTTTCTTTTTCATTACGCTGTTGACTGCTCGTCCTCCGGATGATGCTTGTTGGCTAACCATGTGTATATACCTACCGTTCTGGGAGAAAATGAAGCCAAAAACATTCCAAATCATATCACTACACGAGTATCATTCTCATTCTAACATTCATGGATGGATGACATCTATGTGAAAGTCTTTGCCAACTGTATAACCCGCCAGCATTCCCCTCAAACAAAGCCCTCCACGCCCCGAACTCTAACCCAACCTCACCAATCAATCGAACCAACAAATAGCCACTATCCCTGCACATCTTCTCTTCTCCATACAGTACTATAGATGTCACAAAACAAGAAACAAGGCATCACAATTCTACCAGCCAAGATCTACAGTTTGTACTGTAGCCTTGCCTGGGTACACTGTACTGTAGGTCCAAGAATGACATCATACCAGTGGGATCCCCCAATCAAGGTTATTACAGCAAAAACAGCCGGTCCATGCTTCTTTCTGGAACGATAGTTTTGGCTGTCCCATCCTGTCCTGTACCTGGGGAGCGATGAAGTCATCGTGTCTAGAGTTTGGGACTCCGGCTTTGCGTCCGTGGTTGGGTTTAGGGTTGTTTCTATTTTTGGTTAGGGTTGATATGGCCCCAGGGGGGTTGTGGATGGCTAGTGTAGTGTATACTGTAGACATACCTGTCGATAGTTTATCATCTATGTATGTGTTGTGGGTTGGATTGTTGTTTCTATGATATGGGGGTATTGTTAGGGATATATTGGAGTTAATATACTTGAAGAGACTATCATGACCCTGTCGTGAGATCCGTCTCGATATATATGTCCTCAGCAGAGAAGTTTAAAATTAATTCACTGTACAAATGGGTATTATACGATTTACTTGCACTTTAGTGCTATCAGACATAGAAGGCAGCAATATATCTGGTCATATAGTAACTTGTATCAAAAACCGTCGAACGTGTCTTATTGACCAAGGTCGACAAGCCGGGATGAAGGTACAGTACCACCCCCATCCAATATTCCAACGCGACTGAATCAGATTAGTGCCAGGTATACAGTTTCACCCTTCCTCAATCCTTCCAGTGATTGCTGTGATTGTCGCCTCATATTTGCCGTCACTTCATTTGATCTATGGTCCGGTTCAATTGATCGCCTGTCGGGTACAGCTCCCAATATTGCTTCCCAGACGACGAAGAGATAACAAGTCAATTACCATCCAACCAATAAACAACCCTGGAAGACCAAAGGCCATTACAAATCCAACAAAAACCACTGGCCTGACTCGGGAACCCATGATCCGCGGACCCCGAGGCCCCCGTCTTGGCTTATCTTACTCTAGGCTTAGTGTCCAAGCAGATCTATATAGCTCAGACGGTCTATACAAAGGAAACCCCAATTACCCAATTACCCAAATCACAATTCTACCAAATCCAAGATACCAAGATGAACTCAACCCTGATATCCCACAACTACCACCCCCCATCAATCTCCCTCCCCCATTACACCCCCAACGAAAGCAGCGTGCTATCCCTAATCACCCAATTCGGACTCCAATGGCTCTTCACACTATGCGTCGCGTACACCCTCATCAGCCGTCTACGACCAACAGCCAGCCCATCCGATCGAATTGCCTTTACCTGGATGTGTTTGAGTATGCATCCATCCTGACAGCTATCCCCCAGCCCAACCCAAACCACCACCTCAAATGGCTTCTGACTATCACCAGCGGGATTCATCCACCTCTTCTTCGAAGCCCACTTCGTCATAACCCATAAAACTCTAGCCGGCGACCAAACCCTCTTTTCCCAGCTGTGGAAGGAATACTCGCTTTCCGATTCGCGCTATTTGACTTCTGATGCTTTTTTGCTTGCTATGGAGGCTGTGACGGCGGTATGTGGGATTCCTCGATTGGATGGTACTTCGCTGCCAATTTATTTATCTAACATTATGTGGAAAATGGCCTTGTCTTGATTCCCATTTTTCTTTCCTTTTTTCTTTTTATTCTTTCCGCGTGAGAGACATGCTAACGAGTATTCCTTTTTCCCTTCTGGTTCAGTTCGCATGGGGTCCCTTGGCTTTCGGAATCGCTTATTGTATCGCCGTTCAACATCCACTTCGACACGCTTTGCAGATTGTCGTTTCGACGGGTCAGGTTTACGGGGATGTGCTTTACTATGCTACCAGTTTGCTGGATGAATCGTATTGTCGACCGGAGGGGTATTACTTTTGGTTTTATTATTTCTTTTTCAATTTCATTTGGATGGTTGTTGGGTGTTGTGAGTATTCCATGGTTGCTGCATGATGTGCTTGTTTGGGTGGCTGGTTACTGACGGGGTTCAGATTATGTTTGGGATAGTGTTGTTGCTATTTGGGGTGGGTTTGAGAAGCTTCAGAGGCTTGAGAGGGAGAGGAAAGAGGAGTGAGGGTATCGTGGGGTTGCTGAGGGGGGAGGGATGGGCGTTCTGGAGGAGAATGGGTGATGTTTCCTTTTAGAGGGGAGGTGGTTGGCTTTTGAGATAAATCTTGTGCCACTCTATTCAGATGTTGGGAGACACTTGTATCTTGGTATGTCTTGTGCTGGGGAAGACCAATTCTACGGCTTCATCGACGGTACAATCCAAAAAAAAAAATCATGTATAACATACACGTACAGTGAATATGTACAATATAGATCCATGCAGGCCAGAAATGATATCACCTCGTAGGACAGCAAGATAATGAGCAACCCAACCTGCAGACGTTGAATCGAGCAACAGAGATGCCGAAGAGACAATCAAGGAAAAATGGTATTTTCAATAAAGACGCCCGAACGATCCGGGGATGCACGATAGAGACACAAAGCATAGGTGGTTTTCGTAGAGCCAGCAAGAAAACAGAAAAAAAAAAAACATAATGAAACAGTCACGGAGAGGAGAAGGGAATAGGGAGGTTAGCCAGTTTATTCTCTGGCCGGGTTGATACTGGTCGACTGCAAGGCATCGGGAAGCTTGACTGGTGTCCTTGGGACTGCCTCTAGCTTCTTGATCTTCTCGCCCTTCAGAACTTGTTCCATTTCCTCCTTTGTCAGCGTTTCATACTCGATCAGCGCCTTGGTAAGGAGCTCAAGTTCGTTGCGCTTCTCGGTTAGGATAGTTGTTGCGCGATCACGGGCTTCCTCTACAAGTCGGCGCACTTCGCCCTCAATTTCTTGCTTAGTTTCGGATGATAGACTGTCGTAGTTGGTTGAGAGATCGACGTTGCCCAGTTTCTTGGAATATCCGAATCGGGTGATAAGCGTAAATGCAGTCTCGGTGGCGCTTTGGATGTCCTAGGAGACGTTAGTATTTGACGCTTGAATAGTAGGATGCAAAGAAACTTACAGCCGAGATACCACTAGTGACATTGTCGTGGCCGAAAACCAGCTCCTCGGCAGCCTTACCACCCATCGAGACGGCAATATCTGCCAAGTATTCGGTGTAATTCCTGGAGACCGTGTCCATCTCCGGCAAGAAGTGGGTGATACCCAGAGCCATACCGCGGGGAACAATGGTAATTTTGTAAAGGGGAGTAGAAGAAGAGGTGAAGTGAGCAACCAGGGCGTGACCGGCCTCGTGGTAAGCAGTCAAAAGTTTGTCCTTGTCTTGGATGATACGGCTGCGAGCCTCGGCACCCATCATGATCTTGTCCTTAGCGTGATCAAAGTCGAACGAGCCAACCTTGCTCTTGCGGTCACGACTGGCGTGAATTGCAGCCTGGTTAACCAGGTTCTCCAGGTCGGCACCAGAGAAGCCGGGAGTACCACGCGCAATAACACCAATGTCGACATCAGGACCAAATTGAATCTCCTTCATGTGATGTCTCAGAATGTCCATACGACCACGGACATCAGGCAAATCGACGACGACCTTGCGGTCAAATCGACCAGGGCGAGTCAAGGCCTTGTCCAGCAGCTGAGGGTAGTTGGTAGCACCAATGATGATGACACCACTGCTCTGAGAGAATCCGTCAAGTTCAGTGAGAAGCTGGTTGAGTGTCTGCTTCACATAGGCAGCATCGCGCTCATTTCGCTTGGCACCTATCGCATCCAGTTCATCGATGAAGATAATAGCGGGAGACTTGCCACGAGCCTGAGCAAATAGATCACGAACTCGCTTGGCACCGACTCCAACGTAGACCTCGTCGAATTCAGATCCAGACATGTAGAAGAACGGAACACCTGCTTCGCCGGCAACAGCACGCGCAAGCAGGGTTTTACCAGTACCGGGAGGACCGACCAGGAGAACACCCTTGGGAAGCTTACCACCGAGGGAAGAGAAACGTTCCGGGTTGATGAGGAATTCCACGAGTTCTTGCAGCTCATCCTTAGCCTCGTCACAGCCGTGCACGTCAGTGAAGCGTGCGGTCTGCTGTTCGGGCTGGGCTTCCTTGTCCTGGGCGCCACGGACGTTCTTCAAAACGCCAGTAGTTTCAACCAGGATAGTGACCGTAACCAGAGAGATGTAAGTGAAGAAACCGAAGATGAGCAAAAATTTGACCCAGCGGAACACAGTGCTTCCCAAAGACTCATCAACCACGACGTAGAGAGGAGCCTCCTTCGCACCGGTGCCGTTCTGCCGAGTGGACATTCCGATTTGACTGCCAGTGCTCCGAGCGGCGACTGCTTGGCCAACCGCCTGGAGCTGTTCTGGGGTAAGGTTTCCGTGTTGTCCGGCGAAAGCTCCGTCGCCACCGATGCGTGCTTGAGCCTGCTGGAGCAACAAATCGGTTGCGCCGTCGCTAGCATAGTACCCACTTCGGTGTCGCTCGAGAACGATTGCGGGCATGTTGGCACGGAGCAGGGCCTGGTAGAAAGCATTTTGGGCACTGGTGTTGCTGGGACTGTTGTTCGCGATCTTCTCCTTCTGAGCTAGCATATAGTGCGATGATCCTCCGGACCCTCCGAACAGAGATCGTTGCTGCTGGATCTTGGAGACACCATTGAGTTTCGGGACAGGGCGTTGAGATACGAGACGGAAGGGGGACAGAGTCGAATAGGAACGAGCACCGGGGAGAGTATGAGTAGGCGCAAAGGATGCGGACCGGATTGAACTGTCTATGGCAGATTATCCAGTGTTAGAGCAGCTGACATGTGTAACAAATTTTGATAGAGGAGGCCAACATACTTGTGCTCAACAGTGAAGACCATGCACGTTGCGCGGGCCGGCCAATGACCTCCGCTCTCAACGTGTTAATGGAAGCGGTCTCCAGGCAATCTGGCAGCGCAACACGCTGAGAGGACTACATCCATCAGTATTTAGAACATAATAACACAGGCCAGAGGTTAGCCATACCACCACATTCTCTTGTCCGGCATAGCTCCGCTGGAAAGGCTCGCTGACGTGGGCCGTCGGAGTTCGACCGGTCTGTCTGAAGGGAGCGGCTAGGATGTTAGACATTGAAGGCCAGAGCTCCGATGTCACAGCCGCAATATTCTGAGAGTAAATAGCTGTCATTAGCAGGATATTCGCAATGGACGTGAGCAGCACATACGGGGATCGGGGCTTGGAAAGCCATGACTGTCCGATGTACAGCGGCGCTCGGCCGTGTGCGAAGATGAGGGTCTGCTCCCCTGAGTCAAATGTAGAAAGTGGAAATCTGTTAGACTCTAATAAGAGAGCATGCCATCGTTGACGAAATAGCTGGATGATGACTGTTTGATGCGGCGAAAGGCCATTGCCACAGTGCCCCAATCGGACTCCGTAGCGATCACGTGGAGGTCCATTATAGCCCTCGACCAACCACGTCATCTTTGATATAGCTTCGAAAGAGTTGTATTTGAGCTTTCACTTGCTTACGCTTTCCTGTCAATTGACGACTCGTATTCAAAGAGTGAGGGCAAAAGACGTGCCAAACAGGTGTTTTCGCAAAGACACGACAAATGAGCTGAGTCGGAAGTTCGGAAACCTGAACTTGACGTTCTCAACCTCTTTGTTTCACGCACTATGTGATGTTGTCCTGTCTTTGGATCGTCAAATTCTCTCAAATACTATGAGCTCTTTCCTCCATGGCTATATCCAAGAGGCTCTCCTTGCCCCGTGCCTGCTCAATCACAGTACCACGAGAGTATTGGAAGCGTACCCTTAATACACAATTTTGATCTTATTTGATTATCGTTTGCACCTCATTTTTAGCCTATTTTGGAGTGCTTGATGATATCACTACAATGACTCAAAGGAAGATCTTCTTGGTGGGATCGCCTCTTTTCAGTAGCCTCAACTGGGACCCCGATGAGCTTCTCAACAAGCCCATATATCCCTTCGAAGAAACCCAGGCTCAACCTCGACTAACTGTGAATGAACCTCACCAAACCAAATGGAGAGCACTGCCATCAACCTACGACTATAATGTTCCCTACCAGGAACATGTGGACCCGTCCTTTTTTGTCTCCGATCAGCTGGATATTGCACCGAATGCCGACCTCTCCAGATTTTACCGGCATTCCTTTCTGGTTCATGAAACCTCGGAAATATCTGCTTCAGACTTGGAGATAGCAGACTCGACGCAGGAGAGCAGTTTGGGGGAGGACAGTGTGACTATATCTACGTATGACAAAGAAGTCCCGAGGTCACCTCGCATACTTCGCATCCCTGGACCCCTCCGCGATCTGCACGACCTGCCTACAGCGAAGTACATCCAATCCATTGCACCACAGACTATGACGGTGAACCTGATTGTGGGGGTCCTGGCCGCCCATCCCCCACGCCGCGTGGTAACACGGCAATGGAAGACCGAATTGGACATTGTCGAGCTCGTCGTTGCCGATGAGACCAAGACAGGATTCGGAGTCAGCTTCTGGATCAAGCCCGAGAAAATATCTGCCAATGCCAACCCCAGTGATGTACAACTGGCTCGATCACTGGCCGATCTGCGACCCCGCGATATTGTCCTCCTGCGTAATGTTGGACTGAGCACATTCCAACTGCAGGTATACGGACAGAGTCTGCGCAGAGGGATGACCACTGTTGAGCTCTTGCACCGACAGGCAGTAGACACGACGGATGCAGTAGGATTCTATGAGAGCATCCAGAGCAACGTGCAGGATGCTCCACTACAGAAGACTCGCAGAGTACGGGAGTGGATGCTCCAATGGGTGACGGATGCGGCAGGCGGTGGAATGTCTGAAACACGTGGGCGACTGCCTCCGGACACGCAATAAGTTCACGATATATCAAGTTTTAACCGACTTGCTTTCAAGCTTTGCAGTAACTTATAAGCTACGTATATTAATATAATCCTGACTTGAGTCCTGGATCGGATGGAATTCCCAGTTGTCAGGTCTGTGTTCAACAGTGTTCTATGCAATGCACCCCGGGCCTGTCCCCTCTCAAAGCATATCCCTGGACCGTCTCCACCTCAGGGGGCGATACCTCATGACCTTTTTGGAATGAATCTGGGTTGGGGGGTCCGGTCCTAGCCACGCAATAAGATTGGATGTATAGCCCGAGGAGCGAAAAGGCTGAGACCTCCAGACCTCAGGAGATCTATACATGCTGCACACGGAATTCCTCATGCAACATACAACAGTCACACGTGAAAAAAGTATTACAGTAGTCAATAGTCAATGACATGAGAGAGATTTCAAGCATCCCAAGAATGTAAGAACCCCCGAATTCAGAAATCCCCAAGTGAAGCCGTCCACATCTATACACTGAATATGCTTACCCCTTTTCCCGCAAACAGAGCCCCTCCAATCACCGCTCACGTGCCCCCACTTGGACGAAAATAAATCCATCAACGGCCAGGTGTTCCCTAAATACTGAGTCTCTCCTTTTGCTCTGCCTCCACCTACTTTTCTAATTCCATCTTCACTACGCAATTCAATATGAAGGGTATGTCTGTGTACAATGCTTCCCCCGCTGTTCAGCACTGACTTTTTGTAGCTCTCATTCTTGTTGGAGGGTTCGGGACCCGTCTGCGTCCTCTGGTAAGTCGTCGATCTCCCTTCCCATTGACTTCCCCTCCGATCGGAAAAGTTGGGAGGTTGGATGTAGTCTATCATGCTAATGCTATGACTTAGACTCTCACTCTGCCTAAGCCCCTCGTTGAGTTCGGTAACCGTCCTATGATCTTGCACCAAGTCGAGAGCTTGGCCGCTGCAGGTGTCACCGATATTGTTCTTGCTGTCAACTACCGCCCTGATGTTATGGTTGCAGCCCTCAAGAAGTATGAGGAGGAATACGGTGTGAACATTGAGTTCTCTGTGGAGTCTGAACCGCTGGGCACGGCTGGCCCGCTCAAGCTGGCGGAGAAGATCCTGGGCAAGGACGACTCGCCTTTCTTCGTCTTGAACTCCGATGTCATTTGCGACTACCCTTTCAAGGAGCTTGCCGACTTCCACAGCAAGCACGGTGATGAGGGTACCATTGTCGTCACCAAGGTCGACGAGCCCTCCAAGTACGGTGTTGTTGTTCACAAGCCCAACCACGCCTCCCGTATCGACCGCTTCGTCGAGAAGCCTGTCGAGTTCGTTGGAAACCGCATCAACGCTGGTATCTACATTCTCAACCCCAGTGTCCTGAAGCGCATTGAGCTGCGCCCTACCTCGATTGAGCAGGAGACTTTCCCCGCCATCTGTAAGGAGGGTCAGCTTCACTCTTTCGACCTGGAAGGCTTCTGGATGGACGTTGGTCAGCCCAAGGATTTCTTGACTGGTACCTGTCTGTACCTCACTTCCCTGGCTAAGCGCAACCCCAAGCTTCTTGCCCCGCATTCCGAGTCGTACGTGCACGGTGGCAATGTCATGGTCGATCCCTCTGCCAAGATCGGCAAGAACTGCCGCATCGGCCCTAACGTTGTCATTGGTCCTAACGTCGTGATCGGTGATGGTGTCCGTCTGCAGCGCTGTGTCGTGATGGAGAACTGCAAGGTCAAGGACCATGCCTGGATCAAGTCCACCATTGTTGGCTGGAACAGCTCCGTTGGCCGCTGGGCTCGTCTTGAGAACGTCACTGTTCTCGGAGACGATGTCACTATCGCCGACGAGATCTATGTTAACGGTGGCTCGGTTCTGCCCCACAAGAGCATCAAGCAGAATATTGATGGTAAGTCTTGGCACTGGCATATATTCACACCTTATCTAACCTTATTTCTAGTTCCTGCGATCATCATGTAATTTCTCCCCTTCAATCACGTCGCTATGCCCTAAATACCTCCCCTCATCCTCCCTTCAACCCTTCTGCCGATACCACCCTTTCCGCCTCGATGCATAGAACCGGAGTCGTTTCCTGCGTTATCTTCTCTTCTGTTGCCGTTGTCGGCTTGCCTTTTCTCCGTTGGCGCTCGCCGCCCTCGCACTATCCTTCCTTTCGTCTCCCGATGATCGATACCTTCAGAAACCTAGATGGTGGAAGCCTGCGATATCGGCTGTTTTTTGCAAGAAATTACCCCTTTTAGTCTTGTCTCTCTCTCTTTTCTTTTTTCTTCTTCTGTCAACATGTTCTAAGCTATCCCCGTTTTATTGCAACATATTGAGGTTTCATCACATTCCCGCTTCCTTGCGTTGTTGACCACACATTTGTTCTTTTCCAATTCTTCTTTTCTCTCTGCGGGTTTTTAGCAATTGGTGGGCAAGGAAATCATGCCATATCTGTTTTAATGAGATCATGGGCGTGGGCGGGTTCTGTTGATGTACATAATGGAAGGTGGATGTCGAAGCAAAAAAAAACATGCAACTCCTTCTTTACACTTGATTGTATTTCGTATGGAGTATTGTATTCTCATTGCTTGTAGTGTGATATGCCTTGTAGATAAGTACTCAGTACTATAAAAGTATTGGACTTGTTGTATTAACTAATGTGTATCTAATTACTTGTGGAGATAACTATAGTATCTCATCAACTGTTCTGCAAAGAAGAAGTCCTTCTCTGCCCACCTCTTTTCGTGTCCAGGCCAGTACAGTCGTCTAGGAGCTACCCTCAGCTTGATCAAGGATATCATCCCATTGAACACGCAGCTCCTCCATCTGCTTCCAACATTGGCGCCCGAGGTCCTCAAACTCCTCCTTCTGCTCCGGAGTCAAGTCCATGGCGCCACGCTTACGACGCCGGGTCCGATCACTCTCACTGGCGAACTTCCCAACAACACCACCATGCCCCCACCCATCAAGTTCAGTAGAAGCAATACTATCGACCCCAGAGCGCGTACAAGACGAGCCCCATTTCACACGACCACCATTGGCCAGGTGATACGGCGCTTCAGCAGCGTCAACCTCATCCTGCGTCCGAAGCGCAAGGAAAACAGGCGCACAAGCACCAAGATAAGTCGAGAGGTTATGCCACGGCGAACCCAGCATACGCGCAACCCAGAAAGCAATAACCATACAATAAACAAGTGGGAGGGGAAGAGGGATAATAGCCGTAGCACAGATCCCAGGATGGGCAAGATAGGAGCGCGGCTCAGCAGTAGGCGGCTCGGTATGAATAGCATGCGTTTCAACCTCGGTGTCCGACTGCAAGAATCCATCTACCGCCCACGGCGTCGTCCCCTTCAAATCCGATGTCAAAGCCAGGATATCGGTAAGAGCCTTGGAAGATTCGTACGGACAAGTCGACTTCAACGCCTGGATATCATCCACCTTGAACATCTTTGTCGTAGCTTCGATACTGGAAACCCAGATTACACGGCCGGGTCCGTGAATGCGCGCGCGCTTCAGCAGCGGCGTCACGTTATGCGCCAGCATGTAATGGCCAAATACATTTGCGCAGAAGACAGCACCAAGAGGTGGTTCTTCAGGGAGACTTGTTTGCTTGTCGGTGAGGATGCCGACAGGTGCGACTTTGTACGACGGCCATGTTACTTGGTGGACTAGGTCGGTGCACACGCCCCAGATTGCGGCGGGCCAGTCGATTCCAGACCACCCTCCCAGACCGGCGTTGAGGACTATTGAGTCGAGTCTTGGGAGGGTGCGGATTAATTTGCGGGATAGTTCGCGCACTGAGAGGAGGTTGCCGAGGTCGACGCTTTCGTTTCTGAAGTGTACGCGTGGGGTGGCGGAGGAAGAGGGTGCGCGTGATCGCAGGTGGGCTTCCAGTCTGCGCCGGGTGTCTTCTGCTTTGCGTGTGCTTCGGGTCGTGAAGATAATTGTGAGGTATTGGGATTTTGGGCTTGAAGCGAGGAATTCATCGGCCAGGCGGCAGCAAATGGAGAATCCGAGGCCACTGAGAGCGGGTTAAGGCTTGACCTTTGGATTGGAAATTTCAATTGGGAGGTTACCTGTTGGCTCCTGTTACCAGGATATACAGCATGTCTGCTGTCTCTCCAGAGGTCTCGTTATCCATGTTTTGATATATTTTGAGTGTTCGTACTTTTTTTTTTATCGCGGAGATAGGGGGGCAGGTGATAATCCTCAATTGAAGATGGTTCAGCGGCCCAAAAGTAGCGTATGAGTTGGTAGTAGATGCGGTATGTGAGAAAAAGATGGATTCAGCGTTGAACTGGTAACACCATCCAGGGAAAGCAACGACTTCGTTCCAGGAAACCCCAGGGGTTTGTATAACAATATGCAACACGTGACCTTATCCTTATCGCAGTTGCGGAAATGTTGTGTTTCGTCATTCTCTCCTTCGATTCATCGCATGAGGTCTGTTGAATCTACCTGCCGTGCATTCGGCGCGTGGCTATGGCAGTCAAACTCGAACGATTTCTGAACACGACTGGGTTCTTCTTCTTCGCGCTCATCCTCTTCTGTCTGATCCTCCTTACCCCCGCAGATGCCATCTACCAATGTTACGAGACAAACCGACTTACCAACATCTTCTTCATCACTGGCGCATACGTAATTACCTTTTTTCTTGCAGTCCTCATCTATGCGACGCGCATCTACACGAATCGCAACACACTCACGTCAATCCCGAAAGCCTGGATACCCGTGGAGAAGGAAGACGTGAATAGGAGCGTCAGACGACTGGTCAAAGAAGGCCTCGCCCGTAGCGCGGTGATCGCGTATCAGGCACATCCTCGTGATGTCACAGCCGACGAAGACAATTTTCAAAAACACAAAGAGCTTCTGATTAATTTTGAACGGCCCCCGTGGGGCAATGTCGAGCACCCCGGCTGGTCGTCACCTGCCTCACCAGACCTGCCGGATCTACCATATCGTACGGTTATTCAGGAATTACCTAGCTTGATTGAAGCGAAGGCTGTCTCTCTTGCTCCCTCCGATACATTTTCACCTGTGGCCCATGACCCCTTCGGTCCATCGGGCGATCTTACGACGCACTCTCTTCCAGATACGCGTGTGGTGGAGGTGCTGCAACGTCCCGCCTCCATGGGACTGAGGGAGTATATTCGCTACCTCACTTCCCTGGGAGCTATTTATCCCCCCGAACTTGGTGCGGAATTTCTCGCGCTGTACGAACATGCGCGATTCTCACCGCGGGATCTGCATGAAGCGGAATTTCGCGATCTGATGCATCTGTTTGCTGAGATCCTGCGAGGCATGACTACTATTGCACCGCCGATTTTGGACGAGATATATGACAGCGTCAGTTACCGACAAGCCTACACTGACTCTGTCATCGGACCCTCAGATGAAGAGGGCGAAACAGATACTGTCGACAATTCTGAGTACGACCGGTCTTCAGGTCCAATGCGCAGCAACAGCCTCCGCCCATCCAATGCGTCCACATGGGAGACCCAGTCTGGGTATGACACTGCACCCGCAACGCTAAGTCCTGCCTCTGGGATGTCAATCCAAGGTGGTTACATGGGACAAGGGCCTTTTCGCACACCTTCCACGAGGTCCCTCCGACGGGTACAATCGGGTCAGTCTGGCAGCTCGGCGGGTAGTGTTATTCGCCTAACACAGCCGCGGAACCCTACAGACCTACCATATACCATTGACTACGCTGGACGTAGGCAGTGACGATATCCTATTCATGACCTGTATATTAGTTTATAGAACCCGGCAAGTGGACGGCATTTGACCGGAAAATGTGGGGGCTTAGTCATACGGAAAACATTCCGATGCTTGGCAAAAGCTGCAAAATGATTGATAAGATCACAGTACCATACGCGTCATTGCAAGCTCTTTCTTCTCCTTTCTTAACTTGTGCTCCCTGCTCTGTAAAAATGCATCTCTTCCGCCGAGGGACATCCTCTCTCTTCAACTCCTCGAATGTCTCCCTTGCCTCCTCCAAGACCGATGCCACCACCGACGCCGTGGGTGACAATGCCCTCGCCGCCGAGGGCTTCCAGAAAGTCGCATCCAGCGACAAACTCTTCAAAACTGTGGACCCAGCTGTAGATGGAGACGACTGCTTGCACGATTGTGCTACGTGCACGGTCAAGTACCCCGCAAAATTCGATGTCGATCACCAAGACGAACTATATGGACAGGTCAACGGGTGGGCAACACATTTGCTCGTCGCAACCGGCAAATCAGATTGGGTCAGGGATGTGGCAGATGAGGAGGGAAGTGTCATGGAAGCAATTGAGAAGGGAGGACTGGAACCGAGCAATGGGGTACGAAGAACCGTCAGGCCGCTGGAAGCTCTGGCTCTTGCCAGAGCCCGAGCTCACAGCCCATCACCCACCGTACATAGCACCGACTAACAACGACCAAACAGAGACTCAAGCTATCAGCGTCGAACATGCCCGTCCCAGACGAATACCATTTTGAAGAAAAAGGGAAGCAAGCAACCAACGTCCTCCTCCTGCCCAGCTTCACGGTCGTAGAGCACGTCACGCCGCAATTGGTTCCAGACCTAATTGAGAACTTTGTCAACAAAGCCTTGACTACCACATCACCCCTAGGCGGCGCATCACTCGCATTATCGCCTCCGCCCTCCCCGGACAGCTCATCCGAACAACCGGACTCAACCAAGCTGCCGCACCCATCCACCACATCCATCTCGTCCCTCGCATCCCACCCTAGCCCACACGCAGCCGTTATTCTGCTCTGCTCGCAACGCACGCGCGACGCCCGCTGTGGCCAGTCCGCACCGCTCCTCCGAAAGGAGTTCGAGCGTCACTTGCGACCGCTCGGGCTGTACCGCGACATGGACGACCAGAGACCTGGCGGTGTGGGCATCTACTTCATCAGTCATGTTGGTGGACATAAATACTCTGCCAATGTGATTGTCTACCGGCGCCGAGACTTTGACTGGTACAAGCGGGAGCCGGTTGAGGGTGTGGATGGTGAGGATGAGGGTGCTGCGCAGGGCATCTGGCTTGCTCGTGTGCGCCCTGAGGAATGTGAGAATATCATCAAGTATACTGTTCTGCAGGGTAAATTGCTCAAGCCTGACTCGCAGTTGCGGGCTGGGTTTGATCGAGAGCGTGGTGTGACGAGTTGGTAAGGTTATTTATGTTGATATTCATGCTCATGGACATGGGCTTGTTCCTGTTGATGTCGTGTATATCTTGATCTATACATCAGACATAGCTTCCAAGCATTCATTTCCCATCACCGCATCTTCTCCATTCGGGTCTTTTGCCCCAATTCAGAACCAGAGTCAGAATCCCTCTCGCCTGACAGATCAACCCGGCATTTCCGGCATTGAGACGCGAGCAGTAGAGAAATAGAAGATGTAAGCCCACAGCATTGCAGCTGGTCCCAAAGTCCAGCCAAGCCACAACACCGCTTATGCCCAGCTGTGCCCAGCTATGCCGTCAAACCTACGCTGGACTTGTTCACTCCATGAGCACAGCTCCGATAGTTTAGACACCATCCCCATCTCCATCCACCACGAGAATCATGCCATACAGGATTGAACTAGCGCCCCCCTCCGCGACTCCGATTCACTCTCCCCTTCCATGCACCCCACAAACCAAGACACGGTGAAGCCACCCATCACGCAAGGAGACAATACTGAGCCGTGCTATCGCCACGTTAGTCGTTGGGGTGCATGCGTACCCGACTGCCGAGCCGGCCCTGCATGGGGATAACAATGAAGCCATTTTCCCATTTTCCCATTTTTAGAGAGAAATCGTCATAGCTGCACGTCTACTCTGGAAGTGATCAGAACTAGTAAGGAAGGGGGGCGTCAGATGACGGAAAGGGGCATGGAATCACCAAGCCCATCAGCCGCCCATTAGCCATCAGCCATCCGCCATCAGCCTTTTCGGACCTTTGGGGGATCCACTGGGCTTGGAACTGGAGTAACGTGAGACGGTGATTGCTCAGGATAGAGATGGGTTCCAGGCTGTTAGGGTTGGTTTTTCACTCGGTCTGCCCCATCTTGGACTATAACTTACAATATTTGAGTCAGAGGATGACGTGGTTTGGGGATGGCATTGTGTGGTATTCTGGTAACTTATTTTTTTTTCGGTATTGGGCGTTTGGAAGGCTTTGGTTTTTGGAACGTTTGCGGGGTTTTGGCTGCGGGGTTTGGTTGGCAGTGAACTTACTCTGTACTCTATACTGTAGAAAGTGAAGGGTTGGGGGTTGGAATGGTGACTCGTATGCAGCAAGGAGGCGTACCCAAGAAAGGACTGGCTTTGGTGTTGAGAGGGATAGGGATAGGGTGGGTTTGCGTCGCTTGCTTTTTTGGCTTCTCTGACTCTATCTAAACGAACAAAAAGCTCGAATAGACAGCCAATGTCTGCAAGGGGCGAAAATTGGTGGCTTGTTGGACCTCAGCCCCAAGACCCTGTCGTGTCTTCTGGCGACTGATAGGAGGAAGGACTGCTGACCGACACTTTGAGAGACGCCTAACCGATGAGTAAATTCCATGGATTTTATTTCCGTGACAATGCTACAGTACAAGAGATTGTCCCTAGATAGTCCATAGATCGTCCCGCTTAATCTATATGAACCGAGAACATCAACCTCCGATCACCAGTCAAGGAGAGCCTAATGAGCATTCTCCGACCTCTGTTTGGTGAAGCAGAAGCCATTGACACAATCGCCCAGTCAGCTGGCTCACTCAGCCTGGGTGATAGTCGTCCGGAGCTCACATTAGTGCCGTCGCCATGCGCGCGTCGGAGATTAATTTCGGAACATGTGGGAAAGATAGTTCCATGTCAGCTATTCTGATGTTCTCTTTGGCTAGGAAATATCTCCCTGCTTCACATGAAGGACAGGGGGGAGGGGAAGCCGGGTATCAACCTGGAACTATAGCGTGACATATGTTTTTTCCGCAATCTTGAAATGTATATTCTACTTGATACTTTCATGAAATATATCCGAATCACTCCAGTCAGCCCAAAATGTGGGGTAGAGAGAAGAGGAGGAGCTTGCCTTGGGAACTCTATTGTCCTCCAGGGCTGCAGGTTCACAGCTTAGAAAGCCAAAAGCCTCAACTGACTGCCCAGGTGTGCACATGTACCAGTCGTAACTTGCCCGTAAACGAGTCGAGCTTTCGCTCATTGGACATTTGACCTCGGATCCTTATTTGGAGACCAACTCTCCATGGCCAGCAAAAGCCCCCAAATAAAACTCCCTAGTATTTTTCTAGCTGCCTGGGACAAGGTGGATTCATCTCTACGCACACTTGTATAGTACATATGCACCGCAAGACACAAGGATCTGTAACCGATTCTCTACAATTCCATCATACCTGCACACCGGTTTTCTCTTGCATCCGCGTCAAGCTCGGCAGCCACATCCATATCCACATCCCACTGATTCCAATGGACTCATTTTCCCTATCTACATACATGAATATATGCAAGATAGATGCATCAATATCAGGGTCAGTCTCAGTGGCCCAGACTTAGCCGAGCTATGTCATATACCGAGGTGATTGACATGGCCTGCGAAATGAGGACCGTTTCAACTAGCGTGCACTCTAGTAAGCAGGCCCGATAGAGCTGCAGTTTATCTCTCATGGATCAGCAGATTGGAATCTCACACCTCTACTTGACGGGATTCACCTCCAAAGTTTTTCCAGTGTCCATCACAGCGCGTCGGCGAGATTCTGGGCCCTAAACTTGAGAGCTAGAAAGGGAGGGGGGCCGACGATGGCCGGGCTGTGCAAGCTAGATTGTACAGTAGTCTCGAGTTTCATTTCCATCCTCCATCCTCGAATTATTATTATTTGATTTCTCATCTAGTCGAATCTAGTCTCTTTTTTCCTTTGCTTTCATTTCTTTTTTGTTTCTTGTTTTACTTCCGGGATATGTCCGATGAGCTCAATGGCTGATGTGGGCTGCATCCATCGCTTCACTGGAAGGTTTCGTGTCGCCTTCGAAAAGGACTGCACATGCTTTTTTTCCCCCTTCCACCTCGTACAGAGTGTACATCATCCAGTTGGGTTTAGATCGTCCGGAGGGCTTGATTGGATCTTGAAACCGTGATCGCCGCTCCAAACTGTGGCAGTGAGGATCGAACAGGCAGGCCTCTCGGGAAAGTTGTCGAAGTAGACCAGTCGATCACGAAAAAGGCAGCGGAGCCTTAGGCCACTGGTGCACGCGGATTGTCCACCTCCCTCATTTTGCAATGCTCGTGGCGTCTTCTCGACATCGGGTTAATAAGGTTGTGCGATCAGACGATCGCAGTTTAAGATTGTCCTAGTGGATCGCCACGTTCAGGAGATACCAAAGCGCTTTCTCTGGCTAAATATAAATCTTCGTCTTATGGATGGTAGCTGATTTGCTTGGGCAGTTCAGCCCATGACGATAAAACGGTCAATATATGAGCATATCTCGGGTTCTCACCGCATGGTTGATCACCGGTATCTCCAGTGAGCCCACTTGGGTAGCCTATCCCGGGCCAACCGAGGTTATCCGAACACTTGTGAATGCGATATCTTAGTCTATGATTCCGACTTACATATGGTTTGCCACACACACAAGGTATAGTACATTGCTCTGTAGTATGAAAGAGAAATCGAAGAAAAATACAGTCGAAAGAATAAAAAGAAAAGGCCCCAAAAAAAGGTAGTATGCGTTTGGTTTCTGCCTGACCTTCCAAACAGAGACTTGAAGTGTGGCGGCAGGACTTGGACGCAACCTAGTGTTGCCACCTATGTCGTTGGAACGAAAAAGCAAATAAGATTGCTGGACGTTATACGGTGAAGAAGAAACGCCCCTTGTTCTCACCACCCAGAGATGTGGCACTCTAGTGTAGTGTGCATGATCAACGAATGAAATTCCCGAGAGTATATCGAGTTGAAAGTCTAACACGCTTTCCACTTTTCATTTGAACTAGACACACAGAGAGACTGCAGCCAGACAGGCAGATGTGTATACCCTGTAGATCTGTGGATGTATAACATTTCATCTCCGCGGCATTTGTATAGACTGTGGAGAGAGACGGGAACAGCCCCAACCTTATGGCAGAGGGCGGACCCGGAGCCCTAGACAGGTTCGGGGTGGACGAGCAAGCCGTTCCCGTGAAATGGGAAGCTGGGGTACCTGATCCTTTCCCGAGTTCATTACTCCGAGTCTACTCCGGAGCTGCAGAGTGATGCCGCGTCATAGGACATCCCTTGCAGCTGTTCCGCTCTTGTTGTCTGGGGGTGTTGATGATTTGCTCCTTCTTCTGGGGGGAGGGGAGAGGAGGGGGAGGGGAGGGAACGGATTTTATTTTTATTTTCGTTTTCGCCTTTGATATACCTGTAATTTCCTTTTCTCTTTACCTTTTCCCCTTCGGTCATAGTTTATAGTTTGGGTCGGAAGTGATGGGAGAAATTACTAGATGCTATACATCCCCATCGAAGTAACTTCAGTTCTAACGTGAAGTGATATGATATCATGTCCTAGCCATGTCCTAGTCAGGTATAGACCCATCCTCTCACCGAACTAAGAAAAAGCCGGATGTGAGTGGTCAAGTCAGAATATCCCAAGGGGCTCGTATTGTATGGTAATGTGGGGGTTTACCACTAAAAATAAATTACCCCTCTTAATTTCCTTTTTTTTTCTTTTTATTTTCTTTTTATTTTCTAATTTATTTTTTTCAGTTCTGTTTTTTAATTACTTAATTACTGAATTACTTGACTTGGTTACTTGGATTACTTTATTACTTTATTACTTTACTGGACTTTGCTATTTTCTTTTTTACCAATTTACTGGTTTTACGAATTTACGAATTTACCTTACTTAGTACCCTGTACTTCTTATATACGGTATCCTCCGCGCCGTTTTTTCCCTTCTCAGAATCTCTCCAGATTGAGGCTCCCCCCTCTCGTATATTCCTATATTATGCGGGTTCGACACATCCCGGCTATCCATCCTACTTGATTAGGATTCTCTTTTCTTTCCCCCCTCCCCTCTGATATTCCTCTACACGTCTTCTTCTCCCATCATGGCTCCCGGTAGTGGCCGCGATTTTAACTGTTCATGGGGAGAATGTAACAAGGTGAGTCCTGCTGACTGAAGACCTTTCATCTTTCCCCTCCCCCTAACTCCCTTAGTCGTTCAATCGCAAGTCCGATCTCTGTCGACATTATCGCATTCACACCAATGAACGGCCTTATCAGTGCACTGTCGAAGAGTGCAATAAGAGTTTCATTCAGCGTAGTGCCTTGACCGTGCACTCCAGAACCCACACGGGTGAAAAGCCCCACGTTTGTGACCATGAAGGCTGTCAGAAAGCATTTTCAGATGTAAGAGCCTGGCCACCTGGGACTAGCACCAGCGCATTTACATTTACTGACATTGATTGCAGTCCTCGAGTCTGGCTCGCCATCGCCGCATCCACACGGGCAAGCGGCCGTATATTTGCCAAGAGCCAGATTGTGAACGGAGGTAAGTACGAGGAAAAGCGATGAACGAACACCCCCCGTCTGACTGAAGTAGTTTCTGTCGGAAAACCACGCTCACCAAGCACCAACATCGTTCCCACCCTCCAGGATCCATGAGTCGGCCATCGTCGGAGGATACGGCCTCGGAGAACTCCTACGGCAGCCAAACACCGGTGCCGGTGGCTACGACCATGCCGAACGATCAATACATGCTCGCCCAGCAACCGTTTTATGCGCAATCAGCAACTCCAACCCATGACTACTACTCGCCACAGAGTGTTCCCATGGGTGGAGTGCCAGTCCACGAGGGTGGTCCTCCGATCGTGGCTCAAAGTATTCCTGTGAGCTCACCGATGAGCATGCAACACCCAGCGCATCACCCGCATCACCCGCATCAGCAGCACCAGCACCAGCACCAGCACCAGCACCACCATCATCAGCAGCAACAGTATATGCAGCAAATACTCCAGCAGCAACAGCAGCAACAGCAGCAACAGCAGCAGCAGCAGCATCAGCAACAGCGCTTTGACTCCAATCCGCGCACGAGCTATATCCCGGCGGAGTATCAACAACAGCCCCCACAACAACCCTATCCGGGCCACCAGATGCCGCAAGAACAGCCAATGATGGTTTCGTATCATCCAAACTATGCGTATAAATCCCCAGGCCCCCGGCTCTTGAATCAACCTGAGGGGACTGACTGGGGTTTTCTGGGAGTAGGCTAAGAGGAGACTTTGCATAGACTGATATGCGAAATGCGTGTTTTATGTCCGTCACGACCTGCTATTCATCTTGATCTTGTTATTTCATTCGAAGGACATTCGCATATATGTTCATGTTGGATCGCTCGCACGCTCTCTCTCTCTGTGTCTCATTCTTTTTCTATTCTATTTCTTTCAGGGCGCTGGATTCCCCCTTATGGCCTACTTGATCTTGATCTTCCATACATTGTTTTAAAAGGGAGGAAATGGCGTTGATATTCTGCCTTGATACCTGACATGAACTGTGTCTAATCTTTTTCCCGCTATCTCTTATTATTCCCTATGGATTGGTCGTCTATTTTCACCGAAAGATTTGTTAATTTCTTTTTAACTATTTGCATTTCCATTTCTATTCCGCAAGTCCATCCCGATATTGCCCATGATGATACGAATGCCGAAGCCCATATTTAGATTTTCTTGCACTAGTAGTCTCTCCCAGGAATCTTACTGCGAGGGATCTGCCCCTCTTATTGGCTAGTCCGGAATCCTGCATGGGGTTCTACGTTGGCAATCCCTACAGCCCATCCTCCAGAATTCGCAAGCATCATCTCTTCCTATCCACTTGGCCAGACCGCAGACCGCAGGCACGACACGAGACTACACTAGACACACACTAGACACTACACTAGACACTACACTAGACGCTAGATTTAACGTAGTATCCCCCCAAACAAGCCCCCCACCATTCTATGTATTCCATGCAAAGCAATCTTAGCTGCGTAAAAGTGGATGGCCGACGGCGAAAAATAAACACACACCCGAAAACCAGCAATAATGCAAAGCATGCATGACTCGTGGCTTACTCGTTTCTCTCACCAGTCTTACAGTACAGTCTTCCAGCCTTCCAGCCTTCCAGGCTTCTAGCCTCCGCCTCTAGCCAGAAAGACGAAGATCCTAATTGATTATTCCTATTGGGTTTTGACTTAAACTTTGGAGTCTGTTTGCCTCCCACTTTATGCGCGGTGGCCCCATTTCCTATTTCTCGACTTGAAGCCTTCTCCGAGAGAGCCAAGGGCCAAGAAATGCCAGAAAAGTGCAACCCTGTCTCGCTAACAAAGAGCGCGTTTTTCATTTGTTCCTTTTTTCGCTCCCCTTCTAGACCTGCTCGGCGGCTACCCTGGGCTCTGGGCTTGCATGGGTACCTGATACCTCTGCATTTTATTGTTTTTATTATGGATGGCGTGACTGGAAACGGAAAAAATCATATCCAATTACTTCTGTCGAGTTGGCTTTTTCTTACGTGGGAGTTTGGGGGCGAAATTCAATTTGATGTTGGGAACTGGGGATCGGCCATACAGTAGAATTATTGTGTACTGCATACAGTAGACATAGAGAAGATCACAGATGGTTATGAATGATTTATGCTATTTTTGTTTTGTGTTTTCTGTTTCTTTCTATTTATCTCTCTCTCTTCCAGGGATCATCAGGCAAACATCGCTTTAGGTGGGATGGTCCGCCATCGCCGTCGCAGTCCCTGTCGTATCCCTAGTCATAGTCACATTCACCTTCACCCTCGTCAATTGTCTAGGATTCTCGCTAGCATTCGCTTTGCAATCCCGGTTTGCCGATGCAACCGTAATTTATAATTTTTGCCCTGCTGTTCGAGACATTCAGGTAAGTGCCCTGTCTAGTAGAGTTTATCCCCGTCACTGTCACCACTGTTCCCCTAATCCCGGTTACTGATCACTGATCACCAGGCCGGTTCTTCGTTCGCTACGACATTCGACCCGCTCATAGGCCAGCGTTCCTGTATACCGACTAGTCTATAGTGCTGCAGAGAAACCCTCCGTTGATCACCGATCCACTGTTGCCAGAATGTTGCACTCCATATCACTTCTATCGCCACTCGTCGCGAATCGCACTAATCATGGCCTTTTCTTTATTTGGGTTTCCCACTGTACTCCGTTACTGTCTTCTACCGTACCGTAGCTTGTGGCGAAGAAAAATCAGAAAGGAACAAGATAAGCCGGAACTTTGTGAGACACTGTGGCCATTGTGTGTAGGTTTAGTCTGGTTTGTATACGGGCTCGGGTTGAGGGTTGGTCAGGATTGTAATATGGAGATAGTGATCCCCGATACAAATCCCCATTTCCCTTGCCTTGCTGTATTGGGGTTAAGTCGCGATTTGAAATCCGAATCCGAATCAGAAATCAGAAATCAGAAATCAAATCCAACCCGGGAAAAGGGGGGCGTTCAATGACCCATCACGGCTTATACTAACGCTGCAGCTCAGAACCGGTTTTTTTTTATCGGCCTTCACTACTGTACTGTATGTATACTACAGGCATGAAACACACCAGGCGAATCGGACAACATTTCCGCGACACTGATGCAGCGAATGATCTTCGCATTATTGGCATTGCTTTGGTTTTTATTGTCTTGACTGGAGCTTCGATGTTTCCTTTTTCCACGGGATTGCTGGGAACTGCGAATCACGGCGGGACTCGTCGGATTTGCGGCTGGGCCTGCCGAGACATAGGGTTTTGGATCTGTAGGATGTGTACAGGGGTAAACAGCCTGGGATTGTTCGGTGAGAGTCTACATCGACCATGCAATCATTAATGGTCCTTCACAGACGGGCCTTCGGATGAGTCGGGTTGTCGGCGTGAATTCTCGGACACTAACAAAAAACTACAGAGCACTACAGAGCACTAACAGAGCACTAAGAGAACACTAACCTGCCAGTTGCAGGATGGCAGGATCACAGCCTTCCTACGTAAGTGGACACACTCTGAATTCACGCCCTACAGGATGGGGCTCCCCGCATGCAAGTCACTCATATGAAACGGCAGATCCATGCTGTCCTCGGCGCATACTCCAGACTTGACTTTCTGACACCTGAGCTCGACTCCATAACGTGAAGGTTTTCCGATCTCCGTTCGGCCTTGGAAAGGGTTACCCAATCGCCCTGTCAAATCATAAAGTGGCGTCTGCGAAAAGAGGCCCTGGGACTGAGCCGACAACATACAGTAGTTTTGGATTCCTAGCGAAGATCACTGGATCTGCTTACTGGCTGTCCGTCGGTGTGTTGGGAATCCTGTAGTGCTGAGACTAGTAGACGTACACGCAATCTTGCCCTACAGAACTGCGTACTCCGTACGCCGGCCCTACTCTGAGAAATAACCAACCCCAACATGGCGAGGACAGTACTGTAGAAACCAGACAGTCAACATACCCCCAATGACTCAGGACTAATCAGAAACCCCATGGTCTCATCCACCAGCAAATCACCATTCCCGACCGTAACGGTGAACCGAGGCAGACCAACCCTTTCTGGCCCCCAAGCCAAGCCTGTCTAGTCGCGTAGTTCACCTTCACTTACGTACCTGAAAAAACCCGTCAAACCAATAGTAACCCGCGAAGAGATCAGACTGAAACATAAGACATCAGTTACAGTCCAAGTAAGTTGTAAGTTAATTGTCAGTTAATATGGAGAGTAACATCAGTTGGAGGATTTAGATTAACATCGCTTACAGCGTTCCAGCGTTCCAGAATCCCATAATCTTAGAATCTCAGTACGACGCAACAACTCATCGCCAATCATCGACAATCGTTAATCTCTAACATTATCACCGAACTCCTCCGGACGCCAGACGCGCAACATATGCCCGTTTCAGGTCGATCGCCCGCACGTCCAGCCCCCCCCTCGACACGACATTCAGCTCTCTCCAAGCGAGCTCTCTGTGGGGTTAATGGATCAAGGGTAACTTAACTGTAAAGGATAATGTCAACGATCGAAGGGGGCAGGAGACACCGAGGCCCGGGACCCAGCGGGTCTGGCGCGTCTGAATGGCCAGGAGATATTCTCCTGGCTGGTCCATGCTGGGCCATGCACTATTGTTGGTTTTGTCAAAACTGTCAGGGATGGCCCCTGTTGAAGCGCTGCAGACGGCAGATGAGCGGAGAGGAGATGTGCTCATCTCTATTGTTATTATCGTGACTACGACGGATCTGGCCAGGGTTTGCTGATCAGCGCTGATGATCTTGGTCGAGCTTGCTACTGTACAATCGCCGTACATGTACACCGACACTCTCCAGTGCATTGGCAGTGGACTGGTTGAGCGGTACTGGGGACTGACTGTCACTGCCGACACGATGGATAGACACACCAAGGCATCACGTAGGATCAACTTAGGATGGAATAGGGAGTTTGACTGAGAAAATGACGACAGTGTCTCTGCCACTTTCGTATCTCGGAAATCACGCTTGCCGTGATTTGTTCTTTCCTGTACACTAACTACAGTAGGCGCCGGGCTGTCTAGTTTGCCGCTGGTGTTGGCGCGAGATGGGGAACCTGCACAGCCCATGGTATAGCCTGCCGCGTTTTAATTATGGAGCCCGTTGTCTTCATCTTTTGCGATATTGACTCTAGTTGTTCGAGTGCTGATGTGCTGATGGACATTGCTATCCGTGATTTCAGAGACGGAAGAGGTATGGATGTTGAGAAAGAACAAGGAATACCACCACCATGACTATCCAGTGGCATTTCCCCTACTTACAGTATAAAACCAGTGAAGGACTAAAGTCCGCTCATGTCAGGTATCAAAAGTGATAAAGTTTGGACGAAAGCCGCAAAAGCCGCCAATTGTAAGCTTGGAATCCGATGGAGCTTGGGCCTTGGGGGAGCTTGGGTGTGTATTGGTATTTACCAGATTACCGTGTTCCCGTATTCAATTGCGGAGTGCGCTACTGGACCGTTCCCGGGGATCCACTGGATCCCGGTATTTACACTCTCGATACCAGCATCCTGGTATCCCGTCCTCTCTGGACTCGGTCCATGTTGAGTGTTTTGTGTTTGGTAAAGCCTGTCCAGTGCTCAGCTGTTAGACACTAGTCGAGGTGGATTCTTCCCCCCCCAAGACTGTATACGACCATATTCTTCTTTCGTGCTAGTCCGAACCTGCAGACAAGCTTTGTGGAATGGAGACCACACCGATCACCGCGAGGCCACTGCGCGTTCCCATTCCAGGTCCAGATCCCAAGTCCATGCCTAATTTTGAGACACGCCTGTCTCCGCTCTCTCTGCCATAATCGCTATATTTGCTACATATATCTGAACCAGAAAGGGTTTGCAACCCATACAGTGCCGGAAGGCAACTCCGATACGAGCGATCGACGCCCGCTTATCACTCAGGTCGCCAATGTAGCGGCTCAGCCCGTCCAAGGCCAATTCTGCCGAGCCTGGGAAATTACCAGATCGTGTCGCTCGGCTGTTGAGTGGAGAGAATGCGCAAACTTTGTTTCCACGGGCTTTTGTTTCAACTGTCACTTTTGCTCTACTCTATACTCCCGTATCTGCAGTGTCACCCCCAGCTTCCGAGTTGTGAAGATCAGATCCCGTCCAAATGTCCCCCATTCATCCCATTCATCCCATCTATCCCATCTATCCCGGTATGCGAGTATTCGACTCTTCTGTGTGCCCCCACTTCCCCCAACTCCCGGTCTAGATTCTGAAATGACAAAATCAATGCTCTTTTCTGTGGGGATGTGATTTTTCTCTTGGGTATATTCGAGTGAAGCCGTATCTAAAATTACCAGAGAGAGGGAGACAAATCCCACTCCATCCACTAGAGCCAGAGCCAGATGCACATCCAGACTCGGACTAATACCCTGAACAAGAAACTGGACTGGGACCAGAGCCACAGTTGGTGCTACGGATACGGAGTTCACCTACCATCCACCATCCACCATCCACCATGTACAGTAGAACAAGAACATAGTGTAACGGTGGCCCAGTTAACGACTCCATCAATGGAACCCACGAGATCCACATGTCTGCACCTGGACACGGTATAGCCAAGTGCCAAGTCCACCAACAGTACCAAGCGCAACCCGCAAGCAAACCAGAAGCCCCTGGATTTGACCAGTGTCGACCGCTGTATAGAGTTAAGCGGATCGACTGTGATCTGTAACTGTAATCGCGTGTCAGGCACAGTAACGTGAACCAAGTCCTGGAACAAGAGCGCATCCCATTCCAAGTGGAACCGTACCGGGTTCGACTCCGTATACAGGAACAGGCTAAACATTCACCAGACCCGAATGCCAATCACAATCTCTGCAAATGTCACTCAACCGTCTCGCTGGGATTTTGGCGACTCCAGAGACTTCACACTGACAATCGAGGCGCTATTCCCCCGGATGGCGCTAAACCTGTTTCAGAAATTTTAGACGAGGCGCGGATTGCCGCGGATCTATGCAGTACTGGTCTTTTTGATGGGAATGATATCCCTTGATGAGCCCGGTGACTTGGGGTGGATTGTGTGGTTACGGCTATGGCTATGGCGGTGGTGTTGGTGTCTAGTCTGTATTGGCTGTACGACGGTTGCATCGGTCGCGTTGAAGCTGGAGCCGATTCTTGTAGACTCTGTCCGGCAGGGATCTTTGGAATCGTGGTATCTCTTGGGGTGGTGGTTTGGTTCGTGTACTGTAAATGTACAGATAGCCTATTGCTCGGCTATTCGGGGGCGTGTGTCGGACAACGCCGATGAGAAACAGGTCATGCCAAGGGGGAGTGTACATTGGGAGGGGCTGGAGCCAATGGAATGAAGTGAGGATGTGCTTTCGCTGGTGTATTGGGGGATAGTTGGCGGGTAAGAGTATAAGCCATTGCCAGAGGTGATGCAGGTACGCCATGCGAGTAGAGCCGGTGCTCTGATGGCTCGATGCTGGACAGAGCATGGGCAAGAGCTGGTCTTGGGGTTTGGGCTTCTCAAGTAGATGGGCTACGTTCAAGGCAACGTACAAGGCTACGTCGTGTTCGTTCAGTGTGGAAAAGTGTTGCAACAATCTGTACACTATGTGCGTTATAGGTCGTCTCCAAGTCCGGTTCTACCAAACCAACTCGACGATAAACTTGACCAAATCCACTTAACACGGAACATCACTTCATAAATATCATCTAATCATCAGAAACGGCAACTTCATCCTCCCACTTCGGCTGAGCAACCTCACGGGCACGCTTGATCACCCGCTCGATACCATCCAGACCCATCTTAAGGACATCCATCTTGGGACCGTAGCTCAAACGCACAAAGTGGTGACACGGGCTGTCGAAGAGATCACGACGCTTAGCCGGGTTCAGGTCGAAGAAGATACCAGGCACAACAATGACCTTCTCGCTCAGCAGCGCGTTGAAGAAGTTCAGACCGTCGGAGATGTTAGCCTGAGGGGGGAGGGGAGGGTCGAGGGAGGTCAAATCCAGCCAGATGTAGAAGGTGGCCTGGGGCACATCCTGGACACGGAAGCCGATATCGTACAGGCGCTTGAGGACGTAGTCACGCTTCTCGATAAAGTGGGACTGCAGAGCCTTCATCTCTGCGCGCACGAGGTCCGGCTCGAGCATGGGGATGGCGGCTTCTTGGAAAGGCACGTTGGCGCCGCCGTCGAGGTAGGAGCCTGCGGAACCAAGGGCGTCCACGAATTCCTTGGGTCCGACGACCCAGGCGATACGCCAGCCGGGCAGACGGAAGCGCTTGGTCAGGCCGTCGATGAGGAGGACATCTAGATAGGGCATTAGTGGACTTGAAATGTACAATTATAAGGACCAGTAGGAGCGTACCATCCTTGTCGACGTCGATGACGTTCGCGGCGCCGCTGATAGTGGAACCATCACAATCTGAGGTGTAGTTGTATCCGCCGTAGAACTCATCCAAGATGAGAGTTGCGCGGTCACGGCAGAGGTCCTGAATCTCAACCAGCTCCTCGTGAGACACAAAGTGGCCGGTAGGGTTACGGGGGTTGGAAGTCAGCAGCACCTGAGTACCACGAGCGATTTCCTCGGCGATCTTGTTGGGGTGGATGTGGTAGTGATCTTCTTGGGAGAGAGGAATGGGGATGGGAGCAATCTGCCCATGGTTAGCAACGTTGGGACCAACCCATCCAAGCTCAACTCACGTTCTTGAACAGAGACAGCATCTCCGAGTACGCCGAGTAATCGGGAATAGGGAACGACAGGTACGAGTTACCCAGGATAGCAGCGATACGGATCAAGCCCGCACGCCCACCAGGCACAATGCAGACATTCTCCCAGGTATACTGGCTCTCCTTGCCCTGACGGTAGTGGTCATTGTACAGACGAGCAACGGCCGCGCGCAACGGCTTGATACCGGCGGTCGGACCATACTCCCGAGCAGCGGAGCTGATGGGGATTGACGTTGGGCGCGGGAAGCTACCTTCGATCTCGTCGTCGGCCTCGGGGGCTCCCTGACCTAAGTTGGCCCAGCTGGAGGGGTCTTCGGTGTAGCCATGCTCAGCGGCTCGCTCTGTACACCAGACGACACCGGTAGAAGCACGGGAGGCGTCGAGGCCGGCGTGGGGACGGTGACCTTCGTGGGCAGCGCGGAATTGACGATGAGTCTCGGAGTGGATTTCTGGTGATTGTTAGAAAAGCTGTGTTCAAGCTGTGGCAAAGCTGTGTCTTGACAGGGGCTCAAGGTTATACCATTGGTTGACAGCTGCTTGCTCGCTGAGAAGCGGCGGTTCTCAGCGGGGCGCAGGAGGCTCAGGCGGCGGCCGGAGAATGACATTCTTGGCAGCTTGTGATGCGTGGTGAGATGCAGGTGATGATCGAGATTCTGCGAATGCTTGAAAAGAAGATAGGCGAAAAAGTGTGTGCCCAACGGTTGGCACCCACCGCTTTATGAAAGAAAAAGATCATCTGTCAAAATCCTGACCGACGATTCGACGGAATCACCGACAGTTTACCCAATTATCCCTCATTCGGATGCCAGCACGCTCCACGTGTCGCAGACATTAATAGCAGCAACGCAAAAGGTTTCATTTTCGGTCTGGATAGATGTTCAGAAGCGTCAATTGTCGATGTTGCCGGGATAGCTATGGTTCTGACTAGAGCTCAACGCGAGTCTTCCTGTCTCGGTCTCGGCTACCCGGCTGCTACGGCATCCCGATCAAAGTAAACAAAACGGAAAAAAAAGTCTTTTATAGAATTCGTGACAATGCAGGCCAGAAAATACAAATCGATATGCATACATCATGTAAAGTGCTTCATACGTTCGTGGACATGGAGATCAGGTGAAGAGAGCAGTCAACGTTCACATAAAGGGCGCAAATTCAACGATGCAAGTCTTCCCCGAGGTCCCTCCACCTCGCTATAACATTCATGCCGTAAATCAAATCATTATGCAGATGCTCATGAGGACTGCCCGAATGCCACAGCCAGCTCGGAGGTGACAAAAGGGAGATAGAAAGAAAGTATCTCCGCGAGAACAGTTGCTCAGTCGCAAGGCAACCCGGATGGGAAAGATATGGGAGCCACAGGCGATGCAAATTGTTAAGAGATAGGAATCAAGATGATCCTCGCAAAATATAGGGTATTATTTCATGACGAACGGGAGAAAGACGCGAGAACGAGTCATCTAATCGACCACCTGACAGTAGAGTTGGATCTCTCCGACGAGGCCTTTGGCAAGCATGTCACGGTGCTGTTCACGCCACTCCATGAAGGCGAGTTGAACCGCCTCGTCGCTATCGATAGTGACAAAGTCTCCGTCCTCATCGCGGTAGCGCAATCGAACGGTTTTGTTTCCAATGGATCGATCAGTGAAACGAGCCAGTTTGGCATCCACGCGGTCCGTCAACGAACGGAAGAGGATGTTGGTGGCAATCACCAGGGTCACGTAGTTGTCCTCGAAGTTGACCTTAGCCTTGAGCTGAGTAGGCATGTATGGGTCTCCTTCATCGGGCTCTTGGGTCAGAGGCGAGGTGGCATGATCAGAGAGTTGTCCTGAGTTGCGTCCTTCATTATATTCGGGTTCATTAAAGTGCGTGGTGTGGAGATGTGGCTGGGAACGGATAGGGAGTTGACTGTTGGTGGGTGAACTGGTCTGGCTTCGGTTGACTGGCGCTTTCATGTTGGCCATGTGCGCAGGAATCGGAGGGACCGGGACATTATCGACCGTCTGCATAGTGTGCACTCCCATGTACCGTTGAGAACCAGGAGGAGCGTTGTTATGGTGATGAATATCAGGACTGCTGGCCGAACGCAGCCGCTGAGCCATGCCATTGGCAGACTGAGGCCCTGAGAGCGGAGGCAAAGATGGACGCTGGGCCGCTCGACCATTAGGCTGCGGCGGGAAGTATCCCCCAGAGGTTGAACCTTCCCGCGACGCTACACGAGATAGGGCCGGCGCTGTGTATCGATTTGACTCTTCATTCCAAACAGTCGATGGTGTCGTGGAATTAGTATTCTGGCGTCCAAATGAAAATCCTGATTGGGAACTGGATCTGGTAGATGGAGTCTCCGTAGGAGAGAAATAAGAGTTCATTCCGCGATCGCCGGGTGACATGTTTCCATTGCCAGAGAATTGAGTGTGCACTGAGAGTGTCGGATCAGTCGATCCAGTGTAGCGCGATCGGCCATTTGGATGAGGGACAGAGTTAGTACTGCCACCGGTGGCGGACCGAGTCCTCAAGCTGGTACTAGATGCATTCCGGCTCATAGGGAACTCAGAATGGTAAGGGTCTTTGCCATTGGTGTCATCAGTGTCGTACTCCTGTTGATACGGGTTGGGCATCTGGGCCATACCCTCCATGTATGTGAATTCACTGTCTGAGGTACCGGTGTTTCGAAGATTGCGTCTCTCGGCTTGAATTGCTCGTTGGGTGTCGATGTCCTTGTACCAATCGCGCATTATGTTTTCATTCGAATAACGAATGATGAAATTGTCGACAACGCCGGGGTCACCCTTCCAGAAAATCTGAATACGGTAGAGGCCGGGCTTCTGGAGGCACACGATATCCGTGACGTTGGCCATGTAGATCCGGCCTTTCAACTGAAGACGAGCCTTTCCTCTCGCGTTGAGCGACGGCTTGTCCTTCTGCATCATGAGCTTGGTCTTTTGTTTGTTGGGGTTGATGTCTTTGCAGCAGAGAAGAATTCGTTCAAACAGATAAATATGATACTGGATCATGTTAGCACGTTACTACTCCATGTAAAGATAGACAATGAAGCAATGGCATACCTCTCTTTCATTATCTTTGCCACTGTCTCCCTTGACTACTTGGAATGTGCCAAATCGAAGAAGGTCTCCAAAAGAGTCCATTTTCAATGCCTTCCAGTCATCTACCCGCTCAGAGAGATCAACAACGGCTGCGGCCAAATGTTCCTTATGAATCGCCTCGTTCGCAAAGTCCAGCACATTTTGAATAGTGTCAATTGCATGGGTGATATCACCCTGAAGCTGTGGATCTTCTAATTGTTTGCGTAATTCCTAGAAAACTCAAATTAGCCCATCTATCCCGACATAACGACAAAGGACCTACTTACTGAGAGCATAAGCGGGTAGCGAGTCAATCGCTGGAAGGGCTTAACAAAGAAGCCGTTGAGCGTTTTCGGCTGCGCAACCATTTGTTGCAAGTCCACAGAACGGGGCGCAGACATGATCTTATCCCACTCCTTGAGACAAGCCTCATCACAACGCATCTGGTTGGCAATGAAAGGTTCATACTGCCGAAATGCTTCTTCGTGCGAGAAGAAGAGTTGTCCCCAGTTCTGCATTTCTTCCGGCAGTGCGTAGTGTTGCTCCATACGAATGAGGAATCGTTGCGCGAAATCTAGCAAGTTGTTCAAGTTGAGGAAAATTTGATGACTCGCATCACCAGTTAAAGCACCTGTCTCCTCTAGTTCCTTTTTGAGCGCTTGGAGATTTTGCAGATGGTGGACATAGTCGCGCTCCGTTTCAAGAAGTTCCTTCAGAATATGCTCCCGCGTGGTAAGTTTACCAGTCGCCTTAAGAGGAGCCTCTGTGGCTTCCGATTGCTTTAATTGACCTTGCATCTCCAGGATGTCCACCACACGGTTGACCATCTTTATCACTTTGATGAATCCCGTCGTGCTATCGCCATAGAGATCAGTGATCAAGAAGCAATCTTGCTGAGGGAACGCCAGGTCCTGCAAGCAGGCCTGGAGAAACTTGAAGGTTGCGGCCTTGGGGCGCTTTCCTTCTGTCACCTTCTCCGGGTTGATCTCCAGCTTTTCATCAGGACCAGAAGCGTTATAGATGCTCAACAGTGGATAACCATTTCGCAGGCAGTTCCACAACGATGCTACCGGATCAGTGTTCCCTCTGATGCGATCATCATCATCCATCTCTTGCAGGTATGACTCGAAATTCGGGACCTCGGAAAGCCTCCGCCTCAAGTTGACACAGCTCTGGTAGATCGACTCACCACCCCGCCGATTGATGATGTTATCCTCGGCGACCGGCGCACCGCTCATCGCTGCGGAATCGATCATATCGAATGTGCTCGAGGGCGAAGTATGTATGAGTTAGACCAGCCAGTCTCAGTTTTGAATCTGCACAGCAGACCCACGAAGGGCGAGTTCGGAGGGAGCGACAAGCGTCGGGAAATGAGAGATGGCGATCATGGATTCCCCGGGTGGGTGTGGGCGCAGTCCGAGTTCGAGATTCAAGACAACTAGCTCTCCAGTCAACGCGTAATATGTGAATGCAGCGAAGCAGCTTCACGCCAGCTTGAGGTCGATATAGGGATATTTATGAACCGACGACTCGGATCTCAAATTCGGGGGCACCGTCCCTCTCTAGCGGAAAAGGAGGGGCTCGAGAAATATATTCCGACCTGCAGCCAACCCCAATCGATGGGGTGTTAAGATTCGAGCTATAGTCTCGCTGCAGCCGGGCAAGCGAGTCAAATCGAAGGTGAAAGAAAGTTCGGAGAAACACCTCGAGGGTCAGTCACTAGGACCTGGGGGGGGGAGGCGGGCGAAGGAAAAAAGGGGGCGCCAAGGGGGATATTGGAATCAGAAACAAGGGCTCGCCCGATGATATTCGAGGCAATCAAATGGAATGACAACAGCCAGCACAACAGATGAACGGCAGTTCTGCTGATGGTAAAAACGGAGAAAGGAGAGAGGGTGAGCCGAAGGAGAGTCTGTTCAGTTGCCCCAAGGGGTTTAGCGTGTGTTCCATCGGGCGGTGGGATGTGGAGAGGGGCAGTTGACACCTTTTGGGAAGTATAAAAAGACAGAGAGACAGACATCGCAACAAGGGAACTACGGGTTTCTTGAAGAGCTCAGTTGGGTCTGACCTGGGCTGTCGATATTGAAGCAGTTGACCCTGAGGATATGGGGCCTGCTGCCTAATGGCCAGGCCCATGGCCATAGGCCCTAGCTATGCAGGTTGGACTGAGGGGAGTCGACAGCTGGCTGTGTACTTGAGTATGTATGGAGGGTTTCTCTATTTGACCGGCATAGATGTACAATCTAGCATATCTTTGATGTATAGTAACCCATGTATGGCTGGAACAGGCTGTGTTCTGGCTTCAATAGCTTCGAACCACTAAAAGTTGTAATATGTATATGTATTTCATATAGTGATATCACTCTCCGCAGATACCAGAAGGCTAGATACCATATTCAGGATCCCCCGCACTATGATTCGCAACCTGGTAAACATCACCAACCTTACAACTTACTGCTTCTTGCATACAACTTGGTCTACAAATGCCCGACACACGTGACCCAGGGGCAGCAATGCCCATTCCAGTGCCTTCATAATTTCGCAGTATTTAATTTATAATCGAAAAGGTGTAAAACGGGTAAGAAATAACAGTAATTGGCGTGTTCATAGTGACAGTATACCACTCTCTATGTGGAGCCTGGCGTGACGTGACATGCAAAAGAGTGGCCAACCCATTCAACCTTCCTCTTAACATTCATCCTCTCGGGGACAACCCTCGTTTCCTGATTCCTATCTCTCCGGTACTTGTGTACAGTCTACTATAGGTCCAGCGCAGAGTCACCGTTCTCGGTGTTCAACTCGTCATCACGGCGCAAACCCCTCGGAACCGCATCAATGGAGGGCGACTCCATGCCTGATGCTGGAACATCCCCGTCCTTGCGATTGCAGACGACCGTTGGCGACTTCCCTGCGCCCTCTCTGTCGCCCTCTTTCAAGCTCGACGAAGGATACTCTGATGAGACCCGAAGTCAAGCAGAGAAGGACCCGGGCGCGGACAATGTTATGATGCTCCCAAATTGGGTGCTTGCTCAGAGCGAAGCCGGAAGAGCAGGTGAGAATTGCTTTTTGTTCACTTTATTGTCCCCTTATTGCCACACCAGGGAAGTGCGCATTGCCAGCTTGTCGCCTCTGTCTTCTTGGTCACTCGGTTCTTCTTGCTGACCCTGGCCCTCCCCTCATAGAGCTCGCGTACAGCCTCCTACGATCCCTACGCACCTCAAGCATCGCCGCAGTAGTCGAGCGACTCAATCCCATTCTTCATATGGACCCCGTTGCCAAACTTCCTCCTGAACTCACATGGGAAATTTTCTCCTACCTTGACCCCCAAACACTCTTGAACTGTTCGCTTTCGTCCCGCGCGTGGCGTGAACGAATTCTAGACTCGGGTCTATGGCGATTTCTCTATATCAACGAAGGATGGCGTATGGATGTGCGAGCGATTCGTGCCTTTGAAAAGGAGCAGTCCGAACCCATCTCGCCCCAGTCCCGGAAGTCTCGCCTGCGACACAACGATCCAGACATCGGGGAGCCTAAGCACAAAAAGCGCGTGCCTCCAACCTGGCTTTCTTCGCGAAGCACCGAAGAACAACGAGTCGCTGGGCTTAACTTTTCACCCTCAGTGGCCGACAATGAGGGTGATCACCACATGACCGACGACGACCAAGCTACTCCTTCGCTGGCCGGCTCAAATCACACCCCGCCCAACCCTTCCCTCCAAATCCCTTCCTCGCTGTACCCGCCTGTGCGATCGTCCCTCGTCACGCGTGCTCCTAACGGAAGTGTCAAGGTCAACTGGTCCCATCTATACAAGCAACGCAGGCGGCTTGAGAAGAACTGGCACCAAGGGCGATACACCAATTTCCAGCTTCCCGATCCATCCTACCCCGAGGAAGCGCATCGAGAATGTGTCTATGCGATTCAGTTCGAAGGAAGATGGTTGGTCAGTGGGAGTCGAGACAAGACAGTCCGTGTCTGGAATCTGGACACAAAGCGTCTATGGCACGCTCCGCTAATCGGTCACGCAAAGTCTGTTCTCTGTCTTCAATTCGATCCTAGCCCTGAGGAAGATGTCATCATCTCTGGTAGCAGCGACAAAACCATCATCGTCTGGAAATTCTCAACCGGTGAAAAGATTCATCAGATCACCAAGGCACATGCAGATTCGGTCCTAAACCTGAAGTTCGATCATCGCTACCTGGTTACCTGCTCTAAAGACCGAACGGTCAAGGTCTGGAACCGCAAGGAGCTTTTGCCGAACGACGAAAACTACCCACGCATCTGCCGAGGAGGTAGTGCAACTTATCCTTCGCACATAATTGATCTGACCGATATCGCGCCAAACATGCTCGAGGCTAGCATCGCCAATGGGCAAATCAAAGCCTTGCAACCTTATTCGTTGCTCATGACTGTGGAAGGGCACGGGGCTGCGGTCAATGCGATGCAGATTCACGGCGATGAGATTGTAACTGCATCTGGTGACCGTATGATCAAGGTTTGGAGCATTCGCAATGGTGCGTGTTTGAAGACTTTGATGGGCCACGAGAAAGGTATCGCGTGTGTCGAATTCGACAGCCGAAGGATTATCAGTGGCAGCAATGATAACACAGTCCGCATTTATGATCATGTATCTGGGGCCGAGGTAGCGTGCCTTCGCGGTCATAGCAACCTTGTTCGCACTCTTCAAGCTGGCTTTGGCGATCGTCCTGGGGCTGACGAAACCTTGCGAGAAGAAGCGCGAGCAGTGGAAAATGAATTCTACGCCGCTCAAGCGGCCGGAGAATCCGTTGAGTTAGGTGCTAGGGAACAACGACGAACCGGCCATCGAGTCGATACTACAGGATCTCGGGACCCTCGTGATATCATTGCGCTCGGAGCAAAGATCCCCCCTGGTGGTGGAGGTAGCAGCTGGGCCCGCATCGTCTCAGGATCCTACGATGAGACCATCTTGATCTGGCACAAGGATCGTGATGGCAGATGGACAATGGCTCACCAACTACGACAAGCTGATGCCGTTACCAACGCCGCTCGTGGGAATCTCAGCCAAGTAGCACGGACTACTGTCGCGGCTCAGGCTCAACAGCTGCAAGCTGCACAAGTTCTGATGACACTTCCGCAGACAGGACAAAACGGTGGAAATAACACAGCTCAAGCCGGACCTGCAAACCAGAACAATCAGACTGCTCACGCCAATGCAGCTCCTCCAGTTGGAACACTCGCGCAGGCACCCTATCCTCCCCCCGCCCACCACCATCATCACCACATCCACGCACGGAGACAGCCACTTGTTCCTACTCCCACAGCCAGAGTATTTAAACTCCAATTCGATGCACGAAAGATCATTTGCGCCAGTGTCGACCCGCGCATTGTGGGATGGGATTTCGCCTGTGATGACGAAGAACTCATTGAGGCATGCCCATTCTTCCAGGGATTATAGATCCTATACAGATTTTTATACCCTCGATCATCACCACCTGCGTATCTTTCCATCACCCGCGCTGGACGCGAACCCCTCAATGCTCTGACGAAAGACATGACCGGTGCAGCTGTTCAATGATGACTTTCTACTCGCATCCTGCATAATGTTTGCTTCTTTTCCCGTTCTTGTGTCCTGTGCTTCATGGGCGCTTCGAATAATTTACCTGCTTCTCTCTCCCCCCACCTGTTTCCGTTCCATTCCATTCTCCTATGCATACGACGGGCCCTTTATCTTTATAATGATGTATCCCTTATCTTACTTTGCGTCCAGAGACATGCCTGGTGTATCCTTTATCGTCTTTCCGGTTTCTATATGCCTAACATATTTATCTTGCATGGCCAGTGTGGCAGTCTATCAATGCATGATTTCACCCCGTGTGATCAATAGCAAATTTGACTCCAAAGATTAGTCTCCAACATAATTTAGATACTTTATTGTTAAGTCTAGCCGCGAAGACGTATACAGAAATAACTATGTATCTATCGTCTTTGGACTCCAAGAAATATGGATATCAATTTGATCAAGACCGCGAAGATGCCTACTCGGCAGAGAGACTATAGAAAGCGGCACAGCTCATGGTGTCCAGCCCTCATACGGGTTCGATATTCCGTGCAATTGAGCCCATTCCCTGTCCCTATTCACCATGCAGGTTCCTCGGCATCCGGCATATTCCCAAAGCACCATAGTAGTTCATCCAGAGGCAAGCAAGCATTGAACGGCTAATCTTGATCTTGATTACTTATTAAGGTGACAATCTGTCCTAGATTTGTATTCCATCCTCCACATAACATAAAGCAATAGAATATCCCAAACGCCGAGTCAATCACGGAACAGCCCTGTCCGGTCCCATCCCATGAGCTGTATTCTTAATCGTATGAAGAAACATAGACGGAAAACAATGTCTCCCAAAGCGATCCTCATACGACTAAGACTGAAAGCATCAGTAAGCCATGCAAAAGAAGACCAACATTCAAGCCCAAAACATGAGAAACTCACTGTCTTCCCACCCTCATGCTCCGCAGTCCTAAACCCCAGCCAACGCCTGTACATATCCTCCGCGCTGTGCGTCGTAAACATATACGACAGCCGGTAGGTAATATGATCAAAAATATGATCAAAATTCCAAATACTGTCCGGACCGCCATTAATATTCTCCGGCGAACCAGGGTTGTAAATGCGCGCCAGTTCCTGCGGTGTCCACTGGCCATCCGCATAGATAGGATGAGGTACACACACAGCCTTCAGGCCGTGGAAAAGCGACCACGACGCACCCGTCATCTCAGAGGCAAGACCGAGACCCTTTGTTGCTTGAGCATCATGGATCAGATCGAGGAGTCGCTTCGAGTACCGACCCATAGTAATAACAGCTGCGCGGCGCGGTGTTTCGTCGCCGTATTTGAAGTTCCAGATCTTGTCGGGGAAGGTCCATTCTGTGTCTTTTGGGTTGAAGATTGGTAGGAAGGTTATGAAGTCTGCTTCTTCTCCGACGCCCCAGGTGTGGTTGTCGTGGTCTGGGTGCGGGACTGGGGGATCGGGGCCCAGCGGTCTGATTCCTGTACCGGAGACGGGGCCCCAGACTGTTTGGCTTGAAAGGCCCTCTAGGCTTTTGTCAACCATATGGCTGAATTCGCTCCAGTTGCCGTGTGCACCGGGGGTGTAGAAGTAAGCGTTTCGTTCCCAGAGGTATTTTCGCGACTGGGCTTTTGCGAATGAGACTGATTGTTCGAGGAAGTGGTAGGTGTGTCCTGTGTGTCGACCGTCCATTTCTAGTTGCCAGTAGTAATCGAAGCTGGGATATAACTGGGCAAATATCTGCAGTGGCTGGTGGTGTTGAAGCTGGGGACTGGGGATTGTGTCAACCAGAGGACCTTTGAACTTAGGGCTTCGAGGAATTGACTCACGTATGCTCTTCTATCTTTGGATACCAAGCCTCCAGGAGTTTGTTATTAAAAAAGAGAGTCATATTCCGAAATTCCTCAGGAACAGTCCTCTTAAGCTGACTGATGGTCCTCGCATCCGAGAAGATTGGCATCTCATCATCCTTGACATGAATCAGGAGAAAGATCTGATACTCCCCACCAGAATGTAAAGAAAGCTCCATGATAAGCGCCCGGAGGTACTCCCGATGATGTGGCTTCCAAGTCAACCCATTCCAAGCCCTAATCAACAGCGCAGTGCGATGGTGGTAACGCTTGACATTCGACGCCGGAATAGGAGGCGAGTCCCACGTCTTATGGGGGCTATCAGGAAGATCAAAAGACAGTGGACTCTGCATAGAGACATTTACCACGTCATTTGTCTTATATCTACCAGCATTTCGCTCCAAACATTGAGATTGCAATTCGTGCCAGTCAACCCGGTGCCAGGGTACAATAGGTGGCCGTGAGAAACCAGGTACTTCATCCTCGCCCCTTTCATCGAACCCATATGCCCCAAAGCGGGAATAGCGATCTGTGCACACGTCGCCGTCTAGGTCCATGGCCTCGTGTGATCCAAATTTCGGCTCGGGGAATCCGGTCTGTTGGCCCTTATAGACTTGGATCATATCTTCTGGTCGTCTGCGGTCGAGGAAATGGCCCCGCGGACCCATACATGGCTGAAACTTGCCGTGGTATTGCTTCTTCCACTTTCGACTGTTGTATGCTGGGTATGGGTCGTAGATGAAGGGAGTCGGGTGCGAGGCATTGATGGATTTGATACTTGTCAAGGTAAGTGTACCGCCGAGGTAGAACTGCTTGTCTCTAAGGAAAGCAAGATCAATGGTTAGCTTCCTTGTCATCTCAAGGAGGGGGTATTTGGACTCCAGACCTGCGGTCATGAACTAATCCCTTTTGATCCAAATCGGGGTCTTCATATGGCACTTCATATGTTGCTGGCACAAATCCCACAATCTGCTTGTATTGACCTGGTCGAAGGATTCCAGGCCGACAGAAAGAATCAAAAACAGTCCGAAGAATGTTCGTCTCTGGATTCTGGACGAGAAATGAGTAGACCCGGAACACGGTGACAAGGCAGGTTAGATATCCCAGCCAGCGGAACCATATCCATCGACGAGACCAGAACGTAGTGTTGGATCTTGGGCGGAATTTGTGCTGTGATCTGTTTCTTGGGATCATCTTCATTGTGATCGTACGTCTGTTTAGGTCTTGGGAAAGAGCGAGAGCGAGGACATACTTTGTTGACCACGTTCTGTAGCCCTGGTCAGTGTAGACAATGATATCGGAAGTAAGGGTAAATTCAAGAGCTACCGGAGCAAGTGATGCAAACACACTGTTCAACCATTGACCATCGAAGTCTCAGACTCTTGATGTCTGGCTGCTAACTTTGGGACAGGGCTAGGCTTGGTGCGTACGATGTCATCACTACGCGCTGCTGACTACCTCTTCGACAAAGGGACGGTAATGCATCACTGAAACTGAAGCCCATTTTCAAGATTAGAAGGTTGTAGTACGAGGCATTTCAAGTTGTAACTTATCCTCTCGCATGATGGTATCTATCTATAAACCATACACTTGTCATACCGGATTCCTGCTGTGATACTCGGGGTATGCGAAAAGTGTATCACTTCACTGGTTGATGTCTGACCTACTTGAGACACATACTTCAGCCGAATGTGTTTGGATTTAGAGATGTTGTGCACGTTACGTGGAAGGTAACAGGGTATCGCCCGTTTGGGAGGTCGGTAACTCGATATATATACCCAGCATCAAGTATGAATCTAACTCGGATGTGTTTTCCTACTGTAATAACCAGGCAAAATTTATTGCCAGCATTTTAGAAAGTGTTATTAATTCCAAAAAAAAGCCGAAATATTGTACTATTCGATGCGGTAGACCCCCGATACTAGTTCCACCAGCAAGCCATCCACAGACAATAGACGTAGACAATTGCAAATTTTAACCTATCCACAAAACCAATAAAAAGAGTTACACAAGTCTTCAATTCCAGGACTCAATAATACACGAATCAAGGTCCCGGAGCGACAATATGTACATAATGAATGGTGATTAATAACATTGCTACCAAGAAAGGCCAACCACAAGAAGTGAACCTCGTCCATCAAGCACCGAGTATACCTCGCACATCTAAGCAAAGTAGCTTTTCCATAGAACTCCCGAAAGGTCCTCGAGTTGGTCTGAAGTGAACGCCTAGAAAGCATGTTAGAATATTGCGATAGCAGGGAAAGTTGTCTGCCAGAACATGGAGTATTGAATGGGAAGGGCTTTGATATACTAACCTTTGCATCGATATGCCACGTATCTTGACGAGTCTTTTTGAATTCACTGATAATAGACTTGACACTTGATCCGACGATGCCAGGGTCACTGGCAGCGCGGATGCTGAGCGAAGTCAAAGCCTCGGGCATCCAGTGAGGCGGAGGACTATTGTATGGGAATGCCTGGATCAAAGCTCCAAGACCAAGGACGGCACCGTGGCGGACGATGATGAGTCGGTTGTGCTCTGGGGTGGGAGTGCCAGCGCCCGAAGAGACGGCGGAGGAGATTCCAGAGCGGAAGTTCTTTGGTTTTTTGGGAAGGGGGTTATCAACTAGAACCTTTGTGAAGCGGTCCTGGAGGCGTTTGACCATTTTCTCGCGCAGGAAGATTGGGGAGCAGCGGACCATGCCGGAGAGGGTTGCCGAGGCGCCGGCGCGGACTTCGTGCTGCGGGTCTTCAAGCATGGAGGCGATGCATTCGAAGAGTTTGTCGCGGTCGGTGGGGTCGAGAAGGAACAGGCGGCGGAAGTAAATGATCTGGATGTTGATCATGACGCGGAGCCGTTGGTGCCATGAAGGGGATGTTTGTCCAATGCGGATGAGTGATTGAATGAATTCGGAGCCTTTCTCGGCTGGGTATGGGATGTTGGGGAGATGGCGGAAGACGTGATACGCTAGAGATTGGAGCTCTGGGTCTTCCTTTACGTCCATCATGTGCAGGAGCTGCGCAGTGAACACATCAGGGAAGAATGGAACGAGTTGAGTGCACTCGTGAGATGACAAAGTCGAGTCCAACCAGAGGAGGACAGTCTTACTACCAGAGGTGTAGGACGAGGGTGTCTGCTGGCCAGGGGTTCTGGCTTTGCGCCATTCTTCGATCTGAGAGAAGACTCCACGGACCATCTTCGAAAACTCATCGGTGGGCTGGTAAGGGTATGCGCCGACAGACGAGGATGACTTTTGCGCCTCGAGCAGATGCTTGAGATCGGGGTATGATTCGTGATATCTTGTACGGTAGATAGTTGCAAGAGTCTGTCCCATGGCCTCACGGACGCCCTTGTAAGGGTGATCCAGATGAGCGAGGAAATCTTCCACGATCGGTTTCTCCAGCTGGAAGTGCCAACCGGCATCGATGATGCACTGATGCAAAAGGTTGATTTTGGAACTCTCCTTGAAGGCGGCGTTGGTAGACATGTCCAGACGGAAGCTAGACAGCCAGTCAACCAAAGGCCAGGCTCGTCGGGGGTCACGGCATTGGAGGATCATATGGAGGAAGGTTGTCCAGTAACCAGAGTTCTCAGGGGTGAGACCATCAGTGAAGATCTTCCTCACGATCGGGAAAGCATATTCCCAAACCTTAGTCCGCTTATCAGGGCTGCTATCTGTTACAGAGGAGATCAGGGCTCCAAGAATTTCAGCAGTAGCGCGGTGCTGGTGCTTGTCGCTGCCGTCTTCAAATACGGCCTTGATTTCTTCCTGGACTTCCTCAAATGTGACGGCCGTAAGCTCATCCCGGATCATGAGCTCAAATGCATAGAGCAGCATCATCGCAGCAGACATGCGGAACTTATCAGCGGATGGGTCTCGCGGCTCCTGCTTCAAGTACATGAAGAATTTGGAGAACCATTCGCGAGTAAACAGCTTGCCCATCTTTGTGCGGATGTTCCACTCAACCTCATCGTACTCAATGTCTCGTGCTACATTGGACTTGTAGGCAGGCATGGACTTACCCCACACGAGCCAACCCGGGAAGTCATGATCAACGTAATACTCGGCTTCGGGCTTTGCGAAGCTTGTCAAATACTCTTGAGTGTATCCTTCCTCGTAGGGCTTCGTTGCTACCTTGATTTTTGATGGGAAACGTTGGTGACCCAGAATATAGTTCTTGTACTCATGGGTGCAGATAGCACGAACGTCGATCATTGTGAACAACGCAATGAGAGCCTGGGAATACATTCCGCGCAAGCCAGGGTGATCGTCAATAGAACCAAGTGTCATCAGGTCAATAAGATTATCGCTGGCAATATAGTCGAAGCGCAGACCCATGGTGATAACAATGGTGGCAGCACGACTGGCAATTTTCCAGTGCGATACTCGAGCCAGGTTGACCAACTCTTCGGCCAAGTCGGCTTTCTTCTTCTCAATGGCAGCGCGTTTGCTGTTAATAACCACCCGCTTCTTCTCGATCTGGTCGCCGACATCTCCAGTGGGGGCGATCGCTTCAACAATTTCTTGGTCTAGAATAGCCATTCGCTCCATGGCGCGACCATAGTCCATGACCTGGAACACAGCCGTGGAGCAAATTTTCTGCACTGAAGGCTTATCAACAGCACTGGCGTCAATGAATGTCTTGATCAATGTTGGGGCATACTTCCAGTGCCGGCCGACGGTTTTGGCGATGCTGCTCAGGAGCAAAGAGAAAAGAGCGCCCTTGATACGGGCATGGTCATTCTCCTTGACACCCTTCTGCAGGGCCTTGAGCAATGGTGGAATCACCAGTAGCCTACCACCATAGACAGCCTTCAGTGCAGATTCACCGGCATTTTGAGCATTGCGACGGGTCTCTGTGTACAGAGAGACACAAGATTCAGCCAGGTCCAGAAGGAGAACTTCATCAAGCTTAGATCTAGGACGAGGAGATGCGTTATGGCGCAGACGTTGAAGATGGTAGACGTTGGCTCTGCGGATAAGCAGGGGTCTAGGGTAGTCCTTGCGGATACCACTCATCTTGTAGGGATGAATATCTGCGGCCAGGAGACGAGTCACACGGTCGAGAACATGGGCTGACCTCTCAATGCCCACATCAACAAACCATGACCGGTAAGCAGAGTATAGAGCACCAAAGCAAGGGACATCATCCTCCTGCTTATCATTTAAGAACCGATGTACCTCGTGCAGGACCCAGCCAGTTCGCTCACGAATTTCGTGGATGGTAGTATACAAGGGGTCACCCTCTTTGAGGGAATACCCGGTTGGGTAAGCAAATGCCTGTCTGATAGTTGCATCATCAGAGTTGTCCAAAGTGGCATCGGCATCTTCCTCGACACCATTTGAAGCTACATCTGCCATCTCAACATCGCCAGAGCTGGAATTAGTGCCCTGTTGCGTGGTAGTTGACGCAGCCTTGGGGTCGAACAAGACAGAGATTCCAGACAAAACGAGTCGCAGAAGTACAAGGTTCCGAGTAACGTCGTCTGACCAATCTTTGCCACTACCATCACGTTTGACACTTGATGTTTCATGTGTCAGAGAAGACAAGTGCTTCAGGGCAGACTCCGCCTGGCTTTTGAAGACATCCACGGCAAATTCAATCTCTTCATGCTTCGGCACATGCCACTTAATGTTGAGGTTGTGAATATCAGGCTTGTAGCTCCAGAGCTTAGGCTGGATACCCTCCGCAGCAACAGAAGGCTCATAGAGAGAGAAATCGTTGGTGTAGGTTCCAGTCAAGTTGAGCAGAAGGTGGTGAATAAAGTTGGAAATGTGAACGGTAGGAATTCCGCGGCACTTCTGCTGCATGTAGACTGCAATATCAAATAGCTCCTGACGATGGCTAATCACAGCGCTTCCGACGTGCACTACACACATACTGAGCATGCTAACATTCCAAACCAGACCTCGGTCACGAGGCAAAACATCTGTACCAGTGGTTCTAGTCGATCCAGCACCGTTGTCCTCAATCTCAGTACGGATTGCTTGAGTCAATACCGGAATGAAACTCTTAAGAGCCTTCTCAGGGTTGACCTTGCACAGAGCGTTGCAAATAAAGGCCATTGCGTCACGAGCCTGGTGGATGACATGGTTTGAAACGAAATCGACAATCTTGCCGAGAGCAATATCATAATACTCCGGAGACAAAGAGGCAAGCAAGGGCATGAAGGTGGCAGGCAGAGTGTTCACGATATTTTCCTCGGGGGAACCGTTCCGTACTCTGGATATATCTGGCAGGTTCTCCAATAGGGTGAAAACACGGCCCAAGAAAGATATCGTGAAATCGCCGAAACCGCACGTCGAAGATCGTAGAATCAGTTCCTCTGTCTCGTCATCCAGCTCTGTGTCGTAATCCAGCTTGATATCTGCTCCTTGTTCTTCCATTCTCTCCATCTCACCGGAGATCCATTGCATAGCAAGCATATTGCTATTAACATCCTCTCGCCCTTGGGTCAAGTCCACCATGGGGATGTTATAGCATGCAGATTGGATGAAGGACAAAGTATGGAGTGACTTCTCGAGATCGTTGGCATCAATACCAGGAAGCGCAAGACCAAGCAAAGTCGTCATATGACAACGATAGCCCTTAGTGCGGGCAATAATACGAGAAAGCACCTGCATAGCACGAAGAGAGGATGTGGTCCGATGAACCTCAACGAGACCTTGCAAGGCAGGGTAAATTCTCTGCAAAGCTCCAGGTAGAATAAGATGTGGTTCTAGGTAAGCCAGACCCTGGAGAGTCGAAAGAGAAAAGGTCATTGCAGTTCCACTCTTGGCATATATACCCATGAAGATCACATCCCGGATGCAAAGCACGAAGCGGCGTTTGAGAGGCTCAGTCAGGCGGCGCTCTTCTGGGATGTCCATTTCCCCACTCTGTTCGCGGTTCCAACGCATCACGAAGAAATCAGTCAAGTAATATACTAGCTGCGAAAGGGTTTTGGTCCAGCCACCAGAGTTTGAAGGATGGAAGAAAGTCTCAACAGCTTGAATGAGGCCCTCTAACTGTGAGAGGATCGAGTCTTCCGAGTCCACACAAGCAGGGGAAAGTGACATCACAATCCATCGGGCAATGTGGTGGGCGACTGGGTGCTTCCGCGAATCTCTATCTAGCATTATACCCAGGCCAGATGAAATATCCACCAGGGCACTGTATGGAGAGGTAGATTGACCAACAGGAATTTCCAAGAGTCGCAAAATCGCCGTGAAAATAAGAGCAGACTGCTCCTTTGTGAAAATGCCATGCTCAGAGAATGGAATGTTAGCGGCCGGCAAAGAATCTCTAGCCAACCGGGAAAGATAATCCAAATAAGTTGTATCGAACGTCTTGGAGCGACCAACCAACGACCAAAGATGGAAATGTGTAGGCAAATGTGTCTGCGGTAGGAGATCCGGTCGAGACGCCGGGGGCGGGGATGTTGGAAGCAGTAAATTTATAAGGCCTGCGACAACGAAAGCGCCTTCGGAGAACGACGTGGTGTAATGAGGCAGGAACTCTTCAAGCATGGCGGGAAGCTCAGAAGGATCAATAAACAATTGGGCGAAGGCGCATAGCTTGGTCAATGTCTTGACATTGCGCTTCAGATTGGTCGAGTGAACGAGGCCGGATTCGGTGGGCAGGACGAAGGCCTTGAGCTCTTTGTAGAGGGGCTTCCAATCTAACACCAGGTCTTTCACTGGTCTTAGATAGTGCTTGCGCCTAAAATTTAGATTCCAGATTAGCAGCCGCATTAGTCCCGCATTAGCACATGGAGATGAGCTTACTTGGTGAGGAACATGAACATGCTCGCGAATCGCTCGGCGACCGTGGGGTCAATGCCGGGAGCCAGAGCGAGCTCATAGTACAGTTTCACGAGGTTGATGCGCTCCTTGCGGGTTGGATCGAATTTCAGCGACAGCCAGCCGCGCAGCTCGCGTGTCCAGTGCACAGCTCCGGGGCTAAAGTCACCTGCCTCGACGGCGATGTAAAGCTGATCTAAAATCTCGCGCAGATTCTGATCTCTTTCGGTCTCATTTTCCAACTCGTAGGGGAGGTATTTGAAGTATGGGTAGGTTCTGGGTCGCACGCGGGCTATGGGCTGGCCTTCGCCATTCACGGCGGCGGGCTCACCACCTGGTGAGGTCGCTCGTGAAATATCTTGTGCATGATGGAAATTGTCGGATGTGAGAATCGCCTTGGGGTTGGAGGCGTCCATAGTCGGATGAGAGAGGTAGGGAGAGGAATGGTGGAGGTGAGGTGAGTGGCCGTTGCCGTTCGGGTGAGCTCTGGGTAGTACGTCAGCAACCCCGATGTTTCACCAGAGTCTTTCGGATCACCAAACGATCGGTAAAAGACAGCGTACTTTGATAACTCAAGCTTCTCCAAGAATGTATGCGGACTTTGAAACCGGAGATTTTGTTGCAGACTCCGATAAAGCGAAGCCAAGGGATGGATAGGCGCGGATTCTCGTACAATACGTCAATTTGGCCGGTCCACTTGGACTTGGAGTTGGAAATGGAAAGAAGAAAAGAGGAGAATGGGAAGATCAGAAGCTCAAAGCTTCAAGGAGGAGAAGTTGAGGTTGTGATGACATAATTCTACAGTAACAGTTGGAGCCCTGGAGCTCAGTGCGGAAACCCAGAATTGATCATACAATTCTTGTAAAGGTCTGAACTGGAGTATATTGGTATTAGAGTTACTAGTTACTACTGAATCTGCTTTCTTTATAACTCCGGACTGCGCCTGATTCTTAGGCAGACAACGTACGCAAGCAGCCCAACCGGGAAGTTGACATTCCAAGGGTCTTGGCCTAGACTTTAACCTGGGTACATGTATAGTACTAGAATGAGAAATAGCAATGCTTTTTGAGATAATGGACAAGCTACAACTGTGAATGTGATACAAAACTCCATAGAACTAACTGGAAATGATATTTCCCTTGTCTTTGTTGCGGGTGTCATCCCACAGTGTAGAAATTCGGAGATAAAACGCAGATAGGCTTGTGGCACTTCCCATTGACAAGTAAGATAAAGCTTCACAATGGTATTGCCACTCCGATTCATTCATCGTAATCCCTCAAGCTGGGGGTAAAAAAGAACCAAATAGAACCCCCTGGATCATTGCATAAGCCACCATGCTGTATACGGCAACTACCAACGTGCGGCTTAGCTTGGGCGAACTCGAAGCCGTGTCCACAGCACTGGTAACCAAGAACCAATACCATAGAGGATATCCCGACGAGATCCGATTAATGATCTGCACGTGATAGCTAGTAAATGCCATGACGGCCAACAAACCCTGAGGGACCGCCAGCCGAGTAAGCATGGATCCGGGGCTGGTTGACGAGGAGGATGGGCTCTGTAATCCCCACACAGCGGACCGACACAAGAGAGCCAGCATTGGACCAGCCAGCAAGAAAAGGGGGAGGTTGGAAATGGTCCAGTATCGCAGGAACCCGACATCCCTAGAGGGAGGTTAGCATAACCATATTTCGGGCGAAAGAAAAGAAATCTGCTTACCAATAGCGTTGCTGAACCCAACCATAGATACTCGGCACAGTCCACTCGCACCATGGCTGGAGGTCAGTCTCGGACAGGCAGTACGTGCGATAAGCCAAAAATTGCGGAATGACCACCCCAGACGCGACAATACAACCGCCGAGGATGATTACTGCTAGTCGAATCGTGTTGTGCATTGTAGGCCCCTGGGTCAGAGTCTTCCAAGCCAGGATGACGGCATCGTAGGCAAAGAGGAACCCACTGAGAACACCATTGCTACGAACCATGGTGGCCACGGCAAATAGAGCCGCAGAGGTGAGGACCCGGAAATCTCGCAGGCCGACTGCATTGTTGCGTTCCGCAATGAGGGATGATGAGTAAAGGTAGAAGCCGGTCATGTTAAGGAAGGAGACGATCGACTCTCCGTAGGGGGCTGACATAAACGCGCCTGCTGGCGAGATGATGTGCAAGGCTGCGGACAAGAAGCAAATGAGGTGTTGGGCAGCCGTTGCATGGCCAAAGATGTTCGCCGATAGACGATACAGAGACAACACCGACAGATAATGGGCGACATGGGACAGAGCGACTCCCACCACTGCGGTGGTATTTGGCCCAATGACTCCGCCGGTGAGCTGAATGCCTATTCAAGATGATCAGCCTGGCGAATTGATATGTGAAAATTGAGAGAAGGCAAGTACCCGATAGGAAAAGAGATAGAAGCTTGGTGTAGCCCCAGCCAAAGGCCCATTCTTGCTCATAAATGTATCCCTTTTCGGCAATATCCAGGAAGTAGATGGCGTCCCATCTGGCGAATTTCAGAGGACCCGAGAGTGGCTCTGACTGACCGCCCGCTGGGTTGGCAGCATACGATATCAAAGAGGTGGAGGAGTCATAGCCCACCCCTGGACAGTAGGCCACAACAAAGTACAGGACCGCCTTCCATAGCCAAAAGGCGACTGTCAAGCTCCGAATGGGGTTGTCCAATCGCAATAGTTTCGCGTACAGTGGTGGTGGCCTTTGAGTCGGCTGAGTTGGTGCCATTATCCCCAGAACTCAGGAACTACAGTACCGAGGAACTTCCCAATGCGGATAGGCCAGAGTGAAAGAAGTTGACTGGACATAAAAGGATGCATAATTAGTCAGCGGATGTCAAAGCCCTGATGGGGAAAAGCCTCGGTCCATTGTGAAAACTGGTATAGTTCTGGCGTCCCTTGGAAATCCGGTCAGCCTTAAGCTCGATTATTGGGTCGCCACTAAGAGCTAGGATGACCCCTAGATCGAAGCTAAAGCAAATCATACCAGGTTGCAAGCAAGTTACCAGCTGAGCTGCGGTCAGCGTCCAAGAGTTGCGGTATACTTCTCTCTCCTTGCCACACATGACCATCGCTACATTTGTCTCCCTTTGTACCGTCTCCTATGACACCAGCCCCATGGAGTCGGATTCTAGAAAACTCTAGCAAATTTTGTAATATTTTGGTCAGAGAGCGGGAATTTTAGTCAGTTGTCCGTGGCCGAGACCGACGCCGACAGGGGAGGTGGACACGGAGCACTTATTCGTCCGAAGTGTGAAGGTTTGGCAGGACGATTACCTCGGGAAAAGTCTGCGAGTGGGAATCCCCACTTCTCTCGCACAAATGAAAGAATTCTCAGCAGATTAGCAGAGGATCCAGATATTGTGTCCCGTACAAGTGTATCTACAGAACTCATGCCAAGAAGCCATAGTCAGGATGACGCGGGTTTCGGAGGTTCGCAAAAATGATCACCGCGGAACCGGATAAGTCGGAGACCGTACGAGGCCGATCCCGTTGGCACAAGTTGCATTATTCACGATCCGATCCACTGAGGCGTTAGTATGGTCTTTGGCTGGTCTTTGGCTGGGTTTTTCTATAAGGCTGACCGCCCATTGTATCAGCCTCTGGCTTTTTTGACTCTCCCTCTAGTCAAGTAGCAGTGCGATCTCCTTGCGTCAGCCTCACTTTTTGCAGGCGTCACTTTTGTACATTTCCATTCCTTTATTTTGGCTGCTTCTTTCATCGTTCATCTGGGCCTGCACTTACCTGCGCCTCCCCCCACACACTCGTACACGCCTGGGCTGAACTTTCCCCGCAGCTGACGCGTTGAAATTTGGTTTATATCGTGAATACATCACCGCAAGACCTTGGCATCGACACCAATGTGGCTCCGCTAGGGCTCAAGAATGCTGTTGAATCTTGGCCTGACAGCGGATGCCGCAGCTGCCCATACACATGATTCGAGTCCACCTGTCAACTCTCCGGTGTTCTCCTTGTCAGCACTTCCATTGCTGAGCACCTTCTACAAGCCGAAACAAGCCGATGGTTCAGGGGGTGTCCAGGGTTAATTTCGGGATTGACTTCCGCCATGGGGATGAGTCCGGTCGAGTCCGCAGAGAGCGAAGGGGAAGCATCACAACCACAGCAGCTTCCCGTTCGACCTCGTACCAGTCGTGCGACATCTGGAAGAAAGTCCACGCGGCTCAAAACCACCTACCAATTCGCCCATCCTGCCTCGCACGCTCGTCACAAACGGTTGCGACTGCGTCCGAAGCTCCTGCTACAGCTGCAACAAGTGTCGCAAACACCTCGACCACTGCCAGTCGTCGATATCCTCCCCTCGACTTCATACCTCCCCCTGTTGGCGCGAAAATTCCCCGCCATCTATCGCACCAGAAATGGACTTGGTCCCTATGATTTGATTGTAGTCATCAGTGAACAGTACGAGCGAACGGTCACCAGCATACCCGAAAAACACGTGAGTTCAGAGGATGAGACGGACGACCATCGCGAGGTAGTGGCGACTATCTGTCAAAAGACGCAAGAAGATGCTCGATTGAAAGGCAAGGCAGAGATCTGCTTGAATTTTGGACCGGTCTGGGAGGCAACTCCACTTCCAAGTGGTTCATACGAGTTTGTTGCGCAGACCGACAATGGTGCGCAGGTTGTGCGATGGGCGTTGCGCAGTGGGAGGAACCGCCGGATGACCGCGCCTGCGGGCATGAACTCCCGCGATGAAGGCAAGCGATTCACCTTCAGCGTTCTCGACCCGACCACCCGCCGACACCCTGTCATTGCATCCATGACTCGCAATCAGTTAGAAGTCCACGATGAGTACTCCATGACTACCCGGACCGGTACTGGCCCTACGACTCCGACTTCCGCAATGTCCGTAGTAAGCGATGCCTCGGATGACATGCCACTTGATGCGAATATTGTTACGCTTGAGGATGAATTGCGAACCTTGATCATAACCACCGGCGTCTGGGTCGCCTTCCGCGAGGGGTGGTCCCATAATTTCAGCTACGGCGACCCGATCTCCTCCGGCGCACGATCAGTCGTGTCTCCAGCTTCCTCAAGAGCTGCATCTCCGACGGTAACCAGGAATGACCACGACCCTTTCCCTGACAATGACGAGGCCAGTCCCACGAAAGGAGCCAGTGGCAAGCGCTGCATGTCAATATCAGGTGTTCGACGTTCCAACACAACCGCGGCGGCAGACGATACGCAATATGGAAGCCTGTCAAAACGCTCAAACTCGACCGGCGCTGCATTCATGGAGCGCGCTAAACGACGCTCTGCCTCGGGACTGAGTACTCGGCTGAACCGGCACAGCATGTTCACTACAGGCGAGCATGGCCGCGATATCGTCGTCTCCCGCTCTCGTCCTGCATCGTTACGCCAAAATTCTTCCTCGTCAGAAGAGCCGTCTCATCTGCCTATCCGATCGAAAACCCCGACTCTCAAGCCGGAGAAGGAGAACACAAAACCTACGAGGTCAGACAAAGACATTTCATCCTCAACTCCTCACCAGGCACAAAAGGGTACTAGAAAAGAGAAGCCCGAACCATCCAAACAAGACATAATCGATCCAACTTCCAAGCCCAAACGCCGACACCGTCTCAGTACCTTTTTCCACATGTTTAGCCGAAAGCACGATATTCATTGACCTCCATACCTACCACATACCCATTCATACGGTGGCTAGCCCACACGTCATCACCAAAATTCTAGCATCCAAGGGCGTTCTCATACTCAACATCACGATCCGTCTGGCACGGATTATGTTAACTTCTTTTGTACTCCATTTCCTTTTCCTATTCCCCATTTGTCATCTCAACTCTTGTCGCATCCCAGCTAGCATAATGTATCTTTGCATCTGTGCATCTCCATTCCGGTATCTTTCTTACCCTGCCATGTACCCTGTGTCCATGGCTCATGTCTTGTCTCCCAATGACCGATGGGCCATGCGGCGATCTTGTTTAACGTACATCGCTGGCCATATTCTCATGGTAGACATGAATACAATACTCAGTTATTGATGAATCCGTACGTTCCAATTTGGGCATTTAGCTACCGTGAAAGAAGATACTACCCTCAAAACATGAGGCGTTGAAGAAGCGCCATAGGCCTATATCCAACTCTCTCCAAGCTCTCACGAATGAACCAACTCTCAATGTCATTCAAACCAACTCAACCCAATTACCTCTCCAGAGCAGTAACAGTCCTAGGAACATAAGGCTCCTCAAGATAAGCAATCTCCTCACCAGTCAACTTGACAGAAATACTCTCAACAGCCTCATCAATCCGCCCAATACTATGCACCCCAACAATAGGATTCTCCCCCTGATGCGAAAGAGACCAAGCAAGCGCAACCTGAGCCATACTCAACCCCTTCTTCTGCGCAATCTCCTCAACACGCCCAATAATAGCCTTATCAGCCTCGCTCTCGCGAGCCCGCACAAACATCTTCAACGCCCCGTCAGTGTTCTCCCGCACCGTCCCGCGCGAATCATACGGACGAGCCAGCGCCCCACGCGCAATCGGCGACCAGGGGATAATGCCCACGCCCGCGTCCTGGCAGTAGGGGATCATCTCGCGCTCTTCCTCGCGCGCCAGGAGATTGTGATAGTTCTGCATGCTAATGAACTTGTGCCAGTTGTTATTCGCGGCGATGTTTTGGAGAGATTGGAATTCCCACGCGGCCATCTGGTACAGCATTAGCCAAGATCCAAATTCACCTCCACGCTGGTTTGCATTCCGTAGAATGGATTGTTCACGACCATGGCCTTATCGGCCGGCGTGGTAGTCGCAGGTCCACTTACCGAACTCGCACCTATATACCTGACCTTCCCACTCTCCACCACATCGTTGAGAGCCTTCATGATCTCCTCGCGGGGCGTCTCCCGATCAAGACGGTGGATCTGGAGTACATCGATGTACGTGCCTAGACGGGCGACGCTCGCGTCTACGGCGTCGAAAATGTGTTTGCGGGATAGGCCGACGCGGTTGACGAAGTCGTTGTCGTTTCGGCCGGATGCGCTGATCGGTGGGTAGTTGCCTGTGTCGTCGACGCCGAAGAAACACTTGGTCATGATTACCACGCGGTTGCGGGGGATGTTGTACTGTTTCAGTGCTTTGCCGAGGATTTCTTCGCTTTTGCCGTGAGAGTAGACATCGGCCTGGGTATTTGGTCAGTAAGTTAAGGTATACAGTGAAGCATGAGGAGGGACGTACGGTATCCCAGGTGTTGATGCCGCGCTTGTAGGCGTGCTCGATCAGGGGCAGGGCGTCTTCTTCGTTCAGGACCCAGTCTTGCCAGTCTTTGCTGCCGTAGCCCATTGTTCCCAGGATGATCTTGGAGATCTTGAGTCCTGAGTTTCCGAGGCTGGTTCGGGTTGTTAGTATCCTGTCCTTCTTTGTATTTCTTGCTCTTGATAGAAAGGTTGTATGTACCGGACGTATTCCATCTTTGTTTCGGCCATTGTGAATGATATCTTTCGATCACTGTTTCTGTATACTAGTCAGTCCTATTGAACTACACGGTATAGTTGCATTTCAGATATGACGTCAGGCCGATGAGGAGAGTAGAACTAGGGGAACTCACAGTTTGCAGTAGTAACAGTGAGACAATGAGAAGCTCGTAGAAAAAGAACAGTTGTTGAAAGTCCAATGTGACTCAATTTAATATCCACTTTGCGGTGTCGAATCGAACTGCCGAACTCAACAAGCGGGCATCTCTTAACCGATGAGCTCCCGGTTGGGTTTCCGTGCGCCACCAAAGTTCGCTGATCGGCCCAGAGGGTCGGATGTTAAACTGCTGTACGATCTACTGTATTACCCAAATCGGGGCGTACGATATTTCTGAAAATGAGGTGAATAGCGTCACTTGCTATTTATTACGTCTCCAGAAAGATTGGATCACTAGAAGCCCCATACGCCCAGTAGCTGGAAGAATCGAGTCATTACATGCCACATGTTGCTGGCTGGCGCTGCTTTCTCTGTCTGAGTCTGTGGGAATAGAATATCGGGACGGGGAACCCAGGGAAATTGATCAGGCACAAAGCCCACGGCTGTCACTCCATTCCCGAAACTGGCATAGTTGTCTCCTGCGTTCTGGTAGACCAAGTCGAAGTCTTCCCAGCGGATTATCTCGGTTGCAGCGTAATAGTGGAGTACGGTGCCTGGCCATGGCACGATGACCTTTCCGTTCTCGTTCTTATCTGTTGGAAGGTTAGTCAGGTGGAAAAGAAGGTGGAATGACCTCGCGAGACCAGCTTACACCAGGAGTTGCAATGTCCCGACCAAACCATGTGTGGCATTCTCGACTGCACCCAGTCGTTGAACTTTCTCTGGGCCTTCTCGGTTACACAGACTGATCGCAGTCTGTCTGTCTGCAGCCGGGATAGGATTCGGATCATGTAGTTACTTGCTCGTTCGATGCCTGGAATTGCTGATCCATTGACGGGGCAAATTGGTGGGTTAAACACTGAAGGTTTCGTTAGTAAAGGGGTCAATATGATAATGTTAGAATTTTCGATATTCACCAAAGAGATTGGGATATCCAGCAACCATCGCAGCCATATAACTCTCGCAAGGACCACTGTGGTCCCACTCCGCTGTCAAAGAATGTCCGTTGCGGCCGATGACAGGGAAACGTGGCTGATATGGTTCAAAGCCAGTGGCATAGACCAAAAGATCGCAGGGAAGCTCCTTGCCTGAGGCGGTAATGAGACTGTTTTCTGTCAGTTCAGCAATGGAATCCTTCACGTAAAGAGCATTGGTCTTTTGCAGGGCATCCAGATAAGGACCACCGGGGGTAAAGCGACGACATCCAGCTTCAAACTCTGGAAGAATCGCATTCAACAGCTCCGGGCTTTCAATCTTGGCTTTCATGAATGATTGAGCCAAGGATGAGAATTTGGCTTGGGATTTGGTTCCTTTCCATAGACCCAAGAAGCCTGCCGCTAGCGACTTCTCCATTTTGATGCATTCGTCATAGTAATTGTTAGGATTCGATTGGAAGGTTTGTTTTTGTTCTGCTGTGTCTGTCCTAGAGTCAGTTCCTTGCAAAAGTACCCTCGACCGCTGTCGACGTATCCTTTCGAGGGAAGCTACCAAGCAGGGACTTACAGTGACGCTGAGCAGCGCCGTCACCGGAAAAGACATGCGGAACAATCCATGTTGGTCCTCGCGCAACGTTGACAATGCTAGAGACAACTGCACAGCAAACTCGGTCAGTATGTGCTGCATGATTGGACGGACAAATATAACTGCTTACCGGGCTGCAAAGAAGCCACGCATTGAACTGCACTGGCACCATTGCCAATAACAACCACTCTCTTATCCTTGACCGCAGTATCAACTGGCCAGTTTGCAGTATGGACCTGCACACCCTGGAACTTTTCCCGGTCAGGGATATTGGGGAACTTGTAGTTATTCAGTCGGCCCACAGCATAGATGAAAACATCAGACCAAATGGTCCTCTCCTCATTGGTGTCCACATTGCGCAGACTGACTTTCCACTTGGACAAGCCCTCATTCCATTCAGCCGAGACGCATTCCGTACTGAAGGTCATGAACCGGCGCAGATTGTGGTTGTCCGCCACATCTTCCAAGTACTGGTGAATCTCTGGCGCCAGAGGATACAGTGAGGACCAGCGCGGGTTTGGTGCCCAGCTGAACTGATACGTATGTGAGGGAACGTCACATGTGCAGCTAAGCCATTAGTTATGCCTCATCTGATGTAGGATGGTTGCATACCCGGGATATCGATTCTCATACCACGTCCCGCCTAGACAAGGGTTTCGGTCGTAAATCTCAATATCAAGAGATGGAAGTGATATGACCGCATCGTGGGCAAATTGGATTCCGGAAATGCTGATGTTGTCAGGATAAGGGCTCATCGGAGTCATGTGGTATTTCACTTACCCGGCACCGATGACGATAGCTTTCAGTGGGTGCGCGATAAAAGCGCTTGGGATGATATCGGGCAGCTCCATGGTTGCAGAAGAAAGATTTGAATGGAAACGTGAGATGAGTGTGGTCTTTTATAGATAGGATGAGAGTGGCCCACGTGCGTGTCGAGGTAATGTTATCTTTGATACCTCGACATCAAATCAATCCCACTGCTGAGCTTGATTTTGATTGACACAGAATTCGATTCAAATGCAATGATTGACTCTGCAGACCGAGTCATCAGTGGCGCCAGCCGATGTATGGCTTCTCAGACCCGCTATCAATTCTCCAGGCGAGATGACATCAGTTGAGCAACTGGTACGTGAACACTAGGGGGGTTAGCAGACAGCTGCGTACTACATGAAATAGCGGTCTATGTATGGATCAGCACCTATGATGTAAGTTATAAGAGACTCCTCTACGCGCAGTAGGGCAAGACAGACACAAACGAGCCGTAAGTTTGTTCATTAAGTAGGGGCGTGTATCTACTCGTCTTGAACTTCGGATACTCTGGTGACTTTACTCGGACTGGCTGATAATCATGCAGCGTATTCATGAACGATCGACTTGGCATGCAGGAGCGGTTTATTTTTCATGCACGTATCTAGATGAGGTCTAGAGGGCTGAAGCATAACGCAGGACACGATTAGCCACTGCCAAATCCAATACATCATTGTAAGTTTCTCATTACTGGTAAAATACTAAGCCCGGTGCGTATGGTGAGCATGCTGAAAACCGTATACAGTAACAGAACTCAGGAGTTTGTATTGGATCTGCTGGACGGTGCCTTAGGTACACAAAGAGCGAGGAAAGCGGAAGAGTCGAAATCAAAGAAGCAAGCCAGCATCGACTATAGACATGAATATTGACAAGAATCATATTTGCATCCTCTTACTCTTTCTGACCGCTAGCACAGAGAGAGGTTTGATCTCACCACGAGACAATGCTAGCAATCAGCAAACAAGCAAGAATTATTTGCTAAAGGCAAGCAAAGTCAAACATAATGGACATAAGCATAGAATCATTTCACTTTCCTCGTCAGTTCTAGGATATTGACGCACGCTACGTGAAAGATTCCATATCACTATTCTTGGCTTGGATCGGCCCATCATGACATCCCATGAGCAATCCATGCGTAACAGAATCTCTCTTTGTCGATCGCATCAAGAAGCTCATAGTTTTAGACGGCTGTGAGCGTCAACGGTGGACTTCAATGTTGCCTGTATCCGATGACATCTTAAACATGACGATTAAAGCAGTTCACATCTGCTGCTTCGCTGATAGGTCGGGAACTAACGAATGGGGTGTCTTCCTTTCGGACTTGGAGGAAGATACACTGCCCGTGGAGGTCGACTGTGCGATTGAGAACCATTCCAACTCTCCACGTCCCCTTTTACCCGGTGGACTCAAGGCTGCATTGCTGTTTTATCCAAACTACTTTACAAACGCAGAGAAGAGATGGGATATCAAGGTTATCCCGGGGCAGACAGTTCAGGATGTCTACGACCTAGTGATTCAAGGTAGACTTGACAAGTTCGAGTTCACCAGCAATCGTGCTGGCCACCGATGGTGGATCCAGACTTTCATCAAACTTCTTTCGGATACGCACTTCTTTGTCGATAAAAGTCAGGTCAGAGAGGCCCTGCAGGGCTTGCGCAGATCTTGGCCTGGTGGATCTGATCGTCGTATTACACAGGGGCTCTTCTATTGATGAGAGACTGAACGGAGAATTTTCAATTACCACTTTCATAGATGTGATTTGTTTATTTTTTTGAGTTCTAGACTTGAATCTCAAAACCAATAACCTTCAGCCCGTGTCCCTGCAGATATGTCCCTGTGATAAATGTTTCCAGTGAGTAGGCTTTATTTTAGCTACAGTGGCGGAAGGTCTGATAGCTGGTTATTTGATAGTAATTGTTCTCCTTTTCTGAACAAGCAATTCCAGCGATATGATGTGCAGGAGACTATTCGAGTATGATGAAAGACCGACAAACCTCCGTAATTGCATCAAATTTCCGTATGTGCCCCAGGGTGACACACGCTTTCCTCCTTCTATAACGTCATTTTAGAACCACGCACATCACAAGAAAGTTCAGTCTAACAGAGGTGTTTAGTTTCACTGTCAGCGTGATAAAACATCCTTCTTAATGTCCCCAAGAGAAGGAGGATATCGCGGTTAACAAATACGACTCCTTGCGTTAGCAGTCTTGTTACATAGAGCGATTAGCCAATAAACAGATTCTCAATGCCAATCTTTGTCGTGAGCACAAAAGGAAAGTAAGAGTATATCTAGCGGCAGTTACACATAAGTGCAGCGCACTACTTTGCGTGACGTTGTCCCCAACAGGTCCATATATGAGCATGAGGTAATAGAAAATGACAATGTCAGGGCATTGGGGATTGATAATACCTGATATTTCCCGCGCTAAAAATCATACCGTCATAAACATTTTATGGAATGAGTGCCTCGACATTGTATTTACAATATTACACATACTGGGAACCATCAACCTTCGACTAGTTGTTGCTAAGCAAATCAGTCAAAACATTATCCCAACTGTTAGTGCCATGGTAAAGCCTTCTATGTTTAGTCTACAACGGACAATTCCGTAGGCAGACAGATAAGACGGCAGATCTTGAAATTGAAATAAAGCCGGCACGATGTGCAGCTGACACTAGTTCTCAAAGTTTCTTTCCTACTTCATAGGATTCCCTTATTCAGGTTTCACTTTTTGGCCCTCCCATCTCACGTGAGCTCTATTTTTATACTGCTTATGTCATGACGCAGGCTCCTCATCCCAAAGCGGCAAAAAAGAACCCGAGTACGACATCTCTCTATGAAGACTCGCTCCATGAAGGAAAACACGCAGAATATGATCCGATCGCGGAAGTCTCATTACAAATCTCGTGCAGGATGTGGCAACTGCAAGAGGAGACGTATTAAAGTAGGTCATTCCTTGGTCTTGTTCTCGTCATCCCCGTACCCCCGTTACCGTGAAATGAATCAGATAGAGATGAGACAGAAAAAGAGGGATAGTCTGCTAAGGCTTCTTCGCTCACTCATATTCTTGGATCCTCGACAGGCACGGACGATCAACGGCGAGAGGATTCAGGAGAGCTGTCCTAATGATTCACAGTGCGATGAAAAGAAGCCTGCGTGCTTAAAATGTGTTCATCATTCCATCGAATGCGACTTTCAGCAAGCTGCAGCATCGCTCTCAGCTTCACCATCCGCAGCCATATCTTCACCTACCTCGTCTCAAGGCTCAAAAACGCGATTCAGGTTCAAGCCCTCAAAATATCAATCCAAAGAATCAACACCAGATGGAACAAACCACCTATCTTCCCAACCCATCGCCACAGAGATCCAACCTAGTGATTTAAACCTCGAAGAAACCCTCACCTTCACGGACCTCCGTCTCTTCCACCACTTTGTCACACAAACGTACCGCACCCTAACCGACGAAGCAACAGACAACAACCGCATTTGGCAGCATCACTTACCCCAATGGGGGTTCTCAACGCCCTCAATCTTCCACTTAATCCTCACATTGGCAGCCCTACACCTAGCCCATCTCCACCCAGAAAAGAGAGCCCAATATTTCCTCCAAGCTGACAACCACTTCACATTCGGCATCCGGTCCGTGACAGCCATTTTATCAACGCTCAATGAAGACAACTGCCAATTGATCTATATGTCCGCAATGATGATCTGTCTGGTATATTTCGGACACGGACCTCGAACCGGTGAATACCTTGTGTTTAGTCGGACAGGCCAGGCGGAATGGCTCCTTCTAATGCGTGGTGTGCGCTCCATCCTGATGTCGAGCCATGATAAGATATTCTCCGGCGTTTTGGCGATCCAGCCTGACCCGAGCATTGCTGGTATCAGTCCGGAATTTCAGGATGAGCTTCGCATTCATCGGTCTCATCTTGAGGATGTTCAGCGATTTATCGAAGCGCAGACTGGTGGAATGCCTGCTGGTGAGATGTATGCTGGAGCGCTTACGAATTTGGTTGAGATGTTTGATGAAGCTTATTGTATTCGGAGTGCTGGAAAGGGTGGAATTTGCCTGATGCCTGTTGTTGTTGGGTGGATTTATCGGCGGCCTGAGGAATTTATTGGGTTGCTTGAGAAAAAGGATCCGCTTGCGTTGATCGTCCTTTCTTATTGGTGTATTTTGTTGAAGTTCATGGGTTCTTCTTGGCTTATGATCGGTTGGGATCGACACGTTATTGCTGGGATACAGTCGTCTTTGGGTGCTGAGTTTCATTGTCATATTGAGTGGCCTGTTGGTATTATTTGCAGTTGATTTGGAGGCAAACATATAGCTTAAACTATTGACCCTGTCTGATTCGCATCAAAATGAAGATACTTTAAACAAAATTAGACTATAGAACATGGAGTCATGGAGTCATCATAAAATCAGCAACTGCCCTCACCTGATTCACCCCCAAACATCTTCTTGCCATTTATTCTTTTTCTTGATAGTTTTACTCCAATTGTTAACCTCATCATCGCTCCACCCCTTAACAGCCCTCATGGTTACCCCAACAGCCTTCTCGACCTCCCTCGCCATCCCAGCCCGTCCACAAACATAAAAGTTACCCCCCTCATCAAGAAGCTTAACAACATCCATTCCAAGCTCTGCAACCCGATCCTGGACATACTTTCTGGGCGACCCCTCAAGCCTAGAGAACGCAGTCACAACCCTCAACCTTTCCCCAAGAACCTGCTGCATCTCCTCCAACTCCTCACGGTAGATATAATCCTCTTTCGGATCTCGACAACCAAAGAACAGAATCATTGGCCCAACCTCTTTTCCAATTTTCAATACCTGACAGCGCTCAGCGAGAAATGCACGGAACGGTGCTAGACCCGTACCAGCCGCGACCATCACCAGCGGCGTCTTGCCGGTGACTGGTAGCTTGAACTTGCTGCGACGGATATGAGCGAAGACCTTTCCGCCTTGTAGTGAATCACCCGGTCCATTGAGGTGGTATGTGATGCCGCCGAGATGGGACTGGGAATTGGCTTGTTGGGAAATGGCGAGAAGGTAGTTGGATGTCACGCCGTGGATTAGTTCCGTGGGATTATCTGGTAATGGAGATGTGGAGACGATTGCTGTGATGGATGGTTTGCGCGGTGAGACAACGCTGCTGGAGGAGATGGAGTAGAAGCGTGGTTTTATGTATGGGAGGGTTTCGACAAGGTAGGAGAGAGGGAGGGCAGACCAGGGTTTGTCGGGGCATGCTAGGTGCAGGAGGCGGCCAAGGTTGATGTGCGTGTGATTCATGAAGGTGCCATAGGTCTCTTTGTCTTTACCGAGATTCAGCAGGTAGGTCTTTGCTTTGGGGGTTGGGGCGAATTGGGCTAGATTGCGGACGCTGTCGCGGTTGACTGGGGCGCAAATCTCCAAGTAGTAACGGAAGAGGGCGATGGTGCTGGTTGGAGTTGGGATTGAGATCTTTGTTGCTGGGTCGAGGGCTTTGATGCCTAGTGGGATGTCGCGCCGAGATGAGATACCGAGGACGTCGAGGAGACGCTCGACTTCGATGTCAGGGTTACCTGGCCATATGGCGAGGTGGTCTCCGGTTTTGTAGCTCAATTCAGGCTGGCTGCTCAGGTCGATGTCCATATGGAGGCAGTGTCTGTCAGATGCAGTGAAGAGTTCTCTGGATCCAGCGATGTTCAGTGTGCGAACGGCCGAGGATTGAGCAGCAGTCTTGGGAGCCTCGTTTCGGTTGTTGGGCTCACCATGATGGAGGTCGATTGGTTCGAGAGATTCATCTTCTTCGACACTCAGGCTCGGGATATACTTGACCTCTGCCTCTTCGAAGCCAAGATTCTCCTTGAAGACCTTGAACAAATCTTCTTTCCAAGCCATGAAGTCTTCTTCTGTGGCACCCTCTGCATCATTGGCCTTTCCAACCGGCATGAGAGCTTGCGCACCAAGCTTCTCTAGACCTTCAACGACAACATCAACAACACGGTTATAGAACTTATAGTTGGTATTTCCCAAGCCAAAAGCAGCATACCGCAGATTCGCCAACGACACATCACCTGCCTTCGAGATCCAGCTCCAAAACTCGGCAGTGTTATCACTGGGATCACCCTCACCATAAGTCGAGACAACAAAGATGGCCAACTTGGCATTCGGAATCTCACTGGTCGTGGCAGGATCATAATCCGACAGATCAGCCGTCATAGCCTCCTGACCCCATCGAATGGAGATCTCCCGTGCAAGACGATGAGCAAAGCCCTCTGCTGTACCAGACTGTGATCCCCAGAAGACAACCACCTCCTTCTCTGTCTCTTCCAGCTTCTGGGCTATATTCCTGGTCTCTTTGCTTGCTGATCCTAGCTGTCCACCGTTTTTAAGCTGGGGTCTTTCAAACCAGAGGTGGTGGTATGGGTCTGGTTTGTCCCATAGCAGCCCACGCGATAGATATCCCGCGCTGACTCCACCTAGGACTGCGAGGGCGGCATAGTCGGCTATTCCGGTTGGTGTGGCATATTTGGAGAGTTCCTGTAGGAGCTCTGGCGGGATGTTGAGCTGAGGGAAAACTGACATTGCGGTAAGAGGTATATGGGGTATAGATTGATGCTGTGGGACAAGATACGATCTTAGGAGCCCATAAGGTACATAGAGAGAAAGCTCTGTCGGGGTAGGACAGATATAACGAAAGTCGAGTGGTGAACGAAACCTGGGAGGACCACGGCCATAATATAGGCTGATCGTGCATATGACTGACCATCAGGGGGAAATACCCGCACCATAGGTAGATATCGTGACGAACACAGTGATCAAGTTAGGAAACTTCGATCTGCCCCGATATAAAAGCGGGCAATACTACCACAAAGATAGTTCAGACCCCCCAGCCGTAGCTGGGGAAGATAACCTCCAACACAAATCGGGGAATATTTGCCGCAATGGATCAGCAGGGAAAATATGGGGAAGTGGGCCGGAAGCCATCAGAAAGCCAAGTATGACGAGAATATGAAGCCGAGAGTGCAGCCATTGCCATACACAGCGAGACTCCATTGTGGAGAGATCTGAGTTCAATGTGCGGGGGAAACATTCACTTTCTGAATACGTCCATTTTCGATGTGGAAATATCACCCGAGTTGAGCAAGTATTGGTGGGTTGCGGGGTAATTGCTCCTGTCTTTTGGCTTCGGGGGCATTGCCCCAGACGGGGAATGTTTCTCTTTTTGCACGCCAAATACTCCAGAATCTGCATGTGTCTTGATCCAAGATTAGGTTGCAGGTGGGATTGGCATGAGCTTCGGACATGGTCTGGGGGTGAGGCTTGTTGACCCGGTTTATTGAACGGACGACAGGGATGATGTTTGAGGCTTCGAGGCTGTCGATATGGCAACTGAGGAATACCGAGTCTTGGGGATCACTAACATCTCATTTTTACAAGCAATGACTAGTACTTATCTACGTATAAGAATCCAAAGAGACGTGGCGGAGGATCAAAGAAACAATAATCATCATTGTCAGAGGGAATCATCAAAAATTGTCTAAAAAGAAAAGTAAATATCCAAAAGCTCCAAGACAATCTCTATGCCCCAGTAGTCCCCATGCCCCTCCGCCATATTTTGACAGGCATATCACCCAGAATCAAATTCATAGTCTCTTCTCTCTTCAACTCCCACCCAGGATAAGCAAGAGCAAAGTCATAACGATGCACAATTGAAGCAATAGCCTTAGTCTGCTCGAGGTATGAGATATTACGACCAATGCAAGATCGAGCGCCCGCAGAGAACGCAACTAGATACGGCTGCAATGCCTTGCCCTCTTCACCTAACCACCGCTCGGGAATGTACTGGTCCGCATTGGGGAATACACCTTCGTCGCGGTGTGCCACCAGGGCAGACATGCTGACTGATGTATCACCAGCAACCCACTCGCCGAGAATGTTCGTCCCCTCCGGTGGCGTCGCGCGAGGGAGGCCATGTGAAGTCGGGGGGAAGATGCGCAGAGATTCATCTAGACAAGCGCGCAGGTAGGGCAAGTGCTTGATCTTATCATAGTCCGCGACGATCTCATCTTCATCCAGGATAGCATCAAGTTCCTCGCGGAGCTTAGCCAATGTATCGGGGTTGCGAAGCAGCTGGTACAACACGTTGGTGATGGCGATGGCGGTGGTAACGCTACCAGCATTCATCATGATGTTGCACTCGGCGACGACTTCGCCCCATTCGAGGTTGTTGGGACTTCCATTTTTGTCTTCCATCAGAGCCTGGAAGAAGTCATCTAGTTTTTCGCCGGCTTCGTAGCGACGTAGTCTCTCGCTGCCGCGGCGCCACATGATGTTTTCCCAGTTATCTGCTGAGGTCTGCATTCGCCCAAAGAATGGGATGACGTTCACCAGCTTGTTGAGGACCGGGTACCAGCCATAGTCCCACAGGATGTAGGATTGTTTGCGGGCGGTTGGGTAGAGAGCGTCGCGGAGGCTGGTCTCGTATGTGGAGCCGTCTTTGCGTTCGGCCACGCACATGTCTGAGCCTTGGTCTAGGAAACCGAGTTTTTCTGAGAGACCAATATCGGCGATAGCGTCGAGGGTGAAAAAGTTGGCCCAGGCTCGGAAGTTGAGTGAGAGGTCTTTCTTGGCCGGTGCAACTTTTCCTGATGTGACATCCTCCGAGGCAGGTTCCGTGCAGACTTTGTCAAAGTGTTTGAACATCCGTTGGACTTTGTCTGTGACTTTGTATTCCCAGGTCTCGAGGTTTTTCAGTGCATAGGCTGAGGAAAGGACCTTGCGCTTACGAGCATGGTCTGGCTTGTCGACGACATCTGCTAGGTTATAATGGGTCCCGGCTGTGATGACATATGAGGGATCTTTTGTGCACTTGGTGTTATGGCCATAGATATCCTTGAGGGCGCGGACGTCTCCGTATGATAGTTGGTTCGGCCCTGTTCGGATGACTGGGCTTTTCTTATGCATTTCCATCAGCTCCATTGATCGAAACCCGCGACCAGCAAGCAGCATGAATGGAATTGCAGAGAACCCAGAGAAAGGGGAGAGATTGGGGTATTTTCTTAGACCTTTGTCAAGTTAGTGAGGACCTTCTAGTCGGTCAAAGTAATCAAGTACATACCCTTGGGATCTCGAAGGTATTCAACATAAGGAACTGCAAGGAAGTATATAAAGAGAAAGAAAACAAGACCAGCTGCGTAGGGTGCAGCAGCAAACAGAAACCACATTTTAGAAGTTCTCTATGTCGTTGCTCCAAAGAAAAAGGTGAATGAATTTGAGACAGAAATAAACAAGTCCTGCGCTGAGCTCGTTCGTTTCTAATGAAGACCCTCTGGGACAGAGTAAGAAAGTAGCGCGAGTATGATTATTGAAAAAACATGGCGATGGTTTAAATATCATTGTCTCATGTAGCACATCAAAAATTTTGGTACCCTCCATCATGGCCTAAGTTTGGGAGTAAAATTGTCCGAGGGCAGGATAGCCCTTCACTCGTCAGGCGCTTGTTCCTCCTATGGATTTCTCCAAGATTGAAATGGTCAATTTACCAATAGAAAGATTTGAAAGTTTCCCCATGGTAACTTAGTCGCTGTGTTGTCCCAGAAAGGGCGGGGAATATTTCCCTTGCGAGACAGGGAAACAATCCCCGAGATAGGCGGGGAACCCCACGTAGATCATCTATACAGACCCTAGACAGACATGATATACTGCGTTTCTTATTTGCTTTCGAAATATAATGATCGGTTATCGCCCTGAGCCAGCCACTGCTGGAACTTGTGCAGTGCCTGGTATCGGTGCGAGAGTGCATTCTAGTCGGTTTGAGCATCATGCGCGAGAGGCAGTATCAATTCAACATACCTTTTTGTCGTGCTCCATCTCAGCTAATGTCTCTCCCTCGTGCTCGAAAATCGGCTCCCAACCTGTTTCTCGGTGAGTGGTAGTTCAGTTCAGATGCCAAAGCGATACTCACCAAACCTGGGTGGACCACGCGCAGGTACAATTTTGCCCTATTCCGTGGTCAGTAGTACTCATTATCCAATGCCAGGGCTTTATTCACCTCCAGTCTGCCTTGAAAGACCAGTGGCTCCATTGTTGGCCCCGAAGAATAAGCAAACGTGCATACAGCTTCTGCACTTTTGTCCTCGTAGGCGAACAGGAGTTTATTGAGACCGTCGTTTCCCAACGACTCAAGGAAGTATTTTCTTATAGACACTGTATTAGCAGAGGACCATCGATACTCCTGCTGTGCCAATTTGGATAACTTACATGTAGGGACCTGGCAGCCCTTTCATTGCATTAAACTCCAAGGCCGAGTCTTCAACCAATACCGGTCCGTTGATCTACCTCGTTAACGTCCGCCCAGAGTCACATTGAGACCCGACTCTATGTCCTCTTACGATCTCAGCGGCGCGTCGACATTTCTCGGTCGCGATTTCTTCCAGAGTCCCTTGAATCTCGGGAATATCCAAGTCAAGGGATTGAACGGGCACTGCTTCACCAAGGATAGCGTTGACCTCGATCACCTTGTTGGGGTTGCCGGTCACGAACATGCATGGCTTCATATTGGGCTTAACGTTAACTGGATGACTGAGTTGGTGATGCGTCGACCTTCCTGTCGAGGAATGATATACCATTCCCCTTTGGGACTAGTACATCGGGGATATCTTGCGTTCAAAATACAGGAATCAACAATGAACTCTCTAACGAAGCTGAGGACTGCGGAGAAATCGACAGGACTTGGAAATTACACCATTATTTCAATATCAATCTATAAACTTCCAAACTTGAGTGTCAAAATCAGTACTGATAGGCCGGCTCGCTCTCGGGCCATCTCCACAAACCCGAACGATGACCTACAGTAAAGCTATGCTTCGGAGCTATTGATACTAGACAAGGACCGGATATTCCATTATGCATAGCTCGGGTCAATACACTCCGTCAATAGCCGACCCCGGTTAATGAATATATCAAGGTTTAGGCCGCGTGCACGCTATCCTCGACAGAAGCAGGGGGATGACCACATACTAGACGGAAAAATTAGATTCAAACACCATGCTGCATGAAGAGTGCTACCGCCTCCTGAAACTAGTGGCTGAAAGTGGAGTTCCCCGGATTGTTTCCTGAAGAGACTGCATCATATCACAGCATAGCCGTCTATACTTAAGAGATCTTCACTGCCTCAATCTGCCATAAAATCCTGGCTAGCTTAGTATCCTAGTTGAGAATCAATTACTGCGTGTCTAGCAGTCATGCCTGGCTTCTTTCCTGTCTCAGCATCGCTTTTGGGCCTTGCGGTTTCGGCATCGGCCTTGAGCTTCAATGTACCGACATCCCCTCCTTCAAATTCCAGTGGGCAGATATCTGCCGCTCCTGTTGGTGTCTCGTGAGTTCAAGTCTTCACTGATAGAGACAAATTACTCATTCGATAGTCTGGAATTTTTCGCCTTCCCCGCGTACTTCCAAGAAGTTGATGCAACAACGACATGTCTGCAGAATCTGAAAGATGTGACAGGCACTTGGCCACCTGTGCGAATTGGAGGAACTACTCAGTACGAACTACTTCTGCTTGAGTTATACTATTACTAATACCATATAGGGATCGTGCCACATATGATGCATCCTCCACTGAGGCAGTCACCTACACAGTAGCCAGTTCGGGCGATGCGCCCGAAACATTGACTTACGGTCCATCCTTTGTATCCCTCGCAGCTACATACGCCGGCAAGGTTATTATTGGACTGAATCGGCGCTTGGATGACATCTCCAACACCATCTCAGCTGCGCTCCTGGTTCAGAGCAAGATGAATAATGTTTATTCTATTGAACTTGGAAACGAGCCAAACTGTGAGATTTATACTGTTTATTCCAGATATGCGTCGTTGGAAGTCATTTACTGACCAGCTGCGCGCAGTCTTTACTTCCAGCGACCCCATTGCAAATGGTGCATCCTGGACAGCCGCAGCAGATGAATCATCTCAAGTGAACTGGCAAGATGCTGTTTGTGGAAATCTATCTACATCCGATATCATTTCGGCAGGTGTCTATTTCGGTACCTCCCCCATGAGTCTTGTTGGACTTACTGCAAAGGAAGGCGACGCAAATGATTATGTCAAGGACTACTGCTCTCACAACTATCCTCAGTCTTCTGGTAGCTATGACCTTGCCAAACTCATGGGCCACAGCGATATTGCATCTCAGATTGAGCCTTTTGCTGCTGAAGTTTCAGCTGCTGCCGACATGGGCAAGCCGCATATTTTTGGCGAGACGAATTCTGGTACATTAACCTTGTGTCATGTTCCTAAATAAACTTCTAACATTGGTACTAGCTACACAAGGCGGAGGTGGTATCAGCCCAACATTCGGCGCTGCCCTCTGGATCCTGGACTATGTGATGCAGACCGTGCTCATGGGCACAGATGCCCTTTATTTCCATCAGGGTACGGTTGGAAACTGTAAGTGTCCACCCAAATGTTCCTCAATATATCCATTCCCTAACTTCTCAGGCCAATACTGCTGGTGGGGCCGCTACGATATGGGCTCGCCATACTATGGAGCTTATTTCGCCACAATGGCATTGGCGAACGCCGACCAGATTGCGCCTCTGGATAGCCAAGACACTGCATATGCTGCCTACGCCATTTACAAGTCCGGGGCTCCTGTGAGAGTTCTACTCTACAACTCGGATTACTATACAAGTGGCACCCGTTCCTCGCAGACATACACGTTGTCCGGTCTTACTTCTTCCAGCGTCACTGCTAAGCGATTGACTGCTCCTTATGCTACATCCCGCGTTGACCAGGGTTCAAATCCGACCGTTGCAGGTCGGACATTTGCCAATGGGACTTGTGTCATTCAAGGTACTGAGACTGTGGAGACTGTCACAGTTTCTGGTGGGAAGGCCGCCTTTACGGTTGCAGCTTCAGAGGCCTTGTTGGTTTATTTGTGATCATGCATATTTTGCCTGGTTGGCTTTATTTCCTTAGGGAGAGTGTTTGTCTGGCCATACCGAGGATTTTGGATGTGTAGCTGGACTTTAGTGTAGAGAGCTAAATCCCCGCATGCGCCGCCGGAGATTATCTTGTTAGGGCTTAGCAATGCTTAGGGCTGGTGGTCCATGCATTCTGTTTGACAGTGAAAAATTGAATCAATTCAAGCAGAGTGAGCGAGTGACCATATTGCACATAAGAAAACTTGTAGTGGAGCTTCTTGAAAAGTATCTCGGTTCGCACCTTAGTTTACACGTATCACCATCTCTTGCAGGGATCTGGTACTTCTGTTTGGCCTTTGTCTTATTTGATTGTCTCGGGTGTAGGGAATTCCGGTTTCGTGAATACTCATTAAGCTATTAGGAGAAAGCTTCGGTGTAAATTGTAGCGAAGCAATTGCCGGGCTTTTTCTGGCGTCCATTAGCACGCTCTTTCAGACGCCAGCCCACCCACTGCTACTGAAATACACCAATGTAAGCCTTTAGTGGGAATCATCGGCAACTGAGCCATTCTTCCGGCTCAGCCTTGAAATATCCTTTTGCAAGATGAGTTTCGCCCCCACTCATTTGGGAAGCCGAGCTACGGGGCCCCGGATCTCCCCACATTTCCATCCCTTGTCGTTTGTAGAACTAAAGCCTGATAGCCTGAATATGATAAGCCAATCATGGGTGCTCTCATAATTACAGTCAAAGCTTGAGAAATATAAAGATTGCTTGTCTTTCGTTTTGCATATTGGTTTCCAAACGCTCCAACTCTGTGGGCAGGTATTCTGTACTTTCTTGTCCATGATGGATAGTTCAAAGGATCATACCGAGAAAATCGAAGATGTCTCTTCCAACCAGATGGAAGAGTTGCCAGTCAAGAACATGGGGCCTATCATGCGGTCTCGTGAAGACGATCTTGGTGTTTGGCAGTGTGTGTTGCGATTCAAGACTGTGTCGCTGATTGCTATGACTGCCGCATTCAGTGCGTCTCTTGACGGTTATCGTAAGGCCCCTTCAATTTCGCATTGATAACAGAGAACAACAGCTAACACTGTATGTGAAGAAATCAACTTAAACGGCGGTATTGTGTCCAACAAGGGGTTCATTCGACAAATGGCCTCACCGGGCACATCAATCATCGCCGGTAAATACGTTTCCGCTTGGGGAGGAATTCAATCTGCCGGTCAAACTGTCGGGCAAATCGTGAGTCTCTTTGTCTGATCCTACAAACTCAAGGTTATATCTAATTTCACTCAAGCTCCTTCAATATGCCACTGAGAGATTCGGTCGCAAAGTCGCGTTCTATATCATCTGGGTCGATATTGTTATTAGTGTCTTCATTGAATCCTTCGCAACGCGATGGGATCACTGGCTTGCAGCAAAGCTCTTTTCTGGTATGGGTGTTGGAATGCTTCAATCTACCTTGCCTCTATACCTGTCTGAGATCGCACCGACTCAACTGCGTGGTTTCTACATCAACGCGTATAGCTTGTGAGTCTCATTTCCATATGTGATATACAATCTAACAATTCTAGCTGGTTCGTCGTCGGTCAAATCTTTGCCTCGGTTGCGTTGAAGGAACTCAGCGCGCATGATCCCTATGACTTCCGCATTCCTATCTATACCCAGGTGCGTTTAACATTGACATCCCTTGTCTTCTCTATCTATCGGCTAACCATGCCAAAATTAGTGGGCTATGGTTGGCATCATTGCAATTATCTTCCTTCTCATGCCCGAATCACCTTGGTGGCTCGTGAGCAAAGGCAAAGTTGACCAGGCGGCCAAAATTCTGAACAGGTGCAATGGAAATGTTGCTGGATACAGCGTTGACGAGCAGATTGTATGTAGCGCACTGATGTCCTCGCTATCAAATTGTTAACCGAATTACGTAGGAAATCATGACAGCGACAGTCACAGAAGAACGAATCCTGGCAGAACGCAACTCTGAGGAAGGGATGTGGGCTGTATTCCAAGGGCGCAACCGGATTCGCTTCCTCATTGCAGCCTGGCCCAAGATCGCTCAGCAGTTTGTCGGTCTGTCTGTGTTCAACACCTACGCTACCTATTTCTGTAAGGAAACACCCATCAAAACTATCATCTTTCAAGTCTGACAATATGACAGTCCAATATGCTGGCAGCAAAGATCCATTTATGGTCACTGTTATCCTGTCCTGTGTTCAGCTCCTGTCTATGATCATGACTGCTGTGACTACCGACAAGCTTGGTCGTCGGCCGCTAACGATCTATCCATACGCTGTCACATCGGTATCAGTCCTGTGTCTTGGGATTATCGGCTGCTTCGATTATACCAAACCATCGACAAGCTCCCTACTGGTTAGTAACCTGACACGATAGTAATGATATCTGTTGAACTCTTGGCTAAAATCTAACCTAGATCTTCTTCGCTTGTCTGGCTACTCTTTCAACGACCGGTGCATCAGCTATTGGATATGCCTACGCTGCTGAAGTTCCTCAGCAGCGTCTGCGTGCTCAGACAGCAGGATGGGCACTCGCATCTTCGAATGTAGTCGCTATCATGTTCAGCTTCTGTACACCCCTGATGATCAACAATGCCCCTGTGTCTAGCTGGGGTGTAAAGACTGGATTCTTGTAAGTTCCCATCCTTCCTATATGTTGTTCTCAAACCTTACTAACTACTTTTCTTGCACATAGTTTTGCTGGTACGGGTACAATTGCCGTGATTATTGCTTGGTTCATTCTTCCTGAGGTGACTCGCCGCACACCTGCTGAAATTGATGAGATGTGAGTAGAGTCTGCCCTTGCCTTGTGTTTGTTTCTCGTTTTTATGATTGAATACTGACATATATATTCTCAAGGTTTGAGAAGAAAGTCAACCTTCGTAAGTTCAAAGGATATGTTACTGAGGTGGAGATGCGCTCGAATGAACAGCGTCAGGAGCATGAGATGGTCGTCACTGCTTGATTTAGCCATGAAACAAGTGATTACTATGGCTGAAAGTATATAGAATGAAGGAGATCAGCTTGTAGCCTATGATTCTTTTCAATCTCGTATCTTTATGCTTTGATGATGGACTGAATTTTAATATATTCGTTTCTTACCCTGAATTCTGTTTTGAGCCGACTTCATGATTTGCACATGTTTAAAATTACTGACAGAGACAAAATCGAGCTGCCTATGTTAATTCGCATCCAATTTGTTTGAAGACGCGTTGGGAAAAGCTGAAACTGTTTAATCTATTTGACTGGTTACCACCCCGTGTTTCCTATTCGGGTCGACAGGTAAATCTGACATAGTCCACAATACCATGCTCCTCGCTGTTGCACCCAGGCAACTGACTAACAACCTCGACGGCTTTTTCCAGCTTCAGTTCCACAATTTTCTCTCCATCAGACTCAGTCTTCCATGAAATCACAGCAAGGTTGTCCTTGCCAATAGCAACTTTCGCCTCCAAATCCTTTGTCAATCGAAGTCGAGGCTTGAAAGATATCTTCGAAGACCCCCAGGCAACTGGCTGTATACCTGCTAGCTCAGTACAATACTCATAGATTGGCACGCTCCCCCAAGCGTGACAGTCAGAGCGTTGTCTAACATCATCCTCTTCCCAAGTTGAAAGATTATTAGCCAACATCCCCCACCAAGGAACCCACATCAACTCCCAGAAAGAGTCGTAAAGATCATCTCCAGCCAGCGCCAACGCCCGGAATGCATAGAAGCGCATCATATACGAGCACTTTGAGAAGCGATCATTGGTGAACGATTCGGTCAAGATTCGCCTAGCATCTTCCTCGGATTTTACCGCTCCGCAGATAACTGCAAAGACCTGGCAATGCTGAGAATATGAAGACTCATCGGCAACATCAATCGTCGAGTCTGTAAAGAATGACCCATCAAAGCAATTCTCTCGAATTGCGAGGAGAAGTGATGTAGCACGCGCCTCGTACTCGGTCGCATTTCCTGGCCGTCCAATATCACGCACGAGTCGGGCGACTTTCTGCAGGACCCACGCATACAGCATGCTAAAGTATGTATGTCGGTTTGTCTTTCGACCTGAAGTAGGAACGCCCTTGTCGGGGTGCTCGTCGGTTGCGCCCCATGTTGTCACCCAGTCGACATACTGCCACACAATCTCGGGCAGTCCACTCACGAGTCCTAGATCGTCGATGTGGGCGTCGAAAAAGTCGAGGACTCCATCAATCCGAGGAATGAATGACCGTGCATAAGGTGTGTCACCGAAGAAGAGATGATGGTCGCAGACTTGCAGGATCCAGTAAAGGGAGAAGCCTGCAATTACTTGCGGAATGTGTGAGGGAAACCTGGACTGAGTGAGCCCTAGTGGTGTTACGGAGGCTGCAAAATTTGTGATGGCTTGTCGCATTAAACGATCATCGCCAGATAGGAGGTAGTGAAATAGGCCGACTGAGCGGCTGTCTCCAGAGTATCTATCGAGGAATGTTAGTCCAGGCTCATCACGGGCTTTGGATGGGACTTACTGCAGTTGCTCATAGAATGGACAGTCGGAATATCCATCAAACATGCAATTACGCATAGTTCGGATGGACACATCCCATATCTCCTCGCTTTGTGCATCACCAGGCTGTTTCCAACTCGCCTTGACTGCCATGGGGTAGTTGACCTGAGTCGCATCAAACGATACTAATTCAATAGGCTCGGAGCCAACAGTTATCTCAATTCGCATCAGACGGAACGTGCGAAACCAGAAAGGCTCGTAGAAGACGATTTCGGTATCAGGAAGATCGAAAGTGACTTCGTCATAGGGCCCTATGATATGGCCGACGGTTGCATCCAGTCTGTCAGCCTTGGATCTGAAGAACGGATACGAACGAGGCTTGAGTTCATATCCTTCTGAGTATGTCACTCGGAGTTGAATTTGAGATGAGCTTTTGATTGCTTTGAAGGCCCACCGCAGAAATGCGGTTGAGTGCACGTCGGCTTGAACTTCGAGCGTATGAGTCGAGTTTGCCGGAATAATGAGCTGGCCTCTTTTTGAGAGGAAAGTCTCCCAGTTCTCTTTGTCAATGGCGCTCTTGCATGCTCTAACAGTGTTGACAATGATTGCCTTTGACTCGGGCATTGGGATGGAGCGTGGGCGCAAATGCCACGGCGGAATATCGCCATTCAGTGTCTTCATATTGTATGAGAATGGCTCAACCGGATGAATTGGCTTTGTTGGCTGGATGCGCTCGCTGATCTGACCATTGTATGTTAGTTCAGAATCGATCTCCCAATCGAGAACAAGCACTTACATGGAGAAACACATCATCTGGCAGACCCATTGGGAATTGAATGCTCTCATCCACCCAGGCTATCCATTCATGAGTAGACTTGAGATCCACGAATCCGGGGTCGGTTTCGATTTTTCCGATAACAGTCAAGCCTGGAAGCGCAGTCCGCTCAAAGGGCATTGCACTCCTGGAAGCCATGAAATACCGGATCACCACAAACCGAATCTCATTCTGGCCCTCTTTCAGATACGGGGCAATATCCAATGAATCATAGTACCAAATCAAGGGACTGCTTCTAGTCGGTCCAACTGCAACATGCTGGCCATTGACATAGAGCTTATATCGCGTGTCGGCTGAAAAATGAAGCAATGAACGTTTCGGTCGCGAGGACAAATTGATTGATCGAGTAAAATGAACAATCTTTCCCGCTGTGTTTTGGTCTGAATAATCAAGCCAATTGGGTACCCAGATCCAATTAGCCTGAAGCTCGTTGATGGTCTATTTCGAGGATATGTTAACACTTGGTTCTGGATTCGATCGGGGTACCTACTTTTTGCTCTTCTGCTGACACCATTTTGCAAGTTTGAGAGCGCTATTTTGTTGCCATCTTCAGGTCTTGGGTGATCTGATAGACCTGTAAATACTCCGGCGGAGGGGCGGGGTCTCGGACGATCTTTCGCCGAGACTGAAGGGCGTCGGCGATTGAAATTAAGCTGCAAATAAGCGCTGAGGAGCTTCATAACCGCTATGACTCTATTATAGCTAATGTTTGGTTGGTATTAAGTCCATACCCGTGTGTTTTGAGCTGTTGACTTTCATCATGCTCCTATCATTTGGTGTGCTCTAGTTTGCTTCGAACTGACTTGACTCTATTTCCATCTGCTTCAAGGCAACGCATTCAATCAAACATATGCATCAAAAATCAGATGGTACTAATAATTCGCCTTTTCCGTAGGAATGTTCTGTCAAATATGTGGTCATATTTCTCGTTGGCTCCAAATTAGTTCTATCTATCTGACATGCACTGTCCATTGCTTAATGTAACCAGAGTGCAGTAAGTTAACTTACTTGAGGTTTCTTCCCTAAGAGACAGAAACTGTACCTCTGCCTTCTCTTCTCTTGTATTCTATCTTGCAATTTCTGTCGCCTGAACCTGCACCTTTACGGTTGCTTCCGTTATATATATTGAAAACCAAGAACTATTCTTAAATGTTATGTCGATTCTCAGTAGATAACATAGCCAAAAGTAAGTCAAGATGCAGCATACCTTTATGAGTGTTTTGAAATTGGGTCTCGTATAACATAAAGCGGCCTCAGTAGTAGCGCTCTCGTCGTATTCTCCGCTTCTGAAAGACACGCCCAACCAGTGCCAACTTATCAAAATTTCAACTATCCATTGCAATGCATTGGAAATTCTTTGCTGATCAACTTGAGAGTGCATTATGAGCTGAATATGCGCTCTCGATCCCCCCGAGCAGTGCCTCATTCGAGAAATCGCTCTTAGCGTTCTCCCAAGGTAATCATTCAAAAATGAGTCAAGTCCTTCCACGTTTCAAGATCAATACATTGAGCACATTATACTTGGCAATGAGGTACGAGCCTCGTTTGCCTCACTTCTATGCCGAATATATCTTCCAGTCAGTCTCAATAATCAGCATGTCGATAGGATCCATCGTCCATCTGGGACCCATCATAGTCCTGTGATCTCCTCTTTGCGCAGACATTGCCACCGAATGTCCGCAAAACAGCGGGCATCACATCAATTGAAACGCGTGTATGTCCGAAATACCCGCACTTGGCTAGCACAGCCTGCAGGTCGATCTCAATATCCCGAAGGTCAAAGTAAAAAGGACACGCGCCTCCCAAAAAGTCAATCAATAGAGTGTCGTGTCAGGGGCACCCGGGTGATCAGCCTCGCTCGTGGGATCTCCATTCCACACTGAAAATGTAGTTTAGGGCCCGGTATTGTGGGAAGCAATGATCTTGGGGGCCAGAAACTAGTTCGGAGTTCGAGACCTTTTGGCCCCCTTGCTTGCAAGCTCCACCGGCAGTCTAGGGGCGATAGTTGAGGGAAGCAGCAGAGTCGTGGGTGATAGATGCTAATAGATGTATAAGCTATTGAATTGATTGGACAAAGGGATCTAACATCATCGCTAGTCATTTCAGTTAATTTGTGTGATTCATGGAACGTGTCGACGTGGAGACCAGTATCCGAGCACATTCGCGAATACGAGAACACCAGACTATGTACGAGTATATCTCTATCTCTGTCTATGTCTATAATCTACTGCCCTATTTCTGCTGCTCGAAAGTCGGGTAATCAATATAGTGGAAAGCATTATCCTCGAACGGACCATAGAAGCGAGTCCGGTCGTAGGGAGTCAGGGGCAGCTTTTTCTTCAACCGGCGGACAAAGTCCGGGTTGCTGATGTAGTACCGGCCGTAGATCATACCATCATATTTGCCAGACTCGACGACTCCCCAAGAATTCTCTTCGTTCCAGCCACCCCCGGAGAAGAAGGGGGTGGAGCCGAAGATCTTGCGGAAGCGATCGAGGGTGACGTCTGATAGACCCCAGCTCTCAAGGAACTTGTCCTTTGCTTCGACGTCGAAGATTTGTTCGTAGCGCTGACTGGGTCAGTAGGGATTCAAACATGTAACCGAGGGGAGACAGGAAATACCGGTTCAATAAAGCTCACATATGAAAGCTTCGGCAGAGACTTTTTCAAGCCCTCACAGAGATACGACCAAGTCTCCAAGCGCTGCTCGCCACGCGCCTGATTGAACAGACCAAAGGGCGACAGACGAATGGACAGATTCTCCTCGCCAATCGTCCCAGCCACAGCACTCATCAGCTCCAACACAAACTGGCACCTCTTTTCGGGCGAACCACCATAGCTATCCACTCGCTTATTGATGTTGGAGCTGAGGAATTGCTCCGGCAAATACCCATTACCAGAATGGATTTCCACACCATCGAAGCCAATTTCCATGGCTGTCTTGGCCGCTGCACAATAATCGGCCACGGTCGACTGGATGTGGTCCACCGTCAGGGCGACTGGTGGATGTTCCGCGTACAGCACGGGCGAGGTGGAGCCCTCAGGCGGGTGCGAATAACACTCCGACGGGGAATCCCATACACTGGCCGATGGACACACTGCGGGTGACCCCGTCATCTGGGGAATGGTCGCTCGGCCTGCGTGCCAGAGCTGGCAGAAGATTATTCCCCCCTTGCTGTGCACGGCGTCAACCACGCGTTTCCAGCCGGCGGCCTGTTCGGGGATGAAGAGGCCCGGAACTCCGGGCATGCCATTGCTCTGAGGAAAAAAAAAGTTAAGTGTTAAAGTTTGAGATATGGAGACGCGAACAGTGCGGAATCACAAAAAAAAGGAACAAATCAACTAGACGGGAAGGGCGTGGATTTGGCTCTTTTTGGCTCTTTTGGGGGCTGATTTAGGGTTGACAGCTTGGCTTGATACACGTACCTCTAGTGATGGTGGGATGCCCTCGGAAATCATCAAGCCACCTTCAGTTGCCCGCTGGGAGTAATACTCCACCATCAGGTCCCCGGGAATCCAGATTCGATTAGGATTCTCTGGAGTGGAGGGGTGGAAAGGCTCGCCACGGTTGCGGGTCAAAGGCGCATGAACCACACGATGCTGCAGGGTGATTTTGCCATTGGAGATAGTCAAGGGGCGGAATAGACCGGAGTCATGACCACTGAGTTGGTGAATAGTCATTTTAAATTACGGAGAACGGAAAACGGAAGAACCGCTGCAGGGAACAGGGAACAGGGAACAGGGCTCACAGGGCACACAGGGAATAGGGAATATGAAAGTGGGAACTATAGAACACGGGGGACAGTTCATAGGAAAAGTGTCAAAACTGACAGCTCGGTTATGGAGAGGGGGGGAAAACGTAGCAACATAGGGTTTGACTATTCCTCACTTGACAAATGGTCAAACAACGGACTGATGATCGATGGCACATTTTTTGTCATGGATCAATACTAGCCAATGGCTCGGGCCTCCTGTCGTTAATTGTAGTGGAGAACTGGACTAGATTTCACCAAGAACTATTCGATCGAATGGGGCAGACACGGCAAAGTCTTCTATTCCGTGGTGGAACAACGTCTGTTCCCCGACCAATTAGGGCTGTCTGGAGCGTAACGCCACGGATCGATAGCCTTGGAGTCTCCGCTGAGGATCGCCCTCGGGGCTTCAGCTGCCCTTTTCATCCAAGTCGCATGGTCTGCACAACCCCGATTCTTTTGTTCTTGATCTCATCACCTCCCGGGGGTGATGGTTCTCTTTGTTCTCTAGCCCACCATGTCGGATCACCCTAAGGACATCCTCAACACAATCAACCTCGTCACACAATGTCTCTGTATTCCGATCGTCACTCTTTTTGTCGCCTTGCGCTTTTACACTCGGTTGCGATTTAAGCAATCCTTGGGCGTCGAAGATTGTATGTTCCTCATCTTGCTGAACCCGACTCTAGTCAATCTCCCTTCTAACCTCGTTGTCTAGATGGCTGCACCGTAGCATGGGTATGTTCCAGCGACTCTGGAAGTCCGACATCATCCGGGGGAAAAAGACTAACCTCTTCTAGTTATTGTTTATGGGATACTGTGCAATCAGTATCGTCAGTAAGTGCCAGCATCCATTCCATTCATCCAAGAACCTCGTTAACCAACCAACCCCCAGTCGGCCAGCATGGCGGCGGCTATCATTTCGACGAACTCGACAGCGCCACCCAAATCCAATTCAAAAAGTTCTGCTACATCGCAACCATTCTATACTGCCCAATGGCCCTCTTCGTTAAAATCGCCCTTCTCTCAATCCTCACCCGCATCTTCGCTCCTTACCGCGGCAAAGTCTGGTTCATCTACATCTTCCTCGCCTGCCTTTGCTGCTACTACATCGTCGCCCTCATCATCAAAATCCGCATGTGTAGCCCCATCCCAATGTACTGGCTGGGCAACGTGGAAGGCGGCTCCTGTCTCGACCAAACCGCCGCTCTCATCGCCGACTCAGTCATCTCCGTCGTGAGCGATATCATCATTCTCATTCTCCCCCTGCCGCTCACCTGGTCGCTTCAAATGTCGCGCAACCGCAAGCTGCGCGTGATGGGTCTCCTCGGTGCCGGTGGTCTCGCCACGGGATTCAGTCTATACCGTCTCGTCCTTGTTCTGAAGGATGGAAATTCGACCGATATGAGTCTAATGTTTGTCCGAGTGATCTTGTCCGGGTATGTAACCCTCATTGCATTCCACATTCCATTCCCATGCAGCAAACTAATCCCTGGCAGAAACGCCGAAGGAGGCGTCGGTCTGATCTGCGCCTGTCTCCCGATCCTCAACGTCCTCCTCGCCCATTACAAAAAGACCGTCTCCGACAAATACTACCAGCATAGCTCGAACATGGCGCTAAGTGAACGCAAATCCGCCCCGTCCAAGGCTGCCTCGGAATGGGATAAGGCCACTGCTTTCGGTGACCAAAGCCATCTTATTTCCTTTGCGGGCGCGCCCGAGGCCAGCGAGTCTTCTTATAACCCTGAAGATGGAATTCGGAAAACGGTCGCTGTCTCGCAGACTATTGAGACTTCATGACCACGACTTTGATGTGTTGTGTATTGTATTTTACATGAGTCGGGGGCTCTCCCTAGCCCCCTTGGTTTCTTTGCCATTGTTTGTGGTTGTATATACCCTATTTCTTTGTATATCTATAATGAATTTTAGATTAATCAGGTCCATTTCTTGGCTTTCTTGTCCGAGTTATTCGTCTTAGATCAGAGTTTGGGTTTAGTTGTAGACGTCATGGGTGTGACATAGCGACTCGATCTGTTCCGAGGTTGAGGTTCGGACTTTTGTTCTCGAGATTGCTTAATTTATTGGCTTTGGGCTTAAAACGGCCTCGCAGAGAAGGAAGGTGGAAAGTTCCACGGGTTCTTGATTTCTGCAAGGATAAGCTTAACTTCCTTCCTGATCGGCCAATGACGGGATGATATTGGTTCGGCTCTGGAGGGATCAAGGAGCCAATCAGATGTGAGTAGTCGCTTCATCACGATAACAGCGCTTCATCTGTGTCTAGATCCGACAGTTGATTGAACAATATTCAAATCCGGTTAATGGCATGACACATTATTTCTCCTCATAGTCTGGCGTGCTAGTAATTACTTGATCCATTGAATGCACGGGCGTTGGATTCTGACTGGCTAGCTTAGCTAGCCAAAAGACAAGCAACTTGTTACTTGACAATGGCCTCATCCCAGTCACCTAGAGCTCTACAAGCAGAAACAACTCGCTGATTGCAACAGTACCAGAAAATAGCAAAAAGAGATGGAAAATAAGGGCCCAAATATGATCCCAATAATGCATGAAATGGGACACCCAGTTAGATGGCATTGCAGAGTCTAATACTTGATAGCACCGGGAACAGATGAACGACCATTACCAAGCATTAACCTGAGCCTCGTATCATCTCATCGAAGGATTCGGATCAAAAAGTCCAGAATTATACCAAAGCCCATCGAGCCCGGCATCAAACCCAGTCGACCAAGAAGCATCGATGAACGGCCACTGAAACATGTCAGTTTCAAGATCATGGTGCCCACCAATCGAAGCACTATCCAGATTTGAATTAGAAGCATCACCCGGTAGAGCAGGTGACGCAGAGGCCCGCCCAGCGGCATGCGAGCTATGCGTGTCACCTGAATCGGCAGTCGCTGCTCGAGTCCGGTGTGCGTGGGTGTGTGTTTCTTTACTTGTATTCGGGCGCGATCTGATATCGCCGTATTCGTCTAGTGTTCCTGCTAGCGCGAAGCGACGTGGACTGTGCATTCCCGAGTCTTGGGTTGTTGTGGTGGTTGTTTGGTTGCTTTTTACGGTTTCGTAGAAGCGGTTCGCTTCTTGGACTGTTCGCCACTGTTTCGTTATTGTTATTAGTTTGGGTGGTTTTTGGTGGTGGTGGTGGCCTTACCCAGCTGCGACCAACCGGCCAGATTTTACTTAGTCTTTCAAGATAGAAGAGATTCCTGCTCTTCTCTTGTTCTGCTCTTTCTGGTCCACCGGGATATCGTTGTGGGGCGATTGTTCCGTACATGTTGATATGGGCGGCGACGAAGACGCTGAAGCCTGAATACGGTGATATAACCGGTGCGCCTGAGGCGTCCAGTGCAGAAAGGATTCCGCCAATCTGTTGCGCTGCTTCGAAAAGTTGTTCTATTGTATCTGGTTCACCTTGGATCTCATCATTTGTGTCGTGGAAGACGTCGGCATGCGGTTTGAGATTCGATAAGAAGCGATCGCGGTGGAGGAATAATATGCTTTGGACGAATTAGTATCGAGTTCTTGATACCAAAGAGGATGCGCATACCTCATGCAATACACCAAATTGATATATGCGAACAACTCTCCATACCCGAGAGCCACGTGCGATTGCACACTGGTATCAGGATATCGAACGGTCCTATCCTGGAGAAACCTCCACTCATCCAATTCCTCTTTCAATCCCTGCCAAGTCAAAAGCAATGGCGAGGTCGCGGAATCATCTGACATCGACGCAAGCGCGCGTCGATGTTCATTCGCAAATCTCAAAATCCGAACAAAGATATCGAATCCTCTCGTCACAATGGTGAGACCGTGTTCAATTGTCAAGTCTCTCGCCGGTGCACACCCCTTGTTCATATCAGCGGGCATGAGCCTACTAGCTGGTGTATGATTGAACGTAAAGTCCCGATCGCTAATTGGGAGAGGTACAGAGATCTGGGAGAACGAAAGAGCGAAGTGTTGCCGCGCCCCGGAACTCAACTCGCAATCTTGGGCAAAACAGCACCAATACGTCCGGACGAGCTGCTCATATTGTGTTTGGGACGCATGGAATTCCTGCGGGTTGTGTTCCATGCTATCATCCGCCATCTTGAGAAGTGATTGAATCATGTAGGTCGCCATTCCTGCTACTTGTCAGCGAACACTCAATACAGTATCTATCACCAGCATTTCTCAACATACCGCTATACATCCAGGCTTGATATGGTCGGCCAGTGCCCCATTCGTAGAATGAAATCATCACCAGGGACTGGGCAAGATAAAGCGATGGGGCTTCAAGAACCCGCTGCGCCAGATGCTTGCGTGCATAATTTGCGTAAACATCTTCTTCTTTGAGCTCATCGCTACTCATAAATCGGACGCACAATGAAAGCACCGAGGCAACAAAAACGGGATCTACTGAGTGGACGTTGGCGGATATGTCGGATATCAAAGACGGGTAATGCAGAAAATTGGTGATGGGAAACTTCTTTCTGTAGGTTTCTACTGCGCTGATTACGATCGCCGGTGACAATGCCGAGATTGGGTTATCAGCATCTGGAGCTGTGACATTCTGAGGGGTGACCCGATCTGCATTCCGAAGAACTGGCGATAGAGTCGATGAGGCCTTGCGCTTTCTTGGGCTTCTTGATGAGACTGTGCTTTTTCTTGTGCTCTGTCTTCCAACACGCGGATCCGATAGACTGCATCCTTCGGTTTTGGTCTTTTGACAGCGTTGACAGGGCGGCTGTCCTTCATGTACGCATTTGACCTTTGCTTGACTAGCTATTGATCAGAACACTACCTGTGTTTAGATTTGCTGGTCGTACTCACCGACAAGCATCACATGATATTGATAGCCTCATAGAGTCTATACTCGAGTGGGGTGGTCTGGGGTAGGTGAAGAAAGGTCGGCCATGTATCGGGTATATCAGGAAGCCAAGCACGCCGGATCAATGTAGGAGCGCAATTGAACCATTATGAATCATTTTGTCTAATTCTGACGAACGACGGAGCAGGAAAACGCGCGAGGAAGTGAAGGTTGAGCGTCGGGACATATCGCAACATCCGAATCTGGCTAGGGCGATCAGGTGATCGGTCCCATCTATAAACTTTGACATTGAGAATTCGAGATGATCTTAACTTCGTCTTATATTATATATTAATGCGTCTATTCTAATGATTTGGTAGCCACAGTCCACTGCTGCACCCACGCATTGAACTTATCAATCTGCAGCTCATCCGTCGCCCAAGAGGTCACGAGACGAACGACCGCATTGCCATCATCAAGCTGCTCCCAGACATAAAAGCGGAATCTGTCCTGCAGTCTCCGAACTAGTTCCTGGGGCAGGATAACAAACACCTGATTTGTCTCCGTATCCGCAGCAAGCTTATATCCCAGATTCTCGAGATTAATAGAAATCTTCTGCGCCATCTCGTTGGCATGAGAAGCCAAAGTGAAGAACAAATCTGACTTGAATAGCTCCATGAACTGAACTCCCAAAATGCGTCCCTTGGCCAGCAAGGCACCATGCTGCTTGAGGTGGAAGACAAAGCCCTCCGCCAGATGTTGCTTGACGACGATTGCCTCTCCCATCAGCGCACCAGCTTTAGTTCCGCCGATCCAGAAGATATCCGTCATCTCGAAGATATCCCGCATGGTCAAGTCATTCTTAACAGAGCACAGTGCAGTTCCGATTCGAGCTCCGTCCATGAGAAGCAGGAGATTCGACTGCTTGCAAATAGCAGACAAGTTGCTCAGCTCGCGTTTCGTGTAAACAGTTCCGGTCTCGGAAGCATTGGAGATATAAAGAAGACGAGGCTTGGCCATGTGAGGGAAGAATTGATTTTGTTGAATAGCTTTCTGGAGGTTCGTGGGTGTCATCTTGCCATCCACGGCCGGAACGAGGATCAATTTGTGTCCAGTTGCCTCAATTGCACCGGCCTCTTTGCATGCAATGTGTCCCGACTCAAGGGTGATCACAGCCTCGTAGGGCCTTAAGCAGCTGGCGATTGAAATGAGGTTTGCGGATGTGCCACTGGGAACAAAGAAGATATCGGCTTCGTCTTCGGCACAGCCGATCTTGTTTCGGATCAATTGTCTAGCATTGTGGCTGTATTCATCTGTACCGTAGGTGGCTTGTTGTGTAGAGTTTGTTCGTAGAAGAGCTTCTAGGATTTGTGGGTGTGCTCCTTCGCTGTAGTCATCCATCAGGCTGTATGGAGGGCATGCCTCGTCTTGGCATAGGCTGGTTGAGGGCATGGTGGGTATCAAATGAGATTCAACTGAGAGTCAACTGAGCGTTAAATGAACAAAAAACACCACAATTGATAATTGGAATATAAGTTTCCAGCTTGGAATCACAGAAATCGCCACTGAGTCAGAGTGACCAAATATAAAGAATCTTCGGGAATAATTTTCTCGGGAATATTGCCACATTTATTCCCGAAACCCGATTGCTTGAATTCTTATCAAGTAACAACTGTGGGCCAGACACGAGGGGAATCTCTTTTGGGGTAAACGACCGTAGACCTGTCGTGCGGGGATGCTTTTTTTCACGCCTGTCAACGATTCGGAGATATTCCAGATCTGTTTGTGGGCCACCTTAGTACGCCGGAGGTTCTGGAACGACCAAAATAGACACCGGCCGACCTGGATTCCAAGTGAATTCCATTTGACAGGCTAATCATGAGCTATTTTATGACTCCTTATTCGCCTTGTGTCACAATTGACCCAGCACTGCCCGGATGGCCACATGTGTTGGAAGTATACAAGCATGTGGAGTGGGTGAATTTAGACTTGGCCAACCCCTGCTAGTGCGGGGAGCCTCACAGGGGTGATCTTTCCCGAGCGATTTATTTTATACCCGAGATACGGAGACCGCTATGTTGATCCAAATACAACGAAATTAACACGGCAATCATGAGCCAGTTCCCAGTCCTATATACACAGTGGGCAGATAGCCCCCCCCATCCCCAAAATGAGGCAATATGATATAAATACAATATACAAAACTCCCGCAAATAATGCAAACATGCCATGGGTGAGAAGAGATCAATCTTCATGATGGATAGACCGCAAATGCGCTTGCTCCTCGGCGTATCCATCTTCCATCTTGAGACGCTGGTAAAGTCGGACCCGCCAGCCACGAATGACCAGGTAGCTAGCCAGAACCCCGCAGAACAAGCAAAGAAGCAGAATAAACGCAAACAGACCACCGATGTTGCGGATGGCCTCGTAAGAGTGGTTGAGGACTTGGATGGTCTTTTGGGTTTGGGTGTCCATGGCATCGGAGGATGTACGGCCTGCCTCGTCCATGGCATTGTCGCCGCCGATCTTGTCGCTTGCTTGGTAGAGGATTGAGGGATCGTTGGGGCGGGGTGGACTTGATTTTCCCTTGTATCCGACGGAGTTCCAGCTCGGGTACTTGGTGCGATGGACCTCAGACTTCCCGAGGACCGTGCCGTTGACATCGACAGCCACGGCCGAGACCCAGTCGAGGTACCCTGCGGCGACGAACATGGTCTCAAAGTCGACTTTGGGAGTGGATCCGATAAGCACGGGGACGTGGAATTCTGATGCTTGTGCATAGAATTCCCATGTCGCGACATCTGTAGCTCCATTCCAGCTGACCCAGAACGAGGTTACCATGTTGGTCTCGTCGGTGCCAGACACCGCGGCCACCATATCTGGCGGGGTGTTGGGGCGACCAGTGAATTCAAACTTGTATCCTCGGTAGCTCGAGTAGCGGGAAGAAGTGAAGTTGGCTGTGAATAGGAGCTCTCCGTCGTCAGCGTGCTCCGAGATGTAGCCTCCCTTGCTCCAGCAGGTGAAGACGTTGCCATTCGGGAGCAATTGAGTGTTTCCACGCAGTCGAGAGAGTTCCTGATCGGGGCGGTTGTAGCGTCGAATCACACGTGCGGTCATTGGGTTCGCGCCGGTGTCCAATTCCACAAACATAGACGCGGACATGTTCTCCTCGTTGAATTCCTCATCGGAGGCGTTGTTCAAGAAGGAAATGATATGGTGTGTCCCATTTGACTCCACAAATTTCGCGTCATGCTGCTTGGAGAAGACAAAGTCTTGCTGGAAATTAGTATGCGCTCCACCCAGTCGCCACATAATGTCTCCATTGATGCCAGATATCATATATATGGTGTTGGTGAATCGCGCCGAGATCAAGTAATCACCCGCCTCGTTCTTATCAACCGAGTTGATGTGCACATAGTCCCAACCGGGGTGTGCTTCCGCTGGGGCGGTCGGGCTGTAATGCACACTCTCCAAGAGAGGAATCCGATTGAAAGAATCCCACCACTGGATCACCTCTGCCGTGTTCATGTCGAGCTCCGCAAATCCACCGCTCTCGAGCCAGGTAGGCTCACCGGGGCGGCCGTACTCCTCGAGGGTGATTTCGTGGGAGAGGTAGATGGAGACCAGTGCGGTCTTGCCATCGGGGCGAATGTTGAACTCGTGGATGTCGAAAATTCCCAGGTCGCGTCGCAGAGGAAGCTTCCGGTCCTGCTCATAGTCGTTCTTCAAAACAATTCCAAACCCAGAGTCCTCTCCTCCATCCCACGAGTGTTGCAACACCATGGAGAGGTGTGGGTCGGAGCCAAGACTGTTTGTGACCTTGAAATCGAAGACATTGCGATTGTCAAACTGTTGCGAGCCTGTCCAGACGAGGCGCTGTAGGATAATATAATTAGTACGTCAATCTGCGGCGCGAATGGTAAAAAGAAACGCACTCCTTCGTCATCGTAGATGTGTGGACCGATCTGGTATTGTTCGTACAAGCTGGTCGGTGGGTCGGGGTCGATATGTAGGTATGGCGAAACAAACCAGTACCCAGGACTGACGCGCTCGCGATTGTGGTAATGGATGTTGAATTTCACTGCCCTTACGTCGGGGAGCTGAAGTTGAACACGGTGTCAGCGGGGAGTCAAACAGTGGGATTCGCGACCACAAACCGTAACGAAAGAGAAGAGGTCATCACTGGAGTACTGTGCCAGCACAGTCTGGCATAGCCATACCAGTAAGACGCTGAAGTGCAGCATGTTTTTTTAAATGAGAGACAAGGTTCAGCATCAGGGAAGAAGGGAGACAAGGAAGCCCAGAGGCCTAGATGGGCAAGAGGCTTGCGGATCTGAGCATTCAGGGCTCTGGCGGCCGAGGGGCCAATGACGGGCATCACACGGTCAAACGCCAGTTCTCATTGGGCGCAATGACGTCTGGAAGGGGTTGAGACGGAGTTCTCTGGCTTCATGTTAATCTGGTGTGGACCCTTCTGTCAGAGGCCTCGTCAGCGTGCAGCCGATCACTGTGGAATTTGTTTCAGAGGTTAATTTCTGGGAAGACCCTCCGTTTCGTGGACCCTTCAACGGTCGCCTCCTTGGCCGTTATACTATGCTTCTCAATAGAAGACAATAAGTTATAACTAATGTCTCTCTTGATACTCCCTTAGCAACAAACACCAAACACCTTGGAATGTGGGCATGCAGAGTATCTCATCACGTGACCCGTGTCACTGGTTGAATATCAGGTGACGTGCAGGTCTATCTCCAGTATGAAGTTCACTGAAACACAGAATAACCATGTAATTGAGTCTATATGACAGTTAAATTGAAGCAGCTCCAAATTTAAGAGATAAAATCAACAACCCAGGAAACAAAAAAGAAGAATCTACCCAAATCCAAATTATCCACATCACATCTAACGCTATACTTCCATAATGCATGGTATATCTGGGATCAAACCAGGAAAGCCCGCAACCCTCAAAAAGCAACCCCAAGTCCAAATCCAACAAGAGCCAACCAAGTTCCAACCGGCTTACCGGCTGCAGCACCCTTGGATGTCGCCGCCTTCTCTTCACTCAAGGTCTTTGTCGGCTCACTGGTGCTCGTAGACTGGGCGGTCGTAGAGGCTTCTGTAGGCGTAGCCTCGACCGCATCCGGACTGGGTGTCGTCCATACATCATTTACGGTGGTGCGGCCCTTGTCGTATGCGTTCGCTGTGCGACAATCGTGTTCGCTGAGGAGTTCGGCGGAGACGCGGTCTTCGCCGACGCAGTCTGCGTAGCAGCTTTTCGGTATGTTAGTCTTTTGTTTTCTAGGAGAGCGGTGGAATGGAATATGCTGGTTGTGTTTGGTGTTCTTACCCGAAGATGTTGGCTGCGCCTGAACATTTGCAATCCCAGTCATCTTTGGTGCATTTGTCAAGGCCCTTTTGCATTATTGAGATGCATTTCTGGACAATCCTTGGTTTTGTCAGTGCATAGTTCACCTTTGGGATTTATTAGGCTATTCGATACTTACGGCACAGCGGTGCATTGCTCATTGCCGCTTGGAGATGTGATTGTGGCGCTCTGCGCTGCGACGAGGGCGGTTGATGCCAGCACCATGAACAGGCTGGTCGTAATGAAACGCATTGTAACGATAGGTATAGGTGAACTTGGAGCCAATTCTGGGAGATTTGGAAGAGTTAGCTCTCAATGGGATGAATTCATCAAGTGTTCAAGGATTTAAGTCTAATAGAGGAATTGTCTCGATAATATAGGACAGCTGAGCCCCCAAACCAGAGCTCAACGGTTACATTGCCTTTCAGAATAATCTGATCCTTGGATAGTCCTCTCAACTTTCCAAGGTTCTAACTGATCTGTGTCTATTCCCGGTGCATGTGTAGTACCTGGACAGGTGGGTCTTGGATCCCACATGGAGATCTACTTGAACTATTCCGGGGTCCACTAGATCAGGGGTATCTAGAGCTTAGGTTCGATCTATGGTCTGAGTATCACCTGCCGTTCACACTTGAGATGCTAAGTCTGTTGAGTTAGACGAGTTCGAAGAGGGTTTGGTCCGTTAAGATCCATGACCCCCCAACCATGGCAGATTGCCAATTGTCAAACCCCCCTAGAATCACCCCACCACCAAGACCAACAAGACCAAATGCAACCAATGACCCCATTTCCTGATCAAAGTCACGTATAAGTGGTAACGGGAGTAGATAACGAGGCACTCCGACATCATGGCCGGGTCCAAGGTCACATTCCAGTCAATACAGTTACATTCCTCGGTCAACGGAGCTGCTTCCGTCAACCAATGGCACAACATTTAATCCCGTCTTGGGAATATTATGGATCTCTCCTGTGCTGCTTATCTTGATTTTCTTGATGTTCCCCTTTCTTGTTCTAGATCCTGTACCGGGGTTTGGGTTGGGTACCTGCAACATGGTCCGTCTCTGGACTCGGGAGGGATTACACCACGGTTTGACCTGGGAGGTGGAAGAAATAGCTTGTTACAATGCGATTGCTTTTCTTTGTTCTTGACAAGGTATTGTGGTCGGACGCCAGGGCAAGCTTTGTGGCGTGGTTTTGGTGGCTTGGATTGCCCGGTCTGTGGCACAACCTCCGAGCTTTGACTTACAGTACCTTATTGAGTCAATTTTTGTGGACATACAGTAGCTAGTCAAGGGCAAGACCGGCAGTAGTAAAAAAACCAATCATGTCCCAACTGTCGCTCAGATTTGAGATTGGGTAACAAATATATATTCGGGGTAGTCGAGTGTATCTTTTCCCAGCCTCTCTCTCTTTGTTAGAAAGCAACCATATTGGAAAATCCAAAACCCCAGAGATGAACTAAGATATGCTCATCAATCTGCAACGGGGGCCATGGTGATGAAGTGTTGAATTAATTTAGACGAAACCCAGAGCCAGCGTACCCGTTCATACATTGTGTTCGGCGTAATTTGGCATCACTTTTCAACCTGTTCCCCAATTTCCTCGCAGGATTCATATTCAACACCGTCAAAGTATTCAAAGACCAAAGAATAAAATAATAGAGCAACAGTCATGGTATTCGTGTCTATATATACAGCAGGTCAAATAACCCCAACCCTATTATCGTACAATACACATCCACCAAAAAATAAAACAAGATGCACAAGCAGCAGTGAACCACTCACTCCTCCTCCTCATCCTCATAATTCCACAACTTCTTCCGTTCAGTAACCCACCAAAGCCCCACCTTCTCAGCCTTAATAACCCAATCCACAGCCTCAGCCCCAAACTTCGAATAAACCTCCGCAGTCAGACCACCCATAGACCAAGCCGTCGCAGGATGCAACTCCAACGGATCCTTCTCTAGATCCGTGAACCGATACTCGAAGTCGTTGTTCAGCGGCAAGTTCAACCGCCACGGCACAGCAGCCGACCCGACACTAAGCATGGTCCCGCCGGCATTGATGACGCCCATGTTCCATGCTTCGCGGCCGTTGTGGGAGGTGCGGTAGGGGCGGATTAGGGACTGGCCTTCGTATTCGTTGATTAGGTCTTGGGCGATTGTCGTGTCCAATTCGTTCAGGGAGGATGTTGTTATTAGGAGATCGAGGATTGTGGGTAGGATGGACATTGCGCTGCCGTTGACGTTGATGTGTAGGCGTGGTAGGAGGGGGTGGTGGAATAGGAGTGGGACGCGGAAGTTCGAAATGTGCGGGTTTTGATAGGTTCCTGTTACCGGGCTGTCTTCTCGGAAGGCTTGGCCACTGTTTTGGGTGTTAAATATTGTTTTTGTGGGTTAGAGGAGGTGTTGGGGCTAGGTATTGACTTACTGGTCTCCCACGAAGACAGTCAGAGTTTCGTTTGCGATGCCGGCATCGGCGAGCATGCCCATTAGTTCTTCTAGCCAGGCGTCGACGAAACTGTTTGCGTTGAGGAAATCGTCCATTGCTTCGTGCTGTGAATGGTGCTTGTCTCCGAAGTACTTTTCGCGGCGGTATCCTTCAGGTGTTCCCCAGGGGTGGTGGGTGGTACTAGTGAAATGGGACAGGAATAGCCTCTTGTTTTGAGACAGAGTTTCGTTGATCATGTCTTTGATATAAGGACTGACTTCGGTTTCGGCGTAACTGGACAGCGTTAGTACAGACAAGGTAGCAAGATCACGGAAATACGACGTACCCGAAGTAATTAATCTTCTCCATATCCTCGTGGTAGTATTTCGCAGTGGTGGGATCGATATCCTCAGAGTATAGGGACTGGTTGAAACCAAGCAAGTCCATGAGTTCAGTTTGGTCCTGGAACTCTCCAGTAACCGACTGCGCGTAGAGTGTTTGCCATTCCCGCTCACGGGGGTCATTGGTGGAATTTCCAGAGCGAGATGTGGCATTCTTGCGCTGGTTGAATAGATCCAAGATGTGCATTAGACACGGTTGATATGGAATGATATCATTCTCATGCATAAAGTCCACAGGTAGGGGACCAAGACCGCAGTAGTTGACAAGACGGGATTTGGCGCTGAGACTGCTTCCAGACAGGATTCCATTAAAGCTGATACCTCCACGTTCCGTATCTACTCCCTTGGATTGACCGAATCCGGATTCTTCTCCCGTGAGTATTTCTGCAAATGGAGTAATCAAAGACAGCTTGTCATGCAAGTCATCGAGATCTTCATCCGAGTGGATGTCATGGGTCTCACGGATTTGTTCATAAAGATGAGAGTCGGTCTTGAGGGGGAAGAGGTCTTTCCGGCCGCTTTCCAAAAACACAAAGACAATGTGGTTGATCGGGATGGCATGATCCTTCAAGGCCTCCTGCAAAGGATCAAGCGGATCCAGATCGAGGTTGCTAATCCGCATGGGATCCTGGCTGGGGTTATAGAAGTATTCTCGTGGCCCCATCGTCTTATTTGAATGGCCACGATCGCCTCTCTGGGATAGCTGGGTTCGAGATTTATCCGTAACTCCAGTCATGTTGGCTTCTGGATTGACAATCCATCTCTCGAACGCAAGAGGCAAGGGACCCTGCGCCCAAGCAGGTTTATTATTGCCATAACCTCGATTAGCATCATCACTCATGACCGGCGCCCATCCTTTATAATGGCCATTGGCAGGCTCGTGAAACTCTGGAGCCAACAATTCCGGCAGAGGAAACGAGTCGACATTAATCCGACGGGCACGAGAGCCTTCGCCAAGCATGACAAAGGGAAGAGCCCCAGTCATATGATTGAAGGGTATGGCCGGTCGAACGATCCATAGTCCAAAAGTCACACCACATCCAATAAGCGTCCAAAAGCGTGATCTGTTGTAGTATAAACTTCTCAAATCCGAAGGCCCAGACTGTTGCTCCAACGGTGTCTTCGTATCTCCTCTGATATTCAACAAGGCACACAGCCACCGACTCATCACATTCCAAATTCCTTGAGCTGAAAGCCACGACGCAATGCCGATGACAGTCGCGGCGGCAACCATAGTCGCCATGCCACTCAAGATCAACTTCATTCCCTGGCGACTGGCACCCACGGAGCGGGCCGCATCCCACCGAATCTCGCTTCCGGTTGAAGAATAGAAGCTAATTTGGGATGCCGTTGCTACAAGATCCGTCAATCTGGAAGCTATCGGTCAGCAAGACGGCAGTTGGAGATCGGACCGAAAGAGGAAGGGTAAACGAACGCGAGAATGGCGGAGATCACCACGGCAGCCACCGACCACCGACCGGAGGTTGTATACAGTAGTAGCCATACTAAGCCAAACAGACAGACTTCTTCGATAAAGAAAGTAGGGAAATATAAGGCGAGCAGATATAGGGGTAGCGAGCGATGTTGGTATATGTGCAATAATTTGGAACAGAGACCCGACAGCACCAACACGGCCAATATTATGCGCTGGGGATGGTGAAAACGAGCGGAAATCATACTGGTCTGCCACTGACCAACATCGGGGACTGTTCGCAAGCCTCTAGGAAGGGAATCGAGAGAAAACGAAAAGGAGAAAAAGTCAGAGCGTGAGACTGAGAATTTGACTGCTCGCGTGCTCCACAGGCGATCGGAGTTGTGACAGGGCGCCACATCTGTATAATTGTTTCTATTCTCAAGCGCATCGGAGGGCCAGAGGGCCAGAGCGGGACAAGACAAGACCAATCCGAGCGTTTAGGGGGGGGTTGTGTACACTCCATTGCCATCGGATGGGTGATCCTGATCGGCCCCAGCCTTATGGGCACAAGACCAGGCTGAGATGCATTATTCAGGGGCCATGTAAAATTGCGGCGGAGTGGATTCGCGGAGCCTCTCGGATACTGGAACAGACCCCTGTTGCAGGTCTGGGGGCCAATACGATTGGAGTTGAGGGAACCGCTTGGCTTGTTGGGGGCTATCAGCTGTGACTGTGATTGGTCTGGTCCATCTGCCTAGTGTGTCTCGCGGTTGGGCTTCCATTGGTGGTCTTGGCTGGGAGCTTGGGGCTCGTTTTCGTAACGTATTCGGGTAACGGGGGAAGATGCGAGACATGACATGGGTTGAGATTGAGATCTATCTAAGTTAAGTTATACGGTATACATGTACTGTATACGTTGAGGTTGGAATCAAAGTTGGAAATAAGGTGACAGGGTTTAGGGTCTACCCGAAGTTCCCACAAAACGGATGATCAGGGAAGTAGGGCTGCCCTATCCAAGACATTCCAGAAAAGGATTACTGTATACGCGCCAAGTCTGTAGACTGTTGCCTAACATTGATGATTTCAAACTGTCTGAATAGCAAGAGCATAAGAATAGAGACATAATGTCATAACTTTCATAACCATAAAACCCGAAATCCCCCACTACCCACCATTCCCTATCGAGGTAGCTCTCTCAAGGTCAGCACAGTCTGAATATGACTATACTGAAGATCCTCATCCTGGGCCCGCGCAAGCAACCCCGCAGTTTTGATAACATTCTTAATCTGGCGACCGTTCAACACGACCTCGGCCACCTGATCAAGTTGCTCATCAGTGAAAGCACCAGTCGGAGCCGACCGAACCAGGAATTGGGCCCAGATATGCCGGCGAGATTTCGAATCGAGGTCTTTGTACTGAAGCGAGAGATGAATGCGAGATTCAAAGGCCGGGTCGATGTTATCGGCACGGTTAGTTGTTAGGAAGAGGATGCCCTAAAGAGAGAGCGATCAAATTAGTATCAACCGTCCATGTTCCCTTTCGGTGGGTTAGTCTGAGCAGACTGACCTCGTAGTATTCAAGCATACGCAGAAAGATTGAAACAAGCCCATTCCGCTCAAGATCCGTAGCATCACGCGCCTGCATAAACACATCCGCTTCATCAAGGAGCAAGACTGCCCCGTCACCTTCTCTTCGGAGACCCGGTCATTCCAGACCCGGCAGACTGCGGGCCCTTCGTACGCCTTGTAGTGGTACCCCATGTGCTCCTCCCAGCGTTTCCCACGCGCAACAAGCATGGGCCAGATAGCATCCTTGTCTTTGTGGTGTTTTAGCGGGCAAATTGGCAAAAGGATAGTCGGCACAGTGCCGGTGAACTTATTGACAACGAACTTGTCACTCGCGAAGCCAAATGCAGACCCGTTGTATTCCACGTATTTGACGCTGGCTGTCCATCCGCTTTGTGAAAGAGAGAGCATGGAGAACTGATATGCGCGCAGGGACCCGCCGCGCGAGGAGACCACCACGTCTTCTGGCTCCATGATTGTCCAGAGGAGGTCAAAAGTGATGACGCCGTTGGCGAGGAGGTCGTTCATGCGGTCGATGATATCTTTCAGCTCCTCGTTCATGACTCTGTAGAAGAGATCGGCGTGGGCTTTGGTTGTGGGGTCTGGCTCTTCATCGCGCGCTTTGGTGATGTCGTTCCAGCGATGGACGATTTGTTGGAAGGGGGCTTCGAGTTCGAGACGCTCCAGGCTTGTTGTCACGCCTGGGTAGTTTGCTAGAGCTTTGCCTATGAACGTTTTCAAGGGCTCGCTTTGGATCACGACGGAGTGGACTTAGAGGCTTTTGCGTCCGTCGTAGCATTTGGTTTTGCGAAATAGCAGGACGTATTGTGATGATTCGGAATCTTCGGCTGGTTCAGGTAGATCTTCTAAGATTTCTTTGCTCCATGAGAGTTTGTCGTTTTCGTCGGGATTAGTTTGGTATAGATTTTGTACGTCGCAGATTGTCTCGACTGATTCATACTAAACTGATGATTCTTGGCTCTCTGTCTCGAAGTCATCTTCATTTGAATCATATGCGACCGCTATTTTGGGGCTTTCGATGACTTGAATCGAGGTGGAAGATGGAAGAATGAACCGGCAAGAACAGAGACCGGGAATGGATGGACAGATAGGCGAGGAACAGACTTTGATACCAGGTGAGAGTGAGAGGCAAGAACACACCGATATGATGAGGTCTCCAGCTCCAATTATTCCTCTTAGTTGTCAAATGTGATCAAGTTTCCATGGACAGACCGAGAGGTAGAAGAAGGATGCTGGATTCTTGTACAGTATCTATAACGTGAGCTTATGTAGCTCCATGGAAGTCAAAGAAAACCCTTTCCAATGCACCTCATTTGAATCTAGACTGATATACAAAGGCAGACGTTGCGTGTGCCTATGCGGGGAGTGAACGGAGCCAAGACAAGCACAACTGAAGCTATGATGAAGCGACGAGGCGACAAAACTGAAATCTCCAGGTGAAAGTCCAACAGAGCCTCAACCAACATAGCCTCCAAATGAGCAAAAAGAAGAATTCGCGTTTCACATTGAGTAACTCCAGTGTTGGGGGGCCACTAACTAAGAGCAGAATGTGGTCGACCGTGTGATCCACACATCATGCCATACGTTGGAGAGGTTTGACCTCCCCCGTCTCTTTTTCGTTTCTTTTTATCTTTTCTTCTTCTTCTTTGTGGAATCTTTCATGAAATCGTCATTTTGCACTAGTGCTATATAGTTCAAACTATGTTGCTTCTCACTTGATATTGTTTCCTTAGGTCTCGACCAAGGCCAAGCTCGATCCCAAGCCCGTCACGCTTACTCGGTCTTGAAAGCGGTCAAACGAGCCCTGATCACCTCCTCCGAATCCTCCGTGTCCAGCTCGCTGAGAACGCCGGAACCAACGTCGTAAATCAGTCCGTGGAGCTGGAGTCCACGCTCCTGAATGGCGTTCAGAACAACACCCTTCTGCTTGACAATGTTCAATCCCTCGCGGACATTCAGCTCGGCCAGCTTCATGGCAGCCTCTTCGGGAGACAGGGTCTGCAGCAGCTCGAGGTTGCGCTCGCGCAGCTGACGGAGGGGCAACAGCCAGGGATCCAAGATTCCGAGGTTCTTGTTGCCCATGGCGGCCGCGACACCACCGCAAGCAGTGTGTCCACACACAATGACGTGCTGCACACGCAGGTACTGCACGGCATATTCGATGGCGGCGGCCGAACTGAGATCACCAGGGTGAAGGACGTTGGCGATGTTGCGGTGCACGAACACATCGCCGGGCTTCAGGCCCAAGAAAGTGGTCTCGGGGCAACGAGAGTCGGAACATCCAATCCACAGAATCTGGGGAGTTTGACCGGTCGCAAGGGTTGGGAAGAGATCGGGGAACTCGCGCGCGGTCTGAGCTGCCCACTCCTTGTTGTTGCGCAGCGCTGTTGCGTACCGATCTAGGGGTTCCCCATCGTCAGTGTGAGTCTTGGCATTGGGGGTGTTCGCGCTGGGCGTGTCTGCACTGCTGTTGTGATTGGCACATTGGAGGGTGGTGGAGGTCGAAAAGGGGACGGTGCGAGACGGGAATTTCATCGGGGCGACTCGCAAGCGAGTCTTGAGCACGTAACTCGATGAGTCACTTGCTACCCCCGCTGCGCGTGCAAGGAACCCGGTTTGCCCGGTAAGCCTCGCGAAAGCCATGAAGCAAAGAGGAAGAGTGAGAAGAGAGGGGTGGGATGTGACGAGTCGCGAGTGTTCGCGGGGAAGAGGCGCCGTGGGAGAGAGGGAGTGAATAGGGAGGACAACAGATCCCAACAACCGTCACTTCTCACCGAGGCTCAACGGATTGATTGAGAGGCCCTGGATTGACTCGGGAACAGGAAAGAAGTTGCGGGAAAAATGGATGGGGAGGTGAAGAAGTTTGCCAAGAACGACGCCAAAATCAGAGATTCACGCTCACGTACCTTCAGAAGTCATGATGTAGAATGTGAAGAAGAAAAAGAGAATAAAGTAGAGGAGAGATCTAGCGAAGTCTATATAAATACCGAAAAGACACGAGGGGCAGCCGGTGTGGAGTGAGCAAAACGTTGAGTCCCGAAGGAGAGAGCGGGAAGATCGGCGAACCGGCAGTTTTTACGTGAACTATAACGCAGGGTCAAGCCATAAGCGTCTCTCATTCGCTTCTTTTAAATACAAAATAGAAATGTAACCACATGAGAATCATAATGCTTCAAAACAGATATAAACAACGATTTTGGTTTTATTTTCAGGCGGCACTGCCACGGCCACCAATGCTCTGCAACGTCTTGCGCTGTTCCTCGCTGAGTTGGGCAGTAGGCAGAGGACGGGCTCCAGCAAGAGTAGGCGCGGGGAGGAAGCCAGTCTGCACCAAGTATGATGCATACAGGCCGACCAATTCCTCGGTTACACCCGCTCCGGCGGATGCATCAATGCCAGACCAAGCTGCATCAGCAGATAGGGCAGCAGCCGCGTTCTTGTCATCCAGCTCAGGAGCCTTAGTGTTGGAGGGGAGGTCAGCAGTGACGAAGTGGTAGAGGGGCATGCTGGAAAATGAATTAGTATGGGTCAATGGGAATTATTCGGATGGATAGCTTACAGGGCATGCTGGGAGTCCTTGTCATTGTGTTGGCCGTCATTGACATATTGCTCGAGGGAGGTTGACCAAGGAACGTAGTCGACTTGAGGAACATTGTATCCGTAGAGTTCGAGCGCACCAAGGAATTGGTTGAAACGCAGGCGGGGGTGTCCAGTAACGTGGGCAACGTTGACAGCCTCGCGAGGCGGGTTGAAAGCAGTGGCGATAACAATACGGGCCACATGATCGACGGGGACCATGTTGACCGTGTTGTGGATGTTGGGACGGGCATTCAGCTGGATACAGCCCTTGAGCATTCGGATAAGGAAATCATCAGTGTTGGTGGTACCAGTCACCGAGTCGCCCAGAACGTATCCAGAACGGATGATTGTGCCTCTGAGACCTCTGCGACCAGCCTCACGAACGAGGTGTTCGCCAGCCCACTTGCTCTGACCGTAACCTGTTCCAAGGCCGACGCTACTGCCCTCCATGTCGTCCTCTTCACTGATACCATTGCCACCAGCAGCGATGATACGTTCAGATTCATGGACGAAGTGGTCCTTGTCCAGGGCACTAGTGGAACTGACAAATGCGAGTTGCTTGGCCTTTCCACTGCCGCACAGCTTCAGGGCATCAATGGTACCCAACACGTTGGCAGGACGGAGGGTGGTGTAGGGGTAAACCCAGTGGACAAGAGCACCGTTGTGGATCACAGCATCGACACGGGTAGTGAGATCATCCCAAACAGCCTGGGTGAGGCCGAATTGGGGAGTTCCGAGGTCACCACACAGAGCCTGAAGTCTAGCAGTCCAGGCCTCATCCCAGAAGCCATATGCGCGGCAAGTGGAACGGAGACGCTCGAGAGCCTGCTCCTCGCTCTTAGCACGAACAAGCGCAACGACCTTGGTGACAGGCTCCTTGCGGGTAAGAAGGTCGCGGAGAATGTGCGCACCCAGGAAGCCAGTGGCACCAGTGAGGAACACTGTAGGTTCGGTGGCAAGCATGGAGTCGGTGCGGACAGGGAAGGACTGGGGCAGCTCGTTCACAAGCTGGCGGGCGTCCTTGGAGTACTCATCATCAGGCAGGTTGGCTGCCTCCACCGCTCCGGCAATAGTCTTGTCATCGCTGGTGGCGAATGACTCAAGAGCCAGCAGGCGATCAATTTCACCGGCAAAGCCCTTGAGGGTTGGGCTACGGAAGATAGCGTTCATGCTAATATCGATTCCGCGCCACTTACGACGAAGGTCGAAGAACATTTGCTGGGCCACAATACTGTGACCACCGATGTCGAAGAACGAGTCATCCGCTCCGATCATGCGAGCCGTCACATTAGGAATGAGCTTGGCCCAGATTTGAGCCAAAGCCAGCTCGGTCTCAGAAAGGGCCTGCATGGCAGAGGAACGCCGACGGGGCGCAGCAGCGCTCAGCTCAGCGGTATCGGGGAACGGAAGTGCGGGCTTGTCAATCTTTCCGTTGGGGTTCAGAGGCATACGCTTGAGGGGAATAATGACGGTGGGCACGGCGTATGTGGGGAGCTTGCTGCGAAGATGCTCACGGGCATCATCACGAAGAGGACGGAAGCGACGCAGCAGGCCGACCATACCCTCAGCAGAATCATCGTCCTGGAGACCCTTGCTCTCGAGCCAAGAAGCCCACTTGCTCATATCAGGAACAAAGTAGCTGACCAATGTAGGCTCTTCAAACTTGTCTCGTCGCACCAGGGTAACGTTCTCACGAACCAGAGGGTGGCGAGAAAGGTGAGTGTCAATCTCGCCAAGCTCAATACGGAAACCACGAATTTTGACCTGGTCATCAGCACGACCAGAGCATTCAACATCACCAGTGGGAGTGTAACGACCCAGGTCACCACTGCGGTACAAGCGATCCCGAGGACCGACGTAGAACTCGCGCCAAGGCTCGTTCTGAGACTCAGCCTTGTCTTGTTCAATCCAAACCTCAGGCTTGACAAACCAGTTGGTAAGGAATTTCTTCGCGTTCAGATCGACGGAGCCAAGGTAGCCCTCAGCAAGACCCGCAGCACGAACATAGATCTCACCGACTTCGCCAACAGCACAGATACGGCTTGGGTCAAAGCGGTTAACAACAAGCATCTGAACGTCCAGCATGCCACGGCCAGCAGGGATGACATCCTTCATGGTATCCAAATAACCTTCGTGGCTAGAGTAGCTAGGGATTTCAAAGTAACTGACGGCACGCTGGGTCTCAGTCGTTCCATACATGTTAACAATGTTCACGTTGGGTGCGAGACCCTGGAGCGAGCGACAGTCACGCTTGATCAGGACATCACCAACGAAGAAAGCGTGGTGGAGAGCAGGGAACTGAGCAGAAGCACCGCCAACAAGGATTTGACCCATGGCAGGGGTAAGGTGAGTGATAGTAGCACCATATTTCTGCATCCACTCGGCGAGCTTCTCATTCTGGATGTCCTCGCGAGCAGGTACCAAAAGCTGAGCACCAAGGAACAACGGAGTGAAGATATCTCTCTGGATGGGATCGTGGGCAATACCACTGAGCATGGTAAACTTCTCATCGGGGGTGAGCTTGAAAGTTTCGGACATCCAAGGGAAGTAGTAGGCCAGGGAGAAGTGACGGCCACGGACACCCTTTGGTCGGCCTTCGGAGCCAGAGGTGAAGGACAGTGTAGGGGTAGAATCGGGGCCAACAACGACGCCGACGGGCTTAGACTTCAGGGCAACTTCATTGGCGAAGACATCCTGGCCATTGACGGACCCACCGGCAAGGGTTCCATCGTCGAGCAAAGCAAGAGCAGGGATCTCTGTGCGGAGCTCCAAGTTCTCGTTAATGAAAGTGCGGACAATGTCCGAAAGCTCGCCTGCATCAACAGTAGCCTTGGCAATGTTCACCAAAGCGCGAGGACGGGCAACGTCGAGGTAGATGTTCTGGCGCTCTGGTGGGTAGGCAGGATCGATGACGGAAAATGTCGCACCGGCCTTCAAGATACCCATAACAGCAACGACGAGGTCAACACCACGATAAGCGTAAACCATAACAACCTCGCCCTTTTGAACACCAGATTGCACAAGGTGGTGACCCAGAATGTTAGAGGCCTCATTGATCTGGCGGTAGGTGAACTCGCGGTGAGGAGAGGTTGTGGATTGCGTTTCCACCACACAGAGTTTCTCGGGGTGCTTCTCAGCATTGGCGGAGAAAATGTCGTGAATGGCACCACGGAACTTGGACCAGTTCAGGTTAGAAGTAGGGTCGGGCAAAAGCGCGCGTTGGTCCTCGGTCATCAAGTCGATACGTCCGATAGCCTCCTCGGGGTTGGCGGCAGCATTGCGGGCGATTCCTGCGAGCTGCTTCAGAATGAACGCAATGCGAGCACTCGAGAAGAGACGCTGGTTGTAGTATGCACCCAGCTCGACCTCGGGGGCCGAACCATCAGACAGGTTACCTGGGGCAACATTGACCAACAAATCCGTAGTCTCGAAGGTGTTCGCAGGGTAATCTTGAGAAGCGGCAGGCGCGTCGTATGCGGCGAATCGGAATAGAATGGGAGTGCGTTCTGACTTGGATTTCTCCTGCATATATGTGCGAAGGCTACCCAAGGGAACGATCTGGGAGCTACCTTCCTTGAATGCCTATGGAGCTATTAGCCGCATATTCAAAACTTACTTGCAGTTGTACATACCTTATCTACTTTAGTGTAGAGCTGAACAAAGGTCTCCGAGGCATCAATGGGCACTCGGACAACGAAAGGTCGACCATCTTCCTCCGAGCTTGTCCCCACAGCGATGTCCTCATCACCTGTCAAACGGGCCACCAAAATAACAAAGGCAGTCAAGAACACGGTGAAGCCGGATGACGATCCGGACAACTTTTGGAGGTGCAATTGAGTCTCCTTGGGGAGACGAAGAGACTCAAAGGCTTCGATAGCTCTCTTACTATCGGGCTTTTGAGTATCGGGATAGTCACGAGTCAATGGAGAGACAGTCAGGTTGGTTAACCTTTGTGCCCATGTCTCCAGGCGGTCCTGCAACGAGGCCGTTCCCACAGCCATGATTGCAGTATGTCAAGATAGTTGGAGATTGAAAAAGACAGGATGAGTCAAATTACCCCCCCCATATCCGAGGGGTGAAAAGTCCGATTTCGCTGCGATCACCGCGGATTCAGGCGTTGATTGGTTGGAATTGTTCCCCCAGTAAATTAGATGATTCACCGCCTTCGTTAACATGGAGTATATCTCTATTCGATGCATATATAGTTTGGATTATAGAGAAAAGAGACGGATAGAGTAGTGTAGAATTAGTGATCTGTTTTCGCCTGACTGTTATGGTCTTGATATGTGTTGGAGGTAGCAGGTGCAATCATTACATATTGGTCGTATACGCTCTAGAAATCTTTCGGATACAATCAACTAGCCTCTGTGTTTATATTAACATCAAGCAAGAGATCAAACCAGAAATCCCAAGCTGCAAATATTGCCTACTCCTTCCGCACATCATCACATATAGTTCTTTCAAAGTTGCAGCCTTGGAGTTTATACTTGGTGACGTGAGCTCCGTAACTTTGACATTGCTGAGTCATCTCACAGCCTCAGGCCTCAAAGAAAGTCATCCCATCGCTCAGTCTCCCGTGGACCTGCAGTCGATGTTGTGAGAGCTTCCTTGGACACTAAATATACGGTGCAGGAACAGCTCCGCCCTACCCTCCGCATTCGAATTGAATCGTGCTCAGTTGGCCGAATCTCATCGTCATCACTGCCAAGCCTCGACTGATTGGCTCCGATCCCGTTCAAGGTGGACTCTCAGGAGTAGCCTCGCGGTCCCTGACGTGTTTTCTTCCAATTCTTAACAGACCTTGATACAGGTCTGTTGGTGTGAATGCGGAAAAGATGATTCCTCATCGGAGTACGGCTTTATTGTCCGTCATAGTTTTTGTGGCACTTTTGCTTTTCATTTTCTCGTCATCCCCGGTCCCTGATGCCACCGCCGAGGAAGAGGTCACAGGCGCAGCGAAGTTTGTGCCCAGACCGAAACTCCCGTCATTAAGCAACTTCCACCTGCCTTCTTTCCGCGCTCCTTCGCACGAGCAACCCGAGGAACAGAATAACAGTACCCACGGCGAGTCGAAGTGGTACAGCACCCTGGAATGGCTGAACCCATTCTCTTCCGCCATCACCTTGGATGAGAATCGCTCCGTCCTCCCCCCGCTGCGCGAGCGCCGACCAATTTACACCTACTACAATACAAAATTCAACCCAAATAAGGCCAATGGGAAGGATCTTAAGGATCTGCAGAATGCCGACGCGGAATTGCTTCTCGCATGGCGCCGGGCGTGGTTCGCGCAAGGATTCCGGCCCGTGGTGTTGACCCCAGGAGATGCGATGAAGAATCCGAACTATGAGCTCGTTCAGAGGATGAAGCTTGCGCCTAAGGTTGAGAATGAGGTGTTTGGCTGGCTTGCTTGGGGACATATGGGCACCGGAATGCTCGCGGATTTCCACTGCTTCCCCATGGCGCGATATGATGATCCCATGCTGTCGTACCTTCGCCGAGGCAGTATGCCGGAGGTGATTACACGGTTTGAAAAAGTCAAAAATGCGCTTTACTCGGCAGAGAAGTCGCAGATCGATGAGGCTGTCGAGGCCGCAGTTAAGAAGCTGGAGGACAAGACCCCGTCCTTTGTGGATTTGATTGCTCCAGAGCTCTTCAAGGTCGAACAACCCAACTCTTTGGCTTTCTACAAATCGGCGGCCATTACATCGCATTATTCAAGCGTGCATGAGAAGATGGGTCAGAACCCTGCTGCTGGTCAACTAGCCTTGGTGCAGCTGATTAACTCCCATCTGCACAACACCTTCCAGAACTCCTTCCCAGCGGGGTTGGCTGTGTTGAAACCTTTCCCTCAGCACACTACTGCCTTGGTGGAACCTGCCCTCCGCTTGGCCAAGGCTCTCATTCAGTGCCCCGAGTCACCGATTCCCGAATCTTGTCCCCCTAACCTTCCTGATTGTCGCTCTTGTCACTCGGCTAAGTCGCCCATGCGTATCAGCCAGCCTCCGACCTACAAAAACACCACATTCCTCTTTACCATCGGCACCCTCCCACACCCGTACACTCTGGTCAGCTTGCAAAAGAAGTCGGACGTGATCACAACACCAGAGATTCGCCGGGAAACTGAACGTGACGCTTGGTTGTCTGAGGTGACCAAGGAGGACCTTGGTCCGGAATTAGGTGCTTCCTACCGGGGAGTCGTCTTCAAGCAGGTTGTCGCAGGTGAAGATGCCGTCGGCACTTCCTTGTGGATGACCGTGGAATCTCTCCCCGCGGAAGCTGGCCAGACCTTGCCCTCCGAACTTCTCGATGAGTTTGAATGGCAATTTGGATTCAAGATTCCCCGCGAAGGCAAGATTGATCCTGCCACCGAGAATGACCAGCACAGTGCGAAGAGCGCGCAGGACCGGACACCAAGCGAGCAAGGAGTTGGCATCGAATATGAGCTGATTCAGAAGGCCCGGGATACGATCAAAGACAAGGAAACCAACCGTATCAATATCAAGGATGTTGTCGAGGCTTGGAACCTTGCAGACACCGAGGTCTGGCGCTTCGTTAAGGCTTACCGGTGAGTTGACTACATCTACTTCTCATATCAACCTACTAATCAAATCTATAGGGCCCGAAGCGTTGTTGAGCGTCAGAAGTGGGAGGAGGAAGAGAAACCTTTTGCTGGCTCGCGAACATGACCACGTTATATGTATTCTTGCATATTCTTTTTTTTGGGGGTTGGCGCAAAGGATATATAGAAATTTCACCAATTTTGTGACAATAATACTCAGTGCACCTGGCGAAGTGGAGGCGCAAAGTAATCAGAGCACGATGATAGGGCGCCAAGCCGGAGGGGCAATCGGACAGTGGCGATCCCCGCAAGATAAGGAAGTCGGGGTGGAAGAGCACATGATACTCGTCCTCACCTCATCGTTTGGACTTCCCCTCTTGTAACTCTGACTTTCTGAACCCTCATCTTGCTAATAACTTTAGGCAAGTCGTTGCGGAACCTCTCTCTTATAAAAAAGCGAGATGTACAGCGAAAGTTGCCATTGAAACAAAGTTTGTTTGTTTCTAGCTTTTGGCACACCCCGATAACAACACTATGGCGCCGGGAATCCTAGAAACGGACTCCGCGGTCGCAGCTGAGAAGGTCTCCAGTCTGGCTGTGTTGACTGAGGACTGGGATGATACAATCAGGTTCTATCTCAACGGCACCAAGGTTGCCGTAGACACTGCCAACCCTGAAGTTACCCTGCTCGAATACCTGCGGGGTATTGGGTTGACAGGAACCAAGCTTGGTTGCGCCGAGGGAGGTTGTGGTGCTTGCACTGTGGTGAGTCTCGATCTATCGACATCGAGCCCAAATTGCTTTGCTAGGATCAACTGACCTAGTGGTCAATTATTTAATAGGTCGTGTCTCATATCAATCCCACAACAAAGAAGATTTACCATGCCTCCGTGAATGCTTGCATCGCCCCTCTAGTCAGCATTGACGGAAAACACGTCATTACAGTCGAAGGCATTGGAAATGTCAAGGACCCCCATGCGATCCAGCAACGAATTGCGGTCGGCAATGGAAGCCAATGTGGTTTCTGTACTCCAGGAATTGTGATGGTATGTCCATACCCTTTGGCAAAGTACTCGTCTTTGGTCGGGTACTTTGCCATACAGGATCAAATTGACTAACAACAGGAAGTCTCTCTATGCCCTGCTTCGAAACAACCCATCACCATCAGAACATGATGTCGAAGAAGCCTTCGATGGTAACCTATGCCGATGCACCGGTTATCGACCCATTCTCGACGCCGCCCAGAGTTTCAACTCCAAAAATAATTGCGGCAAAGCCTCTGCCAATGGCGGTTCAGGTTGCTGCATGGAGAAGAATGGGTCTGGTGGTTGCTGTAAAGGCTCCTCCAATAGTAACGAATTCGAGACTGTCGATTACAAATTCCCCGCACCAAACTTCAAACCATACAGCCCAGACACCGAGTTGATTTTCCCTGCTGCGCTGCGGAAACATGAATATCGACCGTTGGCATATGGTAACAAAAAGAAGAAGTGGTATCGACCGGTGACTGTGGATCAGCTTCTACAGATCAAGAACATCCACCCGGAAGCTAAATTAATTGGCGGAAGTACCGAGACACAGATTGAGATCAAGTTTAAGGCTATGCGATATGCGGCTTCGGTATATCTTGGAGACATTCCGGAGTTGAGGCAATTCACCTTGCATGATGATTACCTGGAAATCGGTGCCAACGTGTCTTTGACTGATCTTGAGCACATTTGTGATCAAGCCGTTGAGAAGTATGGTGCTGCCAGAGGTCAGCCATTCAAGGCAATCAAAAAGCAACTGATGTATTTCGCTGGAAGACAAATTCGCAATGTCGCTTCTCCGGCCGGTAACCTGGCCACTGCCTCGCCGATTTCGGATCTCAACCCCGTCTTGGTGGCTACCAACACTATTCTCGTAGCCAAGTCGCTTGAGGGCGAGACTGAGATTCCCATGACTGAGTTTTTCCAGGGATACAGAAAGACTGCGCTCGCTCCCAATGCCATTATCGCAAGTTTACGTATTCCGGCTGCGCAGAAGCAGGGCGAGCATATGCGAGCCTACAAGCAAGCCAAGCGCAAGGATGATGATATCGCCATTGTCAACTCGGCATTACGTGTCACCTTGTCTGAGAGCAACGATGTAGTCAGTGCCAACCTCGTGTTTGGTGGCATGGCAGCTATGACGGTATCGGCAAAGAACGCCCAAGAGTTCTTAATTGGCAAGAAGTTCACAAACCCTGCGACACTGGAAGGTGTAATGAGTGCATTGGAGCAGGATTTCAATTTGCCATTCGGTGTTCCTGGAGGCATGGCTAGCTACCGCAAATCTTTGGCTATGGGCTTCTTCTATCGGTTCTACTATGATGTTCTGTCAGGGCTTCCGGTCAAGAGCTCGGACTTGGACCCAGATGTTGTTGCCGAGATCGAACGAGCTATTTCCTCCGGAGCGAAAGATTTGGAGTCTTCGGTCGCATATCAGCAGAAGATTCTCGGACGAGCAACTCCGCATGTGGCAGCTTTGAAGCAATCTACCGGAGAGGCTCAATACACTGATGATATCCCAGTGCAGCAGAATGAGCTATTTGCCTGCATGGTTCTCTCAACCAAGGCTCACGCCAAAATTCTCAGCGTCGACGCATCTGCTGCATTAGATATTCCGGGCGTCGCTGATTACGTAGACCACACGGATCTTCCAAACCCACAAGCAAACTGGTGGGGAGCACCCAAGTCTGATGAGCTTTTCTTTGCTGTCGACGAAGTTACAACAGCTGGTCAGCCAATAGGCCTCATTCTGGCCACTTCAGCTAAGATTGCCGAAGAAGGTATGAGGGCTGTCAAGGTAGAGTATGAAGATCTACCCGCTATCCTTACAATGGAAGAGGCCATCGAGGCCGAATCTTACTTCGAGCACTACCGCTACATTAAATGTGGCGATACCGAGGAAGCGTTCAAAAATGCCGATCATGTCTTTACTGGTGTCTCGCGAATGGGTGGCCAAGAGCATTTCTATCTGGAAACCCAGGCTTGTGTGGCCATACCACTACCAGAAGATGGTCAAATGGAGATTTGGAGTGGTACTCAGAATCCCACTGAGACGTGAGTTCCAGAAAACGTTACTTGATATGAACTTTGAGCTAACTCATTTATAGTCAGGCCTATGTCGCTCAGGTAACAGGTGTCGCTGCGAACAAGGTTGTCTCGCGCGTGAAACGTCTCGGTGGTGGCTTTGGTGGCAAAGAAACACGATCGGTCCAGCTGGCTGGTCTATGTGCTACTGCTGCAGCGAAGACTCGACGACCTGTCCGGTGCATGCTCAACCGTGACGAGGATATTCTGACATCTGGCCAACGTCATCCTTTCCTTTGCCATTGGAAGGTTGGTGTGAGCAAAGAAGGAAAGCTCCTTGCCCTCGATGCCGATGTTTTCGCAAACGGAGGTCACACACAAGACCTTTCTGGTGCTGTCGTCGAACGAAGCTTGTCGCACATTGATGGCGTGTACAAAATTCCTAATGTGAATGTTCGTGGTCGGATTTGCAAGACCAATACCGTATCAAACACCGCTTTCCGAGGATTCGGTGGACCTCAAGGTCTCTTCTTCGCTGAATGCTACATTGAAGAGATCGCAGATCATTTGGGTATGACTGCTGAGCATGTGCGGGCAATCAACATGTATCAACCAGATGAAACAACGCATTTCCACCAGCCTCTCAAGGATTGGCACGTACCATTGATGTACAAACAAGTGATGGAGGAGAGCTCCTACAATGAACGCAGAAAAGCTGTTGAAGAATACAATGCACAGCATAAGTGGTCAAAACGTGGAATGGCAATCGTGCCAACCAAGTTCGGCATCTCCTTCACAGCCCTGTTCTTGAACCAAGCAGGTGCTTTGGTCCACATCTACCACGACGGCAGTATCCTTGTAGCACACGGCGGTGTCGAAATGGGTCAAGGTCTACATACGAAGATGACCATGATCGCTGCTGAGGCACTGCAAGTGCCACAAGCAAGCGTTTTCATTTCTGAGACAGCAACAAACACAGTAGCCAACACATCCTCCACAGCCGCCTCAGCAAGTTCCGATCTTAACGGTTACGCCATCTTTAACGCCTGCGAGCAACTGAACGAGCGCCTCCGTCCCTACCGCGAGAAGATGCCCAATGCCCCAATGAAAGACCTTGCCCATGCAGCCTACTTCGATCGCGTCAATCTTTCCGCGCAAGGATACTACCGCACTCCAGATATCGGCTATGTATGGGGCGAAAACAGTGGTCAAATGTTCTTCTATTTCACACAAGGCGTAACAGCCGCCGAAGTTCAAATCGACACCCTAACTGGCGACTGGACACCCCTACGTGCGGACCTCAAAATGGATGTCGGTCGCACTATTAACCCCTCAATTGACTACGGCCAAGTCGAAGGTGCCTACATCCAAGGCCAGGGCCTATTCACTACCGAAGAAAGTCTCTGGCACCGTGCCTCTGGCCAGATATTCACTCGTGGCCCTGGTAACTACAAGATCCCTGGATTCCGTGATATCCCGCAGATCTTCAATGTTAGTTTACTGAAAGACGTCGAGTGGGAGAATCTACGCACGATCCAACGATCCCGTGGAGTCGGCGAGCCGCCATTGTTCATGGGTGCTGCAGTCTTCTTTGCTATTCGTGATGCGTTGAAGGCGGCACGCAAACAGTGGAATGTTACCGATGTGCTGCATCTTGAGAGTCCAGCTACTCCAGAGCGGATTCGGGTCAGTTGTGCGGATCCCATCATTGAGCGTGCAAGGGTCCAACCCAAAGAAGGAGAGAAGAGCTTCTTTGTTGCTATTTAAACGAACGATTTTATGTTTCTTTCGTGTGTATGAGAATATGGCATTTCGGCGGGGAGGGTGGCATATATGATAACGCATTTATTCTTGCTTTCATTTTGATCAACTTATGGATTCCTTAAATTGTAAATTTCACGCTCCTATCCGGTATGACGCAAACTTCGTTATTATTGTGATTCAACGATACTTAATTTCCTTAATAATAAATTGCCTCGCTGCTTGGAATCACTATACTGCCACGCCAAATTCGCCGGGTATTTCTGAAATTTCCATAAATGCGATATCACAGTCAAAAGGGAAGCTGACAGGGCCAGGAGATGCAGAGAACATAAAAAAGAAAAGCTCATCGCTTCACATCATATTCAACATGAAAGCTCCCCCTCAAATCATTGCCACCATCAACCTGCAACGCGTTCCCATAGTTCCTCTGCCCAGCAAACCCAAGCTTCTCATCCCGATAACCATGCCCACCAGCAACAGGCACCGAGCTAGTTGGTGCAGCCGTATACTCCGGAACGACATGCTCATCAGCATTTGTCCCCCTTGGCATAGCAGTAAGTGGAACTTCATCAAACACATTCGAGCTACGAACTTGCTGAGGACTATGACCATGCGGACCATGAGGAACAGGATCAAGAATATGACCCTGACCACCTTCACCACGAGGCTTCTCCCGACCCCAGAACAAGATCATGGCACGGGTGACTCCAATGAGCGCGATGAGAACCCAGACGAGCAAGATACATGTTGCGATGATTGCTTCAATGCGCACTGCGCTTTCTAGTTTGTTGACAACACGAATGACGACTTCGGTGATTTTGTTGGATGTTTCGTCACCTGCATCGGCTAGGAAACTATCGGATGGGTTTGATGTGCTGTTGATACTGTCTGAGGCTCCGGCTGAGAATGTGTCGTTTGGGAATGTAGGAAGAGAAATATGTGCGTGGTCGACAACCCAGTCGAGACCTTTCTGCATTGACTCGGCCTTTAATTTGACAAGGCAGTTGTAGAGATCGTTGACCGGACCTTGGAGGACTGTGCCCGAGAATGTATGATTCAGCGTGTCGGATGTGTTTGTGATGAAGAAGTTGAGGGTTCCGTTGATATATCCCGCTGTTTTGTTAACCCAGCCAAAGACGTCGTCGTTCAGGCCACTGTCGACCTTGCCGATTGCATTATTGGCATCTGTGGCCCATTCAGCCGAGGCATTTTGTAAAGCGCCGACGACTTTGTCTGCGAATTCGCCTACTTCGGCACTCAGTTCGGGAACCGTCTGCTTGATCTGACGTAGGAGCAACCATTGGCAGAAGCAGGCGAAGAGTGCTGCCACTGCAAGAGCTAAAACGAATAGTGCAGGGAAAGATGTTGCGTATGCGATAGCCCATCGAACGAGGATTTGGCGACGACTGTTGCTGAACCGGCTTGCAGCTTTAATACCTGCTGCGGCTGTGTATGGCCGTGAAACGATGTATACAACATCCATTGGGTCGTGTGCTTCCTTGCGAACCAATTGAGAGCGCTCTTTCATTGAGCGCCATCGTCGGATTTCTTGCCATGCAACAGGAATGCATACAAGTATCGCCACAATCAGCAAAACGGCGATGAAAATCTTGCGTGCTGTGATGGCTATACTGGTGACGCCGTCGAAGAAATCATTGATACCACTGTTACCATCGCAAAATGTCAACTGCTTTTTCGCGGGAATCGAAAGTGCAGAAGAATCAAACTCGTACGCGCCCAAGGTATCGTTGACTAGATCTCGGAGCTCGTTGAAAGGCAACATGATGAGCTTCTTGGCATCAGCTTGGAGGGTTGTGAAATCGGGCAGGACTAGTTTGTCCATTTTGGAGATTGTGTCATTGACAGAAGATGGTAATGATAGATTTTCCAATTTGTCGATTGTGCTGTTGAGGTCAATCTTCTCAAAGTCCTTGTCGAAAAAGGTGGCCACGGAGTTGAACTTTGAGATGAATGCGTCTAGTCCAGTTTGGTATTTGTCAACAACTCCCTCAATATCGTCGCCAATATCAACGAGGGTCCCGTTGATCCAGCTCGTAGCTGACTCGACGACTTCAATGCCAGCTTTGATTGTGCCATTGACGGCGACAGCAATGAGACAGGCGTAGGTCGAGTACATCATGTTGAGAACAAAGTAGATGATTTCTCCAAGAGCCGTGATGGTAAGTAGCAACATGGACTTGAGAGCATCCACCGCATCATTGACAGTAGAAGCTGTTAGCTTGTTGACGCCCGTAGAGAGGTAATGGGGCATTGATGCCATTGCGCTACCCATCGATTCCACAGATGTACACGCAGATAATGACTCGCGCTTGGCCGACGCCATGTCGGATTGCAAGGAGCCGATTGCAAGTAAAAGCCGAACCAGAACTAGGAGTAGCAGAATTGTCCATCGGTTGATCCATACTTGAGATAGTCGAGCCCGAAGACCGAGGTAAGGAGTGAGACCGTCTGGATGTAGAGGAATTATGCGTCCTGTGCTGGAGTCGTGAGCCCCATATGGCGGGAGTAGAGGAAATATCGTCCTCCCAGACTGTGAGAAAATCATTTCAATTGATTTTGATACAAACTGTCGAGGTTGGTGAAGATGTTGGGTGTGATTTCGTCCAGCGAAAATCCCACAAGGGCTTGGAAGTAGAATCGAGTTCAAAGAGAATTATACAGAGCTTGCATCAAAGCAGAGTATCGCCAAGAGTAAAGAAAGAGAAGCAAAAAAAGCAGAGAAGAAAAATTCCAGCTTAACAGAAGAGCATGGTGTATATAGTCTTACTGGGGTGAATGAATGAGAGATCAATAGATGAATAGGATGGGTGGCGAAACTGGAACAATAGAATCAGAACAAAACATGGAATAGGGAATCCTCAAATATAGCAATGGGAAAACCTAACCTGTCACTCGTCAAATACCCGGCGGCAGCAGACATTGTCAGAGACGTAGTTTTGTTAAATAAAGAAGCGGCTGCCAACCCCGTAAAGGTGGACTAACCACTCAGAGTCAACCATGACCATGTCGAAACAAAGGATACATAAAAATAAAGCCTGAAGATAGAACATCTGGACCAGTAATTGTTTCAGGTATCAGTAAAGAATCTTATTGGCTACTGTTGTTGTCAAAAGCGCCGGGGTAGCATAAATAGACAAATATAGCTGCAGTGGGCGCTTAGCCGCTCGCGAGTTGAAAGCCAATGGTGGTATTGTCATAACTGCTACATCGAACATCAATCATTTGGTTACAGCAAGGTTTCGAGAAATGTTTGCTTTGATTGAATTGATTTCTTGATGGAGCAAATAACATAAAGGGTCGGTTACTAGCTGCCTGGCATTCGATGACCTGGTGTGAATGGATTCACAGTCTCGCAGTTTCAAGTACCGACCGGCATTTTCTGAAAATGAATTGTCGCAGACACCAGAATCCGTTATTTCACTGCAGCTTGTGTTTAGGTAGAAGGTATTTATTCTGAAGGCGCGAAATCACAGCAGTGATGATTATAGGTCCGTGCACAACAAACGGGGCAGCCTGTCACGTGCTTTGAGGCACGCACGTGATGACTGACACCCTAACTGCAGCCACCCTGATAGTAAGAAAATCTACCTCGATCTTCAAGAATGTCATAGAGCTGGTTCGGGCATTGCAAATTTGGTGTTTTTTTGGGTAGTGAGACCAGTTTATTAGTGTCTCTTCTCATGAATTAAGTATGAAATTGCTGTTCAAGCCACTCAGTGCTTATGTCGTCGATTGACATACCCTTGACTTGAGGATCAACACTTCAGACTCAGATTTAGTGCTGTATTCCTTAAACAAATATAGTGCGTATTTGAGAAGCTCAAGATAAATCAAAACTCTGGTTGACCTCATCGAAAAACAATCATCTGAAACCATGAAGTTTTCCACCATGGTACCTCTTGACTGAATCAGTCGCACCAAAATTTTCTCTCAGGTCCAGAACATGAACTGCTTCTAGACCTTCATCTAATTTTCAAGCTCGGGCCACATTCAACTTCTATCTGGATAACCAAATGCTTGATCGTTTGCCTTCGATTAAGTCGAATCTCTTAAGTCGAGTAAGTCGAAGCCTTTTGACACCCACCATCCATCTTCATCTCCCTTCTCGTTTCTTTCTTCCTCTTCTATCTTTATCACTCTTCATTTTCAATCATCTCATCAACATTCTCTCACTCGGATCATCACTCTGGGATGTAACCCTCTCTCAAAGTCGTGAATATCTACAGCTCTTTTTGCACCGTGAGAACAGAAATCCATTCGAGGAACACCAGCTGACAATATTGGTAATACAGATAGCTCTTTAAACATACCTGGCAAGATGTCGACCACAGACATCCCAAATGCTGCGCCCAGAACTGAACCTACAGTACCTCAAACCTCTACTGCCTTACCTAATGGTGAGCCATGTCCCACCTCGCCAACAATCGAATTTGAGTGTGAGCTTCGGTGCCCTATCTATGGAATGGATGGAGAATGCTTCTCTGGTAAGTTGAACTGATATGTATTAATCTTCATTGAAAGCTTAGATTGCTGATTCGATTCTCTTGCATAGACCCTGAGGATTACACTGACTACCGCTCAACCGTTCTTGCTGTTGAATTTTCTCCGAGGGAGTCAAAGGATGCAATCAGACTGGGTATGCGAATCGCATTGCATCTCCTAGACGTGATTACAGACACTAATTACTATCCAGGCTTGATTGAAGGGCTTCAAGAAAACACCCATTTGCCCTCTGGGGCCGAGCCTCTCTTGTCGCTTGACCTAATCAAGGAGCAGCCTTTAATCGACAAGGAGCAATCCGCGAAGACTGGTGTCCAAGACCCGGTCCACTCCGAATTTAGTGCCCGTCCCACAAAGGATAAGACTCTACAGATGGTAAAGGAGTACACTTCTTACAGACTTGGTCACATGTCTGGTACAAATTTACCACGTGGAAATGGTGGAAAAACTGACCATTCACTCTCCGCGGCGAGTGGCGAGAGCTTAGCATCCTCCACCGCTCTAAGTGACAATACCTTCGTCTCTGGCCTTGACGGAACCTCAACTCTTGCGGATATCTCATTTACTTGTGCGTTTGCGGGGTGTGAAAGACTCTGCAGTCTCTTAGATGCGATCAGTGACATCTGCCCCAAATGCGGACCATTTTCAACCATTCGATACTGCGGCAAGGAGCACCTGTGGCATGATGCCATTTTACACTGGAAGAACTGTGGGCAGTTCTCTCTCATATATCAATATGAGGCGGGACCAATTCCAAAGGAGTTTTTCGGGAGTCTACCCATGTTGCACAATATTCGAGGATTCGATAGCCCTGAGCGCCATCGTCAGGCGCTGGGATTCGTTTCCGCTACCAACTATGGCGACTACTTTGTCTTCGCAGATTTTGTTCCTACGGCCACACCAAAGCTCCACACTTTGACCAGTGAGAACCCAGTTTGTTCAACGAGTGTTGAGTTCATCGTACGATTCGACGATCCGGTATGGAAAGATCGCTTTCGCCGCGTATTGGCGATTTGCCTATTTGGTAAGTTTTGTTTCTGCTACATCACATCCTTCCAACTTTTTCTTTCGCTTCACTCAATCGCTTTGTTCGAATGGTATGCTAACGGTCTCTCAGAAGGGATTGAATACCAGGGACTTTGTGGCGTTCTTTTCCGGCTAATTCGGGGCTGGATGCGATCTAAAGAGATCTGGAATCCTGAGGTGGAGTACAAAGTGGCTAAGCAAATCGACAGAGAGATGGGTTTTGTTCTCCCTCTCAGCAAGATCTGCCGCCATAATGTACAGGAAAAAGAGTGGGATGGTTCCGACTTGAGCCCCTTGGATAAAACAACCCACAGATTCTGTCTGTCAAAAGGCCGAAGATTTCAAGAGAAGGATCTAGTGATGGGACAAGGTATCGGTGGACTGTGCAGTGAAAAGGAGTCCACTTTTGAGGTTCTTCGAGCACACCGGATTTATCATCCGACGGTCAGAGATATGATGGCGCGGGTCAATGGTGTTGGTTTTTAAAAGTGTGTCTCTAATGCGGGTCGATGTGCTTAGCATTGGGGCCTAAGACGGGGTATTGATGTAAGAGTATGATTTGATGACCCGAAAGAATATCATTATCCAATGAATGAGTAACTGTGATATTCACGTTGAACAAATTAGCCTAATTTGGTTGACAATGAAAGTGCAGGGAGACTTTTGCAACCTGTGGATGGTTTGTCTGCCATCTGCAATAACGTTAAGACAAAGTTGCAACTAAAAAGCCACTCCTCACGATTTGATGCCACCAATAAATCAGTCAAACTTTAGCGCTATTTTGATATCATATTTTACGTCCAATTTTACCCCTTATATGGCATATATAGAGGTCAAGTTTGATGTCAAATAAAATACTCGAAAAGCGCTAAAGTTTGACTGATTTATTGGTGGCATCAAATTGCATGGTGGCTTTATATTACTTGGGAGTGGCGTTTCAGACAACTTTATAATGCCTTCACTCAGAACGAAGCGCAAGAACGCCATGTCACTAGCAAAGAACGCAATGGAAGAAAGCCCAGAACAAGCATTCAATGAATTAGTAGAGGGACCTGGACAAGCAAAGCTGGACCCGGCCACAACCAGTTCAGCGACAACAGCCCGGAGTCTTGGTAGCCTCAGAAGACGCAAAAGAATCAATATCAGCAGTCACAGTCAACTTATAGTACATTTCATTGATGGGGACAGTAGGACAAGTCGCAGAGGTAGAAGATGAAGACTGATACTTGCCCCATCCAAAGACCCATTCATAGCAAAGCTCATAATGCAGCTAGCACTCCCAAGACTGCGTGAAAGTGATATCGTAGGGTCCCGACGGTTCAGTTGTCGGGATGATATACAGCGGTCACGCTGACTGTCTCGGCGCCCTGGATGATTGTCCAGGATGTCGGATAGTCACAGTCTGACTTTGGGGCGTCTTTGACACAGCCAACATGGTAGATGGTCTCTTTAGCATTGATGCCTGCTTTACTGGCTGCTGTGCTTGTTTGGGCGCGTAGCAGGTCCTCCATATTCCAGGATGGTTTGTAGTAGCCGACGATTGTGCAGATGATTCCTTGAAGTTGGCAATGCCGGCTAGGATTGCTGCGAGGAATACTGAAGTGCGCATATTGATCGGAGAATGTATGCTTTATTTGGGGGGATATACGGAGTACGCTTGAAAAAGTATTCGGACAACGAAAACATCAGGGAGACTGCTCTTCTTAGATTAGGGGACCGCGCGCCCTTGTCTTCGTTTAATATCGAGCGATAAACCATTCGAAATATCTCTAACTGGTAGACTAGTGCAGTCGATCTCCCCTGGAGCCTCTTCCAGGTTGAGGCTCTGCGATCCACCTGACGGTTACCGTGATGATTGATATCAGAATGTTATCAATATGCATACTATTTCATTTGGACTGTGTGGAAGTTTCACGGCATACAGGGTGCCGTCGCAAAAAGCAGCTGTATGGCATTGTGCAGATATCCCATATGTAAAGGAGACAAAATAGTTGACATGGAAGAAGGCGGGCTAGTTGGATAGGTATAACGGGGTCGAGATGGGTTAATTCCGATTCGATTCACCTCACTTGACGACACCTGTTGTATAACTTATTGGTCATTTATTGATAGCATCAAATCGTGAATGGAAATTTGTAGATTTCATAGATGCGATAGATCTGCATGTATAAATTTATCGTTCTATGTATCATCAGAGGAGCACATCTACACCGTTCGGAATTGATCTCGGCATCCCACTCATGTCAAATAATCTACTGAGTGATGTACTTCTTAAGACCCCTCAGGCGCTCCTTGGCAGTCTCAAGAACATCATCGTTCTTGCAAACAGCAAAGCGGAGATAGTCCTCCGCGATGTGAGCGTTGGCATCAGTATAGAACTCAGTCGGGGGGATAGCAGCTACGCCGACCTCTTGGATGAGGAACCAGCACAGCTTGAAATCCCGAGGACGGTTGGCAACGTGGGGTGGGAAGGGGTAGTCGGCTGGGAGCTTGACGGAGGCCATGTTGGCAAGGACGAAGTATCCACCCTCGGGGTCAGAGTACTAGAGATGAATGTGTCAGTGATTTGAACAATGCTGATAGATGCAGAGAGACTGGTCACGTACCGGGATACCGAGCTCATCAAAGACCTCACAGAAGCGGGAGATCTTGTTCTTCATGTCTGTTCGGCTTTCGTCCCAGAAGCCTTCCTGCTCGGCTTTCTCAAAGGCGACAGCGGCAGCTTCCTGGAGAGGAGAAACACTGCTGTAGCAGATGCGGGTGTGTGCAGCAGCAACGTACTTGATCAGATGCTCGGGTCCAATCAGGTAGCCGACACGCCAGCCAGTGGCGTAAAAGGCCTTGCCGGCAGAGCAAACAGTCAACGTGCGCTCGTAAAGCTGGGGAGAGAGTGTGGCAATTCTGGTGAAAGGAACGTAGAACAGACGATCATAGACTTCATCAGACAGAATAATGAGGTTGTGCTTGACGCAAAGGTCACCAATGCGCTCGAGTTCTTCGCGCGAGAAGACCTTTCCGACGGGGTTGTGGCTGGCAACATGTTAGTAGAGGCGCTGAACAAGCAACAAGGGTGCTCACGGAGAGTTCAAGACAATCATCTTAGTCTTGGGGTTGATGGCCTTCTCAAGCTCCTCGAAGTTAATGGTCCACTCGGATGCAGGAGAGGTCCGGGTAGCACCATCCGCAGGTGGCTGAAGGGGCACATATCGAATAGTGCCACCGGGCATTTCGATGTTGCTGATATATCTGTTCGTATAGTTAGCAGCGGTCGGTCTCGTGATGTGAGGGGGCACCTTACTGGTCAAAGAAGGGCTCGAAAATGATGACTTCATCACCGGGCTCAATGAATCCCATGAAGGCACTGAGCATGCCTATTTATCATTTGTTAGCGCCCATGTCCTAACCGTATATATCGTAATCGTCAATTGCTAACCTTCATTTGCGCCAGTTGTGATCGAGACCTCGGTATCGGGGTTGATGGTCCTGCCGAAGAAAGGGGAATATGCGTCCGCGATGGCTTGCTTGAGACGAGGGCGACCCTATGTGGTGTGAGCACACTGTACAATTTGCGCCGGGCAATCGACGTGTCCCACCTTGGTGGGGGAGTATTGGTTGCATTCAACTCGGTCCAGCGCATCCTTTGCGGCATCGAGAGCAAACTTGGGCGGATTGTAACCACTGTAAACAGTAATTGATTGTCAATATTCGTTCCTTGCAGTATTGCGACAACGACATTGACCTTGTGGTGACTCACAAGAACCCTTGACCCATGTTCACGATGGGCTGAACTGGTGAAGCTGCGGCAGCCTCATTGACGATCGACCTGGGATCTTGATTCAGTATGTTTCCTGTAGCTCTGCATGTAGTGCATGTAGCCGTACCACACATCCTGTCGCTGTCCTGCTACCCGCGCCGCGGGGCGGAATGGGTCGGGTCGTGAAGCTGTTGCCGACATCGGTCTTGCGAAAGCAGATAGGCGGGGTAAAGGTACGGTGGTCAGAGATACGGTTGGCTTGAAGGCGAGAGAAGAGAGGAGAGATGAACGAGGAATCATGACCGTTGAAGAAAGAAGAAGAAGAAGTTGGAGTAGTTGAAGTTGCCCAATGGCGTGCTTGGATTGGGGTTCGGGAAACGGGCCGAATTCCACTTCAGAGGTCGAGACGGGGATTACTTGACTTTCCCGGACTTCATGTTGGCCATTGAGATCTTGTCTTGGTTAATTCCGATTGACTGAATTCCATATTCTGAATCAATTCAGGCACCAAGGCGCGCACATTACTAATTACCAGCGCGTCTGCACAGCACGCGTGTCCGTCTCTCCGGAGATAGCGTGTTTGACCCGACTTGACAGCTACAAGCTTCCAGCACAACAAACTTTGACATTATGGTTTCCTGTCCGATATGCGAGAAATTCGTGCCGCAGTTGAAGATTAACGATCACATTGATTCCGGCTGTCAGAGCTTCATTGAAGAACCCTCCTCCTCTCCCGGGGACGCATCGTCCTCTCAGAAGGGCCCTGTTCCAAGCATATTCCAACCTGCATCGGCGCGCAAGGCATCCACACAGCCAGTGATCGCGAAAGAGTCCCCATCGCGGGTAATAGCAACCCCGCGTCCTCTCAACGGCAAGAGATCATTCGTCCAGGAGGAAACGCCAGAACGTGGACCGAAGCAAACAAATGGCGAACCTAAAGAGCCTCAAGCAAAACGCCCCAAGGTCAATGCTTTCCACAAAGCTGCCCCACTTGCAGAGCGCATGCGACCCAAGACACTGGAGGAAGTATGTGGCCAAGAGCTTGTCGGTCCGAACGGCGTCCTGCGCGGGCTCATCGAACAAGATAGGGTACCCAGCATGATTCTGTGGGGCAGTGCAGGGACAGGCAAGACAACTATTGCTCGAGTCATTTCCTCATTGGTAGGCAGTCGCTTTGTGGAAATCAACAGCACAAGCAGCGGCGTCGCAGAGTGCAAGAAGATATTCGCTGAGGCTCGTAGTGAGCTTGGCCTGACTGGTCGGAAAACAATCATTTTCTGTGATGAGATTCACCGTTTCTCCAAATCACAGCAGGATGTTTTTCTGGGTCCTGTTGAGAGTGGCCAGGTCACCCTAATTGGAGCAACAACGGAGAATCCTTCGTTCAAGGTCCAGAATGCCCTTCTCTCACGGTGCCGAACATTCACTCTCGCGAAGCTCACTGACGAAGATATCACCTCCATTCTCCATCGTGCCCTCCGCGTGGAAGGTCCAAGTTATTCACCCTCGAACCTGGTTGATGAAGAACTGATCCAATATCTGGCCAAATTTGCCGATGGAGACGCTCGCACATCGCTCAATCTGCTGGAACTTGCCATGGATCTCTCCAAACGGCCAGGCATGGATAAGGAAACCCTGAAGAAGTCTCTCACCAAAACCCTTGTGTATGACCGCGCTGGAGATCAGCACTATGACACCATATCCGCCTTTCACAAGTCCATCCGAGGCAGTGATCCAGACGCCGCGCTGTATTACCTCGCTCGCATGATCCAGTCGGGAGAAGACCCCCTTTACATCGCTCGGCGGTTGATTGTTGTTGCTTCAGAGGACATTGGCCTTGCGGATAATACCATGTTAACACTGGCCACCTCGACCCATGCTGCTGTTGAAAAGATCGGTCTTCCAGAAGCGAGGATCAACCTGGCGCATGCTACCGTGGCGATGGCACTGTCAAAGAAGAGCACTCGCGCGTATCGTGGCTTGAACAATGTCTTTGCTGCCTTGAACGAACCTGGAATCGCTGGCCTACCTGTTCCTGTTCATCTGAGAAACGCTCCTACCAAACTCATGAAGGAGATGGGTTATGGTGCCGAGTACAAGTACAATCCAAACTATGTTGACGGCAAAGTGCGGCAGGAGTATCTGCCAGAGCAGCTGCTGGGTCGAACCTTCCTAGAAGACTTGGACTTGGGCACTCAGAGAGATCGTGATTTGAACACTTTCCAAAGAGGCTAATGGCCTTCATTGTTCTCATTCTATGGAGTCTTACTTCAATACCATGATATGAATATGGCCCAAGGTATACACCTATACACCTCACCGCCCAAGCATAAATTATACCTCGCGCATGGCCCTTGCTTAGCCTATTTGGGATTGTTATGGACAAGAACCATGGCAAGAGTCTGTACATGCTTCTGCGCCAGTGACTCAAGCCTGAATTTTCAGACTTGAGTAACTCTTCCATACTCACCTTCGTTTTCACTCTACTTCCATCCTCTTCTCTGCTTGATTATTACTAGCAAGCACGTCGGCACTTTCTTGCGACAGAGTATTCTCTCTTTCCAGGCGCATCCATGGCGACTCAGGCTAGTGATGGTGAAGCTCAAGGGCGGCTGGCACCAAATCCTCGCTCATCCAAGCGCAGGCGTCTCGAAGGGACCTTCCCTGTGACCCATGTGAGTTTGATCCCTTTTATTCTGTTTTCAGCTACATGATATGTTCACTGTGTATCATCGGTCCTAATATCATTGTTCCAGCCTTTCTTGCCAGCGCTCGCTGCTGGTCCGGGTCCCACTCAAGTCCCGTCGGTCTCAGATTCATCTCAGTCAAAGCCTGCTGAGGGACAAGACTTGCGATGGGGGGAATCACGTACAGGGATAGCATCTGGGTCTCTTCCTATGCTTGGTCCTGAATATGGCTCGCACGTTATGGGCCACGCTGCACCTTCATGCGACCTACCATTCACGCAACAGCTGGCAGATCTGCGTCAGATCTTACCTATGAAACACCGTCGACCATTGGCCCCTCCAACCGGGCACTTGAAGTTCATCCAGGTGGATCCGCTTAACCCAGAAAGGTCCTCCCTCGAAACGGTCCCTCGTACCCAAGCCCAGATACAAGCCCAGAAAGAAGACACTGCAGCTCTCAAAGTTTTTGGTGGCTCATGCTTGTGGTGCATTCGATTCAGGAAGAAATGTGAGCCTTGCAGCTCATGTAGTCACTGTCTTCTCGGCAAAATACACGTTTGCATTCGAGGACCACGGGCTCTATACATATTTGGAGCTATAAAATTGCCATCCGGGGAAGGACGTCTTGTATTAGACGAGATGGAACGCCTCGCCATCTCCGAGGCGACCGAACTTCAAGGGGCTTTGATGATTACTCAAAAGGATACTCTCGAGTCCCGGGCCTGGACTATCACCGAATCTCGTTTCGCTTTGAGGAGGAAAGAAAAACTCTTTGATTCATTCATTGACATGGCTGTCGGCTGTCTTGATTGTACTGAATTGGCTAGACTAGAAGCTTCATACTCGAGGAACTCACTGGTCCAAAAGGCGGTGCTAATGGCAAGATTGTTGATTGTCACCCAGGGCATAGCGCGTTCGCGAATCTTTGCACAAGCAGCCGATGTTGTCTCTGGAAGACTCGTCATGTTTCTGATCTTGATCCGCTGCATGACACGGCTAGCTGGCATGTCTTGGGACTTCTGTTTTGAGATATATGGATTCCTGTGTCACAAACCTAAATTCGCCTGGAAAAAAGATATTGAGAATGAGCTTTGTCCTATCTTTGTCGCTTGGGCACTCTATAAGCGAACCTCGGACAGGGTATCCGAGCTGCGAAACGACCTCGTCATTCAAAAAATTCTTGGTGATGGCTGTTCGATCGACGGGATTTGCGATGCCATTCAATCCGTATTGGATTATACTTACCCCAAGAATAAGTATATGAAGATCAAAAGAATCAGGGATATTTTGGACAAAAATATCCCCAAGCTATCGTGTCCGTCTTTCGACTTCGTGTTTTCGCAGGAGCCATCTGATACTGGGAAGCAGTTCCATCTTTCTCGCGACTCATACTACGAGATGGCTTCATTCTTGCTTGGTGGCCGTATTGTCTCTGATCCAGCAGCTCATTCGTCCAACGCTACTGGCGCACTGGTGACAATGAGTGCTTCGATTGCAGCACCTTTCACCATGACAGAGGACGGTCTCATCGATCCATGTCCGGTAAACTCGGACTTTGTCAACCCACTCGATCTGCATCAGGATCCCAATGCAGTCGCTAGCGCCGGTATTCTCTGCCATTCAAGCTCTTTAGAGACCTTGACCAGTGAAGACTCAACTGAGACTGTACCTGGTCAGCCACTTACCGGATCCGCAGACTGCTGTGCTGGCCCGAGTATGGACTGGAAAGTTGATGACATTTTCCAGACCATTAAATCTGATTTCCCCTCATATTGCCACTGCTGCAATTTCTGCTGTTATCATAATTCAGACACTGAAGGATGTTGTTCTACCACTGAATGTTCCCCTGGCAAGTGCTATTGTCCTGTCAGTCAAGGCTCGAGTTAAGCTTGCATCTCATTTTTCTATTTTGTTCTTGTTTTGACACTCTTCCTTTCTTGCTGCTAGTGAGATGCATTTTCGCTGTTTTTATTATGGCATACATACACTCCAACGAGTTAGGCGCAACATGGGAAAGCTTTGCTAAGATAGTTGATACCCCAATTGCATATCACCCATTTAATTCATCTATTTGATTCATGTACGTAACTTTGCTTAATCAAATTAAACCAATTCCCAGAAGTATCTCCAGCATGAAATCGCCGAATCAGTAGAAAAAAGAAGGAAAAACAACGGGCGGCGTTAGGCGTCCATTCCGCCCGCGTCGCGTCTCAAGATTCCTTCCACCGCCAACACCCCGACTACTCTCCCCCAAGGGCTGCAAAGCCCCTCTATTGCAATTAATGCTGTTGAACCCTGATCCTTGCATCTAAATACATCTGAAGACCACCCACTTGCCATGGCCTCCGGCCAACCTTTCGCGTCGCGCTCGTACGCCGGCACGAAAATGCCCGACCGCTCCGTGAACGCAAACGCCATGCCCTTCAGCGCCTCGTCGTTCTCCCGGCATCGCGGCCTCGCCAATCCCAATGCAGGCGAATTCACCGATGGCCCCAAGCAGAACCAGCAGAATGCGCAGCCAGCGACGAACGCGCAGTCTCACGGTCAAGCACAGGACACCAACCCGCTCAACCGTCTGACGGAGGAGCAGAGAGAAGAAATCAATGAAGCCGTAAGGTATCCCCGAAGTACCGTTCACGAGTTGATACGGCCCTACAATACAATGCCCTCCAACTTGCTTCACCCAGAGCCGGGTCCAATCCCCCAAACATGAACCTGAACCAGAACCTGAAACAAGCAGAACTAACACCACCTAACGAACAGTTCACCCTCTTCGATCTCGACCGCGACCGCCACCTGGATTACCACGAACTCCGCGTCGCCTTCCGCGCCCTAGGCTTCACTCTCAGCAAACAAGAGCTCATCTCCCTGCTAACAACATACGGTGTGCCGCGACCACAAGTGCAGGCCCAACAAGCCGCTGCGCAATCCCAAAACCCGCAGGCCGTGCAGTCGAATAAGGGACCCGTCTCGAACCCGCAACACCCGTCCAACTTGCTCATGCCGCTATCGTCTTTCCAGGCTGTGACTGCGTTGAAGATTCTCGAGCGGGATCCACGGGATGAGATCCTGCGCGCGTTTGAGCTGTTCGATGAGGGCGCGAAGGGGTTCATTGATCTTGAGGATTTGAGGCGAGTTGCTCGTGAGCTGGGCGAGACGGGGCTGGAGGAGGAGGAGCTCCGGGCTATGATTGAGGAGTTTGATCTTGAGGGGGTTGGTGGTGTTACTCGTGAGGCTTTTGTTGGAATTTGTTGGCAATAGGCTTGGTTCTTGGGTTGAGGGGTGCCTTTTGACTCTTGACTTGGCTGTGCATGGGTTTCTTTGGTGTTTGGTCTTGTTCCTTTTGTTTTTCATCTCCAGTACTTGTTTTGTTCTCTACCTTTTGTTTGTATTGCTTGTTTTGGAAGTGTGTTGTGCTACTCTTATTGATTGATTGAGTTTGCATCGCACTTGAAATGGATATCCAAATGATTGAGATCTTCAGTCTTCAGTCTAAATGTACTAAGCTATTATTACATGTCATTTATAGGGTAAAGTTGTCAATTGATGTCAGTCAAGTACTGTAGATTCATGTCCCTCGCACTGCATGCAACAAACGAGATGGATAGAATCCATGCAAATATAATCCAGATCCAAATCCTAGCCCACAGCTCAAATGAATGTTCAACCCAACCCGCCAATGTAAGGACCGATCATTAAAAAAAACGAAGACCGCACTGTTCATCCGCGTTGACGCCATAACCAACAAGCCCAGAGCACAGAGAAAAGTCCCCACGGGCACGAACGCAAGGACAAGTGCAGCAAAACAATAGCTTAAATTAAATCCATAAGAAGACTACATAATGATAAACAATGAAAAGATGCATTCAAGCATAGCGTGGTGAAGGGCCTGGCGGTGGCATATGCTGATACCCAGGCGGTCCAAGGGGAGGCACGTTTTGATAGCCAGAATTGGGAACGCCATGCCACTGATTCATCTGGGGTGGACGGGCAGACGGCTGGGGCCCATTATACCGCCTGTATGTGCCGGGAGGAATGGCCTTGCGCATCTTGCGCTGGGCAGCGCTGCGTCGGCAGCGACTGTATATACAGAAGAAGAGGGCTAGGAGAATGAGAGTGCCGCCGCCGACACAGACGCCGATTACGAGTTTCTCGTGTTGCTTGATCCAGCCTAGGGCGGAGGAGCCCTTGCATTGGCCTGAGCTGCAGCGGCCGCCTGAGTCGCAGGGTGTGCCGTCGAGATAATTCTGGTTCATGCTAATGCATGAGGTTGTGCCGTAGGAGTGGGCGAGGGAGGGTGCACCGCAGACGAGACTGCATGATGGGGATTGTGTGTTTTCACAGGCCCATGTGTCGTTTGTGTTTAGCAAGGAGCCGACTACTGTTCGACATTGGTAGTCACGGCTGGTGCACTGGCCGCTGGCACAGCTGAGGCCTTGATCCTTGGCACCGCAGGTTGTGCCGTCGTCCTTGAATTTGTCGTCCGGGCAGGAGGGGGAGGTTCCGCTGCACTTCTCTTCGATATCGCATACGCCTGTGCTAGCACGGCAAACGGTATCGGCGGAGGAAAATTGGCAGTTAGAACAGCAACTTTCGTTGGAGTCGTCACAGACGGCATTGTCCTTGAATTTGCAGGTTGATGCATCGCAGCAGGAGTTGTCGCTGCAGCCTTCTTCGCCACCGCAGTCGCAGTCTTCGCCGGCCTCGACAATACCGTTACCACACTGACTGCCACTGATCGTCACGACACCCTTGTTGTCTGACAGACAGGAGGACTTGATGCTGTTTCTTCCAATGGCGGAACAAATGTTGCCGATGGTACAGTCTGAAAACTTGGTCATACTGTTGCTAGCATAGGGGTTCATGATATACTTTGCATCAGCATCGCAAGTTGACGAGGACAGCGGACAACATTGAGACGAACTCTGCAAGTTCTGCGCGCAAGTATCCGAATCACAGTCGTGAACAGCACCAAAGGTATGTCCAGTCTCGTGGGCGAACACCTGCCAAGAAGCACCAGAATTGCGGACAACAACATTGGCGCCAGTAACAGAGCTGTCGCCGGCGGTGGTCAAGTCAGATGTACACAGTCGACCCATCCACGAGACACCAACCTCGCTATCTGTCGGGCAATCGGTCATAAGAGTCCAATAAGCATTGCTATCGGCATTTTGAGCACGCCACTTGGAGAATTCATTGAGACGCCAGGTAACATTGCCGTTGTCGCAACCCACGTTCCATGGCGTACCAGAAGCGCCCGTAGAGGGGCAGCCCGTCTCAGAAATTGTCAAGTTTCGCAGGCCAATCGACACATTGAAAGACTCTTCGTAAAGACTGGATGCTGTGTTGACAATATTGATGATCCAATCCTTGGCCGCGGCCTTGGGAGTGTCGTTGCTAGCCTTGAATGACTCGGTCAATGCACAATCACCCGCAACTCCAATTAGAGCGACCTTCTTTGTCTTGGGGCAGCCACTAGTATCACCGATGGTCGTTTGCAGGTTCACGCCGCCCGTGTTTCCAGACACACCGCTGGTGTCGGACTGCCGCTTGCTTAGGCCGAACAGCGAGTTCAACGAGGCAACACCCCACTGTCCGTCATATGCGTCAACACCATAGGGAAAGATCGAATTGGACAGATCGGCATTGTAATCGAGGGTGTCTGATCCACATCCAGTGAGTGAGGAGGAGTCCAGCGACCGCTTCAGCTCGTTGTGTGTGTACTGGAACATGTCTGAGTCTCGGTAGACGAGCATATACTCTCCATCCCTGGGCTCAACATCGGCATCAATCGGGCGCTTCTTGTGCATATAATTTGACTGCAGTTCAATGTGGTGCTTATTGTTGTCGATGCTGAATGCACCCTCGAAGAGAGGATCTTGGCCATCCCTTTTGACGGTGATTCTGGCCCAACCAACGGGTGTCCATCGCCCTGTGCCTGATCCTACTAGGGCGCGACCTTTGAACACTTTGTGCTCGTGTCGCTGGATCGCTTCCCCGTGTCTTATCGTGCCGTCCACACCGAGGTATTGCACGTAGGCATCGTCGGAAAGGATATCGTGATTCGGTTCGAGCTCTAGCTTTATCCGCTTGCCATCTTGGTTTAGGTTAAAGGTAACATCGAAGCTGGATAAATGGTCTATTTGGTGTGAAGGAGTACGAATGATGGCATTATCGACTGGCGTAACATGGCGAATAGCCTCTGAGGCTTGTGACCGTGCTGTTGGAAGTTAGCGCTGCCATAGCAACAGGGGAGAGAGGCGACGATACCGTATGTCTGTTCAAAGAGCGACGACACAGCACCTATTAAGGGCAAGATTGTTGAGAACCTCATGGCAGTTCAGGGCCCAGGGTCTGAGGGTTCAGGGTCTTGAGGCTGATAAGAGTTTCAAGGGTCCTGGCTGACAATCATGGGGAAAGGGATGGTCCACTGATCAACGAATGTCAACTCAAAAACTCCAAAAGACAATTGAAAACCAGAACGATGAAGAAGAGAGATCACAAAGGGTCTCAGCCGTTTGCCAAGGTCTGAGGAATCCCAAGTGACTCCGGAGAGGGCCAAAGGCTGGGCTTGGCAAAGCGGGCTGAAACATCTCTCGCATGTTCTGATTGACCCAAGTGGAGTGGGCTATTTTCATTTTCATTTGATCGTCTGGTCTTATGGTCTTATGGTGTTGCCTGTGTCCTTGGCGCTTAACTTGACTTGCAGGGTCCAGATTCGCTTTCGGACGTTTCTACTGTAGCAACGGGAAACACCCGCCACCGATATACTGCAACCTTGGAAACTCCCAGGCACGACTTGGTTTTTTTTCTGGTTCGCTTCGTAAAGGACCAACTACACTATTTACAACATTCGATAGTTCAAATGAGTACGCGTAAATGGCTGCAAGCCAAGGCGCCAACCGACTAATAATCCACCACTTGGCAAGGCTGGAAATATGCTGTGACTCTCACTGCAGTATTGATGCATAATCTTGATATCTGGGTAGTATTGTGTGTTGGAATCCGAACCCGAATGGGGAATTGACACTCTGAAACAGGGACAAACATGACTCCAAACGAACTTGGATCTGGTAGAAACAGTGATCCGAAGTGGCAATTTGCACTCCAGCCAATCCGACTCACTCCGATGCAGCGTGATACATCTCATGAGCCACCTGTGCGAAATGAGGGATACATGCCCCGCAGATAGGGCAGAGGACACTGCTAGCCAGTGGTTCATCTTCGTCGCCATCATCCCAGTCATCCGCGGCCTCGGCAGACTGTGGCTCAGGCCCGGGTGAACTGCCAATAGGAGATTGGGAAATCTGAACAGGTACCACTGGGATATCAGGTTCCTGAACCGTCCAGTCTTTGAGCACCGTTTCTTGTTGTCGAAACATCTTGCCAATATCACGTCCACTGCTTTGCTTTTGATCACCGGCTGTCTCAACCATATTGGTCACTGCAACATTGATCAGACTGAGATTCCAACCGGCCTTTTCAGGATGCAGTTTTCGGAACATAGTCAAGAGACTTTCTTTGACTAATCGTTCAGCCAAGGCATCAATGTTCTCATCCAAGTTAAATATAAAGGACGGCAAAGGCGCGGATCGGGAAATGCGATTGAAATTGTAGGTACGCGCTGTGTCATTGTCTGGCGGGGGCCTTGGCCGCGTCGATAGTCGCAGAGTGCGAGGATGGGCAAGCCATCTCCCTTGAGGGATGCTACTGTCAGTCCTGTCAAGAAGATCGGTCCGAATGCGACGCAACAGGCTTCGTGAGAGTGTGCACAGCTCTCGCCTCACACTTTCCAGCGTATCGAGTCGGCCGTAGGAATCTTCAATACTGATTTGGGTGGGCACGTCCCGACCCTCGAGCACATCTGTATTATCCACTCCATGGAGAATACTCCATATGCGCGTCCCGATCCCTTTCGTGGACCCCGGTCCACCAAGAATCTTTTCCAGCAAGAGTGGCCCCATTCCCGGGAACTCGCGGATCTCTCGTACAGTAATTTCATCATCGATGGGTTCTGCCCCTGAGATATGAGTTTTCAGTCTCTCAGCAATCCGTGAGCCGATTCCAGGAATTTTTCGAATCTCATGGTTATCCAGGAACTGGGTGATGTTGCTGGGGATATCTTCAGCCGGTTTATATGGAGGTAGAAGAGTGGTTTGTCCGTTCGGTTTATGGACATTGCCAACTAATTTTGCCAGCAGTTTAGATGTTGAAATTCCACCTGTAGCGGTGAAACCTATCTGATGCTCCATATGGCTTCTCAGAAAGCCTTCCAAGTGAGAAGCAACAAGCAACCTCATTTCTAAAGAAGATGGATCCTTCTGAGCGATAGGCGCATCCTCCGTTGCTGGAAAGGTCGATCCCTGGTATCGCGTAGCATCATAAGCAAAGCCGACAGTAGGGTCTTTCCGATCAAGATGAAAAAACGAATTTGACAGGTCATTCGGATTCAAGACCCCGGTATTGTAATCAATCATTTCAGTGACATCTAGAAAAAGCTCATCAAACCCCAGCTTCTCAACACGTCCACCCCAAACAAAGGACCGAACCATCAGATACAACTCCTTGGAAGAATTTCTGAACTTGGTCAAATCCTCGCCCAAGACGATGACCACATCGGGACAAATGCGCTTGGCGTCTTTGATGAGTTGCAACTTATGCAACCCTCGCCGTCGGGCCTCGTAGTTGCATGTGACCACGATCTGTTTCTGCTGTACAGCTAGTGGCAGAGATCTCAGTGCTGGCTGCTCAACTTCAAAGACTGATGCATAGAAACAGTCATAATCCTAGATCTGGTCAGCTGGCTCCAGTGGCACAATGGAGAGACTCACAAGGTGGAGGATGACCCGACCGTTGTTTTGTGGGGGAACAGCCATGGACCCTGAAATGAGCCAGGTCCATTAGTGAAATTATGGGACTGAGATCGAGAGTGCCTCGGGTGAATACAGTAGTTGCAGCAGTCAAGTCAGGAATAGGCTGCCACTGTGGCTGGTGGCTGTGGTGCAGGTGTGGCGCATGTTTAAGAATAGTCGAGGTTTCCCAGTGTCACGTTCAATTTGTACATGGTAACTGAGCACATGCAGTAGATCAGTAGATCAGGAGATCAATAGTACTAGATCAACGGAAGCAATGGTTTTTTAACCTAAATTGAGGAACAAATCTGTTTGTGACAAGGGTAGAGATGAACGCCTATGCCTAACTTGTAACTTATGGGTACACGGGTCACTTTTAAACCAGACCGCTCTATTGGGCTTGCATAAATGATTGGTACGAGTTACAAGATGCTCCTTCATTTCTATGGGATTGATTATAACTGAGCTAGACTGATCAGCCTCCTATAGTTCTGAGCTAAGATAAGTGTTGAGACTTCGGGATGGAAACGGAACATAGATGCCTGAACAAAACAAAGGGAAGCCTAGGCTAAGATAGAAAGAGAAGCCAACTTAAACAATCACTAGACCATATTTAGCATGTTCGCCACCGTTCGCAATGCAGGTAACCTTCATAGAGTCACGATCGTCCAGACCCACCGAGCTTTAAATAGCAACGTGTGCGAATACGCTGTCTCACAGATAGATTAACTTCTGTGCCTAATGCATTGATCTAAACAGAAATGACCCCAGGTCAGATGGGCCAGATGGGCCAGATTTACCAGATTTACCAGATTGAGCCCGACTCCGACAGATTTAGAGCGGCAAAACACATAGTCTGGTTGTGGCGTCAATAGTTCGGCATCCACAGCAGTCTGGAATCAGTCTGGAATCATTCTGGAAACGGGAAGTCAACGGGAAATCTCTTTAATCACTGCTGTAGATCTCAATATGAAAAGCATTGCAACTTCTCCAGGTCCATGTCCATTACATGAGTACATTTAGGTTACTGTGGAATGCAGTGGAGGTGACATCCTGCATCTCCCATCACATCATTGAGTGCTGATCCCAAGCGCCAACCTCCTCTATTCTTAGTTCAACCCCGCCACTGGCTCTTTTTTTTTCTTCTTTCTGCACTCTGATCTTCACCTCATACATCTCACATCGCATAACTCACATCTCATATCTCTACTTCATGCCCTGATTCATCATGTCGTGTCTATCACCCCCGACGGACGCTACCGCGATAACCTCACGACCCAAACTCACCCTTCAAACCACCGCTCTTCCTCGCACATTTGGCAGCTCAACCACCGGCCTATCTTTCTCCTTCGCAGCGGCACCCACCTCGTCTCCCACAGTCCGCAACACCTTCAAGAATGCCTATGATGTCGCATCCCCAGCCTCCGCGACCAGCTCCCCAGTGAAATCCTCCCGGTTCAACATCCCCAAACCAACCTCACCCTACGTCACACACCCCAATAATAATGCCTTCAACTACCGCAACCCCTACCAACTCCCTCTTGGCGTCCGCAGCATCTTACGCAACTCCCCACTCGACTCAGCCTCAAGGCGCCGAGGCTCCATTTCAGCGGGCGGGAATGGACACAACGCAGGCACGCGCCGAGTCTTCTTCCCAGCAAAGAAACAAGTGAGCTACCGATGCCCACTGGAGGAAGAAATCTACACCGAACGATACACGGCCCAGCATCTAGATCTCCTACGGGCGGAGGCAGTGCAAAGCAAGGCAGACCAGACCCCACCTGAAACCGGGCCCGGCCCCAATCTCGAACGGGAGGACGAAAAAACCAGCGACTCGGACTCTAGCGCCTCATTATCAGAGAGCGCCTCGGGCGATGACACTAGCGCTGATGAAGGCACGCGCGATCATAATACCTCGCTCACGAAAGAGGAGCGCAAGAAACGCCGCACTCTTCGTGTAGAGCGCCAGGTTCGGGCGGTGGCTTTGCTAGATGGGTTTGAGGCGGATCCGTATGCCTCGTCTACGCCTCAGACACCTCGTCAAGGTCGTTCAAAGCGCCGCCGGGAGTGGAAGTGGACTTTGGGTCCGGTGGAGAGTAACTCCAATGGGGGCGATAATTCTGTGCAATCTCTATCGCCCCCGTCGGAGTTGGGGCTCTCTGAGACATCCGCTAACTCCGGAAGTCATCAATAAACATGCGACATTGGTTGTTCTCTTGGATACCATTTTTTCTTCTTTCTCTTGAATGGCTTAATGGTGATGCATATAAGTTATCATTTACGAATCATGTTCTTGTCATATATAGAAGGCGCAGGTTGGGGTTCTGTTTGTGCATTTGCTCTCGTTGGCTAGGAGTCTTTTTTAGCATTTGATGTTTCACATAGTATTATATCCTCAATTTCACGGTACACGATTTCACCAGTCTCAGATGGAGTAAGACAAAACATCCCCGACCATGGTTGTGATCTATAAGCACCACCAAAACAAAGAGAACAGTAACCTGCCTCCATGTTCATGCACATTTATCCCACCAATCTTTGACGGGCGTATTCTTATACCATCTCATGTGCCATCTATCATTATCGATGCCTTTGTAGATTATTATTAGTACATATAAGTTTTTTTCTTATCAGATCAAGCGCAACAGCCTGGTAAATATTAGATTTCTCTCCCCACATATCCATTCAGATTACTTACAACAATGCTTATGCGCAGGTTGTTCTCTAAAAATTGTGCAAGTTCCTTGTAGTGCCTGCGAAGTCTTCATGAGAAGGAGTAGGATTTTTCTGAAGCTAAACAGCACGAGTTGATAACCCGAGGGATTCGAAGTGAACTTGCAGCGATGGAGAAAAAATTGCAAGATCTGGAGGGATTGCTCGAAGGAACACGAAAGGACATGGAACTGCGGTCGAAAGATAGGCACTCTACTCTTTCCGGGCACTATGATATTGGACAATATGAGATGAGCGTCACCGTAAGGAGGTTAAACTAGCCGACGATGCTTGTCAAATGCTTAGTGGACGGAAAGATGAGCTTCTCAAGGGTGCTGTGTGAGAAATTGCATCTGGTTCTAGCCTCGGGGACCATTGCCGATAAGTGCTTGTTATAAAAGACAGTCATATATCGCGAATGACATATTACGATAGCTCTTGCTGTAGGACTGTCGTGCACAGTACTGTGATGATGCGTATTATATTCCTGTTGGATCAGAGGAGCTATCTATAGTGTCTACGAACCTTGGAAGCAAATATCTCATTTCACGTAACTTATTGTTTTTTTACGTTCTCGAGTGCCCCGGTATGTTGGTATGAGAATCAAATTTATTCAGAATGAAATGAAAATGACATTTTATACAAGAAAGTGAGTTCCTTCAAATAACACTCCATACTCCAGTCCCGGAACCGTTCATACTTCGTTAAGTCTCAGTCTCAACATCAGGCTCGCGACCCGTAAGGCCACCTGCGCCGACCTTCTTCTTAATTTTTCGCATTGCAAACTTGGCTTCATCCTTGACGAATGCAGCATTCCGAGCTGGACGCCACTGCATCATACCGCGCTGTTGCCGTTGCTCACTGCGCTTGTTCGCCTTATTCATTTGGCTGCTACTGATAGAAGAAGAAGCCCCAGCATTGCCCTTGCCACTGCTGCCAGCACTACCACTGAGAATTGAGGGTCCCTGAGACAAAGAAGACCCATCGGTGTCCGAGTCAGAGGTGTCATCATCAGACAAGTGTGAAGCGTGATCGTTCTCTTCGGTGTTTGGCTTAGAAGAAGGTTGGCCCTTCAATGGTGGCGGGGTGATGGGATCGTGGGGAGGCGAGTCGCGTCCTGGCTCTGCGACCTTGCGTCCGACGGAATCGGTGTATGCGCGTGGGTCATGGCCAAATGCACCACTCCAGTCTGAGCCATCGCTTGTAGTCCACTTCCGACGTTCTGCGGGCGATGCCTGTCTCAACACGTCGCGTCCATCGATGAGAGATTGTTCGTGCTTGGCTTGGACTTCGTCGGGAACTTCGATTTCGACACTGCGTGAGCGGACACCCTGTGCCATGCACGCTTCCCAAGTCTCGAATGTCTCGCGTGAGTCATTGTCGACGACGAAGCGCTCGTGGGATTCATCGATGCCCGGTGAGAACTTGCAGCGGAACTGCAGACGTCCCACTTCAGTCAGGTCTTCTAGACCTGGGACTTGCTTGGCACGCCAGTTCTGCTCAGTTACATAGTTCTGAGTCAGGCGGGCACCCATCTTGGTTGTCCAGATTGGAAGGTCGATATCGGTTTCTTCGTTATCGACGAGATGCTGGAGCCACAGGATGGCATAGGCCACGGAGCCACGCTTGCCTTGAGTGTGGAACTCAAATACGACAGGAGAGCGGTAGCGGTGCTTGACTGGCATGCGAAGCGAGTCTCTGAATGTATCGTCGGAGGTGTCGAATACGGCATCGCTTCCATCCAAGTGGCATTTGTGTCTTGTGATCTTGCCAGTACTACCGCCGGTGCGCAGTTTAATCTTAGTGTGTTTGCCATATCCCTTAGCAGTGATATTTTGTCCCGCAAATTCAAAGGTTCCGACATCCCAGCCCAGCATGTTGGGAGGAAGCTTAGTCTCAACATGGCGGAAGAGAACAGAGATACGGATACGTCCAAATCCGATGCCTCCATCCAAGGGGTACCAACGAGTAACCTGAGAGCTAGTTTGCAAAATCTCGGAGAGCTTGATAGGAACAACACCCAGGATAGGATCATGTTCACGGTACCGCTGATCTCGGACGGTCACAGTCACCATAGCAGAACGCCAATCGCGAACAAATCGCTCAGTTCCGGCGTTGAAGATTGGCTTGGAACTCACAGCCTTGGCACGAGTGCGGTAGACCTGGAAGGTGGGTAAGTATGTAATGTCATATGTGCTGAGTATCTATGAGTACTTACCAGTTGATCGTTCAGCAGAACCTTGCAGTAGCTGGTGGGCAGGTCATCTCCCTGCTCTTCAGTATTCTCGCCATAAGGCTTTGCAGGCTCGTACTCCTTGCCCTTTCGGTTACCATCGCTACCTTTGATGTTGGCAATCTGCAGGTTCACGATTTGGTGCACCACAATATGAGCAATACCACTTGGCCAGATAGGGTCAGGTGGTGTGTGCATGACAGCATCCTCTTCGTCGTTGTTGATGGCACCTTTCTCATCCTCAAACTTAGGATCACCTTTCAGATTCTCAGGAAGATCCTTCTTCTTGCCATCACTACGGAGCTCGGGGCGAAGCCTGGGCTTTCCGAAGTATCCAACCTCCCAATGCAATTGGCCTGGCATCTCGCTTCCCTCATCCATACCCTGCAGTTTCGATACCTGAGGGTACATCCGGCTAGGGTGCTGGATCATCTCGCGGATTGGTAGCTCAACCTTTCCAACAATATCGTCGGCAGTGTTGCGATCTGAATCCCAGAGCTCAATACTCAGGTTTTCGTTGGCCTTGATCAATTCAGGTGTCACAAGAAGGGCGGCAGTCTCTTCCCACACGGGGTTCAAATCATCCGTAATGACACGAGTACAGTACATGGGTTTTCCGTACTTCGAAAAGGAGAGGTTGATATATGGGTCACTGCCACCACCTTGGCTGCCACGGGTATCCTGCTTGCTCAAGCCGACAGCGCGATGAATGCGAATCCACATCACACCCAGAGCGAGAGTGTCCTTGTGGATGTCATCGCCCGTCAGCATCATACCAAGATCCATAGTCATGGATTTGGGAGCTGCGAACATAGCGCATGCAGTTCCAATGGCGGAGTTGACAAAATTCGAGATAAGGGGAAGGTTAAGAACATTGACACCCGTTCGGATCATAGGCATGCAACCCGCCTTGACGTGGGGAATTCCAACCAATGTGAAAGTAACGTCCTTCATGAAAGGGGCTTCGGGCATCATTTGGAAGCGCATGCGAACAGTTCCAACCAGCTCAATGAGCTCCACAAATACTGGGAATGGAACACCAAACAGTCCTCGGATACCCAGGTAAAAGACCAGTTGCATGTGCATGTTACGTGCCTTGGATGAGGCAGTTTGAGAGGTTGGCTTTGCATGATAGGCAAAAGAGGCTTCCATGTTGTAATAACTGCCTCCCTCCTCTGCAGCAGCGGCCTCCTGTGGATCTTTGTTCTTGATATTTTCCTCGTGGATGTTGTTCTTCAAGTCCTGAACATGCTCATCGGGAAGAGCTCGCATGCTCAGAATCCGAATCGGGTTGTTACCCTGGTCAATCTCTGCGATGCGTACGTTCTCAACAACCTTTGGCGCAGATACTTGCATAATATCTTCAATTGTATCTGCCATAGGAGTCAACATCTCCGGGTTGACAAGTCCCCATACAACACCGAGGAAGCTGTTCATCCACTCCACGGATTCGGGGAGCAAGTTGGCAGTAGCCTAATTCATGGTCAGTATTTAAATTTGTCAAAAGGCATAAGACAGAAACTTACCATCTGACCACGGACCTGTTCACTACTCCACTCCATATCCCGACCACTCCGGATAACTTCCTGCATCCATAACCACACACCACTTGTGATGCAGAAAGCCAAGGGAATCAGTCCCCAAAGAGAGCCTCCAAATGTCCGACCCAAGATAATGATGGCCACAGGGATTCCAATACAGAGTGCCGTGGCGCGTTTTTCAATATTGTCAAACATAGGCTTGTATGAAACCGTTGGTGTAGGGTGAAACAGAACGTTCGTCTTTTCTCCTCGAATGGGAACATCGGAGGTGGTGCCTTCAGCAATTGGATCTGGAGGAGCCGTGATATCTTGGCTTTCCTTATATTCTGGCAGCTCTTGATCGGCGCTAGTCTGGACTCCGTTCTACTTTTATCAGTGTCATTGCTACTGTCTTCATGAAAAGGTGACATACCGTAGGCTTTCCAATATTGGCATTGGGGACCGTCAACTATTCTCCATTAGCATATGGTCCAAAAGCCACCCAATTTTTCTCTTCCTACCATGGGATTCTTGACAGTTTCCATAGATGTCTCGTCTTGGTCCTCCACACCGATTTCTTTTCCCGTGGTCGGATCGGTCACAGTGCGCACTTTGGCCTGTGAGACTTCGCGTGCCTTGTGAGCGACAGCATCGCCATCTGTTTCCTCAGGCTTCTCCTTCGAATTCTCTGCTGCCTTTTTGCGTGCCGCCTCTTCTTTCCTGATTCGATTCTCTTCATCGAGTCTGCGACCCCGCTCCTTCTTCTCGGCGTCAATATGTTCCATGAAGTGATGGATGGTGGGGATAGGGTTTGCGCCACTCCAATGCTCTCCGACTCGCCGGCTCTGAGGAGCCTTCGATTCCTGGCCTGCCATGGTGGGCGGGCGTTCTGGGAGGTGGATTTCGTCAGGTTGATCGTAGCTCACGGGCGGAGTGTAAATGTAAATGTAGGATAATAGACGCTTTTCCCAAAGCAAGCCCCTCTAGGTAATGCCAGAGGAGTCAAAATAATTTGCAGAGGAAGTATAACAAGACATGCCACGGATGATGTGGGCCAGGAGCTTTCCCCGGGGCTACGTCATCGGTATAACCCGGGAAATGGTATGACGATAGTAACAGCTCGACCGCTCATCTATTTGCGACTTGGGCTGAAGATCGACTTTTCTACTCCACACTTGATCGGCCTGGCCAGGAATTTGCTGTCTTTGCCAATTGAGCTGGAATCTGATCTTGATGTTGGAAGAGCTAGATCTAGGTGATCCTTTTTAGCTTGCGGCTTAGAGCTACTAGTCACTGTTTGTTTCATCTTACTACACAAATCAAATGAAATATAAGAAGAACAATTCAATATTGAGAAAGGCTGTACCCTTCTCAGTTTACGTGTAAAAATCAACCATCGTCAATCGGGGGTATCCTTGTATGATGTCATAGGGGTTCATGATAATCAATGACTTCAATGTGCTCTGCCAAGAAGCCCCTTGCCAGCTGTACAGTAGCTGTTGAAACATAAGTTGTGATATTAACTGAGCTACTGTGCTCAGTGAACCGCGATGGCATTGTAGACTGAGTATTCATGTTCTTGTCCATATTCGTATCTATATTCGTGTCAATTGATGTGAATTCAGATAGGAATTAAATGTCGTGGTCGCAGATCATTTGACCGACAAATAACCCGCTTTTTATGTTTGCCTTCTTGATTTCTTGTATTCTAGAGTGATTTGCTTCTGTGAGGAGTGAATACTGTCGATCATGAACCATTGACTTTGATCACCATCATTTGCGGGTAGCCTGATCCCCAAGGCACCGGAAAGCAAACCCTACCCTACGACTTTGTGAAGGCACCCACAAGTTGGCTGCCAGATCAATTGAGAGAAGTAGAAACCTTGGATTCAATGCAACGCTCAAGTACTATGAAATTCAATCAAATTTAAAATCTAAGCTTCAAAACATCTGGAGTTGATAGGCCTATGTGGGATATATATCACTGTCCTTTCATAATAACCATTCTAAATGTTGCAAAGGATCAAAATCATCCTCTGAAGTATATAATACTCTACTCTACAGCATCATTCAAAACACAACCATTTGCTTCGAAAATGATAGATTGTATACCGTAGACCCTATGGGGCACGTGCACTGAGCTGCGACCAATTAGAGTTTCTAGAACCCGTGACTGACAGATGCCGAATCGGGTAAGAATGTGGAGAACGGACATGGTAGCGTGCTGAGAATTACACTCAAGGCCTAGGCTCTCGCCGTAACCGCTTTGGGTGCCCTGTCAACCAGTTTCTGCCTCAAACATAGGGCGTCACTCGTGATGGAGTCCAATGAGTCGGACTCCAAATCAGGCTTAGACACTATGACACTATTATGTCTGAGTCACAGCAACACACGAGGATGAAGCGTATATAGAGAGACTGACCGTAATGCGTAAATTCTTGCAACCACAGCATTATCACTCACAATACATCTGAACATGACAACAGTGGATCAATATCCCTCCACAATGAGCGGTACCAACGATTCACTACCTCCATACCAAGCCAAAGATCCACTGGCATGTAGGGCAGCAGCAGCACCAAAAACAAATTTAATGTTGCTTTCCATCAATAGTCCACTAAGCGACTATCAAGTGCTTTCTCAAGACCAGCAACTTGCGTTCTACATTGAGGTTCACAGAAACAACATCACAAAACCAGACCTCACCATATACAAAGGTACCAGGGTTCCTGGACGAGAAATCGCAGAATGCAGATATGGAGCAAAGACAAGCTCCATCGAGTGTGACACTGGATTCGTCAAAGCGCCAAACAAGTCACACCAGTCTCATGGGAAGATGCTTGTTTCGTGGTGGTCTAAACCAACTCGTGGCGCTCCCAGCGACGTGCAATATCGCTTCGCGGCGATGATCGAGCCGCCTCCAGGCATGAACGGAGTGCAATCAGCTACAACGAAGATACCGCACTCATTCAAGTGGATCAAGACTTCAAGTCTGATTTTGCTGGATGAAGAGACTGGTAATGTCGTTGCTCTTGTTCATGAGAATGAATTGAATTCTACTACATGTGGTACATTGGAAATGGTTATTTCTTATGGCGATGAGTTCGAACTTATAGCCTTGAGCACATTTGTGGCATTTTATGAGAAACAGAGAAGAGATAGGAGCACTCATGTTGGAAGAAAAGGGGAACTGTTGTGTGGTGAACTTGGTCGGTTGATCGATTCTTGGAGGAAAACTTGTTAATGATGATTTACGATTAAGAATTTGGGGTTATTTGGGATATGCTCAGATGAATGTGGGCTACTAAAAAGGGAAACAGAGGAGGACTGACCGTTGCATGTATAAGATATCATTTCATAGATTCAAAAGGCGACGAAATTCAACGTCTAACATAGATTGATGGACTTAATCTAAGGAGTGAACACTCCGATCTTGATTACAATTATGATGTACGTATATGCCAACAGGAGTGGTGGTGTTTCATTTCAACGCCAAAAGAACTAGTGCCTCGCCATTTGTCCAAGATTGAAGAACTTCCAAACAAGATGCCAAGAGTTGACCGCCGTAGTATTGAGGGAATGCAGGACTCGAAGATTCACATCACGATATAAAAGAGTGCTATGTATAGATGACACGCTAAAAGGAGAGTCAGAGCAAACACATCATGTACTCATTGGCCCATGCCCCAGTCGTCGCTGAAGAAATACATGCACTGTGCCTGGAAGGTAAAGTCAGGATTAAGAGCCCAGAATTCGGCGTTTGGGTCCAGAACAGAACTGGGACCAGACCAGGCATGAGGATTTGTCGATTGGGCCAACGAAGACTCATCCAAAACGAGACCCATCCATGCCGACGATGGGTCTTGTACCCCAAAATCCGTGGCAGGCAGTGTCGTTGAAGGCAAAGAAGTACTGAAATTTTGCAGTGGCGGATCATTTAATCTGCGTCGTTCGAGGCATATAGTTCCGAAGTATGGAATATCCAGGGTGATTTGACTGGGCCGGCCTTCCTCAGTTGAATTTGGATCATATGGAGGATATCCCGGTGGGTTGTTACCCTTGGCTACCTCCCGAAGCGTTCGCAAAATATGGAACCCTCGACAGGTAGTTTTGTCTGTGGGGTCAGATTTTGAACACTCCTCCAAGTAAGATATGACGCTTCCAACTGCGAAGGAATTGTCTGGGTGCTGGTAATGCCGACCGTAGTATCCAAGTGTACCAAAGATGAGAGTCAATGTTGAAATCAACGCGGAGAACTCGAACAGTCGGAACTGCCTCGTATTTCTGTTGAGGCGTCGCATAGAAATGAAGCAGGAAATAAAGTCTCGGCAGGATTGAAGACAAGTTTGCCGGTTATACTCATAGCGAGGATCTGGATCGGAATGTACTAAGATAGGCAGATGAAGCCATACGCTGAGCTGAAAGAACGCCATTTGCAATCCGAGCTTTATGTATGGTGGTGATGTGCCGTCATCAGGGGTTGTCAAGGAAGGATTAATCAAATTGAGCTCAGAGTCGATACGTTGTGTCTGTTCCATCATGGCCGACGTAACTTCTGAAAAGGCTTGATTCCGCTCTATTATTGACCCGGATATTCGAATGAGGTGGTCGATCATTGTTATATGCATCACAGTCATATTGTGAGAAGCAAAGCTTCGATCGAGGGTTTGTCGATCTACAGCAACATTGGGAACAGAATGATACACACCAAGAATAAGAGAAATTAGTCTATCCAGAATGAGGGCGTTTCTCCAGACCGTCACACCTCGATAGTGATCGTCGTCTTCAGAGGCGGATTTTGGAGGTCGTTGGAACCCAAGAACCTGGCAGACGTCCAGGATACGACGAGTGGACAACCAAGCACTTTTCAAGTTTCCTTCCATCATCCAGATATGAACGAAAAGAGATAAAGTCTCGAGTCCCTCAAGGTTTAACATAATCGTGTCGTCTGCAATTATCCATCTTGACACCAAAGACAAGGTCTTTTCGACAATCGCGTTAGGTGGCGATGAGAGGTCCAGGGCAGCAACGTTGAAGCCGGCAGGAAGTATATGGAGACACACAGCAATATACATGGAGGTTTTGGCTATCGCGGACGGGTGACGGCTGGAAAGATCCTCCACAGGATTCGAATTGAGCGGGCCCAGACAGTCCTGGAAGAGCTTGGGTTGGGAAACAAACCAAATACCGCGACCAATATCGGAAATAAGCCTTATAGCGCTGGGAGGTGGAACGAGTGCTATGAGCTGTCGGCACACATTTGACGATTCCAAGTTGTTCTGACCAAGTGCGGCGGAGGAGGAAGGTGAGACAGTATCTGTTTGGCGAAACTCGAGCTGTGCAAGGTCAGTGCGATGATCTTACCCTGGAAACAAGACTTATTATGTTACAATATTGGTGCAATACGAACCTTGTCGTTCCTGAACAGGGACAGCATTGGAGCATTGTCCTGCAGGGGAACTACGGTCGGAGGAGTTGTGGTTGGACTGATCGTTGCATCCGCCGTCTTTTGGTCAAAGCCATCAGAAGAATCCACACGAAGCAACAATTTTTCCAGCATGGACTCTACGCGAGCCATCCGATCGTTCAGTGATGTGCGGTCGGATTCGCGCGGTTTCTCAGGTTCAGGGAAATCTTGGCTACGACACAGAGTTCCTCGTGCGAGGCATTCCTTGCAACTAGCATCGCCATCGGAAGCAAAATTACATCGCACTTTGCGGTGTTTACCTGGGCAAGGACCTCGTTAGATCAACCTCGACTTTAAGGAGGTTTCCATACATTCCCAGCAACTGCGGGTCCCTTTTCGGATCTTCTTCCGCGGCAGATCATCGGGCCGAAGTGGATCACGATCGTGGGGAGCTGAGGGGATAGCTGAGTGCATCATGGTTTATTCACAGTGAAGCCATAAGTAAAGCAGGCCAAAATACGCAGTTCTAGGTGTAGAGATGCAATAAAAGAGGGGTGTTGACGGAGTAAATCAGTCGGGAACTGATGCGGTTAATCGCTGAACCTTGGGTGTTGGGGTGATCTGACCGCCGTCCGGCCGATACTGCCGGAATCTTGCAATGATCCTGGCTTTTGGACATGGCCAAGTGGCGAGGACGGGCGAGATTTAGACATGGGCCTGAGACGAGATCAAGGTTGACCTTGATCAGGACTGGGATCGGGTTCATATTTCCATTCCAGCGTGGTGGTTCTTTTGATGCCTTTGTCCCGTGCATGCTCGCCATGGCATCCCCTATGAAATGCCACAACGAAAAGCTTGAAGCATAGCTGCGCTTAAGGGCAAATATCCAACATCAAATGATGAATGGAATCGCGTGGCTGCTAATCTCGACAGCGAGGAGAGCAAGGCGACCATGCCCGCCGAGATGTTTGAATAGTCTTGAATGCCAGCCCGAAACATTGTCTGTAACGATCTCTATTGTTTGGCACCCGATTGAAGCCCCCATTTAACCGCTGAAAGGGTTACCTGTGTGATATCTGTCAGTTATACAAACAACTCAAATCCATCTCAACTGAGCTGAGCAAAAGGCACTGCGATTATACGAGCACTGCGACGTGATCACACCGGAGTGGATCAGCAAAACAATGGCGAACAATGGCGAACACTGAGTGCACCATGTCTCGATGACGTAACATGAGCGGGATTTGATTCATCGGATTTGCAGCATCATATCGGGTAAGAAGCGAGATCATACGCCCTGAAAGTCCCTTTCCAGAACATCAAGTAGAGATTAGCCGTCACGAGTGGGCCGATCATACAGGGAATAAGATCCTCCAAGGGAAAATATGATATTTTGAGAGCTGGAATATGTTACCAGCAGGTTGGAGGATCAGTCGCAAGGTTCGACAGGTTAGAGGAGGCTATGCAACCATGCGCGACGATCTCAAGTTGCCTGCCGACCACACAAACATTTCGAGGAGGATCGAAGGACAGAAATGCCTGGCACAGTCATACTTTGAACCATTTGAGTTCTCAATCAGACAGTACAGAGAAGATCAAGCATATATCAAGAATCGATCGATCAGCTTGCGGGGGGTATTGTCAAAGAAAAACCGTGAAGAACCCTTTAGCCCTCACACCCCATTCTGCTCATCGAATGGGAGGTCAAGGAGAACAAGTATCTGAAGAAGACAAAGGTCTGAGAATGGCCATTTATATTACCCAGGCGACCGGAAATCTCTTCCTTGGCCACTGGTAGGACTTGCTGCTGCACCCTCTTCCCCACCGGGCGCAAATGTTCATGACAAATAGTCTGACAGAAGAGATACAGGAGGGATGGTCAAGCGATGATTCACAGCAAATCATAAAAAATTTGATATTTGCCCAAACAAAGACGTCTGCAGATCTTCTCCGTCTCGGCGGAGGAAGAGAGGGCTAAGAAGTCCTCGACATGACAACGTGACAACATGACTTCTACGACAAAGGGTTTGGTCGAGGTATACTAAAACTAGATACGGAAGGAGAAATCAACTATAATTCCAAATAAGTAAACAAAGAATATGTTACTAGAATGTGAGCCTGTTCTAGACAATGGTCTGGATGACGTGTTTCCATGCAGCGTCTCTAACCACAAGCTACTGTAACCTGTCAATTAACTTGTCGAGAAACATTGCACTTAACTTAGTTACAATGAGTCTAACATGTCGCTCTCACTAGAAAGAAGATAGTATAAGTTACTGCTCTTAGGACACAAAGTTGCGTAGAATGGTATAATTCTTCTTTGGTTATAAGGCGCCCACTTTACCACGTCCGCAACAATGAGCCTATAGGAGAACCGCACCATTAAACCTCGTCATTGACTCAACAAACCAAGAAACGGAAAAGCTTGGTTCATCAGAATATACTATTTGAATAGGATAGATTAATTGTCATTTCCAGATGCAGTTCCGTCGCATTGGGAGTAGCGCCTCCATTCTAAAAACCCCATCACGAAAATCAGGCCACTGAGCACAGCTTATGATTAATAGTGATAATAACGATATAGGATATAAACACTGACAGCAAAAACGGAAAATGGAAATGTTAATTGAGCACACATCGTCAGAATCTGCAGAAACCCCCCATATCATTAAGATTGCACGAAAAGGCAACAATCCCTAGATATTTTTCTTAGTAGTCGACGTTGCCGTCATAAGACGAGAGCCTATGCTGTACCGAGTAACTTCGCTACATTCTGATTCCTCCCCTATTTCCTACACGCGACTTGGTATATTAAATTTAATCTGATTCACATAATCGCCAGCAAACGAGAATAATCGTTATTCTATACAACATGAGTTGATCAGTATGCTCCTGATCTTGGTGCAAACTTCATTTCATCAACAAACGCAGGCTTGCTATAGCTACTTTCAACGATACCATCGACAACGAGTGAAAGCTTTCCAAGGTGCATCTTTGAGTCTTCCAAGGACCAAAATACCAGCGCGATATAGTTAGTACCTTCATAGTTCAAGATGCCTTCTGGCACTGGATATTTGGTCTGTGGTCCGAGGTTGTTCACTGCAGTTTTGTTAACGAACAATTCCGTGATTCTTCAGTGAAATAGTGGTCTATCAGAAAAGGTTTGGGCCTACCGTATTTTCCATACTGCCACCCATTCACAAACAGCTCGATACGGTAGGCTGCTGGGGTCGAAGCACTGGCTGCGCTCGATGTATTGGCGAAGACAAATGACATTGGCACGTCATATCCCACAGGTACATTCAGTTCAAATGATGTAGCGAAGAATCCCACGCCAGCTCCCGTCAGTCCGTCGTGGAATGGAGATTTCTTCTTCCACTTGGAGATCGGAGCACCGGGAAGATGATATCCCTGGCGCTCTGCGAAATGTGCTCCTTCGTTTCTAGGGCCTCGGCTGATATCAAGATAGTGTTCTCCCCCAAGATTACCTGTCAATTTCCATGTAATATCGGAAGGATCATCATGTCCTCCCAGACTATAATCGAGGATCCCTCGTGGCTCTTTCATCGTTTCCAAATTTGCCACGAAGTTCTCTGTGAGACCCATGTGATCAATCAAAACAGTGACCACATAGTTTTGCCCTCTCACAAGCTTCTTGGGGAATTCCAAGGTTTGGTTGTAAGAAAGAAGATCAGGGTCGCCAATCCAGGAGCCCAAGTAAGTCGCGTTGAGCCAAACGGACTGGGCGAATGCGTTTCCGCCAGAGGTGTTCAAAAATAAGGTTGTCTCCTTGCCGTTCGCGGTAAAATGACCACGATAGAAGAGTGATCCACTGTGGAAGCCGTAGTCACTCGCGAATAGGGATGTTGGTGTTGTCTGCTTGCGATATGTGTTGTTGCTTTGCGGGTAATTGGCGACAGGCCACAATGCGTCATTGTAGTCGGCACTGATCTCAGGTAAAGAATCCACGAAGCGCCATTCCAATGTAGACAAGTCAGGTAGAGCGATAGATGGCGGAGAATATTTGATAGTTCCAGTCCATCTACCATTTCCATACGCAAGGGAGCTCAGCTTTCTATCGTTGAAGAAAATGCTGCCCTTTTTGCTGATTGGTGCTAGAATGACCTCAAGCGATGTTGTCGCATTCACATCCCCATAAAGCATCAAATTGTCATTAACCACGGAGGCATTGCGCATCAAATAGCCAGCCTTGACGATAATGGAGGAATGTGTCGAAGACAGTCGAGAATAGGAAACGAAGTTATCCACTGGAGATGGGCGAGGTAAATCAATCGTCCAGTAATTATACGCCTCATTTCTCCAAAGGAGGTGAATTTCAAGTGATGACCCAAAATGAAGAATACAACGTGAGCGCTGAACATTCCATTGGATCACAATAGACGAACCCTTTGCGGATGACTTGATGCTTTGACCTTCAACTTTCGTCGGCAAGCCCAAGTGACGAGGCAGGGCAAACTCGTGAAGTTCATTCTCGCCTCCATATAGAACGAGAACTGTTTTCGTATCTGACTTTCTCCAAGTGGCGATCTCGGCAGAGCTGTAAATCAGAGTGATATTACTCAATTTGTAGTTTGCTACCATAATCTTTGAGTCGCGGCCATGAAGAGCCAATGACCCTCCCAATTGTGGGACAACTATGTTCCCCTCTTCGGCTCTCAGGTGCCATGTGTATTCAACCGAGGTGAAAGACGAGTAGTTGGTCTGACGAACAATGTACAAGGCCTCTTGAGAGTCTTTTGCAATGAGTCGAGTGGTCACAACGTGTTTGGTATTGGTGTAAACGCCATAAGTACCGTTCTCGGGTGTCATAGTCAAGTAAGAAGGAGTCGACTGAAGAAAACCTGCCTGAAGCTTCAACTCGCTGTATTTCTCTCTCGTCACTTGGCGATCCTCGGATATCGCAGCACCCACATCATAAGATGTATAACCTAATGGGTGTCCAATGTTTCCCCAGTTCGTGCCGCCAAAGACCTTGAAGTAGCATTAGTCCTTGTTCAAGCCAAATGCCAGATTTAGGAAACAGTGTATTACCATGTAAAGGTTCATGAATGTCGTTCGCATGGCATAAACAGCTTTGTAATAGATCCGCTCGAATTGCTCATTCACTAAAGCAGCGCAGTTCTGCATGCCTGCTCCACCCCTAACCGGCTAGTGAGCACAAAAAAAAAACGAAAGTTCCATGGAAAAGTGCAACATACCATCCTTCAGAAGCACCACCTTGATATTCAACTATGGCCATTGGCGTGCCAGGACTCATTTCCATATGAGTAGTATGGTTGAACCCGTTCGAGGGGAAGTAAGCCTGGGAGCGCTCCCATGTTTCAGGATCAGAGCCTATGCTAGGTCAGAAAAAGGAATGGTTCTGAGTTAGAAGACTTGACGTACAGGCATTTCCCCATCCAACTGGATAGGAGTCGAAACCGTAAATATTCACCTCGCCAATTCCAGAACCAGGAACCCAATCTCCGACGGGTGTAGCATCGTTTGAAATGAAAGGCACGGTTATACCAGTCGCTCTCCACATGGATTCAACGTCGTTCATATAGTAGGGATTTAAGCAGTGGTTGAGGTCCGCTCCCGTAGCGTACCCATCACAGAGGGTGTATTCGTTCTCTGGTTGTACGAGAACAATTGGACCCCCATTTGTGATCTGCGCCTTGCTAATTATCGAGCCAACATGAGTAATGTAGTTCTGTGTGGCTTCAAGCCAATCTGAAGCATTTGAGCGGATAGGACCTTGCACTCGTTGACCCCAGCCAGGGAAGCCACCACCAGAGGTCTCGGAGTTAATGTAAGGACCTGGTCTAGCCAGTAAATAGATACCAGCCTGCGAAGCAGCTTCGAAGAATGTTTCTAGGGCAAAGACCCCTTCATCGCGAAAGACTCCAGGTTCTCCTTCAAGAATGCCCCAGTAAGTGTAGAAGGACACTCCTGAGAATCCAAGTGCCTTAATTTTCTGGAAAACATCTAGCCACAGCCCTGGCGATGGCAATCGGAAAGGATGGAATTCGCCAGACAGAAACAGAACACGCTCACCATGGATGAAGATTGAGTATTCATCCCATGTCACGATATCCTGTAACAAGTGCTGGTCACTGCGGATCTGGGGGGTAAGGAGTGCATGTGCAGAACTAAAAACTATAGGCTGAATGATGGCCCATATAAGTATGCAGGTGGAGTACATGGAAAACATGTTGAGGTTCATGACATTACTTCAAGGTTTTAAGGCAAGAATGTCCAACAAACAGACACTCATGCCCCAGGGGTACTGGAAAGTCGGATGTTTTATACTTCATATGTCAAAATAGAGACTGATCTCATCTCAAGACAGTGGGGTAGAAAGAGGTGCATCAAAACCCCCCAATCCGGTAAACAATACGAACTCGATATGGGAAAACACCGAGCGGGGGGATCTACCATGTAAAGCAGTGGATGTGGGTGAAACCTGATTCAATCAAATTTGGCTCTAAATGATTCTCGAGATGAAGATTGGCTAACGTTATTCGATCAACAAGTAAATCTTTTGTAGAGCTCTAGGTAACAGCGCAAGGAAAAGGCGCAATGCGGGGTGGGCTAGTGGCTCGGGTGCGTATTCGTTTCCATACTGCAGGTGATTTGGTGGGCCTGTGCAGTTGTGGCCAATATGAGGTCTGGAGATGTGTGTTCAGGGATTACCATACAGCCTAATACCGGGGTTTACCCGAGCCGTTGAGTGGATATGCAAGTTTATGATAGGAACTACCAGTCTAGAAAAGATAGATAGCGGGATAACGTCAGTTTCCCTCATGAAATCTACTGGAATAGCAAAGTCAAGGAAGAGGCTGGCTTTCAAGTTTGGTTGTTAGCATCTCGATCGTTTTTTGGGTGGACGTTTAATAGTGCCTCAGGTTGTTCATATTCAGTAGCTGAAGCACAAGCTAGACAACCGAACCGAGAACAAGAACCAAGAGAAACGACGAATTCTGCTGCAAGAACGAGAATCTAGTTTCAAACCCATTTTAATACGTTTATTATCCTTAACATGTCTAAATACCCGAAGTGCATTGGACATAGGGTAATCAGGACGTTGAATAGTGTAATATTTTTTACACGTGATAGTTCTGTAAATCCTATTGGGCTGGAGGCAGTGTATTGTGTGATTCTTCATTGGGCCTGCATGATTCTAGATGGATATTAGGGCCTCCAAAGCTCCAGTAAAGCGCATTATGGCTCAGCGTACCACCACTAAGCCACGTTTTCTCGCCTATCAAGTACACAGAGAGTCCCAGTCATTCGTGATGGGTCGTATTATTGAATTGTAAAATATGAATTATCTTACGTACTAGGGCGAAAGACGTTATCAACCCTGTGGTACGTAGTATCTATTCATTCCAATGACATGTTACTCCTCCGACCTCGACGCAGGGCTCTTACCTTGGCGCCACATTCCACAGAGCAATAAGAGGAATGGGATAGTACCGAGCAAAATGAAGGCAACAAGGGTAAATGCCCAGCCACGACCCATTGCACTCAACATTGGATCGATAGCAGCAGATGCGCCAGCCGAGAAGAATGATCGGACCATATTGTTGGCAGCGGTCGCAGCTGCAGGGTTTGATGTGTGTAGATCTACCAAGAGTGTAGAAGTAGAGATGAAGCCACCTGTCTGTCCAACGCCAACGAAGAAAAGTAGTACTTCGGGCGCTGGTAGAGGTTCACCGTATTTCAGGACCCATCCAAAGGCGAGTACCGTCACACTTCCCAGAATAACAAGCGGTATAGTGACCATACTTCGAGCCTTCTCGACTGGAATTTGATCCTCGGTCGTCTGCCCGGAGCTAGACTCTTCGGTCACTTTGGAGCCCATGCGGCGATAATTCCAGTCGAGTAGTCTGCCGGTTACAACGGACGCCACGATGGATCCTGTGCCCAACGTGATATAACAGAGACCAATTTCAAGCTCGTCTAACCCATACTGAGCCGTGTAGATCTCTGTTATAGACGATAGAACAGTCATGTTGCCACCCATAATAATTCCCGTAACCAAAAGGATAATGATAGAGTTGACATGGCATACCAGCTTGAGAGGTTTGAGTGGATTGGGGAATTGGAGCTTGTGTTCGATTTTTTTTTCGGACTCGCTGCTATCCGGCCTTCTGTCGGAGGCCGCGGAGCACGCGATATCTTTTTCTGAGGTCCGACGATAGAAGAATTCAATGAACGGCCGATTCCATGGTTGTGCGGGATAAGAGCCATCGCCGACGACATTACGTGCGGTCTCGGGGAGGAACATTAAAAGAGGCAGCAGAAAAACACCAGACGCGATGGTTAGAAACCAGAAGATAGATCGCCAGCCGAGATACTGGGCCAGGAGACCACCTATAATAGGCCCGATGGCAGGACCCATGAAGTTTCCAGCCATCACGAACCCCATCATGGATCCTCGCTCCTGCTTCGTACTGATATCGGCCACGGTGGCAGCAGACAGCGCGACGCTACTGCTGATGCCGGAGCTTTGCAGACATCGTAGGACGATCAGAGAAGCGAAGCTGTCCTGCAACGCAAGACCAATGTTTGAGGCGATGTAAATGACGAAGCAAATTATATACGCGGGTCGACGGCCAGTTCTATCGGCAAAGTCACCAATGAACATAGGAGCAATGCCTTGGAAGATCTGTTCCATAATAATTTGTTAGCTTTTTTTGGGAGTATAGCAGAAAGGTGAGAGCGCCTGCATACCATGTAACTTGTGACAGTTAGATTGATCAGAGAAGCAGACACATTCAAATCATCGGCCAGAGTATTCAGGGCGGGAAAATAAATCTGTGCCGACAAGGAGGAAAATAGACCAGCCCCAGCCGCTGTAGAGACGATGTACCTCTTCTTTCCTTTGCTAAAGCAGCTATACGGTCGGGGAACCTCTGAAAGAGTGGTTTCTGAATTCATTGTCGACTGAGCACTTGGAAAATTGGCGAGTCCAAGACAGTAAATCGGATAATTTCTATGTCAATGAGGTTCCATCTGCTCCTTATTCCATATTCCAATTGCTACTCGTTCACCATTCCTGAGACTAGAGGAAAAAGAAAACAGAAGGGGATAGAAAAACGCTGACGTAGGATTCTGCATAATGGTTCCACTATCATGGTCGAAGAGAGTGAGGTGATGTGATTTTCACAAGGTCTCGACGAGCTGATCAACAAGTTCTCAAAGTTAGCCCAGACCAGTGAAGATCATTACTCCCAACATGTTGGATACCCGCGGTTAAACCGTCACGGGCGCGTTTTTCGGCACGGAGACGGGCTGACGGAGATGTCGGGATCGAGGGCCTCAGGTCGATTTTAGCTTCGACCGAGGATCTGCAGGGCCATTGGAGGACCCTGAACGCTCGTGGCTCGATCTCGAGTCCACTTCTTCATCCGTCCTGATCTACCCCCTTGCCAGTTTTCCTGCAGTGCATTATTCTAGTGCCAACTCTATAATAATTATCAATCTGATAATTTTACACCGGCCCACAGCTTCCCGTGACCCAGATGAGCTAATTAGAGCCCCTGGCCATGCATTACTGTACTGTAGGCCCAGCTTCAACATCTGATACGGCAGACACTTCCCATGAAGAGCAACAAATAAAGAAACCCACTCAAGAATCAAGATCAATACTTGCAGCAAACTCAAAACACGCGTCCCTGATCGTCGCCCATGTGCTTCATCATATGCCTCGACTCAATTTCTCGATGATCTGCGATTCAATTGTGTAATGGATTCAGACTATATAGCCAATGATCCCCCTGAATTGACACTGCCACAGCTTCAGCGTGCTGAAATGATCCGCACTCAACCATTGCACGGAAGCACAACCGTGACAACGTACCAGGTCACGCCATGAAGATCATAGACTCATCCATTGCCATATGCCTGCGACAGCCAACACGTGAAGTACATTCAGGGTTCTCGCCAAGAGGATTTGCATGACGCAAGTCCAAGAAAGCTTCGTTGTGGCGATCCTTACTATGTTCGAGGTATAGAGGGCTTCAGTCGGAAAGAGACTACGGGACTCATTGTTGCCTTCGGTCCGACACAATCATGCCTGAAGCTCAATGTCTGTTTAGATCAATTGATCCTCGGCAAGAAATACTTAAACCAGCGTCTTTCCTTTGCTCGATTTAGCCCGATACAAAGCCTCCGAGCAACTCCTTCCAAAGACATCTTACCTGCTTCTTTATCCACGAATCTCGAAACAAACCACCCAAATTGAACTACACATAATGGCTGCTCAAACCCTTGATACCGTCTCATCGGTCACTGTCATCGGTGCAGGACCTTGCGGGTGTGCCTTTGCTGCGGACCTGGCGAGCCGTGGAAAGTCAGTCATGCTGTATGGTCACCCCGATCATCGTGGCGGAACAACCATGATTGAGAACAACGATGGCTGGTTGAAGTCAAGCGGAGCAGTCACTGGAAAATTCAAGATCCAGACGACCAGCGATATGTACCTTGCCATCCGTCACTCCCAGTTCATTGTGACCACAGTGCCATCATACGGGCAAGATACAATCTTGCACCTACTGAGCCAGTTCGACCTCCACAATCACACTCTCATCATCAACGTCGGGAACTTCTTCTACCTCTCCGCCCGACAAAAGGTCAATGCCCACGCCATCCTCGAAACCGACATCTCTCCCTACGCCACCAGGATCACAGGTGACACAGTATTCGTGAAAGGAGTCAAAAAAAGCCTAGCCATCTGGGCTGAGCCACCAACCACCCAAGTGGAGCGTCTCGACCCGGATGCGGAACTTGACCTCCGACACCAGGTTGAGTCCATCTTCTCTCAGAAGCTCATATGGTGCCAGAACCTGCTGGAAGTGGGCTTGAACAACATCAACCCAGTCGTGCACTGCCCAGCCGCGCTCATGAATGCGGGCTGGATCGAGGCTACCAAAGGAGACTTCTACTTCTACGCCCAGGGGATGTCTCCCTCCGTCTCCCGCGTAACGGAGAAAGTGGACAAAGAGCGTCTGGCCATTGCGCACGCCTATGGACTTGACCTTGTCCCCATCACGGCATACATGAACCAAAACTATAGCAACGACCGCCAGTACAACGACTATCATGATTTCGCTGTTGGCTCTGTGATCCACAACAAGACCAAGAGCTCTCCGACTACCCTGAAGCACCGGTACTTGCTAGAGGATATCCTCTATGGAATGGTTCCTTGGTATGAACTCGGTCTGAAGTGTGGTCTGGCCTCGCCGACCATCCGAGCCCTTATTGAGATGGCTTCTGTGGTTAGTGGATTTGACTATCTTGAACATGGAAGGACCCTCAAGGCTGCTGGACTTGGGGATGCCACTAAAGAGCAGGTCCTTATGGCTCTCGGTGGACCCTTGGACAAGACAGCTAGCGCGATTCCTCATCCATCAGACTCTCCCATAGAAAACAGTTTCCAGTTACACGCTCCACTGCAAACGGCTCAAGTTGCTGCGTGATTGTATCTGAAAACATGTTATTAAAATTCCTGTTAAAGTATATTATCTATCTATTGAGAATGATTTCAATTTTTTTTTCACGTTCAGCTTCTTACATTTACTGCGGTGGTTTCTTAGCGTTGTTGTATCGGACATCATGCTATAGCCACTCTGACACACGTACATTCCTAACGCCACCTTGTCTCTCAACTTTTATACTTGATTCTTACTATTTTTTAATATAAGGACTACAATCACTAGAATTATATCCATTCCTATCTCGAACATTTTGCTTGAAATTTGCTTTCCCGAGAGTTCACAAAGCCACAAAACAGCATTTATACTCAAGACTTGCGCATTATATCATCTCCACGAACCGATATCTGTTTAGAGACGTAATCTAAACCTGTAAAGCAGCCAGACTGTGTGCATCGCTATCGCCCCAGGGATAAAGCTGTTCCAGTGACTGGATGAGTTCCCGATGTGCTGTACTTCGAGGCTGAATAGACAACATGAACGGTGCTGGATGACTGATAACTCCAGGCACAAAGTCGATTGAAAGCTCCTCAACTTTCCCATTTCGAATTGGCTTTGCAATATTGAAAACAGCTAGCGACTGCACTATAGTAAGAAACACATTCGCATCAGCCAAAGTGCGACCAGGACAGGCCCGGCGCCCGTATCCAAAGACAAGCATGTGTGGATCTCGCTCTGGCGGAGAGCCGTCTGGAGAATCCAGGAAGCGTTCTGGGTTGAAAGACATCGGATCCTTGTACGTAAGTGGATCACGAGTAAACGCCCTATTTTTGGCCATTGATCAGAAACTGATGGACTAAGTGCGAGCTTTGAACCACCTTACCAAATATTCGCAATGATTGATGACCCCTTGGGAATGAGATATCCCTCGCACGTATCATCTTGAGTCGGTGAGTGTGCCAAGTTCACAGGCACGACTGGGTGCCATCGAAGGACCTCTTTGACCAGTGCGTTGATATACACTAGGTCCTCTCGATCACGGAATTGTGGTAGCCGACTAGTGCCAACTACTCTGTCGAGCTCCTGCTGGGCCTTGCGTTGCACTTCGGGGAAGAGCGCCATGGCAAGAAAGAAGGTAGCAATAGCAGATACAGTCTAACATGATTTATATGATTAACATGATGTGTCATCCTCTTTTCAAATGTTGGTTCTTACAGTATCTGCTCCGCCAGCGTACAGAGAACCCGCTGACCATTTGATAATGGTCTCGTCTTCGGTACCTTGTTCCACGGGATTTTCTTGCAAAAGATTGGATAGGAAAGATGGGACAAAAGTGCCATTCTTCATTTGATCTTTGACAAACGCGTATGGAGTATCACTGAATGCTGCTGCTCTGAGTTTTGAGTCTTTGGCGATTTTCGCAAACTTTGCCCCCGGGAACCAGGCAGGCAAGTATCTTACTGTTTCGACAATTAGCCCTTCTTCTAATTATTTAGTTAGATTTCAGATGGGTATATTTTTCACTTGCAAACTGGTAAGAATTCGACGGCCCATGTGGCTGGGAGCAAAGCGAAAGAAAAGTCCTCCATTCCCTTGTCGGCCAAATCGACAAGCGGGTCGCTACCATGAGGTTCAATTGTATAGCCGTAAGCCATCTTCAAAACAATCGCACCAGCTTCTCTGTATTATATGAGCTTGATTGTTCGTCGTATGAGGTGTCCCAATATTCTTCTTACTTTCGTATGTTCTGCTGGAGCTTCTCCGGCTCAGCAAATACTCTTAGCAGAAACCGACCCACTTCCATTGCTTGAATATCCTCGAACCTCGCCACATTCTTGTTTGACCCTATCTCTTGATGTAGGTGTTTGCGAGTCTTTCGGACATGCTCTGGGTTTCTTGCAGCCCCCAGAATTTTGTCCCATCCGGACCTGTAAAACGTCAACTACCAATCTAAATTGAGTGAATAGTTCACTTACAGCTCGGGAAATGTTTGATCAGGGCGCGATGAGTAAATAGAAGATCGCTTTTCCAGCAGCTGTGTAGCTAATTTCGCATCATTGAGTATAATAATGTGTCTTCCGAGAATAGTCAGTGAACTGATAGGCCCTGGTTTGAGAGAAGTGAGTATGAAAGATTCGTTTTAAATCAAGTGATCAAATCTTACCATAGAGCTCCTTATGCTTTGCCCAGTGGATCCAATCCTTTTGACCTGGACTTGGAAGATCGCCTAGATTTCCAACAAGGAATTTTCGTGGCGGGCCCGGCGGAAGGGGCAGAGACTTCTTGCGACGACCACGCACTATGGCGATAGTACAAAGGACTATGGCTCCAGCGAAGAAACTTAATAAAAGCATCGAGGGTAGTGATTTATGTTTAAGTTGAGTTTTTAGGTTACGGGAGAGGGCCGCGTAGTTCACCGGGCTGTTATTAAATCTTGCCAAAAAGAGGGGTCATGTCGCAGATTCAGCTTGACATGGGAAATGATTGGATTGAGGGCTGGTCTAAATGAATGACGTTGCTGTTGCAGGTTGCATGCATGCAGATCGTACTGTAGCCATGCCTTAGCAGGAAGTTCTGCATGTGAGTGAGGGGTCGTAAAAACTACTCTAGATATAACAGCAGTTCATTTGAGACCTTGTCCATCGTTGCCTAAAAGATTCTGTAAGTGCTTATAGATCCTTTATTACTGGCTATTTTTTATTGGAAGCTATTATGTATGCCGTGCCAAGTAGCTCACGTGTCCATCTATTAGGTTGAGTCATGGTGGTCAAATTGAACATGCTAATTGGTAAAAATATTGTTCAAATTGACCGATGTAACGAACTACGCCATCCTATTCACTGTTAATGAGTAAGGAAAAGTGGCTTCCAATGGGAAGTGCCCATGTGTGATGGGCGTCTATGCCAGTAATTTGTCTATGGTATCGGAAATAAATTTAACCTTAGAGTCTATCCAGATAAATCTTTATTCAATCAAGCTCTAAAGCCCGTCAGACATAGTTCAAGAAATCACAAATTTGGATAGCTAATATCAAGCCGGACGACCACCATTGCGATACAACCACAATCTACTGAGATCTCGAATCTTCAATTTCGATTTCGGTCTCGTTCTGTTTGAATTTGGCTCACCTGTCCACCTATTTACCCCAGACAATGGCGAAACAGGGCTCAAGTTTAAAACTTCCGTCGCCGTGGCTGGTTCTTGGGAGAAATCGCGGAAGATTCCCGCATGATCGAGTATCTCAACAACCGTCTCCGGTCTGATAGAATCAGGTAATTTGGCTTGTTGTGTCGAATGAATAATGACATTCAAGTTCATGAAGTCGGTATCTTTGGGATCCCTTGTGAAGCGGTTCGTTGGGTCAAGCGGGAACATGCTATCCAGGTAGTGTTGATTCAATTGATGTCCAGCTTTGGGGTTGACAAACACATTTCCCATGAATCGGTTCTCGAGTTGGTCGTTGGGCATTTTCTTAGTGAAATGGAGTACCCCAAATCTGCTGGCGAAATCGTAGCTATTTGCATAATGTTCGACGTGCGGTATAGCACGATTGTGAGATCTCCCGGACGTCTCTCCGTTTGACAAAGACCCGGGGCTTGATACGTGGGATATCGCATCACGAAATGGGTTGTTGAAATGGTTCGCGATACTTCCGAATGTATACACCTCGAGATATTGCAGAAGATCTTGGGGCACCTCGTTAAGAAGCCAGTCCACGATCATACTACCCTCAATTCCGCCTTGGGAGTGTAATATGAGTATGACCTTCTTAACTTCCTTCTTATAAAGTGCTTTCTTGACCAATACGTAGCAATCCCTGACATCAGAGGTAGCAAATAGCAGAGATCTTTGGATGAGACATTGAATGATGTCGAACACCACGCCAGATCTGGATGGTGTCAGCAGAATATCGTCAGTTGGAAGATCAATTTCTTACGTTCTATTATGCACACCAATGACGGGGCGATGAAAGGTTCGGGAGAGACGATCAACGTTGTTTTGGAGCCAATTCTTTCTATACGAAATAGTCAGTAAACTCAAAAGATTTGGAGGAGAACAGATTGGCAGTGAAGACAAACCCAACGCAAATTCCATTGAGAAAAATCCAACATTCGTCATCGTGCTGTCTCCAGCTTCTGGAATCCTCATCCTCGGTTGACCTCAACCCGTCTTTTGGAATTCCCCGATTAAGGACTTGACATAACAACAAATTCAGCAAAATCACACCAACAACATACGAAACAAAAAGTGAAAACGGCACGTAAATCAAGAATGGAAGTGAGAGCAAGAAACCAAGCTGCAGAACAAACAGAATGGAGTGAAAGATGACGTCCAAGATATTGGCCAGCGATGGATACAACTCATCCAAGGGGCCCGACGGCCATGGGGCAATTGGTAAAAATATATAAGGGAGGTACAGTATGTTGCGAAAGAAGAGCCGGACATCAGACAGGAACAAATACCACGGTGATCCCGTATACCGTGGTAATTCCTCTGGATCTTCAACAGTCTGCAAGTTAATGACGTTTACAGATCGAGTCGGCATATTGACAGAGTGATCGTGGTGCTTTGGGGTAGCGCCTTGTAAACTCACTTGTCGCTGGATTTGGCGTTTTCGTGGAAACTGCCACCTTTATAATCTCGAGAAGAATGAAATCACATGTATTACCACTCGAAGGCCATGAAGAGCCCAAGAACCATGTTTTCTCCATTTTTTTTAATTAAAGAATACGAGCGCATCAATGACAAAATGACTGATGCAGAAGTCAGAGGTGGCATTCTCACCCGACCAAGTCAACGGTAAGGAAACGACTTCTCCCATAGCTGATATCCAGGACTTCTGCCTTCAATCAAGAGCTTATTTTCACATGCTCTCGCTCTTCTAAATATCCTAGCTGAATGCGCTTTCAGCTGCCAGTAATTTCATCCAAAGAACAATTGTTGGGTCATTGGACAGATCACTTCGTATAGCTATGATTATTGCTTGGCAATTGGCTGGGGCTGTTTGGAACTCCCCCACGAGGCCCCAGTCATGGATCTGATATCAGGATCTAGAATAATCTGTGCTGGGAAAAACTCGAATGAAGCTAGCAAGTACCGAGTTCCAAAGATAAACGTATGCCCCGAACATGACGCCCTGGAATGTCATTTCTCGTACAAAGACTATTTACGATTTCCTCGCTAGACCCTAACAAGGACTTTGTAACTCTAAACATATTATTCAACCGATTATCTCTCATCATAGTAATGTACATGTCGGCCAACTTTAAGAGTGCGCACTAGCCTTAAGACAACTTGTATGGATAAAAGCCTTGGCTCTTTGTATGTGATTCTCCCACCCCGGAAACATCGCTGTAGCGTTCACGGCCAGTCGGTCTCCAGGATTGATCTCAGAGATCCACTTCAAAGGAGCAGGCTTTGGTGACCTGTGGTCATAACGAACGGTAGCAACAGATTCCTCGATCTCTTCTTCTGTGTTTTCATCTGTGCGCACATGGAGATACTTTTCACCAGTAGTTGAGCACCAAATGACGCGATGTTTATGCCAATCGTAGCTTGCATGAACATTTCGCAATACCTCCGGTCCAGGGATTCGGCGAGCCGCTTCCTCAAATGGTCCCGGTGGACATTCACGGCTTGCATCAAACCATGAATAAGAGCCATCGTATTGTCCATGCAGGTGGGCGTCGCCACTGTACCCTTGGTCGTGACTGATGATTTCGAAGTCGATTCTTCTGACGGGGTGGTGTAAGTTTCCGAATATTGGGGCACTGCGTAGGTAGACCATTGTATCGCCATGTTGTCTTGCGGCGCACTTGTGTTCAACTCGCTCAGTTTCACTCACGAGCCAGTATTCGGCGAGATCGAAGATATGCGAGAGCAACGATGACGAAAACTTCCCAGATGTGGCCTTCTTGAGATAGAAGTACGCTTCGAATTGGTCTTTCGGAGTCTGGGGACAATATCCTACAGAAATTGTGGCCTTTCTCCAAGCTGGGACTTCAGGGATGGTGATGCCTTCTGGGACGTCAATTCCTGCATTCAGAAGCAGCTGAATCGCTTCCAGCGCATCATTCGAAATTGCTACATCCAGGGCTGTATGGCCATCTGATGTTGCGGCCTTGGAATCAATGCCAGATTGCAGAAGAATTTTCACAACTTCTTGAACATTTGCCTCGCAAGCAAGATGAAGAGCTGTTTCCCCATTATCATTCTTGGCGTCTATCATGGCCCCATTTGCAATGAGGTATCCCACCACCTCAGCAAGGCCTTTGCTGCACGCTCCAAGTAAGGCTGTGTTTCCAGATTTGTCCCGCGCCTCCAACATGTCTCGTCCCCCAGGGTGACCAATAATGATCTTGACCGTTTCTAAAGATCCACTGTAGGCAGCATGATGAAGAACTGTTAGGTTCTGGAAATCTACTAGTAAGCTTTCCGGATGACGTTTCAAAAGCATTTCAACAACAAATGCTTGTCCCCATCTAGCTGCCATCAACAGAGCATCCGCAACAAATCCCTCTTCGCCCTCCATGAGTGCTCCATCATCCCAGGTGAGGAACATCTCTGTGACTTGAACATGACCATGAAGAATGGACAAGGCCACCGGAGGGGCGCCCCAGTAGTCCTCACTGGTAGCAAGGCGAGCCCCGTATTTTGACTTGAGAAGGACCTCACAAATGTTGATATAACCGTGTTCTGCAGCCATGTGCAGTGGGTTTCTGCCAAAGTCGTCTCTGAGCTCGTCAAGGGTTTCACTCAGCTCATAGCTGTCAAGGGCACGCAAGAGCTCCACCATTGCATCCTTGTGTCCCCACCATGCAGCGGCGCGGAAGGGTGTAGTTCCTCCATGTGCCTGAACCAACAAGGTCTCGATACCTTCCTTCTTGGACAGGATTTTGGGAATCATTGCTCCGTTTCCAGTCAGAGCTGCGACTAGCAAAGGCGTATGGTCAAAGTGCGCCCTAATTGTAACATCGGCCCCATGGTCCAGGAGAATCTCAGCCGAGCGATCACGTCTGTGAGCTAATGCTATGTGCAGCGGCGTGAAAAACGAATATCCCCTCTGGTTCAAAATTTGGGAGGTGGAAGGTTGGCTCAGAAGCAACTCCAGTGTCGTAACATGTTGGCCGAATGCTGCCCAGTGTAAGACATTGCCAACGAAATCATCAAAAGAGTCAACAATTATCTCGGGTCGTTGAGTAATTAAGTCTTGGATCAAAAAGTCCATTCCGAAGTATGCCGCAATGTTGATCAATTTTATCGATCGCTCGCTCCTTGCCAGGTTGTCGCCCATCTCAGCCCCATCGACACCAGCAATTCCACATAAGAGAGTGCGCACCGTGAATATAGACTGCAGCTTGAGATTGAAAAGGGCAAGGACCGCCGTTCTTATTGCATTCTCGGCTTCATTGCAGTTGGCCTTTTTCGCATGAAGTCCCCAATGAAGTGCTGCGTATTCCAGGAATGGGAATTTGGCAACGGTCTTTGAGAACGCCGTGGTGTGGATTTCTTTAGTCTCTGTACAGAACATAGACAATGAAAGATATTGAATACAACGCTTCGCGATGTAAACATCAGCATTGGGGAATTTGGCTGATTTGACTGAGTCGAGATATTCCTGAGCGGTGGAATGGGTAAATTGAATTCTTCCCGAGACATCCTCGATCGTAACAAGACCAGCGCAGGTTGAAGTGAGCAATTCTCCAGGAATCAAGTCATTAGGATCTATTTCGTCATCTTCTTCTTGGAGGGTCAAGGCATATTGCAAATCCTTTAAGCTCAACGGCCGTTGGGCGTGAGCGATCCACAGGACGATCATCTCGCCAAGTTCCCGATCTTTCTGTGGCTGGTCAGAGATACGAGAAATCGCGTCTTCGTATGTTCGTGAGATGGCATTTTCTCCTTCTGGCAAGTGTCTTAAACTAGCTTGGATACCCTTTGTGGTGTGCTGGTCTGCCAGAGCGTTAAGGTGAAGCTTGACAAGGAGGAACCTAACTCATACTGTCAGAATCGAAATCTTTCTCTAAGCATAGACGACACTCACATTCCATTCGCCTTTTTTATTACCGTATCCTTGATTTCCCGTTTGAGCTTGTTGTTGTGCATCAGCTTCGAGGAGAGTCTGCTAGACTGTAGTCGTCCATCGATATACTCTGTGAGATCCGTTTCCTTGGCTCGAATCTCCAGTTGAGGAACATCACTGAAAGGAGATGTTTTCTCTTTTGGAACTCGGGATGTAACCAACAAATTTTTGCTTTTGGGTAGGTTTGATATCAGATAAAGTAGTTCATCTCGAGTTTCGGTCTTGAGTTCATCGAGGGCATCCAGCATAACGAATACCCGAGAGTACTTGCTCAATTCATCTGAAAGCATGTTCAGGACGGTATCGGTTGTTGGAACCACGGATCTTTTCAGATAAGTTGTCTCGAGTCGTTCACATTCGGCCTCAGTGAGGATGCGGTTTTGCATCAACTGCCTCCATAGCGAGAGCAATATGTTGTGTGCTGTTTGATTCAATCGGTCTTTATAATCACAAAATGCGAAGATAATCGCATCTTGCTTCTTGTGAAATTTTTCCTGGAGATAATTGACTGCAATTGCGAACAAAGTCGTCTTTCCTGCTCCGGGGATTCCAGGACACCAGAGTGTTTTCCCGGCAGCTGACAGCCACTGCTGAAAGCCTTCAGTCTCCAGAATCCATTGCCCGGTGTTTTTGTGTCTAGTGAGAAACACATCGCTATACCGCGCTGAAAAGTCAAACTTGGCCAGGAAGTTAACAATGCCTTCATGGCGCTCTTTGTTGAACTTTAGCTTTCTTTGAACGCCAGACTCGGGTCCAGACATTTTGCTTGCAATCAGTGGTCTCCAGCCTTTGTACATGTCGGTGATTTTGGCGGATACACTCAAGAAAGAACGGTCCTCCGGGCCAGAGTACTTGTTAATTTTGAAATGATCAGTGTTCAGATGAACCTTGTGTGGACCCAATGCACCAGCAGACTCTTCGTTGACAACCTGCGATAGAGTTAGCTTTGCTGAGCCGGCACGTGTACCAAAACATACCAGATCCTTGATCAGTCCTGGGATATAGATTTTGTTTCCATAGTCTGTTTTCCTTTGCTCAATAAAAGCACAGAAAGGAATCATATTCCTCTCCAGGAGACGCTGAAAGCTGTCAACCTTGTCCAAAAGAACAGTGCTACCGAAACCTAAATATCCATTAATTCCATCGTCGGCGCCGGCCACCTTCAAGGACTGGATGACCACCGATGCCAGCTGCTGGATCTTTGACCCCTTGAAGGGGCAGCCCAGGAAGATAAGTCCCACGGTAAGCTCAACCAAATATTTCAAATTTTGCTCAGTCTCCGCGTACAACAAAGCCTACAAGTTTTGTTAGTAGATATATCACTCGTGCCAGGAATACCACTTACATGTTGAATAACGTTTCCACCCAGACTATGTCCAATGAAAATGAGGGGTCGATCACTAGAGTCTTCTCGAAACTCATGAATTGCCTCAGCTAGGTGTTTGCCGCAGACCTGAAGCCGAGTCGTGGCAGCGTCAAGATGCCACCTTGACTCGTAGTTGTATGCCAGAACCCGTGCCCTAGGCACTTTCTTCGGTAACATGTCGTCGTCGCTCAACCAGTTCACGAGACGTGGCTTGCCGTCCACCATCTGCGTGTCATCTTTCCAGGTCCATGACCAATCGACATTGGAGCCAAGGCCATGAACAGCGACGATACTGCGCGCCTAATTAACCAATTGAAGGGTTATAGGCGGTTTTCAAATACTTACTCGATTTCTGCATCTTCGGCGCCAATATTATCTGACTTTGGATAAAGAATGTCCAACGCGGGTCGGTTTCCAACTTTCTGTGCGGAGGGTTAGATTGTGCGCCAATTTCTGATTGAGATCTCCCATACCGGTTTCTTCTTTGCTAACAAATTTGGCTGCAGATCCTTGCGCGTGCTCTCGCGCGATAATTGACGCTTATGCAGATACCAAACACACACCAAAACAGCTACCCCGGTCAGAGAAATAAGCTGGGTTGTTCCCCGCCTCATGTCCATGATTTCACACAGAGACGAAGCCCGAGAGGTGTCATGTATTTAACCAAAGTTTTAAAATACGAAAGCACCGCACAAATTATTCCGGGGGAGAGCTCAAAATAGGTGCAAAAAAAGTAAGCCTCCTTATCGTGCTGAGTCAACAGCTGCGGCTGATGCATTTGACACCTGGGCGACGGGGCTTTCTACGCAGAGCTAAATTTTGTCGCGTGGGGTCCATTTGGCTGATACGAGAAATAAGCACGCCATTCCGGATCGAGAGACCAATCATTACCATCTTCAGGCGGTGGCTTGCATATTCACAAGGGCAGGACCAATCCGTGATTAGTGGCGTCTGACGCGGGAAGACATATACCAATTTAGCAGACTTAGCCTTGATCATCGCATGCGAGTTTACCGGGCTTCTTCTTTGTTGGAAGTTATATTTGAGCTGGCGGACAAGAATGGCTGTGCGACGTTGACAAAACCCTATTTGACTAGGGCGGGGCCGCGTGGGTCGGCCCGAAATAGATAAGGCTTTGCAGGTCCCTGGTTGAGCATGGCGCCTGGTTTGATGTATGACAGTGTTTGCCTGCAATATGATCGACAAGGCAGACACCGCAAATACTTGTCTAGGTCAAAGAAAACAGTCTTGAGAATTGAATTCATTGGCGAGAAGCAAAGTCCCCATCTCATCCCGTCTCATCCCATCTCCTGTGCAGATTCGACCCAGTTGTACCAGTTCATTTCTCCATCAATATCCATGTTCATGTCAACAGCGTCGACAGAAAGCGCCCCGGACTCGGAAATGATATGTCCATCAGTCCACATCCAGGGAGCAATATCTCGGTCGGTTGCCGCTGCCGCTTGGTCCGGCAACGACGATGAAAAATGCGTTGAAATAGAATTCTGCTCAGCTGCGGTCTCCACGGTTGAACGTGGTAACATTTCCAGATTTAAACCATAGAAGCTCGTAGCTGGCACATCTTTTCCGGCATAGTCGGCACCAAAATTGGGAATCCCCAGCTCAACATAGCTGCTATCGGCATGTTGAGCAGTCGCAATAGGATCTGGTGTTGCTTGGCTCGGATTTTGAGAAAGGTTTGGTGCACTGGGGTTTGTAGTTTCATCTAGATTTGAAATAAGCTGGCGCCATCGCCCAAGGAATAAATTTGCTGAGTCGGACCCTTGGGGAAATGGTCCGAGACTCGATGGCAATGGCAGATCGCGGTACTCCGTCTCTAGCTGTTCGGTAGCATGACGGTCGCTACTCAACCGTTCAAGCTCCTTGTCTCGGTGTTGTCTTGCTTTATTCATGAGCCTTCGCAGAGGAACCCAGATTCGGAGGCTTTTGTCCAATTTTGATTGATTTGGGATAAGCCAGACACTGTGAAGTGCCACCCAGGCTCTTTCCGATATTGGAGACCATGGGCGCCGCGAAATTTCAATCATCATATAGACAATGGAGTACCAATGCGTATAGGTTTGAAACGCCCACCGCCAGTGGCGACACGAATTCTCATTGTTCAGGGCATGGTTGTATTCAGCAACTTCAATTGCCGATATCAAATGTTTCGTACGAAGATCTCCAGCAAGTTCATCTTTGGCAGTAGAAAAAAGTAGAGGCAGGTAAATGAGCAGGGCCATCTTGGCCATGGTAAGGCGGGCGACGATTACTATCACCCAATATGTGATATTTCCGGAGTCAGTGGAGTATTGAAGGAAGTTTTTCTCAAGGGTCTCGTAAATTTGATTCAGCGAGCGACCCTGCTCATTCAGACTGGGTGCCTTGTCTTTGAAGCCGTGGGACATCATTTGCATTGTGACTTGGCATATTCCAAAGGTAACGCGTGCGACGGACATGTCGGTCAAACCATCATGCTCTTGAGGGATTTCTGCTGACTCCGGAGCGATGTCGACATCATTAATATTCAGGGGTAGTTTGGTGTCAAAGCTAGCATTTGTGATGGTATAGTCGGATCCTTGGTTTTCGGATGCTCTAACGTCTAGAAGGCACAGCACCCACCATGCTCGCCGCCTCATCTCAACTTCGTAAGGTGTCAAATGGGGAAAATTCGATCCATCCCGGTGGAGTCCAAGAGCTTGTCCCATCCGGATAAGTAGCCCAGTCATCATCCATACAAACCTTGGGCTGTCATGTCGACGGACAAGAGCAATGAAGATGGCGAATGCTTGAACCAAGACAAGGTCAGGTACATTAAGAAAATCGGCCCTGGCAAGAGCATGCTCAAGGCCGTGGCGGTATTTAAGATTGAGTTCAGCCTTGGGGACTCCAAAGTTTGTCATGACCTACGTGTAGCCAGAGGTGAGTTTCAATTCACAATTTGAACTCCAAATTGAATGCTTACATCGTCTTCTTCCATCGAGGTTATGGCAGCATAGTATATTGAGAACATCAATGCTTCGTTGACTGGTGTGAGTTCCTTCATCTCACGGCTTCGCCAATCCCGAACCATCGCTTTGATGGTGGGAAGGTGGACAATTTGGAGAACAATATTCACGTTTTCAGCGAACACGTCCAGTAAGAAAGGAATCTGTGATGGTAACGGGTGAAGATTTGTCAGATTGGGAGCAGCAGTGCTTAGGTTGTGACGAAATAGGAATGCATGACGATCCGATGGAGTCTGCTCAAGTTCCTGGGTAGATGGGGTTTTCTCTGGCGATGTCTCAGCATCTGATGTATCAGAGTCCTCCATTTGTAGACTTTTTGCGTCCATCTTGAGGCCATCAATCTAAGAAGAAGATTAGCTCTCGTTCCTTCAAATGCCGCAGCGCGAAGCAGGCCTACCTCGTCATTGACCCGGGACCAGAAAGCACTACTGATATAACGACTCCGACTTGCATCCCGAAGAACCAATCTTCCAAAGTGGTCCTGGACATCTCCTGTGCTATTGGGTGTTGCATGCGACGGTTGGCCAGTTTCATGCACAATACTCTCCGGCGATCCAAAGCCGGACGACCCTTCAGCCGAATTCGCGGCCGACTTGGCCTGCTCCAGCTGACTGGTTAGATCTTTGACAAGACTTTCTAAAGTACGCAGTCTTTCCATCACTGCATCAGCAATCGGGCCCACATCCTGTGACGCCTGTGGGGGTGAGAACGCGCCGTTGAGACGATCGAGGCGACGAGCCCATCTCGGAAGACGATCTGAGGAAGGCAAAACACACGCGATATTTGCACGACGACAGTTTGAGCATGGCGCCCGCTTATCACAGCGAACTTTGCGCTTTCGACACACCACACAACTGCGTGGCTTCGGCGCAGCTTCGGCGCGGCCTGAGGTGTCGAATCTCGCGCTTTTCTCGGCGTCCGAGGCCGACGCGAACGCGGCTGAACTCCCCTCGGCCCTGGTCTGGAGCATTTCTTGTGACATCCTGGAGGCTCAGCTAAGCTTCTTCAGGGATAACTCCCAGTCGCATTATCCTGTCGCCTTGCCGGTAGAACGATGACTCGGACGGGCGAAAGGTTAATGGTCTGCATTGGGGATAGCGGGCGCGACAACCAACGAGAGACGTCCGTTTCCGCCTCTGCGCCGTTGAACAACTCTGACCCCGATTTGTTGAGCGAGAAATGAGCGAGAGACGCTGACTGCCTGGTTAACCAACGATGGTTACTGTCTGAACGGTCGCGCCCCTCGGCTTTGGGTCGCACTCGGCGTAGGAGTTCGTATCAGCCAAATTATGTATTAAAGAGCACTGCGACCCAGTCTCAAGGGCTTCATTATCAGACAGCCTTCGTCTTGCAATTTACTACTGCCTCATTTCTCAATATAATTTTCCTAGGAGACTTCACAGTACTGGCATCAACGTATCTCCTACTTGCCTGACCATCCACCAGCCACTCAACACAATGACTTCCAATACCAAAGTCGTCGCTTTCCTAGGCGCGAGCACCGGCGTCGGGCTGTCCGCCTTGAAGCATACACTTGCTGCAGGACATCAGTGCATAGCGCTCTGCCGGAATCCCTCAAAGCTCACAGCCATCCTTCCAACAGAGTCAACCCCAAACCTGAAAGTCATCAAAGGAAATGCGCACGATGTCGCCGCCGTATCCAAATGCCTCCAAACTGATTCTGGCACCATCGTCGACGCTATTGTGACCACCATCGGCGCAAAGCCCGCTGGGCTCGGCGTCGACGATCCAGATGTCTGCAAAAAAGGTGCAGCCGCCATTCTGGACTCCCTCGCTGAGCTTCGAAGCAAGGGAATCACTGGCCGCCCGCATATCATTGCATGTGGCACAGTCGGATTCTCGCGGTTCGGTCGCAGTATCCCTTTTGTCATGATTCCCATTTATGCTTTGTTTGTTCGCGTCCCGGGCGCTGACAAGGTGGTTATGGAAGATCGATTCGCGCAGAGTGGGGAGTCTTTCACCATCATGCGCGCTACTCATTTGGTTGACGGAGAGTCTACCACGGCTATTCGTGTTGGCATTGAGGATCCCAAGACAGGCGTTGAGTCCAAGGTTACGGGCTATACTATCTCCAGGGAGGATGCGGGGAGATGGCTCGCCGAGAATTTGGTTTTGCACATGGAGGCGAAATACCTGAACAAGAATGTGACTATCACTTATTAATTTCATTCTCGCGATGTGGTATTGTCTTTGGGGTCGATTGACAAAGTCATATTTAGGGTCTGACGGATTGTAATGTACGAAATGCATCCAACTATTTTTTTGGTCTCAATTTGAACCCCCACTGGTAGTTGTCTTCAAAATCCTCAGTATAGCATACACCCCATTATCATCAAATTATTCATTAAGTTGTGACCGTCATTTGTCTCATCGTTGTGGAGAGTTGGACAGGTGAAATCGATAGATTTGTTCCGATCAAGGATTCTTATAACTTCTCAGCTCCGAGGACATGAAATGCGACCTTGGAGAGGACCCAAAGCAGAATACTAGAAAGAAAAATTTACCTCGACATTCAAAGTTCGTGATCAATCGTAGAATTACTCGTCAGGACAATCCTCGTCAGACGAGTCGCCAGAATCTGAGCCGCATTCGCAGTATATACTCTTACAGTATGGACAAGGCATTTTCAGCAAACCAAGAGTGAGCGCTTGATCAAAGAAGAAAGTCCGAGAGTAACGAGGTGAGACCAACAGTATTTGTATATCTGACTTGCATGAAGTTTGCTATGCCCCCCGCTTCCATGTGAAGTTTCGCACTCGTATCTTCCGTTGTAAGTTTTTACAGATTAGCTTCTTTGGACACATTGACTCTGCATAAAAGTATGTTGCATATTGGCTGGCACCTACCAGGACTGAACAAGCTATCGAAGCACGGGTCATGACTACGTGGTCAGTTGTGCTCGGTGCCGCATACCATATCCAGTCGCTGGCCACTCATGTTGGAGACCAGTCCATCAACGCCAAGTGCCGATTATAATGTTTAGTCTTGAGATTTCTGAGGAGATTAAATGTTCTTGATTGAGATGATTTAACAACAGTATTTCCATGTTCGCCATTATGCGTCACGATTTATCTTACATACTCCATTAGCCGACTAGGGCCTCATGCATCTCCTTTGGATCACCGAAGTCTACCAAAGCGTTCACAAGATATTCCTCGGACCGTGTGTTCTCGAGCCGAGCTGCATCCCACATTACCCACCCCCATGCGTGTAGCTCATCTGGAACGTACTCTCCAAAGATATTGGACCAAGTTCCACCCCACATGAGCGTCCAGGCAAATGGTGGCAGCTGCATCATTCCATCTGGGTCCAAGTCTCCGCAAAATGGCAGGGGGTCTCTTCAACGCTGTCTTTCATCACTATCCGAGGGCATGTACTTCCATCGTTCAATTTGTATATCAACATCCGTTGCAGAGGGCATGCCTTCAATCAAAGTACCACGGCGAGGAATTGAGGCCTGCATCTTTGAAACACGATCGGCATGATCTTTGATTTTTTTTTTTGATTTTGAAATTAAAGCAGTGTGGCAGCTGGAGGCCCCGAGTAAATGTACCATTGACGAGATCTTCTGGGTAAACTTTTCAATCAAGTCAATATTAGCTTTCCTTGAACATATAGCCCATTCCTCAGCTCGTGAAAGAAACAATGTAGGAGATGAAACTCAATCCCAACCCGTGGGTCAAATGCCCTATCGGGGGTCCTCGGACGTTCCGGGCAGTCAGGACCGAAATTTTGATTATTTTGTCAACATCGGGTTGAATGGGATCAAACATCTGTCTGTATGTTTCCCTTGCAAACGACGAGACACACGTCATTTCCTCAACCTCCCAAGGTTCAAAGATACACAAGAAGTCTTTCAACAAGTCGAGATCCTCCACACCCCACACGGCGTGGAGATGTGATTTTTCCCTGTTAACAGCACCATAGAGGTTACAGCAAAGTTGAAATCGGTAGAAAGCACGCGTGACTCGTATTTCCTCTATTTTACTCAAGGCTTTTAGCATCCTAGGCTGGCTGTTCTTATGTCCAAAACTCTCCAACGTCCGAGCACATAATACTGTATGAGAGGCTGAACAACAGAGTGGTGGAACTTGACCATTTTCATAATTTCCTGATTATTGAGATGTTGATGAAGATGAAAGGCCAAGAACCGGTCCTGTGCCCGGAATTCATGGTAAGTCTTAAGGAATTCTGTAGTCAACTTATCGCTGCGGTTGTTTGAGAAATCAACCGAGCTGAAAATGTGGACTGCGTAGGCATCGACGGCCACACTATGCAGCGTCGATTGGAAGCTTCGACAAAGCGAGAGCTTGGGGTACAATCTGAACTGGTCGTAAAATGTGGGCGAGGTCATAACAAGAGACTGAAAGGAGTCCAGATCCATTGCGGAACGTATTTCGAGCATGATATCGCCCGGAAGTGCCTCCATAGTTATGCACTGTGGACTCTTCGCGTGAATTGTTCTCGTGTCTGGGAGAAGTGTATTTGGTGGGCTCGTTGTTACCAGTACTGGTCTTCGAGCATCTGATAAGTCATCACAATCCAGGTTGGTTGAAATGTAATCCGCATCATACATCTGATGCATCTGAGATGACTTTCGAGATAGGGAAGGGTCTGGGGTAGAGTGTAGAACACGGAGGACTTACTTTCGTGACACAAAGTATCCTAAGCCAGTGCCTTCAGACTAGCACTTTGAATATTGGCTTCTGTTAGATCCGCTGTAGCAGATCAAAAACCAGGTTTTTAAAGGAATAAGGGACGCTGGACAGTCACGAAGTTGATGACTCAAGTTTCTGTTGCGCAGAACATTGAAAGTCAATATCAGATCCCCTCAGCCCAAGATCTGGGGACTTCGGCTTGCCATACTAAGCTTCCAAAGATGAGATGTCGGAGTTCGGCAAGGGTTGCTTGTTGTAGAGAAGACTGACTGACGGGTCAATATGTAAATAGAGAGAGCCGAGAGAGAACTAAGAGAGAACTAAGAGAGAACTAAGAGAGTGCTACTTCTTTATTATATCTTAAAGTCGAAGACATTTCTCAAGGTTTTCTATGATTTTACATCGTTCTACACCTTTTCATAAAAACTCTCTATTGAACACGACTACCACTATCAACCGCGCCCTCATCGACCACGCCTTGGGTGGCTACGTGCTATGTGGTATAGCATCATTCAGCAGGTCGTGAGACAAGTTCCTGCTTACTATGCATGCTACATTTTCCTACGACCCGACCATGCATGGCTTTGATCTATTACCCTTATTATGCCAAAAGCACATTGCCAGGAGAGCAGACCTTCTTTCGGCATATTGATGTGAACCTGAACGACTTATCTCACTCTGGATGCAGGCACGCCATTCTCCAAGGCAGTCTTTCGCTTAACCATGACGATGAAAATAACTGCACTGAGTTAATCTTCGGCATGCACCTTCACCTGCAAGAATGGTGGTCTGATGTCAGACAGAGACAGCGTACTGCTGATGGCCCTATCCACCGTATCGAGCCATAGATGTGGACAAGTGATAACGCTGCCAAGTATCAGACAGATTGGACGAAGTAAATATGTCGCGCAGGAGATGTTAGAGTCAGCTATATGAAAAGGGGATGGCGCGATAGCAGTCTGGTCAAAACAGACGGGTCGACAAATGGCGGCAAAAACCCAACAAGAAGTCAGGTCAGGGAGCTCTAGGCAAATGACGCCAACCAGGGATAACCAGATGCTATATCAAGGAGCATAATAATCAGAAATCGTGAATCAGAAAATGAGTGGCATGTTGTATCTGTCTGTTCTTCTCTACAGTCGTTTATTGCCCATATCACTCTTCGAGGATTTTAGTGCCTGAGGCACTACAATATTTACTTTGTTTATAGTTCCTAAAAGTTTCGAATATATATATTTATATAAGACCTAAGCCTGGGCCTCTGGCCTGGCGAAAGATGAATCATGTAGTAACTAACTGACTATTAAACCCTATAGCAATCTCTTAGCCCCGACGGGTCTTACGGGTAGGAGCCGGGGGCGATGATACCCGTGTTAAGGCACGCGTATCTAAGAATAATACGCCGGCTATACCGTCAGTCGGAGCCCCTAGAAGATAAATAGGATAATGAGAAGACGCCCTATTCATACTATGACTCAGATATGGCAGCCGACTGGTTTGCGATCCAAAGTCTTTGCGGTGTCAGCTACCCAATAGAGGTGCCAGAGAACCCCACAAATGTCACTGATATTGCTGGATTCGCACCTGTAAGTTACTCTACTGGAACCCGAACTTGAATTCAGCCTGTGGCAATCTGGTGCTTGGGGGGTGCGTACTGCGTGGATGGACCGACCACTTCATCAATTAGCTCTGTTACTGCTGTATCTGCAACGGCCACTACGGCGCTCAAACTATAGTCACTCTTGATGCTCTCAGCTACCTAAGAGTTGGCGTGATAGCGATTTATTATTACTACTTCTGACTTCTACTGTTACCATTTGTTGTTTGTCATGCCCAGGTAGTCATCGCCTTCAAACGTTACAAGCATATTTGAAAAACACATTGCTGAGATTGTAATCTTTATTTAATTAGTCGCCTCCGCAGGGGCCCAAGTTGTAATATAGAGCTTTCCAAAGTTGGAAAATCCATGTCTCTTTGTCCCACGATGCCACTAAGACAGGGCCTGGATCCCGAGGTCGCCACCTCTAGTGTCATCAGCAGAGTCTTTTAAAGTGGCTACTAGCTGGTTCATTAAATTTGACCTATAAACGTGCCTGCGTTGACTCGGATATTGCACAGTCCAATTTCTGCGGGTGCATCGGTTCGGCAAATGTGGGGGCAAAAGCTTAGCATATGGTATCTGAATCTAACGTACGCAGCATTTTTCTTTCCTTGCTTTTTTCTCCGTCATTCTCCGTGTCTCGCGGCCGTCTACGATACTCCGTACGTTTCTAATAAGTGACCGTGTCGCTTCTGCCTTGACTTTCTTTCTCACGCCCCTCTTTCCTACGAACATTTTTGTTTTCAGAATACCCCCTTATTGATTTCAAAGCCACCATCGCTCAGCAAACAAGCGCCTCAAATGTCTTATCTACCGACAGGATGGACCCTGGAGCGACTTCAAACAGCAACAGTCAATGATCTACGCCAAATACCAGAGGATGTAAGTGATTCTACCAGCAACAAGAGAAAATAGATTACTGATTCTCTGGATCATAGAAACTCCACGAGATTGATGAAGACCTAATTCCAGTCGAAAATGTTCCAGTTCGACAAGTCATCGGCCGTGCAATTGTTAACGAAGACCAACGGAAAAAACGCGTAGAGCGCGGCATGCCACCCGCGCCCCGGGTGCCGCTTTTTGAAAACAATGACGATCCAGTAGTGGAGGTAGTAGAAAGAGGAGGGTTTGACGACTTTGGGTTTATCGTGTTTCGGACAGATTACTCCGACGAACAACGCTGGGAGCAGTGGCATAAAGAGTTCCACCGCATACTTGACGCCTCGATGCAGCTCGCTAGCGGGGGAAAGAAAATTGAAGATAAATGCTTCATGCCAACCTACGAGGACGAAGACCTGGCTGGTGCGACCCATAATGAGATCCTCCAGTCAGACCATTCTCCTATGCTTTGCAGCTCGGGCTCTTTACTGATTATCGTGATAGGGCATATTACGGGTACCAAGAGACTGAAGGTATCCTCCCGGGACTTGACATTGGTATGTGTCTGGTTGTCGATTCAGCTGTTATGGATTCTTTAAAAACCGATCAGCCGTGGATTTATGTATTGGACGTATCATTCGATCATGAGAGTCAGCCTGCACGGGGAGAATATCCAGGCTACTTCCGAGTTGCCGTGCAGTCTGTCATCACGGAGCTCTACCCGATGCTCACGGCGATGACACCGCCGGAACTTTGGCCTGAGGATAACAGAATATGGGTGTCGGCCATCGAATAGATTATTCGAATGGATATCAAATGCAGCGGAAAGATAGAATACCAATCTCAGGTATAGTGTACTTGATATGGTGGGAGAGCATGACTGCCGTCAGGCAGTCACAGTAACCTTTTAGTTCGGTGTGCAACCTACTTAGCTCTCCTAATGGGTTGTAACACGATTGCTTTAGACCCGTTATTAACTCGTTAAGTTGTGAAATTTATACACTGGACCGGCCTTCTTACTGATTTCCAGTACGCTAAGCTTAAATCAGATAACAGTGCTAAATGCCTCAGCCTAAGATTATAGAGTAGAGTCTCGAAGACGCGAGATACGTACTATTGCTTCAACTGGATAAAAGCGCCTGCATAGCTATTGCGATACTAGTTATTCTGCAGCAGGTTATTTCAACCTTGATTGGTTGATTGATTTCAATCTATGGATACTTCTAATTTTTTGGCCGACCTCGAAGTATAGGGGCCGTTACATTTTTGCACCACACCCACCCCTTTGTTCCCGGCAATGCAAGGCCGGAGAAGCTACGTTGAGTGCTCAAGAATTTCTCCGTCATCTGTTCATCTAGATCAGGAGTACAAATCTACACGTTTCGGCTTCATCAATGACCCAAAATCAATATTTCTCAATATTATGTTTCATATATATTGAGTCCTATTAGCTATCTCTTTTCATCTTCGGCTTTTCTCTCTCCAAGTTCTACTCCTTGTTTCGGGGATCCAAATGTCCCATACTACAGTCTGTCTCCAATTGAACGTCATAAAGAAGAACCAAGGATGTTCATTCAGCAACCCTACCAAGATCATTGACTATGCTAGATTTTCAAATGAATGCATTCATAATCGGATGATGGAATTTATTAGCCACTGCCGAGAGTGGATGATCAAGAAACATGCGCAATTGGACGATGATTATCAGATGCGACTTGTTCCGTCATCATGTTAACCCCGAACGAATCACCAATTCAACTAGTCAATTCGGGCTCAATTTTGACATGCAGACCGAGGTATTCTCTAAGTGAAGATCCACTTGGTTGCCAACAGACGGGTGCCTTGCAGAAAGTCGAAACCAGAACCAAACAAGAACCAGTGGCGGACCGCGTGTCCGGTGGGGCCGTGAGGTTAAACCGAAGATCTTCGTCAACTTACTCGATTTGGAGACCGAGGCCGACTATGCAACCCGAAATGTAGAACTCACTGTTGAAGTTGGCATTGTACCCTGGCATGGATCAGCTATTTAAGAAGATCGTCCCACGACACCTGGTATTGTTCTCCAGGCCTGTACGTCCAATCTCTTCTGCCTTTGTGATTGACAATGGTTCCACTTCTTTCAAAGGCTCTTTTGTCCCTGGCGCTGGGCACTTCGGTCGCTCAGGCTCAACTTTGGGACAAGGTCATTCAAACCAGTTATGGCCCAGTCGAGGGATTTGAGTACTTCAACCAAACTACTCTCGACAAATACTTCAACGGCACTGAGTCCAATGTTGCTGCTTTCCTGGGTATCCCCTTCGCCGCTGACACGGGATATCAAAATCGTTGGAAGGCACCGCAACCTCGAGAGTCATGGAATGAGACTCTGCAAGCAAAGAACTTTGGTCCCGCCTGTCCTACTAGTTCGAATTCGGACATCAGCGAGGACTGTCTCAGTCTGAACATCTGGACCAATGCCAAATCTGCCAGTGATAAGCTTCCTGTCATGGTGTGGAATCAGGGCTCTGACGAGACTAGCAACAACACCTGGTGGTACGGCGGTGGTATGGCTCTGAAGGATGTCATTCTTATCACTTTCAATCGTCGAGATGATGCATTCGGCTACCTTGCTTCTCCTGAGCTCAACGAGGAAGGCTATGAGGCCTTTGGGCACAAGACTTCTGGCAACTACGGAATCCTTGACCAACTCGAGGTTCTCAAGTGGGTGCAGAAGAACATTGCCAAGTTCGGTGGTGACCCAGACCGTGTTGTCGTTGCCGGCCAGTCATTCGGTTCTTCTCAGGTCTACCATGCGGTCAACAGTCCTCTCTTCACCGGTTACTTCCATGGCGGTATCTCGGAGTCTGGTATCAGATATCCTTACGATACCCTTCTCGCAGGTCTGGCCACTTCCTATGTGAACATGTCTACTGCCATCACCAACGGTGCAAGCTACATCAAGGCTCACAATGTCTCGACCATTGAGCAGATGCGTACGCTCTCAATGGAGGATTTGATTGTAGGAGCTTCAGACCGTGTTGGAAACAGCTCCATCTGGTGGGTTACCGCGCTGTCAGCCGGCTACCCTCTCATCTTCAAGCCTGTTCTCGATGGCTATGTGATTCCCTCCACATATCTCGAGACATTGAAGAATGGCCCTGCCAACGACGTTCCCGTTATCACCGGCAACACAAAGGACGAGTCTGGTGCTTCTCCCTCCACCGATTACACCCCTGAGGAATACAAGTACTACTGCACCCTGAAGTACGGCAACCTCTCGGAACGCTACTTCAAGCTATACCCCAGCCACAACAACGAAACTATCGCTTCTCGGGCGTGGAATGCTGCTGCCCGTGATACTTCTCTCGTTGGGTCATGGGCCTACGCTACCGACTGGTACAAGGCCGCATCCTCGGACTTCTACACCTACTACTGGACGCACGCACCCCCAGGCCAGAACCAGGGTGCCTTCCACCAGTCTGAGATCATGTATGCTCTCAACGCTCTTTATGCCAACGATGAGACCTACCCCTTCACCAAAATTGATTATGAGATTCAAGAGAGAATGTCTGCTTATTGGGCCAACTTCGCCAAGACCCTCAACCCTAACAAGGGAGGATCCTATACTGGCAGTCGCGCGTTGCCCCGCTGGACTCCTAACAGTGCCAATGGAACTCAGGTCGTTATGGAGCTTGGTAATCAGTTCAAGAATGTGCCCATTGCTAAACCTCAGCAGGTGGATCTTCTCATGGACTACTTCCACCAACAGACCCCTTACTAGAGGGGTTCTGAATTTGTACAAATAGGGTTCCTCGCTTGATGGACAGAAGTCTATGCATGGTTCTGTCATGACAGCCATGCGATTCTTTGGTATAGATTCCGGGCAGAAACCCAATCTGGGTCGATGACTTCATCAATAAATATCAGATTCTAAACCACTCCGTGGAAAACAATCATCCAGATAGATCTTCCATTTCTCTTTCTCTTTCATTTTCTTTCTAGTAATGGCATTAAAGCCGAGGGGACTGGGATACTTGAGCAAGTAGAGCCAACAGGGCTGAACTCAAGCATGCCCCAATGATTCCCAAAGGAGAATCTCCGCCCTGTCCTGTGAATTTCCTCACGAATCAGCGTGCGCCAAGATCAGTTCTCCGGAGATCGCCCGCTGAGGGGTAAATCCACGATCTCCAGGCAACCATTCAATAAACCACTTCGATCTGATCTTTCTCGATCTTGAGATCATTCACAATTCACCATGGTTGCCGAGCACCTCACCCTCCGCAACAACACCTCCACTCCAATTGTCTTGAAGCGCATTGTGCGCTTCAAGCCGGAGGAAAAGTCATTTGGTGCCAGCGCCTTTACACTGGCTTCCAATCTGACCCAGGTTCTCACAAACCAAACGCGCAGCCCATCTGTTGCCCTCATCAAGCATGACAGCCATCCCTTCGCCGAAGAGGACGAGGACGTCCACCTAGAGCCATTCGAAACCAAGAAGACCGACCTCCGCGCCTTCATCGACTCAGAAAAGGAGCGCACGCGTCTGATCTTCGAGGTCGAAGGCCAAAGATACCAAATCCAGACGCCAGTTCCAACAGAGGAATCAGCAACCATGAAAGCTCTAGACGAGAACCCCAAATTCCAGTTCACAGGCGTCTACGTAACCCCAGAATCCCACCTAGCAATCTTTTCGTCGGCCAATCTAAACGCCTGGATGGGCGAACTCCGCGACGACACCCTCACCTCAGCCCTCTCAATCCCAGGCACACACAACTCGCCAACCTGCCACATGGCACCGCCCTCAGTGCGCTGCCAGGCAGTGAGCCCGCGCGAGCAACTTGAGAACGGCGTGCGCTTCTTCGACATCCGTGTGCAGCCCCAATACCCAGAAGACGCAGCCCGCGACGAGCTCATCCTCGTGCACAGCGTCTTCCCCGTCTCCCTGACAGGAAATAAGTACTTCCGCGACCTAATGCGCGAAGTAAACGAATTCCTCGACCGAAACCCATCCGAGACGCTCATCATCTCCGTCAAGCGCGAAGGATCCGGCAACGCAACAGATGAGCAGCTCTCGCGCATCCTGCACGACCATTACGCCCGCCCCGATAGTCGGTGGTGGGTGCGGCCCAAGATCCCGACTCTAGGCGAGGCGCGCGGCAAGGCCATCCTCCTGCGCCGGTTCAACCTACCGGAGAACCTCAAGGGCGAGCATGGCGGCAATGGCTGGGGCATTGATGCGGCGTCGTGGAATGACAATACTGCCCATGCGATGTGCCCCAGTGGCCAGCTTTGTATTCAGGATTTCTATGAGGTCATGGAGAAGCCGAGTATCGAGCAAAAGATCAAGTATGTCGCGGAGCAGGTCGACCGCGCTAGTTGTTGTTGCTATCCGTTTGGGGTTCAGCCTGATGCGCATGCGACAAGCGCGTTCCCTTACTATATCAATTTCTTGAGTGCTAGTAACTTCTGGAAGACGAATACTTGGCCTGAGAAGATTGCTGCTAAGGTTAATCCTGCTATTGTGGATTATCTTTGTCGGCGGAAGAGGGATGGGGATATGGATTGTTCGACTGGTATTCTTGTCACGGACTGGGTTGGTCTGGATGGGAATTGGGATCTTGTGCGTTGCATTGTTGGTATGAATGCCAAGCTGCGCCTGAGACAGCAGTAGATTATAGATATCCGTACATTAAGAGGGTTTGGGACTTTCGGGCGTGGTTGGGTCTTGTTCATATTTACATACCAGGGTTCGATGGGGAAAGAGGATAGCTGGAAAATATGATTTTCTCAAAATAATTTGTCGCAAGTATACATTCATCCAAGAACAGGAAATGGGGGTCTTGATGAAACGCAGGAATATGATCTATTATACAGAAATAACACAATAACCATGGCCAGATTAAGACGACTCGCTCTTGTCGCCTTCCGGTCCCTTCTCTTCCTCTTCCAGAACACTGCGGCGGCTCTCCATGGTGAAGTAGAGGCTCTTTCCTGTTCCCTCCAGGGTGGAGGCAACGCTGGAGCTCATGCTCTGCAAGGCAGTGACAAGCTGGGAGCGGAGGCCGTCCATGCCACCCTCGATGCTGCCAACCCACTTGGTCTGGTTGATATCGAAGACATGGTTATCGATACGAGCGGCCAACAAATTGATCTTGCGGAGACCGTTCTGGACGATAGGGTCGTGGTATTCAGGGTTGGCCTTGCGAGTGGGAGCAGGGAAGCCGGCCTCCTTGGGGGTGAGGATCGATAGCGCGGCCTTCATGTGCTCTGGCGAGACATTGGGGATGGATAGAACAGCAACGGGTCCGACAAGGAGAGTCGAAAGGTCGTGCATGCCCTTGAGGTTCTTCACTGCGGCGTGGGCAGTGCGAGACAGATCGTGTGTCAGGGCTGGGTCGTCCTTGGAACCGGAAACCGCAGGGAGCTCGGCGGAGGTTTGCGTGACGGGATCAATGGCACGCGGGGGGCGTCCTGAGGCCAGCGAGGCCTCACTCGGCTTAAAGTAGTCGACAATGCGCAGAGCCGCCTCGAAGATACTGGTCTGGATAGTCTGGATTTTAATGTAAGGAGCGAGAGGAGGAGCTGTCCGGCCCTCGGCGGCGATCTTGTCATCCACCTTCTTCAAGGCGTTGGTCAGTTCTCGTCGAATGGCAGCCCATTCCATGGACTTCAAGTTGTTGTGTTGGAACAGCACAATGAGAGGAGACGTGCGGAGGAGGGAGGTGTATGATCGCAGGAGCTGCGATCGGCGATATTCGGGATTGCGATGGGAAGGTGGCTGAGTAGGAGGGAATCTGGAAATGGGAGCTGGCGAGTGTCTCATCTGCTCAATAGGAGCTGCGGGTGTAACAGCTGGAGCGGTGCTTGCGCTCCTCGTAATTCGGAGTTCATGTTGGCAAACAGGGAATTGGCGTCGAACTGACGAGAGCCTTAATCGAGGGGGCATTGTGAAGATTTTGAATTTGAATGGCAATTGAACCACTCAATGCCTGAACAGTTGTTAAACAGGTGATGTTGGTCGAGACAGCCTCCGGGAACTGCAAAGCGTAGTGATATTTTTCGAGTCCCAAAAGGGTAAAGCGTAGCGGATGGCGGTGAAGGGTTCTGCCGGGTGCATACATCCAGCAATTGGTGGGGGTTGACTCATTGGATTGCTTGCTTTTGTCAACACTGGTTAGGATATCTTTTAAATCTCTGAGGATACTTGCAAAGCTCCACATTCTCACTATGGAGATCATTGAACCAACTGCGCCCAAGCGCCCCGATCCCATCTCAATCTCCCCGCTCCTTCAGCGGCTGGCCTACCCCCCAACAGCAGACCTTCGAGTCAGCGCAGAGAAGATTGCAGAGGTCGGCGCGGATGAAATTGCTGCAGCTTTCGCCTTGATCTTTGAGGATCGACTGTCCCATGTTCAGACTGCTGCACTTTTGACCTTGCTCCACTCAACTGGCAAAGACCGGGATCCTGCGGTAATTGCGAAATGTTCTCAGGGTATGCGAGATGCTGCTTGCCAGGTCGAGAAGCCCGCTATGAAGAAGATTATCAAGGCTCGTGGAAAAAAGGAGGGAAACTATCAGGGTGGATTGGTATGGCTACTTGCCCCTCACTTCTACTGACCTGACGGCAATAACTAACATCACTTGTTGTCTAGTGTGATATTGTTGGAACTGGCGGAGACTCTCACTCTACTTTCAATATCTCTACTACTTCCTCAATTGTTGCATCCCCGCTCTTAATGACCGCCAAACATGGAAACCGTGCTCAGACCTCGTTCTCTGGATCTGCGGATGTTCTCCAATCCATTGTGCCTATCGCACCCAACATTGATGCTGTGAACGCCGAAAACCTCCACAAGGTGTACGAGAAGACCAACTATTCGTTCCTGTTCGCCCCCAACTTCCACCCTGGAATGATGTATGCCAACCCTGTTCGCCGCGGTCTTGGTCTCCGAACCATTTTCAACCTGATGGGTCCCTTGGCAAACCCCATCGACTGGGCAATTGAAGCTCGTGTCGTCGGTGTAGCTTATCAGAGTCTTGGTCCTGTCTTTGTCGAAGCTCTCAGACAAAGTGGTGCCAAGAAGGCTCTCGTTGTCTGTGGCCAAGAGGACATGGACGAGATCAGCTGTGCCGGACCCACCAACTGCTGGAGACTCTCTGAATACCCGAACCCTGCCTACAAGGAGTCTGATGACAATGATGACTCCAGTGATGAAGAGGACCCGAATCCTCGTACACTGGTAAAGCTCGATACTTTCCAGCTTCAGCCGTCAGACTTTGGTCTCCCCAGTCACCCACTGTCTTCCGTGTACGGACGCAAGATGCCCAAGGATAACGCTGCCAAGCTCATGAGCATCCTCCGCAACGAGCTTCCGCGGGACGATGCCATTCTGGAGTTTGTTTTCATGAATGTCGCTGCTCTCTTGGTCACCTCAGGTGTATGTGAAGCTGACACTAGCAACATGGGACCTGGCGATGACGGCAATGTCATTACCGAGCGTGGTCCCGGAGGTGGACGCTGGAAGGAAGGTGTCCGCCGTGCCCGCTGGGCAATTGAGAGCGGCGAGTCTCTGAAGTGCCTGGAGCAGTTCATTGAGGTCAGCAACCTGCTTTGAAAAGTTTCAACTCATGCTACATAAATTTTGGATTTGGTTTATTTTTTGATCATATTTTGGGGAGCTTTCGGGTCAGGTTTCGCATAGTAAGTTCAGCTTTTGTATGGAGTGCATCTATATACCCTATGTCTGGGTATTCGAAAATTCTTAGTTTTAGTTTTCTAATGAAAAAAAACAAATGAACTTCTCTTCTTCTCTGAAAGCAATGATCATTGTTCTATTTGAAACGATAAAGCTTACAGCCGTTTTATTCACACATCCATGTCTCGACCGGAGAACGCGGCCAGAGCAACGCATACTCACAGTCCAAGAGCATAGAAAGGAGGACAACAAACATCTGCATAAATACAGTAGATCCCAAAGCGCCTTTTAAATGCATAATTCGTCAAAATCAAAGATATCCTCGGGCCGATTCCTCCAACTCCGTACTAGTCCCTGGGACATCACATTGCCAACCAGGGCCAGCCGCTTCAAATCGATCTTGAGCAAAGAATTTACCGGGCCTGGAACTGGACCATACTATCAAATCGCAAAAAAAGGTCAGCTCAAGCACTTGCGAACAAAGATTCTGGTAAAAAAAGCTTACCGCTTGGTCCGCTCCTTGTACAGCACACGGTGACCACAGTCCTTGCAGCGGATCTGGTCGCCACGCTTGAGAGGGACGCGGGCAGAGCACTCGCCGCAGAGGTACACAACAGAGGGGCTGTCAACGTTCATGGCGCTGCCGTATCCGCCCTGGGTGTCGAAGGCGTTCTGGCCGCCCATCGAGGGCACCTGGTAAGCTTCGCGAGACATCGTTGGTATATGTTTCGGGTGGAATTTAGATGGATCAAGGTGGCGCGATTTGATGGATACTGCAAGAGGTAGGGTGCGATGTGCGAGTATGGACTATTGGATCGTGCGACTTGGATACTTTTTCTCTTCGGAGCGGAATTTTTGGATGTTTAGTCATTCGGGAGCTAATGAATGAGTCAGCATGTTGGTCCGTGCGTCCTATGCAGGCGAACTCATGTATAGCCTCATTTTGGAAATTTGGTTTTACTTTCTTTGGAAGGAGATGAATTACAGAGTAAGCCTCCGTGAAACTCTTATAGGGGACACATGGTTTTATGATATCTATAGTCATGAGAACTAAGTACTTGATAACAAACTGCCAAAACTCCAAAAAGCCAACCTCATATATCGTCACCCATGGTCATCAAAATGATAATCTGGTATCTTCCGTGGGCATATGCAATCATGATCGAAAGAAGGAAGCAACGCCATGCAAATGAGAATGAACCAAATGACCTCCAGACTGTACAATAAAATGCAAAGAAAAGGGTTTACCAACCACCACCGATCTTGCCAGCTAATTCAACGACACGAGTCGTGTCATTAGCAGGAGTTTGGTCCTTGCCAACGTCACTCTCAACCTTGCGGTATGTTGTATATACAAGCTTAGAAAGCGGTATATCCATGAATTGGGACCAGCGACGCAAGCCGTCATGAATCCTAGCTTCCTTCTCAGCCACGGAGTCCTGTTCAAATTGGGAGTCTGTCTCTGGCTCAGAGTCTGATTCCATAGAATAGTATGCTTCATCAACGCGCGCAAGCCATGTCCGCTGTTCATGGGGTGATGCTTTCACAGGTGCGCCTGCTTCGTCATCCTGAGCGGGGGTGATGGCTTCTCTGGCGTCCTCTACTCGGATCTGACCACCACCATTCGTGCAACCGCCTGGGCAGGCCATTACTTCCACATAGGCATAATCAGATCCTGAACTGCCAGTAGACGCAGCATTGCGTGACGTGGGCAGGCGTCGACCAGCGGCGGGCTTGCCGACGGGCTTTGCGCCTGGAAGCCTTGACACCCGCGCGGGCTTGAGCTTCCGGACAAGATTTTGAATGTTTCGGAACCCATAATAGCGAGCGGCCTTCAATATCGGCTGACCTTCTGGAGACATGAGAACATACTCCACGACGTCGACATTGCGCCCGCGGTTGACCACAAGTTCACTTCCAGGGTTGCGGGATTGGAAATTAGTGAGAACGTGGTGTAGATAGCCTCCAGATGTACCAGTGGCGAGAGATTGTTCGGCTCGAGATCGTTTGAATGAAAGGAAAGATTCAAGTGTTTTCTCGGGGAATGGCGGCGTGAAAGATGCAGGCAAAGCTTGCAAAGGAAGATTTGGCAGGGAGAATCCGCGCGCGGAAGCTAGAGACAGAAGCTCACGGGCAGTGATGACACAGTCTACGTCGCGGACAGGCTGTGCGTCAGAACCCAGGTCATCTCCATGTCGCCATGAAACATCTGTAAGCTCTTCTCGACTGGCTTCCAGCTTCTTATCAAAGCAGGGCATCACTGCCAAATGCCAAATCCGAGAAGGGTGAACTCCGAGAGACTTGCTGAGCACAGTCTTGAGAAATGTTCCCGACAGAGCCTGTGGAGACTTGAGTCGTGACAGATGCGGAAGAATAAACGGGTGTGTCTTCTCGGCGTAGCAAATCCATCCGGGGCATGCAGAAGACAGAATAGGCCGCTTGGGAAGAGAGTCATCAGATTGACCGGTGGACTCTCCCGAGTTGAGCGAGTCTGATACCTCATCTGCAGTAAGAACCAAGACAGCCTCTCGCATGACATTTGTGTCTACCACCCAAGTAAAGCCGCTGCCATTCTTGCCTCCTCCCCGCAGGCCCTGCGGACCGCTGAGCAATTGGTCGATCATGTACCCCGCCTCTTTCTCCGAAATACCATATGTTGTTGCCAGGCTTGCTCGAACCTGCGGGCTTACACTGGCCACAAAGATCTTGCTCTCACCAGAGTCACCCGCATTGTTCGCCACTGTCCCATTGTGTCCATGCGCTAGAGGTATCTCCGGGTATGCATCGAGCGTGTTGAGGACCTCGGTATGAGACTGAAGAGAAATCAGTACTGCCTCGGCGGATGTAACACAGCCAGAACAAGCAAGACAGTCAGTCAGAGAGATCTGCGCCGGAGGTAGTTCTTCGGGTTGAACTTTGTCTTCGGTAGTTACTTCATAGGCGTTCTATGATCCAAGATTAGTCTCAATATGCGCCAGGAAAGCGTGAGACCAGCGCGGGAAAAAAATTCACCTCTGGGTTCTTTGTGTCTTTTTGTGGAAGCGTTTCAACTGGCTTAATACACGCGACCCCCGGCGAAATGAAATCATTCAGATCGTCTGCCGAAAGGATCGCGCTCATTGTGGCGGGGTACCGCTTTGAGCAAAATAGATATTGGACGAAAGGGAAGCAGAAGGTGTGCTATTTTGAGAACGTGTGATACTTGTGTGAAAGATCAAAGACTGAAAGACAAGAATCAAACTTGAATAGATCGCATTATTCACCTTCGAACTTTGGGCCAACGGCGTTACGCGCTTTGTCATCGGTGGCGAGATCGGAGATAAGTTAACCTTGGGTCCTCACCGCCAAGGTTCTGCCTATAATCGAAGTATACAACCTCGTTTTCTTTCATCTCTTTGACCTCGATTGTTTTCTATTGTTCAATGTACTTGTTCTATCAATAAAATAATTAGGTCTCTCTATAAAGGGGGCCTGGTGCCCTTGTCTGCATTTTCCAACTTTACCATTCAACCTTGCTCTTACATTCATATTAACTTTATTCGATTAACTAAAGCATGGACAATAGCAACCAACAGCGAGCTCCTCAGCTCAGGTACAGCTATTCTGTGAATAACAAAAATTCAAGCGCAAGCACTAGCAGGTATACAAGCCACCGAGGTCGAACCCGTGGGAACCGCGTACAAAAACTCAACGGCAGGCACAAATTCAAAATTGAGCAGCGAGATCACTCTGTGACACACGCAGCAGACTCGAGACCCTTTATCTGGCGAGGTCAAGGTCGAGGTTATGGTCGAGGAAGAAGGGAAGATCATTGGACTGTGTCAATGCAAAATTCACCCAATCTCAAGCGTCTTTCTGAGTATCTTTCAAACTCCACACTTTCAGGCCCCCTTGATCTTACAGCCGATCCCACTACCTTGCCAGACATCGAAACGCGGGAACTCAGCTCCTACTTTTATCATGCTCTCAGAGGAGGTGCCCCAAGTAAGAAGGGTCCTGCGACTGCTCACAAAGTCCCAGGTCAGAATACCCGTATAATCACAACCAAACCCCCTACCAACATCGGGAGGGCGGGAAGGACAAAGCTAGCCGATCACACAAAAAAGTATATTCCCACTGTTTTGCGCTCAGCGGGTCCTGCTGGCCAGCTGGGTTACAAAGTTGGCCCGGGTCTGATTGGCCCTCTGAAGCCTGAAATGGAAGAATTTCTCGATCTGTCTACTCGGGTGGTGGTTGTAAATGGAGATACTTATGATGTTGCCGTCGCCCTTCATAATGCCCGTGATATTATGGAGCATGAGGATCCTATGCCAGTCTGTGTACTCAATTTCGCAAATGCTTTTACCATCGGTGGAGGCTGGAAAAATGGCTCCCCTGCCCAGGAAGAGCAACTTTGCTACAGAAGCACACTGACCGCAACTCTTTTGCCCCGGCTGTATCCTATGGAAACCAAGGAGCTCATTTACTCGCCTCAAGTGTCGATCTTGCGTGAAAGTGAGAAGCGAGGGTATCATATGATGTGGCCGAACGCGCAAAGTCCGCTCCCGGTAGTCAGTGTTATTAGCATGGCTGCGCAATCCAAGCCAACAGTGACTGCCGCAAATAAGTATCAGAATATAAGTGATCGCAACCTTATGAAAGACAAAATGCGAATGGTTCTACGCACGGCAGCACACAATCGTCACCAACGCTTGGTTCTGGGCGCCCTTGGCTGTGGTGCGTTTGGTCACCCTAAACAAGAGGTGGCTGATTGCTGGAAAGAGGTCCTCGAGGATGTCGAGTTCCAGGGTTTTTTCGAACTGATTGTTTTTGCCATCTTTGATCCAGGAAACGACGGTAATTTTCCGGTATTCCACCAGACTTTGCATAATCTGGACATGTTTTACGAGGCTACACAGTAAGTCATCATTTCTTTTTTATGGAATCATGTAATTGTACACTGGCCTCCCCTTCCCTGTATACACTTTTGTGAGAGAGTATCGCCGGTTTGCTAGCGTGCATTGTTTAACCTTATGAGATTCCTGAAGTTGAGATTGTTCTACTGTTGTTTTTAAGTATACGTATATGAATGACATTCAAATATTATTTTTTTCAACGTGAGACTAGCTGGCAAACATCAAAAGCTATGCGGTGTCTCAATTCTTATGGAGCAAGAAAAGTGGTTATTGTATTTTGTTGTATTTTTTGTTCCAATGCAAAATGGCAAATTGTATTAAATCTTATAAGAGGAAGCATGTTTATGATGTAAGTAAATACATTTACTTCATACGAGTAGATCGTCTTCTACCCATAGTGGCTGCCTTTGTCTCCTCCTCTCCGGCTTCTTCTTTCTTTACAGCTGGTTTCTTTTGCTTGGGTGACCCTCTCTTCTTGGCTTTCCGTGCATCCTCTGCTTCGGAGTCCTCCTCCGTTTTCGGAGCTGCACGTTTACGTCCAGAGGCAGCTGGCGTGCTATCATCCTCATCCACTTCCTTGGCGACGGCGCCGGTTTTCTTCTGAACAGCTGGGACAACGGCACTTGTCCGACCACCAACCGTAAGGAAAGTGATTTTATCTCCATTTGGCAGGACTGCTGGCTGGTTCTTCTTTCCCTTGCCCCACCGATGTTTGAAAAGCCAGTGCTCAGGGAATTTCTCTGAGTCTGCCAGGACACCAATAGAGGTAGAGCACACATAGTGAATAGAGGTGTGGAGCTCTTTGATTTGATCGTCGCTTAACGTATTGCTGTACTGCTCTGGGTGTATCTTGGCATGATACAGAATCTCATCACTGAACATGATTAGCTTGGGTATAGTAATAAGACGTGTAATAGGTTAACTTACCCCATCCAATTTCCAATCCCACTGATATTAGCCTGATCCAGTAAGAGAGCTTTGATAGGCACTTTCTTCTTTCTCAGCTTCTCCATCAACCAAGCCTCATTGACAATATCTTTATCGGTGACGGGATCAGGTCCATTCTCCTTGAGTGGAGTGTGTTTTCTGATTTCATCGGCCGGACAATCAACAAGTCTAATGCGGCCAAGTCTGCGGGCATCCACGAAGGCAGCCTCGGTTTTGGGCTCATCGCTTGTCTCCAGCAAGAACTTCCAATACTTAGGAGGCCATTCCTTATCCGCGGGTTTGTCACTTCGGTAGTAATATGTATCGGCATCTTTAATCTTCATCCAACCAGCCATTCCAAAGTGCATCACGGCATGTGGTGGTGAAGACATTGTGATCCAGAAATATTTTCCTTGCTGACCAGCTCCCACGATTTTCTTTCCCTGCATTGCTTGTTGGAATTCAGAGGCACTTGTGCCTACCTTGCCGAATACGATAGTGTCATCTTGGGCTTGGACTTTAGACAAGGTCTTTCCAACCAGGTGTTGACGAATGAAATGCACGATGCGGTGAATTTCCGCGAGCTCGGGCATTTTGGGGTGGATGTTTAAATGACAAAACTGAGCTTAGATGAGATAATGACATGCACAGATGATTCTGTTCAAGGGCGTTCTGGGATGAGCAGTCAATGCGGTGGTTCAGCATATGGCATAGGACGCGTCTTAATTGACAGGGCGCGAATTCACGCGCCGTAATCAGAGGCTTACTAATCTTATCAGAGCTGGAGGGTTGCAGTCTTCATATACGTATTTGTTCTTTTGAAATCCAGGATTCGATTGTTGACAATTTATATTGCCTATGATCTGACAGGACTTTATCATTGGTTTTTGTTGATTTCACATTGCCTCCCTCTCCTGGGGCGGTATCGGCATGCCGACCATGACAACGGTTTCCCGTTGATGATTCCGAAGTCCCAACCAAGTCTTGACGTTCATGTACTTAGGTCATTCGATTATGAGACAATTTGGCCAGTTCCTTGTTTGGTGATGATTCTATATATCACTGAAGTCATAGACATATGAAAACGGTCAACATGCGTTTGTACGTTTGCCTGCGTAGTTCGATAAGTACCTCTGTACGTAGTTTTAATAGTGTGTAAGCTAGATATTCATGACAATGCAAGCTAATAAATGTATCTAGGTTCAATTTGATTGTTCCGTATCAGTACAATACCTTTGCCTTCTGCATATTTGTACTTTATGGATCCCGAGCCAGGGACGTAGTTTAGATTATAGATATGTTATGGCTCTCGCAAATAAGTATATTCTTCTTACACAATAATATCTACACATTACTTTTTGCAGCTTCAAATTTGGTATTATTTGGTTTGATTGTTCTGTTTTAACCAACAGCATATAGATGTGCCGATAGCCTCAGGCATTAACACAATATACGCTAGACCTAATATAGTTTAATGCGGTGGGTCTCGACGAGCTTGGGCTGACGATGCTCTCCGTCACAAGCCAACTCACGTCTATCACACTGGACTACGCTCCAACATATTACACCAGTCACCATATAAGTGATTTTGATATATATACCAATAACTATCGTTTTCAAACTGGAGTGGTTTTGGATCAAGTCAAATCGAGAATCCGGGGAGGAAGTTCGCAGCAGAATGTCACAGGTCTCATCGACGGAGGCTCCGGCGCTCACTCCTCGATTTTGTTTTGACGAGAGACTACTCAGAGGTCAGTCAGAAGTGACAACTTGCGCTCAACACCCGTTAACATCTTGTTTTTTATTCAGATTTTCTCCGACTTTCGAGGTCGACAATCGACGATTCCATAACACAGAACCTCAATGCGCTGATCACACCGGCCAAGGAAGGGTTCGATCCATCTTCAACCGCGGTGCGACAGACAGACTCTCGATCTCGAAGAACCATTAACTCTACGGCTTGCCAGGGTTTCAAAGAAAATGTGTTGTTTCCATCATGGCAGACAAGATCAGATGTGTTGAACTATTGCGCCGGTGTGGCTACAAGTCCCGACCCCGATGATCCGGATATGATTCTCCGACAGACTGAATCTGCGCGAGATCGGGAACGAGTGGTTGATGAGCGATTGGATCCTTATTCTGCGCGGTTCTTTCCTCGCGAAGCAAGGACTGAGTCTTTAGCAAATTTGATTCGAAATGAGCGCACCATTGAAGACATCATCCGAGCCCGGACCTGGGGCATGGTTTCCGAAAAATGCAGTGGTTCTACGACGTGGCAGGAAGCTCTCGATAGCTGGCGCCATGACCGTCGGAAATAAATATGGCATGTTCATACTTTACTGCACTCGAGATGGTCAGCTCAATCCTCGCCCTAGACTTACTATGTTTCATCTCCACTTGTATATTACTGCACAATTACAAATCACATGGCCTCTGCCGCTCGAATCATATATAACACGCATCGTTCCAGGCTTATAGATGGCCGTAGTGGTACTCTGCTGGAAAAGTCTGTCGGGGGTTGAACAGTGTGGACAATAACTTAATACCTGGTTAACCTGGTTGGTGCAAATAAGGATCTTCCTAGTTAAATTTTGTCGAGCAAGGATATAGTTCACAGCAATGAGTTTTGATATGATGTTCAGGCAAGCTTTGGGTGCAAATTTTGCGATGAGCTACTCAGCAAGTGAAAAGAAATAGACCAAAAGAAAAAGCTACAAACCACCAGATCTCTGTTAGCTTGTCTCACTATAGACTTGCAGGTGAAGAAATGCAGGGCTATCTCTTATCGCCTACTCATTCTGCCAGGTCGGACTCGGAGAAGTTGTCCCCCGCACACTTCGTTTCCTCCCTCGCACACAGGTCCTCCATCAGCATCGCTCATCATGCCGCAACCATTGAACTCCAAGGATCAATCCTTGTTTCGTCAGGTGGTTCGCCACTTTGAGATGAAACAGTACAAGAAAGGTACATCCCTCCCGCCCTAGGTCTAACGCTGTCTAACCACGTTGCTCTTCAATAGGCATCAAAACGGCAGAACAGGTTCTTCGCAAGAACCCTACCCATGGTGACACCCAAGCGATGAAGGCTCTCAACATGAGCCAGATTGGACAATCAGAGGAGGCCTTTGCGCTCGCCAAGGAGGCTCTTCGAAATGACATGAAGTCGCATATCACCTGGCACGTCTACGGGTTGCTGTACCGCCAAGAAAAGAACTACGAGGAGGCTATCAAGGCCTACCGATTTGCCTTGCGCCTTGAGCCGGAATCTCAACCTATTCAGCGTGATCTCGCACTGCTCCAGATGCAGATGCGGGACTACCAGGGATATATCCAGAGTCGCAGCGCTATGCTGCAAGCTCGCCCCGGCTTCCGCCAGAACTGGACCGCTCTCGCGATTGCTCACCACCTGGCCGGAGATCTCCAGGAAGCTGAAAAGGTTTTGACCACTTACGAGGACACATTGAAGGGCACAACACCGCCTGTCGCCGATATGGAAAACTCCGAAGCTATTCTCTATAAGAACTCAATCATCGCGGAGACTGGAAACCTTGAGAGAGCATTGGAGCACCTTGAGGCCATTGGATACCGGTGTACCGATGTGCTCGCAGTCATGGAGATGAAGGCGGATTATCTTTTGCGACTGGACCGCAAGGCCGAAGCCGAGGCGGCCTATACAGCACTGCTGGAGCGCAACCCGGACAACTCAATTTATTATAATGGTTTGATCCTGGCGAAGGCCATCCCGGAAACCGATCACAAGGCATTGAAGGCTCTGTACGATGAGTGGGTTCAAAAGAACCCCCGCTGTGACGCTGCTCGTCGCATTCCTCTCGACTTCCTAGAAGGTGAGGAATTCAAGCAAGCTGCGGACGCTTACCTGCAGCGCATGCTGAAGAAGGGCGTTCCTTCATTATTCGTCAACATCAAGAACCTCTACACCAACTCTGCCAAGCGTGACGTGGTACAGGAACTAGTGGAAAGTTACGTGTCTCAGGCAAGCTCGCAGTCCAATGGATCCGCCGAGTCCAAGGGCGAGAATGAGTTCCTGTCGTGCACTTACTACTTCCTTGCTCAACACTACAACTACCACCTCAGCCGCAACCTTACGAAGGCGATGGAGAATGTTGACAAGGCCATTGAACAGTCACCCAAGGCCGTGGAATACCAGATGACCAAGGCCCGTATCTGGAAGCACTACGGTAACTCGGCTAGAGCAGCGGAGGAGATGGAGAAGGCTCGCCTGTTGGATGAGAAAGATCGCCACATCAACACTAAGGCTGCCAAATATGCGCTTCGCAACAACGAAAATGAAAAGGGACTGGAGCTCATGAGCAAATTCACTCGCAATGAGACCGTTGGTGGCGCATTGGGCGACCTCCACGAGATGCAATGCACTTGGTTCTTGACCGAGGATGCCGAGGCATTCCTGCGACAGAAGAAGCTCGGCCTTGCCCTGAAGCGCTTCCACTCCGTTTACAACATCTTCGATACCTGGCAGGAGGATCAGTTCGACTTCCACAGCTTCTCTCTCCGCAAAGGTATGATCAGGGCCTACGTGGACATGGTTCGCTGGGAAGACCGCTTGCGCGAGCACCCCTTCTACACAAGAATGGCTCTCGGTGCTGTCAAGGCTCACCTACTTCTCCACGATCAGCCTGATCTTGTCCACGGGCCCATGCCCAGTGGTGCCAATGGTCTCGATTCTACCGATGAAAATGAGCGAAAGAAGGCCCTCAAGAAGGCTAAGAAGGAACAGCAACGTTTGGAGAAGATTGAAGCTGACAAGCGTGAGGCAAGAAAGGCCGCCGCTGCCAATGCCAAGCCCGCTGAGGGAGAAACAAAGAAAGAGGACCCTGACCCTCTGGGCAACACTTTGGTCCAGACCAAGGACCCCCTGCAGGACGTGATGAAGTTCTTGACCCCGCTGCTCGAATTCGGCGCTAAGAACATTGAGGCTCAATGTCTTGGCTTCGAGGTTTACCTCCGCAAGAGTAAGTTTTATCTAATATGGTAAAGATTAGACTTAAAGACTTGAAGACTAATATATTCGCAGACAAGCACCTCCTTGCTGTCAAGTGTCTCTCGGCTGCCCACGCTATCGATCCTTCAAACCCCACTCTTCACCTTCAGTTGCTTCGCTTCCGCAAGGCCCTGGACAGCCTTTCTGAGCCTCTTCCCGAGCAGGCTGCCGAGTCCGTCAATGCCGAGTTCGAAAAGCTGCTCCCCAAGTCTCAGAAGCTTGAGGAGTGGAACGAGTCTTACCTTTCATCCAACAAGGGTAGCGTCACTCACGTACAGGCTGCACTATCTGGACGCCAGCTCTTGAAGCCAGAATCCAAGGCGCAGTGCGAGGAGGAGCTCCTTGCCACCCTTGATGCTTCTGACATCACCATCGACGAGGCTGCTATCGCCCTTGACTTGCTGAACAAGTGGGGCAGTGACAAAACTGCTTATGCCGAGAAGGCCAGCAAGAAGTGGCCCGAGTCTTCCGTTTTCCAGTTGAAGTGAACTATTACGAGGTGGACCAATACGCGGAACCTATCTTCCACGGATGTTATTCACGCTTCGACGATACGCAGTGGTGTATACGCCTGCGAGAAGAAGTAAGGAGTGGAATGTGAAATGTGGAATGAGAGAAAAACGGTGCAAATATAGAGAAAGACCGTGGAGAGAGAGAAGATCTTGCAATATACTCTAACATGACTCAAAAGGTCTGGAAGTATACCAACCTAAGAAAGAGGATCGAATGTATGAGTATCTATTCCGAGGTAGACACCAATCTACCCAGATCAAACAATGTTTCCTTGACAATGTACATTTCTAAATCAACATTAACACAACCATAAAAGCGCCTTTAATGTACAAGCCGAGGGGGAGTCAGGATATGCAAAAAAAAAAAAAAAAACACACAAGCCGTGCTCAAAATGCCAGCGAAAAAAAAGAACCCCATCCATGGATCCCATAAACCATTCTATTATATAAAACAAATTTTCAAACCATCAAGACGAAGTCAAAAAGTATGTTTAAAACATCTGCACATTCTTTCACAGTCCATCCTCTCCTTCGATGTTACCCAAGATCGGCTTGCGTTTCAGGGCCTCCTCGCTCTCGCCGTAGCCGTGGTCGATCCACATGCGCTTCCAGAAAGGAACGGGAATGGGACGTTCCTCGCCAAGGATATACTCCTGCTTCTCGGCGATACGCTGGGAACGAGCCTCATCCTCTGGGGAGAGAACGGCACGCTGCATGCGTGAGGCAATGCGGGGATCGAGGACGATGTCGTTGAGCCAGACACGCTCGCCTTCACCCTCTTCGTGCTTGCGCACGGACTTGTGCCACTCCTTTTCAGCGGCCTCTAGGACGGACTGCTGCTCAAAGTTGTTCGAAGGGAGGTCAGTGAAGGAGCTGTCGGGGCTGGGAGTAGAGTCAACGCTCGCGCCGGTGGTATCGAAGTCGGGGTTGAGAACATCGTCCCGGTAAGGCCGGGCATTGGCTGCGAGGACAATAGCTGCAACGTCACGGCCGACGCTATCGGCAAGGTAGCGTTGTGTGAGGAAGCGGTAGATTCGAATTGGGGTCTTGAGGAAGCCGAGAATGTGAGGGAATTCGACGGGGATGGAACTATCGAAGGACTGGGGAAGAGTAGGGGGGAGGCTGGCGGAAGAGTAGTCGGTGGGAGTGATATATGCGGGCGTAGGACCGGCAGGCTTGGACTTTTCTTCCTTCTCGGCATCGGTCTTTGTTTCGGAACTCTCCTTCTCGGTCTCGGCGGCCTCAGGTGTGCCTTCCGCGTTGATACCCTCAATTGTCTCAGGGATCTCGTCGGGAACTGGTGCAGGTGGTGGTGGTGGTGGTGCGTCTAGCGGTCCGAGCCAACCCTCGTGCAATCCGCGCATATATTCCTTCCAAGTATGTCTTCCAATCACGAGATCACCCTTGGGGCCGGGTTCATCGGTAATACCGATGCGTTCGCGTGTCTCGGCAACGATGGCCTCCACACCGGTTTCCTCGGCAGCTGAGCTTGGCTCACCAGCCTTGCGGCGCAGCTTGCGAATGTTCTCTGCCATGCCGGCACGCACGTCTCCCTCTCGTCGTCCTTCGATCACGGTATAGTCCAACGCGGCGGCAACCAAGATTGGCTTCACGTATTCCTTGAAATGGTCCCGGGCTACTCGCAAGCCATCTCCAGGTGGTGCAGCCAGGTAAACGGTCATCTTGCGGCGCATCTGGTCAATGGGCAGGGAATCGTTCGCGAGGTGAGCCACGAGCTCCGACCATTTTTGTTGCGCGCGGCGTTTCTCACGGCGGTCGTAGATGAGGGCACCTGTGAATGAGCCAGTGATTGTGAGGAAGATCATCCAATTGCGGGAGGGCAATCTGAAACGCATGTTGGGCAAACCTGTTGATCACGAATGTTAGCATCTTCGGCGGACAAAATCTGGGGAACAGTGCCCTACCCATCATGGCGAAAACCGGGTTGGGTGGCTTCGGAGCCGCAGCAGGCTTGCTAGCACCTGCCGCAGCAGAAGTGGTTGTATCCGCCATTGAAGCAATATGTTGGAGAAATTGAATGATCGCTCAAGACACGGAGTACACCCGGGGCATACTCGTTCGGGAAAAAAGTCGCCCTCGGGATTTCATTAGTCCGCTCACGTGACTGTGGTTCGAACAAACTGCTGTCGACTGCATCTTGACCGACATGAAATGCGTACGATCTTCATCCAGCTGCCGTTGAATCCGCAGGCTAAAATCCTGTGCTTGTAGGCTCCGGGGAGTAAGCTATGTGAGATCTGCTCAGTTCAAACTGAAATTCTCGCGGCATCCAATGCGACGTCTTGAACTGGCACGGAGCCTGGCATTCCTGTACACAGGACATACCCCTCCCCCTGGATTGTGACTTTTCTGGTATCAGGACTCTTTCTTCGGGGGGGTGTTCGTCATGATGTATTGCCCTGGAGAGCAATGTTGAAGTATGCCACAATCACACTAGATTGGGGTATAGCTACCCGTAGCCCGTCGTAGACCTGCGATATTAGCTATAAACCGTCTCAGGGACACTTAAACCGCCTTCTCGTGTCTCTTGGAAACTCTGCAAAGTATCACAAAGCTCAGGAAACTTCGCGTTTCAGGTCAAAATCAACAAATCAAGTAAACCCGTCACCTTGATTGGAGGGGCTAGATTGCCTCCTGAGCCACCGCTTCTTTACTCCCCGCCCTCTTTCTTTCTTTCTCATCCACCTTTCTTCCCTGTCCTGTCAAGATGGATCCAAATAACAGGAACAACATGAATTACGGGTACAATGACCGTAACTACAACGGCAATTCCAACAACCGTGCCTATCCCACCACTCCCTCCGCGTTTCCCCAGCCCATCTATCAGTCTCAGGGGGCTCAGGACTATGTCGATCCCGCCAACCCAGCGTATGCACCGGGATACTTCATGCCTCAACCCTACCCACCTCAGGTGCAGGCGCAGTATGCCCAGCAGCAGCAACAACAGCAACAGCAGCAATATGCTCAGCAGCAAGCCTTGCAATCGCCCCAACCCGCCTACCAACAACGCATGGGCTACGCCAATGACGGTACCAACGGCCTGGTTCAACAATTTTCCAACCAGGACCTCAACGCAAACCGAGCAGGTTTCTTCAATCGAGCTGGATCGCCAGCTCAGCGGCCTCGCACCGCTGGTGGCTCTCCAGCCCAGGCCCCGGCCCAGGCTTCACACCTAATTCCTCCAGTGCCCCGCAGCCCTCGACCCCCCCTCCGAGAATGAGGAATTGCAACGTTTCCCCGACCGATACTCAGAGAATGTGCACAAGCGGGGTAAGGCCGCAAAGGAGCTGGTGACTGTGTTCTTCCATGAGAATATTGAGCGGGCCCGTGACCGTAACATGCGGTGAGTGTATACACGCCTGAGGCTCTGTTTTGGTCTGACAATTTCATTTTTTACAGCTCGGCGGAACTCGACAAAACAATCCGTGACCCCAACCTCCCCACTGACAAGAAGCGCCAGGATGCCGATGTCATTTCAAAAAGAGAGTCCGACTTCCTTCGATTCCTACGTACCAAGGAGACACCGAACAACTTCCAGACTATCAAGATTATCGGAAAGGGTGCCTTTGGTGAGGTCAAGCTGGTGCAGCGCAAGACCGATGGCAAGATTTACGCTCTCAAGTCTTTGATCAAGACGGAAATGTTCAAGAAGGACCAGCTCGCTCATGTTCGTGCTGAGCGTGATATTTTGGCGGACTCAAAGGACAACCCTTGGCTGGTGAAGCTGCATGCTTCGTTCCAGGACACTGCGTATCTTTATCTGCTGATGGAGTTCTTGCCCGGTGGTGATTTGATGACTATGTTGATCAAGTACGAGATTTTCTCCGAGGATATCACTCGCTTCTACATGGCCGAAGTTGTGATGGCAATAGAAGCTGTGCACAAGCTTGGTTTCCTTCACCGGTAAGTGGCCCGATGCGCAACTCCTTCGAATCCAACCTAACAAATGAACAGTGATATCAAACCCGACAACATCTTGCTTGACCGCGGGGGTCATGTCAAGCTTACCGATTTCGGTCTTTCGACCGGAGGCAAAAAGACTCACGACAACGCTTACTACCAGAACCTTCTCAAAAACTCTACCTCCAAGGACCGGAACCGCAACTCTGGTTACTTTAATGATGCGATTAACCTCACCGTGTCCAACCGTGGGCAGATCAACACCTGGCGAAAGTCGCGTCGTGCGATGGCCTACTCTACCGTGGGAACTCCGGACTATATTGCACCTGAGATCTTCAACGGCCAAGGATATACCTATCTTTGCGATTGGTGGTCTGTTGGTGCTATCATGTTCGAATGTCTGGTTGGCTGGCCTCCTTTCTGTGCCGAAGACACAACCGACACTTACCGGAAGATCGTCAACTGGAGAGAGTGCTTGTACTTCCCTGATGAGCTGGTTCTCTCGCGTGATTCCGAGGCCTTGATCCGAAGGTAAGCTTTTTCTTCCAAGACAAACCAAAATGCCTGCTAACTATGATAGCTTCCTGTGTGACCCCGACCACCGTATCGGCAGCGATGGTGGCCAGCATGGAGGAGCCACACAGATCAAGAACCACCCCTTCTTCCGGGGAGTTGTCTGGGATCAGCTGCGCAGTATTCGCGCTCCCTTCGAACCCCGCCTCAGCTCCAACATTGATGTTTCATACTTCCCCATTGATGAAATTCCCCAGGAGGATACCAGTGCCATCCACCGTGCCCAGGCTCGTGCCATGCCGGATTCACAGGAAGCTGAGATGAGTCTTCCATTCATTGGCTACACCTACAAGGCCTTTAATGCCTTTGAGAGTAACTAGGCTTGCACATAATCCGAGAACGATCGACTGGTGCTGGAAGACTTAAAGAAGCAGGCTGGGCTTGCATCCATCTTTCAAATGTCCTGTTTTTGTCGATCAGAGACATACTCGGCTTTGTTCTCATCTCTATCACATTATCATTGAGCATATCAGCGCGATGTTTTCCTGAATCATGACCCACTTTGGTTTCACTTGTTGATATCTAACGCACTGCATTTTTTTTTCTTCCGAGGCACGCATACAATTTCATGGGGGTATCCTGCTGAGAGCACTTCCTAGCTAGCATTGAGCTACTAGTACAGGGTCCCCAGAGAGAACAAATGGACTCTTTATGTTTAGGCGATATACTGGTATTGTAGTCGCTGTAGCCCTCCAACGATCAGTCTATGTCTACATGTACTATAAGCAAAGCCATCGAGTCAGAAATAGGAACAAGACTTTTCAACCTCATGGCCGCACAAGGTAACATCCTGAAAGTCTGTGATCTTGAAAGTATCAAAGATGGCATGGCCACCATAAGTATAATGTCAATTGCCATAAAGTCAATCGCTCGAGGTAAATTATGCACATGGAACCCCCAAACGCCTGGTCCTAATTCCCACCATAGAGATAGAGACAACGATTTTTAGTCGGCCAAAGAAAACAGTGTAGATAGCGAGAAGAAAAAAAGAGAGATCAATCAATCCCGCATAGGCGCCAAACCAGGCACACCACTGAACCGCTCCTCACGCTCAGTCTTGAACATAATCTGCACCCAGAATTCCTTACTATCCTCATCAAACCAAGTCCAATACCGATCCTCGCGACGATCAATCTCCTTGGCCTGCAGCTTAAACCCACAGCTTTGATACGGTTCCGCCGCAACAACCAAATACTGATAATGACTATCAGGCTCCTCGATCTTCTGCTCAAAAGCCGACATGATACGGACACGAGGCACAACACCAGGCGTGATCTCCTGGTATTGCAGCTGGAACAACAAGCCCAGCTGGCGAGTCAGGGGATCCTGAATCTTGGTGATTTTGTATCCAGGCCGGCCAATCTTGATCATCTGCTTCTTGACCTGCACACCCATAACACCGGGCAGCGATGAGGGATCCTGGTTCCGGCCTTCGCGCTGCTCGCGCGCGGCGCGGCGGGCAAGATTCGTCTGGTGCTTCTTGCCTTGCGTGTGCGCCAGGTACGAGCCGTCATTCTGGTGGACTGTTAGGCAGAGTCGGCATTCAAAGCTGCCAACGTGGTTCTTAAAGAAGTAAGGGTCCTTATCGAGATCGATTGATTCGAGCGCGAGCTTGCGCAATCGCTCGCGACGGTCGGCATTGGTTGCGGATTGGGAGGCGACGCCGCCGCCGCCGAATTTGGAGCCTGCGCGGTTCTGGCATGGGTGTTAGAATTATACATACTGGGCTGGGATGTTTGATGCATTTTGCTGCTCTGTGTATTCAAGCGTGACTTACCTGATAATCCATGATGTCGCAGTTTTGAGAAAGTTGAAGAAGATCAAATCGGCCCAGCTTCAAAGGGCCTGGAGATTAGGTAAGCGGGTCTTTCCCATCCATGGATATCACAGTACAAAGCGGACTCTCCTAAACAAATAAGACCTGCGGTCTGCTGAAGCTATGAGTGCCTCGATTGCCTCAATTGTAGGCCAACGTCGGTCATTTGATGGTCACCTCTGTACCATTCGCTACGTGGGGACTGTTCAAGGCACCACGGGCGACTGGTTGGGCGTGGAGTGGGACGACGCAACTCGGGGCAAGCATTCAGGAGAGCATAAGGGAATCAGATATTTCTCATGTGAGTTTGTAGGACTATATACAGGACTAGTTGACTAACTTGGTCTTAGGCAAAAGCAACAAGCCTACGGCGGGGTCTTTCGTTCGCCCCTCCAGGCCATCAGATCAACCGCGGAGCTTCCTCGAAGCCTTGCGGGAGAAATACGCCTCTGAGTTTGAGGATTCCTCTTGCTTGAATATCAGTGAAGCATCTCGCAAGAAGGCAATTGAAATTAGTGGCAAGGTCGTTGAAGAAGTTGGCTTCGACAAGATCCGCAAGCAACTCGCGGAATTGAAAGAGCTACGCATTGTCCTGCTTGATGGCCTCCTAATTGCTGGCGTTTCTCCGTCGTATGATCAGGTACAAGATCAAGGCGCAGCCCAAAAGATTGCAGAGACTTGTCCTAAGATCATCGAATTGGATCTTAGTCGAAGTTTGTTGAGCGGGTGGCGCGATGTTTGGGAGATTTGCAACCAACTTAAGCACCTGAAAAGGTTAAAGTTGAAGTGAGTAACAGCTTCTTCGTGTTGCTTTTGAAAACAGCTAACAAAATCATAGTGGAAACCGATTCCGGGCTTTGGATGATCTGGTTTTTGAGGGGATCACCGAACTACATCTAGAAGACACGCTGCTAAGTTGGGATGAAGTATGTACCCCCCGTTCATTTGTAACGAATATGAGCTGACTGTCATAGATTGCTGCTATTACATCTCAATTCCCTGACTTAACATCTCTCACGGCATCAGCAAATCAACTCTCTGAGATAACCTGCCCAGTCCCCGACACCATCACCTCCTTAACCCTAGAACACAACAACTTCGTCTCAATATCAGCTCTCAGGCATCTCTCTGCCCTCCCCAAGCTGGAGCATCTTTCTGTTCGAGGAAGCGCCATTGACACCGTGAACAATGGCGCAACCCCGTTGGACTTCCAGTTTCCCAAGACTCTCCTCTCCCTCGATCTATCCCGCAACAAAATCACCTCATGGTCCTTCCTCAATCAAATTTCCATTCTCTTCCCAGGCTTAACAACTCTTCGAATCTCGGACAACCCTCTATTTGACCAGCCGCCCCTTCCACAATCCGTCACAACAACAGAATCCTCAAAACCAATGACCCTCGACGAAGCCTTCATGCTAACCCTCTCCCGCTTCCCTTCATCCCTCGCAACCCTTAATTACAGCATCATAAAACCAACAGACCGCTCAAACGCAGAAATGTACTATCTCTCCTTGATCGGCAAAGAACTCTCCGCAACAAGTGAGGCAGAAGAACCCGCCATCCTATCTACCCACCCTCGATACAATGAGCTATGCGAGTTATACGCCGAGCCCACCATTAACAGAGCTATCATTCCTACTTCCGGGTCAAGAGTGATCCATCCGCGCTCTGTAGCAGCACGATTAGTCAAAATGGCATTCCGTCTCTCTCGTGATAAGGAGGAATCAGAAGTTCTCATCAAGGAGATTCCTGGTTCTTTCGATACATACCAGCTTAAAGCGCTTGTTTCGCGGCTATTTGGGTTACCGGCGTTCGGGTTCAAGCTTGTTTGGGAGACGGATGAGTGGGATCCTGTTGAGAAGGAGAATGTCGAGGCTGTTGATTGGGATGATAGTGAGGATGAGGCTTTGGAGGAGCAAGACATCGTTCCTCCAAAACACGATGCTCCCGATAGTGGGTTCGTGCGTCGGCAGATAGAATTAGTTGATTCGACGAGGGATATTGGGTTCCTGTTTCAGGGTGAGGGAGAAGTCAGGGTTCGAGTTGAAGTCCCCTTGGAGTGCAGTACTACTGTTTGAAGATGGAGCGTTGTTTTCTGCATCTACATGTACCTCTGCACATCTAAGCTACAATGAAGAAATGCACAAATTTAGAATATTTGACTCTTTTTTTTCTGTGCTGTTCGAAGCAACACATCTAGCCGTAGCCTAGACTTGTTACAGGGTATGAAAGTCAGACAAGGTACAGAAATATTCACACAAGCAGGTGGAAGAAAAGGCCGGAAACGCCAAGGTGCTTTACTCGCTGCCCAGTCCTCCTAACCCCGATAGAAGCAACATAAATCGGAAACGGAGATTGAACCGTATCACTCGGTAGAGAAAAAGAAACGTAACGCCAAAACCATGATGCTTTTTTCGCAAAAGAACAAGATGTGCCCTGCAAGACAGGAGCTGGATCGAATGTGTAATAGCTGTCGGAGGCAAAACACGTATGCAAAAGAGGATAGAAGAAGAACCGTCATGGCAGGGAATGGATTATCCACGGGCAACCCACCACGAGCGAACTGCCATACAGCAAATGCGCTTGTAGATTTGTGTGGTGCCCTTGCCCTCTGCTTCTTCTTCGAGGAACTTTTGCGCAACGAAGAGCTTGGTCCCCGCCTCTTTCTCGGTTGTATAGCCGACCTTGGGCAAGCTGTTGGGGAAATCAGCCCAGCGCTGTCCCAAATGGCGTGCGACGGTGATGGAGTAAATAATGTCGCGGTTTTCGTATGTATCCAGCAATTGACGGCATCGAGTCAGCGTGTCATCGATCTGCTTGGCCGAGCTTGCTTCATTGTCGTAAAGCGTGAGGAATTCTCCGACCTGGTCCCAGAAATCTAATTGGCGGCTCTGGAATTGGTCTGGGGTGTTTGGGGGGTTGGCGGCGTCCATGACAAGCTCCCGAGATAGGAAATTTGAGTCTAGGTGGTTCCATGTAAGCAAGGCCTCGACGACGTTCAATCGAGCGCATGCTACACATAAGTTCCAGTCACGACCCTGTTGTCCACTTTCTCCATCAGGCACTTGGCGACACAACGCCATGCTCTTCCAGATAATCGAAGCCTCGAAGCTCTCTAAACGAGCAAGTGTTTCTCCATCTTGAAGATTCCATTCGTTAAATGCATCAATCAAAGCCGAATAATCAGCCATGAGCTGGGAGTCGGCCATCAGGAATGAGAGAGCCTTTTCCGAGTACCAACGGATTTCGAGGAGTTTGTCGATGGCAGGTGCGTATGTAGCCAAGAAGACAGCCTGGATTTCTTCGAGACGACCGGGTGGTAGAGTTGCGACAGGGTGAGGGGGAGGAGGGGCAATTCCCCTCAAGGAGAAAAGGTCGTTGACATGGAGGTTTTTGGCTGGAATGAACCGTTAGCTCACATCGAACATGTACTCTGTCAGGGAGAACTCACCTTTATATGAGGGCTCACCCTGGGGACGTTGTACTGCGTTCTGCATGTCTGTATGATTTGTTTGGTCCAGCGAAGGATCAAGGGTAGCTCCGTGCTCGTGGTGATCGGTAGAGGCGGAGGGTGATTCGGAGTGGAGAGAAGGCGCAAATGGCTGAGAAGAAGCGGGCATGTACCCTGGAGGCGCGGAGGGATAGGAAGGGGTTGTTGGTATGGTAGAAGGGCCTTGAGGGTTGACAACCAGCGACGGAGGAGGATTAGGAGCTGGTTGGATAGCTGAAGGAGTTGACGCTTGGGTCCTGAAGACAGGATCGTAGCCCAAACACTCGCGTTTGCTTTTGACGCAATTTCTGCACACGGGATGGGCTTCGTCGCACTGAAGAGAAAAGTCAAGTTAGAAATGACAAAGAGAGAAGAAAAAAAGGCTCGAGGCGCAAATAGACGAGTTGAGGTGGATTTGACAAAATCGAGGGCGGGGTGCGGGCACAAGCGAGACTCCGCCCCGCGAAACTACAGCGCGAACTGGCGAACTGGCGAACTCACCTTGATTCTGCGTTTGCGACAGGTTAAACAACCGGTTTTTGTGCGTCGCTTGACTTCTTTCTTGTGTCTATTGCCGGATAGCATCTTGTTCGGGTCCCCCGGTAGCTGGTACCGCATCTGCGCATTCCCTTGACCCATGTTGGAAGGATATCCAGTCATGTAGCTCATGGATGCCATTGGAGGCATGTTGTTGGGGAGAGGTGATCCAATCGGTGCTTGAGGAACCTGTGCCTGGCCAGTGTTGTGGTACATGTCGGGATTTTGGTAATGCTGAGGCTGTGCCTGAAACTGATGCTGGGAATGCGCCTGCGAGGGCTGTCCTTGAGGCTGGACGGGACTGTGCGCATATTGATATGTACCATTGGGCGGTTGGTAGTGGCCGCCATTTGTGTCGTGTTGATTCGTGTCGTGTCCAGTGTCCGGGAGACCAGAATGTGGATCGTGATGATCCAGATGGCTGTCGTCGAAGGAATGATCACCATCCATTGTTGGAATATCGGTTCCGATTGCTGGTAAAGAGTGATCGAGGGAAGGCAAAGTTGTATCGATTGCCGGTAGTGATAGATCTTGGGCACTAGATGAGCCAATTGGAGGTAATTCATCGAAGGAGTGCAATTCCGCATCGTCGAATCCATGCGATGTTTCCAGGGCCGTGAGTGATGAATCTATCGCAGGAAGCGATGATTCAATCGACGGCAACGTAACATCAGGCGCTGGCACTTGAATTGGCTGGCTGGTTTCTTCCGGAGGTTGATCTGGATTCACGGTCTGGGGTGGGCCTGCGGATGAGGCTGGTTCGGCGGGTTGTTCATAGGACGGTGGGAGCTCTAGCATTGGCTCTGCGTACTGATTCGGTTCTGCTGGAGTTGGCTCTCTTTGCGCTGGTGGTTGGGCCGCCTCCGCTGGCGCATTTGGTTCGGTCGCGGTGTTGACCGATTCACCAGGAGGGACGCTTGAGTCCGTCGGCTCCGCCATGTTGAGCTTCGCAGCCTCTCAATCAAGTGTATAATTTCGTAGTTACGATCGTGTAGAATAGTTGGGCCAAATTTGCCAAATAAACTCGAGGCTGACGACTCGAGGAAAGGTCGAGATTTTGAGGTCAAAGGTCGTCTGGTTTGTCGCTGAGCGAGAAATTCAAACCAGATCGGTCGGACTGAGAGTTGGAAATCATTTATTCACTCGAATCTGTGGAAATCGGCATTGGTTAGCCAATGTTCATTTGGTCAACAATCCCAGTGTCAAGTCCCGCAGCAAAGCACAATAGTTTCCAGGAAGAAAAAAGGCAGTGTCAACCATTGAAGGTGAACTGGAGATCAATTCGCTTGTGTTGGTTTTCTCTCTGCGCCGTGCCTCGTGTGGTAAAGATCCAATCAAGCCCAATCGACAGTGCGGACCACCTGCAGGCCACAGTCCCACGCGCAAGTGTGAAGACTCGGCGATATTGACCACAATAAAGACAATATGATACTCTCTTGGGCCACTTGGTTCAATATCCCGCTGGTCGATCGAGTTTTGGTACTTCGCATTCGAGATTTGATCTGCCTCAAATCCAACGACTTCTGCTCACAGCCCCCGCACAGTCTCGGGAACCATCGCGAGGCAAATTCTAGACTCCAATGGTCTCTTTCGACAGCAGAGATATCGAACAGGATGCGGGACAGGGTGGTGTGAGACTCCGGCGCGAGAGAGAATGGGCTTGTCGACAACGACCAGGCGGATTGGCAGGACTGCGGGGGAGGGTAGTGAATTGCAAAAACTTACCAGGGCACTATATTAATATTATAAGAGCAGACCCAGCACTCGTAGCAAACAGTGCTGATCTGGTGTGAGGTCAGGAAAAGCGCGAAAGAGGCTAAAGGAGCTTTCCTTTCCGGCGATGAAACTCTCCGCTCTTGCGATCGAGAAAAAAAATTATAGTGGCAACACCGCTTTTACCCCAAGTTTAGGCAATGTTGACTATTTACTCGGTTTGGGATGCATTTGTCTTTCATTTTGATTTCTTGTATTCATACTGGCATCATTTTGGTTTTAGTGGGCTTTTTACCTGTATTTCAAAGTATTGCCCTGCTATGTTGCTGCCCGTTGGATCTATGGAAACGGTGTATTTCCCTGCAATGTCACAATGTTGATGCAATATCACAGTCAAGAATATGTTCCTTCATCTCATGTCTCTGCTCGCTGTACAGAAACGTTTCGAGAGCAGAATCCTCCCTCTCAAGATCAAATTGTCTTAAATATTGACCCTGGATTCTCATTTTGGCTGAAGATCATATGAGTGTTACCAGGGGCTCCATCTCAGTCATTCTGCCAGTTCACTGGGTTTGCTAGCAGAAACGACTCGTCTGTCAGTGTTGCTTTGTCTGGTTTCTGAAACAAGTCGCGGAACTGCAGGCTTGTGGGTCAATGTGAACATGATCTAACTCCATAGGATTCTTAGTCAAGGGCGTGAGCAGGCACAAGTCCGTAACCTCGTCAAGATAAGTTTTGAACATCGCATCATGCAGAGAGATCATCACTTCCTCATGGTTTTAGGCTTGCGCTTCTTAAAAACCACTCCAGGTGTAGTATCTTCGCTTTGTGGTTTCTCTTCTGTTGATTCTGCCACCTGCGCAGGATCTTCTGTTTTCACCTCGGTCGCGGCTGTCTCTTGGGGTTCCAACTTGGTAGGCTCGTCTTCCTTCTTATCAGACGTAATAGTGGCATTGGCTTCTCCAGTGGTAATTTCCTGTCCATCGAGTTCAACCTTCGGCGTGAATGTCTTCGGTTTTTTGAGATCTTTAGTAGATGCAAGCAAGTCATCCAGGTCATCCAGGTCCTCGTCAGCCTGCGCGCCGGGATATTGCCTCATCCTCGAACCCCAGCCCTTGTTCACGATTGGTTCTGGGGCATGTTCATCATCCTCCTCTTCCTCACCTTCATGTTTGCGCTTACGCACTCCGACTGACTTTGTAGGACCATCTATTCCCTGGGTTGGCTCGATCCTTGTCTCGGACAAGGTCTGCCATTCTCCGGCCAATGCCATGTCGCGGCGGAATTCTTCAGGAACGGCGACTCCCATTTCTGCAAGCTGTGCGATTTGTTTTTTTCGCTCCTCTAGTGTGGCAGGGCGTTCTGTGGGCTTTGGCGCTGGCGCTGTGTTTCGTTTCCATGGCGGTGCGGCATCCTTGTCCGACGCGGACCCGCCGCCGACGGCCTGTCGCAAGCGCTCAACCTCGCTTTTCGCACGTTGTGAGTCTCTCTGCTGTTGTTCATTGTCCTTGTGGATTTGTCTGAGGAAACGCTTCAGGCTCCCTTGATGTTTGGGGCTTGCTTCGTGTTGGGTCTTTTCGAAGGGTGTGTCGCGAATAAAGATCTTGCACTGTTTGCACCAGTAGCGCGGCTGTGGGCTTATTAGCAAAGGCGAATAGGGTACACATGGGTTTAAACTTACCGCTGATTTCCAATGTTCGGCCATGGCTGATTGTTGAAAAAAATAGAGAGAAGTTGGAGTGAGGTCTGATATGATGGGAAGCTCTCGGTCTAGTCTCAAAGAGGGAACTTTGTGCCTTGTTAGGCCATCCAATTCTTGAAATACCGACAACATTTCAACCTGCTCTCGCTTATACGTTTTTATTCGAGACTGTATGATAGCTAAATGGCATGTGTAGCCTCTGTTGTGTGAGAATCTTAAATTAGCGACCACATGGTAGAATATACATCGCTGCTAGCTACCGATATATAATAACCCTACTAAGCCCGTGCACTAGTCATACATGAATTCTCTTCTATCTTGTTGGCAATTTCCCTATACTTGTGATATAAGCGCTGCCGATTTATGCACAAGAATCAGGCATAATATCGCCCCTAGTGCCACAAGAAAGAGCCTAAAAGTTTCACTCCTTGAACGAAATTGCATTGAAATATCTAAGCATCTGCACGCCCATAGTATCTATAGATCAGCCTGCTCCGGAACAGGACTCTTCAGCTTCCCAGATTGTAGTGCCATGCTGATATTCTCGATAGTCCACTCTTCCATAGCGAGCATAGTCTAGACTAGTCAGCATTGCAGCAACATCAGATAATTTCGGAACTCACCTCACTAGTCCAAGTTCCCATATGAGGCACCAGAATCACATTTTCGTTGCTTAGTAGACCGGAGTGAATCTTAGGTTCCTCTTCGAAAACATCAAGACCAGCTGAAAACACTTTGCCACTATCAAGGGCCTCGACCAAGGCAGCCTCGTCCATAACAGCTCCGCGAGCAGTGTTAACAACAACGACTCCATCCTTCATCTTGGCAAATTCAGCCCTGCCAATAATATGGCGTGTATTTTTCTTCATTTTATTAGCATGATGCACCTCTTGGTCACCTCAACAATAACTTACATTCAAAGGGAGGTTCAAACTGATCACATCACTGGTAGCCAGGAGCACATCAAACGGCACATACTCAGCCCCGCCAGATAACTCATCGCTCAACTTGCGGCGATTGTGATAAATGACCTTCATACCAAAAGCTTCAGCTTTCTTCTTCAGGTTCCGTCCAATACCACCCATTCCCAGAATACCAAGCACTTTTCCTTGGGGATCATGGCCGAGAGCCGGCGCAGGCTGACCACGCCACTTACCCTGGCGAAGAGCATTCATACCAGCGTTGAAGTTGCGTAGCGCGCCTAGAATCAGGAACATGTTAACATCGGCCGTGGCATCATCCACTGCGGTTGGGACATTCGAGACCCGGATTGGAGGATTGCGTGCGCTGCATGCATGGACATCGATCTGGTCATATCCTGCTCCTGTAGGGGGACCTGATTAGCTCGCCGCTTGATCTTTGCTGGTGGAAACAGTACCACAGTGTGCGATATATCTGAGCGAGCTGGGCAGTATGTTCACGAGTTCTTCATCGACAAGTCCTGTGATGCTTATGGAGTGGATTGTTCGATATATCGCGACAACCCGGCCTAGTTTGCCTTCTTTGCATTCTTGTATGAAATCAGCTCGGTTGGTTGCTGTTGGCTTAACTAGTTCTGCTAGTTCGCCTAATGCCTCCCAGGCTGTAGAAGCACTGTTTCCAAGTCAGAGGCAAGTCATCAGTCCTGGACGAGAGGCAGACATACTGGTCAACCCTTCCAAGGAGGAGAACCTGAGGTTTAGCACTAGTAGAGCCCATTTTGATTCTCCTTGGCTCTGTATGCAAGAAGATGATCAGTAAATCGAGATCATAAAACAATGTAAGTTCGTTTCTGGTTCAATATCCTCTGTTTTGCTTCTCAACTATCCAATAACACAGCCTCGGGTGGAACTATCCCGAGGCGCCTTCTCTTGACATGTCTCGACTCACCGGAGGGATTATGCAGTTGATGCTTGTTTGATAAGCTCACAGTGTTGAGATGAGAAATTCCAAAGCACGAGAGATGAATCAAATTAAAAGAATTAGTTTCAGAACATGCATGAACCCTACTGATAAGAGTCATCGTGAGCATCGGCCGAGAAATGCCCCTCCAGACTGATCGGCTTTCTCCGCCGAACCTTGAGAGATAACTTCGGAGAGTCGTCCGAACTAAAACAAGATCCGAGAAAGATTATATACCGTCTCGGAGCTTTACCGAATATCCAATTTTATAGCGCTTTGTGGGCCCAATGGCGTTAGATATAGATGAGAATGTAGTTCAATTGTACAGTGAGGCAAGCCACTTCAAGATCCTTCAACTAGAATTCGAGTCCAGTCAAATTTCCTCCATCGCTTCCGGAATCCATCAACTCGACGGTCACCACGGTTCCAGCGTCCCTGTCGCTTGATAACATCCGGCGCAATATCCAGCATACCACCGATGATTTCACGAGCAAAAAGATCACCGCGAGGCCAGCGAGATTCGTCCTCGACAATGTGTCCCAGGCCACCATCTAGTTCGAACCAGACATGGAAATATGGCATCTCTTTGACCAAAGTACGGCGGAAAGCGGATCGACCCATCCCTTGCTTTGACTTGGCCAAGGTATCAATGAGCTTGCGATGCTGCGACCATTCTGACTCTGCACTGAGGATTGCCTCCTTGAAGAAAGCGGGAGATGTTTCTCCCAGGCTGTAGGGCAATGGCACTACTTCCATAGATGCGTGTCGTTTGCGTTGTGGTTGGGCTGCGTTCTCGTAGAAGATTACATCGCGACCTTGGTCGTGGTACATGCGCGTCAGACTTTTCATGAAGTTGCGGATTTCTTCCCACTCATCGTCATCACACTCCATCAGGTTGGTGCGGTGTTGAATTGGCACGATGGTAGCACCACCTTCGCTGACTTCGGGCTCGGTGGGTAGCGTGAGGAAGACTCTTGTTGCTAGGGACACCACTGGGGCGACTGGAGGCGTGCCTTTATCTTCATTGTGACAAAGTGGGCAATTGTCTAAAATCCGATTCATCTTGTGGAAATCGTTAATGGTCGTGTTTTTAAGGTCGATTTCAGATCGATGCATCCGTTTGGCAAGCTTGGACGCATTGTCGTCCATATACTCCAAGTCATTCTAAAGTTGTGTTAGTAATAGTAGACGCAAACAAAGGTGACTGCATACCTCAAACTTAGCATCACGGCCAATTCGCTCTGCCAACCGTTGTCCTTCTCCGCCAGGTTGACCACGGGTCTTGCGCTCTTCACGAACCATATCCTCGATGCTCATGTCTTCATTTGCTTCCACTTGACCTCTTTCACGACCCCTCTTGGTATCAATCGACTTGACCTCATTTCTTGAGCCTGCCAACATTCGGTTGTCCATCACCCCAAGAACGACAACATCAGATTCTTTGCGATTCGACATCGCCGCAACTGCGGCATTGTATTTTTCTTCAAGTTCGGTAGCTTCTGGGCCACCCTTGAGCTTCGCCTTCATCATTTGAGCCTTCATGCGATTCAATGCTGTCATATCCAGAGGCTTGGCGGTATTTGGAGGAACATCATCCATTTTCTTGCCTTGACCCTCGGCTTGGAGCTCTTGCTCGGGATTAGTGACATGCTCTCGTTTGGCATCGTTTCGAAGCTTGCGCTCTTGGAACAGCTCCCCGCTGGGCTTGTCTTTGCCAACGTAAGATTTGCCGTATGTTTTGCGACGTTCCACCTCGGTTTCCTCTTCCCGGGCGTCATCGAACGACCTTAGATCACCAAATCGCTCGGCAGCAATCTCGTCTACAGGTCGTCCGCTTTCCTCTGCCTCTCTGTAAACTCCTTTAAGCTTCGTCATCCTCCACTGTGAGCCCGAGTCTCCAAACGTGTAGTCGACCTCATGCTGGGCAGGCTCGTCCTCAATATCCTCAACGGCCTTTCCATCTGCGATATCTCGCAAATGCTGGTTCATCTCCTTGTTGTGAATCTTTAACTCATAGTCCGCCGAGAGCATTTTCGGTTTGTCCGCCTCCTTTTGCGAATGGTCTGGCCGATGAACGTATTCAACGTCAAGGGCGGAAGGAGCTTCCATCCATGAATCACGCTTCAAGTTACTGGGCTCCTCCTGTGTCACTGATTTCACAGCAGAGGGCTCTCCTTTCTCCGTGGTTCGGTGTCGACGCTTATGATCGTGCTCGTCGCCTTGGTCGGTAGAGTGACGCGAACGCTTGTGTCGGTGGCCATCATCGTCGTGGTGACGCGTCTCCCGGTTTCGATCGCTGCCACGTTCTCGTGATCTTGACGAATGGCGCCGATGGTGAGTAGAACGGTGAGAGCGATGGTGCCTTGAGCGGTCTTTGCTGCGGTCGCGGTCGCGGTCGTCCCGATGACGTCGCTCTCGATCGCTTCTTTCGTGTCGTCGGTCTTTTCCCTCGGCCAAGGACTTTTCAAAGTCTTCCAAAGTCATTGTGCTGGTGTGGAAAGGGGGTGAAGCTAAGCAAAAAGCTGAGGTGGAATGACGTTTAAAGTGCCGGGCGGTCCACGCGCAGATCTTCCCCGCGACAAAAAGATTTCAGCAAAAAAAAGAGCTTATCGTTCTTCACTTGCGCATCTCCGACACTTCCACCACACATCTGCATTTCAACAGATCTTGTGTCTCGACAGTTCTTCTAAAGAATTTCAACGTCAAATTCCACCATCATGCCGTCTCCAGTGTCCGTGGTCTGCGTGGGCATGGCAGGTTAGATGCAATCGCCCCTCACCAACTTACCAGTTGATATCTAATCAGTTTCGATCCAACAGGCTCAGGAAAGACGACGTTTATGCAGAGAATCAACTCTCATCTTCACGAAAAGGATACGGTGCCATATGTCATCAACCTCGACCCCGCGGTGCACTCTGTGCCCTTCGATAGCAACATTGATATCCGAGACTCGATCAACTACAAAGAAGTGATGAAGCAGTACAACCTTGGTCCCAATGGTGGTATTTTGACCTCCCTCAACCTATTCGCTACCAAGGTCGACCAAATTATCAATCTTCTCGAAAAGCGCACTGCTCCGAATCCCGAAAACCCTTCCGCAAAGCCCATCGAACACATTCTGGTCGACACCCCTGGCCAAATCGAAGTTTTCGTCTGGAGTGCCTCAGGTAGCATCCTTCTCGAGACTCTCGCATCCTCATTCCCCACAGTGATTGCATACATCATCGATACACCCCGTGCCAGCTCTACCAGCACCTTTATGAGTAACATGCTGTACGCTTGCAGCATCCTGTACAAGACGAAGCTACCCATGATCCTGGTTTTCAACAAGACTGATGTTAAAGATGCCGAATTCGCCAAGGAATGGATGACCGACTTTGATATATTCCAACAGGCTCTGCGACAAGAAGAGGAAGCTGGCGCCTTTGGAACCGAAGGTGGTGCTGGCGGCTTTGGCTCCGGCAGTGGATACATGGGATCTTTGCTGAACAGTATGAGTCTGATGCTGGAGGAGTTCTACCGCCACTTGAGCGTTGTTGGAGTTAGCTCTATGACCGGCGACGGTATCGACGAGTTCTTTGAGGCAGTTGAGACTAAGCGACAGGAGTTTGAGCGTGACTATAAGCCCGAGCTAGAGCGCAAGAAGAAGGAGCGAGAAGAGCAGAAAGAATCTCAGCGGGAGCTTGAACTCGGAAAGCTAATGAAGGATATGAACGTCTCTGGTTCTAGCACACGGAAACAGAAGGGCCCCAGTGATGAGCCTGAGACCGTCAGTGAGGCTGAAGATGATGAAGACGATATCATCAAGCGCGGCTTGGCTGATGGTGAGGCTGATAGCGACTATGAAGACTACGAGGGAGCCGCCGCGGGCAACGACGAGGGTCTCTCCCAACGTTACAAGGAGGCCCTCTCGGGCGCCCAGAGTGCGCCTTCAGACCAGGACAACAGTTTCACAAGATATTTGCGCGCAAGCCAAATGGGTCAATGAGCAATCAGTCTCACGCGAAACAGAAGTCATGTTTAATAGGTTGTCGATCTCATGGGCTCTTTTGATCTTCAGGCGTTTGTGGTCTTAGAGGCGCTTTTCCTTGCATTTAAAACCATTCCATCTATATTCTATCAATCAAAATACTTGATAATCCTACTTGTCTTTGTAGTCGTATAATGAACCTTGCAAACACATCAAACTGTTTGTTTGGTCTGACGTCACTCACGCATAATGCTTCAGCCTTGCGAAGCTTCTCTTCTTGGTATTCACCTTACTTCTTTCAAGCAAAATTCTTCTCAAATCTCAGCGAATTGGGCAAAACAATATTGTGCAAAATGGATGTGAGTCACTGCTGAAAAGTTCCTACTGTATAGGGCAGTCCTAGAACGAACAAGAGCTAAAAACCTCCTAGGTATTTCACGCCTACACGTACTCGACAGCTGCATGGCTGTCGCTCCAAAGCCTGCCCTTGATCACTGGGCCAAGCATGATTGTATCCATGCTTCTGGATGAGACCCGACCCGCATCCTGTATGTTATCCAGAAACGTCTGATGTTGTCCATAACATCTCATGCTCTACTGCCAACCCCCATTCTCAAAGCATGCTAACCCTCTGCGCCATAAGCTATGGAGATCTATTTTGCTCGATGCCTCGGCTTCAGTCTGCTCACAATCACTGTCCTGACTGTGATGTTGACCGGTTCGATTCCTCTCACCTCCGATATTAAGGACTCGGTTGCAGCGGATGAAGATGACCCTAAGGCACCGTACGCTGTGCCTACACTCATGGTGACATCTGTGTACCACGCTGTGTGTGCATTTTATTGCTATACCTGGTATGTCGCCGGTGGACAAGGCACGTTTGCGGTTGCTGTGGCTGGGTCTTCGGGTCTTGCGGCTGTTGGGCTATGGTGCATGCTCTTTGCCAGTAGCAACGGCAAGATTAGTCGGCGAACAGGTGCAGACAAAAGGACTACAGGTTTCCCTTTCAAGAACTCTGAGGCGGCGAAGAAACACTCAGGCAAGAAGGGCCTGTAGGCTTAGACCACGAGTAACTCACCTTTTGCTCTCATACGTGACTTTTCATTGAAGACATATGATCAACCAGATAGTCAAGAAATATATTCAAGGTGAAAGTAGTCCAAAGTTGCAATCGAACCGTTGAGTTGCTTATAGACGGAATGATCCGAGCTTTCCCCCACAACTCAGCAACTCCAAACCTCAGCATGCCGCTCCAACTTTCAAGGGACGAGATAGTTGCCCGTATGACAATGTCCATGAATAACTCGCCCCTAAATAACCTCTTCGAACCATTTCAGTACCGCCCCGATGTCGATCCCAACGCGAACCCCCACACCTTCATCCGTCCTCAACACGGCACGGTGAATCACTTCTTAAGCACACCCCCGCCAATCCAACATCACCACTCGCCTGCAGATCGCCATGGAGCCAGCGCTGGCGCTATTCCATTGCTCCAATCGCAGAGCCAACCCGCAGCTCGCATGAGCTTACAGCAATCGCGAGACTTCAACAATGGAATCGATCATAACGCGCATCTGGAACAGATGCGAGGTGCCTTACAGGGCTCTTCCACTGGACAAATGATGCCACCAACCACACTATCTCCAAGCGGACTTGCAATTGGGAGCCCCAATTCAAATGGCGCGCACTCGGCCCAAAATAATCATGGGTTGACGATGCTGCAGGCGCCATCTCACTCGTTTCAATCGGATATCACAGTGCTAGACGCTGAGCCCATCGGACCGGTGTCATATACTACGACGTCTGAAGAAGCCGGTATGAAGATTGTCCCGGATGCCCCTAATCTGGAGTATTGGCGGAATAGGCTGTTTAATGTGGATGAAATGATCACTCTAAGCGAGGAGGAGTACGGTCTTCACTGCGCACCACATATGGATGCTATTACTGGGTACTAACTTGCTTCGCTGTACAGGTTCCAGACTTATTTCCCACATGTTGATAATGTGTACTCGCATCGCTCCACGCAACGATATAAGAGTAGACCCTTTGTCTCTCATTACTGGGATTGTCGATTGAGAGGTCGACCACCTGGTACTCCCAAATCGGATAATCCAGAAAAGAAAAAGCGCAAGCGCACAGCTAGGGAGCGAGACCTCTGCCATGTCAAGATTAAAGTCGTCGAATACTTTCCACAAGCAGAGTCAAGCACGAATATCATGCCTGTGGACTCTACTCCTGCTTCTGCTTCTGCCTCTCCGCCAGCTTCAACTATTGTCCCTGGTGTGTTTACATGGGCGTTGGATACCCCGGAAAGCACGAGAAAAAGCAGCGGACAAGCCTTTCATTTGATTACACCAAGTCATAGTCTTCCGCCAAATCATCCCGGTGCTAACGGGGCAAGATACTATACAATCCAACGAGTGAATGGCAATGGTGCAAATGGAAAAAATGACGGTGTGGCTGGTGGTCATCGGCATACACTAGAGGAGAGCGACCGTGTCAAGAAGAACAGTGTCCAGCGATATCTGAACAAGGAAACGAAGGACAAGAGAAACAAAATGGTACGTATGGGACTTGGACCTCCCCGCCTACGTCACGGTCTTGACTTCCTACGATTTCCCTACATCAGCGTCACACATTACACAGCAACATTGAATCTTGAGACTATTCGAACTTTTTTTTAACAATTCATACCACAGGAACAAACTATGTTTTCAGATCGTGGTCAAAAATCTTACCATACAAAAGCGACAGGTCTTGCCGCTGAGACGGTGGACAAACACTCCATCGAGTCCAATCTCAAGCTTTATGGAAGTTGTTTCTGGTGAGATTTCCCATACATTACTGCCTTGTCATGGCTGACTCTGGTTGCTCGAAGCCCCTTTGTACAGCGGGTATGGATTGCATTGGAGATGAAAGGTATTCCGTATCAGTACATTGAAGTGGACCCGTATCAGAAGCCCGCTTCCCTGCTGGAGGTGAATCCAAGGGGACTTGTTCCAGCATTGCGACATGATGACTGGGGATGCTATGAGAGTAACGTATTGTTGGAATATGTGAGGTGCCCTGGAAAGTCATAACATCAATCAACTGGCTGACCCTTTTCTCGCAGCTCGAGGATTTGAACACTGGCACTACATTGCTTCCACGAGATCCAAAGCTACGTGCTCACTGCCGAGTGTGGGCAGACCATGTGAGTGAACAGCCACCCACGAACAGTAAATTCAAGGAACCCAACACTGATGGATCCAGGTCAATCGACATGTTGTGGCGGATTTCTACCGCGTTCTGCAAGAACAAAATGAGCAGACACAGATCCAAAAGGCACAAAATCTGCGAAGCTCAATCGAGCAGTTGCTGGAAGCGGCACATCCCAAAGGCCCATTCTTCATGGGAGAGCAAATGAGTCTTGTGGATGTCCAAGCTGCGCCGTGGATAATTCGGCTGAAAAGAGTCCTGAAACCATACCGGGGATGGCCAGACGCCGAGGAGGGAAGTAGATTGGCGGTTTGGGTCGATGCGATTGAGAACGACCAGCATGTTCAGGCGACGACTTGCACGGACGAGCTGTACCTCGACAGTTACCAACGCTATGCCCGTGAGTAGACGCCGCGTCGCTTTTGTCATTTATTGGCCATATTGCTGACCCTCTCTCAGAAAACCGCCCAAACACATCACAGGTCGCAAATGCAATCAACTCAGGCGAAGGTCTTCCCTGAGTTCGGGAGGTAGATAACAATAGGGACGAAAAGTATATTAACCAGTCCGAGAACCTCTATTGCCAAATTTGAATCCACCTCTTCCACTGGCATCAGGGCCTCGAGGAGCGCGCACGGGTTGCTGCGGAGGTGTATCAGAGCCAGACCGTTCAACCTGCGGCCGGCCTCCTCCCCGAGAGAACGGAGCATTAGATTTCCCAGGACTAGACGGGTCGTAGAGATGCCTAGATGACTTGCTAGACGCAGATGAAGAGTCTCTCTTCTCTCGCAGGTCCCTGCTACCGCCACCAACACCACGGCCCTTGCCCCTGCCTCTACCCTCACTGGTATGGTTCTGTCGAGGCGGGGTCGTACTCCCCGGCGATGAGTTGCCAGAGACAGTAGCAGAAGAACTACCGAACAGGCGTTCACGAACTTCTTCGTACTTGCGCTGTTTCTCTTCCCGGTTCCTGAGTGCGATGGCGTGGCGCTCTTCGGGTGTTGGCTCGGCCGGCTTGATTTCGTCGTCTGAGTCGTCGTCGTCAAGTCCAAGTTGATTGAGTCCCGCTGCTGCAAGTCGAACTCCCCCTGAAGAATTTTGTCTCGTTACTAGCTGCGGTTTCCTGCTGAGTAGTGTGACGGCCGGCTTGAAGTCCTGCTTCAGAGGTACCTCCGCGCGGGCTTCGGCGAAGTGGAATGTTTCGGGGGTGTCACTGGGTGTTCAATTAATGTATGAAGGGCAAAGATTCAACTCGCGGGAATGCATACGCTTCAGCCCATAGTTGGCGATTGAATTCTGCTTGTTGCGCTCGGCGTTGCGCCTTGGTCACCTTTGACGAGACTTTCTTCTCTGGCGGGGTAGACGTTGAGTCTAGTGTCTGGTGCATAGCCATCAGTATTGTTGTTTTATTTCCAAAGCCTAGGCTGCAACTAGCGAGTGCTGATGAGTTGCAAATCCTCACATACATCGACTTGGTTTTCCCACGAATCCTCCCAGGCATCGGGAACATTTCCGGGGTTTGCGCTCATTGCACACAGCACGTTCAAGTGGAAAATCACAGGGGATTAAAGGTAAAGAGTGATCTAGAGGAGTTCTCAAGGAACGTAATATGCAAGCGAATATTCAAAAGCGACGATAATTGTATGTTCAGTCCATAAGGAACGTTTAAAGGAAAGAAGAAAATTCACTAATCCCGGGGCCACCGCCCCAACATCACCGCCCACATAATCTCCAACTCCAAACCACCAATCTGCATATTGACTCGGTTCATTTCTGATATCCTCATGGCTCAGGGTAAGTCCCTCATTGCCTGCCTCCAACCTTGCAAGGCCAAGAGCACAGTGGGCCCGCGGTATCGATAGCGAAGCTCCATACCCACCTGCAGCCCTCTCTGCCTCGCCTTCTTCCCACACCTCTTCCATCCATCCATTAACACAACCATCAGATCCAACCGACCCAGACGGTGACTCTGAAATGACTTCATCAGTCGGCTCCCTTCACAGCGGCCACGAAGGTGGCACCGGTGCCCGCACGCCTACAGGTATCGCCCAAGCTCCAGCCAGCGCAACGGAGCTCTCTCCGCCCGGCTCGCAGACACATCATTCAGCTCCTCCCCTTTCCGACATGCGGGCTTCAGTGGAAGTGCGCAAAGGGTCTGTCACGGATAAGGCTGGGGAATGGGAATCGGGAATTGCGGCTTGGAAGTCCAAGCGCGCTCAGGATGATGTTCATCGGGCTTTGGAGTTTGTTACTGACAAGGACTTCAGCCTAGGTGTGTGGCCATATCATATCTTCTTTGGAAATCTCCAGGACTTTCCAGGGCTGTGTTGAATTGTATGTGCTGACTTGCTGATTCATAGATGAATTCGGAGATCCGTTCGATGAACGGGACTTGGAAGAGAAGCTGTTTTGATGAGGGTCTACTTCCCCTTTTAGCCTTTCCTCTTCGTTCTTTGCTGGCGGTAGCATATCACGATTAATGAGACACGACTTGAGACTTTTCATTTGATCTTTGCTTGTTGAGTGGCGGTTGTTTTCTCTCGCCTTTTGTCGGTAGAACACGACTCGACGGGAGCAAACGCTCTCGCTATGAGAATCCTCACTTCTCCCTTATTCCTTTCTAGTTTTTTCTCTTTCTTGCCAAGTCAAATTATACTCCGGAAATTTGCGCTTCATGGTTTACCTCACGGCAAAACATGGAGAGCGTCTATGCCCCTCTCTCCTTGTGAGTGAGGACTCTGTGGTGTAGGCGCATCTGCTGAATTCCAAGATCGATATGAGAGCTTCTCTGGCTGTATCACCTCGCTTTGTTTCCTTTTTTTTGTTGCTTTTTTGGTGGAAAGTGTCTGTATTGTGCTCATCAAGAGTACTTACGGACGGGGCGACAAGTGGAGATACGGTTTATTTTTTGTCTCTCGACATTCATATAGCTTGTAGAAAATGTGTCTTGAAGTCATACAGTCAACTATTCTCTCACTTCGGTGTAGCTTATTGTTTCTACATTAATTATGTCGTTTTACGAGTAACCCTTCTCCGTTGATTGAGTCACTCTAGTATATATATCGCCCTCGATAGATGTTGAAAAGACATGCTAAGTCACCACTGGCCATGACAAACAACTTCCTATTCATACAAACCAAGAAAAAGAACAGAAAGATAAAATATGGAGCGTTAACTTGTAGTTCACGTTGTGTCCGCAATTCCTCTACAGTGAATAATCTGTCGCGGGTTTTGACACCAGTTGACCTCCAGTTCGATATTGTCACCATTCTATCTGCAGCTGGTATCAACACAAGCCAAATCAGATCCCTTCGAGCCCATCAGCCTAACAGTCCTACTACAGTCCCACGTTCATCATCAATTACCCGAGACTTGACCGCTACGTGGGCTACGAAGCGTTGGCCAGGCAACGGGACAAAAGCATCAAAGCAAAACCACAACGGGCAGTCCGATGACTTTTCAAACTCATCACTATTCGACATATGCTTAATCAAGGGTTTATATCCCAACCGACATCCTGTGATTAGCATCGTATCAATGCGCTCTCAATAACTCGACTTTACTGAACATACACCCAGCCCAACCCCAAATTCCAACGGCTTTTTGACACATTCCACGCGACAACAATGGAAAACATGCCACCCTCGCAGGCGCAAGCCAGGTATGTCATTTCTACTCTCCATAGCTCTCGTCCTTATACCTACTCCTCCAAACAAAAACGCGCCTGGAAAGCCCCTCGTTCAGGGGTCGCCCCCTCCTTGTTTTGACCAGCACACAAATCCGCCACATAGTCCCAGCGCTGACAACAGCATTCTATAGCGACGCCGCCAAACCTGTTCCCGAAAGTTCTTTTAGCTTCACACCTATCAAAGCCCTGAGCGCGCTGCCACGTCTTTGGGATCGCAAGCCTTCTACTCCTGTTCGGGCGGGCGACAAGTCTCGCAAGTTGTGGAAGCGCATTCGCTTCCCCTTTAGCAATATGAACGCGACGGAAAGTAAAAACACGTCTATCGGCGTCTCGAACAACTCGGATTATCAGCGCGGAGTTAAGCGCCAATGTGTTGACCCAACGCAGTCGGTGGACCACGAAACTGACGCTGAACAACGTGGGCGGTCTTTCTTGGAGACCAAGTGGGAAATGGAGGCATCTCGCAAGCGACGTGAGTATTTCGTCTATAGCATGTCTTGGCGATCATGTTATGGTGAACGTCCGGCTGACAGTAACAGGCAAATTACCAGAATTCAATTTCAATATTCACGACGAGACCTCCCAGGGCGTTTTTAATTTTGCTGCTCAGGCCGAAGCTGCCACTGACGCCCACCAGGATGCAGCTCTCAACGCCTCGCCGCGGCCTCTAGGTTTGTTTTCGGCCAAGACCCCCGTTTACAATGATGCCATGGACATGGGCCTCGACGGTGTGGCGTCGCCTAAGCCTGCAGATGAGCAGTCTGGACCGGTCCAGGAGGCAAGTGCAGTGATCAACAATGCAGCACCCGCTAAGGCCGTCGACGACTTGACGCAAGAGCAGGAAGTGAAATTGGTGCGATCGGCACTGCGCAGCTCTCTCGACGGAGAGGATGCAGAGCTGCTAAATGACTTCTTGTCGAGGGCCAAGGCGAAGCGTGCAGCCAAGGCTGCCCAAACCGACGTGGAAGTGACTGAGGAATCCTCCAGCCCAGAGGAGCCTGAGATCGAATGCTCAACCCCACGATCGCGTCGTGCGCTAGAGGAGCTCACTACGAATTCTCCTTCGCCTATCAAGTTGCAGATCTCGCCTAGTAAATTCGACTTTGCCCGTGCCGAGGCCCAGGATGAGGTTGTGAAGGGCCTACAGGAAGAGACTGCCCCTGCAAGCCCTGCTTGCCGTCGCAGCACTCGCGCCAAGGCTCCATCCACCAGTGTCCCTGCTGTGCGCAACACTATCGCGCTCCGCCGTGCAAAAGGAACGGAGTTCATTTTCCTGCAGCGCACCGAGGCCCAGGAGGTGGCTTTGGCCACAAAGCGCAACACCCGACTCAACAAGGGCAAGTCTGTTTTCCCTCAGGTCGCCCTTGAAGCTCTGGCTCAACAGTCCGAGGAGCTTGAAGCCGATGACAAGCATGTGCGCTCAGACCACAAGGGCCCTAGCAGCCGATCTACCAAGCGAAAGCAAGTGTCATGGAATGAGGAGCGCATGGCTGAGTATGAAGAATACAAGGATTTCACAGATGACCAAGAGGAGGAGGGTGAGAGATGCACCAGTGACGTCGGCGCTACCCCTCGCCGATCTGGCAAACGGTCAGAGAAGAACACTGCAGCCAGTGAGCGCAGCAGCCGTAGCCAAATACAGTCAGAGTCAGAGCCTAAGACTCGGGAGGATGGTGGGCCGGAGAGCGGCCCGACCGTCCCTACTGCCGCTGCTGCACCCGCTACTGTACCCCCGCGCTCACGCCGGGTGAGGCGTTTGGGCGATTCGGGGGCCATGGGCTCTGGGACTCCTGTGAAAGGTGCTCGCACCAGCCCTCCAGCCTCGGCCCCTGGCCCTTCTACGCCAACCAAGGGTCGCCGCAAGCTGACGCCCAAGTCGCCCACGTCCTTGGCCCCGGCTCCCTCCCAAAGTGGTATTCCGACTCGGAGCAACAAGGAGAAGAGCATGCTCCAGGTCAGCGCAGGGTGCACGCCCACAGCTCGCCGGGTCCGATCAAGATCTTGATCGGTGTATACTACGTAGACATTCAACTTGTCGCGTGCTGTCTTTCTTGATCCTCTCTATATATGCAGGGAGTTTGGCTTGTGCTTAAGATACCAATTGCCTGTTTTTTTTTTTTTTTTGTTTCTGTTTCCTGATTCCCTTTACACGTATTAGTTTCACAAATCCATTTGAATGCTCGTGAAAATGATACTCTTACCCCCTCACCCTTTCGATCTAGATAAGATCGTATAGCACGGCCCAGCCGCCCTATGCCGACATCATGCCGAAATCATGCAGAATGACGTCTGTGCCGTTGCGCACGAACTTCAACTTCACTTTCGGAGTTGGCGCGGAGTACCACTCTCGGACTAACCATCCAATCCCCCAATCCCAGTACGGATCTCCTACGTATCGCAAGCTCGGGTCGAACATTCCGAAAATCAGTCTCAGTTTAGCCTAACCTAATACTTGCTTGTATGCAACTAGCCGCTTTGACTTGAGGGATATTACAGGGCGGACAGCGCGTTTGTGGTCTGTTCTCTGGGATGATCCCTCGTGTCAGAGGCATTCCCTCTGTTGCATTTGGGTTATCTTTGGCCCAATTAGGGGTTGTCGGGCCTGGCCCTGCTGGCCCTAGGCCCCTGCTGGACTGGTTCGTGGCTTGATACTGGTATGTATACCCGGTACAGCGCTGATCGCTGAGATTTGCAAATTTCAATTTTGCGTACTGTACTTGTCTGCTTCCAAGGTTGCAGGTGTACGGTGTGCATTGATCAGCGGCTTTATATCTGTCCTTGACTACGTTACTACTCCCAGGTCTATGTCGGATGCAATATAATGCAATATAATGCACTGCAATGCACCCCAAGTATAATTTCTGACCGGTCCCATGCAAATTCATACGACTGTCGTATGCAAGCTCCAATGTACACCTACTGTAGTCTACCAAGTATTTCCCTAGCCTACTACCGGACACCTAGTTTAGACAACAGACGTCACCAGTCTCCCAACCTCATCCCACCAGAGAAACCGGTCCTAATTCCCCGGTCCAAAGTAATCCACCAAAGTTCCTCCCGGTCAAGAATCGGGATCCCCGATCTCAACTCGGCATCGGAGCCTCTTAGAACCCGAGCTACGACCGGCCAAAAGAAACCACGCAATCCAGAGTTTGTAGTGGGTAGAGTAACCATCTGCGTTGTCCATTGAATTTAATGCCTCATTCGTACTACTGTTCTCTAGTGTAGACCGAAAGTAAAGAACGACCGTGGACTATAGCCAATCGCAAGCAACGAACGACCATAGGGAATAGAATGAAACATTAGGTAAACAGTAATCTCAGGTACCAGGTACCAGCGCACCAACCATGGATTCCCGCGGGCCCTGAGGTACCGAGTACACTTTCCAAAAAAACAAGACACGAACGGAACAATATCAAGAGTGAACCCCTCCAAACCCCTCCAAACCCCTCCATTCCCTAAGACACTAACCAACACTAACCCGACTAACACTACACTAACACCAATAGCACAACCACTGATATCAACTGAAAAAAACCCCTGATTAAATAATACAGCTAAACCATTCCCCCATTTGGTTCTCGGTGTTCCCCTACCAAACACGGGCTAGCAACCCGACATCGCCCGGTGTTCGACTCTGCGCTGCACACTAGTCCCGAAACAGGACAAGCGCGCGAGAATAGCTGAGCCCGATGCAGTGGCGCAGGGCCCTGCCACACCTTGGATGACATCGTTTACATCGGAGCACTCTGCTCCTTTTTGGGGGTTGTGTTATCCGCTTGGTAAGTTAACTTAACGTTAGGGTTACTTGTACATGTATGGAACCGTGGAAATGGGGCAATCAGCAGTCAAGTTACATAACTCCTGTAAGGGTGAACTTCACTGGATGTTATTGGCTGTTAGGGCTGGCTTGGGTGTTACCTTATTCCTCTTCCTTTCTTTTTTTTTCACCCCTTGCTTTGGGCTGCCGGGTCCGGCCTGCATTTGGATTGGGGATTGTCAGGTACGGTGTAACCTGGTGTCTGCAGTATGCACATTGCCATTGATCTTGAACTTGGAGATTGGGTCGTGACTGGAATTGGGGGGGTTTGGTCTGGATTTGATCTTTTCATGGAATTACAAGTACTCACTCCGTAATATGTACTCCGTAAATGTGAATGCAAATGTAACACCCCGTTCCTTGTAATCTTAATTCCAGGTTTGTGATTGACCGTCGAGTGATTGGACCCCTTCATACTAGTGGATCCTGACTATTGCGGCCGGTGTGTGGAGTGCTGAGGTTTACGAAGCCCGCCAAATGACATCGTCGGGACCGCTTCTCACCTGGCGAGGTTGCCGAGCTATACGAAACTCTGAAATCTGAAACTACAAGACTACAGTATGAAACATGGTACAGAAAATGAGGCTTGTGTGAGATGTAGATGGTACTCCGTATACAGGATACGGAGTAGGTATATCCAATTCATCTAAAGGCTTACAGATGTCGTAGTCTGTTCATTACACATATCCTCCCAGTCGTAGTCTTCGTTTTGCATTTAAAGAGACAGACCCTTGGCAGTCTCCTCGGGCCAGACATCGTATCCGAAGGTATCCTTCATGTTCACGAAGCGGCAGTGACGGCCCTCAGCAACCTTGTTGACGGCGGCAAAGTCCTCATCGCTGAGCTCGATGCTCTTGAAGTTGGACTGAATGCGCTTGGGGTTGGAGGACTTGGGGAGAACGCTGTAGCCCCGACGGAGACCCCAGGCAATGAGGACCTGGGCCAGTGTGTTGCCGCCCTTCTCGGCGACCTCGTTGAGGGTCTTGTTCTCGGCGACACGCTCACCGGTGGTGGGGACCTGGTTCTGCGAGCCCAGAGGAGAGTAGGCCTGGGGCAGGATGTTCTTGGAGAAGCAGTAGTTGACCAACTCGGTGTTGGGGAGGAAGGGGTGGATCTCAATCTGGTTGACCTGGGGCATGATCTTGGCGTACTTGGTCATGGCCTCAAGCTGGGGGATGGTCCAGTTGGACACACCAATGGCGCGGACTTTGCCATCAGCGTTGAGCTTCTCCATGGCGCGCCATGTCTCCTCGTGGTTCTCAGTGAGGTCCTTAAGGATGACGTACTAGAGATTGGGTTAATTGATGCTCTTTGCTTGCTGTTTGCTGCTCGCGTAATCGGAGAGGAAGCTTACCTTTCCATCGGGGCCGATCTTGGGCTTCTCTTGTGTCTCCTTCTCGGCGGCAATGGGCCAGTGAACGAGGAAGAGGTCGATGTAGTCGAGCTTCATCCGCTCGAGAGAGTTCTCACAGGACCAGATAACGTCATCGTAACGGTGCAGGTGGTTCCAGACCTTGGTAGTCACGAAGATGTCCTCACGCTTGACGGAGGGGTTCTTAGCGAGGAAATCACGGATTCCATCGCCAACCTCATCTTCGTTGAGGTAGAACCAGGCGCAATCCAGGTGGCGGTAACCAGTCTCGAGAGCGCAGGTGACGGCGGCGTAGGTCTCGCCCTTGGAGCCCTCGCTGGCAAAGGTACCGAAACCAACGGCGGGGAGTGTAACTCCGTTGCTCAATGTGCAAGTCTTTCCTGAAGACATAGTGATAGTATAAATTTGTGAATAGTTGATAGAGGCAAAGGAGGAAGAGAGGTTCTGAAGTAGAAGAGGACTGGGTGGGGGGGAGAGCTCAAGCGATGACGAAGGTGGGGTGGAGGGGTAGGTTGGAATTGAATTATTTTATTGTCTCCGGAATCAGCTTACAGTCGCAGCCACTTGAGCCACCATTGCTGGTCAAACTATAAACTACCGCATATATATGCCCTTGACCACTATGTAGTATCCCCGTGTCGATCCTCCAAGCATTCAATGTCCCAAATATCCCGAATATGCTTGTGCATGAAAATAATAATAATAATCACTCTTGAATCCGGGCACTGGCAATACACTGAATTACACCATACCATACCTGACCATACCGTAATTTGCAGGATGACATCACCGAAACGGTTGACCCGCCCGATCGTCATCGTCGCAGCTCTTCCCATCTCCGGCCCACGAACCGCCTTCTTATCCAATCAGTCTCAGACCTCACTTTTCTTTCTTCGGTGTATGCCCAATCAACCGGCTGCTTTTACTTCTGGTCCCGTGTATCGGGTACATGGTCTGACACTGTGTCAGCCACAATGACGCAGGTACTCTGTACCTCTGTTTCGCACCATGGTCCACTCTACCGCAACTGCTATCTTGCCAAATGATGACGATAATTCCTAGGAATGATGATACCCGAGTGGATCCTCTGTAAAAGGCATACCAATCTCGGTATCCTCCTGTTCAGGTGTATATATATGCTGAAAGCCCGCTCCTAACTTTTTTTTTATTCAGTTTCCATCCTTTCATCTTCATACCCTTTAATTCTTCCCATTGAGTCCTGTGTCAGTGACTCTAAGTAGAAGTCTTTCTCTCTCTTCTACTTTTTTTCTATTCCAATCACCCCCACCTTCACCATGCCTCGCTTCGACGACGCCGACATTGCTCCCCAGGACCCCCGCCAGACCGAGGGTCAGGGTGCTCTCTCTCCCCGGGACCAGCGTGCTGGCTCTGGCCTCGCTATCCCTTCTGAGGGCGGCAACACCATCGAGATCCCCGCCACCCGCAGCGCCATCAGTGATGCCGCTTCATTCATGCACAACCTGAGCTTGGCTCCTTCCATGAAGGACCGCCGTGGCTCGCGTAACTCCTTCGGCACATCGCTCCCCATTCCTCGCTCTCCTCGCATGTCCCGCCTGTCTTCCGTGCAGAAGACTGGCCGTCCTTCCGTCTCCCGGGATATCCTGGCCTCTCAGGTCCAGGATATGTCCGCTGAGAAGGTTGCCAAGGCTAAGAACATGGCTTTCGCCTTTGACATTGACGGTGTGCTGGCACACGGTAACCACGCCATTGCGGAGGCCAAGGTTGCTCTCAAGATGCTCAACGGTGACAACGAGCTTGGCATTCGCATTCCTCACATCCTCTTGACCAACGGTGGTGGTAAGACCGAGGAGGCTCGCTGTGCTCAGCTCAGCGAGGTCCTTGAGCAGGAAATCTCCACCGACCAGTTCATCCAGTCTCACACTCCCATGCAGGCCTTGGCTGAGTACTACGAGACTGTTCTCGTCCTTGGTGGTGAAGGCTTCAAGATCCGTGAGGTTGCTGAAAACTACGGTTTCAAGACCGTCGTTCACCCCAAGGATCTCCTCGCCTGGGACCCCTCCATCTCTCCCTGGGCTACCCTCACCGAAGAGGAGCGCGCTCAGGCCAAGCCCCGCGACTTCTCCAAGGTCAAGTTCGATGCCATCATGGTCTTCGCCGACTCCCGTGATTACCAGACCGATATGCAGGTCATCATGGATCTCCTCCTCGCCGAGAACGGTATGATCGGAACCAAGGCCAAGGACCCCGTTGCCACCCGCATCCCCATCTACTTCTCCCAGGGTGATCTCCTCATGCCCACCGAGCACAAGGGTCTCCCCCGTCTCACCCAGGGTGCCTTCCGTATCGCCATTGAAGCCCAGTACAAGACCCTCACCGGTGTCGATCTTGAGCGTGTCGTTTACGGTAAGCCCGAGCGTGCTACCTACACCTACGCCGACGAGGTCATGAAGTCCTGGATGGAGGAGCTCCACGGCGAGGCCCGCATCCCCAAGAACATCTACATGGTTGGTGACAACCCCGCCTCCGACATCATCGGTGGTAACATGTACGGCTGGAACACCTGCCTTGTTCGCACCGGTGTCTTCCAGGGTGGTCCTGGCGAGAACGCCCCCGACAGCCCTGCCAACTTCGGTGTCTTCGACAACGTTCTCGAGGCTGTCAAGGCCGCCATTGCCAAGGAGTTGGGCGCCGACTTCCAGCTCAAGTGGAACCCCAAGGTCAACCCCGTCCTGCACGGTGAGGCTACCTCCGCCATTGAGTAAACAGTCAAATGACGAGAACTCTTTGGGATATCTTTTCACGCTGAAACGAAACTCAAAAAACAATACGCTCTGCCAGGGCTCGAAGGATTTCCTTATATCTGTGGCGTTTTTCCTTTTGATATTATGTCATGTCGTTTTCATAGACTTCTCTTCTTCCCACCATCCTCTCACGCATGTTCCCCTTTTGGCTATTTCTTTTGGTTGAAATTGTGGGGTTCTGGGATCTAGGACTTCTGATATCCTTTGTCACGTTCGTCAGTCTGGTTCGCGCCAGACTGACTGGCCTGAGAGAAGACCGAATCTACTTTTCCATTTCTACTTTTTGATCTGCAAAACACGATCCGGTCGGTGGTTTCAAACTTCTGATTTTCTTCCCTCCATTTTTTTAGACTGGATTCTATTCCCATGTGTCATGACGCGAACAAGATTTCGCTTTTTTGTTGATTTTGACTTTTTTTTCACTTGCATTTTTTCCGCATGCAGTCATATTCCCAGGACTGCTCCAATACCACATGGCAATTTTTTTTTTCAATTCTCTGATGTGTGGCTTTACCGTAATTTTCTCCTCGTAATACTTCTCTTCAGTCGTTGATAGTCGTTGACGACATAGTGATGTCTTTATCAGCCTTAATCGATGAACTTTAACGTTATTTACTCGCTCTGCGTTAATAGTATTTGCATCTACCATATATAATATCAAAATTATGCATACATGATTCACATTCCAGTGGAATTGTCCTTGTATCATCGGTGTCCAGCATAATTTTTACGAACAAGACATTGTCTCAGACAATCCAGGACCCCCGCACAAGAAACCTTCTAGAACAAAACAAGCCACGATAAAGCCAAAAACACCCAAAAAGCAAACTCAAACAATGGTTTTGTACGTACGGAGTATATGTAACAATCCTCTGTAAAATTCAAAACACGTAAAATCAAGAACCAAGAAAGAGAAAGCATCGGCCCAGCCCAGTGGCCAATATCCCGTATTCCGCACGGGAGCCCGGGTACCCGAGAAACCAACACGCCACGACTTGCTTGGGTACTTGATTGTATGACCGGACTGTCTGACAGCTGACTCGGATAGAAGCCGAGACTGGAAGACTCTTTATCTAAATCTGAATCAGGATCTAGATCTAGATCCAGAGCGAGAAAAGTTGTGTTTTGGCATTCCCATGCATGTCCCTCCGAGGTGAAGTCTGAGGGGCCCTTGTTTCGGATTTTACTGTGACTTTCAATCTACTTCGCACGTTTATAGTGAGCTTAGACCTGATTGTGTTTTAGATTGGGTTGGTAGCCTGCTAGTGCAGGGGCTGTATGGAGTGTACTGTAGTACTGTATTTGTTTATGAACTTCTATTTGGTGTATTGGTACGACATGCTGGTGGATGGAATGGTATAGTAATCATCTAGGACGGAGATGTATTTTAAAGTGTGTTTGAGGAGGTTGGTATCAGGTTGTGTTATATAGAGAAGGGACACGTGATCTCTCATACATGAGAAGTGGAAGGGCTTATCATATTTAACGTCTTAAGGGAGATATATCTTTTGATACTGTGGAAATGTATTGATTGGAAGCGCCAGGGAAAAGTGACGCTTACGTTAGTTTAAGTCGCATGCTGGTTGGTTGTGACAATCAGACTATAATGTCATGATAACCACCGATGTTCATACCCAATGACCCTTGAAGGCAGTCTATAGACATGGATGAGACTTGATGAACCTGCAAGTCCCTCTAGCCTTTGAAAGGCTGAAACCTGTATAACTTGACAGGGTCAGCGAGGCCCAAGTAAGAACCAAGACAAATCGCGGAGATAGTGCCACACAAATTGCATACAATGGCAATAGTTCTTTTCAGGATCTTCACAAAATTTCAACATTCCCAAGTAACTTATGGGCTTGTCAGGTAATAGGAAACGCTTAAGATAACGATCATCATAGAAGGACACGTTGGAAATACTTCTCACAACATAAGGTGTAGTGGCAGAAAGAAAGATGCCCAACTCACCATTCCACATCAATAGATCATACACTAAGTAATGATCTGCAGCGCTTGTTAGGTAGCTTAGCAAATATTGGGCGCCAAAGCGCTAAACATTGGCGACGCCAAAATTGAGCAAGGAGAGAGTGAATCCTGTCGAGTCTGCAATCCACAGACCTTGGCAGTACCAACTCCGCGGAAATAGTGCAACCGCACTACTGACCAAGGCTTGGCCGGCATGCTGTCCACACCTCCCATGCCTCATTCACACCAATAATTATGGATAGCCGGCTTGCGAGGGAGTGGTGAACATACCGACGTCAACTCGGTGTTGAGCGTTGGGAATTGGACCATGTCGCATACGCTTCAAGTGGGCGCAAGAGCTAAGCCTCGCCAATTCTGTCGCGTAAGTCGTACAAATATGCTGTGTGAGTTGGAGTGACTCTTGTTAGTCCATCCTAAAATACACAAAGGTAGTCGATGCGGGCCATCAACATGGTTGAGATCTAGGGAGAGAGAGAGCAAGTTGAGGAAGGGGAGCGCAGTGGAGCAGATGAGACGCCATATAAGGACCGGGAATTGTGAGCGATCAACTCGATGGGCTTGGCTAGTCAGAGGCTAGTGTGGAATAATGTCGGTGAAGGCGATGTTACTGGACTAGTCAACTAGTTTGATCGAGGAATGCCGTCTAATAAAGAACGAATTGACCTTATGTCATCTATGCAAGGGACACGGACCTCATCAGGTGATGTGTTGGAGTTGTCATTATGTAATCGCGCATCTCCCCGCACCGTCAACCTTTAGGAATGGCGCCGGAGGTGCATTGAAGGTGTGCAGGGATGTGACAGGCTGTTAGGTAACTAGAACTCCTTTGTCTGGGGCGGATGCATCGGATTGACCATGATCGGCTGACCAGGTCTACCAGCAACCAGCAACCAGCAACAAGCAACAGCAACCTTGGAGAACTCACACCTGGGCAAGGTTTCAGATTATGTCATAGAATTGGGGTCCACAGGCTGTCTGAACTTTTTTTTTACGAGCAACGGTTATACTACAGCAGACAACTGAAACTGACAGTGCTGCTCGATATCCTTCTATTGAGTATCTAGTCGAGTCCGAATCCGGCGATACTCATACTTTCCGCATGCATACCGATCAGAGGAACCCAACCCGTTCCCATAAAAAGAAAACAACCTGCAGGGGTAGCTTGGGGAAACTAAAATTCAAAAGAAAATAAGCATGAAGCTAGAAGACTAATAGTGTAGAATAGAATCCAAGAAGAACCAACCCAAATCAACATACAAGATCAACTGGAATGCCCAATAACCCTATGAACCTATAACCTCCGAACAGAGGATCAACACTTCAGATCCGCCACCTCGGACAGAAAGGGAAAAAAAGAGTTCGCCCCCATGTGGCTATGGTCCCGTGCCTTTTACTTCTTCAACCTCTCTTCAACTTCCAATCCTAAACCTCACCAAACTCACCAAACTTTGATCGGAAGCTCAGCCGTGCAACAGCGGACCACGGGTTTTTTGTGACTAACAGCTTCGCAATTTTTCTTTCCCCCCCCCGCCCCTCTACAAGCCCTAACACCCCCGTTATTCCACGGTGTTAATATCCTCTTTCTATTGACCGGGCTCGCTTTTTACTCTTTCTTTTCTCTGGAATCTGGGGAAGCTTTTTTTCTTTTCTTAATTTCGGTAGAATTTTTTTTTTCGTGGTCCACTCTCGAGGCACCGACTAGTCCACTGTAGGGCCCTTTATAGAGGGCCTTCACCCTCACCATGGCTTCCGTTACTTCCCCTTCGCACTCCAAGCCTCCTTTCCCACACTTGACTTCGATTCCGTGTGGAGACCATTATCATTCCCGCGACTCATCTCCCTCGCCCTGCGGCACTCCCGACGGATCCAGGTCCAGCAGCCAGCGCCGCACCTCGTTCGGCTCGATCAAAGAAGACGTGGAAGACGGTACGTATAGAGCAGGGTGAGAATCCAAACCGGAGACTGACGTGATCGCTGGGATTAGGAATTGCGCAATCGTTCGTAGACAGCCACCAAGCCCCATCTCCCCAAGAGCCCAAGACCGAGCCCAAGGTCGAGCGTCCTGGCGTGGAGATGCAACAGGCCCCGGATTTCTGCTGCCCATGTGGTGGATTCCTGGGGTGGAAGCAAATTCGACTGGGCGGTAAGAGCCTCAGTCGCAGTTACAGTGACCTCCGCGGATTAGGCCAGTTGCAGGCCAAGGGCTGGGCATGGGAATCGCACGATCATGACCACAAGCCACAGGACCTGGCTCCTCCCAAGGAGCCGGAGGTAGTTGAGCTACAGACCCCTCCTGGCACTTCACCTCTGGAGAAGCTCCCCCCAGAAGTCCTCGGTGCGTTGCGGTGACCCCGTTGATATTTCTGATATACTGACTGATCTAGATCAAATCATCTCTAACCTGGCACTGGATCTCCCACCCAATGGCTACACACCTCGGAATGTGGATTTGGTATCATGCCTTCTTACTTCGCATACCTTGCACGCGGCTACGCTCGGCGTCTTGTACAGAAACATGACTTTCCCGCACTCCATCATCTTTTCCAAGGCTCTCAACCACATGTCGCAGTACCCAGCTCTCGGCACACTTGTGCGCCGCCTGGATTTCTCGCATTTCACTTCCGTTGGATTGGGCCGCACCAAACAGATGAACGCCGAAATTCAAAACCTGACCTCGCGCACACTCTTGCAATGCTTGGAGCTCTTGCCTAACTTGAAGGAATGTTTGCTGCAGGAACATCTCGAGGGCGATATCAGCGTGGATATCATTCGGAAGCTATTGATGGGTTTGGCGAATTTGCGCGCTGTGGATTTCTGCGGTTGCTCCACTCAGTCTTTCTCCGCCGTCTTCCAAGAGGCCCTAGTCGGTGGGCCCGCTCTGCCCATGACTTTGCCTAACCTGAAACGGCTCTCGCTCCATGAGTGCAGCACTATTCCCGCTCCGATGTTTGACCACCTCCTTCCGCGATTGGTCAACTTGACGCACCTCGATTTGACCCACACCCAGGTCAACGACTCTGCGCTCGCCCTCATTCCAGAGACAGCGCGCATTTCCCACCTCAGCTTGTCGCGATGCACCCGCCTTCGCCCATCGGCCTTGGTGGAGTTCTTGACCACTCACCCATCGGTCAATGAATCTCTTGTGTACCTGAACCTGTTGACTGACCCCACCCGTTTCCGCCTTCTGCAAGAGGAGGATGTTTCGGCACTGCTGCCCAAGCTTCCAGACACACTCCGCTCCCTCAACCTAGGCGGCGCAAAGATCACTTCGGACCACGTTCCATTCCTGGTTCCTCTGACCAAGCACCTGCATGAGCTGGGTTTGAGCTCAGCCGAGCTCTCAGTCCAAGATGTCAATTGCTTCTTCACCCGGTACCAGGACCCTGCAACAGGAAAGGAGAACAACGAGCCCAGCACTCTCTGCTACCTTGATCTCGCCAAGGTGCTCCAGATGACCATTGGAGCCATCTTCAATACAAGCACCTGTCTTCTACTCTCGAACCTGAGCTACCCCTTGCAGGTCGTCGAGTTTAGTGACAAGATTATCACACCTCTGCGGGAGCGGGCGAAGACCCAGCGCGTTTCCGTCGGATGGACGGTGCGAGACCTGGGTCGACGTGGCTGGTATGTCCGCGACCCAGCATCTATGCCCGAGCAACCCATCGATGATGGCGCCCGTTACTGGAAAATGGGCGCGCGCTGGTGGGGAATGCGCAAGATTCCTATGGCAGTCGGCGACGTCGGCGGCCTCTACGGTCACTATATGTTCAAGAAATGATCTGCAATAGCTTGAGCGTTCTGTTCTAAAAGCGTGCTCGCTGGATCTTTATTTTTGCCGATACCCTTGGTTTCTCATTTATTCTCGATTTTGCGTTTCCTATGGGAGGATTGCTTCTGATCATGACTACTTTCTTGTTACTTCATTGTCTTTTTCATTGTCTTTTTCACATTGACTTTTTGCGTTGATTTTTTTGGGGTTTTTTGACGATCATGAGTGTTGATATCCGGTCTATGCATGGCGGCGCGCAACATGGTTTACGAATTTCGGCATTCTGGCTCCTGGCTTTCGGGTTCGTGCTCTCGGTCGCGTCTATTTGATTTTGCATAGCATCCTGGGATCTCTTCAGCGGTGTCCTGGTTTTTTGATGTTTATATTGGTTTTGGCGTTGATTTGCTGACTATTTGTATTTATCTCTGCTCATAACTTGATTAACTCTACTTTTTTTTTCTCTTGAGCTTCGTAATATGAGTGACTGTTGCTAAGGTTTCACGGCTATAGCTCTAGGCACCAAGCTGCTTTTATCTTAATATGTCTGTCACTTGGACTCGGAAGAAGACAGCCAATAGAAAACTACACAGCGAGGAATAGTAAGCTCCAAGAAGCATCATTACCAAAAAGAAATCGAAATAAATTCCCATTCGGACGAATGACGACAATTACAGAAATTGGCCACATAACTGACAGACTTCCAACAAAATAATCTCTCAAAATAGAACTAACTGCATTCAAGAAACATACTCCAAACCAGAACTCCAGCCAGCAATCACCAAACACATTAGGGCATCAATTCACAGGTGACGCTTGGCACTTGTCATGTGATACGACTCAGAAGAGCCGCATGCCAATCACTTCTACCAGAACAACGAACAACCACAAGCTCACACAAAGCCTCCAGACTCTTCCTCAGCTACACCACAGCCCGAGGGGAGATTTTAGTCTCATCCCGATGGGTGGTTCCAGTGTCATTGCCCAGGACAGTGGAAGCTGTCAACACTCGCGACGATGGCACCTCCGAGCGGAGCGGCTTCGTACAAGAAGGCGGACGGCTCCTTGACCATTTCAGTCGATGAGTCGTCTGTAACATGGATGCCTGCAGCGACAGGTGCAGCACAGCCGATCACTATACAAGTAATCAATATTTCCAGTGAGTGTGACCGACTTGGATCTGGATTGCCTTGTCTTTTTGAATTTGGCGCTGGCGTTGGCTAACCGCTAGTCCAGATTTACAACAGACACCAGCTTCCAAACCAAAGGTTATGCTGAAGATCTTTGCCCGCGCCCCCGATTCTCCTCCTGATGCCACGCCCGAGGCATATGTTTTCCAGTTTACCGGTGGGGCGGATGCCCGACCGCAGGCTGATGCCATCAAGGAAACACTCAGTGCCCGGATCAACACGCTAAGATCGCAGACACCCGCGCAAACACCGGGACCGACGCCGGGTGGTGGAAGTGGCGAAGGCTTGTCTGCGGCGATGGCAATCGCAAATGCTGTCACGTCAGCGGGGACATCAAAGAACCCACTAGATGACGAGAACAAGCTCCGAACGAACGGCGAGCTACAACAGTCATTGCTGAAAGCGGATTCAAATCTCCGTCGCATGTTCACCGAGGGCTTGAACACCAAACCTGATGCGTTATCGTCTGGTCAGTTCATGTCACAGTTCTGGTCGACGCGGCTGCATCTACTGCGCGCGCATGCTATTGAGCAGAGCCAGATGCGCGGCTCTTATAATGTGCTTTCGTCGCTGAAGCCGCGGGTTGAGGGGGATAATGTTACCCGGATGAATATTAGCAAGGAGCAGATTGCGCTGATCTTCTCGCAGCATCCGCTTGTTAAGCGTGTTTATGATGAGATTGTGCCGAAGCTTAATGAGCAGCAATTTTGGTCGCGGTTCTTCCAGAGTCGGCTTTTTAAGAAGCTTCGTGGAGAGCGCATCTCTGATGCTGATGCCACTGATGCGATTCTCGATAAATATCTGCGCACGGATGAGTCTGCTGGACCGGGCCGTGAAGGGGGTATTCACCACTTCCTGGATCTTGCTGGCAATGAGGGCAACCATAGCCAACGGCGTGGCAATCGGCCTGATCTTGATATGAGGCCGTCGGGTGTGGATAAAGTACCTATCATTCGGACTTTGAACAGCCTCAGCGAGAAAATCATGGCTAATGTGGCGCCGTCAGATGGTGACATGAGTGCGCCTGTTGGCATGAATGAGGAGGCGTGGAAAAAGCTCCAGCTGCAGGATCTCCGTGGTGATGAAGAGCAAAGCAGGATCACATTGAATATTCGTGATCAGAGTCGATTCTTCTCTAGCACGCAAGAAGACGACAAGAGCAAGCAGTTTGCGCAACAAGACCCGGACCAGCTTTTACAGGCTCTTCGCGCAGAGATCGCGCAGGATCTCCCAGCACAAGGAAATACCCAATTGAGCAAACTGGTGGATCCTGGCAATGATGAGGACGAGGAAATGGAAGATGCTCCCGCCATCCAACGGCCAGTAGGCTCCTCCGCCGCTCTTCATGACTCCTTCGCCCAGATCCTGGAAGCAGTGCGTGACCGCCGGGCCCAGCTAAGCGATCAATCAACATCAGAGACATTCGGCCTCTCAATAGCTCTCTTCGACCGACTCACCCTGACACACGCTACAACCACGGAGTTCCTGCACCAGTTCTGGCAGGCATACCTATCAGGCAACCCAGACCGTGCCGGCGAAGTCGCATCCCTCGCTGAATCTCTCCAACGAGCGTCCGAGCGGATCAAAGCTGTCGCAAATGACGCAGAAGCCGATCGCAAGGTCGAGGTTGACAAGTTAAGGCAGCATGCGCGCGAGGTATTCGAACGTACTCAGCGCAAGATCCGGCCGAACCTTGAAGGCGTACAGGGAGGTCAAAAGGTCGTGAACCAGCTGCTTGGTCCGACACTGCATGCGCTGAACGTCGCCTTGAGCAAGTACCAGGCGGAATTGGCAGAGCAGAATAAAGAGGCGGCTGCCATTCCTGCGTAGAGATGGGCTGGTGAGAGACGAGTTACAAAAAGATTATTGGCGTTGCTGGGCATTGGTTGTATACTATAATACCTTGAAGATCCTATACAAGCGAACAGAGAAGCATATCATAGCAAATATAATTCCTCATAGATTCTCTGCGGCACTAAAATCTCGGCATGCCGAGGTTCCCCAGACTTCGGGTTCCGCCAACTGTCCCCTCACCTTTGCACCACACCACACCACTTCCACCTCAACCACCACCAACCAGCAATCGCCACACGAATACCTGGATGAGATATCACAGCCCATAACAGCTCCAATTTTGAGTGTATCCCAGGCCACTCCTCACAAGGGAGCAACGCCCCTCCGATCAAAATGCTCACCTCCGGCCTAACAAACACACCCCTAACAAAACTCCTCCTAATCTACACAATCGCCTCCTCAATCGCCCTCTCCCTCTTCGACATAAAACATCTCGCCTCAATCTCCATCTCGCCCCATTTCTGGCCCTACGCCCAATTCTGGCGCGCGGCAGTATGGCACCTCGTCGGCTTTGCCAATTCCACCGAGGCGCTCTTCGCATCCATGCTCGTCTACCACATGCGCGTCGTTGAGCGTGCATGGGGGAGCAGGAAGATGGCCGTGAGTACCCCCATCTGACCCGGCATGGAATGGAATGTAATACAACGCAACAGATTGGGACTTGATCAGATGCTAACTCGACGTGCTGGATGCTCTAGACCTTCCTCCTCACGACCCTCCCATACACCACCCTCCTCCCACCCCTCCTCCTGTCCCTCCTCGTCCGCCCCCTCTCAATGAACAACCTCAATTACCTACCCTCCGGCCCGACGGCCATGATATTCGCCCTGTTGGCGCAGTATCATGCGAGTATACCGCATACGTATCGGTATCGCATCGGGACAACGACTACTGCCCCCACTACTCCCCCCAACACAGATACCAACACCACTGAAACTGGAACTGAAACTGAACCTGGAACTGGAGCTGGAACTGAATCCTCCAATCAACAGCCCGCTGATACCCCCAAACCCCCCAAACCAAGCCTGACTCTCCTCCTCTCGGATAAATCAACAACCTACCTCGTCGCTTCCCAGCTAGCCCTCTCGCAATTCCCGGCTATGCTTCTGCCCGCGGCGCTAGGGTGGATTGTTGGCTTTGCGTGGCGCGCGGAGATCCTGCCTGGTCTTTCGCCTGCCGTGAATGGATTTAGGGTTCCTGCTTGGGTTGTTGGGGAGAGGGAGCGGAGGGGTACTGGTGCTGGTGCTGGCGGGGAGAGGGAGAGGTATGAGGACTTGAGGAGGAGGTTGGAAGGGGAGGCCGCTGCTTCGGCTTCGGCTTCTGCTTCTGCTTCTGGGCTGGATGGGGGTGAGACTGCTGCTGTTGTTGATCGCCTGAGGGGGGATTGGTAGATGTGTTTTTTTTTTGTTTTAGTCTGTATTATTTTTTTCGGTTCGTCTGTGCTATCTGGTATGCGCCATTCTGTCATGTCAATGAATTGCCTACGAACAACAAACCGTTCAACAGAGTCCCCCGATGTGTGCATGGAATCAACCCTACATGCCAGCGTAATACCAGACTGCCAGAATGGGATATCAATTAAGGTGGAAGTCGATCTAAGAGAGGAACTATGATACCGCTAGAACAAGAGATGCCCATGTGAAGACAACAAAAGGGTAAAGCACCGCATACACGCCATGTCAGTCATATCTAATGCAAAGCTCCAGCTTGGCTCTCGAGGAACCACAATATAACCATGCCCATCAGCGTCCATTGCGACTCCGTCGCATATTCTCCTTACATTCGTTGCAATACCATTTGACTAGAAATAAATTAGTATACGGTGTCACGGGAAAAGACCAAAGAGAAATAAACATACCATTCTTCCCAGGCGGTTTTGTCAAGCCCACGCAAGACAAATGGAACCATTCGCGCGGACAGGCGTCATTATCGCAAGCAACCATTTCACCGAAACTGATCTCGTTACAGTAGCAGTATCGCGGCTCGCCCTCTTCGTCTTCGTCGTCGCCTTCGTGGAGGGACTCATCGTCGGAGGGTATGACGGGTGGTGGAATGGGTTTCTTTTGTGTGCGCTTTGTCGAGGCGGGGTCTTGGCTTCGTGTTGGTCGTGCGCGCTGCTGGATAGGTTCATATGCTGCGAGGATGGGTGTGGAGGTTTTGGATGTGCGGCCTTTGCTGGGTTCGTTTTCGCCAGAGTCTTTGCCGTCCAGGTCTTCGCGTTTGGACCCGGCTGGTACTGAGGTTCGGGCGCTGGAATCTTCGTACTCACGGAGCTCCGCATTGAGCTCGTTCTTGACCGTGCCATCGCGGGGCATGTTCCTTGAATCGGCGATTTTGTCTGCAGAGGGGCGAGGTCAGTGATTGGGCTTGAGGAATTGAGGTGTGATGACGTACTGTTGTTTGGCTGGCCAATGCGGTTTGAGGCTGATGATGATGGCCTTTGTCGTGCGTTGCTTGTTGACCCGGCGTTTTGCTGATTGCGCGAAGATTGTGGCCTCGACGTGGGACCTGGACTGGCTGCACCCCGCGGGACATTGAAAGTTCCAACCAAAGGCGACGGGGCAAGGACAGGCGATCCGGCATTTGAAGCATTGGCCCTGGGATGACATTAGCTGTAAGTATTGTGGGGAGCTACAGGACAGAGCATACCTCTTGCGCGCAGCAGCAGTCGGATTGGGAGCGCGAGACCGCTTCTTCTCCGCAGGATCCTTGTTTGCGGCTCTCTGACTCTGAGCACCGCTGGCAGACCGTTCCATCGGAATACTCGTGTCTACAGGGAGCGCTGGGCGTTCTACCTTCCGACGCTTGGGAGCAGCGCTAGGATCAGCCGCGTCTGCGCCACGAGATTTCCCATTATTGGTTTTGCGGGCACCTGAGCTCCGTGATTCCTCATAGTCTGCATCGACGTGCGCACGACGCTGTTTACGCGCCAATACGGCATCGCGTCGAGCCTCACTGCGGCTAGCGGCTTCAGCTTCGTGCAGCACGTGCGAGAGATCCTGTCTGTGGTTGACTGCTTCGCGGCGGGGACGCTCGTTGGTTGCTGCCTTCGCCGCGGTCTTGTTGGAGTAGGCCCAATGTGTCAGACTGCCCAGGCGAGCTTCTTCGCTAATCTCGCCTGCAATGTATGGGAATACGGTATCCAGTCGGACGACTTGGCGGTCCAATTCCTCGTTCGCGTTTGAAATGACGTGATTTTTCTCGTCGGCGGTCATCATAAGATCAGAGAGGCTCTGTCGTACGCGATCAAAGAGGAGTCGGCGATTTTTGCTTTCGGACGATTCGAGTGCTTGAGAGAGATCCTGGCGCGAGTGAGATAAGATTAGACCAAACTCCAGGTAGACAAGGAAATGGAGAAATCAATTTACCTGAGGCATAACATCCTCACGAATGACACCCCCGACGATAGGCGCGGGGTGAGGAGGGTGAGTAACTGGCTGCGACTCGCAGGAATGCTCGAGCAGCTGGAGTAAATTTTCCTCAAGAGCCCATGCCTTCGCATCGACTTCCTTTAATAGAGAGTTGTGACGCCGAAACTCGCGAGGAAGCGCAGTAATAGCATCTGTAAAATGCGTGAGGGCAGGGTAGAAGCCATGGGGAACAGGGGGCGTAGAAGGAATTTCAGTAGTCGAGCCTCGGCCGAATGCGAAAGAGGATCGTCCGATGGTTTTAGAGGTTCGAGACGGGTTTGTTCGAGTCTGACGGGCTGACTGGCGTACTCCCTGGCCCTGGGGGTTCATGGCTGACGATGAGATGGCAGACATTGTGAATGGGAGAGTCGGGACTAGGAGCTGCGCCGCAGAGAGGGTTGGGGGGTTCTAACCCAATTTTAGGGCAGAATGGGAAGCGGTTGACGATCAATGGTAATCACAGATGGCCTTTCAGCATTTGAAAGAGCTAATGACTGATATAACACTCGAGGGGCACCGATGCAGGAGAACTGTCTCTGGCAAGTTTGAGTGCGGAGAAGAGCAATCGGATCAGGTGAGAGTCGGCCTGTATTATCAGGCACCAGTCGCTGAATCATCAGCGCACATGGCTGACGTCATTACAGGCACGAACCTTTGGAAGTATACCAGTCGAGTCTGGATAGATGTAAAGTTTCTAGCAGTGTAACGATTTGATTATATTCCAAGAAATTTCGTTATATGAGAAGGTTCAGATGGCAGTTCACTGTAATAGGCCATCTTTTATGATGTCTCATTTGGGACAACTTTGTGCTATATAGTTTCTATTGGAACTTATTGGCGAAGACCTATGTTGCTCTCCTTTTTGCATGTTGGTCAGAAGTGATGATGACCTTGAGACTTACAGCTGATACCAAGCATAAAATCGAGTTGCTCGATCCACTCATCCACCTTGAACCGGGCAAGAAGCTTCCAGTGTTGCAAGTTCAGATCTCGCCTATTAAAAACAGTAACCAGCATGCCACACATAATCTGAAAAGAATTGACGGCACTAATTAAAGATATATTACCGTTATAGTGTAAAAGACTGCACTTGGATCCATCACATAAAATATAGATGTTAGCAGACCCGTTCTCAAAAGTTCATATTTTTTTCCTTCAAAGCACTTACCAGAGAGAGGCAAGTCTTCAAATAGCTTGCTAAGTATAAAGAGTATATTTGATTGCAGTTCTATAGCATTGTAGTCATAAGAAGACTCACAATCAACCCATTGCTCCTGTACGATGAAAACGGAGAACTGTTTCTTTTGAACTGAGATTTTATCTCCTAGGAAATCAGAGCTACGTAGTGAAGAGTGATATAATCTTCAAGGACTGCAGCTGTTCAATACTGGCAATTAACCTCAAAAATACATAAATAGATCATAATAACTTATCAAAGACGCTAAGCCCAGACCTAGATAAGCTTGGCGGCCTCAGAAATCATAGTGGTGTTATTGAATTTGAAACCTTCACTTCTCACAAATTGTATTGACATATGCAAGAATATAGAAGATATCTCTCCTAACAGTAGCAGCCATCAAACCCCCACTTTGAGTATATGGAATGAGAGTTCTGTTCCACTAGATGCCCTGAGGAGCGTCTTGGCAATTACTTTGTCTTTCTTTTATAAGAATTGGTTACCATGTCGAATACAGAAAGAATCGACTTCAATGTACCGAATCCTTGTAATGCTTGAAATATTGTAAGCTGTATGGAAGAGCCAGTGGTTCCATTTCCAACAATCAAACTGTGGGATTCTCCATATCAAGACAAAATCCCAGTTTCCTGCCGTACATGTTGATCCAGACACCAGTTAATAGAAGCAAGCCATCAAATATCATGATATACACAGAGACAACCCATTCAAATCTGGCAGTTGCAACATTCAACTTTAATTGGATTGAAGGAAAGTTTACCCCCACACTTGTCAGATAAATCCAAGAACTGGATCACACAGATTTTGAGAAAAAGGAGCGCATCTGACCGGGACTTGACTATATCTCTAAGATGATCACAGTCAGGACTTGGTCTGTATTCTTCAAAGCTTAGCACCGATTGTGTCTGCATTTAGGCCAATGGTATCAGTAAGTGCTTTTTCCAAGACAATGAACAAATATCGGCAATCCAGCCGCAACTTAACCTAATGAACCTCCTGTAATAGTCCCACGAATATTCATGGCTAGTATACCATGCTAAATTATGTATATGAGAGACTATCTTCGACCGGAGCTTGGAACAAGCGTGACAATTTCTGGGGGATCGTCAACATAACCTTAAGTACGTTGGTCTAACCTCTTTCGGCTTGGCTGTGGGTGCAGGTGTATGGATAAGTTACTAAATTAGTGTTTGATAAGCATACCCTAACGTCATTGATGTAGACTGAAATACGTACAGAACATTTAGGGACTCGAAGAACTTCTTTTGATGCGGTAACCCACCCTTGCTAGAATTCTCACGAATGTGTCACTAGATCTTGCAATTGAGATTTTTGTGTCATACAGTATCCGAGTCGATGAGCCTTTCTCTGGGGTAACTTGATTCAGATGCCCCATCCAGCAGAAAAATGAATACCCCTGAGGGCCAAGTTATACAATTTCTCACTTCTCAAAGGTAGATAGCGAGTATGACTTCAGCGCGAGAACTGGAGTGCAATTCGGACTGAGCGAGCTTTTGCCATCCGATGCTGCTTGGAAGTAAGATCCTCTTCCTGCTATAAGATTAAATCTCAACCAACTAATTACTTTCAAGCAAAGCTTCTTCAATTACGTGATAAGTATATGCAGTCATTGTCACATTCCATCCGTGCTCTTGAGCACCGGTTTCTTCTTTATAAAGGAAAGTCGATTTGCAATTGAATCGATTATGCCCTAGAGAGCCTTCAACGAAATGAAATTGAAAGTGCTGGTATTTAGTGTGCTTTTAATTCACATGTTGTGGGAATATCATTGTAGTATGCCGTTGCCTCATTAAACCCAATCTGAGCCTGGACTGCCCCTACACATCGCAGTCGGTTAGATCCCATGTGGAATTGGCGCCTCGGCTGCAGTTACAGTAGCATCGTGGCTGGTTACCTGGTCAGATGTGCAATATACTAAAGATGAGATGTTATCAGTCAAAAGTCCTGTCATACAGGAGCTTCAGGGCGTGCATATCCAGGGTCTCAGACCCTTTTATTAGTGTCAGACAGCTTACTAGGTAAACACTACACTTAACCTAGAGTGTCTTTAGAGCAACTTTTAAGTAGATGCTACGAACAAGCACCGTTTCGCGTAATCCAACTAGTGTCTTTATTTTACATATAATTTAGATCCTTAGTATAGACGTGGGCCCCCTGCTAAAGCGCAAGAGGAACCCAATACAGAAAATCCAAGACACGGCGTATACAAGGTGAGAAAACAAAGTAAATCGATACAATAATGGAAAGTTAGGGTGGTACAAAATAAACAGACGCTAGCTCCTATAAGAACCGATGAGATAGGAAACCAAACTCAATGCAGATGACAAATGCAGACATTGCCAGCTTTACGGAGTTCAAATCAGACCGCTAAGAAGGACAGGCGTTTACTCGCCCTTCAGGTGGTCCTGGTGGATGGAGAAAGCATCCTCCAGGAACTCCTGCTCCTCCTTCAAGTGAACAGCCTTGGTACCGGTGGCGACGGAGGCGGAACCGGCACGACCAGCGTACAGGACGTGGCGGCGGTTGTGGTGCTCGGTGGCGTTGAGCAGGCTCTCGATACGGGGCTGGGCGTAAGACCAGGCACCAGCGTTGAGGGGCTCCTCTTGACACCAGACGATGTCCTTGGCGTTGGGGTAGCTGTCGAGGTTCTCCTTCAGCTGAGCCCAGGGGAAGGGGTGCAGCTGCTCAACACGAGTGATGGCAGTGTTGCGGATACCGTTGGCCTCACGGTGCTTGATAAGAGCAGCGTAGACCTGGCCAGAGCAGAGCACAACACGCTCAATCTTCTCGGGCTCGTCAACGGTGGTACCGTGACCCTCCTCAGGGATGATCCACTGGAAGTGAGAGTCGCCGCTCAGGGCCTCGATATCGGAACGGGCAATGGGGTGACGCAGCAGAGCCTTGGAGAAGAAGATGACCAGAGGCTTACGGAACTGGCGGTGGATCTGACGACGGAGAATGTGGAACAAGTTGGCAGGAGTAGTCATGTTGACAATCTGCATGTTGCAGTCCTGGTGTTGGCGGTCGAGCTTGTCAGCCGAAGGGTAGACGCGGGGCTCTTCGTTGCAAAGCTGCAACCAACGCTCCATACGACCGGAAGAGTGCTCAGGACCTTGACCATCGTAACCGTGGGGCAAGGAAACTACAAGGCCGGAACGCTGCAGCCACTTGGATTCACCGGAAGCGATGAACTGATCAATGATACACTGAGCGTTGTTGGCGAAATCACCGAACTGAGCCTCCCACATCACAAGGGCGTTGGGGGAGGTGAGAGAGTAACCGTACTCAAATCCGAGACTATATAAAAGGTTAGTAATAATTTCCAATCAGAGAGTAACGATTCCAAACTTACACGCCGAACTCGCTGAGGGAGGAGTTGGAGATGACGAAGCTACCCTGCTTCTCGCTGATGTTCTGCAGAGGAGTGTAAGTGCGCTCGGCATCCTGGTCGTGCAGAACGGCGTGACGCTGAGAGAAGGTACCACGCTCGACATCCTGACCGGAAACACGAACGTGATAACCCTCGTCGACAAGGGAACCAAAGGCAAGAGCCTCAGCAGTAGCCCAGTCGATGTTCTTACCCTCATCGACGGTCTTCTTGCGGTTGTTCAAGATACGCTTGAGGTTGCGGTGGAGGGTGAAGCCCTCGGGCGCACCGCTGCCGCTGACCTTGTCAGCGATGTGGGCAAGAGACTTCTCACCAACAGCGGTGGGCAGGTGAGGCAGAACCTCGGTAGCCAGCTCCTTGGGAGTCTTGAAGTTGTTCCAGGCGGAAGTCAGCCACTCCTTGCTGGTGGGCTGGTAGTCCTTGCTGCGGTCGAAGCTGTCGCCGAGCATGCCCCAGACCCACTTCTTGTGCTCATCGATATCATCCTTGGTGAAAGAACCCTCAGCGATGAGCTTCTCGACGTACTTGTCAAGCTGAGCCTTCTGCTCGGCAATGCGCTTGTACATCAAAGGCTGGGTGAACGAGGGCTGGTCAGTCTCGTTGTGACCCTGCTTACGGTAGCAGACCATGTCGATAACGACATCGCGCTTGAACTCGGCACGCCAGTCAGCGGCGACCTGGCAGACGTAGTTGACGGCCTCAACATCGTCGGCGTTTACGTGGAAGACGGGAGCGTCGATAGACTTGGCGATGTCGGAACAGTAGGGGGTGGAACGAGAGTAACGAGGATCGGTGGTGAAACCGATCTGGTTGTTCACGACAAGGTGAATGGTACCACCGGTGGAGTAAGCGGGAAGAGAGTGGAATCCCATGGTTTCGTAGACAACACCCTGACCAGCAAAGGCAGCGTCACCGTGGAGCAGAACACCCATGGCGGAGTCGTAGTTGGTCTCGTCGTTGTTGTAGTGCTGGATAGCACGAGTCTTACCGAGAACGACGGGGTCCTCAGCCTCCAAATGGGAGGGGTTGGCAACCAGAGACAGCTGAACCCGCTTGCCGGAAGGAGTGGGACGCTCGAAGTTCATACCCAAGTGGTACTTGACATCACCGGAACCCTCATCGGAAGGCTCAGTGGAGCCAGCAAACTCACTGAAGATAGACTCGTTGGGCTTGCGAACCACGTTGGACAGGACGTTGAGACGACCACGGTGAGGCATACCGATGACGATGTCCTTGATGCCATAGTCGACACTGCGGTCGATCAGGGCCTTCATACCAGGGACCAGAGTCTCACAACCCTCAAGACCGAAACGCTTGTCGTTGGGGAACTTGGTGGCAAGGAAAGACTCGAAGCTGGAACTCCAGATCAAACGATCAAGAATGCGGCGCTTGTCGTCGACGGAGTAGTTGTAAGGCTGAGGGATCTCGAAACGGTCACGGATCCACTCGCAAGGCTTGCGGTCAGGAATGTGAATGTACTCAACACCGTAAGAACCGCAGTAGATCTTCTCACAGGCGTCGATGATCTCGCGCAGAGTCATCTTCTTGCGGCCGTCAACGGCGAAACGGGGCAGGATACCAGGTCCAAGAGCGAACTCCTGGTCCAGGTCACGCTCAGTGAAACCGTAGTGGTCAAGCTCGAGCTCCTTGGGCTTGTCGTAGCCAAAGGCCTCGGCCTCTCCGCGGATACCGAGGGGGTCGATCTTAGCCTTGTGGTGACCACGGGCCTGGTAGGCGCGCACCAACAACTGAACCTTCAAGTGATTTGTCACGTCATGGCCAGCGGCGAGACCCTCACCGGGCATATCTTGAGGGACACCTCCGGTAGGGGTGGGGACGAGAGTGGGAGGAGGAGTGAAAGCCTGAGAAATGGGCATGTTACCCTCTTCCATGTTCTTGAAGTAGGTCTGCCACGAGATGTGGACACTGGAAGCATCGTTCTTCCATGCCAGGTACATCTCATCGACATAGTTGGCGGTGTTTCCAGAAAGGAAAGAATCGTTGGGGTCCTGTCCGCGTAAGGGCAAAGTTGCGCCGTCTCGTTAGTCGAATGTCCCAATTCTCTAAATTCTGGAATCGGGGACCATTATCGAATCACTCGCGATTCTCACGGTTATTGTTGCTTACCACTCCCTGGGTTGTACCTTCCGCGGGGGCGGCATAGTATCTGGCGCCGTTGAAAGCACGGTCGACAACAGCGAGAGGGCGACGGGCGCTCATGCTGAAACCGGAGCTTTTTGATGCGCTGCGAGCGCTCGAGGCAAGGTGGAACGAGCGCCGGCATGCCGGGGAGGTCGCACCACGCAGCATACCGCTGTGGGTGGCCTTCAAAGCAGTGTTTCTAAACATTGCGGGATTTTTCTTGGATTGAAGAATCCAATGAAGTTTGGAGAATCGAGAGGAAAGGAGGTAATGATCAAAGGTTTGAGACCCTGTAAGTCAAATTAGACGTCCAAGTGAGACGCGCTATAGGTAAAAGGGTCAGCCGATCGAAATGCCAGGGTGTTTGGTCTCTGCCGAGGAAACCGGGATACGGAGGAAAGGACCAGTAGAGTAGGAGTACACGTACAAATTAACACACAACAGGTGTCGACTAGTATTGCCGTAGCACCTGTAAACAAGCCGAACTCATCAGAGAGCTAAAACTCTCTAATTTGGAAAGAAGTGGAGGGGAGAATGGAGATGCGAAAGAAGCAAGAAAGCCAGATGAGAAGACAGAGCTGCCGAGAATGACGGTTCTCACGTCCGGCTGAGGCTGGTGTGCCTTAGTCAGCCCGAACCAGCCGATGAGACACGCCTGCGCCACAGCGCCCGGCTAAGGACTCCCGGTTAGCGGGTGTTTTCGGCCCAATTGCACTACTAGCGATTTCCATTACATATAAGTTAGTGAGAGGCCTCTTTAGTTGTGGGTTTAAGCTTAATAGAAGAGACTACCACCTGAGTCCGATACCTTGTGTATCATAGAGACTAGAAAACCCGAGATATGGGGATAGTAGAAGCCAATAGCTCAAGATAAGCATTGCACTCACCCAAGAACTTGGGCCGGTGCAGATGTTACTAAGCATATTCCATTAATAGGGTAGGTATCAACTACCGACATACTAGCCATTCAAACAACCCGATCTAGTCAAGCCTTGTCCTCTCTCTGGACCACAGCAGTAGGCTCGTTTTCTTCCTCTTCTGGCCACACTTCGTTATTGAGGTGTCTGAATCGGAACCAGAACACAATGGTCTGCAACGCAAGCGCTACAGCCGGTGCTCCCCAGATCCAGACCAGCCACGGGTCAGCAGTTGCCGGAAGCAAAATTTCACCAATTGCACTGGACAAAGCATTCATGAAGAGGAAGAATGCCACCACCAGGCCCTTCATTCCATGCGGGGACCGTGCATAAGCAAGCTCATAGGCAGTCACGTTGCAGAAACACTCACTCAAAGCACCTAGAATCGTATTCGGAAGCTGCCACCAAATGCTGATTTGGGCGACTTGGTCACAAGTTGATGCCTGGTTACCGCAAGGAGAGAGCGCGTAAACTCGCCACTGGACCAGAGCACCCGCGATACCAGAGATGGTTGCTAGGGAAAAGCCAAATGTGATGCGGCTGATTGGGCCAAAGTTTATCTTGTAGCGACGGAGAGTGGGATAGAAGACGAAGGTAAGAACTGGAACAACGAAGATGATTGTCAATGCGTTGAAATTGCTGAGAATATCGTTGGGTGCGCCATTGGTCACCATCGAAGCGCCTTGGTTTGTCGATACAGATCCGATGCCCCCATCATTGAGATACCAAATTGGGTAGAACCAGAAGATATCACAGGCAGCTAGGGACGATTAGAATATATATCGAACAAGAAAGAGCATAGAGAAGTTTTCAGGAGTGAATTTGACATACCAACTGTTCTTGAAACATCCTTGACGGCTTTATCGGTCCAGTTCACGATGATGCCCTTCTCCCGGAGGCTGCTGGGTGTTACCCTATCCCACAAGTCCTTGCGCCAGAACTGAAAGTTACTCTGACGGAGAGCAGTCCCGATGATTCTGAACGCCTGTGAGACCTCGGAGCTCCCAGCTGGTGGCCTTTTGTACGTCCTCTTATACATGACCAGAAGAAGAATAGGGAGCAAAAGGTATATAAGACCTGCCAGCAAAAAGGAGAGCCAGAAGCCCACATACTTCTCGGAATAGGTAGTCGCAAGCATGAAGAAAGCACCGACATTGACGAACCCATAGAAGATCAGCATAATTCTGTTTGTCGTAGCTTCAGGGTCCACGATGACCTTCTCTCCCGACTTGAGTGACTTAGTATAGGCCTTTTGGTGGGGATTTTGATCAAGGACAAGAGGCGCAACATTTGGCTTGAATATGCCGGCACCAAGGGAGAGAAGCAACAGGCCGATGATAAACGGTGGAGCCGAATGAGCTGTGCCCTTTTGGAGAACCGAGGGGATAGCGCCGAAGATTTGGATAATATGGGCAACTCCGCAGATCAAGATACCGACACAGATCGCCTTATATCGCCCAACATGGACGTCAGCCCACCAGCCACCAAGAATCGGGATCACGTATGAAAGGAAGATGAACAGCAGTGTCAGTCCGGATGACGCTTGGAGTCCCATTCCCAGGGCGCCGGCCGTTTTCTGGGTGCCTCTTGGAGGGGAACCTGCTCCATTGCCACCTTCAGTCGCATTAGCATGTTCCCTGAACTTGCTGCGGGGCATTTATACGTACCTTTAGGGAGTGGGAATTGGATGAAATTGCTGAAGACGGTTTTCGCGCCGTAGTAAGATGCGCGCTCAGCAAACTCCACTAGACATAGCGTGAACGAGACCAAGGGCAAGGAGCCCGCAACCTTGCGAAGCGTATCGCGTTCCTCTGCAGTTGGAGAGGGATATCCATCCTCCGAGGTCACTTGTCGCTCCAGATTCTGGAATTGCTTAGAGTCGTCGACTACCGTAGGAGACAACTGTGTCACCACCTCGGAGCCATTAGCACGACCAGAATCCATGGCAACTGCGGTTTCAAAGCAAAAAAAGTCTGGAGAACGGGAGTTCACAGAACTGGGACCTCAGACACAACTCAAGTGAGAGCAGTCAGCGCTCTTGTCTTGTAAAGAACAATTGGATTGAAGGTGTGATAGTCCGACTGTGTCACAACCCAGAGCAGACGCTCGAGATTTAAGCAAATGGCGTCTCTCGCATGACATACAGGTGACAAACTCCACTGATGGCGCCATTAAGGTCAATTAAGGCACACCAATGGCTTGTATGGTTTCAAAGTGCAACAAGACGTAACCTCGACATAATAGTGTCGAATTCGTAATCGGTCGTGTCTCTGCCTCTCAGGGGATACTCCAGTCTTCAACCCGAGAACCAATGCTGATTGTTTACTAAGTGATTTCATGTCCAAAAACACAATTCTGAAAGTATGATGTTGAATGTTGTGCCCGTCAACTAAGTTATAGTTTAGAAGACAGTTGTGCCTGAGGCGTTGCAAGACACGGGATCTACATCGACCCTGCCATTTATGGTATAGCGCATATATCCCATGGATGCTTCTTCCTCTTAAGGACGATGGGTCTTAGCCCTAGGTGGATCTATGTGATAGCCTACTTGCTGGCCGGGGGCCGAGGGATATAGAACCTGAAGGTACTTGGGGATGAAAATCCGATCCCCTCTTTCATACTATGTGGTATTATGTCTCCCTTATTATTGACATCTACCGCTGCAATATGCCACACAAAGTCCAAAGAGCCGCAATTAAAAACACAGGGGAGAACGAGGACGACAAGGAAAGACGAGTGCTGTCGCTGAAGATTCATGAGGTCGTAAAAGAAAATGGCCACGCATGGACTCATATGCAACAAGAAAAGTACAAGTAATGTATATCCAAGCAAGTAAATGCTGCAGGCAATATAATCACAGAACATTAAGACGCAGGGCACCAGCACTGCTGATTGAAGCTTCGTCCGCCTCATCGACAGGGAGACCAGCCAACGGAGAAGCAGTTCGGATCTGACCATCGTCATGGAAAGACCCAACAACACCAGGCGGTCCCTCATCAGGACTGAACGGGATCGGACTGGCTTCAGAGGCACCGGTGAAACTGGCCCGATTCGAGGACGAGATCGGATGCTGTGGCGGTGGACTGCCGGCACTGCTCCGCAGACTACCGTTACTCCCACCCCAAGCACCGCGTCTCAGTTTCATGAGCGCGCTGAAGGATAGCTCGTCGTCGATATTGCCCATGTCGACTAGCTGTGCCAGACCGGGACTCGCGATGGATGGGTTTGATGTTGCTCCATGGGCTTTGAGGGAGATCATGGAGTTACGGGTACTCCATTCACTTCGTTCGGTGATGGGTGTGAGGCTAGGTTCTTGGAATTTGCCGCGGCTGCTGTGACTGCGGGTTACGCCTTCGACGCGTCTTGGGCCGAAGTAGCCTCCGTTCGTCAGCTCCGAATTGCAGGTGCTATCGGCTTGTGCGTAAAAGCCGAATTCCTGGCCATAGAAGCCGTCGTCGTCGTTTTCTAGGGCTTCTGCGTTTGCTGCGGCCACGATTGCGTCGTCGAAATATGCGTCGTCTGTGTCGTCGTAGATTAGATCGTCGTAGATTAGATTGTCGTCGAGGACGTCTTCGAAGACCATGGGATCGGCTCCCTGGCTGAGGCGGCTGTCGTCAGAGACCATGCCGGGCTGGGAGTCTACTGTTTGTGCTGTGTAGGCTATACTGTCTTGACCCTGGGACCTTTCACTCGTGCTGACGGTTCGGTCAAGACGACTGTTCTGTGCGGCTTCGTTGGCCGCAAAGGCCAATGCGTTATGCAGAATGTCCAAGTTTTGCTCGGTGAGCACACCACCATGAGCCCGCGCAGGTCCCAGATTTGGTATTGGCTCCCCGAGAGGTCCACGTTTTATTGAGCCTTTATGGTAATCACTGGCCACACTGGACATATGTCTGAGATCATGGTCTCCAGTTTCTGTTTCGATGCTTTCCTTGACTGAGGAAGAGTCATCGCCTGGTGCCGTAGTCTCCGCTGGTGGCGGTGCCTTCGGCTTTCGCTCGTATAGATGGCTGGTTACATCGTCGAATATTGATTCATCGAATTCTCCGTTTTCATCGTTGATATTAAGATCCCCAAATTCGCCATCGTCGAAATACATGTCATCCTCGTCGAGAATTGGCGGAAGTGGATTGTTGGCAGCGGGAATTTGAGGATTGCCTGCTGGAGGTACCACGGGCTTTCTCTCGTATAAGTGACTAGTCTCATCGTCAAATATAGATTCATCGAATCTGTCATCTTGGTCATGATTATTAAGATCTCCAAATTCGCCGTCGTCGAAATAAAGGTCATCCTCGTCAAGCCCCAGCGGCTGTTGAGTATTGGGATCCGAAGTATGATTGCTGGCTGCCATAGTCTGTGAGTCCGGAGCCGGAACTTCACTGGTAGACACCGGAAGCGATTGCTCCTGGGATTGAGGTAAAGTATACCGATACTGAGCATCAGCCGACCCAGCCTGATAATGGCCAGAATTATACCCAGAATTATCCGAAACACCAGGCGGCGCAGGAGTAATCGGACTAGCCACAACCGGCGACAACCCAGGAATGGTCCAAGACTTGAGATCTCCATTGATATTGCGAGAAAGAGATAAGTCATCGAAATCGTCATCGTCAGCATCGACATTGACACCCGGAATCTTTTCTTCTAGGCCATCCATGTCATCCATCATATCATTGTCAAAGTCATCGTCAAAGTCATCAAAGTATCCATCTTCGACTTTGCGAGCCGCCTCTTTTGCTTTATGTTTTTCTTCCAGCAGCTTCTCTTGCACGGAGGATTCTACTCCACTCATATCAAAGCTGAAGCGGGAAGCATTGCTCTTAAGATGTCTTGGTAGACCTGAAGGGTTGAACGGGACATGTGGAATGGTATCCTCATCAGCTGTCCCTTTACATTGAGATTCCTCGGGAGAAGCAGCCTTTGGAGGACTTGGAGGAGACTCTGGTGCTTCTTCTTGTTCAGGCTGTTTCTCAACAGGTTCATTGACTTCTTCAGGCAAATGAGAAGGCAAATTCCTCGCGAAAGCCGGTAACGACTTTTCATATCCAGGCTGAGATTGATTTGTCAATAGCGAAGACTGAAGATAGCCCTTGTTCTCAACTTGCAATACATTCTGATCTTCAAAATGCTCTCTAAACACAGGCGAATGATCACTGTGTCGTTTCGTCTGATCATTCCAACGACCACCCTGGAATTGACTAGGAATCTGAGAAGGCGACGGTTCCTGCCCATCCTGCTGCGCAGAGATATTCCTGCGAGGTCGCGGCGCGGAGAAATCATGAACGATATTTCCCCGAATTCGAGGATCGTAGTCATCCGGCATGGCAGGCACATTGCGATTGTTAAGCTTCGGTTCCTCGGTCTTGGAACTGACGATCTGCGACGAGCGCCGACGCGCAAGAAGAGACATGGGATTCAAAAGATGTAGCATCGCCTTGCCGGACTTGTGATGCGTACTGGCATTTTCCACAGATACATCTCTATCTCCGATACGGCGAACAGTCGCGCTCTCCAGTTTGAATTCCTTCTGCGACATGGTCTGTTTATCAGCAGGCGAGTCGTCAGGCGACGTTCTAAACCGAAAATGACCGGTGCCCGGACCAGCAGTAGGCGATCGTTTCTGCTTCCCAAAAGACCGACGGAAAGGAGAGCTGGTTTTGGTACTCAACTCCCCATCCCCTTGATCCGAGCGCAGACCTGAATCAGAGACCTGGGAATCATTCGCCGGTGACGTGATTGTTTCGCCTTCCCATTCTCCAGGACTTGAGTGAGGACGGTTCTGGCTATCGTATGACGGAGAGGGAACGGCAAGCGTGAGGGAGGAAGAGAGCGGCGCGGCTGATGAGGTGATGTTTAGCTTGGACGCATCGATGTCCAACGGCGATTCGATTGGTGGAGGAGCATCCTGCGAGGGGGGATCGAAGGGCGTAGTGAAGGTTGGGGTATCTCGAATTTGCGGGAGCTGGGGAGGAGTGCTGATCGGGCTTCCAGTATTTGGCCCTGCCCCTTTGGAAGATGGGGAGCCCGCTGGTAAGGCGGGCGATATGAGTGAGCGCCTGTGGTCGCGGCGCCAGTATGAGAAGACCGTGGACGGCGCCATGGTGTAGTCCCCCACGCCTGGTTGAGTCCGTGAGGATTATGAGGGGGCGTGATGGTCCATTGCAGTTCTTCTGCTGAGAGGGGTGGTCGACAAAGAGTCAAAAAGAGATGTTTCTTACATACCAGTGACGGGACCGTGGGGGCGCGTAGAAACCCACTCTGAGCTTCAGAGCGAGTGAGCTAACGCGAATGGAATGATGCTTAAAATAACCAAAGAATTGAAGATAAAAGTACGTGAGTTTTAGGTTACACTATTGCCAGATGCCCTCGTGTTCTGCGCGCCTAGGCCCATCTCGAATATCGACCCTAAGGAGGATTCGACTACATTGGGAAAAACCACCAACGTAACATGCCTTGATTAATTATACAAAATATTCTACAGGGATATCCTTCATAAAGCAAAAACGCTCAAGATGCTATGCAAATAGGCAGAAATCGAAGTGCCTGATGCCGAATTTCAGCGGATGCTTTGTCTCCAACGGTCAATCACAGAGACCTGCGCTGGGTCAACTGGTTGTCCAGCCATGTTCATGTACGGTCCACATCCTTGAGGCATAGCATATCCCATCCCATTCATGCTCATGGTTTGTTGGGCAGGATAGCCGGCCTGGGACACGGGATATCCATATTGCTGAGCCATCGGGTAGGCTTGGGGCATCCCGTGCCCCGGACTTGGGAACTGCTGCATGGACATCCGATTGCCGTACTGGGACATACCAGGTCGGTTATTCAGAGTGTCATAGGATGAATAGCGATTGAGTTGAGTGGGACGACCGTCCGTAAGGGCGGCCATGCTCCGGCGTACGCGCGGGTTCTTCGTCGGCGCCGGATGACCACCGGGCTCCTTTTGGAGACGAGCCCGTCGTTGCGCAAGAGTCTCCTCTTCGTTGTTCTCGGGGTCAGCGGGAGTTTCTTTAGGGGCAATGCCAGCTCGAGTGTCAATTTCAGCCATTAGGTCACTGGCAAACTTGCTCTCTGAGCGGTTGTGTCCCTTGAGTCTTTGCAGCCGCTCAGCCAGAGTTTCAGTTTCGACCTCATCATCACTCTCAGCAGCTGGCTCAGGTTGTTCAGTGAGGGAAACTTTCTCAGATCCGTAGACTGTGATAGGACGTCGCTCTGGTTGCGGAATGGGTTCACCACGTAACCTTGCTCGGCGGGAGCTCAGAGGTTCATTTTCCTCTTGCTGTCGCTTCTCCATCAAACCAAGCGGTCTGTTCTCATCATCTCCGTTGGGTCTTTCAGGATAGAGCATAGCCAATGGGACATCTTCGTCCTCATCGCGACCTTCCCAGGCCAATGCTACAGGGCGCTGTCGCCGTTTGTCACTCTGTTTCTGGGCCATTTCGTCCATTTCGAGAAGAGTGGTCTGCATTCCTTGGTAAGGCATAGGCACCGCCGTGCGGCGTCGGTGTGCCAGCTCATGCTTTCGCAACTGGAGTTCGGCGATAAGTGTATTTGGTGGGCCGACATAGTCAAACTCGTCTTCTTCACTTTCATCTTCCTCTTCATCGCCTTCACCCTCCGTGGATTGCTCGCCGCTTTCAGATCCAGTCACTTCTGATCGCGAGTCATCATTTTCATTATGCACTCTATCGGAATCATGTCCGGCCTGCGATCCATGGCCTGTAGTGGCTGATTCAGTGTGCTCATCTGTATTGTTGGTGCTGAGAGGCTGACCCATCGTGTTGCGTGAGAGACGGTTTGCTTTCTGTCCCGTCAAGTCCTTGAAGAGAGACTTTCTTTTTGATTTGGCATAGACGTTCGAGCCGAGGTTACCAGCGAAGGGGTGATCAGTAAAGGCGGACACAGGTGCATTCGCGGAAGCGTCGAGAATGCTCTCTAGAGTCGCGACAGCGGACTGCTGCTTGACCTCTACCTGCAGGGATGTGCTAGGTTGATCGAAAAACACGCTTGCACGGAGATGAGCCGGTACTTTCGATTTGCGTTTGTCGATTTGTTCGACGTTGGATATGTCCTTGTCAGCACCGGGTACTACCGCAGTCGACTTTCGATCCTGAGCAACGATGGCTGCAGCAACCTCTGCACGGCGCTTATCGTGTGCGTTGTTTGTTTTGCGTGACAACTTGGGTGGAAGGTTCAGCATGCGTGGGACAGGGGCCGGGTAATAAACCATGTTTTCACCCGCTTGCGGCTGTTTGTATGAGTCCGGATTCCTGGCCAAAGGCGGATGGGTCAAGGGCACCTGGCGCATCGACTCAGCCCTATCCATAGGCATGAAATGGACGCCATCGAAATCGGTGAACAGCGTGCGAGCCTGTTGATAGGTATCGTTGGATGCGACCGAAGCGCGTCGCTCCATCTCTGCGGAGATTTGTTGCTGAGCATGTTGGTCGTAATTGTAGTCACTCTGAGGAAAAAGGGGTTGCGGAGGAGGAAGAATAGGCAGGGGAGAAAACTCGTCTATCTCGTGTGCATATTCACCGTCATCGGGCTCAGAAAGTCGAGCCAGACGAGATCCCGATACGGATACGGAGCGCTGACGCGCAGGGGACACATTAGACCCATGGGCGGAGGAAATGGTGCCCGCCGGGGAAAATGCACCATTCCGGAGATTTATGGAATTTGATGCGGAACTGCATGAGCGTTTCTGCGCCAAATCCATGCGACGGATCTCGCTGTCTATGCCCGCTGAGCTCGAACTCAGCCGCTCCGCACTTTGCTCCAAGCGCTCTACATTTCCAATGTAGGCACCTTGTAACGATTGAAGATCCGGGGTCGGGTGGCTCAGAGGCACGGAAATGTCGCTGCATGCACTGTGGAGCGGCGGTTCGGGCTGGGAATGTTGCGCGATAGCCGTATTGAGCGGAGGAATGCGGCGGAGGCTGCTGGATCGCTCGGGGGAGGGATCGGCGTCGTAGTCATCGTCCTCCACCACATCGTAGCTGGCAGAAGTCATAGAGCGGATCATAGATCCCAGAGGGCCAAAGCTGGAGTTGTCGCTGGTTTTGGCGGTTTCAAGGTGACTTCCTCCCCCGATATTATCCGTATCAAGCGGGAGCTGCTCGAATGCATGACCGTGGGTAGGCGAGGGGCTGCGTGATGCAGAAACAGATGAGTTCGAAGCCACCTCGTGGTCGATCTGAGCGACGGCGTTGTACGCCATGTTATAGAATTTGGTCACCACGTATCCATCCAGACCGGGTCGAAATGGAACAAAGAATACCGGGGGGTGGATGCAAGTGTCAAAGAAGAAAGAAAAGAAAGGGATGGGACACGAGACGAGGCAAAAAACCAGGCGGACAGGGAAATGTCTCTTAAGTTTGAGGTCTGGGCCGACTCTAATTTTGGAAGTTTGCCCGTCGTACACACAATCTTGGAATGCGCTCCCTAGACTCTGTTTAAAAACAAGTAAAACAAGTAATTCAGCCCGCTAAGCCACTACTGTACCGTAGAGGGGCCTCAGCGTGCCTGTCTCGGGGAACACGCTTAGCTTCTTCGCTCCACCGTGGAGAGTCTTGGCATGCACTTATAGTTCCAGTTCCTCTCTGGACTCGACCTGGATATCCCTGAAATATAAGGTGGATTGAATCCCAGCTGACCGGCGTCCTGTTCGCTCAACCCGACTCCATTACACAGGCAACCGCTTCCCATCTGCTATTTCCCATATGCAACAGGAACCAGGAGAGTTCCGTCTGACCATACCCTCGATCCCGAACCAATCAAACCCGGAAATGATATCGCAAATCTGCTTTGAATTCTAACATTACACCTCGCATCTGACGAATCAGAAAATGTGGGTGAGAAGTTTTATGCACGAAGATTGTGGCACACTCGTGGAAGCAATCTACCTCCTTTAATATAACTCTATACTGGAGTGAGATTGGCTTTCAAGGTTATCTGCTTTATCTTGGTCGGTCTGGGGCACTTGACTTTAAGTTCACGTCCTAGTCGGCGCAAGGTATATTTCGCTATGCTTTCTCAGCGTGGTGATACACGGTGTGTTTGACGCACAGGACTAGCACCAGACACTCCCCCCTATTATCTATGGATCCCAGAGAAGATTACCACGAGCAGGGCTGGACCATCCCAGCTGGGCCGCACGTTCCATAACCCAGGTCGACTCGAGGTCGCATGACTATTTGCCTTTCCATGCAGGTAACCGGTATTAAGCGGTCGTGCATCTGCAGTCCACCCCATATACAGTAGGCTTATCCATATCTTCTCGGTCTAGAGCCTCGGTCTCTTGCAATTTTATGGGCACACACCTCCCCCAGCTCAATGAAAGGCCCTCTTTGCCAAGAACGTTGCTAGCACGCTCCAAACGAAACGCCCATGTTTATCTGGCAACCACAATCTAGCGCCTTACTGTATGCTTCTGACCTTGGATCTCATGTGATGTATTCCAGATCTGGCACGATACATATCTCCACTGATAGACATGATCGTCGGTAGATATTCAGATGTGCACAGGCCCAGTTGCCTTTCACCAGATTCGGAGGAACACATGTAGACCCAGATAGGAGTCCACGGGGAGCTGCAATCTCCTGACACTGTCAACACACGACTCCACAATCCCACGAACTTCCCCAGAAAAAACAAGCTTATTGAGGGGTAGGCTGTTGAGGAGTATGACTGCAGGCCAACGGATCATCCCACGTTGAGCCAATGACTGACTGCCATGATATTTATCATCTGAGAATCGGATTGGGTTTAGCTGAAGGAGTAGTTTTCCCAGTGTATAAGGGGTTTCTCATGCCATGATGAAACCTCGGACTGAAATAACTCGATTTCGCTTCAACAATTTCTTCTATTGGACAAGACATAAATCATCAGTCACCCACTAGACATGATAGCTTTTAATAGATTATAAGCCCGGCTTGTCTCAATGACAGGACCACCTCCCCAAGTCCGTCCAAGTCAGTCGAGGACACCCAACTGGCCCAGTTATTGTACCCCACCAAAGCATCCGAGATATTCAATCGCGAATATCTTAATAAAAAGTAGACTAAATGACCCTCAAATGAAATAGGGGATATTTAATCACGTCTATAATAAGCTACCGAAGTTTCAGACTGATCGAAGTTCAGATTTAACCTACTGTCAGGGGGGTTCCCCACTGTTTTTCTCTCATACTCCCGTGGAATAGGGGAACGCCAAGCTTTCCCCTAACCTGCCAGACCGCACCATCTAACGACTTGAAGAAGTCTTTAAGTCATTCGTATAATAACAAGTTATAGCCAGACTATATTAATTACTAGTTTTGACCAGCCGTGGCAGCTATCCTACACCTGAATTCAGTAAGCCCTGCTTTTATAATGACATTATCTAGATCTATCCAACGTTATGTCTAGATTGTTCGCGAGCTGCTATTGATGCCTAAAAATACAGTAAAATTGTCCGTAGTCCTCAGCCGCGAATGCTCTCGGCTACGCGGCTTGCGTGGACGGCAATTAGGTCCTAGAACTGCCAAATTCATTTACCCGAGGCACAATTGGTATGATTGACCCTGGAACCTCGGGCACCTTTTTCGAGGTAGGTGAGGGTGGTAGAGCTATAGTCTCAAGAGGAGACGGCCACGTCGCTTAGAAGGCCAGCAACGTCGGATCTAGTAACTTAGGCTGGGTCCCTGATTAGAGGCGTGCCAAGGAAGTGCGGTCGATCCGGATCCTGGAGCGTTTGCTGCGCACTTACACTCTCTTTTTACTATTCTACCGTACTCTCGCTAAGCTCCCCCAATTCGAACTTGACTAATGGCCACACTGAAAGAAGAGGCTCGCTTTGGCCGTCTGCCTTTCGACCTATTTGCTTTAGTTTGTTCCCTTGCCATTGGGTCGGTGACCGTCGGTATCTCTGACATACCATTAGGAAAAATGGGACACCGAGGCTAACCCGACACCGGAGGGAAGCAAAGCCCAGTGGGAGAAGCTAGCATGGGAATACCAACGCTTGACTCTGATTGAACGTTGGGTACAGCTACCGCTCTTCTAAGGTGAAAGGGGCTAACAATGAACTTCCCCTCTTGCTAGCCTTACTACAAACGAACCGAGCCAGAAGACACGCCTTCTACAAGTGAAGATGAAGCGATGCGGATTTTGGGTAATAACCAAAGCCCCGCAGAGCGCAACATCAGCCTCGGCTTCTGTAGTGTCTGGAAGCCAGTCTGGTTGCGAATATGCTACGATCCCACCCTCGCAGAGAAGTATGAGGAGATGAAGAAATCAGCTTGGGTTCCTGGAGGTGGAGTCCCAGGGAATTGCGTTCTAGACGATGAAATGCTCTACGCTTTCGAGGACGACACCCCAGATTCGTGGAGAAAAGTACTGGTGCGGATGCCTGGCCTAACAGACTTCCAGGGGGCTAGGGATTACAGCGGGGATGATTCCGACATTCAGTATTCGAGCGGACAGAACGACGAGGTTATTTTAGCAGAGATCGAGGAAGAGGAAGACGAGGACACCAAGTTTCTCTCGAAGCTCAGCGTACAGGTACAGACGACAGTGTACTTGTTGGACCGTGAAGCTATTACGACAGGGCTGATCAAGGTACTTTGGGTAAATGAACATGGCCAGACCCTGTGGGAGAATCGTGTGGAGCCTAGTACTTTAACACGCCTCTCAATGGCCCAAGAAGACTCTTGTGGTCTCGCGGAGATTGTCGGCTATCGGGCTGTGCGGGGGGCGTTGATCGTGAGATGAGGTTCTGTTGTATGCATGTGCCCAAAACTGATGACCAGGGCCCATTAGAAGCTGAAACGCCGCCATTGTAGCTAAATTTCGGCTAAGCAGAATGACTAGGTTTGTAAACTGGGCTGACTTTTTTCTTTCTTTTTTTTTAGTTTCTTTAACCCCCTCCAGTTGCTCCCACATGATCCTAGCAGTATAGATTGTTATTAGAGTAGACGGAGGCGCCGTATGAGAAGTTATTTGACATGAGGTTCTTCTCTCCCTTTGTCCCTCTCCTTGACGCCTTACCTCGGTCTAGAGGTTCTTCATAGTCATGAAGTTGCGCGTTTTTCTTATTGCCTTTGGCCTATTATACTCTACGTCCACTAATGCATAACAAGGGGCAAGCTGTAGTGCGCTAGAGCCTTGTACAAGTGGTTGTTGTAGTCAATTCGGTCAGTTCTGTCTAAAAGCATGCCCAGGAATACTTATCGGCTAACCGTATGGCAGGATCATGCGGCGTTGGTGAAGACTTTTGTGGCACAGGGTAAGTTTGATAAACTCTCGGATCTTTTTAGCCTCGGGCAACTAAAATAAACCCATTACAGATGCCTGGGAACTTGCGATGCTACCGCTGAGTGTGGAGAGTATGCGTTGAAAGACAGCGTTGATTGCCCGTTGAACGTATGTTGCAGGTGAGCCACCCCCTCTTCTCCTGCTCGTTGGTGAGTTGTGTTGACTATGAGATACATAATAGCAAATGAGGGTTCTGTGGAACGACAGAGGAATTCTGCACTGATTGTCAAAACGAGGGTGGCTGTCCCTCAGTTGAGTATGTTCTCATCTCCGTTTGTCCGTCCTACTTGTGATCTTTGAATGGCGTCCCGGCTTCCAAAGTTCTAACTTGATGTAAAATACAGCCGCCCACAATGTTCTGAGAGTGACGATGCAATGGGCTTGGATGTTCGCTTTGGATACTATGGCATGTGGGGAGCCACCAGAGACTGCGATACTTACTTGCCTGAGAATATCCCGGCTGGGGCTTTGACGCATATCAATCTTGCCTTCGAGTACGTCAGTGAAGATCACGAGATAACAGATACTCAGGGCCCTATCGTTGCGAGAGCTTCTCGGTTGAAGAAGAAGTATCCTGGCTTACGTGTGAACATCGCGCTTGGTATGTCATTGTTCTCGAGAATTTACTTTTATCATCAGTCCAGTTCTGACGCCAGTATAGGTGGATGGGTATTTAACGACCCTCCTACGCAGTATCGCTTCTCTGAAATGGCGTCTATCACCCCTAATCGGGAAAAGTTCATTGCCTCTTTGATCAGATATATTCGTCGCTACGGACTCAACGGTGTTGATATTGGTTCGTAACCACACTTCTCCTGACGGCCTCATTCCATAAACCTGACCTTGTTGTACAGATTGGGAAGAGCTTACTCAGGCCGCTCATGCCTACGCTCAGCTCATGCTCAGTGAGCAAAAAGCGGCAAGGTTTGAGCACTAATACGGAAAGAGAACGCCAAAAGTGGCAGAGGAAATCAAGTACATAGGGAATCCACCCAACCAGAGCGGAGAGATAGTAATTTGGTTGACCACGTGATCACGTGTCGCCCATCGACGCGCCCCAATTGAACTTTGAGAACAACAACGACATGAACAGATTGCCGTGACACCATGTCCTACTATGACATCGACTCCATTTTAACAGACGCACAAGTATGTCAGCCGTCGGAGCAAAGAATCAACCACCAAAACCAGACCGGCTAACAGAATCCAGAAACTGCCATGTACATTCGAGCTTGAGGTACCGGGGCTAGGAATTATCGAAGGCAACCCAGGCGAAGATGTCTGTTTATTACCACATGGCCTTGCTGTGGACCAGCTAACTCCCTCCAGATTAAAGCGGGAACCCGAATCGACCTGCCACTATGGCTTGGTGAAATGCTCTCGATCGGGTAAGGCCCTCCACCCCAACGTATCCTCGCAATTCTACATGAGAAGTCCACCATATCTAATGTGATCTGCTGCAGAGCGCGACTGGGCACATCTCGTCTCGTCACACTCGACATGCCCGAGGCACTCTCGGAGCGGGTGATGAATGCCCTGAAGGCAGACCCCCGCACGATCGACCTGCGTGCTCTAGCGCCTCATTTTTACAACCTCAGCGAACGTATTCTCGAACTATTCGAAGAAGAAGAGATGGTCGATGTCCTGTGTGATGTAAGTGGCGTGGGATCTTCCGGATCTTGCCTCTGGGGCCTGCAGAGAATCTCTTCGACTTGGATACTGACTATATGCTAGACATTCAAAAGACGGGCCGCGGAGGTTGCCGATCATGCGCATAATTCGCGTGGTGCGGTTGGGGACGGAGTTGACTTTTTACGTGGCTTGGATGAGACAGAGCGACAGTGTCCGTTGTGGTTCCTTTGACTTCGGTATATGACTTTACTGACCGATTGGCTAGTGTTCCGGGCGGCTCATGACCGCGCGAAAGATATGCGCATTTGGGCTGGAGAGGCGAAGCGGAAATAAGAGGGTTTGTGATAGGGCTATTTCTTTTTTTTTTTTTGGTCTTCGGAGACTGAGCTGTGCTCGTCTCTGGAGAAGTTGTTAGATTAATTTGAACTTTAATCCATGGGATTCTATCTGCCGATCGGGCTGTACAGTAGGACAATTGTCATTTCATGGCACTTTCTGTGTGTATCTGGCAGCATGGGGGATGCGACTTTGCGCCAGATGTCTGAGCTGAACATGGACTGAGATTTGTGACGTGGAAAAAGGCCCAGTGGACAGATAAAAGCTGACGCAACGACCAGTCCGAAAGTTGGAGTGGAGACATGCGATTTCCATGGAAGATCGGGAACTAATAGGAACTACGACGGACTACTATGAACTACTCTGAACTATAAACTCATTCACACGCTAACAGTTTGGATCCACGTCAAACCCTCTAAAACTCTGACGCTTGAATTCTCGGGACTCAAAATCAACTCTGAGGATCAAACTCGTTTCAAACCTGAGACTGGGCCCTCAATCGCCACTCAGAGACCCCCCGAGCAAGGGAAAAGCTGAGACGGCTTGGCTGGGATCCGATTGGTGTGTCAGGAACTAGTTTAGCTCTGATCAACTCAATGAATCTGGGGGCTGGGAGCTGAATTTTGAGATGTCGTTTCCATTCCAATCCTCCAATCCTCCGTTCCTTCATTCCCGGTATTTCTATTAGTCTTCTTCCATTCTTCTATTATTCCATTCTTTCATTCCTCAATCACTTAGTTCCTGGCCAAACAATAACAACCGGGACATCACTGTTAGCCGAGATCGACTCATCACAATTGATTTCCCCTCGCTTCGTTAACCCCCAACAACACCCTGGATCTCCCTTGACTCTGGCCCTGGAGTCTTCATTGACTCCACAAGTTCCACAACTCTACTTTTGATTGCGTCCCTGCAACTCATCTGCAACTCATCTGCATCCCTCACATTGTCCTGCCGCCAGGTCATCCACCCCATCTGATCATCCAATACAGTGTCGAGCGCCCGCCCAATTGGCGTCAAGTCTCCGAGATTCATTGAATCTTCCGATGCAGCTGGGTTGTTGCTGCGGTACCCACTGACCTGGACGCTGTGCCGCGTCCAATCTGGTGCTTGGACGGCACGTCAACGATGCACGGTACCTGCAAATTATGCCTGCAGCTATGATGGAAGGGAAAACTCAAAGGTGTTCGGCTGCTGGACAGCCCACTCCTGCACACTCTCGTTCTTTGCACTCTCGTCCTGCTGTATATTATACCAAACCTGCTTCTTCCAGTGTCTCGAAAGATCATTCGCAGCGTATGTAATATCTGCTTCCTCGCTACGTCGGTGGAATAGCCACATTCAGGCTCAGTAAAGCTGATTTGCCTCAGATCCATCGGAACGCCCGCAGCACCAATCGCTCTCTCGCGTCAAGGGTCGAGCAAAGATGTTCACTCCTCCTCGAATGAACTCGGAGGTCTCGTGGCTGAGAGATCAGTCACCGGCTCACTCTGCTCCAAGGACGCCGTCACGCTCCTGTGGTATGTCTACAGCTCCAAGTGCACTTTCTCGGGACAAAGAGTACTGACCCGGCGGATAAAGAAACACCTGAACCTGGAACACCTACATTAGTGAATCCTGCATCAGTGTTATTGCAAGATCTTCTCAAGGAACAGCGTGCGCATCGCAGCTCCCGAGGGGCCAACACAGACGAATGGGAAGATGCTCCGCGAACCCCAGAGGGTACCCGAACACTAGATGACGCTGGATCTGAAAAGGCGCGAAAGGTGAACGACGTCTTTAATGCGGGCTTGAAAAAGCCAAAGGAGATGGGCATTCGGGAAATGGATCAGGTATGTTTCCGAAAAAAATGATTGATATGCACAGGCTCATCATTGGTAGTATGTTTCGAAAATGAACAAATTGAACTTTGATTTGAAACTCGAAGTTTTTCATCGCGCCCAACAGATGGGTGCCCTTGAAAAGAAAGTGGAACGAATGGAGGAAATGGAAGGGGAACTTGCACGGATGCACGACCTGGAAGCTGAAATCGAAGAGCTTCGCGCCACCAGCAAGGAGAACCAAAGACTGCGCGAATCGAACGAGCAACTCCGAAGCGACCTTGACAAGCGAGACCTCGCAGTTACCGAAGCAGTCGAACTCATTTGTCAGTTAGAATCCAAGATTGAGGTGCTGGAGAATGGCGGACGAAGCTCGAGAATGAGTATATCACGACCAATGACCGCAGATGGCTCTGGAATTTCGACACCCAAGGCCCGCACTATGATCGAGATCCCAGAGAGGACCTCGTCAAAACGGAACTCCAGCATGATTACCCTTCCGAAACGGGACATCTCGTCTGAAATGCGGCAACTTTCGAAAGCGCCGTCATTCCTTCGAGCAGAACACAAGAGCACTGCAACTCTACGAAGTCTATATGAACCTGAAGAAAACCAATCTCACTCTATGCTGAGCCAACTTACCAACTCGGAAAGTTTCAACACGATGAGTGAGCTTGAACCTGAATCACCCAGGTTGAGTGTTCTCAGTGAATGCAGTGAGCTGGATCCGTTTGGTACGCCAACTCAATGGAGTCACTTTGATCGGATTGAGATCCCAGTTCGGAAAGCGTCCTCGACTACAAGCAGTTTAGACAGTTATGTCGCCCCTACAGAACGGGAAGAAAGTAAAGAGGATCAGATTGATCGCTGGATGCAGTCAAGGGAGAATGAATCGCAGACTATAATCACAAGGCGCAGGAACCGGGCATCGTCCGATGCCTCGAAGGCGGCTCTCCCTAGCCTAAAGGCAGACTTGTACTCTCCAAAGCCTCGTGGACGTGGACGATTGGATGCATCGCTCTTCGGAGGCGTCAGACTTCCTCCGACCCCGGATACTATGAGCACAGCATATGCTATCGGCACGAATCGCTCAAATGGCAGCATTGCAGCTCGACGGAGTCCAGTTGAGCATGACATGTACTTCCCTGGTAGACGGCTGGACCGTCCACGCTCGGCAGATGAAATGACTGCAAGTCGCCCAAGCTTTGATGGCAGTGAGGCCAACGTCAGCCTGCAGCCCAATTGCAACGATACTCCGCGCCCTAGCCAAATGACTCTTGAATCAGCTACTATCCTGCCAGCGTTTAATACCGTCTCTCCCAAAGCCAGCGAACTTCTCGGACCTGGGAGCCCTAACAACCCTGTGATTGAAAGCTTCGCGGGTTTACTCCAAAGCACACCCAAGCAAGCATCGACACCAACTATCACACGCATTCGCAGCCCAGTCAAAGCCATGACCCCAGAACCCCAGTCCAGGGACGACATATCACCACCGCTGACCCCACAAGACTGGATGGCAGCCGCAAAGCAAGGTCCACGTTCTCACAAAGGAAAGTCCCGAGAGACAGGTCTCGAAATTGGCGAGGCACCGCTGTCACCAGGGCCGATGCTAAGCCAAGCCGCCTTCCACGACGCCAGCAGCATAGTCTCGGCGTCAAGCAGCGAACCCGATGTTCCCGGCATCCCAACACTAGACATGAACACCCTGGACATTCTCGAACAACCCCTGGACCTCCCGCAAGCGCAAACAGAAATGAGCCCCGAGCCCGAAGCCCGTCGCCGCCTCAGTTTCCGCCCTCCATTCTTCAGCCGCTCCAGCAACAGCCCACGTGCCCTAACAGCATCCCCAACGCCCAATGACTTCGACGAAGACGACGAGGACGGAGCTCCATCCCCCATAATTCCAAAAACAAGAACCATGGGCGGTGCAGCACGCAGACCAATGTCTCAGATCTTGAGTGATTCATCAGGTCTATACAACCATCAGGCTATGCACCTACCGCTCCCACGGGAGGCATCGTACCAAACCCAGCCTATTCCCCAACCTCGGCCTCAAACTCGAACCATCCGCCCAGTAAACTTCCCCTCCTCCCAAACCGACCCATCCCTAAACAGCCACACCCACACCCACCAACCATCCGCAACAATCTCCGGCCGCCCATCAACATCCCACGGTCTGAGTCTAGGCACAGAACACAAGCGTCGCAGTTCGCTCGGTATCTTCGGCTGGATGAAGGGGAAAGCCCTCTCCAGCATTACCGACAAGGACAAAGCAGCTGAGCCACGCACGCTATCGAGATTGGCATATGAGCATGGTGACGGTGCCGGTGCCGGTGTGCGTGCTATGACTCCTGAGTCTTTTGAGGTGCCCGGTACGGTCGTCAGGCCGCATTCTGAAATGGAGGTGCTGGAGGAAGGGGCGAGAAGACCCAGGTATATGGGACGTCGGGCTAGGAGGGGGTAGAGCACAGATTTCATGATTTGTTATCTGTGAATTTGGATGTTGTTTGGGGTATGCTGCTATGTTGGTTGTCATTGTTTCCTTTTTTTCTTTTTCTGTATTATATGATACCCTCGTTTGTCTGTATACTATCGATATACAGTAGTAGGTGGCAGCAGTATGGTCACTTTGTCTCTGATCCTGTTTTTGATGTTTGCTTGTCTTTTGTTTGGGTTCGGGTCATGCGGATCATGTTTGCTCACTGCTCTATGTATTATGATGTGTTATATCGGGGTTTAGGGTAATCCTGCTGGCGGGATCTTAGGTATCACAATGTTTCCTGCTTAATTTGTGTTTACATTGTGAATAATGCAATCATCATTCAAATTAACGGGCGAGACTTGCTAAGCGGCTGGCCATGAATGCCTCTTATGTTGTGCATGCCCTGGGACCTAAAGCCCTGTGAGCTATAATATAAATGCGCCTAGGAAATAGATCAAAAGTCGAATATCAATTAAGATTTCATCCAAATAAACCTCGCATAAGAGACCACGCGCTGTGTTTCCCCATTACACATTAAGTCCAAACGCCAATGCCCTTTTTTTGTCGCTTTCCAAAACATCAGACTAAATACAACAACCAAATATGACATGCCATGGCATAACCAAGTAAAAGTCCCAAATAACCAGTGAGCCAGCCTAATACCAATTATTTCCTTTCTCCCCCAACTTCTTCTTCTTAGGATTAAGTGAAAGGACCCGCTGCCCAGGCAGCGTATCAGCGGTAAAAGCAGCCTCGAAAATGCTCGCAATACCACGCTTAGCATAATGCTCGAAAGAGTCATAATCATCTCGAGTCCCATTAACAGCACCCCACTCAATGACACCAGGCGTCGTCCCATCACCAAGGTCCGTCCAGCGCGTAACAACAATAGCCTGCTTGAAGCGACCATCCGTCCGGTCCTCACAGAGCTTGACCTCAATGAGATATTCTGACGGACACTCCGGACACCTCCGCATAGGCCTACAGAAGCCACAAAGCGTCGTCAAAGCATTCGGATCGAAAACCTGGCCCGCCAGACGGTCTTTCACGCGGTGCTCGAGACCCTGCAGCCCGGCCGTTTGCCGCAGCTTCGGGATATGCTCCAGAGCACATTTGCACGCGGGCATTAGCTCGCCGTCGCGCCAGTGGGCGCACGCGCTGAAGTAGGGCCAGTAGTCTTCGCGGCTGTAGAGGAGCATGCGCATGGCGGATGGCGTTAGGCCTGGTTCGGCGAAGGTCTGGCTCGTGACGCGCATTAGAAGATGGCCGTCGTGGATGTGGAAGCGGGTAGTGTGGGCCCAGTCGTCGCGTTGCCAGCGCCGGCTGAGCCTGTCTGGTGTGAGGCCGTAGCGGGGTCCGTAGCGGCTGTTGCGCATTGTGAGTTGGACGAAGGTGAAGGGGAGGAGACGGCCGTGCGTTATGCGATGGCGGGGTGGGGGGTTGCCTGTGTTTGTGGCGTTTGGGCAGTTGAAGAGTGGGTTTAGGACGTGGGAGGGTCTGAGGCGCTCTGTTCCTTCTTGGGTGCGGCGGTGGTAGACTGCACAGGGGACGCAGAGGAGGTGCCGCGGGAGGCCTTGGTCGAGGCCTGAGAGGAAGGTGACTTTGTAGGATATGTTGGAGGGGTGTTCGAGGATCGTGAAGTAGCTGGATCCGAGCCGTCGGTATAGGGTTATACTGGCAATTGCGAGGCTGGCTGCTTCCGCCGGATTGAGATATGATGCTATTTCGGCCCATAGCTTTGGTGGAAGACTGGCTATGTCGCCTTCGCCTGGTGGTCTGCGCTCGTAATATTCGTATGCTGTTCCGTTGTTGCCGTTCATATCCAATGTTCCGAGGGAATGGATGATCTCGGTATAATCTTGTCGCTCACCCAACTGGTTATCCACTTGAGCGTGCAATTCCCTATACTTGAGTCGGTGTGCATGCAATGGCGCCAGTTCTGGCATCGGAGGAGCTTCATCGACACTGGAGCGTGCGGCCAGCCGCAGGTCCGTAGTCGATCTGCCCTTGCGAAGAGTCTGGCGGGACTTCTTGGGACGTAAAGCATGATTCAAGAAGGCTTTGAAGCCATGCTTTTGTCCAGGGCTTTCCGCAGACATACTGGAGTTGGTGTGACGCAGCATCAATGGCACGAAGTTCTAGATTTAGAAAACTAGGGTCTAATGTTTCAAGATGGTGACGTGCGCCGCAAGCGGCCCGCCCGGCTTGACTAAGCCACAATGTGTGCCCGGCTGGAGCTTCAACATTAAGGGTTTACGGAGCGGAAAATTATATAGAGGGGCGGGGAAATCGTTCAATGGTGGGTGATATATTGGAAAACACATGCTACAATACAGGGGTAATTAAGCTCATTCATTATAGCATCCCAGAGAGGTGCTTAGGCAAAGCGCTTCTCAGCGGCCTTCCAGTTGATGACGTCCCAGATGGCGGAGAAGTACTCGGCCTTGCGGTTCTGGTACTGGAGGCTGCGGAATTAGTTAGTATGTATTTGTATCAACTCAGGAAAAGAGGTCTTACTAGTAGGCGTGCTCCCAAGCGTCAATACCAAGGAGGGGCTCGAACTGGCCGACGACGGGGTCCTGGTTCTATAAAACAGTCAGTAACTAGAAGCTCAAGATTAAATGATAGAGCACTTACGGCGTAGGTGCGAATGGAGATCTGGCCAGTCTGCTTGTCCTTGACGAGCCAAGCCCAGCCGCTGCCCTGAATGCCGGCCAGAGCGGCGTTCATCTTGCTCTGGAATTCACCAAGGCCACCGTAGGTGGTGTCGATAGCCTTGGAGAGAGCACCAGATGGGGGCTCACCACCACCGGCACTCTTGGGAGCCAGGTTCTCCCAGAAGAGGGAGTGGTTGAGGTGACCACCGCCGTGGAAGTTGATGGCGGGCTTGAGAGCAATCTGAGCGGCAATGTTGCCCTGGTGCTGAGCCTCCTGGAGCTGCTCAATAGCGGCGTTGTAGCTTGTCACATAGGTGTTGTGGTGGTTCTTGTGGTGCAGCTCCATGATCTTTCCGTTGATGGAGGGCTCAAGGGCGCCATAGTCGTCTTGGTTGGGTTAGTTGACAGACATACATGAAAACATGAGTTGAAGAGAAGTCTTTCAGAAGCTTCCCATGGTACTCGACTTACAGGAGAGGTCGGGCAGAGTGGCCTTGCCGCGGGCAAAGGTCAGACCCGCAGCACCGGCCTTGGAGGTAGCCGAAGCTCCCGAGCGGAGGGCAACGCGGGCAGTGTTGCTGAAGAGAGTAGCAGCCATTATGAAGTTGAATGAAGTATGTGAGTGTAGGTTGACAGGATGTGAGAAAAGAGGGATGTCAATGGTAGGTGAATGGGTCTTAAAAAAAAGGCGAGTGGACAAGCCGAGCTATGAAGTAACCGACCTTAACGTCATCTTGTTTTCGTCCGGGATTGGTTCTTCCGGCCCCGGATCTCCACGTGAATTTCATGAGCTTCGCTTTGCTTCTGATCTTTCTAGAGCACTACTTGCTTACCACGACACGGTTATTGATACGGGGAACTTTGTCTTGGCTCATTATTGCCAATGACCCCCTGAGGAAATGGAGTCGCCTTCATACGCTGGCCAAAAGCGCAAAGTCGCTGACGCCGATATGAGCTCTGAAGATGATGCGCCTCCCACAAACGGCTTCAAGGGATTCGCAAGAGCTGCCTCCCGATCTGAGTCACCCCCATCGATGGGCGGGTTAGGCAGTGGAAATCGAAACCCGCGCAACAACATGTCCAACACACGAGGCGGAGGCGCGTCGCGGGGAGGCAGAGGAGGCATGGGAGGAGGCGGAAACTCTTTTGCAGCGCGCATGATGGCAAAGATGGGTTACAAGGAGGGACAAGGTCTTGGAACTACTGGTCAGGGTATTGTCAACCCGATCGAAGTTCAAGCGCGCCCACAGGGTGCGGGTTTAGGCGCAGTCAGCGAAAAGTCGAAAAAAACCCGCGAGGAAGAGCGACGAACAGCCGCTCAAAAGGGCGAGATCCTCGAAGACAGTTCCGAAGATGAACGCCAACGACGACGCAAGAAGAAGGAGGAGCGCAAGACACAAAGCCGAAGCGGCACCGGTACACCAATCCAGCGGGCTAAGCCCAAGTTCCGGACAGCCCGCGAGATGGAGGATGATATGGAGGGACTTGAAGTGCCCAATGTTCTGAAATCGCTTGTCGATGCTACCGGAAAGGAACAACGCGTTATCACGTCCACCGCTGGCTTGATGTCAAGACAAGAATTCGTCAGCCAGGAGGAAGGAGAAGCACTGAAGATTGCTCGGAGGGCTCGAAATGATCTAGAAGCATTTGCAGACGAATGGAAAGGTCTGACCGAGAGGAAGAAGTTCATTGAGCTTGAAGAGGCTCAAGTCGTGGACGAACTGGACGCATATCAATCTCGAGTCAACCATCTAACGGGCTTAATCGCCGCAGTGGAAGAGCTGGACCTTTTCGAACACGAGGAAAGCGTCACATCCAAGTTGAATGAGATGACTGACAAACTTGAAGCTATGGAAACCCAATATAGCGATGCAATTGACGAACATCGCCTGCCAGAGACTGCAGTCGCTGCTCTGCACCCGCTATTCAGGCAGGCGATGGAGGAATGGGAGCCTCTTGAAGATCCAAACTTCCTCGTTTCCAATCTCACTCGTCTCCAGCCCCTTCTCAATCGCCAGCCGACTAAAGACGAACCGCGAAAGCGGTCATCCACGTCCCCTTACGAAACAATGATCTATACACTTTGGCTCCCACGAGTGCGCTCAGCACTTTTGAATGACTGGGACGTCTACGATCCATCCAAGGCAACCGCGCTGGTCGTGGCCTGGAAATCGATCGTGCCACCTTTTGTCTATGCAAATGTCCTCGACCAATTGGTCGTTCCGAAACTGGGTGTAGCTTTGAAAAATTGGAAACCCCGGAGTAGCCGACGACATGGTGCTTCCCAGCAAGACGGCAAGTTCCCTTGGTGGCTGTTCACATGGCTGCAGCACTTGGGTGATAGACACACAAACCCCAAACAGCCCACAGGTCTCATGTCTGACGCAAAGAGGAAGTTCCGCGTGGTGTTGGACACATGGAGTTTACGCAAGGGACTAATTGACGGCATCGAGCTCTGGCGAGATGCGCTCGGGTCTGAATTTGACGTGTGCCTACGCAACCACCTGCTACCGCGCCTTGCGCGTCACCTCCGCGAACATTTCATCGTGAATCCACAAGATCAAGAACTCACCGTCCTCGAAGATGTACTCCGCTGGAAGCCATTCTTCCAACCAAATGTGATTGGACTACTCCTAGTCTCCGACTTCTTCCCGAAGTGGCACGAAATCCTCTACATCTGGCTCACGAACGACCCGAACTACGAGGAAGTTGGCGCCTGGTTCTCCTGGTGGCGCACTCAGATTCCCGCAGAAGTCAACGAACTCACCATCGTCGACGAAGAATGGAAGAAGGGTCTTCAGACCATGGATCTTGCTTCCCAACTGGGAGACCGCGCCGGTACAGAACTTCCCCGTCCGACCAGTACACAGACTCAGCTTCCAACCCGGGAAGACCGGGTTGCCGAAGCCACCGCCGCCGCCGCAGCAGCAACTGCTGAACCCCGCAAGGCCCCTATCGTGGAAGAAGTCGCCTTCAAGGACATTCTTGAGAACTGGTGTTTGGAGCAAGGACTTATCATGCTGTCGTTGCGCGAGGCTCACCCGCAAAATGGACAGCCGCTTTTCCGTATCACGGCCAGTGCGACGGGCAAAGGTGGTGTTGTGGCCTTTGTCCAAGGCGATGTGGTTTGGGTGCAAAATAAAAAAGCCAAGGAGATCTGGGAGCCGATGGGGCTGGAGGATCAGTTGGTTGATCGTGCGGAGGGCAAATAAACAGATCATCGAGCACATATTCTAGGACTATGGATCTTTCAGAGAGTTTCGACGCCCAGCTTTTATATTCTCCTGTCTAGTACCTTGAGGTTCCAGTAGTCACTGTTGTAATGAATTTACTGCCAGTATAGCCAGTGTCCAACTTTGCCTATCCTTCTCTTCGTTCCAAAAGTAGCTTTCTGGAGTAATGAAGCACCTCAGTATTGCCCAGTGGCTTCATACTGCATGGATATCCACTCTGATCCCACGCAGGTGCCTGGGTGTCAGCAACATTTCCCTTCCCAGCTCATTCTGGTAGCTGATGCCAAGTTCGTCTCTGCCTCTGCCAAGACGGGTGGATCTTGGTCTAGTTCTTCTGCAGAGTCTGTTCCAATAGCCCTAACACCGACTCTAAGTCCGATTTTGACTCGGACTCGGGCTTTACGTCTGCTTCTAGCCAGCACTTCGGCTTCAGGGTTGATTAGTATTAATACTAGTACTGGTACTGATACTAGTACTGCTCCTACTAGGAATGGGATGAGTATTGCTGCAAGTCTTGGGTTCCATGTAATGATTGATTTGTACGGAATGTTGCTAGACAGGTCGGAATTAAGCATAAAACCTCGGACTCCGAATATAATTCGGACCGAGGCCGATATACGAACATATACGTAAACATGGAGATCCCAAGCCTTCAGTCCAAGTAAACAAAAGAACTAAAAACGCCTCCATCTCAGCCCGACCGATCTGACCAATCAGAGAGTGTCAAAAGTGCCGCAGCGGGAAAGCAAATCCAGCCAATCACAACGCAGACAAAGGTCAGCATCCCTTCATTCACCAATGGCAGTTGCTGCATCTCACGTTTCTCATCACACATCTCAACTGCGTCGCCTGCAGCAGCTAGTCCTGCAACACCACATTTGCTGACCTTTGCTGACAATGTGATTGGTTCCGAGACCCCCCCTTGACGAATGCATTTCCATTTTTTCCGACTTGCTCTGCACTAAGTGGACTGCTGTGTTTTGTTGAAGGTTGCTGAGACCGGTGTGCCACTGAAAGGAGAGTGTATTAAAGAGGGGGGTTGTAAGGCCGATCTTTGTAGAAGCTTTTTTTTCTCTCCATCTTCATAGTTCTTTGATAACTTGCAATCATCTTCTTACTTCCGGATATCAGTTCCATTCTTGGAATACCCCGATTGCCCTGAGCTTATTTCTTGGAGACTATCGTCCGTCGCTCTCTCCTTCAGACCTTTTACTTTCTGTAATTAACAGTCTTTGGCCCTGACGTCAGTTACGCCGCTTGCCACTGAGCTATCTGTACCTCAAGCGCCTGCGAGATATCGTGGAAGCAATTTGTCCGAGCATCTAGACCAGAGTTGACTTTCCGAGCCCTCAAAAGCGCCAAATCAACGTGACATATCATCGGAACAAAGATGGCGTTCCTCTTCATCAAGCAGAAACTCTTCCCAACACGGGAATCAGACAGACTACCAGCAGGTAAGCAAACGAAACCCAGGAGATCGAGATTCAACGAGTAATGCTGACTCCCCCTTCCAGGCAAACAACGCCTTCTAGCTCGCATCGATGACGACGAGACCATTCGGGGCGAGTCTGATCAAGACCTTGAGTCACAGAGCTGTCGATCCTACAATACATTCGGCAACGCCAGCCAGGACGAGTCCACAACAAGCAGTAGCAGCACTCGCTCAAGGATCAACCCGCGCATCGTCTCGGATGCCATCCTCGGTCTCTCAGATGGACTCACCGTTCCCTTTGCCCTAAGTGCGGGCCTGTCAGCATTAGGAAATACAAAGGTCGTCGTCCTGGGTGGACTGGCTGAGCTCGCCGCCGGTGCTATCTCGATGGGATTAGGAGGATACGTCGGTGCCAAGAGTGAAGCGTAAGTCGACCTCCATATCCGACATCAAGCCGGAAGAAACAAACGCTAACACAAAGTCCAGTGAATCATATCAAACAACCGTCCGCGAGACCCAGAAATTAATCCAGAATGATCCGCAAGAAACTCAGTGTATGGTTCGCGAGACTTTCGCCCCATATGGTCTCTCGGACTCTGCTATCGAGGATATCACACGCGACCTGCACGCCTCACAAGACCGACTCTGCGAGTTCCTGCTTACATTCCACCACCGTGAGACAAAGCCTGACTGCAACCAAGCCTGGACCTCGGCTATCACGCTTGCGCTGGGTTATTTCATTGGCGGGTTCATTCCTCTCATTCCTTACTTCATCGTCTCGCAGGTCATGGTTGCCTTGTACTGGAGTATCGGAGTGATGGCCATTACCCTGTTGGTATTTGGATATGTCAAGACCTGTGTTGTGCGCGGCTGGTCTGGACGTGACAATGTTCTTGCTGGTATCTGGGGTGGAGTTCAAATGTGCTGTGTTGGTGGTATTGCTGCCGGTGCAGCGATTGGGTTGGTGCAGTTGATTGATACCGGCAGTTCATGAGTCGATACCGTTGCTGCTATTCGATTCTGCAATGCATATGCGGAGTTTCTGTTTTCTGGTTTCATCTCTGCTCTGGGCGTTTGGGGAAAGGGAAAGCTTCAAAAGCTACATGACACTCACGACCATTTCTCATACTCATACTCATCTAACATAGCGACAAGTCTAATGACCTTCAATACAAGACTAATCAATTCCCTCCATGCTTGGATATCTAAAAACAACCAATATAAACAAAACCAACCGAACCCTCAATTCCTAAGAATCTCCTCCCAAAGCAATCCCAACCAACCTAACGGCATTATCCGACAAGGAAATCTTCAAAGCCTCCTCCCGTCCGCGCTCACTCATTTTCCCCCAAGTCTTCCGCAAGATATCAACCATCTTGCCCTCATCTCCAAGCTCCCTCTCAAACCGATCAAATTGATCATCCAAAAACACCAAACAAGCAACATCCTCCAGCGTCTGCGTATCTGCATCCCCCTTCTTCAAATCTGTCTTCTTCACCATCTCTCCAACCCGTTCTGCCTCCTCCACCGAATACCCATTCCCAACACAAATCCCCTGCACAATCTCCGCCTGGCGACGCTGTAACCCCGCGCGCCAGCTGTGGTAGCCGATTTTCGTCATGGGGTAGCTGTCCCGCGGTACTTCCCAGCGACGGAGGTGTTGCGCGCGGATTGCAAGACGGAGGAGCTCGTCGGCGTGAGGGTTGAGAGTTTCCAGGTACTTGGTCATTTTTTGCGCATAGTGTAGTTCGTAGGGGATTGGGCCGGTGGGGGTTTCGTGTTGGCGGGGGTCTTCGGAGTGGGCTGCGTCGATTTGGGAGAGGGATTTGTCGTATTTGGACATTTTGGCGGGCTAATTGCGCGGGGTTTGGTTTTGTCTTGGTTTCAATAGCTGCTTTATATATCGCAGTCTTTTGGTCTGTTTATGGGCAATTCGGGCTTATGATTGAGGTTGTTGCGGGAACTTGGCTTTCGATAAGATTATGCCGCTAGGTCGGATTCGGTTTAGTCGAACTGGTAATCTGGGCGGTTCTGATTGGACGAACTATATAGATCTTCTGCCTTCTTTTAGATGTGATTATTGGTGGAGGCAGAACTATGAAACCGAACGATACTGGAAAGCGATATATCTTGATCAAATTGGACGGACACCAGGAACATGGTGCGTGATCTCTACAATCTATCTATAGGACATGTTATTCCACATACTTTGCACAATCCGCAAAGGAAACCTAGATAACATCAGTGGCCTGCGGGGGATTAGCCTGCAAGGGAACTGTTCAAGTCGAGCCCAGCAATGTCGTAATTACAACAAGCAACGGAAACAAAATTACAATCATGCCCGACTCTTCGGGAACGCAAACAACTCCTGCGATCCATCCGAGCTAGGGGTGTCCACCTCATAAGTTTTTCCCTTGTCTTTGTCCTCAAAGATGCGAGCAACTTCTTCCAAAGACAGCCCCTTGGTCTCGGGGAAGAACAGGTAGATAAGAACCAGGAAAACGATCAGACATCCCAGGTACACAATAAAGTACCGCCAGTGGAGCGTCGCAAACGCCACGGGGTTCATGAACTGGTTAATAAAGCAAGCAAGGGAATCAGTCGTCAACGTAACAGCAAGACCTTTGGCGCGTAGCTGGAAGGGTAAGATCTCAGCTGGGTAGGCGATGAACAGTGGCATGTATGCCATGTCGTAGCCAGCGCAGAAAAGGAATAGCATGGGGACAACTGCTATGCCAGCTTCCAGGACGCCGAGCTCTTGGAAAAGTCCTGACATGGTCGTTGCAGCGGCAAGATAGATCAGCATCAAGGTTGTCGCGATTAGCCATAGTTTCCGTCGTCCGTAGCGGTCTGCCGCCATTGCTCCACCGACCGCAAACATCAAGTTCCATACTTGCATGCTAATATTGATGGCGGCTTGGTGAGATGCGTTATAGATACCCACAGATTGAAGAATTGGGGCTAGGTAGTAAGAAACGACACCTAGAAGTATGTCTCAGCACAGTGATTCTGATAGAAGAATGGGAAGATATCTTACCGTTTCCAGCCCATTCCTGCATGAAACCGAGTAACACGCAGATGGACAGCCGGTGCATATCACCGCGAGTCTTGAAGAAAGAGCTCCACCGCCGCGAATCTACATCCGCTTCGGCATTGATACTCTTGCAAATCTGATAAAATTCATCCACGACCAATTCATCAGTCTCATCACCGTTTGCGTGGTATTTGGCCAAGATAGCCATGCCCTCGTCTTTCCTGTCCCTCGACACCAGCCACCTCGGACTTTCAGGAACAAAGAACAACCCAATAAGCTCGAAGATTGGATAAAAGATCTGCAGCAAACACGGCAGTTTCCAGGACCAGTTCCCTGCAACCCACAGGCTGGCAAATCCGACCGACGCCGACGTTATCGATCCAATGAACCATAGCGCATTGTATAGACCGGTGAAGGCCTGTCGCTGCCTCGGATGGGCAGATTCGGTAATGAGAAGTGGTGCGGCAGTTTGTGAGATTCCGACGCCCATTCCTGCCAGGACTCGTGCACCGAAGAAGATCCAGTGGTTCTGAGATGCGATTTGGATTATTCCGCCGGTGATTACTAAAGCTGAGCCGATGGCGACGCAGATCCGTCGGCCAAAGTTGTCGGCGATGTACGAGCCTGGGATAAAGGAAAGAAAAGAACCCAGTGAGACAGCTGCGATTATGAGACCTCTTGTATTTGCCTCGAGACCGCCGAGGAATTTGTTGACTATCGACATAGTTAGCATTCCTGCTGTTCGCGTGGTTCATCTTGATATACAGATTGGATTGGCATCGTACATTCGGGCAGCACGAGGAGTCCATTGATCATGCTAGCACAATATCCAGAAGTAGCTGACGCAGACAGCATAAACCCAATACCAAGGTTCAACTTTCGCAAACCACGATCTTTCATCCAGCTCTTGTTAGTATTGTTCTGCAAAACCACCTTAGGTTCCGAAGAGGCTGCCATGATGTCGGCAGGGCAAAAAGATCTCGATTAAAAAAAAGCTCCGAGAACCGAACCACTGGAGCTGTCAAGCTCGATTTATTTAAAGGCTAAAGACTAATTGTCAAAAAAAACCTCCGAATAGTAACCCGCCTCTACATTCCTGCCATATAGCTAGGACGTGAGCTTTCCGGGTAGGGTTACAGCTGTAGCTAAGGAGTTGGAATGTAGGGTGAAAAGTCAAATGATCCGATCACCGGACAATTTTTCTTCGTTAGCTCAGATCCAAGAGCTTTGCAGTGTACACGCTTGTCAAGCATGCCTGATAAAGCGTGTTGATTGGAAGGAAGAGCTTTCAGGGGTTTGGCAAGCTCGGTGCTTGAAGAATGTTCATAGCTCCTCACCTTTGGCCGCGGGGATCTTTCCCGCAGTTGCCTGGATCTAGCTTAACGCATCCTGGAATAGATCCTGTATGGATGCCCTTGATCATTTTGATTCGCAATAGATCGACTTCGCAGAGACCTTGTCTCTGGGGAAACGCTGTAAGGAAGAGTAGTCCCCACGGAGTACGACGACCTTCTATCTTGTGCTTCGTTCCTTTGTGACTTGATTTATGAACCAGATCGGTATATCTCTGTCCGTGCAACGTCACCTGTTATTTCAAAAAGTCAGTTTTGGGCAACTCGTGAAATCGAGACGCGATAACGTGGAATGATGCTGCTGGGCTTCTGACGCGCTTAGCCCTACGCCAATCGGAAACTTATTTAATTTCCGCGCTGGCTATTGTCTCCCCCTTTCTTTATTGGGAGAGGTCATAGCAGATTCGTACGAAATATACTTTTCTGAGACGTAAATATGACGGTTGGTATGAGTTCATTTGGTCTGAAAAACTTGTCGAGGCTGGGGAAGATCCGGAGATCTTTATAAGCATTGACGTCTGGCCAGCCTTAAAATTCTCGACTTTCCTTGTTTTGTTGAGTCATCTAGTCGCTCTACTTCAAGAAGTGAGACTTATGAACTCATATTATTGTAGTCCTGCCGCGCGGTATGTTACATCGGAACTGCGAATTAGGGCTTCCCAGAAATCTGAGGCAACTGCCTTCTGTGTTAGAACGCTCTTATGAAAAGATATAAAGCGTATATTGACAGCTCTGATCATTGAAGCTTCTACGAGGTAATCAAATCTCAATAATAACCTCAAAATATTACAAAACAAGATTTCAAAACTTATGTAATAGCCACTTAGTTCCTTCTGCGGAGCATATTAGATGAACGCATATCTTGGAAGTAGATGCTTGATTCATTAAAACTTGGCTCTGGTACAAGAAAATGAGATTATCTTCCATGTATCAATATTACCTACTACGTGTAGTACTGTCAATATATATTCAACCTCAAACTTCGATATACAATGGAGATGCGTATATATATGAGGTCGAAGAAGAGTGTAAGGAAGAGCACCCAGCATCACAAAATATGATCAATTGCGTAACTTGAATTAATATGGAGATTAGGGGTCATTTAGGTAATCCAGGAGCTCTATCTAAGTAAAAGAAAATTGATCTCACTCGTAGTTCAGGCTGAATTGTTCGGCTTTCTCGTATAGAAGAGCGGGCCGATTACGCCTTTGAGCCGCCACCAAAGTCAAGGAAACAAATTTCCGACAACTTTGGAAAATTCAACGGAATCTTACAAGTCCCACATCAGAGAGAGAAAAATGCTTCGGCAATAAGCTCCTGAAGGAGTACATGAACGCTGTTGGCCCTTAGGGATCTTGGCAGGTTGAGCGGTATATAATTTTGCTACTTGAGTATATTCCGATGATCAATACTTTCCCACTCTGGCGTGAGACATCCCAATTATGATCCCAACACTCGCATATCACTCGCCAATTCAATGATGCCAAGATAATGTGTGCAGGCACTGCCACCACGCCAAGGCGCTGAGAGTGTTCCGGACACCGGATATCTTGGCACGATAGTCTTGGCCTTGGTATCAGATCGATCAGTACCCCTTAAGTCCTGGATCAAAGTTAAGGTTTTTTTCTTCTCGCTCTTATCTGATCTTTCTGGCTGCTACTCAATAATAGTCCCAGGACCAGCTACTCAAAATGACAGAAGACGACCCTCTCAACCTCAAACAATATAAAATCGAAATAACCGAACAAAAACGAAATTGGGTCCCAAGTTTCGGCGACGATGAAAAGCTCAACGGCTTTTACAAAGAGCAAAATGAGATGATCGAAGGGTTCCTCTCCAGTGGCGACGAAGAACGCCTCAAAGCCGAAGATGAAGCCCAGAATGGCGGCAAAGTAAAACTCGCCGTGCGCGCCAGCTTCGTCGTCAACTTCTGCCTCTTCGTCATTCAACTGTACGCCGCCGTTTCTACAGGCTCCCTGGCACTCTTCGCCACCGCCGCCGACGCCTTCATGGACCTCGTCTCGTCGATAGTCATGCTCGTCACATCACGCATGTCCTCCCGACCAAAGCCATACAAGTACCCTGTTGGACGTCGTCGTGTTGAAACAATGGGTGTCATCATGTTCTGCGCGTTAATGACTATTGTGGCAATCGAGTTGATCATCGAATCGGCCAAGTCGCTCGCCGGCGGAAAGACCGAGTCGGAACAGTTGAAACTTGTCCCGATTATATGTGTGGGTGTTGCTATCTTCTCGAAATTTTGCCTGTTCCTGTATTGCTACAGCTTGCGCCGGTACCCAGCAGCTCATGTATTCTATATTGATCACCGCAATGATCTTGCTGTTAACGGGTTCGGATTGATCATGTCTATTGTTGGTGATCGGTTCGTTTGGTACCTTGATCCTGTTGGCGCTTGCTGCATTGCGCTGTTGATTTTGTTCTCTTGGACATCGACGGCTTTTGAGAATGTGTGGTTAATCGTGGGGAAGTGTGCTCCACGTGAATTTGTCAACAAGTGCATTTATGTTGCTTTGACTCATGATCAGAGGATACAGAAGGTTGATACGGTGAGTCTTCAAGTGGCTAATCTTATCCTGAGTAGTGGCTGATCCTTTGCAGTGTCGCGCTTATCATTCTGGTCAGCAGCTCTATGTCGAGGTTGATATTGTCATGGACCCGGAGACTAAGCTTCGAGAATCTCATGATGTAAGCCAGGCCCTGCAGCGAAAGCTGGAAGGTCTTGCGGATGTTGAAAGGGCCTTTGTGCATGTCGATTATGACTATGAGCATGATATAAACGAGGAACATAGGCCGCTTTATGATTTAGGTGGATCGGGCCACTCTATCAGAGCTTTGATCAAACGTTTATGGACCAAAACCCAAAAGCATGACCCGAATGGAGCTGTAGTATAATATATTGGTATCTTGTGCTGGCTGCACTGTTAATGAAAGAGCAAGGATTATAACAATACAACATCTAAGCATAGGATCATTCCTTAAATGTGTTCCAGTTCTGAGCGACATCAATCCTCAACAGCACAATTCTCTTCGTCCTCTTCATCATATTCGATGACCATGACCTTTCGTCCTTGGTACCATGCAGGCCCGATAAGCTGGCCCGAGTCTGGAACACTGATATCGAACGGAAGTCCCTCAGTTACAATTGAATCGTCTGATCCAGAACTCAAAAGCTGACGCCGTCGAAAGTCTTTCTCCCAGTTACGTAGAGAGACATTCCGTCGTAGAGTTGGCGTTGTTAGTGGGGAGGCCGCAATCGCCTCGGCGAGCATTTTATCGAGCCACATGATAATTTTGGCCTTATCAAGACGCCAATCGAAAATCACAGAAGAAAAGAGCCGCCGTTCCGAGTCCATAAACCAGAACATATATCTAGTACTGTCAGTCGTGATTCCGAAAGCAATAGCATGGATCTTTTTGATTTTAGTCCGACAGTCCTGTATAGCTGCGAGATAGGTAGCTATTTGACGGTCGGCAGAGAGTAACTCGCAACTCCGCTTAGCCTCTACAGCAATCAACGCCGAATCAATACCGTATTGGGGGTCATCATGGCAAAGGAGCCAATCGGCACGGCCAGTGATGTACGTATTTCCACGTAAAAGATTGACATCCACCTCCGGATAGAGATGAAGATGTTCAAGCGACCCTTTGTCAGAAAGATGATGAAGCCGGTCAAGAATAAGTAGCTCGACAACGACGCGTACAGAAGCTTCCGAGTTATTGATTGTGTGGTATTGAGAGACTTGGAGTTGGTGAATAACATTGTCCACATCAGGGGAGAGGTTAGCTGAGGGAGAGTTATCGATATCTTGCCTATTCCAAAGATCCATCGGATTATGTGTGATCTCTAAAATAGTGCAGGCCTCTTCGAGGGTTTTGAAATCCCTTGCAGCATAATGGACGCCGACGGGGTTCTTTGCAAAGGCGAGTTGTTGCATCAAAGGAGATAATACTGTAAGCTGTGCGGCCGCACGAGATCGGATGACAGGGTCATCGCTATTCATATCAGTGAGGATATCCGGAAAACGTTTTAGTGGCTCGATCATGTTGGAATCAATCATAGGAACAACTTTTCGCCGCTTATTTGACCGGAAAACCTGGCTTGGCGCTTGGCCTGACGTTGAGGAATACATGTTTAGCTCTGATAGATGAAGTTGTTGAATGGTTGGTAACTGGTGACCTCGACAAAGGCAATGACAACCTGTGGGTCAAGACGACGATCACGAGACAGCAAGAGCGGCTAACAGATCTGGGTAGGCGGTCAGGGGCAGCATATCGGCCAACTGCATGTAGAGACGCATAGAATTGCTGGATCCTTGCCCAATGCATAGACCACATCGAAGAATAATTTTTGTCGTTCCCAGGGCCTGCAGATAATGTATTCCGCTTACAATTTCAATTACTTCCCAGGTACAAATGTTCAGACAAAACACTCTAATTGGATTCCGAGGTCTCCACCACAGCCCTGGACGAGGCTCTTGGGTGAGCCTGAGCAGAACTATAGAACTTGCTTATTACATTGGGTGTTATATGCTCTTGACAATGCAATATGAAATAGCAGAAACTCGTTATCAATTGATATGGCCATAAACGACTAATTCATAACCGCAGCAGTACAAAAGCCGCAAATCTCGAATAGCTAATAACTATCACTCGCCAGACATAGCTGCATATATCCAAATCAACCTTCCCTCTTCTTAGTTATCGCAAACATCCCATACGGCTTCACACTGAAAGCACCATTAAAATTCTTCCCTTGGATATCAAGTGAATACGCCTTATCCGCCAACTCAAAATCGACCTTTTGAATAATGCCCACGAGCGTATGAAGCGACCACTCCCAAGCATAATGGGTGCCATAGCAAGAGCGCTTGCCATTCCCAAAGCCCTTCTTGACTCCAACAGGGAGTCGATCATATGCCTCGCCGAGCATGCGCTCCGGTTTGAATGCATTGGGGTTCTCAAAGACAGTGGGGTCTCGATTGACGGCGGACAGAATTGCAAGCACTGGTTGGCCTTTCGGTAGTTCGTACTCTCCTCCTGCGAGGAGAACTGGTCCTTGGATGGATGGCAGAGACTCGATATTGAGGCCTGGGGCTGTGGCGCAGAGACGCAATGTTTCTCGGAGGACGGCTTCGCAGTAGGGTAATTCCGAGAGATGATGGTGCTCGAGGGGGCTGGTGGGACCGACTACAGCGTCTAGTTCCTTTCGGGCGCGCAGCATTGTGTCGGAGTTCTTCGCTAGGTAGTATAGAGCGAAGCTGACTAGGTTAGGACAGGTCGCGCTGCCGATGAAAATGTTGATTATCTCGTCAATGATCCTGTCGTCTGGTAGGGTTTCCCCAGTCTGCGGATCTTTGCCGTTAATTAGGGCATGGAGAAGGTCGTTCTTTTCGACTGGGTTGTTACGTCGGTTGGCAATTATTTGCGCACAATAGTCACGAGAGATCTTGATATCCTTGTCGAAGGTCTTCTGGTACCAGAGCCAGGTAAGAAGTTTTGGGCGTGAAGGCCGGCGAACAGCTTCAAAAGTTGTGTCAATCATGGCTTTGATGGCTGGGGGCTCTGTTCCTAAGACACAGTCCACGCGCTGACTGAAGAAACATTGTACATTGGCCGCATGGTTCAGCCGGTCCAAGTCATTGGTCACATCCACGCGCTTTGGGGTACCGTCAGTCGAAGTCCACTTCTGAATCAAGTCGTCTAATGTCGCCGAGATATCGTCGTGCATCTCTTTGACAGCTCCGGGTAGGACAAAGGGGGCCATGATGCGATGTGCGATTCCCCAGCTTTCCTCTGTGGCATACGCAGTGAAGAGACTATCGTGTGCAAGATGGCGGATCTCAAACATGGCGCCGGTAATGCATTTCTGGAAGCGCTTCTCGTCGCAGATCTCCTCCAGAAGGGCCGCGCTTGTGATGAAGATAAGTTGCTTGCCTAGAACTGTGATTTTGAAAATGCCTTTGCTACCATGCTCTGCAGCTAGCTTGTTGAGAGAAGCCCAGACATTCTTGGCATCCATATCAAAGAGGTTTCCAACAATTGGAAGCCCCGGAGGCTGGGGAATTGGTGAAGGCATCGTGTGTAAGCACAAAGATAGGGGTGGTGGAAGTGGGTGTAGAGACAGCGTCTGCACTTTTATATAGCTACCGTCACATTTCTGCAGGGCACGAGCCAGTGTGACAGCATCTAGCGAACCTATTGACCCGCATGATCATGAATAGCAGCTGTTTCAGTGGCTGATATGCTGTGTGACGGCATACTAGCTCCGACATTGGCATGGGCAAGGGAATAATTCTTTGAGATTGGAGCCTAGGGAGTTTCGTGTCATTGGCTTGGAAATGTCAGCGACTCTGACTTTGACATGAGTGGAACTGCAACGGTCACGGTAAATGTGCAGCTGAGGGCTGAGAAGTCCCCCACAGACCCGCCACGCATGACTAGGGTCCTTTTGTCCCTTGGCACATTCCTGAGAATTCCTGACTATTGGGTCAGTTTGCCAGGCGGAATGGGGAGTCATATTTATAGAAGTGGGAGGTCATGACCGCAGAGATCTGTGAATAGCGTTAACTATTCGCAGGAATACAAAATGCCTGATCTGGTCGGCTACAATAGCCTCAAGTTGATGTGGGGGACTACTGCATTTTCTCAACTATTGCAGGTGGCTGCATTGGCTAGCGCTTTCTTCTCTCGCTCTTGGGTCTTCAAGAACTACTGTACGTGGATTGATTTCAAACGGGGCCAGGGTTGTTCGGCAGGTGTTGGCAATCAGGGCTGAGGAAAAAAAGGACACCGTTCAATGCTGAAGTATTTTCTCTTTTCTCGCCAATAAATAAAAACCTCCCAACATTTGAACATATCCAAGTCTATAATAAACATTAAACCACCATAACAAAAGAAAAATTAAAACGATTTCAGCCCCCGGGGAATCTCCACGGCAGTAGGGGCATCAGAAACACGAGAATCCGGTCTGGACTCAGGATGAGGCATAGTTGCCTCGACATCAACATTAGCAGTGTCCGGCATCGGAGACTGGAGACCCTGATTGGAGTTGAAAGCCTGGTTCATGGTATAAGCCTTGCTCAGGAGACTAGTCAATAACCCAAGCACAGCAACACCACACATTACAGCCCAAACAATCGACAGCGCCTTGGAATAGAGGCTCTCGATCAAATGTCGTTCATCTGAGTGAACAGGTAGCGACTTGATATACTGAACCAAGCTTGACGCATCCTGCGCATACGCCTCCGCCGTGCGACCTAGCTCGGGATGACTGTGGAACTCGGCCTTGATGCGGTTTTGGAAAACAACGCCGCCAATAGCGACGCCGATGGCTTGACCCAGTACTCGGAAGAAAGAGGTCATGGTCACCGAGATGGACAGATATTCACGGTTGGCGGCGGCCTGTACAGCTAGCATCACAGAGGGGTATAGGATACCCAACCCGACTCCTGGGACTAGGTTGAGGAAAATCCACTTCACAACGCTTGTTTGTGGGTCGAGAAGGTACAGGACTCCCAGTCCCAGGGCGGAAAGAGGCCATCCAGACCACAAGGCCCATCGGTAACTGCCTGTTTTCGCCGCTGTGATGCCAACAATCACAGAGATCGGGGCTACTGTGAGACACTCGGGGAAGACGCCAACACCTGCGATGACTGGGCTGTAGCCGAGGACACCTTCGTAGTACAGAGGTAAGTAATAGACGATGGACCACAGTATGATGCCGTGGAGGAAACAGCCAGCATAATTCGCCGAGACTGTTCGGTTGCTGAAAATGACGATTGGGATGAGAGGGTGGGAAGCTACCAGAGCCTCATAAAGAGAGAAAGCAATCAGACCAGCGATACCGAGAATCAGTGGTACCAATGTGTGCCAGGAACTCCATGAGTACATGACTCCTCCCCATGTTAACGGGATCAAGAAAGAAGTCAGTGAGGCGACAAACAACACACATCCCACATAGTCGACTTGAACGAGACTTTGGCGCAACGAAGCAGGCTCCTTCTTTAGCCTGAGGAAAATAGGAACGAGTACTAGTCCCAGACCACAGAACGGCAGGTTGATCCAGAAGATCCACCGCCAGGAAGCAGACGATTCAGCAAATCCTCCACCCATCAGAGGGCCGATGACTGTTCCTAAAGCCCAAGTCCCAGAGCGGATGCTGAACCATTTGCCTCGTTCCTTGAGTGGGATCAGGTCTGCGATCAGGACCTCGGTCAAAGCCATGATACCACCTCCGCCAATACCCTGGATCGATCGACCGACCAGCATTTGAGCAAATGCGCGAGAAAGAGCGGCGGTGATCGAGCCAGCTGTGAAGGCCAGGACAGCGACCCAGAGCGCGATCTTGCGTCCAAAGATATCGGATGATAGAGAGAAAAGAGGTTGGCATACGCAGGATGTCAGAAGGAATGACGTTCCTGCCCAGAAGGCTTCCGTGGCTGTTCCACCGAGATCATTGGATATAATCTAGTTAGGGTATGTTAGTGCCGAGCAGATCATCGAAGAGAATGTACGCACTGGAAGTGAAACTGATATAGATGTAGCATCCAAAGCAGCCACGAAGTTCAGCAACCCAACCACGCCAAAGATACACTTGAGCTGCCAGTTTGGACGAAACTTATCTCCATCATCCTGCACACTTACAATCGCAGTCTTTTCCGAGGAAGCCATTTGATAGACAGACCCGATCAACCACAGTTATTTAGTCTATACAACCCGAGGAACACACAAACTCTTATAGATCCCACAACCACCAAAATAACCTCTCGTCGCGTATATACCTTCACAACCCAAATTCCAGGCTGATCGCTTATCGCTCCCTCCGCGCCAAAGAGAAACCCTTGGGCCATACTTGTCCATGCACCGCCTGAACTCCATGCGGCTCGGCATCAATACTGACGTAAATCCGTGCACGGGACTGGAGGGATCAAAGCTTGGTTGGGCTTAAGCGTTCAAGACTGTACAGTACACATGGCTTGCCTGCCAGAAGTTGGCTGTCTACCCGACGTTAGACAAGTACAGTCAGTAGATCAGCTCGAAGGAACTTCGTATCGCTGTGTGGCGTCTCTGTGCTGCACTAGTCTCGGCAAATGCCACTCAAGTAGATTTTCCCAGTCTTGAATCAGTACATTTCAAAAATCGACAGCTGAATCGTTTGAGATTTCTAGGCGCCTCGGGTGAAACAAAGTATCAAGTATGTAATAAATCTAGATGTATGTCGTTGTTTGCATACCTCGAAACGAGGCATCCCAACTTACTGTATTCGGCAACACACCGATCTCAATACCATCAGCCAGAGAACCCACAGTGGAAACAAAGAAGCCAAAGTGTCTCAAATCATCTCCCAAGCTCCACCATCTCAAACTGTAGAATCAAGCCTCAACTTGGACTCTTCCGAATGTCGAAACTCGGCTATCTCCGTGAGCCCACACCAAACAGCTCACAACCTCGCGCCTAGCCAGATCGGACCGAATCAAGCCTCACGATTTGACACCCCATGTCTGATCCCAGCTGGTGCTGACGCAGAGACCCTGGAGAGATGAGATGTGAGATGTGAGCATTGAGCGCATCAAATCCCGGGTAAACAAATAGTTACCGCCCAATCGGCGGCTGCAGGAGTCCGATTGACAGCCAATCGGTGCTAGTCGCAAAATCGCTACTTCTACTGTTGGAAACTGTGAGTTGGCAGGGAGTTGGAAGTGGATCCTTGAAGGGATGTGTGATTGGGGCATTGCTGCATGTTTGATTTGACCGCGTTAGTGTGGTGTGTAGAGTTGGTGCTGGGTTGGCATTTCTGGATGTGGCTGGCGGAGGTTTGGGCTTGAGCTTACTTTTTTTTTTCTTTCTTCCTTACGAGGTCGGCGTCGCCGAGAGTGTCAGCCTCCAAGCCTCTTTCTTGGGGATGTTCTGTTTGTTCTCGAGGCCGGTTTGAGGCAGCGGATCTGGGCCCGAAAACCACCCGGGAGTTTTCTTGAATCGGTAAAATTATGCGGTGATTTAACGTCGGGGTTAAGGGTCAGGCTATTTTGGTTCTTGGCTGTTGATCGGGAGAAGATTAGAGTGCTTGGGGGCTGTCGACAGCTATATGAAATGGAGATATCTCCCTCCCCAAGGGTTGTGTTTGCAACTTACTGTTGGACTTGGCACACACCTCGCATTCATTTCTCCATCTACAGTCTACAAGGGGAATTTCAAGTCATCTATTGAATCAATTGACTAGCTCTTCTGGCGGACTAGTGCCGACATCGCAGAATGAAATCTCCACGCCGTCAAGACATAAGTCCCGAAGGTAAAAACCAATAAAAACATCGAGGGGTGACTGTGACACTCCTAATAATCATTGATGAACACAGCAGTCCATCCAGTATGTCGGCGGAACAGGTTAAAAAAAGAATAAAAAAGAACCAAGCATAATACAACACCGTTTGCGGCAAAGAAACAACCAACCATTACAACAATGGACATCTCGAATAGCTGTGCGCGAAAAAAAAATAACAAAAGGACGAGGTGAAAAGAAACAGACCGTGCAACGTAAAAGCAATTGATCATATCCATTTTGGATAACTTTGTTTCCCACCCTGCCAAAAACGCCGATTGATGAAAGCCGGGTATATCCAGCACCGTGATGCAACATGTACTGAGAAGTGGAAAAAGACAAGGCAAAAAAGAAATCAGGGGGGAAACAACGTAGGCTTCATAGGCCCATGACCTGCATGAGAGCAAGGTATGGCTCGAGCCATCGCCCCCTCCGGTGAATATGGGCAAATGGGGAGGGGGTTCATCGGATGGGGATAGAAAAGAAACAGAAACAGAACTAGAACCTGCTTTTTAATGACCCGGAAAGACCACATAGGAAATCATTATCTGGCCCCGATACCAAACATGCCTACCCCGTAGCTACCACTGCTAGACATTGGGGTTGACACCTTCGCGACATGGTCCTAATTGGGGTGGTTAGGATGGGCGGTGGACCACACTTGAATTTAGGTCCATACCTTCTTGCGTTTCTTCTTTCCAGCTCCCTCGCCGTTCGAATAGAATCCGGGGTCCTCTTCATCATCCACGAAGCCTTCGCCATAGCCAGCGAAACTGTTGTCATCATAATGCCTCTTACGACCTCTGCTGGGCCTCGGCCGTTCTGCCTCTTGTAGTTGTGGATGTGGAGATGCGGCATGGGATTGCATAAAGGGACGACCGCTTGGAGTTGGAGCTGCCTTCTTGCTGTGTTCGTTAGAAGCAGGCTGCTTGACTGGCTTTTCATGACCGAGGATATCCTCCCAGAAATCGTTGTTGGGGATCTGACCAGGCTCCATTTGCATAGCCCGTAGTTGAAGACCTTGTAACGCGCTGTCCATGTCTGAACTCTTGATCTGCTTGCCAAACACCTTCTGGTTTTGCCATTCTTCCTCGGGCCAAAGAGTCATATGCCTGAGACTACCAGGCGCGCCAGGTTCCTGCTTGAGGGGTTTGTTCCGACCAGCGAGTCCCAATCCCTTCAGTTTGCCCTCGTAGGACTTTCGTAGACGATTGATTTTTTCTCCAGTGACGGGGTCCAGTCGTGCTACCGAGTGCGCAATGGGTCCTAACCCATATAGGGAGACGAGATCCACTGACGGATCGGGGCCAGTCACGATGGGAGCTGTCAAGGTGGAAAAAGCAGTGTTAACAACTTCAGTTCCCAAAAATTGCAAGGATTAGTGAATCACGCAGATGCCCACGGCGGACACCACGCTCCATTGGGGAAATCTTACAGCTCTTGCAAAGATGGAAAGCAGATGTCAGCTCCTTCTGAAGAGAATCTAACCCGAGGTTACTGATATCTAATCCGCGAGCAGGCTCTGTATCAACCTCCATAGCGTCAGGATCCGAGTTTTGCTGGCCTCGCCCAGTTGTGTTTGTATTGTTTGGCAAAGACTGCCGTTCGTGGTTGGTGTGGTTGTGTTCTGATGAATTCTCTGTCACGTCGTGTGTGTTCATATTGAAAGATTTTCTCCCGTCCTTGTCATCCCCCGTCGCGTTCAAAGGATAGCCGTTAACACTGCTGGCAGGTGTAGGAAATGAGTTTGTTGAGCTCATTGGTTGTTGTTGAGAGGCTTGAGTGGACATCGGCGCAGAGGATGGAGGGGAGGATTCGTTCGGAGGGTGGACCGTCGCCTGATTCGGTGATGTATGCGTAGATGTGAAATTGGCGGCATCGTTCTGATCGCTAACCGACATCAACGGAGGAGATGTCGGAGTCTGAGGGATGTGGTCCGAGGAAATGGGCAGCCGATGGTTCTCTTTCAGAGACCCCGTGGCGGGCGAAGAAGGCGAAGGAGGTCTTGCTTGAAAAGATGCTGGATGAGTGCGATCAGACATGAGAGCCCGGTAGACAGTTCAGCATGCAAGAAGGTATGAACCAGAGCGGCTCTGGATCCAAATCGCAAACTTCGATTCCTGTGTTTGGAGAGGGGGTCCCGGTCGACGATCGACGGTCGCTCAAGCAGACGAGCAGGTCCTTGGACAGTCGACCTAGATCATTTGCATTCCAGGGGACCAAGATGAGTCCCGACGGGCAGTAGAGATTGGGTGGCTGATGGGTGGCTGTGGTGAAGGAGGGTGATGATGGAGACGATCCTGTAGTCAAAGGAGGATGACGGATTGGTCTTCACGTGATCGGGCCTTGGCACCAAGTCTTTCTTGGACGATCTGTTCGGTCTATAGACGATTGATGTCTTGCGTTGATGAGGTTTCTGGGTTGAGTGAATGCGACAATAGGGTCGAATCAGTGCTTAGACTACACTCAGACATTTTCAGTTACTCGGATATTTTGACGTCTTCCAACGCTGTAGTCCTAGTAACCAGCCCTTACTCCACACGCTATTAGACACTATAGGGCGTATTGCCACCACCAACAAAGAAACAGTCTGACAGATAATGAATAGACCGAGTTGCTCTCATTTACAGAGTATCATTGGGATGTGAGATTTCATATTCATCCAAACAAAGGAATCCGACAATAGGTAACCTTGACGAAGAAAACAAAAATTACATCTTAAACCGGGGATCCCAAAGAGAGAGAGAAAAGAGTACTCCCAAGGCTCTGACTTCCGCATCATGAACAAACCTCGGGGTGTGCGAACAAAATTACGTGGACGCCGGAGGTCGGGTGGCGAATTGCGGCCTTATCTTCGCCCATTGTTACCACAAAATATCATCAGTCATGAATGAAATAGTGTTTTAAAATGATGATAATAATAATAAAAAAACAATTAAAAGTGGTATCTCTTGCTAACATAAACTATTCGCCAAACAGCTAACTAACCAGCATCTTATGACTGATAGAAAGCATTGTACTCATTCACCAATTGGGCAGATACATCGGGTATATCGTGCTCAAGAGATGCCAAAAGCTCGATTTGCTCTTGCTGGCTGAGGGTTCGTTCGCGCCAGGAAGGCACCGGGAATGGCTCATTGAAATACTGCGAGTATTGATCTCCAATAGATGTCGTCCAGTTCATGGGATCGACAGACGCATCAACGTATGCCAAATGACCCGCGGTTGTAGACGCCAGTGAAAAGTTAGGGTCCCACCCTTGTAACCCGGGAACGACAGAAGGAATTGAGTTATAAGGAGTATTGGGGTCAATGGATATATCGGGGTATAGCGAGGTTGGGCCAACATAAGAATCTGATGTATAATGTTGTGTCGGGGCGGAAGGGGGTGGCATTCCAAGGGCAGCGGAGACGGATGGTATTGGTGGTTGCTTAAATGGCTCAGGAGGCACCGGAGCCATCGCCGGTGGGGTGGGCTCCTGCGAGAAACTAGGATCGGTAGATTGTCCCCGGGAGTAAGTACCACTAGAGGCAGTATCGCCGATTGATAGGTTTCCTCCGCGATGATTATGAGAATAATAGGAAGCAGTCGTACTGCTTGATGGACTTGACATGGCCGGCGGAGTCGTGACCCCTTGCGAAGAAGTTGGAGTAGGATGGTTAGAGGGTGAGTGCACAACAAATGACTCTTCCGTGCTGTAAGCTTTCAAACATGCCGCAACAAGGCGTTTATAGAGAAGCAAAGCGGACTGGACTCCGGGCCATCGTTCGGCGGAGTAGACTATCACTTCAAGTGCCATATCAAGGTGGGTTTGGACTTCATCGATGGTGTGCTCTTTTCGAATCTCAGGGTAGGAGAGAGTCCAGAGGACAGTATTCAAGGCCATGAATAGAGCTTGCACAAAGACCCACGTCAGGTCGACAGACCCAGTGAGCATCTGTTCTCGGTGCATAGAAATGTTGAAAATGGCTGCTTCGTAGCATGTTTTTGCAGCATTGACGCTGGGTTCAGGAATCTGAGGCGATGGTCTGTACATGAGAATGACAATTGTGTTTCGCCTTCCTTGGAACCTGAAGATCAAGTCAGCGATACATCTTGACGTCCAAACACGTTCGAAAACATCAAACATACCACTTCACATTTAATCCACTGCCATCGTCATTCTTTGGACAAGTAGCCATCCAGTGATCGAGTTTGGCTAACATTTGAGAGTACCATGGGTCCTGATCGTCAACTGGAGTCTCTCGTCGGTTCAAATAGAGCGTTCGCCTGCCTTCTAATTGGAGTAATCGCATCTTGAAAAAGTGAACTGCAATGCACTTTGCCAGAACGGGTTTCGCGCCTGGGGTGATGCCCTCGGTGGTGATGTATCGGTCATCCACAAGATCGAAGAACTTGACATTGATGTGATCATGACTGACACTGTAGCTGTTGCAACGACCCAGGCTGTGGGAAAGCCCCAACTCCATGGATGAAACAATCCAAAATAGCCTTCTTCGCATATCGATCTCGAGGGGGTTCAAAGGCTGTCCACAAGGAGATTTTGTCACGGTAACTTCTTCGGTCAATCCCAAGTCTTGACAAAGTTTGGCCGCTGTCCCCACGACCCAGTATGCAGCAGTTCGAGTTGGTGTTAACATCGAATAGGATGCGATAAGCACGAGGCATTGCAGAGCCCTAACATCCATTCGTTTCAGAGTGGGTTCAAGATAGGGTAAGGCCGCCAGATAATAACTATCAGCGAGGCCAGCGTATTCAGTACTGAGTTTCTGCATGCTAATGGCGATAACCATCCGTAACTGGAAATTTTGACAAGGATCCGTGGAGCCATTGAAGACCTCTTCTACCTCTTGCCTGAATGTGGGCTCGTGTAAGGTTGGGAGGAGTGCTTGTGCTATACAACAAATCAGTCACACGGGCCGCAAGAGTCTGAAAGGGCTCCGTACATTTCGCAACAAAGAGATCAATCAACTTGTATGTCAGGTTCCGTGGAGGTAAGTTCGCCTGTGGGATAGAACTGATCATTGGATATATTTTGGAGGTAGGTTTCGAGTCTTCTTGCGCAAAGGCGTCTTTAATCTCTTGGGCGGTAAACTCGGGGACAACATCCTTGATGCTTTTCGAATCTGTATTCTGCTTGGCCATCTCCATGACCAAGCGAGTCATGGCGATGCCACTTGAAGGACCAAGATATCTAGCCTCGTCGTTCTCTTTAAATCGTATGCGCCCGGCGCCCCGCACCATCAACTCTGCATCAGCAGCATGTTGTATCTCTTTCTGGGCCTGGGCGAGCTCTCTCTCGAGCGACCGGGCTTTCTCTCTTAGCGACACGATGTAGGTCCGTGGTATCGTGGAGTCTCGTGTCGAGTCGTAGTATACACACTTGGCATTGCTTCGTTCACAGGGTGCACATCGTGGAATACCAGGATCGCACCTGGACTTTCTCTACGGGGCGGGTCAGTCGACAGGGATATGGAAAGTAAATAGCAGCGGTGCTAGAAATTAACCAAGACAAAAGAGATGGGAATTGCGGGGGGTCTTCATGTATTGCATCATACCTGTCGACACCTTGTGCAGGCGGTTAACGTGTGCGCAATGCGACCGTCGGGTGGCTCCAAGGAATGCAAATCCGGCGACTTCAGCCCTGCGACTGTTGAGTTGTCCGGACTCGCGGACATGGCTGTGGGCCAAAAAAGTAATAGGACCAGAGGTCAAAGGGAAATCAAGAAAGCTCCGATCACATGGGCCTGGGGTGACCAGGCGTTAAACGCGATAGGCAAGGTACATTCGAACGGAGATCAGAATTACGGGCACTGTCGACATGGTCCTGAGGCTCGAGTATGAGACCGGAGATGGCGTTCGGGAGCTTTCCAAGGGGGAGATCCGATCAAAGAGCAATCATTTGAAACCACGGTACTTGTGTACAACAGTACAACCGGGAATGGGGCCACTAAAAGAGGTATGTGAGGTGCCAGTCAGTAAGCAGTGAGAGGGGCAAGCCTCGGTCCAGATCTGGATCGACGCGAGGGCACAGGATCCTGGATACTGGAAGCGACGGGGTTAAGAAAAAGGCCGAGTGTAGGGAAGAAGATAGTGGTACAATGGCAGCTGAAACACCGTAAGTGGGCTGGGAAAGGGACAAGATTAAGCGATGGATGTGAATGCCGGCCTTGAATTCCAAGCAGGACCACGGAGGACCAAGGAGGAGAAGGATATGGAGACAATTAAAGTAAGAGGAGCCCTGGCTCAATCAGAGGGGGCCGAAAGTCGTTGATGCGAATGTCCGTGCGGTTCCACGGAAGATCTGCCCAATTCCTGACGCAAATGAAGTCTTTTTTGCCCCTTGTGCATAGTGGGGGAATTCCTCAACGTCTTTTGGGCGGGTAAGGCTTGGTTTTTTAATATCGCTCGAGCAATGGTAGTCGCTAAATCCTCCCCCCAGCTCATGCAGGTCGCTTTTTCGAAGCTATTCCCTAGGGTCATGTGAGTCGTTTAGTCCTGTGCTCGCGCGAGAGGCCCAGTGGGGTGAGACAGGGGGACGCGTCCGAACTGACTATGTCTCCAGTAAAGAGTGAGCCATGTCGGTCACCGCCACGACTTTCCTGGATAATCCGCTGCTCAAGGTGAGTCGTCCAGTTGCCGCTTGCTCAAGATGTCGAACTGCGAAGATCAAGTGTGACGGCAAGCTCCCCGCCTGTTCGGCGTGCGAGAGGGTCGGCAAAGCTAGCAGCTGTTCCGGGGCCAGTGATGAATTTGCCAAAGGCAAAGAAAGAAGTTATGTGGCGTCTTTGGAAGGTTATTGTGAGAAGCTGGAGAAGAAAATCCACCAGATGCGTGCTCGCTCAACCTCGCTGTCCGCCGAGGGCGATGGCGTCGCGCGGGAAATGTCCATCACCTCGATCTCATCCGAAGGACCATTGGGACCTGCACATAACAAGGAAGTGTCCGACATAGATGATCTCGTTGGTGATTTTGGTTTCTTGTTAGTCACTTTGGAGAGTTTGGTCGAATCAGTACTGACGTTGCTTGAAGGTCGGTCAACGCGACATCGCGTGACTTCCACGGCATTACCTCCAACACCTCCTTTGCGAACCTCCTTCTATCAGTCGCTCTTGTCGATGCTCCTCCGCCTTCCTCTCCTCATTCTTTACCTGCGCGCCATGAAGCGACCCCATTGCTACAACACTACTTCGACAATGTGTTTGTCCAGCTGCCCTTCTTTGTCGAGACCAGCTTTTGGACCTCGGTAGACGCAGTATATCAATCAGGCGGCCGGTTCGCCAAACCTTTTGATCATTGGATGCTGCGCATGGTTCTGGCTATTGCCTCGGCCTCTGTTTCAGGTCAGAATAACGACAAAATGCATCAACGGGCATGGTCTCTCGTATCCGAGGCTTTGACATATGCTGAGGAAGTCCTTCGCCCAGGGTCTATATCGGGAATTCAAGCGATATTGCTGCTCGCTCAATACTCATATGTTGACCCAGCCCGCTTTCGCAGTTGGTATTTAGTCGGTATGGCTGCCAAAGTCGCAGTTGATTTGGGTCTACATCAAGACCCGCCTACTGAGGTTCTGACCAACTATGACCGACTTGATATGCGTCGGCGAGTCTTCCATTGCATCTACTGTCTGGACAGGTTCGTTCCATTTGTATCTACCATTGTCGCCATTGCTAATGTTGTGTTGCAGAGGATTAAGCTCCGCTATACAGAGAACGTTTTCATTCTCCGACGCATCTGTAAATGTTGCATTACCATCATCCAGCGCATCCCCGGGGAGCTCCCTGGAACAAAGCCACATCTTCCTACGCAGTCCAGTTCCTGCTTTGCATATCGTAAAGATCCGACAAATCCTCTCTGTGGGCTACCAAGAAATGCATTACAGTGGGCGTGAGCCATCCCCGCAGCCTCTTGTCTTAGTATGGAGTCTGTGCTGGCGAGCTCGGGAATGGTTTGACCAATGTCCAAAGAACGCTCCTAGCCACTTCTCACTTCTTTATCGCCTCGAACTGCTATACACCATCATCATCCTCCTGTCACCATCCCACAGACACCCAACACTGCACGACTACAGCAAAGCCTTACTCTTTGACCGATGCATGGACTACATCAGCCAGATCCACCAAATCTTAGAGAACCCCAGCGCCCTTCCTTTCATGACATATCTCGACATCCAGCGAGTCCACCAAGTCGGTCGGCTCTTTGTCGATGTCTTATCGGAGAACTATGACCAACTCCTCAGTGCCACTGTGCCTGCACCGCCTCCCGTACCCGCCGGCACACCCGATCCGCCTGTATTGGGTGACGAGGACCTGATCAACTGCCATGCACGCGCCATGCGTTGTCTCGCATATGTTCGTGATATGCTGAAATATTGTGCGAGAAAATGGGATTTGCACGGGCCTCTTCAGCAATTCGAATGTGAATCTGCTTCTCTGGAGAAGACATTGATGGATAGCTCTATGGGCTATATGTCGAATCCGGGAATGTACTCATCGGGGATGCCGCTGGTCGGCGATGAATATTCGGGATACCATCTGGGACTGTGAACTCACAGGGGTCTGTAATTTGGATGGAAAACGAAGTCACTGGTTATGACAAGTATGGATTTAGTGAAATACCCCTTTGCATGCAGTGCATGAATAATATTATTGCGAGCTCACCATCTCGGTAGCACATGTACTCCTGTCGGAAGAAGATGTTTGTCAATGTGTTCGATCTCTCATACGGTAGTCCATAGCCTGCAGGTCTGCATGTAGCATCCCGCAGGTCCTAGCATATGAGGCGACGCTCCCCTTTGTACATGTATGACGAGGTTCATGCTCCCTTGCGACCGACACAAGAGAACAATTGCATTGGATGACGTTTGAGGAGTGCTGGGCAGAGATGAAATACATCTATCTGCACATCTGCAAGGAAAATAGAGTCCGGCTCACAACCCCGGCACCAGATTCGGCATCTGCATCAATCAGCTTGATCGGCTTCAATAAACTCAACCCCCTTTGCTTCAGTTTTCAACCCGCCGAGAATTTCTAGACCTTGCAGGCGTCTTGACATTAGTATATCTATAGTCCACAACTACGAACCCACAGCTATAGTACTTACAAATATGAGCACGCAAAGAGATTCCGAGTAGTACCATTGGCTCAAAGACCCAGAAGCAATTCCACTTTTACTGTACCATCCGGACATGTACGAGAAAGTCCACAGCCCATTTCTCTCAGTAACGATCAAATGTCGATCGATCCAGCGGTGTACTCCGTATCATACGGGGGACTGTATTGTATCAATAATCAATGGCTCTAGGCCATCCACAACAGGTTCCCACCGAGCAGCGCTCATCTCAATTTGTAACCTAACAGTGAAGAAGCCAAAAAAGGTAACTGACTCAAAGACAGACTTTGGCTAGATGTCAATATTCCACGTTCAACTCTAATGACTATCGACATGGTTTAAGACACCATCACTACCTAGTAGACACTCAACTTGCCATCTCCGGGGATACGGAGGTTACAGCAGGTGTGTGGATATGTCCACGTCCAGATGCTTCTAACGAGACCGATTTGGGGCACGATACGAGTCTCTCTCAAACCTTCGTCTCCAAAATGCACGAACCCGTTGTTCTTCGTGGGTATCGTGGAGATAGCCACCCTTCTCATCTGCCAGGGTTCCGTTATCTTTCGACATTAACGCTTGTTGTTTTTAGTCAAATTACTTCTGCGGAGACGTACAGTGGCGTGTATGAATGATACTGTACAGAAAGAAAGAGACCCATTACTGGGTCTCATCTTATTTCTCATGGTCCTCTGGTATTGCGAGCTGGCTCCATTCTTAGGATACAACCGGGACCCGTCCCGCGTTGGAGATGCAAACAAGTCCAGGCCTCTTGAGTTCTGCATACTTGGATTAGCTATGCACATACTGTACGGTATATCCTAGTATAGCCTCCTTTCCAGTCAAGTTTTGGTGGAATGCCTTGCGAAGCTCAAGTTGGTATAAAATAAGTTAAGTTGAGTGGCAAACGGTGGGTTTGATGTCCAAGCGCTGGTGCTGAACCACGAACGGCAAATATATATCCATGCCTAATCCAGTGCAGATGACTGGTTGCTACGTAGCTACCGTACTTGCTAACCTTATGGCACTGCCCATGTATGTGTCACGCAGGGGCTGTCCGCACCCTTGGTGGTACGGAGTGGTTGAGGCTCGACATCCTACAGTACTCCAAAGGATATACCGTAACCGGAACGTCGGTTTCTCAAACTCCCTGTGATCAGCTGCAGCTTTCTGGATTTTATATGGGTACCCCTGCGGAGCAGATGTCTATCACCCATGTGAAAGCTATGAAAATCTCATAACCGTTCAAACGGTTAGTTCCATAGCTTCCAGATTCTTTCAAGGCTGATAGGGATTTTCACTGCTGCCGGGATGTCGGAGGGACAGTTGCTGTACGGACTACTAGTGGACTATTACTTCAAAGAGTAATATCAGGGTTTATCTTGGATCTAGCAGATTCGGGTGTTCCCTGTTGGTCAATTACCGTGGAGTGTTCCTTTTGTGCAAGACGTCGGACACAATTTGTACAACATAAAGAACTTTACTCGGGTGAAATTGTGATTTACAACATGATTATCTCCGCTGCTCTGGAACTGTACTATACAGTATGTATACATGTAAAGTAAATAGGCTGGAATACAGTAGCTGTATGCTGGTGGATATAGTGGGCGGTGTTATTTTATATGGATCCAAATCGATCTCGATTGGGAACCAGATCGGCGTGTCCCCGATTTTCGGAGAGCTATCGAACTTTTGTTTAGGAGCTATCGAGGGACCCGTCCCCTATGAAAGCGCCATACTATTGAGCTTCAGTGCTACACTATAGTATATGGCATGACCTGAATTCGAGAATACCGTGGAAGGCATTGGACAAGTGGACAAGGGGAGTTTCTAGTCCACTTAGTTCATCATCGGCTCTTGAGCAGGAAAGTATCTACGGCAAGATTAGCACGGAAATGGATCGAGCGGAACGCACCCCACTCCGATCGTGGCCTATAATGTGTAAAATGAATAGGATGATCATCACCTTAGCGCTCAGGGATGCCGTCCGCAGAAGAGTCGGGGAATGACCGAAGTCCATCCGGGGATCGACAGCCTCGTGTTGACCGCAATGTCGTACTGTACTGTAAAGAAAATAATGCAGGCTTCGCTCAGTCAACCATGCGGTCCAATTTTTCTAAGCAATTGAAATAATGCTTTGACACAAAATCTCCTTACCACCAGGAAGGGAGAGAATACAGGCCCGTGTAAGCCGTCAATTGGCACCAAATGCCGGTCACCCGGCAACTGGGGGCAAGCATGAGCTATGATGTATGTGGCTCCCGAGTTCTTTGTGGTAAATCGATCGTGGTCAGTAGCCAGCTGGGCGGATCAGTCGGGGTTAGGGATTTTAATAACCATATTTTTGTTCCCGGCTAGTGCAGCATCGAAATCGGATGGGATCTTCCAATGGGATCCAGTTAAAGGGTTGAAAATGGCAAGTGGATAGGACATAACTGGGGCTGGACAGGGGGAAAAAATAGGTCCCTCAAAGTTTATAGCGAGATTGTTGGCTTATGGGCTGGCAAATGCCCACATGGCGGCGTTTAGGTGGGGGCTGATCGGTAAAGCGACGTCTTGATTGGCAAAATACCTCCGCGCTATTAATTCCAGACGTCAAGTCACGAACCCTGAAGGTGTGTTTTGACTGCAGATCATTATTCATTGTTGTCGGGGGCTCCACGTTAATTTCCGTACAAAAATTACACAGCTCCTATACAGCACAGGTCAACGCATGGAAGCGGAGAAAACAGCTTGTGATATCCCCTATTAAAAGTGGGTTTGACATGTCAGGGGCACTGCAATGGCAATTGAGGATGTTAATCACCAAACAACCAGAATGCTGCACTGTAGATGTCCGGTCGAACGTCCAGCAAAACCAATTATTATGGTTAAATTAGGTGACGCCACGGAGATGCTCGGGGCGCATAGCTCGGATAAGCTCGCGCTACGATGGTTCCATCGGAAAAGATCTATGGTAAACAAACCTTGATGTGCCTAAACATTGAGAGTGCAGATCCCAATTTGAACTCCCATCTGTCCATTCGGTCATGGCCGGATTGACCCGGCCGACTCTATTCAAGAAATCCTTGCTGAGATTCGAGGATTCTCTGGAATAGAATGACATAACAGCCTAATTTCAGGAAAATCCTGTTTGTACAGTAGGGCTAGGATGAGTGTTTCTATGGAAGACTACACCAGACGGCACAATTAGGTTCAGATGCAGGTACAGGTACCAGGGCTCAACGCCCCGTATTTGCAAGGGATTTCTGATGGCAGTCCACAAGACCCTGTTCTGGACGCTTCGGTGCCTGTCGTGACGCCTCTTTTTTGGCAGAATGGAGAAGACAGTCCCACTTCTACATCTGTACAATAAGACTGAAATGGTATGTATCTGTATGGCCGAATTAGGGCACGACAACGATGGAGCCGACCCACCAGCTAGGATACCAAGTGCATTTTCCATTAGGAGCTTGACAATAGTAGAATTTTGAACAGGGGTAGGGCGCAAGATCGTACCTGTAGATCTTGGGCTGTGTATAAATACACTCTCTCGCCGTCGAATCTTCTTTCTTCTTTCAAGCCTCTCACTTCCAGTCATTCTTTATACAAACTACAGTCACTCTTTAACTGTTTTATATACCCCTCTTAATTCACAATGAAGGCCTCTTTCATCACTGCCGTCGCCGCCATGGCCGGCGCTGCTTTCGCTGCCCCTACCCCTACCAACGGTCTCGAGTCTCTCCTCGACAACCTCCACATTGGTGACATCTTCGAGGAGCTCCACCTCAGCGAGCTCCCCAAGATCCTGACTGCCGGTGAGCTCGCCAAGGCTGTCAACAAGCCCATGCCCTCCGCCAGCGCTGCTCCCGTTGTCCAGGACGGCCACATCGTCCAGAACCTCGGCCCTGAGCTCGACAACATCCTGACCGTCACCGGTCCTGATGTCAGCACCCTGCTCATTGAGCTCTCCCCCGAGGTCACTACCCTCGTCTCCGGCCTTGGCCTCGCTGGCCTCGGTGTTCCTCTCGGTTCCATCGTCGCTTCCGCCTCCGGTCTCGGTGGCCTCGTCACTGCCCTCGGCAAGCCCGTTGACGGTCTCGTCACCGTTGTTGGTGCTGACGTCGGTGCTCTCCTGATTGAGCTCTCCGCCCCTGTCGCTGCTCTCGTCTCTGGCCTCGGTCTCCCCGGTGTCGGCACTCCTCTCGGTACCGTTGTTGCCACCGTTGGCAAGAACCTCAAGCGTGGTGAGATCGTCAACGACGTTGCTCCCTCCGTCCAGTCCACCCTCATTGTCACCGGTGCCAACGCCAAGCAGCTCCTCATCCAGCTCTCCCCTGAGGTCTCTGCTCTCGTCTCTGGCCTCGGTCTCGGCTCCATTGCCGGCCCCGTTGGCTCCATCATCAAGGAGGCTGCCTCCGTCGGTGACCTCCTCAAGGACGTCTCCGAGCCCGTTAACCAGCTCCTCCACGTTGTCAACGACGATGGCAAGCACCTCCTCATCAAGCTCTCTCCCTCCGTCGCTGCCCTCCTTGCTGGCCTTGGCCTCCCCCAGGTTGGCACCTCCGTTGGCGCTGTCGTCGCCACCGTTGGCCAGAACCTGTAAATTATTCAACAAGTTTGATTTGCTATGATTCGACAAGGTACATGCGTGCTTGTCATCGCCATTCATGATATGTAGCGACGGACAGCGTTGAGGATTTCCTTCATGCATTGATCCGGTGCACATTTGTGAAGGCACTCTTTTGTGCATATATATTCAAGATTTTCATCGCCTTCAACTTAACGTTGCTTCTCTTACTGGTCAATGACATTTATCAGTTTCTAATGTAATTTATTGTCATGAAAAGTTTATAATCTAGATTAACGACTTACTTTTTTCTTCAATTTCTCTATTTTTTTAGAACAACTAACTGTAAACTATTATTTCTCAAAAGCTCTACGTCTACCTCTTTGGACAGCAAGAGAGGGCAGGAGCGCAGTTTTATTCTTGATCAATATGACTTTGCTGCATTAATCTGCACCGGACCAACAGATGTTAGTTCCCGACAAAGACAGTGCCGAAATACTTGAAGGGACCGAGACGTCCTATCGGGCTAGAGTATTAGCCGTTAAGCCGGGGTACTACAATGTACATGTACATGTCCCAGTTAGCAGCGGTAGTCGCATTGCAGTACAGCCATCCTACTTATGGCTCTGAAGTCCTGACCCAGTGGTATATGGCGTAAGGATCTGGAATCAACAGTTAAGTTACTGAACTATCGAGTCCTATAATAATCCTTACGTGTGTGCCAGTCAATGGTACACACCGAAACGTAGTGCAACCACTCAAGACATAGCAATATTGCCTAGGTCTCTGCTCACACGAGAAAGGGCACTCAAAAATTAAAATTATAAAGTAATCATTACAGTCTGGAGTACCATGAAGTGGTGCAAAGCGAGGTAAAATGAAAAATGAAGGTCGCAAATCTCGCCCTGGTAGCAATCCTGTTCCAGAAACATATATATTGACAACCTACTAGGTGCAAATATCGAAAGATTATAAATTATAACAACTAATGAGAAGCATTTGAGCACAGGCAGTATCAGATTACAAATGTATTATCAAAAATATGCACAACAAGTTAACATTGCCTGCATTCAATCTACATACTGTTGAGAGCCTCTGCCTGGCCTGAAGAATACCTAGTCCGGGGTCGGGCCCGGAAGAACGAAGCTCCGCCATTTTGCCACCCTATTTTGGGAAGCTCTATCCGGGGAATGGGAAAGAGGCAGTCAGAAACGCCTGCCTAATTTATACTAGGCTTGTTTACAAACTGCTGCTTTGGACTTTAGCGCCGAGACACACGGGATGGATGCGGAACGCATCCCATTTCAAGGTTGGCATAATGAGACGAACGATGCATTGGTCATGAGAAGTACCCAGGGATACAACTGAAGTTACTGGATACAGAACCTTGGGTATCGAAAGAGCTTATTTGCAAAGATGAGACAAATTGGGATTGGTGCTAAGGCTAGGTCCGGTGTACGGTGGACCTAGGTAGAGATATCTCTTTTGGAAAACGTGTGAGAATTCCCGAAAAGTCACCACTATATCAACATAGAACATTACAGACACGATTGGTCCACAGTAGCTTGGACTCTGTTCGGGGTAGCAGCTGACACTTAGGGTTCAGTGGATCACGAGGTCTCCTACCGCGATTGGAATGACCGAGTTCTCAGATCGGTAATCCTGCAGAACCCGAGAACGAGACGAACGAGCCGATGAATGACGTGCATGTGAGTAGATTTTTCTATTTGTGATCACCGAACCGATCGCTTATCAAGCTCTCCATTTCTCCGGAGTAAATCCGACCATGGGTCGGATGAACCTTGGAGGAATTGGAGGAATCGAAGGCGAAGACACAGTGCAGTCCCAATAATTAGATTGTGTGAAGAGATTTCAAGGCGTCGACCCCTGCAGACTAGCCTTGAACGCAGGTACTAAAGCCACACCAAAATAGCGGCGCAATTAGTAAATGGCAAATATAATTTGCTTATCTCCGGGCTCCATGATAGCCGATCGCAAAGGCGTCAGTGCAACGCAGATTTCCCCCCGTGGAAATTTCCGAAGTCTGGGACCTTCTTCGCGTCATTTCCATACAAATTTTACCTCAAACATAAGACACTTGGTATCGGCGCTATTAGGTTGGCAACGGTTGGCATATTCGAAGCTTAATATGCAGCCTATCAGCAGTTCGTGTTCGGGTCCGCGCGATGCTTTCTCCAACGTCCCCAGTTTTCTATAGTGGTTAAACCAATCGTGATCAATGTATAAGGTTTATCATTCACGTTCTCCGCCACCTCCTGGTGCCTTTTCGCCTATCTCCCAACCTCTCTCTCTTATATTATCCCAAATCTCTTTCTCCTCGCGATATTGGCGTATACTAATATCCCTCACCGCTCCATGTTTCCTATATAACTGTATCTTCGCCTATTGGCGATGTCCACATGTCGAGCGCCGACCCTTCTGGCAAACTCAGCCTTGGGGCTGATCCTTCACAGGCCAGCTCCCACTCCACTAGCTGGATAGCGGAGCATACCATAGTCGCGTGCCTCATCGGAATCGCCTGGTATAACGCATTGGAGTTGATTGTCCTCTGTTTCACCACCTTCAAGCGCTATGGAGGCTGGTACTTCTGGTGTCTGCTCATCGCCTCCTTCAGCATCATCCCATTCGGCCTCGGCTACCTCCTGATAATCTACAACATTTACACCAACCTCTTCCCCGTAGCATTGGAACTGATCGCCTGGGTAGGGATGGTGACCGGCCAATCCCTAGTACTCTGGTCACGACTACACCTCGTCTGCCACAACCAAACCGTCCTCCGCGCCACCCTCGCCATGATCATCACCGACGCCATCATCTTCCACGTCCCAGGCTCAGTCCTCGAACTCGGCAGCCACTCCAACAAATCCTACCTCTTTAACACCGGCTTCAATATCTTCGAGCGCATCCAGTTGGTCGGCTTCTCAATACAAGAGATTATCCTCTCAGTCATCTACTCCTGGGAAGCCGTGCGCCTTCTCAACCTGCGCCCCAGAGGCCACTATCGCGGAACCCTCGTGCAACTCATCATCGTGAACGTTGTCATGATCATCATGGATGCAGCCGTCATTGGAGTCCAGTACTCCGGCTACTTCGACATCCACGTCACTCTCAAGGCAATGGTCTACAGCATCAAGCTGAAGCTGGAATATGCAATCCTAGGCAAATTGGTCGACATCACCGAAATGAGTGGCAGCAATTCCGCCCCGACCGACCTTACCGACTTCGTGGATCTCTCTTTCCACAATACTTCAGCAACGCCGCAGGCCGATAGCGAGAACCAAGCTCGGTCGCCCGATCCCCCTGAATATGGTGTCCATAACCGTGTGCGAGTGTCAAGCAAAGGCTCCTCCCACGATCCGCTACGACGCAGTCTTTCTGCTGCTCCGAGTCCGAGTTCGAGTAATTCCGGCTCATGACGTTCACATGTAATTAACGATTGAGACATGCCCTGTATATAGCACTTACTCCATACATAATCTACTACCACATACAAACCTTTCATGCAATAATTGAAACTCGCACTATGCCATGCCTAGAAAGAGGGGAAACCCCCTCCCCCTCACTTGCTTATCTCGCATCGTCGGATGCCGCCGCGCATGAACCTCAAACGCGCGGTAGAAACACATGCAAGATATCTGAATCCCGAAACCTATATGATTGTACTTCATACCTCCCAAATCCCACTACAAGCCCCGCAACACAGTAAAACAAACACAACCCTCAATCCCAAACGCCAACATGACAAAAACACTCCTCGCCCCTCTGACAACCCCCCAACTCGAAAAAGCCGCCACAAAAGCCCTATCCCTCCAAACAACAGCCCAAACAACCCACCACAAACGCCCCTTCACAGCCCTGCTCCTCGCCCCAGACAACGAAACGGTCCTGGCAACCTCCAATTCCCTCTCGCACGTCCGCCACGCCGAATGCGAACTAGCCCGCAACGCAGCTGATAACTACGACTGGACATACCTGGCACGGTGCACGCTCGTCTCGACTTGGGAGCCGTGCGCGATGTGCGCGGGTGCGATATACTGGGCACATATTGGGCGGGTTGTTTATCTTGCGTCTGAGAGTGCTTTGAGGGGTGTTGTTGGTGCTGGGAACGAGGAGAATCTTACGCTTGATTTGCCTTGTCGGGAGGTTTTTGCGAAGGGGCAGTTTTTGGTCGAGGTTTTGGGTCCATACACGGAGGGTGTGGATGGGGGCTGGGAGGGCAGGGTTGTTAGGGATAGTTTGTTGTATTGGGGGAAAGGGGTTGGGCGAGAGGGAGAGGGAGGTGGAAATGTGTAGAGGGTTTGGCTAGGACTTTTGGGAAGGGTCGGCAATTGAGAGGAGTGTGTCTTGTGAGGTCCTGACGAGCCACAGTAGGGGGGCTTATATTGCATTGCATATCTGTGGTCCTTTGTAGGCCTTGCCTTCATGTACAGTATGATTGCGAGCTTCCGAAAGCTTTCGACTCAAATTAAAGTCAAGTTACGTCGGATTTGACTAGCCTTTCAAGTTTGTGCCGCATATTTCATTAATATCGAATAGCGTCCTATGCACAAAGGCTAGTCAAATCCGACAAAATTCAATCTAAGTGAGTGGTGCAGCGGCTCAAGGGTCAGGAGTACACATCCAGTACTGCACAAGCACTAACTTATAACGTTATCCCCTGACGCACACGTGTTATTAAAGTGTCCCGAGAAAATATAGTGGACGATCAGGTCCCAGTCAATGAAGAGAGAGATCTCCACAGCGAATATTTACGAATATTTGGAATCCAAGATTTCGATCATCAAGCTCGATCTGGCTGTATCAAGCAAGTGGTCGAGTGGACCTGGAGACACTAGTCCGTTTGCGGCAATCAAAGAGTCCTAGCGCACAGCCACACAGCCCCTTTTCTGTGGCTGGAGAGCCATTTCTGGTATAGCGTTGACAATTCAGGAATCAAGCTGGCCGTAAAAGTCTTCATGCCTATGAACCGTCCATTCTGATCCATGGAGCGAGTTCTCACCGGGATCCTGCCATGATTGCCATGTCCAGTTCGGCGTTGACGTCAAAGTGAGCAGACTCTGATAATCAGTGATGACCCACATTAAACCATGGATGATGATATGGAGCGTATGCCAAGGCTTCATCTGGCCAGGTTTGCAGATCGTGGGACCTTTTGGGATTCGGGAGTTGGAAGCTTGGGCTTTTTGCTTTGGGGGAGGCAAAATGTAGCAGCCTTATGGAGTGGAGGTGTGGACTCAATTGCATATGAATGGGGCCACATCCTATACAGACACATGTATCGTAGATGTAGGACGCGTACACACGGGACTTGATCTTTTCCAGGGTAGTCGAGAATCGAGCCTACAGCTCAATTGCCTCCAAGCGAGCAAATGCCAACGGAAGCGGAATTCCATCGACATGTGCCACGTGATGACGTCAACCGTAGATCACCCTGGCCTGAGGTAAACTCTGGCTGCTCAGGGAAATTCCCCCCTGTCGTCATACCACGGTCTGCCCTTATATCCTTATGTCCCCTTTCTTCCATTTTTTCCTTCTCCCATATTTCCCTACATTCCAGTGATACCCCTTGTTTAATTCGGGACTAATTTGTATGTTCACCCTGTTTGCGTATGTTGCAAACCACTGACCCTTTTTAGCTCATACATAATACCTTCAACCTCTCATTGTATTCCGATAAATCCACACCAATTGCGTCGTCATGTCTGTCAACGTTCCCACCGATTCAAAACAGAAGGAGAAGGTATGTGTGACAGTCCTTGAGGGCGATGAGGTACTGACCGTAACTCCAGGATATCAACGCGAAGCTCCAATTCTTTGGTATCTATCATGGTAAGTACACGAGAGGCTCAATGGACGATTCTGATACTGACCCACTTCGTTTAGCCTTCAAGAACAGCAAGCTCCCATCCGTTCGTCGCGCCCCACCGCCCACGCCATAGCTCCGCTTTGTGCTAACCAGATTGCCCCACAGAACAAGCAATGCGATATCGCTTTGAACAGCGCCTTGAGCTCCAAGGCCCTCTCCTCTCCCCCCAAGGAGCTCTCTGCCGATGGAAAGACCCTCGTGGGCGACTTACGAAATGTTATTGAACAAGCCAAGATTATGCTCTTAGTAAAGAACGAGGGTGAATTGATCCAGGATTTCATCTGGCAAGCGCAGAAGATTACCGCCGGCGATGCTCAGAAGCCCAACCTTCCCATCAACAAGGAGACTGGACAGCAAGATGCGACCAAGGCCGCCGAGGGTCTGAAGACTCTGGGCACACTCATGGTCACCAACGGAGAGTTCCGCAAGCTTTGTACGTGATACTTCCTATATATAACAGTCTAGTTCTAACATTCTCTAGTGAGTGATGCCATGATCTTGATCAAGGATATTGGCGCCGATGCATCGCAGAAGGCTGCCAACAAGGTCCGCCCTTCGGAAGAGGACCTTGCCCAGATCGATCATGCCGCCGAGGACAACGTGTGGCATGAGAAGCCCAACATTTCCAAGGAGGACATGAAGTCCAAGTTCAAGAAGAACAAAGCTGTACGTGATCCCCATATCTTCAAGAAACCCATCGCTCATTTTATCATAGGACAAGGAAAGCGTTGCTTCTGCTTCCATCGCCGAGAACGACTCTACCCTGTCATCCAAGAGCAAGACCAAGGAGGCAGCTGACAAGACCAAGAACTACCTCTCCGAAAAGGTGCCCAAGGAGCGCCGTGACCAGACAATTTGGCGTTTGAAGAAGATGATCATCGAGATTCAAGGTCACGCTGATTGTAAGTTGAACACTACTTTTACAGTGTCATTGCAGACTGCTAACAACATGAACAGACCAGCAGGCCGTTGAGACTCTGTTGACTATGGCTGAGCAATACGCTGGCCACACCAAGGATGTTTCCCAGCAGGGCGGCACCGCAGCCCGTGGCGTCCTCAAGACTGACAGTGTCCAGGCTGTCCAGTCCAACCTGCGCGTGAGTACTTGCGTGCTAACTTGATCGATAACTGGACGCTGAATGCTGACCAACTACCTAGACTCTTATTGAGCGCTTTGCCAACAACACCTCCCTCGACAGCTTCTTCAACTCACTGAACACCGTGTACCACGATGCCGAGAAGGACCCAGAGCTGAGGAACTGGTTCAAGAACATCGACAACCTCATTCGGTATGTGATCCGAGGAAGATATATGAGAATTAAGCTAATATAATACAGCAAATCTTTGCGCGAGCAGGGCTTTATCATGGAGGAGGAGTGCAACCGCCAGTGGAACGATCTCTACGAGAAGGGCCGTTACTTGTTGCGTGAGCGCTACCGCGGCCACACCGACACCATCGTCGAAGAGACCAAGTTCCTGGCCGACCAGTTCGAGAAGGACCCCCAGAACCAGGCTCTCGCCGAGGCCTTCCAGAAGCTGTTCAAGGATCTTGGACGTGACACCGACGGCAAGGTCACCTTCAAGAAGGACCTTGTTCGTGATCTCCGCGATATTATTGTCCCTGGTATCTTCGAGAACGTCCGCTACGTTCCTATCCCCCGTATTGAGGTCTCTGACCCCATGGTTGATGTTGTCGTCGAGAATCTGTGTATTGAGAGTGACAACCTGTTGCCCAATGTCGTTGAATTTGGTAGCGATAACTACTTCCGTTGGGGCCGCAAGAAGATCAGCAACAAGCGTGACAACAAGATCATGATCTCCATGTCTGGTATCCAGGCTGACTTGCGTGATGTGAGCTACTACATCAAGAAGAAGGAGGGCTTCCCCTCCATCACCGACAAGGGTATTATGGACATCTTCCTTGGTGGTGAGGGCCTCAGCGTCAAGATCGCCGCCTCTACCGCACAGAAGAACGACAAGGAGTCCTTTGTCAAGCTTGACAAGGTCAATGTTTCCATCAAGAACATGGACATCAAGCTTAAGAAGTCCAGCCACAAGATGTTGTTCAACACCTTCAAGCCTATGCTTTTCCGTGTCGTTCGTCCCGCCTTGCAGAAGGTCGTTGAAGGCCAGATCCGTGAGGCCTTCAAGAAGGGAGATGGCTTCGCCAAGGAGATCCACACCGAGGCCATCCGTGCCCAGGAAGCTGCCCGTGAGGACCCCGAGAACGCTCCTACAATCTTCGCCCGCTACAGCGATGCCATTCGTGCCCGTGCCCAGGCCAAGGCCAAGCAGGCCGAGGCCATCGCCAAGCGCGATACCAAGGTCCAAACTGTTATGACCCTCCATGACTCCATCTTCCCCGAGATCGAGCTTCCTGGAGGTAACTCCAGCAAAGCCACCGAGTACGCCGAGCTGGCAACCAAGGGTGAGCGCTGGGAGTCGCCCATCTTCAGCCTCGGCAATGCCTCTGAGTCAACCGGCATCCCCTCCGCCGGCCCCATCACCAACAAGCCCCACGGCGCCAGTACCAACGGCGCGGGAGCTGCCGGTGTTGCCGCCGCTGCAGGAACCTCTGGCGCCGCCACCGCCGCCGCCACCAATGGCACCGACGCTTCAAAGATCGCCGGATATCCATCCCGGGGCTTCTCCGACGAGGTCGATGAGGCTTTCGTCAACGGCAAGTCCAATGGCATCTCTGAGGGTGTCAAGAATGGTACCAATGGCGTGACTGCTGCCAACGGCGTTACTGCCACCAATGGAACCACCGCCACTGCCCACTAAACTTTGTGGTCGTTCTCAAAATCATTATGATATTCGCCCAACGCCATTTCCTTTGTCCACGCTTGAGGCTCTAATCCCCCTGCTTTTTATGCTTTGTCGTTTTATGATTTCCCCTAGTGCAGTCCGGACATAATTTTTAGTTTGTACCAGTATTACTTTTTGTTTCCGGTAGCTTCCATACATAATGCAAATACTCTTGCGTTGATTTATTCCAGAGCACCTCATAGCAATAACCAAAAGAAGTAGGTTTAATGGCGTCGCCGTACTTGCAAATCAAGGTAGAAGGTAAGAGTTGTAGCTCAAAATGCTATTCATTGTCTCGTCTAAATCAGGAAATCTGCCCACTACACAGTCTGTTTTACCCTTTTAAATCAGCTCCCCCGTCCCGATCATTTTAGTCTTCATCATATCAGATAGATCGTTAAAAGTCAAGCAATCAAAATCTACATCTGATCAAAGTACTTCTGCCATCCCAGCTCGCGCAGCTTGGTACCCTTCAACTCCATATTCTCGGCACGGGCAGCCTCAGCATAGGCCTCGACCTTGCGCTGAATGGCCGGCTCATAAGCGCCGAGTACACGGGCCGCGAGAAGAGCAGCGTTGATGCTGTTGTTGATTCCAACTGTGGCGACGGGGACACCTGTTTCAGATACGAGGTTAGGGCATGCTTTGTAGAATGTAGGGGGTCAAATTTAGATGGATAGGAACATACCTCGGGGCATCTGAACAATGCTGTACAAGCTGTCCACGCCGTCAAGCGAGCTTCCCTTGACGGGAACTCCAATGACGGGCAGGGCAGTATGGGCAGCCGCCATGCCGGGCAGGTGAGCAGCACCACCAGCAGCAGCGATGATAACCTTGATACCGCGGGACGCGGCCTGGGCGGCGTACTCGGCCATGTAGTCCGGTGTGCGGTGAGCAGAGGTGATTTCGACCTCGGGCTCGAGGCCGAAGTAATCGCGCAGCAGCTTGAGACCTGGAACGAGGGTCTTCAGGTCACTGTCTGAGCCCATGATGACTGCGACGGAGGGAGCGGGCTTGGAGGGGCCGGAGGGGGCGGCCTTGGTTTTGATATCGGTGCGCTGGGCGCGCATGTCGTCGACGACGTTGATGAGGGGTTGGATCAGTGTCTCGGCTTCGTGCATGGTGGCAGCGGTGACAGTGACGTGACCCATTTTGCGGCCTGGCTTGGCGGCGCCCTTGCTGTAGAGGTGGATGCTTGCGTTGGGAATGCTCAGGGCTGCTTCTGTGGCCTGGAGGTGGGAGTCTGGAGTTGCGCCACCGATGATGTTGAGCATGATGGAGGGTTGGCGGAGTTCCAAGCTCTTAGGGGGAATGGGGAGATCCATGATTGCGCGGATGTGGCTGTCGAACTGGGAGAGGGCGCAGCCTTCAATCGTCCAGTGGCCTGAGTTGTGGATGCGGCTGGCGAGCTCGCAGAGCATTAGGCTGTTGTCTTCCAGGAGGAACATTTCAACGCCGAAGGCGCCCTTGCCTTCGAAGGCTGAGACGGCTTTGCGGGCTAGGGCTTGCGCCTTTTGGTTGATTACGTCGGGGACGTTGCGGGCTGGCGCATAGACCAGCTTGCATATTGAGTCCTCCTGGACAGTCTCGACGGTGGGGTAAGAGAGAACGTCGTCCTTAGTCTTGATAACCATAACGGCCAGTTCCTGAGAAGAATTGTGTCAGACCTGTAGAGGTATGGGTACGCTAAGGACTAACCATCTTGAAGTAGGCCCATTTCTCGGCGTAGAGAGGACGGTCCTTCAGGGCCTCGAGGGCCTCCGGAATGTCTTGCTTAGAGTTGACACGGAAGTTGCCTTATATACTATTAGTAAAATGGTATCAAATTTCGATATGATGCATGACTCACCACGGCCATCATAGGCCATAGTCTTCGACTTCAACATCATGGGGTAGCCCAATTGCTCTCCGATCTTTGCCAATTCCTCCGGGGTGTTGCTGGTCAACTCGCGGTGATCGGCCATGGGGATATCGTACTTGCGGAGGTGCTCCTTCTGGTCGAACTTGTTCTGAATTGTCCGGATAGCCTGCCAGCTGGGCTCCACCCGCACCTTGGATGCAACCTCCTCGAGAGCGTAGGTATCGACGTGCTCAATCTCAGCAGTAATCACATCACAGGACTCGGCCAGCTTGCGCACAGCCTCGGGCTCCTTGAAAGAGCCAGTGACATGGCCGTCATGGAAACTGATCTGCTTGGCGGGAGCGTTGTCGGCATCGAGGATGTTGGCTTGAATGTTCAATCGGTTGGCGGATTCCACCAGCATGCGGCCTAGCTGGCCACCACCGAGGATTCCCACCTTAGGCGAATTCCACATGTCGACGGTATATGAGTCAATGAGTATGAAGTGAAGTGGGAGATCGCCGCTGCCCCTCCGTCTCCGAAAATTCGCGGAGAGTCACGTGATCCTATCGATAAGCTCTGTCCAATCAACGATATTCACTGGCGCGTCACCGACTTCATTGTCGCAACTTCAACTTCCTCCTCGTGCATAGCTATCGGCACAATGTCTTTGGGTGAGTAGTTCACAATGGTCGCATAGATCCCCCCAACAGCCATGCAATCTTGCTGACCCACGCACCTCAGATGAGGAAGCTCTTCGGACAGCCGCCAGTGGTGGCTCGATAGAATTGTACGTGTCAAACTGGCATGCATTAGCTGAAAGCTTGAACTAATAAGCTTCTTCAGAGAAAGATGGAGTGGAATGGCTGTGCCATTGATTGAGAGGCTGGAATATGTGCGCTTGCCCTTCCATGACCCCTGACCGACACATCTGACCACAGGCTTCAGATTGTTTACAACATGTTTCCCATGCCTCGAATGCGCCCAGAGCAGATCGGCCAACAGACATCAACCAACCATGCATCTCAGTTATCAGAGAATAATCATATCGCCCCCGAAAGCAGTAACAAGGAAAACGACGCACCTGCAGACCAGCCAGGCTCTCCCCCATCAGGCGAGCGCGTGCCAGATTCGCAACCGGAAGCCTCTGGTACTTTGACCAATGATCAGCTTCCACCACCGCTTGCCCTACTTTTTAAAGCTATCCGATCTTCGATCACGTCTTTCTTCCAGGAGAAACCCCCGCATACCATCCAGAGACTCGCAGAGCTGGTGCTTGAGCCGACCAAGCACTATAAAACGTTACCTGCGTACCTCCGTGCGGTTGACCGCGTCATCTCAGTGACAAGCTCTGCAGATGTCTTTCCCTTCAATGCACCATCTCCCGCCAACGCTCAATCAAATGGATTGGTGCAGGCTGGAAATAGCAGCGGGGTTTACCTAGCTCCGGACTATGCCCAGGGTCTCGGGAGTGACGAATCTCTAGGAGGTGCCCTATTAACCCCAATTCCGTGGTTGAATGGCTCTTCGTTTGATGGTGAAGATACGAACATATTAGACGAGGGTATCAACATTTACTTCCCAACCACATTGTTCTTTTTTGCTAATTTTACTTCCAAGGCGTTGAGGAACCTCTACCAGCACAACCAGCAGAGGATCCCGAAACGGTACTTACTGTTCCGATCGAAGCTGAGGATGTGGCAACCACCGCCTCACCAGAGCCGTCTGACGAAGTCCCTCATGCCCGTGGTCCAATCGTTCTCGGGGTCCAGGATATGGGTTTGCAGGACGGAAAAGGTGTAGAGATGAACCTCGGCCCAGATGGCACCGATGGGGAAGTAACTGCCGCAGCAGCAGCTGACGCCGTGGCTATGACGACAGAAGAAGAGGAGCAGGAAAAGAACGAATCAACTGCCGACAAGGACGGTGATATCGTTCTTTCCGATGAACAACCACAGGAAAAAGAAGAACCCAAGAAAACAGACGCTTCTACCGAGTCAAAAGCGAGCGAGGCGGAATCCAAACCACTTAGCATTTCAGCTGAAGCGGGGGACGCTGAGGAGAAAGCATAATGGATTTACTGGGTTCTCTTTAAATGTTTTTCCTCCCATCTTCCATCTGCTGGTTATATTCTCGCTTCTAGCATCATGAGTGACGACCTATAAGATTACATGGTTCAATTGCCAATCAATGGATTTAAATACCTCAATATTTCCTCTCTAGCTTTATTATCTACATCTTCGTAGTAATAATTCATCCACCGTGCCACGAAGTCTGAGACTGGCTTGATGCACATATGATTCGTGTCCATTCTAGACTTGTGGGAAGAACTAGATCATAACGTTATAAAGCGTGTTGTGCATGCTGCAAAGTGTTACATTGCCATGAAGAAAGATGCAAGCAGTATGTGTATTTCAAGATTTCTTGAACAATCGAGAGTAGATTCATGATCTTTTGATTAATTGTTTCTAATCCTAAACGTCTGTATGACATGTATGTAATTCTATTCTCCATGGGCCGCATCTTCAGAAACAAAACCAGGGCCAGATCTTTTATTCTGCGGCTTTATGAAGACCCGGTGGCACCTGTTGAGACCGCTATTTGTGTGTCGGACCAGCACGACTAATTGGCTGGCTCCGATGTTGACCAGGAATATGAGGAGCGGGAAAGGGAAGAGCCCAAGGTGAAGAAAGGATTTGGTCAATCAATCAATCAAAGTTCAATTAACCTGTTGCAGCCTAACTAAAGGAGTTGGTCAAATCTCTGAGTTGACGGGTGTTCTGTCGCAACTCAATAACCCGAAGACTGATTCTCCCCCACTTCCCGAATGACTTCCAAATGAGGCTCGAGAATTGAATAAAGAAGCTTGTAAGCGAAACAATCGTCTTCTACTTCAAACTGCGCGATCTCATTCCATTACTATTACAATCTCCGCCATTGAGACGAATCATGATGACGGCCCCGGACAGATCTCGTTTTCCATATTGGAACCCAAACCTCGCTGTCAATGACCGGGTGGAAGATCTTCTGCAGCGAATGACCGTTGCAGAAAAAGCCGGAGTCATGTTTCAGGACATGATCTTAATGGGAGCAGATGGCGAGCTGGCCGAGGCAGTTCCGCACTTCGACATGCCCAGCAACAAGGATCTGCTACACACCAAGCAGATGTCGCATTTCAATGTGATTGGTCCAATCAATGATGCTCGTCTGGCAGCCAAATGGCACAACAAGATTCAGCGAGAAGCAAGCAAAACGCGACTGGGCATTCCCGTTACATTGGCTACCGATCCTCGCAACCATTTCACAGACAATGTTGGCACGGGCTTCCGCGCAGGCATTTTCTCTCAATGGCCCGAAACGTTGGGGTTTGCAGCGCTGAGGTCGCCAGAGCTAGTTCGAGAATTCGCCAATATCGCGCGTCAGGAGTATCTGGCGGTCGGGCTGCGCCTTGCACTTCATCCCCAGGTGGACTTGGCCACGGAGCCACGCTGGAGTCGCATCGGGGCGTCATTTGGCGAAGACGCCGACTTGACGTCGGAGCTGGTTGCTGCCTACATCCAAGGCTTCCAAGGGCCAGAGTTGGGTTCGGACTCGGTATCCACGATGACGAAACACTTCCCCGGTGGAGGACCCCAGAAAGATGGCGAAGATCCGCATTTTGAGTATGGTCGGGAGCAAGTATATCCTGGCGACAACTTGGCGTACCATCTCAAACCGTTCAAGGCTGCAATTGATGCCGGTACGGCGCAGATAATGCCTTACTATGGCATGCCCGTCAAAACTCAATACGAAGAGGTCGGATTTGCGTTCAACAAAGCAATTATTACGCAGCTTCTGCGGGAGGAACTCGGATTTGAGGGGATTGTCTGTACCGACTGGGGTCTTCTGACCGACAAACCCATCTTGGGTCAACCCATGCCAGCCAGAGCTTGGGGTGTAGAGCATCTCACCCGGGCCCAGAGACTACAACGAATTTTGGACGCTGGCTGTGACCAGCTTGGCGGGGAAACATGCCCTGAAGTACTTTGCGGCCTGGTGTCTGATGATTTGGTGTCAGAGCGTCGCATAGATCAATCAGTCAGGCGTTTATTGCGCGAAAAGTTCCTTTTAGGGCTGTTCGACCAACCGTTTGTTGATGAGGACCGAGCAGCGCACATCGTTGGCAATGCTGAATTCTCTCGACTCGGCAACATCACGCAGAGACGCAGCTATACGTTGCTCACAAACAAGGGCAACTGTCTACCTCTGGCAGGCCACAATAGTGTGAAATATTATGTCGAGGGAATACCGGAGAATGTCATGGCAGCTCGTGGCTTGACTGTAGTGTCACACCCAAAAGAAGCAGATGTTGCCCTTCTGCGTCTCAAAGCACCATATGAACCGCGACCGGGCGCATTCGAGGCTCTTTTCCATGCCGGATCTTTAGAGTTCAGCCCAGAAGAACAATTGCGCCAAAAAAACATTTACCAAAGTGTCCCGGTGGCAATTGTGGATGTCTACGTGGACCGTCCTGCGGTGATCCCGGAGATTGTTGATGAAGCAACAGCAGTGTTGATCAGCTATGGAAGTACGGCAGATGCATTCTTGGACATATTGTTCAATGTCTATCGACCGGAAGGAAAGTTGCCCTTTGACCTTCCATCCTCAATGAAGGCAGTCCAAAAGTCAAGGTCCGATGTGCCTTACGATACTGAGGACCCCGTTTTCCGCTTCGGTCACGGACTCAGCTACGCTTCTTGATATTTGAATAGACAAGTATATATTTCCTACGCAAAACCTAGCAAAAATAGACCTAGCCTTCATGTTCGTGTTGTTACCCTCGCAAAACGTTCATTCTTAGCCTCTAAAGGGAAACGTATGGAAGTGGTCATTTTATAAACACTCTATTCCATAATCGTAATGTCTGCATCCATGTGGATCCACATTGACATGGATGTTCCAGTAACTAGATGCAATGACGATGGAATTAGTGATCTACAAGATAATAGTGATTTAGACTACAAACATGTGAAGAGGAGGATGAGAAATTTAGAGTCAGAACCTTGGAAGTGACCAGTCTCAGATTCATCTCATCGAAAGCCCTCAAGATAGGCTTCAACTTCAGATCTCAGACTGCAGAGCATTAAATACAATAACATATAGAATACAGCACGAAGGCACCTAGTCCACAATCTGACCACTAGAGTTCTCTATCCAAAACACCTCATTCAACCTTTATTTCCGTGTAACAGAAATCTTCTGGCATGATCCACCACTGACACTGGCCTGGAAAGCACCAGTGGGAACAGCATGCTTGTTGCCATTGAGCTTGTACGAACTCACAGCAAACGGCAACTCCACCGAACCACTGGTACCGTGTGGTGCGCAGATTTCCAAAGCAATACCACTTTGGGTAAGCTTCCAGGAGGCCTTGATAGTACCCTGAGCAGTTGAAACACGACCACGAGCCCAGGTGACATCGATATCAAGAAGAGCAGGGCGGAAGGTCCACTGCTTGTACCCAACAGAGGCTGATTGAACACCGAGAACATAGTCCGACAGAATATAAGTGGGCGAGCTAGCCCAGGGGTGGGCGTGGGAAGTATAGAGACCCAAGCCAGGACGACCCACGGCATCAACATACTCCCAAGAGCCTCCAGTGTAGTACTGATCCTGGGTAACCATTGAGCCCCACGTCTGATCCAGAACGATTTGAATAGCATTTCGTGTCACGTTGGAGGAAATTGAGCTTGACTGACTAGTTCTCAAGAGACCCTCGAGCAGGAAGCCGGAAAAGAAGGTCGAAATTTGGGTACTGGATGAGCTTGCCGTAGAGGTGGACTCTTTGTATCCAACACCGCTACGCAGTGAGGAGAGAGCCTCTATGGCAGACCTAGCACGAGTGTCATTTGCCACACCTGCGAGGACTGCCCATGCGGTTCCTGCTAGAGATGTTTCATTTGGAGTGGATAGAGCAGACGCATAGGTTCCAAGCTGTTCGTTCCAGAGGTGAAGGTTGATGGCATTTGACACAGACAAGGCAGTGGAGTTCCAGGTAGATGCAGATTTGGTGTCTTTCATGGCCTCGGCAACCTTTGCCATCTTCTTGAGCGTGTAGACAAGAGCGGCAGATGGAGCCGTTCCATTACTGGAACCCATGAAGAAAGCGCCTCCGACGGGTACTGCAAGTCCGGAAGACTTGTCCACAAGAGGGAGAACGACCTCCACGCCCTTTTTAACTTGTGTCCAATATTTGCTCAGGATGGTTTGATTGCCAGATTTGAGATAGTAATCCGCAAATGCATCTAGGAAAAGGAACTGATAGTCAAGAAGACCAAAAGAATTGTAGATGTCGGAGTACTTCGCTGCTGTACCCATAGCAGGGGACATGCTGAACCATCCTGCATTGGATCCGGTCGTGGCTTGACGGGCCATGATGTACTCCAAGGTTCCAGTGACAAAATCCTTTCGACCAGTACTAGCCATGATGACACGCTGCGTGTGAGCAAAGTCGCCAGCCCAAACAAGACGGTCACGTTTTGCTCCATCCAGACAAAGGTTATGCTTGTTTGACATGACACCGTATTCTTCCAGGACAGATTCGGAAGTCATTGAGTTGTGATAAAGGCGAGTAGCGTTTTGCGAATAAACGTTGACATCTTTCACGTAAGCGACTTGGTCCTGGTATGGACCAAAGCCCCAGGTACCTCCAGAGAGACTCCCAGAAGATGCGCTGTAGGAAGTGACAGTCTGAAGATTGGCTACAGGGACAAATATACTTGTGCCATTGATAGTGACCCCGTATCCAGTTGCATTAACCACCGTGGAGATTGTGTACCACTCCTGCTCCTTGACAGGGAAGGAAACAGGGAAGTGCTGCACCTTTCCGGTGGTTAAGCTGGTTTGGTTGACCAGGTTCCAGCCGTATCCAACAGCGAGTGTGTTCGCAGGCACGATGGTGCGGTTGGTGTTGACAAAAGTAGAATTGACAGGATACTCGCTTGTCAGGACAAAGTAAGCTCCAAGGCCACCGACACCGGCGGCGACTTTCCAACCTGTGCCACCTCGCACAATTTTGGTGTCAAACTCCATGGTGTAGTTGGCAAATTCACCACCCAAAACTGACACGGCTGGCTGTTGTCCACGAAGGAGAACACCGTTCTCAGTAACGTCCCAGGTTGTAGGTGCTGTTCCAGCCTCAATGCAGGCCTGCTGCACTGTGCGTGGTCCAAGGGCCCAGATGTCATTATACAGCTTCTTCGAGCATTCAAAGTATCCTGGGAGACTTTTGACAGGCGTACGATCGTTCTCGGATTTGATACCAACACGACAGATCTTAAGGGTACCTTGAGTCAATAGTCGCAGGCTCTGCCAGCGCAGTCCACCTTGAATGAAGTAGGACTGGACTGAGCCCGGCTTGGTAACGTTAAAAGTTTCGACACGGAAGGTCCCCGCAAGCCCATTTGAAAAGGTCCATGGCCCATCGGCAAAAGGCTCATCCAAGCCGACCTTGGCTTCGGTGTACTTGACTTCCACTTGAACAATTCCGGATTTGGAGTTGACATGGAAGAATGGAAACCCGCCAACTTCTGTACCATAATCCAACACAACAACATTTTGAGATGGGGTCAAAGTGAAACAAGAGGACTCATTGTACTCTTGGGAGCCAGAAGCGAGCTGGAAATTTTCGGGGTAAACATTCAACGTTCTGAAAGAGTTCCGCATTAGTGACACGGGTTTTCACATAGCAGAAGCCAGATATTGGCATCATTTACTCACCTAGCTTCCACCACGATGGCTCCCAGAAGCCATTGCACCAAAAGCGCAAACAGCGTTTTGTAAAACATACTCTTTGTTGAAGTCGAGCGAACAAAAGATCTAAGAAACAAAAGAAGGACGGAAGAAACCAGCGGCAATGGCCGGAGAAAAAAAAGAAAAGACGGAAGAAACGAGTGGCAATGTTCACAGAACACCTTCAAAAGATTCAAACACAATGCTGATGCGGCTAAATAGAAATCCCATGTTCACGGAAACCTATCTTGATTTATAGATGTGGCAAGTATGGCATAGAGTTCCGCCTAGACAGTATGGTCGCCCCCTTGGAGTACGTGAGTGTGGATATGCTCTAAGCCTTATCTCGGAAAATAATCCAATATAGTCCTCGGTTCGCCCTCAAAGAGGCAATCGACGAGGCAATCAACTAGCCAACGTCCATAGTCAGCTCTCAACACCCACAATCAGACGCCGAATAGTTTGAAGAAAAGGGTCCTTAATCTCGGCTATCTGTGAGCCCCCACATCAAAAGACAACCTAATGTGAAAATGCAGGTCCTTGATCTCGGCTGCCTGTAGATATCCACTTTTCTAAGAAAAAAGGAACTATCAAAACACGGCTAGCAAATAATATTGTATCTCCTCGCCACGGTGTATGCACGAGGCTAAGTGAGACGTCATTCCTTCTATCTATGGGGTTCAAAGAGGGATGAGTTGGTCGTGAATCATAGGGGATGAAAAGTTGAGATGGCTCGGTGAGTTCGGGACAAATCCAACCGAGTCTCGACGTCAATCCTTCGGGTGAATATCGGATTCCTCTCGGGATCATCGGCCCAACTCGGGTCAAGGGTCCACGTAGCTAAAACATGAAGCACTGCCGAGCTTTGATTAAGCCTTATTCCTTTCCGATCATACTTCTCGATGCTCGGGAAGTGGAGGGAGGAATCCGTTTTGCTCCTTAGTACTACTTGTAAACCATGCCCGATCCGAAAGATGATAAGCTAGGTTAATATTATTTATACTTAGTAATAAGACTGAAACTAACTATTCTGTCTGGCAATCACTGTTTGTCTCAGCATTATGGTTGCCCTGAAAGCTGGTCCAGATCGGACTTTGGGATCCTCGAATGACTTGAACTTGCTTCTTGATAAGACACCTTGGTATCGAAACACACAATTGTTCAAAGTCGACGCTATCTCGCTGTCTATCATACTGCTATGTAAGTTCCCTGATCTCTATCGATGCGTATTTGTTGCTGATCTGGGTGTTATCCACTAGCATCCTCCGTCGGCTATGATGGGTCTCTCCTCAACGGTCTCCAAGCACTAAACCAGTGGGTTGTGTTCATGGAACACCCTTCCAGTGTCTGGCTGGGATTCGTGAATGCGATTTATTGGATTGGTGCATTTGTATCCGCCTTGCCAGCTCCCTATATCGCAAACCGCTATGGCAGAAAGCCCGGTATCCTCATTGGTTATGTTTTTCTCATTGCTGGAGCTGTTTTGCAGACAGCAGCCCGCAATAAAACTGAGTTTCTCATATCCCGACTTCTGATTGGCCTCTGTGTTGGGTGGATGAATAGCTCTGCGCCTCTACTGTTGAACGAAAATGCCTATCCGAGTCATCGTTCTATTGTCAGTGCTCTCTACATGTGCGGATTTTACATGGGTGCTGTCATCTCCTCGTGGGTAACATACGGGGCTCGAAATTACGGCTCATCATGGTGCTGGCGTCTCCCGTCGGTGTTCCAGTTGCTTCTCCCGCTTTGTGCTCTGCCGGGTATACTCTGGAGCCCTGAAAGCGTACGGTGGCTCATTTCAATGGATCGAGTCGAAGAGGCCCGCCGGGTCATCGCTAATCTTCATGCCGGTAACGACGAAAACGCTCTTTTGGTTAACTATGAGATGGCAGAAATCACGGAGACTATTCGGGAAGAGAATGAAGCATTCGAGTCGGCAAGCTATGCGGAAATGCTGCGAACACCAGGCAACCGCAAACGACTGTTTATCAGTGCAACATTGGGAATCTTTTCGCAATGGTCGGGCAATGGGGTCATATCCTACTATCTTTCCATGGTGTTGAATTCGATTGGCATCACCAATACCGACCATCAATTACTGATATCTGCATGTCTACAAATTTGGAACCTGCTATTTGCGATAGGAGGTGCCCTATCCGTCAACCTTTTCGGGCGACGCAAGCTCTTTTTGTTATCAGCCGGTATTATGCTGGTAAGCTATGTGCTGGTTACGGCCTTTTCCGGCTCATTTGCCACCACTGGATCTACATCCACTGGCGTTGCAGTGATCCCATTTCTATTCATTTACTTCGCCGGCTATGATATCGCTATGTGAGTCTTCTCCGTCATACGTTAAACTGGGACCATTTGTAGCTGACCGTATATCACACCAGGACGCCTTTGATCGTAGCATATCCCGTCGAAATTTGGCCGTTCCGTCTCCGGTCGCGCGGTATCATTGTCACATGGCTCACAACTATCTGTGCCATGTTGTTCAACACTTTCGTGAATCCGATTGCCCTGTCGGCTATTGGTTGGCGCTATTACCTTGTCTTTGTCGCTGTTCTCGTGGTCTTCGCCTTCACGGTTTTCTTTGCCTATCCTGAGACACGGGGCTTTTCGCTTGAGCAAATGGCTATTGTCTTCGATGGTGATGATGCCGCCGTCTCTCGCAATCCAATGGAGCGTGCTTTGAACGAAATGGATGCCGAAGACAGCAAGGCGACCACAGCCGAGTTGGAAGAGCTGTGAAATGAAAAACTTTTGCTTTCACAACTTGCAGAGGTGGAAGCAGTATGGTTAGATTAATAGATGAATCTATCGTAGCCCATCGTTTTTTTGGCGATTCATAGGTTACCAAGATGAAGTCAATACATAATATCATACATTTAGATTGTTTTGAACACCCTGAACTGTGAAATTAGAGGAGCCTCGATTCATGACGCCTGCGATAATCTCCACTTAAACGTGTGTTGGGGTTCATTATTGTCGAGGAGAACGCCGACGTGCCCCAATATGTCACTCAGAACACCAATTTGGCCGCATATGCCACTACCAACCGCGACTGGCAAGCAATTGCCGAGAGTCAACCCTTTCTAAGCATCAAGATTTAAACAAACAAGCGACTAGCAGAGTTTAAATAAGTATTATGGGACCGGTTATCATGGAGCCAAAGAAGAAGCCATATACGGAAATTCACCGTGGAGCTGGAGCCGCATCTAACGGGTGTGAGCGTGAATTACATACCCGTCACGCCATGTAGGAAATGAATGTTTGAACAGGATGGTGACGCCAAGGAGCCCGATTATGATTTAGATAGTCTTGGCTCCTACTAAGATGATATGGATGACACCCATCAAGGTATAAGACTGATTGATGTTGATCATTCCCTCACTAAATATCATAACTTTTAAAATGGTATGAAGGTTTAAAAAATTTGATCAATACTTGCTTTGGCCCCTCACAGAACCCTCCCCTTCTTTTTAGGAACTGGCTTATTTTCTGTACGGCCTTGTTGGGCGTTCGAACCAAGTTCTTGCTTCAACTGGATAGAAGCACCTACATAGCCATGAAGATAATATTTGGGCTCTCAAAGTTTAATTGAACTTGAATTGATTGATTGATATGCATCGGGGGATCCTTTAAAATCCTTAAATTCTTGAATTGTCCACAAGAAGCACATTTGGAAGAAGCAAACACCTTCACAATGTATGATTACGAATCGTGCTCGGCAATGTGCCCTCTAGTTTAGCCAATGAGCGTTCAAAAGTGGAGACATAGTGCTTTTTGAGGCTTGCTAGTGCAGTAGCCTCATGTATACCAGTCACAGACGATGCGAGTAGAAAGCTATTGTTTGATCGACTGCTATCTTAGCAGATATTATTTTGTTACTTGTTACAAAAGTCACCGGATAATAAAGTAATGTTTACATGTTACGCTCTACATGAGATAATTGGCAAGAATAACATACACGAGGCTTAGTTTAAACCCCGTGGAATAGTATACCGTTCCTTGTACGGCGGTCGGTCAGCAAACCTTGTCAGTTTGCTAGTTCTCCACCCTCATGGTGTACTTCGTTCTCTAATTGGGCACACGTGCCTCCATGCTATGCTAATCCACTAATCTCCTCGGCTTCCATTGCTTGCCCTGTGGAGCGTCCCATGAACTTGCAATGTTTTGACCGGTTGCGGCTTTCCTTCGAACAAAATTTAGTAGAATTTGAACATATAAGTTATCAGGTCAAGCTAGGCCGTCTGACACCATAGTCTGTAACCTATGGGTAATGTGAACTTCGTTAGGCGCCCAAACAGGTGCCGTAGAAGGGGGCAGCACTAGCGCTGACCTAGTGGGTACATGGAGCAGATTCACATGGGCCTTATAGCCCAAAAAAATCTAGCCAGCTCAGCTGCCCCTTGAAGCTGAGGGGTATTGTCTAGCTTTCTTGCATGCTATCGCTCTCTCACTCAAACTTAATTTTGGCAGCTTACATCCATCTACAAAGACAACCTATATCAGGCCACAAACCATGGAAAATAAAAACCAGATCTTCGATACTGTCAGCTGCACAGGACCCGATCCAGCGAACTCTTTCCTTCCGGCACTAGAGGGTTCATGTCAGGGACTCAGCCATAATAGCCACCTACTTGATACTGATTGGACTGGTCATTATCGGCCATCGCGTGAGTAAAACTGAAGAATATAGATACATGAGGATTGCTAACCTGTTGTATTTGCTGCTAGATGACAAAATTACAGCCCCGTTTTTCGAGATCGAGTCCGGTCTATCGACCTCAAAACATATATATCCGCTTAGATATGATACTCAAACGACACCAGAGGTCATGTCGGATAACCATGGGACACCGCATAACTGGTCCTCTATAGATTTGAATCTAGTGGCTCAGACCGGCCAAAATATCCAAAACGCAACGTTTAATCTAAACCCTACTCTTACTACCGAAGGTGGAACAGCCTGTCATGGCAAAGTTCTCAGCCGCAGCCATCATACATCGCGAAGCGGGAGTGAAGCTGCAACTGACGGACCGCGATACCAACGTTCTAAGCGAGTGTCCCATTACCGTATCGAAAAGAAGTACCGCACAAATATCAACGATAAGATTCGACTTTTGAACGAAATGCTCCCAGAAAATCTGCAATGTGCTCAGCTGTGTATGGATACGGAAAGGGAAGATATAAACATTGCTACCACTAAAAGTAAAGCGGCCGCAAAGCGCAGCAAGGGAGATGTACTATCTCTAGTCATTGACTATATTGTCTTCCTGCAAAAGAAGGACTTGTTGCAGAAGCAAAGAATTCAAGATTTGGAAGACTGCCTTTGGACATCAAAGCACTGGAGTTTTGAATGAAGTTTCTTTCCGAATATTGGTAATAAATGTTGCACAGCAGAAATCAAATCATGTCCCCCATCCTTCGAATTAATCAGTTCTTGCCAATGTGAGTAGATATCTGCTTACAGCTTATCCTTGGTGTCCAAATTTGAACCATTGCCATTCGCATAATTCCCATCCTTGCTTTTTCCAACATGCACCAATCGACTCTTCAAAGTCAGCTTGTCCACAAAAGCAGTCAGTGATGAGCTCTGCATTATATCAAAGAGGGAACATTCAGCCTCCAAAGTGGACACAATCCAGTTTCGCAGCTCCACAGCAATAAGGGAATCCACGCCAATGTCTGTCAGAGCCATTGAAGGGTCGATCTCAGTTTCAAGGCGCCCGAATTCCTTAGCCAGTCTGTTCACAAGTACGTTGTTGATGATTTCCTGCGCATCAGAAACTGTCCGGGCTTCTGAAAGTAGGGCTCTAGTATGCGTAACTGTGCTGACTGCTGCTACGCCACCATGACTTGATGCCATAGCGAAGTCATCCACGCGCTCCAAAGGTAAAAACCGGATATCATGATTCCAAAATTCAGCTGATGTGGAACGGATGAACTCTGGTGGAATGGCTGTGATGATCTGACTGGACTTGGGAGTCCGACGAGGATTTTGAATAGCCGACTCAACTAGACGAATAACCATGTCGTCGTTGAGAACTCGTGGTCCAATTCTTTCAAGATGACTGGCTAGATTCACATTCTCTGCTTGTGCAAGAACTCCAACTGATTTTACCATTCCAAGATCAATTGACACCCCCGGTAGCCCAAGAGATGCTCGATGACGGGCTAATGCATCTTGGAACGTGCTACCGGCGGCATAGTTGGCCTGGCCAATGTTACCTGCCAGCCCACTGAGACTGGAAAGCATGACAAAGAACTCAAGTGGGGAAGAAGGAACGAGTTCGTGCAGATTCCAGCTTCCCTGCACCTTACTTTGGATGACAGTGGCATAGTCCGCATGAGACATGTCTTCGCAAATTGAATCCTGTAAGAACTTAGTCAGTACACAGCTGATAGCATTCCGACTTTGACAACATACCCTGAGCACCATTGCTCCCTGAATAACACCCTTGATCGGTGGTAGTGAACTGGCACATTCCACGAGAGCTTTGGTCAGTTCAATCTTGTTTGCTACATCGCAGCTTTTCAAAATCACGTTTGCGCCCTCTGCGATCAAACTTTCCACAAATAGTTGATTTTCAAATGAAGAAGAGCCTGCTGAACGAGACATGAGAATGAGATGACGTGCGCCTCTGTTTACCAAGGCACGCGCAAGCAGTTTTCCTATGCCACCCAGACCCCCGACAATAAGATAACTTCCCTCAGATGACAAGGAAGGAGCTTTCGTTGGCGGAAGGACCTAAGTCGTTGATGAGTATTTTGGCGAGCAAGCCTGTTGAATGCGTAGCGTATCTTACTCACCTTCACAATATCTCCTTCGACAGGCCGCAGAACAATCTTGCCCATATGTGTCCCCTTCTGCATAACACGGAACGCCGACTCCAGATCTGTCATAGTATAATCAACAATGGGACTGACGGGTCCAATCTTTCGTTGCGCCACCATCACCGCAATATTGGGAAGGATGTTAAAGACCAGATGAGGACAGTGATCATACTTGGCCCACAAATCAACCGAGAAAAATGATATGCAGCGTCCAAATGGTGCCAACGAGATATTGTTATCCTCTTCAATGTTTTGCGTGCCAATCTCAATAAAACGTCCGAAGGGAGCAATGCAACTTAGTGAGGCTCGAAGAAGGGCACCAGCCAAAGAGTTGAGAATGACATCGACTCCCCTTCCAGCAGTATAGGTCAGGATATCATCGACAAAGGAAGCATCGTGGCTGGAGAAAATTCGATCGAGTGGAATACCATATGTATCACGTATGAACTTGCGTTTCTCTGTTGATCCCACAGTCACGAATATCTCAGCTCCGATACTCTGTGCCATCATGATAGCAGATTGTCCTACACCTCCACTGCCAGAGTGAATGAGAACTGACTCCTTGGGTTGAAGATGTGCAAGTTCAAAGAGACTGTGATACGCTGCACAATGTGCCATGGCCAGAGAGGCACCCTCCTCGAAAGTCATCCATTCTGGCAGACGAGCAACCCCATTGACATGGACACAAACCTTTGTAGCAAAGCATCCGGGAGTGAGAGTATAAACTCGATCACCAATTTTGAATCCTTGAGCTGTAGCCTTGGAACCTACTCGAGTCAAAACACCACTACATTCAAAGCCCATACGGTCCTCCTGGATCTGACCAAGAGCAACCATAAGATCTCGCGAATTGAGTCCGTACGCCATCGGCTTGAGCTCAACAAAGTCTTCTGGTAAGGGTTCATCAGGACGAAGATCCTCAACAAAGGTCAGATTCTGAAGCAATCCAGGCGCAGTAGATGCGAGCTTCAAATGCTGACCTTCCTCCACGTAGGCTCTTGGTTCCGGTATTTGACGCGAGATAGAAGTCGCCAAGTGATCGTTTTGCATAGTGTCCTCATAAATCCGTGGGATTTGCAGAACTCCCGAGCGAACCGCATATTCAAGCTCTGGTAGATTCGGGCTCCTGAGTGACCGAGTTAAGATGACCCTAAGCACACGAGTGATGTGATGAGCCGTCTCAGAGCTCCAAAGGCACTCCTTTGGATCAAGATCCAGCGAAGCATTTTGTTTCCATCCTCTTTCGTGTCGCAAGGTCCGCAGCAATCCGTGATGAAGACTAGAAAATGGATTTGGGCAATCAATTTGAGCACCCCTGGAAACCCAAAGAACACCCAAGTATCGGGAAAACACGAACTTGAGGTTTTCAAGCTGCTCTGGGGTGATTTGATCTAGCAAGGTTGTCTCCAAATAACCTAGGAATACTACAAACGAAGATGGATCATCTAACGCTTTGATTTCGCTGAGGACATGAGCCGTCACGTTGATGGGCCCGAACCTTTCCGTAATAGACCTTGAGAGCCGCTGCAGCCAATCTGTGGGGACGGTGGGCTGGGAGTAAACGATTGCCACATTGGATATCTGGCCCGAAGTCTCTTTAAATGGAGCAGTTGCCAGCGTGATGCTCGATAAGAGGTAACTATTCCTTTCTGGACGTGAGTGGCTCATGGAAATATCCTCAAAACCAGCACGCTGGAGGGTGTTCGTCCATTGCTGGGAAGGCAAACTGGTCTTTTCGATCTCGAAAGTTTCTATATAATCATTGTGCTGTCAGTCATAACACAAGATCTGTCTGACAAGTAAAGAATGCTTACTTTTCCAAGCCGGAAGCGTCTCATACACCATGCGCATATCAACCCGGTCAAGAGGTGGTCCCCACACCAGAAGCCGTCCATTACCATTCAAAAGAGTTCGTACATGGACCATTGATTGTTGGAGATCTTTGGCCAGAAATACCTGAGGTGATGCAATTATCAGGTCATAGCAATTCATCTCAAAGCCTTGTTCTGTGGGATCTGTATCAACGTCATATCGCTTGAATACCACCCGATCTGCACTCTCCTCAGATCTAAGGTTGTCGACATACTCCGTGGAGGGATCAGTGACATCGTATCTTCCACAGAAGACACCATTATTTGGCATTTCACCGAGAAGCTTCAAAACAATACGTGTGCATTCACCTTCACCCGCGCCAATTTCCAGCAGCCGAGCGCTGGGATTCTTATGGAGAAGTAGCTCAACCGTTTGCTGGACTTGAAGGCCACACTCCTTCATACTCAATGGCTCTCTCATGTAAATTTTATGCATGAGCTCTGCCGGATCGACTTTTCCTGTTAGAATATCCGGAAGATTTTGTCCCATTTGATGGACAAGTCTGCTCTCCACACTATCCTCAAAAATGCGATTAGCCCAGAGCTTGCTCATGTTGTGCTTCACCGTATCTTTCATCCACTGAGCATATTGGAAATACTCAGTGCTTGGACCAGCCTCTATCTCTAGGGTCAGAACCGCTTCAGCCATGTAGGTTAGTGCAGTTGTCTGAAGATTCTTAGCCGAGATCTGGCTCTCTGTCAACTCGGATTGAGGCGTAGGTGATAGGCCGGAGGCCATTAATAAACCGAAATCAGGCTTCCAACTCATAGAGAAACACCATTTGTCTGATATAGACTGACTGTGGGTGACCGATCCTCCAACTGATTGACAAAATAGACCTTGCATTATAAGAGTAGGAGACTCTCCAAATTCACTTGGGGTAGAGCTTCCTTCATTGTAGACGGTTGCAGAGGATTCAAAGCCATTTGGCTTCACATGGTCGAGTCGCGAGTGCATTTTGAACAAATGATCTGGTTCACTGCTGATGTCCGCCGAAATGTATAAAAAAGAGATAGACTTCGGTACTGCTGCATTGCCTTCTTGGGAACAAGTCGAAGGAAGGGTATGAGACATGGCCTGGAACATTGTATCAAGTGTGGTTGGGTGTATGACATGGTCTTGTTGGTAGTTGCATGGCATGATCGCCTTAGTATCAGGCACTCGCATGACGGTGATGGAACGTTTGTTTCCTTTCCGGGTAGTCAACTGATTTTTGAACATAGGACCGTAGCTCAGACCGATTTCTTGGAGACTTTGATAAGTCTCATCGACGCTTACTGAAGGCCAGAGACTGCTCTGATCCCAGTCATTGGCACATTTATATGCCCCTTCATCGTGCAAACTGAAAGTCTTGGAGCTAGGTGTGATGGCTGCAATGCGCCCCTCGCAATGAAGGATCCACTTCCCTGTAGAATGCAATGACTGGATGTGAAAGTCTTTCCAGCCTTGAGCAGAATGGATACGGTCAACACAGGATCGTAGTGAGATGCGAACATCGATCCCCTCGTCGTCATTCTCCAGGACCAAGGCGCGGGCAATGTCAATATTTTCAAGCTTATATCCTACAATGTGTGCTTCATTCTGCACCGATTGTCGCAGGGCTTCAATGGCCATCGCAATGTATCCCGCAGCTGGATACACAATACTTGATTGGACGACATGATCACGCACCCATGGGATATCCCGTGGGCGAATGATATGGCGCCAGGTTGGGGTCAACGGAGAGAAATCAGCAGTTGGGCGTCCGAGAAGATCATGAGGTAGAACATTTCGATCTCGAGCGAATTTGCTCAAACGAGATTCCCACCAGTATTGTGTCTGGTGGTTCCAGGGGTATGGAGGAAGGTCTCTCAGGATTTGCAAGCCCCGAGGACGACCATGAGGAAAGTTGACAGCACCGAGATCTATTGGGTATCCTTGCTGGATAAGCTTGCAAACCATGACCTGCATACTACTAACAGCACTCTGCCCCCTTATGAGACATGACGCGTACGTGATTTTTGTGTCTTTCAAGTCGGGTGCCGCAAGGCACTGGCGGATAGGACCTCCCAGTGCTGCATGAGGTCCGACTTCAATGATCACATCAATAGAGGAGGCATTGTTCTGGGTTTCGTCGACACACATATGACGCAGGGAAGAAACGAATTCCACGGGCTGGATAGCGTTGCGCACCCAATGAGCTGGATCGGTAACTTCTCCTATCTGATTCATCCGGCGGCCTGTTGTAGATGAGGAGAAGTTGATAAGATCTTTGGTTTTTGCAACCGAAGTTACCCAGGGAGCCATGGCCTCCAGATAGGGCTCGGTAATGGGCTTCACCAAATGCGAATGATACCCAGCAGTGACCTTGAGACGACGGGCAAATATATTCTCCGCTACAAGCATGGCCTCAAGATCAAGAAGAGCTGGAGTGTCGCCTGAAACTGTGACACTGACAGGACTGTTCACACAACCCACAACTAATACGCCAGACTTGATGCGTGAGATCCTCTGTTGTGCGTCTTCACGACCCAGGCCAACGGCAATCATACCGCCACTATCATGGAGCAGATGCACCAGGCGAGTAGTAAGATCACCTCGATAGTAAACAATTGCCAAGGCATACTTGAGGTCAATATATCCGGCAGCATAAGCAGCACTAACTTCGCCGCTGGAGTGTCCAGTAACTCCGGTGGGATGAACACCCCAGGACCTGAGAAGATCGACCAGGGCCATTTGAACGGACGCAACAAGTGGAAGACTGTAATCAACCTCATTAATGTGACTAGAAGATTCACTCCGCATGAGCTCCTCGATCAAGGACCAGGGTACACCGAACTCATATAAATATTCCTGGGCGCGGATGAGGGTGTCTCTGAACACAGGGTACAGCCCGATAAGCTCTCTTCCCATCGCATACCACTGAGCGCCCTGCCCAGTGAACACGAATCCCAAACGAGGAACACGAGATGATCTTGCTGGAGCGATCGAAGGCTGTATTTGCGGCATAGTCCTGTCCAGTGATGCTACAAGAGCTTCCAAAGTGGATGCCACACATGCTAAAGTCCAAGGGAAACGAGATCGCTTTTCCCCCAAAGTGAATGCCAGCTTATCAAGATTGTGCTCCCAGCCCTGGGTATTGATAGTAGTCAAGTATTCGAAGAGGTGGTTACGCATAATTTCCAGCGCATGCTTATCCTTTGCACTCAAGACGAAAATGCGAGGCCTGTCATCAAGCTCAGAACACTCATTGGGAAGGACTTCATTATCATTTTCCGGAAGGAGATACTGTGGGTGCTCGATGATTGCATGGGCATTGGCTCCTCCGTAGCCAAAGTTATTAACAGAGGCTCGACGTAGACTATGTAGTGGCCATTCACAAAGAGAGAGTGGAACCTAAACGAGCAATCATAAGCGACTTACTAAAGGCATATATTGGCACCATCGACTCACCTGGATCTTGAGGTCTTTGAATGGGATATTAGGATTTGGAGTCTCATAGTTTAAGTGCGGCGGTATCAAACCCTTCTCCAAGGCCATTACAACCTTGATAACGCCTGCTAATCCGCTTGTTGCTTCTGTGTGTCCAATATTGGTCTTCACAGATCCTACCAGCACGGGGTCTTCCGCTATCCTGTGTTTTCCAAACACCTTCCCAACTGCAGTAGCTTCTGTCAGATCGCCAGTTTGGGTTCCAGTTCCGTGCGTTTCAACATAGCCTGTATCGACGGGGTCCAGCCCACTAGCCTGGTAGCATGCTTTCATAAGCTCTGCTTGTGCATCCGCGCTCGGTGACGTTATCGTAGTTGTTTTACCATCTTGATTGATGCCTGTATTTCGAATGACAGCTCGCACAGCGTCACCGTCCCGAACGGCATCTGCCAAAGGCTTGAGGATGATACTTGCAATGCCATCTCCACGGCCATACCCATCGGCACGAGAATCAAAAGCGAAGCATTTTCCTTCTCTGGAGAAAATCCTTCATTCCCATTATGATAAAATCAGCCTTCTTTCCAAGTAAGGAGAAACCTCGAACGAGGAATACATACCCTAGTTTTGTGCCTGCGATAAACATGTCTGGATTCAACAAGATACCTGAACCTCCCACTACTGCCATCTTCGATTCTCCAGTACGCAAGCTTTGACATGCCAGATGCAAAAGCGTCAAAGATGTTGAACAGCCTGTGTCAACCATGACACTGGGTCCCCTCAGGTCGTAAAAGTGTGAGACTCGGTTAGCAACCATGGCTGCTCCATTTCCAGTCACGAAATAGGCGTTATTAACACTGATGGGATCCCGCATATGATTATCGTGATTGTCGCGGAAGGAGGTCCCCGCAAAGACAGACACATTTGTTCCTGCAACTTGTTCAATGGGAAGACCGGCATTTTCAAGTGCTTCATAAACAGTCTCGAGTTGCAGGCGGACCTCTGGGTCCATTGTCTATAGAGTATTAGGGATTGATCCAGCGGAATAAGTTAGGGCTCGCTCGCCTTGGCAACGTCTGCCGAAAAGTTGAAGAACGACGCATCAAAATTTCTAATATCTTCGTGCAGATAATGTGCTCCTTTGACATATGACTACGAGTTTCAATTTTTCAGTATCAATTTGTTATTGAGATTCGGAGCTGTAAAAAGACTTACTGTTCCGATGTGGCCTTGATCTGGGTGATACCATGCCTCGGCATGAAACCTTTCTGTTTTGATTGGTGACCACGCACTACGACCATTGGCAATAAGATCCCATAATTTCTCTGGATTGGTCGCATCGCCCGGGAAGCGACAGCCCATACCAATGATTGCAATGGGCATTGGAGATGCCTCCATATCGCTGTTAGGGGTTGGTGCGCCGATGCTTGTGGACATCGAGTCATCCGGTGAGTACCCTCTGGAAGACATTCTGCTTCATTGAATATATGTAAAGCAATGAGGAATGACGGTAAAGGTTCGGAGATTTTCCCCACAAGAATCGAAGTCTTTATAGACCCATGAACAACGAGAGGTCTGACAGACAATGGGAGATCTAACATTTCAGCCAAGACTTTTCACCTCGGTGAACACTGCAGTTTGCATGAAGAGATGCAAGATTACCTGCATGAACACGGGCTAGGTGGGTCAATCTAGAGTCCTATTCGAAGGCTTTGAAGCGCTGGCCTGGGTAGTGGTACCACCTCGAAAGGCCACCAATAATAGCGTGAAAACGACACCACACTAGATATAGTTCAAAGTCTTGGTATCCGCAAATATTGCTAGTTCTCTAACTTTTATCCAGTTATTCGAAAGCTCAGCTGTCTCTGCCCTCGTATTTTCTGGAAATGGTGGCGCAGTTGTGTTGGCCCCCGTAAGATTGACTGCTCGGTCCTCGCCGAGAGAAACCTGCCCAGATGGTCATGAGGAGTACATGTCCTCAAAGCACTGTATACTGTGCATATATTCTAATAGAAGACAAAACATAAGTTAAATTATGTAAAATGTACTGAATTCGATTCGCAAAAGCGAGTTTCTTCATCTATGTAAATTATTTCTAGTAAAGAAGATGAGCACTTCTCTAGTTATATGCGTACCTACACAAGAACTTTCAGAGAAAAGCTTTGATGATCAAGGTTTACCGTTCAATAAATCATTCAGGATAATCTCTCAAATCACCAAGTGTAGTAAAAGACCTTGCAAAGCGCATCCCTGCAGCATTTCTCTTCTCAAATGTGTCCCCACCTTTTGCAGCCAGGGAAATCTTCTCCTTGAGAGAAACATACGGGGGAACTGTAACGCGATCTAACTTGAAGCAGTATTTCGTGATCGCAGACGCGATAATCCGAGTCCGAGTGCGACCTTTATCTCCAAGTTCGCCCGCGAAATACCTAGTACAATCAGCCTGGCGACTGCTGCCAGAAGTGAAAAAATCGCTTAAAATATAAAGCCATTTCTCGTCCCAGCAAAGTACCTGCGACCGCACCTCGTAGGCTTGGAAGGGGGCGACGGCCTGATAAAACGTGCAAGCCGTGCCACCCATAGCCATGCGCCTTCTGCCATGTAATGAAAGCCAATCCGGACACAACGAGAAAAGTAATCTGAGTCTGCTCTCATCTAAATCGGCAAAGTAGCTGGAGTTGGTCTTGTGCATTTGGATGTCGAGCTCAAATATCGGAACTCGAGATGATAAAACGTCTGGTTGAAAAAGCGGATACCGGGACTTTTTGAATAGGAATTTTCCGGTGATTATGATATATAAGACTCGAAGCTATTCTTGCATCATTATTCTCAAATCTATCGACTGTTTAGGTGTGGACTTACATGCCACATTCCCGGCATACACTTGAGGGTGGGCCCAAAGAAGGCCAATGCTGCTCCTGCAGCACATCCATATAGGGCGACAGATATTTTGATGTCAATATTCCAAAGAGAACAATGAAGTCAGCTAGCTATTATGCCAGGTTGGTTGACAAAAAGTGCGAGATAAACTTGTAACTAACGGCGTTTACTTCGTAGTAGAGCCGGTGGTACAACCCCAAAGCTTCCCAGAATACCACCACCTCCTTGTATTCTGTTTCTTTAGTTATTATTACAAGGCTAGTTACCTGGCTCAATCTTCTCGATGAGAATATATTAGTAGTACTACGGCAGCTGAAGATCGTTCACAGGCGAGTATTCTCACTATACGATGATTGTGATGCATGGTCAATATTGGCCACCGTTGATGTTCGGTAGAAATCTTCATTCGGGTGGAAGAAAGAGACATTGTCTCGGTGGAATCAAAAGTTCCCGTCATTAATTGCTTTGATGACCTCTTTGATAGTTAGGACAGCCAACTAGTGGTGATGGCAGTACTAACCTTTTGGTCCGGACTCTGAAGCATTGGTATCTTCAGATTTCGCTCTTTATCACATGCAAACCTCGGCACACTAGCCGTATATTTGCAATAAAAATTAAGCTGCAAGTCATTGCAGAAGTTTCTGCTATCATTATAGCCAAGAAACTCCCCAATCTGGCCGATTCTAACATCGTTGCGAACATCGGGTGATACGAGTTTGTAACGGCGAGCTCTGCTACCACGCCTCAGCAAACCCATGTCTCGCCAAAATCATGATCATACCCCCGGCGTGGCAGTATCTCACGCCTTGAAAATGACAAGCCACCTCTAAGACAAAGAGCGACGTGAGATGCCGTGCCATAGGTTGAAAGCTGTCGCTTAAGCCATTCCTAAATTTCATTCGCTTCGTTCATGGATCAAATTCGACTAGAGGCTCTCTAAAGATTTCGTATTAGATTGCACCAATTATGCAAGTTCTTCCTTATCACTTAAATCATATTCGCTTTTCTCTTCATCGGGGACTTTTCGTCTCTTCCATTCACAAAGCAACTTCCAGAGCCCTCTGCTTCCCTTGGATTGTGCATAAAAGAGGATAACAGTGAATATCGTTAGTGGCACTGATACTGCCCATATCGTCCAGAAAGATGGTGAAATATCTACTGTGTGAGAGTTGTCATTGAGATAAAAGAATGGTGTGCTAAAGAATGTCTGCAATTTATATATTAGTATCTTCTTGCAGGAAACAATTACCGCCAGAATTTGGGGCTTACTGCCACGGCCGTGCAAGGGAGAAATATCATGGTGAGAACTGCAATTCGCTTCATTACAGCACTGTCGCCTTTCATGACCCTTGAATCGGTCTGAGTAACCAGGTTAAAGGCCTAAAGATAATGTCAATTTTTATTTCTTCTAACATCGTCGATGAAGACAGAGCTCATGTATTAGACATACCAAGTTGATCGTGCTCTGCGTCCTTCTTTCCATGCTTTGTAGTCTTAAGTCTGTGGAACTGATGGTCACTTTACGATAACGAAAATCCGCCTGTGCTGACTCGACAGAGGGTGTAATCCGCCCAGAGGCTTTGATCAGTCGCTCGTGTTGGCATATCATCGCATCCAAAGTCACGGTAATAGCTTCAATGGCCTCTCGAAGGTAGATTTGGGTTCTCTGAATCATGTGTAGTCCGGGAAAGTCCAAGTCCATGTCAGCCAACTCCGAATCTCCCTTAGCCAGATGGAGAACCTTCTACATATACCGAATTAGTGACTACCTTGAGATGGCTCTGATCGGAAAATGGGGTACTTGCCATCTCTTCCTGGGTAAAAACCTTTGCAACATTCCAGACAAGTTCATCAATTCTCTCATATAGACCTTCGAAAACAACATTGAATAGACAGTACGGTTCATTGAGAATCTGTTCATATGAGATGTTCTTGGAGATTGCTTTGAATTTCTCATACAGTGACCAATCGGCACCGAATGCAATCAAAGTGACTGCTGGAGTATCACCGTTGTGTTTCACCATGCAAAATGCAGACCGAACCCAGCCAAAGTCTCCTTGGCTGATCTCCTTCTTGCCTTGTTGGTTTCCGTTCGTAATTTTGTAAACGCCGTTTTGCTCCTCGATGGGAACGTTCTTGCACAGAAAGTGAAACCAGATGTCTTTTTGATTAGCGAATGATACACAAGATGTCAGAAATAACATACAGCTATCTTTTCCATCTTCTTCAGCAGTGCCAAATGAGCAAGCAACGTTTCGTAACCTCTCCGAGATAAAGGCGCCCGGGATAGAGTAGTGTTTATATACCGCTAGTATATCTCGCCCTTGGTCTGCATATGGATAATCGATCGGTAAAAATCTGTGTAGTTGGTAAGCAGCTGCTTTCACTGGGTGTCACTGCAGTGGTAGTTCTACATGATTCGAAGGGGACAAGAGACTCGCTGAGAGAGCTCGGCTATCGTGAATGGAGCCATCTCCAATCCCATGCCTCCATCTTCTCATGTTAGTTACGCACAATCTCGGAACGGCTTGTTTGGCTTACCTGTCCACCATTCGAAGCCAAGATACTTCCAGGCTGGATATTCCTCATCGAGATTTTGTCTGGTGCGCCTCTCAAATTCTTCATAGTACAGTTCGTTCAAACTCGTCCGCATCATCATACTTTCGTATATTTTCAGTCCAAGTAATGCTACAGCCTTCGAAGGTTGGAGGGAAAATAAGGCTTTGTGTTACTAAATTCCGAGCTTCGTTGGAAGGGATGTCGCAACTCCCAAAAAGTAATTGCACAGATACATCATCTTCAAATTTGATAAAATCTCTTGGTTATGGTCAAACAGCATGTGTAGCGAAGATGCTGGTTCCAAGCTACTACAGGGTCTCTTGAAACCGCCCCAAAAGTACGGGTATCCGAACACGGCGGCTATAAGATTTGTTTTATCCCCTGCATGCCTGATTGGTTTATAAAGAAAGATTTTGTGTCAGAGTGTGGGGTGGATCTTTTATTTTTGACTTAATAGAAAATTTGTGGCAACATTCTGCATCATTTTGAGGTGCGTGCGGCTTTCGTTTGGATGAGAATTCGTTAGGCGCTGTTCATCGTCATGCAGTAACTTAGCGCTCGAGTGTTCCGTACGTATTATCATCGCGCGCAGCTAATTCCGTGTTGGGAAATATGTCCGGTAGCCTCAGCCTCAGCCCCGATCCCATGCATAAGAAAAGTCGGGCGTTTACTGGCCGCGCATATCTTGCAGGATGCGCAACAACACGGCCATGAGTAGACCTTGGCGGCATTACCCCCAATAGCAAGCTGTATCTCATCCCATCAATACAGATCCTTTGATCATTATCCCACTTGACTCAACTCTGAAACTATGGATATTTATAAAGCACAAGCATAAGAATATAAGCGCCTTTGCTGGGTTCGATCAGCTAAATTCGGCCACATCTCGTTGGCCAAAGAATCTAGATCGAGCTATATACTCAACGGAACATTGATACAAATCAAGAGAAGTTATATAAATGAATGTTTCGTCCGCCTTTCTCGTTCATACGGAACAATTATCTTTCTCAACGAATCAAATACATAATACGAGCCACACTACTTAGTCTTGCTCCAGAAGAATATCCGTGAATTCAGACATGGTAAAAAGCGCCCCCCCCCTCGAATCTAGCGTCCCTCACTAACAAGATGCAACTCAAAGCCTGCAACGTACCACGAGCCTCATGGTGGAAGCTTTGATCCCCATTCAATATACTCGGGGAGATACCTCGCATCGGTAACTCAAACATCATTCGTTCCACTACTTTCAAACTGACGAAGGTAGACTAATTCCGCCCCAAAGCCCAACCCAAAACCCAACCCAAAGACGCGAGGCTCATCAACACCTGCTACTCCAAGTTTCGAGGTCAGTAAGGCCAAGAAGAAAACTGGATTGGGGGAAAGGTTGTTTAATAAATGGAGATCCTAAGCTTCTGATACAATGGAAGATGTTGAGATTGCTGAGGGGAAGGAAGGCAATATACGTAGCGAACAGCTCTTTATCCATTTGAAGCAATTAGGTTGAAAATGAATTTTGATATCCCTGTATTCTTCATAGTCTAATACCACTAGAAATGAACCAGAGGGCCTAGTCAGATACCCTATTATCGAATTCTGCAAGTTATTTATGAACCGCATATCGAACCCCTGTATATACAATTGACGAGAAGATAGATATCGGTATAAGGATCAGGTCCAGCGTGTCTATCATGGATCTTGTCATGGTGGTAAAGTCAAGGAGCTCATCGTGCAATGTGCTGGTAAAGTCTACCGCGGGCCACAAAACTCTATATGCACTGCGGTAAAGCCCTTCCAAATTCTTCATTAGTGATGAGTTGCTGTGATAGACGAGTCCCGACAGAGGGAGTCTGTTATAAAAAGTGTCACCTATAGATCTAGCGCGGTGCATGAAGAGAGCTATGGTCTACGATCTAACGAGAAAACAGAATTGCAGCTGTGGAAGCCAAACTGTAAGCTCGGAAGAACTAGTGTGCTTACGGTTCCCGAATACTTAGACATCCAACCTCCAAACTCCGACAAACTCTCTTATTCTCTACAAAAATGTCTTCAGATCCATCTTCGCCCATCTATATCGCCCACTCCTACATCTCCAACGCCCGGTTCCACCAGCGCTTCACCCTCGAAGCCACTGCCACACATGGCCCCCTAAATGTAACCTACGCCGAGTTCGGGCGGCAACCCGACGAGTCAGGAACTCCTCCAACCCTGCTCCTCATTCCAGGGATGTTTTCCTCCCGATACCTGGGTATACAACTCGACGCCATAGCGGACAAACTAGGCGTTCGTGTATTGGTTGTCGATCGGTAAGTGGTGTGGAATCTTTTCCGCCCCCACTATACACGGACGAGCGACGCTAACACCTGTATGTTATCAAAAGTCCTGGCATGGGCGGTTCGACAGATGTACCGCTCGTCCAGCGCATGTCTACCTGGGTAGAGCTTGTTCCACGTCTGTTGGCGCATCTCGGTATTCAACATGTGGCGCTGGCGTCGCATAGTGCTGGCACTATGTATCTTTTGAATACTCTCTACCATTGTCGGGATTTTTTGTATCCCAGCAATCCGGTTGTTAACATGCTAGGTGTGATTTCCTTACTTGAATCTATATCCCTTTCATTAAAAATGGAATATCAAACTAACTTTCTCTCAGCGCCATGGGTTGATCCCGCCCATTCCCTCAAAACCTCCATGCAAATGCTCCAATACATCCCCAACAAAGCATTTGATCTCTGGCATCGCATTCCCAAATTCTTCATGCTTCAAGCTGCACCCGCATTCGCATCCAGCGGAGCAGTAGTGAAGAAAGTCACTAATGCGATTTCCTCAAATGACACTACTAGTCATGACAATTCTCGGCAGGAAAAGCAGCGTCGCCATATCGAGGAGGTGTATGGACTATCTCGTGATGTGCAAGCTGAATTGGACAATCTCATGCATAAATACATGTTTGAAGAGGAAACAGTTGGGGCAAACAGTGAAGCCCTGCAGTGTCTTCGAAAGGAACCTACTAATACCTGGGGGAAATGTGAGGACTATGAGGTTTTTGTACGCGACTTTGTGAAGTTGGAACGCGGGCGAGACGGGAAGGCCACTCCATTGAAGATTCAGGCTTACTTTGCTGAGTCTGATGTAATGATTGGGAAGAAAGGGCAGATTTATTTCGAAGAGCGTTGGTGTGGGACGGATGAGGAGTATAAGGATGTAGTCGAATTTGCTTCGACGACGATTTCTGGTACTGACCATGATACTTTGGCTTTGTCGGTAGAGGTTTGGGAGCCCATTTTTAAAGAGTTGATTCGCGTCCTGGGTGATGACCATGAGCAATGATCAGGACACGATAGTCAATGGCCAGTTTGTTAATTGCAGGTCTTTTTTTTGTCTGAATGAACTCTATACATGATACTATCACATCAATATCAAATTGCAATATCTAGAGTAGTGCAGCTCAGACTGACTTCGACTCCTCGACATGCTTCATAACCTCATTAAACATCTCCACCAAGCGACAAGCCGCTCCCTCTCCCCAAAACAACCCTTCATCCTCAATACAACGCTGAATGTAATCCCGAGCCCGAGGTCTCATCTCAGCTTCATACTTCACAACCGCCCGATCAAGAGCCAGCATATCAAGCACTCCACCGTCAACCTCAGCCACAATGCAATCAAACAAAACCAAAGCATCCAACATAGCCTGGTTAACTCCCTCCCCATTCGGCGTAGAGATATGCGCCGCATCCCCCAACATTGTAGCCCCAGATACATGTCTCCACCGATCTCCAAATCGATCCCCTTGCTCAGAGTCCTTCCCATCGGAACCAGACAAGAATGTATCCGGATCAAGCCGATAAAGAGGCCAAGCACGCCACGGACCCTCAGCCTCCGCAACGAACTCTCGCAACTGCAAAGCCCAATCACCGAAGAAACCGCCAGGCGCAAGCATTGCCGCACGAGTCTCGTCAGTATCGGTCACATCGGCCACACCACCAGCCCGGGTACTATCTTCCGGCGCAACAAGACCCATATACACGCGATAAGAGCCATCAGCCGTTTGCTGGATGCACAGTGTACTCCTCGCACCCATAGCCATGGAGTTACCAGCCCCAACCATTTCAAGTGCGGCGCTGTATTGCGGGTTCGTCAGGGACAGACGACCTTCGATGAAGGTTTTGCCCGAGTAGATTGGTTTGGCGGGTGTGAACTATAGAATGCCGTGTCAAAACAAAATTTACTCCTAATGAAGTCAACAGACGAAGAGAAGGAAATCCATACCAATGACCTCAGCCGACTCCAAGCCCCATCAGCACCAACAACGAGTCCAAACCCGCTTTCGACCCTCCCATCTTGGAAATGAAGTTCTAACTCCGCAGTATTTTGCATCTCCCCCTCACCCATATCATCTCCCTCATGTCTTTCAACAAAAGCCAATCCCATCCCCCATTGGACCCGCTCGGTCGGAATAGAAGAGAGCAACATGCGCCTCAACTGGACGCGATCAATCTCGGGTGCATCGCGCGGCTCGTTGAAGACACAGCGATGATTCCCGTGTGCGTCTTGGATGGTCATCGTCATTGCGTTTCGTCGGGCGAGTTTCTCGAACTCGGCCGTTAGACCTGCGCGGCGGAGTGCTGCTTGGCCTGTTTCTTTGTGGAGGTCTAGAGTGCCGCCTTGGAAGCGTGCTGTTGGTTCGGGTGATGGGTCGCGCTCGAAGATTGTATAGTTTATGCTCGCTGTTTCGAGGAGGCGGGCGAGTGTTAGCCCGCTGGGTCCAGCGCCGATTATGGCGATGGGGGGTTTGGTTGGTATGGTCATTGTAAGTTATAGTTCTGGTGGTGGTTGAGTATAGAGATTGTGAGTGGTACAATTGTGGGTTGTTTAGGGTTCAAGATATTGATGTAGAAAGAAATGAACGAGTGAGGAGTAGGCGGATAGCTTTATATTTCTATCGAGTTGAAAGTCGCTCTTATAATTCGCAAGAAATACTCACTGGGTGTGTCGGTCCCGAAAAAGAGTGAAACTCTCTCGTTGAGGCCTGCGATGCTCGGTCCCGGGTTGAGGACATTCGGTCCCGAGTCTTGTTTGACAGGCGAATCTATGTTGGGAAACTGGCACTAGGGTCGACGACTGAAACATAATATACGGTGTATGATACTGCATCTGATTTACTTAATATCCTCAAAGTTAATATCATTGCCGAAAGAGACAGATCAAGACATGCATATACTTCTGTAGGGGTGGGTTAGGGTTTACTTTCTCTGATTAAAAGAGCTTAAGAGCTTGCGCAGGGTCGCTCAGCGGTATATTCCCCAAGAAACATCTACGGAGGACTGAAATAAAGAAAAGACTATCATTTAGATCAAATGCATAAATCACATGAGCGGAAGAGGTATCGAACAACTAAGTAAAAGATCCAAGAGTAAACACCATCCAGCAGAGGACCCGAAAAATATCCGATGATAACAAAGTCGTGTTGAATCAAAGACAGCGATCATTAAAAGAGTCATGCAAAACAAACAAGCCAGCGTATAGAAGCCGACACGGCCGAAATGAAAAAAAGAAAATCAAACAGGCTCAACCGTCTGGAGAGGGACGTAACCCTCGTCTTCACGGATGGTGGTTCTGACACCCTTGCCAGTAACCAGGGACCAGAACGAAGCAGCCACGCTTCCAACCCGACGACGGAGAGAGCGTGGACTGTCGGACATGATGGCGGCCGGAGACCACCAGCTGTGCTTGCGGGCGTGAGCGCCACGGCCGATACCAGCTGCGGAGATTGTACCGGAGGCGATTTCCTTCTCGAGACGTTCGGTTGTCATCCAAGAGGGACGGCTCCAGAATTTCAGAAGGAGACTGCTGACCACGACTGAAACACTGGAAAGGGCCATTGCAGCACCGGCGGCCATGGGTGGTAGCATGAAGCCAGTAAAGGGGAGGAAGAGGCCCATTGCAAATGGCAGACCAATGACATTGTACAGGCAGGCCCACATCAAGTTCATCTTGATGCGTTTAAAGACAGAGCGCGAGAGGGACAGACTGGCTGGCACGGAGAGTAAGTCATCCGGACGCATTAGGACAATGTCAGCTGCTTCCACGGCGACGTCTGTGCCGGAGGCGAGGGCAATTCCGACGGATGCTGTTGCTAGTGCGGGAGAGTCATTGATGCCGTCGCCTACCATGGCAACGCGTTCGCCTTCAGCTTGAAGGGCAGACACGATGGATCGTTTTTCAGATGGTGAGACAGAAGCGTGAATTGCCGATTTGGGTATGCCCACAGCCATTGCAATCGCCGTTGCTGTGGAGAGTGTGTCGCCTGTCACCATTGAGGTTGAGATTCCCATACGGTGCAGGGCAGCCACTGCGGCTGCCGCTGTGTCCTTGACTCTGTCTCGAAGAGAGATGGTGCCAGCGTAGTGGTTATCAATTGCGACGTGGATTCGTGTGATGCCAGATCCCGAGCTGCTGGGCTTAACAGCCTCAGTATCGAGGATAGAACCAGATGCCGCGGAGTCGGGGTCTGCATCAGCAGGCATGAGAACATTATTTGAACGGAGGTATTCAGCGTTGCCCAGAAGGACATTATACCGAATACGCTCGCCGCTAGATGTAGGTTCAACGGAAGCAGATATTCCCTTGCCAACACAGTTGTCAAAGTCACCCATGATGCCAGGCAATCCATCTTCTCCAGGGTGTCCTGATTCGGTTTTGGCTGCAAAAAGAATGGCCCGTCCAATTGGGTGCTCACTGCCAGTCTCTGACAGACCGACAATGAGCCACCAGAGTTGACGGCGCCAATCGCTCACTGTCCATTGAGGTTCAATCCGAGTGTGAGCAACGCTCATCTTTCCTGTAGTCAGGGTGCCAGTCTTATCAAAGACAACATGAGTGACCTTGGTAGCGGCTTCCAGAACAGCTCCACCTTTAACAAGAATGCCATGCTCTGCGCCTACTCCAGTGCCAACCATCACAGCAGTCGGTGTGCTCAAACCTAAAGCACAGGGGCATGCAAAGACAATAACCGAAATGCAGAGTTTCAGACAGACCATGACTCGACCGCCACTGCTTTCGACTTCGAAAATCATAGGCGGATGAGGCAATACATGACTGAGGAACATCCAGCCAAAGAAGGTGATCAAACCGAGGCCAATAATAGTGGGTACAAAGTATCCAGCAACAATATCAGCCATACGCTGAATTGGAGCACGGCTGGTTTGTGCGTCCTGTACCAACTTGACAATCTGACTAAGTTGAGTGTCTTTACCAGCTCGGAGGACCTTGAAGTCAATCGAGTTGGTACCGTTCACGGTTCCAGCAACGACATGACTGCCAATTTTCTTGTGAATTGGTAGTGCTTCTCCGCTGATCATACTCTCGTCAACATAGCTCTCGCCGCGAATGACTACTCCATCCGCAGACACTTTGTCACCGGGGTGAAGGATGACAATGTCGCCAACTTGTATCAGCTCGGTGGGAATGCCCTTTTGGTTCACTGTCATATCATCGGCCAGAGCAGGTTCGTCAGAGGCACCAGGTTTGGGCTTCGAAGACCAGCGCTCAGCTAACTTCTCTGCCGCAATGGGGTCTTCATAAATAGTCGTCATAGATGGAGTCAAAGACATGAGTCGTGATAAAGCAGCGGAAGTTTGACCCTTGGCGCGGTTCTCCAACCACCGCCCCAAAGTGATAAACGTGATCAGCATAGTGCTGGTGTCAAACACGGTGCTTGGGCGTTTGTGATCGATGCTGCAAAGGGCCATGGTCATGGTGAAACAGCTATAAAAGAATGCAGCGGAAGTTCCCAACATAACGAGGACATCCATGGTTGGGGAGCGGTGCTTGAGGGACTTGAAGCTTGTCACATAGAATCGTCTACCAATGCCAAATTGCACGGGTACTGTGAGACAAAGGCAAATCAAGTCTCCAAAATAGAGGCCTGGGATGAGTTCAAAGCCACCAAAGTCAAGACTGGTCAGATACATGGGAAGAACCATGCTGATGAGGAAGACGGGCACTGCAAAGGATGCGGAGATGATGAATGCACGCCTCCACTCTTGAATCTCCTTTGTCTTTGAAAGTGACTGTAATTGTGCGTTCGTATCGTCCGAGTCCACCATCAGAGCGTTATATCCAGCGGTCTCAATCACATCCACCACAGATCGAATTCCAATAATTGATGGGTCGAAGGAGATCGCTATCCGGGAGTTGGACATTTTGATTGATGCCGAGTGGACACCAGCTTTCTGCAGTAAGCTTTCTTCCAATGCAGAAGCAGAAGCAGCATCCCGTAATCCATGCAAGCTAAGGTTGATATGCTGTGTCTTCTTTGACTGAGGCGCCTGCGCCTCCGATGACACGATCGACGCATCAAATCCGGCATCCTCTATTAAACCTGGGATTTTGCTGGCAGGGATGATGGCTGAATCATGGACAACCACCGCACGCTCTGCCAGAAGACTGATATTGAACTGGATCACACCATCCACACCACCCAAGGCACCCTCAACGCTAGACGTGCAAGCGCCGCAGGTCATGCCTCCAACTGCAACAGTCGTGACCAACAATCCGGTCTTGTCATCCGAGCCGACCGGGGTGGGTGAATCTTCAGGTCCAGCTCGGGATGTCTGCAATACTCGTGCACCAAATCCTCGATCCTCAATAATCTCCGCGATCTGCTCCGCGGTGATGATACCAGCATCATGCTCCACCACGGCACGCTCAGAAAGCAAGGATACGTCCACTGAGTTCACACCCTTGACGTCTTTCAGCCCGCTTTCCACTGCAGAAGTACATGCACCGCATGTCATACCTTCCACGGCCAGATTCGTGACCGAGAACCGCGTGGCCGGGGTATCCGAGACAACATCGGTGTGGGGTTTGGTCTGTTCGTCGGTTGATAAGACTGTCGCATCGAAGCCACAATCTTCAATCATCTCCGCGACTTTTGCCGGCGATAAGACTGTCGGATCATGTTGCACAGCAGCTCGGCCCATTATAAGGCTGACGGAGACGTCTTGCACGCTCTCCACCCCCTTGAACGCGCCCTCCACTGCCGAAGTGCATGCTCCACAAGTCATGCCGTCTATTTTGACAGTCGTCGTGGCCATTGCGGGCCGATCGGACCCGGCAGCGGCTGGGCTTGTCATTTCGATAGTGAAGCGCGAGGCGAACACGACGAGGCAGAACGGACTATTGCATGAGGGATTCGGATCAGGCTGAGAGAAGGCAGCGATGAGGTACGGATGCTGTCGGATGGCGCAAGACCGATCAGATCATTTCCCGATTAGACAAAGGGATTGCAGAGGTTCGAATATACACAGTAGACTCTGCCAATAGGCCACGTCAAGGTGATGTGAAGACACAAAATAGAAATGCCGCAAGGAAGGTCAGAAAAAGGGCTTTGAGTGGATTGATTACGAGGGGTGTGGATTCCCGAAGCCACGCAAAAGAATGTCCCGCCCGATCTCATGTAGAACTGATAAGATGGTCCTGTTTTCAAAAGGACCAGCAAATTAACGACGCCCTAGATCAATATTCACGTAATATACAGGGTCCAATAGAACTTGAAACAGGCTAGACATGTCAAAAAGAAATGGTGGTTTCAAGGGTCAACGGTCATGTCTACGGAGTAGGGATCATTTCCACTGCAGCTGAAGGCCTGAGAATGCGGGCGTTGTGAATTTGGACAATCTGGGCGAAGAATGATGCATATGCTAGTCAGCACCAATTAGGCCATCTCCAGGATCCAATCTACTCTACTACTCTATACTCAGGACGAAAGAGCCGAATGATGGCCAAGACCAAGTAAACATCCGGAGCATCAGATAAAGTGTGTTTGCATCAAGTGCAAACCAGCACAGCTCAATCTCCAACGGAGCTGGAGCATCATTCACTCCACATTTGATTGTATCCCATCCTTGCAATCTACTCTCACACCCTCGCTATTCCTCTCCTCCAACTCCATACACAATGGACCAAGTTCATGCACGAGCCCTGGAGGCTCTGCAGCCGTTCATCGTGCTAGCCAACTCAAGCAGCGCAAGCTCGCCCCGCTTCATCGCGAATATCATCACAAATGCCACCTCAAGTCCACAAACCTATGTCTTCGCCGAGCTCCTCGAGCTGCCAACAGTCCAGGCATTGCGGTCACCAGACACGCCAGTCGAGTTCCAAGGTCATCTGAAGCTACTAGAGATATTCGCATGGGGCACATTACAGGATTACCAAGGTGAGAACTATATCAATATACCCAACCAAAAGAAACAGCCCACGCCACCCCAACAATAACCGACCCTCAAATTCCAAGATCCAAAGCTAAACATAACTCCCCCAAGCAGCAACCCCCAACCTCCCAGAATTGAACCCAGAACAAACAACCAAACTCCGCCTCCTCTCCCTCCTCTCCCTCTCAACAACAATAAAACCACTGACCTACACCTCCCTGAAAACCGCATTATCAAGCCCATCAACAGCAGACCTCGAATCCCTGATAACAGCCGCAATCTACGCCTCTCTGATAACAGCCCGCCTCTCCCCCGCCAGTAACCCCCCCTCGGTAAACATAACAGCCGTCTCGCCCCTACGCGATGTGCAACCAACCTCCCTCCCCAAAATGATCTCCACCCTCACAGAATGGGAGTCTCGCTGCGGAGGCGTGGTGACAGACCTAGAGGCGGAGATCGCCCGCATCAAGAGCGATGCTGTCAAGCGCGCAAACCAGAAACACACTTACGGGCAGCGGTTTGAGAAGGCCGTCGAACGGCGCCAGAATGGGGCTTCTGGGGAAGGTGGTGGTGCTGGGGGTAGTTCTGGGCGGAGAGGGAATCGGGCGCGGTTCGGGGCGGGCCTTGGTGGGAGCAAGAGGGATGCTGGTGACATTGATCAGGATGATGGGTTCTTTGAGACGGGTGAGGGGGACGGCTCGCGCATGGATATTGATGAGGGGGCTGGCAGTCGTTCTGGGAATAGTCGGTCGAAGAGGGTGCTTGGGCGGAAGACTTGAGATGAGCTGATGACCCTGTGACTACTTGGGCTGGGATGTGGTCCCGGTCTATTTCTTGATTATTAGTTTTCACTGATCTGGGGTTTATTGCTCATTAAATCATGCTAGCGGTTGCAACGGAAATTTATGGTATGAAATGACTTGATTATTGATTCAGTTACGCATTGTTACGCCTTTCTTCCACTAGCTTGTACGGGTGTAGAAGATTAGTGTGGATAAAGATGCATTCGTAAAGCCCAGAAGGCGCTCATTGAGAAGGTAAATACAATACAAGTGTATGGCGATTCGAAGGGGTATTGTTAGAAGATAAAAAATCACAGAATGAACAACAGCAGGCAATATGGACAAGACAAGGAAAAGTGGATGGGACCGCTGATAAGCAGGTGGGTGGAAGAAACATAGTTCTCTTCGACAGCCTTGGTATCGAAGACTGATACTCAACGGAAGGTTTCTTCCAGAAATGTGCTTCACAGAGGCAGAGCCCTGTTATCCGGACGCTATTATTGAAACGCCATCAACGGGCTGTGAATGGAAACATTGCGAGAATGAAGATAGAGCTTCGCGACGGGAGTCCATGTTCTGCGGGGGAGAAATTAAGGCGAATACCAACAAGCTTACAGCATGGTGCCTGGGACGAAAATGAACAAAATACTCAAAGCCGCAGCTGTTAGGAAGGCCATAAATGCAGTGACGATGGCGCGCTTGTTTAGGAGCTTTCGAACATAGGGCTCACGGATTGGGGCCCAGTTCATGAAGGTGTATTCACTGTAGCCCAGGAAAGCCATGACGGGGTCGATTCTGTACTGGTATGAGACGATGAAGTATGCAGCGACAGCAAATGGAAGGATGGTCTATTTGAAAGTTAGTAGCTGTTTTTCGGTATTAGAGAAGTACCAACAACATACCCAGCAGCGGATGTTGCGGGGCTTGTTTCGCAGTACAACGTAGAAAGCACCCCAGAAAGCTCCACCGAAGCTGATCAAAGCAAAAGCGAGGCGCAAGATCATACTTAATGGAACGATGTTTCCGAGAGCCTTTGCCTGCAAGAAGCCTGGGAATGCATCACGCTCCATGGCCTGGAAGACGTAGTCCTTAGCGGGGTCAAAGACCTCAGGATCGTCACGACCATCATCTTCGATCAGGTTGATAATTGTCGAGACCATTGATTCTGGTAGCATGATCTCTCGCTCGGAACCGGGGAGCAGGAATGTGTACAAGATCTTCTCAGCACTGGCGCGAATATCATTACGGTCCACGGTGTGGCCAGGGGAGTTTTCGTCGTCGTTCCGGGTGCCTGAGCTGGGTCTGGGCTCTTCATTTGATGAGACTTGGTGTGCTGATCCATTTGACGATACGCTGCCCTGCTGCGAGTGCGAAGTGTTGCCCTCAGACCGAAGGAAGGCAGAAAGGCGTTGGTCCGCGTCTCTCTCTTTTTCGTTTCCGCCAAACCCGTGGCGCATACGGGAAGGTCCAGCCTCCGTCAGCTGAATGTCGCCCAAATTCTCGAGGTTGTCTAGCATTGCGGATGATCTTTTGCTGTCGGCTCGTTCAATATCGGGGGTTGCGACCAGGACTGAGCGGCGGAGTTCTCGGACATAGTGTCGGCACAGTAGCATATGTTGGGAAACGTCGAGCCTTATCATCTACATAAGAATGGGCCATCGAAAGTATGACGAGTTGATTGCACTTACCAGAAATCCAGGTAGTCCACGGAACGCTGCTGATCGCGCATGTAAATGTAGAACGAAAAGAGGTCGACCGGGGCAAGGGTTCGACGACTGAGAACCTCGAACAGAGTCGGCAGGCGATTCCGCGACTCTGCGTCAACAAAGTCGTGAGACATGCTGGCAATGTGTAGAGAGTTGAAACTGGTGAAAGTCCAGCACCGAAAATTCGAAATTAAGAGGGGCGCAATAGGGGGCTGAGATGGCAGGGTTTGGTCGGTAAGCTGACAGTCTCAAAGAAAACCCCAAAGTGTAGCATGTGAAGGTAAATGCGGATAGAAGCGAATGACAAGCGATAGTAAACGAAAGGAGGGGTTGGAATGAATTGGATTCCACGTCGCGAGACACGCAATGGCAGTGGATAGGTGGATGCCCCTGAGAACTGCGGGCGGCAGCACAATGTTGATGACAGCAAACACGACAAAAACACAAGACTTGACAAAAGACAAGCCCAGCAACGAAATGAAAGACCAAGGCAAGGGTGAAGCAATGAAGATATTCCAGCCATCGGCATTCTTCTGAAACATCGACGCGTAAACAATAGTCCGAGATTGCGCTCCACCTGTCAGGGGGAGGATTTAACCTCGTCTTTTAAGCTTATTGCGTCATATAGTTGGGTTTTTTGTGTTTATTACGAGCTTGAGAGCCAACTTGAGTCTCATGATAGGTGAGCTGTTTTGAAGATGAGCTCAGTCTTTGGACTATGCTCGTAAGGGCCAGCCCCGGAAGACAAGATCTATAGATCTAAAAATAACCTATATCAATATACTCAGTAGTGCGACGAGGGAACGGGAACAGACGCAAGACTACATGTAACGTACTTCTTTCCTGATATACGAGGACGATCCTCGGGAGAAGACACGATACCCTGAACTTGGGGACACTTTCTATATACGCAGCAGCTCCCAATCCGCCTACTTAACCTCAGGGCATCAGGACCAATGTTTACTATGAAAATAAGATGAAGAGAGACTCACTAGCATCAGCTACAAGCCAGTGAACAATATTCCATAGTAATCTATCAACAGGGTATTGCCCAAATATTAACCCCAACGCCGTCCCGCAAAATAGACTAACACTCTCGCTGCATCAAACGTATCTTTTAAAATCAATGGTTATCCGCAAGATGCTAGAAGCTGAAGTCAGTATTGATATCAGTAAAGGGAATCTTCCTTAGAGGGTACTCACCGACCACTCGGGAATATTCCGGATCTGAGACCACATGAATTTCTCGAGCTTGTTCGCACTCTTGGCATATGGGGTAGTCTCATTGTTATAGCGGCGGCAGTTGTCGAAGATGAGCCCAGCATCCTTGATGAAATCCTGCGGAGTAGGATACAAATCCTTCTCGTGCTTCTCTTCCATTGTTGATAGATCCATGGGCTCCAGAATAACTTCATAATAATCGGGCACTTCATCGCGATTCACGGGTTGGGTAAATGGCCAAGCCGCACTGTGGTTTTGCATGTCATTTAACAGATGCAGCAACTGGTTGTAGTTGGGTCCATGACGGGGCTGGCGGGCCATTTCATCCATATCAGGAGACCACCCGGACTCTTTGATTGCCGGGATACTGAGGGGATCAATCGGATGTACGCCGGCCTTCCATTCTTTTGGCGGCGGGTGAACGATATGTGATCGACTGAAGGCGCGAATTTTGGCCTGTACAGACTCTTTTTGCTTGGTGAGCATTCGGCCCATCTCCAGAAAACGTATCTTGGGTAGCATGGTGCACTGCATGAGCGTGCCACCCTCGTAATCCTTAATATATCCCATCCAGATTGACCGGTCCAGCGTGATTTCCTTGGTAAAGCCTTGTTTCTTGAAGTAACCGATGGCGTAGTTGTCGGCGTATGTGAGGAAGTGCATGATGGGAGATGTGGCTTTCACATAGTCCTAGCACAAACAAGTCAGCCAGGATCACAAGCTGAGACCCATGAGCCTTACCTTGAGATGGGACATCAAGTGTGCACCATATCCCTTGACTTGTTGATCGGAAGAGATAGCACAGAAGACGATCTCGGCGAACTTGCGACTGTTGAATGGTCGATATGTGATACCTCTGGATGGAAGATCAGCACTATTCCGCTGGGTGCGGGGAGACCGAAACATACCCAACAACCTCGAGGGGATGTTTGACAATAGCAATGGACAAGTGTGATCGGTCGTATACAAGACGCGCAATGTAGTCCTTTGGCATCTTGGGTAGTTGTTTTTGGAAGATACACTTCAGCCCGGTGAGAACAATGAAGCTGTCGTGGGAGCCATCATTGTTGACAACTCGAAACTCGATATCGCCACGACGTTCTTCGAGAACTGCGGGCTTTGAGATGTCAGCCATCACCCACAGTGCGCAAACACGGGGAAAGGCGTAGGGTAGGAAATACCTTTTCGGGGAACGGGACAATGCGGAGGGGGGTTTCTTAAGAGGACCATCTTCCTACAAGAGGACGTGTCAGAGCAAGCAAAGAGGTTTTTTCCAGTATCCGAGTCACTTACTTCTTTCTCGGGGGAATCTGTGCGCGCTTTCTTGCTGGCTTGCTGCCCAGACTCTGGGGTAGCTACCTCTTCGGAGGCTTTTCGCTTAACGCCTGGAGTTATCATTAGTCACTTGAAAAATCACGTAGTCAAGCACTCGATAGCTTTTTGATCTACTCACTTTTGGGCGATTCTGCGGCCATGGTGATCTGGAATTCGGAACTTGCGCCTTCGCGTTGCTCCAACATGACATGGGGTACTGGTCGGATTAACAATGTTCCGCACGGGCCAGATCAACACGTCGATCTATACGTCGCATCTTCACCTCACCATTGTTGCTCAATTACATTGATTTGATCCTATTGTCCCAATGTCTCTTAACGAAGTCTGGGAGGCAGCCTCCGCTACACCTTTCACCCCTATCATCGATAAGGACTCCCAATTCTCCGTCGGCTTTAACTTGCTACTTCTTGGTAAGCTTCCTGGCTTTACGACTACGACCACTTGTTGACAATATTGGTAGCACTGGTCACGACTACCCTGTTCGGTCTGAGTAAGTAGCTACTAAACTAATGGTTATCATTGGAGCTCCACTGACATCAACAGACCGGTCTTTTCTCAACATCGCATCACTCGGAGTCCCGGCCTCATTAGCATTTGGGTTAGTAATGCGGCTCTATAATCCTTTCATCACATCAAACATACTGACAGGGTGTTCCCGTAGCTTTGGAGCTGTTTTCACGATCTGTGCTGCCGGAGTTTACGTTTAACCAAGCACCTTTCCTATCCCCTCAAATGTACCATAAGCGCGGGGCTCAGAGGGATCTGTACTGCTAGAACAAAGCTATCACACATTTTTCGGCATTGAATCCTTGTCCTGTGTCAATATCGCAAATTCCGAAATCCGAGTGAGCTGTGGAGCCCGCTCCGCTTCCCCGAACCACACGACATTGGACCTTGTCGCATCACAAACTCGCCTTTATAGCGCCATGGAGCCCTTATTCTCTGGCGTCTCAAACAACGCTCATCACCTCTACACACTACTCTCCTGTATTGGCTTTGCACCCAAAGCCACCGTCCAAATCACCCCCGATGGTCTCCGCTTCTCAGTAGAAGAAGGCCGCGTGATCCAAGGACTTGCCTTCCTGGACAAATCCCTCTTCACAAGCTACACCTTCAATACGCCAACCGATACAGAAGCAGAGACCAACGAGTCATCCCAGAATGTGGCCTACCCCCACTTCGCCGTGTCAATCGCAGCACTTCTCGAAACACTCAAAATCTTCGGCATAAACGAACTCACAGAACCGAACCGCGAAAAAAGCATTACACAATCCTCAAACGCCTTCAATGCACCAGCCCTCCTAATGGACCGGTCCTGTACCCTTCAATACGCCCAACACGGCAGCCCACTCAGCATAACAATAACCGAAGCAGGCGTGAAAACAACCTGCGAACTAGTAACCTACGAACCAGAAGAAGAGGAGTCCGACATCCCCCTCCAACGCGAAGCAATAATAATGAAAATAATCATGCGCTCCGCCTGGCTCCACAACGCAATCGCAGAACTAGACTCCTCCACACCCACAATCCTCAAACTATCTGCCTGCGCCAAGACAGAACCATACTTCGCGTTGTCGGGCGCAGGAGGCCCCTTCAGCGAATCAACCGTTGAATTCTCCGTCGATACCCAAAATGAAATAACCAACGGAAGCGAAGCAACTCAGAACACAGCCGCGTCCCAGAAGATCCTAACAGATGATGGGTCCTCACGCGCACGCGCAACACGCGCAAAGCTCGCACCCACGGTCACAGAGACATTCCTTGTATCGCCGCCTTCCGCGATGGGCGAGCGTATTCGGCAGAACTACCGCTTTGCGCTTGTTCGGAAGGCGGCACGGGCTATGTCTGTCGCGAATAAGGTTAGTATCCGGGGGGATCGACAGGGAGTGCTCAGTTTGCAGTTTATGGTAGAGCTGGAGGATGCGAACGGGGGTGTGGGGAGACCTGTTGGTGCTGGGGTCAGAGGGCCTAGTGGGCCGGTTTGTTTTGTTGATTTTCGATTTGTGCCGTTGCTTGATGAGGAGGAGGTTGAGATGGCGTTGGATGCTGCTGTTGAGTAAGTTGCCTGCCTGGTGGTGATGAGATAGTTGGCTTAGTATTTATATATTTATTGAAAATGTTTCTCACGGGTTTTGCATACTTGAACATAATCACGAGAACGGCTTCGGTATCGGTTGATTTGGTGGATTCAAGTATGTACCTGCATCCAAGAGGGGAACATCAGAATAGGCCATACATCATGGGGAATTTTCCGTGCCTGTAAGGTAGAAAGTCATAGTCTAGATATGCATTCAGCAGAGTACCTGTTGGCTTCGTTCTATCAACGTGAAGCATGAAAGTGTACAAATTTCATAGTCAGATTGCACTGCATGTATATACACAACAAAAGTGGTATAAAGCAAAAATCGAATTCAAGGCTGAAAAGCTAAACGAAAACAAAACACAAGACACCGCCACATCCAGGCACGAAAATCGAAGATGAGTATCCAAAACAAGATCGAGTGGATCATGTACATGCCCGCAAAAGAATCCAAAGGAGGGAATAAAAGCAGAAACAATGTCAGTATAGCGCATATAGTTATATCAGCCACAAACCGGCCAAGTCACGAAATACGAGTGTATGTCCCAATCGCCAAATCCCATAATGGCGCCATGAACCCATAACGTAACACCAGAGTCGAAGCATAGCGCCGCTCCCTCTTCAAACAAAACTTCATTCATGCATGGTCTGGATCATAACTCGTTTCACCCAGCATACCCTGACCGGCGGCAGCAGCAACCCCCTGCGAAGATGAGCTCGGCTCGCCTTGCGGTTGAGGCTGGGGCCGGGCAATCGTAGCCGCCTGCAAGCGCTGATCTAAAGCCCGGAGGGCGAGTGTCCGTCTCCGTTCTGCTTCCTCACGCTTCGCCCTTGAGTCCGCCCCGCCGCGCTGGCTGCTGAGTAGTGTCGGGAGGCCGGCTTCGCCGCGGGCCAAAACCTGCTGGTTGCCTGAGGCGATATCGTCCTCTGAGAACGGTCTCAGGATCCGCATTGCCACTAGAGCGGCGTAGATCTGGTCCGCGACGAAGGCGATGGGTGGCTGCATGACATCCGGGAAAAGGCACGCAAAGGCGAAGGTTTCGCTGGCGTCACCTTTGATGCTGCTGCCGTTGGAGGTTCCCGTTAAATCGGGCTGGCGCTTGTAGAAGCGGAGGTAGGTCCAGCTTGTTAAGACACCCAAGCAGGCAAGTACGGCGGCCGTGTCAGTTCCGAAGATGAAGCCGCTAATGGTGTTTAAGAGGAGAAAGAGGGCTGGGAAGTGCTTTACGCGTATCTTGACGAGGCCCTTTAAGATTGTGACGGTGTGTTCGGGGACAAGTTGCTTGAAGGCGACGAGGAAGGAGCCTTGGATGGAGACGCCCCCGCAGATCTGTGTGAGGCTTGGAGGTTGTTAGTGACCGACATCTCTGACATAGCCGAGGGTGGGTTATGTGAGGGACATACGTTGTACCCGAGGAGCCGCCGATTGCGCCCCATGTTAAGTAGATGGGGACTATCACCACGCAGGGGATCACGGCGACGACGGCGATGAACTTGCTGAACTCGCGCGAGCCCCATGCGCGTTCCAGGTATTTGCCGCCATAGAAGATGGTTGCTGCGTTGAGTAGGACGGTGAAGATGTTTTGCTCGACAAATGTCGCCGTTGCGATTGTCCAGGGATAGTAGAAGACGTAGGAGGGGACAAGAGTCAGGTAGGGTACGAGAGGTGAGGTGGTTGGTGTTCCCCCGGTGGTGTCAATTTGGCGCCATCTAGCAATGTTGTAGAGAAGGGAGAGCGTCAATAAACTGACAAGGCAGCTGCGAGTGGCTGGAGGAATGTTGATTCGGAGGGACATGTTGCTCCGCAGGCGAAAGGCCTAAGATGACAGTGTTGCCCAGGTGTCCAAGTGTGGGAAGTTTAGCGCAGAGCGGAAGTTGCCATATTTAGCGCGGGAGCTTCAAGGCGCCAGTTTCATTATGTGGATTTGAGTCCATGTCCAGGGTCTCCATGGTCCACCTCTAGGTCGGGGTTGTGTCTATAGGCACTGCATTTTATAGACTATCTGATATCATCACCGACTAGCATTCCCATCCAGGTCAACAGTTCGACCTATGATCGACAAGAGGGAGAAGTTAGACCCGAGGCATGAGCCACGATCCACCTAGACTGCAGCTATCTAGGCTCGGGTGGATGCAGTGAGGCACATATGTTTAAACAGCACATGTCGATATACGCATGTACATGCAAGAGAAACAGAAATCAACCTCAGAAAAGGGGGGAGGAACAAAGGCTCCGTCTCAGTCCCAATCCAAGTTGACACCTGGAGTGTTAGGCGCCCATGTGGAGAACCGTTCGCAGACGGGGCTCATGGGCGTATGGGCGTAGGGTAGGGGCTTACGGCCTTACGGGCTACACGAAATTATAGGCTTTTGCATTGCAACCTGGGGCTCGGGTAATTTAAGTGTTCAGTGTTAATTTCCAAGCGAGTTAAAAGTGAAGACAGTGTGAGGTTCAAGAGTGGACGCCACAGGATCCCGTGGCTAGTGCCTGGATCCTTAATCTCAGATCTTCACGTCTTTTCCCTTTTCTCCATTCTCCATTCTCCATTCTCCGGTCTCCAATCTTCATTTCTTTCGTGACCTCTCAGATCTCGTCTCAATTTCTCCTTTCTTTCAACTCCACTCCCGCAGCTTCCCCTTCGCAAGCTTCTCTCTCCACTTTGATTTTCGACCTAGCAAACAGCTTCCCTTCCCACTCTGGCATGTCCGCGGCACTTGACTGGTCGCACATGTAATCATGGCACAACCTGACCTCACTTCGCATCATGTCAACTACTTAATATGGAGGTGAGTACTTCCGTAAATCCCCATGCACGTGCTGTACTGATCATCGTCAGATATCTCCAAGAATCAGGTTCGTCTCCTAACCCTGCAGTTCCGAATTCCGTCTAACCCAATGCGACAGGCCATGGCGATGCCGCTGTGTCGTTGCAGCGCGCATGGTATCCTGATCCACAGACTCTTCCATTTGCGCCTTACATCAAGACGCATGCTCTGGTATCACTGGTCCAGAAGGGTCTACAGTACCACGAGCTCCAATCCTCACTTGACAAGGTACGTTAACCTGCGAGCCTACGCGCCAGGGGGCGCAACCTCTGCTGCTCCCCCAAATCTCCCACATTGAGGTTCTAATTGGATTGCGCAGGAGGGCAATCACATCAACTTATCACCAAATGACTATTTCTTTGGACCTGAACCTTTTGAAACTGGGGTGGTGGACAGGCGCGATGAAGTCGGCACAGACCAAGCTTCCCCCGGCAAAGTTGCGCGCGACCATCCGAATGGGCATGCCGATCCCGGAAAGCAGGCCCGAGAAGACGATTCTATGGATGATGATGCCACTGAAAGCAAACCCAGCACTCCTAACTTAGATGGCGATGGCGATATCAGTATGGGGGAGATCCCCGAACCCACCTTCGCCCTGACGAACGGCGGCAGCGTTGGCGTCCAGATCTCCCCCGCCAAGGCCGCTGATTTGACGCCCGACACCGCCTTGCTGGATGCGGAGGACCACGTGACTCGTGCCTTATGGAGGCCGAAGGACCCGACTATGGTGGTGGCTGCTGGTGACACCTTTTGTGATTTATGGAAGTTGTCATCGTCATCGTCACCTGTGAAAAAGAAGATTGTGGACCACAAGAATAGCAGCACATGTGTGTCGGCCGTTGGCTGGGATGCTGTTGGTGAGAAGTTAGCTGTCGCAACTTGCGCAGAGCAACGGGGCACCATCACGATGTACAATGTCAATGGTGAAGCTGTGGATCTACTTCCTGAACTACCTCGGATGATCACAGGCTTGCATTGGGCGAATTTCAGTTCACAATTGGTGGTTGTGGCCTCAGACAACCACATCTCGGAACTGGCACTATGGGACGACAGCCGTCGACCTGATGTTTTCCCTCCACCCCAACATATCGAAAGTCCCATCTTTGATCTCGCGTGGTGCGGTCACAATCAGGTGTTCGCCTCTGGCGAGGGTGCAGTATATCAATGTGAAGTGGACAGCAACGTCCGATTGGCTAAGAAATATGCAGCCAACGGACCTAGCGCGGCTTGGGAGTTCATTCGTTGTGTTCAGACGGATACTCACTCAGTTGCCATCGCTGCATCTGCAACCACTAATGCGATTTGGATCCCTACCCATGATATTCTGATCTCAAATGCACACCAAGAGACCATTACCGGGATCGAGATTCGCCCTCAACCCCATGACCAGCGCATTGTTTTTGCTTCTTTCGGAACAGATAATGCGGTCAAGGTGTGGCAGGTCGATCTCGAGTCAAAAGACTTCTCGTGCCTTCACAAGCTTCGCCTTGGTGAATCGGTTCCTGCTCTTGCAGGATGCTTCTCCCCTGACGGATACGCTTTCAGTGCAGGCGGCAAGGATTCACTCTTCATCTGGAATGTCGAGCGTGGAGGTGAGCCGATGGCTACTTGGACTGCACCTAGTTCGGAGGTGAAAAAAGAGGATGGCATGACCAATGGACAGAATGGTCACACAGAGTCGGCTGGATATCGGGCTCTTTCATGGGATGCAGATGGCAAGCGACTTGCCTATGGCCTCGACAAACAGGTATGTTCCAACCATTGGTTCCTGTCCACTCATGCTAACTCAAATAGATGGCACTTGTTAATTTGCAACGGTGATGAGCTGGGCTTTGAATCTACAACATAACAATTTACGACTCATGCTCAACCGACATTCCCACTTGAAAAGCCTTTCTTTCTTCGAAGACCAACTCTTCGCCTCTTTTTTTTCTGTGAACATACATTTTTTCTTGCTTAGAAATGCATAACGGCATGCATTGCTTGGGATAGGGTTGGGTGGGCACGGCGAACATGGACTGGCGACGGTGGATTCTGTCTATTCTCTTTATTTCTCTGCTCCAGTGGTGATATTTCCCGGAACGAACTTGTTTATTAATCAAGAAAATACCCATTGACCTCAAATTCATCTCCTGAAAGTAGTAATCGGCTTTGTATTGAATAAAATCTTCGCCTTGGGCATACCCATGATAGCTCCCAAGTGCGATAAGCGCATTCCTGCCGACCCGGCGATATCCCCACTGTGAATCATTTTCCCACCAAATCGATCTTCCCTCTACCCTCTACTCGTGTAATTTCAACCACGAACAATGGCACCCTCTGTAAGCACTTGCATGGATCTTACATATTTAGCTGTTGCGGGTACATTTTGCTAACGGACACCGATGATTCAGATCGCCACGGTCCCGTCGCTCGAGACGGCGCAAGATGTGATCTCAAAATCCCGGAACTCCCAGTTCCCTCCTAACCTCCTCCCCGTTACTGCTTCAATTCCTGCCGATCTGTTGACTCCGACACTCGCGTATTTGAAGATTGCGGAAAAGTGAGTCATGGCCTTGACCGCATAGTTGGAGACAAGGCGGGGCACGAGGGGAAGAACATGATCGCTGACCCTGCTTAGTTCGCGATTGTCATTTTTGTACGAGAGTGCAGCTACCACAGAAACCATTGGACGATACAGCTTTGTTGGCGCAGGTGGGTGTCCAAAGACTTGACTTGGTCGCATTGCTAACCGTCCCAGATCCTAGAAAAGTCATCAAGACTGGAGAAGGACATGGACCGGCAGCGGACCCCCTACCCTACCTCGAGGAAGAGCTCTCTCAATTCCGCGTCGCCTCCGTGCCCGGATTGGTTCTTCCGCCATTGACTGCTGGAGCAATCGGATATGTTGGATATGACTGTGTCAGGTACTTCGAGCCGAAGTCAGCACGACCAATGAAGGATGTCCTTAAAGTGCCCGAGTCGTTCTTCATGCTATTCGACACGATTGTCGCGTTCGACCACTTCTTCCAGGTTGTCAAGGTCATCACCTATGTCCCCATCCCCTCGGCCGATGCCGATATCGAGGCCTCGTACGCCAAGGGCCACGCCATTATCCAAAAGACAATTGAGACCCTGCTTCAGGACCGCACACCGCTTCCCCCTCAAGGACCCATCATCCCCAACCAGGAGTATACATCCAACATCGGACAGGAGGGCTACGAAAACCACGTCAACAGACTGAAGCAGCACATCGCCAAGGGCGACATCTTCCAGACCGTCCCCTCCCAGCGCCTATCACGACCCACCTCTCTCCACCCCTACAATCTCTTCCGCCACCTCCGCACCGTCAATCCCTCCCCGTACCTGTTCTACATCGATTGCCAAGACTTCCAGCTGGTAGGAGCCAGCCCCGAGCTCCTAGTCAAGGAGGAACGCGGCCGCATCATCACGCACCCAATCGCTGGAACGGTCAAGCGAGGCAAGACCCCAGAAGAAGACACAGCCCTAGCCAACGAACTCCGCAGCAGTCTAAAAGACCGCGCCGAGCACGTCATGCTAGTCGATCTAGCCCGCAACGACGTAAACCGTGTCTGCGACCCAAACTCAACGCAAGTCGACCGCCTCATGGTCGTCGAGAAATTCTCCCACGTCCAGCACCTCGTCTCGCAAGTCTCTGGAACCCTCCGCCCAGGAATGACCCGCTTTGACGCCTTCCGTTCCATCTTCCCAGCCGGTACAGTTTCCGGCGCCCCCAAGGTCCGCGCCATGTCCCTGATCGCCGAACTAGAAGGCGAAAAGCGGGGCGTCTATGCCGGTGCCGTTGGCTACTTTGGATATAACAGCGCCAGCATTGACGGTTCCTCCGAGGAACCCGGTGCCATGGACACTTGTATCGCGCTGCGCACTATGATGGTCAAAGATGGCGTTGCTTATCTTCAGGCTGGTGGTGGTATTGTCTTCGACTCGGATCCGTATGACGAGTATATTGAGACGATTAACAAGCTCGGTGCCAATATTGCTTGTATTAAGGGTGCCGAGGCTAAGTATTTGAGCATGGAGCAGTAGCAGCAGCGTAGTAAAATTATTAGAACTGTTGGTTTTCATTCTCATTTTCAGTTTGGATATCAATATATTTGGGGGCTCTTTGCCCGGCTTGGTTGTCTGTACAGGATCTAGGCCATACATATTTTCGAAAGTTTCGGTTTTCTATTGATCTTTTTTTTGGGTTCTTTCTTGGAATACGCTGATGCTTGTACCGATAAGGTGACCTTATTCGGCTATACTATAAGTTATAGCGAAAGATGCGGCCATGTTCGTGATTTGACCTTATCACCTATTTCCATATGGATACACCAACGTTGACCCTGTATGAACAAGGGTCTAATGGTTTCTTTGCGTTTAAGTAAGAGTAAATCTTAATGTTATATGCATGCAACAACCCGGACGGTAGCTTTTCTCAGGAATGGCGTGACAGCCGTCGTCAATTTAGGGTTATCTCAAATCAAGAAACAGTAACTTTGAAACCACATAAGCCGCATCATGTGATTGCCTGTTTCTTAGTGCTCTTGGCCACTTTCTATCATTACTATCATGAAGAATAGAATCTCGACTTAAGGTGATAAGTTCATGTTTCTTTTGGAACGAAAGAGCCGAGACTAAAGATTGACGGCTATCACTAAAGCATAGAACGGAACGTACCGAGTAACCAAAACAGCTTCAACTTCAACTACTTTTAAAACTTCAGGAACTCCACCTCACCACCCAAACATTTAGTGGAGGTTCTGGTGGCGGCAAAGTCGCCGACTGTAAGTTGCTCTTGGATATTCCTCTTGTTTATTACCCAGTGAAAAAGGTCAAGCTAATACCAACCTCAGGCACTACATCTGGAGGCACAAATTGGCCCAACCAGGATCAAACAGGTCATGTATGGGGTGTCAGTTGCAATTCGAGTAAGTCGATATACCAACTCCTGCGTCAGTCTGTCCGAAATTGCTAATATCGCTTTTTTTCAGTGTCCGGACCGGAATTGTCAACAGGCCTGCTATTACAGTGGCTGAGTTGCCCGTGTGTGTCGATCTATGGGCTTAATTCCCTACCTGCAAGATAGCCGGTCTCTTGAATCAGGCCAGAAACAGCTGTGTGATGTACACAACTGCTGGTTCCCCGAGGTCTGTGAACGGACAGCACTTTGCAGTCAAAGCCTAAGGTGAAGCACTTGGTTATTAATAGAAGTTGTTGATATTATTTCTATACTGATTTCTGTGAATCCCTATGATGTCAAATTATAATACCAAGAGCTGCATGCTCTAGCTATTTAGAAGTAGTCAAAGCTTTAATTAAGTACAAGGCGAATGTAGATATTGTACAAGTAACGATCGATGTCAAACCTCGATTTATTTAGCTCGGAGTAATGAAAATCTCACTATTGATGCTTTGCTACAAGTTTATCGCAGATGAGGGCATTCATGCCACAAATAATAATTTGAGTGTATCGTACAATGAGAGCAATACTGAAGTTTTCAAGTTTCACTATAAGCATGGAGTAGGCACAGATGTTCACTAAGCAATAAATGCTCTCTAGACTCTCATGAAAGACGTTATATTCTAAATATTTTAAAGCCATAATATCTCAAAGAAGAATTGCAATATTTTTACAGCTCAGTCAAACACAGTCCTCTGTAGTTTTAGGGAATATAATATCAAAAGGTCTGCCGCCTTTAGTCCTGTCCACCAGCTATATCGGGTTTAAGGTGTTTTTGTCGGCCACAAGAGTTATGAAAGACAAATAAGATTAGCTATGTAGCTACTGGGTATTCCATCATCATTCCGCTGTCAAGACCTCACTTCGAACTGGCATCAACAACCCCAGAGGCCAACTTCGTTGCAATGCCCCCAATAAAGTCTTTTCTCTGCATTCCATCCTTCCATTCCCGAGGTATAGACTCAACCCCATAAAATGCCCCAGCCAAGCCTCCATAAACAGCACCAGCAGTATCAGAATCACCACCTCGATTCACAACAGCCAAAGCACCCTTCTTCCAGGTATCAAACCTAAAGAAAGCCCACAGCGCAACCTCAAGCGTATCAACAACCCACCCACTACTCGTAATATGCCTATCAGTCTTGGCAGTCCAGTCCTCGAGACTTTTGTATTGCGCCACACGTGCCTTCAAAGCAGGATGCGTAAAACGAAAAGCAGAAATCGAATCAAACAACTGCTTCTTTGAATGACCTGCATAGAAAACCAGAAAGGTTAGCATAAGCCCCAACAAGCAATCAACAAAAAAAGTACTCACCATTCATAGCCCCACAAACTAGCACCGTATAAGCTGCACAAGCCTCAACACAGGCCAAAGAAGGATGCGTGACACGACTTTGAACCCGGGCAAGGTCCCTCGCAAGACGAACATCATTCCAGTAAGCAACACCAAGAGGAACAATCCTCATCAAGCTCCCATTTCCAGAAAATTCCTCTCCGTCCAACTCAATATCAATGCGAGCCTGTGCAGCCTCAAGATTTTCCATGCGGGAATTATTCCAGATAGACAAGGATTTGCGCGTTGACCGGCCCATATCCCAGGCTCGATCAATGGTTCCGAATCGACCACTTCGCATCCATTCGACGTAGAACTTGATTGAGAGCGTGTGGTTGTAGTCCATTTCTGATTCGGCGATGGAGTAGGCTAGGGCTAGAGTCATTGAGCCATCGTCCGAGTAGGAGCTGTATGAGTTATATTAGATACAGCTGTCGTGATTTTGAGGGTGCATAGGCGATCGTCAATACTCACCCAGCAGGTTGATCAAACGGCGCCACATATCTCAACCCAGTAATCGGCTCGAATGTCTTTGGATCTTCGAACTGGACTGGTCCGCCCAGGGCGTCGGCGACGCAGACTCCCCAGATTGCACCCTTTGCGCGAGATTCCAGTGATACAGACATGGATGTCAGAAGCTGGTTTGTATGTTGATGTGATTTGAGAGCTTGAAGAGGGAGGGGTATTTTATTTACGTTGGGCTAGTGGGTGAGTCAGATCAAGTTAACATGGATCCATTGGTCTGGCGAAAGGCGCAGTGCACGTAGCCAAGTGATTCCACCAAGGCTGATCGCGTGTCATCGCACTCCCTTAGGGCTTTGTGGCTGTGAATACGAGCCTCATGTGGGGACCTCCGCGCTGGTGGCTGCCTAGTATAGGCTGACTTGGTTGTTGGTATCCCGGCTATGTCTGCTTATTCTCAGCTGATTCCAGCTAGTTTTCCATGCTTGTCATGTCTCCGAGACCTTGGAATATAAGGAATGGTTTAATTCATCCCAAAGGAAGATGTGTCGGTGATGGATTCTACGGTGTGGATGATGCCCCTCTCCCAGTTGATGATGATATTGAGTGCTGACTCTGACTCCTGTGTGAATCATCCTTGCCAATCATCAGCTAGTGTGGAGAGACGCCTCGGTCCCTGTTGTACGGTTAGCTTTCGGGTTCCTGGCCGGTCTTTTTGAACGCCCGTATGGAGTTTCTGACAAACTCTGGTAAGTCATATGGGTCAACTTCAGATACTCCGTGTTACAAGTCGTGGGTCGTCCTAGTTGCACAAAAATGTTGGCCACCTCTGGAATATTGGACTCAAAGGGTGTGCAGACTAGGTCGATTAAACGAGCGGGATATCAACATAGACAAACAAACCCGTAAAGAAAAACGAGTAAACAAGGGTTCTGCGTGTAAAAGCATATATAGATGACCGATGTGTATTCGGGAAGATAATCAGATAATCCACCCCATTCGATTAGATGACGAAGCTCCAGTACGAAGCTGGAATGGCACAGCAGGCGGCATTCCATCTGACGGCAGCCAGGCAAGGTTGAGCCAGTGCAGTATGCGGAGATCAGGGCAAAGTGACAGAACGCCTTCCACTAGGGGTCCGGTATCGGCATCTCTATAGTTCCAGATTGCCGAAGAGAACCCCATCAGCTTGCACTGCCAGTGATATGTACGTCGAGGATGCTTCTCATCACTTGTGTATGAAGAAGAAGCAAGGTTCTCAGATCCAAACTGTGGCTAGGTCAAGATTCTCTCTGATTGGCCGCCGTAACAGCCTCCAGCAAGGAGATACAGTACAGCAGAGTATAACGCTATACAGTACAGTGAAGCATTCAGGCCCACAATTATGGATTTCAGTAGAACGATGAGCTCCACAGTGGATCATACAATAGCAAAACAGTAGATAGTGAAGCTATTATCAATGGTTATGGAAGATAGCCAGAATCGCATCCCCCCCAGCCCGTGTAGCCGTAAGCGAAACAGCTCCAGACAGACTTTTTTCTGCACGGCCAACCACATCCGGGATGGCGCGGGGATGCAGCCAATCAGAGTGAAGATAATTGGCACCTGGAGGGGTCCACTCAGGCGGCCAACCAATCAAACTGCTTTGGGATGCTCTTCGGCATGTGCCATGGAGTTGGGCCTCTTCAGCTTGACTGCGAAAGTGAGATGTTGAGCTCGATTGACCCTGTTCGAGCTGTCTGGCGATGAGTCGAGCTAGACTAACCAGAGCTCTCATCGTCGGAACAGCTCGAAATCCCAGTCGATGTCCACGACTGACCTTATTTGCCTCGGAAGGCAAAGATGGGAAGCCATACGGTAACAATACGGCTTGCCACCCGGAGCTCCCTCCCAAAGCTTCTGGAATTCGCAGTTTCAGCTGGGGAGAGCTTCGGAGGGGCCGCTGATAGCGCCTATCGCGACTCCCACATTGTGTCGAGTATCGCTGTGAGACATCTTCGAGACTCTTGAGTCTGGTCCTCCAGTCTCGACTTTTCGACTTTCTACTCGGTTTCTTCTTTTTTTAATTCTCACGATTCCAAAATTACAAGTTCTCGGTGTTCCACCGGGCTTTCCGAAAACCGCCAGTAATTTACTAAAGCGGCATCTCAATTTTTCTCCCCCCTTGAGAGAACATTCCAAGTATGAGCCTATGGAGTCAGTGCAGGACAGGAAATCCATGCAAGTATGCATGGAGGGCGATTGGAGGACTATTGAGATGGTGATTTCTCCCTAAGAAGTGCAAAAAAACAAGTAAGAAAAAAATAAAATAAGAAAGATCGGATATGGGGTAAGTTAATTACAACGTACGGTAATACATTCCCACAACGGGGCGAGGTGCTCTCTCTACACTTCTTCCTTTCCCTTTCTTCTCTTCTTCGAGATCTTCCCATGTTTGCCAATCCTGGTCCTTTCGGTTCTTCATAAAATCCCTGCTTGGTTGACCTCTCCCCTCCCTTATCTTTCATCTCGCCCCTCGGGATCTTGAACACCCCCCCCCCCCCCTCCCCATATGCACCATGCCTCCTCGAAGCTCACTGACTAGCTCCTTCTCGGTCACTGATGCCAACAATGAAGTAGTCTGTCCTCTGAAGAATAATGACAGCTCCAATTGTCGCAAGAGATGCCTGGGTGTGAGTTCTTCCCTAAACGCCAGACGCCTCAAGCCCCACCTATACCTATGACTCTGCAGCTGGAGCTTTGGGGATGTGCAACTGGGAATCAAACTAATCTGGTTGGTGCTCAGGAAAAGCGCTATCGCTCCATGCAGGAGCACATTCGACGTGCGCATCCGAACCACTATATCCCGAAGCTCCCGGCCACCGAAGAGAGCTTCCTGCTGATGGTGAACACCCCGCCCGAGCAACGAGTGCAGCTGTCTCCCCCAGAACCCGCACAACCCCGCCGGCCTCAAGGTGAGTTTTTGTTCTTTTTCAACTCGCAACTTGTTTGCCTGTTTCCCGTGGCCTCTCTGTCTTCCACCTTCTCTTGGGTACTGACGGCTACCGACAGATGTTGCGCCGGATAGGGACATTTACGTTGCTGATGCCGGATCTCCGGCGACCCCTCGAGGTCACGATGAACCCCACCCAGCTGCTGCTACAGCGGCCGTTGCTCTGGCACAATTGCACCACCATCGCCTGGCGTCGGATTGGGATACCGACATGGTGGGTTACTCTGGACTGGGGTCTCTCTCTCTCTCCACGGCACTGACCCGCATTTCCCCAGGAAACCCATTCCGATACCGACTTGAGCCATCCTCGTATGCGCTCCACGATTGAACTTCCCCCGCTTCGTGATCACTTCAAACAGGAATCCTTGCCGCCATTTTCGTCGCCTCGTCCCCGCGAACTGCTTCCGTCGATTTTGAATCATTCTCCGCCCGGTCGCTCATCCACACTACCCCCCATTCAGCGACGAGACAAGTTCTCGCGGCCGCGCAAGTCGTCCATTTCACAATCTGCGCGGAAACCGAAACAGGATCGGCCCAAGTCAAAGGAATTCGGACGGCGACCAAGTCTGGGCGACCGCAAGGCCCTTTCGGCGGAACCACAAACTGCAGCGTGGGCGCAAGGCAAGCGATGGGAAGATTTGATTGAAGCGGCGACCTCGGCAACCGAAGCAGACGATGAGCGGTACTCTGAGGTGAGTGTTGAATACAATCTCGACATGTTCCTTTACTGATGCAAATAATCTCAGGCTGGTCGGTCTCCAACGATTGCCCCACTACTCTCCAACGTGACGTCTGCTCCTTCTGTGAAAAATCGTTCTTCGCTACCACCCGCTTTCCAATCCGCAGGATTGCCTCCACTTTCATCGCATCGCCAGTTCACTCCTCACAACTACGCTGCTTCGCCTCTGCACAAAGCATTGACACCACCGCCGTTTGAGAACCATCGCAACCGCGACAGCGACTTGGAGCCATTCCCATCGATTGAATCTTCGCTTGATTCCATGTCGTCAGCCTCTGGTAGAAATCTGTCTGGTGCATCAGGAATTGCGCCCTCGATAAACTCGGATTCCAGCCCAACAATGGGCTTGATACCACCAATTTCGCAACGCCAGCATCATCGGTTCTCAAACCCCACGCCATCGTCTTTCCGCAACAGAGAGGTGCAAGTCTTTTGCGCCAACTGCAAGCGACCATCCGCTCTCAATGAAAGCTATGCTTGTACCGAGTGTATCTGTGGCGTGTGTCGCGACTGTGTGGGCATGTTCATTTCGAGTCCCCCGGCCTCATTCCGAACCCCGGGCAACGGCCTAATGAACAACATGCAGCACGGGCCGACAAGTTATCCCGGCCCTCGTGGGTGCCCACGATGTCGAACAGTGGGCGGGAAATGGAAAGCATTCCAGATCGACATCAAGTGAAAAGACTTTAAGACAGCGTCATTGTCCATCATTGGCGTCACGCATTTACGACTGATGTTTGATACACGTTCTTTATATTGTTATTTATTCGAAATTTTGGCTTTTGCCATCACATGGGCCATCCAAATGTGCAGGAGTTTCAAGGCTGGTATTCGGCAGGTTCCCGACAAAACCCCGAAGAAGCTGGTCTTTTTTTTCATGGTACAATGTTAAGGGGTACATTTCGCTTTTCTTTCTTTTGGCTGCATTGGGTTATTTATGGATGGGACACGGACTGGACATGTTTGGTTATGATTTTATGTTTTATGTTTATGTTCCGTGTGATTTATGTTGAACTGTACTGCACTGATTTCCTGCTATCGCGCTGTTTATAGAGAACCGGATAGCTACTATCCTCACATCCATGATTTGATTTACATTCCAGCATTTCCACCACAAACCAACCAAATCTACCTACTCATCCCAAATAACACTACTCAAACCCTCGGCGCTACCAACCGCCCCAGGCTCCCCAACCTGGACCTTAGCAACCAGGTCTCCAAGATTGCCGGTCTTCCGATCCCTGCGCACGATATCCACCGTCGCAGAAGCCTGGTTCCCAATAGCAACCAGATCTCCCCGTCGGTTGATCACAAACGTGCGGGGGACCTTTCCAAACGCAGAATCCGTGTTTCGCACGCGAACAGACCCATCAGTGGCATTCCGATCAAGAACAACCATGGAGTCAGCAGGCGCATAGCCCTGATCACTGCGAATAGAAACATAAATCGCATCTCCCACCCTACGAATCTCCGCCGGCGTCGCGCCAGTAGGCATCTTCCCACCAGGATACGGCACGACAGTCTGAGTCTTTTCAAAAGACAGACATCCCGAGCGGGAATACGAGACATCGTAGACCATCAACGTCCCACCGATCTCATTGACCAGGTAGAGCATGGTTCTGCCGACAGCGGCCATCTTCGCTTGATGCAAGGATGCACCAACCGAACCCGATCCCGATCCTGACGCGCGCGACGATCGATCCGTCCCGTCCGTCCAGAAAATTCCATGTCGTGGTCCGCTGCCGTACGTGATATTTAGCGCTGGGCATTCACTCAACTCCCCCTTCGAGCCCTCAATCGAGTACACGCGCAGCAGGTCGGCGCCCAGATCGGGACTCAGGACGAATGTGCCCGTCGGGTCGAGGAAGACTTCGTGCGGGTGTGGCGTATCCTGCTGCGCGACTTTGCCGGGACGCGTCAGGTTGAAGTGGAAGGATTGGGATTCTGGTTGGTTGGGCTTGAGTGGGAGGGCGAATGTTGAGACTGCTGCTCCCTCGCTGTGTGGAGATGCGTGGTTAGTACTGTGTGGCTCATGTGAAATCTTCCCGCTGGATACTGTCCAGCGGGCTACTACTACTTCTCGGGCTGGGTACATACTAATGCGCAATCGCAATATACTTGCCGCTCTTCTCTCCCGGTCCATCACTGCCGTAAATAACACTCGCGACGCCGCCGCCGACAGTGTCTGTCTTGGCGATCTCACTTAGAGATCCGTTCACGCCGACGCGCAGGGCTGTCAGGGAGCCGTGTGTGGATGCATCTGTCGTGCCGTCTTCGTCGGAGCAGTAGACTGTGCGGGAGTGCGCGTCGAGGGTTAACCAGCTGGGCATTTTGCCGCATGTTTTGAGGGTCTGGGTGATTTGGAGGTCATTGTCTTTCAGGGTGAGCGTGTAGACGTTGCCATTGTAGTGGGTTGCCCAGAGGGTCGAGGGTTTGGCTAGTTTAGGGTTTGAAGATGCGGTTGTTGTTTGGAGGTTTAGGGTTGTTAGAAGTGGGAGGAGGAGGCTTTGAGGTCTCATCTTGGACTAGGCACTGGATTGGCAGTGCTCGGATACTGGAGGGGAGTGTGATGTGTGGGAGTGGAGGGCTGAAGGGAATTGGGAATGCTTGCTTGTTATGTAGAGTATCAGACGCGGTGACAGCACGCGGGATGGTCAACAAGCCCGAATATGCACTGCGACATCGCAGTGCATGGAATGGATCGTCGGTCTGGGGGCTGGGAAAGGGGGGTTCCGAGGTGGGATTATGCAGGGTTGGGGGGATTTTCATGTTACGTCTAATGTGTCGTGAAGAGGAGTTTGAATTGAACCGGTAGCTATCATCACTTGGACTCGAGATTTTGTTGCGTCCATGGGAGTGGTCGCGAGTTAGGGTTGAGGGTTTGGGTTGAGCTTTCCCCCTTGGAATGGCCGTTTTAGCATCTTCAGCCACCTACGGAGTGCGGGTTCTGACAATCATTTCCCCTCTCCCCTCTCCCTCTACGGAGTCCATTTGGAGACGGAGCTCGCATTTTACGTCTCGATTTGCTTAGTGCTATGGGGTCTCCCGTATTGCGTGGGGGTGTCGGCTATACGGCAATACCATCATGATCGACACGTCTTCGAGACTATAGCTCGAGTATGGTCTATACGATGATCAAACAAGCGTCAAGCCCGTATAGCAGCTATCGTTCCGGATCAGCTCGGTCTTGACACCATCGGCCAACGACACTGAGTACAGACTCCCACCCATATCAGCCACATAAACAAGATCATTCACCTTGTCCAACTTCAACCCAATAGGTTCATGGAAATGGCGCGCCAGAATGACCTTCTCCATATCCACCTCCTCGCCACCAACATAAGCCCGGTTTAGGGTACACCCCAGTGGATGCTCGCCCCGATCCGTCCAATACAAAGTCTGTGTTTGGCTGTCAATTTCAATATCAATAGGCTCAGGCAACCGATCAAACAACCGCCGAATATCACTCCGGTGTTCTGCACTCTCCCCAAACGGAATATCAAGCCCAGCGCAAAAGATCTGACCCCGACCAGACTTAGGCGGGCCCTTCTGTGTCCAGTAAATCAGACTGCGCTCGGTATCAATCGCAACCCCAACACACCAGTTTCTCATATGCTCCAATAACGACGCATCGGGCGGGACGCGACGCTGGATCAGAATCTTATGGTCACTGCCATCATAACCACAGCGATGAACACTCATTCCCTCGCGATCGCCGAAATAAACCTGATTCTGGGATTCAAGCGCAGCGATCTGCTTGGGAGTATGAACCTTCCCAATTGGGACGAGACATTTTACCTCGCTGCCATCCATATCCGCTGACCAGACCGAGCCATCACAGGCCGCCGTGCTACGCCCCATGTTCGTCCAAAATATGCGCTGTGTCGCGAGCGAGAAGTCGATTCCGTCCGGTAAGTTCTGGCCGACCATTACCGGTGTTAATTTCTGCGTCGCTAGGTTCAAGCGTAGGATTTTGCCGTTCGAGTGGACTTGCGTTACATCTTTGGCGTTGCCGCCTAGTCCAGCGTCGAGGATGTAGATGTCCTTTGCGGCGCTGTGTGGGTTGGCTGGGTTGGCTTGGTATGAGGAAGATTTCGAGAGACCTGGGTATAACCCGCCTATGTCGCATTTCTTTCCGATGCGCCCTTGGTCTATGTACTCCCTGCGTAGCCAGTCGACTGTTGCGGTGCCGTCGAGGCCTTTCTCTTTGATATAGTTGTCTTCGATGTAGGCGATCGTGTCTAGTCCCACTTGATCCATTAGTTGGCAGGGGAGAGGTCCGTTTTTGAACATGTGTTCCCAGAGTAGGTCGATTTCGCCTGGATCGCTGACCCCTTCCGATAGGATATGCATGATTTCTCGCTTAATCGCTGCCCAGAGACGATTAAAGATAAACCTGGTTTCATCAGCATTCTGATGCCCATAGAGATTCGGGAAATTGGAATAACCACATACCCCATCGACTCACGCCTCGCAGTGACAGGCAACAGTCCACACTCCCCCATGACATCCTGCATATACTCCAAAACCGCCGGATCCGTCTCACCACAAGTCATCAACTCAACAGTGCGAATAGCCGGCGGCATAGCACAATGAAGATTGAAGGTAATCCTCTTCCGCTCGCTACGGACCTTCGCAAGCATCAAACTAGACCTGAACGACGAACTATTCGATCCAATCAAACAATCCTCCGGAGCAATCCGGTCAATCTCACCTATCGTGTCAATCTTCAAATCTAGTAACTCAGGCACAGCCTCGACAACCAACCACGCGTTCAAGACAGCCGGCTCGAGTTCTTCGAACGTCTTGACATGTCCGAATGGCGCGTTTGTCGATGACTCGAGATCGACCTGCGTGATAGAAGTCTCGAGTTTCGTTCCTTTGACTTGGCCTTCGGAGTCGTGGATATCTTCCTTTGCGCGGTGGATCCGTGGCATGAGGGAGAATTCAACTTTGTGTGAGTCTATGTAGGACGCTGCGTCTTGAAGGGCCATCGGTGAGATATCCCGGACGTGGACGTGGTATCCTGCTGCTGCGAAGACGCATCCGATGCGTCGGCCTAGGACGCCGCCGCCGATTATTGCGACTGGGCGGTCTGTTCGAGGTGTCACCACCATTTTGGATGGCGGGTATGTTGATTGTAGGTGTGGATTTGGGGTTGATCTGGTTTCCGGGGGTTGCATTGGGCTTGGGGGTATGTAGATATGACGTAGAAAGATGGCGAAGTTGGTTGGTTTGGGGACAACACAGGACACTCTCGCAGATCTGTTGTGTCAGTCTTGAATTCAAGGACTTGCTATTCAGTGGACAGTGGACAATTGCGCGTGTTCGTGGCTCCGCCAGTTCCACGATGGTCGCGCTTCGGCTCTTATTCAACAGACACTGAACGGGACGATTACCGCCACTCATTGCTGATTGTCTGAGAAGCTTGACAATATCAAGTTTAGCTTGCTCGTAGGCTATCACTAAAGGATGTGTGGACTCCAGTGTGTGTTTCTCACGATGAGGACCTTCATGGGCTTCACTCCTCGGCGACAGCTCACTCTCTGGTACTTCAAGGATTCAGATTGTGGTCAGTGAACGAATAAAGTAAAGAGCAGCAATTAAGGACCCTGTTGAGTCTTCTACTTGATTTTCATCAAGTATTCAATGAGATTAAACAAGAGTATTGAGGGAAACAATATGATTATTAAGATTATGGAAGAAGTCAACATGCAACCTTGGAAACCCTGGGAACTTCTTGTTTTGAGTTATCCAAAAGCGTTGAACTCCAAAATTGGGGCTATGATTATCTATATATATCTAGTCAAGAGTCTCAAGGAGAAACCGTCGACTCAAATCACTCTGAATCCATTCTTCGATCAGAGAGACAGTGTCCCCGACGAGATGATCGTAGTTTGTGCCGTGGGGAATAAACATAGACTGATGTGCTGTCACTTCGTCCATGTCTTCCATTAATATCGGGTGCCAATAAGCATTTCTCTCGAATTTCCAATGATGAGAGGGCAAGAGAATGAACTTGCGAAGATGATCTTTCGATGTCTCTGAAGACCCTGAAGACATCGATGTTGTGATGGAGACGCTTTCTGATGTAGACCGAGCTTCCTTTCGGTCTGTTGAGATGCTTGAGGTGATACTTGTTGTATCTACTGGGGGCTCATTCTCAACATTGGTCTTCTCGCCGTTCATCTTTTCATTCCTGGTCTCGTCGACCAGAGTAGAATTCGAAGGGGTTGTCTTCAGGTCATGTCCTTCTAGCGATATCTCGCTTGTTGAATTCACTGTCTTATCTTCTTCAGATAAACTTGATGTGGCTGAAATTTCTTCTGGGAGGGTTGACGTTGACTCTTTGTCATCGGTATCTTTTGATTTCTTTGAAGCCTTGACTTTCTTCTGCTTCGGTGGCTTTGGTGACTTTGGTGGCTTTGGTGGCTTTGGTGGGCGACCAGTACTTGCAGTATAGTAATTGACGAATCTCACTCTCTTAGGACTAGACTCGGCAGCCTCCAGATCTGCCAGGTGTCTGTATCGCCGACGAAGTTCCGGGTAATTATTGACACAACCTGCATGCTGAAAGGACGACACAACACGGTCAAATATTGACCGAGAGAGATTGTCTGTGTTCTTGTTGACGAAATGCATCAAGCCCTTCAGGAATCCACGATTAACCAGGCGTACATCGTTCATAAATGGAGGGTCGAAATTCGGATTAGAAGAGCCGGATTTGAAAGCAGGATCCATGCCTAGCGATTCCTGCTCTCCTGCTAGCTTGGCTTCAGCTGCTGGGTCTTTCTTTGCGACTGACCCCATAGTTCCAGTCGGAATGACACGCGGATGTAGCCCCAAAAATGGGACGTCGAAGTTGACTAGTCCCAGAATGCGATGTTTGGGTTGATGGTCTCTTGCTTGTAAGAGAGCAACATCGGCTGCCAGGATTCCGCCAAGACTGTGTCCCAGCAAAATGACATCCAGATCCTCTGCCTCGTGTGGGGAGAGCCTGCGATTATCAGCTCATGCTCTGCCCACTTTATTTTCATTCAGATGGGATGAATGTTTTGACGTGATGACATACCAAGCACTGAAATGCTCTGCTGCAACGTGCATCTCACCGTAAGACTTGTATCGAGGATATATGCGCGTAAATACCTCATGAGACTCGCTCAGTAATCCAGTCAACAGATCATGGACGTGTGCCGGCAGGTCATGAAAGCTAGCTTCGGAGCCCATGAAGCCATGGATGTATATCAGTAGAAGCCGGCGCCTGCCCGTGCCCGGCCCAGGCGAAGACAGGGACAGCTTGGACAATGAGTGGGCAGGATCATTACAAATCTCGCTCTCCATTGTGTCGTCCAAGTAAAGTTGAGTTCAGTTGACAGGACCAGATTGCGTTGGCACAGCCACCATGCAGGGCGGGGGTCTGCACGGCCCGCTTGCTGATTAAGGAGGTTGGCAATGTCCAGCCTCGGAGAGTCCTGAACAATGAGACTTGAGGAGGTGAAGAGTCTGAGGAATGGGGGTCAAGAGGAAGTCTATAGATTTACCCCGATAGGCAATCCGGATACCCGTGGACCGTGGTTGTGGTCCTGATGAATGATACCTGAATTGTCAGGCCTTGTTGGTTTGCCGGCAATACAGGATCCTGGGATACTGTCCAGCTATCCATAAGTAAAGCATAACTTACTGTATTATGTTAACTGTCATAACTACAGTGTCTGAATGATGCCTATACTTCATCTAGCTCTACACTCCCTCACATAACATCAACCCAAAATCCGGTGAGGCCTCTACCGTAAAAGACCAAGCTGACGCGTCCCCCTTGGAGCTTTCCCCAGCTTTTGCAAAGCGCTCGGCAAAAAAGCTGGGCAGAATAAAAGCCTGAGATCTAGCCCGCCAAGCCATAAGACTAGCTAAAGCCGAAAAAAAAAACAAGGGATAGCAAAGGTGACCTATCAACACTGACCACAGATAGTTACTGTATCTGGTCTTGGACATCCAACAGTTCACTGGATGCGCAATGGCTACGAAAACAGCATCAGATGTTGAGAAGTCTATCTCCTCGAAGTCTGCCCCAGCAAACGACCACGACGTAGCACATGCTCAAGTCGTCTTGATCCCCCGACCTAGTACCCATCCCCAGGACCCTCTGGTATGCCATAAGAAAGTCTCTTTTCTAAACGTCAGACTAACAGACACCCTCCAGAACTGGCCTCAAAGCCGCAAACACTTACTCCTAGCAGTATTATGCCTGGCCTCATTTGCCGGCGCAATCGCGCCCTTGTCAGGCCAGCTCAACCTCGCCAATCAAGAAAAGCTGTACAGCAAAACAAAGATTGAAGAATCATATGCAGTATGTCAACCCCATAGCCCCCAATCCAAGACTTTTCCACATCTCACAGTACCAAGAACTCAGCTGCCCTGGCAGGCATCGCCGCCGGCCCATTCTTCTTCGCCCCAATTGCGCACAGGCTAGGCCGCAGCTCAGTGATATTCTGGTGTGTGCTGTGCACAACAGTATGTCAGATCTGGGGTGCGGTCATGACCCACCCGCAAGACTACATTCCCTACGTGATGTCACGGCTCTTCGCCGGTTTCTTCGGTGCAGTGCCCACCGTGCTGGGGCCGCGTATCGTCACCGATCTATTCTTTTTGCACCAGCGTGGTCGTGCATTCACCGTGTTGCATATGTCTTTTCTGTTCGGGACCATTGCCGGACCTACCTTCTCCGGATTCGTATCTGCGCACTCCTTCTTCCCAGTTGAGTTCTGGTGGACGGTTGGGCTGTTAGGGTTCACGCTGATTTGCTGTTTCTTTCTTCTTGAAGAAACAGGCTTTGACCGAGAATGCCCTGAAAAGAACCCCAATATCCCAAGTGAGAGAATGGCGAATCGGATTGCGACGTTCTTCCCTGGTAATCGCGTCGTAGGGCCTACGACGTGGAAAGAAACGGCACGTTCAACTCCCCTTTTCCCTTTTCCCCAAGCCCATCCCACCCGACTCAAATCAGCTCCAATCTAACACACGTAACTGCAGGCCAAAATCAGCATCACACCACTCCTCATAGGCCTCTGCCCAGCAACCATCATAATGGGCACATTTACCCTGGTATCATTCGGATTCTACGTAGGCGTGAACGCCCTGACACCAGTCTGGCTCCAGAAGCCCGTCAGCGCAGGCGGGTACGGCTTCACACTGGAACAGAATGCCGCCTTTACATTCAGCCACTGGATCGGCATCATCGTCGTCCAGTTCTACGGGCACTACCTCAACGACCGGTTCCCACTGTACCTCGCACGGCGATTCAACCACGGCGTCTGGAAGCCCGAGTATAGACTGCACGTGCTGTGGCTTCCCAGTCTCGTGCTGAACCCGATTGGACTGGGGATTTTTGGGGCGGCGCTGCAGTACCGCTTGCATTATTTGGTGCTTGCTTTGGGGGTTTTTGTTGTGACGGTTGGTTCGCTGGGGAGTGTGCCTGTGACGGTGAATTATGTTGTGGAATGTTTCCCTGGGTTCCCGGCGGAGGTGGGTATTGTTGTTGGGGCTTATCGGATTGTTTATGGATTGACTATTGGGTTTTATATTGATGGGTGGGTTGATGCTGTTGGGGTTGGATGGGTGTATGGGATGATGGCTTTCTTTGCGACTTTTTCGTTCTTTTTTGTTATGTTGCTTATGTGGAAGGGGGAGGTTATTCGGAGGGCGAGGTTTAAGGGGCTGGGGTCTAGTGAGGAGGGTGAGCGGTTGGTTGAGGAGTGAGTAGGGTTTGGACGGTGGATGGAGGGCATGGGAAGTATACATAGAGATTGTCTTGGAGGACATATTGACTTTCGGCGACTTAACATATAGTACAGTTTATATAATACTAATCCCAATCACCTTGGCTATACAATAGTCTGCCTGGCCAAGTCTTTTACTACCTGATACTGCCGTACGTATTAATCACACCTAGTGTGCTATCCTGTGTCCGGTCACCCAGACCCAGGAATCACAATGCCAAGGCCATTTCACGATAATCAGTCAATACTACATTTCTCGCCTACTTATTTGCAGGGAGATTGAGCTAGCTAGTGAAATACCGCAAGAAGAATCGTGAACGAGTCCGTTAATCGGGGAATGGACTAGACATTCAAAATTGGACTGGGTATCAGAGATAATGGGACAAACAATTGTATCAGAATACGAGCTCGTCTAGCTCTGAAGACCCGCTCTGTTTAGAATTCTTGGTATAGGGTGTGTTTTCCATATAACGTTAACGCAACAGGAGCAAAAAGTGACCATCATTACGGCCACAAAGAATTCTCGGCATGCCGAGCTTGATCTACCGTTTTGACCGATGTGGAGAAATCTAAAACTGATCGTGAACTAACGATAACAATGCCAGATGATTGACAATACAGTACAGTACAGTATAGAGTACCGGATAGACATAGGGATTATGCCTAAGAAATAGTTTGATATAATATCAGCAGTAGATTTTGGAAATTGTAAGAAAAGAAAACACCTGCTAAGCTGTTTCAAGTGAAATTATATACGACAATGTTACAAAAAAGTGAAAAAAATCCAAGAAATAGCGTTGTGGGAGCCAAAATAGGGCTCAACCAACAACAGTCTAAGGCAAGGAATAAATGAATCAAGCTATCAAGACAAATTTACAGCATGATCATGAAGACACCGGAGGCGATGGCAGCCATGGCGTAAGCACCGGCCTGCCAGCTGCCAATGTGGACAGACTGGGGGACAGTGCCGACAGCCACACCAGAAGAGGTAGCACCCTTGCCGGAGCTGGTGCCAGAAGCAGAAGCACCGGAGGAAGCAGCAAGGCCACCGGAGACGGCGCCAGTGCCGGCGGAGCCAGCAGAGCTCATCTGGGTAGCGCAGGAGCCGGAGGCAGCAGTGGTCGCCTGGGTAGAGGCAGCACCGTTGAAGCCGCAAGCGGAGGCACCGGCCTTGGACTTGTTCTTCTTGTAGTACTGGTTCATGGCCCAAGCGAGGCGCTGCTTGGTGGAGCACATGGAGTAAGCACCGTAGACACCGCTGGTGGAGTTGGAGTTGACACCATCCATAACGCCATCAATACCACCAAGGTAGGAGAAGGTCTTGGTGATCAGCTTGGTGGAGATGTCGTCAACGGGGACACACTCCAGGGAGTTGTACATGCACTCGCAAAGATCGGCGTTGGGCGAGGGGGGAGAACGGAAGCGGCGTTCCAGTCCGAACCAACGGTAGGGCAGCTGCGGCCGACGGTGGTCGAGACGGAGTAGTCGCTCATGGCAACGCCGGTGGGAGTGGCGGATTTCATCTGCTTGGAAAGGTTGGTGAAGTCGGGGAGGGTGCTGACAGAGCTGCCGTCGACGGAAACCAGGCCGTACTTGTTGGCTTCCTCGTAGTACATGTAGACGATACCACCGGACCAGACGTCATTCATCTGGTCACCGTAGAGGACGGGAACATCGGTGAACTTGCGGGGACGAACCTCGTTACATCCGTACTCGGAGAAGAAGGCAGGGACGGGGTAGTCCTTGAACTCCTCGGTACGCTCGGAGTATCCGGACTCCTTGAAGGAGGAGTCGCCACACCACTCGTAGATGTTGTAACCGAAGAAGTCAATGGAGTCGGAGGCGTCATCGCAGACGAGGTAGTTGGAGACCTGCTCACGGACGGTCTGGTCGTCGTCGGTAGCGTAGCCAACGGCGAGGGAAGAACGGTAGTTCTTCTCCTTGATGTAGGACTTCATATCACGGACGGCAGCCTTGACATAGGCCATAGAGTCGGTGTTGTTAATCTTGTTGGCAACTTCGTTTCCGGCGAAGAAACCAATGACGTTGGGGTACTTGGCGAAAGCATCAACCACCTGGGAGTAACGAGTGAAGAGGTCGGCGTTCCAGGTAGGGCTGTCGGACACAATGGACTCGGTGGGCGAAGACAGATCGGTGATCAGGTAGATACCGGCATCAGCGAGAGCGGTCATACACTCGTCGTGGTCCTTGGTGGGGTCGACAGCGTAGGTACGAACGACGTTGGTGCGGAGCTGGGTCAGGTACTCGATATCACGCTTGCAGCTGTCGACATCGGCGATAGGGTCGGTGTACTGGGTATCACTGCTGGTACCGCCGTTGCTGGCAGTGTAGTCAGGCTGGTAGGCCACACCACGGATGTAGAATTCGGTGCCATTGTTGGAGTAGAAGAACTTCTTGCCCTTGATCTCAATGCTGGGGACATCAGCAGCCATGGCCGCTCCCAAGAGGGAGAGACCAGCAATGATCGAAGTCTTCATTGTGTATGTAGTAATGAGTGACAACACAACAGCGAATGTGAAAAAGGAAAAGAAATCGGGGGGCTTCCAGAGAAGAAAAGGGCTGAAAGGGGATGAGCAGTGGAGTAGGGGGGTGTTACGCATCACCGGGCTGTGCGGGAAGTTACAGTACAGTTCTATTGGTGTTTATTGTGTTTCCATGTGGTATTATTGTGGTTTATTGTGTATGTTCCTTTTCCAGGTACAGCAAATCACGATGAATGATTGGTCTTGATAATAATGAATAGATTTGATGTCCCACGTCATTGGTCCCTGTTGACCCTGAGTCTCCACCGGTAATTTTCCCCTGTGGATCATTTCATTGTCTTTTGCCACTTTTCACCACAAACCCCCTGAAACATGGTATGGACTAGTAATGGGAACAGTCCCTTTCAAGACCCTGGACCCTGATAGGGTGTGGTGGAGACCTTTCTCTCGTATCTTCGGGTGAACATCCCTTTTTTTTGGCCATTGTGGTGTTTACAAGTGGTGGAATGTGAATGTAAACCTGAAAGTGCGTCACTTTCAAAGCTTGTCTTTTGCCAAGGGATGATCAATGCTTGCTCATGATGTCGTTCGGTATGTCGATTTGTCTGGGCAGTCTGGGCAATATCCATTCTTCAACCACTGCGGTCTTGAGATGGCTACTCCCCAAAATTGTGTTTCACACTACGCGTACTATAGCATATAACTATTGAAAATGTCTCATGGTATCGCTTACTCGGGCTTGTTGTCCGTGCTCTACAAGTCAGAGAGGATGGGTCAAAGTTACAGTCCCCTTTATATCCATTTCATGGCTCTGGGTCCAATCCGAAACATCAAAACCCTGTTGCCTATGCCGACCAAAAAAAGAACTTTTATTCTGCGGATGTGAACCACGCATCCTAGATGTCAACATCTACAGGCCGACAGTACTATAAAATTCAGAAATCTTAATCTCACCTTCCACCTTCCAATGGATCTTCCATGCTACTGTACATGGACCCATGGATCAGTGGGTCGAAATGAAACGAAACTTCAAATTTACAGGGCCGATCAGACGGCACAGCAGGCAATGTTGCTACTGCACGGTACACATGAGTACAGTATAGTGAATCTCCTTGGTCCAATTATCTGCGTGTACACACGGCCCGTCTTTTACCGCTGAGCTCTATCTCATACAAGCAAAATGATGGTTCCGTATCCTAGCAGTAACTAGTATCGTGGCCTGCGAGGTTTACTATAGACGGGTCCGGGTATGAATGCAGTTACTGTACATGTACCCCTGACTATCAATCACGTCAGAAGCGGGTCTCTTCTTTCAGGGAAAGCATATCAATTTTCTTCGATAGGCCCAACCAGGGCCAAATGGTAAGCCTTCTCCCATGCTTTCCTTGACCAAGCTTTTGTGGCGGCGGGTTGTAGCTTTGTTATGGGTCGATGTGGGTTTTGCGCCTGTTCACTCTGACCCTTTTAGAGCACTCTGTTGTATGCGCTATTTTTTCGGGCGTTGGGGCTGTGTAAACTTTGGGCTGGCTTACTTTGAGTACTGTATAGTGCAGCCCGTGGGAGGGATCTGTGTTGATGATCACGGCTAGGAATCCAATCTAGGGGGCTGCAATCGTGTGCAAAGCACACTACATATACGAGGAAGTTGCTACTAGAACTGACAAGCCAAAGGTGTAGAATTGGGCCTTTTGAAATAACAGTACTGTATGAGCATCCATGGAGCTTCAGGGATAAAAGTATGGTTGGTCATATTTAATCGCTGTTACTTTTCTCTGACTTTGTGAGATCAATGTGCCGACCTCATCAAGCGATATATGTACTACTGTATACTTCTTAAAGGGAAGATTGAGTGAGGAAATAGCGTCGGGATTTTGATGTTTTCCATGCCTATCTTGTTCTAACTTTTTCTCTATTTGTGTTGCGGATGGTTTACTCTGCAACAAGCACCACGAGAGTCTTGTCTTATGGACGTGACCGTATCTTGGATCCTTAGACCCAGTCAACCTAGAGCAGTTACCAGCTCTTAATTGACCTGCACTTGTGTTTAGAATAACTTGCTGTATCAATTTATAATTTACTGAGCTAGAGTAGTCGGTAGCGATGAGGCGGTAGACCCATCAACTATCAAGAGCCAACTAACAATTGCTGCACTTGAGATAGCCCTTGTCTGAGATAACTTTGTATGTAAATGATTCAGTGCAGGTTCTGTTTCTGTTCCTTTTTCGACTACTTTATTGCGCACCATTTCCGATAACAACCTACCGTTGGCATGTCGAGGGCCATTATATATCGACGCAAAAAGCCCGGCAGCATCAATAATCAAGCTTTAAATACCGAAGCAGGCTGTATATGTTCTCAGTGCTACATATTGTCCTCGAAGTGGGCATGCTAGTGCTATGCTTGAAGCTTTTCAACGTGCTTGTTTCTAGTTGGTATAGCCAGGTACATGCAGGCCATCAGTGGATATAACTGAAACAGTGTGTCTAGACCTAGCTCTTAATGCACGAGCATCAACGAAGTAATTTCTCCTTAAGCGTACAAAGTAGGTGTTCAAACCATGAGAACTTTCAATAAAAAGATCACAGTCATGGTCAAATTATGAAATGCCGCTGTGAATCTACTCGCTGAGGGCAAAACTTGGCAGAATCCCAGCAAGGCTGACCAAACAGGGAGTAGGCAACCATTTTTTGTTTAGCCGCAGTGGGCCCCAGATTCCCATAGGGCTGATTTTCTCATCCCTACAGTTTCTCTTCTTTCTTCAACCGCATCAGTCCTAACCCACAGCAGTTTCTCAAAAAGATGCCTATTTAAAACCTTCTCAAGGCTTCTCGTGTTCCTCATCTCACTCAGCTTCAGGCACAGCCTAACCACAGGCAACAATACAGCCTAAACACCGCATGCTAAACTTGCAACGGGCAGCACTCCAAAGATGACAGACACTAACATCACCAGTGCTAGATGACCGCTCGTCACAGGTTTCCCCCCAACAATCAAATTCATTGGTCTTTCGAAGGGTCAAAGAGCGCAAGCCACCGACGTGTACGATACTATGCCCCAGCCGTCTCATTACGACCTCACACAAGCTTAATAACTGGGTTCAATATGTGCTCTAACACGGGGAATATGCGCTGTTAGGGCTCCCTTGGGCAACTCGCGCCTACAGAAGGGCAGCACTGCTGACCCAACAGCACCAGCAGTACCAACACGTGATCAAGTCCCGAGGCACAAGAAGAAATGAAAAGGGGTTGTGGCGTCCACATCCCCTGTGGAATCCAGTCCTCGCCATTTGATTGATTCGAGGACGCCAAGAGTGGACCAAATCCACAATGCCTCTGAGCAATTTCCTCCCAATGAATAGCAGTCCTGGATCATTGGTCTTGCAGTGCATTGTCAATCTGCAGCAATACCCAAAAAGATCATTATGATCAATGCGGTGTGACCAGATCGGAGTTGCAGAGACTCTTCGGAAAAAAAGGAAGAAAATAACAAGTTTGCGCTGCCAAGTGTCCAAGCACAGAACAAGAAAGCTTCGCGGGCTGGAAGCTTTCTAATTTCCTTGGTCAGTGGCGCTGTTTCGTGTTTTCCGCCAGCGCATCAACATACATCGGTACACAGGACTCAAAATACCAATGACGCAGATTGCGCAACAGAATTAACAGACTGTTTAAGAACCAGCTCAAATCCAGAATCAGGCGCTCCAACTACTTGACATCAGACCAGTTGAGCGATCCGAGCTTGCTTTTTAAACGCCAAGCTTATAGTATCTCCACAATTCAGAGACCATCGCGATCGCCCTCGGGGCTGTGTGGCTGTGCACCAATCCTCTCTTCAACCTTGACTCCTGGAGAATTTCAGGATTTGACCAGGCTTGCTCTATCCCTTCATTTGCCGCTTCTCTCTTCCTATCTCATTCTCGTGCTCTTTGGCTGAGAATTGTCGCTCATTTCGTCTTTGTTGATTTGCCGCCTGTCACCCCTTGCTTTGGCGCGAACTTCTCACCGTTTTCTCATTGTGCGCCATAACTTAGGCAGACATCCTTTCAGCAGCGGAGACCCGTTTGTCATCTTGTGGCTATTCTTTGAGGCTCCCGTCAACGCTTAGAGTGGACCAGCTCAGCCTTTGAAGCCGTGTAATCGCCTGCGATTGAAACCTTCTTCCACGAGTACGTGTCTCCTATTTAAGAAATGATGTCGCAGTCTAAGCCACGACTGTGGCGTGTTCAGTGCCCTGGCACTTAATTATGCACCACACGACTGCGGCCTTCAGCTATATCCAATATTTTATCTCCCTGGCCTGTCACCTTGTTTACTTCAGAGGAACCATACTCACAGCCTCTCCAGATTCCGAGCTCAATCCCTGTCCATCATGCGTAAGTCGACTTCAGAGATCCATATCATTTGATCAACCAATACTGACTCAACGACTAGATATCTACCGCCGACAGGCCCGCAACCTGGCCTGGTACGATGAAGAGGGCGAAGCCTCCACACACAACCCATTCAAGAAATTCCGCCGCTCACCCCGGCGCTCAAACTCCGTCCAACTCGAAAGCAGAATGCCCGGCCACCGCAGTCTAGATATCCCCATGTCAGAAGACACGCGTCGCAGACTGGAAATGAACAATGGCCTCAGCGGCCCAGAGTACGCAGGAACATTCCCGCCAGAGTCAGCTGGCAGCGACAAAGGCACGCCCAAGTCACCACCTGAACCGTCCATGGCAAGCCAGGATCCGATCAACGTATCGCGCGGCATGAATGAGTCTATTGATTCGACGCCGCGTAAGCGCAAGGGATTTCTGGGGAAATTCCGACATGGCACTGAAGTCGATGAGTTGGAAGACAAGAAGTCGATTTCCGGGGCGCAGAAGTTTACCTTTGCGTCGCAGTTGCGGGCGACTATTTTGAATTCATGGATTAATGTGTTACTTGTGGCTGCGCCTGTTGGTATTGCGCTTTATGCCGTCGATGCGAACCCAATTGCTGTTTTCGTGGTCA